ATAGGGAAATCGCCCTTCAGATGTCTGTAAAAGCCGCGAACGACATATCCGGCCCATATGGTCTAATACCTACCCTTCTCGTCTTTGGAGCATACCCACGTATGACAGAACTGGACGCCCCATCACCCACGATTACCTAATAAGCAACTGCCATTCGAAAGGCGATAGGGGAAATCCAGAAGATGCGCGCCACAAGAAACGTGTCCGAAGCCCTAGCGACACGTAACGGACCCAACGTCACCGCAATCCATAACCTCCTACTAAACTCGCCTGTATTAGTATGGAGAGAAGGAAATGGCGGACAACTTGGGAAATGGGACGGACCTTTCGCGCTTTTAGCGCTTAAAGGCGAAACTTGCATATTGAACCTACCACATGGCCCGACTCCCTTCCGATCGGTTGTCATAAAGCCATACCATATAGACATCGAAGATGTTGTAACCGAAGCGCAACCTGAACCAACAAGGGTATAGACAGAGAACCTAGCCGACCTAAGGCCGAACATGGCGGGAGAGAGGATGGAGACAAGAGCATCGCACAAAGAAAAAGAGGAACCCCCTAAACCAAAGAAACCTCGCCTCCAACAAATGCTGCATGTTGAAATCCCGATAATCCACCTACAAATCGCACAACACACGCCATTCGAGAAATCCAGGCAAAAGGAGATTTCGGGCCTACTAGAAAAAGGAGTGTTTGAATTCGCAAGACGAAGCGACGTCCCACCAGGAACCCGGATATTCAACTCACGGTTCGTGGACGAAATCAAGCACCTAGGCACTGAGAAAGCCTTTGAGAAATCGAGACTAGTAGTCTAGGCGTTCAACGATGCCGGCAAAGAGACGATTCTCACCCAATCACCCACCATCCAACGCGTAAGCCAGCGAATCATCTTGGCTATAGCGGCGATATAACCGGATATGAAACTTTACCTCCGCGATATCTCCTAGGCTTATGTGCAATCCACAACCAACCTAAACCAAAAATTCTTCGCACGCCCGCCGCGTGAACTCCGGGAGTTGTTCGGATTACCAGAGGACTCGATACTTAGGGTGATCAGACCATTATACGGGATCCCTGAAGCTGGAAATCATTGGTTTAAAACATACCATTCGCACTATATCGAGAAACTAGGAATGACAACATCGACATATGACCCCTGCTTATTGCACCGGAGCAATGCAGGGGAATTTGGAATCGTTGGACTATAGATGGATGATACACTTTTCCTAGCTAACCTAGCCTTCGCAACCAATGAACAGAAGCAACTAGATAAAGCGAAGTTCTTAGCAAAAGACCGTGAGACACTCGACCACGGAACGCCCTTAAAGTTTAATGGAGGAATGATTTCTTTAAACCTAGAAGGAATCACGCTATCCCAAAAATGGCAATGTAAAAAGTTGTCCATAATTGGAAAAACCCAGCACGAACCGGCCAAAATCAAGGAGTAGTACATTGCCTAACACGCGAGAGGTGCCTACATCGCGACCGTCTTATAGCCAGAAGCCGCGTTTGACTTAAGTCACACAGCTCAAATCATCAACCTAACAGCTGATGATGCAAATAACCTGGATAAGCGGTTATCATGGCAGATTCAAAATACAGCGAGAGGATTATCATTCATACCATTATAACGCGAATCACTCCAAATATTGGCATTCGTGGATGCATCGTTCGCAAATAACCCGGACCTCACATCGCAAATTGGCTTCGTTATTATCCTTGCAACCCTAGAAGCCGAGGGCAAAAACGCTAATATCCTACACTAGGCATCCGTTAAGTATAAGAGGGTCACCCAGAGCGTGCTCGCGTCAGAGCTATACGCAATGGCCAATGGTTTTGATGCTGCTATCGCCATCAAAACGAGCCTAGACCGGATACTGAATACCACCCTCCGACTCACCATTTGCACGGATTCGAAATCCCTATATGACTGTCTCGTGAAACTAGGCTCCACAACAGAAAAACGACTCATGATTAACGTGATGGCACTCTGTGAGGCATATGAGCGAAGACAAATAGAGATCCTCTAGATCGAAGGCGACTCCAACCCGGCTGACGCAATGACCAAGTCAAAGCCCTGCGACGCACTGACGAAGTTGATAGACTCCAACAGAATCAACTTGAAAACCGTCGAATGGGTCAAAAGAGAGGAAAATCTCTCCACATAACCCACCATAAATCGGGCATCACCCGGCGATGACAAACGGCCCTAAAAATATCATCGCCAACCACTTTCTTTCAACCATTTTTCGGTATCCAACATACTTCTTTCATATACCCATTCAATGACAATTCGGCGACGGAAACACCAGGCCATTTTTCCTTTCAGAAAACCAGATCACACGATACCGTCAAAGGAAAAATCCCTGATTTCCCCCGCATCAGACACGGAAATCGCCCTTTTTCCCAGAAATAAAAGAAGAGAAAAGCCCCCTTCTCCTTCTCCGTTCGTCTATCACCCGAACACTCCTCCACCTATTATCTGAAGACCCCAACTACCGAAAACCTTCCTTTTCCCACAAGAACGCCACCCCCAGAAGCCACTATAAACCACCCGATCGATGGCCAGAAGGGTGACGAAAGCAAAAGGAAAGGGAGCAAGAGGACCTAAAAGAGCGAAAGCTACAGGTCCAGTGGCAGGTCTAGCGGCAGGTCCAGCTCCAGCAGCAGACCCAGCCCCAGCCCCAGGAGCACCAGCAGTGCCAGCGGAACCCGCCATAGTATTATCGCCGACAACCCCACGGGCGATACCAGAACAGCCAAAGTTCATGACGTGTATTAGATGCATTGGACACGAAAACATAAACTAGGAAGGAGAAACATTTCCCACGTTCAACTGCCTTTTCGATACCATAGCCAGCAAGAAATGCAACCAATGCAGAGGGGCTAGCAAAGCCACATGTCACCCACCACTGTTCGGAATCCAATACGATAGCTGGACATTCCACACACTTATGGACTACGCCAGAAATGCAGACCCTACCACAACACATGCGAGTCAAGGACTATCGGCACCATTTGGCACACCGGGAGCAACCAACGCAGCGTTCACCTAGGCAGAAACCGCACCCGAAACAGCCCAGGCGGCAGCTGGCAACCTGATGATGGCATTCCGACAGCTAATCACAATCCACTCGACGGAATCGGGGATCGAAACGGACAAGAAATATGACCCAAAGCTCATCAGGGAATACATAGCCGTCCAGCGGGAAAAGCACAACGCCCAAATCAGACTCCTACCGCATCCGATTCGCTTCCCGAACACCTTATGCAGACTGGAATCCTCAGAAGGAGGGTACACCATGTGGCAGTCCGCCATATTATCCTTTTTCCGGGAATTAGCAACGGCTCAACCTGCGAACGCCGCCGTTATCATGAATAAGGCAACAGAATACCATTTGCCATTCTGATCTCAGGGGATCAGTAAAATGCCGCCAGAGAGGACCACGGATAGAAGACGAAATGGAGACTGGCTTCTCTAGGAAAAGCCCACTTTCGTGTTGTCCACTTTTTATTATTTTTTTTCCCACTCACCACTTTCTTTACCCCGCACAAAGGCTGATTCTTCAACAAAAATCGGCCACCCAACAGATACAATATGCAGGGCACTCGGGGGCATATCGTGCACCTATCCACATTCATTTATTTTATCGATCCATGTATATAGCGACTCGAGATTTTAAAGTTGCTCCAGTGTCGGAACATGGATATTGCAATCATGCAATACCATAAACCCGGAACGGAACAAACAGACCCCCGAGTCACGGGGGAACAACTATATTAGGAACTCAAGTAGCTACATGAATCGAACACATTTCACACCACTTTGCACAACGTATATACTAAGAATCTAGGACGAACCATACCCTTTTCCAGTGTATATAGTGCAACGTGTGAACCCTGTCCTTTCAACGTAGTTGATCGACAGGTGCTGAAAACCACTGACTTGTAGACATGTGCATGGGTTGGGTATAGGTCAAAATTCATACCCATACCCAACCCATCAGGGGTAAGGTAAACCCATACCCATACCCAACCCAACCCACGTGGGTATGGGTTGGGTATGGGTCCCATATGGGTATTTTTGATGCCTTAATGCCTGATTTTCGCCTCAACCTAAACTAAATTAGGGTAATTAGTGCCTTAGTGCCTAATTTTCGCCTCAATCTAGTACTAACTAGGTGACAAATATCACGTGAAATAAAAGTCTTGGCAAAAAGATGGGTTTATGGGCTGGGTGTGGGTTTTACTTCAAACCCATACCCAACCCATATGGGTTTTGGGTAAAATTTCTGACCCATACCCAGCCCATTGTGGGTTGGGTTGGGTTGGGTATGGGTTTACCCAACCCAATGAACATGTCTACTGACTTGCTCTTTGTCATATTGAATGAAACAATTAGGAATATAAACGTAGCGTTAAGGGGAAAGTTCATAGCTGTACAAGTCAAGTATAAGAGAACTAGCGGTAAAGCTTCACTCCTGATTCCTCCAAGAATCGCCATGAAATACATTACTGAATTATTGTTATTCAATAAATCTTATCTTCTAAGTAAAAGATAACAACTGATAACTTAGCTGTTGAAAATGGTGTTTGGTCCTTAGTGACTGCTGCCGTTCTTGGGTACTCATGCTTATGATTATTCCACTAAGGGAATAGCCAGTCTTTTCCTGGCCTACATCCAATATAAATGGTGTCATTAAAGTAGCGATCAATATCTGGAAGCTACCAGTCAAGTCGAATGGGATGAAGGTGCCAAAGATGATGAGTTCGATCGAAAGGCGCCCTTAGTAACGCGAGTCCGTAATAATTTGGTAATTCATGAAAGGGCCAGCTATCTGGTACAACCGTTCATACAAGGCCCACGAAGGGGTGAAGAAGTGGAATGCGTGCAGCATTCTAGAAATGCATGAGAAGATTATTCTACATATTTGGCCCAACCCAAGCTCATGATCATGTCTAGATCATAGTATGTCTACTATTCCAATCCGAAACATAGATCAGACACAATAATCATCCAGTTCAAACCACATATAAAAAACTTGTTCTTTCGCGACCCAAATGGTTGAAGCCTTAGAAATCGTCCGCTCTAGCGCATTGCTACGGTCTTTCAGAAGATAAACGACACCCACACCATTTGGCGTTCCAATCGCCGCGTAAAATTGGTCATCCTCGGGAGTCCAAGTTGTGACAAGTGGATTACCCGAGGTATCAGTGCCTAAGCGATTCATGGCAGAAACGGCTGTGAAAAGGGTACTATTAGTTTCCTCGTTAATAATCGCGTCTTGCAAGACGTATCGGAGCGAAGAGCTGTCAATCCTGGACATTCGACAAGCTAACTCCCAGATTGACCATATGACTGTAGACCAGCGATCAGGGGCCACTTCATCCTGCCTAGTGTTGGGATTGTAGGCCGAGGCAAATGAGTTTTTGGCAATTAGAACCCCGACTTGGGGGGCAATAAGTGTCCCATAGAATATCATTGTGTTCGTCCGAAGGCGTGCTAGTATCGAGGCAAAGATTGTTGAGCCAGAATCAATACCCATATTTTGGAGGCAGAATTTTTTATCATTGTCTTGAATTCGATATCTGCTGGGTTGAGAAAGAGTCCATCTCGTATTTATGTTGATGCCAATAGTATCAACAGAGTCGTCACCACGTAGGGTAGACTGAAGGTCTTTCCAATATCTTCGGCCTTTGGTGACGTATCCATCATAAGATTCTATAGCTCTTGAAGATTGAACGTGAGCCTCTGATAATTCGTTCACGAACAGATGCTCGGTCGAAGCAGAAAATGTAAAAAGGTAAAAAATCAAAAAAATATAGTGCTTCATTGTGGCTAATTCTGCAGTTCAGCTTTTGAGTATTAAATGAAAAGTGAAAAGACCCAAGAGAAAAGAGCAGCTTATTGAATGTTTTACTATATAGTGGGTTGTCATGATTGGTGGTATACTCCGTAGAAGGATGAATCCTCGCAATGAACCCTTAATATCTGCGATTCTGAAACTAAAACCACAAACCCCAATTTACATACCTAGGCCGAAAAGTGTAACGAGGAATTCAATGCCCTAAGGTATCACATTTAGACGTAGGTGTAGGCATGACCGGTAAAGTATTTTCAATAATCGATTTAATTAAATTACTTCCAGCCCGGTTATACTACGCCTCTGAAAGCCCCTTATTCCAGAAATGTCTTAAGTGGAGATCGTCATGAGTTTGCACTTTATTAAAGCATTATAAACTTATTTCTGATCTTTGCATCAAACTGGGTACATTCAAAAGAACAGTTCAAGCTGACGCATTGGACCACTCAGCTTATTGTAATTAATCAGTAAGATTAATTGTGAAGGGATATTGAGATACTGAACCAAAAGTTCATTACAATGTAATTCCTTTCCACATATATATTATTAGCAAGAGATTCGTAATATTAGATTAAAAATTTTATTATAAGTTGTAAAAGAATCCTATGATATCCTTAAGCCGTCTAGGACTAGCTACTATAAGAGTACTCCTAGATTTATAGACCCTCTTACTTAAGAGATAATATTTTAGGTCCCTCAATACTAATAGAAGAAAAAATTAGTTAATAAATTAATAGGTGATTATTATAACTCAACCTTTACACATTCATCCCCGCACGTTTCCCGCTAACCGCCTTTAGCTTCCGCCTTTGACTACACCTCGAAAGTTAGCATTTTGATATGCCAGAAGCCTATATCCTTCAGTGGAACCAATGTCATTTAATTGACAACATCCAGCGATGGCACCTCCACTCGTCAATTCCCCCGAACGCGTCGCAACCATTATGCTGTTATGGCACTCCCTCGAACTCGTTTCATGCAGTACCTTACAAACCTTGTGGGCCGGATATGGACGAATTTGTGAAATTACTGTTCGAGCAGCGACTGACAAAGCAGCTTGGAAACTTGACGAGCTTTGTGGGTTAGAATCGGGAGTTGCTGGAACCACATACCCTCTCGTACTGAAGCTCATATCGCCCCCAAGCATTCCCCGTAGCAATGCGGACGAGGGACACTTGCGGAAAATGCTGAGCTACGAGGTGGAGCAGTACTTTTATAGTGATGTGGCCCCGCTACTTGGCGACGACATTGCTGTTGCCAAGTGCCTTGCTTCAACGCGTGGCATAGATGGCGAGGACAACGAGGAACTCAGAGGTCTGATGGCTATGATTATGGTCGATCTACGTCCAAAGTTTCCTATAGCCGGAGGAAAGAGGAGCGCGCTGAACTACGCACAAGTTTGTGGGGCATTGGAATGGCTCGCCAAATTTCACGGCCGTTCATTAGAGTTGAAGCCGTACAACCTTGCTGAATATATATTGCCTCCCTTAGAAGAAAAAAGCACACGAAAAACTAGGGGCGGGATTTGGCTCAATGGAGGGTATACATATCTTTCGACACGGCGCAAAGAGTACACTTCTCTTGCCGAAGACGAATCAGAGTGGTCAGTAGCCCTGTGCAGCAGCACCTTTGAAGATTCTTCATTGTCTGTAGCCGAGATGGTTGCACAGTTCTTAACCCCACGTGGGAGGCCTATTGAGTCATATATCCATGGCGACGTCAAGTCGGAGAACCTCTTCACGACTACTAATGGAGAGAATGTGGTATTCTTTGATTTTCAATATGTCGGAATAGGCCTCGGGGTGTGTGATCTTGCGAAGCTATTCACGTGCTCTGTTCCTCTCCATATGCTTGTTGACTCATATGGGCCTTTGCCTGATCAACTGACGATGCGTGATGGCGAAAAGAAATTGCTTGAGCGGTACCGCGCCAGCATGATCCAGGATGAGAAATCGGGTCTTTACAACTGGGAAAACTTTGAACGCCATTGGGAGACAGCTCTGGTTGACTGGTGTCGGTTTCAAGCCTCCTGGGGCTTTTGGGGAAACACCGAATGGCTTGAGGCTCGTGTAAGATCAATCTTGAGCGATCAGAAGTGGAGAGACTGGCTGCAAGAAAACACAAGTAGTCAAAGCAGTTTATCAAACTAATCAGACCCGAAAGGAAACATAAATCAATAAAAGCAGGCACTATGCTTCCTCTGTCCACGATTCGAATATCCAGAATAGATATCCCGTACTCTTAAGGGGATTTTGCTATTCAATTAATATGTTGGGGTTTACTGGAATTTTAAAGTGATAGAATGACAGGAACGTATTGATTTTATTCCAAGACTGATTCTTAGGCCACCTATGAGCGTTTTCTGATCGTCACTATTCTTAATACTAGTCCTCGCTTTTCACGAGATCGCGAGGCATATTCGGAGAACTTGGACTTCAGACTTCTTTATCTATAACGTAATATCCCAAGGGAGATCATTATGGAAGCCTCGTTAGAATGCCTCGTATGAAACCAATGTTCTTAAGAAAAGCATTTAACTGTGATATACAGACATGCAACGGGCATTCTGGACATATCCGCAACATTAAGATGACATGTTTATTTTAAACTGTTATCGTGATAATTAATCCTTTGAGAGCCTAAAGTCTTATGAAGCAAGCTCCGTGAACTACTCCGTAATTAGAGACAGAGTTGCTACCTATGAAATGCAGTCGGCGAAAGATGAAAAGCGTACAATGAAAGGTGGAAAAGACCTACGACAATTCTAACGTAGTACAGAGTACTTTGAATAAAAATAATGGTACGTTCTATCAGCAGGCTTCTCAGGCTTCTCAGCCTTCGCATTGGCTATAATTTGAGGTTGCGAAAGGGAAATTCAAAACTGACACGACCTGGTTTCCTGCAGCATGGACCTCGGGACATTCAACGATCGAAAATACACATTGATTCACAAATTATATCGACTTTCGTAAACTGGGGCTTCTAAGTGATTTTCATTCTATTTGTAAATTTATCCTCCGTATGGTGATTTTAGTTCGCTAGCTGCAGTAAAGAGACAGCGGTATCGCCAATGCTGTCTTCTAGTGAACGGAAATTGATACCCAGGATGTTCCTGGTTTTCGAGTTGTCATAGCCATAGACAGTTTTAGGGAAATCTTCAATAGGATTCTTCGGGAGACGAGATGCTGCTAGCTCGGGTAGCCTTTGTCGAATGGCATCAACAATTCTCTTAGTCGAGCAGTAGCCCGCCGTAACGAAAAATCGGTTTCCACCAGCTTCAGGAATTTCTATTGCCTTAACGTGAGCCAAAGCCAAATCACGAACATCAACCCACAAGAGAGTTCCAGTGGGTGGAAGTTCATCTGCTGTGTGCTTGCCCTGGACAAATTCGCCGATTGTTTGGTTGGAAGTGTTGAGCCTGCTGAGGCCCTCAAGATGATGAACAACTGGACCGTACACCAGAGGTGGATTTATAGTAGCCAGGTCAAATCCAGGGTTCTCCTTCTCAATAAAGTCCCATGCCGCCTTTTCTGCGAACTTCTTCGAGCCACGGTAGGTTTTTGAACGCTCTGCTATGGCCTCATCCCAAGTTACTGGGTTCCACGATGTCTCGTCATAAACCTTCGGGGGAAGTCCGGATTGACGATTGCTGCAAATGAAGAAGTCACAACGACCCGCTTCACAGATGGTGCGTGAGCTTTGATTGCTTTGAGAATTCCTTTGGTTCCATTGACTGCTGGATTGAGCAAATCGAGTGGATCTGCAAATTTGTGATGAAAAGGGGAGGCTGTGTGAATTACGAATTCAAATGGAGGGTCATATTTGACGGCCTAGACAAATTAGAGGCTGATTTCAACGGCAGTGCCACTGCGATTCATATTGAAATGAACACACCTCGTCAAATGCTCCGTCTGCAGCGATATCCTCAACAATCACATATGATAATTTCTCTTGAGGTGTATTGGGATACGCCGCGAGAATCTTATCACCCTTTGCAGCAGACCGGACGGTAGTGACAACGAAATGACTGTCAAGGATGTGAATTAATAAACTGAAACCTCAATGCAATTGGCTTTACAAACCCTCGTTCGAGCAAGGCTTGCAGGATATGAGCGGCAATAAATCCACTGCCACCAGTCAGAAGAACTCTAGCCATTTCCACGTATAGTACAATTTACAAGTATCGTTTTGTAGAGTTGAAGGAAAGAAGAAATACAAGTGGCAGCACGCAATTACCCCACTTACTAACTTATCAGGTTTCCCCTCACAGAACTGGCCAATCGGAAGTATTTATATAGATTCCAGAATAATATCCCAATTTGGAAGAAACGTATCTACACACTAGCCGGCTTTGTCCCTTCGTTGGCCAATGTTGCCCATTAATACTAAACATCTAGGAATTTGGGACTTTCACAGGCAAGCTGTCTCTTTCTCAACCATACCTAGCTCCTCTTGAGAGAAAATAAGTGAATTGGATTTGGGTCCTCAGGAGGATGTAGTACGGCTTGGTACATACGGATGTTGCAATACAGGGGGCTAGCGCATGATCCGTCGTCTGGACTTCTGGATAATATGTGTTCTGTAGTTGACTCATAAAATTTCGAATTCCCAGTCGTCAAATTTTGGAAGTTGAAACTCGACCTCGGATATTTTGAAGTTGCGGGTGAAAGGAGGCTAGGCTAAATGGTTAAATAGCATACACCTGGGCAATCCAAATATCCATAGACCTCGGCAATCATCATCAATCAATCAATCAAAGTCTTCACTTGACCTTTATAAATTAGTATCACATTTCCAAGCTGATTTTCGGATACCGAAATTTAAGCTCAATAGGCTTAGTCATGTATGTCAACCTTGTTTCTTATCGCAGATAAAGCTGTATTTGCACTGTTTGTTCTTGAATATCAAGACCATCAGCATTGAAGTGTCAAGATATTATGATGAATTATGGTTTACCTGTTTCAAATTCAAATTCATTTTCCCTTGTCCTTCCCATTACACCAAAAATCTAACCGGCTGAGACGAACTAGACAGTGGAATTATACAGACAAGGTGTGTTACATAATCATCACATGTCCGCCTTTTTTTTTCCTTCTGTCAAACGTGAATATATTTTCTTTTCCTTGACTTACTCTGTTGATACCTGGAGCTTCTGAAATTCCCTTCATTTCTGTTATGCCTTCCTAAACCAATACAGGGCCCTTGGGTTCTTATCCTTGACCAGCTCCCCTCTTGCCAGATTTACTTTAGCTGCCCCGCCCTCATCGTTCCCTGCCTTCTGTTACATTCAGAATAGTCTTCATGGCTGAAGCTCCACCAATTATTTTCATCGCCAGGTAATTTGGCCAATTCTATCAAGATTACTCCATTCTGACTATCATAGACATGGTGCTCGCCTGGATGCCGCTGACAAGAGCTGGCATCTAACATCCCCTACCCCCTACAATCCTCCTCTTTCTTACGGTGGCTGGCTGCAATCTCGTGCACTGGGAGTGCGCATCGCAAGCTTGTTACGAGCACCAGAATATTCTGGCAGAGGATCCGAGAGCGAGCACGACCAATCCCAGACTCCAGACGTCCCGGCGAATGTACAACCCAAATCCATCCCCGCATTCTCGGACCTGTGCAACCGATATAATGTCATCATTCATACTTCCCCATACCTACGCTGTCTTCAAACAGCTATAGGTGTCAGTACTGGCTTAAGTCAGCACCTATCGGGTGCTGAACCGTTAGAACCATCAGACCAGACTGGCTCACCATCTGCCTCCGACGTTGCCCTTCCCCAATTAAAAACTCTCCTACGCGTTGACGCATTCCTGGGAGAGTGGCTGTCACCAGACTACTTTGAATTGATCACACCACCGCCAAACTCAGACCGAATGGTAGCGTTGGCCAAGGCAGAATTACTTCGTCGGGGTGAGACCATCCCAGCATCAGCAACGACAGGAGAGGGAGCGAGGACCATTTCAGGTCATTTTCCTGGCGGTTGGGGTACCCAGTCGAACCAAAACTCGCTAAACGAAGAAAAAGACGATCATCCTCTCTTTTCCCCGGATTCATCCAAAGTTCTAGGGAATCAGCGACAGCGGGCCAGTTCCTATACCATTCAGGTCCAGTCCCCGATCAGCCGCACCCCAAATACTCTCGGTCCCCTCAAAACCGATCTTCCCCCGGTAGTAGATGCTGCTTATGTGCCTCCCACTCCTGGATATGCTGTGTCTCCCTTGGATCCCATACCTTCCGGATATGTTTCCCATGCACGAGATGCTTGTACCAAGATTGATTACCAATGGGACAGCATGCGATCGCCGTTCTGGGGTACTGGTGGCGAGTTTGGAGAAGAGTGGGGCAAAATGCATGAACGTGTGGACAATGGTTTTAGACAGATGATCGACTGGTACCGTAAGCCCGTCCCGACGACTCCATCCGACCTAGAAGCTGTCGTCGATGACACAAAAGCTACGAAACGCCTTGCCCAAACTATTATTATTATCATAACTCATGGTGCCGACTGTAACGCCTTGATTAGTTCCCTGAGTGACCGATCTGTCCTACTTGATATCGGTACTGCTTCGCTTACAATGGCCGTGCGACGCGATCGATTAAAGAGTATAATCTCAGATTCGGACAAGATGTCAGGCTCGCGAGAGACGCAGAAGAACCCCACCGTCTCCCAGGAATATGTCTTGCAGTTGATAGCGTCTACCGACCACCTACGTTTAGGTGTCAATCCCTCTCAACTTCTTTCACTTTCATCTGCCTCTGGTTCGAGACCGCCGCCTGTGCCAGCTATCCCGTACTATCGCAATCGCTTGTCTTCTCGGGCATCCCCTCAAACGACGGGACCGATCTCAGGATCAGGAAATGGCCCTAGCAACTGGTCCATTTCTCCACGTTCATCGACCAGTACAGTACCTCCTCGGTCAGCCGGCGGTCTCTGGGGCTCTCTCTCCTCGCCAATCGAGCAAGATGATGATGAGGACGATGATTTCGTGCCCAACTTTGGGGGTCATCCTGTCAATCATCATGACAGAGCCTTTTCCACAGGAGCTGCTGACCGGCCAGGCTGGACAAAAAAGCTGCCACAACGTACCCCTTCTCAACGCGGCCTTTGGGGAGCTAACTCATCTTCGAGCCACGACGCACACTCAAGAAGGCGTTGGACATTAACGGAGCAAAAGATTTGATGGCTCTTGGATCTCTGTATTTTTCAAATTCTTGGATACCTTTCTTGCATGGCGCGGGTGTTGTCCATTTGGCTCAGTCGTTTTTTTTTATTTTTTATTTTTATTTTTTGGTTTTTCTTTATTTTTGCTGGACTTCAATGTAATTCTCAGGCATCAAGGCAGCACGGAACACGGGTTCCCCGGATTTTTTGTCCCACCTGGGCACATTCCGATAGTGTAAACACACGTCTCTCCTCTCCAAGACCCCTCTCCAAGACCCCTCTTCAAGACTCCTCATTCCGTCATATTCCCTATAATCCTCCATGTCGCCACTAGAATCCGACGGCTCTTCCGTCACTTTTGCGACCGAGCGTACTGGCCCCCCAGACTTGCGCTTATTGCACTACAACGACGTGTACCACGTTTCGTAAGACATTTATACCCCTCCATATTGATTTCGGCCAGCCCTGACTCCACCTTAAAGATCTGGGTCTGCTGAGCCCATAGGTGGCATTAGCCGATTCCAGTCTATTGTAAACTACTACCGCTCCGACCAGCGATTCGCTGATCAGCCCGATATTTTGACCTTTTTCTCCGGAGATGTTTTCAATCCTAGTATTGAAAGCACAGTCACAAAGGGCAAACATATGGTCCCCGTCCTCAACAATATTGGAACGGATGTGGCATGTGTTGGTGTAAGTACGGAGATTTAACGGATGCGAGAGCTAAACTACTGACGTAAACACTCGTTCTAGAACCATGATCTCGACTTCGGAGTCACCCAATTTCGGTACTTGGCTGGCCAATGTCACTTCCCCTGGCTACTCGCCAATGTCCTCGACCCGGGCCTAGGGGAAGACGTACCGATCGGTAATTGTGGGAAAACCTGTATACTAACTTCGTCAAACGGGCTAAAAATTGGCGTGATCGGCCTTGGAGAAAGGGAGTGGTGAGATAGTCCGATAGCGACCATTTCGGTCTTTCTATACGGTGTACTGTACTCACAAAGACCAGGCTTGGAACCATCAATACTCTCCCACCGAATTTGATCTACAAATCTGCCAGCCAAACCGCGCTGGAGCTGGCACCACAACTTCGAGAACAAGGAGCTTCTTTGGTGGTGGTCATATCCCACCAAAGAGAGCCCAATGACAACAAACTTGCTAAAAACTTGCCTCCCGGACTGGTAGACATTATACTTGGAGGCCATGACCATTATTATGCTCACAACATTATTAACGGTACTCATGTGCTGCGATCAGGAACCGACTTCCGGCAATTGAGCTATATCGAAGCTTTTCGCAAACAGGATGGCTCCTCTGGGTGGGACTTCAATATCATTAGGAGAGATGTTGTGCGCTCTATCCCCGAGGACCCTAATGCGGTTGCCCTGGTTGATCGAATCTGTTCTCGCCTTGAGGCAAAGTTGGATAAGCCAGTCGGGTACACGGTATGTTCTCTAGATGGAAGGTTCTCTACAGTCCGCCAACGCGAATCCAATCTGGGGAACTTCGTATGTGATCTGATGCGCCTACATTATGAAGCCGACTGTGCCTTGATGGCGGGTGGAACTATTCGTGCCGATCAGATCATTAAACCTGGAGTCATAAAGATGAAAGATCTATTAAGCTGCTTTCCCTTTGAAGATCCAGTAGTCCTTGTGCGAGTGAAAGGCCAGGCTCTACTAGACGCCCTTGAAAACGGCGTTAGTCAGCTTCCTGCGCTGGAGGGCAGATTTACGCAGGTATCTAACTTGTCATTTGGGTTTACGTTATCCAAGCCACCCGGATCTCGCATCACATTTGCGCGCCTTGGTGGTGAGCCGATTGACCTGCAGAAGGAGTATACTCTCTCCACGCGCGGGTATATGGCGCGTGGAAAGGATGGGTTCACATCATTGCTTGTGAAATCAGAGGGAGGAGAGGTCGATGAGCTTGTGAGTGAGGAAAATGGAGTCATGATCAGTACAATACTACGCCAGTACTTCTTGAGCTTGAAAGTTCTAGGCAAATGGCGTCGTTGGGGTATTGGTTTGAACCGCCACTGGAACTCCGTGCATCAGAACTTGCATTTAGATGGATGGCTCAAGCCCCCCTCGGTAAAATCCTCACCGGTCTTAGAGCAGGGACTGAGTCATCATTCAGCTTCACGGCCCGCCCTCCAGCAGATATCAGGACAGAATTACTACTATGGCCGCTTCCAGGAGGGCGAACTAAAGTCCGGAGCCAATTCTCCAGATAGGACGGCAAGCGATGAAGTGGACTCTGACTCCGACGAGGATCCTGAGATCCTATCATCGTCAACTTCGACAAATTACGTCACCCTTCCTGCCCGATCTTCAGCGGATGAGGATTACCGTCTACAGCTGGCACGACGTGTTGTTCGCAAGTGGATGCGTCATGCTGGTTTGAATCCTTCAGTAAACATCAAGATGGATGACGAAGTGGAATTTACTCCAGCATGGACTTCAGGCATTTGCCCCCGTCTTGAAGGTCGCATTATTGTAGAGGAGTAGGGAAGAAAAGAAGCCTCCGATTCACACCAGAATTCAATCTCGGTTTTTCCAAATATTAAACCCGAAATTTCAAGCCAGTGATGAATTGATTTTCTAATTGCTAATAAGATTCGTACGTGTCTGGATTGTAAAATTGGAAAATCAGGATATGTGCTCAGTATAACCTTGAAAATTCACTACTAAATTTGGCAAAATTGACAATATTCACCTCCTCACGAGGATTCATCTTCCTTCCCAAAACCACCGCCACCGGCAGTCATAATGATAATTCGATCATGAGTCTTCACCGAGACTGTATTCTTGCCGCCAATGTTGATCTTGCGTTCCTCGCCGGATTCCTCGTCCCTTGTCATCCATAAATTGAGACCTGGCTGTGCATCTTCGCCTCCCTCCAGTCCGTAAGGCCGGTACACTCGTCGCTCGGACAAAATAGAACATTGCATAGGGGCGAGGAACTCGATTTCACGCACCACACCCTCACCGCCGGGATTCTTACCGCGGCCACCAGAGCCCTCCCGTAAAGTAAATTGTCGTAGCAGAGTAGGATAGCGCTTTTCCAGAATTTCCGGATCAGTGATGCGTGTGTTGGTCATGTGGACCTGAACACCTGATTCGCCCTTCCAGGTTGAACCAGCACCACCACCACCGGCAATGGTCTCGTAGTATCCGAATCCGGGAGTAATGACAGCTCCAGTGGTGGGATCGACCTTGGCGTTGGTACCAAAGGTTAGGTTGTTGCAGCATCCCTGAGAGGCAGCACAGGCTCCGAAGGCCTTTAGTACCACGTCGGTGATGCGCTGAGAGGTCACCACATTGCCTCCAACAACAGCAGCTGTTTTAGAAGGAGATAGAATGCTTTGGCTAGGTACCTGGATGTCGATTGGAGCCAGACATCCCTGATTCAGAGGAACATCCGCATTTATCATGCATCGCAGACAGTAGATGATCGCAGAGTGGGTGATTGCGATAGGGGCATTCCAGCTACCATAAACTTCGGGACCAGTGCCTGCAAAGTCAAAGACAGCTGATCCATTCTCTCCATCGATGGTAACTTTGAGACATATCGGCGTGCCATCATCCATGTATTCAACAGCTTCCAGTGGTTTCCCATTGAACTTTTGATACAACATTTTCAAAAGGTTCCGAACGGCTGTTTCTGCTGTTGCTTGAATGGCGTACATGTACTTCTGAACTGCATCCACACCATATTCAGCGAAAAGGGTTTGGATTAGGGAGATACCACGGGAGTTGGCAGCAATCTGCGCCTTGAGATCAGAGAGGTTATCACTGACGCATCTAGCACCCTCGCATCCAGGGTACTGCGCTGGTTTGGTGACCAGCAATTCGATCAAGCGGGCCTCGTCTAAAACACCTTTGCTGACAATCTTATCACCTTCAATGGCAGCGCCTTCCTGCCATAGCTCAGTTGACTTAGGGGGCATGGAACCCGGTAAGATACCGCCGATATCCGCATGATGGCCACGAGAAGCGACATAGAACATGATTTCAGTGCCACCAGGACGGTCAAATACAGGGGTAATAACCTACGTACTTGTCAGTATAAAAGTCTGGTGATAAGGAGAATGGAAGAATTTCCTACTGTGATATCTGGAAGGTGAGTACCGCCGCAACTAGGGTGATTGGCGACAAGGACATCACCGTCTTTCAAGTCACCCAGCCACTTCTCGTGCTGATAGCGCACGGCGAACTGCATCGAACCCAAATGCACCGGTACATGTGGCGCATTGGCCACCAGACCTCCATCAGGGGAAAAAAGCGCACATGAGAAATCCAGCCTCTCCTTGATATTGGTTGAGACAGAAGTCTTTTGCAAAGTTCGGCCCATTTGTTCGGCAATTGACATGAAGCGATGGCCAAAAATACTCAGCCGAATTGGATCAATATGGGACGTAGCTTGAATGTCGATTGCGTTTTTTGTCGCCTTTTTCTGCAAATCGATGACGATGCAGGTTTCAAGGAAATTGGCCACAGTGTTAGGAGCAACGACAATAGTTTGAGTCTGATCAATAATGACAGCGGGTCCAGGAATTCGACTATGTTTCTCAAGCTTATCAAGAAGATAGACTGGAGTATTTATACGATTAGAGTAGCCATCAAAATAGGCTTCAGTGGTGCTGACAGGAGCAGTAGTAATATCATGCATGTTGGCATCTTTGAACTGTACAAGCGGACTGCGCTCTGTACGGATATTGGAAGATGCAATGGTACGTACTCGAATGTCATCAACAAGGACCGGACGCTCTGAGTTAAAGTTGAATTCGCGTAAGTGACGCTCACGGAACTTGGCCAAAAAGTCAGATGAGTCTTCAGGCATAAGAATCATAAGACTAGTATCGGAGCCTTCGTATCGCATGTTGAGATATTTCTCATGTCGCACTTGAGACGATGGGAACCCCTGAGCCTGCATCTCTTCCGTCGCTTTAGCAGCCATGTGATCGAATCTCTGGAGCAGTGTCGACTGGGATGATGCATACTGGGACGACACGGGTTCCTGGGACTCCTTGACAACCTCGGCCAAAGCAAGTCCGTATGCAGACAGGACGGAAGAGTACTTGTGGATGATAATGCGTGAGATGCCCAGCGAAGCAGCTACTGAACAGGCATGTTGACCACCAGCTCCTCCAAAGCAGGCGAGGTGATGGGAAGCAGTCTCAAAGCCACGAGCCTCGGTAAGATTACGGATCGGTCGAGCCATCGATTCATCGGCAACCTTGAGGAATCCGAGGGCCACCTCCTCGGGAGTATACTCGGGCTGGGATTTCTGTCGGCGCTGCAAGTTGATAGTATTCGTCAACTCTTCAAACTTCTGCGCAGTGATCTCGGTATCTAGTGGCTGGTTCTCATTGGGACCAAAGATATGAGGAAAGTACTGTGGTAATAATCGGCCGAGGAACAGATTGGCATCTGTCACAGTCAAGGGGCCACCCTTCCGATAGCAAGCAGGTCCAGGATGTGCGCTAGCAGATTCAGGTCCCGCATAAAAGAGACCATTGCGCCAAGTCAAGATAGAACCACCTCCAGCGGCGACAGTGTTTATATCAAGTTGAGGAGACTGGATTAGGACCCCGGCGACTTTAGATCCGAAGACGTGCTCCAAATGGCCATCATAACGAGATACCTATATAAAATATGTTAGAAATGACACTATTATTCTATGAGTGGTAGAAGGACGAAGTGGGTCATTACATCTGTTGAAGTACCGCCCATATCAAAACCAATGACAGGGATTTTCTCAACTGGGTCATAACTGGTGGCGGCAAAGCCAACCACTCCAGCAGCAGGTCCTGAAAGGATAGCTTTCAATCCACTGAATTTACGGAAGTCTACCAGACCACCGTCAGACTGCATAAATTCAAAGCGGCATTCATTCTGGCTTTCCAGTCCACCTTCAAAGCTGGAAGAAATAGAGTTAATGTAAGTTTTAATGATTGGAGTGAGGTAGGCGTCAGCAGATGCCGACATGCCACGAGGAACGATCTTTATCATAGGCTGTAATTTGGAAGACAGAGTGACTGAGAATCCCATCTGCTCTGCAAGCTCTCCTATCTGGAGTTCATGCTCCGGATACGCGAACGAATGGACAAGTGCTACGGAGAGGGACTGGTAGCCTTGCTGCTTGAGATGCAAAAGATCCAACCGCACCTGATCGAGATTCAATTCTTGAGCGATGCGGAATTTTTCATCCGTGACACCTTGAACAATTCGGGCATTGGCGAAGCATTGATCATCAGAGGCCGGATGACAAGGAATCACACGTTCCTCTACTTCAACCACGGCTTCAGGAAGTACGCCCGGTCGAGCCATGGAGAGATCAAATATAGCCGGGCGAGATTGATCACCAATCTTGAGTAGATCCCGAAATCCCTTGGTGGTGAGAAGGGCTGATCGAGCACCCTTACGTTCGAGCAATGCATTGGTCGCAACGGTCGTGCCCATCCGTAGACTGCCAATACTGTCAAGCTTGAGTGGCTTGCCACGAGGATGAGATTCTCCTGTTACAAGCTCAAGAATCTGACGGATGCCTTCTGTCGGAGCATCTTGATAATGTGAGGGATCTACTGAGAGAAGCTTCAAGATAATGTCTGAATGGCCAGGGACAATAGCATGGACGTCCGTAAATGTCCCACCTCTGTCAATAGAAATAGTAATTTTGCCAGGAGTTTCCATGGTTGGATATTGTGAGTGGGAGAGTAATGCGGCCATGAGTTCAAGATTCGTGATCACTAATATCAGTTGTATGGAGATCACGTGTCGGCCCGATGACGGTTTATCAGGATCATCGGGCCGACGATTCATAGATAAGGATGTCTTGGCAACGGTCTGCAATGTATGTATAACTTAGTACACAAGACTTTAAGTTACAACTAATTAACTACAAAATTGAACTACCGAAGGCCTCAAACACTGGAATCAATAAAATTGAAAGCTGTCTAGGTAATAATTACTAAATCAATGGCTTATTATGCATCTAGGTAGGTACACACGTTGGTAAATGATTTAGTAAACTATTTTCAATCTCCCATATTTATCGTTTCAAAGTATTTTCAATCCAGTCAGTGTCCATATCAATATCAATTTGATCCAATGCCCCCTCCCAAAGAGCAGGGTCATCATTGAGGTCAAATTGGAAGGATATGTCCTGAATAGAAGTCATTTCAGGTTGCTGTAATTCGGTTGAATCTGGAGCTGGTGAAGTTGTTTCATGAATCGCGGGGCAGACAGAGTGGTCATTCCCATGAACTGTGAGGTTCAGCGACGTCATGGGACTAGTCTTTCTCACAGGCTTGGGCCCGATTGCAGCCCACAGTTCTAGTAACAAGGAATGTCTTGAGCTGAGATAGACATTTCCCCGGTCAGCCATACTCCTGAGAAGACTGAGAGCGGTCTCCATGGCGCGTGTATTCGTTTCGTTGTGTGGAAATGCTGCATTCACCATCACGAGAAGTAGTGCAGCACTGAATACATACTCTCCGTCAAGATAGCCATATGTCGCTATTCCCAACGAGGATTAGAATAATTTATCTCCATAGCTGCAAAATTGATGCGGTGACATACCTATGAGATTCTGCTTTGCGGCCGCACTCATAATCATTGTCGTCGCACGAGCACTGGTGATACAGCTTTCAATTACTGCAATAGTATTTGACGTAAGGCCCTCTTTCCAGTCATCTTTGGAGGCTCCAGGTATATTTGCATCAAGCCGACGCTGAATGATATAAAAAACAAGAGGGCGTACAGTCATGTTAATGCAAGAATAGAAGTGGAGGTTAATTGACTAAGGATCCAATAATTAGAGATTAGGGAAAGAGCAAAGAGGAAAAGGGGGACATACCACAGTTTCACGGTTGATTTGAGTGTCAAGAGTGGTAAATTCGAAACGCAGGCCATCTGGAACCCGCCGAAGCCAGCTTGACAGGTCGTTAGTAATGCTCTGCACAGACATGATGAGATTGGATCCGGATCGGGGCTTCTTTCGGTAAATTTCTGGGAACATTGAGTCGGCCAGAGCATATATTGTTGTGGGGAAGCAAGATACTAACCTTCGCCGACTCGCCCCAAAATACGAGATAGCTGGGTATAATGAGTCAAGACAATTGCTGGCCAAGGATCGGAAGTTGATCCGTCCTAGAATTGAATACTTAGAACGGGTCGATTGGATACAAGAATTCGCAGGTTATTGAAACATACCAAGGTCGCCGGAAAGGTACCAATGTCCTCATCCTGAAGTGAAATCGGATTTCCAGATTTGACGGATAGTAGCCTGGGAAGAGAGTGAATACTTAGATAAGCACTGAAAACCCCTTTGGAAATTCTTCGGGGAATCGTACCGGTCTAAGCTATAAACTGACCACCATGCTTTTCTTCGGCGGTTTCGATTTGCCTCACTAATATCGAGGTCGGAAACCTCTTGATGAAGACCGAGAGAGATGGCCATACGAAGGGCAAGCCCAATCTAGGAATGTTAGCATTTTAGAACGTTTGGATTGGAGATTGAGCTCTCACGTAGAGGAAAGCAGCATCTCGCCGATTGAGATTCTGCATATAGTATGCCACATAACACAACACTTCCACAAACAAAATGGAGCCGTCTTCATGAATTTCTGGTAAGAAGCGGAGCGCATGCTTGAAATATTTAAAGCCTGGGGGCCCATCATCACCAGACCATTGATTTACAGAATACATCAAACCAAAAGCGATAACTAGTAGGACCTGACAATAGACCAGACATGCTTCGCTGTGAGAAAAGTCTGGTGGGTGGTGGTAGACCAAGTCTAGTCTCTTTTCGAAATGAACAGGATCGATCAAAGAGAATATTGTGCCGATGAAGGCATACTGTGTCCAAAAGAGCCTCTTGGCAAATTCATACGGGGGCAATTGTGGAAGGGAACCACCCACCGATCGTCGTAAAGATAAAGGGTCATCATAAAGTGGTCGCACATCCCACGCAAGATTGGATTGGCCTTGTGGATTGAGGCGCTTAGCCAAGTGGGTTGTTGACGATGCACCGACGAAATCTGACTAGATATTAGGATCAAAGTTGGAGGATGAAATCATGAAAATACATACGATGTTCCCCTGACCGATTGAGGAATAAATTATCGGTACCTTTATACCACCAGTCATCTCGTTCTAAAAGCACATCGTCTTCAGAGTTGTGAGTAGAGGGAGATGTCGTTGATGATACAAATGGCACAGTGGATGCGGCACCTGACGGAGCTGACTGACTGCTTGCTATGATAGTGAGCAATTTACTGCTGATATCTATTATCGAAGAATGTGGACATACATCTCGCAGCCCGTGCTTGTGATAGGAGATGGCGATAGTAGCTACGCAAAAGGTTAGGTATTTCTCTCAGATAGATGCCTCTAGGTTACAGACCTCTCAGTAATAGAAACACGCTTTTCAGGCTCTGAATAAACACACGTCAGACCGACATCTACACATGCTGCACAGGACAGAGGTGGGTTTCCAGCACATCTCTGCTTTCGAGTTCTGCAGCGATTGCATCTGAACTGATCAGCGCATCATCCAAGAGATATGAGATCACAAATGACAACATACGCTATCATAGATCGTTTATTACGATCATTTAGATGCTGTGAAGTGGGTTTATTATGGACCATTTCCAGATTTGGGAGTGAAAATAGTACTGAGGGGTAGAAGTTCTTTAACATCGCAACTCCACTTTCTTATCCGATAAACATTGACATCTCGGCCCGATAATAGTGGAACAACGAATAACCTTGGAGCATGAAATGGCCTTGAAAAATAAGACGGAGGGAGAGGTTTCCAAGGTTCCAACTGGTCCAAAATTATTACCGTTGTGTTATTTGATAGCCTTGGGACCAATACAGGGGAAAGACACCTGAACTATATGATCCCCGCACTAGAGCCCATCATAAATATACACAATACCTATAGGTACTCCACAGATGACGACATAAATGATCAATCGATAGATCGCCTGGATTAATTTCAACAATTGTGGATTACATACATATTTTCTATCAATTACGGTTTACCTTCGGCTACGGCTCCCAATATCCTCATCGAGCAACATATAGCGCATCAATTAGAGAATGCGGAATCCGTCAAGCGGAAACATGCGATCGGCTTTATCCCGGAAACCAGATTTCGATCGATACCAGACAGGTGGGGGTTTGTGATTCGCACTAGGTCAAGCTTAATGGACAAATGAAACCCAGCTGTAGGGGTTGGCAGTACCGGCATCTTGGATGAGACAGTTGTGGAAAAATTAGAAGCATTTTCTGCGCATGTCGTCCTCGGGACAGATATTTACCTAGATCTATTTGTACGGGCATCTGCTATCGATAATCACTCGTAGGTATTTTGAGAGGGCTGTGCTGAGCACTTATTGGTGTTCTCTCGAGCAAGGGATGCGCCGCACATGCCGATCGCCCTAAAGTAGTGGTCCGACGGGCTGAATCCAGCGAAACAGCTATTTATCGAAGCTTTAGTGGCGGGATTCCAGGATCAAGGCCCAGCTCCTAAGTGTATTGGCCCAACTTGCAGCGCATCGTGAGGATACACTGCTCTATTTTGCCATGGTCAAGAACAAAATCGCCAAGACGGCTGCTTTGGCAAAGATTGAGACGAGAGATATTTGTGTGGCGCACTTGTATTGTGATAATAATAAGCCAGAATCCCCGGGGGGGGTTAAAATGGCATTAATCCAAGAACCACTGCGTGAGGCTCGACAGCTAGGGCTTTTGTTAGCGAGTATGACCACCCGAGTTGGAGAAGGCAGTGCAAGGAATGCCGAGAGATCTAGACTGGCAATTGGCTACACAACGCCTGTAGAGCCCAGACTACTAAGGCCAAGTCCGGTGAGTTGATCATTCACGGTCACTATTGATTGGTGGAAGAATGGAAGGAATGGAAGGAATGACGACAGCGGGGAAATTGAATCAAGAAGAATATTAGGGCCCCACGTCTTATTGCGTTTATTTACCCTTGAATTGAACTCAGAACAGTGGGGTAAGAGGTCAAAGGGCAAAGAAATTGAATCCAACTTTTGAACGAATCATCAAAAAGAATAGTGAGAAGTACTTCATAGAGTGGTCTGGTCATAATTTGGCACGTGACCGCAGCTACCGGCTAGCCTGCCGAGTTGGTGGCGTTTTTGAGACTCGGATCGATTCTTATTTTTTCAACATTGAATATAGACTATGATACACTATCTTGTAGTTTACATTTTACATAAAAGTGAACCCATATCTGTTATCTCGTTGATCTACACTGGGTGCATTGGATTTCCTAGCCGGTCTACCCGGGCCGATCTCAAACTGCTTGCGGCGATGTTGTTGGATAGAATTTGAGTGGAGTAGCGTCGTACTCCACGTGTTGGAGAAGATGCGAGATTTTGTTAGTCAAGGAAATTTGAAATTTAACTCAGTCGTCAGTGACTTCACGCTGAAAAACAGTTCTTTTCTTGCTCGGAGTTCCCTGTCATCTTTACCTTATCTCTACCTTTTCCCCTCCCTACCCTGTCCAGACCTTTCATCATGAGATTTGACGATATATCTCATGGTCATGGTCATGAGACAAAGTTCATGGACCGTAATGACGAGAAATTATTCCCGGCACCGCCGTTCGATGGGGATATGGTAGGGGAAATGAGTGTGGCCGAACAGAATGTGTATGATCATGGTATCAAGCAGGCCAATCGATTGGGTTGGAAACGGTTGACAATCGTGTTGATCGTCGAAGCTATCGCGCTTGGTAGTCTGAGTATACCCTCAACCTTTGCCAAACTAGGTATGTGCTAAGTACTAATTTATAAAGACTTTTCAAGGCTATGGATATGCATAGCTAACTAAGCTCACTCCCAGGCATGGTTGCGGGCGTCATTTCTTCTGTAGGCATTGGCTTGATAGCTATCTACACTAGTTATATCGTCGGTCAGGTCAAAGTCATGTTCCCTGAAGTCGCAAACTATGCCGATGCCGGTCGTCTGATGTGGGGTCGCTTTGGTTATGAGCTTATCAACGCGATGCTCGCGCTTCAGTTGATCTTCCTGACTGGATCTCATTGTCTGACCGGAACGATCGCGTGGATGAACATTACCAAAAGCGACATCTGCTCTGTGATATTCTCTGTGGTGTCATCAATTATCCTCTTCTTTCTCGCCATCCCTCCCTTTTTTTCCGAACAGGCCATCCTAGGTTTTATCGATTTTGCATCGATTATTATTGCCATTGGAATCACCATCATTGGTACAGGAGTACAAGCTCATAACTCAACTGGTGGGCTCTCCGCTGTCGACTGGTCCGCATGGCCGCAGCCGGACATCACCTTCACTGATGCCTTCATTGCTATGTCAAACATCGTCTTCGCTTACAGTTTTGCCATGGCCCAATTCACCTTTATGGATGAAATGCACACGCCGAGGGATTTTCCTAAGTCAGTTTGGGTCTTAGGTTTGACTGAGATTTTTATCTATACCATCACTGGCGCTTTGATCTATGCATTTGTCGGCCAAGATGTCCAGAGTCCTGCCTTGACATCGGCCGGTGATCTCCTTGGACGTATCTCCTATGGAGTTGCGCTGCCAGTTATATTCATTAGCGGATCAATCAATACTGTAGTATTTGGTCGATTAGTCCATGGTCGCATTTTTGCCAACTCCAACATCCGCTTTATCAACACCAAGATGGGCTGGATTACTTGGATTTCTGTCGTTCTCGCCGCGACAATCATCGCTTTTGTTATCGCCGAGGTCATTCCCTTTTTCGATGATTTGCTGTCCATCTCATCGGCTCTTTTCATCTCGGGCTTCACCTTCTACTTTCCGGCGTGTATGTGGTTTCTCCTCCTCCGCGAAGGAAAGTGGACAGACCGCAAGAATATCATCCTGGCCATTGTCAATGGCTTTATCTTCCTCATCGGCATGTTGATTCTGGGCGCTGGTACCTATGCCAGCGTCGATGACATTGTAAGTCTCCCCAATTTCCTACACTTCTCTTTTTTAGCTCCACTCGTACTGACAGAGATGAACAGGTCCTTAAATACCAAAAGGGCACTGTACGTGGTGTTTTTACTTGTGCCGCCCCTAAGTAGACTGTAGAGTTGTTGGTTTAAGGGGGTGGCCCCAACGCATTCATTATTAGCATTGAATTCGTCAATCTTAAGGTTTCATTGCATATGTCATGATAGGCGTCTCTGTCTAGTTGACCAAGAGACTTTGTATATTTAGCATTTAGGGTACGTTTATATATATTTTTTTTTTCAACTGTTCCAGGAAGATGGGGATTCCAAGGTCCCAAGGTCAGTGGAAATCAGGTGATCTCAAGACTTCAGATGCCGGTAATAAGACGGGAATACTGAGCTTTTATCAAGATAAAGACTGTTTCAATCACCCCCATATTTAGTTATTCTAAGGCTCCTTCTCCTCAAATCTATCTGTCGGTACACCTGTACCAAGTGTGGAATAGATATTCGATAAAGGTGATGAGGCTAACGCCCACTTCTGACACCTATCACAGGTAACGCTTTACGCCCCTATGATATCTTTGTGTCCTCTTGAAGTGGTTGTAAAGTCTGGTTTTCATTATCTATTATAAAGTAACAATTTGATCACATGACTGCTTTGTTCCATATTCCAACAGTAAAGTATTTACTAGTAAATTGTGAGCGATGGATGTGAACCGTCATAGAAACCGGACATCCAAACAATGAAGTGCGCTAACTTTGTTAATCTCCCGTTGGAAGATCTTTTGGCTAAAGCCTAAGTATGCGGTTTGTGTCCTGTAGCACGACTCGTTACATAAATCATTCATTAAAGCCCTAGAAAATGGCATTATGCCATACAATCAGGATAACGGTATATATCAGCGGGATAATACTAAAATTCATACAGTAAAGAAAGCAGGAAGGTGGCTTGGAAGTTAGAAGATTCGTCTTGGAAAACGGCCTGCACGATCACCTGATATGAGCCCGATCGAATCATGCTGGTATCTTTTAAAGTGTAAATTAAGAAAGAAACACGTGGAAATAAGCCAAACTTTAGCTGGTTGAGCCTATTTTAAGGCTTGTGTGCGGATGCCATTCCACAGGCTCCGTTTTGGAAAATATGTTACCGGACGGTTGGAATTGGACCCACCACCCTAAATATATATATATATATATATATATGATAACTTCAACCAATGATATTTTGACCATATTTATAGATATAGCCATATAATCTACTATTACATACGTTAATGATAGGAAAATAAAATTTCACCCAGGATTAGTATAATATCTCCTAGCTTTACGTACAGCAGCTAATCTGCGTAGCACCCTAATTAAGATGTCGATCGTAGTTACTACACTAGGCCAAATTAAGATGATCATCACATCCTAACTAGATTGGACTAGTTTTACGCCAACGGTTATTCAAAGACTCTACATCTGTAAACTCAGCCCCTTTCCCTTGATGTTCCCCGCAATTAGGTGAATGAGTTGAAGTTACATATGAAAGACATGTCGATCCTATGATCAGCTGAGACATGCTTATATTAGAAATGATCGACAGGGACTCCACGTTTAATCAACTAGATTCCGGAAGCTTCCATCCATCCATACTTCCATGTGAGGTCACCGTTATTTGCATGTCTTATTGCCATTGAATCTTTTAGTAGATGAATATTTATGATGAAATAGTTACTGATATTTTTCGGAATTTAGAAGTCTTCAATGTTGAAGCATGAAAGTCTACCTAAATTAAAGATAGAACTACCCAGGCTCCGCCGTAGATGCATTCTCCTTTTTTGCCACAAAAGTTGTTCTAGCTCCAGCGGTTTAAGGCAACCTTCATTAATTGCAACGGTGTCTGTGCTCTGAAACAATATACATACTTAGTATGCTATGAGGAGCCTCGAAAAGAAGTCAATAAGGATAACTAATGTTTTTGTATCAAATGGACCCACAGCCCTAAACATCATGATTTTAAAGTCATCACCGTAATTTTAGCTGACTATGCATTGTAAGACATTGGGCAGTTATGCAAATTGATCTACATCGGCCAAAAAACTATAAAGACAGCCAAATGCTCTGTTACATATTTTTTCTCATCCAGAAATCAATTTACACTATCTCCTACTATTTACCACAAATCTTTCTTCAAGCATCCTTCTTTGCAAAATCATCATGCAGTTCAAGAACATTATCGTTGCCACCACTCTCGCAGCTAGCGCCGTTGCTCTGCCAGCTACCGCCAGTGGAAAAACCGCTTTCAATGTCGTGGCCATTGATTCAGGCTCAGCTGTGCAGTACAAATCGTTCGGTGCGACCAAGGGCAGCCTTCTCGCTGGTCTGACTACCCAGAACGCCACTTGTGAGGGATCGGTTGATAACATCAACTCCGCCACCTTCTACATCGATAATGGTGCTCTGTATCTGTACAATGATGGCAATTCCGCTGCCCAGAAGTTTTACGTCGACAGTTCTGGAATGGGTAGGTTGAATTGTGTTCCATCCATTCTAGTTGAATTGAAACTAATTTAAGCATCAATAAATAGGCCAGGGTATTATCAAATACACTTCTGACAGTGATGAGGTCTCCTCTAATGGAGAACTCACCGGCTGGGCTATCTCTGAGTCATACTTGCAGTTTGGTGGAAAGGATTTGATTGCTTGCCCAAACAGTATTGAAGGCTCTTGGTCTATCTGGGCAGATGCTGGAGTCTCAAACCCAGGACAGAACAAGGATTGTGTCGGTAAGTTATTACTTCCACTCTAAATTTATTATAAAGTCCTGTTCTCTCTGACCGACTACTAAACAGGTATTGTTGCCCGTGTTGGCACCAACTCCAACCCAAACAGCTGTGTTTACACTGAGTAGAGCCTTGGAATGGTTCCCTCAAGAGCTTCTGACTACAGGCAAGTCACTTGCGAGACGGCAACTGAAACTACCTTGATCATGTGAAGATTTCTCTGTCTCTTTCTTTTTCTCTCTCGCTGTTCATTTCAATACATTAATTTTAATTACTGTAATCCAAGTGACAAATTTATATCTTTTTGATTTGCTAGACCATGTTTTGATATCTACCACCCTCAGCTCCTTTCCCAAGTAGCCATCCTCTTAGAATTTGGAGGCGTCAGTAACGGTGGTAATAACACCATCAAGGACAGATTCCAAAGCAGCAAGGTCGATAACGGCAGGGTCGGTGACGGCAGGGTCAGGGCCATTGACGTCAGAGGTAACAACGGCAGATGTAGCAATAATGGTATCAGCACGGGGAGTATCTTCACTACGGCGCGGAACATCATCAGGAAGGCCAAGTAACTCCATGTACTCGTTGATTCTAGCACGAAGAGCTTCTCATTTGAGACAGATTAACTTGTGGTCCCAATCAGCTAGGCGCGGTGGGCAACAACATACCTCGACTCGACTGACTGCTGTCACAGGTGTCGCAAACCATTTTTTGTGAGTAATTAAAAGGTCACGGATGTGGCGTGTTTCCTTTGAAGAGAAAAACTAGGGAGGTGAGAATAGAAGAAACAAATGAAGAGAGGGAAATGGGCATGAAGATGCATGCAGACTGTTGAGACTTTAAGGCTCCTCATTTAATCAAAGCTGCTATTATTCAATCATGTATACCATTGCTGTTACCAGTCACTTCTTCATTTCCCTCAACGTTCATCATTTCTATGAGTCTCACTCTAATTCTCAGTTTCGTTTCATTTATGATACTTCCTATAGTGTTTGTTCCTTCATATCTGCTTTTTCAGGTATAATACACTCTATCTCTCTATTCACTCATTCCAATCTTCTATCTACTTTTCCATCCCCTCTTCTTTCTTTTTTTTCTTTCTCTATCTTCGGTGTTTGATGAAACTCCTTGTTCTGATTTACTGCTCCGGGCTTACTACAATCTCAAAGCACGCTGGCGACGATGATCCGGACAGTAACAGCTCTCTATCAGCCCTGAGTGGCCCAGCTCGTATGACACGACAAAAGTGCGCTCCACTCAGGTGGAAGTGCATGGATCTTGGCCTTCTGACTCAGGGCTTCTGTTAATCGACATCGACAAAACTTAAGCTGAATCAAGCCCTATCAGCGGGTGATGTCGCCGCCAATATAGTGCGATTGAACAAATAGCTTGTCAAGACAGGACTGGGGAACTTCAAGCTTCATTCCAAAGCACTCTGACAAAAGTGAGTTATATTTCGCTTCTAAATAGGACCATTACTTAATTAGTTAATAGATACGAACCACAACCTCTAGCCTGGACTTCTTCTTTGGTTGGATCCAGTTCCGGTTATTATGCACACATCAATCAGCAGTAGAACCCTATTTGGCTACAGACTGCCATATAGCCTACTAATACACGTTATTTTGGACGGCTTTGTTCAGATTCCTACACCGAAAAAGAGACATAAGAAATTTGTACTGCTTCATTCGATATTACCAATCGCTGACCATCCACTGTGAACACCATCACCAGGGATAATTCGGAAGTTAAATTGTCATGTCGACTATAGTGACGGTGGTATTTGCAAATTGCGTAGCGCGATGCCCCTGTCCCTCTCACGCGTGCTTATATTTCAAGGCCTTGGCATGACTTCCCCTCCCCTTTACCAGTAGCCGGTACCACTCGTATTGCAGCCAGGAGGTATAAGTCACCGGAATCAACTGTATCCATTATTACTAATGTTGACGATGGGTTTGCGGTGATGGAGTTCGCCGGACCCGACGAAAGCGATTTCATCGTCACTATCCAAGAGTTACTAGTGACTTGCCAGGACTGGGCTGTTGTTTCTGATAATATTACCATGAATATGTCACTTAAATAGTAACACACATCATCATTTACTGTGTATATCTGCCAAACCACAAATTGTCCCTCTTGGGGGCCGGGGTCTAACTGTGTGAGCCAGGGACTCAGGGGTCGAGGAGCAGTGGGTCTCAATTTCAACCTTCAAATGTTGAAATTCAGCCTTTCTTTTTACAAGGTCCACAGTAGATAAACAACTCTCTAGCCTTGACCTTACCCAATTCGGGCAAGCTCTGGAGGATGGATGGACCTTCCTAATTAGGTTAATCAGCTTATCGCTTATCGCTTAGCGCTTCATTCCCACTCACGACATTGCCTTATGGAGTAAAGGTAAGCTGTGCTTTGCCAGGGCCTATTACCTAAAGTCCTAGACTTTGAATATGAACAAGGCGTCAAATGATTCAAAGCTCAGGGTAACCCCAATTCCACTCAGTAAGGCAGAACGAGGATGTTGGACATGCAAAAGTACGTTGGTCCCACCCCAATTAAGACTCGCGTAGGCTGATCTATGGCTTCTCTTTGGAGCATAGGGCGTAAGATTTGGTGTGATAGAACTTCATTTCCATGCAAAAATTGCCAACGCAGTGAAAGGGAGTGTCTTGGCTATGGACTACGTCTGGTTTGGCCGGATAAGCCAGACAAAAGGAGAAGGCATGCGCCCTATGAATCATCTATAACTCCTAGTCAATTTTCTCGTCAATCTTTAATTCGGTTGAAGTTCTCTGGGCTGCAACTGATCAACACAACTTTTGATGATCTACGGCAACATTACTGGCCCAATGTCAATAATATAATCGATCGCACCACCGCCCAATGCCTTTTCATTCGGCCTTCTACGTTCCCAAATTTTCTCGGCGATGAGACAAGCCTTCTACAATACTGTGAGTATACTGATATACACAGCTATGGCAGGCTGCACAAACTTTCCTATTCACTTCCCGCTAATGTTCTGACTTACCAGACGAGGACCGAATATCACGCATGATATCAACAATCGACACGAGCAATGGGTTTCGCTCCGAAATTATTCCGATGGCTCTTGCATCTGTTGGTCATGCTTCAGAGGCTTTACGTAACGCCATTCTTGCTGTATCGGCTTTTCATAAATGCGGAGCCACAGCTGCCCTGCCGTTTAAGGCTAAGGCTGTGCGCTCTCTCGCATCATCGCTATCATACGAAAACGCCAGTGATGAGGCAGCTTTAAACTCACAGCTGGCTGCATCGATGATGCTTTGTGTTTACAGTGTATGAGTATTTTCCTCCATTCCTCAATGTATGGAGTCAGATATCTAACGATGAAATGCAGGTCTTCGACGAAACAGAGGGAAACTGGCACTCGTATTTAAACGGCGCCAGGACAATGTCTCTCCATATAAATGATACTTTCAAGGGAAAACTATGCTCTCAGTTTCTTCATACGTGGTTGACCTACCACGAAGTCCTCGGTGCTTTCAGTCGACCCTCTGAGATTATCAAACACAACTCGTCTTCTATTGATCTTCTCAAAGATGACAATTATGATGACTCTATTGTGTGTTTATTTGCAATAGCTACTGTATCACTCCAGCTGACTCTTATTCTTAGGTTATTGGATCACTCGGATGCTCTCTCGGAGTATTGGACGCAATTCACAGCCTGAATAAAATGCGCTGCACTATTACCACAGAAACTCTCGATATGGCCGAAATATTTAATTTAGAGCGAAAACTGATATGCATGAAGCAGTCCTTGGATCCGATAGACAGCCTGATAGTTCAGAATGTCAATACTGAGCAACATAGCAGGATATGGTGTACCGCAGAGCTATACCGTCTCGCAGCCTTGTTATATCACCAACGAGTTTGTGCACTCTATTTGAAAAGACACGAAGAGAGAACTTCTTATCTTCAGCAAGCGTTTCAAATACTAAGCAGCCTCAAAGTCTGCACCAGTCCGTGGCCTTTATTTGTCATTGCTTCTGAAGCGGAGAACGACGATCAAAGATTGATAATCCTTCACACGCTGGACCGCATGGACGAGGCACGCAAAATTGGCAATGTCTTTGTCCTCAGAAATATTATACAATCATTCTGGAAGCAAGTCGACTTGGCTGCAGGATGTGTAAAGGGGAGTAAGGAATCTAGTCGTCTGAACTGGTGGGATATTTTATTTCTGGATTCAAAAACTGCAGTCCCATGGTTTATTTGACAAAATTAACTTAATATGAACTACTTCATTATAGTTACATGCTTAGCCTCCTTAGGGTTCACCAGTAGACTGAGTAGATCTGGTCGAGCATAGTGGCCCACAACATCAATAAATGCCTTAGGATAGTCAATGTCTCGAAGGTCAACGTTCGCCGTTAGAATCGCCTCGGCCCCTGCATCAATTGGCTCGCAAAGAGGCTTTCCATCAGGGCCAAAAATCATGGAGAATCCTCCACCAGGCGTCTTGGTGACTGGATTTCCAGTCAGATTATTCTTCTCGAGGTTTTTCTCGGTCAAGATCTGAGAAGCTACTAGCACAAAGCACTGGCCTTCAATTGCCATAAACTGACTCGCTCGATAACTCGCCTCTCCGGTCTCATGGTAGAGCCAGCTAATCTTGGCCGGGTCTGGCATTTCAAATTCAGCCGGCCAGCTTGCAACGTGGATCTGTACTCCTTGCGAGTATTCGTTGTACCTGAGAAGTGGCTGGAGATGCTCCCAGCAGTTAAGACCGCCGATTTTACCAAAGGGGGAGTCAGCCACACACTGGAGCGATTCAGCTTGGCCATCGCCCCAGATGGTACGTTCGATATGTGTCGGCTTGATCTTGCGGCGATGATTGACGATTTCTCCCTCGGGCGAGATAAATGACTGTGCCATATACAAGCTGCCACCTTCTCGCTCGCTATACCCAAGGACAACAAACATGCCGGCTTTCTTCACTGCGGCTTGGATACGGCGCATTTGTTCTGAATCCCGTTCCATTGAGTTTGCCATGTAGTCGTGAATAATGTGTCCATTGCTGATAACTGGAGCTGTCCACATACTCCTAGACCCAGAAGGTTGTTAAAATATGATATTCAATTATTCAATGAGGGGATCTTACCAAGGATATCCAGGAATCCATACCTCGGGAAACCCAAGTACTTGGACCCCGTCCGAGGCTGCCTCCTCGATGAGGCCAATAGTTTTGTCAACACTGCCGTTCAGATCAAGCCAGACTGGCTCTGCTTGAACAGCTCCTACGCGAACAATTTTGGACGGATTCATCTTCAGGTTGGTAGTGGGTTGGTGTACTGCAATACAGACACTGCAATACAGACCTCGAGACTCTCATTAAATAGAACAGAAAATGTGGGACTACTTCGCATGTACTTTCTAGATTCACTTATCAATGGTATCATTGATCGCAAAGTGCTTCCCATCTTTTGCATCGATCGCAAACTAATGCCTTTCGAGGGAAGAGTGGAGACAAGTGGGGTTGTTAGCGCTTGTTCTGGAATAGAGCTTATCTCTTGTAATCCTGCGTGGCAATCATATTATATACAAAGTAGATCTGAAAGGGTCATTTCAAATACTCCGTACAGGGAATTGACTTCTTTTTCGCGGTAGCGTGCATCGATATATCGGAGATCTTACCCCATTTACACAGGTCCTATACTATATACTCCTGAGGCCATCACCACATCAACACATAATATCTGGTTCTTAAGGTTATTTCGTACGACGTGAATAAACATACTATTTATAGACTTAAAATATTATTGCACTCCGACTGCGCGTGCCCCTTGCAGATTGACCACACGGCCTCCTCCGCCGAAAGCCGCACCCATAATACTCGGTGGAGGAGGTTGAACCCATCCAGGAACACTCTCATTCTCTTTTTCTCTAGCCGATATCGTCATCCAAACATTGGGGAATCCGGTGGGCAGTGCACCCCGCGACCGAGCACCGGGTATGGCGAACCGAGCATTTCTATGAGTTAGATAGCCCCAGATCAGCCCCTGGGTAAGCAAAGAGGCGAGAATGGATTCAATTTCAGACATGAGGAGTTCTGACTCCCCCAAGCTATGGGCATATGGATTGAATTCACATCCTTCATAATCTGGTCTGGGGTTGGATTCAACCAGATGTCCGGACATGTTTTTCTGCCACTGTCCAACTGCGTTGAAAGTGCCATCTGGAGCGAGAAAATCTCCGTAGGTTTGCATTATGCTACCCTCAACGTCCTCACGAGACTGACCGTCACTTTCTATCGTCCCAGTATAGTCAGGGTCTGAGGGCTGGTAAATAGTCTGCGCGCCGTAGGATGGAGATAGAAGCGACGTGTCATTTGTGTTCGATATATTGTGTCGTACTTTGAGCCATTGGGTGGCTGCAACAAGTTGTTGGAGATAAATGAAAGGCGGAGGACCACGCTGCGCCTGCGCCTGCGGGTCGATATTGAAACCACCAAGAACGAAAACCTTGCGACAAAAGGCGCGCCACACCAAAATTTCACATCGGTTACGTAGAGTCAACAGAATCCCCTTCCGTGAAAACCACTGTGCAGCCGGAGAGCTCAGAGAGAGGTGTTCTCGAAATGCAAGGTAATCTCCGCGGATGATCAAGCGGCATACCGGCTCAAAATGCACCGACAGTCCTTGAGCTTCTGGTCGCTGGAGTAATGCCTGGGATGGAAATCTTCCCATCACGATATTGCACGGGATGAGGTATGAGAGGATCAGACGTCGTTGATTCAGTGCCAGACCATGGCATTGGTTGTAGGCCGCCTGCAGGGCAATAGCGGCAGGATAAAAGAGGTTGTTGGAGAAAAGATAGCGTCCAAGGTAGTAGAGGTAGGTGACTCGTTGCGAAGCAGGGAAGTGAACCAGGGGAGGGGACTGGGCACTGATACTGGCGAACATTTGCTCAGCGTTGCGCAGTTTCCCACACTGGAATAAAATTTAGATGAGTTCGGTGAAAATTATCAAGGGACTGAGTGACAAACCTGGAAAAGTAACTTCAAACACAAGTTTGCTAAAAGGTAAATTCCAATCCGTTTGCCCTCTGGCTTCCCATGAATACCCACAGAGCCGCTGCGATCCGTCAAGCACTTAATGAAGGCCTCACGTACCACATTGGCTGACTGCTCTACCAATGTGACTTTTTCCACGTTTTCCTGATCTATAGCACTCCCCATATGTAGAAGGTGCGCGATCAACTCGGGCCGCCGGTCGAGTCCCATTGCCAATTTTGCGAGTACCTTTGAAAGGTGAAGGACGGTGGGTAAAACGATGACTCCCATCTGGCTATCTCCAAGAGACAATACACATTGACTATAGCTAATTAGCCCCCTCCTTCAATATACTGCTTTCATTTTTACTTACTTCACCAACACTTTCAGCAGGTTGTATGTCTCGAGCAAGTTTTCCACATTGACATCGCGCAAGAACGTGAAGTAGAGTTTCATGAAAGTCTGAAAAGACAGCCATGGGGAAGCATTCTTGGGGTGTGGAATAAGGGCTTCGCATCGCTTCAGTAAGTCATTGTCGCTCTGAGGCCCGGGTGGGTATTGTTGGCGCAGTTCCAGGATCATTCGATTGTAAATTTCTGAGAGAGGGGGTTCAATTTGGAGAAAGTCCTGTAGCTTGGTGCCATCTCGGCTCCGAATAATCGCAGCGACACCGGCAATGAATTCATCTAAGACTGGGGTTTGAGTCGCCATGTCTAGAATCTAGAAAATGAGCAGATCAAACGTTTAAGTGAAGGCACAGCATTCAACCATAGTGTAAGGTTGTTCAAGCGCATCCAGGTAGCTACGCTGGCAAGTACATACTGGAGTTCGAAATTGAAAGAAGTGAAAGTGGAACTCAGAGTTGGACCTGTGATTATGGAGATCAGGCGGCAGAATAAAAGAGCCCCTCACCGCCTCTGTTCTGTTGTCTTCATTCAACATTTACATATTAATCTTGATTTTTGGATGACTATTGAATGTCTTTGAAACTGTTACCTACTCATGGAGTCACGGTAGGATTGCAATCTTCAAATGGCACCTAGGTATGATCTTGCCTAGTAATATACGGCTTGAGCAATCGTACTACCTATAGCTAGCTCTTCCCTGCCCAGGTGCAACGTTGAAATCTGCTTTCTGGCGGAGATCTTGAAGACTCCCTAGCATAATCAGATTGACATCCGCGATACCGCACACAGTTCCAACTTCCAAGGTTCGTAGTATCGGGTCGCCAATCGGATAATTATTTTCATGCATTATACAGTCCGGATGGAGTATAGGGCTTAGATCCCCTTGCCCAGATCCACGAGTGGAACTAACTAATTAGCTAGTCTGATTTATGTCATGTTAGATCCAGATTAATAGTAATTCCAAGGCAATTCTCAATTTCCAAATATCAAATCCAGATCTAACGATGACGGTTTGTGGAGACTAGAGTGACATGATGTCATCGTCCTATCACATGGAAATCGAGTATCTATACATAAGAACTACTTCCTTCTCCAGACATTCTTCTTTTTTCATTCTTCCATCATGGCTCAACCACCTATCTTGGCCCTCTTCTGGCACCCATTTGTCACAATCTTTACCTGGTCTTATCGAATCTTACAAGCACTGCTGTCATACATATTCTCACCCGTTCCACCACCTCCATCAACGAATAATCCCGATATTCCCCGCAAAAGGGTTGCAGTAATTGGTGCTGGTTTGACCGGCATCTCCTCAGCTGCCCACCTTGTTGGTCATGGCTTTGATGTGCAGATCTTCGAATCTAGAACTCAAGACCAAGGTCTGGGCGGAATCTGGAGCGTAAGTGCTATGCTTTCTCCGAGATGTTAACCATGATACTGATTTATTTCAGCGAGTCAATTCCACTTCTGGACTCCAAGTTCATAGTCTTATGTACCGGTTCCATCCCTCAGTCCACTACAACAGTGCCTATCCTACACAAGCACAGATTCAAGAGCAGGTAGTTCAGCTCTGGAAACGATATGATCTGGAGAGACGCACCGTCTTTGAGACTCCTGTGAGTTCCGTTGAGAAAACAAAGAATGGCAAATGGGTCATCAACGATGATGAAGGCCAGTTCGGTCGGTTCGACGGTGTCTTGGCGGCTGTTGGTGTCTGTGGAGATCCAAAGAAGCCTCCCTTACCAGAACAGGAGAAATTCAAGGGTCAGATCTATCATTCGTCCAATCTGGACGGCAAAGAGGTGACAGGCAAGAAAGTCTTGATAGTGGGAGGTGGTGCGAGTGCCATTGAGGCTCTAGAGTTTGCCGTCAAATCTGGCGCGGGAGAGATCGATGTTTTGTCGCGGTCCGACAAGTGGATTATCCCACGTAACGTTCTAGTTCAATCGTTACTAGCTTGCAATATCTTTGGCCAGGAAACTGCGCTTTCCTGGATCCCAGAGGGACTACTACGCAAGTTCTTCTACCGTGATCTCCAGGATATTTCTCCCGTCAGCGATGGCATCTTTACTGAAACTCCCATGGCTAATTCCGAGCTATTTGAGCAAATTCGGGCTGGAAAAGCCCATTGGTTGCGGGGCGATATTGTCTCAGTCGAAGATCATGGCGTGATTTTCAACCACCGAGCTCAAGGAGTACCCAAGGGAGGTCCTGGCAATGAAAAGCTAGTGGAAGCAGACGTAATTGTCATGGCAACTGGATTCAAGCGACCTTCTCTTAAATTCCTCCCAGAGGAGGCCTTTGAAGAGCCGTACAGTCCGCCCAATTGGTACCTTCAGGTCTTCCCACCCAAGTACCCTGACATCTGTGCGAACAACAGCACATACGTCGATGCCATCGGAACGGTTGGAAATATGCACATAGGTATCTACACTCGGTTCTTAATCATGTTCATCACCGACCCCTTGGCCTGCCCCACGGAAGAGCGGATGAAGACATGGATCGATTTCACTCGGCTCATGAAGAAGATGGCGCCTACCAAAGCCTTTGAATTTTTCACCTATTCCGAGTTGATTTACTGGTACATTTTCGTCATTGCTGTCAATCCTTTCCGCTGGAAGTGGGCTCTATTCGTCATATTTGGCATTGGTCGATCCTTGCCCTTGATGGTGGTTGAGCAAGAGAATTCATTCCGCAGCGAGCTTCTTAAGCAGCGCAAGACTAACTAAACCGCGCGGTGGATATTTGACGAGAAGTTTGGGTAAGCAGATGTGAGTGTGGTAGATAACATGAACCCATGATGCTCACGATCGTCAATATATCTCGCTCGTAATAACAGTAGCGATGGATTTTATGAACTAAACTATTAAAAAAAATTGAATATCTCTTTGTGGCTGCAGTGTGCAGTTAATGATAGGAGCCTTCTCTCAAGGTTTATTTCAATCCTTCTTAATCTCTGGAACGCTGTTTCCAATATCACAGGCCAAATTCCCTCGAGAAATGAAAGCAGGCAGATAATTATTCTCCTCCAGCCAAAGAATAGGCCAAAACAAAGTGACGCCAAAGAGACAAAACAAGGAAGCGATCAATTGCCAGCCCAGAACCAACCAATGACCCACATGCGGCAGGAGGAACTTGACAAACTCGGATGTTTGATATAGATCTTGCTGCTTCGTGATGTAGTACAGTGTATTATCGCCATTAGTTGGAGCGTCACTGTGAGAGGCGTCGCTGTGAGAGGGATCGGTCGTGAGATTCAACACAGTCGTAAGAGACACGGGTGCAACGTGGAACGGAACGAGCCAGATAGAAAATACTTGAGACATGTCGACGTATAGCTTGAGGTTATTCTCATCAAAAGCTAGATATCTCGTTAGTCCTACGAAGTATCAGAAAAAGAATGACGTTGCTCACCAACTGAATGAATTTCCAACTCAATCCGTGGTGACATGATCTTGTACCATTGGAAGATCTTCATGATGTACCATCGACTTCCCTCGAAGCTGGGAACTCGACAGAAAGGATGAATGAATTCGGCATTGCGAGTGAAAAAACGGTCTAAGGCTTTGTCTTGTAACGAGGGCGTGGATTGGGTGAGCAGACGAATCACCACCGGGATTTCATTTACTGAGATCCTATTTAGTAATTGGTCAATGATGAGATGATTCGAAGAGTATATACCTGGGTTCTCCATAATCAACAACGATTCAAGATGAAGTTAAGGAAGAACAGTGGATATCAACTTTGAACTGCTTTTGCTAGATTGTTGGTCAATGACATCATACCTTTTCACATGTCAAAATTTGAACAATTAGGGCTTGATTCTATTTTAAGTAGACTATCAGCTACATAGTAACTCGTTCGTTCAAGGTGATCTTAGATAGTTATGCATGATAAGATCTCATACTGCAGGTCGATGCATTTCAGAGATATGCATAGATTCTCTTGACTATAAGCCACATTTTGTCCATGCCAACTCCGATCCAATTTTCCAACCGTAAATAAAATTCGATAGCAGATCTAATGCTTCCAGCTATCGATCTTCTTTCTCCGCTTATCGAAGATTTCGCCAACTCCCACACCGTCACCGCGTTGACCTTCGTTTGCCTTTCTCTTTCGGCTCTTCTCCAAGGCAGTGCTGCCATTCTTGGCTCGTCGAGTAAGACGCTCGATGCGATCGGCTCCCTCAGTGAGTCCCTTCCACTCGTCACCTCCAAATGTAGACTCTCCCCGGCCACCACCCAGTCGCTTCGCCATGGCCTTCTTAGTCTCTTTGGGTAGGCGAACGAAGTTGTTTTCCTCGTACGTCGTTCGTTCGGCTTCATACTCCCGGTCCTTCTTAGACTTGGTCTGTCTGCCGCCAGCGATAATTGTGCTACCGATACTGGGCTCAGCCATAGGTGCGGAGGACATCTCAGCGCTGACGAATTCGTCAATGACGTTGGATCGACGCGGTCGGCGGTCTTCACGGTCGCTCTTTTCTCTCGTAGGAAGAGCAGTGGGCATGATTCTAGGTGGTCGGTAGATCCCGTCGTTTGGTGTCTCAGGATCGAATTTCGCGCGCGGCTGTGCCTCCTCCGCCTTGGCCTTTGAAAATGCTGCGACATTGGGTCGGTATGCCATCTCATCCATATCGTCCTCGTCACTATCTCCCTCATCTGAGCCTTCGGCACCAGCATTCTTCTTGATCGATTTCTTAGCCGGACGCTCTACAAGCTCAGCATCTCCTGCCGCCTTGACGACTTTGTCGATTTGATATTTAAGTCTTCCTTCCAATGGACGGACACCGCGATCCAGGAAGACTCGAAGCTCAGTTAACTTTTTCACGGCTTCATCGCGGAAGGAATTATCGTTTGTCTCCTCATCGTCAGAACTCTGGTTGGCCTTTCGCAGTTGGAAAACGATCAAGAAAACAAGATTTTGCAGGTATGAAAGAAGAATTTCGCTTTTCGTATCGAGAAGGGAGATACCGTCTTTCGGAGGCTCAATCGAAGCACTTGAAGAGGCATCCTTGCTAGATGCAGGTAGGGAGGAGGCGGCGCTGTTCAGACATGATGTAAGACTCTCAAGGAGTGTAGACAAGTTTTGGGCGCGTGCGGGCGCAGTTTCTGTCGAAGCCATTTTTCACATGGGCAAGTCAAATTAAAGAACTTGAAATTGGAAATTTTTGGGCTTATCCTTATCAGCACGTGCAATTAATAACGGTCACGTGCGATCTATCTGATCGTCATCGGCTTCCCGGCTATTCTGTCCTTTCTTTAATTGCAATCGGATTTGAAGCTCCCATGTCGCTCTGATTCTATTTCCTTTTGTCGTGCAACGCTAATTGTGCACGTTTCAACCTCGACGTGTTGGGGTTGGATCTATATCTGCCCGACAATCGAAGACATACCTGACACTTCCCCGATAACATATGCTACTAGTCTGAGCTAAATAAAAAACTCCAAAGTCTCCACGCCCAGGATGCGTTTCATCGATCGAGCTAATCTTCTCAATTCGGTCCTCCTCGCGATTCCGTCCTTGTCGGCAGCCTTCTACCTCCCTGGTGTTGCTCCGAGCTCATATGACCAAGGCCAAAATGTCCCCCTCTTCGTGAACCACTTGACCCCCGGTCTTTCACGCGATGACCAAGTCTATTCTGTATTCGCGTACGACTATTATCATCCGGCCTTCCACTTCTGTCGACCAGATGGCGGCGCGCAGGATGTCAGGGAATCTTTGGGAAGCATTTTGTTCGGCGATCGAATTCGCACCTCTCCCCTTGAGCTACACATGGCTCAAAATGAGACGTGTAAAGCTATATGTCCAGAGGTCATGTTTGACGGCCGCAGCTCGCAGTTTACTAATCGTCGAATCTCCCAGGGGTACACTATCAATTGGATTGTGGATGGACTACCAGCGGCGCAGCTGAACTTCGACCAAAACACCAACACCAAGTTCTACAACCCTGGGTTTGCCCTTGGTGATGTTGATGATGCTGAGAAGCCTTTTCTAAACAACCACTTCGATATCATAATTGATTACCACCGTGTAACTGCCGGCAAAGACAAATTTCGAGTGGTTGGTGTACTGGTGCAGCCTGAGTCTCGCAGTGATTCACGTTTGTTAGAGGATGGTACTGCTGACTGCGGAACCTCTGGAAACGTTCTAATATTGGATGAAGACGGTGACACCCCTGTGACTTGGACCTACAGTGTTTACTGGAAGGAATCACCTACTGCATGGGCCACTCGATGGGACAAGTACCTGCATGTCTATGATCCCAAGATCCACTGGTTTTCTCTGATAAACTCCGCCGTATTTGTGGTCTTCCTCGTCGGCATGGTTAGTATGATCCTACTTCGCGCATTGAAGAAGGATATTGCGCGTTATAACCGCTTGGATCAGTTCAGCTTGGAGGATCTTGATAGCACCTCAGCTGCCGTAGAGGACGGCATTCAGGAGGATTCTGGCTGGAAATTGGTCCATGGTGATGTCTTCAGATGCCCTGAACACCCACTTCTGTTGAGTGTGATACTGGGTAATGGCGCACAGCTCTTCATGATGACTGGCGTAACAGTTGGTAAGTCAATGTGTGTCAAAACATGGCTTTTCTCCCGCTAATCCATATATAGCATTTGCTCTCCTCGGTCTTCTTTCGCCTTCTAATCGCGGATTTTTGGCTACTGCTATCCTTTTGATCTCCGCACTTTTCGGTGTCATTGGAGGATACGTGTCAGCGCGAGTATACAAGTCCTTCGGTGGCGAATCATGGAAGCGCAACATCATCATGACCCCCTTGGTGGTCCCCGGTATCATTTTTGGCGGCTTTTTCGTGCTCAACTTGTTCGTATGGGCAAAGGGCTCCAGCGGTGCTGTGCCGTTCTTCACAATGGTGGCACTGCTTTTGATCTGGTTCGTAATCAGCGTGCCATTGAGCGTGGCCGGTAGCTGGTTTGGATTTAGACAATCGGTACGTATTCTCTTATTGATCCCCTTCTACAAAGCTAATCCGGTATTAAATAGGCAATCGAGGGTCCCACCAAGACCAACCAGATTCCCCGCCAGGTCCCTCCGATGTCTGGCAGCCTTCGTACCATTCCGTCCATTCTACTGACAGGAATCCTCCCCTTTGGGGCCATTTTTGTTGAGTTATACTTCATCATGACCTCTCTCTGGACCAACAAGATTTATTATATGTTTGGATTCCTATTCTTATGCTATGGATTGATGATCATCACCTCGGCTGCCACCACTGTTTTACTGGTGTACTTCCTCTTATGCGCAGAGAATTACCGATGGCAATGGCGGGCATTTATGGGTGCCGGTATGACTGGTGGATATGTTTTCCTGAATGCATTAATCTTCTGGGCGACCAGGATGAACTTTGGTGGCCTGACTGGGGCAGTCCTCTACGTTGGTTATTCGGCTCTGATTGGCTTTGTTGTCTTCATCTTGACTGGTACGTTAGATCTGACGCCCTCGAATCCAATCCTTTACTGACCTCTTCTATAGGATCTATTGGCTTCTTCGCCAGTTGGGCATTCATTTATCGTATTTACGGCTCTATCAAGGTGGACTAATCTTGATGTGTAACACCTATATCATTTCTGCTTAGCTGTGCATCGTTCAGGTATTCCATTGCCTAACGCTCTTTTTTTGCGTGTGTGTGTGTGTGTGTGTGTGTTTTGTGTCTTGATAGCTTGAAGAAGGATCAAAGCGTTTAGCATTTGTGAATGAATATCCGATAGATTGAAACGTTGAATGTCGAGCTATCAATATCTTTATGTACGTAAACAATCAGTGTTTTGCGAAAACAAGCCGTAATGCCAAGCCCGAGTCTAGACCACTTCCCTTTGCCACTTCGGCTTTTCTGTAATTTCCTTAAGATCTTCATCAAGTCTTGAAACACACTGCACCTTCTTACCTTGACGTAATTTCTTGATCTGGAATTTGAAAGTGTCCCTTGCACCATCCGACCACTCTTTCACCGCCACACATTCCTCCTACTCCTACCCCGCGGTACAGCCTCCTCTATCTTTCACCCCTCCCCGCGTTAAAGCCACTATTTCCATCGAGTTGGATTTGGAGTTGGATTTGTGAACTGTTCGCGATAAGTCTGACTTGGGTGTTTTATCATGGGTAAATCGTAAGTCCGACTGCTCTTCCCCTATGCGCAGCCTGCGGATATACCAATATCGCCTCGTCATCGCCGAGTTGAAATTCCATTCACTTGGTGTTACATATTGTAAGCTGTCAAATACTGACTTCCATACGCGTTCCAGACAATCGAAACTGTCGCCGACTCAGCTCGATGATCTGCAGAGATCCACGCTCTTTGACAAGAAAGAGCTCCAACAATGGTACAAAGGTAGATTGGTATTCCGTGGACAAGTGAATGCCCTGGAGACAAAGTGATTAGAGGCTAAAGTTTCTATTATCCGTTTACCAGGCTTCCTTAAAGACTGCCCATCGGGTACCCTGACCAAGGAGGAGTTTCAGAAGATCTACCGACAATTCTTCCCATTCGGTGAACCCTCATTGTTTGCAAATTATGTGTTCCGCGTTTTCGATTCGGATAATAGCGGCATGATCGACTTCAAGGAGTTTATCTGCGCCCTTTCAGTGACATCGCGTGGAAACATGGAAGAAAAACTAGATTGGGCCTTCCAGCTCTATGATATTGACGGTGACGGCAAGATCACTTACGATGAGATGCTGGCCATTGTTGAGGCGATCTATAAGATGGTATGATCACTCTCAACCGCACATTATTGCCTATCAAGCACGTTATTAACTGATGCGCCCAGGTCGGATCTATGGTCAATTTGCCTGAAGACGAGAGTACACCGGAGAAGCGCGTGCGCAAAATCTTTGGTATGATGGATAAGGATGAGAATGGCAGTCTAGATATTGAAGAGTTCAAGGAGGGCAGCAAGCGCGACGATACCATCGTCAGTGCCTTGTCACTCTATGACGGCCTTGTATAGTGACCTCGGGGAGCGCGGCGCAATTCTATTTTTTAATCTCCTTTCCTATCTCTATTTTATCTTCCATCTTCTATCTTTTGTCCATATCCTTCATCTGTATATGAGCCTGGATTAGTCATAACATGTAATTTCAAACGAAATAAGAATCAATATCCGACTGATCCGATCTCTAACCCGTATCCTTACTAATAGGTATCGTCTTTCGGCCTAACTAAGTTTAGTTTTTCTACCGGCACCCCACAGTCTCCCCATGAACAAACTTGATTAGGTCTAGCTTACTTCCCTTATACCGTGATGATCTACAGAGTCCCACATATAGAAAATTAAAAGCAAAATAAATTAAACAAGTTCGTTCAGCCCTGGAGATCTCGGGCAATTATTGCATATATCAATCATCTTACTTCCTCTGAAACTACTTACCACTCCGTCTATCTGAGTTTGTACAAAGGGTAACAGGACGAAGGGCGATCCTCCAGTCCCCGACTTGCAGGGCACAATCTAATGTACTAGAAGGGAAAAAGAAATAGCGAATGAAGGGGAAGACCAACGTTACCACCATCGAATGAAACATGGCAAGAGCAAAAAAAAAAAAAAAAATGGGGAGATAAAAGTAAAACAAAAGGCGAAATATATGAGTTTCGTGGGACGGCGTTAGGAGGAACCGTAGGATCAGCCCAAAAGCCAGTGGAAAATGATAGACTGTACGATAGTCGTCAAGTTTCCAAGGTATAATCGAGCATCAATTATTTACGGTCGAAGAACCAGCTGGTGCGTTTTCCATTCTCCTGTGATTGCACACCGGAGACGTTGGAGTTAGACGGTCCATCACCACCTCCACCACGAAGGGGCTTCGCGATACGAGATCCTCCAAAGCTGAAGTTGCCATTACCATCCATGGTTGGTAGTCCACGAGTAGAGCCCTGCTTTGCAGCTTCAAGGCGCTCTTTGACGGCGGTGAGTTGGGCTTCGAATCTATAAATGGTTAGTGCTGGTGAAGCAATGCAGACTGGTAAAAGAATCATACCGGTGGTTGGCCTGAGTCAACTTCTCCTGGCTATCCTGTAGCAAGCTCTCCAAGCTAGCGATGCGCTCATTGCGTGCAATCAATTTGCGCTCTGCAATGGCCACTTCCTTCTTCAAGCTGCTATTCTGTTCCACGAGCTGTCGCTGGACATGCGTCAATTGCTCCAGGTTGCGTTCTAGGAATGCCATCTTCTTCTGCTGGGCCCGGTTGTTCGATGATCGAAGAACGTTGTTGTATTGCTCACGAGCGTCGTCCAAGGATATTTCCAATTCCACTACTCGCTCGCAGCGGTTCTGTAGATCCCGCATCAGGGACTTCTTCATGGCATCAAACTCAGAAATCTGCTGCTGCAGAGTCTTGCTGGCGGCACCGTTGGTGCTAGTCCTGGACTCAGTGTCAGCCAGAGACTGCCGCATCGTCGTCAATTCCTCGTCCTTGCGCTTGATCTCGGAGCGGAGTTCCTCGACTGCGGCAGTCTCAGTCTCCTTTCTGTCAATGAAAGACTTCTCCAGCCGTTCACGAATCTCCTCCACATCACTGTCACCAAGGTTGCGAGTCAAAAGGTCTTCGTACTCGCGCTGGACCTCCTCCAACTTCTTCTCCAGTTCTGCCCGGCGGCCACTCTGCAAATCACTGAATTCGCCTCGATCACTCATCGTCAATTCAGCCTGGCGAATGAAACCCTGGGTCTCCAGCAAACGGGTGCGGAGCTCCATGATATCGTCAGGTGCGATGAGTTCTCCGGAAGCGCTGACCTCGTGCAACGCGTCAACGCGCTGGATCAGGTCTTGTAGCTTGCGCTCGTTGTCCGAGAAAACATCGCCACCCAAGTCAAACCCGGCCATCATCTTGGCCATCTTCTCCGCCTTCTTCTTTTCCTTCTCATCCAGTGCAGCCGTGGTCTCCTTGGCTTTCATGCGAACATCGAGAAGCTGCTGCTTTACCTCATCCAACTCGCCAGTAAGCTCAGAGTTGGCTTCCCGGAGGCCATCCATGGTGATCGCGGCTTCCTTACCCTCATAAGAAACCTTCTCCAGCTGCATGCGCAGCTCGTTGATTTCGGTGTTCAACCGCTCATTGTCTTTGCCCGATCGCCCAGCGTTATCCTTCAATGACTTCAGCTCCTCTCGGGCCTCACGGAGGCTCCGCTCCACATTAACAATATGGGTCTCCCTTTCAGCGATTTGATCCTGCAGCTCATTCTCGCGACGGAGGAACTCCTCTCGCTCGTCTTTCTCCAGCACCAGGCTGGGTGTGCTCGAACGATCTCCAAGACGCGAATCTGGCCGTGGGGTGTCCGAGCGAGCAGTTTCTTGGAGTCTGGAAGGAGTCGCCGGTCGAGGGGCACGAGCCTCAGCTTTGGCAGCACTAACGGCATCGTTGCTACGCGAAGGGGTCCACAGGTCCTTAGGAACACTTTCACCCCCACGCCAGGTATTCACCTCGCTCTCCAGGGCAGAAATATAATTCTCAAAGCTGGTCATTTGAGTCTGAGCCTTGCGCAGAAGCTGTCGCATCTCCGCAGGGCTCAACTCGGCATTAACCTTGGCCTTGTTCTTAATGGCCTTTGCACGCACACCAAAACGCAAGGTCGAGATGGTTTCTGCATCGTTGTAGCTACTGGGTGAGCAGTTAATGATCAGGGTTGTCCGCGAGTTACCACCCAGAGATTCTTGGAGGATTCGAGTGAGTTTAGAGTCACGGTACGGAACATGAGACGATTTCCCGTCAGTCAGTGCGTTAATGACCATACCAAGAGCACTCAGACTCTTGTTTATCTTCTTGGCCTCCTCCAGGGTCTGGCCACTGGCTCCAGTTTTACCGACCTTTTCACTACCGGCCAAATCAACCAAGAAGAGCTGACCACTCTTGGCAGACCCAGTCTCCACATTCTTTTGGCTGACGGTAATAACGAAGATCGAGTGTGAACGAGACGACTCCTGATTCATGTTGGTGGCAGCCACGGCACGTGCGTTTCCACCTCGGCGCATCACCTCGTAAACTTCTTGGACGCTAGAGACGTAGACCTCAAGCAGCCCTTTCACGTAAACTCCGCGTGATTTCTCCTCATGGACAGGCAAGTTATCATTCTGTGGCACCAACAAATCGCGAATGCGCTCCATGTAGATCTCCATGTAGCTGACCCGGACCATGTACTCAATATTACTCGGACTCGTAAGGATACTGGCGAAGATTTGCTCGACAATACGAGGAATGACACCCTTACCCACCTCATCATCAATATCTGAACCCATCATGGTATACGACTTTCCCGCGCCGGTTTGACCGTACGCGAAGACCGTTCCGTTGTATCCATTCAAAATGTCGTCAACGGTAGGCCGGATCGAAAAGTCGAAGATGTTGGCTTGGGGCGAGTTCATAGGGAAGACTCGATCGAAGGTAAAAGGCACAATGCCTTCTTTGGACTGAACGCTTGGCCATTAGTATTGTCTGCAATTGGCGGTCTTGACACTGGATTCCCCGCTCACATTGATAGTACATGACTCCTCATTCTCAAATTCGACAATCGGCGTACCTCCTGAGGCTAATTCAACCTTATTCTGTGGACGGAAGCGGGCCAGCACTAAATACAGTAGGTGGTTAGCTTAGCTGCAACCTGGGGGATTTGGTGATATCGGCGGCCTCCAATGTGCGTACCCTTAATGGTGTTTGACCCCACGGACCTATTGAACAAAAGTCAGTGATGTCGAAAAGATATACCGTGTCAGAAGCACTGACGCCATATTTGCAGTTTGCTAGTTCCTTCTCACGAATAAGAACCAGGATAGGGCCCCGAGGAGGGGCAGACGAGCGCCGAGGGGAAGTGTCTGAGCGAACACCAAAAGTTGAGTTCCACTAGAAGTGGAAGAAGAGAATAGATATGACAATGCAAAAACGCGACAAAACTGCTAAACACCTAGCACACCAGGCGTCTGGAGGGATCAAAAGGAAAGGAGGTGTGGGTTTGGGATTTGTTGACAATCGCCCGTTTGGGATCCTTGGCCGACCGCCCGGAATTGGACGATGCTTATGGTATCATAATACTAACCAGATTTGAAGGTGATCATATTGATGACTAAATAAAATAGTCTTTCATTTGTATGAATTGATTATTCAAGTAAAAGCTGTTACCATGTAACTTCCTATCCATATCCAGAGCCATTGAACTAAAAGAGTTGTGCAATAGGAAGACCTTGAAGCATATGAATGATGAATGAGAACTAAGGCATCCATCATAAAATGAGCAGAGAATGATGTTGAAAAGATGATGAATAGATAAAAGAATGAAGCGCCTGAACCCCCAATGCTGTGCAGATCAACCGACGGTGATCGATATTGATATTTCCATCCCCAGACTCTCTCGACTCTCGTGTAGTTTGATAATCTCAAGTCCATTAGTCTTCCCAGCTCTTCTCAACAGTCTCACGCACACGCTTAACATATTCTTTGCGGTTGTCTTTGTAGAGGTTTGAGGCTTCGACATTGGCTGGAGATGAGGTGTTGGGGTCATTGAGTAAACTAAGTCAAGAACATAGGTCAGCAGCGGTTAAATGTGATACAAAAAGATCAATCTTCTTACCTTTGGATGCTGGTCAGAATTGCTGCTACGTCATATGTTGGACTCCATCGGTTCTGAAGAATGTCCAGGCAAAGTTCACCTGTACCATAGACATTTGGATGGAACATCTGGCTGATGAATTTGACTCCAGGAGGCTTGTTAGGATACTGCTCCTCGAAGTTCATCACCAAGCGAAAAGTGCCGTCCTCAAACGGTGTGTCGGCGGGACCAATAATGACAGCATTCCTAGAAACTCATCAGTTTGAAATCTTATCAAACAAACAACGTCAGGTAAGCTCATACCAAGTCATAACATTGTCTGCAACGGGAGAAGCGGAAACACCAGCGGGAGGATCGGTTTGCATGCGCTGAAATCACAGAGCGAATAGGTTAGCGATTGCACAAATTATCAACGAATGCTTAAGGGGCCAATCAGAGCACAATTCTAATGACCCTGAAAGATCAGGAGGCATCAAATTAACTGGGATTTGCAACAAATGCTACCAATTCTGCAGATTGCAATGACGGTCCTTGGCCCCAATTGCCGGCGGTACATACCTTGAAATCGCGCATGAGACGGCGACGAGCAGAGGTCGACATGATAAAGTAAGGTCGATGGAACCACTATGGATTCGAATGGTTTGGGGCTATAAATGAGAAAAAGGAGATCAAAGGAAGATTAAATAGGACTTAGTCCGTACAGGGACTCTAGCAAATGAGTACTGCGGCGGAAGGAGGGGAACCGGAGAAACTAACTTAATGGGAAAACTATCCACATTTGGATCTGAGATCATAGAAACCGGCATGTCATGTGATTTTACTTCAAGCCTCGGCCCGGATATCTGAGCGGCGATTTAGCGGCTAACAGCGGTTAATAGTATGCATTCCATTTGTACTCGCTTTATGATACCCTCCCTTCCTTTCTCTCTGATATCCCTTCTTGCATTAAAACCTTCAATCTTTACCACTGAAAATTCAACAATTCTTTGGATTTCTTCGTTTTTTAACTTACCAGAATCACCATGATCTCATCAGCAGGGTTCCCGGCTCGCCTCTCCAAGAGGGTCGTCCCCGCATTCCGCAGCCACAGACAATTCAGCGTCTCACGCTCAACATCAAAGGAGATCCAGGATGTCTATATTCTGGGCGCCTCTCGCACGCCAACTACAAAAGTAAGAGCATGCTGGAGGTTCTAAACTTTATCCTGCTAACTAATATATTTCGGCTTAGTTCAATGGATCCTTCGCCTCGATCTCTGCTCCCAAGTTAGGTGCCGTCGCCATCAAATCTGCCCTTAGCAAGTCCAAGGTACCCATCGAAAAAATCACCGACGTTTATATGGGTAATGTGCTGCAGGGATCCGTTGGCCAGGCACCTTCCCGGCAGGCGTCAATGTTTGCTGGTCTCCCCTCCACTGTTGAATCCTTGACTATCAACAAGGTGTGTGCATCTGGTCTGAAGGCAGTCGTTCTAGCCGCCCAGAATATCCAACTAGGTCTCGCGGAGGCGCAAGTGGCAGGTGGTATGGAAAACATGACTCGAGTTCCATACTACATGCCCCGTTCTAGTCAGCTGCCTCCTTTTGGCGAGATCAAACTGGAGGATGGCCTGATCAAGGATGGTCTTTGGGATGTATATAATCAGTTCCATATGGGAATATGTGCGGAACAAACAGCAAAAAAGTTCGAGATTTCACGGGAAGAGCAAGACCAGTATGCGATTCGCTCCTACGAGCGGGCCCAGGAAGCCTGGAAGCAGAACAAGTTTGCCGACGAGATTGCCCCTGTCACTGTGCCAGGCAAGAAAGGTGAAACAATCATTGAACGGGATGAGGGATACGAAAATCCGCGCCTTAGCAATCTCACCAGCCTGAAGCCTGCTTTCTTGCGGGACGGTACCGGCACTGTCACTGCTGGCAATGCCTCCACTATGAACGATGGTGCATCTGCTCTTGTCCTTGGAAACAGGGAGTTGGCTCGGGAGTTTGGCCATGGATCCCGTGTGTTAGCTCGTATTGTATCCTCGGCAGATGCCGCGATTGATCCAGTGGACTTCCCAGTGGCCCCTGCTAAGGCAGTACCAATCGCTCTAGAGCGTGCAGGTATCACCCAGGATCAGGTGGCAGTGTGGGAGTTTAACGAGGCTTTTGCGGCAGTAGTCAAAGCTAATGAAAAGGTAAGGTTTGAATCTGCAGGAGAAAGGTCAGTACTAACTTTCAATTTCAAATAGATTCTCGGTCTGCAGGACGCAAAAGTCAATATGCTGGGTGGTGCAATCTCTCTTGGTCACGCACTGGGTAGCTCTGGATCGCGTATTCTTGTAACTTTACTGCATCAACTGCAGCCTGGTGAGTACGGAGTGGCTGCCATCTGCAATGGAGGCGGTGCCGCAACTGCCATGGTCATACAGAAGCTGGATCGAGTGGACTAGATGTTTAGCAAGATACCCTTGCGCCTAAAAATCTTTCATTCAAGTGCTCTTCCTGTACTTTGTGTACAACTCTTATCATTAACGAGCCTAACAAAAAAACTATTCAGACTTATAAACTCCTGAGGAAGGAACATAAAGAAGTATGAAGTAAATAAAAGTGGAAGCCTTGGAAATTAGGCAGAAGTGCATACCGATAAGATGTCTATCTAATCTCCTGCATAAAAACATCTCCGAACTATATTTTCTTTCTTGTCCAAACAACGCGTGCATGAAAACTTCGACAATTGTTTTTTATTTTTGAGGCTTCAAGTTCGTTTGAAATGTCTCCAATTCAGCTATCGACGTTTCCATCATCTGTAGACGCGCTCTCTTGGTCCCCAGATGGCGATCTCGCTGTTGCCGGCGGTGATCATGTTAGAATTCTGGTGGGTCATTTTTGGGTCCTCAGTCACCCATTTCATCTATCAAAAGATACAAATGTTAACAATATACTAGACTTCTACCGTTAACAGCGGTGGCACATTGATCAAGCAACGTTGGAATCAGTGGCATCCTACAAATGTCCAAACTAACCGCTTCACCAATGCGGAATGGCCAACGATCCTCACCCAAGGTCGCGAGGACTTTTCAATCGCAGCTGAGCAATCGACAAGTTTGACTACAGCTATTGCATGGTCACCATCCGGTCTGGCCCGATACCGCCGTAGTGTCCTGGCTGTGTTGACATCTAATCTCCTTCTATCCATTTGGGAGCCAGCTGGTGTCAATGGGCAGTGGGTCCGGGTTTGTCTTGTCAACCATTGTCTTTTCGCCACTACTCCAGTCAGACTGGAGGGCACTGAGCTTCGCAAAGTGAACATTCGTTCATTCAAGTGGTGTCCACCCATTCGTGTGTCACCTCATGGCGGCAGCTCCGATGACTCCGACCCTGAAAGCCGCTGGGGCATCCACCTCATTCTTGTGGCTAATGATCTGAACGAAGTTGTTCTGCTACAAATTCGCCGCCGTTCCAACCCCGAAACCGTTTCTCAAACTATTATCACCGAGAAGTTGGCTACCCACACCGTGGTAGTGGGAGATGGCGAGTTTCCAACGGCCGGTCGAGGCACTCTGTTATATGCAGCTCTTCAGGCCCAAGCCCGCATCACCGCACTGTCGTGTGGCCCTTGGATCGTCTCTTCCGTTCCAGGGAATAACTCCGTTCATACTGCAGACACATTAGTTGCTGTCATTCTTGCCAACCAGCTTCGGCTGCTCAAGGTCACCGTCACCTTGACCGAATACGACAGTGACAAAAAAGTGACACCTCGTTTTGAGACCAAGGCTTTGTTCCAAGAATTTGAAATAAATCCCTCCCCTGTGAAACTGGTGCAACATCGCTTGCAGGGCCCACTAGAATGGATCTACGAGGTATGTGGAAATCAGCTCAAGAGGAGAGCTCATTGCTAATAATAATAATAGGACGAATCCCCGAAAATTATTCTTGCAGTGTGCACAAATTCTGATTTTATCACCGTGGAAATCCCCAGATCCTCTTACTCTGCGAGTGAACCCGCCAGCAATAAGGTTGAAACCTGGGAATGGGATATTTCGTCTCTTCCTGCCGAGGATGGAGGCCCTGGAAAGCCCCATTACGAACGCGTTTCTGGTGAGTGAAGCTCCATTTGTGTCAAACCTGAGATTTACTAACTCTTCCAGGCATGACCGTCTCACGAGATGAGCACAACACTTCCACCGCCCTTAATGTGGGCACTCATGGAGGATTAGGTGCCGTCATCAGTCTCAAAGACATAATCAGTAAAGGCAGTCTAGTCATCCCGCAGTGGTGCAAAGATATGAACAATTTCAGAGATTGCCATGCTCAGAAGCAAGGCTGGGAAAATTTGACAGTCGCGCGAATTTGGGGACTGGGATCGTGGCGCAGCGTGACTGCCGTACTCTTTACCACACATCCCACCGATATGATTGAGTATCGGATTGGTACTGGCAATTACTCTTACATTGAGATCGCCGGTGCATGGAACACAGAAATGCTATTTCGCCCCGATCCGAAGCATAGTGACCCGGAATATGCCCGCCGACAGCGGGAGAAAGTGATCACTTTTGTGCTATCCCATGTTGATAACCTCAACAGCGAGGATATTGAGGACCAGAAGATGGTATACCATGCAGCCTGCTGTGCCATTGCCGATGGTCAGCCTGAAGCCGTCCTTTCTCAGGCTCGTAAATGTTTTGAAAGATTGGCAGTTGTGACCGGTGCAGACATGAGTGAGGAGATGTCGAAATGCGGTCTCAAATCCGCCAAAATCTTCGCAAAGCGAATTGAGAAGCAGTCTCAACCTGGCGGGCATTTGTTTGAATGGTGTGGAATTTGCGGCGACGGTGGTATCGCCTGGTCGGCCGCCACAGTTGCCCAATGTGTGAATGGACATGCTTTCGGTTGGTCCCATCCTGAATTTCCTTTTACAGAAGATATGCTAACCTGATCGACTTTTTTTAGCTCGCTGTGGATTGAGTTTCCAGATCATCCAAAGTGCAGATGTCTCCAAATTCTGCTTGGCATGCCGAAAGGAGTATGTGGACGAGGACTTGGTCTCTCTTAATAATGGCCCTCAGGGACGGTTGTTCCTGAAGGAGTTCCACAAGTTCGATACATGCATCTACTGCGGCGGAAAGTTTGGTCCCTTCGTCGCCTGAGGATTCAATGGAAGAGCAAGTATGTGAGCCTGCGTTGACATGCTGCCGCAGTGTACGATTATGACAGGTCTTTGTATGGTTAAACCTCAGTTGGTAGCCGTAATTTATGATTATCACGAGTTTTTTTGGATTCTCAGCTTGTAAATACATGCCCTCTTGAAGTATGTATAGTAAATATCCGGTTCACGCTGGTCAAAGACATAGGAATTAACCACTGTCTGCCTAAGTAGAAGAAAACCTCCTTTAGCTTACTTCCAAGGCTTCTTTCTTCGTGGCCTCTTAGCTTCCAAAACTTAAGCCTTGGGTATTAGTCGTTAAATCTACCTAGGCATGAAGACAGATATACGGTGCATTACTATCAAATTGATTATGAATTCATGCATTGTCATCATGAAGCTATACACGTGGATAGCACTCCTCTTGCCAGAAGATATCTCCATTGATACTGTTTGAGATAGACGTGCTCATGGAACCTGAACGTGCTACTGCGATCTCTAATATCATATCGCTGATTTTCGTGATAGAATCAGCTATCTTCATTGCATACAACGATTTGTCGCGTATCGCGCTTGGTGGACAATGGTTATGGAAGGTTCTGGTCCAGATGCAATTCAAAATGGACTTTGAAGTCGAGCGAGCAACGATACCTAGGTGACTTTCTCTTTGCCTACATGCTATTCGAACAATCTTGAAGGTTCTCGGTTCTCAAATCTATGTTTCTCTCTAGACATTTTCAACACGAATCGAATGGAACCACTTCCGTCTGAAAGGTAGCTAATGAGCAGTATGTATCCTGTAGTGTATGTGCGGTTTAAAATTGATTGGCGATCAATATTGACACCGCCCTATGTACAAGACCTCATTTATCTATACAGCTGGTTGAGCTAAACATCTATCAAAGAGTTTAGACCGAATGCATATGCTCAAGAGGAATCAAATCAAGTGCCTTTATTTGCGCCACCACACCAACAGCGTCCATCCCCATCTCGCTCCACCTGGACCAAGATATCCATGTCTCTTTCGCGAAGATAGGTGTCAGTCCGTTGACGAACATCTTCGAGATCAGCACCACGAGAAGCAATAACATGAATTACGCCAAGTACTTTTGGCTTTTTGTGCTCATGCTCATGCTCATGCTCATGCTCATGTTCATGTGCATGGGCATGGTCGTGGTGATCATGCCCATGGTGCGAGTGATGGTCATGATCATGAGAATGTCCATGCCCATGTCCATGTTCTGAAGATCCAGTATCGTCGAGCCAAAACTTGGGCACCGTATACCCTACTACTCCTCGTAGAGTGCTCACTCCAGCCAGGGTTTCTCGGAGGTTATACTCCGTATCGGCCGGGAGAGCCATGAGCAGAGTCTTGGCAGTGCTACTAACCAACGGCACAGCCGATGCAAAGATCAAGATGGCGATAAAGCAAGATGCAAGAGGATCATATCCAGCCCAACCTGAGTAATGGACCAATATAGTTGAAATCACCACAGCCACTGAACCCAGTGTATCGGCCAAAATGTGCAGGAAAATTCCATGCATATTCTCATTGGAATGATCATGGCCATGATCGTGACCATGGTGGCCGTGCTCAAAGCTGAAAATGCCGACCAAATTCACTAATAGACCAGCGAAGCTGACGGCCAGCAACTCACTGATGCGGTTCATTTGACTGCCCGAAGACAATCGCTCCACTGCTTCGTAGATAATCTCGATACTTATGATCCTAAGAAACCGTTAGAAAACTGACGTTTAATTTGAGAAAACAAAAGACTTACATGAGAAAAATACCATTGGCAAAACCAGATAATGTATCGACCTTGCCATAGCCGTAGGGGAAACGGACATTTGGGGGCCACTTGCTCATCACGGCTGCGCAAAGTCCGACGACAAGGGCTAAACAGTCAAAAAACATGTGAATACTGTCACTTAGTAGTCCAAGAGAGCCGGTCAAAAAACCATATGATAGCTGAACGAGCATGAATACGAAGTTCAAACTGTTAAACATTAGTCATGGAAAGAAATATTGAATATTGGGTAGCTCACCACATGAAGAAAAAGATGCTGCGCGAATCCTTCTCCTTGAGAATGCTGTTCAGCAAGGAATAGGGCTCGCTTCGTTGAATCAACCACTTAGTGAGTGGCCATGGCTCAACCGTTTTTGAGTGGTCATGATGATGGTGTGTGTGTTTGTGCGAATGACTATCTAGGCGGAGATGGCTATCATCCATTCTTGATGCAAAGAACGAACTGGTTGCTAGAATAACGCGAGTAGCGTAAAGGACTACGAGATCATCGCGGGCATGAGGGGTGCAGAAAAAGGCCGCAGTTCCAGTGCCAATGGCGAGGCCAAATTTGCTGGCGGATCGAAGACTCGTATGAAATGAGATCATCAAAGAAGAGGCCAACAGTCCCGCGGGAACAAGAATGTAGAAGTCTGTAGCGAACGAAAAGCCAGAGACCAACAACGCAACAAGTATCAGAAAAGTACCCGAATATAGGGCTGCCGGCACATCGGCCATGACTACAACCGAGGGACTTTTACCCGCAGTATTGGCCTCTTGTGATATCGACTCCGCGACCAAGCCGGGCTCAGGAATAGGCCCCTTACGATGCAATGAAGCGAAGGGGGGAGGAAGTATAAATACGGACATCACAAGCGCCAAATAGCCTAGAACGGGCGAGGTGCTCCATGCCTTATTCAACCCCAAGAAGCTCAATAGCACAACGCCGCCCAGCACACCAATTGTAAAAGGTTTTCTGCGGTATTGCTCCGATGAGGGGCCACGTGAAACGGTATTTATCATGCTAGGTACCCCAGAAGCCGACGCGAGAAGCAGCGAAAAGGCCACAACGAAGGCCCCAATCTTCAGTGCCGCGTATATTGGCAGGCTAATTGAGATCATTTGCAAAAGAGCGGCCTTGGCCACCTGGGCATCTGGTACAGGAAATTTAATGGGGGACGTTCCTGTCCGGCGTATGGTCTGAACAGATCCAAATATCAATAGAGTCATCGCCGTCAAAGCGCACGTTTTAGACCCAACCGGCAGGTTCACTGCAATTGAGGTAGTTGCTGCCTCGACGCCATCCTGAGCTACCTCGAGTGAATTCACTAAACTTCGCGAATACCAGGAAATAGCAATCCAGGGCAATGCAATTATAGCACTGGCTATGATCTCATTCCTAGAATATGTTAATTGATGGTACGATGTAAGATTTTGTGATGATGTTCTACTCACATCTGTTCTGTTTGTGCAGCCGAGGCTGGTTTCGCATGATCGTTATTATGGTGGTGGTGATCATGATGGTGATCATGGTGTTGATGATCATGGTGGTGGTGGTCATTATGAGCATGATTATGATCATGATTGTGCTCATGGTCCGGCGCATCAGTATAAATCGTAGCTACACTATGAGTATGGTTGTGATGTGTAGACTGAGAGCCGGAGTGTTGGTGATTACACCAAGATTTCTGCGACGCATGACCGTATGAATAATTCGAGTTCAGTGTGTCGGTAGGCTCCAGAGTTTGGGAATTGACGGGGTTAGTGCCTCCCAGCGAAAGTGACGGCTGTGAGTAGCGGGATCGAGTGTGGCCACGACTGCGACTATGGCCATGTGAATGTCCCTGTCCCTGTCCATTTCCAGATCCATTGGAAGGAGCGATATTGGAATCACCGGGCAGTGCCCCCGTTGACATGATCAAGGATCGAATCGCAGAAGGAAGGAGGTGCTAATGGGACAAGGGGCGTTCGATGCGCTTTAATTGGGGGGAAAGCTGCGGAGGCGAAGCTCGGGGCTTAAAAGGGAGGAAGTGTCAGGCTAACACCCAGCATTTCGTAATTGAATCAAAAGGGGTTTTTTTCAATGAATTAGCTTCACAGCTTCGAGCTAGAAATTGAATGCAACATGTAATTAGACTCGATGATTTCATTCACGAACCTTGAGAACCTTGGAGCCGCCACGTGATCTTATCGTGATCAACTATCAATTTGAAACTTGGATTGGTACTTTGTATAGACTCATCATTCCTCATGCAAAAATATATTCTCCATCATGATTGACACTCTCATCACTGTCGCGTTCTGCCTTTCCAGCGCGTTGACAGTGCTGATCCTGCTACTCCCATCGCAGTATGATCCTCGTCCCGCTTCGGCGAAGGACACGCCGCGACAAACAAGCGTGCAGATTCTAGTGCTAGGAGATATTGGTCGAAGTCCCCGTATGCAATATCATGCACTGAGTATTGCAAGAAAAGGTGGAAAGGTGGTGGTCATTGGGTACACAGGTAAGTTGGGTCGCACATCTTCCTGTACCTGACTGAACTAGGCTGACCTGATTCTGCAGAGTCCGAACTTCATCCAGATATTGTTTCGAACCCCAATATCTCTATCACTCCTATACCTCCTCATCCGAGCATTCTGCAGACGAACAACAAACTCCTATTTATGATCTATGGGCCATTGAAGGTGTTGTTTCAGATTGTCTGTCTATGGAGGTGTCTGGCATACAAGACCACTGCATCACAATGGTTGTTGGTACAAAATCCGCCGTCAATTCCAAGCTTGGCTGTCGCTTCTCTATCCTGTTTTTTGCGACAAACACGATTGGTCATTGATTGGCATAACTTTGGGTATTCCATCCTGGCATTGAAACTCGGCCCGACCCATCCTCTCGTCAAGCTCTCCACCTGGTATGAGAAGACATTCGGCCAATGGGCATCGGCCCATATCTGTGTCACCAATGCTATGGGCTCCGTTCTTCGGCGGGAATTCCAGCTTCAGGCTCCTGTGTTGCCATTGCATGATCGTCCTGCCAATCATTTCAGTCCCATTCTGAATCCAGAGGAGCGTATAAAATCCCTCGCCACCTTTATAGAAGCCAATTCAATACAAGAATCGATAATAGCAGGTAGCACACGAGTTCTGGTCAGCTCGACCTCGTGGACCCCAGATGAGGACTTCTCCGTCCTCATCAACGCATTGCTGCAATATTCCAATATGGCTGTGTCTCAGCCAAACTTACCCGAAATTATGGCCATCATTACTGGGAAAGGTCCCCAGAAAGAATTTTATCTCAAGGAGATCTCGGCCCTCGAGGATGCTGGAAAGCTCCAGAAGGTTACGATCCGCACCGCATGGCTGAGCGTTCCAGATTACGCAAGACTCCTTGCATCAGCATCTCTAGGGGTAAGTCTTCATACCAGTAGCAGCGGAGTGGACCTACCAATGAAGGTTGTCGACATGTTTGGCGCTGGATTGCCCGTTGTTGGCTGGAATCGCTTTCAGGCCTGGTCTGAGTTAGTAAGCGAGGGTGTCAACGGGATGGGCTTTGGAAACGCAAGTGAAATGGCCGATCGACTGGTTGAGCTGTTCAGTGATGACTCAAAGCTTGAAAATCTCCGTCTGGGAGCTCAAAAAGAAAGTATCCGGAGATGGGATGATGAATGGGATCCCATCGCTGGAAAACTCCTTGGTCTCTAGTGCAAAACAGAACCTACTATTTAGACTATACAGTCAAGTCTCTGAATAACTAACCGTGTTCAGTCGAGGAGATAGCCGGCGCTAGCATTGTACAAAAAGATCTCGAGGTAGGTAAGATCTAACCTTGCAAGCCGTTCACGGTATTTGATATTGGGAAAAGACAAGGCACAGATTTTCATCTTCTGTAGACACCTCATACCTATAACTAAATTGAATTAGTGCTAAAGAGTAGGACGATATGGATACCAGACACAAGGTGAATTGACTTGTGAATTGTCTGTTATAGCTCTGCCCAGGTGAAGACTTTTTTTAATTTTATTTCATCTATCATACTTAAAGGCCCATCTTTCGCTGAGACCATGACAATGAGTCAGTCCACTGCGCATCACCAGGCTGTATGACTCGCAAGAGTTCAGAAACCAATGCTCGACCAGAGTTTTGTGCCCACCACCGATGACCATCCAGCTTTCCTAGAAAAATACCCCAATGCATAAGAATGAGCAAAGCCAACGGTTGACCACGCCGCACATTGTCGACGAATTCCTTATCAACCGCAGCCAGCCAAGCAAGAACATGCGCCGGGTCTTCTGTGCTAGCAAACAAATTACAGCAACGACGGAGGTGGGCAATCACATCTGTGTTGATTTGATACTGGTCTGTATCTACTGTTATCTTGAAAGCCTCTTCGTTTATTGTGGCTAGTCGATCCAATGCAGTCACTGTATCGGCGTCCAGTTCAGAGGGGTCTGTATCATCTTTTCGACGTGAGAAGAACTTGAGTTTTATCCAGGCCCGACCGATATCATATATATTCTTGACCCCTTGCAGAAGCTCGAAGACGACAATGATATTTTCGGTCATGTTGGAGCTCTCGTCCCGGACTGCCGTAATTCGCGGTAACGCGATGCTGATGACAGTTGTGATTATAGATTGCGCCGCTACAGCCTCACAATTCTGCGGCGTGAGGTTATCAATGGATGCGCGAAAGGGTGCAAATGACAGATTGTGATATTGCAATGCCGTGTCAATATAAGCCAAAGAGTTTGGCAGCTCCATGGCAGTAGCTATATGCAACGCCGCAAGAGCCAAGACGCCATTCATCAGAAACTCATACTGCAGGGCCAGTCGTGGTACGATGATCTGCCACACTTCATACTCAGATTCAGATGTACAGACACTCCGGAAGGTGGCTGTCGCGAAATGATGCATTAGCTCTAGATCACGTACTCCGGATATGGCGGAAGGGGAGGAGGCGGCAGGACTAGGAGCCAATGTTCTGGGGGTGTCAGGCGATCTTGGGACTCTATTCGTGGTCCTAGGTGGCCGTACATAATGCAGGTCCTTTGGTGGGGCTCTTAAATAGGTACAGTTGAGCTCACGCGAAATACAATTGGAACATGGTGGTCCCTTCTCATCACACTACAGTACAACACAGTTAGATATCAAGTCGAGATTGAAGCCTTGGTCCATGCTTTACCTTAACCCTGCGGTGCTTACACTGGTCGCATCCAAGACGGGATTTTTGATGCGCCCGGCGAGGTTTGAGAGGAGGCATAACGACTAGGATGTGAAGGCTGATAGCTGAGAGGTACCAATCATGTGTCACGTGGCTTAATCCCCGGACGTTCGGATTTAATCGTTCAAGGGATCAATATCAAGTTTGAGGCTGAAGATGATTAGATCCACACCCTTCCACTGTGATTCCCACCATTTACTCCGTTCGGTAATAGAAGACCTTGGCGATATGATTCGTTAAGAGTGCAAGGGCCTTCGATGAAATAACAGTGGGTCAATCCGGATATATCAATAGCCAGTGAGAGTCCGTTATTCGACGCCACGGCCGAAAAAGGAAGCCCCATTTTCCCTTATTTCCTCGTTCTCGCATTCGTTCTCGTAAACCGCCTCGCTTGCAAGAGGGGCTTAACTTTGTTTTGAGATTCGCAATGGTCCCCTATCGCTTAAGAGTTCTCAGCTTCGCCTTTCCATCCTCCTATCTAAGACCAAGATACTGGTGAAAATGGCAAGCTACGGGGTATGTTTACAAGTCAGTCCAGAATGTCCAGTGTCTGCAACAACAAACGGATACACGCCGAACTTGGGAGGTAATATCTTCTTCGTCATCTTTTTTGGAATTCTTGGCGTGGCCCAAGTAGGGCTAGGAGTCTACTACCGAACATGGACGTTCATGATTGCGCTGGGCGTCGGAGCCCTGATGGAAATGGCAGGGTACATAGGACGAGTCCTGATGCACTATAACCCGTGGAACGTGAGCGCATTCAAGTTGCAAATAGTGTGTCTAATCCTTGCGCCGACATTCATCGCAGCCGGAATCTACTTGACACTCAAGCACATTATTCTCAACCTTGGCCCAGAGCACTCGCGACTGAAACCACGACTATTCACTTGGATTTTCATCAGCTGCGATGTTGGATCCTTGCTCCTTCAGGCTGCCGGTGGTGGGGTCGCTGCTGCTGCAAATGATAGCACCCCAGACCTGTTGAAGGCCGGAGACGATATTATTATCGTCGGTATCGCATTCCAAGTCGCCACTATGCTCGTCTGTGGTGGCTTTGGTCTGAAGTTCTTCTTCAACGTCGCTAAGCATGGCAATGGAGTGACCGGTGAGAAGAACGAGGGCAGGGTGGATTCCATCTCTCCTAGTCGGATGCGTCTCGTTGTAGCTGCTGAGGCTTTTACATATCTCACTGTGTTGATTCGGTGTATCTATCGGTATGTAACTATGCGTGAAGAACGCAAGAGTCATGGCTAACCCTCATTTAGTATTCCCGAGATGTCAGGTGGTTGGGGCGGTCCCCTCATGCAAAAAGAAGACGAGTTCCTTGTATTGGATGGAATGATGATCGCCTTCGCGGTATTAGCAATGACTGTCTGCCACCCGGGCATCTTCATTCCGTCGATACGCACTGGAAAAAAAGGAGATCTCTGATCAATTCTTTCTGTTCTATAAAATCTTCCTTAAGGTTGCTTTAAGGTTGCTTTTCTGTTTCCTACGCTGAACTTTCTGTACCTTTTACCTAGAAGTGAACATGTCGTTATACCCTTTAGATCTCTGTCCAAATATCAGAGGAATATGAAAAATATCAAAGATGTATTGAGAAGGGCAAGTATGCGTGCGTAACCATACGCAAAAACTCATAAACTCCACCAGATCGTAGAAAACGAACTCCATGGGAGAGCTAGAGGACCAAAGATAAACTAGCAATATCCTTTAGCAGTGTAAATCGCTCGCTCATGCAACGAGAGCAAACCGAAGGTAGGAAAAAATAAAGAAAATAAAGAAATGACCACCCATATGCACCAAAAGCAGAATTCGTAACCCCGATCTATTTATTCATCTCCCAAGCTCTCCCGCACGCACCGACGCACGCGCTTTTTAAACTCGGCAGGGTCCTCGCGCCACAGGCGCGCAGCCTCGACGTTGGCGGGGCTTTCGTCGTTAGGACTGGAAAGCATGGAGATGACGGAGATCAGGATCGATTCGGGTGTCTGCACGGGGACCAGCGCTCGGCTGCAGATTCGTAGCCCCATTTATCCTCTTCAGGGGGGTGCAATATCGAGATGCAGACATCACCGTTCGGGTAGACTAGATGAGATAAAATGGTTAATAACCTCTACCGTATCTCGGCTCCACCCGAGCCCCCTATGATTTGACTATCACTTACTGTTTGGGTGAAAAATAGACGATTCAAACTTCATTTTCGGTGGCATGTGGGGGTATTCCATAGGGAACGAGAGACGGGCACGGAAAAAACCACCTGGTATCATTAGCATCCAGTCTAATGGCGACTCATGCTCACCCAGTCTTGATAGGGTCTCAAGCCGGCTGGGCCGCGATTCAAAGACGAGGGAAATCTTTGCTCAAAACTTACCTCCGTACATCTTCACATCGTCAGAAATCATCAGCATGACCTCCCATTCGAAAACATTGTTATCGAATAGGCCACAGCTGATTCCGGGAATGTCCTTATCGGATTGCATCTGTTGCAGCTGACGGGCCAGCATACGACCGGCGGGTGATGCAGCCATTGTAGAGGGTTCAGAATTGAGAAATATTTCAAGTGAAGAGAAGCGAAGTTCAGAGTTTGCTGTGAAATGTTGAAGTAGTGAATGGAAGGTCACAAAGACGTGGGGCGGGGGAAGATATGGCGGCGAAAAGAGTAGAAAGCGGTGAGGTTTCTTGCCTGAAAATACGATGTCGTAAGAGGGCGGTGAGATAATTGGAAGTGGGGCTACGGAATAACGTGTACGGATACGGAGTATGGAATGGAAGACTTGATTGCTCGGACTCAAATAAGAGAGCGGTTTTGGTATTTGACTAAATATAACTACATAATGAGATTTGAATCCGTCTAGTCCATCCAATAACCAAGGATCTCAACTTTCCTTCTTTCCACACTATCCATGCTCTGATCAAAATCTATATTTAGATTTGCTCTTCAGGACTCTTTACTTTTTTCGACATCATAAACAGCTGAGAGCCAATGACAAGGATAGCAGCCACCATCAAAGCCAGCTCAATAGCCATGGTCTTACCAATAACCTTGGCAAAACGAACTCGAGAAGCCCAATCAAAGCTCGACCAAGCAACAAGCAAACCGATCTTACCACTGCCTCCCAGAATTTCAGGCTGCACCTTACGGCCAAAGGAGCGATCAAACGGCACGATGGTCTCATCCTCCTCGGGCAGCATAGATGCTGCCACACGTATGAAGATGACGCGGGCAGGGATGGAGATCATGAGAGCTAGCAGGGCAGGAACAAAAGTAACAGCCATGGAGCGGTAGATATCATTCAGCTGGTTTCCGGTACTTTGCCCAGCGCCGATCCAACCAGTCAGCTCGGCGACAGCCATGGGCAGGAAGAACGCAGCAGCAGTCAGGATATCCTGCAGAGCAGCAGCAGGGGCAATTTTGATCCACGATCGCCATGAAGGGATTCGCTGGTAGAAGCGCTTAGGGGAGGGTTCGGTGATGACGATGTGAACCCAGGCCATCTGCCAAGTCGACAGCAGGACACCAACGATAGAATTGATAAAGAATTGGCCAAAGAAGGAACCTCTGCCCCCGGGTATGATGGCCACGATCAAGTTAGAGACAAAGTTATACGCCATGAACATACCCAGTCCACGGAAGCGAGACCAGAAGCCTGCGCGGGCACGTAGGTGGCTAATAGTGGTGCGCAGCTTGTTGGTGATGGGTCCTGGGGAAGCAACGGGTTCTCCTTCGTTGGAGTCAAGAGTTTTGTTCGGATCATCGTTGTCGATACGGACATAAATGTCTGGATTGGGGTCCTCGACCGCAGCCAAAGTCGCAACTACGCACCCATAGGTATATTCGACCTTTGAATTATGTTAGGGTAGCTCCAACGTGTATAGCGTGTACAGGTATGGGACGAAATGACTTACAGCGACCATAGCAACTCCGAGAACCAATGTAGTCAGCACGCAGATCACTACCAAGAGTGGAGAAGGCTTAGGCTGATCAGGGTTCTTGTCATAGTGAGAAGACGCCAGCTCAGCACCTCGCCGCAGGAGAATACTGGTGACAGTCATGGTAACAACAAAGGAAGTTGAAGCAATCACGAGATAAAATCGAGGTCAGGAGTGAAATAAAGTGAGACAGGAAAAAAAGAGGGAGATGGGGCGGCTTATGAAGGCGCGAAAGGCTAGGCAGCACAGCCCACTTATAATACTAGCCGCTCAGGTGCCTTGAAACTTGTATTGGATATGTTTATTTTACGTTTTCAACTATCGCATAATTGAGCTTTTTTTTTATTTACTTTCTTAGACTCGTATTCACTTTGTTCTCCGTTCTCCGACCGTGCGTTGACTGATATTACTATTACTAATCCTGTTAGTACTACCCTCTAGTTACTATCATCTTAATGAGAATATTCGACGCAGACTTGAAAATAAAAACTCCGGCCCCAGTACTGAATTGTAGAAACCATCCAGCTCTCTATGGCAATCAAGGGCATTTAAAACGTCTTGAGAAGTCATCCGTATATGAAAAGAAAATGAACGCTACAAAAACAAAACATACCGTAATTCATCACCCGTTTATTCGTCAAACGTCTTCACCATAAACTTGTGAGCCAGCTCAACACCAAGGCTAGAAGAAATTTAGTCTCGCGCAAACAAGAGTGGAGTATAAAGAAAGAGATCTCACAAGGTTGCTGCGTTTGCAGGAATCGCACGAGCGAGTGCCGGTCCAAAGCCAGGGAAGAAGGCCTTGAGACCACCGCTGGCATAGACGGTTCTGATAGTTCCGCCAATAGTAGGCTTACCAGGAGCACTCTGAAGACGGGACTTGATGGTATCAATTGGGAAGACGGGGATCCACATAGCAACACCGGCAGCACCACCGGCAGCTACAATGGCAGACAGAGAGAGTTGACCGGTGATGTTTCCCTCTTCATCTTTCGGGGTAAGACTCCGCTTGATGTATTCATAAGCAGCGAAATAGGCTGCCGAGCCGGGACCGTCACGGGCAAGAGTCATGGCGCTGCCACGGAACACACTGCGAACACCGCCCTCTTTATAAAGCTGGCGCACCACGTCCATGCCACCCGAGTATTTGGGCTTCTGGCCTGGGGGTGGAGGGTTCTGACCCTGGATCTGCAAGAGCACCTTCACTCGTTCGAAGGGGGCCGTGATCAGGGTCATTGGGATAGCTGAGAAGAATCCAGCAGCAGAAATTTGAGAAATGGAGTATTGCGGCGTGTTGTTTCGCACTGGCACAGTCGACCATTTTTCTACCAAAGTTTTGCCCACATCATAACCCTAGCTAGATTAGTATCAGATCAAGACGATTTCTAGATCAGTACATACCCAGAAGCTGACAGCAACTATTCCAAGTAAGATTAGCTTGGTGGCCATTTGTCATATATTCATTGAACCGAAGCTTACACATCGGAGTGACGCCCACAAGCGGGGCCGACACACCAGCATACAATCCCTAGGAAAGCCATGAGCCTCTGCACCCCTCAAGATTATTTCCATATCATTCCATACCCGAGCCAATCCTTCACGGGCTACTGTCTTCCGCACGACATCCATAGCGCCTGAGTAAACACCCTTCTCCGCCGTCTGAAGACGGACTTTGACAAGATCAAAGGGATGTCCCACAATGACCGCACAGAGTCCACCCACAGCTCCAGCTGCAAGAGAGCGCAACTGCACTACTGTTTGGTTCACGGCCTTGGCCTCAACTACCTTAAGCTCATCCTTGAGCTCCTGTGGGGGAGTAGAGGTTGACATCGTGATTAGAAGCAGTAGAAGTTGACAGTTTTTTTAAGAAGAAAAATGAGTGGAGGAGAAAGGTGTGAGGAGAAGCGGAGAGGATCGAGGAATGGAAGAAGTGAGGAAGAGAAATAAGCAAGATGGAACAAAAAGGACGAAGGTGCTTCTGCAAAGCCGAGTCCTTTCAATTCCCCGGACTTGAATCGTACCTCGGCTCGGCCTGGATAAACCGATTTCCGCGATCCACATGTTGGATCTTGAGAATGCTACACAGTATTATGCGGCGTATTACCAAGGAATTAAATTATTTACTAACTAGCTACAGACTAGCTACTGACCAATGATAATGTGACATCGCTTGATCCCCGGCCCACACATCGTCAAATTGGTAGTTCGGATGAATGGCGAACTCGTTACTCTGCATACCCATTTCTCCGAACCCATGGCTATCAACCAAATTTTCCCTCGGTAATATACATTATTGAGTTGAATTGTTTGATCCAGGTTACTTAATACTGACTACTGTTGAATACGGCGATTTGTACAGCACATTTGATACCCAGTTGGGCTTGTGTTCATTAGAGCAGCATTAACTTATTATTCCTAAGTCGTCGATCCATAATCGTTTCCCGTCATTTGCTTTATATTTGCAGTTCGCTTACAGCACAAGCAGAGCAGCCAGGCCGAGGGCTCCCATGGCACCACTGCCGACAGTGGCCATGGGGTGTGCGGCTCCAGTCGAAGTCGAGGAAGAGCCAGACGTGGTAGCAGAGCTACCGGAGTCAGATCCGCCGGTTGAAGTGGACGTGCTGGTCTGAGTCAGCGTAGTGGAATCACCAGAGCTGGTGGTTGTGCTTGTGATCAGGGTGGTTTCACCGCTGGAAAGTGAAGTGCCAGTCGAAACGCTGCCAGTGCTAGTTTGCGTGAAAGTCGTCATGGACTCATTGCCAGAGGCACTAGTACCAACTCCGAAAGTGGAAGTGACAGTGCTAGTCTCAACCTCTGTTCCGGAAGTGGTAGTTTCGGTGAAAACAGTCGTAGACTCACCACCGGAGTCAGTCGAGGAGCTAGTCGAGGAGCTAGTTGAGGACCCGGTAGAGGAACCAGTGGTGGTGGTGGTGCCTGGAGATGGATTGTTCAGTGAGATGTTTATTTAAAGGAAGTATGAAAACTGGAATACGTACTGGGGCAACTAGCCAAAGCGGTAGAGAGGACACTGGCAGAGTCATCATCGGGGCAAGCCTCCTTGGTGCAGTCACGGATACCGTTGGCATAGTCAGCCTTAGAGCAAAGGCAGCTCAAATCACCAGAATCGCAACCGAGCTCAGAGGCCTTATCATTCATGCTGCTGAGGCAAGTTTGCTATGAGGAGACATTGGTTAAATGAGACAATCCAACAAATTTGTCCAGTGAACCACTTACAGCACAGGATGAGACGGAAACAGCTGCACTGGCCTGGGAGGCAGCCAGTATGGCCAAAACAATAGTGGAGAAGAACTTCATAATGAAAAAGTGGGGGAGAAGGGTTGAGGAGTAAGTAGTAGAAAATGTGGGAGCTGTGAGAGGTGAAGATGGAAGAAAAAGAGATGAGGAAACAACATCTTTTTATAATCAAAACAAGAAAGAAGCACAGTCGTTACCACGAAAAACAAAAAAAAAAAAAAAAAAAAAAAAAAAAGGCAAGGAAATCTAGCCGAAGCTCTAAAGATCGGCGAGGGTGGATCTGATTGTGTTGTTCGACCCTTTTTTACCCTTTGTATTTGGCTTTCTAATGGTTATGGAACGTATTGTGTTTCGTCAACGTGGCTGGGTATACCCACTACTAAACTACGTAGTAGCTACTGAACTAGAGCTATAGATAGCTGTGAGGTCATGGAATTGGGTTTGTGGCTTAAAATTGGGCGATGGAAAGTAGATCTTATTCTCGATCCAGTATAAGATCATCGACTTTTGTATTCCCTGGATTGATGTGAGGAATGGAAGAAAAGAATACTGATATCATCTACACCGTACTATCTACCTTCTAATATTCTCAATACATAGGACTCTGTACTCTCGTACTGTCTAGGTAACTGTGTTATGTCAACAAGTGGCTGAGAAAAAGCAAAAATAGTATCCAATCGGGGTGCGAGCAGTCGCCGGTCTAAATAATTCAATTCAATTCAATCCTTGGATTCTAGCTGCCTGGACTATTGATTTCTGCTTTTTTGACGTCACTTATGATGCACTGCCTATCAATTGATGAATCTGGACAGGAACTCGTGTTCTTCCTGCATACTCTCCATCAAGAAGGCTTGTTTTTGAGCTACTCGGATATTATCATGAGGACTCAAGACAGATACAGTCTGACTGACAGATAGATTCCCGTCCAGGGACCAGTACTCCGTACCCCGTACTTAGTCCTCGTTTCATCAACACCGCTACTTCGACTTGGCGGGGAACTGGGATCAACGCAAGGGGAAAGGAAAAATGGAAAGGGACCCGGCTGAGATGTCAATAGCGGTGACTGTGATTGACTCCTCCACTTTTCAAATGTTGTTGTCATTGTGTACTATACCTAGGTACAAGATGCATCCTGATTTCTCACATGCATCTATGTAATAATCAGTGATAATTATGTAGCTTCCCAATACATTTAAGTACAATGAGTATTCCATGTATACTTTAGCTTCCTTGCCTCTTATCTCTATTACTTACTCCAATCCTGTAAAGACTTCTCCATTTTACCTTTACCCCTGGACACCTTAAAACTGACACCTTGGTGCCTTAAACACCCTGGACACCTTATCAACAAGGCATTTAATGATGCCAGCCACCTGCACGGACATCGACTCTCCGACATACACTTGGCACATTGCCTACCCAACCTAAATGTCTAGGTAACCTTGAAATCACTACCCGACTCGCCTGGGCAACTGAACACGAGGTACGTAGTTAGTACTACCTTGCCGAGACACCATAATTGCTACCTAGATAGTATGTCCAGTGATGGATCCAGGGTCCAAGCTCAAAGGCGATCTATATGTCATTAAAAAACTGGAAAAGTTTCCAGGATTCATTCAGGTACATTTCCCGGTTCTGAAACTTCTCACATATCCCTCAAGATACCTAGGTAGAGGCCCATGCACTCCTAAGCATCTAGTACGGGGTAAGGGGTAAGGTTGTACCTGAAACGGGGTAATTGACCTATGATTGCGGGGATTTAAGGTTCGAAGCCAAGCCTGGAAGCGATTGGATGATGAAGACATGGAATTCCCCTGCTATTGTACGCCACAGATGATATGAGACGTGGCGGAAAGCCCAGGTCACTCCAGCCCGAGATGCCCTGGTTTAAAATAATACTTTTGATCCTTGGGAATTGCATTTGGGAATTGCATGTCTGGTGATCTTGTGCCTAGTATAGGAACTACGGAGTACCACAAAATTGTATAGTCCAACAATGAACCCGGGGATACTCTGTACCAACGTAGGTACTGTACTAGGTCCAGTTCAAGTTTTCCAGAAAAGGACCCTAGAGCCAACGGATTCCTGCATACGGAGCAGTTTTTGATTGGGATGAAATATAGTCGGCTTTCACGATGTGCTTCTGTAGCCAGGGTATGTATGGATAAGCGGGTCCGGACCCGCAAATGAAAATTTCGAGATGAAAAAAAAAAAATTAGAAAAAAAATTGACCTACGCAGGGGTCGAACCTGCAATCTCTTGATTCGTAGTCAAGCGCCTTGCCATTGGGCCAGCAGGCCTGCTGTATATCAGTTTTGACGTATATGCCGTCATAACTCAGCAAGGAAGTCAGTGGGTATTAGTATCAGTGGTATTTGCACACCTTGCCCTTATACACCAGGTCGAGATACTAAACAGAGATATAAATTGTACAAATTGATAGTAGAAAGGAAGTTTTGCTTCTCACAAAAGGAGAGGCGTTGGAATAATAAGGAAAAAAATTAATAATCTACCGTATTGATACTTATTCATCTAAATCAGAGGTGGCATGAGTCTCTGGCACAAGTAGTGGGGACTTCTCAACATCATCCTCCATATTAAGTGACAGTCGTTGTTGGTGCTGCTTGCGAAGACCCATGCGTGTAGCTAGAGAGAGGAAAACATGACCAGCCACAAACCCAACGAGACAGGCAGCCAAGCCAGCGATAGCGCCGAAGAGAGCAGGGAGAATAACAGGGCGCACCATACGCAAGAACGCATGGCCTCTGTGCTTGGAGCCTTGGTGATCCATGTAGGTGGGCGACCAGTACGGCGAGGAGAGGTATCCAACATGCGACTCAGGTGCCTCAGCAGGAGCGAGGTTCTCACCCGGAATTGGGTGGGGAGTTTGCTCCTCATTTTCTGGCTTGGACAGGGTGCCCATTTGGGTCTTCCAGAACTTCATCTGCCACGGACGGCTGTGCGGAGAGTCGTCATGCAGGATGCGACCTGGCTGCAGACGAATTTGGGCAATATGCTGACTACCGTCTGAGTGGGCGACAAGATCTAGTTCGACCGAGTTGGGAGTAACAGGGCGACCTTGCAAGTCGAGCAATTCCATCTTGACCTGCAAGATGCGATTTGGAGAAGCGAAGTCATCACGCGAGAGAGGAGATACCTCTAGGGAATAAGAGAGATCGAGATCGTGGTCGTCAAAGTCGGAATGAGTGTTCTGTGTGCCTTGAATATGAGGTACTTGGAGTTGCATTGACGTTGAGGGTGGGAAGACCCGGTTATTATTGGCGTAGAGAGTGTCATTTTGTATAGACCATTTAATGGACTGCATTTCAAAAGGTTAATTTATAATGCTATACTGTTGGTGAACATACTTACGAGATATGAGTCTATCGAGTGATCGGGCTCAATGGAAGGAAGATAGGCTAACCGGATCTCATGAGAAGAAGTGAGGGGGATTGAAGAAGCAATCGCACCCCAGAAAAGAGTGACCCATTGAAGACGCATAGTGGATTATGAAGAATAAGAGAAAGACTGAGAGAAAGACTGAGAGAAAGACTGAGAGAAAGAATGAGAGGACTTTTTTGAATGAGAAAGTGGGAAGTATGTCGGTGAACAAAGGTTAAATAGTTATACAAAGAAGGTACGTTGAAATATGGGGGAATGGAAAGTGGAAATTGAGGTTAAGAAAGTGAGAGAGATAAGGGAAAAATGTCGAATAAATGGAGAAGCCAAATCTTGGGACTTCATAAAAAGGAGTAAATGTGAAGTAGTCCAAATAGTTTTTCTATTCAAATTATAGAAAAGTAAGCTTTTTGGCGAGATCCACAGCAGATGTGATTGGTTATATCAGAAGTCTACATGTTTCATCAATTACACCCTTTACTTGTAAGCCCCGTAATCCGTTTGACTCCGAGACATTTAGATATTTTAGTCTAGTAAGTTAGGCTAAATTAGGCTACAGCGTTGAATTCTATTTGCAGCTTCTTCATTTAATCTCCACTTTATAAAGCACTAAAGGTAGTTACGAGGTAGTAATCATGTGGATCTTGTACCATGCTACTCCAAGGCTTGGCTTTGTCACGCCTATTTCACTTGGATTATTTACGCTAACAACTAGTTGGATAGTTGGCTCATCAAGCTGACACCGCACATTCAGCCGCAATTCCACCACAAATGATAGTATGTAGGAGTAAAGTACCTGGATCTAAGTCTTGGCTACATGAACAGGTGGATCAGTCACGAGTATTCAAATACTTTAAAATATCTACATTTAGACTGGGTATGAACCTTAATCGATAACTTCAAAAGCTAATAGTTAAACGGGTTAAACGGCCATCTCCGATAATACTTACTTACCTAGGTAAATATCAGTCTGTATAGGCCCACTTTATTTTTTATTTTTTTCCAGAAAATGCTACTCGTAGGGCTGAGTAAGATAAGCTGTGTGAAATATCATGTCGATAGTATTCTTCTAACCTTGGAACATTACTGCATATAAAGCTATTTAATTAAATTTAGGGATCTACAGGCCTGTATAACTCCCTTCAACTCAGGCATAGGGCGCAGTCTGCCAGAAGCGGCAGCGTGCATTGTTGATCGAGTCGATCACTGGCTGAATGGTTGTGCTTTCGAGATTCATCAGATCCCCATCTTGACCATACAGCTCAAGGCTCGGTGCCACAGACGACCGGGGTACTCCAAACTGAGCAAAGCTGGTAATATAATCTTGTAGCGCATAGGCCACAGTGGCATTGCTCATGCCAAACTCACTAGTGCTCGCAACACCCTTGTTGTAGAAGGTATAAGCCAGATCCTGACCGTGTACTGCGGGCGAGATGCTGAATTCATAAGCAAAGGTATTATTGTCGTAGGCCCAGTTCAGGTATTTGGTGTTGCATTGGAAGATCACATCCGAGATGACGAGGGAGGTACGCTCGACTGAATTGGTATAACCGTATGACCCATTGTAGACGGGTGGATACAGAACCTCGGTGACATATTCGGTGACGTGCTTCTTGACATTGGGGAAGTTTTGCTCCAGCATCACGGCCAGACCAGCGCTCGTTCTACTGTCGGGGGAAACGAACAGGAGTCCTTCGTCGGCATTGTGGCCCACCATCACGGACAGATCGTGAGCAAAGTTGCCTTCCAAAAGAAGCTGTCCAGGCATCTTCGGCACAAATGTTCCATCAACAGCAGGGCTGTAAGCGAAACTACCATATACAGCCTGGCTGATCTGGTAGGCATTGGCCTCAATCAAACTCTTGGAAGAAAGCTTACGAGCCTCCTCGATTGTGCTGACATTTAGAAGACTAAGGAATGTCTGCAGAGTCTCCTCTTGTTGGTTTTCATCCGGGGTGGGAACCCAACCTGGACTCTGCAGAATCGCCCGCTGGAAAGGGACAGAGACTTTTCCTCCGTAGGCGGTGATCTGGTGCATGATAGATCCGGCTCCCGCGGACTCTCCGATAACAGTGACTCTGTTCTTGTCACCTCCAAACAGGTGGATATTCTCCTGGATCCAGTTCAGAGCGAAGCGTTGGTCGTGGAGTCCAGCATTGACAGTGCCATCTGCGGCGATACTTTCACCAGCCAACCAACCAAAAGCACCCAGCTAGGATGAGTCAGTATAATTTTCGAGAGCGTGGGAGCTTTTCATCAACCTACTCGGTAGTTCAGTGCAACGTATACGACCCCATCTCCATAGGTAATACTACGCTCAATCAGCCCGGTGGGGTTATCGTCAGACTTGTCGCCGCCCGCAAAGCCTCCACCATAAATCCATACCAAGACGGGTGCCAGAAGGGGACTAATCGAGTTGGCGGCAGCACGATCAAATATCTTCTTGGGAACAACCACGTCCAGGAACAGACAGTCCTCAGAAGTGCGAGGATCAACCTTGGCAGCTGTGTATTCATACGACGAGATATTGGTCGAGCCCTCGAAGGTCGTGTTGTACAGAACACTGACGATGAACTCAGGCGCAATATCCGATTCCCAGGTAGTGCTTCCCTGGGGACAGATGCGGCCTACCGAACCATTTTGAACATATTCGCGGTTGGGCGTGGGTAGTACTGGGGCTCTGAATCTGAGATCTCCAACAGGCGGTGCGGCATAGCGAATGTTACTGAAATTGTACAAGCCAATTGTGCTCTTATTCTATCAGCCATTATTTAGGAGTGTACATTACTTGATTTGCTTACATTGAACGAGATGGCTTGGTGCCGTTCGTAACCTAGGTCAACGATGGGCAAGGATGACGCCGAGCAGGCTGAAGCCAGCGCTAGCAACGACAAGGCAAGCATATTGAGGGAAATGATACAGACTGCTGTCAGACGCACTTGCAGACTGAAATCAGCCAACGACCTTATGGGCTTTTTAATATTTTTTTTTCATCCCAACCTTCGGACTTACGAAGTGGAGGCCCGAGTTACCCGTTCGTTATAAGCCCCACGTAAGGATTCATCTACTTTGTAGTCAGTAGAAATTAAAGGGGTATTTTGTAAATACATGTAGTTGCATTAGTTGTTATAGATCAGATCGAAGATCAAACCTTAGATAACCTTGAAACCGTGGATCTAAACATACTGAACCACAACTACCTACTTCCCAACATCAGCCCAATTGAATAACAATAATTCATCTCGGCTATCCGGCTTGGATTTACCGGACTTAATTTGTTGAGAGCAATGACCTTTCAGGCTCGGATAATATGGCACAATAATCCTCCGGCCCGGTTGAAAAGTGTATACGTAATCTGCACTTGATCCTCCCGAAATCATTTCCGTACTCTCGGTAAATTCCGTAGATATCATCCAATATGCAGTTAATTCAAGGAAATTTTAGACTCGTTTGTATTGTAGGGCTGTGTACTAAAGTTACCAAGCTTGTCAAGATCTAAGGAAAGATGGCACATTTTATATTGCCCGATTGCAGGTAACGTTACTGTCTTTCTGAAAACTTCATGAGATTATCTTCAGATACTTTAAATTATGATCATCTGGCCCCCAAATAATGTATTCCAATGTTTGCATCTGAAACCCCGGGGTTCCATTGCACTGCAAGAAAACCCACGGGTCCAACCTTCCAACGCTGGAAAAAATACTACATGTGCAGATAGTATTCAGGTGACGAGTTAAGTATCAATACCCGAAAAAATAAAACTGTGGGTCTCCTCTAGAGATCATCTGCTGCTATGAATCTGTGTGAAGAGAGGTAGCTCCCTTCCAAGGCCACGTATAAAGGTTCACCTTCCCTCCTCTGTTTACTTAATGAATCCCAAGAATACCAGGTATCCGCGAACTTAAAACTACAGTCTCAAAAATAGAGGTTGTCCTCGTTGCTACTTAGAACTTTTCACTACCATGAATGTGGGGGAAGTTGATTGACCACTAGTCTCTATATGGAATAAGTCCGAGTTCACTACCTGCACAACGTTGTATTCCATGATCTTGTATTGAACTCATCTCATATTATGCACGTTGCAGGTCTATGAGGATGTTTGTTCCAAGCATCAGGTAGCTCTCGTCGCCATCAAAAGCACGAATTGAACAATATGAAAAATATGACACTATAGGACATACCTGGTTCATGTACTCACTTTAATCAAGGTTGTAATAAAGCCATTATAACGAGAGAAGTATCGTAACTTTCAGTCGGATCATGAGATAATATAATCATTTTAACAAGCTGTGGACCCTTAGGACCCTCAGAGCCCTCAGGCCCAGCAATCCACCATAGCGATATCCCATCAACCATAAGATATCCTGGATACCGACCTTCGTAAGTAGAAGGCTCATAGATGGGATAAGTTCAGCCATACTTTGCGTATTTTTGTTATACCATGTATTTCGAGGGCCAATGCGGTGGCCACGCAGACTTGATCCCTTTCTCATGCTCGACGATCTTACTCAGTTTGAATCACCCAAAAAGAAAAGAAAAGAACAAGCTCTTTCCACATGTACATGAAGCACTAATATGGAAGGCGCACTCGAAAGAGTCATCCCGCATAAGACAGACAGTATAGAGCCCAGGCTCAGAGGAATGAGTCTCTGAAGACGACTGTTCATTCGATATAGAGGTGGCCAAAGAGCCTGAAGAAGCAGAAGATACCAAGAAAACACGCTTCTGCCTCAAAGAGACCGGATTTTGCTGGCCCAGGCTACTTGGTTTTGGTCCAGAAAGATGTGAAAGCTTGTAAGAATCGTGACAATACTCAGTGCCGACTTTGTACTTGGTGTTTCAGAAGAGGGAGGAGAGCCGAGCGAAACATAAGGCAAGTGTAGAGAGCGACTAATCTCCAACTGCCGAGTCGACTTGGATATTATATAGGACATTGCATGTCGGTGGAGGGACAGTCTGAAGTTGAGAAAAACGAAAAAGAAGCAAAAATGAGAGAGATGCTCATGATGTAACGAGTTCGTACCCTAAGCATTTTAAGATATCGCATTGATGGGTATTCAAACTATTGAGCTGAATCGGGCTGGAGTGTATCTAATTGAGTACTCCAAGGCTTACCGCGGAATATCTAACTATCAATATCACTCTATAAAAAGTGCCCGGGTAATCAGAAGTTACTTGAATAATGCAAACATAAAAGAGGTACAACGCGTTTAGATGACAAACTGGAAGCATCAACATAGTTCCCAATCAGGACGAGTGATTTGGAAGTGCGCCAGTCTAGTCCATTAAATACCCCCCTCCACCACTTCTTCTTATTCTTCTTTTTCTTTCTTCTTCACATATCTTATTTTTTATATTTGGTCCTGTCGATATCGCCCCTGGGACCAGGCAGGAGAGCTAGCTTTCTGAGACTATGATGAGAGCCAATACTGGACAGGACGAGAGCAAGCTCTACGTACCTAAGCTAGAACTGATCAATACTGCGCTGACATCTTAAGATTGCTTTTCTTTCCTGCCCCTCTTACCCATATGACGAAGTTGAGATGGAGAGCACTCTATCTTCTCTTCTGATGGACCCATTACCCTTTCCCACTTCCACTCCCACTTCCTTTATTTTTTCTTATTTTTTTCTCTTTTCCGCCTTTGGGATTCAACCTTCTTTTCTCATTTCTCATCATTTCTTCCCTCTGACATGGTTTGATCAACCATAATAATCATGATTCATAAAAATTCACTCATTCCCATCTTATAGCTACCTGAATCCTCTTTGGAGTCCTTGGCCCATATTTTGTCAACACTAAAGTAGAACATCCAACTTCAACATACCTCAGTCGTCTGAATATCTAATCCATGTGTTCTGTTTAGTAAACGACAACCACCTTTCGGGTCCGTATTCTATCTAGTTTATATCAAGATCGCAATACTCAACCAACATCATGATCTCCCACATGGTTCATCAATTTATCTGTCACTTGTGATACATACAGATTTGATATCTGTTAAAATTCTTACTCGTCCAAGTCAACACCAAGCATAGGAGTGCAAACGAAATACATCAACCTGGCCAAAATACAGTGGTTACCTATTAATAGTCGGATTTACTTTCTAGGAGGGTGGAAGGTCTTACCAGAACACTGCTGAGAGGTACTTTTTTCTTCCAAGTTCGATTATCGATGTTATTGATACTTGGAAGAACCTATAGGCTGCATCAGATAACTCACGTTTCAGGTCAGAACGCGAGGAATGGCTCAATTGCTGAGTAATTATTGCTAGAATTGTGTGCACGGTGTCTTTGTGGCAGGAGAGGAGTTTACCAGTAATTTGTCACTAAGAGATATCCGTGTTCTTTCAGGTTCGTCGCCTATGCAGCTCGAACCTGCAGCCCGTCTAACTTCTCCTTCTCCTTCATAGTATATTCGACAAGGGGGTGTACCTTCGAACGCGTCAATACCAATCAAAGGAAAATCATTCCTGAAACACAGGTCTGCCCCATCAAGCTAGCATCTGAACCTGAATTACATTTAAACTCAATCGATATGAAAATCTCGATTGGGCCAAGTCAAAAATAGAGTCTGCCGGACTCCCGACTCAAGCCCCGCATTGACATTTTGCCAAATCAATTCATGATAAAAGGGGAAGCATTTCATTCAATAAGCACTATCAATTGGTGTATCATCCGGAGAAAAACATTGAAGCAAAACACCTATATTACCTATAGAGCAGGGCAGATCGTTCTTGTTCATACACCGACATCTCGTCGGGCCTTTGGCCTTTCCCTTATTATCGACTACTTCAACTTTCGCTTCAACCAACCGAAGAATCCACCCTTCTTTCGTTCTGCCTTTTCGACCGAGATCTCAGATCCCTTAGAACTTTGCTTCTTCACTGGTGCCGGCTCAGGGGATCCGGACTTCTTTCCAGTGGTGGTTGGGGTGGGCACAGCCTCCTTGGGAGTCTCGCTGGATTTCAGCTCAGGAGTCTTGGGCTCCTCGGTGGCAGGGGCCACACTCTTGTCAGCTGAAACCACGTTCTTGTCAACTGGAGTCACGCTCTCGTCAGCTGAGGCCGCACTCTTGTCAGCCTTGGGGAGATCCAAGGCAGCACTAGCAGCAGCAACGGCATCCGGTGAAGGTGATGCGTTGACCTTAGTCTTGGGAGAAACCTCAGCAGAGGTATCCTTCTGGAAAGTTTGAACAGGAACGAGCTCAGGGGTGGTAAGTGCCGCCGTTGCGGGGCCAGCACTAGCCAGAGTCTTCTTCTCTACTGTGCCGGCAACCTGCTCCTCCTCTGTCTTGGCGATCTTGTGCGGCTTCACGTCATCATTCGAGAATATGGGCTTCTCGTACGGGCGCTTGATGTGTGCGGCCTCGATGGTCTCAGTTGGGGTGGTGATGGGATCAGAGACAGGGGCAGTGACAGGCTCGACAGCGGCGGGCGCAGCCGCGGGCGCGACATCGGTCGATTCTGTGGCGATGGATCTGGGGGCAGTGACAGGCTCAGCAGTCACAGGCTCAGCAGTCACAGGCTCAGCAGTCACAGGCTCAGCAGTCACAGGCTCAGCAGTCACAGGCTCAGCAGTCACAGGCTCAGCAGTCACAGGCTCGACAGAAGTGGGGATAACGGCGGGAACGGCGGTCGACTCTGAGGTCTTGGGACGCTCAGGCAGCGGGGTGGTAGGAGCAGGTGCAATGACCTCTTCGATCTCGGTCGACTCGACATCCTTGGTGGTCTCAGGCAGAACATCTATCACTGGTGAGTGCTTGTCCATTGCTACGTCACTAACAAGCTCAGTCATACCTTTTGCCTCTTCCTTCTGGATCACGGTCTCCGTCTTCTCAACCACTGGCTCAAATGCCTCCACCTTGTTCTCAGTTGTTGTTACCACCGGCGTAGCCTCGTCGATGCTTTCCTCCGACTTTGTCTCGACCTCGACCTCGACCTCGGGCTCTGACACAACCGGGGAAACAGGCTCCTCGGTCTGCGCAACAACTGGAGTCTCTTCTTTCAGTGGCTCAGTGCTCTCAGTACCTGCGGTAACATTTTCTTCAGTTGTCTGGACTGGCTCACTGTGGGAAATGTGTTAGCGCCGCGCTACACAAGAGGCTACACAATGACCAGGTGGCACGCGATCGAAACTTTTATTATTATTCTCTCTTGACTTACACAACATTGGTACTGTCAACAGCCTCTGTGGAGGGAGCAGGAGAGACAGCAGTTGCAGCAGTTGCAGCAGCAGACTTGGAACCCTTGTTCCTCCTCTTACCGCCCCTCTTAGCCATTGTGATTGAATTTGGAGAGCGGTGATTAGAATTTATTTGCCACGAGAATGACAAGTAAAGTATGCAGAGATTGCCACAGAACACGGGGTACAGTAGGATTGGAGGAGTTCAAGGGTGAAGTTGCAGGAAGGATGAAGTGGGCCAAGTAAAGGGATGGAGAATGATCCGGTATGTTAGACTGAATTGGACTGAATTGGACTGAATTGGACTGAATTGAAATTGGAAGATTGACTGGAATTGACCCGTGGTTCTCCCCTTCTTCAGATGCTTCTAGAACGTGAAATCAGAAATTACACAGAGAACGTGGAATATACAATGAATTTGAATGAGTTACTTTGACTCTTTGTTTACTTGTACTTCCATCAACTTCAGTTTCTTTAATTTCTTTAATTCTTGAATTTCTTCAATTCCTTCAATTCCAATGGATCCCCTGCTGCAAATTCTCATTCTCAAGGTACTTTTGTACTAGGTAAGATACTTTAAATGGAATGATATGCAATTAAATAACATTTGAATACATGCAATTTTCATAGTTCCGGTCGCAGGTGTATCTGTGCCCTAGTGCTAAACCATTTGGGTCCAATAGGGCTGCATATAGTGATGGTTAACAGTTCATGCAAGGGAAGTGTACTTCTTTACTGCTTCTATCTTCTCCATTTTACGTAGTTCTTTAGTTCTGTAAATGGACTAAATTAGGTACTAGTTACATCAGATTGAAATATGACACATCAAACCTTATCCAAATCTAGGGCTGAGAAGAAGCGAGAAAAAGCAAAAGATCCTTCGAAAGGCTAGTGGGGCAAAAGTACTGACTACTCTAGAAAGTCGTCAATTAGCCCTAAACTGACAGGAGTTTGTCATCATGAAAGTAGATAGTAAAAAGAAAAGGATAGCTAAATAAAACATGGCAATATTCTCTGCTAGAATTGAAGAAATGAAGAGGAAAAAAAAAGAGGAAAGAAGAAAAAATTGACCTACGCAGGGGTCGAACCTGCAATCTCTTGATTCGTAGTCAAGCGCCTTGCCATTGGGCCAGCAGGCCTATTTGATGAAAAGTTGGCCTTAAATGATTATATAATACATAAGTGTTTAGTAATCGGCAAAACTGTGCCGAGTGGGACTAAATCACGCATAACCCGGGCAATACTATATCCACAATTACTTCACACACTTCACAAAATACGGAGGCAAACCGAACATGATGCAACCAAAGCACAGATCCCCCCCTATTCTGGAATCCTTCGTTGCAGACTTGGCCTTGGCCAAACTCATTCCAGGTACGGCATACTCCGTTAAACTTACTGTGTACATTCTTGGGTCCGAGTGGAGTGTTTAGGTCTGTTGTGTATCTGTGCTCATCTATACTCTGGTGTCTATGTCATATCTATTCTAGATTGTTCAATTTTAACCCGGCATCCAGAAAAATTGGAGCTCTCAAAAAGCCGAGCTATCCGTGAGCGACATATGGCCCGCATTAGTCCCGATGGACGGCTGCAGTCTCACAATGATTAGGTCCCATTTCCTTCATTACGCGATTCGTCTGGATTAAACTTCATTTCACATTTCAGAAGCAAATCAAGTTACCCACTTAGTGTTATTCGCCCCTCCCGCCCACACCGAAATCGCCTTGGGATTCGCCTGACGTTCCTTATTCCCTATCTAGAATCCACATTACTCCATCCGATACCCTTCCGATTCTTCCCTCCCTTAGATATATCCCTCATATCCCCTCTCTCTTTTCGTTTTCTCTCCTTTCAATACCCAATTTTCAATCCAACCATAGAATGCGAATACTGTCTATCAATCGTATCTCCACCAAGTGCTTGCACATCCATCGCGTCCAGTCCCATACCCTGGGAAGTGGTATGCTCCCTTGAGTCCCTTGAGTCTAGGAACACCCCATCAATACAACCTTCACTGTTCTCGGTGTAAAAGCATTTATCAATTCAAACCATGAATTTCAGAGAGAAAGTTCGGCGGGTGTTCCACCGCTCCTCCAACAGCACCAGTTCTATCAATGGAAGGCCTCAAGTGGAATATTACAAGAAAAAAGAAATACCGCCGTCCAAGTTCAAGGGGCCATTTGACAAGGCTCACCAAAAAAGCCTAGCGTCTTGGACGTTCGAGGGCGCTATGGTGGAACGCACGAGATCATTGGAACAACTATCTCTGTCACCGTTGTCACCGTGCGCCACTCTCGGCGCCCCGTGCGTCTCGGACTCCGACTCAGAGATTTCCCCGGATGACGTTCCTTCAGTCCCAGGTATGATCCAATATTACGCCGATCTTTCTTTTCGAAACTTGTGGTCTGACAGCAATCTAGTGGGCATTGTCATCCCTGTGGAAAATCCCTTGGAATTGGAATTAGACCCTCTCTCGGCAGCTCCACGCGCCAACAGTTCTGGCTCTCAGTCATCTACCATCGTCGATTCTGAGAGCTACAGTGCCTCCTTGATGACTCTTCTTCCTGAAAACTCTCTCATCGAGGCTACAGAGGATCACATAGCCCAGATCAAGGAGTCGATGAAATATTGCTCACCCATTGTCCGCACAATCACCCCTGTGACCATGTCTCCACGGGGTAAGTGTCTACCGTTTTCACCTGAAGACCTGACCCGCGCTTTAGCAGCTGTTCAAGTCTGCGCGTAGAGTCCGTCAACAACCTATTATCGTCGATTCATTAATCTCACCGACTTGTCACCTTCACCCTTCACGACCTGTCTTCCTCTTTATTCCCTTTGATTTCAACCGGGCCTGTCATATTCGTGACAAATTACGAAATCACACACACCCATCTGATTCGGTCTCCAGATATACACGATGAATTCTGGAGACTAAAAGACTACGGCCCAGCTCTATTTATTTTGCATATCACATAGGAGCGTATACCCGGCGTTTCGGTTTCTTGGCTTTTCCGCAACTAGTGCGACATAGCGTACGAAGGCATAACGAATATCACGTCCACTTGAATAAAGACCTGCCAAAAGTATTTTAGTATTAAATCTAAATCCAAATCTAAATTATCTTTATGATCTACTTATACTTCATCTTCCTGTACTAAGCTTTGACTACCCCGCACTGAGCAAGGCCTTCCGTCTCGGCATTCACAAACGAGGCAATGATCTTGACAGATCGGCCCAAATCATTAGTTTGTGGTCAATGCTGCTTGTTCTGGAAGGTCTATTCTTGGCTAGTCAACTCACTAAGGTGAGTTTGAGATAACCTTGTTGGAACTGCCCGGTATCCACTGGCGTATATATTTGAAGTACTTTCAACATACCCTAGACTTTAAGAGTTATACGTGGATGTTTAGATTAAATCATTAAATCAACCCAACCATACCTTGATCAAGTACGATTCCCACTATCCCGAAAATTCAGGGGCTGAGGTCAATGCTGGGCAGTTGAGTAGAGCATACAAACTTGGAGGTAATACCTCAACAACCATTCATTAAGTATACCTCTCAGCCGCTCAACCTTCTCTTCATCACTCTATTCCATATTTTTCTTACCCTTTATATTATTATATATATTATCTGTTTTCTCTCTCTCTCTCTCTCCCAGAATCCCCGAAATCACCCCAATACATCTTCCCCTCTGTTCTCTGTTCGTCTCTTCGTCCTTTCTACATCTTTCAGCATCTTTTCATGAGACCCCTCCTACACTTCCCTTAGAGGCTCAACACATATCTCAAGCCCACATGAATGGAGCCCTTCTAGTCTCAAGATAGAACATATGAGCCAATAACAATGTTTATGACTTGGTTCTATTATTGCGCGAACTTCACATACTTCCATCCAGGAGAGTTATCTAGCAGCTTGATGGGAGAATGAGAATCACATACCAACTTGCCCAAACTGATTTGTGCGATCCTCCCAGACCTCTTGTGAAATTCGAAGTTGAAGGGCCAAAATCCGAAAATCACGGATTAAAGGGTGGACAAAGAAGCAGCAAGAGGAGGAAGAAAAGAAAATAAGTATATACGCGATCATGTACCCTCCAGGGCTTTTATGAGGGATTGATAACTACTCGTCAGATAGGTTCTGAAATGGAGTCGGTAGGACGGCCTGATTCCGTCTTTGGTTGAATTGGTCGTAACCTGGGCACACTGTATTGAGAAGTGTTGATGGAAGAAGGCGGAAGAGAGGAAGCTGATGTAGTAGGAAACCATATATAGTGGGGACGAGAACAGTGACCTCAGGAGAGTTAAAGGAAGAGTGAAAGGAAAAGTGAAAGGAAGAGTACCTAAGAGCAGCACCTCGCTTAGCACGTCTTCCACCCAGCTTATTGATTGCCACTCATCACATGGATGGTCGAACTTGTCACTGAGTCGAAGATATACGAGAAAGAACAGATAACTGAGAAACTCTTCCAGATCTAATGGTCCGAAGCAACCGATGTCAAGGCCCGATAGATCAAAGATTAACATCATGTCTTGCAAATACGCAGAGAGACAGAAAGGCTACGGGGTAAGCCGAACCTAGAGGCGACTTTGGATATATCAAAAGTCGTGTTATGGCAGACGCAGCGCATTCAGCAGTCCTTTTACTATGAGACAAGTTCCCACAATTCCAGAGTTCGACGAATAGCGCGATTATTAATCACCTTGAGCAGGATCAAGCTGACGGAGATGAAGGGGTCTACTCAGTAGAGACTTGCGCTACGCACTCAAAGAACTAGCTAGAGATCCTGATTTGAAAATTTCTAGAAGTATCACCAAGAGTAGCTCCAAAACATGGCCTTGTTACTCCTAGCAGATGAATTCTTTGGTACAGAGCTGAATATGATAGTGAGAAAAGAAAGTGACGTCTCGTAACAAAGCCGCCAAAGCACAAGCCATAGCGACTGCTATATCGAGCAGAAATTTTCTTGCGCTCTTTTTCAACAAGATTCTTCCACGATGGGCGTGGTATGGAATGGCAAAGACTTTTTTTTAATGATCGAGACTGGCATCAGTACCTACCTCTGTCATCCAAAAGAACATGGCAACAAAATCGATCTAACCACTAATCGACTTGAGAGGACTGCTTACCATTTTTCAGATCCAGCTGGACATGTTCGCTGACTTCAGAAGCAAGGAATATCGAGACCACATGGAAGAGAAAAAACTATCCAAGAAGCAATTTGAGTAGATTCTCCACAGAATGTCGTTCCTGGTATATCCTCCTCGCAACAACCGATCAGAACTATTTGGTATGCGCATAAGGATTGGCATACGAGAGGCAGCAGTCATTTTTAGTGAACGAAGAACTACCACCAAAGAAATCGGACATCCAGGGACTGAATTCCTCAACTTAACATTTATACGGGCCAAAAAAGCATATGGTTTGGTCACCAATGGTTCACTCAAGTATTTCGATTGAACTCTGCTTCAATGTTTAGATCACCTGTCGATTTTGTCACAACTATACAAAACAATACTGAAAAAGAAACTGCTAAAAAAAGAAAAGGAAAAAGCCGAGCCAAGATACGTTATCCGGTGTCCTTATCATGTGACGACATGCCCGAAAGCTCCGGTAGCGAGATTAGAACTATCGAACTTTACATTTTAGTACTGAGGGTAATATACCTAGGCATTGGGAGTTTCTACCCAACGTAGATGATAACGTAGGTACTAGCGTGGAAATGTCATCATAGTGTCAAGTCTAGAAGCACCATGTCTACGAGAAGAAAAGAATAGGTCGGGTCATTTCAGATTGGTATGATTCATTTTCAATTTTAAGACTGGCCTAGCCAGCCAACCGGGAAAAAAAGACCCCACGGATGCCCAAAACAAGCCGAGAACAAAGGAATCCCTCCAAATACCCCCGGGAAAGAGACACAATAGCTTAGCCCTTCTTCTTGGACACACCGACGGTGCGACCACGACGGCCGGTAGTCTTGGTGTGCTGTCCACGGACACGCAGACCCCAGTAGTGACGGAGACCACGGTGGGCGCGGATCTTCTTGAGGCGCTCAAGGTCCTCACGGAGCTTGCTGTCAAGACCGTTGGAAACAACCTGGGAGTCCTTGCCGTCGGTGATGTCGCGCTGTCTGTTCAGGAACCAGCTGGGGATCTTGTACTGGGTGGGGGTCTGCAGGATGGTGACAATGCGCTCAAGCTCTTCGGTGGTAAGCTCACCAGCACTAAAAATAAATCAGTCAGTATTTCTGACTTCAAGTTGATAAATACTCCTGCTGAGAACTCTGCAGTCCTTCCGATGTCTGAGTTGGGTTGGTCTGAATCCTTTCTTCCAGGGTGTAGAATTTGAACACTGAACAGGGGTGCATCGGAAAAAGTCCCATCCATTCAAGAAACCGGAGACAATTGCAAGAGTTCTCAGTCGGAATTTGCGTGGCATGTATCGAGAACGTACCGCTTGGTGAGGTCGACATCGGCCTTCTTGCAGACAAGGTTGGAGTAACGGCGACCAACACCCTTGATCTGGGTCAGAGCGTACATGATCTTCTCCTTGCCCTCAACGTTGGTGTTGAGGAGACGAAGGATGTATTGGAAGTTCGTCTTCTCGCCGGACACGAGCGCTATAAATCGAGAAAGTCGAAGTTAGCCATATTGTTCTTGAGATGTCGAAAGGGCCTCAAATCTGGGCCTTGGTTTTGGGGTTGCTGAGGTTCTGGGGTTTCTTTCTGGCGAGAATAGAACAGCGACTGAGATGCAGGAGTGATAACGTACACATGATGGGTGGTTGGCGCGAGGGCTCGCGATGTGTTGTCGACGGAGGGATGTACGTAGAGAAGGAAGTCTTGAGAGACCTTTGCTTCGTTGTGGGATCGGGTAATTGGCGCACTAGCCTGATTGGGATGTGTGCTCGCTTGATTGGAGCTAGTCCTAAAGGGGTATATTGGTCACATGATAAGTCACATGCGCTCAGGTCGAGGTCTGGTATGGTAACTTTCGTATTCACCACTCAGACTGATCTGCCGTTATTTCAAGCTTCTGACAGTACATATTATACGGATGCCAAAATGACTTTCCTTCTTTGCTTCATCACATATCCAGCCACATATCCTCGTCCTCCAGAGACTAATACTTGCTAATGCCATTACTATTCCGTCAATAAAAAGGTTACTCTCGCTACAGATCTTCGCTACGCTCTACCTTGTCAAGTATATTCCACATTTGCGCCCTTTTGCTAATAATAAACCTCAATATCAATCGCCATTAATGCCTTCATATTTTGATTTTTTTTCGTTCTTTCAACATAGTGCCATACTTTCTAAAGGCTATTGGAACGGTGCTCCTCCCATTGAAAGAATTTTTGATGCCAACGCATTCGAATTAACGGTCTCTTTCTTTACACTACCCGTTCATTGCTTCCAGGACTAATTATGGCAACATGTACCAGTCGAAGACGTCAGCTGCTCAAGTATGAAAGGCGCATACAAAGAATCTTGTTTAAACTGTCGATGACTGTGGCCACTAACCGATGGCCATGCCACTGTTTAAACCAGGGTTCTTTGTGTCCTTTGCTCGACAACAACTGTCTAGTTTATCATGAAAGAATTCAACTCTCGAGTCTCTTGTCCTCAAATTCATAAATATTCGCAACTCTTCCAAGTATAGACCATTCTCTCACATCTCAAATTTATTTTCTTTCCTTCCAATACCTTGGAGCACCACACCGTCTCATTAAACAATTTCTTCTATTACCTCGAAGCGGTTCCATTACGAAGACAAAAAAATGACAGCCAGTTTTGTAAAGAAGGTCCATGAAATGGAATTCCCAGATGAGCCAGAGCTCTGTTTTGAACTGACCAAGCTCCCTGATCCCCCTGCTAATTGGAGATGGCTCAACAATAAAACCGCCAAAGAATTTGCTAGTACAAAGGACTATAGCGTTGATCTTGTTAAGGCATGGGCAAGGATTTATTTTTGGGGGATCTACTGGACACCGAAGCAATATTCTCCTAAGTCCGAAATTATCAAAAACCTATGGAAACTCATGTACCATACGCCTCAAAAATATCGACCACAAAGCTTCTCTGAGTTCTATGATCTGAATCGCGACAGCGGTCCTCGCTTTATCAAATGGGATGCGAATGTATATGAGCAAACTGTTCCTATTAGTCGCCATTATCCGAATATGCCTGCTGAAGGTCAACCTGCTAGTAAAGGCTTTGTGCGCCCCCCATGGGTGCCGGATTGGATATCGGATTCCCATGCTGAGCAATATCTATATCCGATGTACCTACCAGGCACTGAGCCTGTTCCAATTATAACGGATGGGGAGCCTGGAAACCCTGCAACCGAGTTTGGGACTAGGCCACATCCAAGAGTCAAAAGGAACGATGTATCCGAAAAGGCACCCAGAAAACATGTAACCAAAAAACAACCAACACAGCTACCTGCACCACCTGCACCAGTATTAGACCCTGCCGAACGACAGCATTGGTTGGATAGGATTGACCAAGAAATGAAGTCTATGCTCTATACAACCAATCTTCCTACTCCGCATATCCCCCACATTGCTCTCCCAATTCCTCCAGAACCTGGACAAGAGCTTGTGAAACAAAAAATAGAGCAAGCCATCATGAAACTCACGTATTCTGAGCTGGAGCGCCATCATGATGCCCCACTCCGAAAACCACACTCCAGTTCCCTCGCAGTCTCTTCAGATGATCTTCAATTCGTTCAGATCTCGGCGCATCCAACTGTCGCGGGGCTGATGCTTGATCCCAGCACACTTCAGTGGCATGAATCAGCAAAGGCTGGGGGTGAATTTGGTGTGCCTTATCAGTATCGGGGTAGGGGTCCTGTCTGGGCCAACAACTCCTGTGCCATTGACTCATGTATCGTTGCAGGAATGCTGCTTGATGCGGGATGTACCGTGGTGGACCGGAAGGATAATAAAGCTGTCCAATACACCGAGCTTGAAAGAGCCTTCATCGAAGTTACAAACATGAACTGGGATGTCCTCGACGACATAGTATCTTGCCAATTGCGTGATCAGTACTTCCATCTGATTTCGTCAACCGTGCCTATCATAAAAATGGGCCAACCCTCACCCACATGGGCAGTTTGGGCAGAGTCCACGAGGAACTTTGCTCAATTCCAACTGATATTTGAAGAAAATACTACTGGTTGTGAATGCATGCATTATCCTTGTGAAAGGCGTCGAAAGTTCGGATCTTGTATTTCAGTTGCAATCCAGGAGAGTGATGCTACGGGAGTGGAAATTTCGACATTGATTGAGCGCGTCCTACATAGTTCAATTATCGAACCCTGTCATCGGTGTGATAACCTATTGGGCAACATAACACAAGTGAGAGTGGAGAAGCTTCCATATCGTCTCGTATTGAACAATTACAACAAGGCCCCATTAAGGCCCCTAAATCATACGCAAACTGTGACTTTCAGATACTATAATATCAAGGGTGACGAGTCACTTGCCACATATCGATGGCTCGGAGGTGTCTACCAGAGTAATGGACACGTGAGGGTTTTTTGGCGAGATGGGAAACGTGGAGAGCGGGAATCAGGCAACCTTTGCATCTATGATGGCCAGCTAAATTCTGGAGTGATCATTGGAGGCGTCCCACCACAGCATCCAACTGAACAGGTTCCTTTCGAATATCTCCAAGATGGCTTCTGTCTCGTGTTTTATGAGCGTGTTCTTAATCCCACCTCAGAGGCATTAACCTCAGCTATGAGGACGGTTCAAAATATGGCGAAGACTGTGAGAGAAGGAGGGGATTTCCTTGTCAATCACAAGGGCTGGATGCCAAAGGAACCTCAGGCGCATCACCCGTTGCCTCGCGCAATAAATGTGATTGCAGATCGCTACTACGATGCTCACCGCAATGATATTCCAAGGGCATCCGACGGAAATCACAACTTCTTGAACATCCGAGACTTGGCCACGGTAGCTCCATCAGATCTTCATCGAGGGCTTGGATCAATCGGAATATTTGGTGATGAAATGGATTGGACAACTGCAGAACAACCATTCAATGAATTTGACTCGTTGCTCCAGAGTCCATCGTTATTCACTCCATATCCGGATATGTGGCCTCAGGGTCAGCCTCCTGCTGGAGCTAGAGGTGCACTGGAATTCCCTTGTCTTCCACGAACACCGACTCCTACAGCTTCACAAGTTACCACCCTGGCAAACAGTAGGTCAAAAGACTCAAGGAACTCAAGAGGCGATTTTGCTATCTCCTCCAGTAGGGTGAGAGCCTCCGCTCGCTCTTACATGTCTACACCTGCACAACCACGGGCTCTCGAAAAACTTGACAAGAGCATAGGTTTTAATAATTCGCTCAATGGGCCTGCCAAGAGGGTGGCAAAGAAAGCAGCTAAGAAAGTGGCTAAGGCAACAGCGGAAGCACCGAAAAAAGTGGTCAAAGCAAAGCGAGGACCGAAGAAAGGGAAGAAAAAAGTGACCAAGAAAAAGAGATGAGTATAAAGCTTACTTGATGGCGTTACAGAGTATGTAATTTTGATTGATGAACCTCGGAGTATACAGATACAGGTTGCGGCCTTGGTGAGAGTATTTACGGCTTTGTTTTTTGCTTTTATTACTTTTGATGTGATATTTTCAACGTACTTAAAATGTTAATCGATTGAATGCATTTTCAAGACTCGGGGGCTTTCTATTATATCAGACTACTGCATAGGCTACGAAGTCCTGAGAATATCGAAAGTTACCATCTTGTCGCTAATTATCTGTTCCAATCTCGGGGCCGACTACGTTTCTATAATCTATATCTATTCTAACACGATGAGAGATCCTATTGAAAATGCAAAACGGAAGGTGGAAAGTGCCTCCATCTACAGCCGAGCTCGGGGCTCCTTGGACTTGCTTGGGCCCAAGGCAACATTGCTCTTTTTAGGAGCAGAGATGTAACCACCCATCCGATTATCGCTATTCGTGATCACACCTTGAGCATCCCGATTGATACCTAGCTCGATCAATTTGGCAAAGACCTGAGAAAAGTGCTTAAAGAACAAGTCCTTGTCTTCTGCATATTTCTTCACCCACGGGGCAAAGCTAGGGTCGGTCTTCAGAGACATATCTGTGGGTAGCATCATGAGTGATTCCTCACCCTCTTCAGCATCCGGGTCCTCGTATACAAACTGGTTGATCCCTGATGCCAACTGACGAGGCTTCCACTCAAGCTGTAGTAACAATTTGAAGAACGAATTGGAAAAGCGAGTCGGGTTCGTCACCCACGGTCCCTCAAATCCGCTGCGGTCCCCGTGGCACCGGCCCATGTTATGTCCCCCAGACAATGCCACAATTTCCTGGTCGTTGAAGCCCATGCGGTAGAAGATGAACCGCAAGTGCTCAGCACCCAGTGCACCATCTGGTAATCGACCCCGTGGTGGTACCTTGGAGTCATCCACCAGATCTGTCCGTCCGCCCTGCCAGGGAACCTCGGGTCCACCCAACTCCTTGATCGCAACTACACCGGCTAGTGTCCATAAGTCTGAGTATGTGATCCATGGGTGTTTCTCCTTGACAGGCTCTAGGAAAGCCCGTCCGTGTTGCAGACCCGCGTTGGCCGGGTCGCCGCCCTCCGCTTCATACCGCATCCCAGCGCCGTTTGAACCACCGGTGTCGGAATCGAGATCGTATGTACCTGAGGAGTGCCTGCAAAGAACATTGTGTTAGCTGATCTAATTCAACACAGGTATCGTTGGGTCTTTTAGGTCTTGAGTCAGGAGGGGAGGAGAGCGGCAAGCGCCAAGAGCTGACAAGAACAACGCCAAGAAAAAGGGACTTTCGATGAACTCACCATGCTAGCCGCACAAAGACTGGTCCAGCACTACCATCATCATAGCCGGGCTTCTGCAACTGGGCAATGATGTCCTTGCGGACAGCCTCATAGTCCCCGGGAGTGCTCATTCTCAGCCGACAGTCGCTGGAGTATAGATTTGACTTTTTACTGCAATGAAACAGCCAGTATGGGCACTTCTTCGACCAATTCGGGTTCAGCGGAGACTCTGTGAGAGATGAACGACTTGGATGAAGAAGATAGAAAGTTATATCCTACTATCAGAATGTTTCTTACATATAAAAAGCCCAAGTGGGTCTGTCGAATGGCCAAATGCCGAGGTTCTTGTCGGCACTAAATCCTATCAGTTTCAAATGAATATTTTCTTGCTTTAGATGGCGAATTCGAGGCCACAGTGACTAAGTAGTAAAGTAATTGGGTAAATGCGACATTATAGGCACTCAAGTTCCGTGGCTTTTAGCTCTCAGGGGTCAAGAGCACTATTTAGCTATCCTTCATAAAGTAAATCACATACGACCCGTGATTACATACAACCCGTGAATTAGACCCACTTTTATTTCATCTTTTACATTATTTATCCCATAACTCCATTAAATTCAATAAAACTATGTAAATAAACTATTGAATCGGGCGCTGTGGACACGTCTCTCTCTTATGCCCGGTTTCCCGACATATCCCACACCTACGTGGCCGATGGCCTGGTTGAGAAGAAGCCGGGGTTTGGTGTTGGTTTACACCATCACTATTTTCAACACCATTAATTGACGCGTCGATAAGCTGTTGTGCTTCATGGAGCGCAAGACCACCTTCAATAGCCATTCGGCGGTTAGGGCGTGCCTTTTTTTTCTTCTCTTTTATGTTGGGTTTGCGAAGAGCGGCGATTTCCTGAGCTTGTATTGCCACATGTTGGTGTATAGCTACTGCGCCTTTCAAGAACTGGTCTAAGATCTGCTTTGTTTGTGTAGATGGCGATCGTGACACTGTAAGTAATAGAGATTTATGTTGGCGACGTATATCCTTCTGTGACATTGGTGTCTTTGGAGTATAGTTCTGGCTAGAGTCGCTGCCCCGGGATGGTGGTGGTGGTGGTGGTGGTGTTGGTGTACGAAGCGAGATAGTAAGCTTTGAAAGCCCCCTTTCTGGATCAAATGGTGTAATTTCAGTAGCAGCGAACGCATTAGATGCAGATCTAATAGCCTCTTCGCGCGCGATAGGGTAAATAGCTAGGAAATCTCTCTTATCGATAGAGTTGAATCCTAGCTCCATTTGAGAGCTAACTAGCCGGCCATATGATCTCTTTAAAATGGCGAAACAGCCTACATCGAGAGGCTGTAAAAGATGGGATGAATGCGGCGGCATAAATATTGGTATAATGTTGTTCTGTTGGCATGCCTGGTCAAAATCAGGCGTAAGGTGGCTACCATGGCCATCTAGAATCAATAGCCTATATCGCCCCTTCGTACGTGTTATGGTAGAGGGGATGAATAGCTTTTGTAGCCAACGAAGGCCTATTTGGTCTGATGTCCAGCCATTAGGGCTTACTTCAAAGCGCGTATCAGGTGGTAATCGACATCGTGAAACCAACGTTGCATCATGTTTTTGCCCTTGAATATGATACATAGTGGAGGCGCCCAGCCAGTTGAATTTAGACATTCAATAGCCGTAACCCATTCGCGATTCCCGGGTTGTATCTTCTCTCGTCGGCCATAATAGCTAGCTCTAGTAACGATTTTGGCAGTAGCGGTTTGTCCCATCGCGAAACCAGTTTCATCAAAGTTGTAAATGTCGTCTTCATGAATCCCATTATCGCGAATAGTCTTTTCAACTAAGATAAACCAATCGCGAATAATCTTAGGGTCTTCTTGTTTTGCGCGCTCAAAATTGTAACGTTTTGAATAGCGAGTTTCGATTTCAGGTGTACGCTTGATGAAGTTTGAAACCCAATTTCGTCCGATTATAAGAGGTGGGTCGATTCCGCGGTCGGCGAGTAGAATATTGGCGATTTGAGCGACATAATGAGGTCTAGGGGCAGATCCACGGTCATACAAAGAGAAAATCCATTTGAGAAGAGTTTTCTCTTCAGATTCAGTCAATTTATGGCCATTTGCGCGCTTCTCGACGCGATATTTAACACCAGATAGGCGATCGTGGAGGGTTGAGCGGGGTACATTAAAGGAAGATGCAGCTTGGGTTGTATTGGTAATTTCGCCATTATTTATAGCTTTAATAGCTAATAAGATCCTACCCTCCTATTCAACCCGTTTCTGAGCTATTTGAGCATTCTTAGGTGGCATGGTGGGTGGTTGAAAAAGTAAGACACGTAAATGACGCGTTAAAAAAAATGAAATTCACGGGTCGTATGTAATCACGGGTCGTATGTAATCACGGGTCGTATGTAATCACGGGTCGTATGTGATTTACTTTAGACTAAGATTTAGATAAAGTTTTTTCTATTTTAGATTTGATCTTTCAATGTATCGGAACAAGCTTGGAATCATTCACATTCCAGGGCCCCATTTTCTGTAGATGGTAGTTCTTTGCTTTGTGCTTCATCCGAAACATCGCTATCCTCTTCTTTCTCATCCTGAAATTATAACTCCTTCGAAGTCAAACGTGTCAATTGCTCTTGCAGAGACAATGTTCGCTGTTTCAATTTCTGTACGCGCCCATTGTATGTCCGCGCCACAGTATCAGCAGTCTGAACGACTCTCCGGTATTCCTTCTGAATCCACTGGTTTTGCTTCCGTAATCTTTTGATTCTTCGTTCTAGTTTACGCCGATGATTCATGTTCGAGTCCCGGATGATGTCAATCACCTCCTCAAGAGGTTTGGTGTGTGCTGGTGATAAAGTGCCGACACGTATATGGTTTGTAATACACATGAACGTCGCACGAATATCATCCGAAATCGATTGCAGAACTTCCGTCTTCTTATCTGAAGTCCACCTTTCTAGGCCTTCAAGTCGTATCACACTGAATCCTGGAGGCGTGGTATCTGGGGATGGCCTCTTGTGATTGGATTGAGTGCGAGGCGTTTCGAGTAATACCTCTTTTGGAACATTGATCAGAGATTCCATAGCTGTAGATTGAGTTATAAAGTGGCTGATGATTTGGAGCTCAGACGATTCTTTCGGAAAGAGATTAGGAGATGAGAACCAGCTCTAGTTCTTCTTATACTTATTGCTAGAGTGTCAAACCTTCCAAGGCTCTCTTTGATCGAACAAACAAGCTCGTGACTGCATTATATGGGGCAATTTTCAAGACAAGTTCAAATGTTTGATTTCAAACATTTCAAGCGAAAGCTGTGTCATTGTTCTATGAGAATTCTGTGTTTTGTGGTTTCTTCTATATTCAAAGGGTTTCTTTTGACTATGTGGAGTACAATGCAAGCGCTTTTTCATTACTCATTATGCAGCACAAGACCAGCTGCTCGAGCTAGTGTCATCGTGGATCGCGGCTCCTGATACCCAAAGGCCCAAGCCACACTAAAGCAAGTCAGAAATAGGAAATATCATGAAGAGATAACCTTGGAACTTACGATAGCACAGGCAATAGCCAAGATTAAGATATTCAAAATTGTCAAACACGACTTCTTGATGTTTTTGAAGTACTGGCCTTGATTCATATGAAGCCAGAAAATAGCAGGGAAACCGACTATTAGGTAGATTAGTATTTTATTCATCAGAAATCTGGAGCGAAGGGATTCGGTCTTACAGCTAAACCAGCTTCCGAATAGGGCACTCTATTTGAATAGTGTTAGCCAGTATCCCGCAATAAAATCTCAAATAAGAACATACAATAAGACTCAACAAGTCGTTGAACACTGGAATAGATTCAGCCACAACCCACGAAATCACCCAGACTCCGAGACAAATAGCGACCCAGCTCCCAATCGACAGGAAGCTCCGACTATTCATAACATCGGATCCACGGAACATGCGCACGTAGATGTATTTACAAGCAACATGGCCTAGGACGACTCCAGAAAGAATGGTCTATACTTGATCAGCTAAAGTGGACATTCAGGTTAACTGATAGACCTACCGTTGGAATAGCAAGTCCCCAGGCAATCTTGCTCATCAAGGGGCTCAAAGATGAGATGGCCGGTGACTCAACATTGGGGCCGACATAGTGATAGATAATCAAAGCACTAATCAAGTAGAGCACCGTATCAACAATTTGAAGCATTGCAAGTGACTTGGTGAAAGTTCTTGGGTCTTCGGTCTCGGACATAAAGCCGAAGTAGGCAACATGGGCGACTTTACATGCGTTAGCTCTTGACCCACTAATCTTTCTTGTTATCACTTACGGTAGGCAAAAATGATATTAGTGACTGCCAAGAAGCCCTCACGGAAGCTGACATTCGTGGTAGCTTGATTTTGGATGTGGCCTTTACTCTCAACTCCCGCAGCGATCATGGTGATCATTGTTGCAACGAAAACACTGATGAATGCTAAATTATATATTAGTAAACTTGTCTTCTTCTGTGATGGGTAAAACTTACAAACAACAGACATCACATAGACCTTGTCCATCGTTCGTGGCAAGGCACCCAAGAAACAGATGATCAATCCAACGACACCAAAGACAAGAGTGCAGGTGCCGTGGTCAGTGAGTACATTCATCAGAATATTGAACATCAAAATATTACTCGCCATGAGGAATATTAGTAGAAGCAGCTGACCAATTCCCATCAGTTCACGACCGATTGGGCCCATCAAGATTTCGCCAGCATCACCCATGCTGTGAATGTGAGGGTGACGGAGCTTGAATTGACCAAGGGCATAGCCAGTATACCATGATAGAGCAGAGATGAACACAATCATAATAGCAGCACTAAATACAATCAGTCAACAGATTCTACAGACGTCTCTCCAGGGCTGCTCATAATACATACGGAGCCATTCCTAGGGTAGCGACTGCAGATGGCAGGGATAGAATTCCCACCGAAACGTTCTCTGCAATCATAACTGATATACCTTAGTACTTACTGTACAAAGACAGTCTGAAACAAGACTCACGCATTCCACAGTGCCTATTTACCAGTCAGTTCCAGGGCTTATCAAGGCTGGCTACAAGACATAATACTTACCACCATTTCATAGTTCTATACTTGACCTCAGCCTTGTCCTCATTGCCAAAGGGCTCCAGGTTCTTGGCGACCAAGTTGTACGCCTTGTCGCCCTGCTGAGAGCGCTCAATGACCTCTTTGTCATCGATATATGATTCTTCATCACTCATGATGAAGGATTTTCTAAACACCTTTTGGAACACAAACAAAGTACAGATGCCAGTATTAACATATAGAAAATGATTTGATCAATTTTTCCACTGAATGACATGCGATCGATGCTTTTCCACGGAAAACCAATAAAAAATCTGAACACGCGGAGAACTTAGGTGGAGCTTCAATTTTAGTTACGCAATTTTAACATCTTGGCTATTACCGAACCCGGCCAACAATTCAGTACTTTGTTGATCAGCGTAATTATAGTCACTTCTGCTGGAATGCTGCTTACCTAGGGATCTTCTCAATCAACCTATGACGAACTATTTGCTCGTGATTTGTTCATGTTATGCATTCATAATTAACGATTTAGTTCTCTCCGTAGGTCAACCATACTTCGTTCGTGCAGATCGGTCCACGATCAACTATACCTACCAACCTTGGAAGTCGCTTGACTGTCCGTTGCATAAGCTGTTACTTGATATGATATGGATGATTAATCTATTCAGTGCCAGAGTCTGGTAGGGGCTATCGACCACATTTTCTGACACGGGTGATTTACCTCCTGGAGTATTATCGGTGTCGTAGAATTCAAAATGTGGGGGACTCCGGAGGAATGTACTAAAGCGGCTGTCAGGGTCTCTCTAAATCTAAATATGCCTGTTTCAGTGCTCCCGAGGTTATGTATAGGCACTAATTGAACAATCAACCTCATCTCTTTCTTAGGCTCAAGATAAAGCCATTGAAACCTTTCATCTAATACGAGGCTTCACATCAAAACACAGGCTGCTCTATCAATGACTGGTGAATAGTTGATAATTGATCTACGTATCTGTACCACAACAAGTTTGACTAACTGTGAGCTGTACCTCCCGAAATTGAAGCTAAAGAAAAATTGTATACAACATCAGATGTTAGGGCAAGAGCGCCACATGATCCACTTAGACTTTTTCTCAACCCGACTTGAATTAAATTCTTAAACTCTTAAGTAAAATATCCACTTTAGCCGGTTTAAACTTAGTCCGAGACGCAAGTGGCTTAGTAGCCGGATATATTATGTAGTTACAAAGTGGATCCGAGATCTGCCTCACAAAGTCTAAAGCTGAATATCACTTGGGCAGAGTACTCATAATAGGTAATGGCTTCTAAATTAACTATTACAAAGCTGGACCACTAAAAGCTGCTGACAAGATCTACCCAATTAAATATTGAATGGTTGCTATTTACTGACGTGACTGCAACGCCAGTTATCAACTTTTTTTTCTATTAAAATTGACCAGCTTCGATTACAGGTTTATAATACAGGTCTTATCAAAGTCTGTAGGTCATCGGAATATCTAGAATAGTAAATTATAATACTAACATTCGACATATCAAAACCCTAGAGTAACATCAGATTTGTCATAGATCAAGTATTTCAAACGCCAAAATGATGTGGAAATAAGGAGGAATCCCCAGCATTCCCACAACTTGCTGTACTAGTCTGTATATTTGACATCTCATGCTTTTGAGTATCTTGAAAACAGTGTAAGGAATCAGTGACGAATGACTGAGAGCCAACAAAGACTGGATAAAACTCCGTCGAAGGCGGACTAGCTGTGGGGAAGAGTTCAGTTTCGACACACTGGCGTTTTCTACTCTGATCTTGACCGAGTATAGATGCCTGCTCATGCGGTTCCAATATTACAGGGTCTTGTTTGACGTGAGTTGTTCTAGGGATAGCGTGAGGATTTGTAGGTGGGTTGCCGGGATTGATGAAAGACGTATTTCCTACTCGAGCAGATGCGGTGCGTATGGATAGTTTTTTCTCTGCATCTTTCTCGACTTTTGCAGTTTTGCTCTTTCGGCTGCTTTCAGGGTGACTATTATGGTCCTCGATCGAATTGGGAAGGTTCGTTCGCGAGATCAATACGTGGGTTCTGCCATCTGCAAACAATTACGTGAGTTTGAGATCAGAGTCTTTCTAGATGATAGGTTGCGTACCAACCAATCCCTCGAGGTACTTTTCTTCTTCCTCGCGAACCTCATAAACCTCATCCATTATTTTCTGCCGCTCAGCTGGAGAGATCTGACGACGGATGGGCTGGTATGCTTCCTTGAGTTTTTGGACAGTGATTCCATGACTGTTGTGCATTTCGCAAAGAAGATGAACTAGAAGTCGGATACGCTCTGTTCGAAAGCATCAGCATCAGCATCAGCATCAGCATTTAGCGAGAGGGATAATTCTTACCAGCTCTAGGAAGATGGTCGGGCTCTCGGTGGCTCACTCCAGACGGCCACCATGGGGGCTTTGTATCATCCGGCTCTAACTGACATGTCGTGCCCGCAACAATCTTTCGTCCATTGTAGGGGTAGTTGACTTGCTTGCGAGGCTCCACGAGCTTGATGTAGGCCTTGGCCAACACGCGGCAGTTCGTCTGCTGTAAGTTCTTGAATGCTTTCTCATAATATTGACGCAGAATATCTTTGTCTCGGGTGGAAATCAACACTTTCTGTTCTTCTTTCAGCGGCTCTTTTGCTTTTGGAGAGGTTTGAGGCCATGACTCCCGAGGTGTTAGCCATGTCGCTGGCTCCAAGGACCCCTGGGGGAAGGATATCGTCCTCTCGTTGTCTTCTGTGCCTTGAGTGTTTATTCCATGAAGCTCATGCCCCATCCGTGCTGGAAGAGGGGCTTCATTGCTCAGTCTTTGTGGCAGCAAGCTCGGCAATCCAGACCCTGCTACTTCAGATCAACAAACCGTTCTGGCTAAATAGTGGGGATGGCCATGGGAATCTCACACTGAGTATGGGGCGACTCTGTTTCTCCTGACATTGCTACAGCTCTCAGGAACATATCAGTCACACGCGGAGACAAAATTGAATCCCGGCTATTTGCCAGTGACTGTGATGATTCTTGTCGCAAATTACCATCTCGGTCAATGTAGATGAGGGCAAAGTGCGGATAAATCAAGTCCCTCCGCTGTGCCATGTTGGATAGTCTCTTTTCCTCTAAAGGAGGGGGATCTTAATTCTTTCCTGGCTCAGTATGGTCAGGAGATAATTAAAAGCCATAGGTAAATCTTCGTGAAAAGAGACCAATAGTAGCAAGAGCTTACAGAGAGAATATTGGAAGGCTCAAAGCCGCTGTGTCGGAAAGGAGAGATCTATAAGCGCCACCTGAAAATGACCTTGGAATATGACCAAAAATTCTATCGTCTATTTCTCTCGGCGTTTATCAGGCTGATCCCATAGGGGTTCTTAACATTTGAAAGGTGGGGAAATTGTCGATACAGCCCACCAGGAGATACCTAGGTATTTGGGTATATAATGTGCGATTATTCATAATGTTGGGCCTCTAAGCGCACCTTGACATGCATAGGCTGTTAATTTTTGCCATAGCCATTTTCTAATGTTTCCTTCCTGTTGTGTAATAAGATCTGCAGAACACAGATTGTATCCGTCATAATTTGGAGCCAACATTTCAAGGTTGGAATGGTTCATGCTGTATTTCATTAGGTACTCCCCACCTGAGCACCACCTGGGTACCACATGGGCACCTCCAGGGCCCCGGAGCTGGGCTGGGCTGGAGGTATGTAAGTGAATACTTCTCTACCCAGGGCTTGTTGTTGTCTGTCCAAGTGGCTACTGGATATTAAATAAAGATGAGCTGTCTGCATGTATATTTGGAATCAATGCATGACTTGATCCTTCCCAAAAAGTTCTTAGCTCAGGTTTAAGTTTGGTTTATATTTCTCTGACTTATCCAACTGACAATATAAGAGCTAAAGGGGCTTCAAAAGCCATGCCAGCTTATGATTACCCAAGAAGTATCGTCTACCTAGCCCTAGAGCTATGTCAATACCGATTATGGTGACGTTCATCGATACAAACCGTTAGCATACTTAGGTAGATGATTGACCAAACTCTCTCGGGCCAAACTTTTTCATCATACTGTGTATTTTATAACATTAGAATTCCATCATTTCCAATTTATGCAAGATATTCGATTACCAGCCTCGAAATACGATCTATCATCCCTTTTTGGACCAATCAAAATGAAGAGAGTATCATGCATTTCATGTGCCTCAGTGGCCCAAGCAACAAAGAAGCCATGGGTGGCTGAAACCAGCCATCATAGGCCCCAATATGCAATAGAATGAGTGGCTGAAACTAATTCTCCCAGATCCTTTTATGCAAGAGAACCATTGCCCTCATAGGAGACCCATACCGGTTCCAAATCGAGACAAATGCCCAGATAGTGAGATGCAGAACAAAGTTTATGGAGGGCCTTGGGACTTGCTTTGATACCCTTTGCCTTTCTCTTACGGCTTCCAGGGGCCCTACTAGAATAATAGAGCTTGGGGAGGCTGATTCTACGTACCTACGCTTAAGGCAGGTATGAGTGGCTCAAAGCTAAATTACAAATTTGGACTAGACCAGATTATGGCATAAAGGTGGCTTGGGAAGCCCGCACAGAATCAAGCTAGAATCTCGTTCGGTGCCGAGGTCCCATTTCCATTCATGTATGAACTATGATGTAGTTCATGCAACCATTTCTGTGGGTTGAAGGGAACGATATTCGGATCCGACCTGCATACGAAATAAAACCTTCCATCTTCAAATGTAGCCCTGGAGGTCCCGAGGTCTGTTGAATGGGTGTAGTTTTTCTTTAGATCCCCGCTCTTTATGCACAGTGCCCGATCTAGATAGCCACCTTGGTCATGTCAAATCCCGAGAAACATGGAAAGGTTTAACATCTCAGATCGTGTTATAGATCGGGAGTTTAAATCACCTAACGATCTGTGCTACATAGGATCGGGAGATCCCTCGGAGTATCCTACTATGGCCAAGTTTCAAATATTGAAATCTAATTGTAAAGATTGGTCATGAAATCTCCCAATCGGTGAGGTCTTATTGAGGGCAATAGCCCTGGAGGATAACGGGTACCACGAATTCCGTCTCCTGAAGTACCTAAATAACTCATTTTGACTGGGTGAATCTTTGCGTTTTTTTTTCTATTTGAGAGAGTTCTGAGTCCCAGATAAATCGTGTCGTTTAGTTACCCCCTTGCTGATGCGGCCTAGATGCAGCTATTGACTTTTGGCATATCCATTCATACCTGGGTACTATTTAAGTATTCCAAAGTTTTCTCTACTGTAAGCCTTTCGATAGTCTACTGAGCATGACAGTTGGAAGATACAATTGACTTTCCCCCAATCAACTTGGAGCATTGGAACGGTTTTTCAATTTCCATTTTCCCATATCAAAAGTTCAACCATGGTCAGTCAGTCATATCTATTGATCGTATCAAGAAAAAGAGAAGTCCATTTATAGCCCATTTTCACAAGGCTATGTATTGGAGGCCCAGGCTCCTATGGTTGCTAAATCAATTGATAACTAATATACTAGGGCGAGTAGCTAAAGTATTTCACCACTGAACGGGTCACACTACTGAACGGGTCAGTTTGACCCACTTATTTTTATGAATCCCAATAACTCCATTATTTACTATGTAATATAGTAAAAAAAAACTACTGAATGGGCCTACTAGGACAGGTTTCCCTCCTATGTCCAGGTGTCTTACATATCCCACACCGGCGTTGGGTTACAGGCGCCCTTACAGGCGCCTGGCCCTCTTGTAAATTGGCATCATTAAGTTTAGGGCCACCATTCGACGCGTCAACCAGGTCTAATCCCTCCTGAATTGTAAGACCCCCTACTACTGTTAATTGACGATTCGGACGTTCTTTTTGTTTTTTCTTTTTCTCATGGGCGGCGCGTAAATCTCTGTTTTCCAGGCGTAAGAGAGCATTCTCTTGATATAGGTAATTTGCACCCTTTACTATCTGGTCTAATGCTCTCTTAGATGGTGTTGGTGGCGTTCGAGATACAGTGCGTAATATAGCTTGGTGTTGACGTCGTAAATCTTTCTGCGTCCTAGGCGTCTTAGGTGTCCAATTTCGACTTGAATCGCTTCCTATAGAGGGTGGTGGTGGTGGTGTATCGACGCGCATAGTAAGCTTTTTTAACACCCTAGTAGGGTCAAGTGGCACGATTCCAGTTGCAGCAAACGCATTAGAAGCAGATGCAAATGCTTCAATACGCGCAGTAGGATATATCTCTAGGAAATCTCCTTTACTAATGTGGGAAAAACCAAGCTCTACTCTAGACTCAACCAGCCGAGAATAAGAGCGTTTTAACACCGCAAAACACCCAACATCAAGAGGTTGAAGAAGATGAGACGCATGCGCAGGCATACATAATGGTATAATATCATGCTCCTGGCAGATTTTGTCGAAATCAGGTGTTAAATGGCTACCATGGCCATCTAAGATCAGAAGGCGATACCGTCCTTTAGTACGAGCAGTAGCAGGTATAAAGAGCTTTTCAAGCCAACGGAGCCCTATTTGATTTGATGTCCAGCCATTAGGACTAATCTCAAGACGCCAATTAGGTGGTAAACCTAGATCAGGAGCAAACCAGCTCTGCATCATCACCTTACCCTTAAAGATAATACAGGGTGGAGGTGCGTAACCAGACGCGCCTAAACACTCTATCACAGTAACCCATTCCCGGTTACCAGGCTGTTTTTTTGCGCGTTTACCATAATAACCAGCTCTAGTAACCACTCTCGCGGTCGCACATCGTCCCATCGCAAACCCAGTCTCGTCAAAATTATAGATATCGTCGGTGGTGATACCATATTTTGCGATCGTGTTTTCAACCAGTTTGAACCAATTATTGATCACATTATAGTCCTCTTGACGCGCACGTGTAAAATCGCGCGGTGTTGAATAGGTCGTCTTAAGTTCAGGTAAACGCGTCGCAAACCTAGTAACCCAGTTTTTACCGATCGTAAGAGGAGGGTTGGTTCCGCGGTCGGCGAGTAGGATATTAGCCATTCTACCAACATCTTTAGTTCTAGGAGCACAGCCGCGATCATCTAGAGAGACGACCCATTGAAGTAATGAATCCTCTTCAGATTCAGTCAGTTTAGACTGCGGTGGGTGTGTTTCAAGACGAAATTGGACACCAGAATGGCGGCGTTGGAGGGTTGAAAATGGTATATTAAACATAGCTGCAGCTTTACGCATTGATGATATATCGCCATTCTTGTAAGCTTGGTAAGCTAATAAGACCCTATTCTCCTGATCCTGTTTGTCTTGGACATATAGAGCATTTAGGGGGGGCATGGTGGGTAGTTGAAAATGGAAACACCAGACTGACGCGTAAAATTGGTGGGGTGACCCGTTCAGTAGTGTGACCCGTTCAGTGGTGAAATACTTTAAATCAATAGTAATAGTTAGTTAGTTACAGTATCATACTTAGTAATCAGCTTTGAGACAACAACTATAACTACTATTTATTTACTGGCTAAGTCACTTAGGTAACTAGTTAGCTATGAGCTCATGATTTCATTCATCAATAATTCAATTCCTTTTTATCTAATTTTATATGAAGTTGTTTATACACTCGGTATAAGTTCTTTGATATACTCCGTGTTGAGTAATATCGGTCACGGGACCTGCTGACTTGTAAATTGTTCTTTTAACGGAACATCTCCAACGTCTTGACTTCTCATCGAAACAGAACAAAAAGGCTCCGCTGCATTAGCCCGCCCTTAGCCGATCGCCCTGGATCCGGCCAAAATCTGCTTCAGTTCCGAATCAATTGTGTTCCAGCATCACCCTGGGCTCTTTCACCCAAGGGCCAATCATCATCCTCCTAGATCTTCCGATTTCCCTTCTTTTTGTATTCCTTTCAATCTCTCTATTCTACTTGGATATCTTTTGCCCCTTTCCCCTTTCACTCTCGTCCGTGCGGGTGTGCGTCATTCGCTTCTTTTTCTTTTTCTTTTCTTCCAACGGGGAAAAGAAAAGAAAAAGAAAATTCGGAAATTCTAAAAATTGAAGGATTAAGAGGCTAGGCCAAAACGCCCCGCCTTCATTCCTCACCAATAATTCCTATTACACGATGGACCCGAATGCTGGATATTCAGGCTTTCCCGTCCCGACACAGAGCCTCTCAAACCAAATGTCTTTCTACCCCAGTCCTATTCCCCAGCAGTTCCCCCCTAAGGTACCTACCCAAGGACAGTCCTTTGGCACAATGCAGGGTATTCCCGGTGGAGCTATGATACCTTCAAGCTTTCCACAACAGTCCGGTACGTTTGGTCTCCCGTCACCCCATTTTCTGTCATCTCTCCTATAATCAGCCCTACTGTCGTCACACTTTCCCCCCTGTGGGCCTGTCATTTTACAGCCCATTCGGAGGCTTGACCCAGGGTTGATCTAGCTCCTCGGAACTGGTTCCTTCGTGTGTTGCTTCCCTTCTCTCTCTGCAGCTCCGATGGATACCCGTTTGGTAGCGCGCATTATCCAGTTGCTTGGCACACTTGGAACCGGATGATTCGTGCGCCATGGTAGATCTGCAGTACTAGTTATAGGAGGAGAGACAGCGAGAATTTCTATCTGACGTGGACCTGGTAGCTAATGTGGCAATAGCACCGATGGATGCCTTCTCAGCGTCTTTCGCTCAGCCTCCTGTGCCTGGCAATATGAATCAATTCTCTCAACCGAACACTTCGACAAATACCCCATCCACCGTTGCGCAGACCTTTAACCAAAATATGGCCAATCTTTCTGCCAACAACATGTTGACCAACCAACTGAAACCTCAAATCAGCTCTCCTCAGGGCACCCAGCCCGAAACACCCGGTCAAGCACACGCCCAGATTCAGTCACCGGCTCAAGCTCAAGCTCAAGCCATGATGATATCACGCGACAAAGCTCGCATCTCAACCCTACTGGATATCAACTCCGCATTGTTGCAGGAAGTTGTAAATCTGCAGCACTCAGGCAAGGCAGGCCCTCCATCTAATAACGAAGCGAATGGAACCACAGAACAAAGTTCAAGTCCAGAGTATTATGAGTGCATGCGAAGATTGCAGGCCAATCTGGCATATCTAGCGACGACAACTGATAGAGCAAAGAAAGGTCCCAGCCTACAAGCACCGGCCATCATGACCCCGCCTCGAAACATAGCCTCCGTCATCGATCTCTATCAAAAGCTGAATGAACTCTTTCCAAACTCGGGCAGAGGTTCTACTCCACAAAGGCCCAGCCCTTCACCTCTATCAGAGTCAGTAGTCTGATCATTTTCCTGTTGGAAGCCTCCTTCTTTCTTGAATATACATCTGCCATGAGTGACTATCTGAAATCACATATGCCCTCCCCCCATTCCAACGGCAATGGGGACGGCGCCTCCAGTCCCGACCGTGCTCAAATTTTGACCCCTGCTGGGTCATTCGGTGTCTGATACAGATCAGCGGTACCTAGGTACATCGTCCTCGGACTTCAGTATTCGTCCTGAACACTGGAATAAGAAGTAGCCAGTGGTTTAAGCTATCATTCTCAAAAAAAAAAAAAAAAAAAAAGAAAAGAAAAAAAGAAAAATCGTCCTTTTTCAGAGACGCTATCTTTCTGAATCTCGTAACTTCCAGAATATAAAGCCGTAATTATGTTGCAACTAGGAACTCTTCCATGAAGAATGTAGATGACGATCGCGTTATGGCGCGTGGTTCGGACACGAGACTGTGGATTAAATTATCACCCAATCAGTGCGCCTCCTCTTCTCCGCCTCATCTCTCTTTGCGCGAATGCCTCTGTTTAGCAGGAGTTTCCAAGCTATTTACAGGTCTGCTGTTGTGGTGCATTGGTCTTTTTCCTCCTCTACTTCTTCTACTGCGACTTGCATAGCTCCTGTTAAACCGGTTCTAGTCGCCTCCGTTGATAGGTCACCTGTGCGATTCCCTTCTTGTACTCGCTCGGCCTCTTCAGCTTCCTCTTTTCACCAACTTTCTGCATCTGTCCGTTCCTCCCTTAATACTCTTCGCCATTCCCTCCCGGTTGGTACCATGGATGCATCTGGTGATATTGGCGCTAAGCGCAAGCGTAGCTCTGTCGGCGCGGTGGAACGACCAGCAAAACACCTCAAGCCTGAAGAATCGGTCCTGATTCCCAGCGACTCCACGCCTGTCAATGGAACTGTTTACGATATCGAGGAGGACGATGAAGATGCCAGTCATATTATTTCTCTGGGTGTAGCACAGGCCGACTCACCGGAGTGGCAGGCAACAATTGAGACGGTTGTGAAAAGTGTCGTGTCAATTCATTTTTGTCAGACTTGCTCATTTGATACGGACCTTTCCATGAGTAGTCAGGCCACTGGCTTCGTGGTGGATGCTGAACGAGGATATATCTTGACCAACCGGCATGTGGTATGCGCTGGTCCGTTCTGGGGTTATTGTATCTTTGATAACCACGAGGAGGTAAGCTTTTTTTTGTGCATGGGTAATATCAATGGAGTTATATCAGTGCTAATGAGTTTTCACTCATAGTGTGATGTCCGTCCAGTCTATCGAGACCCCGTCCATGACTTCGGTATCCTCAAATTCGATCCTGCGGCTATTCGATACATGAAACTAGGCGAACTCAAGCTTCAACCCAAGGCAGCTCAAGTAGGCGCCGAAATTCGTGTGGTTGGTAACGATGCAGGTGAAAAGCTGAGCATTCTTTCCGGTGTCATCAGTCGACTGGACCGCAATGCTCCAGAGTATGGCGAGGGTTACTGTGATTTCAACACAAATTACATACAGGCTGCGGCTGCGGCCAGTGGGGGCAGTTCAGGAAGTCCTGTCGTTAATATCGATGGCCATGTTGTGGCATTACAAGCTGGTGGTCGATCCGACGGTGCTGCAACAGATTATTTCCTGCCCCTCGATCGGCCGCTGCGTGCTTTGGAGTGCATTCAACAGAAAACCCCTGTCACCCGAGGTACCATCCAAACTCAATGGATTCTCAAACCGTTTGACGAGTGTCGTCGTCTTGGCTTGACTCCAGAGTGGGAGGCCATAGTTCGCAAAGCAGCTCCTATGGAAACCAACATGCTTGCCGCTGAGATTATCTTGCCTGAAGGTCCCGCGGATGGAAAATTAGAGGAAGGTGACGTTCTCTTGAAAGTTAATGGCGAACTTTTGACCCAGTTTGTGCGCCTCGACGATATTCTCGACTCTAGCGTTGGTAAGAGCATTGATCTTCTAGTGCAACGAGGAGGCGAAAACATTGAGGTCAAGTGTGAAGTCGGTGATCTTCACGCCATCACCCCTAGCCGATTTGTCACTGTTGCTGGAGGTACATTCCACGATCTGTCGTACCAACAGGCTCGCCTATATGCTATTGCGACTCGTGGAGTGTACGTGTGTGAGGCTGCCGGCTCATTCAAGCTGGAGAATACCGTGTCCGGATGGATCATTGATTCGGTGGACAAGCGGCCGACTCGGAATCTGGATGAGTTTGTAGAGATCATGAAGACAATCCCAGACCGCTCGCGCGTGGTCATCTCTTATCGCCATATTCGGGATTTACATACAAAGGGCACCAGCATCATCCATATCGACCGCCACTGGCATCCGAAGATGCGCTTGGCAGTTCGCAATGACGAAACTGGACTCTGGGACTTTTCCGATATCTCAGATCCCATCCTTGCTGAGGCTCCGGTGCCGCGCAAAGCGGACTTCATCCAGCTAGATGGTGTAAACCAGCCTGCTGCCGCAGAAATTGTACGCAGTTTCGTGCGGGTATCATGCACAATGCCTTTGAAGCTTGATGGTTACCCACAGTCCAAGAAGACAGGCTTTGGTCTGGTGATTGATGCTGAGAAGGGTCTTGTTGTCGTTTCCCGGGCGATTGTGCCTTACGATCTTTGTGACATCACTGTCACTGTCGCTGATTCCATCATCGTCAATGCCAAGGTGATCTTCCTACACCCTCTTCAAAACTACACTGTCATCCAATATGACCCCAGCCTGGTGCAAGCGCCAGTGCAAAGTGCCCGACTCAGCACGGAGTACATCAAGCAAGGGCAGGATACTATTTTCGTCGGTTTCAACGGCAACTTCCGCATTGTCGTAGCTAAGACAGTTGTCACCGACATCACTACTGTATCAATCCCTGCTAACGCGTCATCTCCCCGGTACCGCGCCATTAACCTGGATGCCGTGACCGTGGACACTGGACTCAGCAGCCAGTGTATGAACGGTGTTTTGATCGGAGAGGACGGTATCGTTCAAGCTCTGTGGCTCAACTACCTTGGTGAGCGTACCCCTAGCTCCCACAAAGACGTCGAGTACCATCTTGGATTCCCCACACCATCGTTGCTTCCCGTCAGTACCAAGATTCAGCAGGGTGTAATCCCTAAACTCCGTATCCTGAACATGGAAAGCTATGTTGTGCAGATGAGCCAGGCCCGCATCATGGGTGTATCAGAAGAGTGGATCCAGAAGGTGGCGCAGGCTAACCCTTCGCGCCATCAGCTCTTCATGATCCGCAAGGTTGACTGTCCACCATCAACCTTCCCCTCCAAGGTCGACAGTTTCCAAGAGGCCGACATTATTCTCACGTTAGACGGCCAGCTCATCACCCGGGTGTCTGAGCTGGATGTCATGTATGAAAAGGAAGTTCTGGATGCTTTGATCATCCGAGACGGACAGGAGATGCGCATACGAGTCCCCACAATCCCAACAGAGGACCTGGAAACTGACCGTGCTGTCGTTTTCTGCGGCGCTGTCCTCCAGAAACCCCATCATGCTGTGCGGCAGCAAATCTCCAAGCTTCACAGCGAGGTCTATGTTTGCGCAAGGGTAAGTGAAATTTTTTTCATTTCCACCTTTTTTTTTGTTGAAAATCAATACTGAACATATTTATAGAGTCGTGGCTCCCCTGCTTACCACTATGGCCTGGCACCCACCAACTTCATCACAGCCGTCAACGGCGTCCCAACCCCCGATCTCAATTCCTTCGTCAAGGAAGTACGCAAGATCCCAGACAACACCTACTTCCGTCTTCGAGCAGTGACCTTCGACAATGTACCGTGGGTAGTCACCATGAAGAAGAACAACCACTATGTAGGTCACCAGCCCCTCCATTATTTCTCTTAATCCTAACGTTTCATCCCAAAACAGTTCCCTATGTCCGAGTACATCCAGGATGTCTCCAACCTCGCTGGCTGGCGCACGGTTCACCTCGAGTGATCAGAGGAGGGAGGTGAGGGATAAACCACAAGTCAAAAACCGGGAGCGAATACCAGGGAGCAGAATAGGTTCAGTCTACCGGCTCGTCACTAGCCAGTCTGAGTCAGTGACTGCATATCCTGTGGAGTGAACCAGGGTTTACCGTTGAGAGCAAACCCCGTTCAGATGCCATATTGAGTAGTCCTCACCCCCAACCCTGCACCGTAAATAGCTGTGGATATGTTGTATGAAATGTCCGACCAGCGAAAAGAACGGCTACGGAAAGTCTTTGTACAGACCAAATGTCCTTTACCTATAACACAGGATGTTCCTGCATCGATCAACTTACGAGAATCTGAAAATCAGCAATGTGCCATTCGGTGATTACACCTAGTATGTGAAGTTTTATCCTCCACCCTAGAAATAAGCACAAAACGCAATAATCAAAGTCTCGAACCAAAAACCTAATAGTCCTCTCACAAACAGTTCTCGCGTACCCCCGAGAGCTACTAAATTTATATAGCTGCGCCAGAGCTCATTTCCAACAATTGATGAGGCCCGGTGTGATAATAGATTGGGTTGTAAAATTCTGCATAGACTAAATATTTATGTGAATAGTCGAGATAAGGTTGAAGCTTACCTGCTTAGGCGTATATAGTTAATGAGGTAGCTTATTCGGTCCCATTTGATACAACAGAATCCACAAGACAACCTCTATAAAGTTATTCCACTTAGATTACTTGAACGCACTTTTTTTTCAAATTTCGTAAAAATATATAAGTCAGAAGCACTAAGAAACGCTAAAAGAGAAGAGAGAAGAAACCTTCAGGTCTATCTAGATACGTCTCTCTTTTACATAACATGCAAGGCTTTTTTTTACCCGCCATGGAAACTGTAACCCTAGTGATGGCCTCTTTTTACACTAACATTGGTTTATGTATCGAGTGATGTAAAAAAAAGTTGAAAAATCCAACGACATATTCATATTATTTCAAATTATCTATGGAACATCGACGAATTCTGTCTGAAGTTCTCCAGCTGCTGCCTCGGTGGGAAGAAATTCCAAAATATATCCGGGTACCAGGAAGAGGCCAGAAGTGTTCCATCAAACCCTATTCAAATACTTAGGTACGCCTGGGATAAGTCAATAGCTCTCTATGGTTGGAGATGGAAAAAAGGAATCAAAAGAACAAAAAGCTGACCGTGGGATGAACCACAAGTGTCGGCAAAAAAATACGAAAGGAGAAAAAAGAAATGCATCATCCGTGAATCGAACACGGGCCTCGTCGATGGCAACGACGAATTCTACCACTAGACCAATGATGCTAGTTCGATGTAAGGGGGTCTCCTATTTGTTGTTATGAATGATTTGGTAAGCTACTAAAGTAATTTTTCACGATTTACTGTTTCATAGGGCCTTCAGTGGCAGAGAAGTAGGAATTTATGCTCCACGCGAAATGCTACACTACCGTGATAATGGATATGCAGGTAGGTTTTAGAGCAATGAAGTACAATGAATAGAATATCCATCTGAAATGAATTCAATGATGTGTTCCATGGAAATAAAATTTGTCAAAATCCCAAACGCCTTGTACCCTGAACACCGAAAAGACAATTCCCAGCCTGCCCCTGTACGACCAAACGACAAATCAATAGCTACATCGACGTAGGGCTTCCATTTGAATAAACAGCTTCTATGTGTTGAAAGACCAACCGCCGTTCATCCGAAGCCGTTGTCGGCCAGCGCGGTCTTTGTGAATCTCCTCTTGCGTAAGACCATCCGGACCAGACCAATTGGCACTGCTAGTGCGGTCACGGTATTTCTTGATCTTCTTGTCTGCCTTGAATGTTTCTTCCAAGGAGAAAGGTGCAATGGGACCGAAGATCGAATCGACCTCCATTCCATCCTGTTGTCGCAAAAGACCTTCCAGCTCCTTAGGCTGGGCCCACTTGGGAACAGGGAACATCTCCGAGTCAGAGTCATCTTCGTCCTCACTGTCTGTTGCGATCTCCGGTAGGTGGATGTTTTCGCCATTTTGGTACTGAGGAGATGGTTTAGCCAGGGGTGGGGCTCGCTGAGCAGACCCAAGGGTGGGCTTGTGTGCAGCCGGGGGAGGGGCGTGACTGGGCTCAGCAAACGGAATCTTGCCGTTCGCATATTTAGAGAGGTCCATTGGGTGGGGAGGTCGCTGAGGCTGACCACCACCGGGCTTAAAGATTGAAGATCCAGATACGGAAGACTGGCCGAATAAAGAGGGCTATAAATGGGGTTTAGTTAATAACTGTTCGTGATAATTGAAATGTGATTTTTGAAACTTACGTTGCGAATGCTTGGCTTGCGGATAGGCGGCTTCATTGCTGGCCGAACAGCTTGTCGGGTGTTGTGTTCATCTTCAGTCTTGCGTCGCTTGGAATCGTCCGCCGAATGTCCACCAGCGGTACCTGCATCTTCTTCCGTGACAGGTCTCTTGAGCGGTTTGGCAGGATTGGGTGCGGGAGGGTTGATCGATCGACCGTGAGATTGGAGAAGGCCTAGGCGTGAAGCTGGCCGGTTTGCCCCCAAGTCATTTCGCTGGGAAGACTGCGAGGCAGTCTTCTCATGTTGTAGCATTGGAGCATCATTGATGGGTTGGCTGCCTTGTCTCTCGTGTCTTCGAGCATTTTCCAGACGCCGCTTTTCAATAGCTTGCATGTGGGCAGCTTTCTTAGAATCTTCCTGGGCAGAGCGCTCTTTTCGTTCTCGCTCTGCCTCAGACCGGCTTCGCATCTCTTGACGGCGGACCTCTTCCTGCTGTTGCATAGCAGCTCGCTTACGCTCATGTTCTCGTTTTTGTTCTTCCCGTCGGCGTGCCTCCCGTTCTTCCTGCTCTTTCTTTCGCTCGTGAGCAAGTTGAGGTTTGCGCTGCGCTTGCGTTTGGCCAGAAACAGAGCTTTTCAAGCTGTTGGAGGACGCGTACAGAGAGTTATTGCTGCCCTTCTTTTTCAGTGTTGGCGCTTTCGACACAGGGGGTGCAACACTGCTCTCTTGAACACTCGAAGACATAGAAGAGGGCATAGCAATCTGACGAGAGAGAGTGCTTCCGACTCGGATTGAGACGGGCTGCGGTTGCGGCTTTTGCAAAAGCTCACGTATTGGCTTCGGGCGTCGGTCATTGTGCTTTTGGGGAAGAACAAGCCTCGATCCTTGGTGCTCTGGCTCGCGTGAAGGTTGTCGGAGGTGTGTTGGTTTTTGTGTTGCTGTGACTGGTCGCTCTTCTGGTTCGATCGAAGATTTGTCCTGAGCAGCCTTCAATTGAAGCAGTCGCTGTTTTTCCTGCTCACGTTCCTCCTCTTGGCGTGCTTCATCCTCCTGCTGACGATCTTCGAGCTCCTTCTGACGCCGTTTCTCTTCCTTTTCTGTGGAACTTCGTGTACGGCGGGTTTCCTGTCGGGGAGGACTATGGGGCCGGGCTTCCAGATTGTCGTCATCATTGTCATCAACATTGGCCTTTGATTTCTGGGGATAAGACCGAGTTTGCTCAGGAGAGGTGCTCTCAAACCGAATAGGGCTACCGGTGCTCGTGAACAATCCTTTCGCGGTCTTCATGATAGACTGCAACCTCAATTTGGAAGCACTCAGAGGCCCCTCAAAGCGTCGAGGTGATCCAGTAGGAGTGGTAGTAAGTGAAGGAATATGAGAGACTGAAGCGCTTGACTGATGACCCTTAGGGCGAGGCGAAGCGAATAACGAGGCTGCTGATCTGGGACGCTCTGGCTGGGCAGTGTAAGTCTCCTTCTTGATAGTTGGCTGATATCTCTCAGTATCAAAAAGCCTGTCTACAACGTCTGGAGTCTTGCTCTTGGTTTGAACCCGTTGCGGTGGTGAGCTTAGCGGCTTGATCCAGTCGTCTTCACCGGCTGCCGTTGGTTCGGGATCGGGGGCCTCGCGAGCCTTCTGACTGGGGTGCTCAGGCCGTGCTTCCGTTTTGGCGGAGGGTAGCTCTGGATAGACAATGTGACCTCCAGAGGACAAGTTTGCGATAGTAGGAATTGACTTCCTGGGTCGAGTCGGTTGCTGCTTGCCGAGCATACTGATCCTCTCATGAAGACTCTGGGTTGATTTTGTGTTGTGCCTCTTGCTAGCCTTTTCATCATCGACGTCTATTGCCTCGGTCGAGGGTTGTATTACTCTCTGTAAGTAGCTGGCACGACTGCCATTACTGAGCTTCGGTAGGTCAATATGACTGGTACGAGAGAGCCGGGAACCTCCTAGGCTCTTGGCGAGAGGCTCTCGTGCGGGCAGGGAAGCGAAACTTAGGCTGCTCTTTCGAACGAGGGGTCTTTCGGGGGTGGAATTGTCCGAGGGAGAGCCAATGTTGTCGAAATTATCAATAATGGAGTATCTCTTTGCAGTATTTTCCAGGTGCATATCATAATCTTGGGATTCTTGTCCTGGAGAGCGGGGGGCTGGTGTCTTTTCGGGGGATGATTTATGATTTGATAGTTGTCTCTCAGCCTTTGGTGTTGGCGCTGGTGAATGGTCTCGCTCTTTAGGTGGAGTGGCACTGGCCTTTCTGGGAGTAGGATCTGTCATGGTCGCAGGTGTTGGGCTCATTATCGCTTCTGATTCCTTGGTTTCCACGACAGGGCGGGGTGATTGCTCATGTATATCAGTTGGCACCATGTTCATTGGCTCAACAGTCTGTCCACGGGCGCGTAGGTTCTCCTCGGCGGAGTGGAATGATTCTTCTACCGTGTGCTGGTCGACCGAGAGATCGACTTGGGGGCTCCTTTTCACAGGCTCTTCCACATGCTCTTCGACATGCTCCTCCACAGGCTCATGCACCTCAAATGGCTGTGTGGACCCTTGTGTGTCTGTTTCTTGCAGTGGATCAGACATGATTGTATCATTGTCATACTCCATCCCATGATAGCCCGAGTCGGTATTGTATTTCTGGAAGGAATTCAAGTTTTGGCTCAGATCTGGATACTGTGGCTGCGATGGTTTTTCTGCATCATTGGGACGAGTAGCCGATGCAGTCGGCGCAGTTGATTTAGAGACTATACGGTGAATGAATGGGCTGTGACTGGCCCTGTTCTCCCCTGGTTTATGTGCCGAGGAGAAGATCTCACTCAATGGCTAGGAGATTATTAGCTTGGCGGCGGTCGGGATCAACAAGCACCAGGACTCACCACTCGGTTTTCCTCAACGTTACGCTTTCGAGCAGTTCGAGGGGTCTTGCCCCTCATTTTTCCAGGGGTCTTGAAAACGTCCGTAAAGTGGCTATCTTGAGAGTCAGAGCTGAGGTTCCATGTTCAACTCCATGGTCGCGACTTACGCCTGGCCTTTCGAGAAGATCTCGTTCATGTGTTCGTTCAGCCAGTCCATTTCATGACGGACAGGATATTCCACCTCCTCCATCTCTTGATCAACCAATTCCATCATATTTTCCTTTTCTTTTGCGATCCAAGCGGACGAACCGACGGCCTTTTGGGCCCGCGCATTGGTGGCCATGATGTAAACAACGCGCTTAACGAGTGGTGAATTCTAGATTCAGGCGCGATAGAATAAGATGGCAACTGAGAATATTATTGAAGGACAACCATCAGTGGAGAAGTTGTGGGAGCGCACGTTGCAGTTGGTTAGAATCAAGAATGGAAGAGATCAAGAATGAAGCGAGGGTCAAAACAGACATTCAAACGCGCCAAGGTCACGTGATCATAATACTTTGTTGTAACTAATGATATTCTATGAAGGTATTAAGCAGTAAAGAAATTAGTAGATGGTATTTCATTTCTTATTCTTGATTTTGATTTTTTTTTAATTTTTTTTGATTTAGTTTTCCATTTCCATGATACATTTGATGTAGCTGTTAGTTAGCTTATTTCCGTTTCTAATGGGATCTAAGCTCTGTCATAACTTTGCGTGGAGCCCAACCCTTGAACCGGATTGTAACTTGTAATGCAAGAAATCTATTGGTAGTAAGTACTTGCTGACGAAATCTTGCATGGTTTCACAAGACCAAGTTCGAGTCCTCTTACGTATTAATACTTTATGCACATTGGTTAGCTTCATATCTGACTGTCTGCAAATGATCTGATCATGAGTCCAGACCCTAGGACTCTCCATATTCAAATAGCGGTGCTGTCGTGGCAATTATAAGCTAGAAAAGCCCCACCATAAACACCGCTAACTGAGTAAAAAGGAGTAAAGGAGTGTCAGGTTCATAAGAAGCAACAAATTGAGATAATGTCTGATTATGAGTAGAGTGTCATCCAGGTAGATTACCTTGACCCTCAGGACTATACTGTGGATCCTCGATCCACAGATCTCAGAACTTGGAACATGGAACATCTCGAGTATTCAAGTATAACTAGGTATTCTCTTATCAAGATATAATGTCACGAGAGTCATGCCGAACTCACTGCTAGTCATTAGTCATATGTGGTTGCAGACAAGAAGCTAGTTATCACTAGGTATAAGATATCAGATATTATCGGAAAATGAGAGAGTTGCGAGGGAAATGAAATAAGGCAAGGGGCTCCGAAGATGGGGAAATAGAATGAGATGATTTTCATTGCTGCTTGCATATTGCAGGAGTAGTGAATATATATATATATATATATATATATATAGGGGAGAGAGAGAGAGGTATAGGCGTCTAATTGACATCATCACCTTGCTCGATGGCAGAAACCTTGGCGGTGCACATGGCCAGTTGCATCACTCAAAACAATTTCTCTTATCGCTTCTCTCCCTTTCCCACTAACTTCATCTCCATTTCTCCTGTTTCCTAGACTTTCGAGTTTTTTTTTATTTACTCTTCTTCTATTCAACATGGCCTCTAATGTAAGCTACCCTAACACGGGCAGTAAGGTATGCTTTTCTCTACTCCATCCTCGAGAAACCGACTCCATCAAGCTAACCAGTGCCATTCTATTGCAGTATCCTTTCATTTCCCTCTCCTCACAACTCCAAGACCCATATACGCTGTCAGCTTCCCTGAGTTCAGACATCAATGATCTTTAGATCAAGGGAAAATGCTAGCTGTATGGGCTAGGGTGGTACCATTATAGAAATCCGTCTAATATTCCACTCTAGGTCCCGTGGTCACCAGCATCAAGTCGGAGGCTGCTAAGACCAGTGAAGAGCTACAGGAGCTTAAGAATGCTCGTATCACCCCTTCGACCACTACAACCAACGGTCAGCCGTTGACTCGTACGTCGCACCTTAGTTTCCTGGGCGAGAACTACAGACTAATCTCTGGATATCTATGTATAGACTACCACTCCTTGCTGTACAGCCTTTTGAGCGTGAGTGATTTTGAATTCCAACTTTTATTTGGGAAAATTCTTTTGTTTACTGACTGAATTTCTTTCGTTCTACAGTGGGAACAGCCCCGCGCGACCGCTGTTTCCTACGCATCCGTGATTACTTTCATTTTCGCCGCCCGATACCTACCTCTCCTTCGTTGGGCCTTCAAGTTCCTCTACGTGTCGCTTGGATGTGAGTTGGTCGCGTGACCAGTGTTTATTCCCCTTTTTAGTGGACTAAGAACTAACCGCACCGTAGTGACCGCTTCCGTTGAAATTGTCGGTCAAGTCCTCTTCAAGCAGGGCATCACCAGCTCGTTCCGCCCTCGCCGATACTACACTATCCCCAAGGAGACTCACGAGGCCATCCTGGAAGATGTCTCTCAGCTGGTGGATTTCTTCCTGATTGAGTTCCAGCGCATTCTCTTCGCCGAGAACGTCGTTCACACTGTTGCCGTATGTCAAAGTAAAATATTCGTTCTAGTTCACCTTCTGATGATATATAGGCTTTCACTGCTGCCTTCCTTGGTTATTTGCTGATCCGCTTCGTTCCTCTTTGGGGCTTGTCCGTGATCGCCGTGACCACCGTTTACATTGGCCCTCTCGTATACATCAGCAACCGTGAGATCATTGATGAGCAGATTGTTCAGCTGCAGGAACTCGTCGGTGCCCAGGCCAACCAGCTCAAGGATCTGGCCGGTGAGCGCACTTCGGCAGCCACTGGCTTGGTAAAACAGTACGTCGATGACTACAGCCACAAGGCCCAGGAATACATTGGCCGCCGCTCCGCTTCTCCCGAGATGACCAAGGCTCCCTCTGCCGTACAGACCCCTGCCCAGACTATCGCTAAGCCCGTTGATTCCGTCCCCGAGCCCGTTATTAAGACTGAGGACTTCCCGGAAGCCCCTAAGGTCGAGCCCATTGTGCAATCAGTTGAGGAGCCTACACCGGTCTCCCACGAGACTGAGCGTGAGCCTCTTCTGGCCGCTTAAATGACAAGGTCATGCGCTTGTATCCAGGACTTACGTCTCTCAGACGAAGAAATGAATACTGCTTAAAAGCATTGGATACCAGGGCCCTCCATTTGCTCTTCAGGTCTAATTGGGAATCTATTTATTGGGCCCGACGTTCCATAATTGCACCGATGACGACAAAACGCTATGTGCAACGCCTGGATGATGAATCGATCTTCACGTTTCATGTTGTTCAGTTTTCCTCCTTTTCGTTTCATCTTCTCTTCATTTGTTTCTGCTCATGCAGTTTGTTTTCAACCCTAGCCCCCTGGTTCGCTTGTTTCGGGCTCATATTGTTTTAATGCAAAGTGTGCTAAGGTCATGTCATATGTCATGAACTTGATGCCTTAATATCATAGGTCTTTAGTTCCGTCTGTATTTGTAGTATCTCATTCATGGAGTCCCGAATCATGGAAGTGAATGACTTGTGGAAATTCGGATGTCCGTAAATACTCGAGCCCCTTCTGTGTCCCCGAGGATGAGGGAGAAAGATCGGTAGATTGAAATACGCATGAGCCTCGACCTCGACCGACATGGGCAATAGATAGAGAGGTGCGAGCGAAGCAACTTGCTCTCGCGCATGAGTAACGCCCCGCGTTCCGTACGAGGCCTTGAGTTTCATCCCGGTCCAACAAGGCCTAAATTCTCCGCATCGTGATTCGGCCTGGGCTGAATGGATCCATATCTTTTGATATGTGGTTCGATGACTTGCTATATCCAGGACCCAGGTAGGACTCAAACTTGGAAGCCTTTCTTGAATTCTTATCTCTGAACTGCATACTCGCTTGGTCATGTGCTTTTACATGATAGAAAGCAAAAGGCAGTGATTGGGCTGCTGGGGCTGTTACAGTTTTGATTAAGGCAGATATGATATTGAACTGCAGTTCTAAGGCCTCTTCAACACGAATAGGACCGGACCTGGCATATCATCAGGGGTGTATGGCTGGTAAACTGAGGACTGATTTATTTCGCAATTACCTACTCAGGTAGTTTAATGATGTTTCTAATAATTCCAAGGTTTTATCTGCTACCAGTCATACATGTCATCACAATACTGAAGCCGAGGTTCCATTTAATATGAAGTTTTCCCCAACGGTTGGATGATGGGCCCGAGCCCTAACGGCAACCTTGACCTCCCATTTAGACCTCAAGTTTTCTTCCACAATTCCAGAACATTGAAACCACTAAGTATGCTCACCTACCACAGACAAGTACGTATTATCGGGTTTACCGCTCTTTTGAAGGGGAATCCAAGAGACCAGCCACTCAGATTGTCTTAGACATTGGGATTCTGACCTTTTCGTTTCTAGGACTCACCAGTCTCAGACTCGTACGGTTGGGCTGCAGATCAAATCTCATAGGGCTCAGACAACATTGATAATTGAACAGGGTATGTTGCTCATACTTGGCATGTGGCTTCAATTCATATGAATTGCAATATGTCCTAACATCCAGGTAGCTGCACCGTTGATGCCGTGCTTTGAGCTGCAAGGTTTTATGCCCCTCAATGACCCTTGGAAAGGTAAAAAGACCCCTGTACCTGCTCAGAATTTATCTGGACTACATGGTAGGCACAATGGGGAGAAAATTGTGAAATGGACTGACAAGATAAAAGATAAAAGATAAAAGATTGTAGAGAATAGGTATACCTATTGCCTCATCTGGAACATGCTTGGATAGAGTCGATTCTTGGAACGTGTCGGTCTGCAAAGAAGCCTGCATGGAAGCTTCTCTGAGTTTTGGAGTGACTGGAAAGATACACCCCTGCAGGTCTGATACTCAAATGGCGGTCTCTTTTATGGGCAAGCTTTGCGCCCCCGGACCATTCATTGAGACGCTGTATATCCCAGATACAAGCCCGTATGGGAAGAAAGAGTGTTAATTTCCCTTCTTGTCTCTAAGTCATGTGTAAGTTCGTCTCTCATGCCATTCCCATGCCTCCATGCAGTCACTATCTTTGATACGGTCATAAGTTTATCTCTGCAGCACATACGTCTTTCACAAATTGCACCTTCTGGCTTAAAGATACCAATTAGCTATCTATGCAGTCTTCCTCTCGTCATACAAGGAATAACTTACTCTGCAGCCGCCCGTGGGGTCTCAGACCTCTTTGATGCCGTCTCTTGCCGAGCAGCAGAAGACCTAATCTGATAACTGATTGGTCACTTGGCAGGTATCATAAATCTCCGGCTTTTGCAATGACATGTTGATAGTCTTACCTATGGAGGTTTGTTTCTACCTAGGTAGGCGGATAACCTTCAATTCATCAGTACATTTTGGGGCAGAGCGGTCCCATGAGTACATATTTTGCCTTTGAAGATAAAAAGACGAAGGATATGACTCATACTTCTTTCTTCTTTTCTTCTGCCATGCATACGGCCATAGCAAATCTGTTTGCATACTTTGAAAGAAAGCGGTGGGCAAATGCTGTCTTCTGGCTCATCTGATACAGGATATCCACATGGTGCCAAAAGGGGTATGAGTTTTATGGGTTTTGCGCTAGCAGGTCTTGGATGCCCACATCTACTTTGGTGAAACAGACGAGGCCTCGAAGGTCAAGAGGAAAGATAGTCTCACAGCATAGTGTACCAGGGGCATAAATGGAAGTCGATGACAGCACACTGCATGGTCAGTCAGTCCAAAGTTGAAGATATCCATGGGAAAGGAAGGGACCTCATTGCTTCGTTCCATGGCGAAGAGAGACAAGCAGGCCCAAGCCCGGGGACTCGTCCGACTTTTCTTGTGATGCCAATCGGTGAGGAAATCCCGAAGCCCATCCAAGGCTGATCCCGAAAGTTGGGGATATACCTAGGTACACCGCTACAACATTACCTAGGTATGTCTTCTTTCCCCAAAACACTTGGTACTTCCTACTAGGGTTCCAAAGTTGAATGGGTTCCTATATTTGTCAAAAAATCAGACAAACACACGTCACTGTGCTCACCCCTCCTTGTAGTAAGTACGGGACAAACCAAAAACAAAGGTCACTGAGTGTGAGCCCGCATCATACGGGGTTGTGTGTCTTGCTTGATGAGAAGTTTCCATTGAGGTTTCGCATCTGAGAGTTTCTGGAAAACGCCTTTTGATCCACACAAGTAAATCCTTAACCCTGCTGGCTCTCCTTCTCGATAACCATCTCTTCTCTCCCTCTATTCTTTACTCCTATTCTTTACTCCTATTCTTTACTCCTATTCTTTACTCCTATTCTTCTGCCTTTTTGATCTATCCTTTATCATAAATTTCTATAACATTGAGAGTAACATCTTCACATATTCCATTCATGGGATCTATCCAGGATTTATTGAATCCGCTACCCGAGGGTTCGCACGTCGGATACTCAAGAGGTAGCAGGAATTCCACATCGGCCCCTAGGTACCGCGAGAAGAGATCTCGAGCACCAAAGGACGGCCCGATGTTTCGTCCAGGAAATCCTCATGGCGAAATTCGCTTTCCACCATACGAGGCACATGACGAGGAACTTATTGAAATCCATCAAAAGTGGAACCTGTATCCTATGTACCAGATTGCGGATTATCCTCGACAGATTCCTTATGCGAGTGATAAAAAGTCGTTCCAAGAGAGAACGGGACGTGATAGCTTCCATGGTACGGTACCTTTTCCTCTCGTCTTTTCTCTTATCAAATACTGTCAAATACTGACTCGAAGCAGTGTTTAACTATACTTTCCAAGTGCCGGATGATAAGGGTGATACCAAAACAACATGGACAATTATGTGGGACTACAACATTGGGCTTGTTCGAACTACTCCTCTATTCAAGTGCAATGACTATTCAAAGGTATCTTTCTCGCTATTTAGGTTTTTTGGGTATGTGAAGACTAATGTTATTCCAGACTGCACCAGGGAAAGCATTAGCATCCAATCCAGGATTGCGTGAGATCTGCCACAGCATCACCGGTGGAGCACTTGCAGCCCAAGGTAGGAGACGAAAGTCTGAAGCATTTGACGAAAGACTAATGTATTGAGCTAGGATATTGGATGCCATACGAAGCTGCCAAGGCCGTAGCTGCTACTTTCTGCTGGAAGATTCGATATGCTCTGACACCGCTTTTTGGAAACGACTTTCCCAATATGTGTGTCGATCCGCAAGACCGACTCAACTTCGCACGCATGGTGATTGATCCTGAAATTATCAGACGAGCAGCAGAAACAGCCATTCATTTCCGCTCTCTTGAATTACAGAAAGCTCCCTCTGTTTCAGACAACCCTTCATCCAGTTCTTCCACCTCCGGCATAAACAGATCAAACACAGAGGCGGGCCTCTGGGACGGTCCTACTCTACACATCAGCAATAAGTTGTCTCGTCGTACCTACGCCGACAGTATCAGCAGTACGCGGGGCTCATCATCAGAGCCTTCATACTGTGCTTCTCCCCAGAGCCCAATGCATGGCGGTTTCACGCCTGTGAATGCACCTCGAAGCTCAAGAACCGAATATCTTCAAGACTTCCAGTCTCCTAGGGGTTTCCTGGAATGGGCCCGTTCCTCGCACAAGAAGAGTCTATCAGATGGTAGTCGAGCAGAGAATGAGCTTGATACCACTGTCATTCAGCCTAAAAAAGCCCCATCATCTAATTCATCCGATGGAAACGGCGATATCAAGATGGACGAAAGCTCTACTACTCGACACAAAAGAGTAACTCCGAGACACTTTGATATGAGCAGCTCCGATGATGAAGACTCTATGGACGAAGATGGAGGGGAAGAAGACGAAGAAGAGTACGAGCCAAACTCTAAGGAACTCAAGAGACCAGATTTGCGACAGAAGCGTCAACTCAAGAAAAACCCATCCCGTTCTGCAAGAGCAAAGTGCAGAGAAAACACACCAGTATCAAGCCACTTTGTGCACGAGGTTAAGGCTGCCCAGGCTTTATTGCATTTGCATAAACAGGAGGCAAAATCCAGCAATAGTGACGGCGATGAGCCCATGAATGAGCCTGTCTGGAGCTCGCTTAGGTCACGATCTATGGTTTCTCGGGAAGGGGAGAAGAAAAGGTGTGCTTCTTTCTGAGGATATTTGAGATACGCTTGACGTTGGTTTTGGGAGGACAGCATCAATTTGTTCAAGGGAGGTTTGATGCTCCACTACATGATAAATTATCTGATATAGCAATGGGAAGTAATAGAAACCAATGTATGTCAGGAGTCAAATCTGAGCCATGAATAGGTAATTGGATATTTTAATCATCAGTAAGTTTCGACATAAAATTGCTGGAATTTCCTTGTTATCCTTCACGTTGACACTTAACACACAACCCTGAAAAGTTGGCACTACTACCTAGTGAGATGGGGAACGCTCTAGGCAGCACGGTCAGGACGTGCAGGTCGATTCAGCCAAGAAAAACCAACCACACGAAAGAAAGCTCAATGAAAGTAGGGAGTCAAAAAGTGGAGAAGTTTGTAAAGTTGTCCATTCTGTAACTATCACAACTTCTAGATTAATGGTCTAACTTGCTTCTGCCATCGCAAACCGCCTTCCTGGTTCACTACGTACTGCATAGGGCTCCCACCACATACCACCCAGCCTGATAAATCGACAGTCCCCTGGTCGATCTAAAAAATAAATATATACAAAACACATCAAAAACGAATAAGAAAAACATGTTAACGTAGTTAAGAAGAGCAACGAAATAAGTCAAAACCAAAGGCACATCTAGTCGACTCCCCCTCCTTCAGATCATGACATCCAATGGTGTAATCCAACACTAGTGGTGACGAGTGTCCATGGTCCTCGTCTAAAACGACTGTCTCATCGGGTGCATCTCCCAGATCTTTGTAATACTGGAGACAGGGTGGTGGAATTGGTAAACCCTCCTTCAACATACGAAAGAAAGAATGCTCCCGGCAGATAAGTCTCGTTGCAACAAACTCATATTGTCATAGTAGAAATGAGTTCACCATAACGCGTTCAATGTAGATTGCTTGATCATCTAAAAGAAGATAGTTTACATAATTTATAATGACTGCAATAACTAACTATCAATCTCATATATTTAATCCGTTCCAAGGTTCCGAGAATTTTGCCAAGAATCCCAACTTCAGGTCGAGGAAACATTGATATATTTTTTTCTCTTGGCACCACATCCCTTATAGCTGCGAGTAATAAAGGCGAATATTGGTGGCGGTCATATAAATTCGGTAATTCGGCGGGACTTTTGAAATCTGACCATGCCTGGAGGGCTTTCTTCAAGGTGGAACAGAGTCAAATATGTGAGTCAATCTATATATCATGAAGACTCCTGAGCTAAGACTTGCTAGCCTATTGTTGATTTATGGAGTGGTAATATTCTCTACGAAGATAGGGCATTATAGCTACTTCTAATTATTAATTATATATTTGATTAGGCTCGTGATATTTATCGGCCCGTAATATTAGGTGAATTAGACGCCTTATCGACGAGGGACATCACCATAAATAATCTAAACGTATATTCAACAATTTCTCTAACGAGCAGGATCTCTAACTGGTTAAATCAATCATCCAGAAGATACACCAGTACCAATAATCCAAGCTTTATCTAATAGCGTGACCTTAATTCGGACTTATACTACTTAAACATACCTTATCTAGAAGAGCTATTCGAGATGCTTCCATCCTCGAATCACGTTTTCTCGAGTTATTAAGTTTATCAAAGATTTGTTGATTAACTAACTAGTTAAGGCTTACTCAGGTACTCAGCACTATTGACCTTCTAGATATTTTCTACATCATAGTGACCTTTTTTCAGCTTGCAGGAAGCTGAAAAGCTCACATGTTATAAGGTAGAGCTATCAATTTTGGGTCGATCAGTCAAGTAGATGTAGTGTCATAGCGCATTGAAATTTCTTACCAGGCGCAGATATACGAGAAAATTTCGGAAAGACATTCCTAAAACATTCGATACTCCAAGAGTGCAGAGCAGCAAACGCTAGAGGGCCATTCAAATTGGGTTTATTCATTGGCCTTCTCTCCCGATGGACTCATCTTAGCATCGGGCTCCCATGATGAAACTATAAAACTCTGGGATATAGAGACTGGCACAGAGCGGCAGACGCTAAAGGGCCATTCAAATTCGGTTACATCCGTAGCATTCTCTCCTGATAGGCTTACCCTGGAATCGGGCTCATGGGACCATACCATCAAGATCTGGGAGATGCTAGAGAATAATAATGAAGAAGAAGAAGAATAAGGGGAATAGGAGGGAGAGGAATCTGAAAAGATTGAGGGAGAGGAGGGCGAAGAAGGAGAGTTTGAAGAGGAAGTTGAGGAGGGCTTTTCAAGTGGCATGAACTTATCGGTCTTCTCTCCTTATCCTGCTAGGCTTTTTGAAAAAGCCCCTGAAAATTTCTAGATATTATTATCGAGTAACTGGGTTAGTATAGAAGTGAGAATTCACTATGGCTCCCTGCTGAGTATCGTTCATCTTTCTGCCAGTCTATCGAGAATACCACACTTGCACTCGGGTTTAGAGATGGGCGAGTCTTGATTATGGGATTCCATACACATATGTTATAAAGTACGTTGTTTGTATTAAGGCCTGGAATAGCTATTTTCCACCTCCGCGGAGATACTCGATGCTCACCCTGTTTATTGTGTACTCACCCTGCTCACCCCTGGTCGCGCGACGCTAAAGCGGCGCTCACTCATTGCTCACCCGGGCGACACCCGACTATTGGCCGTGGACAAGCCATATGTAGAGCGCGCTGAATGCTTGGGTGAGTCCTTTGCACCTGGCTCACCCTAAAGCAGTAACAGAATCTCCCCTAGGGTGAGGGTTGGTGATTTGGGTGAGCTCGGGGTGAGGTCGGGCGAGGACAAGTGAGCAACACTTACTGCTATAAATAGGGGCTTTTCTTTCACTCTAGGATCTTTTTTTTTTTTTTTACCAAAGTGTACTAGATTTGAAATTGAAGGATACATATCGAAGATCTGCAGAAAATTGCTTTTAAGCGTGCTAAACTTGCCGCATCGCGTGGCTTCACGCTTGAGTACCAGGATACACGAGAACAAGAGAACATTATATGCCATAAAGTTCTTGCACCCGCCATAGAAAGTAGGTATGAAATTTCAGTACGAAACCAGATGCTGTGGGTTATCATCTACCGTAATAGCCCTTCTTATTCTTCTAATAATAAGAATGATAGATGGAAGCTTTCTTGTAGCTTAACTTTGTAGCCGTGTCATATGCAAACCCATCTAACTCTTGCCTCAACCTTAGAAACAGAATCATCAACGTTCCAAGCCATGTTCGAAATCTTGCGATTTAACTGCTGAATTCGAGAAAAGAGCCAAACTTTGATTTGGGAAAAAGTCTTGGGCGAGAAAGCAGCCTTATACAGATAACTTCTGGCTTTTGCTCCATGCAAGTAAATATTTGATAACGTGTTTCCCGGTTAACCCGTTACCCCATCTAAATAAATAGTCTCCGTAGTAACCCTATGTTTTCAAACACACACCATGCCACCAATTCGCCCTGAAAAGAAACAAAAATTGATAGAGCAGGAGGGTCGTATTGAACTAACTCTAAAAGCTTTTAAAGATGGCAAATATCCTACTATCTCAGCTGTTGTATGGTCATTTGGCGTTCCACGTTCAACTTTTGTCGATCGGCTTAATGGTGTTGAACAACTAGCTGTTAAATGGTCAGCTCAACATATATTCTCTAAACTTGAAGATGAATCGATGGAAAAATGGCTACTATCTATGAATTCTAGAGGAGCAGCTCTTACCTGTGCCATGTGTCAAAATATGGCCAATATTATCCTCCGATCGCGGATTTCAACCACCACCAATACACCTTCTTCTGTTGGTAAAAACTGGGTTACTGAGTTTATCAAACGACACCCAAACCTGAAAACCCGTCGATCAAGTCGATACGATTATAAGAGAGCTTTAGCTGAAGATCCTAGGATCATTTTAGCTTGGTTTGGGTTGGTTGAAGAAACCATTAACAAATATGGTATCGATTCGGCCGATATTTTCAATTTCGATGAGTCAGGTTTCGCGATGGGGGTAAATACAACTGAGGAAGTTATTACATCTGCTGAATATCATGGTTGGAGAGCTGTTTTGTAGCCTGGAAATCGCGAATGGGTGACGGTAATTGAGACTATAAGATCAACTGGAGAAGCTCTTCCACCTCACCTTATCTTTAAAGGAAAGGTGTTTATGGAGCATTGGTTTGAGAAAAAAGGAGCCTGATTGGAGCTAAAATAAAAGCTCTAATGGCTGGGCTAGTGATCCAATTGGTTGGAACTCCTCTCATCTAACACCTACTTTCGACGATCTTTGTGAGAAACATGATATCATTGCTTTATGTATGCCTCCACATGCATCGCATGTTTTACAGCCTTTAGATGTAGGCTGTTTTGAGCCACTGAAAAAAGATTATGGTGGTCGTGTTGCGGAGTTGATGCGGTATGGAACCAACTCGATCGATAAAGATGATTTCCTTCAGATCTTCCCTGATGCACGTCGAAAAGCTTTTAAGGCAGATACCATAATTGATAGCTCTAAAGCTACTGGTTTAGTGCCTTTAAGCCCATCAGAAGTGCTCGATAAGCTGAATATTCAGGTTGAATGTCTACCAGATCTAGAATTACCTTCTGATCGTCCGATATCTTCTGGCTCTGATAGCGATGATAATGCTATTTGGAGCTTAAAACGACTTGAGGAATCCAAATCTCGTCTCAATTCTGCTCTAGAGCTCTCCTATAGTTCAATCCCATCTCCTATTAAAAGGGGGTGGAAGACGTTCTCCGATCGCACTACCCGGACGGTCCACCACCATATTTTTCTTCACGATCGCTGTGGCCATTTAGAGAAGGAAAATAAGAAACGGACAAAAAAGAAGAAAACTACTAAAAAGCAGTTGGCTTATTTAGGTAGTTTAAGGGGATGACTTATTACAATATCTTGATCAATGCTGGCAAATTATGGTCAACTTTGCATGATGTTCAAGACTATTGGACTCCGACAAGATTATCAGACTGCTGATTGGATAACAGATATTATTGAGTATACTGATCTTCATTTCGGGAGCTCATCAATAAGGAGTAAGAAACTATAGATGGTGGTGGTCGCGGACGCGCGAACCAGATGAATTGACATGGGGTCATCCAATTCTGGATATTCCTTGATTTTAATATAAAATCTTACTTGGTCATGGTGTTTACTACTTTCAAGCCCTATAATCTAATTTCAAGGCACCCTAATCTATGGGACCGAGCATAATTATATTCAAAAGGCAAGTTCATATCGTGACACAAATATAGGGGGCAGGGTTACTAGAATGCAGTATATTACACAGGATAGGGTTTCAGCGGCTATTAGACCTGCATTTTTAGCGGTAGTCCGAATTAGGCCGAATCTTGACCCCATATCAATTACAGCCAGAACTTGCAAAATTTGAAAACCTGTAACTCAAAAACCACATATACTATAGAAAAAAGAATTATGTTTGGAGTTCACAGGCAATTTTATCCAAGTAGGGGCTGAGTCAACATCAGCTTTTGCTTAATGGATAAATCTTGTATATGAATCTCCTATATTTAATCCGTTCCAAGGTTCCGAGAATTGTGCCAAGAATCCCAAATTCAGGTCGAGGAAACCTTGATCTATTTTTTCTCTTGGCCCTGGTCCACATTCAGGGTACGGACATCCCATCATGTCATTTGTACAACTTCCACCAGAATTGCTCCTTCAGATTGAGTCTTGCATGGACTGCGAGTCCGATCTTGCTTCATTAGTCCAAGTCAACCGTCATTTATATCAAACACTCATTTCACAACTCTACCGACGCAATATAGAGTCAGGCGGATCAGCTATTATCCTTGCTGCCCAGTCAGGAAACTGTTCTACCTTGAAGAAAGCCCTCCAGGCATGGTCAGATTTCAAGAGTCCCGCCGAATTACCGACTTTATATGGCCGCCACTAATACTCGCCTTTATTACTCGCAGCTATAAGGGGTAACTTAGCTACGGTAAACATGTATCAAGAATAAACAGCCCGAACTAGCCCGTCTTCTTGTGAATCGGAAAGATGTTGATCCTAATGCGCTCTATTCTAACGAGACTCCGCTACAACTTGCGGTTCTTTCTAACAGAGAGGACCTAGTTCAAATTGTGCTTACAGACAAGCGAGTCGATCCAAACCTATCGTCCAAGTTTTCACCTTTGTTACTTGCTGCACTAAAAAATAACAAGACAATTATTCGCCTATTACTCGAAGCCGGGGCAAACAAAGAACTTCAGAATGAGGGCCTTTCACCTGCTATGCTGCTTAATTCACCAAGTACACAGGCTCGCTCTCGACTTATGATGTCATCATTAGATTCAAGGGTCAATAAGAAGATATTATATGACTAGCTGGATAACGTGTTGCACCACTGCTCCGCCGTTTTCTACGAACAATCAAAAAATCGAAATTTTGAACATCAAATTTAAAATGAAAAATTTATGAAAACTAGCTGTTTAACACGTGTAGGGCACTAGGTATAGGTATGGCCACGAATTCCACATCCAGAATACGCCACAGCCTGACGAATCATATTATTGAAGGAAGTGTACATATTGATATGGGGAACGCTCTAGGAAGTGCAGTCAGAATGCATAGGTCGATTCAGCTCATGTGACAAAACAACAGAAACAGCATCAACTATTTCAATGGGAATGTAAGAGTTGGATTGTGAAAGGCCTTGCGCGTCAGGTGAAAGGAACATATGATCTTGTTCATTTTGCGGTTGATTCAGTAGATTGAACGGACCATTTGACTTAATTTGTCCCGAACTACTTCTTAAGCAGGCAGCTCACTAGAGAGCTGTGCATTTTCATTGTCGTCCATTGCTGTCGTCAAGTGACCCATAAAACCTTGGGCAGCGGTATATATACTAGCCAAAGTCTTCTTGTAGCTGCGAAGCCTCCCTTGCCAATCCCGAGGCTTCAATCGAGGCTTCAATAAACGCTTTCTTTTTCTCTAAAGAGAGCTTTCGGGTCTGAGCGACCATCTGCGCTCGATCTGCGCTACAGTGAGTCTCGAAACTGGTGCCACCACCTACACTGTCGGTAAGTTTGACGTAACTTACGGTGCACATGCTCTCTATGTCTAATAGGGATACAGGTGCAAAGTTGTAAGAAGTGTCTATCATTCTAGAGTAGAACTCGCAACTAATTAAACACCAGTCACCACTTTGGTTTTATCCGACCAATCAGACAACTATAAGTCATCTGATTTCCAACATATTTACACTCTTTCATTGTTTCCGGAACGCCAATGCCAAGATACACTAGTCTATACTATAATAAGATAAGGAGTATTGATAAACAGAGAGAAAATTGGATCTGACAAGTACGTAAACTAGTTATTCTTGCGGGTTGTCTGCTTTCATGTGGTTGTGGCTGTGACTGCTCATCCTGTCGTGAAACATGCTACTAATATGCAATCGCTGGCGCACCAAGTTCTCATACCAGAGCCGGCTTGGAATGTAGAATCTGCTGCTGGTCAAATTACCACTGCTGTGGGCCCCGATCTCACATTTTTCGAGAAGGTCGAGTGCATCCTTGCATCAAATGTGATGAAGGTGTGAATGCCTCTAACCAGCTGGTAGAGAGCTTTGTGCCGCCGGCTGTTTCTACCGTGAGCATTGTCTATTCCTCACTGTGGAGCTGAAGAAGAAGATACTGAAGGATCCCTTTATGCGGAGCCGCTACGCACCCAAGTGTGGCTCTGCAGCCTTTCAGAAACTATCGTCAATTCGCCCATCACATACTTAAGGAGTATGATGGATATTTCTGGGGGAGGAAAGCCCAGTGTCATTCCGAGGCTTGATATCCATCGAAAACACACTTTCCATTCTTGTGTTCATTATTTCTCCTTCATAGTACAGTCTAGACTCAGCTCTACATCTTCCAAGTGCTTACCAGATTAGACAAAAGCAGTTGATAGGAGGATAATAAAGACAGGATGAAGTGAGTGGTGGAAGTGAAATTAGCAAGAACAGCCTACTATAGTGATACAGGTGCGGAGTACACAAGTAGTACTATGTACTCCGAGGTCTGTGAGTATTCGAGCATGTGACCAGCTGAAAATGTAACGTGAAGGAAGTAATGGTTTGACACCATACTAGATTTGGTTAAACAGTCCCGCCATGTGCTCAAGTGGAGTCTGTTTAGCTTATGTGGGGTTAAGGAAAGATCATAGAGCCGCGCAAGCAACAATGACGAGGTCCCAGAAATGGATCATTCCAGAGTCGGTATATCGCTATGTAGGATGAATCGCTCATTAATAGATCGTATTACTCATCACATATTCACAACAGGTATCACATTTGATATTCGTATGTTTTCATCAAGAACTATTGGAAATTAACCTGATTGGATGTGATATTAAGAAAGTGGATCTGTATACTATGATTGGCTGAAGTCATAATGACACGATCGAGTGGAGACTTGAGTTCGTCGGGTCACAAATTCTATACTTGAGTCTTCTTCTTCTCTACAATTCAACATCTTCACTCCGGGTCGGGTGAAGTTGGTAAAATCACTCAAGATTATTTCATAGTTAATGAGACATGAGTTCAGTTGATAGTTCAATCCGAGTTCCGAGTGAGAATATGGGTTCAGGTCAGTGGAATTCTTACAGTGCCCCTGTAATTAAACGGTATTGGGTCCGTAACAAAGCCCATCCTGCAAGTAATTTTGATGTGGCAATTCCACTTCAATAGTTAGTACTGGTCGATAATTCGTTCACTTTGGTTAGCCCCTGATTTGATTTGATTTTTGAGTCGGACTATATATGGACTATCTAACTTGAGTTGGATACAAAGCCCTGTGACCTTATCAACTCAAAACTGGAAGTATTTCAAATGTCCATGGTTCTTCAAAAACATACATCGGTAAAATACAGTCCTCCGTAACAAAGATATTCTGGAACCTCCACATTGATCACACCATCGCACCCGCAGATTATACCATTTAAAACGATCCAACGTTTCTACGCTGTACGTCAGACCACCCCTGATCTCCATTGCATCAAGGACATTATATAGTATGGGGTGATGCCATGGGCGACGCGCTGTAATAGTTCTTTGGTCTTCTCTCCTTTACCACGCTTGTATTGAATACATTATCTTGACCTCTCGATATTTTACTATCTTTCACTATCTATTTGTAATTATATTCCTTCCCCACATACGGCTTCACCTTCATATATCGCCTCCTAAGTCTTGGTTCGGCTTTAATTTTTTTTTTCCCCTTCTCACACACCTGAAGGCCTTCCCCTCGTCCTCCTTCCCTTCTCCTTACCTTCTCCTTACCCTCTCAGCTCTATCGTATATGATTCATCATGGCTGAGAAGAAGCCCAACATCCTCTACATCATGGCTGACCAGATGGCGGCTCCCTTGTTGTCTCTGCATGATAAGGATTCCCCAATTAAGACACCCAACATTGACAATCTAGCACGTGAGGGCGTGGTCTTTGACTCGGCATACTGCAACGCACCGCTGTGTGCCCCTTCGCGATTTGTTATGGTTAGTGGCCAGCTGCCGTCTAAGATTGGCGCATACGATAATGCTTCCGATCTTCCCGCCGATACCCCGACTTATGCACACTATTTGCGCAATGAGGGTTACCACACTGCCTTAGCGGGTAAAATGCATTTCTGCGGCCCGGACCAGCTTCATGGTTATGAACAGCGTCTGACCAGTGATATTTACCCTGGAGATTACGGCTGGTCCGTCAATTGGGATGAACCTGTGAGTTGCGACCTCCTGAGATTTGTTCTACCAGATGCTAATATACTTTGCGCTTGTAGGAGGTTCGCCTTGACTATTACCACAATATGTCTTCGGTCATGGATGCAGGCCCCGTGGTACGAACCAACCAGCTGGACTTCGACGAGGAGGTTATCTACCGCTCGGAACAGTACCTCTACGACCACGTGCGCCATCGCGGAGACCAGCCTTTCTGCCTGACCGTCTCGATGACCCACCCCCACGATCCCTACGCGATGACCAAGGAATTCTGGGATATGTATGAAGACGTCGACATTCCGCTCCCCAAGAATGGAAAGATCCCTCAGGACCAGCTGGACCCTCATTCCCAGCGCATTCTCAAGTGCATTGACCTGTGGGGCAAGGAGATGCCCGATGATCGCATTCGCGCCGCTCGTCGCTCCTACTTTGCTGCTTGCACATACGTGGATACCAACATTGGCAAGCTTTTACGCGTGCTCAAGAACACCGGCTTGGATGAGAACACGATCATTGTCTTCACTGGTGATCATGGCGACATGCTCGGTGAGCGCGGATTGTGGTACAAGATGAGCTGGTACGAGAACTCCGCTCGTGTGCCTTTCCTTTTCCACTACCCCAAGAAGTTTGCCGCGAAGCGCGTGTCGGAAAACGTGTCAACCATGGACCTTCTTCCCACTTTTGCCGGTCTGGCTGGTGCGCCCATTGTCAAGGAACTGCCTCTCGACGGTGTTTCCCTCGTGCCGTATTTGACTGGTGAGGACGGTCTCCGCACTGATACAGTTTACGGCGAGTATATGGGAGAGGGCACTCAGGACCCTCTGGTGATGATTCGTCGTGGTCGCTGGAAGTTCATCTACTCGGCCATTGATCCGCCCATGCTGTACGATCTGACCACCGACCCAGAGGAGCTGAACAACTTGGTTGCCGGCCTTCCCATTCCCTCTACACAGTCCGGTGATAACCTGAATGTATCCGGCCTCCCGACCCCCGGCGAGACCCCCCGCGCTTCACCCGTCCCCAGACGCGCAGCCGAAAGATCTGCCGCATACCCTTTCCCCTCGCCCACTCCCCCGCGCAGCCCAAGCCCTTCCAAATACGGTTCTGCTCTCCCCGAGACAACCGAACCGGCCAAACTACTGGCCTTCTTCCTAGAAGAAACCCACTCGCGCTGGAACCTGGAGGCGATCCGTCAAGATGTTCTCCGCTCTCAACGCCGCCGTCGCCTTGTGTACTCCGCTTTGATCAAGGGAACACCCACAATGTGGGACCACGAGCCCCGCGTAGACCCAAGCAAGCAGTACGTGCGCAACCAAGGCCGCGGAGTCCTCGACGACATCGAGTTCATTTCACGCTGGCCCCGTGTCCTGTCCGCCGCAGCACACGCACAAGGCATTTCCACATCCACATAAACGTGGGAAAAAGTACAAAATTTACGTCTAAAAGTATCTTGATTCTGGATTCTGGATTCTTGATTCTTGATTCTTGATTTTTTGATTCTTCATGCCTTTACGTTGCATTTTGAGCTCATGGTATTTCCTTCAATTTCACGTCCATATCATCTCAGGAGGGTTCATTCTATTGTCATTATTATTATCAGCGAGGCGCTATACCCGGGAAATCCCTTTCGTTTGAACTTTCACTTCATATTCTTTCCATTTACCCTGACTTTTTGCATCTGCTGGACATTTGGACACATTTTGGACATTTGAATCCCAGGGATTGCCTTTTTTGGATTTGCCATTCTCAGTAGTCCCGAGGTCGCACAGTCAAATAAATTGGTGAAAAATGATAGCAATAAAGATCTAAGTTCCAAAAAGAAGTCCATACTGCGTATCAGATCCATGGATAACAATATAATAAAATCCTAAAAAAAGTATGTACTGAACGCCACTGTAGTTGGCCAATGCCTGCATGTGCTAGTACTACGTTTTATTCCCATTCAACCAAGCCATTATAGCTTATTCCACCATTCACTCCACCAGCCAAACTGGCGATTTCACCAATACAGTAGTCGGTCCCTTGCCATGCACCTCAACAGTAGGGAAAGATGCAAAGCGAATACGAGCCAGCTCGGAAGAATCCACCTTTTCCTCTGCATGTCCAGCCGGACGACTGGGTTCAGCACTAGTCTTGCGGCCCATCAAAGCTCCAAAGACTGATTTCTTCTTCGGCTCTCGTGGGGTTGTAGATACGTCAACGGGGTTTGATGGGGGTGATGGGGTGTCATTCTCTCCAGCTGACGCCTCTTCGGATTCCTCGATCGGTGGAGGTGGGGGGTGACTCAAGGGTGGAAGTTGACTTTCCACCTTCATGCTCGACTCGTTGAATAGGATGTTGGTTGCAGGGTACTCGACACAAACGTCTCGAGCCTCTAATGGGATCTTCTCGATGATATTGACGGTGTTCGTTATGATCATACCCACACCAGGCTCAAGTCCTGGCAGGCCTGACTCGTGTAGATGGGCAGTCAAGAACGACGCAAGTTGGCCTGTCAGCTGCTCGACCAGCTCTATGCGATGGTCCTGGGCAGAAGGGGTTGTAAGGATCTCACCTAGCCCGTCGAACGTGGTACGGCGCCAGTTGGAAAGGCGGGCGATGAGATTCTCGCGATCTTCGTCTGTGGCCGAGCGGACCTGCTGTCGTCGCAGGTTCATTTCAATACTTTTCAGCTGCAAGCTGAGGTTTTGATCCAGTCCGGGGTGAAAGTGGCGTTGAAAGACCTCCTCCACTAACCACCGACTAATCACAGCCCGACCTATTGCCGTCATCTCTTTAGTGCCAACAGCCACGGCGTCGTCGGAAACAAGACTACGTAGCCAGGAGGGAACCACACGCCAGTCTTTCCGTACCGAGAACGCAAGGTCTTTAATAGCGCCATCTAGTCGCTGGAAGCGGTTGGCATACTCGTTATCATCTAGTACTGTGCGGGACACAGCCATACGCTGGTGCGCTACTGTATTTTGAAGATGCTGCACCTGGGCCTCCTTCTCGAAATAGTAGCGCTTGACCTTGGAATATTTGGCTTCTGTGAAGAGATTTGTTAGTACGGAGAACTAAACGAAGACATATGGACATACGAAGTTCCTCGTGTTTCTGAACTAAAGCCCGGACGTCAATCGTACTATCCAGTGGGTCCTCGCGTATCCGATTACTAGTGGGTGTATGGCGTCCATCCGTAGTTTCTTGGGCAGAACTCCTACCGCTTCTGCCTGAGTCCTGGTGTGCTCGATCGGTTGGGCCTGGTGGTTTTTCTGGCGATGCCTGCATGTCGGGGGTTTGCGGGGGAAGCGGTGAAAGAGGAGGTTCAGGCTGACGGGAATTCACGTCCTGAACTTCGTTGAATAGGGACTGTGCTGAAGTTGAGTTGCGTTTGTATTGCTCTGCAAACGTGAAGCTCAAGTCTGTGAAAGAGCGTTGGATAGACTGCGGCGGTCTGGGGAGTTGGCCCTGATGTGGTGGGGGTGGTGCGGGGGTTGGTTGGTGCTGTTGCTGTTGCTGTTGCTGCTGTTGCTGCTGATGCTGCGACTGCGACTGTGACTGCTGCGACTGAGACTGTTGCGACCGGTTGGAAGCAGGATGCGTTTGATCTGAAACTTGCTGGAAGGGACGGTGATGCTCTTGATAGGTCGAGGACAAGCGCGGTGTACCCTGATCTTCGGAGGTGTTCGGCGCTTGCTCCTCCAAATTTTGAGTAAACCACGGTGAGCCTGGTTGCGAGATAGGCTGAGAAATCTGCCGGTTTTTGACAGAGACACTGCGCTCGAGTATACCAGATGAAGGTCGCGTAAACAAACTCCTTTTAGGACGACGATAGTGAGATTCACTAGTGCCCGTATTGACGGTCGGTCGGTCGCGTTGGCTGTTGTTGCTGCCCCGCGGTTCGGCAAGATCGTTACTCGGAATGGACCGAGTGGACTTGGATTTCCCGTGAAACAGCGACATGGCGAATATATTAATACTCTTACTGCGATGAAAACAGAAGGAAGAGCAAAGGCCTGGTGGTGGAGATCCTAGCAAACAATGATTGGGCGTTCTATATATAGGGAATGTAAGCTGAGAAGTTCCTTTTTCACAGAATGGGGGCTCAAACTACAAGACTGTACTAGGCTGTATGTGGTTTAGAAGGAGAAATACATTTGAGATAGTCAAAAACTACCTAGGTATGTCCTACTTCTGTCAATTTATACACCTTGAAATGGTGTACATCCCCTCGCTCGAGAAACAAAGTGTGGTTTTCAAACTTATTAGCGTCAACAAGCCGTCGGAAATCTTCAAGCGGACTGGCAAATATGTCATAATCGTCATAATGAATGGGTATTGTTATGTCGGGCTTCACCAGCTTCATCAGCTCAATACCTTCTTCCGCATTCATCGTTATCATCACCGTAAGGGGATCCATCGATGGAGATGGGATCATGACGCCGCCTAGATGGGCTAGCATAAGGTCAATTACCTCTCCTTCATATCTCTGTGCGATCTCCTGAAGCTCATCCACAAACAGAGTGTCTCCTGTTATGTAAATTCGGTAACCACACTCAAAGTAGCTGGTGTCAGACGTTCCATATCCAAACTCGAGCATCCAGCCGTTAGTTGGAGGAATCTGTGCTAGGTTAGTACTGAACAGACCGTCATCCTAGACTGTCATCCTGGCTCAACTAACAGTTTGGGCTAATGCATTCAAACTCTCTATGACTGGATTTGATGGGATATGCTTGCCCGGCATTCCTATAACACGCAGTCGTGGCTGTCTGGTTCTCATTGTACCTTCTATATCAACCATGATATGATCAAATGGATTCAACGCGTGAACTCGTTTGAAAGGGTTAGGATGCTTCGAGGTCAGGTATGTTTTACCCTGTGGATTCGTGATGATGGGGATATCCCGCCGGAGGGAGGCTTTTGTCTTTTCATCAAAGTGGTCCCTATTGCAATCAGATTTTGGTTTACCTTACTACTCTGCAATGCATACCCGTGGTAGTGAGACAAGAGTATGATGTCAATGCGTGGCAGCTCTCTCAGATCAATGGCTGGGTTGGTGAGCCGAGTACTCGATATACCAGGGCTCAGACGTGCATGGTCACCAGAAATGCGAAAATCAGGCTAGAACACTAACAGTTAGAGCAGTGGGTCTACACTTATTAACCCTGAAAGTGCTCACATCTGTCATCAATCGGATTCCAGCCCATTCTCTACATTTGTTAGCTCTGGACACTTTGGAGACAAGAAGATGCAAACATGATGGTTGTTGCAGAGCCCACGTAGAATAGGGATGCATTCTCACCACCGGGATCAGACGGATGGAGTATGATTTGCTTGGGTGGAGGGAGCTTCTCGGGTGCAACTGCTCCAGTCGGGCACCGGTTACCCTGGGGGTTGATGCAAATGGGTAGCATTGTACCCAGGAATAACAGAAAAAAATTGCGGATCAGATGGGCTTTTGATATTCTGAGAACATTACCCTGGATACTACCCAGTCTCCTAGGTACGTATACATGACCATGAAAGTGACGTCGAGATTACTCAAATTGGATTCAAATACGATGAAGATTAGAAAAAGTCGGAACCTTTCTAACATAACAGAACCCAGAAGCCCGAAAACGTTTCAGGGTTGAAATTAGCCTTGGAAAATTTGAGAAAATCTGGTTATATCGAAAATCCAGAGTTCGATGCTGGCGTCCTCCCATTGGACCACGATAGGAGATTTACATGCTAATTAATAGTATTGCTAAGTGGAATTGGTCCAATTGGAGCCTTGGAAGCTTCCATGAGTACCTTGACGCCTTGACATGTGGACCCTACTATTATTAGTTTGTAACTGCTCATGAAGTTAGGCTATACTATTGGATAAGGACATCTAATTCTCGATTTTGCCCTGTCATAGATCTTGTAAGTCATAGTATTTTCATACCTCTCAACATGAGTGTTGTTTGTCGATTGACTGCCATGTGATAAATTCAAAGAAGTTCCTCATTGTAAAATTTCAATGAGCCCGGTATGTTCGGAGACCCTGGAAGTCTCGGCAAGACAAACGCTTGCTGGATAACATGGCATCTGGTTTTTGGAGGCTTAGCTGAAGCTCGATTGGTTTGAGTGGACGTTAATCGAAACTAGCCAGCGCATAGGTAGTTTGTTGGAAGTTGGCAAGCCCCGCTAGGTATTTCCATCGAGGTGGTATGAGGCTGGAGACTAAGGGAGTACAAACTTTGGAGTTCAATAATGTCTGCTAATTACTTTCCTACGTAAGCGATCTCGGGAATAAACCGATACACGTGCAGCTCAACTTAAAATGTGTCCTTAGCATTGCCATGTTCAGAGTATCAAGGTTCTTCTAACCGAATACTCAGTGAAACATTTGGTAACTTTTAGTAGTTGGACCCACGGAAGACGTGGCAAGATCCAGATCGAGGCCAAGCTTTCACCAAGCTTTGATAGACATCCCCTTGCTTGGTGATACCGTACACTAGATATTACCATTATTTTATTTTATCTATTTATCTTTTTATCTTTTTATCGTTTTATCGTTTTATCGTTTTATTATATTGTAGGAATTGTATAATTGTACACTATAGCCGATAAAAAAAAGAATCAAATTAAGTTAAAAGAACTGGCCAGAATCAAGTCGCCAGGGCAGATACTTGAAACTACGTCATTCTGCCCCGCTTGTCTTTCTTTCTTTCCTATTTAGTTCTACTTCTTCCCCTCTTCTCTCTTCCAACTTGTTTGTTATTTCCCCTGTTTTTTGCTCTTGTTTATTCCTTCGCAACCATGGTTCATCTCACTGCTGTCAAGACCGACGACCAGATCACAAAGCGGAAGGTGGATTCCATCCCCGCTCTTGTTGATACTGATTCCACCAATGTCTATGGCTCCCACTTTGCTGTCGACCACATGGACCAACATGAGATGCCTGAAAATGAGATGCCACGAGAGATTGCTGCTCGCTTGATTCGAGATGAGCTAAGCCTCGACGGCAACCCCAAACTGAAGTAGGCATCTAATTGGCTTATCTGAAAGTACACAGCTAACAACCTCACAGTTTGGCTAGTTTCGTCACTACCTACATGGAGAAGGAAGTTGAGGAGATCATGACTGAATCCTTTAGCAAGAACTTCATCGACTATGAAGAGTACCCCCATTCTGCCGAGATTCAGAACCGTTGCGTGAACATGATTGCTCGTCTTTTCAACTGCCCAACTGAAGAAGGTTCTGACGGTGCCGTGGGTACCTCCACCATTGGTTCCAGTGAGGCTATCATGCTCGGTGTCCTCGCCATGAAGAAGCGCTGGCAAAACAAGCGCAAGGCCGAGGGTAAGGACTACTTCCATCCCAACATTGTCATGAACAGTGCTGTCCAGGTCTGCTGGGAGAAGGCCGCTCGCTACTTTGATGTCGAGGAGCGATACGTCTACTGTACCGATAAGCGCTTCGTCATCGACCCTAAGGATGCTGTCGACCTTGTTGATGAAAACACAATTGGTATCTGTGCTATCTTGGGTACTACATACACTGGCGAGTACGAGGATGTCAAGGCCATCAACGATCTCCTTGTTGAGCGAAAGATTGACTGCCCTATCCACGTCGACGCTGCTTCAGGAGGCTTCGTCGTACCCTTCACTCAGCCCGATCTCGAGTGGGATTTCCGCCTCGAAAAAGTCATTTCGATCAACGTCTCCGGTCACAAATACGGTCTTGTCTACCCCGGAGTCGGCTGGGTGCTGTGGAGAAGCCCTGAGTACTTGCCTAAGGAGCTGGTGTTCAACATTAACTACCTTGGAGCTGACCAAGCCAGTTTCACCCTGAACTTCTCCAAGGGTGCTTCCCACGTCATTGGTCAATACTACCAGTTGATTAGACTCGGGAAGCGTGGATTCAAGAGCATCATGACCAATCTCACTCGCGTCTCTGATTATTTGAGCTCCCAGCTTGAAGAGAGGGGCATGGTTATCTTGAGCGAGACCAAGGGCAAGGGATTGCCTCTCGTCGCATTCTGCCTGCCCGATAACAAGGATCGCGTTTACGATGAGTTCGCCCTGGCCCACCAGCTCCGTGAGCGTGGCTGGGTTGTTCCTGCCTACACCATGGCACCTCACAGCGAGAAACTTAAGCTCTTGCGTATTGTAGTCCGGGCTGACTTCAGCATGAGCCGAGCCGATCAGCTGTTGGCCGATTTCAACCTTGCTCTGCAGACTCTTGACGAGATGGACCAGGTCATGGTTGCCAAGTACAAGACGTAAGTTCTGAATATAAATTCTATCATCATCGACACTGCTAACAATATATCAATAGACACATGGCTAATCATCGCAGTCACCCTCGTCACCAAAATACCCATCACGCCTACAAGAAGGACGATCACTCATTGCAGGGCAAGACTGGCAAGTCCCATGGCGTGTGCTAGGTAATTAATTACGATGTCACGATTTAAAACTTTCTCTAGTTTATGCTATCCTCATGAATGAACTTGAATTGGATTGAGATACGTTTAGTCAACTAATAGATTTTCCGCTCTTTCTATTCCGTATATACAGTTCATTCTTTTGACTTTCTTCGCTTATCTAACATCTTTCCTTAGTCGACCTTAACTATGAATCAACACTTTCAATGCTCAATGTATCTACTTTCCATCTCAAACATCCAAAATTCAGCCACATAGTTGGATTTCTTAATTTCATAATGTCTACCAAACCACCTCCGACAGACCTTCCAATCTACTCCTTCCGCACGGCAAGGGACCTCGAGGGCTTTCTCGAGCGCGAGCACTCCATAGCCCCAGGTTTCTACCTCAAGCTAGCCAAAAAGGCCTCTGGAATTAAATCTGTATCATCCTCCGAGGCCGTAGAAATAGCACTATGCTTCGGATGGATCGACGGGCGCGCGAACGGATTTGACGAGAACTGGTGGCTAGTGCGATACACACCTCGCCGAGCAAAGAGCATCTGGTCACAAAAGAACGTCAATATTATCAGCCAGTTAGTAGAGCAGAATCGAATGCGCCCGATGGGCCTAGCTGCTATGGATGCCGCAAAGGCTGATGGACGCTGGGACCGTGCCTATGCTGGACCGGCCACTATCACGGTTCCCGATGATTTTGCTACTGCATTAGCAGAGGTACCTACTGCCTTTTCTTTTTTTGAAGCGCTGAATAAAAGCGATAGGTATTCGGTGTTGTGGCGGGTTCAGACTGCCTCGCCTACAGCGCGAGCAAAGAGGATTGAGACATTAGTTCAGACGCTTGCGGAAAGTAAGCGACCGAGTGAGATGTCTGCGTCATCAAATAAGCGCAAGAAGGATCCAGATGAGAGAATTGTACCACAAGGAAGAAAACTTAGAGCAAGGAAGAAGAAAAGCTGATCGAGGGCTATCCTGGCAGAATAATACACCGCCTGCAGCGCGTTTTAGTTTCTATTGCGTAGTTAGTGAAGAAGATTAACTCGACACCATCCTCAACGCCCTTCATTATGAACACTGCAATTCAGAACTCTCTATCTGATGTAGAGTCCAAGCTCAATGCACTCCTAACAGAACTCCTCACCTCCCCCGCCGCGGCGGTAGCACCAGCATGCGCGCTCGCCCTCCTCCAAGCAGACGACAATCTCTCCACCACAATTAAGTTGCTGCGAACGCACCAAGAGAACTATGCCAAAATCCTCCAGCTCCGAAAAGAAGCCGAACAACTAGACGACCGCGTGAAAGGAATTGTCCTTGAAATTGAAGCCTTTGACAAAGAGATCAAAACAGCTTGCGGCGACGATGAAGAGAGTGACAGTGACGCGGAGTCTGAATACGACGAGGAGACCGGTGACAAAAAGCCCGCTACACTAAGGGAAATCGACTATGCCTTGCTTTTGGACTTTGCACGACGCATCAGCAAGTACAACCACGAAGCTGCGGCCGATGCTGCGAACGGTGCTGCGAATGGTGCTCCGACACAGACACAGATAAAACTGTCACAACAGGTACCTGATAATGACGTGAAGATGACAGATAATGGGGAAGCTGCAGAGGGTGCAGAGCCTGTGTCATCAGTGACGAAAGGCGCGACACAGTGGCTAGATGACTCGGCAAATATCACGCGCGAGGTGTACATGATGCCATATCCGACCGAAGAACGGATTCGCATGGGATTGATGGGCCAAGCGCAACTAGTTGCTGGTGAAGACCTGGACAAGGAGGTTGATCGACTGCTACGGGAAGCAGAGGGCCTTGGAGCCGCAGAGCCTCCTGCTCCCGCACCGACGGTGAATACTATACAAGACGAGTCTGCAAAGGCTGCTGCCCAGGCTGGGTCTATGGCCACTACAAAGCCAAGTGCACCTGCACCAGCGCCAGAACAGTCAAAGCCTAAGCCGAAAGCTACCTTGGACCTTGATCTCTACGATCCGGATGACGATGACTTTTAAACGGCTTTACTGAGATTGATTTTTTCATTGTTTTTTCCATTTTTTTTCCATTCATTTATATTCATAAGATACCCAATTTACACTCCATATACATATTCACAAGTACGTCACAGTTGACAATTCATAAACACCAGACTTACATCTTATGCACGGATGACTTGGCCGTCCACCCTCTGAACTTCTTTCCATAGAAGTAGAGTGGAATCGCAAATAGGCACCAGAGGGTTGTCAAGGACATGTTCAGCATGATAGGATCGACAAAACCGCTCTTTATAATCCATGGCGTAATGAACTCGCTGAAACCATAGCCCCAGAGATTTTTGTTGACAGTAATAGCGACGAAGATTGAACCAGCGACAGGCTTGTAGCTATCGACAGCATAAGTACTGGTGATAGCTGGCAAGGCAGAGACTTGAATTCCGATAGCAGTGTATCCGATGATGACAATTATCTAGGAGATGATTAGTAACAGTTCTGAATGCAGTAGTGATGTAAAAAAAAAAAAACTCACCTTCCAGTCCCATTTGTACTTGTAGCCGAAGGCAACGACCATGTTGCCAATGATCATAATCACCACATAGATAGCCATAGCTGACAAACGCATCTCCGGCTCTCGAACACCCCCATTCCGTCGAGTGGCTCTCATAGAAATCCAGTCGGAGAGGGGGCCGTTTGTGGCCAGTCCAATAAGTGATCCGATGAAAATGGCAAAGTTGAAGAAACCGATAGTCTGACTGTCGAAGTTATACGGAGGCGCAGTAAAAGCTTGACTCTGAGTAAGATTCAGAGTCAAGAAGCAACTAGCCGACCAAGATACAACGAACGCGCTGAACTCGACAATAGGAAACGTCAGGAGCTTCCAGGGTGTGATGAAAGCGATAGCAATAGTCTTCAAATTATTATCAGACTGTTGCCACAGCTTAAACTGCTGTTTGGACGGCGTTCCATGTCCAGTTATACTCTGCACGAGCTCTTCATCCACGACACTCTTAACGACGCTCTCATCCTGCGATATCTTGCCCGCCTTCTCTTTCTCAAGAGGATTGGCCATAGAGTTCTGGTATTCTTGCACATCAATCTCTTGCGCGTCAATCTCATCAGGATGAGCGCGGTGCCATTTAGTCTCGGGGAAGAAAAAGATCTGTAGAAGCAATGTCACGCCTAGGATGCCAACATTCAGCCAGAAGAAGCTGCGCCAGCCAGTGTGTTCGGCCATTGGACCGGCAATGATAGGGCCGACCATCAGGGAGCCGAAGTATGCGGTAAAGTACATTGTGTTGTAAGCGCCACGATCATGGAGGAAGATGATGTCTGCGATGATCTCGGGCTGGGATGTCTATACAAGAGTCAGCATCATATCCGTGGACCGAATGATTTGGAAGAGTGATTCATACCTCTGCTGGTCCTGCACCGAGTCCATTTAAGATACAGGCTCCCATGTAGCTACCGTATGAGGTTGCGAGGGCACGCCAGATATTACTAGCGAGGCAGATAATAGTAGAGAAGATAAGGACAGGTCGTCGACCAAAAGCAGTTTGGAGGGGAATCCTGTTTTTCCTTCTTTTAGCGATGTAATGGTATGAGGAAAAAGAAGTTGAGCTTACCAGAGGAAATTACTGAATCCCAATATCAAGATACAGACACCAGCGAACCGCACAACACCAGCAATGTCCGTATTGAAAGCCTCGATTAATTGAGGAAACATAGGAGCGAGTGCTAGAGGGCCAAAACCCTGCGTGAAAGAAGTGGCAGTAGCGATAGCCATAGTAGTGAATTTCCAGCCTCGGCTCCAATTCTGGAGATTGATTAGCATACCTCCGTTTAATTTTCTTGGCGAATATAAATACATACCAAGGGATCATGCGGATCTTGTGATGGCTGTGGTACTAGCACTCGGTGAGACTTATTCGAGGACTTCACGAAGTGATGTGTGCCTGTATCGGTCATGATCTCTGTTCCTGGGTAGATGACTGTCCCCAGTTCGGCCTCAATCTGATGAAGCGTCTATAGAGATGTTAGATACAAGATTGAGATAAAAAGATATAAGGAGCACTCACGCTTTCATCGTAGTTCATCTCCATGATATAGGGTGAGCGACAGGCTCTAGTATGTAGTAAAGTGTGAAGCAAGCATAGCAAGTATAGCAAGTATAGCAAGAGATAAATCCCTAAAAAATGTCATGATGGCTCCCTCTTATAGTGGACAGTACCAAGTCACATGATGGCTGCCCATGTGAATAAGTGGAAGCGAGATAAGAAGAGAAAGTTCGGAAAAGGGCCAGACACTTGAAGTGGCGGATCTCTTTCGGGTCTTTTCATCCGAAGCAACCAGTAGGAAGAAGGAGAATGAGGTTTAGTTTAATAAATCGAAGGGTCGAATTACTAACATTTACTAAATGTACTCAAGAACGCAGCTTCCCCAGATTCTGAACCCCGGATTTTCTTCCCGAGTTTCTATTAATCCCGGTGAATGATTGCAATTATCGATCGCTTAGCATCGTATAAGCGGCGGTAATCAGCGGCGGCATTTAAACGCCCGCCGCTAACGCTGTTTATAGGCTAGTGTAAACCTTAAAAATCCTTAAGATAACAGCCCAGCTGCCCCTACGTCGTAAGTTATGGAGTTTTGAGAGAAACTAAAATTCAAAAGATGTCTCACTTCACTTTCAAGACTGCCTGAGATGGTGGGACCCTACTGATATCGTCCTGGTTTAAGCATAGAAGAATTTGAATGCGTTTTCTCTAGTCGGATTTCCCTGAAACTTGCCCTTTAGCCATATGATCAAATACGATGCTAACCACGGTACCTGCTTAAATATCAGTATAAGGTAGAAATGGACCTATTAAATTGCTACCTTCTGGCGCCACTGAAAGCTAATCTTTCCGCTACTTTTATAATACCGCTTATAAACGGGATATTTTTACCATGTAATAAAAATTAAGATAAAACTTAGTAAAAAAGGTAAAATCAATTTCATTAACTAAATATTAACTACTGTGTAAAGATACCCCGAAAAAACAGGCTTAGAAGTTTTTAGAACGGAACGTCCTCAATTTATATTAATGATATGATAACTGCTATTAAATTTATCTGCTCAAAGATCTCCAGAAGTGCGTCTCATGTCCATGCTCTGTAGGATATTTCATTGTCCACCAGAAGATACTAACTGTAATGAATGGCCATTGGATAGAACTATAGGATAGAATAGGCACTAGTTTCGGGACGGATCAAAAGTGGCAATCTAACAACCCCACGGGGTCAGAACGTCGTATTTGAGTATAACATTGACAATAAAAGTCATAAACACAGAATCCAGTATGTATAGAATAGCTAAAATCATAATTCCCGCCCAGTCCACGAAGTCTGGAGGGTTTGAATCGCATGTTCAGTATTCCAGCCCAAATCAGCCTCAACTCCCCTCAAGAGATCAACAATAATCTGATGCTCCTCAGCTCCCTCCAAACACTGACCCGCAGCAACTAAAAGCGGAATCATATTTGCCCGCACTTCACCCTGCGGTCTTCCAAGAGCAATGCCGCATATTTCCCGACAGCGGTATTCGACTTCCTTTGTTACTTCCCGATAACCCTGCAACCGGTCAAATGCAGTACTAGGCGCACCGACTACATCTGAAGGTCGGTTTAACAACAGTGCCACTCGTCCAAAATGATAATGTTGCATGGTGGCGGCACAGGTCGCCAAAGTGTAGTATATCTCGGGAAATGGCAGCTGGCTCCCTTCGGCTGGTTTGGAGAGATCCCTGGGATGCTCCAGCCTCACACACGGGCGGAAGACCTCTGGAACAGCCTCAAACCAGGTTTGAAACTCAAATGATAGACCTAGCCAGGTGTTGGGGTCAGGGACGGATGAGGGGCTGGATGCCATGGGGGCTGTGCCGGATTCTTGGTTGGTCCCATTCTGATTGGTTGGAGTGGATCCAGTCCATTGGGCAATCTGGGTTTGCTTGGAGTGGGATAGGAGATTAATGACTTTGGTGACAAGCCACGCCAGACCGTTGGACGCCTGATCTTCCGGTGGGGAATGGATAAATGCCCCAGAGGCAGAATTGATCAATCCTGTATTATTGATGTGCACTTTTCCCTGTCCGTCAATTTCGATGCCTGCAGCCCGCCATAAATCTATATCAGCCGGGTTGAGATGTGTGTTGGATCGATTAAAGTAGGAGCCGAGATAGTCCTGCCGAACAAAGTTCCAGAAAGACGCTCGGATGCCATGAGAGAAGAACACTGATTCTGTCTGACTCATTTTTAATAATGAGTTGAAAAGGGTATGGATTCCAGAAATATGTCTATATCTGTCAGTAAAGTTCCTGTATAAGGTATCGAGCTGAACTTACGTGTGCCATTGATTTCCTTTTGAATCAAGGAGTCTGTACAAGCTCAAAATAGTAACAGTTGATAACATATCTTCAATCTCACGCAGAAATGAATTATCGTTGGATCCCAACCCTTGAGTAGAGTGAGCTCTCAGCCACCGATTGACCACTTCAATTGAAGAATCTAGAACAGTTGATGTAGAAACATTATTATACCCGCCGGACATAGAGCTGTTCAAGTCTGAGACGGCCATGTAGTAGTAATTTGCAGCCTTGAGGAACCAATCGACTTGGTCTGCTCCAGGGTAGATCTCTGTAGTCGCAGGACTTGTGAACATTCCGCCACTTGCGTGTGATTTGGCTCCTTTCACTCGACCTAGCTGTTTTGCCGCTATAGAGGCTATGGCATATTTGAGTGAATTGCAATTGATAGCTCTGATTGGAACATGAACGGAAAAGTATTTCCCAGAATCAGATAAATCCAGCCTATATATCCATGGATGTCAGTGGATGAACAGTCAATTCCCTGCAAGGTTGCCTTCAAACATACCATGGCCCTACAATCTCTGTATAATGACGGCCGAGGAATGCATATTCATGTTCGGTCCCGGTCATGAGCTCTGAGAAAATGTCTTGAAATTCTTCATGCTCACTTCGCTGGGATGGACTTTCAGTAGAGAGTAGTCCGTGATAATCGGGTCGGCCAGTAGAACCTGGCCTAGGTATGTTTTCAGGACCTGTTGACAGACGCGTGATACTTGGTGAAATGGGGCTGTTAATGGTGCCTTTTGATAAAAGACTACCCTCAAATGCTGATAAATGATTCAACCTTGGAAAAGGACGAGTCCCCGGAGTCTCGGGAATCGCAAATTTGGTATGTGTGACCATATCTGACTGACCTAAAGGATTGTTCCCGTCAGGTCGTTGAAGATTACTCTGTGGGTCAGGTCTGGCTTCTTCCATCTGGAAAGGCGGTTCTATTTTCCCTTGATTGGAAAGATCCATGGGCTGATTTTCATGACTTTCTAGAGGTTGATTTTGCGCCGGATAAGACACAGGTTCTGTGTCCTATACTAGAGTGTCAATGTTCATTCCGCATATAAGTTTGAATGTTTAATTTCAATATTGGACTTAAACTCACTCTACCAGTCTTGTTCGTAGTGTCTGGCTTCGGCTGAGGTTCTTGATATGGAGCAAATCGGCGTCTCACGGTGGCGCCTTGATCAATAAATTTGCGAGTTTGCACATAGCCAGGGCATTCAACACCTGTGCTGATGCATCGCTGACAGTGAGGCCGAGTCTCATCACACTGCAAACGTTGATATCAAATCTTATCATATTTGAAGGATGCACTAACTTTGAGATGTCTCTTTTTACACCGGTCGCAAGCCTTATTGGAAGGAACTCCTGGCATTGTAGAAAATTCAATCAGAATCTAAGAATGATTTTATGAAGGTTCAAACACAGAAATGGTAAGCCTTCTTCACATTGTCTGAACTTAGCCGCAATAACCAGATGAAACTCTTCAAGGGGTCAATTTTATTATCTAATCCGGGACTTGCCTCCCGAGTTCGGTGAATTGTGATTCGCTGAGAGAGGATCACCGCCCCGGCAAAATATGGGGTTCGGCCCCGGTCTTTTCATTATCTTTGAATCCTTTTTCATTTTAAGACCCTCATTCCCTTTTCATATTTCTTAAGATGTTACGTGACAACAGCCAGGGGAATCTGAATTCTTTAAGGTCATCTATTGAATCGGACTTTTATCCTTCTCGCATCCAGAAACGGCCTTATCGTCCACTTTCGAGAAAGAGGTCAACTCTACCAGATGCTGAGCAAAGTCGCATCTATCATGAATGGATCTGTATGTGCGATAAGATGAAGACTTAGCCACTTGGACCGTCTTAAATCTTCCATTTCGTCCCTTTAAAGACGGATAGTCGGTCAGAACTGATGCCCTTTAGATACTGGAAAACCTCGTAATATTGTTTGCTCGGAGTGCTATCTTCCCGAGAATTTAATTGGCTGTGAAACGTGTTGTAGATCCTACCACGTCCAATGCCTTGATACAGAGGTGCAAATTCCTAATGGAAGTTTTTATTGTCTGTCGTGCAGGGAAAAGACGTGGGATCGAGCACCACCTCCAGTTCCAGTCTCATCATCTTCAACAAACCCCTCGCATGAGAGCACGCCACATGGTACTAGTAGCTCATTCCCGATAGTGAGATCATCAGCTGGAAGTACTCCTGCCAGTAACCATGATTCTCCATTAAATTCCATGCCCCCTACTGCTGGAGTTCCAAATATGTCCGCATTTCCATCGGAAATGTTCACCGGCGCGTTTGAACACGGCTCCTCATCACAGGACTTGCCACCCGTTCCCAATATGTATCCGCATGTTCTAGCCTATTTGTCGCAGACAGATGCTGCGACTACTCAATTGACTCACCAACCGGAGTTCCGCCATCAGCTCGACACAATGTTGAAAGAAGTAGAAGCTCATCGACACAAGATGGCCACGTTTCTGGAAGAATTCTCCCGCGTACAAACGGAGAATATGCATCTGCGAACATATCTTAACTCTCAATTACCATCGAGACTAATTGATTCCGGTCCATCAAATTTCTCTGCTCTCCAAGCGCCATCATCAGATACGACTGGAAAGTCTTGGGACAGCATTGTGTTGGATCTTATCTAAGTCTGGATCTTGTTTACAGCTTTTTTTCCCCGGAGTTCAGGGGCATATATCCCATACATATCATGACATTTTTTTGAATAGCAGCCTGTCGAGATAAATTAGCAAGGTTACAGTTTAATCTACATTTCTCAGTTTCCAATCTCCCAAGATCTGCTGGTAGCCGCCCGACACCAATGGAGTATAATTTCTCCTGTATCACCACTTCAAGCTTTGCTACTCCTCAATATGAAGTCTCGAGTCACAAAATAAAGAAGGTTACATGTGACGAGGGCCAAGTATTCAGGTACTGCCCTTTCTCCACAATACACACGAGTAATCCCACGAATCTTTCCCCGCAGCTTCCGTATCCCCGCAGCTCGGATTAATCAGTCCGTCAATCTTGCCTCAAGTTATAATGACCCACATCTTGATCAGCGCTATGGTGTTCGGCTGTTTAAACGGGTTTCTCATAGTCGATTTTATCCTACAAATGTTTATATCCCTTGCATTGCTGCTACCAGTAATATGTCTGAGCGGCAAATTATTCCACTAGTGCAAGACGAAGTAGCTTGCAAGATGTCGCATCAAACATGCTGGGAAAACGTGAATCGGAGAATATCTGATACTTAGATTCTGGCTCCTACATTAAGATTTAGTATATCACCTTAGATCCTTCCTAAAAAGGGGTCTGTGTGTCGGTCGAGGGCCATCGGAATGTTTCCCCGCAGATTTTCCTTTATAAATAAGGGATAAGGAGCTCCTCATTCTTCAATGTGTTCGTTTTGAAGTCGTTGGTTTGTTGTCTTCGTGTTGAGACTGCGACATTGTTTATTTATTGGTTCTAAATGCGCTCACAACGCCTACTACATTGCACAGAGGCTCTTACTGCCATTACGGCGGTATTTTATGGCTCTGCTTTTGCTACCCATGTAGACACATTTGATGTGCTGGACTACGTCGATCCTTTGATCGGCACTGCGAACGGAGGTGCTGTTGAATCTATGTCGGACTTGACTTGTTGTCTAACAAAACTTTTATAGGACATGTCTTTGCTGGTGCCACACTGCCATTTGGTGAGCGCCTTTCAATACTTTCTAAGATGAGATGCTGACAGCAAACAGGCATGGTAAAGGCAGTGGCCGATACCAGAGGCGAGAATCAGGCTGGGTTCGCGTACGATACTTCCCTAGTCACAGGGTTTTCGCATATGCATGACTCTGGCACTGGCGGTGTATGTGATCATTCAATTTAAAAGACAATTCTCTAATGACGCCCTGCAGTCTCCATCTCTGGGAAATTTCCCTATATTTGCCCATCCTGCATGTCCTGGTGATGATATCAACCAATGCAAATGGCAGCAGTCAGACCGGGCTACACCTTGGATAAGTGACTCTCCAGAGGCTCGTCCGGGCTACTTTGGCATAAAATTGGAAAATGGTGTTCGTGCTGAAATGACAACTACAAACAGATCGGCCTTGTACAGATTTACATTTAATAATTCTTCCGCCGATTCGCTGAGCCCGGTGATCCTAGTGGATATCACGGACTTAACCCAGTCCCGAACCAAGGGAGCTGCTGTCGTCGACTCAAATACGGGGAGACTGAGTGGAAATGGTACTTTCAACCCCAGCTTCGGCATTGGGTCTTATGACCTCAACTTTTGCGTCGATTTCAAGGGAGTCGTACTCCGAGATTCAGGTGTTTGGTCGAAGAACCAAGCCAATTTTAGCAGTGATGTTGTTAGTGTCGATGGGTCAAATTCGGCCGCATCACTCTCTTCTGGAACCTTTGCACGATTCCATTCTCCCGAGAACAATACTGTATTAGCTCGTGTCGGTGTGAGCTTCATAAGTGTTAGCCAAGCATGTGAGAATGCAGAGAAGGAACAGCCGGACTTTGACTTTGATGGCACAGTTACTGCAGCTGAGAAGGCTTGGAGAGAGAAACTTAACGTTATCTCTGTGGACTCTGATGGTGTCTCGACTGACTTGCAAACAACTTTCTGGAGCGGAGCATACCGGGCCTTGATTAGCCCTCAGGACTATACGGGCGAAAATCCTCTCTGGAAGAGCGACGAACCGTACTATGACAGCTACTACTGGTAACGAAACCAGATAGGTTGATTCATTACACGGGCTAACACTATCTCTAGCATTTGGGACTCCTACCGCAGTATCCATCCATTGTTGACACTGTTAGATCCCCTATCTCAGTCTCTTATGGTGCGGAGTCTTGTTGACATCTACCGCCATGAAGGCTACTTGCCAGACTGCCGAATGTCACTATGTAAGGGCTACACCCAAGGAGGCTCCAATGCAGATGTCGTCATTGCAGATGCCTACCTCAAAAAAGTCACTGATATCGACTGGGCTACAGCCTACGAAGCTGTTGTGAAAGATGCTGAAGTTGAGCCTCACAATTGGGACGTTGAAGGTCGAGGTGGTCTCCGCAGTTGGAAAAGCCTTGGGTATATTCCAACTGACGACTACGACCCAGATGGAAGGGGAACCCACACGCGCAGCATATCCAGAACGGTGGAGTATGCTTACAATGATTTTTGCATTGCTGAGATGGCACTGGGAATGGGAAACCATGACGACTATACTAAATACGCGAAGCGCTCTGAGAACTGGGCAAGTATGTTCAAGGCAGATCAGACGTCAAGTATCCAGGGAACCGATACCAATTTTACGGGATTTTTGCAGCCTCGCTATACAAACGGGTCTTGGGGTTATCAAGATCCCTCCTTTTGTAGCCCGCTGTTGAACTTCACTTCTTGCTATCTCAACTCAAATGGCCACGAGACGTATGAGGGAAGCGCTTGGCTGTATACCTTGTATGTGTGCCTACTTTGAACTTGCTTATACGCCTTACTAAAAATCATTAGTTACGCCCCACACGACATGGGTGGCTTGATCAAAACCCTCGGTGGTCCTGAGCTATTCACATCCCGGCTTACATTTCTTCATGAGTCTGGCCTACTATACGTCGGCGATGAGCAGGCATTTCTGACCGTGTATCAATTCCACTATTCAGGACGTCCCGCTCTATCCGCCAAGTACAATCACTTTTACATCCCGTCTCAGTTCAACACAACCATTGCAGGGATCGCCGGAAATGACGATAGTGGTGCGATGGGATCATTCGTTGTTCTGAGTATGATGGGACTTTGGCCAGTGCCAGGTCAGAATGTATATCTGATCACCCCGCCATATTTTAAGACAATCAGTATTCTAAACAGTCCCACGGGCAATGTTGCAACAATCCGAAATGTCAACTTCGACCCCAGCTACAAGGCGATTTACATTCAGAGCGCCAAGTTGAATGGTGAGACGTGGACCAAAAATTGGATCACTCATGACTTCTTCACGGAGGGTGGTGTTCTGGAGCTAGAGTTGGGAGAAGAGGAGAGTGAATGGGGGACTCATGTGGAGGACTTGCCTCCTAGTATGAGTGATTACCAATGATCATCCGAGATTTCAAGGTTGCCTAGTGCTCATTTTCAAGTCCGTATTTCCGAAAAAGTTTCGACTAGTCACTGCATTCTGGACCCCTGTATCTACTAGGTACCCATATGTATCAGAATCGTGGAAAGTTTCAAGTCAGGTCCCGAGATCGGTATACTCCCGAGGTGAGAGCCATATTTTCGGTGTAAAAGTGGACATCGAATTTAGCTGTGAATGAGCCCGAGCTTTATAAATTCGTAAAAGTAATAAAAGACAGTTAATAGAAGTGAGTAAATTTCAATTGAAATTAGGGTTAAACCCGCTAATCAACAGAGCCATGCTCCTTCAAAGATCCGATAACTCTAATTGATACTTTCAGATTGCTATAATTTCATACAACTGTTTAACTGAAGCCATTTTATCCCAGCAATTAAGTATTTTTTTGTTTCCAAAACTGTTTAAAACGAAAGAACCCGTGTGTGTGTGCTAGGAAAAATGGCAGCGTGTTTCACATAAAAACTATCTCAAACCGATGAACTCTGCGCATTTTCGTCTCATAAACCGAGGTTCTACTATGCATCCATGGATTTTGAAAAAGTTGAACAGTTTGACTTGGAAAAATATGCGCTCATTAACTTTAATTCCACTCATTGCAGTTGCAGCTCAAGCAGCTCAGCCTGCATACTGTCCACTCCTCGGGTCCTTCTTTCCACCTCCAGAGTCAATATCAAGTAACGCTGAATTCGTGGCCGCTCTAGACAGCATCTCACTAGAATTGACATCAGCCAACTTGACAAACTCAGTCTCTTTCCAGATATTTTCCGGGAGCGATCATTTCTCAGCCTACAAATACTCGCATACTTCCTCAGTTACAAAACAGGCTTCTCATGGCGTCAATGAAGTGGACGAAGATACTGTATTCCGCATTGGCAGTGGATCAAAGTTATGGACAATGTTATTACTCATGATCGAGACTCAGGGCCATATCTTGAACGAACGTGTTATCAACTATGTGCCCCATCTACGGGCTGCGTCGAGGCATCTTTGTCGAAATGCTACAATGCAGGCTGATCAAGCAGATTTCTTACGATGGGACGAAGTGACCGTTGGGGAGCTTGCCAGTCATCTATCTGGCGTTGCAAGAGATTGTAGGATTCGAGCCATCTGAATTGCTTTTTCTGAAGAAATCGATACTAATTACCCTATAGATGGCTTTACTGACATGTCCACTCAAATCTCGACGCAACAGAAGCTTGAAGAACTAGGGTTTCCTGCATTGGAAAGCTCTCAGATTCCACCCTGTGGTGGTTTCGGCGCCTGTGATAAAGACTGTGTGTACCATTCGTATTTGAATCTATGGCTCCCCTTTTTTAAACTCATCACTGACATGGATTTCAGCATTCTTTAACGGCATTCTAAAAGCCCATCCTCTTGCACCTACCTCCTCAACCCCAATCTATTCCAACGCAGGCTTTGTGATAATAGGATACATTCTGGAGCATATTACTGGAAAATCATACGAGAGACTGCTAGAAGAAATCCTTATCGGACCACTAAACTTGACTCGTTCGAGCTACGGCAAGCCCGACGACAAGTACGGCGTTATACCTGGAGATTTGACGTCAACCTATTGGAATTACAATACCGGGGCGGAGACACCGTAAGTCCATACCATTTTTGACTGCTCTTATTCATAATCTCATCCATTTCCAGAGCAGGTGGTATTTACTCCTCTGCGAAAGACATGGCTACTTTTGGCCGCGCCATTCTAAATCACACACTGCTGCCTCCAACTGTTACCAGAAGATGGATGAAACCCATGACACATACCGGCACTCTTGATCAGTCTGTTGGACAGCCATGGGAGATTTTCTCTCTATCGACTCCTCGTGTCTTTGATCTTTACACAAAGGCTGGAGATATAGGAAGCTATTCCAGCATGCTGGCCTTGTCCCCGGACTACAACGTCGGATTTGTGGTTCTAGCAGCTGGCACAGACACATCGAACACAGTCAACAAAGTATCCGATCACATAACCGACAAACTCATTCCTGCCTTGGAAATAGCTGCAAAGAGCCAAGCGGAGGACATGTTCACTGGGTCATACCACTCAGACAATGATAACTCCACCATTACCATAACCACAGACAGTGGTCCTGGTTTGAAAGTTTCAAGCTGGATTTATAATTCCCATGATATGCTCCAAGCGATCGCAGCTCTAGATTCGGCTGATGCAGAGTCTATCAGCGTCCGACTCTATCCCACCGGTCTCAAGAACCCGGGACAGTCTGGCTTCCGGGCTATTATCCAATCTCTGACTACTGAAACTGGTGGTCCTTTTTCTAAAGCTTGTATGCGATGGGCTGCAGTGGACTCAATTGTTTATGGAAATATTGGTTTGGATGATTTCCTCTTCGATCTGAACCAGAATGGTGAAGTGGTCAGTTTGTCGCCACGAGCATTTCGCCAGTTCCTTCCGAAGCTGTGAACTTGACTTGGAATTGACCTTGGAGGAGGTTTCAGTTGTTTCCATCTCTTTAGGAAGCATAATAACATTGATTAGACCCTCTTTTCTGCCTGAGAGGGTCACCCAGGTATACAAAGTGTGTGTTTACCTACTTAGCTACTGAGAAGACATAGGAATATGTGAGTAATTTACTGTGATAGATTCAATGTTTTGATTATATTTTTCATTCGCAGAGTATAGTTCTACCTTATATCACGATAAAAGAGCAGGAAATCTTCCAATATTCACAACAAGTCCGCATCCAAGACAATTAAAAGGCTAGAAAATCACGTGTGTTCATATCTCAGATCGAGAGGGATATCATAAGTAAAGAAATGGGCAACAGAAACAAAGCGGGCAGAACGGTACGCTGTGGCAATCTAGAAAAGTCCTCCCGCCATGGCTGTTCTGAATTAGAACTGATTTATTGCGGAGATTCATTAATCGTTGCAGCTTTGCGTCCCCAGCCACTAAAGAATCCTCCAGCATTATTGCCAGAGGGTCCTAGTTTGACAGGCTCGGTCGAAGATTTAGAAAGGCTGGTGAGGGAAAGGCGGTGCTCGAGATTCGCAACAGACTGGGAGCTGACCATTCTTCGGAGGGATTCAAACTTGCCCTTCACTTCCTCTAGCTCTTGTTTGGCCTCTGCCTCTGCAGTCTTTGAGTTAACCAACTCCAAGAGTAGCGACTCATCAAGAGCTGGCCTATTTTGCTCGGCTGACAACACGCTCTGGAGGCCTAAGCTGCTTGATCTCTTGCTGAATACAGGGGTATTTGCCGAATTGCTGCGCACCAGCCTGAGCTGGCGAAGGCCATTGGTGGTGGGAGAGGCCTCATTAGATTCAGTCGAAAACCCATAGCTGTCGGATGGAGAACTAGATTCCGAGGTAGAGGATCTGAAAGCGCGGAGCTCCTGATTCGCTCGCTCGAGTCGCATTCGATCGCGGAAGTTGTCTTGAATGCGACCACGGGCCTCGCGGAGTTGCTCTTTCAAAGTCGAGTTTTCTTGCTCGAACTCGTCCATGCGTCGTGTAAGGTCACCGCATCGACCTGACTCGACCTCGAACATATGCTTCCACCGTGTCATATCACTATACAGCTGATGCTTGGTTTGAGTAATAGTAATTTCTTTTGGCTCATTTGATGAGAATCTGGTCTGTGCCTTCATGATAGTTTGCGTGGGATGTAGGTCAGCCGGGAGTTCCAAAAGGGAGCAAAGCATTTCTTTCGCCACGGCGTGATCTTCTTCGCGCTCTTCGCGCTCCTGTTGTAATTCCAGCGTTAAATCTGAGTGTTGGCGTTGGAGATCGGTCAATGCCATCAGTAGATCTTCAATCTGCGTATGCATGTCACGGTCCTTTTGTGAAATCGACATGCTAGACATGCTTGATTTGATGCGAGATTTTGACTCCACGCTGGGTGAAGGCGACAGCTCTGTGGGAGCAGTACTCGCATCGGATAAAGATTCAATAGAGTTGAGGGTTGATGTCATGCTTTGTTTTGAAGTTGAGCGTCGAATTGTGCTATTTGGACGCGACACGCTAGGGTTCGGACTAAGTGACTTAACAGAGTTGTGTGAATTTGACCCTGCCCAAAGACGTCCGAGGAATCGAGAGGCGGTCGCTTGCATCTGTGGGAAGGAAATACCAGTAGGTACGCCCTGGGACTGATTATAATTAGCCTCCAGTGTCTGGAGACTCTCCTTTGTAACAAGAGAAGTTAATGAGAAGAAATCGTTAACGAGGTCATCCGCGTTGAAAGCGTATCTGAATTATATTCTGTCAGCACTCATCCCTTTTCCTCGTAGTGAGTTCGAAAGAAAAAAAAAAGAAAAAAAAGAAAAAAACAACAACTTACATATCCCAAACGCTTCGTGATAGGAGGAATTGCATCACATCCTCAAACTCAGTGAAAGCCATGATTTTCTTCTCGTTTCTTTGCATCAGGGAGAGGGCGACACGCATCAGAGTTTCGCATGCTCCTTCGAGGAAAATCATGTCGTACACTCGAAGCAACATAGGCAGTGGGCAGGTCACGGCAAAAAACGACAAGAACCACTGTGACACATACACTGGCTCGACATGCAATATTTCTAAATGCTCGAAAAGAGCAGGCCGGTGCCGTGCCAGAAGATTCTGGAATTGGTAAACGTGCAAGTGAAGACCTGAAAGATCTGGCAGGTAGCACATCCGAAGGTTGTAATGGTCCATGAGCCTGAGAAGTGTGGAGTCAGTATTCATTAATTCGCGACACTTTAAGAGGTTCTTACCGAACGAGAACGGCAAAAGCTTCAGCATCCGACATATGCATGAGCAATGGGCCCACGACAAACCCAAGTCCTTGACAATAGCCAATCTTGGAATCATACAAACTGAAGCATCTCAATACCCTGGCCAGCATCCGCTGCCCCTCACCATTTGGGTCTCTGAACATTTCCACATTGGGAAAGCTGCGACCAATATCTTTTCCGATCAGCCCATCATACGGGCTGCTTTCGCCTGAAAGTCGCTCGAACTCATCAAAGAGATGGGGATCACGAGCACCTGCTAAGCTGGGCCATACCACACCACGAAGCGGTGGAGGTACACCCCCTCTGATCTTGTTTGAAGTGAGAGTCGGGAGGCGTTGAGCCGTCTGATGGTAATCGGCGACCAAAGCAGCCCAAAACTCTAGCTCTGTCATCGGTGGTGGTGCAAGTTGTGAATACCGCAGATCTGGCCGTGCGGGATCTTGGATCAATCTCTTAATTTGAACGAGCGACTCAGAGCGGGACTGTCGTTGGTGTCTTTTAATTTTAGGGATGGCAGATTTGGGGTTCTTAGCCAGGGCATTATTCTCCTGTTCTAGGCGAGCCAGAAGTAGGGCTGTTGACTATCAGAGATAACCACTGTTAGTCTACAGATCTGACGAGAGGATTTGCATCTGCTACTCACATCATCTGAGCCCTCGCTTCGAGGTTCCTCTAACTCTGTTTTCTCCAGATTCTCCCAATTGACCTGGCTGGGTGTATCGTCGTCCGAGTGAGCCTCTTCGGGGATGGTCGGGGTCTGAGGAGAGTCCATCGGGACAGGGGTTGTCCTCGCGGCATCTTGGAGGGGCTCTGGACCAAAAGATGTAGTATGATTTCGATGGGACTCGACTTCATGGCTTGATTGGACAGGTGTTTGAGGAATATCGAGTGTGCGCCAGTCTGGTTGAGTGTGTTCGGAACTTGACTGGATATCAGATAACGCGACGGTGACCATGGAATCGTGGGGTGCAGGCGGCATTTCAGGCGATGTGGGGGTCTCAGGAGTCTCCATGATGGCAAGATCTATCGGTATGTGTGGATGGAGGGAAAAAGTAGAGAATCCTCAGGAGCAAGTGTTGAAGTTCCTTAGGCTGAGTGGGATAGGAATCTTCACGAGTTCATCTCTCTAAAACACGGGATTTGCCAGTGATCACGGCACAACTGCGACAGAATACGCGCTCTGAAATGTACTTTACAGGTGATCCAGCACCAATATGTACAAGAAGCTAGAAAGGTGCACAGTTTAGAAGTAGAAGAAAAAAGGGAGTCAGGAGAGATTAACGCCGGCCACTGTTTTCTTACTAGCCCCTTTAGTTTTCACCTCGAGTCTGGCCCACGGCCGATCACATACACCGACTTTCATTATCCACTCTATTGGACTACGTCGTACTACTAATTCTTAGACTTGAATTCATCTTCTTTTCTTTTTCTTTTTTTCTTTTAAACGCATTTTCTTGTCCGTATCCGTAATTCCGATCTGGCATGATTTCTCTCTTCCTTGCTTCCCGGGCCTCAACTGTAACTAGGTATCTCTACCACCTATTTACATATATATTAGTAGACTTGTTAAATCCATCAAAATAAATCACTTTTTGTTTGATGCCTGGCATCGACATTGCTCAAATCTCCCTAGGTATAAAATTATAAATTACTCCGTGTTTCATTTAGATAAATGCCGAGAGAAATTTAAAGAGGTCGGTGGATTTTGCAGCTCTGGGTTCAGTGTATTCTGGCTTCCAAGGTTGATTCTGAATGAGTGGTTCCATGCCACCTAGGTATTGTTACTATATAGTATGAGTTAGCTCATGAACATAACCAGCCCTGCATATGTGTACGGAATAAGTTTGAATGTTACGGATCTCAAAGTCTATACTTCGACCACCTGGACATGTACTATCAACGGATAAAATATATGATCAGAACCTTGGCAATCTCCACTAATTGATGATAGGTACGGTGTATCAAATAGCTCAACAAACATGAGATCAATTACGGTAATTTTAGAGTTGATGTTGTGAATGCAACCTGCCAAACCTCTGTTGATGTAAGGGGTATTAATGAGGCTTACTGACGTGCAGGGCAATATTGAAGTGAACTTAGTAGCCGAGACGTCTCTGGTCCAGTAAGACATAATCTTGGAAGCCACATAAATGGATGGAAACTCTTTCACTACTCATTTACGTACCTAGGTAGATATTCAATGGACCTGAGAATTTCAAGAAGTGTTCCCTGGCTTTGGAAGCATGTCCGTGGTTATCTTATGATGTTTTACTTAGACTAGCTCGGCTTCTTATGGAATCTGGAACCAATATCCTAGGTATAAAAAAGAGCTGGCCAAGGCCCTAGGGGCTTAGGGACTTCCAAGTTTCTACTCAGGTAGATCCAACTATTCTAAACAAACGTAGGCCAGAACGAGAGGCACTTCTACCTTGGATTCCCATCACTTCTAGAATCTCTGGGATGCAACATTGAAAAAGCCAGATACCTTCCATGGATAGATCCATGGATGTTCCTTGGAAAGTTTCAAGCTTGCAGGGGTAAAGATGACGAGTAGCTGTAAAAAACCTCCTGTCTATAATATGTATTTCATTCATTTGAGTTCAAGGGGGGAAGTAACATAATCAAGTAAGTCTAAGTTTTCCTCATAGCTCTTTTAATAACCCACGGGCTTGCAGTTGATTGACCAGGTGTTTTATCGGATAAGGTTATCGTGCTTGCTTGTTTATGAATTGCCTCTTTTGGACTCTGTCAGCAAGCGGTGGGGAAAAATAATGGTCCGACTGGCCAGAATCCTTCACCGCCCGATATTGGCAGTCGCGTTTCATGGGAAGAAAACAAGCATTCCTCTGAGCTTCCCCTCCTCATCTTTCCCCTCCTCTTTCCAAATATGCTGAAGTCGAAAATATCACACACCTAGACTTCACGTTATTTTACCGGTCCTTCGTTTTCACTTAATCGATTGGGCTAGATTTTTTCTCGTGCTGACCCAGTCAGTCTCAACTCATGCTCATCATGGACGACTCAATAATGGATGATTCCGTGTTTGATATCGAGAGCGACGCTAGCTCAGATTTCGCACCCCAACCTGCATCTGTAAGCACTACTTTAGAGTGCTTGTTGTGCTGAGTTTTGCTAATCAGAAATGGCTCGACAGAAACCCAAAGCAAAGCCTGCCCCAAAGAAGGCGGCAGCTAAATCTGCACCCAAGAAGACGACTCAGACAACTTTGAAAACCAAGACAGCCCCCAAGTCCAAGCCTGCAGCGAAAAAAAAGGCAGCGGACAGCGAGGACGAAAAATCTGAGATCGAAATCTCCGATGATGATGCTTCAACACTCTCTCACACCCCTCCCAAGGCAAAGAAAACTACGGCTTCAAAAAGAGCAACATCGAAACCTCGGGGCGACGTTGAAAATGAGTCTTTCGGGGCAGATGAGCCTGCAGCTGACCAAAAAAATGCCTCGGACAAGTACCAAAAGGTTAGCCGCAATGATGGTAGGATTGATTAGACTTCTTTGCTAACATCAATCTCAATAGCTCACCCAACTTGAACACATCACCAAACGACCTGATACCTACATCGGTTCAACAGAACGCACAACCCAGCAGATGTGGGTTTATAACTCTGAAACCGAGTTGATGGAATTCCGTCCAGTTTCATACGTGCCCGGTCTCTACAAAATTTTCGATGAAATTGTGGTCAATGCCGCCGATAACAGACAAAATGACAAAAACATGAATGAGATTCGGGTCACAATTTCTCGTGAGGAAGGTGAAATCAGTGTGTGGAACAACGGTCGTGGTATTCCCATTGAGATCCATTCCAAGGAACAGATCTATGTACCGGAGCTGATTTTTGGACACCTGCTCACTTCTTCAAACTACGATGACACCCAGATGAAGGTCACTGGTGGTCGAAACGGTTTCGGTGCCAAGCTATGCAACGTATTCTCGAACGAGTTCATCCTTGAAACCCAAGACTCGCGGGTGAAGAAGAAGTACAAACAGACCTGGACAGACAACATGTCCAAGGTTGGTAAGGCGAGCATTACGGCGGCTAAGGGTGAAGACTACACCAAAGTCACCTTCAAGCCAGATTTCGCCAAGTTCGGTATGGAAGGTATTGATGATGACTTTGAGGCGCTTGTGAAGCGTCGTGTCTACGATTTGGCGGGTACAACAGGTGTGACCGTCAAATTGAACGGTAGCCGTATTCCCGTCCGAGCATTCAAAAAATACATGGAAATGTACACCAAAGCCATACGTAAAGAGCGCGGCGATGATGGACCAGGCGCAAAGGATGAGATCATTACCTGCAGCCCTGACCCTCGGTGGGAGATTGGTTTTGCAGTTTCTGACGGTGCCTTCCAACAAGTGTCATTTGTCAACTCAATTGCTACAACTTCTGGTGGTACACACGTCAATTACATTGCCGATCAGATCTGTAACCGTCTCGCTGATCAGTGTAAGAAACGTAACAAGACTGGTGCCACGCTGAAGACGGCACAGATTCGGAACCACATCTTCATCTTCGTGAACGCTTTGATCGTCAACCCGGCCTTCAATTCGCAGACCAAAGAGCAATTGACCACAAAGGTGAGCCAGTTTGGCAGCAAATGTGTCCTGGACGAAGATTTTTACAAGAAGGTCCTCAAGACAGAGGTAATGTCCAACATTTTGCATTTCGCAGAACAAAAGGCAGATCAAATCTTGAAAAAAAGCGATGGCGGTCGTCGTACACGAATGAATAACGCAAAATTGGTGGAAGCGAACAAGGCTGGAACCCGAGATGGCCATCACTGCACTCTAATTCTGACCGAAGGTGACTCCGCCAAGGGTCTGGCGATGGCTGGACGGTCGGTGGTTGGACCTGATCTCTTTGGTGTTTTCCCTCTTCGCGGAAAGCTTCTCAATGTTCGTGATGCATCTTTCGACCAGATTTCCAAGAACGCGGAAATCCAGAACATTAAGAATTTCATTGGTCTGCAGCACAAAAAAGAATATACCACAACCAAGGGCCTGAGATACGGCCATATCATGATCATGACTGATCAAGATCATGATGGAAGTCATATCAAAGGTTTGTTGATCAATTTCCTTCAGGCCCAATTCCCTAGCTTGCTGAAGATCCCTGAATTCCTCATCGAATTCATCACACCAATCATCAAGATTTGGAAGGGCGATCCAAAGAACCCGTCCAAGTCGCGCTCGTTCTTCACAATGCCCGAGTATGAGGAATGGCTCGAGGAGCATAAAACTGAACGTAGCTGGGAGCACAAGTACTATAAGGGTCTGGGAACCAGTTCAACCGAAGATGCCCAAATCTATTTCCGAGACCTTGACAAGCACTTGAAAGAGTTTCACACAATGAAGGAAAATGAAGAATCACTCATCGAACTGGCATTCTCGAAGAAGAAGGCCGATGAGCGAAAGGAGTGGCTGCGCCAGTACAAGCCTGGCACGTTTCTTGACCATTCACAGGCTAAGATTTCCTACACGGACTTCATTAACAAGGAGCTTATCCTGTTCAGCATGGCAGACAACATGCGTTCTATTCCTTCCGTAGTAGATGGACTGAAGCCCGGTCAGCGCAAAGTGCTTTATACCTGCTTCCGCCGCAATTTGAAGAAAGACATGAAAGTTGTCGAGCTGGCAGGTCTTGTCTCTGGAGCGACGGCTTATCAACACGGTGATACGTCACTTCAACAGACAATCGTTGGTTTAGCGCAGACTTTTGTTGGCTCCAACAACATCAACTGCCTCGAACCCAGTGGAAACTTTGGTAGTCGACTTCAAGGTGGCAGTGATTGTGCTAGTGCTCGTTACATCTACACTCGCCTGTCGCCCTTTGCACGGAGAGTTTTCCACTCGGCTGACGAGCCTATCCTGACTTATAACAAGGACGACGGCGAAACGATTGAACCCGAGAACTACATACCTGTGGTACCCCTCATCTTGATTAACGGTGCCGACGGTATTGGAACCGGCTGGAGTTCTTCTATTCCTAACTACAACCCCGAGGACATTGTGAAGAACCTCAAACTCCTGATGGAAGGCCAACCCACCGAACCAATGCAGCCCTGGTTCCGTGGCTTCACTGGTGAAGTTGTTGATTTAGGTGGTGACAGATACAAATTCAATGGTATCATTAAGAACACTGGAGATAGCGAAGTTGAAATCACTGAATTGCCTATTCGTACCTGGACGCAAGATTTCAAAGACAAGCTCGAAGATATCATCAAAGCCGAGAAGCTTCCCTCTTTCATCAAAGACTACAGGGACTACAATACGCACAACAAGGTGCACTTTGTGATTCAGCTTGAAGATAGCTTTGCGAAGCGTCTTCCCGAAGGCGGGACTGAAGGCCTGGAGGAGAAGTTCAAGCTATCCAAGCAAATCTCCACGACCAATCTTGTTGCCTTCGATCCGGAAGGCCGCATCACCAAGTACGCCACCGTTGATGACATTCTGAAGGAATTCTTCACCGTTCGTCTCAAGTACTATGAGAAACGTAAGCAATATCAGCTGTCGGAACTTCAACGGGTACTCGAGAAATTGAGCAACCAGGCTCGCTTCGTGCAGATGATCATTGATGGCAAGCTGGTTATTTCCAAAAAGAAGAAGCTAGTCCTCGTCACTGAGCTGAAAGACAAGGGCTTCAAACCGATCGTCAAAGTGGCTGATGCTGCCAAATTAGGTGAGTCGGAGCCTGTGGTCGAAGAAGGTGAGGAGCCGGAGGATACGAACATTGAAACTATGTCGAGCTCCTACGACTACTTGCTCGGCATGCCCATGTGGTCACTGACCCAGGAGCGTGTGGAGAAACTTCGCCGCCAGATCGGCGATCGGGAAACCGAGGTCGATACCTTGATCAAATTGTCCAAGGAGGATATCTGGAAGCAGGATCTTGACGATTTCATCAACGAGTGGCGCTTCCAGCTTGCGGAGGAAGATCGTCGCCTGAAAAAGGTGGCCAACATGGGTCGCCGTGCTTCCTCCAAGCTCATGACGGGCATTGGCAAGGCTCCGGCATCGCGTAAGCGAAAGGCGGCAATTGCAGCTGGAGAGGATCCTGATGATGATGATTTCGCAGCTCCCAAGTCGAAGAAGGCGACGGCAGCGTCCAAGAAGAAAGAGAAGCAGACAAATAGTCTCGCTAATTTCCTTCAATCCAAGCCTACAGAGAAAAGTCCAGGCTCTGACGATGAGTTCGACTTCAACATGGAGGTGTTGCCCAAGAAGAGCCGAGCCCCGGCAAAGGCGAAGGCGAAGACAGAGCCGGAAGTCAAGGATGAAGTCGATCTCATGGACATCGATGAAATTCCATTACAAGCACCCAGTGCCCCAGTTCAGCCCGCGCCTGACATTTTCGAAATAGACGACGAACCTGAAAAAGCGCCAGTGAAAGCAAAGACTACCAAACGTGCCCCCAAAGCTAAGCCAAAGGTGGCTAGCCCAATTGATGATTCAGGTTCGGATGACGACTTCCTCGATATCGCTAAGAGCGAAGCCCCCAAGCCAGCGCCTAGCCGCACACGCAAGCCTGTCAATTACACTGCTATAAGCGACTCTGACAGTGACAACGGCGACGACCTTCTCGGGGATGTCAGTATGATGGTTAAAGGCATTGGCAGCGGCGATTCGGAATCCCGTAAACTTTTCTCTGAGCGATCTCATGCTGAAAGCAGCGCTAGTTTGATGGCACCCACTAAGGCACCCAAGGTGGGCAGCGACTTTGACCCAGATGAGACAGACTACAGCAAGCTTGTGCCTCAGAACTCTCCACGACGCACATTGCAAGTCAAGCCCAAGGAAGTCTCCCGGATCGAAGATGATGACGAGGAGGATGAAGACTCGCCAGTCAAGCCCGCTCCTAAGCCGAAGGCTGCCCCCAAGGCCAAGGCAGCTCCCAGGGCGACTGCTGCAAAGGCTACTACCGCATCGAAAGCGCGAGGCCGACCAAAGAAGGATGCCGCTCCGGTGGCCCTCTCTCCTGCAGCCAAGGGCTACGCCGCTAAGCAAGCAAAGTCCAAGAAGATTGTGGATGACTTCTCGGAGGATGATATCGATGCCATGGCCAACGATATCTTGGATTCTCCGGCTGGCAAGGTGGACGTTTCGGATGACGATCCTGCCCCTGCTCCTCGCCGTGCAGCCGCTGCCCGTCCTGCTCGCCGCGCGACTAAACCCACCAAATACATCATTGAAGACGAAAGTGACGACGAGGAAGCCTCGGATTCGGAAGATGTCTTTGATGATGCCGAGAGCGAGTAGAAGATAGTAGATATGATACGGGAGGGCGTTTGGAGGGAGTTGGGGGTAGATTGGGGCTAACATGCGTCAAATAACCGGAGTGGGTAGGGTGTCATGGAGTATGCCCTCGAAATTTGGGTTTATATTTCGTCTTTTGGTTTTCCACATCATATTGCTTTATAATTCCATCCGCTTATGCTTGGGATGAAGCGGCAGAGCCGGTTGTTGACGTGGATGCAGATTAAATTCTTGTGTTATTTCATTATTTGATTATTTTATTTTATTCTTTCGAGCCTGGGAGGAAATTGTAGATGAGATCGGTAGTGGAGCCCAGCCCTACCAGTATGATAATTTCTCTTCTATGCATTATTTATTGTGCTCTAGTTTTCCCCTGCAGACTTCTTCAGGCCACTCGAAGCCATCCATGAATGCTCCTAATAAAAGGAAGGCCTTGAGTATTGCTCAGAGCACCTGGGCAGCCATAAACAATCTTGGAAGGCTGGTAATGGAATCTACGACCGTAGTAAGCCATACCTAGGTAAGTAATGAGTGGTGGGATGCCCAAGTTCGTGTTATTAACCGACATTTCAGAAATGTCCGCAATTGACGAATAACACCCAATATGATAATGATATTCGTCTTATGATTCATGGATGTTTGGAGCATACGAATACCTGGGAAAAGATGGAAGTAAACAGTATATATGTAAACCTATTCGATTACCAAGGCCTATAAGGTAATCTAGAGGAAAGAAATATTAATTGAGTTGATATTATATAATGCATAGCTGAGAACAATCTAACATGGGTTGGCCAGCCACCCACGATGTCACGCTTACGGAGTAGTTCTCTTTGGTTTCTAGGATGCTAACCCAGTTTAAAAAGAAAGAAAAAAAAATGAAGGAAAGAGGCGAAAGGGGCAGTTAGAGATCAGTAGGGTAGGCCTGCTTCTCTCGACGAGATCTGAAAGCATTTGGGCATCATGTCAACAGATAGAACAGAAACAGTGTACGCCATATCATGGTGGTCAATCAACGCTTAACGGACAAATTATTTCGTGAAGGGGCAATGGAATGATTGAGAAGAGACAGGTGCGCAATTGCGAGAGAAAAAAGAACTTCAATCGACTTTGATTGCACCGTAGACACGCCGGACAAAGGCGTAGGCAGTCAGGAACCCGACTGTTCCTGTCAAAAGGCCGTACACAGCACAGGAGAGGAAGCTGTAGCTAAAGAACAGCAGACTGGACACAAATCCTGTGACGTGTAGCTTGAAAATATAGTACCATATGCAGTAGATGAATATCCAAAAAGCGCTGCTTCCTCCAGTCAAGAAACTGTACCACCACCAATGGTAGTTTTCGGCGCAGAGTTGACTGTATGTTGCAATCACTGTCACTTCAATTACGGTGACCATGAGCACAGCTGAGACAGCACTCAGAAATCCAAAGACATAATAGTAGCCGGTCTTATCCTGCCAAAGATTCTTGAAAACAAATAGCAGCTCGATGAAGAGCACGGCGAATGGGATGAGACCGGTCAGCAGAGGACCAGTCGGGCTGCGCAGGTACCATGGCTGGATGGGAATTTGGCGAGGGATGGCGTTGGTCTTCAGAGGATGCTCCCAAGGACTGGCCCGCACATACCCAAACCAGCTGCCAATGTATACTAGAGGAACTTGAATAAGTAGCCATAAGGCAAGCAGGCCAATCAAAGTGCTGAAGGGCATTGCCGTGCTGGAGGCCTGAGCCCAGACAAAGAGGTTTAATATCAACATGAGAAAGAATGTCAATCCAGGGAAGAGCAGGGCCGTAATCAATGTATTCTTACGCCAAGAAGTCCCACTGAAAGTCTTGTAGAGCCGCCCAGAGAAATATCCAGAAAATAATCCAGCGAATACAAAGAGGCCCATGCCGACACTGACGAATCCGCCACGGAAGCTGGGGTTCAAGATTCCCAAGCAGCTTAGGAGGAGCAGTCCTGTCGTCATAAATAGAAGCTGCATACCAGAGCCAACAAGCGGGGCCAAGAGTCCGCTGTACGCTGGGATACGGAAGACATCACCATGAAGGAGTTTCCATCCGGTGGAATCTTCAAACGACTCATCCTCAGAGGACATGTCCGCATCGTTTTCCACATCTGCGTTGTCCAGAAGCCCTTCTTTTTCTTCTCCCCGGATCTCTTCCGACGGGTCAGACTCTTCTGCTTGCGGTCATCGGCAGCTCCATCGCCTCGGCCCTTAATATCGCCTTGTACTGTGCGACTCCAGATAACAAAGACAGTTACTCCAAGAACGGTGGAGATTATAAGAGAGTTGATGATGGCTAGCCAGTGGGTCATTGAGCCATCCTCTTGGTTGGTGAAGTAAAGGTCCCAGCGATTAGACCAGTCAACCTTATTCTCTTCGCGGAAGTAAACGGAGTAGGTGTATGGAATTTTCAAGGTGGTTCCATCGTCTTCTTCTTCGTCATCTTCTTCTGGGATGTAAGACAGACCACCATACTTCTCCTGCAGCCGCGACATATCCGGAGCAATGTACAAGCCAAGTCCGGAATGATCTTTGTGCACGTCCGTGGGGCATCCGTTTTCTTTGCGGTCATCAGCCGTAATACTTTTAGGATAGACCTCAAAGCCAACAATGACCTTGCCTCCCTCCGGTGCGCGACGGTAGCGGATGATGATCGTGAAGTGGTTATTGATAAAATAGCGGGACTGGCCAGTGGCTGGGGATATATCGCGGTAGCCGAGCTTAAATCCAGAGGCGTAGTATTTGCGGCTTCGATCGACGGTAACAAAGCTTGTTGCGCCAGGCAGGTTATCCACGATCCATTCAATCACATAGTTCTCCTTGATAAGTTGACGAGCCCATTTCACATTAGAACGACTGACTTCGCGCGTGCAGAGCGACTGGCACTCAACATCCTTTCCCATAGCAAGCTCGAAATCGGATGTCATGATGCGATCACCACGCAGCACCTCACCCAGATTGAGTGAAATGCTCTTGCCAGATCCGAACGGAGAACCACCATGTGTTTTACCACTCGGGGGACAGACAAATGGGAGGTCAAAGTAGGCATATTGTAACTGTGTGTGGTCGGAGAAGATCTTGTTTACGAGGAGTGGAATCGGTTCATTGTCGTTGTACCGAGTGACCGAATAGCCTTGTCAGGAGGAAAGCAATTGTCAGTGTCACATTAATGGAGCCAATCGATGCTGGAAATCTCACCAGGGATGTAGAATGCCCAGGAAGAAGAAACGAGCGACAGTAGCCAGATTGTCCATACACCGAGTCCCAGTGGGCTGGAGAGTCCCATAAGCATCGCAAGTGACGATTAGTGATTCCACAGAGCGCAAAATGCTATACACCGACAAACACAGCAGTGAAAGCCAAAATCAAAAATCAAGGGAGAAAATCCCTTTGATTTTGGGTTAGCAATCTAGTGCGAGCAAGCTATTTTAAGTAGATTGCGGCGCAACTAGATGATAACGGTAGATTAGCGTATTCTTGGTCCGAATCGACAGGGCAAGATCTGGTAGGTTAGTGTGTTGGAATTCGAGAGAATCCAGAATAGTAGATAGAGTCCGAAACGAATGTAATTGGCAGCAAATGCCGGAGCTGGACTCTGGAATTGGTTCAAGTCTAAGGGCTTGAAGGGGGTGACATTGTCTCCACTTTATGGACCACGTCAACACGGCTTACATAATTAGCTTAAGTGGTGGCTCTATCCATTGATGCACGGTACGGAGTACCAGATCTGCATGTCCATAATTAATATCTCAGTCTACCTACGTAAATTCGTTTACCTGTACTTGAGTAGTGAATATGGATTTCGATAGTGATTTAATATGAAATGGAGAGTCAACATAAGGGATACGTTGAGAGACAGGCTTATCCAGTGATAAGAGAAAAAATGGGGTCCATATTGAGAGTAAAGCATGGGGAAAAGGGCTGGGAGGCCGGTCGTTACCGTCAGAACACGTTAGGGCTGTAGAGAGAGATCGCATCGGGAAGAGATATTGATTAGAAGTTGAGGCAAGTAAAACAGGAAATATTATTAGTGGGTCAGTAGATACTCCACAGCTCCCTGCACACTCCCACCACTTCGCCGCAGGGCTTCAATGTTGCGTTCGAATTCGTAAAAGCCCATGTCGTTCAATTGGCGAAGTTGGTCGGCATATCTCTCCTCTGGTGGTCGAGTATCAGCTGGCGGCTGTGGAGATCCAAAACGACCACCACCAAACAAAGACGCCATTGGGTTTGTTCCAGCAGCGCCGCCCTCCGCACCCCCACCCATGGCCTGCATCATTTGTGCCATCAACTCTGGGTTACGCATAAGAGAACTCTGAAACGGGTTCGTAGCCTGGCCCTGGGCCTGATTACCATTGAGACCACCAAGAAGAGAAAACAATGGACTCTGAGCAGTGGCGTTTCCTTGTCCCTCGGAGGTTGTAGTGCTGCTATCTTGAGTACCTCCAGTCTGGGCAGCTCCAGGGTTCACATTAAAAAGCGAAGCAAACGGGTTCGCCGGCAGTTGGCCGAAGGGGGTTTCCTGTGCGCTGGGCTGCTGAGCATTCTGACCTTCGAGTGTCGTGTTGGTTACACCTGGTGCTGGGAAAGCACTTTCACCCATGCCCCCTGCACCCAATCCCAATGCCCGCTGCATTTGCAACATCTGGCGAATTTGGTTAGGATCGGTTAACATACGGCGGAACTCGGGGCTCTGCAGCATCTGTCGCATGCCTGGTCCCATCTCCCGCATCTGAGGATTTTGTTGCATCATCATGTCGATCACTGCGGGATTCTGTAGAGCCTCATTGAGTGAGGATTGGAATTGAGGGTTGTCCAACATGTTCAACATGGCATCGGCGTCTGGAGGAGGGCCCATCTGCATTTGGTAAAAAAATGTTAGTCAATAAGAGGGATAATAGGATTAAGAATAGCGAGTAAAGACGACGATTGTGGATATTCCAAGGAAAGGGACCTACTCCGCCATCAGGTCCAAAGAGACCCGCACCAGGAAGCTGAGCAAATCCAGCATATCTGGCGCCAGTTAAACCAGCGAGAGGGTTGTTACCAGTGCCAGCGGCGAGATTGGCAGGGACGCCCGAAGCAGGCTGACTCGGAGTGGCAGCAGCCGATGGCGTTGTCGAGCTAGCCTGCGTAGTTGGGGTCGCACGTTGGTTGCTTGCGGCGCTTTTCACCAAATGAATGGTGTGTCCCTCCTTGACCTTGTAAGTTTCTAGAGTCTCGTTGTCTTTGAGAACCCGCCCCGAGTATATAAGACGCTGACGTTCAACCGGAGTATCAGCATATTCAGAGCTCGAGAGCTTCTGCTTGAGCTCTGAGATGGGAGTTGACAACGGGAGGGTCATGGGAAACCTGGCATCGGTAGAAGACTTAACAATGAAGGCAATAGAGGAATCCTCTGGAACACTGGTGTCATCAGCCATGGTTGGCAAAAGGGAGTAAGTGAGTGGGATGAGGAGGTTGGACTAAGGTGGAAGAAATGGGGAGTTAAGATGAAAAACCGAATAAATGATTCAACAAGTCAGATACGATCAAATGATCTGAGGGGAGACGAAAAAGGAAGTGGTAGGGTATGCGGAGGCAATAGATGCTTTGACGCTTTGAACAATCAGTCCCACTCTCTCCATCAACCAAAGGCGGAAGAAGGCGGTCGAAACTGATGGTACTGCACGTGACTTCCACCCAACAGCTTTGCTTTCTTCCCACACTTCGAATTTTGCAACTTCTTCCAGCTCCCACTCCCCGAGTCTGAGTCTCCAAAAGCTCAATTGTGTCAGCAGAGGGAGAATTCTCTCTTCAAGTGCCTTTTCCAGGCAGACATGGGATTTTCTTAAACTTCAAATCCTACTGCAATTGTTTGCAAATTTTCCTTTTCGTGTGGGCGTCGGGGGTGACCCTTGAGCTACTACTTTCATAATGGCTACCACGTCGCATATGTTCATGTACTCCCTGACTATCCAGCCTCCAACTGCGATTACACAGGCTGTACTTGGTCAATTTTCTGGAACTAAAGAGCAGCAGATCATCACTGCTTCTGGTTCCAAACTCACCATCCACCGACCTGATGGAGCACTCGGGAAAATCGTGCCAATATTCTCAACAGATATATTTGGCATCATCCGAGGATTGGCGGTGTTCAGAGTATCTGGCGGTACAAAAGGTGTGTTTTATCCTAATTCCAAGTCTGAATTTACGAGTTCAACTTAGTGATTCTTCAAAGCTTTCCGGGTAGCACGGTGCTGGTTTTCAGAACCGACCCCTTGACGGGTGAGGACCCTGCCCCGGTCAGCAACGTGGACGCTTGTAGAAATTTCCAAGAGCTTTGCTAAGTTTTTCGTTTTCTTTCAGATTTCCTGATCATTGCCTCCGATTCGGGTCGCATCGCAATCGTCGAGTATGTTGCCTCTGAAAATCGGTTCAACCGCATCCACTTGGAAACATTCGGCAAGTCTGGAGTTCGTCGTGTTATTCCTGGCCAATATCTTGCTGTTGACCCAAAAGGACGCGCATGCTTGATCGCATCTGTGGAGAAGAATAAGCTGGTCTATGTTTTTAACCGTGACTCTGCAACCAACCTCACAATATCCTCTCCATTGGAGGCACACAAGCCGAAGACACTCGTGTTTGCCATGATTGCTCTAGATACGGGCTACGATAACCCTATCTTTGCTGCCCTCGAAGTGGACTATTCGGAGGCTGATTCGGATCCAACTGGCCGTGCTTATGAAGACATTGACAAGGTTCTGGTTTACTATGAACTTGACATGGGTCTTAACCATGTCGTTCGCAAGTGGTCCGATCCAGTAGACCGTACTGCGACCATGCTATTCCCAGTACCTGGTGGAGCGGATGGGCCTAGTGGTGTTTTGGTGTGTGCGGAAGACAACATTACCTACCGACACTCTAATCAGGACGCATTCCGGGTGGCTATCCCCCGTCGCAAAGGACCTACTGAAAACCCCGAGCGAAAGCGAACCATTGTTGCCGGTGTGATGCACAAGATGCGAGGTGCTTTCTTTTTCCTCCTTCAGACGGAAGACGGTGATATCTTTAAGGTCAGTCTTGATGTGGCCGCTCCTGACAATGGACTTCCGACCGGTGAGGTCCAAAAACTCAGGATTAAGTATTTCGATACCGTTCCTGTCGCTTCCAACCTCCTCATTCTCAAGAGTGGTTTTCTCTATGTTGCCTGTGAAGCCGGCAACCATCATTTCTACCAATTCATGAAGCTCGGAGACGATGACTGGGAGCAAGAGTTCACAAGTGATTCATTCCCCTCCGATCCTTTCGCTCCCTACGACCCGATATTCTTCCAGCCACGAACCGCGGAGAATCTGTACCTCATGGAAGCTGTGGATTCTCTTAATCCGTTGATTGATAGCAAAATTGCCAACATTACTGACGATGATGCTCCTCAAATTTATACTGTCTCTGGCACTGGTGCTCGCAGTACCTTCCGAACTCTCAAGCATGGGCTGAAAGTCTCCGAGCTGGTGGATTCGGAGCTGCAAGGGCCTCCAATAGCCGTCTGGGCCACCAAGTTGGTAAGATCCGATGAATTTGACAAGTACATTGTCCTTTCCTTCCTCAACGGTACAGTCGTTTTGTCCATCGGCGAGGTTGTAGAAGAGAGCACGCAGGAGTCCAAATTCAAAGACGATGTGACCACGCTCGCCGTGCAACAGATGGGTGAGGATTCACTGGTCCAGGTGCACCCCCATGGTGTTCGCCAAATGCGCTCAAACGACGATTTACATGAATGGCCCGCTCCCAAACATCGAACTATCATTTCTGCTACTACCAATCAACATCAAGTAGTGGTGGCACTCAGCTCGGGCGAGATTGTCTACTTTGAAATCGATGGTAATGAGGTGCTGCAAGAGTTCACAGATCGTGAGCAAGTGTCAGGTAGCGTGACGTCGCTCAGCCTCGGTCAGGTTCCTGAGGGTCGAATTCGCAGCTCTTTCTTGGCTGTTGGTTGTGATGACTGTACTGTGCGCATCCTGAGTACGGATCCAGCTACAATGCTGGAACAAAAATCTATTCAGGCTCTGTCTGCCGCACCGACAGCCCTTAACATTATGGCCATGATGGACTCTACATCAGGTGGTAACACTCAGTATTTGCATATTGGACTTTACTCAGGTGTCTACCTTCGCACTGTGCTGGACGAAGTGACTGGCGAGCTCTCGGATACTCGAACACGGTTCTTGGGTTCCCGACCTGTCAAGCTGTCCCAGGTCTCTGTTCAGGGTCAAACCGCTGTGCTAGCTCTCAGTTCACGTCCGTGGCTTGGATATTCTGACGTTCAAACCAAGACCTTCACACTCACTCCCCTGGATTACTCTTATCTGGAGTATGCCTGGAACCTTTCAAGTGAGTTCCTGGAGTGTGGTGTGGAGGGTATGGTTGGCATTGAAGGTCGAAACTTACGGTACGTTATTAACAATTGCTTGCCTAAATTCTCCCCCATTTGATCATATGATGAACCCAAGGGATCCGAACGTATTTATGTGGACAAACTTTTTTTTACTATTTCCAATTGTTCCTACTGAGATCAACTCCATTCTCTCTTATTCCAGCTTTACCTGACAGGAGAGAGAGCATTTTCGCTAACGAAAACTGTGACAGAATTTTCTCTATCCAAAACCTGGATAGTAACATGATCCAGGAGTCAATCCCACTCGCACACACCCCTCGACGCTTTGTCCAACACCACACCAATCCAATATTCTACGTCATTGAGTCAGACATCAACGTTCTATCCCCTGCAACTCGACAGAGCCTTATTGAAGACTCTCAAGCCCGCAATGGTGAGGACGAGGTCCCTCAATTGAACCCAGCCGATTTTGGCTATCCACGCGGAAATAATCACTGGGCCTCTTGCATTGAAGTTGTGGATCCTCTCACCTCCAAGGAGGTAATTTACACTATCAATCTCGAAGATAATGAGGCGGCAGTCAGCGTGACCATTGCGCCTTTCCCTTCCCAGGGCAACGAGCAATTCCTGGTGGTGGGAACTGGCAAGAACATGTCGACTAGCCCACCTTCCTCTGGCGGTGGATTTATCCATATCTATCGAATGCTCAACAATGGTCGTGAATTGGAATTTCTTCATAAGACCGACATTGATGAACCACCCCTTGCTATCCTTCCCTTCCAAGGAAGACTTCTTGTCGGAGTGGGCCCGGTTCTTCATATGTTTGACCTTGGCATCAAAAAAATGCTCCGCAAATGCCAGGCGCCTGTTGTTCCATCGACCATTGTTGGTCTCAAAACCCAAGGAAGCCGTATTGTGGTTAGCGATGTCCGTGAGAGTGTCACCTATGTGGTGTACAAGTATGAAGAAAACGTCATGATTCCCTTCGCGGATGATTCTATTGCTCGATGGACCACGTGTACTACCATGGTGGATTACGAAACTGTCGCTGGTGGTGATAAATTTGGTAACTTGTGGCTGCTGCGGTGCCCAAGCAAGATCTCCGAGGCATCAGACGAGGATGGATCTGGGGCTCATCTCATCCACGCGAAGAGTTACCTGCAAGGTACACCCAACCGCCTCGAGCTTATGCTTCACTATTATGCGCAAGACATTCCCACTAGCGTGCACAAAGCGTCGCTGGTAGCTGGTGGCCGCGATGTCATCGTCTGGACCGGCGTACAAGGCACGATTGGCATATTTGTGCCCATCATCAGTCGGGAAGATGTCGATTTCTTCCAGAGCCTCGAGATGCAGCTGGCTGCACAGCACCCTCCTCTCGCTGGCCGGGATCATCTGATGTACCGCGGATACTATGCACCTGTCAAAGGTATTATTGATGGTGACCTCTGCGAGATGTACTTCCTCCTGTCGAACGATCAAAAGATGATGATTGCAGGTGAACTCGACAGATCTGTCCGAGAGATTGAACGAAAGATCTCTGTAGGTTAAAACCTCTCCAGATATAAGTTTGAATGCTAACCAACTAAACTATAGGACATGCGAACTCGGGTGGCTTATTAATGAATGGGCACTTTTGGCGTCGGGTATTGGCGTTTGCTCTCGTCTTTTATTTTCTTTGGACTTTTCCAGCACTCCGTAGGTTTACCTGCTAATTGATATCCCACGTGGCGACTTTTTTTCAGTCTTCCTTTTCTGTTATTGTTTTCCCATGTCGTCTTTTGCCTCGCTCGGTCTACCGCTTTCATCGGCTAATCTTGAGCTGGATGCTATCCGTACACTTTTGTGTTTGGTTAGTATAAGACAAGAAGAAGGTGTTTACACACCTCCGACACTCTTTGAGTACGGTCTTATCTGCATTTCACCACGGATAAGTGCCGTAATTTAGTTGTCGGGACATTCTGTAACCCCAAAGAAAGAGAATAGTAAAACAACAATTGAAGAGTTTCCGAGGTTTCCTGAGTCATAAAATTTTCAATTCATCGAGCTACATAGACGGAATAGACATTCTCAGAGCTGATAGGTACAACCTTGCATGGTTTTAGTAATAATATCTAGGTACCGTTTTTTCTATGCCAGGTGGGGCTTTCCTATTTCAGATGCCGCTGCTTTGTAAGGGCGCTTAGGGTCAGGCTCACTGAGTAAATTTTAGTCTAGGCTTAGGCTCACGGACCTGCTCATGATCATCATGGGCATTGTCTGGGTAAACGTCAGGGAAGCTCTAGGTGGGATCTATCTGCGGGTCTTTCACCGTTTCCTTCTCCGCCTTTTATTCTGCCCATATTCTCTTCCAACTATTGAGGGTACAACCCGCTAACTGCTTTCTCAACTTTTAATCTTATTTATATTATCTCCTGATCTGTACTAAAATTATCAGTGTCATAAGATATGAGACCTTTATGCGCGTCGTATTAAACTGCAGTTGTAAATATTGATGATGATGTGTAGTTCCATTCTCTCGATCAATAGGACTACATAAATGTTATGGTCCCATGTCTCATCCAATGAGATCGCGGCTGGTCCAGCTCGGTTTTTAAGCTAAGCCTGATTAGTCGTGCACTAATCTAATTAAGTTAGACTAGACTTTAGTAAGCGTCATGATTGGTGTGTAGTTAGTTCTCTCGTTGATCTTCTTTCCATCAATCAATCATACAATACCAAAACATTCAACTCCCACTTCTTCCATAGACACGGCTTTTTCAAAAACAGTTAAATTAAACCCACTACCCCTTACATTTCAGGACTTAAAAGACCAAAAAGCCCACCCTCACTCCGCCAGCTATGTCCTCAGGGAAGTCGCACAAAGCCTCGACGAAAACCATGGAAAAGTTCAAGCATACATCCTATCGCTTCTTCCAACATACGAGGATGCTTTACTTGCTACATCAATCTGTGTTCGTGATCTACCTGGCCAGATTGCGATGCCACCAACACACCCAGCTGCTCGTAACAGCTTACGACAAGCTGCACTGGAGATGCGAGGTGGGCCTGCACCAGAAGGAGCCCGGAATAAATTATCGGGTAATCTCCCAATCCGCACAGCCGAAACCCTTGACTCAATATCACTAGCTAGGCGGACTCTCACACCCGCTCAGCGTGCCCTTCTGAAGAAAAACTTCTATGGCGCCGAAAATGCCCGTCCTCAAAATGAACGGCATGAAGACCCATATGTGCTGGAAGTATCACCTACCCTGGACGACACACTCCCTATAATTACGGGGCACATGTTAATCGCTGCAGTTGATTGGGATGATGGATTGCCGAATTTCTTTTTGACGAACTTCCCAATGTTGTGGGATACAGGTGCAGCTCGAACATATATTACTGATGACATCCTTTCGGAAGAGTTAAAGAACTACTTTCACTATGACCCGATCCACTCCGAATACAGGAAAGAAGTAAGAGTGGGTGACCCGAACGTCCTCCGATTGCCAGATGAGGCGTGTGACCCGAAAGTATTCCGCATGACAGATGTCCAGGTGGGCATTTGCAGTTTTCGAACGCCATCTTGGAAGTTGAGGCTATTGCATCCGTCGTGCCGGTCGATCGCATTCCAAACCGGAGACCTGGCGTAATTCTTGGACAGCGACAGTGCATAAACAACATGCAGTATATGTCTACCCCACGAGCCATCATCAAAGCTCGTCGACAGTATATTGACGAGAAGTACTGGGGCGACATCGACATTTATTCTTTCATTGATTGCAATGGAGACATTCATGATACTTAAGCTCCATGGACCATGACTCTTCCCTAAGCGCTGGTTATTTTTAATTCTTTCAAGAATGAGTCTTGATAATATTATTCCGTCTGTCGATCTATCTTATTATTCCACAGCCCCTAATTGGAAAGCTTAATAAAAATAGGTTAAATGCTTAAGAATAGGTGATTAGCAAATCGCACAAGTCTTTTTCTGCTCAAATCAATTGGGATCTTATATAGATAGCGCGGATATAAGACACATTCTTTTCTACTAAGTTATTGGCGCCGTCTTCCGAAACGGGACTAGCCCATAGCATAAGAGTCAATTACGGGGTAAAGCAGCCAATCCTGCCGGTTCAAACCCGATGCCAATTTCCCCAAATTTATCCCGAAAGTCGGAGATTCCAGATTCCATGTTTTTCCGCTCTGGACCGATTTCGGGATCTGAACATCCACCAGTAAATCCTCGGCATATCTTGACGGCTTCCAGAGCTACAGTACTCCGTACAATACGTATGTACCTTTTTTCTATGCCAGTTCTTGGCGTTCGCGTTCCGTATTAGTGCTCACCCCTCGCTGCTTTTGCTTGCTGAGTAGAACTGAGCACGTGTAAGGGGTTACTGGATTAAAGAGAAGATAATGGAACCAAGAACTGTATAGTTCTATATTTATCTAGATACTCTGTAGTACCTAAGTATATGAATAACGTGATTATGTGTATCATGTACCGTGCTTTGAAATCATCCAAACACTATTTTTTCTTATTATAATTGGTAGTCACGGTTATATCTCCGACTATTGGAAGTTCGTGTCTGAAGTGGAGACACGAAGGGCGTGAGTTAGGACATTTTGATGCTGTTCTCGTAAGGCGTGAAATCCACTTTTCCCGATTTCCTTTTCACTCCCAAGGTTGGATTCATTCTATACGAGGGCTTTAATACCAAGGACTCTACGGAGTACTATGTAGTAAATCTAGCAACTATAGAAGTTATTGCGTCACACATTCCAAATGACGAATTAAAACTATATCCCGGTCGTGTCCTATCAATTTCTACGGCTTATTCTTAATTGTACATGAGTGCTTTGACGGGGAATGTCAATTCTAGGGCGCGAGTATGGACCAATGTTGTTAACCTCCAACCAATAGTGTTGATTCTCATCCCCTAACTGCATCTTTAAACGAAAATCGGCGCCGAGCTTGACGAGTTTGACGAACCGGCTTAAACTCTACTGTCAAGTGACTCACGAGATCAATAATCAACACTAGAGTCACTAATGTGACGCATAGAAGGGGCCCGAAGTTTAGCTCTGTTCTATAAAAATGTGAAAAGGCCCCTACCTAGATACTTTATGAGCTTCATACATCAGTCTCCACTTTCTACTCAACCTCTATTTATATCCAGTTCTACTCGTCTGTAATATTCTTGCTCTCGCCTATCTTTCCGTTTCATCATCTGCCCAGGTTCGGCCTTCAGACAAAATGACTACAAGTTCCACCATCACACGTGGCACTAGCTCACTAAATATTTGGGCTCAGCGCTCAAAGCCCAAAGTTGATATCAGCTTTGTGGAACAAAGGCCAAACCTCGTCAATTCATATACTACAGGAGACCATATTGAGGGCACAGCTACTATAACTGTCGAATATGAAACACGTTTTGATGAAGTGGAAATCGTCCTTCAAGGTAGGATAATGCAATTCAATGTTCAATGCATCAACATAACTGACATCAAGACAGGTAATTCGTCCACATTAATGGACCGCGTCAACAGCCCTGGCCAATTAGGCTCACGGCAGACATTCCTCAAGCTCCGCCAGCCAATTGAAGATACATATTATCCAACTCCACGAGTATTGGAAGTAGGCCGACAATACAAATTCGACTTTACATTCGTTGTTCCCGATCATCTATTGCCGCAAGTCTGCTCACACACAAAAAAGAACATACACGTCGCCCACTCTCACACTTTGCTCCCGCCAACACTGGGAGATCCAATGCTCTCCAGCGATGGAAAGACTCTTCTGGATGATCTGGCTCCTCAGATGAGCCAGATTTCATATACGATCCGAGTGGCTGTGCTACAGCGATCGCAAACAGAGCGGAAACTCACCACACTGGCTCATGTGGCCAAGAAAGTTCGCATCATTCCCAACATAGCAGAGGAGCCACCTATTGACGTGACCGGCAATCAATTCTACTGCCTCCGCAAAGAAAAGACCGTCAGACGAGGCTTCTTGCGCGGGAAGCTCGGTCGGATTGTTGCTTCATCCTCACAGCCCAAAGCAATTGAACTACTTCCCCCATACTGTGAGGTGAAAGACACTGTCAGCACATCCGTAACGGTCCAGCTCCGATTTGACCCAATGGGGAAGGAAAGCCCACCTCGTCTTGGCTCGATAGTCAGCAGACTCAATGCGAGCACTTTCTTCGGCTCATCCGGATGGGACGACTTCCCACGCCAGAGGGAGGTGGGGGGCTTTCAGCAGGTTGGAAAGAGCGTCTTTAACGAATCAATCTTTCTTTCTACCATGTGCGTAGAATCGGCACAGTGGGAAAAACACACATCACTGTCAGACTCCGACTCGCGATGTGATTCTCTACAGTCAACCTCCTCCGCAGACTCAACCAGTCCACCATCCGCATTCTGCGGCGGCGTCTACTACACAACTTCCCTCGTCATCCCCGTCACTCTCCCCAAGTCAAAGGCCTTTGTTCCAACTTTCCACTCCTGTCTGATATCTCGCACATACTCACTGGAACTATCATTGTCCTACCACACCCCAAACACAAATGTGCTTGAACCAACCGTCTCTTTGCGACTGCCTGTTCAAATAACAAGCCGATCCAAATACGCTGATTCAGTCGAGAGTACTACAGATGTTTTTGTCACACAGGAACAACTAGAATCGTTTTTCGCCCCTAGATATGTGTCACAGCCCACGAGGAACTCGGTTGTTGATATCAGCTTGGCTCCTCCGGTTTACTCGGAAACAAATACAACATAAATTGCTCGGCCTGTTCGTAGCAACTGAGCTTGGCTTGTGATCTTTTTGAATTTACCTCATACCATTATTCTTATCGTTAAGAAAAAGTTTTCTTCGTCTTTCTATGTGTTCCCATGTCCCTTAAGGGGGTCGAACTTAATTGACTTTCCTTATGCCCGGATCTCAGTTCTCTTTCCAAGATTCTCTTTCTCTTCTGCCGAGCGCATATATATCATTATTTTAATTCATTAGTCAGGAAAAATCCAGCTTTGATTATTCAATACTTCCTACGTATCTTAGTTAGCTAATATACAGAGTGCAAGTTTTATTGCTGTGAATATTGATTGGGTTAGCCTAAATCTTGGAGATGAGGTAGAGCTGCAAAGAGTATAGATTATCGCAAAATAGCACTATGTGTCTGGTAACTAAAAACAAATCATAAAAATCATCAAATCTAATGTTTATCATTCTCGTTATATTCGAAAAAACACCATGCATTAATACGAAACCGAAAAAGTGGCAAAATGTCGCAAGAATGATCGCAAGATGCAAGGTCAAAAAGTCTTCAGCAGGTAAAGCCTCTTCAATTAATTGAATGCATCACGAATCTTGTCTCCAAGATTGGCAACCTGATAAATAGGGATCAGTATTTGAGAGTAGTTGATGGGTGGGAGAAGTCAAAACTTACAAATGGCGCTCTCATCATTGTGAAGTGATTACCGGGAATATGGGAAATTCGGAGATTATCTCTGCCGACCATTGCATCCCAAAGCTGAGGTCCAAGGTCCGTTTTGTTCTCGAGCAGGAATTGTGCATGACCGTAGGGGTAAGGATCAGGGCGGGGGTCCTCGGGGTTTTTGCACACTCCATCCTCACACCAGATGATGTATGTGGTTGGCGCCTTAGCTGGGTCAATTGACCGAGCGTGATAAGTGGAAAGCGCATTGATGGAAGCTTGGAAGTGAGGGAGGAGCCACGAAGGAATCTTAGATGGCTCACCATCACCTAACAGACCCAGAGTGTTGAACCATCTGTGAAGCGAGATGGGAAGAGGCTCAATGGTCAGTGGGCAAGGGGAGTCAATGAGGATCAATCTATCCACCTTGTCTCCAGCCCGGATCAGTTGCTGAGCACCCTCAAAGGCAATCACTCCGCCAGCAGACCAGCCGCCAACATTGTAAGGTCCCACAGGCTGTCGGCGTTTCATCTCTTCAACATAGTACCGGGCGACTCCGGAGACTCCACAAGTGTACTCTTCGGGAGTAGTCATGAAGGGAGAGTTTAACCCGAAGACAGCAATGTCGGGAGATAGGGCCGGAATGGGTGCGTATGAAGCAGCCGCACCGCCCCCGTCTGGGAACATGAAGAACAGAGTTGTGGCTGTCTTGATGTTACCCTGCAGCAACATGGAAGTGGCACGTTTGTTGGGAAGCAGCGGCTCGGCTTCTAATGGCTGAACGACTGGGGCTCCATCGACTGACTCCGCAACTTTACCAGTCTTGTATTCGGAGATATCGCTAGCCAAGATGTGGACGCCGGAATCATGCGACAATGGAGTACTGCTGGGCTGAGAATTGTCGGTACTTGAGTCGTCTTTCAGGTTTGAGATATAGGTAGACGCAGTAGTCTGGGTATCCTGTGTATCGGCAGTATCTGGCTCCAGACCGCGAAGCCATACCTTCAAGTCGCCGACAGTTGGGTTGTCGATGAACAAGGAGGAAGGAATGTCCAGTTCGAGATCCTCTCGCATACGTGAATTGATACTAAGCTGCATGAGAGAGTCGACTCCAAGATCGGCGAAGCCGTTGGGATCGGCAAGCTCACTCTCATCTACTCCAACTTCCTCTGCAATGATGGCCATGACTTTGGAGGTGAGAGATGTGACATTTATGCGGGGAGCTGCAGTAGGAATCGCGATGAAGCTTGGTCGGCTATCTTTCTTGGGGGCATCGGCAACTGCCGCAACTGGGGCGGCGGCGAGAGCAGTACCAGATCGAGGGCGAGGCAAAACCTGGTCAAGGACATTTCGCGGAATGCGCATGAACTTAACACCACCGTAGAGAGCGATGACTTCAGTGCCTTCTAAACAGTAGACGTCACCAGAGACCATGTTGGGAGTACCTTCAACCGGTGCCATGCGAACATATGTTCGGTAAGTTCCGCCGGGCATCAAGGTTCTTGCAAGGCGAAGGGAATCCCAGCCGTGTGAAACATAGACATTCTTCTCCGAGCCAGGAGCAGTTTGACAGTTCACCACGAAGCCAGACAAATGGCCGACACTGTCGATCCAGTAAGGAGGGACCACAAAGTTCTGCTCGGAATTGTAAGTTTGGAGAACAATATCCGCAGTGGCCTCAAACTCGTCCGGCTTGAGATAGACCTTCTTCATTCCCTGGAAAGGCTTCTCGTACTCGACAAACGAGCCGAATAGCTTGTAGGCCATCTTCCTGTTCAAGGTGTGAATATCTTCATCCTCTTCATCGCGCAACATGCGGATTCTGGCGTCAACCAGATAGCCAGTGCGCTTCCACTCCTCCAACCATGCAGCGCTAGTACCAAACTCGACCGAGAATGTGGCGTGCTGGCCTTCGACAGAAGAGATCGTGATACCAATGGTTTCCTTTGACTTGGAGGCCTCGGCAGAGATCTTGATGACCTGTGACTCGGCGCCTCGGAAGATAAGGGTCTTGCCAACCTCCATCTTGCACACATTCATGCGGGGAATGTCTGCTTCTGCAGAACCTGGGAACATGCGGCGGTACATGTACTCACCAATGGTGATACCCATATCTCCATAAAGCGTGGAGGGGCAAAGGGCCACGCCGTTGACCATGTGACCGTGCAGAACTTCCTTAAGATCAGGACGTGAAAGATCTGATTCGGCGACAAGCATGCAAGATTTGTCGGAGAATTTCTCCTCGACGACGCGCTGCACGGAAGTGGTCTTCAGGGGGGAACTGCACTTTCTGGAACAGCGCTGATGAGAGACTGGCCCTTTGTTAAGCACCAATCGCCCTTGTAGTCGATCCAGTAGTTGGCCAAGGCCCAGCCGTAAGAAGGCAACTCGAGAAGCTCCAGGGCACCTTCAAACTCGCGGTGGTATTCGCCCCAGTTGACGTTGAGACCCTTGTTGTTCAGGACAGTCAAGGCGGTAGCCATAGACTCCCATGCACCAGATTTGCGGTTGAGGGAGTGGCAGGTCGGGATGGAAGAGCCCAATGTGGCTTTGACGAAATTAGTCGAAACAGGGTGAGGACCAATTTCCAGGAAGACAGTCTCATCATCAATGACGTGAGAAAGTTTGGCAGCTCCAACTGCCTGGCCGAAGTTAACAGCCTCTCGGGCGTGACGACAGAGATAGTTTGCATCGATGGTCGATTGTTCAAGAGGTCGACCCAACAAGGGTGAAAGGTATTCGCAGTTGGGAGCGCGGAAAGCCACTGAAGATGCAATCTGTGCAAATGTCTCAAGAATAGGCTCAACTTGAGATGAGTGGAAGGCGTAAGGCACACTGAGTTTAGTGACCCGCATTCTCTGACCTTCGAGGAGACCACCAGCAGCTTCGATATCGGCTACCAGACCGCTGAGCACAATCTCGTTGCTGCTATTGATGCAAGCGACCTCGACATTTTCTGGAATGATTCTCTTCACGAAGGCAGCATCACCTTGAACGGCGAGCATAGCATGGCTTCCAGCAGTGCAGCGGGCGACGAGGAGCTGAGCCCGAGATCCGACAAGGAAGATAGTGTCGCTAGCGGAAAGGACTCCAGCTGCAAAAAGAGCAGCATATTCTCCCAAGCTGTGGCCAACAACAACATCTGGCGTAATTCCCAGAGACTTCCAAAAGCGGGTGATAGCCATTTGGATGCAAACCTGGGCAACCTGGACCATAACAGGGTCCAGGGTAACAGTGGACTGTTCCTCGGTTCCATCCGCAATGGAAACAATGCTGGGGAAGCCGAACGAAGTAGCCAGGGCATCAAATTCAAGCATGCTCTTCCGGTAAAGGGTGGATGTTTTGAACAGATCCGCAGCCACGCCGGGGTACATAGATCCCTGTCCGGTGAAAGTGAATGCAACCTTAGGTGGCTTGGGAACTGGCAGCAAGTTCGAGTCAGCAACGCGAGCAAGGCTAGCCTTCAGGCCAGAGATGTCAGAGGCGGCAACTGAGTATCGGTAGCTGTACTGGATTCTGCGGGCAGTTGTAGTGTATGAGAGACTGGCCAGCGATACATTGGGGTTGGCGTCTAGGTATGAAATCAGGTTGTTGACGTTCTTCTTCAGAGAACCCAAGGCGCATGCCGAAACTGCAATAACGTGCGTCGGGCGGGGGTCCGTTCCCTTGATCTGACGCTTGAAGCCCTCCTCCATCACAATGGCAGTGTTTCCACCGGCCGCGCTGAAATTGTTGATGAAAATCTTGCGGCTGTGCGTCTTAGGCCGGGGTAACTCAACAGCCTGCCGAGCAATATGCGCATTCCTGGCGGCCAAGTCTGGGAAGCCGCGGTTAATTTCACCCTTGATTCCAACGTGGGGAGGGATCATATTGTGACGCATCATCAAAAGAACCTTCACAATCGCAGTGACTCCGGAAGAGGCCTCGCCGTGTCCAACATTGGCCTTAACAGAGCCGACATAGAGTTTTTGGTCTGGTCGGCGAGGAGAGACAGCAGGGGCGAAGACAGTGGACACAGAGCGCATTTCGGTGTCATCACCAGCCTGGGTACCTGTTCCATGCATCTCAACATAGGATATATCCTTGGGGTTGACTGCAGCCTGGTTCAAAACCCGGCGGTAGAGAATCTCCTGGGTACCAGCATGGGGATGGGTGATCGAGATCGCATCAGCAGAGTGATTGGTAGCAGCTGAAAGGATGACACCTAGAATGTTGTCATTATCAGCTTCGGCATCAGACAGTCGCTTCAGGATCAGTGAGGCGACTGCGTCTCCTCGGCAGTAGCCATCGGCGTCATTGTCGAATGTCTGGCAGGGGCCGGTCTTGGAGAGGAATTGACCCTTGCTAAGTCCAGCAAAGATATCAGGGTTGGTCATAATGTTGACACCACCAGTGATGGCGGTGTCACAATCCCGTAGCCATAGCGCATTGCAAGCTGTGTGAATGGCCGCCATACTAGATGAGCATGCGGTATCAATACTCAAGCTAGGTCCACTGAATCCGAAGTGGTAGTTGATACGGCCAGGACCGAAAGCTCGGACACCGCCGGTGATGAAGTATGTGTCAATGTCTTGGGCTTCGTTAATTTCACGCCAGTCATCACTAGTCTGACCGTAGAAAGTACCAATACGGTCAAGCTGTGTCGAGGGCGTTCGGTTCGGCACGTAGCCTGACATTTCAAGCGCTTCGTATGCGGTAAGTAAAGACAGTCTCTGCATGGGGTCTGTCTGAGTAGCCTCCCGAGGAGACATGTTAAAGAATCGCGGGTCAAAGAGGCCAGCATTGTCCACAAAGCACCCGAATGGAGTGTGACTCTTGTTCTTGCCTTTACCTGAGGGGTCGACATGCTTTTCTGCATCAAACCGATCGGAGGGCACCTCTTTGTGCATGTCCATTCCATCGAAGAGAACTTTCCAGAACTCATCAAGATTCTGGGCACCAGGGAATCTTCCAGACATGCCAACAATGGCGATCCGTTCCTTTTTCGATTCGAGACCGGGCTCTGGGCCGGAGGCAACCGGACGCGTCCATTCGAGAATAGAATTTCGCCCCTTGATCGCAACAACCAGAGGGCTCTGTTGATCGATTGGACCCATGGCAAACAAACGGCCGCCGAGCTGGTGGCGCTCCAAAAATGCGGAGACATTTTGGCATTCGCTTATTATTTCTGTAATGACCAGCCTGTATAGCTCCGGCAGGGATGAAGCGTTATAAGCTTCACCAGTTTGAATTGACAAAACGTGGAGGTTGCTTGGCACAAGTCCTTCGAATTCTTGAAGTGCAGCTTCATCAAGAATCTCGTCAAGAGCCTCGGCAGTACTGATGAGATGTGGAGCATGGTAAGGGCCTAGAACCCGGGCCGGGACCGTGCTGACAGTGTTTTCAACATTCCAGCGATCTTGGAGCCATTCAAGCATCAAGGGAGGGCCACTGATGGTGGTTCCTGACGGCCAAATAGCGCTGATGTAAGGAATATTATGCAATGGTGTGGACTTTCCAGCCGAAATTGTTAGTTATTGAATTTGATTGATGTTGTAGAGCATCGCTACTCACCTGTGATTCCGCCTCTTCTGTGCCAAGCGCCTTCTTAATGGCGGACTCAGCATCATCACTGTTTAGACCTTTGGCGTGAATTGCCCAGAAGCTGCGATCAACGCCTGGCTTGGTGGTCTGTAGACGATCTGACACTTCATCAATGTAGAGAGCGAGACGAAATGCGAGCTCAACTGCGTAAACTGCAACTTTGACACCGGCAAGGCCTTTAGGAATGAATGATGCCGTGATAGCAGGAATCAATCCCGTTGAAAGACCGATGGCGGCTACTTCCTCAGTGCTCTCAGTCTCATTTTCAGAGAACCTGCAGGTATGTCAGATGTGCTCACTTGAGCAGAGAAAGCAGAGAAATCAAGGCAAGAACTTACGAGAGATAGTCTGCTAGCTGCACCAGGCATTGAAATGTGGCTTCCACAACAGGATTCAACTCATCTTTGCCAGAGGTGTATCGAGCGAGGAATTCCTCTAAAGTAGCGAAAGGAGGAACTTTCCGTCGTTGTAATGCGGGCAACTCGGCAATGACATCTCGAAGTCTGCATCCAGCAGCATTCAAGAAGCACGCAACAAGAGGAGACTTCGGCTGGTCAAAGAGAATGCCATGGAGATAAGATGCAATCTCGGATGGGGATTGATCGCCAAAGAGTAAAACATCCATTATTGCATATGCCACTTCGCGGGTTGTAAATTGCTCCAGAATGGCTTGACCAGAACAGGGAGCTGTTTAAGTATTTAATCCAGGAGCTGCAAGAGTAGCCCAAAGGGTAATTGATAGGCCGATCAGCCTTGTCTACAAGTCATATGTCTATTCGGCCCCATGCCAGCAAGTGAGTTTCATGCGCATAGCAGGATGTCATCGTGTCTCACACACTATAACCCTTATCGACCCAAGGAAACTTCTATTCCTGATGAGCATCGACTAATCATATGCACTACGTAGGTCAGATAGCTTCGTATCTGCGGAAATTTCTCCAGATGTTCAAACATGATTGACCAAATGGTCTTTCTAGGCTTGCTGCGGCAGGGAAAATAGAATATGCATGCATTCGATACGCTGATTCACAATGTCTAGTGAGGCTCGAGCGCTTAGGTGGGTCAGAGAGATATAGCGATGGGCATCAAATTGACAAGGGATGGGATAAAAAAACACGAGATCCCTTGAAAAGGGGCGTCCATACATCCTAGGAGGTACAGAAACGCCATGGATGCATTAGCCCTGCGCCAGCGAGATCCGCTTAGTTCATGCTAAGGGGGCATACATACCAGTCTATGCATTGACTCAAGCTATCCTGACCATAATGCCCTAACGGTCTGTGTTATCAATTACAAATCAATCAATAATCTATCCTCTCCTCACATTAGAAAAGAGGCCCCCTGCAGAGTTCCACTTTTGGAAATATTCGAATAGCCCTAAGCCATACTCTCCCAATCCTGAATCTCGTATTTCGTAGATGCAAGATTCAGAGCTTCAAAATCTGTTATCTTGGATGCCAGCGCATCACAAAGATCATTCAGCTGAATCCAGACCCGATTCTTCAACGCCACGATGTTCACGTAAACTATGAATCCGATCCAGCTTGACTCCGTACACCGATTCCCAATGTTCCGGGAAGTCCGTGGCGAATTGGGCATCTTGATGAATCCTCATGTGAGCAGCCGGAATCTTGGAATCTTGAAGTCATGGTAGTACTAGCCCTGGAAATCGGGTAAGAGATATGCTACACGGAGAGCGAATGAGACAGGAAGTTTAGAATTCCGGGTCAATATCAAGCTTATGGCGGCAATTAACTAGGTACATGTGCTATCACGACTGAATCTAGATAATTAATGATCAGCTTATGGAGTAATACACTATATTGGTCTATACTGGGAAAGGCAGGCAAAGCAAACATGGAATTAAGGGTCTATTCCGAGACAACAACATCAGTCATTAATCGTATGATGAGCCGAACAACATCCAAGTATAGAATTGTACATACAATGTAGACCTCGTAAAGAGTAAATTTGGAAATCTGGACTGCAAGATTCACGCAGTAGCTATGTTGGCCAAGACATACCGAACAACTTTCATTGAGCTGCATCCTTGCAGATATTATGACATTGAGATCATGAAGGGGTTTGAATCAACCTTGAAACAAGCAACAATAAGCAAGAAAGTAAATAAATTAAAATTTCAATAGTATCTTCTGCGTGGAACCATTTCAGTCATTGAAAGAAAAGATAGTAAAAGGAAAAAAAAAGGGGGAGGGAAGGGGTGGGCAGGAACAGGGATAAGATCAACATGCATTTTAAAATAGTAACTTGACAACTATAAAAACGAAAAGATAGAAGCAATAGAGTTTCACAAGAAATAATCAGACCAAAAGAGGAGAATAATGTATGCAAATGTTAAAAATAACAGTAGTGAGCCTACGAAGTTGATATTGATCGAGCAGGGATTAGACTTGTCATCCCTCAGCCCTGAGTGGAGCTACGAAGTAGAAGATGCCACGCAACTATTATGGGTCAAATTGGTGACGAGGACGAGGGAATTGGGTAGAATATCGAAAACCTCGAGAGGCCCATGCATTTACTTTTACAAGACGTACTGAAAGGATCGGACTAGACCCCGACCATCTTCCTATAAATTCTACCAAATGAACTTTCTCCCCGGCTTATACATAGTACATTCAAGAAATATTCCTTACTCTCACTCATCCTGATACAGCCAATCGCGCTCTGGCCTCTTTGACTACATACATAAATATCCGAAACAATGGACTCTACACCGCAGACCCTGGTCGGAAAGGTGGCCTTAGTGACAGGAGGTGCCCGAGGAATCGGTCGGGGCATCTGCCTGGAGCTGGTTAAAAGTGGCGCATCTGTCGCGATTAATTATGCCACAAGTTCAGAGGCCGCCGATGGACTGGTGAAAGAGATCGAAGGCATTGGTGGTTCGGCTGCCGCTTTCAAGGCCGATATCACCAAGCTTGAAGAGATCTCAGACCTCTTCTCTGCCGCGATTGCCAAGTTTGGCCGATTGGATATTGTTGTCTCCAACTCCGGAATGGAGAAATTTGCAAAACTAGAGGATACTACCCTCGAGGATTTCGATCAAGTCTTCAACCTCAACACTCGAGCTCAATTCTTTGTTGCCAAGAACGCACTTGAGCATCTCCAGCCCGGGGGCCGGGTTGTACTCATGTCGTCAATCGCAGCTGGACTCGGAGTTGCCGGCCACGCGCTTTATGCAGGAAGTAAGTCGGCTGTGGAAGGGTTCACGCGCTGCTTCGCTGCAGACTTTGGTATTAAAAGATGCACGGTCAATGCTATTGCTCCCGCCGGAGTTAAAAGTGACATGTGGTTGTCTAACTCATGGCGCTATGCCCCGGGTTGCACCAAGGACTCCTCCCTCGAAGATATTGAGGCTGCCCTCGCCAACGGAAGCCCATTGAAAAGATGCGGTGAGCCTAGTGATATTGGGCGTGTTGTGTCATTCCTAGCTAGCCCTGCTAGTGAGTGGATTAACGGTAAGCAATAAGCACTAACATCTACCTTCCCACCACGGCAATCAACTTGTACTGACATCACATCTTATTTCTTTTTTTCTAGGTCAAATTCTTCCTTGCAATGGTGGTGCCAATATCTGAGACATCGTGTATTCAATCCAGATAGCAGCTTCATGCAATGAACATATTTTGGTTTTATTCTGGATTATTCTGGTTTTATTCTCGTTTCATTCTCACCTTAGAAATGCGTTGTCATGTACCACGTAGCTGTAATGGACAACTCCGAGAAGGGGTTCCATCCCCTCCATTCCTTAGCTATATGCAGAAGTGAGGTCAGATGCACTGTTCTTCTGTTTATTGTCTCTTAAGTCCATTCCAAGTAGCCTTCAAGGTGGATCTGATGCCAAATAGGATTAGGCGTGGCGGCGGGGCGTACAAGATCCGCCTTGGCGTCCCCCCGCTTACTTTCGATGATCTGGACCCTTACTCTCCTAGTCCTATCTCCATTATACCTCCACTCTACATCCACATCCAGGTTTATCCCTGTTTGCCCTTTCCAAATCCCGACATCACTAGTACCTTGAAATATCCGTCTAATGTCTCGGCGCCACTAAACTTACTTAGGTCTCCCTGCAGCTGTTTATCAGTACCTCACCCGCCAGTTAGAAAAGACCTGGCGTCGCAGGGCCCTGACCACCCCCTTCTCCCGTTGACAAGTCAGATGTACATTACGTACCTCTGTAAGGTAGTCTGCAATGCACTTGGGATATCGCCGCGTCAGTCAGAATATGACTAAACGTGGAAAACACGAGGGAAAATGAGAAACGTCCGCGCAATCACTCCAGACGGGAAGAGAACAAGTGCAGGAGCTTGCGCGTCCTTCAACCGTTTTTCATAATCATGGAACTTTTAAAGAAGTGTGGCTCCCCTCCACAAGATCTTGTTTAGCGGGTCTTCTCTTGTCAAAATCCCCACACATTATCCGGGATTTGTCTCACTACCAGCTACTAGCTCCGCCTTCCTGCACAAAGACTGCACTAGCTCGCTTGTCTCGACCTGAGAACGCACTACTGCAACAAGGTCCACGGTCTACGACAGAAAAAAACAAAACAACAAAAAACACCTATTTCGATTTACTATCGGCAAAATGGGATTTGGAGGTTATTGGCCTGATGGCGACAACCGGGTAGCCTTTTGCTCTAATTGGGAAAATAAGACATGGACTGCCGACTGGACTACTGGATGGAAGACTGGGGATTGGAAGACTGACGGCCATTGGAAGGATGGTCATTGGGGCACTGGAACCTGGACCACTTGGACTTCTTGGGCTTCATGCACCACAACCGAAACCACCGTCACCGAGACTTCCTCCGGTACTGCACTCTCGACGATCACCTCCGAGGTCCTCTTAGCTGTCGCTGCCGATTCGACAGCCACGGCTACAGGGGCATTGGCCACTGAGACCACTACTACCAGTGGTGCTAGCAGTGCTCGGACACGCCACAGTAAGGGGGCTTTGATCGTCGGCCTCTTGGTGCTTATCGGCATGATGGCTTAGCTCGAGGCATTGATCGGTTTGAATTTGGACTTTTTGTTGTCTATGTCCTTTGTTGTCCCGTAACCAGATAGTCATCCGGATTTGCTCGGCCTTCAGTTGAAACTGCAATATCTATTTGACAGTAAATATAGGCAAATATATGAAACGGTACTTATCATGTTCTATTTCAGACTTTACTCACCCGTATAGAAGATGACATCCATGAATATCGGGGGTAGGTTTTTCAGTCTTAGAACTGATCTTCGTCGCAACCCTAGAAGCTATCTAGGGTGGACAGGGTTAGATTGGACAAAATTTGGATCTAACCATCTATGGATAGCTCTACACCCCAAACTTCTTGGGTCACCATTTTCAGCCCTACCCCACTCGATTCTAGAGACTAGTTTTAGATATTGATCCGGACGACGAACAAATAAGATTGAGTCCTCTAGGAAAAAGCAACTGCGTATAAACATCATTATTATTTCCTACTCATGTACTCCGTACGTCACATCACGTCACCCCCTTCTTCCCCTTGATCTCTTCTGCCCCTTTGAGACACCAGTGAGACCACTCAAGGCTTCTTGGATTTTGTGGACTTGACCGGGGACATAGACTTCCGCTTGGACTTGGACTTCTTCTGAGACAAGGGGTAGTTTCCACAGATCTGCTGGTTGTCCGAGGGGATATGAAGATCCTGCAAGCGGTCAGGGGCTTCGATGATGGTGGTGACCATGCCCTTGGCCACATGCCATTCAATATGGCAATGGAACAGCCAAACTCGTAAATATCCAGTTAGCTTAGAAGAATACATCATGCAGTGAGCAGGGGAGACTTATCTGGATTGGTAGCTCGGAAGCGGATTACAAAATGACCTTGTTGCTGCACCATCAACGTGTCGCGTTTCACTGGTGTGGCTGAGACATTGGCGAAGTACCCATCGAAATAGCCGCCATATGGTACTGTCCGCTGAAGGACCTGGAATTGGTGACCGTGAAGATGCCATGGGTGGATATTGTTGTGGTGGTCATTGAGCACGATCTCAACCACATCGCCATAGTTGACCACGTATGGGTTGACCTCTCCATATGCGGACACATTGTCTTTCCCATATGATTGTTCCATCAGGGCAGTGTACAGGGTGGGGGTGTCCTGCTCATAATAGGTGTGGTTGTTGACCACGAATCGTACAAGACCACCAGCCACGGAGGCAGAGTTGAAGTCCATGATGATTTGGTGATCCACGGGCTCAAGCAGTGGCTCGTGATCAGCAGGCACGAACTCCAAATCATCAACAAAATCAAATTCGGGAATCACTGGAGCAATAGGCAGTGGTTTGGTTTCGTCATAGACCAACCACGCAGTAGAGTTGGTGATGTATCCATCAGGGACGGTCCGGTTCTCGTATATGAACATCATGTTGACATCCAAGATGGACAAGAAAGCATAGTTCTGGCTCGTATCGTTCTTCGTTGTAATCAAAACGCTAGTGCGTTGGCCGGTTGCGAGCCGAAGATTTCGGTCACCGAGAGGGAATGGGTCGACAAAGACACCGTCCACTTCGACGACTGTCATCTCATGCTGATCGAATACCACTGCAAAGCCGGGCCAGTTTCCAAGAGCGATAAGATGAACGAGGTAAGTCTTACCCGGCTGCACCGGAAAGGTCGTATTCACAGCATCGTTGATCAGCTGGTTATCAGGGAGCGGCTCTAAGCCTCCGGTGGCAGGGCTATTGTCGGCATAGTATTCGTCCAACAATGGAGTCATCTGCTGATGATACCAATCTGAGAGCGTGATGGTGAACTCATCGTCATATTCGAAGCCGGGGTTAGGTTCCTTAACGACGAGCGGTCCACGGAGGCCATCTGGATATTGACCCATCTTGTGGGAATGGTACCAGTATGTGCCAGTTTGATTCACCTATTTTCTATCTGTAAGCCATCTTCGTATATAGAAGTCTGAGATGCGGGCAATTACATTGACTTCATAGCGCATCTTTTTGCCTGGAGGAATAGGGCATTGCGTCACTCCAGGAGCTCCGTCCATATAGCCAGTCATATATTGGTGCAATCCATGCCAATGGATGCCAGTCGTTTGGTTTCCGAGATCATTGGTAACGTCAACAATGAGTCTGTCCCCTAGATCTAAGTCGATCTGTGGACAGGGCCATTCTCCATTGATTCCAATTACCGCTCTTTCGTATCCGTCAGGGGCGACATTCACCCAAGTGATATGCCAATCAAAGTAAACATCTTTAGCGAATGCGTGATCGAGCAAGATGCCCGCCAAAAGAGTGACTATCCCGAACCACATGTTGCGAAATGTGTCGGAACGATATTATAGTATAGAAAAACTAGAAAGAAAAGACAAACCTTGGAGAACAGGAATATCACAAAGATATTCGAGTTCTTATAGCATGACCGGGCTCCAGGGCTAAGGGGTATGATAGCAAGGCTCACAGCTATCTCCGATCTCGTACTTTTCTTATTCCTCGGAGCAATTGGCATAACCATGTTGGAACCTGCATATTGAAATTAGACTTCACTTTTTACGAGACGTTCTAAGCCATAGGTACATTATCACACTAGTATTTTCTTTTTTTTTTTTTTTTTTTAAAAAAAAAGTTTCGATACGTTGATATCAAAGAACCATCCCAAAAATAGAAAAATAAAAACAAATAAGAAATTAGAACAAGACAGGGTGATCTTGCGATCTTTGCGATTCATCCTATCGATTGAACATAAATAATCAATGCAATATGCAAGGTCTGTCTCATCTATGAAGGTCCAAACATCCAACCATCCATGCGACAGCAAGTCTGACCGCAATTTTCCAGGGCTTTGGCGCAGATCAATAAAGCCCCGCGAGGAAATAAGAAAATAGCCCCGTATACCCGCGATGTACCTGGCATCGCAGCTTCTTGGATGCCCTGAAATCCGAGCTCTGACTTTCTTGGAGCTCAATGAGCAGCCGACAATTGAGGAAAGATTTTATCAAAGTCATACTCGTTCCAGTATACTTGTGGACAGACCCCAGAAAGTTTCCATACCCCACCCTCCTTCCGGTACCAGTGTTTCACCTTAGAATGACCATGACCTCTATACTCCACCTCTTTACTATCCAGGTCCTTGTATCGCTGGTGAGCTGCACGAATTTGGTGATGTCCAACGATTTCCGTGTCGGAAATAACTTCATATCTCGTGGCTCCCATAAGATGCTGCGTACGCACAAGCGGGTCACCAAGGAAGGTGGGGGCGCTCATCATCGCGACAAATTCATCCTGGGGCATCTCAGGGAAGCATTGATGCCCAACAATACTGTAATCAATCTAAAAACGGGCAGTTCGGTTAGCCTACAAACATGGGTGAAATGTGCAATGTGCAATGTGCAATGTGCATCGCATAAGATGTGGCATATTACCAGCAAAGTCGACGCCAAAATTTTACGAAGTCGGTCCCAGTCCTACTAATCAGTCAGAAGAAGCAATTGTGTTGTGGCGCCGGGAGAGGAACTTGCCTTATTGTCATAGCTGTCCGCCCATTCAAAAGTGACACTAGTGATGGACAGGTAATCTATGGGGAAATAGTAGAGTTAGATCTGTTTCATGTTTGCCTTGCATTGTAAGGATTCTTGCCTTCAAACTTGATCTGCTCCATTGAGAACCTTGGAAGTATGGAAAAGCTCTAAAAGTGAGATTGAAGTCTGGGGAGAGATTTTGCGTTGCGCTGCAGGAAAATCAAATAGTTTTAAATAGATATCATAGAGCTACTGACTGACGTACGTGCTGGGTTAGAAATGTTGTTACCTTGAGAGAGAGAGAGAGAAGTCCGAAGAGGGTGAGTAGGCTGGGATGCATGAGATTGCTGGAATACGGATATGCGAGAGACAAGTCATATTTGCTTTTTTTTCTTTTTTTTTTTTTTTTACTGAAACCGACATTCTATACGAGCCTAAGCCATGTTCTATTAATGCACTGAATGCAGTACAGCTCACTCATCACTTTCGATGTTAACAGACGGGTATTTCCGGACATTCTTGTCATTCTTGTCGTTCTTGGCAAACAGTTTTCCTTATTCTGTCTGCTTGCATCTACAACATCAACCAGTAATTTCCTGTGGCGGAAGTGAAGGCAAAATATAGTTTATGGTAGCTCTTATTTCACGCGAGGGCATTTTATATAAGAGGGGTGGTCAGGCTAATCGAGTTTTATGATCTCCATCTCTTGTTCCATTTTAAGTAAAAGAGTTTCTATATTCCCCATCCGCCATGTGGGCTTATACTATAGTTTCCAGCTTACTGCTTGGTCTCCTTATCAATTCTCCAACCACAGTCTCCGCTCAGTCCCCGAAAGTTTCAACAATTTTTCAATTTCCCAACCTCGGGTCATGGATTGAGGGTATCGCTGTTCGTCCCAACGGGCAGCTCCTAGTGACTAGACTTGATACGCCCGAGATATGGTCGGTCGACCCCACAACTCAGACCGCATACTCGGTCCATACCTTTCCCAATGCTACTAGTGTCATCGGTATTACCCCGATTGGGAATGACGTCTATGCAGTAGGAGCTGGCGTTGTCAATCAATCTACATTCGCAGCCACGGCTGGAACTTTTGTCGTTTGGAAGGTTGACTTGCGGGGCAGGACGCCTAGTGTCAGCGTCATCAACTCCATCCCAGCCGCAACATCCCTCAGTGGTATGGCCTATTTTGAGGGATCGAACAGCAAATCGAAAAACACTTCCTTGATTCTCATTGCCGACACAGCGTTGGGTGCCATCTGGCGCCTGAATCCTAAGACAGGGGCATACTCAATCGCTATCTCCGATGCCAGTATGCTGCCTGCGCCCTACGGCCCCCCAATTGGCATCAACGGAATTAGGCTCCTCGGAAATACGCTCTACTATACAAGCAGCACTCAGCAGGAATACTGCAGCGTCAAACTGAACTCCGATGCCTCTGCGGCGAGTGCGATTCAAGTCATTGCAAGCGGGTTCTTCCAAGATGGCCTTGCAATCACCGATAAAGGAAATGCCTACATCACAACTCATATCCAAAACACCGTTATCAAGGTCACTCCCGATGGAAACGCGACTGTATTTGCCGGAAGCCTGAATTCCACTGCCGTTGCTGGGTCGACAGATGCCCAGTTCGGTACTTATAAGAAAAAGCAGGTGTTGTATGTCACAACAAATGGCGCACTCAGTAGTCCAGTGAATGGTACTTTCACTGAGCCTGCAAAAGTTGTGATGATTGGGGCTTGTTAAGCATTATTTGATGCCCACCTGGGTAGTATCGGCTCCTTTTTAGAGTTCGTGTATTTATGAGTTAATCTTTCATAGTAGTACAGTTTGGGAGATTGTGTAATCTATTTCAAACTTCCAGATATCAATACATGCTTGTTTTTTCTGAAAATATGGGATTTCAATATGAGCTGCTGATATGAAAACGTGCCCAAGTGTTCAATATATTTCAATCCTATCGAATATTTAGGTATAATGATATATAGCCCAAGATAAGCGCTCTCTGCTTTTTCCAGGTCAGAGACAGGAGGCTTACGAATAGCCTTGCATCGACGATATTCATGTCGAATATGGACAAGTCAAAGGGTATTCTTCGGTGCTGGAAGCCCTAAAGGTGAGTGTCGAAGGCTATCGGTGTAGGATATATTATGTATAGGATGGTATCTGATTCAACGTTCAGAGTCTTGATTTTTATGGGAAATGTCACTTCAAATGTGGAATAAAGTGGGAATAAGTGAAAATGTGAGCTATCTATAATCTTGTCAAGGAATAGATTGCAATTGGTTCTGCATTTGATTTAGCTTCAGTTAGTCAGCATTCCCCTACTGTGTTGTTTTGATCCTTTAGTCATTAAACGAGACCACACGCATTTTCATTTGTTGATTCCTGTTGGATTTTGTTCCACTCTCTTCTTGACCTTGTATGCCTGAGACATCCGTGAATGCAAGGTACGTAGCTACTGTGTAAATAATTAGTTAAAAGTGAGGCGGAAGGCGGTGGCGCCCATGACTCCGGTTAACTTTAGGCGGTGAAAGTCATACCTATACTGCCTGTCAAAATAACCTGGCATACTTTCAAGCCTCGGCATCTGAGCAAAAATAGTCTTTAGGTATTATTGAGTGCCTAAATTTGATACTGAATAGCCTCTAACGCATAATTCAATCTAAAATAGATAGAATAATGGTGGGTTTGGATCTTCGCGTTCTGTTAGATCAATAAATATCCTGCCTCACGCAAAAAATGATAATTAGTATCCCCATTGAATTTTAAAACCTCGACTTCCAAGGTTCTCTCTTTTTCTTACCTTCAGGGCTACCCAGTTAGGCATACTTGACTTGGGCCTATGTAGGCAATTATTTTGGTAATATTTACTGGCTTTAGCAAACTTGTTGAAGGTGTAGAATGACTAGAGTGAGGTGGTATAAGATATCAGGGTGCGTCACAAATACTCGTCAGCATGATATATATTTCAGAGAGGTATATCTGTTGGAATATGGAACAAAACATTCATGTGATCAATTTGTTACTATATAATAGATGGCAAACTAAGAATGAAAACCAGACTTTACAACCACTTCAAAGGACACACAGATATCATAGGGGCGTAAAGCGTTACCTGTGATAGGTGTCAGAAGTGGGCGTTAGCCTCTCACCAACCTTGCTATACCCACCGTTGTACCGACAATATCAAATATAACTGTCGGTACACCTGTACCAAGTGTGGAATAGCTATTCGATAAAGGTGATGAGGCTAACGCCCACTTCTGACACCTATCACAGGTAACGCTTTACGCCCCTATGATATCTTTGTGTCCTCTTGAAGTGGTTGTAAAGTCTCGTTTTCATTCTTAGTTTGCTATCTATTATAAAGTAACAATTTGATCACATGACTGCTTTGTTCCATATTCCAACAATAACTACCCAGATATCGGGATAGTATCTAGTATACCATCCATAAATATGATAATAGTGGACTTAGGTGAGATCATCTGGGCACCACGGCGATAGTAATTTACGCTGTGCGCCCTTTAATCTATGTGCAAATAGGGAAGTTTTTATCCAGATAATGTCGAGGCCAAATGGATATTCGAAGAACCTAAACAAACTTAGCTGAACGAAATGAATTAATCAAGTTTGAAACGCTCTTTACTGTATCATGACTAGATTAGCAGTCTAAAACTTTGACTTAACAAGTTTGAATCTACTTTTCTTGTTTTTAACTGGAAAGGTAGTTTCAAACTTATAGATGATTCCTAATTTATCTATACGTACTTTGAAGTTTCCATTTTCCCTTCCCTTTACCGTTACACTTCAATAGGTCTTATCAATATGCCCATGTGGGTCATCTGCACATGGTAGTCGCATTTATCTATAATTCAACTTAAATAGGTATGGGGCATGTCGATGTGGTCATAAGCTGTACCCGAGTAGTACTAGATGCACTACACCTCAACATTTGGACCCCAAGCTCTAAGAGCTCGGAGAGACCATGAAATTTTATGGCAGTTATGCTTCATACTTATCAATTTACCGGGCTGAAGAAACACTCAATCAGTATTAGTGTCAATTTGATGGTCGCATGGCTGGTTACATTGGCTTATCTGCTGAGCCCCTGCAGCAAATGGCGCTCTTTACCTTTAACTGGCCTTTTCATTCGTCCGCCATCAACCCCAGATATGATAAGAGCTAATCATACTTGATGAAACTGTGACCCAAATCATGGACATTGATATCAATTTGAGGCTATCCCAGATTAGGGAAGCGATAACGAATTCAACTTCTTACTCATTTACATCATTGCATGACCGCTGAGATACACTCCGATCTTTTCAGATTATGAAATCAACATAGAAAAGTATGACTGTGCATCCGTCACCCAGTCCTCGGCATGAGATCAAACCACCGATTGGCTGAGGTTGAGTTCAACCACGAGGTATTTCCGCCCTGGAGTTTATTGTTGCTTACGATTCGACGACTTAGATATTGCTTTCCACTTGAATGCGACATTATGCGGCGAAGTCACCAGTTAATATCCACAAAAGTGCTAAATAAGGGCTTCCGAATGGTCCCATTGCCCTTTGAGGATTGTGGCGTCCTCGAGCCATTTTGCTAAGCTCCTAAAGCTTCCTCTCGATGATGTCTCCTGGACACGTTGCTCATGTGCCTATTCAGATGTGCAGATCCTCCCGAAGTTGCAGTATTTACATTGGCTGTTGGATTCCGCCTCCAATCTATATGATGCTACCGAAACTATGAAGAAGCGTTAGCATGGTAACTCTGAAGAGACCGTACCTTTTGGTCGCGTGAACATTTGAACCCTATACCAAATTAGGCAATTGGAGAATCCTCATTGTCGAAAATGAAAAGGCCAGGAAAAATATGATGTTGTTTGTTGAACTACAAATAATGACGTTGGGCCTCTTGAAATTTATTCATCCGTATTGCACAGATTTCCCACGAACAAGAACGTGGATTTTAAGGTCTCAATATGCTTCTGCTAAGTTCTTTAGTAATTGGCCTTGCACTGGTTGCAAATGCCTTTCCATCTTTTTCACGCGATAATACTGAGCTCGATACTCGTGATGATATCACTGGATATCGTTCAGTGGCATACTTCGTGAACTGGGTGAGTTCGTCAGACATTGTCCTTTTGATTCTTGTTATAGGAAAAGATTAATGTTGACTTGAATAAGGCCATCTACGGACGCGACTTCAATCCTCAGAATCTGACTGCCAGTACGTTGACACACGTTCTGTATGCTTTTGCCAACATTCAAACTACAGGAGAGGTCTACCTCTCAGACTCATGGGCCGACATCGACAAACACTACACAGGTGACTCATGGAATGATGTCGGCACTAATGTCTATGGCTGCGCCAAACAGTTATTCTTGTTGAAACAGAGTAATCGAAACCTGAAGACACTTCTATCTATCGGTGGCTGGTCATATTCTGGTAATTTCGCTGGTGCTTTGAGTACTGCGGCTGGCAGGGAACTATTTGCCTCGACTGCCGTCAGCTTGGTGACTAATCTTGGCTTTGACGGTGTTGATATTGACTGGGAAGTAAGTTTGAATCTTTGAGAAATCCATTCGTAATTCAAATTAACGCAGAATACAGTATCCCAGTGATGCCACGGAGGCTAGTAACTTTGTAGCGACGCTGCAGTTACTCCGATCGGTAAGTCCATCAAAAATATTATGCATGAGAGCCGTGAACTGAATATAATAATAGGAGCTGGATAGTTACAGCACCGCTAATTCGAGCGGTTATCATTTCTTGATTTCTGTTGCATGTCCCGCCGGTAAAACTAACCCAAATAAGCCCTATTGGAACCTTATAGAAACTCTGCTAACACATCGGCCAGGTCCTACACACTACCAGCAGCTTGATATCACAGGAATGAGCCAATATATTGATTTCTGGAACCTTATGGCATACGACTACTCTGGAAGTTGGGACACAGTCGCCGGCCATGATGCAAATGTATACGCATCCACCAGTAACGTGGCCAGCACGCCGTTCAACACTGATCAAGCCATTTCTTACTATATCTCCCAAGGCGTAGCTGCTAAAAACATAGTCTTGGGGATGCCATTATATGGCCGATCATTTATGGAAACCGACGGGCCAGGTACTAACTACAGCGGAATTGGAAGTGGAAGCTGGGAAAATGGTGTATGGGACTACAAAGCCCTACCTCTGACCGGAGCAGATGTCTTCGAGCTGGACCAGCCAGTTGCAAGTTACAGCTACGATTCATCCCAACGGATGATGGTTAGCTATGATACCCCTGCAGTTGTTCAGATGAAGGCGGCATACATTGAATCACAGGGTCTTGGTGGCAGTATGTGGTGGGAGAGCAGTGCTGATAAGACTGGGTCAGACAGTTTGATCGCGACGGTAAGCGACATTTTACTCGTTGTTTGTCGAAGAAGATAACTAACACGGACTTGCGAACAGGTTGTTAATGCCCTGGGCGGAACCAGTGCTTTAGATCAGAGCCAGAATGAGTTGAGCTATCCTGCTTCTGAGTATGCTAATCTTAGAGCTGGATTCCCTGCTAGCTAGGTAAGTGGTATATACCTTTCTGGGTTTGGAGGTTCGCTGCTTCATATGAAGAGAGTATTGGCTACGAGGGGAATCTATTTGGATCATTTGCTGAGGATCGGATATTGAAGATTTGTTACCCATGTAAGAAATACCTGATTGGCTCTAGCTTTTAATAGATATGCCGCCATTTTGAAGATTTCTACGTCCTGGTAGATTAAATCAGTTAGTTAGTCCATCCATATTTAGATGTGAGATCTTACCTAATGAATTTGATAATAACTTACTCCGCCGTAGTTAGTAGCTGACTTACAGATAAAGAATCTTGACATCATCCGAAATCTCTCGGCCGGAAGAAATCCATAAAAATATCAAAGGAAACAGTGGTAAGGTTTGAGTGGTGCATCTGATTAAGCGTAAGTTGAATCTGTCCAGTTATGATGTCTTTTTTCCTTGTGGTGTACTATGAGATCCCCATATGGCGCAATCTCAGCCCACATTGATGCTATAGATACGCTTCCGCACGACAGCATCTACGAAATGGCGTACTCAATCAAAATCTTGATATCAATTCACAAATAAAAGAGATTACCTGAGAGAGACATTCTAATCGTCTCTAACTTGGTGTGTCCGAATATCCTGTTCGACTTTAGAAGCAACCTTGGAAGTTCAAATTGAAATTATGACCGAAAACATAAATGCCACTGGAGATTTTCGTCCCCGAAAGTCATTAATTCTCAATGCCTTCGTTGAAATGTGTAAGTTATGTACTATCTTGCCTGAATAATAGCTCTGACCATACCAAGGCAGTGGACACCAGTCGCCAGGACTCTGGCGCCACCCAGAAGATGAATCTCATCGGTTCAACGATATTGATCATTGGATTGAGCTGGCGAAGCTTCTCGAGTCAGCGAAGTTCCATGCAATTTTCATTGCCGATGTCCTTGGTAAGTCCAATTATAAGTAAGTCGAAGATCATGTAGACTCGCGCTAATTTGGGCCAACTTGGAACTTTTAGGAGGCTATGATGTGTATAAAGGACCACGAAACCTGGAACCGGCTATTACTTCCGGTGCGCAGTGGCCTGTCAATGAGCCTTTGGCTTATGTACCAGCTATGGCATCCGCAACAAATAATATTAGTTTCGGCGTGACAGTCACAACGACATATGAACAGCCATACCACCTCGCGAGGCGTCTATCGACGATAGACCATCTCACCAAGGGACGGTATGTAATCTGAAAACTTTTTGACTTTTGTTTTGATAGTAACTAATTGAACTTGAACAGTCTGGGCTGGAATGTGAGAAATTTGTTTTCAAAACGTCGAGCTATGAGCTGACATTTCGTATAGGTTGTGACCGGATATCTTGACTCAGCTGCTCGTAATTTGGGCGAAGCTGAACAGCCACTAGTAGGTCTCGATTAGCAGCTGCCATGTTCCCATATTAACACTTTAATAGCACGATCAAAGATATTCTTTGGCTGAGGAATATATCAAGGTCACATACAAGCTTTGGGAGTCATCTTGGCGCCAAGATGCGGTTGTTCTTGACCGCGAGCGAGGAATCTACACAGATCCAGCCCGCGTTCGCGAGATCAATCATGCCGGGAAGTACTATAACGTGCCCGGCCCTCATATCTGCCAGCCTAGTCCGCAGCGAACACCGGTAATTCTCCAGGCCGGCACATCCAAGGCTGGAAAGGCCTTTGCGGCCCAGCATGCCGAAGCCATTTTCGTAGCTGGACATAGCCCATCCGTGGTTGCGAAGAATATCACAGAAATTAGACAGCTGGCGAAGACTGAGTACGGCCGGGATCCACAGAGCATCAAGTTCCTGTCTCTACTTTGCCCTGTTCTCGGTCGGACAGAGGAAGAGGCCGTGAAGAAGTTTGAGTCTTACCGCAGCCTGGGATCGATTGATGGAGCGTTGGCATTGTTTGGAGGCTGGACGGGGATTGACCTCAGTAAATACGGCGATGATGAGGAATTGCGACATGTTGAAAGCAATGCTATCCGGTAAGCGGCATGCCTTTTTTGAAAACATTTCTAACAGCTAATGTTTTATCTCGTGTGTCTTGTTCAGGTCAGCTGTCGAGGGCTGGTCTAAAGCATCCCCAGGAGTTGCCAAATGGACGAAACAGACAGTAGGTCAGCATATCACTGTCGGTGGACTCGGTTCCACTCCTGTTGGCACACCAGCCCAAGTCGCTGATGAAATGGAGCGGTGGGTGGAAGAAGCCGATGTAGATGGATTCAACCTGGTCAGTTGCTGATTGTCTTGCCTACACAAAATTTGTCTAACAAGCTTTTCCAAGGCATACGCGGTGATGCCGGGCTCATTCAAGGATATAATCGAGCTTTTGATCCCCGAACTTCGTCGCCGGGGTCTCTTTTGGGATGACTACGCGGTGCCTAAGGGAACTTTCCGCGAGAATTTGTATGCGAAAGCCGGTCAATCGGGTCCTCGCGAAGATCATCCAGCAGCGAAATACCGCTGGAAGGCCGGTATTGACGCCGCAAGTCACAAAATTCCTGAGAACTAAAGGGGAAACATGAAGTAACACTTTTAACATGAATATGACTATTTTTTTTTTCGCAGATGTAGCGCATGCCCATGGCTCTATTTTTAATAACGCCAGCCCATATGCGGAAGTTGTATAAATCACAGTACATAAAAGATCAGGTCAGCATATCATCAAGTCGCTCACCCAGCACACCTTCTATTTGCTTCACCCATTTGCGCACTTCTCTCTCAACACTCTCATCCTCATCTTCCATCAATTCACTGATATATGGCAGCATCTCTGGAAGAAGTGCGAGCCACTCCTCTCCAAGGTTCTCGGTGAGAGCCTGCTCTGCCTTCAGGGCTGCAAGACGAGTAAGGGGGTTATCACCGCCAGCCGCCTTAGCATTGGGCGCAGTTGATGGGCGGAGATACCTCATCAATTGCTTATTCAGTTCCTTGTGGTTGTCGGTACCATCAGCTGCAATGGCTAATTCTGTAATCGTAGGAATGACCTCTTCAATCACAAGTTCAGTGGTTTTGGAAGTAACTGCATGTCGCAGCTGTGCAATCAAGGGACCAGAGATGCTAGTGAGGTGCGAAGGCGACTGCCAGAATTCATCCTGATCATGTTCGAATGAGTTGCGGAGCATGCGCAGGGTTGCCAGCCACAATAGCTTGGTGCTCTTCGCCGGACCGATAGTGCTCAAAGTTTCGACAACATTATCCATAATGTAGCTGGAATATCCGGTAACGATAGACTACAAAGGTGGTTAGAAAGAGTGGATACAAAAATTGAAGCAGTCAAACCCAACATACCTGGAGTGTGCCAAAGAAGACTTGGAGGAACTTGTAGAAGGTTGTAAGTCGAGACAACTGACTCTGTTCGTCCTGTTTAGATGCACCAGTTGTGGCCCATTCCACGAACTTGACAAATAGCGGACGGAATGTGCTGTCATTAAGCTTGTAAATCATTTTGATGGTGATATCGTTCAGAGCGCTCTCCGCCTCATCTAGGTCCCCGGCATCAAAGTCAGCCTGCTCGCCGAGGGCTGTCTGCTCGCGCCGCAGATCAAATGCCTTGAAAAGAATCTTGGAGAGAATTTCGACATTCTTCGCAATTACAGATTTAGGGTTCTTCTCAACGGCGAGATTGAGGACTTCCAAAACCTCGTTGGTGGCCGTGGGGCCGGCTTTGACGGCTTGTTGCCAATTACGATCAATTGTGCCAAGAGTGACTGTGAGATCCATCTTGCGCGATGCCATCAACCTAAGAGCTTCCAGACGAGCCTCATCAGAGCTCTCCTCAAGATCTGAATTAGTGGACTTGAAAGAAAGCAGCATAATTTTGTCGAGGTGAACGGCCGAGATCATAAACGGCAGGTGAACAAGTAGTGCAGAGAATAGCGAGAATACTGCATCGTGTAGACGCACGTTCCCTTTTCCAGGGATCAGGCTGATCTCCAACAATTTCAAGGATTGGCTCAGTGTATCGGGAAGCGCAGGAATCATTGCTTGACCAAGAACCTCAGCCATAGAGGCAAGACACAGCACGCCCATGATGCGGATACGCTCATCTTCTTGGCCCAAGCAAGAGGGACTGGCGACAACCTTGGCAGCACTGATGACCTTCGATGGATCCTTGCGACCGTATTTCTCGGTGATGCGATCAATGCAGGTGACAGCGGCGTGCTTGAGCATAGTATCGGGCGATGATTCAATGATGCCGACGAGGATGGGCAAGAAGTCAAGGACACGGTTTTGCGACTCATTGTCACGTTCAGGGGTTTGGCGCAGGCGGTTCTCTAGTAGTCTGAGGACCTTGCGGCGTAGGTTGTTGTCGGGGCCTTGTAGCAACACTTCAATGGTATCAAGGAAGTCGACAAGGGACAATGTACCAAACAAGGAGCCCAGAACCTCACCACATGCCTGGTTAACAGGTTTCATGTTCTGTACAGATTCGCCGATGGCTAGGACCTGTTCCAAGACCCGAGAGAAGCAAGCGCGGACTTGATCTGCGACCTCGTTCTGGATCTCGAATGCGACTTCCAATTTCGATTTGAGAGTAGAGTGCTTGAACAAGTGAGCAAGGTCCCGAAGCAAGTCGATGGCAACCTTTTGAGGATCGCGACCGTCATCGCTACCAATACCAAGTAGAACCCGGGAGATTCCAGGTTTAGTTTTGAGCGAATCGATGACAAGGTTGAGATATTTACTGTATGTCGTGAGTTCGACGACAGGAGAAGTGTCAGAGACTAGACCGCTCATCAGAGTGAGCACATCCTTGTCAGTTGAGTATCTATTGGCGAGCATGGCGAGAACAGCAAAGAGGAAATCTTGCGTGCCTAGCTTGCTGATCAGTGCGTGGAAGAGACGCAGACGACGGTGAGATGGAATGTGTTCGAATGCAGCCGTGAAGCTTAGAAGCAGCTCCGAAGTGCCTGAGACGATGTCTCGCTTCTGGTTTCGCAGAGACTGTATAAGCGCTGGGACAACTTGTTCAATGGTTTGATCGATAACAGAGACTGAATAGTCGTCGTCCTTTCGGAGAACGCTGGATCCCATGAACGTAAAGATTGGCATCACGCTGTGTAGTACGAGCTCAGGAGCAATGACAGATAATCCAGAAACAAGAAGAAGGGCGGCATTTTGGACTTGAGGGCTCTCAGTTGTGCGCACACAGTCAACCACCAGATCGGCGCGGATGACTGAAGTATCAAAGAGCGGTTTAGGCAAGCCCTTGGACTTGTTGACAATAGCTAGAAGGCTACCCAAAGTCAAGCTCAAGAGGTAGCTCATTCCAGATTGAATTTGTGCCTTGAAATGGTGAAGAGCAGCAAGAGTCTGGAATAAGCCATCTGCTAATTCTGGATGGAGATCTGGGCGAGAACTATCAACAATCTCCAAAATGAACGTCATTTTCTCCATGAGCTTGCTGAGTTCTGCCTCGCTCTTAATATTCATGGCAACCATATTATTCTGACTGGTACGTCTACGCTTTGGTGCCGGACCGACAGACTCCATATCAGTCAGGGAAACTGGAATCTTCTTGACAAAGTTCACAAGAACAGCGCCGGAGAGTTCAACACTGCGTAGAACATCGCGACAGTTTTCTGCCACCGCGCTATCCTCTCCGAAAAGTTCAAGTGAAATGTCAAGAAGTTTCTCTGACGCCTTCGATTGACCTTCTTCGGGGGTCTTTGACCAAATTTCTTTCATACGCAGGAAAACAGCTGTCATGAACGATGGTCGCACGGACTGAGAAGTAATGTTAGACACAAAGATCTGGATAGCTTCAATCTCCTTAGCAGAAACGATTGCGACGACCTCTTGCTCTACTACAGAAGTAGACAAGCGTTCCTTGGCACAAATATCGTCGACCTCTTTCTGAGTCAGGTCACGCCAATTCTCGAGAAGAGGGAGAAGTGCCTTCGTGCGAGTCGTTCCCGGGACCTTTTGGACAGTATTGAGTAGTCGTAGTAAGCCAAGTTTGGGTCCAAAGACAGGGATTTGAATGGCATGGGAGCAGAGGAAAGTGAAAAGACCAGTGCGAACAGACTTCTTCAGCTCTGAGGCTCCAGAGTCTTCTGACAAAACCGATCCACGCATGGCTGAGTCAATAACCTTGCCAATATGATCTGGGTCAAGGATGTACTCCTCCATGCCAGGGAGGAAGGCGTCATCCATCACCTTGTGCATATCTCGGCTAGAAAGCCAAGAAAGGCCTGTGGATTTCTCACCCTTGCCGTAGATCGTGTCTTGAGCCCATTTATTGACGGTGGTATCATCAGTGTTCTTGGCATTCTTGAAGTGAGAGCCAAGAATTGCCAAGATACCAGTAGCTTGTCGGCGAATCCGCTCTGACGGATCGGCGAGGGCAACGAGGATAAAGGGTAAAAGTGCCTGGAAGTCGACTTCAGAAGATGTCGATGAAAGAGTAGAAGAGATAGCATTCAGAGCAGCCACTTTAGTTCCAATGGGGTAAGATCCGGAAAACACCCGAGTGAAAAAAGACAGATACTGAGGGCTCGTAATCGCGTCTGCTTTACCAAGGATTGGTAAATTGATGAACTGGGAGAGTTTGGTTTCAGACTCAATAGCCATGGCAAATACTTGTACGAGATTGTCGAATACGGAGGAGGATTGCACGCCGAGGAATGACGATGAGAACTGGGGTTCTTTGGTCAGGGATTCGAGAGCAGGCGTGAACGTATCCACAATCTGAGCATTGTCCGCGTCCTCCATAATCACATCCTCAATCGCCTTGTCGGGAACCGGCCCATCTATAACAGTTTGCAAGTTATGTTCGAGAGCTGGGATATTGAAAGATGCTTCAGCGATAGTTTGTTGAAAGACGTGCTGGATAGCGCTGGAGCGGCTAAAGCTCTGAACCAATTCAGCAAGGTAAGTCTGAGTGTCCAAAGACATGCCACGGGTTTTTTCGATGTTACTTCCAGCCTTGAGAACCATGGTGATTGCTTCTTTGAGGTCGTCTTCCTTCAAGACCGCAGCCTCGAAGATAGAGGTTAGCAAAATCAGGCGGCTGTTGTCCTTTTGCTGGTTCAACTCGCATAGACAGCCAGAAATGATGCCCAGGAAGAGCTTGGAGGTTTTATATTGGCTTGTGAGTTCTGACAACTTGTGGAGAGGGGTTTCCAAACGTAGAATCGCTTTGAAGACCTTCTTGGGCAGGCTGACGGAGGGTCTTTGTTCTGCGAGGACAGACAAACAGATAATACCTGAACTTACGGTTTCCTTAGTCCAGGAAATAGCCACGCTCTCCATCAAGCCATCGAGAAGATCGTCTGCAAGCAAGGCTTTTTGAGCCAAGACAACAGAAATCATATAGCAGCTGATGATCAACTCCGGAACCTTCTTCATTGTGAATGCGCTGCTGAGCACTGGTAGGACTCGAAGGATGATATCCTCATGTTTTTGTTTCTCAGCTTCTCGTCTGCCAGCACGAGCACCATCTAGCATGCCTGCTACTGCCTCTGTAATGAGACCGGCCCAAAAGGAGAGTAGTGCATGGTTCTGGGCACCCTGTCGGCAAGATTTCAAGACATAATCGTTGAAAGAGGAAAAAAACAATTTGTTTGTAGTTGCGCTATGCACAAGCGGGTGACGGGGTGGGTTCACTAGGCTAGCTTTGTACGGGTGAAGGACTTTGAAAGTTGGCGTGAGATCCTTGGGCAAAATCGAGAGAAGATTCAAAAAGAGGGGTGTTGTGTGATAGGGTAGGAACGTCAGTATCATAGGAGCCAGGTTGTACTCATGAGATCTATCATTGTGGTTAGTTGTATTCTGTCAAAACAAAGCCTCAAACAACATACCTGAATCGCCTCACTAACCAGTCCACTGCTTTTACCGCTGGACTCAACTGCAATCTGCCCCCAACAAGCACCAAGAAAGACTGGATCACTGTATCGAGTTCATTGTTTTGAGTGGTGTTCATCTGAGTGCGATCTTCAGACTTGCTCTGTTCACTGAAAATTGATCGCTCAAACTCCTCGAACCGACTGTCCAAAGAACACAGCTCCCGGAATCCTTCATGACAGATCTCATAAATTGTGTCAAAATCTTGTACGCCTGCAACTTTAGCGTCAAAGATCAATGACTGCGAGTGAGAGATCCGCTGCGACTTTAGGTCAAGCTCGTGCGACGACTTTGCCGCAATTTGCGACAGCTGTGCTGCAAGAGAGGAGGCCATAGTGGAAGGACTTGGTGGTATTTCTTAGACGAAATTGCTATAATCCATCTCTTATTACCAAATTAGTGAAGTGGTATTAAGTAATTGAGATATGTGTAGGGCGACGAGATCTAGTATCTGGTTGCGCGCAATTTTTTTTTCTGCCACATGCTTACCGCCCACTCTTTCTCTCTTCCAACCCTTACCGGATAAATATTCCGCCGTTAATCCGAATCTCTTTCCATATTGATACCTTTCATCGGCCTTAACTATGACAAAGGTATGCTTCTCTCAAATTTAATCTCCATTATCTTTTCATTGGCACATTTAACACATGTACTATAGCGCAAGAGACCCATCCCGAGTTTTGGAAGTTACAAACCTCCTGCTCAACCTTTTCGACCACCGGCTGATAGTGCTCATCAGTTGAAATCAACTGATACCAAAAAACACAGCCGAGTCCGTCAAAGTCAAGGGGGTCATTCTGTTGGCTGGGAAACACAGACTGACCCGCGTCAACTATCTGATGGTGACCTCTTCTGTATTGATACTAAGGGTGATCCCTCAATCCTGAAGAATGCTTACATCGGTGGAGGATTGTCTAACCGCGGTCATGTACCTGTGGATGCAGGTAATTCGAACAAGGGCCTCCTGAGTACCCCCCATAAGCGCACAAATACGCCCGAGCGTGTCGCTTTTGTGAGCTCTCGAGGTCTTCCAGATTCTGATCTTGATGGGACGAATGACCTCATCCATTTTGACAATGACGATAGTGAAGAGATTCTACGTGACGCGAGCCCTAATGTAGAAACAGAACATGAGAGCATCACCTCTAGTATCAAAGCTGAAAAGGAAATACTGGCTCGCAACCAGGAGCTGTGGCGCGCAACGAAAGAGGATCCCAAAAGTGTTGATGCGTGGTTAGCCCTGATTCAACATCAGGATCTCTTGCTGCGAGATCGTGAGGCATCATCAAAACCACTAAACACTGCCACGCAGCAAACTCTGGCCAGCAGCAGAATATCTCTGTATGAGGATGCCATTTCGAAAGTCGGAAATTCGCCCCGCAAAGACATATTGATCATTGGCTGGTTGCAGGAAGGAGCATGTCTGTGGGATAGGTCTAAGTTGTTGGAGCAGTGGCAATCAGCATTGGCCAACAACCCCCAGTTCATTGCTCTATGGATGAAATACATTGACTTTCGGCACACTGACTATCCATCATTCACATTTGTCGATTGCCTCATGCTGTATCAGGAGTGCCTACGAATGAATGCCTCTGTGACCAGTGGAGATCAAAAGTGGGTCAACCTTTGCTATATCTTTCTGCGAATGACTCTCTTTCTACGAGAGGCGGGCTATGTTGAGTATGCAGTTGGTCTCTGGCAAGCGGTTCTCGAATTCTGTTGCTTTGCACCGACAGAGTTTGCTGATCACACCGTTGGAGACAAGACACAAGCACTCTCGTCATTTCATCGATTCTGGACATCCGAATCAGCCAGAATTGGGGATTCCGGCGCAGCTGGCTGGCGAAGCACCACCACGACGAAAGTGATTCCTGTCACCCAGCACACCGCTACCTTCAACTCTTCCGATCCTCTGCGCAGCTGGGTCGAGGCAGAGAGGGACAATATCTCTAAGAATCAAATGCCGTCGCGTGCGTTTGACGTGCTCGATCCTTCTTCTAACGCTGCCTTTCACACTCTGCTAGCTGACGACGTCGTTGAATCCTTGGACTTCTTTTGGGGGTTGAACTCGTTAAATACACTGATAGATGCATTTCACAATTTCTGCTATCTCCCGCCTCTTTCTCCAACCCGAGGCTGGATCCAAGATAATCTCACTCACAATGAGTTTGTGGACGACTATCGACTGGGCCTCTCTGCTTGGATGCCTCCTAAAGACCAATCTCCAGCTTTACCTACCGTCTTTCCAATCTCGAACTTTGTTATAACAACGGAAACATTGTTCCCCTCTAAGAATTGGTTCTCATTCTTCTACGCATGGAGTAAAGACGATTTTTCTAGTTGGGTCAGTCGTTGTGCCTGGGTCCGTAGAGCGTTGCGGGCTTTGATGGAACGCTATTCTTCGAATGATGCCCTCGCGGAGCACATTTTGGCCTTTGAATTCGCGTGCTCTCCCGTGAAAGCGAAATCACTCGCAAAAAAGGTCCTCAGCCGCGGTCAGTCACGTCTCCGTATATGGAACGCATACGCTCTTATGCTATCACAGAATGGCGAACACGAGTCTGCCAACTCTGTACGAATGAGGGTCTGTGAACACCTGAAACAGTCTAGGGATGTTAATACTTCGGAATGGGCTCTTTTTTGGCACTCGTGGATTTGGTCCTTTATCGCTCAAAAAGACCTCAGGCAAGCAATCTACCTTATTAATCGCTTGCCCAAAGTTATCGGCGGAATGTCAGATTGCTCTTGGGATGTGACACAGATTTCCGCAAGTGATGAGGAGGTGATGTCAGCTATAACTTTCAAAATACTGGAGAATGTAAGTACCTTCATTATAAGAAAAAAAGATCAAAGTCCAACGATATACTCTAGGGTATTCATGCACTCCAGCTGGAAGCATTGAGCAAATCAGATTGGCGAACCTTCGTCATCTACACTGATTGTTTAGCAATCAGCTCATATTTCGCAGGGGCGGAAGCACTGAGCTTTTACAGCAAGGCCGTTTCCGAACTGGAATGGTATTGCAAGACCGACATAGCAGAGGCGAAGGAACTGATACATCAGTCTCGCTCAAAACTTGTCTTTCATTTTATGAAAAACCCCTCCGAGGCCCGCAATCATATGATGTCGCGCAAACAATTCAGCCCGCTCGAGTTTCGTAACTTGTTGAAAGAGAGTCTGGTCTTGTTCCCGCAGAACACAATGTTCTTGTCTTTGATGTTGTGGAATGAGTCGAAAGTTTCCTTCAAGGAGCGGATATTTGACCCGTGGGCTGCTATCAGCTCACATGACATGTATCGTTCCCACTCCACCTCCTTGTTTGCCATTTACGTTGATCTTTTTCGCTCGCCTTCTCACCGTACTAGGGAGGTATTCGAAAAGGTTCTCGATGAGCATCCAGAATTCGGACAGTTCGCAACCGCCGACAGTGACAAGAATCTCACCTACGCCAATCGCAACGCCAGATCATGTCTTACTATTTGGAAGCTCTATGTACTCTTTGAGCTGTATTCAACTAAGGATCTCAAGGCAGCCAAGGCAGTTTTCTACCGAGCGATCAGTGCCTGTCCCTGGTCGAAGGAGCTTGTGATGCTTGGCTTTGAGCACCTGCGAGATGACTTATATAACTTTGAGAGAGGCAGGTTCAATGGAAAGGGCCTCAGCTTGGAAGACCTTCAAAAGATCTATACACTCCTCCACGATCGACAGCTGCGCGTGCATGTTGATAGCCCAAATTTCATGGATCTCGACAAACAGGCAGAAAATGCAACTTCCGGTGCAATTTGAGGGGTTGCCTCGGAGAGAATGGGCATAACTATGATGGAGATATCTGAGATGATCGGTTTGATGCTGTGGATCCGGTATTTTGCTACCTCGGTGCTTCCCAAGGTTCCTCATCAAATATGGCTATATTCGTTACTTGGGCCTAGATACAGATGAAAATGCTGTGTTGTAGCGTGCTAGAGAACAATAACATGAGATATTTTTAATTTTTCTTTACATTGAAAGAGCACTGAAAGCTTTCAAATCAGTCTTGTCATAAATGTAGCAAGTTCTGTCATTCGCAATGCTCAATTGATACCATTACACCCAATCACCACGTTGAATCAAAAAGTACAACCATTTGGAAGAAGAAATAGTTTATTCTATCCAAATGCACAGAATCGAGCTGTCGTAAATATAATACAGGGGCTTGGGTCCGACGCAATTGCACTGCATAACGAGCGGACACAGAGCAAAGATAGAGAAACTCGTCATTCATAATATCGTATGCGATGAACTTTGTAGCATCGGCAGGGAAAGCGAAGAGAACTAAAAAAAAATCATAAATAGTAAAAAGACTGTGAATAGATAACTTAAAAGTGCTCTTTCCAGAACTTGAACCGCACATCCTTTGTAGAAGATGCTCTCGATGCATCATCTATCTCCCTAGCCGCAGTATTGGGCCCACAAAAGTAGACACCGACTTCTGTCGTGGATGAATTTTCAAGTCCACGCATATAGGTATGATCTAGCAAGCCGATACGCATGGCCGTAAACAAGCGCTTGAAGTCTGGACGACCAAAGTTTGTTCTGCTTCGCAGCTCAGTGAGAGGGTCAAGTGCCTGACCAACAGAATTCAGATAGATATTTGCAGTAGTATCATCGTCCAGTCGCTGTGTGAGGTAAGTATGGATACGCAAGAATTCCACGCCACCTTCTGAGGCAGCTGTGCTGACGGATTGCGACTCCAAGGAAGATAAAAGAGCTTGGAACCATTCAAAAGAAGAGGTGTCTTTGCATATCCAAATGAACTCCACACGGCGTAAGCGGCGGGGTGGATTTGGGCTGGAACGTAGATGCCAGATATTTTTCAAAATCGATGCCCAGGGCGTGACACCGATGCCGGTTCCGATAAGTATAGCAATTTCATTTTCAAACACATCTTCTGCTGGAGCTCCGTAGGGTCCATCGATGAGGAGTTTCGGCATTGTTTGTCCGTTTTGTAAGGCCACCTCGTACATACCCATGGGGTCGAGGCCTTCTAGGTCACGGGCCTGTGCAGGACCACATCCGAGTGCATCTCCGAGTGCGCGTGTGAAATCACCAACTTGTCGAACGTGGACGCTGATGTAGGGATCGAAGGGACATGAGGTGATGGTGAAGGGATGCCATTGTGTATTGGAGACCTCAGGCACCTGAATGAAGATCCATTGTCCAGGTTTGTATTTCATGCTGGGTTTGTAAAACTGTACCTCGACGGCAGCTGTTATGTTTAGCGATAGGGTCATATCTAGCAAAACATAATAGACTCACCATATGGATGTCGAATGACCTTGGTGATGACCGTATAGCGTCTTGACCGGATCTCGCGGTAAAGTCGTTCGAACAGGTATAAAGTGGCTGCTACGAGTTCCCATCTCCAACCCTCGTAACCCAGACAATGATCCCAATACTCCTTTCCAGCAAATGGAGAGATAGCATCCGTAGTATCACGCACAAAACAGCCCGTAGAATGAGTATACAAGGCTAGCATGAATGGAATGAAGAGGTGATGCGTATACCAGAAAGTTTCGTATGCTTGTTGGCGAATACGAGCATGGGCAGTTGTATACATCAGCATCATGCACAGCAGCATGACATGTCCTGTAATACCAGCTGCTGTCTTGAAGTGCATGTCAACAGCCGACTCAGGACGAATCTTGTCCTTTTCAATATTATAGAAACTAGAATTGATCAGCATGGATTAATTAGCTAGAGACTGATGAACTTACTTCACATAGTGAGCAGCTACATGTACCACGGTAAAAACCAATAATGCGTAAGCAATTTGGCGGTGGAACCAGGCTGACTCGTCAAGAGGTCGCCATCTGATTTGCGGTCTGATCAAACGTAGTAGAATCCGACACATAGGGAGAAGGATTAGCGTTGCATCCACTGTGAGTACCAGAGCAGCACCTCTAGATATCCAAACAGAATATTCAAGGGTATTGAGTCCTGCTAGTTTTGTATTTGATTGTTGTGAATACCTGGAATGATATTAGTGATCAGGGCTTCCGACTGCACATGAATACTCACCATCCGAGCGCAAAGATTCCCCAGTGAAATACCCAGAAACAAAAGAGGAATATGATCTTAGACCATGTCAAGTCAAGCCTTTGGAACCAGGTCTCCTTTCGTGCAGCCTCAACCATCGTAAAGTCTTAAATTGGAAATTTGAGAATTTAGTGATATTTTCAGAGTGCGGCTGACAAAATGTAGCTGTTGAAGGAGCGACAAGTAATAAATTGGCCAGCAACCAGTGACTCCGGGTGAGAGCCAATATAAGGCTGGACAAAGATCTCTTCTAGGGCGTTGAATCTTTAGGTTGAAAAAAATGGAAAGATCGCCGACGTCCATCAACCCCACGATGACAACCCACCAACTATGGAGTAGATTTGTCGCCTTGAGAGAAATTGAGAGATTTCTGGAGATGCTTTTGCAAATGCAGCTGCTCTTAATACTAATTCTCAGTGAATGATATGACGTGACAGCGTCACAACGTCGATGAACTTGAGTTGGAGAGTTTTGAAAAGTGATGTCTTCCGGATGCGCTGTGTAGATATCTGCAACTAGTAGGAATTCCCCTGAACACAGTGAGGTGACTAGATGCCCAGGGTAATTTCAAGAGATCGCAATAATATTGAGATCATAGTTTAGGTAAATTGTGGTGATGGAGCAAAAAAGAAACCGAACGTGGTAAGAAGCCTGAGAATCCCAGCGTTGTGGTTTTAGCTGCAGGGGTGAGGGGGAGGATTCATCTATAATTAGTTCGCCACAACTTAGCGTCTAAAGCCACTGAGAATGAAAACCAGTGAATTCTTGCCCAGTCAGCTCAGCTCTATTAATTGATTGGTCAAATTCATCAAAAGGTGCTTGCCTTGGCTATGTGATATGCATTGAGTGGCCTCGATACTTGGCAACCTCTCTATAGCCTTACGCTTCTACATCTACAATAACTCTGCCATTATATCCACGGTAGTGCATCTTTCCATACTGTATCCTGTTGACTCATTGTTAGCTCCTATAAATATATTTACTCGAATTACTGTCCTCACAATAGCAAATGAGAGACCTCTTGCCAGTGCATTATCAAATCATACCTAGGTATCCGATTTGAGTCATGAAGAGCATACAGTCAATTCTTATCGGTAGCATTTGATCTAACAATCTCAAGTTCTGATCTCACCATAAATCCAAGATCATGCGTTTCCCATGAGCCTGTGCGTGGATGAATTCCTTCTCCTGGGGACGCCACATCAGGAAAAAACAATCTCAAATAACATGGGGAAAAGGACCCGAGAAAGCATCTGAGGGCAGGTTGCTTACTGGTCGCCTGCATATGCAGTGAAGCAAGGAAGAACGTGGAGTACTCACTAATCCGCCTATAAAATGTATCCTGCAAGCGCCTTATTCCATCACACGAGGACTCCTGGGGCAAAAGAACTCGAGAATACCAATCAGCTTAGGCTTTCTATCTTTACTCTTATTCTCTAAATTTAGGTTATAATAGTTCGTTGGGGGAATCATAGGCCTTTGAATATGAAGTAAAGGAACTTATATCGATATGCTGTCGCTTTCTCGGTTATTTCTTCCACTTAGAAAGGGGGGGGCCGAGGGCATAATCACCTGCCTCAGACTCCACTTATCACATATCCGACCACCCTTGATCACTTCAAGATTCACAGTGTGGGCTGGTTGTGCAACAAACTGGTGTGACGGTGAGGAAGAATCAGGGCTTGTATGATCATCTGACTAGGAACAACCATATCCTAAAAATGGATTTATGAAAGCCATGACAATATGCAAATCAGTTCAAATCACACTTTCATAACTAAGACAAAACCCCAACCTCATTAATGACAAGCGCGTGCTGAAGTTGCAACTTATCACGCCAAGCCCCGCTCTATCACATTGTGCTTCCAATCAAATTCTGCCCCTGCCTGAAGATATACAAGAAAGACCAGGCAAAGAGGGGTTTAGCATATCAGTGGAAATGATTGGTTCACAAAGCTTGGGTATTACAAGATGAATAGTTCAACTTGAAGTCTGCATCTCAGGAGTGATCGGTGACTGGTGGTTGATTTTAGCGCCCACTGGGCATTTTGTTATGGAGCACATTGGTATTAGTGCATTCACTCCGCATGGTATTAGTTATCGGCCATCGGCTACGTATACATTCACTGTATCTCCCCACATTGCTATCCAATATACCAAAAATTCAAAATGGGCAGGCTCATCAAAAACCATTGGGCTCGATTGATCATAATGACTGCTTCAGCATGTATGTGCAGTATCAATCCACCTATAAAGCATACACTAATCACATCAATAGATCAAATAGTCAGTGCCATAGAAGGCTTCATCTGGCCAAAAGTCTTCTGGGACTTCATATCAAAAAATCTCGACGCTGCAGTCTCACCAGTACCTGTCCTGCAGATTCTGAACCTGATAATGGGTCTCATAGGTCTAGCCTGGGAATGGCCTTTGAAAGGAGTCTTTGCAGGCTCATATTTACATCGAAGCATTGAAATGCGACTGGTGGTTTATCCACTGAGTGCTTTATTTGCCGCCTTGCTTTATCAAGGGACAGATCCTGCCTTATACTATATGATTGGGATTGGGGTTTACTTCTGGGCCTACAGTGAGGGAGAGGTATGCTGAGCATTGCCTTTGTTGAAGTCTATTGTCTAACATTTTCTAGATCGTTTGTGCTAAACCTTGGACATTACCAAAACGGTCGGCATTACTGAAGACATAGATCTGGTACTGGACTTACGAAATTATGAATCATGATCTGAGTGACACAGGATCATCATGTAATACTAACGATGTAATGGTTCACGACCGGCCATTTATACTAGGCCATTAATGAAACATCTAGAACTCACTTCATGCTATTCCGTAGTTCACGTAAATACCAGAGCCGCAGTCCTGGAAAGTATTGTCGACTTGGACAATTGCTGAACAAGTTCGAGGCACGTGACCAAATAATCGTCCTGTAATCTCCACCTGGATTTGAGGTTATATCACCATTCATTCATCAAGAGCAATCGACCATCCTTTGATCTCATTTGTGGAAAGCAGTTCACTTGATCAACCGAGGAGTGTGTAGGATCACACCCCTGAAGTGGATACAACATCTGCTTATTTCACTTATATAAGTCAATGCCTGGCCAGTACTTTGCAAGGCATGCCTCTATCCATCCAGGACGACGATTCAGAGCTTCAGAGTGTTTCTGACAGGTTAGATGATCTGCCTGTAAGCAGAATGCCCAGCTTCGGCGGCAAGCTGCAAAAATTCATTCATACCGGAAACTTTGCTACAACGACAGGGTTGAAACGAGAGCTGCCAGATGATATGACAACAGGTACCAAGCGAGTAAAAAGAGAGCCAATTACACTGATGACCACAACTAAACCCTCCGCCAAACGCAAGCGAAAACCCCCCAGAACCATACCACAGCCCTCCAGCATCGTCATCACTCCTTCGTGACACGATACCCGCAAACCTCCTCCTCCTCCTCGTCGGTGTAAACCCGGGACTCCTGACCGGAAAAACCGGCCATTCCTACTGCCACCCTTCCAACCTATTCTGGAAACTCCTCCACTTGTCCGGTATCACTCGCATCCGACATCCCCCCTCAGACACATATAAGCTACCAGAGCTCTACAGCGTGGGAAACACGAATATCGTGGAGCGACCAACCAGAGACGCAAGTATGCTCAGCAAGGCCGAGATGGACGCGGGCGTACCTGTGCTAGAAGCCAAGGTGGCGGCCAAGCGACCCGAGGCTGTTGCGCTGGTTGGGAAAAGTATCTGGGAGTCTATATGGAGGGTGCGGCATGGACGGGGGATTCGTAAAGAGGAGTTTCGATATGGGTGGCAAGATGTCTCCGAGAATATGGGCTGTTCGCCTGATTCAGATTGGGCTGGTGCACCTGTTTTCGTAGCGACTACAACAAGCGGTCTGGCGGCTAGTATGACATTTGCAGATAAGCAGGCTGTATGGGCTGAGCTGGGGAGCTGGGTGGTTCGTAGGAGGACAGAAAGAGAACTTGCTGGTTCTGAATAAGTCGCTGTATCACACAATCAACTTTCACAACGGGATACGGTTGCACTTGCTACAACATTATATTTGCTAGATTGCTACTAGTATGATCCCTATCTAATTCACGATGCTGATTAACTTTGAATCAAGTGTTGTTGATTAGACGAGATCACTACTCGCCGCTCGTTATTTCATAATATCAGGTAAAGAAGCCTGCCTATGCTCAGATGCATTACAACCCAAAGAAACCAAGTAACTCCCCAAAAAGCTCCCTCGCATCAAATGACCGGTCAAGTTCAATCTGACCCAAGGTTACTGAAGTCCAAACAATTGATGAAAATGTAGGACAGAGAGCGACAAGATATTAAAGACTTAAGCTTAACGGGTAGTACCCATAGCGCCCTTGGAATCGTTCTTACTACCGTCACGCTCACGAGCCTGGACGGGAACAGTTAGTATAAATTTCCAACTTTTTCAAGGTACAGGAGCACGAACGGTGTTGGACTGGAAATCGCCACCCTCCAAGATCTTGACCATGACCTCATCTTCATTTGAGGTGCCGAACTCGTTCTCGAGAGTAGCCTTGCTGGCACCGTCCAAAATACCCTGGGCACCATGACTATGGAATGTTAGTGATTATCGGCATTGGGATTGGTGTAACTCAAGACTTGCCCATGAGAGATGAAGATCTTCCAGCCATTCAGGACATCTGACAGAGCAATGCTCTTGTCACCCTTCCACTTCTGAAGGATATCAGCGTCGTCGACGAAGACAATGAAGTCTTCAGTGCGGCCCTTGTAGACGACCTTGGAGGTAGTATCGTTGGCACGAGTCATCTTGTAAATGTTATTGGATTGAGTTTTGAATGTGTCTTGAAGTTGGAGATGAAAATCCAAGATTGAATCAAATTGATGAAGAGAGTGAAAGTAAAGAAGCTGAGGGAATAAAAGTCGGAGGCTTTAAAGTAATGATGATGAGTGACGTCACTTGGTGATAGCTCGCACTTGTGTATGTCATAACTTCCTCCTTGCTACACAACGTCATATGTGGAAATTTTGTGGAGAAAGCTTCATTACTTCTTTGTTATAATTTAATAATTACACAGCTTTATTGATGAGAATAATAATACACTGGCTTCAATCTCCCCCGCTGATAATGATACCACACTAACCCTCATTCCCTGCTTCCGTACGACGGAGATTTTTTGAAAACCCGCTGAACAAATTCTTCGACCACTTCTTTCGTGTTGGACTTGGAACTGGTGTTGCAACAGGTTCAATTTCTTGACTGTGGCTCTTCTCACCCCGAGGAGAAGAGAGAGATAGTGCTCCAATAGACCTCCTGGATGTTTCTTGGATTCTCAAGGTCATCGATCGTCTAAGTGAGGATGTGGGTGTCTTTGGTGACTCCTCAACAGAGTCACGTTGATCATTACAACCGTCTTGACTCGCTATATTTGTCTTTTCCTCGCCGCTGTAACTCGCACTCGGGCGTGAGTCAACAGGCGCAGACCTGGAAAGGGACATACTGATGGAGCTGAACTGCTTTCCAGTGTGCAAGCTGAGGCGTCTCATAATGGTTGAACGATCGAAAAGGTCACTCCGGCCAAGGACCATTCCCGGATATGGGAGAACATCTTTCGTGTATATATCTGCGATCATTTTTTCAAGATAAATTCGGCTCGCCCGTTTGCCAGTCACTGTCATAATTTTCGGTGAAACTGGTGTCTTTGGCCGTTCAATCTCACTCTCAGGCTCCTTGGGAGTCGCCTCATTAACCTCTTCAGTGACGTCTTGGATGGTCACGTTTTTGCGTGGCTTGTGCGTTTTCTTGATGATAACACGTTGAACATGTGATCTTTTCGTGATTGCCACAGAATCCATGGACTGTCGCCGGGCCACAGACGCCACTGTATAATGAACTCGGTCTAGCTGCATAAGATTAAGGGTGTTGAACGAGTATCTTCTCGGGTTCTGTGTTGCTCCTGGTTTGGCGGGCGTCGCAGTCAGAGCAGCGGACGCTTTCAAGGTCTCCATCTTCCATAGTCTTTCTTCAGCTGCACAGGATGCACTGAGCACCAACTCACAGCTTTCCTTATGATCTTGGAATAAAAGCTTCCATGTGAACAAGGAATCGTAACAATCGAGCCCTAAAAAGTCAGAAACTGTCGGCCAGAGTTGAGGCGCAGATTGACTCACCTCGTCCGTTTCGCTGAGTATCCGTTCTCAAGTCAGCAATATAAATACAGGCCACTACACTCAATCGATTGGAGTCTTTGGAACGTCTGGCAAAAAGGAGATAGCAGCTAAACAAAACGCATACCATGAATTCCCCATCAGCTCCGTTCTGTGCCTGGTAAGTGACATGGAGCACACCACACAAGGACATTGGGCCAAGTTCTTTGTAAATATCACGAAGCGGTAACTTGTTGCAAAAAAATAGACTGTTGTGAGCTTTGTAGTGGCGGAGAGAGGATACTTTAGTACTCACTGAATCAGATAGATCAATCTTCTGTTGTAGGCGTACAGTCTTTTGAATGAAATCCTTTTTGACTGGGTTCCCAGTTGCTGCATTGATTTGTGAAGTTAAAACACGTAGACTTTCCAGTATCTCTCGTATGCCGCCATGAGAAGTTGGGCAGTCACTGATTGGTGTGTTTCGTAGGAGGTCCTGGAGGAGAAGGGAGTATTTACATAAACGTTGTATTGGCTGCATCTCGGTTCTTAGTATAAACGGTGTCCCAGAGCGGACCAACGCACCTTAATCATTAGATCATTCAACGACATTGCTTTGTTCTCTTCGTTTTTCCGGCTCTCGATCGAAGCAACAGACTTCGATAACGCTTCAATACCCTTATCATATATTGCCCAATCTGAAACCGATCGGCGCACCATAGCGACGTCCTCAGCCAAAAGGTCATAGTTGGTGCAAAATTCAGCGTATTCAGAGAAAAGGGTAGACTATAGTTTACGAGTCAGTCTTTGCGTCTGAAGTCTGACATCTGAAACTTACCAAGCCCTCTATTTCACGAGCAACTTTGAAGCACTCGACAGCTTCCGCCCTCAGGACCCGAAGACGTTCTTTAATTGAAACTTTGAAGTTGTGATTCTGCACGGATCGAGTCGAAAGGTTCTTCAGCCCAGGAATATCACCGGCCGCTAGTCGAGAAAGAGTACCAGGCATGTCTGTTGCTATCTTCGAGGCTGAGTCGGGTGTTACTTCGTGGAGCCGAGCCAAAAATTCTTCGTGGATCACACAAATTCGCGCGATATTTCGCTGGATCTGAGCTCGTATGTCAAGTATAGAGAGAACCTGGAGTTCGTGAGTTCAAATATGCAAATATGGTTGAAGTTGTGACAATAAACATGATAACTTACTCCTGACAAAGCTTTGAGACCAGTAACGTAGTCAGTTTCAGTTGTGACCAGCTCTCTCAGCACTTGTCGTCTCTTCTCCGCTCTCGTATCTGCCGCTTCATCCACATAATCACTCAAGGTTGGACGAGAGCTGGCTTCCGAGTCGCCTGAACCTCGCATATCCGATGAAAATGCGCTGGCCGCACCTCGCGATCGTGACCTTGACATTGCCATGCTCTGGCTTGCAACGCTCAATGAAATTGTTTTGACGGTCCCGAGCTGCGACGAATTCTGTGATGAACTTTCAAAGGTCTGGTTATCAGCATAAGAGTCCGACGGAGGATTTTCCCATCCATCGACATTTCGTTCCGCTATCGTGGAAGGTCCACGGTGTCGAACTCGAAAGCTATTTATCCATTTCTGGAAAGGAGGAGTAACATCCTTCTGTTGAGCTGTGGATAGCTTGTCAGTGGACGTCGCGTCCTTTTCATCCTCCTCTACCGTCGGCGCTGATGACAGCTCGTTCTGATCCAAGGGTCTATTCTCCATGATCGTACATCAATGCGGCAAGAGCCAGCTGAGTTGTTAACGGGGCTTTAGATGCGAGTGTCATGAGGATCATAAAGATCAATTGCCGCAGTCATAACTGATTAATGGCAAGACCCGAAATCGCACCCTGCATATTTAGGAAGTAGCGAGGGACTTGATGCTGTGTAGGAGAGTGTAGCTGCTGCGCACAAACTGGAAAGGACTCTCAACCTCCGGCTCGTAAAAGTCCCTATACTATCGTCCACAAATGAGGTAGGTTGCGCCATAGAGAAGGTTCAAAACGCGTCGCCTCCAGGCAACGCGCTGCTGAGAAACCCATAATTTGAATATGATCCATGTACGTCATGATGTGAGGCGGTTCGTAGGTGGAATTTAAATTGCACTTTCAAATTCGTAAAGATTAATTAGATTTACGGCTCAGACGAGCAGATTTTGATCTTTAAATGACATGGATTCAGTGTTGATAGAATGTGCCCGTTTTAGGGGATGAGTTGTGGAAGAGTCAACATTGAAGTGAAGGACTCCATATTAGTTAGTTCCAAAGTTGGGCACGCCCACACGCGCTTATAAATGTCACTCCCGAGGTCCCACCGGCCCTCATGATTTACTACCTTCCAACTTTCCAAGAGCTTCAAATATGGCCAACAACATCCATGCTGCCACGGTTACTGCGGGTTCTACGTCTGCTGGTGCCGAGCGCGATTTTTCGCAGCTCTCACTGACCGAGCTGGGACAGGAGAAGCAGCGTATTGAGCAGGAGTTAAAAGAAAACAGCGCCGTTCTCAGCTCGGTGAGTTCATTTCAACTCCTCCTGTTGGCAAGCATCTAACTGACAATCCATCGCATAGTACGCTGTGAGTATGACCTCTACTCTAACGACCTTCGATGGCTTTCCACGCAGCGATATTGACGTTCCGCAAGGTACGACATGAATCACCCATGTGTCAATTGTCAATCGCCACTGACACTATAGTATAGTTCGAATGGCGCGCGTGCGCATTATCCACCTTCGAAATGACCACAAGGAGGTTATGAAGTATATGGAGCAGGGTGTCCATGCGCACTTTGCCCAGCTACGTAACAGCACCGGTAACAACACTGGTGCCACCGCGACGACCAATGGTACCAGTGTATCTTCCTCTGCACCCACCGCGAACCCAGACAACATCAATCCCCGTACCAGAGCCTTTGGAGCACCATTCGCCAAGATCAATGCTGTTGAACCAGGTAGTCCAGCTTACCAAGCGGGTCTGAAGGTTGGAGACTTGATTCTAGGCTTTGGGAGCATACATTGGCTGAACCCTGGGCTTCTGTCAAAGATTGCCGAGACTGTGCAAGAGAACGAAGGGGTAAGTTTAAATATTCCCAATGATCTATCATTTCCAAACCTGTGAACCTAACAATTGATTCAGCGTCCAATTTTAGTCAAAGTGTCGCGCAAGGAGGAGAGTGGGTCCGGTACTATAGAATTGCAATTGCAGCTTACACCTCGGCGCAATTGGGGTGGTCGGGGCATGCTAGGCTGTCTTCTAGTTCCATTGTAATAAATCCACTACTGGATGGATTTCTGATATCCCCTTACGGAGTGTTGTTGCTGTGGATACAGGAGCAACCTTCACCTTTCTGTGTTTGTCCTCATGATTAACGAGCCACGGTTTATTGACTTCAAAAAAAAGTATTCTTTGTGCTATTTGAAGCTTTAATGGTACAAATAAATAATAAATCCTTACAGTTTGAAACCCTAGAATCAGCGACGTTCTATGTTGAGAAAAAGCGAGTGTTTTTGAAAAAGTAAAGAAACTACGTCAGGCCTTTTCAGGCACATAATCACGTGATCGGCCAACCACTGGGGCAAAATTTCCATCAACACATTATTCAGACTTTCCCCTTCCTTCCTCCACCCCTTCTCTTCATCTCCAACTTCCCCAAAACCCAAGACATCAGGTTTTGTGAATCACGAAGTCCTCGTTCTTTATTAAATAGAATTTGGATTTTACGTTCATCATGACTACACCCACTTTCAAGCTTGTGTTGGTTGGTGACGGTGGTACCGGAAAGGTAAGCATAATTCCTTGAATTCCACAGCCTTTGCGCTTCAGACTGTCGCCAAAAATGAGGGGAATCTTTATCAAAAGTCCCTATTATCAAGCTTCGACAATATACTTTCTTGACGGCCTTGTTGCTATCGTATTTCCCCCTTGCCCCGCCATTGTCAACAAAGAACAAAAATATCTGCCCAACGCTTGCGCCTTCCACATCACCATTGCTAACGTCACTACTCCCATCAGACTACTTTTGTCAAGCGCCACCTTACTGGTGAGTTCGAGAAGAAGTACATTGCCACCCTTGGTGTCGAAGTCCACCCTCTCGCCTTTACTACCGTATGCCCTACCCCGCCGAACCCCACCTCGGCAACTTTACTATGGTATGATATACTGACCTGAATACCATTGACAGAACCTGGGTCAAATCCAGTTTGACGTCTGGGATACCGCTGGTCAGGAGAAGTTTGGTGGTCTCCGTGATGGATACTACATCAACGGACAGGCTGGTATCATCATGTTCGATGTTACCTCCCGTATCACCTACAAGAACGTGCCCAACTGGCACCGTAAGTCTCTATTGTCGATCATCGACATTGTCGCCCGTCCCAAATCCTTAGCACTCACTAATATTTTCTTCCAGGTGATCTCGTCCGTGTCTGCGAGACCATCCCCATTGTTCTGTGCGGTAACAAGGTCGACGTGAAGGAGCGTAAGGTTAAGGCCAAGACCATCACCTTCCACCGCAAGAAGAACTTGCAGTACTACGACATCTCCGCTAAGTCCAACTACAACTTCGAGAAGCCCTTCCTTTGGCTCGCTCGCAAGTTGGTCGGAAACGCCCAGCTGGTACGCATATATTTTCCATTTATCTCCATCCGCCTTGCCTAACCCCCTCTATAGGAGTTCGTTGCCCAGGCTGCTCTCGCTCCCCCCGAGGTTACCGTCGACCAGGCTCAGCTCGAGCAGTACCGCCTCGAGATGGAGGCTGCTGCCGAGCAGCCCCTGCCCGATGAGGACGACGCCGACCTGTAAATTGGTCGCTAATCTTTCATGATGCTTCCAATTGGAAGCTGGATTTCTCGCGACCTCTCTCTCTCTCTCTCTGCACCTTGATAGAAGGAGGAACGAGAGGATATTCTCTTGATGACTGAAAGTCTTGCGCCTCAAAAGCAAGATCTAGTGGCGGTCTTAGAGGGACAGCACGATTATGCATTTCTTTTGTTTTGTTTTCCCCCCAACGTTTAGTAGCTTAGACTCTTTACCATCTAAATGCCTTTTTCCCCTATGACTGAAAAGAACACGCTGTACAAAAGCAGCCCTTTCTTCCAAAAATGAACATTATCTAAAGAATAATCCATCTGATGCTCAATCAATACGAAGACAATTTTCAAAATTATGTGGCATCAAGAGCAGATAACTTTTTTTTCCTTTTGTACATCTTTATTGATGACTTTCAGCAAAAGAAAAGAAAAAAAAAAAAAAAGCAATCAATCGTTGCTTTCCAAAAAAAAAAAGAGATAGCTCAATCTACAATTAGCAACGAAAGACAGCAAGAGCTACAAAGTATCAATCAAGAAGAAAAAAGTTCGTTCATCTATGATAGAGGAGCTAAGATAGCTCAACAATAACTCAATCTAGACACTCAAGAATAAAAAAAATATATGAAAAAGCAAAAGATAAGCAATTGGAAGGCATCCGTTCGTAAGGGCGTAAGGGCGTAAGGGCGTAAGGGTATAATACGATTGAGCATGTTCATGATTCAGAAATTGAAGCTTTTGATTCCCTGTAATTCGAAGTAGAAATTAGTGGTCATATCCTTGAAAGCGAGAACTGTGAGAAACCCTTACAAAGAGGCCCGCCATCTCCCTGGTGGATAGGCTGGAGACTTCGTATTTGCCACCCTCGTTAAGTGCTCCTTCAATGAGCTCCATCTTGTTTTCCTGAAGTTCGATGATACGGTCTTCAATTGAGTTCTGGATCAAAATTCGATGCACAAAGACCTTCTTGGTCTGACCGATTCGGTAGCAACGGTCGATTGCCTGCAGCTCCACATATGGATTCCAGAAAGGATCAAACATGATTACATGGTTCGCCATTGTCAAGTTGAGGCCGGCATTACCAGCTTTCATTGAAATTAGAAAGATGCGGCAGTCTGGGTCATCAGTGAAGGTTTGAATGGCCCTATTACGTGCCTCGTTATTCATGGTTCCATCGAAGCGGACGTATTTAAGGCCCTCTCGTTTGATCGGAATCTCGAGCAGATCCAACATGGAGGTGAACTGGCTAAACACAAGAGTTTTCTCTCCCTTGCCATCTCTCTCGATGTTCTGTATGATTTCCAGGGTCTTATCAGTTTTGGCGCTGGTAACCCAAACTTCTTCCAAATCCTTGATACGCTTCTTTGCATCCTTCTTCTCATCCTTGCTGGCTTCTTTGACAACCCTTTCGATTTTCCCGCCGCCATTAACGTGGATATGTTTGAAAGAGTCGGCATCTGTGATTTTTGTGGGATCAACAGGACCTCTGCAATTCTGGCACTTCATCACTTCCGCGCCATCTTCTGAAAGCCGGGCCAACAACGCAGGATCGGAAATTTGCACGTAGCATTCTGAGCACACCGAATGCCCACATGGGATGTAGATGATGTAGTTAGTCGCGGTGTCCATGCAAACGGGACACGTAAAAGTCGTATCTTCGTTATCCAGAATTCGGCTTACGACCGTTGGGCTCAGAAGATTTGCGTTTTTCATCAGATCATCTTCGTCGAGTCCCAAAACATGTGCTTCGGGTTCGTAACCTTCAATCAGGAGCGGATGGCAACATGCTTGCCGAAGGCGAAGAATCAGTACGAGGACGTAGGAGAAGTTCTTTCCTAGAATTCCTCGCTCCATAAGTTTTTCGACCTCCCGTGTGCTCTTGTCGCTCAATTTTTGATAAAATTCCTTCTCAGCTCCAACTGGCACCGCAAAGTGTGTTTCGATAAGCTTTTCCGGAAGTACAAGGATAGGCTGGCCATCAAGCTTCGATGCTTTAGTACGTCGTAGACATGTCGACTTGATCAGAATTCGCATTTGCTTCATGACGTTCTCATTTGCAGCTTTCTTGATAAAGTTCTAAGACATTTATCAGTATCTATATGGTTCTTGGGGGGAATTGTGGATTTACCTCCTTGAAGACGTCTGTGTAACAATATGGGCGAATTTTAAGAAACTGAATTAGCGACCCATAATCTTTCAGGCCGTTCATCATCGGTGTTCCTGTCAAACACCATCGATATCTAGCCTGTATCCGTCGGCAAGCCTTCGCTGCTTTTGTCGAAGAGTTCTTGATGTTCTGAGCCTCATCAATGATTATACGGTGCCACTTGGCTTTGGGACCATACATATAGGCTTGGTCCTGCACTTTCTTCCATTCGGATGACGGTCTCATCAATTTTAACCGCATCTCGTCTGCCTTCTCGATCGCCTTGTAATGGGCCACAAGAGTGCCGAAGGTAGTTATGACAATATCATATCGTTTGAGCTCATCCCAAGGTGTGTTCCGTGTCTTATCATGGAATATGAGCACGCTGAACTTATATCCGGTCTTCATATGTCTCGCAAGCTCAAGACGCCACTGGTCCATCAGAGCCTTGGGGCAAACGATCAAAGACGGATGCTCATCTGGTTTAGTAGCCGGAAGCGCAGCCATCAGCGCGATCGCCTGAATGGTTTTTCCAAGACCCATATCGTCGCCTAGAACTCCCCCACGGTGACTCGAGTGCTCCTTTGCTTTCATCCAAGCGAGACCGATTCTTTGATGTTTCATTAACTTAACCTCGAGCGTGGGCGGGATTTCATGATCGTGTTCCATGGCTTTCCTGATATCTGTGATTCCCTCAAGAAGTGTCTTGATATCTTTCGGGAAATGCTGTGATTCGTACTGGCTTTACGGGCATGTTATGTTAGGATATAATCATCAAATGGCGAAAAAGTATTGAGTGAACTTACCGCACATCATCATCTCCATCATCATTTTCCATAGCTTGTACGAGACGTTTGAAAGCTTGTTCTTCAGTGAGATTCGCAGTATTTGACACATATGGAGATGTTTGTTCTCCGGTAAGATCCACTGTATTCGACATATACGGTGTAACAGGATACCCAGGAGTAGTGTACCCAGTGGCGGGAGTACTAAACGCGGTCCAAGGAATATTAGCACTGGTAGGGTCCATCCAATTTTGCCGAATAGGTGGAGTTGACCGCATTAAATTTTGCGGTCTTGCATATGGCTGAGGTGATTCCTGTTCATCTTCACTGTCGGGCCTCTCTTGGAGGATACGTGCGATGGCGAGATCCTTTGCAATTTGGAATTTAGCCTTAATAACTTGCTCATTCTCCGACTGTTCCTCACGGATAGCTTGCAAAACCTGTTCTTCGGACTGGTTCTCTATTTCCATGGTCAAAGCAACGTTTTCGGGCTCTCTCAAATCGGAGAAATTGGCACGGAGTTCGACTAGACTTGTCTTGAGTTCCTTCTCCAGCTTCCGGATCGCGGGATGGGATTCATAGTCATCATCCCATTTCATTTGCTCTGGTTGAGGTGTGAGACTCAAAGACTCACGTCTCTCACGGTAAGATGTCCAGTCCGACATGCCGTTATTCAACCTGGTTCGCTGTGTTTGAGGCATTGGACTCGTTGTATCTTCACGAGCTCTCTTACGAGAGACGTGATTTCCTTCCTCGAGTTTTTCATTGGGAATGTGGAAAGGTGACTGCTGTGGAGACAAAGTTGACGGGTCTTGGGTTTTGGAAGAGTGAGACGACTCTGTAGTATTGGAACGAGGAGTATCGCCGGCACCGTTGAAGGACGTGTATGATGCGAAGGCAGACTTAGGTTCAGCTGTGGGAGAAGTGGTGAGTGTCGGAGGGGTGGGAGCGAGTAGGCTGGCAAGTTCGGTTTCGGTCTCTTTGATCGAATCCGCAGCTTCTTTGATCCCCTGCTTGTCATCTGGTCTATTTAGAACAAGATCATTATGAATAAATTTTCGAAGATCTAGATCGTCACAGAGGTCTCGGATGCGATCCTCGCGGGGGCCCGACATCCTGATCGGCAAGCGCACACACCGGCGTGACCGGATTGGAAAGCTGTAAATCTAGAGGTAAAGTTAGTTGGATACGTGCGTCATGCAAGGAGAGATCAGAGCCAGCAATGACAGAGAGATGGGGACGTGCACGGCCAATCATAGTGGGGTCGAGTACACCATAAAATGATGGATTCCTCTTGATCTGAGTATGTTTTCATGTCTGACAGCAGAAGGGGTGTGTGTTGCTTACCTATGAAGGACTTTTCTCGATGGTATTGACCTGAGACAGGTGAGGGGAAGGGTGTGGGGTGAAAGGGGCGAGGAAGAAATAGCGAAAAGGATGAGGAAGAGAGAGCGTGTAGAAGACGCAGAAGAAGAATGATGAAGACGTGGAGACAGGCCAATAAATCGGACCGACCTTCGATGGGTGATGGGAAGGATGGGAAGGATGGAGGGTGAAGAGAATGGAAAGGGATTAAATTGTGAAATGAATGAGAAAGTGAGTGTAAGACGCAGCAGAAGAATAAAGAAGTGGAAGAGAGATCAGAAACCATATTGATCATTGCCATGTACGCGCGACACGTTAGGAAATTGATAGGCGATAAGGGAGATAATATGATAAGGGTCGCAGATTAGGTTTGATATATTATTGCTTCATACTCATACTTAGACTCCTCTATACTTCGAGTCTACTTCTGCCTGGCGCTCACTTTCTAGAGTGATTCTCGATATCTAAAAGGATTCCCTTCTCGTCAAAGTTGAAATTTGAGTGTCATTAGACATCAATAATACCACCCGCGCACGTAGAACCCGTCATGTTTGCGACCTTTCTTTTCCTTTTTTCCGTCCCATTCGATACTTAATGATCCTGCTTTTTCAACCATATAAGAAGGAATGAAAAGTAGGCTTAGGCATGAGGCTGAGGAAAGCTACTATAATTGCTACTACAATTACTCCCTAAGCACCAGTTAGATCCACTCAAGTACTTCTCAAACCAACCCAGATTGAATGGGGTTTTGATTAGTCTATTCAGTGTAGCCAAATATCAAACGAAACAGATTGATTTACAGGTGAAAATACCAACTGTTAAAGAAGTCAGTGACTTAGGATGCCTCGATAATATCAACCTGCCCCTGCCGAGACACTCGGCCCTGGTCTAAGACTACGACATAGTCAGCATCCTTCACAGCCTCCACTCGGTGCGCAATGGTTATGACAGTAGAAAGATGCAGCTCCTCTCTGATAATCTGCTGAATTTCAAGAGAGGTTTCCTGGTCAATGGATGCTGTAGCCTCGTCAAAAATGACAACAGGGCTACGTCGAAGAACGGCACGAGTAAGAGCAATGAGCTGTCGTTGTCCCTGGCTCAGATTACGCCCTCCAGTCTCGAGATGTGTTTCTAGATTCCAGCCATGTCGACCGCACAGGCGATCCAGAACATCTGCACACTGCTGGTCAGAGAACTCCTCCGTAGGGTCGAGATTCAGACGAATGCTTCCAGGAAATAGAACGGGATCTTGTGCAACAAACGTCACTCGAGTTCGCAGGGCTTGTTTATTGACTTCTGCGATGTTGATACCATTGATCAAAATGCGACCAGTCTCAGGTCGAATGACAGATAAAAGCGATACTGCTAATGTCGACTTGCCGCTGCCTGTACGGCCGATGATGGCGGTAGTGGATCCGCCAGGAATACGGAGGGAGACATCGGTAAGAGATGGATCGAGGTGAGGTGCGTAGCGAAGGGTGACATTTTCAAAGATGATATCACTGCTATACGCTGGCCACGCAGCTGGGGGATCAACACTTCCCGAGAACTCTTCCTCGATATGGAGGAGCTCGTATATTCGTTCGACTGAAACGAAATTCATCTGAAGCGAACCGTACTGTCTACATAAGAGATGGGTCGAGTCGACAAAGTTACTGGCGGCAATGAGGACAAACGCCACCAGGCCAGGTGTTGTCTTCGTGTATAGCGCGAGAGCAGTCAAACAGAATGTTGAACAAGCTGATAAAATCTCAAAACGATACATCAGCCACGACTGCAAAGACCAGTAGAAGTGGTCCATTCCCTGAAACTTGTCTACGACTGAAATAACGCGGCTCTGAAACCGCTCTTCGGCATGAAAGGCTCGGACAGTGGTCAGCCCATGCAGAAGCTCCCCAAAGTTGGATAGCAAAGGGGTGAGAGAGACCATTTCAAGTCGTCTTAAGCTTTGGGATGTTGGTAGAAAGCGTAGAAATATGGAGACAAAGGCAGCTGTGAGAATCGAAGAGAACATGAGGAACGCCGGAGTTGCAGTGGCAATCACGAGCAGTGAGGCGATCCAGGAAATGGCGGAAAAGGCGATGGCTTGGAATTGTTCACTGATATTTCCATCAACGACGCTGATGTCTGATGTAAGCCTGTTCATCAATCGACCCATGGGAGTGACATCAAAGAACCGGAAAGTTGCATGGCTGACTCGGACCATCAACTGGTGGAAGAGAATCTTTCCAGCGCAGTACACAATGACCAACAACAGTATCTGTGTGACAAGAAGTGCCATAGCCTGGAATATGACGATTGCAAAGAAGGCCCATAGCCATGGACGAACATCTTCTCGTGGAGAAGGCAGGTTTTCCATTGGATTTGAAGGCACGAAATATGATTCAATGTTTGATGCCAGACTTGAAAGACTGATAAAGGTAGATTCCGTCCGACCGTACGCTTCACCCCATCCTTTGAGAAACCATGATTGTCCCACAGACGAAAGTCGGTGCACTGCTAGGACAAGAATAAGTGCAAGCCACCAGCGGTATTTTCCTGCCTTGATATAGGTCCAGTAGACTCGTGCCTTAACACCCCATTCTGCACGATACTCTTCTTCCATGAATTTGTCCGGCACTACGTCTTCTTCGTCTTCGCCGACTTTGCCATCAGTCTCCGTTGCAGGTTCCTGCAAATGTAATGACGACTGCTGCGTGATATTGAAATTAGAGGGTGTATCGTAGACTGTGGCACGTCCCTCATTGATTTCAACAATCTGCTCGGCAATTCCATGTACCAGCGCAGTACGGTGAGTGACCAGGACGGTGGTACGATCTTTCATCAGAGGACCAGTGAAGCACTTCTGGACCACAAACTCAGCGGTGTTATGATCCAGCGCTGACAGGGGATCATCCAGCAAGAGGACACGAGAATGACTATACACTGCACGTGCGAGAGCAACCCGTGCCTTCTGCCCTCCAGAGAGACCGACACCATTCTCGCCCACAAAGGTTAGGTCACCGTGCTTGAATAGCGACAGGTCTGGAAGGAGAGCACATGCCTCTATGGTCTTCTTGTAGCGTTGCTCTTCATAAGGAGACGAGAACAAGATATTGTCGCGGATGCTCATACTTTGCAGCCAAGGAGTCTGTGCACAGTACCCTACCATCTCATTTGAAAGATGGGAAGAGCCACTCAACTGATCAAGCTCTCCCAAAAGAGCTTGCAGGAATGCCGTCTTGCCTGATCCTACTTTCCCACTCACGACCGTTAGTCCTTTTTGAATGACCACATTGATTTCAACTAGCACTGGGTTTAATTTTCCAGGCCAGGCAAATGATGACGACCGCAATTTGTATGCAATGTCATCAGAAGAATCAGCTTGTGGAGATGCCTCTTTATCAGGCTCAGATACGAAGTCCTCAATTCTACCAAGTGCAATAGAGGCATTGATAAGTGATGTGATCAGTCCAGGGATGTCACGTAAGCGCGACTCCAACATGCTAAAGAGCTCCAATGCGGGGAAGATGATATCAATACGCAGCTCATGGCCTGCCAGAATGGTGTAAGCATAAAGAGCAACAACTGGAAATGCGCCAATTGCAAAGGCGTTGATGAAACGGATGAGAATGTTCCACAAGCTAGTGACTATCCGCAGGTTCAGTTCATGTTGCCGGGCTTCCATAACCTGTCGCAGCCAATGGTCCTGCCAACCGTACCATCGCAAATGGCGAATCGCTTCAACAAATTGGGAGGTGATTTGCAAGCGAGCATCTGTGGCGGCTCTTTTGACGCGCTCCCATCGAAGAACAAACCTGGAAATAACCAAGTTCACTGTTTGAGATGCTACAACGGCAAGAATTCCGAGAAGGCAGGACGGGCCGAACAAATTCCAGACCAATACAACGGCAATAACCAAGCCTAAAGGTTTATCGATGAGATCATTAATCTCCCAGAACCGCTGGGCAACATCATAAACATCACCGCGAAGAAGATTCAAGATCTTGCCTAAGGACGCAGCCTCTTTGCCCTTTTTGCTTTTGGGTTGTGTTTTCGTTTGTCGTCCAAAGAGGAAGAATTTCCAGAAGCTCGACTTTTGTGGCGAATCCGCTTCGTTTGCAGCCTCATCACCATCGATTATGCTGTGGCCGTCATTGGAGGACTCGTTGTTCAAACCGATGATATTCTTGCGAGATAATGCCTTTGCATAGACCATCATCACCAGCTCACCCCTGACCCTCTCATAGCATCGTCGACCGTACCATAGATTCAAGACTGTAGACTGTGCAGCAACTAAGCGGAAAAGCACAGAAAGAGCCGCATATGTCATTGGCACACGCGTTGATTTTGTGGGATCTTGCATGGATTTCAGTAGCTGTTGAAGAAGGATAGGTGAAGCAAATTCTAAATTTGTCAGAAACTCTTTTCCATTAATTGATGCAAACTGCTTACCGGAGACCATATCAACTAGTGAAATCAAGGAAATGATAAGCACGTCGACACCGTTTGCTTTCAAGATACGAACGAGAACAGATCCTCGAAGGCGATGGAACGATTCATGTAGCCGGCGATGCTGGAATTCATATCCCAGATACCATACGTCAGGTTCATTCAGTTGCCTCTGGCGACCTAAGGATATGAGCGGTGCCATCCATGATACAGTGAGGAATTGCCATAGCCGTAGATTGTCCTCTGGGCTTCGGAAGTCGCTGGATGGCGTTTTTCCCACGGCACTTATATCAGAGGCTGCCAAAGACGGCTTTCTAAATGGCATAAGCAGAATTGTGACACAGGCTGCCAAAGCTGCAGCTGCAGCAATATAATGCGCGATCGTATCCGGGTCTGTGTATGTACTGAATCTGGTTGCCAGGGTTACCTCGACACCAAAGGTCAGAATGAAGAAAACAAGCATTGAAATTGGACATGATCTTGGCCGTGTGGCAGCAACAAATATGCATGCTGCAGCCTACGTTCAAAGTCAGTCACAGCCGTTACAACAGCACTGCTAGTTATTACCCATGAAGCAAGTAGGACGATCGCAGGACGATCAAATCTGATTAGCAAGAGATGAACAACCTGCGTCAATAAGCCAACTACTGAGAAGGCCAGAAGAGCGATTGTCCAGTGAAGAGGTTCTTTCGTCTCTTCGAGAGGGATATCTTGACAATCCTCTTGTTCTGTGATAAATGAATAGGTCCATTTGGGACGCCATCGCTGCAACAATGGGTTTGATAGAGAGCACAAAGAAATAAGCAGTATAATTAGAGCGGGGGCAATTACAACATAAGACAGTGCACAAGGCGACAACTGTGCATTATCTGAGTCCTGCAGGTCAGGTTAGCTCTGCGCCTTCAAAGCAAGGAAGCCACGTACCCAGAAATGACGACAACTATGCTCAGCTTCATGGAAGAAAAGAGCCTGCGTCATTGTTCTCCCTCTAGAAATTTGAACAATTCCCAATATTCACTGATCGCGAAACTCTGTATTTAGATGTTTGGTTAGATGCGGAGGTTGGAATATTATTCATCCGGTGGAAGATGGGGCCGAAGGGCCGTGAGTTCTAACCCGACCCTCACGATTCACTATCAACTTCTTAGGAATAATGACAAGTTAACATTTGCTATCTTTTGATTCTACACAAAGTGACAAATTTCAGAACAATTGAGGCCTCCTAATCTCAATAACTAGGGTAAAGATCATTAGAAAATCGCAAATGCATTCGGCGGGCTAGCTACCCCTCCAACAACCTACTAGCATATCAATATTGGCCGTGAGGTCTGAAAGGAGTGACAAACCTTGAGTGGCATGCTAGACAAGAAGAAGCTATATCTTCGAGTAGCCTTGCAATACGCAGACAATCTCTCAAGATCAAACATCTCACCAATAGGAGTACCCCATCCAGCCAATAGCCATTCATGAAGAACAAAATTTGGATCGCTATGGCTGCCTCGAATAGGAGCTCGCTCGAAACTTGGTGCATCGCCAGCGACAGCGGCAAACTGGTGATCCCATAACCAGCGTAGCATACTTTCAGTTGCTTCAACTCCTTGAAAGTTCGGAGATGATCGATGCGCTAGATCTTTTCTCTCTTGGTCATTCAACTGATTGTATGCAGCAGTAAAACCACTGCGGATAAACAAGATATCACCTTTGCGGAATTCCAACTGATAGTCCTTGATTATGCGCTTCAGATTGTCGAGTGTTACTGGCTCAGAAGAGAAAGACGATACAGAAACCGAATTTGATGAAGCCCAATCGGCGAAGTCAAGCAGCACGCCTCGTCCTGTAATGCCGCCGTGCTCAGCCACAGCTGTGACTGAGTTAGTTGCAGTCAAATATCAAATTGGAGACATTCATACTATGAAGACCAATAACATCAGAGCTCTCAATGTCCTCTATAGTATGGCCGTTGTAGAACTTTCGTAGTCCTTGATATGCTGAATTCACCTAGTCAGTTCCACCACAGTGCGTTTCGGTAAGATCCTTCCAAGACTATTTACCATAATGTCTGAAGCCATCCCACTGACTGGAGCCTTGGGTGTTGAAAGTTAAGATATCGTCATAAATTCCATTATGACTTCGAAGAACTAGCTCTTGTTTGAACGGATTGCGATTAAAGCTGGGATGTGATGGCATGCTGAGAGGCCAGTCAAGGCTTATGCGCACACCTGTCTTGATCTCTTTGGAAGCCTCAACAATCGCCTCTGGGGTAAGGAAATTCAATGTGCCGAGCTCATCATTTAGTCCGAAACGACCCCAGGCATTTCCTTGGGGTCCAGTAGGGTCCAGCGGGAGAGCTTCAAATGGAATCGGATCGTCTGTTCTCCCTTCCATTGTCGTGGAGTGAGCTGTAGAGTTCAAGGCTATCTGACAGTGAAGGTGTGAGAACGAGACTCGAGGCCTTTTTGATTTACCAAGGTACCTACTACCCCACCCCTTCTCAACCCTCGGATATTCAAGATTCGGATACATCTCCGACGGACATTCTCTCGGGACTCTACGAATAAAAAATGGCGTCTCAAATGAAGGGCAGCAAATACTATCCAAGATTTCAAGAGCCGCAGAACTGAGAGGGAAAAGAGGTTTCTATTTGGCGATCGATGTCGTTAATTAGGAGTAAATTCTCTATCCAGGTGTGCTCGTTTATCGGATTCTAGCCCTCAAATGAACCTCGGGATGAAGATCATGATAGAATATAAGTCTCTATGAAAATCAGATTGCAAATAATGCTGTTTGAAACACCAGGGTATTATCATGGATACTGACTGTACTGACTGTATAAAAAAACTCAGATATGCGCATGCAAAGCAGGCTCCTCCGCAGTCCGACCATCCTTCACATTATTCGAAATGAACTTATTATCACGACCAGGCGAATTAAACAGAGCACCAACCAAAGAAAGACAGTTATTGGCCCTCCAAATCATAAGATATCCCAAAGTAACACCAGTAACAACGATCTCGTCTACCAATGCCTGACTATCAGCCAAAGGACCCATCAACTCAATCTTGCCGACCTTCTTCAACCCCCACATATTGACAGTGAATTTCCCAAGAGGCGACTGGTCCTCATCGACGCAAACAAACTCCCAAGTAGTGATACCACATTCTCCAGTCCATGACAGAACAGCGGGCTTGCCTTTTTTCGTGAGGACAGCAGAGCGATGTGTGTACGAAGTTTTAAAGCGCTTCTGTGCAATCAGAGTGTCTTTGTGACCGTTACATTCATAGTCAGCGTCGATCTTGAATGTGTGTAGAGAGCTTTTGCCAATGATTTCGCTTGCTGCTTCTATGGCATCGATTTTGACGTCTTTGGAATCGATGTTGATATCGTCGGTGATATTTCCAACAGATCTGAATGTGAACTTGGGCTTTGGGATGATCTTGTAATCGATTATATAGAGGGGTTTGTCGGGGTTTTTTTCATCGGAAATGAGTGTTTTAAATTTGCGCCATGTGTAGTCCAGGTTAAGTGTTCTGTGTTGGTTTGTTTCAGCAGGTTGTGGCTGAGATGATGGTATTTCGAGATTTTCCATGATGAAGGTTGTTGTGATTTTGATAACTGAAATTTTTGTTATTGTCTGACGGTCATGACTCTCTCTCTCTTTATATTCTAACCGTCGAGGCGAAGCGCTTCTTGGCTTTGTTCATGGCTGAGATTTATTACTGTCGATCTTTTCCATTTATGGATCGATGCGCCGCTCGAGATACTTGGGCCAATCAACGTCGAGTATAAGGTCATTGAGGTGGAATAAGGTGGCGTCATGGCCTCCACTCATGTTTCGAAGATCGAAGTCAGGCTGAATCTTACTCATCATAATCAAAACAAAATATTTAATGCATCCAAAAATTTGACTAAAAATATGTACATGCCAAGGTAACATCACACGAAGAAAAGGAAGATGACCTACAAGGCGAAGTACGCAACAGTGGCCGCAAAAGTTGCCAAATTATCACTCCAGAGCGCCAGCGAGCTGCCATCCTTGACAATCATGTTGGTCACACCCACAGTGTTCAATCCATACACCACTAGATCAGACGTGGTGCCCTCGATACTGAATATCTCGCTCTGACAATCCTCGGGAGTGGGGAATGTCGAGCATGACGTGCTGTAAGAGTTGAAGAAACTGTACAGACCGGCTCCGTATATTGTGATATCAGAGCTATCGAGTATGCGAAGGCCAAGGGCGTCGCAGTTTCCGGATAAACAACTGCTATAGTCAGGGTCTTTGAGCGTTGAATTTGTGGGAAATGGACCATTGGCTGCGTCCGGGCTTGGTTGGTAGTAGCTAAGAAGGGAGTTAGCGCATTCGCAAAGCAAAGCTCAATCACCGAAAAGCACTCACGGTGTCTCGGTTTGAATGTATCCTGCCACGACCGAAGATGACCCCGAGAATTGATATTGGTACAGTGCATGGTGCTCAACTGCCGTTCCATACCTGAAAGCACGTTAGCGAGTAGTCGTAAACCATGTAATCTGATTTGCACTTACAGCCAGATGTTCTTTCCCTCAACCAACAATCCCCGACCGGAGTAGACAGAGATCTGGGTGTTATCTGCGCTATCCAAGTCATGATCTGCCGTCCACAGCCAGACATTCTCCAAATAGACACTACTGGCACTCGAGGTAATATGCATAGACAGATATGCCACTTCACAGCTTGCAGAGACCGCAGCAGAGGTTGGACACTGTGCAACTTGCTGGCTGGACCCGTAAAATCCTCCGATACGAGTATGGACATCCCAAATCCCAGACCCTGAACTCGCAGCTAGGTTCCACTCAATCAGTACAGCACCAGGAGTTGAGCCCTGGGTACTGAGGATCATGTCTGACCATTCGATCGATCCAGAATCTCCAGCGTTTCCGATCTTGACCAACGGAGCAGGACTCGAGATATCTGCGAAGACACTTCCGCTAGCCATGAGCACGGGGAATGCCTCTCCAACAACGCGCAGGCCGGGAGGGAAGTAAAGGGTGTTGGTCACCTTGTAAGTTCCCTGGTCAAAGAAAACGATTTGGCCAGAAGATGCAGCAGACTTCAGTGCAGTTTGGATGGCGGAGGTGTCATCAGTTGAACCGTCTCCCTTGGCACCTGCACTCCTAATACTTACAAACGATGCGACGGGTGATGCCTCATACTGGGGTTTTGTCTTGGTGTAGTAATTGGAAGAGCCACTGGTGAGCAGGGCGCTTGGTCTGGTAGGTGGCGTGAAAGTGCTCTGGAAATTTGTAGGTCCACTTGGGGAGTACTTGTGACCCTGTCCCCAAGCGGTAATGGTCGTGGTGCCCCCAGCGAGCACGGTACCACTCGGTCCCTGGACTGCGACAGGAACATCCTCAAGAACAATGTTCTCGAGGATGAGACTGCCGTTTGAGAAGGTTGAGCTCTCCCAGTTAGTAGCCACGAACGTACCGGAGTTTTTGATAGTGCTGTCAATAATGTTGACAGAGCCCACTAGCTGAGCACCAACACCACCATTGCTGATCGAGATAGCTGTAGTACAATTTGTCAAGGTGAGACCTTGATATGTCCAACCCCAGTCCCATATCTGGGAGATACCAGTCACAGCATCAGAGATTTGCAAGTTATGCATGGTGAATTGCTGGTTGCCGATATTTGCTCCGTACAGCCCACCAGTCGTCGTGATGTCAGTCAAGAAGCCACCAGATCCTTTCAAGATCAGTATCACACTTTTCAGATCAAAAATTCGACATAATCTCACCGTTTTCAATGAAAATACCCTGGTGCTGCGTTCCTGACGCCGAGCTCATGACAATCTCAACATTCTGAATGCTAGTTGCTTGGCCTACTGGCCAGTGAATACCTGTTGCAGAAGTTCCCGCGGCAATAGACGTCAGGTCCAGCTTGAGGTTACGAATCTGGCGGAAGAAAACATTTGTAGAGGTCCAGCCCTGGTTGCCGTCACTCTGGTATTGATCCCCGTCAATCAAACCCAACCCTGTAAAACCAGAAGTTGCCTTGATGACTGGAATATCGTTGGGGTTACCAATCAATTGGGTAAAGTAGTAGTCGATGATGGAAGTAGAGATGAGGTAAGTTCCAGCAGGGAAGTATACAATTGCGGGTGTGGTGGTGGAGGTCTCTCGCCCTGATGGACCAAAGCGACTACCAGCGCTGATGGCGGAGTTTATCGCAGCAGTATCATCTGTCACGCCGTCACCTATATAATATTTGAATGAGTTAATGTCTGGTATGTAAAATAAACAGATCAATTGGTTTTGCTACCTTTCGCGCCATAGTCTTTGACGTTGCGAAAGACAACGTAAGATGAAGGTGCCGAGTTAAAGGCGGCAAGGCCTTGATGGGTAATATCAGCAAGCCAGTATGAGGTATCAGTAGTGGCTTCAGTGATCTCTATATCCACCGATAAGCTTGGTAATATCCACTGAGAGGAAGCTTTGCTCGATGAGCTAAAGGTTGGATTGGCATGCGATGGCTTTGAAGACCTCCAGATTTCATCCCTATTTGCATGTATATGGCCATGCAATTCAGCATGGGTATATGCCAGCAAAGAAAAGCAGGTAATCAAAGCAAAATGCATATTGGAATGAACAAAAGAAAAGGAGGGCCAACGCACATCCTCTTTATATTGAATTCATATTGTGGGTCTGTAGAAAGTCGTTACGGGGTACTCCGTACCCTGTTCCTGAGTTCTGCATAAGATGTGCATGGCAAAAGGGGTATCTGCATCTAAATCCTCTATAGATCTCTCCGTGCAATCCCACCCCGCAATACCACTTTGAACGGAGAAGAGGTTTCAGATGACCACTTAGTCAAGTCATTGTAATGGAAGACAGGCCTGTGCGGTGATGAGGGAATCCTTCGTGAGTTCCAACATATCACGCCGACCAGTTGTGTGATCAGAACATCATGCAGATCGGGTGGAGATGGTTACTACCAATCAAGGGTCCGAGGATATATCACATAAACTACTCCGTACTATGTGCTCCGTAAAGACTACGTACACAGACGCACAAGGCTCGTGGCTTTTATTGATTTTTATCCGTAATTAGGTAGTTCCCTCTGGAAAATCAATTATCGATATTTCAATTTTATTACGTAGTCTCATTAATCATTCTACAGTTACCTACCTATAACCCTTTTTATTAGACCTTGATATTTCCAATATACCTAGGAACCTTGGAAGTATAAGATCCATCATGTTTAAAGCTCTGCGCACTAATGGAATTAATTTTTTAATGTGGAACGAAGTGAAGGGATTTGCTACAACAACTTTCATTCCTCCGTACTCGTAAGCAGTGAATTTAATGCTCAGGTGAGTAGCCCCCCATTCATTACTTCAAGGTTCTGAGGAACTGATGGTACTTGCACAAATATATATCATGTGTTGACCTGTGGCCCGGTACCTGCATACTGGGTCCACGGGTATCAATACCTAGGTAGAGCTTTGATCAATCCAAGATTGAAGATCCCATGTAGGTTGAATCATCGAATATCCAGATGACCTCGGGTATATGTATCATGTCTATTGTACATTTGGCAGCGGTAGCTTGCATCTCCGGGTTTAAGACGGACTTTTCTTCCCGCGTCATGTGTCTACTTGGGTATCATTCTAATGTAGACATCTTTTATTCACTTCAATACATTGTCAAAGTAAAACCTCCACTTTTCCAATGTTCCTAGAATACTCCTTTTTCAACTGCATGAAACTAAGAACGATACCTGGATACTCCTTACTCTGGGCTCTGGGATGATAGGCAGTCACGTGACTGTCGATAAGATCTTCTCTGCCGAACAACCTCTGAACCTCTAAACCTCTCTACCAAAAAAAAAAAGCTCCCCCTCCTTATTTCCATCCCCCGATTAATTCCAGACATAGAGTCTGTTCCTTTCCCTGGCTGAGTTTAAATTTATGATCAAATTCATATTAAACTCTGGTAAATCTCCCAGGCACTCGCAAGCCGACGGATCGCAATCCGAGTCGCGTCACGGCCGTCGCGGGTAATAGAAAAATTGGCGAATCGAGTCTTTGTTTACTTCTCGACGAAGTAAACTTACCATCATGTCGAAACGCGATGCAGAGGGTCCTGAAGGAGATAAATTCACGGGGCTTGATTCAGAGAGGTACACGGGGCCAACGGATGTAGCTGTACGGGCGACTGCTGCCCAGCTGGCGAACAGAAAGTAAGTTGCAATAATAACTTGCGGTTGTAGACGAAGCTCTATCTGAGAAATCTGACTTCCAATTGTTACTTCCGCTTGTCGTGTCTACTTTTGGCATTTTCACTTCCACTTCCACACTACTTTCACTTCCACTATCCCTCTTCTTCCTACACCTTCTTTTCTTTCCCACCTTCTATCTTTACCACATTCTCTTCTTTCCCTCTCCCATACTCAGCTTCGAAATTCTTCCTTCCAGTTCGTACGAATTGTGTCAAGCAATTACAAACTCATAACAGTTGACTCTGACAAGGATTACAGAATTAAGGACGTCCGCAAGCGTTCATCACGTTCAACAACCCCATTAGCTGGAAATCCAGCTTCAAGCAACCCTTTCGCATTTGCGGCATCTGCAGCTCCGAGCCAACCTTTCTCATCTGGAGCTCCTGCAGCTCCTGCAGCTCCTCAGCCTTTCTCGTTCGGTGCCACTGCACCTTCAAGTAATATCTCAGCTCCCACCAACTCTTTCTCGTCTGGAGCTACTGCGCCTCCGAGCCAACCTTTCTCGTTCGGTGCTACTGCACCTTCAAGTAATATCTCAGCTCCCACCAACTCCTTCTCGTCAGGAGCTACTGCGCCTCCGAGTCAACCTTTCTCGTTCGGTGCTACTGCACCTTCAAGTAATATCTCAGCTCCCACCAACTCTTTCTCGTCTGGAGCTACTGCGCCTCCGAGTCAACCTTTCTCGTTCGGTGTTACTGCACCTTCAAGCGAAAGCTCAGTTTCCAACAATCCTTTTGGAGCCACTGCAGCTACTGCAGCTCCGAGCCAACCTTTCTCGTTCGGTGGTACTACTTCTTCAACCGATAATTCAGCTTCGAGCCAACCTTTCTCATTCGGTACATCGACTGCCCAGACGTCTTTCAACTTTTCGGGATCCGCTGAATCTCCTGCCTCAAATCCTTTTGCACCTGATATGTCTGCACCACCCAACAAGTTTTTTTCCACACCAGGCGGTATGTTCGGAACCAATCCCGCTGCTGGTTCGGGTGGCGTATTCAAGCCTCCAGTCCGCACGAACACTGGGTCAGGGTCATCCCTTTTTGGCTCTGCCCAACCGAATCAGCAATTTTCCTCTGGGACTTCTCAATGGGGCAATAATGAACCCCCACCTCAGCAACTGAACGCTCAATTTGGTGCGCCGGCCAGTGCGTCTTCGAATGGTACATTCGCTACAAATGACAATGCCTCGGGCAACCCAACACCCAGCTCTTTCTCCCAACAATCTTCGAATTTGTTTGCTGCGCCAGGCAATGCGTCTTTGAATGGTACATTCGCTACAAATGACAATGCCTCAGGCAACAAACAACCTTCCTCTTTTGGAACTACAGTCTCATTCTCACAGTCTTCGCCTTTGTCTGGTGCGCCGGCCAATGCTTCCTCTGCACCAGTCACGACTTTTTCGAATGGTATTACAGTTGATAAACCTGCTGAAATACAGCAAAATGATACTCCCTCAGGCGGCCAGAAGCCATTCTCCTTCAAGTTTGGTTCTACCCCTACAGCTGATAAACCCGCCGAGGGAAAGAAAGATGAGGTTATCTCGGGCACCCCGAAGCCCTTCTCATTTGCGTTTGGTTCTACCCCTACAACCGATAAACCCGCTGAGGCTCTCTCGAGCACCCCAAAGCCCTTCTCCTTTGCCTTCGGTTCTACCCCTGCGGCTGATAAACCCGCCGAGGCTCTCTCGAGCACTCCGAAACCCTTCTCCTTTGCCTTTGGCTCTACCCCTACAGCGGATAAACCTACCGAGGCTCTCTCGAGCACTCCGAAACCCTTTTCCTTTGCCTTTGGTTCTACCCCTGCATCTGATAAACCCGCTGAGACTCTCTCGAGCACTCCAAAACCCTTCTCTTTTGCCTTTGGCTCTACCCCTACAGCGGATAAACCCGCCGAGGGAAAGCAAGATGAGGCTGTCTCGGGCACCCCGAAGCCATTCTCCTCTGGGTTTGGTTCCACAACTACAGCTGATGAACCTACCGAGGCAAAACATAATGCGGCTATCTCGGGCACACCAAAGCCACTCTCCTTTAAGTTTGGTTCTACCCCTGCAGCTGAGGAAAAGGAAGATGAGGCTCTCTCGGGCAGCCCGAAACCGCCCTCCTTTGGCTCTGGTGTCTTTTCACAATCGTCGACTACGTTTAGTGCGCCAGCCAACGTGTCTTCTGCGCAGACCAGTGTGTCTTCTTCGAATGGTACTACAGCTGATAAACCCGCGGAGGCAAAGCAAGACGAGACTCCCTTGGGCAACCCAAAGCCCCCTCCTTTGGGCTTGGTTCTACCACTATAGCTGATGAACCTGCTGAGGCAAAACAGGATGAGGCTGTCTCGGGAAGCCCGAAGCCCCCCGCCTTTGGGTTTGGTGCTATCACTACATCTGATAAATCCATGGAGGCAAAGCAGAATACGTCTTCCTCAGGCAGCCCGAAACCTTCACCCTTTGATTCTGGGGTCTTTTCACAATCGTCAACTGCGTTTGGTGCGTCGGTCAATATGTCTTCCTCAAACGGTACATTTTCTCAGTCTTTTTCGGGTATTCCGCAACCCCTCTCTTCTGGTTCTGGAGGCGCCTTTTCACAATCGTCGACTACGCAAGCCAGTACGTCTTCCTCGAGTGGTACATCAGCTGCAACTGATAATGCATCGGGCAACCCACAACCCCCTTCCCTCACTTCTCGTGTTTCATTCCCACAACCTTCAACTACATTTAGTGCGTCAGCCAATGCGTCTCCTTCAAATGGGCTCTTCGCTACAGTGACCGATTTTGTCGAAGAAAAACAAACCACTAATGCTCCCCCAATCACTCCCGCTTCTTCCGCAAAGTCTGGGAATGCGTCCTCCGTTACAGTCACCAACCCCGTCGAGGCTAAACAAGCCAATGAGGGTTCCTCCAGCAGCTCGCATGGCTTCTTTGCTGCTACTGCTAGAAAGGCCTCTGAGAAAATTCACGACCCTAATTTCGTTTCTTCCGCTCCTCGCATCCGTGGTTTCTCGCCCAGTCTCACGGAAAAGTATCCACCACCCCCCGATGGCAAAGATATCCATATCCCGGCATATCCTTTCCCTGACTTTATTGAAGACCTTGAAATGACCAATGAGGAGCGGGATAAGTTTAAGTTGCAATGGGCGGTTCGGTCTCTCAATGGCAGCTTCAGACAACACCTGATATCCCTCTCACCTGATGATCACTACTTCGACAATGCTATCATGATGTACACAAAGGTACGTATGAGCATGGGCGCCCCACTCAGATGGCGTGGAGATCAAAGCTTGTTTGAGGGTAAAGGCAAAACTGCGCGACTTCAGACTGAGCCCACTGAAGCTCGGCACAAGGCTGCTGAAGCTGAGACTCAAGAAACGAGAGGGACAGGAAAACGTAAAGCCACAGAAATTGACCGCGATAATGACGAAGAAGAATCTGCACGACGCGATGCCGAAAAGCAGCGACCAAAGCGCCCCAAAGTGCGAGGGTATTCTGCAGATTTCTCCGACTCCGACTCCGATGAAGAGGAGTGCGCACAACGCGATGAAGAACAACGGTTGAAGCGCGCCGCCGATGTTGAAGAAAAAAAACGGTTGCAGCACGCTGCCGAAGAAGAGCATCGATCGTACCACACTGCCCTTAGTGAAGAGAAGCTATCTAATATGGCTGCCGAAAAACGGTATAATGAACAAAAGGAAGAAGAGCAGCACGTTTCCGATGCCAGGGATGAGGAAGAAAGGACGAGCTTGGAACATGCCAGGGAGAAAAAACAGCTGGAAGATGACAAGCGCCGTTCGGAAGCCGAAGCGGAAACCAACTTTAATCTTGACGAAAACCTTCTGAAGTCCCAGGAGAACACCAAACGCAAGTCTGCAAAATTCGACCATGATAATGATGGTGATGCGGAGAGCGTACGACGAGATGCTGAAGGGCAACGTCTGAAGAGAGTCAAAACGAGCCCGCCGCAAGTCTCTAAGCCAGTCGACCCGGCACCGACACCCGTCAGTCAAGAGGGAGTCAAAGACCCGGCACCCACATCATCCGTTAGCCAAGAGACAACCAATGATGAGGAGCAGGCTTCTGGCTCGGTATTTGACTTGTCTCGTGCAACAGCCGGCGAAGAGGAGGAAGAGGTTGTGTTTGAATGCCGTGGCCGAGCATTCAAAGTGTCTCAAGGTTGGGTTTCTCAGGGCACCGGCATCGTTCGAGTGCTGAAGCATCCCAGTGGACGTTCTCGCCTTCTTCTCCGCGCTGAACCTAGCGGTAATGTTATCCTCAACGCACTGCTGAACAAGGAGCTCAAATACCCACGCACTAAAAACCATGTGCAACTCCCAGTGTTGCGACCTGACGGAGGAGCGGAACAATGGGCCATCCGGGTCAAAGCCGAGGTGGTTGAGGAATTTCACTCGAAATTGTTGGAGGTGATTCAACGGTGATTCAATGAAGCCCATGCCGTTGCCGAGCATAGCATGATGTATTTTTTTTTAGGTAGAGAATACCTTTTTTTATTTTACGTTCTTTTTCTTGTAGTGTAGCTTTGTAGCGACTTGATGTTGAAGATATTATTAGCTGTATAGCTTTGCAACATCCACTCTTGCGTTCAGTCAGGATTAGATCTTAATTCATCCATGGATGTGGAGTCCATGCATGCCTAGATCCATGGGCAATGTTTCAAAACATTGAACTTGAAATGTCTATCCATGGAAAGACACGAGTCCAGATCGAAAAAGACGACGAAGCCTACACCACAGCCATAAGCAAGATCCTGCGAACAAACGTGATCGCTTCATTCCACCAAATCAGCTCTTCAACAGGCTCCATTTCCACCTCCGCATCTTTCCCGTATCCCAAACTGTCAGAAATTCTAATGTCATGGATCTACGCGCTGACCAACGAACTTATCCATTTTTTCGGGATGTCAAATTTAGTACAAGATATGGTTGAGGTCTCCTTCTGAATCGTCGATGTCAAAATGATTATAGCCATTTATGAGATACCTTCAAATGTATTACTCCAAGCTATTAAGTAAAAACCTGAACAGATGGAAAAGAAAATGCATAGTGGTATAAAAAAAGTATTTTGATTTTAGAAGCCCCTAGTCAGCCCATTTACTCGTCATCGACGGTAGCGGTGTGCAGACCCTTGGCGCTCTTGACGTTGACAGCCTGGACGTGGGAGTACAGACGCTCCTTGGCACCCTCCTCATCGTTACGCTTGCGGGAGATGCGAACACGGAGACGGAAGGGAACACCCTTGATACCGGCTTCCCAGACCTTCTTGTTGAGGGCGGGGTCGAGACGGACGTCCTTGGTGCCCTGTTCAGAATGTCAGGAGACCGATTTTGACATCAAGGTTATTTGGATTGAAACACTTACCATAGCCTTCTCGGCAAAGGCGCGGATCTCCTTGATAGCACGGGGAGCACGCTTCTTGAAGCTGACACCGAAGACCTGTATTTACCGAAAGAAGTTGTAATCAGTCTTCCGTCCAAATGCCATCTGGTAGAGATCAAGCTCTGCGATATTCTGTTTCGGCCATAGAGGTGGACTTCATCAAACTAATTCTTCTTCTTTCTGTCGATTCAGGAGGAAAAGAGTGGCACCTGCAAAGATTCCGAAGACTCCTGCAGGTGTCAAGTTGTTGCGAGAACAAGCTTGTTTTTGGCGTTGTGGTCGGGAGGTAGACGAAAGAGATTTGACATCTTAGTTCGCACCCACGACTGATTTTTCACCACACACATCTTATTCCTCTGGAAAGAAAAAGTTCCATATTTCAGGAGAAGTGTGTTCTCTGTCCAATTTTGCCTCCACGGATTCACATTGAATCGCAGGTCAGGGTCGAAACGGGGGGGGGGGGGGTTCGGGGATTTTTCAACATACGCGCTTGTGGAGGTTGATGGTGTACTCGCGCGACACCACGTCGGCAATAGCCGAACGCTGGGTCTTCTTGCCGGTCTGGACGTTAGACATCTCTAGGTGATGTTAGAGAGAGATATTAGGCAGACAGTGATGTAGATAGACTGACTGTTTGGGGGTGGGCGACTGTGGGCGGGGAGTTGTCGATGAGTTCAGAATCTCGATTTGTGCCGCAAATTTCAAGTGTGAACTCGCTTATCCCGCAGCTCCACTATGATTGGTATAATGTCACATGATGACCCACTCTCAGATCTTTGTAATGCCTCAGGTGTTAATTGCTTACATAATTGTAGATTTGACCTGCACTTAAATATCATTAACTGTTAGTTGAGCTGAATCACCAGTATGATCATCTACTTATGAAATTGTATCCTGTTTATTCACTACCTTCATATTTGCTAATGTTAAATTCACTAAATCATCCTGAACCCTCGCCGCTCACGTCGGGGTATAGATCAAACCGCCGCTGAGTAGAAATTGGAATACCCTTACGAGTGCTCACAATGGTTTCATTATCCAAATCTGCATATATGGTTGCCTCATTCTCCTCGGCCTCAGCCAAGATACTCGCACTCGGGTCACTAACCAGACTGTGCCCGTAGGCGTGGTAATCCGCATTCAAATCCCGCGCCGGGCTACAGAGAGCCACATAAGCCTGGTTATCAACGGCACGAGCACGTCCCAGAAGTGACCAGTGTAGAGGACCAGTAGTGGTATTGAATGCGCCGGGGTAGACAAGCAAGAAGGCGCCCTTGCGCGCAGCGATCATGGCCGCTTCCGGGAAACGAATATCATAGCAGATGGCCAATCCAATCTTGCCATATTCAGGGAGGTCAATGACTGTTAGTTGGTTACCAGGTGACAGGACATCGCTCTCCTTGAACTTGATCTTCCCCGGGATATCTATGTCGAACAAGTGGGTCTTGCGGTGAGTACCGATCAGGGAACCCGAGGGCGAAAAGACCAGAGAGGTGTTATAGTATTTCTGGGTAGTCGGCTCCAGTTCTGGGATACTACCACCGACAAGGTATGCATTTGCCTCAGCAGCAATGGCTGATAGCGCATGGAAGGACGGCGACTGTTCCTTCGTCGGCGGGGAGGGGAGGAGGGTTTCAGCGTATTTGGGGAAATACCCTGTGCCGTAGGGAGAGTTAAAGCATTCAGGGAGAACGATGAGGCCTGCGCCAGCTTGTGCGGCCTCGAGAATCTTTGTTCGAGCGTGTGAGAGGTTAACGGCCTTGTCCGCGCCTAGATGTGCGTCAGTGGGTAAATCTCAGTGAGAACCTGAGGATGACGTACCGGATGCAAGCTGCACCAAGGCCAATTTGAGGGGCTTCTTCAAAAATGTACTCATCGCAATGAACCGGGGTGCTAACAAGTTTGAAATGTGTAAAGGGATCACCTCATCTTATGAATGTGGGGAGGGGGTAAGGTCAGCATCGGAGCAGAACTGCGGGCCCCACTGATAAGAACACTTGTGTCATTATTCAACGAAGTGACGCTCTATACTAACAGTTGACGGAAATCAAATGTACTACACAGTATACACACCTGTTCCTGGGAATACTGTAATTTTTAGCCTCTTGACTCTTGACTCTTGAATCTATAGGTACCCGTCGGAGCTCATCGCGATCTCCTTCTTTTGTACCTCCAGAGCTACCTAGGTATCCTAATAGAGTCTCTGCGTTTTTCTACCTCTTATTGAATAATTTGGAGCAAATCCCGACTCTTTCTTACAAGTTTTGAAAGTTTTCAAGATTGCTTATTACGACAAGCTTTCTAGTATTACCTCGCAGGATGACCAATTCAAGTGCCACAACCTGTACACATTCATATGGTCCTTTATAACCTCATTGAAGTCCTTTGAGGTTATAACTGGCCCAACCTCAGGTTTGTTGTCTACTGATTGGAATTATTACCTCCGATTATTAATTGATAGACTTCATGATTATGGTTGAATCAAAGCCGAGCTTTCCATCATATCTACCTTGATGTTATCACGGCAAGTCACTGGAGTCTCATACCTGAGCCACTTAAACTGGTCAGAAAGATGCTCGAAAAGGTCCCTAGGCTATGGTAGAAATCGAGGGTGAGGATTGCGGAGTCTCAAGGCTCATTCTCGCACTGCCTTAACAGCTATTACTATATAAATTGACGGGAAGTTGGCTGAGAGCTAGCAGTCGATACCAAATTCTTACCAATACATCCAATACAATCATGACTCTTATAAACATACCAAGAACCTAAGACAGCTACTTCTAAAGAGCCGCTCGAAATCAGTGTGAGCTACATCGATCAGCATAGCGCCGTGCAAAGAAACAAAGTCACAAAAGCTTGAAGCTGAAAAGTTGTTGTCACATTGTTTCAAGTGACTAGATCAGCTATAACTATATTACAACTGAGAGAGAAGACAGCCACTCAAGCACATATACAGGATTACATAGCCTTTGCGGCCCATAGGAGATTGGAATATTAGTAGTTGAAAGATTTTCCCACCGATATTTGATTGATCACCAACCACCACCTGAAAGGAAATTTTGGGGCTCTCAGCATATTTAAAGATGGAGACTATTTTTCATTATTATCATATGCGCGAGCCTTTGACTCAATTATCAGCGGCTTTGAAGACGCGTCTAGGGGGTATATCATTATTTGAGAGGCCCCTAAATAGGTGTATGGATGATGAAGCTTAGAGCTCTCTAAAGAACTGGATTGATTATTGTGATAAGATTGGTATGCCTTTAAATTTCAAATAGTTTTATGTAGCTGTTAAAAACATTTTTTACATCCCTACTCCTTTTACAAAGCCCTTGAGCCAAGATCGGGTCAAATGTTTCCTCAAACATACCTTGATTGTAACGGGCTGATGCCCGCCATAGGGATTTTGGTGCCCATCATCCATTTTTACTGCGGTAAGATCACGCGACTCGAAGGTCCTTCATCCTCGACTCCACGTCGACCTTCTTACACCCCTTAAGGATTTTGTACACAGCATGTGTCTAGCTAGTTCTGAATCTAAGATTAGCTTTAGCCCTTCACATTAATTATCACAACTGACGCCGAAAGCTCTGATATTGAGAGCCAGCGGGCTTTGATGAATCAGTCATTGAAGATTCGTTTGAAAGTTATCAGAATGTTATTGAAGATACTGGTATAGAAGCCTCAGATATCTAAAATTTTGATAAAACTGGTTTATAAGTTAAGAGCTTGGAAAGACGAATAGATAACTACAAGAGAGCTACGGAAAAAAAACATTCATGGATCTTTCCAAGGTTCGAATAAACACAATTTGAGAGTTTGTTATTGTGTTTGAAGCTATTTTAACAGTTGGTTTTAGTATCTCGTTAATAGTCATTCTCTCTACTAAACAAATGCTTCTACATTGGTTTAATAACCTCAATAATGATGATATTGAGATTAGCATTGGAAATTGTTATATAACTGATTCATTCGCATTTCTATGGATTCAGCAATTTAAAAAATGGTACATAGTCTGGAGTCGTGTATTAAAGAAATCCATCAAAAGATCATTGTATATACCAACTTGGGATCCCATCTTATGATAGAATTTCCTGAACTTTGTGAAAAACATCATAACACTATCTTATTTTTATTCTTCCTTATTTAACCTACTGACACCAGCCTTTAGATTTTAGTGTATTGAATGTCTATACTTAGGTAAACACTAGCATTCAAAGACCTTGGGACTGTTGACGATACGATAGAGTCTGGAATAACACGATTTACTCAGGATGATCTCATAGCTGCACTTTATTTTAATCGACAGAGAGCTTCTGATTATCAGGGAATCGACCTATTGATCTATCTTTGGTATATGCTAATTACTCTTATAACCATCGGCCCCCATCTGATCAGAGTTATTCAACTAAATTCAGCAGCCTAAAGACTGTTGAGCGCGTTTAAAAGCTAATCATAATTTTACGAAGCAAGCCCTTCTTGCTGGAATGCTTACAAAAGGCGCTCGTAGTCTTTACCATGAATTACAAGCTTCCCGATAGGAGCTCAATAATATTAGGGGGTCATTTACAGCGCACCAGGCGCACCAGGGCATCCTACATAAAGCCTGTCGTCAACATGTGATCATTATAAATTGAGAGATAAAAACTGATACTAGTAATATTATATTTATAGGTAAAAGTTAATAAATTTGGATATGAAGATGGAGAAGTTGAATGTTTTCATATGGGTGCGGGACCCGCGCTAACATAAATTGTTAATTTATGACAGGGCCGGTTAGCTCCTGCGACCATTGTGGTTCTCGGGAAGTGCTTGGCAGCAATCCAGTCCGAGGGGAATCCGAGGGAATCCGAGTGAAATTTCTCTTCTGGGAGACCTGTCTCAGTCCCAATCGAACGGCCTTTCTCAAGGTTGGTGTCCTAACAATGAAAAATGACATAGCCATAAACAACAACACATGATCCATCAATGGCCCTTTTTTCTCAGGGAGAATCTGGAGGAGTGAGGAGATAGATGTATTCTGCTTGTTTTCTCTTCCAAATGGCACTAATTCCCATTAAGCATCCTTTCAGCTCTACTTTGTACACACTTACTCCCAACACATCTACCTGGCAACCGAACATAGACATGATCTGCAAGTCTTCCCCTATTCCCGAATTCGGGTACATGTTGACTAAATGATAGGCCTGAATAACAGGTTTGGTGCGGCTAGTGACCCTTAGGGCTCGGCTAAACCGCATGAAGCATATCCCGGGGTCCGTACCGTACTTGTAAATAACACTAACGTGGTTTTATTACATTACGCGTATTATAACATGTAGCAGGACTAAGATGGAATGATGTTGATTCACTAGTCCTGGAGGCTGTACCACTGGTAGCCTTGAACAAGAGAGAATTTCGTTGTCATAATTAGTATAAAGTTGATATCATTTTATTTCCAACTAGGTTTCCTTCGTGGAAAGTTCAATAAGATAAGGGGAGTACCAAGTATTTTTCAAAAGAGGAGTAGACCCACAGACCCACACATTTCGGATCTGATTAAAATACGACTTTATCTGATCAAACCTGAAAATAGGGAATCTGATAAACAGATAATAATCAATAGACTTTCAGAAATCACAGTTTAGAATCGATCCAAATCGGTGATCTCTTCTCCACAAATGCCTTGATTCCCTCTGAAAAGTTAGCACCCTTATACAAACGAGGATACCACTCGTCCGCAAGGGTAGTAACGGCATCTTCCGCACTGCCAGCTTCCCAGCTCAACCGAACCCCGAGCCGACCCACAACGAGGGCGTCTGGGCTGTTTTGGCACAATTGAGACGCTAGCTCCACTGCCGCCTCAGCGACATCTCTGCCGGTTTCCACCAACCGAGTAATAAGACCCCAGTCGTAAAGCGTAGCCGCACTGACCGTGCGCCCAGTGAGGACAAGGTCCATAGTCCGTTGAAGACCCATGGTCCGAGTAAGCCTTGGCAAGCAACCTGCTACCGGAACGATTCCCCTTTTGACCTCGGGAAGAGCAAAAGTTGCGGAAGTAGATGCTATTACGAGATCGCAATTCGCCACCATTTCGAATCCTCCGCCCATGCATATGCCATTCACGGCCCCGATTATCGGCTTCTTCCCGCTACGACGGGGCAATCCGGCTAGACCGGGTGCGGCCATATCATTGATCTGGCCGTTCTTGTTAAAGGTGTTCCATTCTAGTAGGGTGTTTGTTAGTGGTGAAAGATGACGCGTAAGTGTTGATGTTATTGATGATACCGTGAAGATCAGCACCAGTGCAAAAAGCTCGCCCATTGCCGGTAATAATTCCAACCCATAAGCTCTCATCTTTATCAAAGAGTTCCCAGATCCCTTGGATCTCACGGCTCATAGAATTTGTAATGGAATTGAGTTTCTCGGGTCTGTTCAGTGTGACTTGCACCACCCGCTCATGCGGGAAGGACACAGTGAAATGCGCATAGTTATGGGGCTGCACCTTAAGAGACATGAGGATTTAATCAGATAAGATGAAGGGAAGGTCTGGGCGGAGGATTGAATAGAGCTGATTTTTATGGGTCGTGGGGCAACGCGATATCGGGGTTGTAACTGGTAAGAAACTGAGATTTGGTCTGCTTATATTCAAAATTAGAATACCTCGGCCTCTTTTGCAAGTCACTTCAACTTGATCCCTCAAGGTCCCGCCTCAAGTTCTTTTCTTCATATACGGAATTCAAAGTCTTTCAAAATGGCTCACAGTTATCCGCCTATCAAGCTTCCTCATCCTTTCCTTACGGCATATCGAGTGCATACTCTCACAGAGGCATTCCCTGCCAAGCGCGCTCTGCTTCTAGACAATCAGCCCACCACTGGAAGATCATTGCCTGAGCAACTACATCACGAATCTCTCTCATGGCTTGATTTGAAGACTTCGGAAGCCGAACTTCCACCGGATAACAATAACACGGCATGGGCACGAGCACGTCGAAGCCCCGAGACCGTCTTCCAATGGACAGGAGAAAGCAAGCCTTCCCTGGGTCAAATTTGGAATGTGATTCACGCTATTTACCTGGGTTACCCGACAACCGAATACTTCCGAGTGTCACTTGTTGGTTCAGGGAAGGAGACTATTCGACGTGAGCTGCTCACAACTGGCCTAGCGATTGAGCATCCTAAGCAATGGGGCTCCAAGCAAAAGTCTGAGGAAGAGAATGAGCTCCTTGTTCTACGTAGCTCATTTTGGCAAGGCGCCGCCTCACCAACCGGCCCTCGTCCGATTTGGGTAGTCGGCGACGGGACAGATGGACCATCAGAATCCCTATCGCGTTACCCGGTTTGGCCAGAAAACTTTCAAATTACCAACAAGTTCCCTGAGGAGCCTGTATATACTCGTCATCCAATTCGTCGACCCAAGCCACACCCAGGCTCAATTGCTTACAGCAGGTATATTCCCGAGATCGACGAGCACTTTTCGCTCGAGGTGGTGAACTGGGAGGATGCAGAGCACTTGAAGCTCTTCAATAAATGGCAGAATGATCCACGTGTTGCGAAGGGGTGGAATGAGACTGGTACTTTGGATCAGCACCGTGAATACCTGCGAAAGTTGCACTTCGACCCCCATGTCTTATGCCTGTTCGGCCGATTTAATGAGACCCGTTTTTCATACTACGAGTTGTACTGGGCTAAGGTAAGTTTCTGTATCGTCTGTGTTGTCAAAATTAATGCTGATTTGTTCACAGGAGGATCATTACGGTGCTCACTACAATGCCGGAGACTATGACCGTGGCCGACATTCCCTAGTTGGAGATTCGTCGTTCCGTGGTGCTCGGCGGGTAAATGCTTGGTATTCAAGCTGCATTCATTACTGCTTCTTAGACGAGCCACGCACTGCAAATGTTGTGGGCGAGCCCAAAGCTACGGGCGAGATTATCTTATCTTATGAGAATTCTCAGGGTCTTACCATTGGCAAGTATGTTGACTTGGGCCACAAAAGATCAGTGCACTCGATCTGTAGTCGAGAGAAGTGGTTCCAGTTGTGTCCGGTTTTCTGGGATGGACGAGATCGGCCCTTGGAGTCGGCTGATCGTGCGGCCTGGAACGCGAAGCTGTAAATCGATGTAACCAACCAGTTTATTTTCATAATTATATCAAAGAGCTTTTACTAAGTAGCCTGGTTTCCCAAGGCTTGTATATACCTCGATTAGATAGTTTCGAGTAAGGTATACAAATGGAACTGGTTAAGTTAACGTGGCCGAGAACCAACAGCATTAAATTTTAGAGACCTTAGTCTTTCATCCTTAATCAAAATTCTGAGTAGAATATGAAAGAGAATTCAGCTATATAAGTGTAGATAACATAAGTCTTTCTTTAGACTCTTCTTTACCAGACCGTACCCTTAACCTGGGGAGACTTTCTCAAGTCAATGTTCCGAATCATCATGACCCAAATTAGGGCCAAACCCATAACACCAGTTCCAACAGCAAGCATTCTTGTTTGAGCATAGCCATAGGCTTTCTGGATAGCGAGTCTAGTAGGAGACCCAACAGCATAGCTGAGCTGTGTGTCAAGATCCTCATAGATCATATCGAAATTATCCATAGCTGATTCCGGAAGATACTTCATCAAAGCGTTGGGATAAGTGTTTTGCCAGATAGCAGAGGAAATTGTAGCACCCATAGCATCACCGACAGTACCGACGACATTCAGAAGGGCGAGCACAGTAGCAAAGTGCTGGTGATCGACAGCAGCCAAGATGGAGAGCTGTTCAACGATGATGAACACAGAGCCACCAATTGAGATAAAGACTTGGCACATGACAAGGTAGCCGACAGACTGGTCAGGGCGGCGGAAGTAGATCATAAGACCCTGAGTAAAGATGTAGAGGGGAACGCCAATCCAGAGCAGCCACTTGAAGCGACCGGTGCGGCGGATCAAGAAACCAACAAGAAGCAGCAAAACACCTGATACTACATCGAATGTGTTGCCGATGTACCCAGCATTGGCCACACTCAGGTCATTGACAACCTGCAGGAAAGAGGTGAAATAGTTGTCCCAGCAGTAGTAGCAGAGCTGGTATGTAGCATCAAGCAAGCAGGCGCCGATGACAGTGCGATTCCACAAAAATTGGAAAGCGAACAGGCGCTTCGGAGCCAGGAGCCACTCGTAAAGGATGAAGATTATAAGCAAAGCGACACCAACACAGATCATTGCAATGATATAGGGCGTATCCCAGCTACTGGGGGCACTACCGGCAATATCGAAGGGTAAAAAGAAAAGGACAAGACCAGCGGAAAAGAGAAGGACACCAAGGGCTAGAACGGATGGGAGTTAGCGAACTGTTCAGTTATAGGATCGGAATACTTCTCACCATCGAACTCTATGATGTAAAACCAGATGCTTTGCAAAACTGTACGTCCACTATTTTCTGGAACATAGCCACTTGCCTTCCGCGCCTTTACCAGATTCCACTTTAGTACACCATAAAGAGGGGCGGCAACAATGGGGAAGATGATGGCAAAGATGCCGAAAGGCCAGCGCAGACCGATGCCATTATCACTCACTGCATCATCTGCGGCTTTGGGCCCAGCGAAAGCAGTGATGATATAGGGGGAGGAGGTAAAGGCATATGCCAAAGCTCGAGATTTCAGCATAGTTGAATCTGCTGTGATCACATCCACGACGTATGTCATGCCTGAAAATCCGAGGGTATAAAACACCTGTATTTTAAGTTAGAATATGTAGCCCTCTGAAGAAGCGCTGGGGAATCTTACGTATGCAGCACAGAAGGTGGCTAGGTTGTTGCAAGCAGCCATCATGATCAATCCAACGGTGGCCAGAACTGTCATGAACAGGAAACCCTCTGCTCGACCCCAGAGATCCATAACCTTCGAAAGGGGAATGTAGCAAGCAGCGGTGATCGCGTCCGAGACAATATAAATAGTGTTCAACAACGAGTGAGCCTCCCATTCACTAGTAATATAGGGGACCAAGCTGGACAAAATATTAGATTGGAAAGAATTGGTGAAGTAGAGGAACCAAATACTAAGAACTCAGGTTAGATATGACACTTTCTGTCTCGAGTCGGTAGGGTAAGACGTACTTGACGAAGATGGCGATGAGCGACCACTTTGACCAGGCTTGAGTAACGGCCTCTATATCTCGAACACCCTGCTGCAGATTTTCATTATCTTGAACATCATCGCCAGCGACTCCCTCGGGGGTATCCAGTTGGCCCTTCTCGACTGTAGTCGTGTTGACCTGAGCAACCGAATCGTCGGTCTCTTGACGGCGAAATATATTCCGTAGTCCCATGGTTACAACAGGGAATACTCAGAAGTCTTGAGAAGTATGAGATATCACAATTAACAAAGTAAAGGAATCATTAAGATTAATAAAACCCTGCCTACTTAAGCCATATGATCCACTGATTGATAAAAGATTGATAAAAGCAGCGAGATCGGCTAATATACCTAATATTTCGTAGCGAGATGCAGCTTAAGGAACGCCTCAAACATAAAAAAACCCATCGGCCCACCCATTGTGTATCTAGGCGAGCAGTTTCAAGAATCAACTCGCAGAATGGATTTGTTTGTTGTATGGTTTTGTAATACATAGTCGATACCGTAATACGCATAGTGGAGCCATACGTGGCCGGTTGAGTCGTTTGATCCGTTTGATCTCATGATTTTGATCCGGCAGACACCGATTTCGGCCTAAGATGCCCCATGGGCGATGAAGTAAAATTTTGAATTTAGCGAGTCAGATTTTGGGGGTGAGCCGAGCAGATCATGCAAAGTGGCTTTTTGAATGGAAAAAGAAAATTGTTGTGGAACTTGGCAGCTTCCCCTTCAGGTATAGCCCTGATTGATAAGATTTCCATCTTCCGTCCGAAGTTCGGGGAGCTTTGCTTTCGTAACCGAAGTTGATCCTCCTGGTGAAGGCTTTCTCCCTGTCTGTTAGATTAATGAATTGAGACGTTGCAATCGCACTTTCTAATACATTGATACGTTAATTGTCCCTGAGGACCCTCAATTTCACCATGAAGGGCCTCAAGCGGTTCACGGCCTACTTCCGCATGCTCGTTGCCGCAAACCCGTCCAAATCAGAGCTTTGCATGTTGGGAGTAGGCATAGTCAGTGCAATCGCATCTGGCGTCCCGTTCCCAATTATCGGAATTGTCTTCGGTAAACTACTCGATGAATTCAACTCTGTGACTTGCAATGCGCGGGATGGATCCGCTACAACGAGCTCCAACTCCGAGTCTCAGCATGAAATCAACAAAAACATCCTGTTGATTGTGTATCTGGCCATTGCACAGTTTGTCACAATCTACATACACCTCACATGCTGGACCATGAGTGGTGCGCGCTTGGCGCAGAGACTGCGAGAGACTTACTTGAAGAGTCTGCTTCGACAGGAACCAACTTATTTTGACAACCTGCCAGCTGGTGAGGTCGCCTCTCGACTAAATAGCGATATCCAAACAATTCGATCCGGCTCGTCTGAGAAAGTGGGAATCGTCCTCTCGAGTATCGCATTTTTTGTGACGGCCTATATTGTTGCTTTTATCAAGGATTGGAAGCTTGCTGCAGAGCTCCTCTCATTGGTCCCAGCTTACTTTATTATGTCTTTTGTTGGAAGCTATTATATTGAGAAACATGCTGGCCGCATGTCCGATTTTGCTGCCAGTGCTGCTTCGATTGCTTCGGAAGCGCTCTCCAATATTGTTGTGGTGCAAGCTTTTGGTGCAAACACTCGGTTGGAGCAAAAGTTCTCCACAGCGCTGAAGTCGTCTGAAACCGAAGGTTTGAAGAAGGCATTAGCTGTCGGTATTCAAGCTGGTGTCCTGTACTTTGTAGCTTATGGTGCAAATGGCTTGGCCTTTTGGCAAGGAAGTCATACTGTCGCCCACTCGGTGGAGACAGGCACTGCAGGAGTCACAGTAGGCGCTACATTCACGGTCATTTTCATCTTAGTTGAAGGTAAGTTCTTGATCCAAGGACATCCGTGAACATACTAACGATATCCCAGCTACTCTACTTCTCAGTCAAGTCGCACCATTTTTGCATCTATTCGTTCAAGCCGTCGCATCATACTCAAAACTCCAAGAGGATATTGAGCGAGAGCCCTTGATTGATGCTACTAGCACCGCTGGAATTCGTCTATCTCAGGTGGAAGGTGGCTTCGGTTTCGAGAATGTCTCCTTTACATATCCTTCCCGACCAGAGATCACTGTGCTTGACCAGGTCAGCTTTAGCATCCCAGCAAACAAACACACTGCTCTAGTCGGGCTTTCTGGAAGTGGAAAGTCGACTATTGCTGGCTTGGTGACAAGACTGTACGATCCAACAATTGGAAGAGTCACCTTTGGAGGACACGATATTCGCGACGTTAATGTGCGGGACTTGAGAAGTTTCCTCGGTCTTGTACAGCAGGAGCCATCCCTTCTTGACCGATCGCTTTTGGAGAATATTGCATACGGCCTAATCAATTCTAGTAACCCGAGTCATAAGGATTTGAAGGATGTTTTCCTCCGTCCAGACCTCGAAGAGCTAGCCAAGGATCTGAGAGATGGCAAGGATCTCATGACAGAAGCTGAAAAGCGTGGTTCTGATGTCGTCAAAATCGTTAACTTGGTAAAGCGAGCCACAGAGCTTGCCGATGCAGATGGCTTCATTTCCAGGCTGCAATACGGACTAGGAACGAATGTGGGCTCTAGTGGAAGATTGATCAGTGGTGGCCAGAAGCAGCGAATTTCTCTTGCTCGTGCCCTAGTTAGAGATCCGGCTGTTCTCATCCTTGATGAGGCCACTGCTTCTCTTGACTCTCACAGTGAGCACCGTATTCAGAATGCGATTGCCAATATTTCAGCTGGTCGGACTGTTCTTACAATTGCTCACCGTTTGTCAACCATAGCCAACGCAGACAACATCATTGTTATGCACAAGGGGCATATTATTGAGCAGGGAGATCATCGAACTTTGATGGATAGAGATGGATCGTATGCCGAGCTTGTCAAGCTCCAAACTTTGTCCCCTGAAAAGAGCGAAGCGCTGGCCAGTGCTGATAGCATCTCTGAAAGAAGCTCCCTGGTCGAAAACGACCTAGAAGAGATGAGTGCTGACATCACTGAAGAAAAGCTCCCTTCGATTGAGTCGACTAAAGTTCCCACAGAAGAAGAGGAAGAGCCAGAGACACCTGCAAAGTCTGTCTGGGCCCTTATAAAGGGTTATACACCCACTCTACGCCCACACCTTTTGGTTATTGCTCTAGCACTGATCGGATCGATCATTGTCGGTGGTGCATTCTCAGGCGAAGCTGTGATTTTCGGAAATACAGTCGGTAGTCTCGATCCCTGCAATGCAGCAGATTATATTCGCTCACAGGGTAACTTCTACGGTCTGATGTTCTTTGTCCTTGCCATTATTGAGTTCTTTGCCAACATCGTCAGCTGGACTGGGTTTGGATGGACATCGGAAAGAATAGTATACACCGTCCGAGTCTTGTCATTCCGTTCTCTTTTCGAGCAAGACCTTCAATGGCACCAGTCCAAGGGTCGAACACCCCCGTTGCTTCTCTCTTATATCACGAGAGATGGAAATGCACTGGCTGGATTGAGCGGTTCCATCATTGGCACCCTGTTCTCCATATCTGTCAACCTTGTCGCTGCAATTATCTTGACACACATCATCGCTTGGAGGATTGCGCTGGTTTGTTTGGCTTTGGTCCCGCTTCTACTCGGAGCAGGCTTGATGGAGCTTCGAGTGCTTGGCAAATTCGAAGAGCGCCATGAAAATGCGTACGCCAATTCGGTCGAGATAGGTGTTGAAGCAGTCACATCCATCAGGACAATTGCATCACTCTCCCTTGAGGGAGAAACACTGCGGGCTTATCGCGAGTCATTGAAAGGGCCGCAAAAGGAAACGCTCCAGGTCACCGTGCAAGCAAGTCTTTGGCAAGCAATTACCTACTTCCTGGGAAACCTAGTCAATGCGCTGGCATATTGGTGGGGATCTAAGCAAATCATCTCAGGCAACTACACACAGACACAGTTCTTGATTGTTGTGTTTTCTCTTTTAGTCAGTGCACTCCTCTGGAGTCAGATGTTCGCGCTTGCCCCCGAGATTTCTCAGGCGCGGGCAGCCATGGCACGAATCCTCGGCCTTATTGAGATGGGATCAGACAAGATGCAAGGCCGTGTCCCCGACCACGCGCCTGACAGAGATGTACAGGAAGACCTTGAAATGGTAGCTGAGTCAAAGTCTATGCAATTTACCGGCAAGGCTTCGAGTGTCAAGCTTTCTGATGTCCATTTTGCATATCCTGCACGCCCGGACATGAAGGTATTGAATGGACTCAGTATTAACATTCGACCTGGTCAATTCTGCGCACTTGTCGGTCCAAGTGGCGCCGGAAAGTCCACTATAATTTCACTAGCAGAGCGGCTTTACATCCCAGAGTCCGGCTCAATTATCATCGACGACGTTGACGTGACCAAGACACGTGATGTGAGATTCCGTGACTCCATCGCGTTAGTTCCACAAGAAAGCGTGTTATTCGAGGGATCGGTAGAGTTCAACATAGGACTCGGAGCTATACCAGGTCAGGACGCGACGATCGAGGATATAATTGAAGCATGCAAGCTCGCCAATATTCACGACACGATTGAGGCGTTGCCAGAGGGGTACCAAACGCTCTGTGGGCCGAATGGGAACCAATTCTCAGGAGGCCAGAAGCAGCGATTGTCGATTGCTCGAGCTCTTGTCCGCAAGCCGAAGCTGCTGATTCTGGACGAGTCTACCAGTGCTTTAGACGCAGAGTCTGAGAAATTACTGCAAGACGGGCTGGAGAAGGCTGCCCGTGGGATTACAGTCATTGCGATTGCTCATCGTCTTCGCACTATTGTCAAGGCTGATGTTATCTTCTTGATTGAGTCAGGTCAATGTGTGGATTTTGGCACGCATGCACAGTTGCTTGAAAGGTCAGAGAGCTATCGGGCTAACGTGATGCATCAAACTGTGGCGACCTGATAAATCAGTTCGGCCATATCGAGCATAGAGTGTTTTCATATTCATATTCCTATTTCCCTAACTTAAATTAGTCCCAAATTTAATAACCTACTATTTTCCGATTCAAAAAGTTGTCGTGGAGCTTCAAAAGCTTGGAACCTAAAGGTATCCGATAAAGTCACGTGTAATATGGTATGCTTTTTGCCGAGGGCACCAATTTTAAGCCTGAGGCATAAACAATTACATCCACATCCAGGATTATTGAAGCTGAGATGACCTTCTTTCTGAGATCAACTTAGGGAAGACTTCAACCCTCAGGCATGACAACACCTTCCTTCTTCTGGTGAATACTATTTGGTCATTTTAGTCAACGTCCACCTTCTATTCTTATAGTAGGGATGAGTTGAAGGTGAGCCATTTTACGTGACCGTAGATTAATGCCTGATAACCGGGGCACAAATTACGTACGCCAAGTATAAACAAGGTTTCCCTTTTTGAACATGATTTGGTACGAGCCAATGACATTGTCGATCGAATATCATCGATCGGCTTCGAGGACCACAGATTGATGTCCACACTAGTTGCCTATGTGGCTGTGAGCTAGCCACATAACTCTTCCAAATGAACACACATGGAGAGCACTGCCCCTCTATCTTTGTCGATCTAAACGCATCTAGATGAATGGACCATGGAACCCGGTAGTTACTGGGGTTGACCCGGCTTAATGTAGATGGCAAGAGGGGTAACTTTTGCCCCTCCCCCTATAAGAAGGAAAATCCCAACTCCTCTCGTCTTTTCTTTTTCTCTTGGCTACATCAACTTCACATCTCACATTCCATTCAAACTCTATCAAAATGGATCAGCTTTCGGGTCTCGCTGCCAAGTTCGGTGGTGGTAGCTCCAGCTCCGGTGACAAAAACACCAACACCAACACCAACACCAACCAGTCTGGTCAGGAGGACTACCTTGACAAGGGTACGCCAGCCTTGCTTCAGCCATCAATTATCAAACATTTCGCTAATATTTTTTACACTAGCTCTTGACTTCGCTGAGAAGAAGACCGGTCACTCTTTTGGCCGTGACACCAACGAGAAAATCACCGACGGTGCCCGCGAGCAGTTCGAGAAGTTCTCTGGGTAAGTTTTGATTTGAAAACAGTAATAATTTGAACGTGTTGAACAAGTTACTAACAGGTGTGGCAACATATAGCAAGAAAGTCCCTGAAAAGTTCTCCAACTAGATTACTTCATGGCATACGTTCATGACATAGATATATCCGCATGACAAATTCTTACAAGCAGATTGAACGAACTCAATGTATGCATAATATTTACGCATCTCTTGTCCCGTGTAGTATGTAGATCGTACCTAGGTAGTGTTTTCAAGGGGAAAGGAACTATTCTTGTGACGTCGAGGCTGGAACGTGCTTTGATACGGTGATCGATGACATGGATGTCTCATCTTTAAGTTGACCCACTCTGAAGCAGGTTCTCATGTAAAAGAGTGCCTAGCTTCCCCGCCCATGTGTCAGTACCAGAATTATTCATTAACATTTGAATCAGCTTAGATAGGACCTGAACTATGGAATTGCTAGTGGATTAGATCTTGATTGCAACATCCCTTAGAAATCACCATCCGATATTCACGATGACCCAGACGAGATAATTTCATGTTTATTCCTTGGAACACTACCTAGGTACTTTGACATCCAAATAACCCTCTCTCTCAGATGATGCCAGTGGTCATGATCTATTTAAACTCGGTTTGGCTTTTACGGGGCCATCAATGCATGAACGCCACTAATAGCCCTGGAGGTATTTAGGTGTCACCGTGTAGATGTTGAGGTACACAAAAGCCTAATAGTAAAACAAGATATTCAGAGATATTCCCATTATGGAATCACATTCCAAATGATAATTTGAAATTGTAGATCTAACAGTAAAGAGCACCGAAGGAAAAGCAAAGCTGATCAAAGCCCAAAGCAATAGCCAACACTAAACTAAGCAGACTGAACGACAGGCCAGCCAGACGAAAAGGAAATTGGGTTCCATCCAAACTGCTTGTCAGCATCGGCATAGCCAATATCAGTATTGATATAATGGTAGTAAAGGACAGGTCCATAAGTAGGGTCATCAAAGACACCCCTAAGGCAAGTTAGTCAAATTAACACCATGAAAGGAATCTCGCATGATAACGTACTGTCCACCAGGTCCATAAGTTGTTCCATGACTTTCTAGAACAATAGTGCCACCGCCATCAGTGCAAGAAGTACCATCCTTGTCAACCTAAATGACGATAAATTAGTAATAGCTTCCTAGAAAAAAAGTCAAGACTTACAAAATTGCCAGTGAACGACTTTGAACGGCAGACCTTAATCTTGTACTCAGAGCCAGAAGAAGGTAGGTCAGTATCATAGTTGCAGCAAGTTCCGGCAGAGTAGAAGAGGTAGTAATAATCTCCATCCTGATACATGTACGAGCCTTCAACGGCATGAGTGCCAGATGAGTCGAAAGCAATGTTGTACGAAGTACCAGTGGCCTTCTTTGCGCTAGACTTCAGTTCGACTTGGAAGATGTCCCCCCAGAATGAACCGAAGTTCAGGTAGCCGGTACTATCGACGACAATGACGTTGGGATCAATGGCATTGTAGTCCTTTGAAGAGCTGGATTGGACGCCGATGGAGCCGTGGTCGGTCCAAGAGTCTAACTCCATTGTGTCGGAGGTCGCAAGACCAATGGCAGAGTCTTGCGATCCGAAGGTTGAGACTGCATAGTAGACATAGTACTGTGAGTTGATTCTCTGAGCGTCAGGAGCCTGAAGTGAAAGAATGTTAATGAGGGCATATAGATTTGAATTCAATTAATATGGACAACTTACCCACAAGTCAGTGTTTCCGTCCAGGTCAATCGATGATCCATCAGGCAACAAGGATCCGAGGGTCGTCCAGGGGCCGGCGAGGGAACTGGCACTGGCATAGAGGATCTCATCTCCAGTCGAGAATCGGAAGTACGTGCCATCAGAGACTCTCCGGATCACGGATGGATCAGAAACGATACAAGCACCCGAACAACTTCCGGGGTCAGCATATCCTTGCGCCAAAGCTGCAAGAGCAATAGTGATCGCATAATACTGGAGAACCATTCTTGCAGGTCGATAAAGAAGAGGGAATGTAGATAACGATCAGACTAGACCATTGACGACAAGCGAATATTTATATTGGATGTGGAAAGAGGAGAGCAGCTATTCTGGGTAGATAAGTCTCCACAGGTGGCCGGCATCATTGCCAGAAAGAGTACTGTAGAGAAATGAATGGACTAGGATAAATTGAATGTGGAACGCACTATCCCAGAAGGGCTTGAAGAGACAAAATGCCGGCAATGTCAGGAACATGGTAGCTGCTGACAGGTTCACTAGTGGAACTTTTTGATACTAGCGTGGCTGAATTTGTGGGGAGTTTCTTCAGCGCGGTTAATAGGCATATTCTACCTATTCTCCGCAAAAGAAACCGTCAATCAACCGAAGTTTGAACACAATTGTGACGCTCAGTCTCCAGGTCCAGATCCAAGAGAATAATCCATCATGATGAAGACTAAGACCTGCACTATGCATGAAACCGCCTAACTTATTAGGGCGGCGCCCGCTTTCGAAACGAGACAACTGCCCCATATTCAGGTGGGCCACCTGCACACGTGCAATTTCAATCTTCAAAGGCCATAGAGGGGTTGTCAGTTCTTAGGTTCGGTTTTGCTTCCTTGCTAGGTGTTAGTGGCCAAATGTACTGAGTTGAAGTCTTGGAAGGATGACAAAGTTCCATCCTTCTTTCGGAAGTCCGAGGGTGTCCCGACAGCGAGATTGTTGTTATCCATAACAACCTCAAATCAGGTGATTTATTAACTGGTGTTGGAATCAATAATTATAACAGAGCCTGCAACTTTGAAGCAGAATCGTGATGCGACAAGCGAGATATGCAGCCGTTGCGGTCATTGAAGCCAATCTACTACAGGGTATCAACAAATGTACGATCAGACAACAGGAAGCCAACCAAGGTGGCACGTGCAGCACGCAAACAGGCAAGCATTTGATTCAAAGGAAGTCGGAGATATGGTTTTGGAAGGTCTGAATGGTCAGAGAAGAATAGTCTTCCATGGGAGTAGCTTCTCAGATATAATCTGAAAGAAGAGATGCGAGAACGATAAATTCCAAATCAGGTAAAGCGTGAATAATAACTGGATCAATCACGTGGCTATTGCTGTGCTGCCTTACTGCCTTAATCATCCCTTGTTCAGCATGATATGATGATGATGTGACTTACCCGGCTTCACGAGGGCACATTTTAAATTTTCAATGATGAGTTATTTGTTTGCGTCGCCCATTTGGGTAGCCCTAGTGAATCCGATGAATATATTTTCTATAATTTTGCCCATGATGGAACCTTTAGGCCCAACGAAAGGGCCAGTGGATTCATTTTACCCGCCTCTGGAGCTGATGTCATACATCACCAATTCTGCATATGGCACATTCGGTGGGATTTACACCGCGCCTAAAGATCAAGCACAAGATTCAGGTGATGGATCTTACCACTACTGCAGCATGCCTCATCCACAGCCAGACCATTACCAACTACCATTTTCGATTCGGAATCGCTCTGTTGAGGCACAATTAGTGTATGTGGAGTACATGCAACGACATCAGCGTCGTACACCTTATAATATCCTGCCAGTAGGCGAGGTGTGTTGAACCAATTGCAACCACACGCCAAATCTCACCCGTAAATAGGATCAGACATATAACTGTGACGATGTTCGTCCATATCTATATACGGCACCTGATAGCAACAGCTCATCACCGATACCAATGTATGGCCAAACATACACAGATCTCACCAATCCATATGCTAAAGGCTATGTCAATGGCACCTGTCAATATCCACAATTGACTATTGGTGGATTTCTGGACGGCTATCAACATGGGCGTGACCTTTGGGCCGTCTATGGAGACAAGCTGGGTCTTCTGCCATCCAGCCCAGAAAGTCAAAAGGTGTGGTTCAGATCCAGTCACTCGCCTCTGACACAGCAGTCGGCAGGGGCTGTTCTGCGTGGTATTTGGCCTGACCATGACGGAACGCTGCCATTGCACCAACAGTCTCCCGAGATAGATACGGTAAATCGCGGCTTTCCATGTCCGGCACGTTCGAGATTGCTTTCAAAGATCCAATCCTCTAGCGAATGGAGCCGTCACCTCACTGAGACTAAGACGTTACGCGACAGGCTTGCAACCATCTTCAGTGCAGACAAGTCAGACTGGATGTCATCGTTTGACCACTTTGCCGACAATTTCCAAGGGAGATTATGTAATGGCTACCGTTTACCTTGTAGCCTCAAGGACCCCTCCATATGTGTCACAGAGAATGAGGCATATGAGGTATTTCGGGCTGGTGACTGGGAGTGGAATTACTGGTGGCACCGTAACGCGGATGCCTTGAAATACATTCAAATAATAGAGGGGCTATTCATTGGTGAGATTGTGAGACGACTAGAAGCAGTTTCTCACGGCACTCTTAACAGAGTCTATACCCACAACTTTATTCACGATGGTGATATTGGACCCATACTTGGTGCTTTGGGCGCGCAGCAGATAAGGTGGCCTGGCATGGCTTCCAACATCGCCTTTGAGATCTGGTAAGTCCTCTAAAACTTTTATTGGAGAAATGTTTATTCACGATTCAGGAAAACTACCAAGGAAAGGTTCTTTGCCCGCGTCTTATATAGCGGACATGCGCTAAGAACAGCTGATGGCTCTTTGGAGTGGGTCGACTTGTCAGTGTTGACAGATCGACTGAAAGCTTATGTTCCGGAGGACATTATTTCAATGTGTAACTCCTGAATCATGATATAATCTGTCAGGGACTGAATCTGGATAGAGAAATCGTGATAGAGAATGCAGGTCCATGCATCGGAATTCCAAAGAATATGCTAATGCCTATGATATCAATGACAATCTACAGAGCTTCAATGACCAGTTGTGATCAACTCACTATATGAAGATGCAGACAAATGCATCAGTGTCAAGGGTTTTAATTCCGTCCGGGTGCCACAAATTAAGGCATTGAATTATCTACATTTTCCTCATATCTCAAGGGCTGTCTGCAAATATCCCAATACTTTCTCACACAGAAACTTCCGTGGCTCAGCCTGGTCATCATTGCTTAAAGCATGGGAAGCATTTGGAATAATGGCTGAATGCACTTCATCCCAAATTTGATACTTTCCGCCATGATCAGTAGCATTCTGCCACCTAGCCAAGTTATTTTCTTTATCAACCCACGCTGGGACTGCCTGATCAGCTCCTGAATAGAGGACCATTAGCTTATGTCGCAGCAGTCCACGCTGCTGGATCATGCCGAATGTTTTTGCCAGCTGCCCATTGCTCAAATCCGCGCTGAACAAGTCGTCTTCCCCAGGTGAAGCAGGACTATCTGGACTATAGAGACTCAAGAATCTGCGACAGCTGATAGGCGTATTAGCTGGGTAGATTGCAGTAGTTAACGCAAGAGGAAGTATTGTGTCATGCTTGCTATTCCCAGCAACAGCCTCTTTCGAGATAGCTTCCATCTCATCACATATAGCCTTCATCTGAGCTGGAGAGTTTCCCATGAACCCATGTTCAATGCAAAGCTTGATAGCTTCCCTGTCTGATACAGGAGCTTGCATGATTGCACCATCGAGAGCAGGGCGCTGAACATGTTCAAGATCGGCATCAAATGCAGGAACACTGGTATGCGGATTGGATTGAGAAAGGTAGTGCAGAACACATTGACTGCCGGTAGAATGACCCATAAGAACGAGCTTGCTACTGCCGAACTTCTCGGTTTTGTATTCTTTAATATACTCGATACATCGAGCAATCTCATTTGTGTCTCTATCCAGATGTCCGCAGCCCCATGATGTGTATGATGAGGTGACGTTCAAGGTGAAGAGGGACCACCCTGTCGGCAGCAATGTGCGAGCAAGGTCAGCCATGTAGGATGTTGTGGCAAGGCCATCTCCGAGACCGCCGATAAAAAGAACGCTGTGAGGTTGAGGAGCGAGAGTGGAGGTGAACTCAAATGCGGTGAGCGTCTCAGTCTTCAAGAATATTGTCAGTAAAGTCCGAAGACGATGGTGAGATCTAAGATAGAGACGAACATAGTGATGCAAAATGCCAGGAAGGCCTCCTTTAGGCCAAAATTTGGAATACATAGTCGTTGGAAAATAAAGGCAATGTTGGGAAATTTGAAAATTTCAGCGAATAACTAATTGAGAGCCCCGGGGCCAAATGGAAGCTCGTGTCAGTGGGATGCTCTACTATGCCGTGCTAGAGATAGTAGACCCACAGACTTTTCTGTTATCAGATCGTATTAATTTCCGAGATCGGCTCGACAAGATTTGTCGTGGGTAAAATTATATCAAGCATCCAATAAGCTAGAATAGCCCCCGGGGTTTGTGGAGAAAGTGAAAAATGCCGCAAAAATAAAATAAAATAAGCTGGTATTGGTATTTAACTATGGACGTAATGTGGTAATATTACAGCGAGATGTATTTTTTGTATCAGCATCATTACACTAGCTTTCTACAAAACAGAACGCAAGCAAAGACTGAGATTGGATCATACTTTTTTCGGAAGGATTTATTGAAAGAGAACCATAAAAATACACTTGAGACCCCTGCAGAAACTCACCATATAAGCTTGAAAGTAGTATCTGAATACTGATGTACATTGTATGTCCCATTCGTCTGTAAGATTGATAAAAACAGATAAGTTTTTATCAGATCCGCCGAGTGGGGTCAAGTGTTCCGATGTTTCACTGCGCTAGTTTTGACTCCGTAATTGGGCTATTACTTGGGCAACTTGGCAAAATGATGCGAACGTTTGGGATAAAAAGCCCACTTTTCATGCCGGTCTCGCTCCATATGTTAATATTATCAAATACTTCCGGTTCCATGGTAAGTTTGTGCCGAAAGAAACTGCGTGAATTGTTATGAAAAGAACTGCTCTCCCGATCACCGTCAAATCGAAGATTTTACCCAAGTCGCAAGTCAGAACTGCAATATAGCAATAAACTGGCCGATTTTCAAGATGGGCTCAATCGGCTCGGTTTATGATAAACATGAAGCCCCTCATGATGCTGTCCAATTATTCAATATCCCGGGCCTTTCGTCTAAAGAAATCACTACTCCTACAGGAATGAGGGAGGAGGTTGTGCTCTTGGCTTGGCTTACTTGTCTTTTGAGAACACACGAAGGCCTTGTCAATTATGAGTGGGCCTACAAATCTCAAGATAATGATTTGGATTCGGAGGTGATACATCGCTTGCCCACAGAGAAAGTCATGCCGGGACTGCAAAGTACTGTCGGAGATATTGCGGCAGCATTTTCAGTGTATATCAAGACATGTTCAGCTGGTCAAGGAGATTTTTCTGGACGGACGTCACTGCTTCTGAGTACCAGCTCTCTTTCACAAAGTAACAAGGAAGCTGAAGTAAGATGAATTCCCCCCCCCCCCAACTATGCAATTGTACTATCAGTTGACTTACAAGTACAAAAGGGATACTTTCATATCGAGTTGAGATTCAATGATGATCATCTCCAGGTTTACCCGGTGTGGAACTCGGATAACATGCTGCAATATACGATCAACCACCAAATTGAAGCATTCATTGACATCATTAAGCTATGCATATTCAATTCTGCATGGTCTGTCGAACAGTGTATGCGACCAACTGAAAGTGATATGAACGAGATCTGGAGAATCAATCACGAATTACCACCAACTTACAGTTTTTGCATGCATGAAATGGTTTCTGAACGAGCCCAAAAACACCCCGACAAAGTCGCAATCCATTCTTGGGATGGTGATTTAACGTACGGCGAAGTTGACCAGTACTCCTCGATCGTGGAAGCTCTGTTAAGAGAATCAGGTGTTGAACCGGACGACGTTCTGCCTGTTTGCTTTGAGAAATCAAGGTGGACGATTGTCGCAGTACTCGGTGTGATGAAAGCCGGAGCGACATTTGCTCTAATGGACCCCACACTCCCCCTTGCCCGACTGCAGAATATGGCGGAGCAGATTGGTGCAAAGAGAATGGTGTGTTCTCGCAAAGAGTATGATTTTTCGACATCAATCTTGCCGAGTGAAAAGCTTCTTGTTGTCGAGGAACAAACCTTTTCAAACGTTTCCGCCAAAGCAGTTTCCACACCGGCATCGGTACCATCATCAACGTTAATGTACATTATTTTCACAAGTGGCTCTACGGGGACTCCAAAGGGAGTAACTATTTCACATCAATCATACACAAGCAGCGCTATCCCTCGCGCAGCAGCCGTTGGCTATGACGAAGATTCTAGAGTGCTGGTAAATCAAGATCTATCCCCATTCCCGATCCTAACTCACCAATTCTATAGGACTTCGCTTCATATGCTTTCGACGTCAGCATTGACAGCATGTTTTTGACAGTCGGAAACGGTGGCTGTCTTTGTATTCCCTCCGATGAAGATCGATTGAACGATATAAATGAGGTGATCCGAAAGATGAAGATCAACTATGCCGGATTGACCCCATCAGTTGCCCGAATTCTGGACCCAGATGTTATTTTATCTCTATCGCATGGTCTTGGGCTTGGGGGGAAGCCGTCTCTGCTAGAGATGCTACCCTCTGGGGAAAATCAGCTAGGATCATTATTGGATATGGTCCCTGCGAATGCACGATCGGATGTACTGTGAATAGTAGCGCAGCGACGGGCCGAGATTACATCTCTATCGGTCCAGGAAATGGAGCGGCTATATGGATTGTTGACCCGAACGACCACAACATTCTCATGCCGATAGGTGCTGTTGGCGAGTTGCTTGTCGAAGGTCCGATCGTTGGACAGGGCTACTTGAATGACCCTGAAAAGACAGCGTCTGCTTTCGTTAGAGATCCTCCTTGGCTTGTAGAGGGTTACAAAAAGTTCACTGGCCGCCTGGGACGTCTGTACAAAACTGGTGACTTGGGACGATATGATCCAGACGGCTCTGGTGGAATTGTGTTCTCTGGAAGAAAGGATACCCAGGTCAAATTGCGCGGACAGCGTGTTGAGCTCGGTGAAATTGAGAGTCAACTCAGAGATCGCCTGCCTTCGGATGCAAATGTGATTGTCGAAGTCATTGTTCCCCAAGGATCTGGAGGTCAACCGACTCTGGTAGCATTCATAACCTCGCCATCGATGAAGACTGTCGAAAATGACGAGTTGACATCAGTACAGTTTCAAAATGATTTACGCGGAATTGTGTCCAAAACCAATGATGAAATCGCAAAAGTCTTACCTAGATATATGATACCCACAGTTTATATCCCTGTGAACAACATTCCAGTTTTGATATCTGGTAAGACCGATCGCAAGCGGCTGCGCCAATTTGGCACCACTATCGACTTGCGCCAGGTAGATGGATGCACGGAAAAACCAGCTGCCAGAGAGCTAAGTGAGTTCGAGCGACGATTGAGGCAGTCATGGGCCCAGACGCTGAAGTTGGAAGAGGAGAGTATCCAACCTGGAGACAATTTCTTCGCATTGGGCGGAGAATCCCTGGCAGCAATGCGATTAGTTTCAATATGCAGGGCGCAAGGCCTTGATCTATCTGTCATGAGTACATTTAACAACCCTACACTCTCGGCTATGGCTGGTGCAGCTTCACCATACAATATAGAGTCTCAGACAGAAATTGCCGCGTTCTCAATGATCTCCCAAGCCTCCGACAGTGCCTGTCTTGAAGCGTCGCAGACTTATGGATTCATCCAGTCTGACATTCAGGACATTTATCCTTGCACAGCGACTCAAGAGTCACTGATCACCTTCTCACTCAAATCTGTCGAGCCGTATATTGCCCAGAGAATAGCATCTATTCCTTCTGATATGGACATCGATATTTTGAAAAAAGCATGGGGAGCAGTTGTGGAGGCTCTTCCCATTTTACGCACTCGACTGGCCCAGCTTCAAGAACCTGGTCTTCAACAGGTTGTATTAAAGGAACAAATTTCCTGGAGAACTTCCACAGACCTCCAGAGTTATCTAGAGAGTGACAGAAACGAGAGAATGGACCTTGGAGATAAACTCGCCCGATATGCCATTGTCCATGATGCCAATGATGGAAAGAGATACATGGTCTGGACAATTCATCATGTTGTAAGTGCCGTCGAAGTATTGGATTATAAGAAAATCGCCATTAACACTTCTATAGCTATACGATGGATGGAGCGAGCCTTTGGTTCTCCAACAAGTCAGCAATGTTTTGCAGAAAAAACCCATTGAGGTCCAAACACAGATGCGACAATTTGTCAAATGGGAGGCCAACACAGACGAAGAGGCAATGCAAGAGTTTTGGCGTCGGGAATTGAAAAATGCTGTAGGACCCCAGTTTCCACACACGCCGTCACGAGACTTCTTGCCAAATCCCGATTCAATGATTGAGCGACAAATATCTGTTGAGACAAATTCAGGCTCTCCATTTACAATGGCTACCTTAATTCGCGGAGCATGGGCACTGGTGGCATCTCAATACTCCGGGAGTGATGATGTCGTTTTTGGTGAGACTCTTACCGGCCGTGATATTGCACTTCCAGGAGTCGAGGGTATTGTAGGTCCACTGATCGCAACCGTTCCTGTTCGGATTCACATCGACCGGAAGGACACAATCGAAAATTACCTCCAGGCCATGCAGCAGGGTGTATTGGCCCGGACTTCATACCAGCATATGGGAATGCAGAACATCAGAAAGGTCAGCCAGGATGCGCAGCATGCGTGCGAAGCCCCTACAGGATTGGTTATTCAGCCAGACCCAGAGTATGTTGGCAGTGAACTGGGATTTGAGGTCGGCGATGTTGTGAAAGAAGCCCTCCATTTTAATCCATATCCGCTGATGATCGGTTGTGGGATTCGCAAGGGTGGTTTCAGAATTTGTGCCAATTTTGACAGCAGGTTGATTCAAGTCTCTCAAATGGAACGTGTTCTTGCACAAATGGAGATGGCTTGCTCTCAGCTGACGCGCAACCTTTCTAGACGGCTTGGTGACATTTCTTATATGCCTGAAACAGAGTTGGATCACATCTGGGAGCGCAACAAGAATCCTCCTCTATCTTGGGATCAATCTTCAAAGAAGCTCCGAGCAAATGCGAATGCGAAGCAGGGGTCAACTTATCCTGGTGCAGTAGTCCCATGGGTGTGCAATCTCCAAAATCCATCTCTTTTATCGCCAATCGGCTGTGCTGGTGAGCTTTGGCTCGAGGGGGCATTCTTTTCAGGAGAAGTTGTTGAGTCACCAGCGTGGTTGGTTAGTGGAAGCTCAAAATACACAGGGAGATCTGGAAAGGTCCAATCTACTGGTGACGTTGTCAAGTTACGAGAAGATGGTAGCTTGGAGTTTGTTGGTCGAAAAGAGCATCATCTTCCGGTACAAGGACACGCTGTGAATATTACCGACCTTGAAGCTCACTTCTCAACATATCTCTCGTTGGAAGTTCGTGCAACTGCAGCTGTTATTCACAGCCAAGAGCTCCAACCTGAGCTGATTGTCTTCTTGCAGCAACTGTCTTCAGCGGAAGCTACTGTGCAAGTGATTCCTGCAGATTACGAGATTACAAGCAGTACAAATATCAAGGCGGTCATCCGTGCCTTGATTCCCAGCAGTCTTTCCGCATCTTTGAAGAAGTTCGACAAATTCGTCCACGACTCTCTCCCCTCATACATGGTCCCTTCTGCATATATTGTGATCAATGAACTGCCCACTGAATCAGAAGATATCGATTATCAGGCTGAGCTCAATCAGCTCGCGAGTGGAATTCCGCAGGAAATTCTCATCCAGCTTCGTAAGGGTTTCCAGGAGACGTGGTCAAAAACCTCATCTCAGTCTATATTGACTGCATCAGAGTATATCCTTCGCTCAGCCTGGGCTAAGATCCTACGAATTGAGGAAGAAAAGATTGATATTGACGACAACTTTTTCCGTCTCGGGGGCGACTCCGTTTTAGCCATGAAGCTGGTATCGAATCTTCGTGCACAGGGACATAAATTATCTGTGGCCGATATTTTCCAGCACATGCGTCTAAGCGATGCCGCGAGAGTTCTGAAGACAGAACAGACATTAAAGGAGAATGACCGTGCTTACAAACCTTTCTCAATGTTGAGTCAAATAGATGTTGGCCAGTTCTTGTCTAATGTTGTCCGACCGAAGCTTGTCGACCCTCACTGGTCCATTCAAGATGTATACCCGGTCACAGATTCCCAGGCCCTTGATATCAAGGGAACAATTCAAGCCCCAAGGACTTCCATTCAATATACCATGCTCTTCTTCGAAAAGGGAATCAACAGAGATCAATTGCTTCACGCATGCAAACAACTTGTTGAAACTCATGAGATACTTCGCACTGTTTTTATCAACCATGAAGCATCATTCTATCAGGTTGTCTTAGAAAAAGTCAATATTGCGGTGACTCTTCATCAGGTTGACGAACCTCTTGAGGACTCGGTAGCTCAGATCTGCTCAGCTGAGTCCGATTTTAATTTGGGATCACCATTCCTGAAGCTGATGCATATAGAGAGCAACGAAGGCCGTGAATGTCTTGCTTTAGGACTATCTCATGCCCAATATGATGGGGTCAGTTTGCCCAGAATGCTTCAAGATCTGGAGACTTTCTACAGTGGAGATCACATTGCCGATTTTAAGACATTCACTTCGTACATGGCATGTATCCAGGACGAAACCCTCCAGAAAAAGGCAATTAGCTATTGGAGCCATCTTCTCAGAGGCTCTTCATTATCTGTCCTTGAGACTTCGGCGCAGCCTACGGACAAGGCGATCTTCCGTACAACGTCCGTCGGCATCTCCCCGTCCGTCGAGCACATCACGACAGCCACTTTGCTTACAGCAGCATGGGCTGTTGTGCTGGCTCGCCGTTTAAACACATCAGATGTGACATTTGGAGGCGTCACCTCTGGTCGAATGATTACAATGTCCAATGCGGAGGACGTGGTTGGCCCATGTTATCAGCTCACCCCCATTCGAGTGGTCTTTGAGTCACACTGGACACCAATGGATCTATTCGAGTTTGTACAGAAGCAAGGTGCCGAGTCAGCCGCTCATGATTTCCTGGGTTTCAATAAAATCTCCAAGAACTGCGTGCAATGGTCATCGGACTTGGAATCATTCGATTCTCTCGTTCATCATCAGGACTGGGATGATTTCGATACCATGCCTTTTGCAGGGGGAAATTGTAAGGTGGATATCCTGAACCCGGACGGTGATGGAGCGTACCCTACAAAGACTGTTTCATTCGTGAAGGACGGCCAGTTGCATGTGGGTGTGGTTGGGAGTGAAAACGACTCGATTTTTGTCGAAGGAGCACTAGCTGAATTGGCTGCTACCGTAAAGAAATTGGTTCTTCGTCGGTCTGAGGGATCTCTTGAACAGATCTTACAGGAGTGATTACAGTTTTGATTTTTCAAATGTACTTTTGAGTAGGGTCATCTTCGACCTTGAATAGAAACATTCCAGCTTGGAACATCTACAAGTATTTGATACAGTTGAGTTTTAAGCTTGAGAGAGACCTTTCGGTATTGACATGCATGTTCTGCATTACCAACACTAAAAACACTCTTACCCCTATTGGTGGCCAATCTGTCTATCAGCTAATGTACGAGCCTCTCAATTCTTTCCTCTCACAATTTCTCCGACGTGAATTCGTGTCGTTCAAGAATTCTTAAAGGCTCAGGTGCATTGAAAGATCTCCTGAAAAAATGAAGAAACGATAAGCCCCAACTAAGTATCCCAGCCTGTCGGTTCACAGGGTCTCGATGCACTATTACTACTACGTTGATACGTGGAGTAATTATGCTGCAGGATGTGTGTTCATTCTAAGTTCCCGCGATGGAATTGGATATGCCCCGATTCCACTAGTTCTATTCACTTCCTGAGTCCATTCACTGCAGTAGGCCAGATTCCATTGGTTCCAACACAACCATACGCATTTTTTTGATGATATCAGGATATATTTGTTGTTCTCACACATAAATACCTCATAAGAGCTCAGAAACTTGGAAGTCACAAGCTGAGGACTGACACTAGGTCAGGTAAATCAATGTCAAGTTCAAGCCCATATCTTGAAAAGTCTTACAGCTTCTCAAAAGTTGGCTTGCGCTTCTGGATTCCCGACATAAGCGCTGCCGTCACATCCTTCGTCTGCACAGAAGCGCTGTTCCAAACTCCAGTATAGCGAAGTCCCTCCTGCACGGAATGATCGCGCGAATAATTCAAAATCTCCTTTGTTCCCTGCACAGCAACAGGACTTTTAGTCGCCAACAATGCAGCCAAGCTCAGCGCCGCCGAGATAGTTTCCGCACGCGAGTCATGTACAGAATTAACAAAGCCAACACGCAGTGCCTCCTCAGCTCCAAAAACCCGCGCGGTCATCGCAACGTCCTTCACCCAGCCGAAAGATCCAACTATCTTAGGCAATCTAGTCAACGTGCCAATATCTGCCGCGAGGCCAATATCAACTTCTTTCACGGCGAACTTGACATCACGCGAACAGAGACGTATGTCTGCTGCTGAGGATATATCGATGGCTAAGCCGAGCGAGTAGCCATGCAAAGCGACAATGACAGGTTTCTCACATCGCTCTAAAGCGGTGATACAGTCTTGGAACTCGGCGATATGGCGGCGGAGTCGAAGTGCTTTGCGGGCGGGATCGACTGCTGTGCCTTCTGCCAACAGCCCTTGGGACGCGGTACTCACGTCAAGGCCAGCAGTGAATGCTTTATCGCCAGCACCGCTGAGAACTATGGCTCGGATTGACGAATCTTCCGAGAGTTTGTTGAATATTTGGCCCATTTCGAGCCACATGCTATTTCTTCTTAGCTAGCGTTTAACTAGGTGGACTGAGTCTTCGCGGTGAACTTACGTTTCGAAGAAGGCGTTCATCTTTTCTGGTCGGTTTATCTCCACATGCGCAACATATTGGTGTTTGGCTGGAAACTCAACTGTGAAGTACTTATACGAGGTGCTTGATGCCATGGTGAAGATGGAAGCTGGTAAACAGCGAACAAGGAGGTCAGTTGGAAGCTCAAACTCCCCGCAAATTGATTGATATTTCTTGGCTAGAGCCTGGAGGAATTATAGAAATTGGACTGAATAAACTAATGCCAGTACTAGACTATTTGTCAGAATTCAGATGAAGAGAGCCGAGCTGCAAACATGCCTCGGCAGGATTGCAGGGACAAATGACTAATGACTCAGCAATTAACTAGTAACTATTGATATGGGGAACATGGACGTCCTAGCTAGTCTGCGAACCTAGCTAAATTATGGAGCATGGTAGATGCAGTCAGAGTCCGTCATCTAGGAGCTGTGTGGGAGAAAGGAAGGAGAACCAAGGGGTAGCTCAAGAAGTTCAAGGTAGTCTGATGGTCTAATCTCTCAACTGAATGTTTAAATACACAATCTCCACTCGTGTCAGGTGACCTGGTCCCCCACTACAAGAACAAAATTCTTAATAAATGCCTGAAATATAAGGCATTGTAGTGGTAGTAGTAAAATATGTAGTGGTAAATAGTAGTAAAGGTTGTAGCGGTAGGAGCACGTATAATTACTATGTAAAGTTTTCTTTACTCTGGACATTCTGTCTAGCTGTGTATGTTGTATATGCGATCATAAAGCATGTTCTCGTTGCTCGTTGGACCAAATAAACCCTAATCATGGTTGGTTTGTCCTCTCCATCGTCAATTATCGTCTGTAGCCCAATAGCCGCGGGGATAGAGCCGCTTGTGTAGTTAAATGAGGGTGCTAACTAATACGTTGACGGCTCCTGCCTTATTTTTAAGGGGTTTAAGGTACCAACCTTGGCATCATTCATTCCTTGCTAATCTTACTCCTCATGCCTTATGAATCGGGTGTCTACTCCACTTTCCTTAGGAAGTAAAGGTGTTCGCTCGTCATCGCCGCCCAATTAGAATTATTACCGTCCTGTCTTCGGAGCGCACTAAATAAGGAGTCGTTGAGAACACAACTACAAATACACCTAGAAAGCAGCTTAACTCTATAAACTGGGATTGTCTCTCACGAGTCACGATATTTAATCTCAAGCATGGTAAGCTTCGACCCCCTCGTCAAAGATGCTTCGGATCAATATTGAAATCCGACCTCCCAGACTGAGGCATCTTCATTTACTTCAATTCCTGTTCTGGATTTCTCGCAAACCCAGTCATCTTCAACAAAGACTGCATTCATCGCCTCCCTTCGAGAGGCACTTATAAATGTCGGGTTCTTCTATATTCAGAACCCACCCATTTCATCTGATATTCAGAGTGATATCACCCGAAATGCTTTAGCCCTTTTCGATTTATCGTTGGAGAAGAAGATAGACATCGAGATGGTCAATAGTCCGCACTTCCTCGGATATTCACGACTTGGAGCTGAAATTACCGCTTATAAGTCTGACTACCGTGAGCAGTTTGATGTAAGCTTGAGGCAACGCGACCAAATCTCATACTTAACACGAATTTAGTTTGCAACCGAGCTTCCAGCTCCAGGGCCGGACGAGCCTTTGTATAGAAATATCCGCGGTCCAAATCAGGTGGGTCAGCTATCCGGATCATATCAACTACCTCGACTCATTTCTTTGTGATATAGTGGCCGGATGAGACGGCATTGCCTGATTTCCGCCAGGCGCTCGAAAGGTACTTGGATGAAGTGCGAATTCTAGCTGAATCCTTCACACCACTCATCGCAGAAGCTCTCGATCTTCCTCCAACTGCTTTTGATAAAGCCTTTGATAACCCACAGCAACATAAATTGAAGTTGATCAAGTACCCACAGCCACCAGCAACGGCGGATAATAAAACAGGCTTCCAGGGAGTCGGCGCTCATAAAGACTCTGGATTTCTTACCTTTCTCCTTCAAGGAACTCCTCATCACGGCCTGGAAGTTCAAAATAAAGCTGGGGATTGGATTCCAGCTCCTCCGCTCCCAGATACGTTTGTGGTCAATATTGGTCGAGCTCTTGAAGCACTGACCGGAGGTATATGCATGGCCACTACGCATCGTGTTAGCATGCGACAGAGCAACTTTATAGACTCTAATGGCGCCTCCCTTGGACCTCGACTTAGTTTCCCTGTCTTCCAGGGTGTGAGTCCTGATCTTTCGTCCGAGAAGATCTCTATTAAAATTCCAGAGCACATCCGTGACCTGGTCAAAGATGCTAAGGTAAAATCAGATGCCGAAGCAACATTCAATGACATGTTCCGCACAAGTATTGGTCAAGGGACTTTTGTCGCCCGGGTGACTAGCCATCAAGACGTGGGAAAGCGATGGTATCCTGAAGTGTTGGCTAATGCTCTCAAGGGCCAGAAGGATTTCATTGCCCGGTAATAGAATCGAATCGTTTATCTTGGATCTCGCGTTGTAAGGGATTGCCCCAATTATCAAATCTCTTGATTGGTTGGATCCTGCTGATTAAGCATAGTTCTGCCGGCATAATAACTAGTTGTATTTTAAAGTATTTCACCACTGAACGGGTCACACTACTGAACGGGTCAGTTTGACCCACTTATTTTTATGAATCCCAATAACTCCATTATTTACTATGTAATATAGTAAAAAAAAACTACTGAATGGGCCTACTAGGACAGGTTTCCCTCCTATGTCCAGGTGTCTTACATATCCCACACCGGCGTTGGGTTACAGGCGCCCTTACAGGCGCCTGGCCCTCTTGTAAATTGGCATCATTAAGTTTAGGGCCACCATTCGACGCGTCAACCAGGTCTAATCCCTCCTGAATTGTAAGACCCCCTACTACTGTTAATTGACGATTCGGACGTTCTTTTTGTTTTTTCTTTTTCTCATGGGCGGCGCGTAAATCTCTGTTTTCCAGGCGTAAGAGAGCATTCTCTTGATATAGGTAATTTGCACCCTTTACTATCTGGTCTAATGCTCTCTTAGATGGTGTTGGTGGCGTTCGAGATACAGTGCGTAATATAGCTTGGTGTTGACGTCGTAAATCTTTCTGCGTCCTAGGCGTCTTAGGTGTCCAATTTCGACTTGAATCGCTTCCTATAGAGGGTGGTGGTGGTGGTGTATCGACGCGCATAGTAAGCTTTTTTAACACCCTAGTAGGGTCAAGTGGCACGATTCCAGTTGCAGCAAACGCATTAGAAGCAGATGCAAATGCTTCAATACGCGCAGTAGGATATATCTCTAGGAAATCTCCTTTACTAATGTGGGAAAAACCAAGCTCTACTCTAGACTCAACCAGCCGAGAATAAGAGCGTTTTAACACCGCAAAACACCCAACATCAAGAGGTTGAAGAAGATGAGACGCATGCGCAGGCATACATAATGGTATAATATCATGCTCCTGGCAGATTTTGTCGAAATCAGGTGTTAAATGGCTACCATGGCCATCTAAGATTAGAAGGCGATACCGTCCTTTAGTACGAGCAGTAGCAGGTATAAAGAGCTTTTCAAGCCAACGGAGCCCTATTTGATTTGATGTCCAGCCATTAGGACTAATCTCAAGACGCCAATTAGGTGGTAAACCTAGATCAGGAGCAAACCAGCTCTGCATCATCACCTTACCCTTAAAGATAATACAGGGTGGAGGTGCGTAACCAGACGCGCCTAAACACTCTATCACAGTAACCCATTCCCGGTTACCAGGCTGTTTTTTTGCGCGTTTACCATAATAACCAGCTCTAGTAACCACTCTCGCGGTCGCACATCGTCCCATCGCAAACCCAGTCTCGTCAAAATTATAGATATCGTCGGTGGTGATACCATATTTTGCGATCGTGTTTTCAACCAGTTTGAACCAATTATTGATCACATTATAGTCCTCTTGACGCGCACGTGTAAAATCGCGCGGTGTTGAATAGGTCGTCTTAAGTTCAGGTAAACGCGTCGCAAACCTAGTAACCCAGTTTTTACCGATCGTAAGAGGAGGGTTGGTTCCGCGGTCGGCGAGTAGGATATTAGCCATTCTACCAACATCTTTAGTTCTAGGAGCACAGCCGCGATCATCTAGAGAGACGACCCATTGAAGTAATGAATCCTCTTCAGATTCAGTCAGTTTAGACTGCGGTGGGTGTGTTTCAAGACGAAATTGGACACCAGAATGGCGGCGTTGGAGGGTTGAAAATGGTATATTAAACATAGCTGCAGCTTTACGCATTGATGATATATCGCCATTCTTGTAAGCTTGGTAAGCTAATAAGACCCTATTCTCCTGATCCTGTTTGTCTTGGACATATAGAGCATTTAGGGGGGGGCATGGTGGGTAGTTGAAAATGGAAACACCAGACTGACGCGTAAAATTGGTGGGGTGACCCGTTCAGTAGTGTGACCCGTTCAGTGGTGAAATACTTTATGAAATAATTGTCGTAAAGCGGTTTCCTAATCGGTGAATTGACTGGTCTTCGATATCCACTCATGAGATTAGCGCCGGGCGCGCTAGCGCGCACGAGGTCGCAGGGGTAGACAAGACAGGCTACCACTACCCCTGTTTGAATTCAATATACGCCCAGTAACAGAGCCCAGAGGTACAGTATTAATAGTATTTAATACTAATAGGCTAGCACGGCCTTTATTTTGAAGAGGCTGTCCATGTCCATGTCACAAAAGTAGTAGATATGCGGTGGAATCGTTCGTTACTACTCTGGACATCTGTCTTATTGGCTGCCGCCAGCTCATTCCCTAGTGGAGTCTATGAACTGGTAAAGCGACGACTACCGCAACATGTCGATCAATTTCAATTCGAGATCGTCTCTAATATTACTACTGACGATGGGCATGATCAATTCAAGGTAGAGAGTGCTCCCAATGGCAAGGTCTTGGTAAAGGGTCATTCCCTCAGCGCTCTTTCTTCGGGGTATGGAAAATTATTCCTAGGTTTCACAACCATATCTCTACATGTTTACTTCTCACTTACTTACCACACAATCTAGCCTTCATCGCTATCTAGCTGACTACGCTCATGTTGACATCTATTGGTACATTGGCAGTCGCCTGGAAGAAGCACCAAAGGATCTCCCCCGTATCTCCTCTCCAATCTACGGTTCTAGCTCTGTTCCCTGGAGATATCACTTCAATACTGGTAGGCCCAACATTATATGTCATCATGACTCTTTGACTGACGATCCCAGTCACTTTTTCTTATACCATGGCTTTCTGGACCTGGGAGGACTGGGAGCTACAGCTAGACTGGATGGCCCTTCGAGGCATTAACCTACCTCTCGCCTGGGTCGGTCAGGAGAAGATCCTTATAGAAGTGTTCCAAGAAATTGGACTCACCGATGCTGAGATTTCTCCATTTTTGAGCGGCCCAGCCTTCCAAGCCTGGAACCGGTTTGGAAATATCCAGGGCTCCTGGGGAGGTGAATTACCGCGGGACTGGATTGACGGGCAGTTCGACCTCCAGAAGAAAATTATCCGTCGCATGGTCGAGCTGGGAATGACCCCTGTTTTACCAGCATTCACGGGTTTTGTACCTGCTAACATCAGCCGTGTTTTTCCCGATGCAGATGTCATCCGTGGATCAGCTTGGGAGCGCTTCTCTTCTCAATACACAAATGATTCCTTCCTCGAGCCGAGTGATGACCTTTTTTCAGAGCTTCAGCAGAGCTTTATCAGCAAACAGCAAGCGGCATATGGGAATGTGAGCCACATTTACACCATTGATCAGTTTAACGAAAATACTCCATCCAATGGAGACTCCGATTATCTTAAAAATGTTACTCGCAACACGTTGGGAAGTCTCAAAAGTGTTGATCCAGATGCTATCTGGATGATGCAAGGTAAGAGCCTTTTCAAGTTCAGTCTTTGATGACACCAACAATAGTTCTAATCGGATAAAGGTTGGCTCTTCTACTCAAGTTCTTCGTTCTGGACCGACGAACGCATAGAAGCATACCTCTCTGGCGTTGAGAATGATCAAGATCTTTTGATTTTAGATTTGTTTTCTGAATCGAAGCCTCAGTGGAGTCGAACGAATTCTTATTACGGAAAGCCATGGATTTGGTGTCAACTGCACGATTATGGTGGTATGTACTGTCCCCTCCCCCTATGCTACTGTACTGGAATCTGAGACATTCGACTAGGAAACCAGGGTCTACACGGACAGATTCACAATATCACTGAGAACGCTTCGCAAGCCCGAAATGAATCCTCGTCGATGGTTGGATTTGGGCTATCTATGGAAGGCCAAGAGGGTAATGAAATTGTTTACGACCTGCTGCTAGACCAGGCATGGTCGCTTAAGCCAATCGAAACCAAGGGATACTTCCACAGCTGGGTCACCAGTAGATATGCCGGCTCTGGGTCCATTCCAAACAGTCTCTACAAGGCGTGGGAGCTAATGCGAACAACTGTGTACGACAATACTAACCTCACACTCCCTGCTGTTACAAAGTCTATTTTTGAACTTCGTCCCAACACCGAGGGTCTTGTTGATAAGACCGGAACTCATGGCACTGCACTCACTTATGACCCTTCGGTAGTGGTCAAGGTCTGGAATTTGATGTACAGTGCGGCAGGCTCCAAGCCAGCACTATGGACCAACCCAAGCTATCAACAGGACATGGTCGACGTGACTCGACAGGTATTGGCCAACGCTTTCATACCATTATACTCGAACCTCATCTCAACCTACAACAGTTCGAGCCCCAACTCCAAAACCATTTCACAAGACGGCGACAACATGGTTCAGCTGCTGGAAGACCTTGACTCGGTCCTTCTTACAAACGAGAATTTCCGTCTTTCCAAATGGATTTCTTCAGCAAGGGCCTGGGCACATAGAAACAAGACCTTGGCGGCATTCTATGAGTATGAAGCACGTAACCAGGTTACATTGTGGGGACCTGATGGTGAAGTTACCGACTACGCCTCCAAGCAGTGGGGAGGACTGCTGTCATCGTAAGAACCTATTATTCTAAATGTGGAAAAATTTGCTAATATTCTCTGTAGATACTACGTGCCACGCTGGAAGCTCTTTGTCGAGTACGTTAAGGAAACCCCTGTTGCGTCGTACAATGATACAGCGCTCAAAGAGGAACTTTTGAAATTTGAGCTTGATTGGCAGCAGCAGACATGGTCAGCTCCTGAGCCTTCAGGTGAAGCAATCGATTTGAAAAAAGTGGTCACCAAAGTGTCCCTTCGATGGTCTTCTGTTTTCGGTCTCAAATAGTTCAAAGCTTGCTGAAAGCCCATGTATCAAACTTGTATATCGGCATGAGATAGAAGTTGCTATCCCTGTCAAATTGACATGGACGAGTACTAGGATTCTAGAATCTAGACAATCTAGTCCTCTTTTCAGTCAAATGCTAACCACTTGTCAACCCCGCATTGGTCTCCAATGATGTTTGCTTTTCCCCATTTTCTCTATCGATTGCGTTATCGTACCTTTTATCGCTTATCTAGTTCTTATCTGATGATTTCATGATTAGAAATGCAATCTGGAGTCCCCATATGCCACGTCTGTTGCTGTTTCATGATGGCGTTTTATTCTTCTCTTCCTTTATCTGATTCCAAAGCTATATTCATGCCACTTCAAAATGGCTGAGACACATACACCACCATCCGAGCAAACCCCGCTCCTTGAGACAGCCACGGTCCAGGAACATGAAAGCTCGGCTTTAAGTGTCCCACGAGGACTGCTCATCTTCATTTCTATGGCATTTTTAATATTTATCCAGACCAGCAACCTCTCGCTTATGACCACAAGCCAGTCATATATATCGGCTGATCTTGATGCATATACTGAAGCTATATGGTTCACTTCAGCTCACATGGTAAGGCTATCTAGCAATGAAATTCCATCATGTCACTGGTATCTGATTTTATAATACCTTGGAAGATTGCCATGTCAAGTATGACTCCCCTGGCGGGACGACTTTCGGAGATATTCACCCCACGAAAATATGTGGTTTTCACGAGCTCGGTCATGGCTTTAGGGTTGTTCATAACAGGCTCTGCCCCAACACTCGCCATTTTCCTGCTTGGCCGTGTGGTCTCAGGTTGTGGTAGTGGTGGTTTAATGACTACCGCCATCATATTAGCCTTGCAACTATCTAGTTCAAAACGACGGGGACTTTGTATAGGAATGATTAGTGCATGCTATACAACAGGCCTCTCCTTGGGTGCTGTTTTGGCAGGCTTGATTGTCCCCACTTTTGGTTGGGTTTGTCGAGCCCTTTATTCTATCCTACCACTATAAGCATACTTATCTTATTTCCAGCGTCTTATCTTCTGGGTCCAAGCCCCGACTGCGCTTGTTATAGGTCCCATCCTTTTCTTTGCTATTCCAGCACCACCCCACGATAAACATCCGCTTAAGAAAAAGTCCTTGGGGCATAGTCTTACACGGGTAGATTATGCAGGCGCTCTGACATTGGTATGGTCCTTCTTGTTTTTTGTATTGTTTTGTCATATGGATAAGTGCTTACAGATTAAGACACTCTTCGTAGTGCTATTATTATCTAGTTTCGCATCCCCAACGATCCTCATCTGGCCTATTCCTCTTTCCTTCGCTTCGTTGGGCCTCTTCATTCTGATTGAATCACGCTGGGCACGCGAGCCTATCCTTCCTATCAAAGTGCTGAGCACACGCAGTGTATTTCTGACATGCATAGCCGGTCTAGGCTTGATGATGTCTCGCTGGGCGATCCTGTTTTTCGCACCAGTCTACGCTCTGTCAGTTAGGCTTTGGTCCCCCGCTATGGCCGGTCTGATTTTAATCCCAACGAACCTTGGCTTCGGATTGGGTGGACTACTCGTAGGATGGATTCACATCCGAAAAGCAACAAGCTACTATGTGTCAGTTTTCCATCTCGACAATATGAACATGCCTTTTTCTCACATTCCACAGTTCGTGTTTGGTGATTTATACTCTTTTCACACTCTCTACTCTGTCGCTCTCAGTGCTTTCAACGCCATATTCATCGACATTTATCTATGTAGCTGGTCTCTTCTTCAATGGCCTGTTCGCCGGCTCTTTAATGAACTACAGCTTGTCGCATATCCTACACCTGACCAACATCCATACACATTTCATTGTCACCTCTCTGGTAGCCATGTCTCGCGGGTTTGCAGGCAGTTTCGGATCAGCTGCCGGGGGTGGATTTTTCACTCGAATTCTGAAGAGCAGATTGGAATCCGGATTCGCTCATTACGGTTTGGCACGACCTGACTTGGTTCGCACTCTCCTTGGCAGCCCTGCTACAGTCGTGAAACTTGACGGACTGGAGCGGCTGGTTGCTGTAGAAAGCTATGAGCACGCTGTCCGAATGTTATTCTTGGCTGGTAGTGGGATCGCAATGTTGTCTACCATTATTACGGCAGGAGTTGGGTGGACTCCTGAGCCTGATACTGATGATAAGTTGCAAGAAGCTCTTGTTGAACAGGATGAATAGACTTGGTCACTTACCTGAGTCTTCGGATCTTTGGATTTACCTATACTTCGATACGAACTTGTTCTACCTGTAGAGTTCAATTTCAAAAGTTTCCATCAATTGGCCTGCTGGCCCAATGGCAAGGCGCTTGACTACGAATCAAGAGATTGCAGGTTCGATCCCTGCGTAGGTCAATTTTTTAGCTCACGGAATTCTTTTGCTCAGGTGCAAAGTAATCGTGAAATGAGATTTAAGCTATTTTAGATAACTTGACCCCAACTCTGTTAGAATCACTCTCTACGACTTGTCTAAAACAACAAGGTGCATGTCCTTCAAAAGTGCGAATTTCCTCAAAGGGTTTAGTGGTGGATAAATTTTGATTCTCAAAACCTCTAATCCTGAATTCTAAGGCAAGAAATTAATCAGGCTAAGCCCTTCTAGGTTTAGACATCCTGAATAGAAGAAGGCAGCACGTCGTAGGTTTTAACGTGGACCTTTCTTCATCGCACGCTACATTTCATCACGAAACTGGAAGGCCAAAGCTCATTAGGAAGCCATATAGCCTTTTTGCCATTTAGTTTAATGCGTTAGTCATCCTCAATACAAACACCGAGGGTTGTATGAAGTGAAGGAACCGTATGGATTTCAGGCCTAGACTGAATCTCAGAGGACTCAAAGCCTACTTCCTGGCTTGGCCTTGTTAATTATAGACTTGAACCGAATATCTTTGAAAGCGGATGAGAGAACATAAGGATTCTAGCGAATCTTTTTTAATGTTTCAATATTTAGTGTGCTTGAAATCCATGTTTTACAATCTTGCAGCGCCCATCTCCTAGGTAGACATTACCGTAGTTGATAGATCATTTACAAGATTCTTGCGATGCCTCACTCATCTAAGCTCTCACAACGCAAGGAAAAAGAATTTGGTAGCAAATATATCACGTGATGTGATTAACAATGCCAAGTCTCGCCCTGGTCCGCCTTTCAAGCTTCGTCTCCCGGCATTACTCCGTTATAGAACGATCCTTTCTGCAACAAAATCACGCTATACCTATCATGCCGCGTGCAGTCCGAGGTATGATATATTCAAATCTGAAAGCTCTACTCTTCAGTTAGAGCTAATCACGACTGTCCAGGTCTACTCATAGAATGCGACCCCTCGATCAAGGCTATGATCTTGAAGTATGATGAGGAGCGACACGACTACGTTGTGGAAGACTTGGAAGATGAGAGTCATCTGGTTATCAAGGAGAGCCAACTGCAAAACCTGAAAACTCGCCTGGACCAGGTACGGCATATTTGATGTTTAATATACAACTACTTGCTGACATGCCATCAGGACCTCGATCAAAAAATCATGCAACTTGATGAATCTGAATCGGAGTAAACTGGCCTTATTAACGAAGCCCTTTATACGACTCTTCCGAAGTGATTGCTTCCCCGGCTGTGCGTGACCTGATTCTCGTACCCTGTTTTAATGGGGCTTTCAGCATCATTGTCTCCATGGATTACCAAGTACGTCACCTAACTTTACTGGGATAGTACCTATATGTCGCCACATTTTCCCGCATTCGATTTTACAAACCATGGCACTTGTGCTGAATGAGACAAATGACCTGTCAATGCCGAGGCTAACAAATGAGGATGAACTGGATATTCAAGGATGAACAATTTATTTGCTGACTCTGTAAGCACTGTTGGGATTCGTCGTGGAATCCCTTGTCACATGTCAAACACAAACTTTTCACATTCGCCATTCACAATATGATCTGACTTAAATAAATGTCACTCTTACTTGACGTGGGGGCTTGCCTGGAAGTTTGACGACTGAATAGAGGCTCTGGAAATCAAAGCCTTAATAAGCATTCATCGATATCCAACAAGGAATACCTCTGTCTTTTCTTCTACTACTATTATCATGTACGGACACTTGATTGTGGAAACTTCCGGTTATGTCAGCAAATGACTAGCAGTTTCCTGAAGATGCTATATTGTTTCATGGATGCTGCTAGTCGCTATCAATGAACTGCAAATATTCACTAATTTATGCAGATTTTTTAGATTACTTGAAAATCAACAGCGTCAGATCAATCTATTATTCGTTGTAAAGTAACTAGTTAACCATTCATTTGGTAAGGATGAATGACTTTGCTGATATGCGATTTGACTGTCTCGGTGAGCTTCAAAGCGCTGTGTTCATAAAGAGCATCTTATGCACGATGTCTATCTGCATCGAGGATCTCCTGGTTCTTTTCATCCACTGGTTGGAATATTTTGAGTCCCTCATCCTTGCGAGGAATCAGCATACAACCACCATCTAGGGTTCGAATGGCGCAATGTCGTCTATAATCAGGGAATTTTGTGTCAACGAAGACGTCTGCCACAGCCCAAACGTCTTCGCCACCCTGCGAGCATGATTATACAACTTTCGCTCGGCGCGTAGCGCTTCGCGCCCTATCAAAACTTAGAATATACTTCGTCAGCCAAGCTTCAATGGCTCCGCTAGCTTATTTCTTATGTATGCCGTGAGAGGCTATTCGGGATCATCCGGATTGTGTTCATATCAAAGCAATTCCATGAAACGCTGCACCTTCTGCCCCTTACACATCAGATTTACCATCTTCTTTATACATACACTGGTTCGAATTTGGCCTCAATTAAAGCACTATGCTCTATTCTGAGGTCAGACCCCAAAATACCATAATAGAATAGTCACCACAAAATGAAACCTGGACTCCGTTAAAGTCAACTCCTTTGCAATTGCTATATTGTCTTATTGGCTCGCGCGCACGCTAATGCGCAATGCAAAACCGGTTCCCCATAACCCTCGACCTAGATATGGTCTTCTCTGGTCACTAGAACCATTCTTGAAATGTCATTGTCGTAAACTCATGCATATGAAGCCCACTCTGAGTTGTATGGAACATAGGAGACTGGGCCGCTGTCTCTCATAAATGGCGAATCCAGATTCTGAAGCTCCAAAATGATTCGATAGTCGTCTTTAGGAGGTAAATGCGACATAAGAAACCCATTCGGGCGCGGTAGGTGTGGAGCAAATCGATAAAAGTGCATTTTTTTGGATAGTTGACGTTCCCCAATAATTAGCGGACCCATTGTGTGGTAAAACGATCGCGGGCTCCACTTAATACTTTCCCATTCACCCATCTTGATATGTAACGACCTGAGAGAAAGTGGCTCGCAGCCAGAGTCTGATTCAAGGAACTGAAGGAGTCGTAAGCACGCTGATTCATCGATGGAATTGATAGGTAAGATGCCAAGTGTTGGTCTTGTTTGATCTGGATCTACACCAGGAAGATTGATTTCTAAGTGCTGGAGGTGTTTCATTCTGCGTATGTCAACCATTATATCATATGGCTAACAGTGCTTCGGTTAGTACTCAGACTAGTAAATATATTATAAAGGTTTAAACATACCCATTCATCATTTTCCCAGTCAAGGTCAATGCCTAGAGACTGAAGTTTTGGGAACCTATCAGGTAGGCTGACCAGGTCCTCAATGCTTGGAGGGAAAGGAAGCTGTGTGCGAGAATTACGCTGAAGATTGGCGCTGCGGAATCGTAAATGCCTGAGTAGTGCATGATGGCTTGATAGGGTGTCAAGGATGTATTGTGGAAGGTAATAACCAGAAAAGGTCTCGAGGGAAGAGAACGACTCTAGAAGAAGACGAACTTGGGTCGCTCGTTCCCAGTAGATAGGTAGCGGCTCAAAAATTCTAGTATGTTTGTAATGAGGCCAATCAATCATTCTAGGATTATAACAAGAGATCGACACCTCTAATGACTTAAGGTTTCTTAGACGACCAGTGATAAGGGGAGCTAAGTTACTCCAATTACCGTTGAGTAACGATAACGAATGTAATAGTTCCCATTGTAGACTTTCTGCCCACAGAAGACTTTGAGACACATTGAAGTGCATATTCGAGAGATTTAGATGTTTCAATTGCGGCATAGTATCGCCCTTCTGTAATGAAATGATTCCTCTATAGGTAGTTGATGGTTCCGTGGTCTGAAAGAGATTCAAAGTCTCTAGATTTGGGCTAGAGCATATGATATCTTTTAGGCGAGCTTGATAGCTTGTACTCGTGAAAGTTTTAGACAACTCATCCCACTCGCCATCCCAATACGAGGAAAGGTAGCGAAGGCACCGAAGGTGAGGGACGGACAGCTCAACGGGTTGATGTGGTCGTCTCCGCTGTGATAGACACACATTTTTTCCAGTGATATGTACTAGAACATGAGGGTAAAGCCGATTAATAGTATATAGGATAAAACCTGGCATATATGATATGTTTTTCCAGCTATAGGGGTGCATAGATAGACATATGTCAGTAGCCCATATAATAGGTCCTATAATAGAACTTACTAGAATTCTTGGAGATATTTTGCTGACTCGATCATCTTTAATAAGCCAAAATGCAGCCAGTTTCCAACAGAGCCAAGCCCTGATTCACCTGTTATAACAATCACTTTGACATAGCGCCATGGAACATTGCTGTAATACTCCCACTTTTTAGGCAACCCTGAATCAATAGTCAGGCAAAAGAATCGGAATAAAATGGAAGCGGCAATCTCATGTAGCCGGCGGTCAACCAAAGCTACCATTTTCACTGATGAGGGACTATCCCAGTGAAGCTTGAATGAGGTGAGTGACCAGTAAACCGTGTATATCAACGTTTACTCACTAGCTTGATAATTTTGAGCCAAATCTCGGAGGGTAAGATTAGCATCTTGCTTATTGGTGAGGACTCCATTATGCGACGTGGTTTCTTTCCAAGGTTCCACTAGATAGGATGGTGGGTGAGCGTAATAGAGGGGTAGAGGGGTAGTTCACTAAGCACACTCTTATGAGCGTAAGCTCGGTAACGTGGTTCCGGGTTGCCGCCTAAACAAAATATTTAGTCTATTTTCAACACACTATTTTTAAACACACACTATGTCCCCAATTCTTACTTAAAAAAGCAGAAGTTGGTACAGCAGGAGGGAAGGATCTTATTAGCTATTCGAGCTATTAAAGATGCACGATTTTCCTCTGTTCTAGCTGCTTCTAAGTCATTCAATGTGCCAATATCAACCTTGCCATATCGAATGAAGTTTGTTGAAAGTGTGATTGAGAAGCGCCATTCTCGCCATAAATTCTCTGGAGCTGAAGAGAAGTCACTAAGTAAATGGATCCTCTTTATGGATTCTAGAGGAGCAGCTCTTACCTGCGCGATGTGTCGAAATATGGCTAATCTTTTACTCCGATCGCGATTATCGACTACCACCGACACCTCTGTTCTGTGGGTAAATATTGGGTTACTAGGTTTATTAAACGACACTCTGATCTGAATATACGTCGATAATATCGATATGATTATAAAAGAGCTAAAGCTGAAGATCCTATGATTATTATAGCTTAGTTTGATTTGGTTGAAAAAACGATCGCGAAGTATAGTATCGATTCGGCTGATATTTTCAACTTTGATGAATCAGGATTTGCGATGGAGATGAATAAATCTAAGAATATCATTACTTCTATAGAATATCATGGTCGTAGGGCAGTTTTATAGCCTATAAATCGCGAGTGGGTGACTACTATCAAGTGTACTAGGGCTACTGGAGAAACTCTTCCACTTACCTTATCTTTAAAGGAAAGGTCTTTATGAAGCGATTGTTCGATAGAAAGGAGCCCAATTAGAGCTTAAATAAGAGCTCTAATGGATCTACTAGCGATGCGATCGGTGTCAATTGGCTTCAGATGCACTTTATTCCTAATAGGGGTAGATTTGCTTATTGATATTAGATGAGTATTCCTCTCATCTAACACCTATTTTTGATGAAATATGTGATCAGAATAATATCATCGCTTTATGTATGCCTATATATGTATCATATATTTTACATCCTCTAGATGTAGGTTGTTTTAGGCCTCTAAAGAAGTATTATGGTGCTAGGGTTGCGGAGCAGATGCGGTTAGAAGTGAACTCGATCGAAAAAGAAGATTTCCTGTGGGAACACGGATATTGCAATCCTGAAATTCCACAATCCGGAACGGAAAAAACAGACCCCCGATTCACTGTGGAACGACTATATTAGGAACTTGAGTAGCTAGATGAATCGAACACATTTCACACCACCTTGCACACCGTATATACTAAGAATCTAGGACGAACCATGCCATTTTCCAGTGTATATAGTGCAACGTGTGAACTCTGTCCTTTCAACGTAGTTGATCGACAGTTCCTTACTATCTTCCCTGATGCGCATGCGATAGCTTTTAAAGCTAGTAGTATTCTATACAGGTACAGCAATTAGCAGCGTTTCAACGTAGTTGTACCTCCGCATTTGTGCTACAGCCAATCAGACGTACTAAAAGTTCTGGAGAGAGAGAGAAGGGAAGTAGTGGGGAGATGATGGCCATTCAAATACTCTTATCAGAAAATACTAATGATAGGACGTCTCTGAGGCTGCGGAGGTGGCATCATCGGCTTCGGCTGCATCGCGCATGAGTCACAATTGGGCGTATGCTTGCTCTTATTCGTTTAGCCAGGATATCATTTGTGGATGATGAGGAAGAAATCAATAACGAAAAGTCAGAAATTAGCCAGAAAAACCTACTCTACGTAGAAAATCGCGATACTAAAATGAACACTTCCAAGACTAGAAGTCCTTTGACAATAGAAAGCCATTTGGGTAGAAAATCTACAAAAATGCTGATCCTAGCTCAAGTCTTTGAATTGAACCCAGAAATGCAAAGTCCAAAGGAGGTATACTGCATTTACTTAGCCTTGGAAATATCAACTAATTTTACTGGACAGATTTACATTCTGAGCTACAGTTTCCAAAAGAGATTTAAAGACAGACAATGGACAGCTAAGCCTTGGAAGTCATAGTTTTTTGGTGTCAAAGCGATAGAATTGTTTTTGGACTGGGAAACTTGTGGCTTTTATGACAATTGTCATATTGAAACTTTCAATGGAACAGAAAACCAATGATAAATAGCGGATGCGTCTAACACCATTGCGTCCAGTCTGGTTCTACTGTTACTCCTGAATTGTCTTAGCCATATCTTGCTGCTGATAGAATTCTACGAAACTGAATACTTCAACTCCAATTTAGGACGACTCAACTCCATTCGAAGACTTCGTGTTGTATTTTTATTTCGTATCACTCCTACCTAAGGGGACGGACGAATCTTGCTGTATATTGCCTTTATTACCACCTTAGTCTCTGTCTTCTACTTTCTGTATCGATCATGAAAGATCAATATCGCGTTGCCCAGGTGTATTTTCTCGTTCTTGTTAGGGCTTTATTGAGAATTTGCGCACAATATGGTCGTAATTTACTGGAGCTATGGATATGCCGCTCAATTGACTCCCAGTTACTCCGCTGAGGTGTCCAACATTCCACTGCCAAGCATTCCGCTAATCGGTATTCCACTGCCACCCGGCAATCTATTCCATAGATAGAATAGAGTCTGGAAAATCAAAACGGAAAAATGCCAACTATCAAATTTGTGTTAATGCAAAATATCTCAGAACAAGTTATTTAGTTAGTTACTTGACCATAGAAACTTAAATGTTATTCTCAAGCTTCCCGGATCTGTGGGTGCTATTTCGAAATCTTAAAGTGCCTTAAGGGCTAGGTATAGCGAGTTCAGTAAAGTGCTGCTTCTAGGTACTACTGGGTGGCATCATGGTTGCATCGGTAAGGCTGCCGATGTGCCCTGCCAAGTTGGGAGACTTAGCAGAAAATATTTCTGTTGCCCACTGGGGGCCAAATCTTGGTCGCTGACAAGCTCTGACCCATTATAACGGAAGAATTTGTTGGGTGATGGAGACCTTCTCGAAAAATCGGAGCCGCAGTAACCCTATTATACGTAATGATAAGCGGACTGAAACAATGGGGCGTGAAATTAGACTGCCAGGAATAACACTCATCATCCCCGCCAAGGATGTATAGAAAAGCTCGGGTGAGGCGGAAAGTAACAAGCTTCCAAGGTTGGAAGTCGTAATCCTGCAGGAATAAAGAGTGGATTTTATCGCAAATATTCTAACCCACTACCGTGTACTTTTCTGATTTACTCATAAGGTTCGCACTTACCCACTCAAGATCACATATGAATTGAGTGCTACCAATACGCCTACCTCACTTCCCACCACCGCCACAAAGTCACGCTGTTAGGATGCGCTATACATCTCTTCCTGGATTGACTCTTGCATCCTATTTCATATTCGGAAGCTCGGCATCTCCAGTGAACGTTCCCCAAGAACCAACGATCATCACGCCAATATCTGTTGAGGTTACACCTTCATTAGTGGACAATGTTGCACAAAATACTCACATCTCTATTACCGGAACGGACAGCAAAGAGACTATAGTACCAGTTGTAGGCGGACCTCAATGTTGGGTTAGTTATCAACCCACCTTTCAAGTTTAGTTTGCAAGCTCTAATCATTGGAATAATTCTCAGTTCTGCTTTGAGGAAAAAGCAAATACGAATAATAGTACAAATGGATGGGCCCTGCTTGGAATTGAAGAGCCAGGAGTGTATCAGCCATTCTCCCCGGAGTTCTCAACATTATTCCCTGCTATAATAGTTTCAGAGAATGGGGACCCGAGCTATTTACCAGAACATACGCCTTCAATAACGAGAAATTCACCTGATGGGATAGTCAAACGAGACTTTAATATTCCAACCACCACAACCTTTCATAAAACGGCTCGATATGAGAAGCTAGAGATGGCCTATAACAAATACAAAAAGTCGAACAAAAACAGCAATATTCTGTTCGAGTGGCTCAAGATGTCCGGGTACGCTCTCAAAATCAGTAAGTTTATAGTCCTAAAAGTTTAGCAATTCAGATAAACCGCAACTAACAATTCACTTTCTACTTACGATTAGAGGTTCGATCTTCATTACTCAAAATTCCAAAGCACTATTTCTTAGCGGCAGGGAGAACCAGGTTTCTCATTTCAGAGGATTGGGAGACTGATGAGAACACTTGTGAACTCACACATGTGCTCATTCAAGTCCACCTAGATTTCCTGGCCACCATCTATGACGTAAAGGCAGATGGAAGACACATCTACTTTGTCGACCGTGGAGATTCGGGCCTAAATTGGGCTGATTGGGAAAATGACAAGTATACATTCTTGGGTGAAATCAGCGAGAGAGCGACAGAACCTATGATTCAAAGTGCCGGAAAGATAATTGCGGCTAACATGAACAAGAAAGGATACAACATTCTCACCAACAACTGTAGAGACTTTGTTAACAAGTTATATACTGTGATCAAAACACTGTGAATTCTCAAATTTTATTTCTTGTTATGAAATTATAACATAATTAGAAACCTTCTATTCAAATATCAAGATTTGTCCTAATTTGAACTAATAAGCTAGACAAGATCCAATGCCCTAGAGGTACACCAGGCAATATTCTAAAAGTCTGAACTTTTAGGAATAAGGGCACAGTAGAGCTCCAGAGTTAGCCAACGAATAATGTCAGGTGATGGTTTTACTAAACAGACAGTCGACTAAAGTATTCATATGCGAGTGGTAAAAGATGGGTGAATTTTAAATGATAGCTGCTCGGTCTATATCAATGGCCTACTTTTCGACTTGTCTAATCGAACTGACCAATCATTCAAATGTCACAGATGAATGAAAACTGTCTTTCTTTTGATATACCTGCTGTATGGCCTGCGAAAAGGACGGTATGCGTTGTGGCCTGTTTATTACTGAATGAAAAAAAAAATCAGAGTTAGTAACTAGTGTTAGAACGTAAGAAATAGTAGTAATAAGGCAAAGGAAAAAAGGTCGCGGGGCTTCAGTACACTAGACAATCTACTACATATCATTATTACGTACCAATTACTACTAATTCCCAGCACCCCATGAGTTCTCTTTTAAGCGTCCCCGCGAGCTTTTAGTGATATATCTCATCAACAAGAAAAAAATCCCTCTATGGTGCTTTATTGGCTGACAAGGCCGAGAGCTTAGGAGGTCGCAGGGGCTAGAGAGATGACCTGTGTGCTCAAAATGTCGAGTTGAAAGGCCGTTTCTGGCACCATAAGCTGTCATGTTCGGCGTCATTTTCACAGGTCCTTTTATTCTATGTGTAAATTATTCCTCGTCCTCCTCTGTCCACAATAATTGTTCGTTGCTTGACTAATCGGCTATTTAACTGTCTTAGTCTGATCACATTAGGTCAGATGCAGGCTCATAGATAGCATCCCGCCGGAATCGAGGCTGAGGTCTAGTGGAAATTTGAAAGATGTATCAAAAACGACATATATTCCAGCTAATTGGGTCACTTAGGTGGCTCTAGTCAGCTCTCTACAGACGAGGTGAACCCAAGTAGTACGATTGTATTTGAGCTACCGACCTCAAGCTTTGAGCCTCATGACTTGTATCAAAGGACTTTCTCAAAAACTTTCATTTGACATGGACAAGTAAGCAGGGCTGGTAGATATTTATACTTGGTCTCTATTTATTCAACCCGAATGCAAGTATAACCAGCCCTTTCATACCACTCATTCAGCCGCTTCTTACTAGGGTGCACCCAGTCTCGTGCAACTAAAAGCGTGACTACCGCTGTCACCATGCCTGCTTTGCGAGCGCTGTTTTCACCAAACTGTAACAACTGTCGACCAATACCGCCGGATTGTTTTCTGCTATCACATACAAGCATTCCTATCTCCCATGACGTGGAGGTTAGTGGGATCAATACCACACTCCCCAACACGTGCTCGGGTCGCGGGACAGTTTCCGAGTATACAGGCGGCGGGGTGGCAGGCACGTAGAAGACGTTCGATTTTCGCATTTGTCACTCGTTGGAAGCCCGGCTTATGAATGTTGTTTGGTGGTATATCATTTTTGACCCAAGTTTCGTTAATTAGGTCTACCAAATGTTGCACTAGCTCTAAACTCTCCGCGGCCACGGGAGGAGGGATATAGATATGAGACATTGATATTCGAAAGGCTGGTAGTAGGACTAATATATTGGATGATTGATCTGGAGCTGGGGGTCGACTTGAATCAAATAATCGAGCGTCGGGCATTAAAGGATAGTCGGTGTTGCCTGAAGGACATTCGGGGTTGAAGGACTTATAGACGACCCCGCTTGCTAAGACATCCTTCGGGAAACGAGATTGAACCTTAGAATTCGACAGTAATATTACACTAGCCCTGGCACTAGCGGTGACGTAAAAGAGATTAGTGTATTTCGAATCTATTTCCGAGAAATCAAAAGAGTTCTTGGTAAAGCTGATTTCGACAACTACTGTACTAGGTTGGATCCATTTCCTTATCAATTACCTGGTCATCCACTCAGTGCATGCTTTCTACTCTCATTATAATGCAATAAATTCATAGTAAGAAAGAGAATTTCTAGCTAGTATTGTAAAATAAATCATATAGTAATAATAAATCACCAATAAGAAATGGTATTTGAATAATTAATTCTCCATTGACCGCAGAATTTGACTCTCGAAAGAGGCGAATAGTATCTAGAGGGATTTTATGGTATTATGCCTTTGAGAAGGGATCTCAGGAGCCGCACCTCGAAAGTGAGCACGCTTTAAAGTTTCAGGCTGTATTTATGTTGAAGTCCTTCCAAGATTCGGGTTCGTCTCGCGAGCTAATAGGATTTACATGTGTAGCTCCAGGGCCTCATCGGTCGATTTCCACAGCTGTTTAGCCAGCGCCTCATCCTTGGCTGCTTTGCCCAGGTTGCTGGAGAGAACTCCAGCAGGTTCATAGAATTTGCCATTCTGCAAGCAGTCTTTCGGGATGTTCGCTACCCAAATATGGTTATAGACGCCTTCCTCGGGCTTCAGCACCTGGCTGAGGTTCGTCACCCAGACAAAGGCGCGGCTGAAGCGGCTGAGGTTCCCAACTAGGCCTGTGTTGACCACTCTTGGTGTCAGGGAGATGCTCATCAGGTCTGAGTAGTGGCGCGCCAACTCACGCGCATACAGCAGGCTTGCCAATTTCCTCTGGCCATAGCGGAGCCATTTGCCCATGATGGCTTCCTGGTGGGTGCAAAAAGTGGCGAAGGCAATCCCTCGGGCAAATTTAAACCCCAAAGAGGTTACCAGAATGATACGCACGTCCGCATTTGCTGCCGTGGCCTGGATCAGTGGTAGCAGCTTACAGATCAACAGCGCGTGGCCTAGATGATTGGTGCCGAATTGGATCTCGTAATCGTCCTCAGAGAGCCCTAGTTTGAAGCCATAATGCCTGCATTACAAATCAAAAGATCCGGGCGCGACTATTGACTAATAAATGTTTCTGCGGCCTGCTTCATGGAGGCCAATGAGGCAAGGTTGCATTCGAGGAAAGTCATAGGTGTTGTTGTCTGCTTGTCGGATCTACTGAATTACCTCGTCTGCGGTGGCAGCATTCCGCCCGCTTATATAGATATGCGCCGGCGATTGCCTATTCTCCTAGCACTTTCAGCCCCGATGCCAGCGGTACCTGCCCAGATTTGCGCACATGAGTATTATATTTTGTCATTGAGAAAAAGACAAATTCACCGCCGGTAATGAGTATGACTTTTCCAGACATGTGGGCCAAGTCTTCAGGATTGATGATTCGCAACATGATGGGACAGTTTTGAGACGAGGGTTTAGTGTTTGAATTAGGTTGTTGATGATAATACAGCAGAGCAAAGGCTTTTAGCCGCTTTGTCAAGGAATAATACCGAAAACATCGAATTTCAAGTTGTTTGAAGGTTTTAAGTCTTACATATTCCTGGTCCTAGTCGGTCTGATGATTGTCCCAAAATACCCCGAGTTCCAAAATGCTATGGAATGACGTATAGTCGAAATCAATAAATACGCAATTTTGATTATCACTAGCATCAGGAGAGCTTATAATGATTATCCGAGGCGCAAGGTCCTTGACTTCATGTCTTTTTTCCCGAAAACGAGTTTTAGGCTCAATAATCGACTTTATAAAACCTCAATGAGCTGACTGAGAAGGTTTCTCTAGCCCAGCCTGCAACATTGTAGTCCTCACAATATACCTCATCAAGATTATGTACACTACCTAGGTATCCATTCTGGTATAATTCCTGAGCCTGCTTGTGTATTGTCCACTGAAAGACTAAAGAAATAGAAATCATAGTATCTTGGGATCCCATGGCCTTGCATATCACTAAGCATCATATATACCTTTGTATTTGCCTCGTTCGAAAAACGGTCTTTCCAAGTTGACGACAGAATATGTATTGTTAAAACTAAAATTATCATTTACATAAAGCGGGTCGTAGATCATAGCAACAGGTAGAGTCTCGTTAGAGACCTCGCTTATCAGAGCCAGAAGTAGGGCCGTGACTATCTGACAGCTAGCTCATCTCCTCTTCTGGAACTCTACCCTGCGTCTACTGATCTCAATTTCCTATATATCGTAGACCTCTATCTCTCGTAGATTATCAACAAAATGTGTTGCCCATTTCCCCTAATTTTCCTATTACCGTAATATCAATCAACTTAGACTCAAATGTTGCAGAAAGGAAACTGGGTAAACTGGATACTATAGTAGGTCCATAAGCTAAATACTCAACAAAGCCTCAAGTACATCAGCGGGTTTATTCTTTGGCGCAGCGATCTTAAGCACTTCTTTGCTGGTTGTGGATGTCGAGAATTTCCCCTCCTACGCCAGCTCAGCAGCATACTTGGCCGACAAAATAACGTTCTTTGACTGATGCCCAGTTGCTCCTATCAGCGTGATTTATATCTATAGTGTTAACTAGCAGATGTGAGGTACTGACGAATTTTGGAATCAATTTTACCTAATCTAACCAACCGCTTAGGCCTCATACTGAATAATTATTCCACTGCAGATAACCAGGCAAGAATGTTCTCAGCCCATTGCTTACCCAGATCACCGGCACTAATGGCAAGGTCCGTCGCTACTTTGAAATAACTTACATATGGCACAGAGAATTGGCTGCATAGTATTCTAAAATCTTGACTCACTAGCCCTCTCTGTGTTCTTAACTCATGAGTATAACTTTTATATGTGGGGCGGGTTACCCCGCATATTATAATCTAGGTTAAATCTCGATCTTATCTTCCTATCGCCGTTTTGCTTTGATACTCGATCTGGCAAACGTATTAAGAACCTTTCCTGGCCTCTCTATCTTTTGATGTACACATTGGAGCACGTTAAAATCTGTTGTATTCATGTAGGACTCGCTGTGGGCTTCCATCGTTTGAATATCTATCTCAAAGATCATAGACAGACTCATGAACGATGATGAGCTCAAGCATACAAGTAGAAGTCTCACCCACGTAAGATTTCATCTCTATCCAAACACAACACTTTAAACAGATTCCAAGGTCTCCATAATGGCTACCTAATCAATCCCAGTAGTCCCAGTCGTGGACGTAAAGACAACTACAGTCGAAGAGATTGTCGCTGAAACGCGCTAGAGGTGCACACGGTTATTCGGAATGCAGTAGCCTTCAGTAAATTCGATAAGATAGAGTACTTATATAGTTATCCTCATACCAACTTATGAGCATACTCATACTCTCATATCATCTCTCAGAAAGGATATTCGACCACAGCTTGAGAAGGATACAGCATAGGACGGTACCTTCTTCCCAAAGGAAACTCGCCGCTCTACCGCTGTGCTCCGGTAGCGCGTTTCAAGTGCCGACGTAGGTCCAAGTTAAATTGTCTTTAGAATTGCCTTTGCCTAGCAACATTAATGTCTCGAGTAAAACAGGAACTGAACATGCGAAACACCATTAGTTTCAACCCTTTGTCGTGATTTGACTAACGACCTCCGAAGTTTTAATCCAACTTGGCCATACCGAGGACCCAAGCCAGCATTGAACAATGCAAATATCATATCCGTCTACGGGCACCTAACTTTGGCATTTAAAAGTATTCGGAAGTGATACCCGTGAGAATAAATGCAAGGTAGTGCATGAGTTGATGGCCAGTAGATTCGTAGCATTTCATTATATGTTCAGGGCTAAAACTAGATGTGTAAAGCATAAGGGTATCAGTTGCCGCATCAGACGGCTTTGGCAAGAAACAAATATAACATCATTAAGAATCTTCCAAGACGGCACGGACAATGCCTCGATTCTCAACTCGGTGGTAATACTGGTTCAAATTCACGAATTGAGCATGCACGGCCCCTTGGACCTGCATTATTTCATGCAGGACTGGCCAAAGAGCACAGTCATCAATGCTTAGTGCCGTTCCTCCAAGATAATGCTGTCCCTCCAGGCCATTCTCAAATTGACTGAATCCATACTCAAACGGTACACTCGGGGTATGAGCGAGATGTTTGCGCCAGCATGTGAACAGGTCCTCGATCAGTGAGAGATAGCTAACGCCTTGCAAGAGATAGACACCTGGTCTTGTAGTTTCGGCACGTCGTTGAGCCAGATGCATCAGGATAGCCACATCCCCGGTAGTGGAAGTTCCATCAGAGTCGATGTATACTGGCAGCTGAGGCCGAATGTCATCATAAGGTGTGAGAATATCATATCGAAGACCATTTTCCCCCAGGGCAAGGCGAACTCGTAGATTCGCCAGAGGATCTCCACTGAGTACCAGTCGAGCCGTGGATGCAGTGACAAAATTCACTACATCAAATCCTCCGCCATATACTGCATTCCGATCAAATTCACTGGCCTTGTTTTCCTGACCAAATGCGAGAATCAACTGTTCGGTCGCAGTTGGTTCTCCATGAATCACTGGTCGGGCCATGCCTTGCGTCTTTCCTACTGCACCTTGGCCCCAGATGGTACCTGCTTGCGTATTCAGATAGGTACCAATGTGCCTAAAAGTGAGGGAAATACGTTCACCGCCGAATGCTAGTTCTTCCGGAGATTTTTGGGAGTTTGGGCGTTTGTCGGGACGAATAGAATGCAGCCAGCGCATATTGGTTTTCTCGCCGAGAATGAAAAGAGATTGATGGGGCAGAGGGATGTGCTGTGTAGTACGGCTTGATTCCGTGTCCTCGCGTTGCTCGGAGGCAGACTTCTTTGTGCGAAGGGTCATTATACGTTGAGCACCCAGGCTCACATTACAAATGAAAGAGCCCCGTACAATATCCAAAGTTTTGTCCGAGTGTTCAGAGATGGAATCCTGTCCATCACGGTACAATTGGATAAGGGCGTGGTTCAGTGGATGACCTACAACCCGTTCGATCACCGAACGTACTTGATCAACGGTAGTGGTAAAGTCCTTCAGCGGCGGAGACTCATCCGCTGGGTGTCGGTAAATAGGAATGGTACCATCAGATTTCACGTGGCCTTGCACTGCTACCAATCTCGGCACTGCGCCTGACAGGTGATACATTTTCTGCCATGACACCTCCTGGCGGATGCGCTGAAACGCGTCAGTGGATATATCAATTTCGTTCACGAGTCGCGAGTCACCTTCGCCAATACCACGAGGACGAGCTGCTTCTTTTTCAGCGTCAGGCCGGCGTTTTCGGCCATGCACTCTGGCTTTTATTTTTACAGGAGCTCGCTTGCCACCAGCACTGCTATACTGGGCTCGAAATTGAGAGGCGAGGGCCGAAATGCTGATTTCATCGTCTCTACCTGGTGATTCTGGCGATTTATCTGTCTGAACTGGCGAGTTCTCCGTCTGAACGTCCATCATCTCAATTATATTCTCCAAGCCCAATGAGGAATCCGGTGGCCGTCTGGCCGCCTGTGGAGCCTCAGCAATGACATCTGTCATGTGCCAGTCAAGTTCCTGCAGGAGCTCATCTGCCGTGAGACCAGTTGCGCCGAACTGATCTGCCATGCGTCGCATTGCTTCTTTGTGGCGGTCCCAGTCACGGTACCCCAAGCAGTCCTCGATCAGTGTCACCGTGAAGCAATTTGGCCCGGCATCCAACGCGGTAGCGTACACGGACACGTTAGAAAGCGAGCCACATAGGTACAGTTCGGTCACAAAACGAGTCCGAAAGTATTGCATCAAATCCCTTGACTCTAATGCGGAATACCTTGTTTTTACCAACAGTATGTCTTGTTCTTGATCGATTGCGGCAAGTATCGGGGCCGGAAATTGAAATCCAGGGCTCTGCGCAGCGCAGCAAACAGCAGTTTGTCCGGAGAGAAAGGCCTCCATATCAACAGGCTCAGGGGAATCGCGATCCGAACCCACCTCGATCACATCCGAGGGGGGTGGAGGTGAGGGTGGTTTTGTGGCCTCCCTATCCAAGACAATACGGTCCCCAGAATTCCAATCATAGAACGGCACTGGAGATTCATATTGTGAGCGGACCCAAACCACATCACCAACTTTGCGAAATGCGGCAGCTAGTGAGGGTAATGTCTCGAGTATGTCTGGAGTATTGGGAACATGAAGGGCCCCGGATGGACGGACGAAGTCGTTCTGGAAGTCCAGCATCAACAGGGCCCTTCTAGTCTTGACTATAGGAAGGGCATCGATTTTGAAGAAGCTCATCGTTTAGACATGGCACGTAGCAGGTTCAGGGATCAGTCGAATGTTTGGGGTTGCACTTCTGGTCTTGGTGGGGGCGGAGACACCTCAGGCAGCAAAAAGGGAGTAAGAAGTCCTTTTGCAAGGTGCGAGCTTCTGCATTATAAGTCCGAGCTGTCTTACAGATCAACTTCAGTAGCGAAGTGACAAAGGGTGCCAACAAGCATGTCTCCCACCGTGTCGGGTCAGTTAGGTGGGTACCATTGGTTCACAAACGTGACCAGCGACTGATGATCGGAAGTTGGCGGTTGTTTTCGGGTTCAGGAAAGAGAAGGGGTAACCTGGATATGAACAGAATGCTATCATCTAGATATATATTCATCACAGCTTCCTTCAGCCCTTGTCCCCCGGAAACAGTTGGATGCATCAGGAGCAGATCCACTTCGAAGTTGAAACACCAATGACGATTCAATAATCGAGGCCGGTGTCGGACGGGGAGCAATAGTTCAACTCCGGAGTCACGTGAGGTGGCTCGAAGTCTGGTAGCTTCCCCAAACTTTTTAAAAACCCGCACATTCCTCCCTTCCTCCTTCTTCTCTTCAGTCTTTTCAAACTCTTCACATTTTACACAATGGCTGCCCGTGGTCTTTCTCGTGCTCTCCGCCTCGCCCGTGTGGCCGCTCCTCGCTCGGTCGTTACCGCCGCCCTCCCCCGGCCTGCTCTTGCCAAGATCACCTCCCGTGTCACCCAGGTCTCCGCCATCCGTGGCATCAAGACCGTTGACTTCGCCGGTGTCAAGGAGACTGTCTACGAGCGTGCCGATTGGCCCAAGGAGAAGCTCCACGAGTTCTTCAAGAATGACACCCTTGCCCTCATCGGCTATGGCTCCCAGGGTCACGGCCAGGGTCTGAACATGCGTGACCAGGGTCTCCCCGTCATTGTCGGTGTCCGGAAGGATGGTGTATCCTGGAAAGAGGCTATTGCCGACGGCTGGGTCCCCGGCAAGAACCTGTTCGATGTCAACACTGCCATTGAGAAGGGTACCATCATCATGAACCTGTTGTCTGATGCCGCCCAGTCCGAGACTTGGCCCACTCTTAAGCCCCTCATCACCAAGGGCAAGACTCTTTACTTCTCCCACGGTTTCTCCCCTGTCTTCAAGGACCGCACTAACGTCGATGTCCCCACCGATGTCGATGTCATCCTCGTCGCCCCCAAGGGTTCCGGCCGCACTGTCCGCTCCCTCTTCCGTGAGGGCCGTGGTATCAACTCTTCCATTGCCGTCTTCCAGGACGTCACCGGCCAGGCTAAGGAGAAGGCTATTGCCATGGGTGTCGCTGTCGGCTCCGGCTACCTTTACGAGACCACCTTCGAGAAGGAGGTCTACTCTGACCTCTACGGTGAGCGTGGTTGCCTGATGGGAGGTATCCACGGTATGTTCCTTGCTCAGTACGAGGTTCTCCGTGAGCGTGGCCACAGCCCCTCCGAGGCCTTCAACGAGACCGTTGAGGAGGCCACCCAGTCCCTCTACCCTCTCATTGGTAACTACGGTATGGACTGGATGTATGATGCCTGCTCCACCACCGCTCGCCGTGGTGCCCTTGACTGGTCCAGCCGCTTCAAGGACAACCTGAAGCCCCTCTTCAACGAGCTCTACGACAGTGTCCGTGACGGCTCTGAGACCCAGCGCTCCCTCGACTTCAACAGCCAGAAGGATTACCGTGAGAAGTTCGAGAAGGAGCTGCAGGAGATCCGTGACCTTGAGATCTGGCGCGCCGGCAAGGCTGTCCGCTCTCTCCGCCCCGAGAACCAGAAATAAATTTATTGTTATACCTACCGGCGAGGGTTTGGACAAAAGTTACGATGTACTATGAAACAAGTTAGTTATATTTTGGGGTTCGGGTAGTTTTCAATATCATGTTCGGCAAATGCCATTTTTTGAAAATAGAACATAAGAACCTGTATTCTATCGCTGTTTACTTCCGAGGCTGCATGGTTTCGGTCAATGCGCCTAGAATTATGGTTGTAAAGGTTTAATAGACACGAGTTTGCATACTTTTTTATTGTCGTAATTTCTGTTTCGAAATTGTAAGCCACATATCAGCCAGCTAATAGTAATGTGGCTAAATACATGCTAACCCTAACTACTTTTCTAAGTAAAATTTGCTAACGCAGCAAAAAAGCCTACGCATGTTTTGAGGCTGCAGTACTAGAATACTGTAACCCTATACACTTTAAAAGATCGACCGCTCCCTTCATGTGTTCCTTCAAATTTTCCCTATAAGTCTAATAAATCCATAATCCTCTTATCAGGGTAACTACTAATAATGACTTCATTAAACATATCTCGGTCTGGTCACTCCTCAAAAAGAAAGCTGGTTCGCCAAAAACAATGTCGATGCAAGACAAGTTCAATCAGAAGAGCTTATGAGTATAGTAAAATGTGCGATATAGATATCTAATAGTTGGTCTAAATGACCCCGCAGGTGAACATAGCCCGAAGTATGGCATCATTGGACAATTCACCCACAGCACGTTCAACCACCTCCTACAGTATACCACGTCTCTCAAAGATGTCCACGCCAGCAGAGGAAGCTCGATTGCTAACGCCAGCAGCCGTACAAGCCGCGTACAGCCTCATAAAACCCTACGTTCATCGCACCCCACTGCTAACCTGCAAGACCCTGGACACAATCGCCTCAACCCCGCAATCACCAGACGCCCTCGTTGGCACACAATACGAAGGCCAAACACCGGCGAAGCCGCGCATCCGATTCTACTTCAAATGTGAAAACCTGCAGCGTATCGGCGCCTTCAAAGCACGAGGCGCATTTCATGCGTTGCTGCGGTTGATAGAGGAGCGCGGGGAGGAGGAGGTCAAGCGGCGTGGAGTGATCACGCATAGTTCCGGTATGTCTCTTGGTGATATTAAGAGTCAAGATTGAGATTGGGGTTGAGATTGGTTTCCTAACATCTTCTTTATCAGGAAACCATGCCCAAGCACTAGCTCTCGCAGCTTCAACGCTCAATGTCCCTGCCTACATCGTCATGCCACGGATAAGCACGCCATCCAAGATCTCCGGGACACGCTCGCACGGGGCCGAAGTGATTTTCAGTGGCTCGACAAGCGTTGAGCGTGAAGCTGTCGTCGCCGAGATCCAAGCAAAGACAAATGCGATTCTCATCCCGCCATACGACTACTTCGATGTCATAGCCGGACAGGGGACAACAGCGTTAGAGCTTGATGAGCAGTACAGCGAGCAGTACAGCACGAAAGCGCTCGACGCAGTAATCACGCCTATCGGTGGCGGCGGGCTCAACGCCGGCGTAGCGACCTATTTCTCCGATAAAACTACGCGGGTCTTTGGCGCAGAGCCTAGCTTTGAAGGCGCAGATGATTGTCGGCGCGGTCTGCAGGCCAGACAGCGGGTTGAGACTGTTTCTACGCTGACTATTGCTGATGGATTGCGTACGCCTGTGGGGTTGTTGAATTGGGCGGTTATTTCTGATGAGAAGAAAGTTGAGGGCGTATTTGCCGTTAGCGAGGAGCAGATCAAGGCTGCGCTGCGACTTGTGCTTGAGAGGATGAAGGTCGTTGTTGAGCCTAGTGCTGTTGTTGGACTGGCGGCTTTTCTGTTCAATGAGGAGTTGCGCAGTCGTGTTGAGAAGGAGGGGCGTGAGGAGGGTTGGGATATTGCTATTGTTTTCAGTGGTGGTAATACAACCGTTGAGGCTATTGGGAAGTTATTTGGATAGGTTCATACACAGGATTCAAGATTCTTGTTACTAGTGACTACATAAAATAGATACATTGATTCTGGTCATGTTATCTGCCGAATAAGGGTATCTCAACTCCAGTTTCGCGTATGTAGAATGCGAAACTCCCACTATTGAGTGCATCAATGCTGTCCACCACGCTACGGGGCCAATCCTCCCGTCCCCATGAATTGACCCAAGCAGAGAACTTGCCCTTGCATACCATTTCCTGTCGCATAGATGCGTCATTCCTAGCTTCGCTCGCACTCATAGTAGGTGGGAATGGGCGAACCACGTCCCGGTGAACAATGAGACGAAGAACAGGGAAAATTCCCCACGGCGCCGGGAGAGCAGGGCGAAGTGAGGGTCGATTAGGTCTATCATAAGAGCCAAAGGGACCAGACTGACCACTGGTATAAGTAGATTGGCGGGCACCAGGGACCGTCGTGGTAAAGACGACTGTACAACCGAACCTACCCTGAAGTTGCTTCAACTCCTGAACCAGCTCCGTGTAAAGATCAGAAAGATAAAAACTGTCCTTCTGCTCGCGACCTTTGTCGATATCCGCTTTTGAAAGGCCGATTTCCTCCGTTCGAGAAACTTCGTCTCGGAATCGGTCTTGCCAGAAAAAAGCTGTCGCACTGTCAATGGCAAGCATCTTCAAAGGACGTGAGGCAGAATAGTGTCGTGATAGATCGTAGAGGTATGTATGCAATGTGGACAACGTGGCAAGAAGAGAATAAGACGACTGTGGGCGAAATACATGAACGTGCTTTAACGCAGAGGCTACAATGGCATTAAGATCTTCTTCATCATCGATGCCCCTATCCACGTCTTGCACCTCCAAGTCAAAGGATATTCCAGCTTGCTTGATAATGCCTCGAGATATAGTTCGCAGCCTATTGGCGTCAAACCGATCATCTGTATCAATCCACACCACAGCCGCGTGCTGTCCTCCAAGTGGAACATTGCCATATTTCGGAGGCAAGATTGCCCGCGCGGCCAGATAATACAGTAGCTGGGATTTACCAGCAGCGGAAACACTGCTTGAGATTTCCACAACGGGATCAGGCCGTTTGGTCCTATGGGCCGAGTCCGAGAAGAACGCATTAGGCTGATCAGCCGGGAGGACGGGTAGCTCATCCTCGTCGAAAAGCATTTCCTCATCATACGCTCGGTTTTGCTCCCGTAGGAATGATAACTGGGCAGGAGTCCGCATTTGCTGATGTTGTGGATCAGTTGGAATCGCCCTCAGCATAAAGACCTCAAGCAATGCGTCAAGCACCGGGACACCGAGTCGTTGTGATTCATGTTCGGTGTTGACAGGATAGACATTGCCCAGGTCATGCAGAATCTGGTTGACGTATTAGCAATTAAAGCTATGAGTTATACGCAGTCATATCAGATTTACCTCGTCTAGTCCCTCGTGATGTACCTCACCCAATGAGGTCGCGCCAAAGCTGGCAGCCATTACGGGCAAAAGTCCGCAAGATCATGGAATTAGATCATGCATATCTCAGTCAAATAGCGAATTAAAATCAGCGCAGAATGCGTGCGAGATATGTGGGTCTGGAGAAAGTAGGTTAGAATCGGGGGAGCTCGAGCTTGACCTCGAACGGGAAGTTCAGGAAGAGAAACTAACTCAGGCCATATCCGCACTTCACTCCGCACAACAACCCCGAGCTACTCGACTCGTCTACTCGCACACATTACAGCATAGCAGACCAAGTTAGCCCTCAATACACAATGGCACCCCTCGTCCCCGTCTTCTCCGTCGAAACCCTCCCCGACCATGTCAACACTGTCCAGCGGAACTTTGTGGAGAAGCGGCGCAAAGGCGACCAGATCAATCTGAAAGAGTGTCCGCTTTTTGAGATGGTTCAGTACTCCTGCAATCCTCCAAATAAGCCTGGGCCTGAGGCGGGTGTTGTTCTCTGCGATCCTGTCGTGCGGCTATTTCGACGGTAAGAGCTGATTACATGGAGAATTGTTCATACAACGGCTGACCATGATACAGCTGTGCCGGCGGATTGACGGTCGAAACGACGTCGTGGGAGCGGATCAGAGAAGCGAAAGAAATGGAGGCGAGTAAGAAATAGGTGGAAGGGAGAATATCAAATTCGCATTGGCTGGAGTTCGGGAATTCACATTTACGTTTTACAAGAGGATCGAGAAATGATAAAATGATAAGGATCATTATGAATTTTGCAATGGGGTATCTCCTGAATCAACACCGAAAAATAAAGAAGAAAACACCATGTCCATGAAGCTGGAAACAAAAAAACGCCACCGTAAAAGAAAGAACCCAGCCCATGTTAATATTTATAACTCTCTTGGCTCATCCTGCCGGCTCGACGCTAGGAGTACGCTTGAGCTTTTTCTCTTCCATGGCTCGCGAACCTGTAGCTGTTGTCCGGCGCCAATAATCGCGCTCGCAGTTGACGATAGGCCCCAAGTCCTGATTCCACTGAACTTTTAGCGGCACCGAGTCAATCTCCATAGCGGAGCTGGTCATGACAGGCGGGTCGTTCTTTGACTTTTTCATAGCTTCCTTGACCGTCTTCTCGAACATCGTTTCCATGCTATCCGTGCGTCGACCCCACAGCTTCTTGTCTTTACCGCTGGATGTGGTAGGATTATCACGGAACGCAGCACTTGCCAGTTTGCGCAGTGCCTCTTCACCATGACGGCCGTCTTCAGCGGCACGTTCTCGAATGCGACGGGGGTCATTATCGCGCTCGGTGAAAACAGAAGTTGCAGAGTAGGTGTGTCGGCTAGGGAATTCGGGGAAGGATCTCGGGACGTAGGAGGGGTTGACATGGTCATCCTGTCGCAAAGTATTCAAGAATGGGATTTTCTGCGCGGTTTCTTCGTCTGGTGGTGGTGATGGAAGAAGTGTGGGTATAGGGGCGACGATTTGAGGTGCTTTTATGTAAGGAGCCAGCTCGTCTAAGGAAAGGCGCACCCGATGCAGACCGTGTTCGAAGTCCTGGGGAAGTGGTTGAAGACGACGAGCTGAAAGCATTGATTGACGGACGAAAGTGGAGATTTTAAGCAGATCTGATAGTAAGCGCATTAGTTTTGGTCCTGGTTTGCCGCAATGTAAACACCTACACTCCTCCGCCGCGCTGCGAAGGCTGGCTAGCGCACATGGCTCAGCGATATCGAAGCCAGCATTCTTGATCAGCTGGCCTAGCGATCGGTCGATCAGGAAATCCACATGGGCATCATCGTGTACTGCGAGCTCGGACGCAAGCGGGATGGTAACTGGTTCTTTCAGAATATGATGGTGATTGTAGTGGTGCTTTGGCCGTTTATTGCTAATTTCCTCGTCTAGAGCTGCAGAAGAAGATGACCGTTTAAATAAGAGGCCTGATGACTCCATGGCCATATTGTAGCTGCGTTGGTAGCTGCAAAAGCAAGTTGGGAGTGCCGAGATGGAAGATAGCTCCAGTTGTAAACCAGGACGCAAAGGTCACGTGTCAAGGCCTCAGGCAGTCATGCAAAGACGTTATTCTCCATGGTCTGAGAATGAGTTCATAGGAGGAGAAATGGGTCGTGCAGTTGAACTAATCCTGTTTCTGAATAGTGCTAAGTCGAAGTAATCGGTTTTTTTCCCCTTACCAAATCAGCCCACGTCGAATTGCATGAGAAGACCCCAGTAATCCCGCCGACCAATCCGGGGCCTCGCTTACCGCCCGAAAGCTTCAACTTCACTTTCACTTCCACTTCACTCCGTCAACTCACCTTTCTTTCTCTCCTCTCCACCCAACCAAAAGGCAGGACCCTATCTGCCTCCACCGACCAGAAAGTTATATTGAGTATCAATTCATACTTTCTACTCGCCACAATGCCCGCTGCTGTTCCCCCCATCGTCGGCGTATGTGCCCCCTTCGATAAGCCGAATCAACCACGGGCTGATCGGACCGACGGAGCGACCGGACAATAAGCTAATATATCATTTTGAACTATAGACTCTCCGCCGTGGTCTCGTTCTGGATGTCGCCAGTGCTATCGGTAAGTTACCTCGACTTCAATATTGGGTGGCATGATCGGGTGGACAAGCGTGATAACGGGATTCGAACATCAACGACCGCAATGATCAGACCCAATATAAAGAAAACATTCAGGAAGAAACTCACACTAACCAACCTCTTTCAGGTTTTGGTACCACTGCTGGCTACGTCTGGTGGTACGGTAAGTAACAAACATCACTCTCCACTAAACGAGCCCGGCCTAATTATATCTACCCAGGCTTCCACCTCCGCCGCGTCCGTGAGCGTGATGTCTTCTACTCTCGCCTCGAGGCCCAGCGCGACGCCGAGCGCGCATAAATCGACCAATACTAGTCGCCTTCTCTCGATCGTTCCCCTCCGCCCGTCGGCATTTCCTTGTCAAGATATGAATTACCAAGATACAATCCCGCAATTGACTTTTTCTTCATATTGAACCCGTTGTCTCAGGGTTAATTCGTGTTGGCGGGCCTACAAGCGTGGATGATTGGCGTGGGATCCGGTTGTACATATACGCCTGTGTCAATGTGTTTTGCAAATTGTTTTAGGCCAAAGAGCCTTTCTTTATTATCCACCGTTTTCTTCAAACTCAAACGCCCGTCGGGAATTCCTTGCAGGCCCAGGTCCGGTCTGGTCCAGACCCATGTCTAGACTAATGCCCATCTGTCTAGGACTCGTAATTGATCATGATGAAGGTGAATTTATTGCAATGAAAACGCTAAAAATGCCACAAGTTTGGATCCACCGGCCTGCCAAGAAGAGCCGCTTCCAGATGTAACCAGTGATCATACCACACCTTCGCATCTAGTATTCAGCCTCTACCTTGGACGACGTCCTAACCAGCTGCTTGTTCTAAAATGCTTAGATAAATCTATTTTAGCACGCGGTCATAAGAAACCCGGTGAACAGTCTGGCCAGCCATTGCCAACCGCACATTGCGCTTGAAGAGGTCACGAGTTTCGCGAAGTTCCTTAGCAGCGTCCTTATTGAGTGGATCAGAGGCGTTCGGTTCTAAGAAAAGAAACTGGATCAGGTGAAAAAGAGTCAGTCAACACACCACCCCTAAAAGCGCAGTCAGTATGGAAAGTAAGCAACCATACCTGCATCCCGACAACAACGGCATTCAAATTCAACACAGGCTTCCAGTCCTCGCGCAAGATGTTAAGGCAAACATTCCCGTCCAGATCGATATTAGGATGATAAATCTTCTGCAAGCATTTAACCTTAGGCGGGTCATGAGGAAAGTTCTGATTGATAGCAAAGCTGAAGTTGAAAGCGCCGCCAGTATACATGCCCTCGTCGGGCTCGATGATAAGAGTGAAATTGAGCATGTCGTCAGGGTCCGCAAAGTCCATTCGCATCGTATCGGGGAGTGTCAGGTCTGCCATATCTGTACAGAAAGTAGGTTAGAAAAAGGAGGGGGAAAATTTGAGGATAGGTCGTGTCCTGGAACTGGACCTAGACTGGAAGTTGAAGTGGCTGACCTCTTTGGACGCGTAGTTGTGCTGCAGTGACCTTCTTCTTTTTCTTACCCCCTGCTGCTGCGGCTTCAGCATTTTCAGCCTTTTCCTGCTGTTGTTTCTGCGTGGTTGTTAGTTAGTCATTTGGGTGCAGTCGTTGGAATTAACGTACCATGGTCCAGATCTTGAGCATTTTGCAAGAGATCCAGCCTACCGGGTGGAATGGTTATAGAAAGGTGGTGGTTGTTTAGAAGGGGAGGCGCTGAGAGGAGGTGAAACAGATGAGAGGTTGAGTATTGTGAGGCAGGTGTGTGTAATGAGTATGTTATGAGGGGGGAAGGAAAGGATTAGGGCGGCGGGATAAGGCATTAATCTGAGTGGGGTTTTGCTTAGTTGTGCCTATCGCCAGGCCTACCTTGGGTGTGCCTTAGGACACAACCATAGGCTCTACGAACACTGATTAGTTGAACATGAAGTACAGTAATGAGTACATGGGTTGAAAAACTTGAATTTCTGGGAATTGGTTTACGCCACCATCCATATCAATGCATCCGACGAAACAAAGGCTGCTAATCAACCTTCGTGGACAGAACATGCTGCGTAACTAAGAACTCGAAAAGGGCATCTCTAGGTTAAAGTACATATCACATAGTGGTTAGAGAGAATAAAATGAAGGATGAAAGATGAACTCGGGTGCCACAAGGTGGTTCAGAAGAGACGGAATTTGAAGTTTACCGACGAGCGAAGCAGCACTTAATTCCAGTGCGGCCCAAGAACCAACAGCAACCGATGAAACGGAACAGGGCCATGGCAGCGTTGGACCATAGAAGGGCCTGGAAGAAACGGGCAGTACGGACGGTAGCGGTGTTCTGTGAGGAGTTAGTGGACGGTCATCAGAAAGGAGGAAAGGGGAGAAAGAACATACCGTGAAACCAAACTTGTCGACGGCTTCACTAGTAATGCAGACGGCGAGGAAAGCATTGCTGAAAATCCAGAAAGTCACAAGGCGAGTACGGAAAGACTTGTAAGAATCTTCCAAGCTCTTTTCCTCGCGTTCTACCGGTGCCACATATGGAGTAAGAGCACGCTTGACAGTTGCTTCAAACTGGCTGTCGATGTCGGCCTGCGGTTTGTCAATTTCCTCTATGACCGCTTCTTTACTACCATCGTCTTTCGTAGTCTTCGCGGAAGGAAGTGCATCAGCTTTGTCAGATCCCTTGGTACCCCAGGACACATCGTGCCAGTTGCTGAAAGCATAGACGTTGAGGATGTTGATGTATGATGACTGCAGAACCATGTAGGCTGGGAACGAGGTAAACATGTGCCATGGATCGGCATACATGAAGGACGCAACGAAGTAGAGACCGAAGGTAGCAGCCAGAGCAATAATAATGATACCAGCACCGGATGAACCGAAGAATGACTGGAGGAAAGCAGAAACACCCTTGTCGGTGACAAAGTCCATAGGAGCGCCACCCGTGAAGGCACGGATAACCAGGTACAAGGAATCAACAACAATGTAGAGTTGAATAAGACCAAAGACGATGAAGGAACACAAGTATGAGAACTTGGAGCCCTTTGGTCTGTTACCAAGAGCGAGGATGAACTGCAGCAACACAAATGCTAGATAGATGTATTTAATGATGGTGTTGATTATAGGGGTCGCGGTTTTGCCGAAGGGGAAAGCAGTCTCCTTATTGCTTGAGCTTGGAGTACCGACCAAGTCAACGATGACGGTTGTGGTCAGCCAATAGGAGGCGAGAGAGAACCAGGTGAGAATTGTGTTAAAGATGTTGTACAACATCTGAATGTGCAAGAAGAACATGCGGATCAAGTTGTGGCCACTCTTATACATACGGCCGAAGTGCATCAGTGAGTAAATACCAGCAGCGAATGAACCGTTCAGCCAACGACGACGCTGAGAGATGAACTCGTCGGCGGCTTCGGGAACGTCAGTCTCACCCTTCGAGGCCTTGACGTATGACAAGTGCCATTTCGAACCAGCTTTTGCGACCAGCTCGAAACACAGGATACGATCCTCGGCCAAGAACATATTCTTCTTGAAAATGTTCATGCCCTCAATACCCTTCTTACCGAGCTGCTTAGAGAGGGTGTGATCTCCGTGGAAGTACTGCTCTAGCGGACGGCCCATGATGGCACGGAATCGGTATGCAGAGAAAGCACCAGGCAACACACTGACATAACCGAATGAACTTTCAAGGGGCTTATCCAAAATGTTACTGATCTTGTACTCAAAGTTCTGTGCCGCGACAAGCGGGTTCACCAGGTTGCGCCAACCCTTACCCAACATGGCGTGGATTTCACCACAAGCACCTCCAAGGTCCTTATCGTTGTAGAAGGCCTCCCAGAGGGAAAGCAGGGATTTGGGGCCGGGCTTGGTTCCTGCATCGAGCAAGATACAGATCTCAGGGTTCAGAATACGACCGAATGCGTTAAAGAGCCAACGGTGAGAATTAATTTTCTTGCTGTTCTTCTGCTTCAAGCAAAACATCATTTGCACGGGTGGTAGGGTGCTGGGGCCATCCTCCGTGGGGCGGATAAGCTGTTGGTTAGGAGTCACCGATAATTGAGTGGTGTACTCGAACTATCAATCGGGTTAGTTGAAAGCCCATATTTTCAGTCAGAAGAAAAACCTACAATATGAGCTACGGTCTCCTTTCCGTCAACATCACGCTTCATGACACCATCCTGGTAGATACCAATTGTGGCCAAAACATCCAAAGTATCTTTATCGCAGGGGTCGATACCGTCGAAAACGAGGGCGACCACGATCTTTTGCCAAGCAGGACCTCCCTTGTTCCAGAACTCGGACTTCTTAAGATTCACAATGTCACGGATGTTCTGCATCACACCGTGCAAAGTACGCGACGTCAAGGTCTTATCTTCGTTGTAATAGGTGATGGCAATCAACAACTCAGTATGCCGATTGTACATGGCGGGACGGAGGTTGTAACCATTGTGCAAGGTGAACTCGTTGGGATCGCAAGTGGCAGCAGTATCTGGAAAGCAAGCGAATATTAGCAATTGTGCTGGTAGTTATCACTTATGGTAGAAGGCGACATCAGAAGGCACATACATCTCATGTGAGTGAATTCTTCACTACCACCCTCCAAATCATTGCGGTACTTGGCCTGAATGGCATTTTGAATGGCACTCGGTACGGGGTAATCGACACTCAGGACGGAACCCTGGACTAGCTTAACCTTACGGGTGGCATATCGTCGAAGATTACCGCCGGGAGCAGGACCACCGCCCGGGGCTTGTCGCTGGCGCCATGCCTCGGTGGAAGAGGTCTCACTGCGAGCGTAGGGTGAGGGAACACGACCAGGAACACCAAACTCAGTCGCGGGGTTTGTACCACCCTGGTAAGTGTGGCCAGTACTGTATGGGTCGTGGTAGGCAGGAGAAGTCTCTGTTGCGTAAGTCTCGGTCAAACTGTAACCGGACGTGGGTCGAACCGGGGAAGCGCCCCGCGAATGAGGGTCGTCAAAAGGAGTCGCGAATGGGCCCTGTTCGTGAGAGAGCAATCCACTCGAAGCATCATCACCCTCGCGATACTAAATTCAAGGTCAGTGGTGTCCATTCAACTCATCCAAAAATGAATGAAAATGCAAATAGAGGTTATTGAACGCGTACTTCAAGGTTCCCGTGAGGCTGATCGTAGTTGCTGGGCGAATGCGCTCCCGGTCTTTGGTAAGCCATGGTACTGGATACCCAAAGTGAGGCTTAAATGTAGAGAGTCGAAATAGACGGTTATCTCAAGGGAGAGAATGGCGACCAGTAAGCGCGTGACAGGTCAGATGGAAGCCACCAGGGCGTTGTAATCAGTCTAACAGGGAGAATAAAGGGAGTGATCAGGAGGTATAATCACTGATCTCCCAAGAAATATCTCAAGGTATAGAGGGGGAATAGGAAGAGAAAGGGAGGGGGGAAAAAGAAATAAGGGAAATAAGGTGAGGAGTAAGAAAAGGGGAGACAAAAAGTGGTGACCTCACAAGAAAGAAGGGGAAAAAAAAAAGGAGACACAACTTGAGTGAAAACTAAATCGTATTGCTGACCCAACCACTACCTGGTCCTACTAACATTAAAAAAAAATTGACTATTAACCGCTTCCTCAATTAGAATGGGCTTAGCTCCCCACACTGTGTATTCAATGGACTTGATTGCTTCATTAATTGATTATTTACTTTTTTACCACTATGCAACGGATACATACCGTATCCCTTGAAAAACAGAGGTATCTCAAGATCGGTATGGAGTATTAAGTACTGAGTACACAATCAGGGGCTATCTAGGGTCAAGGGTCAAGGGTCAATGATCACTTGGTCAAATCAGGGGAATAAAGACAGACTATTCGCTGACATCTGATCTTATATGCATCACTCACTATTGATATCCTGGTAAAAACGTTTGAGGTTTGAGGTTTAAAGTGAAGTATCTAGATCTGACCTATCTCATACCTAGCATCTACGACTGCAAAACTAACTCACTGATTACCTCCTTCTCCATGCTTCCTCCACTATTCCTACTATTCTTTATTAGGAAGTGGATCATCAAGAAGCCGAACCCCGAATGAACAGGCTCCACTAGGTAGTTTCATGAAGTACAACATTCCAGCATTCTTCGTACTATTTCAAGTTCCGAGATATTTGACCTCGGTAGTTGAAGATAAGAGTCTAAGATCTGATATCATTATGGATGTACGTAGTAGTAGGGAAATCTCTCGGAAGATACCTAGATAATGAAAATTCAGAAAAAAAAATAAGTGACACCCATGTTCGAGTAACACACGGACAGTCTAATGGCCAATGCGAGAACCAGAACCCCTAAGGATAATACTTACCTACTGTGCGGCAGGTGTGGCTCATCTGCCCGAGGGGGCGGTGCGTGTCTCAGAGTACTTCGTCTTATTTCCACCGATTCCATACGCTAGTTAGGGCTAACTATTGGTACCTAGTTATTAATAGACCGTCCACTATTTAACCAATTTCATTCTAAATTCTATCCTCCATCTTACTATATTTCCAACGTTCAACGTCCTCCTTCACCAAATTAAAATTATCATTTTCTACCTTGGGAAGAAGTGCTACTAAATACTTCCATTTCATCCTAATTTCGGGTTATATTTAATCCGAGTCCAGACTGTTCCTTTATTCCTTCAAAACTCCGTCTAATCATGATTAATATACTCCGTTATACTGCAAGGTGAACATGGGATGAAACAACTTAATTGTGGTTTGACAACGTTAATTTCTATTCTGTATCCTTGATTTATTTATTTATCTATATATCTATCTATCTTTCTGCCTGGGAGAAAAAACCTACAATCCTGGCTGTAATCCTAGATAATCCTTGACTCTTATAGGGTATATATGGAGAAATACTAAGATCATTGGAGTGCTCAGACCACCTGACTTCTAGCCCCGACTCTCATTTCCCAAATCCCCGTTATCCCATTTCATCTCTATTCTTCCTCTCTAACTTTCCTTCTCTTTCAACCTTCGATCTTGAGACACGGGCCAACCGTTCTCCTGTTTCGCTGATTTTTCACTTACTTTGAGCAATGCTATTCCTTTGTTCTTAATACACTCCTTCAACGCCCGGGCTTACTTTACATTCATGACCTAGCGCTGACACGACTTGACGCCGACTGAGCTTTACTCTTTCACTCTTTCTATCCCCTCTATCTCTCTCTCTCTCTCTCTTTCACACACACCCACACACCTTCCAAGGTCATCACATTCTTTCCTTGTTCATCCCCGTTGATCGGATTGTTCATATTTCAACCCCACCCCCCTTTTCGCCCATCATGTCTGAACCCACTTCTCCGATCTTTCCCCCTGCACATTCCCTCTTCAAGCGATGCGTATCATGTGGATCCTCTTCCCCGGTCTGTCCGTCCTGCCCCTCAGGCCAGACATGTACCATGACCGCCCAGAGCTGCAATGAATGTGCTACCACCAAGTGTGTATCAACCGGTGAATCTAGTTCAGCACCCGCAAAATCCAAGTCTGAAACACCCGCCATCGCCGGTGGTGTCGTGGGAGGAGTCGCCGGCATCGCTCTCATCGTCTTCCTAGTATATTGGTTCCTCATTCGCAAGAAGCGGCAGGAACGCGCGGCCCAAGCAGAGAAGAGTAGCCAATTCACAGCTGCCCGGGAAGAGCGCAAATCAACACACTCCATTGCGTCAACCGTCCTCACTCGTGCCTCAAACGTCATTCAGATCGCCTACATTCCCGGCGTCACCAATCGAACCCCTCCGCACAGTCCAAACACGCTTGTCCCACCAGTGCCCCCACTCCCAGGTGCCCACCCAGACCAGCACTTCTTCATGCCCGGTGACCTGCGAGACTCCACATGGACCACCAGCACAGCAGGCGGACACCAGAGCTTCTCACCCACACTACGAAGCAGCGTCGCAACAACCATATACCGTAGCGATGCAATCGTCAGCGAAACCCCAGCCCAGCAGATCCAACGCTCCCGTGCAAACATCGTCAGCGTGCACAGTGGCCAAAGCACCCCCAGCACCCCAACAGGCCCCGTCCCAGTCCTCATCACGCCTCGGGACGCACCAGCCGTACCAGCCATTACGCCATCCCAATTAGCCAAGGCAGACGCAATGACGAACAGTGGCTCATCCATCGTGGCCCGAACAGTAATGGCCAAGCCCGTCATGGTCCGCGGCCCCTCACTAAAGAAGAAGGACGAGCAAAAGAAGGCTGTCGCACCCGCAGCACAGGCAGAAACGCCCGTATCAGCACTATCATCTCCCAACAGTGGTGTATTCGACGGCCAAAAATCCGCCTTTGAAGGAGTTTCCTCAGAAGAAGACAATGCGCCTTCAGTCGTGTCTTCGAACCGTCTCTCAAATCAGACACCGCCCCCACGTGTGCAAAGTCCTTTCGCGGATGAACACGAGGTAAAGGGATAGCTGAGCGAAAAAGAAAGAATCGGACTTGTTTATTTTTTTTTCTTAAATTTCCCTGTGATTTTTGATTTCTCATGTATTTCATTTTGCACCCTTTCTCTTCTTGTATCTACGGATTCCCCTACAGTTTCGTCCTTATATATATATACATCTTGGCCCGTTATGTACAGCGCACCGAAAGTGGGGCAGTCAATCAAATCCAAATTGGCAATTTTTATCGAAGTCTACCTAGTAGATCTTATATAACATAACTTTGGAAAATGACTTGCTCAGGTCCCTGTGTAGTTGGAATTGCGATACTCTTGATTATAAGATTACTTCTAACCTTGGAACCTTCAAGGTATTTGCGGAAAACATGTCATTCCGGACTATATATATCTCGACCTCTAGGACTCACTTCAATTTATTCGGACCGTTTTCTATCATCAGCGAACTAAATTGTCTGACAATAAAGAATCAATATTAATATCCTTTGCCCCTTCATCTTCCTCAATTTTACAGAAAAAGAAGAAAAAAAAAAGAAAGTGAGGCAATTGTCAATCTTTCATTAAAAATACTGCAATCAGTACTAGTTAACCTTGGGACATTACTTAGGTATTCACAAAACGTAATTCATACTGAGAGATCTAGCCCTTGGAACATGAAAATAAATGGCTGAATCTTTTAATGTTAGAATGTAAGTGAAGCCTAGGCAAATTGCTTAATCGATTCTAAATCACATCAAAGCCACCCCAACAATATATACTTCGATACAAAAGGGTATGTACATACAACCACAACCATCAAGTCAAGTAGTCAACATTGCAAATATCTAAGCCTGCCCAGACTCCTCAAGACCCATGCCACGCCCAATCTTTCGGATAAGCGCGCGTTTCAGAAATGATTCACGGGCCAAACCGCGCGTATGTCTTGACCAGGAGTCAACACCGATAACGCCGCGGACCAGCGCAGACTGTAGAGCGTACAAAGCATGTTGCAGGCCCTGTTCCTCGGCGACGAGGTCGTAGAGTTGTTTGCCTACAACGGTTGGGGCGACGAGGACCTCATCGATTGGAGGGAGGCCGGATGAGATGTCTGCTGAAGATGTTACTGTTGAGGAAGGGGCAGATGCTGATGCTGAGCCTGATGCTGAGCGGGTCTGGGCGTCTGCTATTGTTGCGTCTGCGCGTTGGATGGAGTGTTGGAGGGTTGCTGTGTTGGATTGCAGGGTTGCGTTTAGATTGTTTAGGATGGCGATTTCGCCTTGGAGGGTTGCCATTGCGGCATGAAGAGAATGGGACTGGGAGATGAGGGACTGGGCTGCTATTTCGGATTGCGAAGCTTGCGTTTGTAGATTCTCGGCTAAGGCTTTGGAGACTGCGCGGAGAAGAGCGTCCTTTTCTGGATTTGGTGGGATTGGTGGTGCTGGTCCCGAGGGTGTGAATGAGGGAAGCTCAAGCTCGAAGGGTGATGTGAGGAGGTCGGGCGTCTCTGTCTTCGGTTTGGGTGCTGCTGCTGCTGCTGAGTCCTGGTAGTTTTGTGGATAAGGTGATTGCTGGTATGGGGGTCCTGGTTGCGGTTGATATCCGAGGTATTGAGACGAGGTTCGCTGGTGTTGTACGGACACTGGTCCGGATCCCAATCCATGGGGTGTGTGCTGGGGACTGTTGATGGGGCCAACTGGTCCAGTGTTAGATCTGTTGTACATTGCTGGAGGCTGAACGCCTTGTGGCATGGGATGCGGCAACGGAGCTTGCGCATGCGCATATTGTTGACTGGGCCAACTGCCTCTATTGTCCTCATGCATATAACTTGACGGGGAGGCTTGTCTATGTTCATTTGATAGGTGCGGAGGTAGTGGTGGACGCGGGGGAGGTGACTGGTATCGTTCCGCTATCTGCGTCGGCGGCTGGGGCTGGGGCTGGGGACGAGGCTGCGATGACCCTGCTTCAAGCTTTGGAGGCAGCTGTGGAGGTGCTTGGCTGATCAATACCGGGGACTGCACATTGTTCTGAGCCGGTGAATGTCCCATACCAGGTGGTAGAGGAGGCAATGGCGGGGGTATTTGTGCCCGCAGTTGAGGTGGCTGTCGATATCGGACTGGAGGTTCCTTGGCGAAGACATCACGAAGGATAGAAAGGAAATCGGCGATGTTCGATTTCTGTATTTTATGTACGAGATTGTCAGTTGGATATCAACAGATCTTTTCTGGTGGATAACTGACATCCCACGTCTCGGCCCAATGTGCCAGATAGTGATGATATACCCGCCCTTCCAACGTGACATGTTGCCCTACGCGGACCACCATATCTTGCGGTGGTGTTACATATACCATTGGAGCTTCGCGTGAGTAAGTATTAGGAATCCAAAGCGTCACAGGGAAGCGGTATGTTGAGCCTCGGAAGACGACAGGTAGCGTGCCAACCACCTGGAGGAGTAGCGCCGAGGAGCCATTTTCGTAGGCTAATGCGCGCGAACTGTTAGATCAGTGGCTAGTGATGTATTGGTGCTGATACTCACTGTAGACATCGGTTCGAGGTGAGAGCGAAGGGTACTTGGCTAGCGCATTGACCACGTCGTGGTAGGCACGATTGGGATCGTGGTAGGTCTGTTTAGGGTCGTGGTGATCCTGGAAATGGGTCAGACTAGTGTCTTCGATAATCAAAGAGTACATACTGTAGTCAGAATTGAGTATAACCAGTTGAGCGTCCGCTGGGGGACCGCCATTTTGTGAGGGAAGTGGGATGGACATTAAAGATTGAGGTTGCGATGTTGGCCTCCGCACCTTCCCCGCAGCCTTGGCTTCGTTACTGAATTTACAATCGTATTCATATTTTTGGGGTTTATAACAAAGTACTGAGAAAATGATTATATCTGACTTAAAATGAGGTTTGAGGTTAAATGATTTTGATATTTTCTTTGAAATATCCAAAATTCCAAAATTCCAAGATTAGTGTAAGTGTTTACATTCACTTGACATATGGATATAGATCCCCGGAAGTCAACAACCTTGGAAGCTCGGGGCCTGGCCGGGACCTCAGGGAGGACTCAGCACTTCGAATAGTTCCCTATTACCCACCTGCCCATTGAGCACAAATCATCCACGGATCCACCTATCTAGGTGGGCGAGCAATACATTTATAAGAGGGTGCCATGGTTGCAACGAGGATTCGGAAAATTCTCCCTTAAGTGGGTTAAGAACTCAGAAAACTTGGAACTCGCCTTCCCCGGAATACGATCAGATATATTGCTGGTTCTAAGGGTCTAGAGGCTTTAGACTCCTGAATCGGGTGATATTTCCAAGGTTGTCAGATTTATGTAGCTGAGCCTCATACAGCCTCATACAGCCTGACTTACAGGTGTATCGACAATTGTTATTGGTAAATGAATTGAAACCGTCCCAGAAAATGATACACTGGACGAATAGTCTAAAAATCGAGGATAGGCCTCATACCTGGGTGTAAGCACTCATAATGCAACGCACGCGCTAAAGTTCAGCTCGCATATTCCATAACTGGAAAGCGTCGGTGATTAGAAATGTTGTTGACAGATACTGCACTTGATACCACCTAGATTGCATATGTATTCTTCTTCACACAGGTTGATAACCTTGGAACTGTACAAAGAGACACTAAACGTGTGAAAAGTTATGGTTATGGTTAGCTAGTGGATCCGTGGATCCGTGGATCTGTGGATCCTGTCAGGTGAGTATAACTTAGTCCGCCTCTGCAGTTCTCAGTAGTCAGCTGCTAGTATATACCCCATATCAGATCCCGTTGTGCCGAATTGACGCATATCTGTGGTTACGGGTCTCGGAGCCGACCTATTATCTCCACTACATGAAGTAACTGAAATCCTGATTTGCAAATAGTCATTACACATATCCAAAGAGTCAAAGACAAACCCATGAACTATCTTCGGGGTCACTGACTTAAATGCCGGCTCTCTACCATGGCTTCTAAATCTCAAAAAAAAAAGATTTTGGGCGGGATTTCTTGATTTGGACTCGCCTGGTGGCGTTATCAGCTCGAACCAACTTTTGTGTCCGGATCTATGATCCATGCACTCTAGGCTCAATAGGGCTTCGGCAGAGACTTTTTACTCTGCAAGAAAAGTGATGGATTCAAAGGAAAGAAACGGCTATTCATCCCAAAATTAAAACAAAACCCTCCTCTGCTTGAAAAGCGATTTACCTCGCTTGAAACTGACCATGGCTGTCAACATGAGGCTGTTCCAATGTATTCTCTTGGCCCTAATAGTTGTGGAGTTGCAAGCCGCCACCTTTGAAGCTACAGAGTTTCCTGAATGCGCAGTATGTACAGGAAAACAGAAGACTCCACTTGCGCGCAGCTGATCATCTTCCAGGTCAATTGTAGCCAGAAATTGTTTACAGATTGTGTATTGAGCAATAACACTACATGTGTCTGTTCGCCTAGCTCATGGGCTACCGAGTTATTGGACTGTGTTCAGACAGAGTGTCTTTCCAAAGACATCTTCAGTAAGTTACAAGTTGACTGGTAAGGGCTTCAGGGTTTCATTGAGCTAACAGCTTCAAGCTACAAGAAGACTATGGGAGAAAGGATGTGATATCCCAATTCTGAAAGGACCTTCGGCTGTACAGGGCTCAACGCTGGTGCCGTTAATCCTCGCGACAGTCTTCTTCATTGGAAGAATCTTCGCCAAGAGCAGCGGTCTAGCTGGTGGCTGGGGATGGGATGATTATACCATCATAGTCTCATTTGTGAGTATATAATGCTGAATATTGGAATGCTGCCTATGTACCAACCTATTCATAGATCCTAGGAGTCATCTTGTTTGCTACGAACACATATAGTAAGGCGACACAGAACACACCTCACTGCCAGGAAGCCTGGAACTAACAAGACCTAGTGATTGCCTCCTTGGGATTCGGTCAAAACATCTGGGACATTCCATTTGAGACTATCACAGAATTCTACAAGGTTCGATTGACTCTTCCCTCGCGCACGTTCCAAACTAACACAAACTACAGGGTTTCCAAGTCGTTGCTATAACCTACAAGATCCAGATTTCTCTAGCCAAAATCTCTGTCTGTCTCTTCCTGCTCCGAATCTTCCAAACCACCTATTTTTGTCGAATTTCATACGTCCTGATCACTGTCAACGCCCTCACTGGTATCGCCTGGGCCTTTGTCGACTCCTTCCGCTGCATACCTATCAAATTGACTTGGCTTGGCTGGACAGACGAGGTACCAGGGACATGCATCAACTTCATCGACTCGATACTCGTGAATTGTATAGTCAACATCATTGTCGATTCGATCATGGTCATAATGCCTGTATACGAAGTCGTTCGGTTAAAGTTGCCTATGCGGAAGAAGCTTGCTGTCGCACTGATGTTCATTGTAGCTTCAGTGTAAGCATATCCCCTTCTAGCAAAAGTATTTTATGTTCGGATACTGATGAAACTTACAGTCTCACCGTCATCGCCATCATACGAGTCGTGGTCTTCTGGAATAACCGCTGGGGCTATAACCAAACTTTCGGGTTATACCCAGTAGTCCAATGGTCCATCATTGAAACCCAAATCGCGGTCCTCTGCGCCTGTCTGCCTTCTTCCCGCGCTATCGCTGGTCGGTATTTCCCTGCCTCAATCGGTGGCACCTCGAAACCTACCTATCCCTCTCACGGAGTGGAGTACTCGGGTAGTACTAGTAGGACTGCACCCGGGACTAACGTCGATATCAACAAGTCTATTACTTATTCCGTCAGCTATTCTTCACACTCGGAGGATGAAATTTCCGTGGAATTGTTTGATGTGGAGTTGGCTAAGCGTCCAAGACCTAGCTTTTTTTAATTTCTCATTTCTTATTTCTCTATAGCCGTATATATAGTTCTGGGCAAGTTTATACCAATAGATACGGCCAGCTCAGGGTAAACTCACTCCCGACATTATTCTGATTCTCCAAGTTTTCTTGCCTAACTTGACATAGGGGAGAGAATCCCGGAGGTTGTGTATTGTGTAGCTGCTTCGATCCAATGGCCCACACTAGGCCGAAGGGACAGCAGCCCTATCAGTATGCTTTTGGATACATACATCTTTGCCATGTGAATTTACGTGGTGGTTTGGATTCAACTCAAATCACTTATCAATGATGCGAGGCTTCAGTGTACCTTCCCAAAGCTCGGCCACACTTGCCAATAAATGATTCTTTTCCATATTCTCGATTGATACTCATCACATTCTGCCTCGATTGATCGAGACAGAGAGTGTTATCATTATTAAAGAAAGAATATGAGAATGTAGAAAAGCAAAAGACATAACTAGAGTATATATTCAAGAAAAAGATTCAAACGAGACATTCAACGGTATGCGCTAGTTACCTGACCGAATTTTGTTTCCACTCGCCAACATAGCCCATCGTGAGGCTCTACGCCACATCCATGGCCCTTGTCTCCAAATTGAATAACTAGTGATTTTTGTAGAAAGTAAATTGCTGTTCTTCATGAATCATCTCTAAGGTTCTATATACACTATACTATGCAACTAAAATACTCTAATCAAAGAGGGATGCCTTCATCGAGTTAGGCATGATGTAATCCGATGCAGCACGGAATGGGGTGAATCCCCAGCGGATCTGTCCAGGCATGGCAATCTCCACATCTAAATCCTTCGCAAAGGCCCAGACGAGACCATTGTCACGCTGGAAGCCACGACCAACCAAGATGACATCAATGTGCTCCTCATTGAGGACCTTCTCGGCCAGTTGGCCGTTGTTGATCATACCGACGGCGGCAACAAGCAGCTTGTCACCGACAGCCTTCTTCACAGCAGTGGCATGGGGGACCTGGAAGGCAACAGCGGACTCAACCTTCTGCTTAACGTGAACACCACCAGTACTGATATCGATCAGATCGATGGCACCCTGCTCAGCGAGACGGCGGGCGAACTCGACTGTGTGCTCAAGCTTCCAGCCCTCCTCCTCAGGCATGCTCTTCTCGAGCCAGTCGGTGGCCGAGACACGCAGGAAAACGGGCTTGTTAGGGCCGAGGACGTCACGGGTCAGCTGGGAAATCTCCATAGAGAGACGAATGCGGTTGTCGAAGCTGCCGCCGTACTCGTCAGTGCGCTTGTTGGACGATGGTGAGATGAAAGCGTTGAGCAGGTATCCGTGAGCATTGTGGATCTCAATGAAGTCAACACCGGCTTCGACGGCACGACGAGCAGCGGCGACCCAAGCGTCCTTGAACTCCTGGATATCCTCCTTGGTCATTTCCTTGGGGACAATATCGTTCTCAGAGAAGGGAATAGCACTAGGGCCCTTGACGTTGTCGGTCCATCCGCCGACGGCATTTGTGGCAACGCCGCCGCCCAACCAAGGGGGAGTGGACGAGGCCTTACGACCAGCATGGGCTAGCTGAATACCAATCTTCTGGCCTTGGCTGTGGGCGAACTCGATTACCTGCTTCAAAGGAGCAATCTGCGAGTCTTGCCACAAGCCGACGTCACCGGGGGTGATACGGCCTTCGGGAAGGACAGCAATGGCCTCCATGATGATCATACCGGGACCACGCATGGCAATACCACCGTAGTGGGCCATATGCCAGTGAGTTATGTGGCCATTATCAGCACTATATTGACACATAGGTGCAACCTAGGGGGTACAGTGAGCACATGGTCTCAGAGAATGAAACATGAATACGACTTACACCGATGCGGTTTTGGAAGGTCAGCCCTCGGATAGTCAGGGGCTTGAAGAGAGTCGGGATGGGCTTTCCACTCGATTGAGGATTGCGAGCAGTTCCAGCTGCAGGGCTCTGAGCTGGAGTGTAGAAGGACACTCCTTGAGCGGCTGGGGTGGGAACATCAGGCCAAGACATTGTAAATACCTAGGTATAACTTTTGCAAGAACAGACTCAAGATGGAATTGAAGCTTTGAACAGCCCTCCCATTAGACTATATATAGGGACATTGATTTCTAATCTATCTGATGAAGACAACGCAATATGGGGCACTGAGCCGCCGAGCCCACTGTCCCACAGTATCCATCCTTGAATGCCGAGATCCAGTAAGTTCTTATTTGGAGGGAATTTTGGGCGTTCTGGCATGGTTTTGAAGGATAAATCATGCAATCAATCTAATTGGGAAGCTAAAACTTGGAATATGTCTGTAATTTTGACCAAAGTACCATTTTGACGTTGTTGAGGTTGGAGTAGAAGAAAAGAAAGTCTCCGTGGTGTCTGGGTCTATCGGTCTAATTTGATCCGATCGGTCTAATGTTTTCCCATCGATTCCACTTTATTCAACTTGATTTCTTATCTCTCCGTAGCATTGGTGACTTAGACAACAGGGGTTAATGGCAAGTTAGGGCATTGAAGTAACATCAAAAATTACTGAAGGCTTAATACTATAAATTCGGTTTGTCTCCGTATTGTGATTATGTAATTATATGTGCATAACGCCACAACTCCACAACGCCACAGACCTAGTATTCTGAACCATTTCAGCCTTACTTCTTAAATGTACTCGTCATGAGACAGTAGCAGTCTAGAATCGAATAATAATTAACAAATTGGCAGCAATCAGGCCGATAGATGGTAACTAAATACTGTTTTATCTTGTCCTTTGTCTGTTTGTTAGTATTGTTCCCGGCTCCACTTAGTATTGTTCTTCCTTCCATTGAACTTCAACTTCAACCTCAACCATTGAATTCACCAACCATTGATGTAACTGCCTCAATCCTTTGTCTGTCTTGGACTTCAAGTCTCAAGATGAATTACTTCCAAAGCTGTGCTGGTTCAAAGCCAAATACTCATCTTAGATCCTGAGTCTTCATCTCTTCTACAACCTTCTTCATCTTCTTGCTCAACTTTACCAGTCAATTTTTCGATTAAAGCAGCTTCAAAGGCTTCAAAATTGCACTCTATGCAATGTATTCCTCGTCAGAGTCATCCTTTGATCCTTTCACTCAGAATGTCACATTCCAGAACGCTCAGAGCGAGCCCTTCGTCGTTTCCGTAGATCAGTTGGACTCGTTCGTCCAGTACAATGTTCGTATCTGCATCAACTATGGATGCCAGCTTGGGGCCTCAATCGTGCTCTTCGTGATTCTTCTTCTCTTGACTCGACGTGAGAAACGCACCTCGGCCGTCTTCATTCTCAATGTTCTTGCTTTGCTTTTCAACATCATTCGTCTGCTGTTCCAAGTCATTCACTTCACCACCGAATTTGAGAATGTGTACCCGTACTTCTCCTATGACTACTCTTCAGTTCCACCCAGTGCATATGGAATTTCAATTGCAGGTGTCATCTTCGAGACCTTCCTCGTGATCTGCATTATGATCTCCCTAGTGCTACAGGTGCATGTGGTATGCATGACACTGCGTCGACGCTACCGCCACCCTATCCTAGCTCTATCAATCCTGATGGCCCTAGTCCCGATTGGAGTCCGCATCGGATGGACAGTGGAGAACATCATTTTCATCGTCACTCTCGACTCCATGCGCGTAATCTGGGCATTTGAGAGCGGCCTCAACATCGCCATAACCACTAGCGTCTGCTACTTCTGCACTGTGTTTGTCACTAAGCTTGGCATCGCCATTCGCCAGCGTCGTCACCTCGGTGTTCACGATTTCGGTCCCATGAAGGTCATTTTCGCCTGTGGATGCCAGACCCTGACCATCCCAGCCCTGTTCTGTATTCTCCAATACGTCACCACCGTACCTGAACTGGCTTCTAATGTCTTGACCCTGGTGGCCCTCTCGCTTCCCTTGTCATCCATATGGGCCGGTGCTACCCTCGAGAACTCCCGGAGCGCCTCATCCGCACGCCCTTCTAGCCGCCGTAACCTGTGGCAGGCTCTTGCCTTTGGTGCCGACAGATCGACTCTACATTCGAAGGAAATGTCTAGTCAGATCACTTCGCAATCAGCAACCTTGCGTAATTACTCGGGTGTCCACACCAAGTCGCAGGACTCACAGTCTCCACTGGAGATCTCTGTCGCCCATGATATCTCTATCAACAGTGCCCGACGCAGTATTTCTTCGATGGTTTAGAGACCTTTTGCAGATTCACCTGGTTCAGCGTTTATCGCGAACACTTGCAATCCCTTCTTTTCCCTATGTTCATCTATTCGACGTATTGAGGGTTTAAGTCTGACGAGGCTACATATGCCTTACTAATCCATAATCTTGATCTCCTTAGTTCAATATCTGAAATTCCAAAGAGAAACAATTGATAGTACGGATTAAAAGGTAATAGTAAGCAGTAGGCAAAAAAGCTTTTAAAACATAACACGCCTGGGAAACGCATCTGCCTGCTTCCCCACTTAAACAGCCCGAGCTGAAGCCTAGAGCTAAGCCACAGCTGAACTCAACCCGGGATAATTTGACTAAGCACACATTTACTAAGGATGAAATATCTTACTAAGACCACGACAACCACCAATAACGGCTCTATTATACTTGTAATTCACACGGCAAGCTAATGGCTTGACACTCCAAACTGCATGAGGCTGAAACGAGCGAGAAATTAAGATAAGAATCATAAGTTATTTACACACGGGACACTTCTGGGTAGAGTCAGATGGGACATATAAGTAACTCCAAACTAATTCAGCTGGACATAGTTGGCTAGACGTAGATATTAGTACAGACCTGGAACTACACTGAATATGACAAACTTACCTGGGAATTGACCTTCACGGCCGTTGATCTTTCCAGACCACCACTCATTCGTGTTATTAGTACGGTGAGTGATTGCTATCAAATCGCCAGCAGAGAATCCAAGATCACCGTGGGCCTGAGCCTCATAATCATAAAGCGCGGTGGCTACCTCAACCGGTTTCAGGTGAGCAGGCTTTCCTCGTGGGATTGGTGGGGGTCCCTTGCCCTTTGCAGCTTCAGCTAGATCAGGAGTGGCGCCGTCAGAGGTGTATGGCGGCGGGGGGTTCTCATCGACATTGGAAGAAGCCCGGCTTCGCCCACCAAACTTGCCATCTTCTCCCTTTCCTAGCGGATTCAACCGGGAGGAATTGGAACGCTTTGCAGCCTGTGTTCTAAAATGCACAATCTTCAAAGCCTCGGCTTGCTCCTGTACATCGCCGCGCTTCATATCAAAGGCCTCTTCAATATCCAGATCGAGGTTGAAGTAGCTGATATTCATGCCATTCATCTTCTCGTGAAGAGTATAAAAGACGTTGAGTTGCATATAGTAGAAGGATTGGAATAGTGGGCGGATAAACTCGGCTTCGAGGGTAAATAGCTTGGGTAGCTCGTCCTTAAGCAGATCGTTGTAGTAGTTGAATTCCTGAGTGGCTGACTCGACATCCGCCTCGGCCTTGTAGAGAGCCTTTTCATCCTTGAGCGATTTGTCCTTTTTCTCTTCCAGCTTCTTTAGCGTGGCACGGTGACGATCGTAGTCCAACTGCTTATGGTCTCGTTTGGTGGCAACCTTGCGAATCACCTTGATCACCTCCAACAACTGATCGGCGGGGCTGATCACTCGACTCTCGATCATTTCTAGCTCTGGACCCAGCGCCTCCTGTAGTTCACGGACGATGGCCTGATAATCCTCACAGGCCTGAATACCCTCTGCATTTCCCTCAAATTGGAAGGAGTTTGGATCGGAGGCACGTCCGGAGATGGGCTTGTAGATTTCCTCGACAGCTTGAGCGAATTCAATCTGGTGGCTCATCATGCCTGTATAAGCGGTCAGTTTCCCGCTGTTGAAGAAGGCTTCAAGCCGATTTCCATACCGTTAATTGCAATAGCATATTTTGATGATTCATCGTGCAACTTCTTTGTCTCCCTCTCGAGCTCCTGAAATCGGCGTTCGGCATCCAAGTACACCGCATCTTTGGTATGTTCACCAAGATTGAACTTGACTTTGAACTGTTGTGGCGCACGAGCGAGACTTTTAGTAAAGCCTTTGAAACTCATATTGACTGTGTAGAAGGTGAAAGGGGGATACTAAGTATATTGAAGAAGAGTCTTCGAGAGAAGGATTAGTGGGCTTGAGGCGGGGCGATCGGGCTTTCCGCCAATGCTAAACTATGACATAAGACTTTCCGATTTCTATGAAGAACAGTGTGGCTTAGTATGAATAAGCCCTTTTTCGGCATCATTTTGTGGCGTATAATGACGTGTGAAAACTGACTAGTAAATACTCCGTACTTAGTTCTCCTATTATTCCAAAGTTGCAGGCACCAGTATTTCCAGCCCTACCGGAACTTCCCTGTACTTTCTATGGCTACTAAGAGACCGAGATAACCCTAATTGTACGTACTACGCATACTAAGAACTCCTTACTTAAATCACTATTATAGTCCGTGCATAGAAGGGTTATTTATGTTCCTTGACGTAGTAGCATAAAATCACATGATCTCCCACGTAACTACGAGCAACTGTTATTTAAAGGACCAGAGGAAATAAGTTTTGACAACCTATTAGACTATTTGTCTTACTAGTCTTTCTCACACTGCAGGCTATGGTGCTTTAGGTTGTTGAGCCCTCTAGCATTTTTAAAATGCTGCTCTGTTGGCAGCCACTGCTGCGGAGGTCAATATAGAATCATGTCAATTCTATACTAAATTCCATGCTTAGTTGTATTCCCTATTCTATCTTTCCGGGGTTAGTTCCATACCCTATTCCATACCCTATTCTATACCCCATTCTATATTCAATTTTATACTCAATTCTATTCTCAATCCTATTCTCAATTCTATGACAGCGGACCTCAAGTGGCTCCCAATGTTTCAAAAATCTAATGATATACTCAACGGCTCTACCACGGTTTCGCTACTGCTTTCTAATAGCCAGAAGACATTAAGAGATTGAACAAATGTAAAACTATACCTAGCTCTCTACCATTATGTACCGACGTATTGTTTGTGATCTCATTTAGTAATCTAGAATATAATTTATTCTTAATTGAATAATTTATGCCTGAGGTCTTAGGTGTCAACGGCTTATTCGGAGAACATGACTAACGCCGCATGACCGAGAACCCCGAGATAAGGGAAAAATATCCCTAAAGCTTGTTTTCATCTTCATGTCCCCCACATCACCACAATAATGTCATCTGCTGCCCCCGTTGCTTGGAGACATGCATCCCGCGCCTATTCGAGGCATTTATCCTCGGGCGCTTGGACAGCCCCTCGTGCTCTAGCTATTCGCAGTGCTCGATCATATACCACCGAGACCAAGGCCGCCCGAGCCCAGATCAAATTGGACACCGCCATCAAGGGAGAACAACAGTCTTTCACGAAGCAGACTGGTGTCTCTGCGCAAAATGTCATACTTCCCAGCTCATCGGCCTCTGCTGATGCAGCTTTAAGCCCGACGGCCGGAATCCTCAAGCAGGCTACTGTCATGGACCAGGGCACCCGTCCTATCTACCTCGATATGCAGGCGACCACCCCCCTGGACCCCCGTGTTCTCGACGCCATGCTCCCATACCTCACTGGAATTTACGGAAACCCACACTCGCGCACGCACGCATATGGTTGGGAGTCGGAGAAAGCCGTGGAGCAGGCCCGTGAGAACATCGCCAAACTGATCGGCGCCGACCCCAAGGAAATCATTTTCACCAGCGGTGCGACCGAGAGTAACAATATGAGCTTGAAGGGTGTGGCGCGGTTCTTTGGAAGGTCCGGCAAGAAGAAGCACATTATCACCACCCAGACCGAGCACAAGTGTGTGTTGGACAGCTGTCGCCATTTGCAGGATGAGGGATTCGACGTCACATACCTGCCCGTTCAGAACAACGGGTTGGTTCGCATGGAGGATCTCGAAGCAGCAATGCGCCCGGATACTGCCATCGTCAGTATCATGGCTGTAAACAATGAGATCGGTGTGATCCAACCCATGGAGGACATCGGTCGTCTCTGCCGGTCGAAGAAGATCTTCTTCCACACTGATGCTGCTCAGGCTGTTGGAAAGATCCCACTTGATGTCAACAAGCTGAACATTGACTTGATGTCTATCTCCAGTCACAAGATCTACGGCCCGAAGGGTATTGGTGCCTGTTACGTTCGTCGCCGTCCCCGTGTCCGTCTGGACCCAATCATCACCGGTGGTGGCCAGGAGCGTGGTCTGCGCAGTGGAACCCTTGCTCCCCACTTGATCGTGGGATTCGGTGAGGCATGCCGATTGGCAGCACAGGATTTTGACGTAGGATATATACACTTGCTTGGAGATATTAAAATACTAACATCTATCACAATATAGTACGACCGAAAGCACATTGACCGTCTGTCTAAGCGCCTGTCCGATGCCCTGCTTGGCATGGAGCACACCACTCTGAATGGTTCCCCCGATCACCACTACCCCGGTTGCGTCAACATCTCCTTCGCCTACGTCGAGGGCGAGTCCCTCCTGATGGCCCTGAAAGACATTGCATTGTCCTCCGGAAGTGCCTGTACCTCAGCCTCTCTTGAGCCCAGCTACGTTTTGCGAGCTCTGGGTAGCAGCGATGAGAGTGCCCACAGCAGTATTCGCTTTGGAATTGGCCGTTTCACCTCTGATGCGGAGATCGACTACGTAATCAAGGCAGTTCAGGAACGTGTGGACTTCCTTCGTGAGCTGAGCCCCTTGTGGGAGCTGGTTCAGGATGGAATTGACCTGAACACAATTGAGTGGAGCCAGCACTGATCCATTCCAATCTTTCAATTTACATTCATTCCAATGGTTATTGGAGGCGGAACAAAATTTATAATCCTCTCTAGCTAGGATGGCGTTCTGGTTTAGTGTAACAGCTTAGTGTAACAAGTGCAGAATGGAATTACTAGGTACTTTTGTCGCAAATAATTTTTCCAGTGTCTGGAATGTATCTCAAGACCCCCAATTACTTTCAAGAGAGAGAAATACAGACAGAAAAATAGAGAGAGAGAGAGAGAGAGAGAGAGAGAGAGAGGGAAATGGAGACGGATATAAAGATGGATATCGCAGGTATTATAGGGCTCGGTAAGATATTTGCAGCAATTAGCTGCGCAGGTAAGATACAATACTGTATCCATACAGACATGGATATGCACGTCATCGCGAAGCAGAATGGCAGAATCAAAGAACCTCACCACCTTAAAGAATTTGACCCACTCACATACCTTTTACTTTAAATCACGTCAATCATAGCCTATCGGTGCTACCGGTGCAAGCTCAACATGGGAAAAAGCCCGCCAATGCAAGCAAGATCATCTCACTACTATTTTAGAGTGAAAATGTCCAGTAGTAAATAAATAGACCGGACTTTACTTTGCCGCTCTTAGTACCTGGATCCAATCTCTGGAGACTATTCTATGTTCTGACCGGCGGCTTTTCATCGTCATGGAAGATGTCTCAATGCTCTCGAAGATTTAGTTAAACAGTCCACGGGTTTTAGGAGGTTCGAGCTTATACAGGATGTCAGATAGTGGCTTGCAAGCGGCATGCGCGGTAGAGTGGCTGCGTGGGGACTCGAGTTTCGGTGCTTACGACTATATTTGAAGACAAATCTCAATCAGAAAAGATTGAGATTTGAAGGTAGCTGTTCCGATGCGTCTAGAGTGTTAACCCGAGTCGTAGCCCAAGTTTTAGCCCCATCCTCCTCTCAGTACTTAGTACTATGTATAAATACTAAAATAGCGTCGAGACTATCAATATCGTTATGTTGACTAGTTAATAGTTAACTTTTGCCGAGCTATTAATCTAAATGTGACCTTTCAAGTCAGTTATGGCCCCAAATATCATGACTCTGATCTACCTATGTATCCACTTCCTTCTATGTACGTCGTAGTTATCGCATTGCATATGCACACGAAGTACGACGTAGACGCTACAAGCAATGATCCGATCAGAAAGAATTGCGACCAACCATATATTTTATTCACTACAGTCCCAGTTGCCGCGGCGGAGTGGATTCCATATCTGGATCGATGGTGGCAAGGTCGTACGGGATAATCCCAAATCATTGGAAGCGATTATTTCCGAGGAATCCAAGTCAATACGATCAATGCCCAAGTGGCTTGCAAAATCCAAAAATCCAAGAAGACAAAGGAGATATACATGTGTTCAGTCTATACAACGAGATCAAGAGGCCATATTAAGCTTTAAGGATCCCGAGTATGGGACTATGAGTGATTGTACTTTTATAAGCTATCTTCGACGACACGTCAATATGTCCATTCTTTAATGGATCTAATTAGATCTAGTTAGTAGGAATGGCGAATTAGTTTTCTCCACTGTTGGTGCCTTTGATCAAATCCAGGTGTCATCATGCACGCTGATAAAGGTATAATACTCGGCTTCTATTGCGTAATATTAGCTACATTCAAGCCATCAGCAATGTTTTGCGGGGAAGACCGAAATGTAAATACAGACATAGCTCAGTTCTGTCTATGACTTCTTTGACTCTTGAAATTTGATAATTTAAGAGTGAGAAGATATAGGGATGGAATGGTCTTTGCATACTTTATCTGCGGTACGGGCTAAGCTTTGTTTAAGGCTAAGCATTGGAAGAATGCGAGAAAATCTGCAACCTTGGCAAGTTTCCTTTACGGAGTAAGACCGATAATTACCCTAGTTAAAAACATGACGTGATATCCCGCTGTGATGAGTCCACTACCTTGGAAAGTATTTATCTATCTAGGTAGTATCGCTGTAGTGTTTTGAATGTTGATAGAGCAATTCCGATCGCGATGACAAGGGACACTGAAGCCGGAGTTAGCTATCGTGAGGAGGACGAGCAGATTGTAAAGCCCCTCAAAACGTGGAAGGGCTATATCTGGGACACATGGGAGCTTCCCAAGGATCAGCGCTGGTTGCTGTTTAAGCTTGACGCTTTCGTCCTGACATTTGCATCTGTGAGTTAATACTGTTAGATTGAACCAGATAAATGGAAATTAATTTCTAACAATATTGGTGCAGATCGGCTACTTCCTCAAGAATATTGACTTGACTAATGTCCAAAATGCCTATCTTAGTGGCATGGAAGAGGACCTTGGCATGTATGGCAACCAGCTGGTGACCAGTACATCAATCTATACAGTCGGCTACGTGATCGGTCAAATACCTTCCAACTTGTTATTGACTCGCGTTTCGCCTCGATGGGTTATCCCAGCAGTAAGTACGATCTCATTTAGTTATTACCGTACTTGTACTAATATTGGATAAAAGCTCGAAGTTGGATGGGGCATTGCCACTATCTGTACATCATCCATCAAGTCATACCACAGTCTTTATGCTGTTCGATTCTTCGTCGGCCTCTTTGAGTAAGACATTACTCCCAACACACAAGCTCCTCTATCAGGCTAATACATTCTGCAGATCTGGCTTCTACCCTGGCATCCACTACATGCTTGGATCATGGTACACACCTCAAGAAATCGGAAAACGCGCTATGATTTTCTGGGTCGCCGGCTCCATAGGAACACTATTCAGTGGTTTCCTACAAGCAGCGGCCTATCAGAACCTGGACGGCGTCAACGGATTTGAAGGATGGAGATGGCTTTTCATCATTGACGGCATCATCACACTGCCACTTGCTATTGCAGGATTTGTCTTCTTCCCTAATCTGCCTGAAAGTGGAAACAAGACCTGGTGGATCACGGAAGAAGAACTGGATATCTCACAAAAGCGCATGAAGGCTATCGGCCGAGCTGGCAAGCAGCCTTGGACAATGGCCAAGGTGAAGAGGCTTATGTTGAGCTGGCATACCTATGCTTTGCCGTTGCTCTACATTGTCTGGAACAACGGATGGCCTCAAGCAGGCATGGGTTATTGGCTGAAGAGTTTCAACAAGACACCCGCACCTGTTCCCGGGGTCTCATTTACCGTGCCTCAGATTAATGATCTTCCTCTTGTTACTACGGGTATCTTCATTGTGGTTGCTCTCATCTGGGGATTCCTATCTGATGGTCCGTTGCGTGGATCACGATGGCCATTTATTTACATTGGCGCAGTCATCACTGTAAGTTTGATTCAACTTATTCTTCATTTATTTTAGACGTGGCTAACCTTTTTGCTCAGATTGTGTTCTGTGTGCTCTTGCGCCAGATGCCCCTGTACACCAACATCCACGGCCGCAAAGTAGTGTACTGGCTCAGCAATATTGGACTCGGAGCAGGACCTCTGATTCTCAGCTGGATCAATGAGATCTGTTCAGACGACACTGAAAAGCGAGCATTGCTCGTCGCCTTTGCAAATGACTTTGCTTATATTGTACAGGCAGTGGCCCCCAACTTCGTGTGGAAGACAACTGCATTCCCAGCTGCGAAAGAGGGATATCTTTGGAGTATCATCTTGCAAGCTCTATCAATTGTCCTGACTATTGGTATTCAGTTCGGGCTCTGGTGGGACAAGCGCAAAAAGAGATCTGATGAAGTATCCCAGATTTCCGCTCCTGACAGTGTCGAGAGCCTTGATCCTGATACAAAGGTTCCTCGGACACAAGCTACCGAGGCATCATCCAGATTGAGCTAGGGAGAGTAATGAACCTTTTTTCCCAAAGGATGCCTTTGATAATTATATTATCTTTATTTAGACTAACGACAATAAGTCGTTAGCAGTAAAATAATCACATGAATAGTTACAACTCCAGGTTGAACTCTAGATTTCAGAAGCCCTCTCAATCCTGTGATATCCCCACAGGTCATTGGGTGGATGGTTAGATCCATTGTAAGGTACCCAGGTACCTTACCTAGATAGGCTGGGCTTTCCTAAATCAACAGGCTCAGTGACTGCTCAGTGAGCGTGATTGGTTGCTCCCTGCTTACTCAGAAAGGTTGAGTTCTGATATACATAGATCTGTATACCAGGAGAGGAATTGTATAATAGGCTAGGCAGAGAAGATAAGGAAGTACGGTTGAATAGCTTATGACCAGAGTCCAGATCTTTGCCAAGACCTATATATCACATAAAGGCCTAAATCCAGGCACTAAGGCATTCAAAAGCCCAGGTGGGCCTGGTCAAAGTTTCGGCCCGGACCTCAGCCCCCCTAAATGTATGTCTATGTGGGCTTTATGCCCAACCCAAATGGGTTTCGGGTTAAGAAGTTTGATCCAAACCCAACACAAATGAACATGTCTAATTTATAAAATCAATTATTTAACGTATCATAAACTCTCACTAAGATGGAGTTTAGGAAGAAATTTTCAAACATGTTCATAGTACAATCATGCAAAATATCTATTGGTGAAAAGCATTTCTGACGAGTGGAATAAAGAGTTTGAAAGTCAGAGCGATCTTAGCACAATCGCTTGCTTCAAGGACTTTAATTTGCCCTTTTCCAGTAATCGCATCAGTAACGTAGCCCTTGCTCCCGGAGCTCATGTTGCCCCATTTTCAAAACTATAAGTCTCTTGATGGCCGTCACTGACTCGTAAGAGCGAGAAAGATGACGCCCGGAAATTCATCTTTGGAACCCGGGAAAGGAAAAAAAATATGCATGTCTTACGGGCCGGAGAAATGGTATTCTAGTCGTGGCCTAGAAAATGTAGCAAACAAACTTGCCTTGTTAGTCCCCAGAATCAGCGCTATTCATTCCCGGAAGCTGAGTTGTCTCCGGCCTCAGGAGCTAGGGTGGAGACCCCAGACACGACGTTGCTAGCTCCTGGAATTGACGGGCACAGTTTCTGTCTCTTCATCCTTGAACTTCTTCATCTCGCAGATGATCCGGCAAATATGCCCCAATCGCCAGATTTTGGCCAAAGAAGAAAAAGCAGAAGAATGATGAAGGCTGGGGAGAGAATTATACTTCTTGCGAGGTGGAAGAATATGTCCAACATGAGAGAAGCCAGATGGTGAATACTGCGTGGGCATGCTTAGCACTGACGCATGCATGTTATCCGTATAAAGAAACCATTGAGAAAGGGCTCAAAGTACGGCATCTCTCTGAGTGGAATGGCACATGAATTGAAAGCTTTACTATATTTGATTATGAGTCGGCAGCAGACCAATGGAGAGTGGTTCCAGGAAGGCGTGGAAGGCGTTTTTAATAACAAATGGCAAGTTTGGCATTATCATTCTGAATACTCAGGTATCACTGACTGAATTGATTCCTGCAATAAAGCATGATCGGATATCCAAATTACAAGCTATATTTCACTGCATAGGCCATGGGGAGGTATAGTACTGAGTAACTTCCTATGCTGAAGGAAATGTATGCTTGTAGTTAGGTGCACGCACTCTCTGCCTGGGAGAAGAGTTTAATTTTTCAATACATAACACTTAGTGGTAGCAAGCTTATCAACATGACACCACAAAGAGTAGGATCAGGGAGTGCTCAGTTCTACTCAGTGAGCAAAAAGTGGCAGGCACTGAGCACTAAAACGAAAGTAAAAAGCCAAGAAGTGGGGAAGAAATGTGGAAGAAATGAGGAAGAAATTTATTATATAGGTAGGTAATGATATTTGATGCCCTTTGGGATTGAAGGGCTTGCGTATCCATTAAGCCCGGGAGAACCCCACGGTTATTGCCCCCTGACAAGGTTTAGTTCCTGTTGAGCCTCATTTGGTAGGGCTTACCGCAGAACTTTTTCTTAATATTAATTGATTACTCTGTAAAATCTTGCAGTATTCAACTCGTTACTCACATGTCATTTATGGCTTTTTGAATGTTGATACCCACTGTTTGCGAATAATGCAAATCATGCAATCGGAGTTTTGACCCAATGTACTGTCATCTGTGGGATCATCAGAAAAATGGTCTGTCAGCTAAGATTCACCTGATAAACATCTGACGGTGTGAAATTGGTTGGGTATCAATGTACCCAACAACTTATATAGTGACGCGAAGTGGATCATGGAGATTCTTCCAGATGCGTTTGGGCTCCAGGACTATATGAAACACGATCTGCACCCCGACATCCACTCAGGGGTTGGGCATGACATAGGGTAGCAAATTAGGATGAGATGGTATACTACATAAAAGGCATATTTCAACAAAATTGAATGGCTTCAAAATGTTTCAAAGTGGCAATCCATCGAGTTTCAATATTCAAAGCGTTGGAATCAAGACTGGCGATGTCACAATGAGGCAAAATTGACAACGCATTTGTATTTGATTAACTTTGTGCTTTGATCTTTCGATATAACCACCTACCCACTTGCTCCACGAAGCTTCATTTCTCTCTAACACGGAAATTTGCCATTCAAACTGAGAAGGTAACACACTGTGCCCAGTCACATACAGCACGTGTCAGAATACAACATTTGAAGCCTTTCAGACCATCTTATATTCCACTCTTGGAAGTCCCTGTGAATGAATTTTCAAAATGAGCGATATTACGATGAGCTCTGGCCCGCTACCGAGTGATGATGAGTTTTGGCATCTTCTTCAAAAGAGCCTCACGACATGGTCTTCGTACGTTGGCGACGAAAGTGAAAATGCTCAACTACTGCCACGGCAGGCCATAGACCTAAAGCCTCTTGTTCGCAACACTCCTTCTTATCTCGGTCATGGTGTTGGCTCTTCCGGCGAAACAATATCTTTCAGCTGCGAGGAGAGGAATAATTCTCTACTGATTAAAGGAAGATCAACATGGAAGACTTCCAAAGGGCAATGTGACCTACAGCCGAAGGTCCTTCCCAAACAACTTCAATTAGCAGTGAGCCGCCAATTAAGCGTGAGACTGTCCAAGAACTCTCCTCTATCAAACTGGCCTGGAGTCCAGGGACTGTCGAAATACGACAAAGGAAATTACCTATCGGTTCTTTTCTTCGCTTGGTCATATATACTGTCTGCGCGATGGGTTGAGCTGCTTAATAGATCTACCGGCCACGAATGTCAATTGAAATACACTACGGCCGGAGTTAATGACATACTGCCACAGTTGGATGAACATCTCGCGGTTGATGTCGGTGATATCCCCGAAGAAGAATGTCTTTGGTGGCGCGCTATCCTATGTCCTGAGTATGGCTGGAATGCAACCACCAAGTATAACGACCACCTCTATGTCTCGCCATGGTCTGCGTCATCTAAGGATATTGGCTTTACTCTGTCTAAGAGACCCTCTTCTCCAGAAGCCAAGCTCAAGCCTCCATCGTCTACAACTGCTCTTAAGTACCTTTCAAGATTTTGTATACACCACTGCCTTTATGGCCAGTGCTCGGCTGCTCTAGCCGGAGTTCTATACATCCCTTTCCTGGGTGGTAGGGAGTTGTTCCTACCCTTTCCCAAGAAGTGTTCACAGCTGGAAAAGGCAAAAGTGGACTTAGCAGATAGAAATGGCAGCCCATCCGTGTCTATCCCCGAACTCCTGAAAGAGCATCGAGATCTCCTTCCCAAGTACATGACACTGAGCTCGAATGTTTGGGGCCTGCGTTCTCTGCTAGTCAGCACATTCTTCAACCCTGAAATTGAGTGCAATCTAGCCAGTGCCTGGTTAAACCCAGCATTTGCAGTGATCGACTCGATTCAATCAACCGGTGGCTCACTAGCCACATTCTTAGCTAAGCGACAGCCCCGACTAGGAATTCTCTGGCTGGGAGCCATAATCACTGATGTTGCAGATTCCGTTTTGAGCGCGACACGAAACGGAAGGACGGCTTTAGATATTTCAGCGTCTGTCTGGACAGGGACGACACAGACATTCTTGACAGCCTCCACAATCACCTCTGGCCGCAGCAACACGTCAATATCTCGGGACGATGAGTGTCGATTATCATTTATCACGAGCCTTCACGGCCAAGAAAACGGGCAGGATAGATTACCTGCCTGCTGTTGGAAGCCATTTGGTGAAACACAGCTCTGCGATACAGAGCCGCCTGTCCGACTCCATGCTCAATGCGGAGATCATTGCTTAGAATACGAATCTTGGGAGTGGTTGTTGGCCAATGACCGCTCCATTCAAGAGTCGGTCCAAGACTCAATTCAAGATATTGGAAAGGATGCCAGCGAGACTGGCCAAACAAAGCAATCCGCTAATACATCACTTGGGCTTGGCAATTATAACCATCAGCTATTCTCCCAAGAAATATCTGAAGGGGCCACTGTGGAAATCTTTAGTTGGTTGCGATCAACAGGCTATCCTGTCAATGAAAGACCCATCTACCAGTCTTCATGGTTTGCATATGATTGGGGTGAGTATGACGGCGAGGTGAATCAAGCTCCAGTGTCGGGTGTTGAAAAGGATTGTACTCCGAAGATAAAGAGAGTGGAGAATTGGCTTGAGAATGTTTGTTAATTTCAACGTTATTCTCAGGATTCTGTGAATATATCCATTGATTAATAATATCATATATAAATTCCAAAGTCATGTATTGAAATGGTTCAGTAATTGCTACCTAGGTATGTTCTATGTAGTAGATACAGTTTTGCATCAACTGCTCATTTTATTTTAACATCCTCAATTAGTTTTACTATTTCCTTCCCCTAGTGGTGCTTCCCAGAATCAGCGACTGCCGCTTTAATGAGGGCGCTTAGAGGCTCAGCGAGTAAATTTCAGTCCGGGTTCAGGCTCAGCAGTCGCACCACGTGACAGGCCAGGTCCAATGAGCAGTCACTGAGTGCTCAGTGAGCTAGTCCGCCTTGGAGAATTAATTGATAAATAATCATACTCTCTGTAAGCGGAATGAGCGGTAGAGCTAAGGCGGCTTTATGCCTCTTTGGCCCACATGGTTGGCGAGCCACTTTCGGCTCTGTTAGAAGATTCTTGACCCTGAGCGCGAGAGTTGGCGAATAATTATTGGCGAATAATCAGAAGTATGAGATAACTAAAGTTTTAGCCTTGAATCGCAAGTTTACAAGAATCATGCTTCTTTTTATTGGACAGTAAAAGAGGCAGTGCAGCTGACTATGATAACATGATAATGCAAGCACAATTCAGATTGGCAATACCTCGCCCTTCCTCCTTTCCACTTTTTCTAATCTACTTTGCCAATTTGTTTATGTGGTCCTAGAAAACGACCTTCAACTTCCCTTTTCGTTCACTAAAACCTTCAAGATACTGTTAGTTGGCTCAGGATGGCAGAGCTCGGGATCGCATCTGCTGCTGTTGGTATTGCATCTTTTGCAGTTCAAGTAATAAGCAGTACCAACGCGTTAAAAACTCAATATGAGTACAACAAAAAGAAAGCGCCGAGTGAGCTCAAATATTTGATAGGTCGATTCGAGGTTTTCAAGACGACTTTGGAAACTATTCAGGAATTTGAAGGACATCCTATTGTTGATATCGTCGTTTGTAACTGTCAGTCGACGTACCGTGAGATTGATCACACCCTGGAAAAGCTTTTAGAAAAGCTGGGCAAGAAACCGGGGACGAAAATGAAAGGCTGGAAGTCATTAAGGCAAAACCTTTCAGAGGATATTCGGGATCAAATCCAAGAAATTGGATCCAAACTTGATAGTTTGAACAACACCCTAAGCACGTTCGTAAGATATTAAAATGTCATGGATCTCCCCTAATATTGAATGCTTGTCTAGATCAATGATATTGCGTCTTTCACAGCACATGATACCGAATGTCGGCAATCAGACCGCACCAAGTACGCCTTTGCCAAGTGCTACTACAGAGAATGTGACCGATAGTAGTGGAGATGAAATTATTACCCTCAAAGATTTCAACATAGCAGATGAAGGCTTCGCTACTTGTATGACCCAAGGAAAAACTCGAGCTCAGCGGCTATCGTGCAGTATACGACATTGTCATTGCTCATGCCATGTCACAGAGAATTGGGTAGGATACTACTGGGGTCTGGAATACACGCCCCTAGCAGCGATTTTCAGACAGTGTGACAACAAGCTATGCAATTCGAGGGTAACTCGCTGGAAACTACGATATGCCTTCAACAAATGGGGTATACCCTGGGCTGCACTTCTCAGATTCGAATTGATCTCAAGCGCTGGCTCATATACATTGCGACCAGCGCTCATACTACAGCAAGTGGTAAAATATACATCTCCGGGATTTGAGATTTTGTACAAGTGCAGATCTCATCGCATCTCAATCTCCGAAGCTCGAGATCAATTTATAGCATTGAGCAGATCGGATTCAACTCTTAGGCACCATATCAATCCGAAGGGAGATAGCTATATCCGGGTGAATACTTATCGTTTAACTATCGAAATGAACCCAAGCTAAAAAATATCAAGGAGCTTGTCTGCTATGGTCCTTGGATGGCTCAACGTGACCAGTTTGCTCTGCTTATGCTATTTGTAGGCGAGCTTGGTATGAGTCTTGAAAACGAAGACCAAAGGTAGCCTTATATTCACAAGAAATGCGATGTATTAGTGAATTTACTGACTAATAACAGCTTCCTCATTGAATGCGCAAAGTGGATTGGAGAGGGTAGTCATCTTGGTTTGCTTGATGCCATTCTCCAAGCGGGGTTTGAGCCTAGTGGTACAGATTCCCCGCTGTTTCAGAAATGGCCAAAGTCATGTTCACCGGATTGGATCTCTGAAGAACTGACCCCTGATCCATTCTTCCTTGAATATCTTACAGCCTTAGTCAAAGCTTCTCCTGGTGAGTGTGAGAGAGATTCGGTATCAGGTGCATCTAATAATTGTTAGGGTTTGGTGGATCTACATATCTTCAAGACGCTATTTTGAGTAAGTCGGCCAAAAGAGTGCGTCAGCTGCTGCCAAATCTGCATGAATTACACAAACATCGCAATTTTCTTGGCCAGACGCCGTTACATCTTGCTCTTGTTGACCCAGAGGTATTCCTTCTCATCTTGGATACTGACCACCAATTGGACGTCATTGATAATTGGGGTATCACGCCTCTTATGTACGCCTCTGCAATGGGAGATACAAATGCGGTAGATTTGCTCATCAAAAAAGGCGCAAACATACTGACCTGTGATACACACTGGAATCGGGACTTTTTGAAATATGCTTTTTCACGTGGCCACTGGAATGTTGTCTGTCAAGCTCTGGACACAATTCAGAAATCCTATGGTCGACAGGTTTTTCAACACTATGTTTGCAACGCGCTTCTCAATACATTATACAACGATACCATATCGATGGTTTCAAGGAGCTCACACTTTGAATATCTTGTTGAACTCTGTGATGATGTGAATTTCGAATTTCGGGATGATCATGAAAGGACAGATTGCAACAACTTACTGCACTACGTAAGAGACCAGAAGGAATTTGAGGCGCTTACTCGTCGCGGCTTCCGGTATCTCAATAAGCCAAACAGTGAAGGCAAACTGGCAAATTTTTCCATCACGAGTCGTGTCTCAAATGCTGATCTCACTCGGTTGTGTCTCGAGAATGGAACAGATGTCAACCATATTGACCATGATGGACGCAGTATTTTTTTTCAGATTGTGCCGCAATTGACGCAATTGGCCTATACTACTTGGGATACTCATGACTCAATCAAGCTCTGTCTAGCTTGGAATCTTGATGTTTTCATCTCAGACTGTTGCAAATGTGCATGTAGCACCGATGGCTGCAATAGTACTGCGGCATTTGATATCCAGTTTAAGCCAAGTATCTTTACCAACCTGCCAAAATTTGTTTGGGCTTTTGAATGGCTCTCGCTTGTGGAAGAATATCGTGGCCATGATGCGGCGAAAGTGATACTTCTGTCATTCCTTCGCAGAACACTTTCAGACATGCTTGAGATAACTCACACCTGCTGCCACAGAGGAAAGGGTATAAAATCGAAATTTAGTATTATGTGTCAGTCAAAATTAACCCCAGAAGACGTTGAGGAAATATTGGACGAGGAGCAGGAATTTATCGACATACTAGAGAAGGAGATGCAAGGATACAACTCAAAAAGTTTGAGTGTACTAAGATCTGAGTGGATGGTCCTGCTCAAACAGAGTTATGACGAGAGTTTGAAGAAACTTGAAAAAGAGAGGAGAGGATATAAGAATCAAAGGGTGAGCCTACAGCATTTGACTTCTCAAATATTTCACCTAACAAAGCAAACAGTCCAGATTGGAGATTGATTATAAGAATGATAAATATTATGATGTTATTTACGTCGGACATGATTTTTCATTCAACCTTGCCCGTTCGATGGCGGAGTACGCCTTTTGGCTTCAGCATGAGTGTTCTCGGACTGCGATGCATCAGGGGAAACTTCCAGTGAGGGATGGCTGGTACGAAAAGCGAATCTCTTGGTTTGTCGAGATGATTGACATAATGAAAGTGCCAGCCCAAGAAATTGAAAAGGAAATCAAGAAAATCAATCTGGCGGAGAGCCGGTCGGAGATAATTGACCGAGAGGAGATCATTCAACGTTTTCGCACATTCATTGATCCTGACTCTATTGGTATACATTCTTAGGACACCAATAGATTTATCATTAATTGCATATATTGCTTTGCTCCAGGCCGAAACCTAAAACTGACTGCAGCTGCTAAGTCCATCGGTTTAATGATGACACGATAGGAAATAGGATGACGCTTAGAGAGTATTATTTCTCCTGTAAATCTGGCCATAAAGTAGTATAGACCTTGAAAATCAGCATGAATCACTATCTACAAAAAGCCAATGAGGAACAATGTCGAGATAGATATTGGGTAGGGCTGTCAAAGATACGATATTAGCAAGAATCAGCAAAATCGGTTATCGTATATTTCAAGAACTAACTATATCTATTAATTTCCGCCATAAGTCAATCAGAAACTTATGGCCTATCTCTTCTCGCCAGTATATTATAAAGTATTCATGTTTTACTAAGACAAAGTCACTAGTTACCTATTTATCCAGATGACAGACGAACATTCCAGTCAAATAAGGCTCTTATAGTTTAATTTTTGGATGGCATATTGGCAAAAGCTTCAAAGTAGAACCAGATTCTTGATTGAGTGTGACTGAAGATCGAGCGCAATTGATAACTTTACGATAAGCTGATTTCTTTTAAACTGATTTTTTCTCGCTAGGTGGAAAGACTATTTACAGTAATGCTATGCATAATCATGGCGATTTCACTGTCCCTCATAGTAACACCATATCGGATGTTGGATACTTAAATAGCTCCTTTTTGACTTGATATATGAGGAAGTAGTGACATGAGTCTCTATAGCTCCCTGTGCGTAGTTCTATGAAAGTCACCCATTTCCCTCTGAATTTCTTTTTGTTTATCACTCCTGATTTCCCTTTCACTCCCCATTTTGAAGGTTCTTTTTGAAGGGCCTGATAATGAGGTCAGGGACGGAGCGTCTTATACCAAGACTATCAGGCGGCGAAGCACTATGTCTGTAAGAAGGCATTTGGTCCTGAATGATGATGTAATATAGCCTGCAACTACTTTCTAGAGTAGAAATGGGTGGCCGAATCGACGGACAATTGGGATCTCAAGGGTTTTTGAGACTGGTTTCGAGCTATTTGAAGAGATAATGACATTCCGAAGATTATCATAATAAACTTCAAGTCGATCCATGTCTGCAAGACAGAGCAGGAAAGGCGTGTCTGCATGAACCACATGGAATTGGATTTCGCCAATCGGGGTATAAATAAAGACTGTGCCAATCGAAGAGATCGCTCCAATTCCAAATTGTACAGAAACTTGGCCAGCTGAGGACGTGTTAAGGTTGATATCGATGAGCTTCTGGAGGGCTTGAAGTTAGCCATATCTGACTGTAAACTTGCTTGATGCTCCAGTATCAATCATTATCCCAACAAATGTGTATGAATTATATCTCGTTGTGGCGATGGTGGTGTCTGTAAATGGATCATTTTCAGTGGTTTCTACAAGAGATTTGATAGCTAGAGACTGATTTTGAAATAATCGAGTGAAGATATGCCCTATCAGCTAGTTCAGATGTCATGGAGGACCGTAACGGTATTCCTGAAGTTACTTATCGTTTTTGGCTTGGGGATTAAACAGCTTATTAAGATGGGATTTGTGGTGTCGAGAGCATGAGGCGTTGTAGAAGGAGTTTATGGTGTTTGGAAATAGGCATATGTTGCCTGCTGTGGAGAATGTTGAGAAAGCCGAGATTTCTTCTTGAAATAAATTGATGAATATCCATTGTCACATACCTACAGGTTACTGGTCTAATCCTACAAGATATTGAACTCCAAGGTGTATCTCTTACAAAATACCAGTAGTGAAAATCATTGAAGTAGGCATAGAATTGGATATCTCAAGTTTATCGTGATCATCATCAAACGAAGTAGCCTAAAAGAGGCTAAAAGAACAGAACTGCCACCCAAACGAAGAGCGCAAATTCAAGTCCAAACAGGCAACGAATTTAAGCCTTGGAAATGTCAGCCTCAGCACCACGCTGGCGAACCTTGCCCTCGTCATGCTGGTCACGGAAATTCTCCTCCTCAGTACGGTCGCCAGCGATAGCGGCACCAACGGAGCCAACAGCACCAGTAACACGGTCCGAAATACCGGAGCCAAGATCCTTCAGCTGGCCCTTAGCTTCATCAGCCTTTCCAGCAGCGTTCTGCTCAGCACCAGAGCGGCGGAGATCGTCATTGCCGATCAGGTTGCCGATGGACTCCTTGGCAGAGCCGATGGTCTGGTCCCACGAGCCGGTGGTGCGGTTAGAGTCGTCCTTGGCGACGGCGCCGGTGTTGGGGTCAGCGGAGATGGGTCCCAGCTTAGCGGTAGTGTGGGAGGCATCGTGCTCGGCCTGAGCCTTCTCCTGGTTGATATCACCCTTGACCTGTGTTGTTGTTAGGGATGATTTGTTGATGAATTCCATCAAAGGAATGACTTACCTGGGCGGAGGAGTCGCCGGTGACGGCACCGACAGCTCGCTGGGCAATGCCAGTGGCAGCGTTCACGTAGGAACCAATGGTGGAAGAGTTGTCAGACATTTTGGTTTGAAAAGAAAAAATTGAGTGGAGTGATAGATGGTTGCGGAGAGAGAGTTGAAAGTTTAGAATTGATGGATTACTTGACTTTACTTGACGCGGCTTCTCCTCTCTTTAAATATTAAATTTGTAAACAATTATCAAACAACTTACGTCAATGCAGTGTATTCCCCCTTTCTTCTGTGCAGGTCGACCAGTAACTTGAGAACGCCATCTACATCTATTTACAGCCACATCCAGGATAAGTAGATAGATGATGTCATGATCTGATGTCATATCACGTGACTACCTCAGTTGTTTGAGTTACAGTCCAGTGCGTCATTGCGAGGAACTATTCTAATCTGGAAGATCCAACTTCAATGTGGAGTCACGAGAAGCAGTTAAACACAAATCGGGTCAGATCGGCCATTCGAAAAGCTTCAATTTTGCTGTAATAAGGTTTATTGAGCGCCGAAGAACAAGATCAAGATCAAGATCAAGTCAAGAACAAGGATGGAATCCTCTAGAGTTCCATAATGCAAATGCAGACGCTCGTAAGTCAAATCAGGGTATACATATTCATTTCATCACCAGTGGCAGATTCCACCTTCACTGTCGTCAGCAGTCCAGGTCCCACAAAGACCCACTACCTCCAGATGGCCATCCGGTTGCTCGCCAACCTTGCTCAGGGCAGCAGAGCCCACAACTGCAGAGCCATCAGTGAGCAGTCTTCGAGCCCATAAATTGATAGACGGTTCACCAGTCTCATCACGGGCCTGTTTCAGAAACGGGATGAGCGCTGTACCTCCCGTGCCTCGAATATTCTTATTATCAGTCGGAACAGCAGTTGCGAGGTTCAAACCAGCAGTCTGATCACTCTGTCCAGCAATCTGTGAGCGACGCACCGCACGAGACGGGATAATAATATACCGCGACACCATCTGGATATGCTTGTCGCGCAAACTGCGCAGCATAGACAAGCATGCATCATATGCAAGTCGCAAAGCAGGGTCCGAGCGATGAGAGCCAACAAATTCACGGATATTGGCAATCGAGTCAATCTTCTCTAGAAACCGTCGGTGCGGACCAGGCATGTACGCGCGCATCTCATGTATAAAGCTGTTTCGAGATTTGGCACTGTCCTCGGTGGCATCGTGCTCCTTGCGAGACACGCCGGTGGGTCTGTGCTCTACTCCGAGGACAATGTCGAAGAATTGAATGAGAGAACTTTGCGCATTGCTGCCACCGCCGTATTGGCGGTACTCGGTGGTTCCAGTGCCGTCGTCGTACAGCAGGCCGTTTGGGAGCCCTGCATCGCCCATGTTCTTGCTGCCAGCCAGGTAGGGTCGAACGCAGTTGTAGAAGACATACGGGTCGCAGTTTTCAAACATGCGCTGCATCAGGCTGCTAGTCTCGTCGATGATTTCAGCTAGGCGTTGCAGGCACTCTGTCACCACGCGGACCTTGCCCACACGTGCTGCTGTGATCGCCTCGAGCATGAGTGGGATAGAGGGTGCGCCGCGGGCCTCGATGGCTACTGAGAGGAGGTAAAACCACTGTTCGTCCAGCGAGCCGGTGAAGGTCTGTATACTAGCGAGGTTGTGCACATCATCAGCTGGCTCGTCGGGGAAGATGGGCTTGTAATTCCACAGACAGACGCCGGCATAAGTGGCTACCGGGGGAACCTCGAGTCGTTCACAGACTTCAAACAATGGAATCGTGAGCTGGGGAGGGATTTTCTTCCATCCGCGATCAGTATAAGTTCTCGATATTAATTCTAGTTCAGACCTACATCGACAGGACGATCACCGCCCCATACATAGCCGTGTAGCAAGAACACTAGCACAACGTATGCTCTGCGCCATTCGGCATCTGTGCGTAGATATGTGGTGGAGAGAACAGGCAGACGGTCAATTACCGATCGCAGGCGCTTGCTTAGCAAAAGTGGTTGAAGACTGGCCACGACGGCTTCCCACTTGGCGTAGTAAGTATTCGGCAGGATCTCGATTGGAGGCTCTGTCGGGAGAAATCCATTCTCTGGCGAGATGCCATAGTCCGCTGGTGATGGTACTGGTGGTAGCATTGTGATGGAGGCGAGATCAGGGGAAAAGATGGGCTGTCGCCACTGTTCTGTGGCAAATGGCAACACCCGGTTGACTGTTACTACTAAGATTGACCTCCAACAACCGTAACACTTGAATGTTGGATATGCGGAGTGAGGAGTCAAGACCAGAATCAAGTAATCGTATTCTCAGGTGGACCTAGGAATGACGCGATAATGAAATGCGGAAGACAAACAGGTTAACAAGTATTGAAACTCCGCATTGCGGGGGTAGAATAGTACGAGGTGTCGGAAGATAATGCCTGTCCTTCTCAACAGAATTTTATTGAGCGGGGATAACCGAGAAAGTAATCAATATTTCTAAGCATAAATCGGCAATTCTCTCCAAGCAGATCCTCCAAGGCGGCTCGGGGGTCCGATATAGGATGTAGAAGTAGACATTTTAGAGGCCTAAGCGGAACATTAGGAGAGGGACTAGTTCATAGCCTTTCAAAAAGAAAGGAAGAGGGAAAATCAAAATCAAAATATAAAAAAAACAATTATCACTTCTTAGTTAACTAGATCAATGAATTTATATTGGGGCTAAAGAACGGGCCTCCGTATAGATGTTGCATCTGCACCCTGGTGGGACACGGTGTTAGGCTGGGTGTTGGCGATATGGGTTCCCCTTTATTCTGCACTAGCGTGGGTGCTAGAGAATGAACCGGAGCCTTACATTGAGTGGGTTTAAGTGTGCTCACCCCGATTTCGGTGACTTAAGCGAGATCCCCAGCGCAATCGCCCGTACTCACGCTAAAGCCCTTTGGGTCAAACGAAGTGGAAGCGGCGGTTATCCCCGGATTATATAACAACGTCACTGCTTATTTAAGCACGGGTATGAACAGAACGTAAAGAGGTATAAACCATAAAATGGGCCAATATATCCATAAAGGGAACAATGGTCAGAGCAAAACCAAGAGAGACATTAGCATGCCCCCTGCACTAAGGACGACATGAATGTCTAAACCGACCACCCATTTTTCTTTTTTACTAAACGGTCCCAATTAGGGAATCATGAGGTTATTTCCGGTTTGATAATAGTACGACGTTGGGCGTTCGAGACCGAGTGCGCGCTTTATTTTTCTACTTCAACTTTTATTTCATAGTAACATGAAGGCGCGCTTCCACTTCATTTGCACTTTCAACTCAGTTTTGAATTCAGGCACTCTCGCTCTCACTTTCACTTTCACTTTCATGTTCGAATTCCTGCCCCAGTATCTATCAGCGATTGATACTTCACAGAAACTTTTCAGTCTACTGCCAGCGGCCAGTCAGTCTGTATAAGGCAGAATCTATAGCTATCAACATAGGAACTAGTCTTAAGGACATCTTGTTTCAGTGTTCTGTTTACAGTCAGCCAACCTTGGAATGGCACAACGTTACCTATACCAGGACCTGCGCATATTGCAATATTGCGCTGGCAATTAACCTACATTCAATTCTTACTTCCTGCAGTTCCGTGAAATGGTCTTCCTGGAACAGTGGCACAACATTGCCATAGGTATTTTTACTATAGCTTGCGCGTAACTACTCAGAGATGTTGACAAGGAGATCAATTTTCTTTCAGCACTCAAAAAAATCCAGAGTGTGTCCACACAGAATAATTTATAGCCAAATTCGGCCAGATCTAAGCTGGACTTGAACTTGTCGACAAAACATGGCCTAAATGACTACGGTGTTATGCTTCCGTTCCTGGACGAGATCAAATCAGGAAAATCATACCCTTAATGGGGAATACCATGAAAAATGAAGTTTCTCCAAGTGATACGCCACTTATGAACCCAGCAATTCCCACCCTCATCTGCTAGGTGAAAGCCTGGCCCATTTAGCAACAATTTTTGCTCGGGCACACTTGAGGGCTTCTTTGACCAGAAGCAATACCGGACATGTTACCTAAGTTAGAGTGAAATCAGATACTTAATATACCCGGTAGATAGCCCACCAGGCGATGAGTGTGATTTTACCACTTTCCCTTCACTTTCACTTTTATTCAGTCGATGCGCACGGTTAATTTGACCTCACTTGAGCTTTTCATCTCCCACTATCTACCTATGTAAGTCAGAAGTAACAGCCAATTTATTTCTGTCTTCAACCACCCACCAACTGTCACACAGCATAGAAACCGTCATCAAGACATGTTTTTTCAATATTATGCTCGCAGCCAACTAGCCAGCCTATAATAGACAGAAAAAGCGATTTTTTCAATGATACAACGTTGCCAGGACGTGCGCACTTTGTGAATATGGCAATATTGCAAGTCAGTATCCATTCCGAACGGGCAAACTGCGGGAGAAGTGCAGTTCCTTCAATTGAAACTTGGATCAACCACCCACACTTTTTTATGTTTCAGGCCAAGATCTGGACCGTGATCGGCACCTCCGACGATGTTTGGGGTTCACAGTACTCAATGCTGCTTGCGAATGAGATTTGTGGAAATTTATGCAATACAACCTGCACATCAACATTGGTGACCTATTGGTTCCAAGGGTCTGGGCCTGTCGATAATAGCGTTACCCCTCTAAATATACACGAAGTTGTCAAACTTGAAAGTGCTTCAGAACAGACAGAACATTAAAAGATTGCCAGTCAGATGGCAAATGGGAGTTTTATCACTTGAACTTGAACTTGGACTGAAACTTCGCTTGAACTCAGTCTGCATGTTTGGCTGCAATCTGCTGCTATCTCTTTTGGGGGGCCACAAAGGCGAAGACCATCAGCGTCTATCTTCCTGCGTACTACGCCGATTTAGTCTGTTAGTGTTGCGGGTACATATGGGGTTGCGCGGTGAGGTCGAGCATCTAATCAGCTTTCATCTAATTGAATGCTATCGCAAACACTCCTTCTAATCGCATTCATCTCACGATAGCAATTTTATTCATTCTCGGGAAAAAGGAGCCTACGAAAAGGACAATCCATGAAAATTCTCTATATAAAAACATGAGAAGCTACTCTCCGCAACGAGGAGTGGTTCATGGCTGTGCACCGCTGCCCCCACTGTCAACGCAAGTCTGATGATGCGTCCCGCCAACAACACATACTGAAAACTGGGGAAATTGAAGATCAGCGTTTCAAGTATTGTTACATTACGTGTTTTAGAGCTATGAATCATCTGTCAGAATTAGTATTGAAATTCTGTATTTGTCAGTATCTTATCTGTGCCAGCAGATGTTTTATGGATTTCTCAGATTCTTAATAGCTATTAACGGTTAATTGTATGACAGCGGGAAGAGAGGAGTTAGAACATCAGACTTAAAGGGGTACCTAGGTAGCTTTCCAAGGTCGTAGATGAAGTTCAATGTTTCTTAGCTGATAAAGCTTTGACTTGAGTTAACTCCATAAATAAGGAATAATAGCCACCAATGGAGTTATGTTTGTTCCGGAACCATGGAATCAGATTATGATAACGCAATGCACCCATATACCTCCCAACATAGAAAGAGCCAATACTCCCAGGTTCCAAGGTCTTAAATAGCGAAGCTGACGAGCTTATTTTCAAAGTAACGCAAGTCAAGTCATCTTCTTTTTTCTATTTTACCGTATCTTAATTTTCAATACCGACACAAATATAATTGCTTTTATCAGATGCTAAATCAAAAACACCAAGCTATGCGCTAAACCCAGCTTAGCTATTCGTTGGGTATAGCAAGTATTAAGAGGCAAATAGCACAAGGACAATGAGCCTCCCAAGATAGAACGTATGAATGCAAATGCAACATGGAAAGGAGAAAGAGAGAAAATGAGAGCACCAGAACACCAACGAATCCAAAATATATGATCTCCATTCATATTAATGTTTCGGCATGAGCGCATAAAGGAAAGCAGATTGTGCTTTTAAATGAAATTACCTTGACCCTCATACTGATTAGTCGAGCTAATCAAGTTAGGCGGCAAGGTAGAAGCCGACGCAGAAGACTTGCGGCCAAAGACAGAGAAGGGCCTTGTAAAGTGGCGACTAAAGTTCTTCTCAGGAGCAGGTGAAATGGAAGGAACAAAAGGAGGCTGGAAAGAAGCCATAGAAACGGGCCGAGGGCGATGGCCGGGACCACCAGTAGTCCGGGGACGAACAATAGGGACACTGTCATCAAAAAAGAGGGCAGAAGTGCGCTTGTTCCTGATGACAAGTGGATCGGCTGAGAAGTCATCTGTGGCATTCTCTAGAGCTCTTGAAAAGCGGCGGAAGACTTTTGGTCGTTCAGCGATTGAGGGTTCGCGCGACTCGTAGCCGTATATTTCGACTGGGGTGGATGATTTCGCAGCATTCTCAGCTTGAGTTTGGATCTCTGCCATGGGTGTGGCATAGAAGCGGTGGTATTTATGGCACAGTTTGCGGTGGCCTTGTTGGGAGGGTATATATTGACTTGATGATGGGATCGGATGGATGTATGGGTGGATGTAAGGGATGTTAGTGCGCGACGAGGCACTACTTGTGGAATAGTAGCTGCTTGCAGCGGATGTATTCGACATGGTGGGCAGACTGGTATAATTAAATTTTGTATTTTAAATTCCAAGGTTCGAGTTCGAAGCCTTTTTCAAAGTCCGGGCTAGGGCGAACAACAGATTTATATACTTCACTGCTCAAGAGATAAAAAAGAAAACAATAAGCCCCATTTCGCCATTTCTTTCCATTTCGCCATTTCACCATTTCGCCATTTTTCTCCATTACAAGCTCTTACAATTTCTGTATTCTAAACTAGACTAAAAAAACGCAAAAATTGAAAAAGTGGATCAAGGGAAGGCTTCGGACGGCCTCTGATGGATCTGTAGAGTAATTGGAGGCTACTTGAGCCTAAAGCTCGGATATTTTATGTTTCACCTCTTTATTGTATGGCTCCTTGCATAATGCTTGACGCAACCTTGGCAACCTACACAGTATTTACTATTCCATTGTACGACCTCTTGAACTAGCTTGAAATGGTTGTAAGCTCCGGATTTACTCCGTAATCAGATCCTCATATTTTCTATAGCTTCGGTACGTTCTCCATCTTCTCCCCTCTTACGTGAGACAAAACAACAAACGGAACTTACTTAGTTCAAAGTCTAGAGCTATCTAACTCTCAAGCCTTATATCCATTCTTTAGCTTGAAGGATGAGAAATGTCAAGAAATCTCCGGTGATTTAGGAAAAAGGGCAGTTTGCGAGTTTAATAAGTTCTCCACTTGTTCCCACCGGATCACCACCCACTGTTATGTGATTGGACCAATACACATCAAAACAGATCTGGGCTTTAAACACTGTAAAAAGAAGGATCAACGTGGATTATTAGGAGTGCTGCATACTACGATACAATAAATATCAAGAACTTTCTTTACTTTTTCATACAAAGTAAACCATGAGAGCTAGGGGAAGTGGGGATGAAGAGAGACCTAACAAACCATATTGATGTATTGGAGCACGACGGTGGGGTTAAAGCTCGGAGTAGTGAAAAAGGAGTCAAGCCTAACAACCCCTTGAATACATCATGGAATTTTCTGAAATTGATGAAATTGCTTAAATTACTGGTCCTTGAAGAGGTTCGATGACCGAGATCCACAAAAGCGGCTTAGTGAAAAACCTGATTGCTCCTTGAATGGGTCTGTAGGGCACAGGAATATGGGAATAAGGAAGATGCATGATATCGTGGCACATTTATAGGCAACTAAAAGATTTACATGACAAAGCGTATGTTGACATCTACCAAAGGAGTCAGTCTCAAAGTCAATCTCTAGTTCCAGATTCAGGGTTTGGGGGTTCCTGCGGTGTGACACAGCCCACTTACCAAGTGGATGGCTGCAGCTCAGCTGAGGTTTCTGTGTATACTTCCCCTCAAGCTCCGCCCGAATGCTATTCAACAACTGCAAGTAACTCTGTTGAGGCCACTGCCTCAATGATTTTATAAATGCCCAGCTCAATGCACCGCGTGCCTGTCCGTCTTGGAAAGTGTCTGCTCTAAAAGGGGGCCAAAAAATATCTTCGGTTAGTCCGGATGGCGTTTCAGATTAAGATTAGCTACCGCCCACTAAGATATCCACTTACGATGTTTGTGTATCCTTAGATCCCGAGAACATGACCACGTCGGCTGGTGAGGTTTTGGTGCGGAGTGTACGCTCGCGCGCCTGGCCTCCGTTGGTCGCTTTCTTGAAAAAGTTGATGGCAGTCGATGCGACACTGGAAAGGTCACCTTGGCCATAAGAGTTCAGGACGCTGAATAGATCCTGGGCTGCCTCCTTAGCTAGGTTAGGCTCCTTGAGTATACCCTGCGTGGAATAGATATAAGGCAGGTCCAATGCAGTACCGGAATGGCACGAGTCGAATATGGCGGTCAGTCGTACACCCGCTCGCAGCGGGCGCACCATAATGGCATGCATCTCGTCGTCCACAATATGGCCAACGCTACGGTAGTCGACCGGGTAGATGACATCGTCATATCCGTCATCCTCGTCGCCGTCAAGATCGGGAGTGCGACCTCCGTGACCCGAGAAATGAATAAAGAGAGAGTCATTCGGCTGGGCATCTTTCACCAGCCAATGCATGGCGCGGATGATATTAGCCTTGGTTGGGATACTCATATAATTGCGCTGGTCGTCAGTTAGAATGACCATATCCTCGCGACGATATCCGAACCGCTCATGCAAGAAGGTAGACATGTTAGTGACATCGTTAATGCACCCGTGCAAGGCATTGGGTTGACCAAAGTAGTTAATTCCAATCAGGAGGGCCTTACGGCGCCCTGTACATAAGGAATACTGAAAGCTGTAGTTTGATGGGGCACCTGGGCCAAAACGTTGAGCACCCTGCGGAGGTCGTGGGGGTAGCTTAGGAGAACTAGCCCGCTGAAGTCCTAGATAGATGGTGAGTCAGGGGATTGGCTTGGTGTATCTTCCTCACTTACTATCACGAGGGACACTTAAACTATGCCGATGCTGTGGTGGTGTTTGGGAGGGTCGACCCCCATATCCAGGCTGTGGTGAGGAGAAGAGTAGAGATCCATAGGGCTGTAATTGAGATTGCGGTCGTGGAGGCGGAGTTGGCCTTCCATATGGTTGCGGAGATGGAGGATAAGCGCCTGGAGGTCCCGAGTAAGACTGAGAATATCGATGTCCATAATTTGGTCGTGGCTGTTGGTAGGGCTGAGGCGGGAAGTGCGGGGGTTGATTCCATTGGGATTGATATCCATCCCATTGCGGAGGTGGCCCTGGAGGCCCTGGAGGTGGCCCTTCACGATAATAGGACATTGACACGATGCGACAAAAGGCTATTGAAGAGGGAAAATAAGAGTCGGAAAGTCGGGAGAAATGGGAGTCCTCTTTTCCCAGCCTTCTAGATAGTATCGGACTTGAGATGGCTGGCTAGTGGGGAATGTTTTATAAGAACGGGAAAAACTTAAACATAGTATGAGTACCAGAAATGAAAGAGTAACGAGTTTATCTACGGAAGCTACGTAGTCCAATAAGTTTTTGATCCTTGATCCATGGAAGCGAAGGACCGAAGAACCAAGAAAGTCGATCCTGTGTCTTCCCCACGCTCGGTAGGGCTGCAGGCACCAGCATTTGTCATATCACGTGCGGTCATGTGCAACATCAGCTGATCGGCTTCTTAAACCCTCTCTGTGTATGATGACAAGAGATGATGACAGCTGTGGATTTTCCTTGTTCCTTGCTTGGGTCAATGCCTCGATGGTATGAGCATTCTTACTGCCCGAGGCGGGGCAGTCCTGGCGGGCTTGCTGATGTAGAATTTCCCCTTAAGGACATGCTCATGCTCATGCTCATGAACTTGACGAAGATGTCAAATGATAGCTGGCAAAAATAGAGCTTCAATTGTCTGGAATAAGATGAGATAGGTGTATACTATGTACAACAAGAGTATAATGGATAAAGAAAGGGAGAAAGAGTGCCCCTCTAGTTCATCAGATGTAGAGGTCACGTGCAGCCGTGTAAGCTCTATAAAGTCTAGTTTCGATGGACTCGAAACTCATTCCTTTACGAGAATGTATAAAATAATAAGAGATTTTTGTATATTGCAATGATAATGCCTCGCAGTAACTATTGACGAAACCCGAGACATGAGGCTCGTAAAGTTTCAGCCAATCAGAATTGACTTACGTAAGCAAGGCGTACCGATCTTCTTAATGAGGCTCTGTTGGGAAAGGCAAGGGATAGACAGAAGTGGGGCAAAATGATCAACTAAATTCTAATCGCGTACTCACACTAAATTTGAGGCTCTAAACAGCACTCGCATCAGTCTTAGTAACTTAACACATTCTTTCCTTCTCAATTTCACTTTTCTCATTTCCAATCCCTCTTCTCAGCTCTGAATATTATGCTTGCATACCATCAATACTCAGATCCTGAATTCCATCATGTCTCCCATCAACCTCGATTCCCTTCCCTACGACTCTTTCTATGAAATATCCAAATATCTGGATGATAATGACCTGATTAGCTTAAGTCGTGTCAATAAAGCTCTCCGTCAGACACTGGAAAGTGAGCAGATTGCTCGTAAAGCGGTCAAGGTAGATCTTACGCCAAAAATGTCTTGGACCCACTGACACTCATCAGAATTTCCTACTCTTCAGCAAAGAAGGTCAGGCCGCCACAAATGGCGATTCCACTTATCGCCGTGCCATGGGGCATCGGGCAGATATTCACGAAGCGATCGCCACTGCATCGCCATTCTCAGTGGCGGTATTAGCACATGCAGATCAGTTTACGTACCACCAAGGAGTACTATGCTACCAAGTGGAAGATCAAATACGATTACTAGATGTGCATGGCAGTGCTCGAGAGGAGCGAGTGCTTAATTTGAAACAGCTCAAAGAAACCCTCGGTCAGATGGAACCACACATAACGACCGAAGACCGGATACGTATTGTCCATTACAGTGAGGATATTGTATCCGTCAAGATAAAGGGCTTGGCACACCAATACCTTATCGCCATTGATATGCAACCACTCACCGACTCTTTCAAGCCGGAATCCACGCTTCGCGATCGGATAGTTTACTTTTCACAACTTGATGTCGATGATTTCTTTATACGAAATAGTCGATCATTCATTTGGCTTGGCGTTTATCATGAAGTGCATTCAGTTGGTATGGCTTGGGATATAACTGCAACAAACCTCGACCCGACTCAGCCTCATGAGGACGTTTGCTTCGTGTTAGATGCTGAATGGGCTCCAGACTGGGAGACTGACATAGGATCATCAATTTGTTTTGAGATATTCGATGAGCACCTCTACGTAGTGTCAACGAGTTACTTTGGCCAGCATGATGAGGTGCATTCTTCATTTTACTACTGGCAGTGCCTTGGACCCAGTGATAGCGAAAAGAAAGCAGAGGGGCGCATCTGGCGCCGGAAGCACAATGAAGGGCCAGTGAATGAGCTCTGGACGATGTTCACACTCGAAAGGGATGAGACAACCAACCGACCAATGATAGTTGAATGTCGTCGGGAATGGCTTCACGGCAATAGCGAGAACCACCGCAGCTACTACGTTGAACCACTGCCAATCCCAGAGGAGGCCATACGAGCACCCGAAGAACCGGTTCCGCAAACATGGGCGCAGGACGAACAGGAGGATCCTGTAGCTGATGATGAATACGATGAACGCCCGGCTAAGAGGCAACGCCGCCATGAAGAGTACGAGCCTATTAGTGATAAATTTATCCTCGCACGTACTAGGCATCGCGGCTATCATCTAGCATCCTCGACATTTCTAGATGTTGTGAGCACGCACAACTCCAGCCGTCTTCTATTACGAACATGTCCCACCAGGAAGCGTCACTATTCAATTGCACAAGACCACTTCTACACGCGCGGCGTGCATTTCTGGCCGCCAGAAGACGCGCCCAGAGCATTGCTTGATATCGTATGTCCTGACGAAAACTCTTCCGAGGTGAGTGTCTACGACGATGAGAGATCGATTGTGTACTCGGTAGATTGCGACGGCCACTCCGCAATAGTCCTCATTAGCTTTGACCCGAAAATTCGATTTCCAACAATGGGCTCTCTTCATAAAGAGGAACCACCTGCCCCAAACAAAGTCTTTCCTGTCCAAGTGAGCTGGCCAGATGAATTTGAATCTGGTGTTATAACCTGTCCACCTCTTTATGAAGCTATTAACTGGGGATACTGGCTGCGTTGAAGGATCATGATAGAACATTCATGTCTTCCCGTTCCAGGACTCCAAGGTGGAATTACCTAGGAATAAAAGCCCAGTAAAACTATTGAATTAATGAACACAGCCAATTTTAGGCATACAATATCTCACTCAGCTGTTCCACTACTTCGGTTATACCTATACCTCGGTAAACACCACCGGTACATTTTCAAATAAAATTAGCCCGGCTCGGTAATTGTTTGATGACCGTAGAAGTGGCTGATCTGCTTCCAAGATTTGAATCGGTGTTAGTGCTCTACAGATTTAACAGAAGCAGAGATCAGCCTATCAGAGTAAAAAGAGATAGCCGAGGCTTGATATCCTGTTTGAGTTCGGACGGCTTTCCAGATCCGGTGACCAGGACAAAAGGGTTCCTACGTTTCTATAAAACCCTGCGACATCGATCTAGTAGAAACCCCTCTCTGTATCAAGTAGCAAGTTCTACCACCTAAGAATCCACAAAATCTCTAATGATCGTAATGTGTATTCAAGACAAAATTCCCCTTCAAGATTGATGCATTCTATGGTTCCGGCACTTGGCATAATCTAACTCAAAGATAATTTCAGAAATCATGAGACTTCCTTTTCTTGGGTGATATTCAGTTTTGTAGTTTTGTAGATATCGATGAATTTATTGGCCAGTTAAATGGTGCAGACCCTTCAGCGACACGTGCCCGTGAAACAGGGACGTGCCATGAAACAGGGTCCTCCGTTTCAACGGCTCTACAAGCACGGGTCAACGGCTATCATGCCCAGGCAGGTATAGGCAGCACATGTGTATGTATGGAGTAGATCATGAAGCGTCACAGCCCCCTTAGTTCTTGCATGATGTGCAGTACTACCTACCTAGGTAGGTACTAAGTTCCGACGTCTGTAACTAACAACTTGGACAAGTACCCTACATAGATAAGTATAAAGGTCCACGGGTAGACAGTTTCTGAAGACCTCTTCATCTCTGACCATCAATTCACTCGTTTATTTAAAACTACAGAGCTGGTCTCTTGTCCCGTCATTTGCATAAAAGATTTGATATCTTTATACACTGTGCTTTCTATCATGAAGTATTCTTTCACTTTTTTTCTCCTCGGAACTGCCCTGGCGGCACCCACCAAAACAATTGAGAATCTTCAACTCCGCTCTTTGGGCGGCTCTGGCGGCGGCATTGGTCTCGGTGCCCTTGCCTCTCTGATCCCCAGTCTAGCAGGGTCTAAGGGTTCGAACTCTAGTTCAGAATCTGAGATTCCTAGTCTAGGCTCTGGGATTCCCAGTCTGACAGGGTCCAAGGGCTCGAACTCTAGTTCAGAATCTGAGATTCCTAGTCTAAGCTCTGGGATTCCCAGTCTGACAGGGTCCAAGGGCTCGAACTCTAGTTCAGAATCTGAGATTTCTAGTCTAAGCTCTTTGATCCCCAGTCTAACAGGCTCTAAGGGTTCGAACTCTAGTTCAGAATCTGAGATTCCTAGTCTAGGCTCTGGGATTCCCAGTCTGACAGGGTCCAAGGGCTCGAACTCTAGTTCAGAATCTGAGATTTCTAGTCTAAGCTCTTTGATCCCCAGTCTAACAGGCTCTAAGGGTTCGAACTCTAGTTCAGAATCTGAGATTTCTAGTCTAAGCTCTGGGATTCCCAGTCTAGCAGGGTCTAAGGGTTCGAACTCTAGTTTGGAATCTGAGATTCCTAATCTAAGTTCTGGAACCCCCAGTCTGGGTTCAGGCTCAGGCTCAGGCTCTTCCATCGGTTCAGGATTCCATCTACCCAGCTTCAGCAACATCCCCAGCCTCGGCAGCTTGATCGGTGGCGGCAGTAAAACCGACGGCGAGAGCAAAAACAAGGATAGCGGGTTTCTCAAGAAAGCAAAACCAGAGCTTGGCTCCCTGATCCCAAGCCTGACATCGGGAGCAAGCGTCTCAGCCAGTACTTCAAGCTCAGAAACTGCCACAGAGACAGCTCTATCATCTGGAATTCCAACTTTCGGCTCCGGTATCAGCGGCTCCGGTACCAGCGGCTCTTCGACAGGCTCAAACTTCGGCATTCCCAGCTTTAGCGGAATTCCTAGCCTGACTAGCCTGACTGGCAGCAGTGACAGTAAAAGTGGTACGACCTTGCCCCTTGGCGTCACTAGTGGTCTCGCTAAACGAGAAACAGGTGTGGGCTCTAGCACGGAGAACGGCGTGACTGATAAGTCGGCCTGTCAGCCTCTTACCTTTATCTTTGCCCGTGGAAGTACGGAGACAGGTAATATGGGCACAGTTGTTGGACCACCTGTTGCAACGCAGCTGGCCTCGTTGACGAATAACAGGGTTGTTGTCCAGGGGGTCACTTATGACGCTTCTATCAGCGTAAGAAATCACCTCCCAACCGTCCCCAGCCAATTTGATTCAATTTAAGGTTGTCCCGCTGCTTGTGACTAATTTAATGCGAACAGGGCAACGCCCAAGCCGGCGCAAACGGCGGCCCGATCATGGCCAAGCTAGTCAAAGACGCCTTAGCTCAATGCCCCAGCACCAAGGTCGTCTTGGGCGGATACTCACAAGGTGCAATGGTCGTGCACAACGCGGCGAACAGCCTCTCTTCCGGCGAGGTAGCAGCTGCCGTCCTCTTCGGCGACCCTTTAAAGGCTGAATCTGTTGGCAAGCTGGCTAGTGCCAAGGTGAAGGAGTTCTGCGCTAGTGGTGACCCTGTCTGTGAGAATGGAGACAATGTCCTTGCGCATATCACTTATGGTAGTGATGCGAAGGAGGCGGCTCAATTCTTGATTGAGGCTGCTGGTGTTTCGATCAGCTCTTAGATGCAACGAGCTGAGGATTCCATCGTCGATGCTATAATTTAGATAGCAGAATGTTTGATAATGAAGATTGAAGCAAGTGCTTTGATGGCGATAAGGTTAAAACATGTCTCCTTTTAGAGAGCTTCCATTCTCCTCGGTGTTGTGCACCTGGCAGTGTAGAAAGGTACCCTGTCGCTCATTAGAAAGACACCTAGGAATATGAACGGCTTGTCAGTAGGTAAGAAGTTGTAATCGGGATAGATATAAGAACTAAAGGTTATGGATTGTTAAGGCTAACTGTATATTGGTATAAGATCCACGGAAAAAAAGTAAATCACAAACCAAACTCCAGACAAAACGCCAAGCAGAGGATAATCAGACGAACGGATGAGAAATTGCTCTCATCCCGGCGTAGTGTAATCCCAATTGGAGAGTTCCGTAAGCTACCCGAAAAATCAAAAGAAAATCCATTGAACACGGACCCAGCCATGTTAATTCGGGTAGACGCGAAAATATTAACTCGTCAGTCTTTTATAGGGACCTGCCCAGACTCAGTCGCCGCTACTGATGTCTCATTTAAAGGGTCACGCTTTCTAGGTCACGTATGACAATTGACAACTGAGCGCGCTTAGCTGCCTCGGCTACGAGACTGAAGTCCTGCAGAAAGGGCGTGGTAGCTGCAGGACCCCCAAGGCCACTGACCTGGTGGGGATAATTATTTGTTCCCGCTTGTTGGGCGGGTGCCGGTTCGGAGCGAGGGAAAACGTCGGAAATAATTCCCTGGGCGGCTTGTATTCCGGTAGTTTGAATCCCCGCAGTATGAGAAGATCCATTCAGCACCTGGGTAAAGGACTGACTTGGGGCCATGGTGTGTTGCGAGGGAAAAGTAGGATTAGGTTGCGAGGGCGCCGAAATTGCCTGAGTTGTTGGTACTGCTGGGTTGGTCTGTATACCAAATTGGTTTGAAGCTTGGGCTACGGTACTCGTGAAATTGTTGGAGTTGAGGGGACTTGTTACGGGGGCGAAGGAGTGCGGTTGAGTCGAGTGAGGAGGATGAACTGATTTGGTGGGATCCATTGCGGTAGATAGAGGAGCTACTTGGACGGAAAGGCTAGTGCTTTCGAGATGGTGCAAGTGATGACCCCTTGAAAGAGGGTATAAGACGGCGTCACTGATCTATGAATGACGGTCCGGGGAAGTGGAGAAAGTGAGGTAATTCGAAGGCACGTCCAATGTTCCGGAAAAGTGCGGAAGGAGGAATTCCCTGGAGTTGAGGTGAAGGCTGGATGTGGAGAAAGTCAAGAATGAAGGGACGAAAGAGACGAGAAGATCAAAAAGTAACTGGCGTGACCGTCGGAGACCAGTTCGTCTGGTTCCGATGATTACCCGTACTATTCGCCCACCAATCTCCACACACTGAACTCGATAATTACGGTACAGGATTACACGATACATGTCCTCGGCCTGTTCAGCGGGGCGTAGAGTAACAGAAATGTTTAAGTGGTGCCACTAGCGATATAGATTGTCGAAGGATGCGCTATGTGTGCATCACAGTGATGCAAGATAGACGTATGAAAACCCGAAGAAATCCCGGAGAAATTGATCGTAAACCCATTGGAAAGAATCATTGAAGATATTGAGTATAGGTATGGCAATATACTCCATCAAAAGGACTAAGGACCAAGGTCTAGACTTTTGAATCGTTGAATTATCACTATATGTGTAGATTGCCTTCAGGTCGATAGGCTTATTACCGGATGCAGATGAGTGCATTGTTAGGCAGAACCTCGGCATAGGTATGTGCAACGAAGATACCACGTGTCAAGCATCGACATAGGATGGCTCGAAGTACTCCGTAGAGTCCGTAGGATTTGAAGTCGCTCATTTATGCGAGCAGTAAATATCTACCTAGGTAGGTATTACCTATGTATCTCTGGATCTAGTATCGATTATGAGCTACTACCCAATGCTCATGATGTCCTTTCTTACTTAAAATCAGACCAATAAAACATCAGTCTTAGGTGTCACAGTATTTGAAACTTGCAAATAGAAATGAGTGTTCTGTCAGGTAACTTGCCAGTTCAAGCCGTGGCTCAAATTTCCGCCTCAGGCCTCACTACCCCACAGCGATAAGACGATAAACGATCTTTTTTTTCTCCATACAGTGAGGGCAATTGACAATTACGCTTATCCATTCACCACCATGGCTGACGACGATTTCGAGACGGGTGATCTCTTCCAAGATCCCGAGGGTTTCTACCCAGAGGAAGAAAAGCCCACTTTCGCCGAACACCAAATGCTCTCAGGCAAAACAGTGCGCGTGCGTCTGGTGGGCAGCCACCCTCTCTATGTACGCCCTAATCGCATAAGCTGAGAATAAATCAGGACTTACTCTTGGATAGGGAAATCTTCTTTGGAACGCCGGTCGAACCAGCTCACACTATATTGAAGAGCACAGCGACTCTCTCCTTCGCGACAGGGATGTCCTCGAAATCGGTGCCGCAGCCGGCGTCCCCAGTATTGTGAGCGCAATCTTAGGTGCTCGTACCGTTGTGATGACCGATTACCATGATCCTGATCTCGTGTCGAACATGCAATATAATGCCGATCTGGCGGCTGATATGATCCCTGCCAGTCCCGCACACCAGCGGCTTTCTGTCGAGGGTTATAAATGGGGAAACCCGGTGGAACCATTGTTGGCGCATATTCCCCCAGCTGAGGAGGGCAAGCCGTCCGGGTTTGACCTACTCATCATGGCGGATGTGGTATATAGCTGGCGTGAGCATGGCAATCTGGTCAAGACAATGCAGGAGACACTTAAGAAAGACCCGGCTTCTGTTGCGCTAGTCATCTTCACGCCATATCAGCCGTGGTTGCTGCCGCAGACTGAACGATTCTTCCCACTGGCTGAGGCGGGTGGGTTTACCGTGACCAAGATCTTTGAAAAGCTGATGGGCGAGGTTCTCTTCGAGAATGACCCAGGTGTAAGTCACTTCATAAAGTTTTTACTTGGTACTTGCTGACTCGAATGCAGGATGAGAGACTCCGGAGGACAGTGTTTGGATATGAGCTTCGATGGGCCCCGGAACAATTGGGTGAGAATGCTTCCAAATCGACTTAAATTAGACTTGATACCCTGGCATTTTTTTATAAAAGTATATAGAATTCAATGTCAACTGCAACTTGGAATGACGAATTGAAATTGCAAACTAAAGAATCAATAGAATACGCTTTGCATAAATTTAAAGTAATTTAAGCTCAAATGTATGAATACCAAGGCAATTGTACGACGTACGTAGATAATAATGTGTTTACTCCCCGCTCAGAGTCACATGCCCGAACCCCGCGGGAGAAAAAAAAGTTCGCCGCACCGAACAAATTCCCAAACCACACGATGCCAGTAAGTCAAGCTACAAATGCCATTTAAGACCTTTACTGAGTTACAATCAGCTCGTCATTCTCACAGGGTACCCTTGCTCGGGTCTTACGTACCGCGCAAACCAATTAGCCTCCCTCATTGAGAAGTCGCAGGACGGGCTCTTCGCAACCGCCGAAACTGGCAGCACAATACCTCTCAAATCCCGATTCAAAGTCCATGTTGTCACCTCACATGATAGCTCCCACCCGCGCATAGTATATGATCATGCGCGCACAGAGAAGGAGGCGCGAGGTGTGGCGTATGCCCGTGCCAAGCGCGTGTTGACCCGGGATAGCATTGTTATTCTCGATGGAATGAACTATATTAAAGGCTGGAGGTACCAGCTTTGGTGCGAAGCAAAAGCTGCAGGTACAACGTGCTGTGTGGTATGATTTCAACTGCAATATAAAGCGTAAGGCGCAATGGCTCACAACTCTTCAGGTGCATGTCGGCACACCCGTTGATCAGTGTGTAGCTAACAACGATGCCCGACTAAAGCGACAAGCTGCGCTTCAAGGAACATCTGAATCCCCCGAAACACAAGATATTTCAGCAGACAAGACCCCTGATTCAACTATATCTACCGACACAGAAGAGCCCTACCCATCTGACCTTCTAAACAATCTCATCTTTCGTTACGAAGAACCAAGCACCCATAGTCGCTGGGATAAGCCTCTATTCACAGTACCCTGGTCCGATACTGAGCCGCCAGTAGCAGACATTTTCCACGCACTAACAGGCGTCGATCTGCGCCCCGAAGAAACAGAAACCGAAACACCCATCTCCATGCTCACCTCCACCCTAGCCTCATCAACTATCTCCTCAGCAGCAAGCGTAGCAACATCAGCAAGAACATTCACTCGCGGTGGTGCCAGTGGCGGCTCAATCCGCCCAAGAATCGTCCCGCACCAAGCCACTGTACAATCTGCACCTACAGACCCGAGTGCGCTGTACGGCATGGAAAAGCGGACATCAGCCATTGTCTCTGCGATTCGGGCCTTCACACAAGCGAACCCATCAGCGGAAGTTGCCTTAGCCCAGAGCTCTGATCTCAATGGCATAGTCATCGCCGTCCCTGATGCATCAATTCCGATCTTTGTCCCAGTACATGTTGCTATGGCCGGAACTACGGATGAGCTGGCTGGTGCGGGTGGTGTTTTGGCACTTCCAAAGTTACAGCGATTACGGCGACAGTGGATTAGTTTGAATCGGACTTATATTGGACATGGCCATGGTGCTGGGAACGGTGGATTAGCAGCAGACCAGATTGGAGATGCGTTTGTGCGATTTCTGAATTCTGCATTGGATGATAAAGAGAATGTTTAGTTGTTACAATATGGGGAAAAAAACATATTCACAAGAAGCAACAAACTCTCATCCTCTCCCTAACGCTAATAGTTTTTCATATTGAGTTGCACCATACTGATACATAACAGACGTACTATACAGTTTTCTAAGAAAGATATCGGGAGGTGGAGCAAAAATCCTGGCCAAAGCCCTGACCCGCGAGACACTGGGAACATTGCCCTGTAATCGAAGGTGTAGCTTCTAGATCCGTGCAATAATAGACGGCATTTTCAACGCCGTTACCGGACAGCCGCTCAGTTCCATCGGTAGATCTATAGGAACAGAAGTATCCAATGTCGTTGCCATATTTACAAGGATTTTCATCTTAGACAAGTGCAAAGCCTAGGAAAGAGATTCCCAATATGATCAAATAGGAAGGACGTATGGCTGGACTCTGTACCGTCGTTCAAATATCAGTCTATGCCGATGTCCCTTCATAAAAATTAAGGAAGGGACTTACTGTTCTCAATTCCCAAGGCTAGGGATTCATGTGGGAAATTAGGACATTATGATAGAAGCCTTGTCTCCCGAGGCCTATTCGGACGCATTTTCTATTGGAATTTTTCTTGCTTCGATTGTCCATAGGTATCTACAGGTATTTGCTGACTTGGAATGAGAACCTCTTTAGTATTGCTCACTGGCAAGCAGTCTATGTTCTCAATTCCTCTTCGACATTCAAATTATTGATACAGATGAACGTCTTTACAGTCCATTGTTCAATCTCATGCCAATCTATTGAACATGGTTTCAAGTAATCCGGTCTGCAGATCGCGTCTATGATTAGTCAAAATCCAATGGATGTCAACCTCTTATGCTAATCCGATCATAACCCCATTCTCGTTTTCAAAAGTCATTGCGATTCTTTCGGTCCATGGCTTCACATTATGATCTGACACTGTTGAGAAAGTTTGAAATACTCGGGCAACGATGTAAGTCAGAACGATCATGGCGTAGTGCTCTGCAAACGATTAGCTAAATGAAGAATATCTATTGGACATAGAAAGATGAGCACCTACGGCCAGGACATATTCGAGGACCTTTGTTGAACGGAACGAAGCCGGGCATATCTACTGACAGGTGTTCCCATCGCTCTGGGTGAAAATCCTCTGGCGCAGCTCCAAATTCCTCTCCCAGGCGATGTCTAGCCCAGGTGGAAAACACCACTATCTCACCCGCTTGGATGAGAATAGGCGACGTTCCATGGATCCCACCACCACTAGGGAGGGTAGAATTTTTGTTCGCGACTCTTGCATTGAGTACAACAGCTGGGTAAAGTCTCAGGGCTTCCACAATATTAGTCAAATACATGCCCATGTGTTCTATATCTTGTGAAAAGGGGTCTCACCTTCAAATATGACCCAACGAACGTAATAGAGAGATCCTAGCTGATTCCATGTTGGAGGATCAAGGCCAACAGTATCAACAACACTTTCACGAAGCTTGCGCACGACGCGTGGGTTCTTGGAGAGACAGTAGAATATGCCTGATAATGCAGTACTCATACTGTCATTTGCAAGTAAGAAACTTAAAGCCTGATCTGAGAGCTTTGAGATCTCTTCACGTTCCATGTTTGTGTCTTCCTTCTCGTCTAGCCCTCTTCTCTTTCGAACCTCGCGAGTTGCGTGTGCCGATACAAACGATCGAACTCTCGTGCACGCGCGAAGGAATTGGCCCTTGAGAAATAAATGGCGCAGTGGTCCTCTAAAACCGTCGTCTACAATACGACTCTTCACGAGGAGCAAGTCATCAACAAATTGCTTCTTCTCTGGAGACTGTGTGAAGCTAAGAGCATTGACAGACTCACCCAGCGAGAAGAGAGTTTGGATATCCAAAGTCAAAGCAAATCCAGCGGCTTGAATGTCAAAAGCGGCTCCATATGTTGGCACATGCTTACGGAATGCTTGGAAATGTTCTTCACACTGGTCCAGGTTGATAGCTTTTCGGAGGTTTGCCAATTGCTCGCGTATTTTGTCTCGACTTTTTTTCCAACCTGCGCCATCGAGGGTAAAAATTCCATGTGGGGTGATCGGCTCGAACAACGGTTTCCTCAAAGGCGAGCTATCGAAGTCGGCAAATGCGGTAGATAGCAAATGCTTTGTATTCTCAGTATTACAGGTAAACACCATCTGTTGCCCTATTACATGCGAAGTGTAAGTTTCTCCATATCGGCGGAACAAGTTATTGGTGTAAGAAAGTGAACTTTTGCGATGAAAGTGGTAAGCCAACTCTAGGGCTTTGACAATACCAAAGATATCGTATCGAAATCTGTCACTTTCGTCTCGCGGCTTCTCGCAACCAAGAGATTGTTCCAATCTTCTCACCTTTCGCATGTGAGTGAACTGATGAACAACGATAACTATCACAACCCCCAAGGATATAGCAATTTGTAAGACCGAGAGAAGCGTCATTGTGAGAGTTTCAGCTGGCTGATATCCATATTCATCAAGGAAAGTCGCCAATTAATACAAATACAGAGTCAACATAAATAAATTGAGGTTTCAACCGGCTCCTGTAAATGACTCGCCCGATCAATCACATCAGTTCCGGACTGATAAATAATTTCTTCTTCATTAAAGTAATATTCGCGGCTGAAGCTATGAGATGACGCGGGCCTCCAATATTCGGCAAGGTACAGCCAAATACGACAACATTGCATCGATCTATCACACCGACTTGTATAAGAATGTCGTCCTACGCAAATTATGAAAAGTGTATCAGAGTTATCTAATCAGTATTATCTTCAAATGTCCAAGATGAACCTTGAAAATGAAGTTGTGAGAGATACAAACCATTTGGCTTCTCAGGTTGAACATGCTTTGAAGCTTTCCACAGATTATGCCAATGGCTCAATTCGCTCAGACGGGCACTGGTGCGGCGAACTTAGATCTAATGTTACAATAACTGCGGAATACATCTTTCTTCGACAGGTTTTGGGGCTCGAGATACAAACGGACAATGCAGCATACCGTCGACACATTTTATCTGAGCAAAATGAAGATGGTTCATGGGGACTGGCTCCTGAGTACCCCGGTGACGTTTCCACAACTACAGAGGCATACTTAACTCTCAAGATCCTTGGCCTCAATTCCAGCGATGGAGTGATGCAACGTGCTCGGCAATTTGTTCTCAAATATGGAGGTATTGCGAAAGTCCGTGTTTTCACACGTATCTTTCTAGCAACTTTTGGCTTGTTCCCGTGGGAAGCAGTGCCCCAGCTACCTGTGGAGCTTATTCTACTTCCATCAAGTTGTCCGATCAATATCTACACGTTTGCTTCTTGGGCTCGCGGAACCATCGCTCCTCTATTGCTCATTTGCCACCACCGACCTGTCTTCGCATTGCCGAATGGCAAGTCATCAACAAATGACTACCTAGATGAATTATGGCAGGATGCGGCAAACAAGAATGTTTCGTACGGTCTGCCCCTTTTAGATTTGCTGTTTCAAGGCGATCTTCCCGGTGTTGCATTCACATGTGTGGACAAACTGCTCTATCAACTAAATGGACTGCGTTCCATTCCGTTCATCCGGTCCTATGCTAGACGCAAATGTCTTGAGTGGATCCTTGATCGACAAGAAGCAACCGGGGACTGGGCAGGCATCTTCCCACCCATGCATGGCAGTGTTTTTGCCTTCTTCCTCGAAGGCTACAAAATCGACGATGACCCTATCCGGTTGGGCATCAAAGCCATAGAAGACTTTGCCTGGGAAGATGAGCGAGGAAAAAGAATTCAAGCCTGTGTTTCGCCCGTGTGGGATACCGCCCTCATGTCGATAGGGCTTGCGGATGCCATGACGCCCGATCGACACGTTCTTGACAAAGCCATTACATGGATCAGAAATCGACAATTGATTGTGCCTCACGGGGATTGGTGTGTTTACCGACCTACACTTCCACCCGGTGGCTTCAGCTTCGAATATCAGAATACTTGGTATCCCGATGTTGACGACACGGCTGCAATAATCCTGGCGCAAATCAAACATGATGTAGGATCCATTGGATCCAACTCCGTGATATCAGCAGCAACTTGGATTCGAGGGATGCAGAATTCCGATGGAGGCTGGGCTGCCTTTGACGTGGAGAACAACAAGCTGTTTCTCAATAAGATTCCCTTCAGTGACATGGATAGTCTATGCGATACATCGTGTGCGGACATCACCGGACGCATATTGGAAGCTTTCGGGTTGATGATGAAGGCTGCACCGGAGAAGACCCACGCAAGCCACTATTTTCCTGCACTGCGCACGGCCTGCACTAGTGGTATCCAATACTTGGCGTCCACACAGGAGTCTAGTGGGGCCTGGTTCGGACGATGGGGTTGTAATTATGTCTATGGCACAAGTCATGCACTGTGCGGTCTTGCATACTTTTCTGATGATATGCGAGTTTCCCAGATGGTTGAGCAGGGTTTACAGTGGCTGAGATCTGCACAGCAGGCTGATGGGGGTTGGGGCGAATCACTACTTTCATACAGGTCGCCAAGCCAAGCTCAGCAGCGCTCAACCCCGTCTCAAACAGCATGGGCTTTGATGGGATTACTGGCACATCTCCCTCCAACTGATCCTGCTATTGAGCGTGGAATTCAATGCCTTGTAAGAACTCTTCAACCAGAAAAGGGTATCGGATCTTCTTGGCCTGAGACTGTGTTTACTGGCACTGGATTCCCCAATCATTTTTTTCTTGGGTATGACTACTATCGTCACTATTTTCCTATGATGGCTCTTGGGCGCTATTTACAAGCGGTACGTACCTAGGTAGTTAGATGTGATAGTGATAAAGTAAATCCTATATGAGTGGTTCACACATATGAGTGGCGTGGCGCACGCAGAACACCATATTAAAATCGAAAAATTTTAATGTCATATCTCAACAACCACCAGTTAAATTAATTTCAAATCCTGAATTTGGATTATTTCTAGTTGATTCTTTATGAGGAGCCTTATCGTTATATCTGAATTTATATTTAAATCTTATCAGTGTCATTTTTGCTGAAATATGACATTAAATTTTTTTATTTTACTATGGTGTTCTGGGTGCGCCACTCATATAGGATTTACTTTAGCTGCAGGATTAGGTTTCAATTTCACTCAAACTGTCGCTCGCTTAGCGAGAGTAGCTAGCTAGTCGCTTATTACTGAGAACGGTGCTCGAGTTCTTACTACAGTAAAAGGGAATTGGAGTTTACTGTAGTAGAAAGGAGTTGGTGAGCTTCAACAAACCACTACTCAACACCGTAGACAAACCACCAAGTGTAGTGGTCTCTACAGTACTGAATATTGTGGTTGTTGTGAAGTCTGCTTTTTCATTGATGAAAGAACTAGCTACTTATAGTATATGGGCGCCCCTCTGCTCTGGACGAATGTCAACATTCGTCCGAGACAGAAGAGACGGTGAAGACGGGACATTACTGTCGCGAATGCGCATCGCTCAAGGGTGTCGTTTGCGATGAATGCATATCGTTCAAGGATGCCGTGATATACTAATCCAGTTCCGGAGTCGCTGTCTCGGCAGAAGCTTTTTCGGCCGAAATACTTTCCGTCTGTTGATGGCCTTGTTTCTCAGCTGTCGCAACACAAACCACCTTGATATCTCTTTTGTTTTGAATTTGTTCGAACTAGCAATCAAATATCAATAGTCTGAGTTTGACCAGAAATAATTGAGAGCGAGGTGGACCTATTCATGCGCGAAGAGGGTGTGATGTGAGAACTACTCCGGAAGTCGGTGTAGTAGGAACAGCACTGATTCGTTCCTGCAGGACAAAAACAAAAGGAAAGTCAAAAGCAAGGATAGAAAAGAGCATGGTTCTATTTTATAGGGTCCAATCCTATATTTTCAGAATCAATCAGAGAAATTATGCATAGGACTGCTCTTCCATAGAACGGTAAGAAGTGCGAGAAATCAAAATGGGCTTGTCCCCTCATAGTCAAAAGTGGGGACTAGAGTTTATGTGTTGATCCACTTAAATGGAGCTGGCCAATCATGACGATACTATAGACTGGAATCAATGCGAACAGATCAAACATTTGATACCCTGATATCGATTCTAGCCAAGGAAAAATGGTAGTTGGATTCTCAGGTAGTATGGGGGTCAAAGGAACAAATAGTTTATTAAATCAAGCTGGAGCATACTAAAATTACAAAGGATGCGATGGAAGTAACATCGCAGGAAAAGCAATAAGAAACCTGCGACTCTCCATCCATAGATCTTGCTTTAGAATTGAATATGCAGCGTAAAGATTAGCAAAATACTGAAACTTCTCTATAGAAGTCAAGTGTAAAAGGCAGGAGATATCTCAACTCGACTCAAGAATCAGTAAACAACGCCATTGGCAGGAGTGTCAATTAGTTGTTGTATTCTACTCTCAACTAGGCTTCCATCACATCAACAATCAACAATTGAAAGCCCACATTGTGATTTAAATCCAATCTTATTGATCAGGCATATTCTTTTCCTGATTCTACAGTCATTGCGTGGTACGTATGTCACATACTTGATCGACTACGCCACTGGTATGCGCCCATTGTCCACACCAGATCGATCAAAGCAGATTCAACGGGCTGGAGCAGTATCTTCGAAGTGACAAACTAAAGCATGTCTGTATCTGTTGAGAATATTCTGCTCCAGGATATCGAGCCGAGATCTAGATCCCACGTCAACGTGGAGGCTATAAGATCCCAGGTTCATATCGAGCCTAGCGAGGCCAATTTCTTGTCTCTATACCAATATGCAACGGTATCACAGTTATTCATACTTATTGTATCAACACTATGCTCAATGATAGCCGGTGCAGCAATGCCTTTGGTTACTGTAGTGTTTGGAGCACTGGCAGATGAATTCATCAACGGAGAAGGGAAATCTTCGCAGTATATCATTGACAGGACTCAGCATTTTACTGTCATGCTAGTGGCTATCGGTAAAGGTATCTCCCTCTAATAAGAGTCAAGCTAACAATGAGCCAGCTATTGGGTCCTTTGCGACTACTTTGATCAGCACATGGGGCTTCAATGCGACTGGAGAGCAACTCGCTCGTCAATTCCAACAAAAACTGATGTCTTCCGTTCTGCAGCAGAACATAGCATATTTTGACATCATTGGAGCAGGCGAATTGATAATGAACCTTAATCAAGACATTAACTTGATACAAGACGGTATTTCTCAGAAAGTAGGCGAAATTATCTCCGGGATATCTGGATTCGTGGTCGCCTTAATCTGTGCTTTCATCAGCAACCGGCAATTTGCATCTATTATGATCATTCAGCCAATATCTCTCATTCTACTGGTAGGAACAATGGGGTTCTGGTTAAGCAAAACGCAGCGAAAGGGGCTGATCCATAGTGTCAGGGCGAGCAACCTGGCTCAAGAGGTCCTTGGTGCTATGAGAAACGTAATAGCCTATCGCTGCCAAGAAAGATACGCTAAAAAGTATCATGAGACGCTACAGTATCCGTCTGTCTTGGAATTTCGGGAGCGCTTGATCTTTGGTGTGATAGTTGCAGGTTCATTTGCCATTCTGCATCTGGGCAACGGTCTCGGGGTATGTTCACTACACGCTAGGATGCGAATCAATGATCACTTCTGATAAAATTCACAGTTTTGGCAAGGGGAGCGGTTAATCCGCTTAGGCCAGTGTACCATCTCAGACGTGTTGACTATCCTGTATGCAACAGCCGTTGCTGGGGGTATGCTTTGTCAAGCCTTGCCGTTTGTTGTGAACATCATGGCGGCCAATGAAGCAGCATCTCGGGTCTTCTCAGTAATTGACCGAGTCTCTGCAATAAATCCCTTGGATGAGACAGGTGCAAAACCCCATATCATGACTGGAGTCATTCGCTTCGAGGCGATTAGCTTTGCTTATCCCTCACGTTTGGGGCAAACGGTCCTCGACAATGTCAGTTTTGAGATACTCGCAGGAGATACTGTGGCGTTAGTTGGGCCTTCTGGTTCTGGAAAAACAACGATTCTCACTCTATTGGAGCGAATGTATCACCCAATGAGTGGTCAAATAACGATTGATGACACGCCGATTACAGAGTTGAATATAAATTGGCTCAGATCTCGGATTGGTTACGTCAGTCAAGAAGTGACCTTATTCAATTCATCGATTCATAGCAATATTGCTCATGGACTTCCACGACATATTCAAGAGGTATGTTCCGAGAAACGCACCATTACATGCTTAATTTTTGGAAGTTATATTCACTCGTCTCCAATCACAGAATCTGGATGCAATAGGCATCCAAAAACTAGTGGTTCAAGCTGCTGAAACTGCTCGCATCCATTCATTCATCACTGACCTCCCTCACGGCTATAACACAGTTATTGGGACAAATGGATTACAATTATCGGGTGGTCAAAGACAGCGACTCGTGATTGCGCGCGCAATTATATCACAGCCAGCAATTTTATTGCTAGACGAGGCTACAGCCGCACTCGATAGCCAAATCGAGAATGAAGTACAGGAGGCTCTCAATGCAGCTGTTTTCAAGAGGACAACTATAATAGTAGCTCATCGTCTTTCCACAATTCGAAAGGCAGACAGGATCATTGTCATGGACCATGGTAAAATATTGAGTGAGGGAAGTCATACTGAATTGATGCAAAAATGCCCACTGTACGAAGAGCTGGTCCGTAAACAAGAGCTCAGCTCGGACAGTTGGCAAGAAGAATATTCTATCAGGCAGGAAGTCCGCACGAAGAAGCAGGAAGGCCGCGTATCTATCAGTATCGACGCTGTACTAGTTGAAGACAGCTCTTCATCTACAGCCCAACCAAAAAGCAGTATAAAGACAGTCTGGGCTTTGAATCGGCCAGAAGCGCTGTACATATCCGCAGGCGTCTTCTTCAGCGTGCTAGCTGGGGCAACGTATCCCATTCAAGCAATTTTCTTTGGGAATGGAATAATATCGATTTTGGATTCCTCCTTGAGTACAGGCGGGCATCATACCCATTTCTGGGCAAGGATGTACTTGATTCACGCTTGCATTGTGCTTCTGATATATTGTTGCCGAGGATATTTCTTCGCTGTGTCAGCATCCCGCCTGAACATTCGAGTTCGATCAGAGCTTTTCAAGGCATTCCTGCTAAAACCTCTTTCATTCTTTGAAGAAAAAGACCATTCAACAGGAGCGCTGGTTAGTATTCTCTCTTCTGATGCTACCAAATTGGTAGGTCTATCAGGTACATCTCTCGGTCTCGTGGCGGAAAGCACAATGATGATGGTAACTGGAATTGCCATTGGATGCATCTTTGGCTGGAAGATCGGACTTGCTGCAAGCGCAACTGTTCCTGCTGTGGCAGCCTCTGGATTTCTACAGTACTACATTGTCACTCAAGTTGAGAAATTCCTCAGACGTGATACCAGTGCCGTAGCTGTTGCACATGAAGCATTCACCACAATTCGAACTGTGACGGTGCTCGGCCTGCAGGAATCGTTCATGAATTTATTCCAAGAGGCAGGTGAGCGGGACAGGAGAGCTAAATATTGGGTATTCTCGGCCATCATGTATGCATGCACGACATCTTTGCGCATCTTAGGCATAGCATTTGTGTTCTGGTACGGAGGTACTCACCTCATCGCAACGGGCGAATATAATGTTAAGCAGTTTTTCATTTGCTTTGCTGCGACAGTATGGGGAACGCTGTCAGCAGCGACACTCTTCTCGTACGCTCCAGATATTGCGGGTGCTCACGCTGCTGCTCGGAGAGTAAGGGACCTGATTGAAATTCAACCTATACAAAGTTTTGGTTCTCAACCTGTACCAAGTACACAAGAAGAGCTGTCCATAAACCAAGTGAGCTTCAAATATCCAACTCGTCCAACTCAGCTCGTCTTGGATGAAGTCAGCTTCGAAGTCCCTGCTGGGTCTTTTGTCGCACTTGTGGGAAGTACTGGTAGTGGTAAGAGCTCTGTAATAAACTTGATAGAGCAGTTCTATACTGCCGACAGTGGTGCGATAAAACTTGCCCATACATCTATTGAGCAATACTTTCCCGATAGCTATCGTGGGTATCTCGCACTTGTTGATCAGAACCCCTGCTTGGTTGGAGATGACTTGCGAGAATGTCTGCAAAGTGGCGAGCGAGATTTCTCTGATGAAGAGATACAGGCAATATTGGAGTCTGTTGGATTAGAAGACTTTGTGGTAAGTGATTGCCTACTTGCTGTGGATTGAGATTGATTAAGCCTCGAGGATCTCACCATAAATCTCTTTCCTTCTAGTCATCTCTTCCACAAGGATTAAACACCTCCGTCTTAGGTAACGGCTCCACGCTTTCCGGTGGGCAGCGCCAGCGCATGGCGATCGCGAAGGCCCTTCTACTACGGCCGAACATCCTGTAGGTCATTGGCTTTGAATCTCCATATACTCCGAGTGCAACTTTCTGACACATAATTGCTAGTCTGATGGATGAGGCGACATCTGCCCTCGACACTTCAACAGAGCAGCTGGTTCAACAGGCAGTGAGAGATATTATGAGGGGCCGCACCACAATTTCAATCGCTCATCGGTTAAAGACAATTATGGACGCTGATGAAATTCTTGTCTTTGACCATGGTAGGATCATTGAAAGAGGATCCCATGATGAGCTGATAAGGATGGAAGGAAAGTACTGGCAGATGGCCAGCTTGCAGACGTGTTTGTAATCATAAAGCCGTAAGAAGGCATCTCTGTGGACATACGGTCGATGAGCAGCCCTACCAATGTACCCTTCCGTATTAGTGCTCACCCTCTCGCTGCTTTTACTCACTGAGAACTGAACACACCTCTGAGCTTTATATAAACTCAGTATCAGGTGATAGTTAGGGAGCATTGTAATTCACTCATAACTCGGTTATTATTCAGTGAGCGCCCTGATTCGCTTTGATTTTATCCAAGATACTACCAACAATTCTCAATACCGTCAAAAGCTAGTTGGACAGGAGGATAAATTCCTACTTACTGTAAAAGGTATCAACAGTAGTGAACCTCTATTAGCGAAGCTACGCGTGTGTAGTGTTCCACTCCTATCCTTTTTAGAATAACATTCAAAATACATGAGCCACAGCACTTGGGAAAACATCTTAGGAGGTTCAATGAAATGAGACCATTCTTTTTTTAAATTTTACCATGGATGAGTTTCCTTTCAAAGTTGGTTTTGTCTTTGGGGTTTAATGCTCCAATACACTACGTAATCTATAGAAGTCTCACTCACATTCCAGGTAAACATACATTCACCCCCATTGAGCATCACCAAGGTTATCTATGGCGTGCTACACAAGATGAGTCCAAGAAGGATTCTTGTTTAATAGACAAGATACAGAGAAGCGAAAATATGGTGTAATTCGTTTGAGAGTTAATTCTCATTTTCCCCTTCCAAATGTTGTGACTTAAGGCGCCCATTTTTGGTCCCCTATCTCTTTCAATGCGATATCTTTCTTCAATGCTAGAGATAAGGTACTTGGACTGCAGTACACGTTTAATGAAATAATCTCATACACTTGAGTGGCTTAAATTCCTGGAGTAAACCCATCCATTCAAACGGTTCCAGCGGCTAGCACATACCCCCCATCAACAACAATAGTCTGTCCATTCAAATACTGATTGACCGCGGCAAAAAGTACAGTACTTGCCATGTCCTCCTCCTTGCCCGGTCTTGCTGCTGGAATTTTCTCTTCATATTTTTCCTTTGCAATAGCACTCTTCTGCTTCTCGTCGCTCTCAGAAGTAGTCATTTCAGAGGAAAAACACCCGGCGCGATACTATTGACCCGAATCTTCAAATTTGATGACATGACCTCATGCGCCAACATCTTCATCAAATGAATTGCCGCTGCCTTGGATGCATTGTACGCAAAATGGTGCTGTGAGACCTTGACGATACCCGAAATAGACGTGATGTTGATAACGGTACTAGACCAACCATGTTCCTGCTCTGAGCCCTGCGAGAGTAGGGGGAGGAAAGCGGTTGTCATGAAGAACAGCTGGGAAGCATTTGTTCGGAACACGTTATCCCATTCTTCCATATCCGCGCCTGCGCCTTCGAAGAGGGATTTGCGGAGCTCCTTGGGGTCATATTGTTCTGTTTTTTGGGCTGTACTAGAGATTCCAGCATTGTTGATCAATATTGAGAGAAATTTCTCACGTTCAGAGATTGTTTGGACTAGGTTGTCGATTGATTCTTTTGAAGTGACATCCCCTGTTATGGGGATTATTTCCCCGGGAATGTCGGCGCTGTATAACTGAGCGACTCGCTCGAGCTTTTCCTTGGTGCGGCCTGTAATATACACTTTTGCTCCATTGACGGCGAGGGCTTGGGCGGCCATTAGGCCAATTCCAGAACCGCCGCCCGTGACTAGGGCCACTATGTTCTGTTAGTATTTTGTTTCATGGAGGGGTGATGATCTAGGCGTTAATACCTTTGCCCTTTACGTTGAAAAGAGAATCCAACTTGAAGTGCTGGTTGCTTTCATTTGCATCCATGATGATATTATCGGATGCAAGTGTTCTTTCAGTAGGCAGTAGTACAAAGTTTGTATGCGCGTATTGATCGTTTTGAAGGTCTGTAATGTAAAGGCAGGTGATTTAAAAAATAAAGAATAGCAAGATTGCCAGTGAAGGCCATTCAGTCTTATAAGGGCAAATCAGTGTATTGTGCAACCTTAAGCTTAGAAATTGACGTAAAACCTCGAATTTGAATCAAGGCCATTGTTGTAGGAATTTTGATAAAGATAACCGGTTTTATTTCGAAATCCAGTTTTTGATCCTTTGCATCACAGATTTCTATGAGACAGCAGTACACTTGTTATTTCAGATTACATAATGATAGATGTAATAACTAGTCTAATCTACGTCAGGTAAAGTGTAAGGGTTTGTTGCCTGGATTTCATTACATAGAGCGCAGTATGTTAACCTGGAGATACGTCACTGGTTCAGTAACTGTCTAGGAGCTACGCTGCTGACAAAAAGATAACAAAATTCTATCATTTTAGTTTAACCTCGACGTTCAGCATAGAGCTAAGCTTTGACCTTTTGCTTCAACAGTTCCTTCAGAGAGTCGGCATCAGCCGCAAATTTGGAAATACTTTCACGCAGTTTTTCAACACTCATGGCATCCTCATTCAAGTCGAAACGAAAGCTTGATTCGTCGTTGAGATAGCTCCGCTTAGGTATATCAAGACTAGCTGCGGCCTGAGAGTCAAGTTTCTTGGGTACCGGATCGGTGGAGTTGTATAACTCTTCCAGTAGACTGGGCGAGATTGTCAGGTAGTCGCATCCAGCTAGCTCGGTAATCTCGCCGGTAGTGCGGAAGGAAGCGCCCATGACGATTGTCTTGTAGTTATGTTTTTTGTAATAATTGAAGATTCCCTGGACCGACTTGACACCGGGGTCTTCTGCGGCAGTATAGTCTCGCTTATGAGCAGCTTTGTACCAATCCAAGATACGGCCCACAAAAGGTGAAACTAAATAAGAACCAGCTTCAGCGGCAGCAATAGCTTGGACCAATGAAAACATGAGGGTCAGATTGCAATTGACCCCATGCTTCGACTGAAGGATGCGAGCGGCCTGTATGCCTTCCCAGGTGGAGGCGATCTTGATCAGGATACGATCTTTGTGGATTCCAATATCCTCATAAAGCTGTAATTTTGAGTAAGCTGCTGCGGAGTAACAACTCTGTGGTCCTAGAGACAAACCTTCAAAATATGCAGGGCCTTGTTGACTGAGGCTTCCGTATCAAATGAAAAGCGCGCATCGACCTCCGTAGAAACTTTACCAGGTATGATTTTTAAAATTTCTTTACCAAACTCAACTAAAAGGCGATCAAGAGCTGAATCAACCTGCTCGTCGAGTGATTTTCCGTGGGTTTTGCCGTATTCAACGGCAGACTCAATAAGCTTAGCATATTCGGCTTTCTTAGAAGCAGCAAGGATCAAAGAGGGATTTGTTGTAGCATCCTGCGGCTTATATCTGTCGATAGCTATTGAATCACATATTAGCACCAGAAAGTGCATTTAATGAGTGAAGAAAGAACTGGTATGAGCACATACTAGCAAAGTCGCCTAATATAGGTTAGCAGTTAACGAACTGATCTCCAAAATTGTAGATATCGAAACCATAAGCTTACCAGAATCGCAGACCACGATGGAGCCAGTTGCCTTGAGCTGTTCAAGGGAGGATGACATGATAAAGTAGGGATTTGTTAACCTTGAAATGGATATAGTGCAGAAATTTAGAATCGCAATGGTTTTATAAGCTAGAAGTCTCCGAATAGGAAACAAGTCACCTGTTTAAACAGGTTTCAGAATCAAGATTTTACATGATGATATGCAATTCGTCACTCAGTACTAAATTATGTCAAGATTCACGTAATGGCCATTGACGGTAGTATGTAGCTCTTATCAGTCCATATAGCAATATGATCTTGACTACGTCATAGATTGAAAGAAATTGCCACACTGACATTTTACCCAGTGAAACTGAGGATGTCTTTTCACGTAGTGTCTGTTCAAAGATCCCGTGTAATTCTTTTCTTTCTCGCTGAATTGCGCAAATGTATTCATATAATTAATCAGTGTAATAGTCAAAACATTTGCAATCTTCAGCTTTTGACTATTACGACCTTGAGAAAAAGCATAATATCTCCGTCGGCTCACGATTGCATTTCGCGGCACTCCAATTCAAAAATTGCACCTGAGATTTGAGAAATTCAACCTAATCTCTGCTAGCTAATAAACCCCTCAAGTACTATCGCAATGTTGAGCAAACGATGGATCTTGAAAAAAAAAAAAAATTGTCGCTTCAGAATGATAAGTGATCGAAAGCTAATAGAGTGACTTTTAATAGTAAAATGGTAAAATCCCTGAAAAGCCCAATGGTGAGCTTATCTTTATTTTGCAACAAGGCTTTCCTCGGCTCTCCCGCGACAAATACAAGTCTGAACGAGATCCATCTACGGATAACTTGACCGGGCGCACTCAACAGAACCTACTAAACTTCAATTTTTCGCCTTCGTGGATGAACTCTCAATCAATGGCTACGACATAATCTACAGGACAGAACGCTAGATTCTACACCTCGTGCCAGTGGGTTTAGCGCAATCATGCACAATCAAACAGACGACCTATATACCTACCTACGGCTACTCCCTATTAAATCCAGAACTCTGGCATTCCCACGGCACACACCCTTTGCGATTGGAAATTTCAATTAGCAGTATCTTATATAAATGATATACCAATTACAGAACCACAAGATCAGCAGATGATACTCACACCGGGTGCGTTTGTTATTTGTGATTTAAGTCTTACAGATATGGATGAATCCAGAAATCCTTCGTTTGAGCTTACTGAACCTTCATTGTCTATGGTATGACGACTTCTACAATCCCCCCCCCCCTTTAAGCGCAAGGGATATAGATGATGCAAAGAGTGAAAGAGTGAGAAGTGAGTGAAAATTGACTTGACAGATTCATTTCATCATGCTAGATACTTACTCAGTCTTATCTCTAGATTCAGGTACCAAACATTCGTGCACATTTCATTCGATAAGGAAGCGTAACAAATTAGACCTAAGCACCCCTAGAGATTATGGAAGAAGAGCGCGGCTCTAGTGAAGCATACCAGCGCGATGATAAGCTTCTGGCTATAGAGCTGGTGAATTTAGCCAGACTAGGTGCCAAAGTCTATGAAATCAGCAATACCCAAGTCGAACATTCGTTTTTCGATGGATTCCGCGTATCATGGTCCACAAATCCGACTTATAAATGCCATATATCTATGAGGTTTAACTTCCTGTCGACAAATTTTACTTGAAGGGTGTGAAAGGCATTCCATTCCATCTGTGCACGAAACCACAACTTCTGTCATCTAGAATAATATTCTTACATCATACTTTAATTGTATTATCAATTTTAATTTATTTTGGTTCTTAACTACATAAAAATGGATCTATCGAATTGCTAATGCTTGTCATACTATATGTAGTCACTTTAGAACTAGAACAGTGATAAGAGGAATGTGGTCCAAAGAGTGGCGTAAGATGAACTGGGAAGCCTTGATATCAGAATTAAGTCATAAGGGGCGAAATTCAAAAACCGGATGTACTATACTACTAGCTTGGAACGAGATCCGCTATATAAGCCATTAGGCACCTTGATAGATGGTAGCTGGTCACTGATCGCAAGCCTTCAATTCATTCGATTTTAATAACAGACTACATTTGCTGCATAGCCTCCCAGCTTTGCAAAATGTCATTTCAGAATCGAAAAACGTTCAAGCTCAATAATGGCGCCCATATTCCTGCTATCGGCCTAGGAACGTGGCAGGATGAAGAAGCACAAGAGGCTGCTGTATTTGCAGCCCTAAAGGCTGGCTATCGCCACATAGATACCGCGAGATGGTAACTTTGAGATTCTCCTATGAAATCGTTTTAAACATTGATCTAACTCAATATATAGCTATGGAACTGAGGAGGCCGTTGGAGAGGCCATTAGGAAGAGTGGTGTGCCGAGGAGCGAAATCTTTGTTACCAGCAAGCTATGGAACAACAGGCACCATCCCGATGATGTTCGTTTAGCATTGGAGGAAACATTGAGCAACCTCGGCCTCGAGTATCTTGATCTTTTCCTAATGCACTGGCCTGTCGCCTTTAAACGTGGGGATGATCTATTTCCTTCGGATAAGGACGGTAACTTGATCACCGAGGAAATTGATTATGTTGACGTGAGTTTTCTTTTACCCTCTGAGATCTTGGACGGAGTAAAATGATTTTCTGACCGAAATAGACTTACAAAGCGATGGAAGCCCTTCAAAAGTCCGGAAAAACCAAGGGTATTGGGATATGCAACTTTTCTCAAAAGGAAGTTGAGCGTCTTCTCGAGAAATCCTCGGTTGTTCCAACCGTTCACCAGATGGAGTTACATCCTTGGTTGCAACAGCGGGACTTTGTGAAGTTTCACAAGGAGAGGGGTATTCACGTCACTCAGTACTCGCCCTTCGGTAACCAAAATGAGATTTATGGTTCCAGTGAAGGCCATGGAAAGCTATTGGATGATGCAACCCTGGTGGAAATCGGAAAGAAGCAAGGCAAAACTCCAAACCAGGTCGCTTTGGGTAAGGTGGCCTTTCTCGAAAGATTCTATACAGCAATTACTGACATACTTCAGCCTGGGGAATCTACCATGGACGCTCAGTCATTCCCAAATCGAAGAATCCACAGAGAATCACTCAAAACTTTGACATTGAATTCGAGCTTGACGAGAGTGATGTCAGAGCGATTGACAAGATTGATAAGAGTCTTCGTTTCAACGATTCGAGCAAGGACTTTGGATATGAGCTCTTCGCAGACCTTGAGGGTAAGAAAAAATAATAGTGCACCAGCAGACGTTTCAAAGCGGTTCGTAGGAGAAAGATACGATAATTGATTACCAATAAGATTCTACCTTATTGGTGATTAGTTCTACCATACAATATCGGAATCTACAGAGTTAACATTCGGAAAAATTGCTACTTTAGTACTGAGTGATCAAACTTGTAAATTCAATGCAAAGCTACCTCCAGTGCGGTTATCTTGGACAATATTCTATTCACACTTTTGTTCCAATATTAAACGGGAAGTAGAAAATTAATATCAACCATATCAAGATGGGCCCCCGAGTTTATTACAAGCCCCCGGGTCCAAGAAAGACATAAGTCTGATTGGGTGTGAGTCAACACACGTACCTCATATCTAATACTTGATCTGGCTGTTGTTACATACATTAGATACGATGGTTGTTTTGATGTCATTATTTGGAACGTAACATTCAAGCTACAGATTTTGTCAGCAATGGCTACCATCTCCAACATGCATGGAGGCCACCCGCTACGTGGCCAACTTCCAACAGATACTCTTGGTCAGCTCAGGAATATCAACGCTGATTCAGATTCTAAAGGAATATGAGTCGGACAGAGAGGACTACGACAACGACTAGCTACAAGATAGCAACGGCGCAGCGTAGTGAAGACGATGGGTAATAGGAATCACAAAACCACGGCTTACCGAGAAGGCGCGGATTAATAGGACTGAAACGAGAGGAGGATTCTACGAAGGGGGCAAGGGGAGCAAAGGAAGTGGGAAATAAAGATGGGACATATTTTCTAAGGAAAATTCATCTAAGCCAATAAACTGCAACTAGCCTTCTGCAATTATTCAGCCATGACAGACCTGTCTTACCAAGACACTACCCTATACTGAAATCTTATTAGCGCCAAAATATATTCAATCACAAGTTGCAGACATCTGCCAGATGGTGCGGGGTACCTTAGGAGCGCCTAACGCCATTTCCTTGGATTCCTGCTCCTCTTAACTTTTTGTAGAGCAAGTTCTTCCCAAAATCAGACGATTCTTCCATAAAGAGAAGCCATCACCACAGAGAATATCCAGTCTAGGCAAATTGATCAATCTGTGAATGATTTGTCTCGCCATGCATCCACGTCTCCCAAAAAGCCAGATCTGAGGCAACGTACTTTTGATAGCCTTGCGCCCAAACAGAAACTGCTTATCAAGTCTATACTAATATTAAGGTCTGAACCCCCATCGACTTGAATATAAACACCGATCCCGGTGTTGTGGACATAAGTGGCTTTTCGGGCTAAGAGTAATGAGAGTGTCAATGAAAAATGTACATCGTATTTAGCCTATGATAATATTAGTCCACTTTGGGGAACTCTCTAGCCATTTCTCATATGATTGAGGCTACTTATCCGTATCCAGGGTATTTTGTCTCCTACTCTTCCCCTCTTTCTGTCCCCGAGTACCTCGGTGCTCTAATTTTTTCGCCTATCCGTTTACCTTTCCTTTGGCTCACATTTTATTGTATGCACATTCAATCTTTACAAATTTGGTTTCATAATGATTATATTGGGCCTTTTTTCGTCATTGAAAGGGCTTCCTGAGCATCATGCTACAACTCTTCGAGGTCCCGTAAGAGCCTAGCGTAGAAATGAACATATTTTCGAACTTCTCCGGGCCTAGCAATAAAAATATCGGCATCAAGTCCGAGACAGGTTACTCCTGGAGATTTTCTGATGTGAATATTTACCCGGGCCAAGTCTTTAAGCCGTAGTACAGCCGGTACAGAATAAATAGAACTTCAAATACCCCGACAGTAATTCACGATATTACAAACAAAAAATTACTAGGTAGTCTCACTGCCATGCTGCTGTACCTACTAAGCCTCCTCGCCCTAGGGGCGACGGTACAAGCCATTCCAACGGCATCATCTCCGACAGTGACTATCCGCAACGGAACCTATGTCGGTGTGTATAGCACGACATATGACCAGGATTTCTTCCTAGGTATGCCATATGCGCAGCAGCCGGTTGGGAACCTCAGATTCACAGTGCCGCAGTCTTTGAATAAGACTTGGAATGGGGCGCGCGATGCGAAGGCGTACTCGGATATTTGTGTTGGATATGGAGTGAGTATTCTCGTTCATACTTCGGAATACGACCTGATTTTGATGTCATAGACGGATCAAATATGGTACCCACAATCGGAAGCATGTCTGACCTTGAATGTTATCCGAGGCTCGTCTGTTAAGAAGGGCGACAAGCTTCCTGTCGGCGTGTGGATTAATCCAGGTGGGTTCTACGAGGGGTCTGGCGCAGACAAGCGCTATAACATGTCTGCGATAGTGGAAAACTCGTACAGAATCGGTTAGTTCATTGATCAAGTCCGAAGGTACCAATCTGACATCCATGAATCAACCAGGCAAGCCATTCATTGCTGTCACTCTCAATTATAGACTCTCAGCCTGGGGATTCATAAGCTCAAATGAAGTGTCCGGGAGTGGAAACACAAACCTAGGCTTAAGAGACCAGCGACTAGCACTGCAATGGATTCAAGAGAATATTGCCTTCTTCGGCGGCGATCCTGAAAAAGTTACCATCTGGGGCGAGTCGGCGGGTGCAATATCAGTCGGCTATCACTTGACAGCATACGGAGGTCGCGACGATAAGCTATTCCGAGCTGCTATCATGCAATCAGGGAGCTCTACCTATGAATCCACATCTAACTATATCACTTTCCAGTCGATGTATGATGAGCTCGTGTCAAACGTTGGCTGTACAAATGTCATCGACACTCTACAGTGTTTACGTGAGGTGCCGTTTCAAACTCTCAATTCTGTTCTGAATGGAACCGATGGTTCGCCCGACTATAAATTTTTGCCTGTTGTGGACGGTGACTTGGTGCAGAAATATGGGAGCATACAGCTTAACAACCATGAGTTTGTCAAGGTTCCCATCATCGCTGGTAGCAACACGGATGAGGGGACATCTTTTGGTCCGGTAGGGATTAATACCACTGAGCAGTGGTACAAATGGCTCACTGGTATGGTAGCCTCCTCACAATCTTCTCTTCTGGTACTGACTTGACTAGGTGGAGGATTTAACTTCCTAATGCCGCCATTTGTGGCGGAGAAGATCCTCCAGCTATACCCCGATGACCCATCCCAAGGAATTCCAAAATTCCTAGGGTCCGCACGAGTGCCCTCCAAAGGCTACCAATGGCGGCGCACATCTGCCTTTGCAGGCGACTTCTATATGCATGCAAATCGACGACGCCAATGCGAAGTATGGTCAGAAACATCCACGCCAGCCTACTGTTACCGGTTCAACGTGCACTCAGCTGACACGCCGATTATTAATGGGGCGACACATTTTGAAGATGTGGCCTTTGTATTTCACAACATTGACGGTCTGGGATATCACTACGGGAAGCCGTTTGATGGCGTACCGCAGTCGTATATCGACCTTAGTGAGATGATGACTAGTATGTGGGCATCTTTTATCCATGATTTGGACCCTAATTCTGCGGCAAATCACTCAGTGATATGGGAGGCTTATGAGAAAGAGAAGCCTCGTGATCTTTTATTTGATGCTAATACTACGAGTCGTATGGAGGCTGATACGTGGCGGAAGGAGGGGATTGATTATATCAATTCTGCTGCGTTGGCATTTTGGCAATAGCTGGATTTCTCTCTGTGTATAGAGAATTAATCCATTACCTAGGTATCTGTGTACTGTGATCTGGTTCAACAGCAGCAATGCCCCAAACGAGTGAGAGGAAATTAGGAGAGGAAATGAGGACTATTATAGAACCATGCACGGGGAGCTACAAAGATACATGACGCTAAACTGGAATAGCTAGTGCTAAACTTGAAATGACCTAAATGTATCGGTTCAATATAGACCAAGCCATAGTCTCACCCATTACGGGCGATGTGACTAGCAGACTTTGAGGGGAGGCGCCCTCTGGGGACATAAGTAGTATGACCATGTGTTACAGTCAACTCTCGTGGGCTGCACACCCTCTGAGGCTTGGATTTTTTCTTGCACACACCCAATGTGTGCAGCTCGTGAGATGATTATATAATATATACATGAAGCTTTTCCTATTTGGGTTTAAATCCCATCTCCATCAATGTCTTCTGTCTCTTCCCATCTACCTCAAGCTTCTTGAAAGCTTTGGTTAAAGCCTCAATTGATGACATATTCTCCTCTGTGCATCCCTCTCTATGAGCAGCCCATAGTGATAGATCTGATAGATGTCGTAGAATTACCGCATCAGAAGGAATCTCTGGTCTTGGCCCAAATATATATTCCTCGTCAGGATCAGGTAGATCATCGTCGATATCCTCACCACTGAAGTCAAACATAATATCTTCTAATTCTGGCTCTGCGGTATCAATATTTTCATCTGATAGGCTGAGAAACTCATTAAATGGTAATATTTCATCCGCATCTGGTTGAAATGCAAGCTTTTCAACAACCTGATTATAAAGAGGCTTTAATTCAAGATCCAGTGGGTTACTTTCTATCTGATCGTGATCAGTCAGATCTTGATTAGATGGTCGGCACCCGGGAACAACAGTACTCTTGATATAGTAGTTCTGAATAGTCTCATTACTGACCTTTGTTCGCCACGCTTGTGTTAACCACCGTACTGTGTAGTTTAGACTCATGCGTTCACGTGGATCGATACCACGGTCTAGCATACCTATCATCTAATATATCCAGCTCTTGCGATAATAATGCTTGAGGTTTTGGATAATACCCTGATCAAGGGGCTGGTAGATAGATGTAGCGTTCGCTGGGAAGAAGACTATCCTTATATTAGACGGCGGTGGCGCCTTTTCAAGAGCTACAAGATGTGCACTGAAATTATCTATTAACAGAAGTACACGTCTTTGCCTACCGATCCGTAGGTAAAAAGTATGTAACCATTGTTCCATAATTTCGTGTCGCATCCAAGCCTTCTTATTGTGACGCCACTTACATCCAATAGAAGCCATATTAACACCCCTTAATGCATGAGGTGTCTTTGCAGTTCCAATAATCCAGAGAGGTAATCGATCCGAACCAGTCGCATTCGATGCTACGACAATAGTTATCCTAGTCTTGTCTCTTTTCTGGCCAGGTCGACCTTCAGATGCAAGCCCACCATTAGGCATACGACGCCAGTAAAGACCAGTCTCATCCATATTATAGATATCTTCAGGTGCATATTCATCACAGATAATCTGGATCGCTTTCATCTCATGATGTATCGAGTCTGGGACCGAGGCAGCTTCACCATGGAAGGTATGCCATCTGATTGAATATCGACGTTTAAAGCCAGTCAACCAGCCATCACTAAATGCAGGCATAGTCTGATCTTTGTACATCGGCATCTTCTTCCAATATTCTGCAGCTTTAAGCCGAATCAGAGGTCCAGTCATAGGAAACCCCTTCTCTGTATGACGTCGTTGCCACTGAAATAAAGCCTCATCTAACAGCGGCCAGTGTGCGGTAGACTTTCTTGATTTAGTCCCAGCTTCGCTATTATCTAGGTAGTTATATTGAGATGAAAGGGTTCGAGAAACTGTCGTACGATCGACTATTCGGCCGAATTTCTCTTGAAACCATGCAGCACAAGCTTTCTGGGTAGGCTTAGGACGTGTATCAAATGCAAAGATACGTAAGGCTTTTCTCTGAGCATCAGATATAGTCGCATTTGATCGTTTTGGATAGGGTAATTTCGCTGAAAGGGCGACCGAAGATCGGATCGAAGGGGTGGAGGGGAGCGACGGCGACGGCGAGGTAGAATCCTGCATTGTGATTGGACAGATATGCTGAGTAAGCGAACAGAAGGGGAAAAAAAAGTGTGCAGACCATAGATGGTGCAGCCCACGAGAGTTTTATATGTAAGAGTGGGGCAAAACTAGTCTAGACAGGAAAAAAGTGTGTCGCTGACAAATGTGTGCAACTCACGGGTGTGCAGGCCATGAGAGTTGACTGTATCAATCTCTATCTAGATATTTGTCGGTACACCGGTGGGTATAGCAACTCGATAAAGTTGATAAGAGGCTAACTCCCACTTCTGACACCTATCACAGGAAACGCTTTACGCCCCTATGATATCTATGTGTCCTTTGAAGTAGTTGTAAAGTCTGAGTTTCATTCTTAGTTTGCTATCTATTATAAAGTATCAATTTGATCACATGACTGCTTTGTTCCATATTCTAACAGTTCCACGAGCAAAAGCAGCCAGGGGGTGAGCACTAATACAGAAGAGGAATGCCATAAATTAGCATGGGGAATCCGGTACATAGGTAATTAGTCCTACTGAGAAATAGGTTTTTCAAGAAATTTCTGTTCAAATCATAATTCAAAACTAAACAAGAACGACTATTTAAAACAAAAAGCATAAGATAAATTCTACTGTCGTTGTGATTCCAAAAATTTCCCTTGAGATTCTTGGCTCAATGCCATATCTCATATTCCTCCTTCCTCCACATTCCCATGAGGGAGTGTGGAGGGTCAAGCGATATCCATGGACTGATTGCCCGGGGATTCAGTTCCGTGCGGTAGCACTTGAATTTTCCAAGGGATTTGTGATTCCGATTGCAGCTAGAGTGCCCGGCTCCAGTGCGTGGGATATCCATATGGGCTCCTTCTGGGTTGTGTCCATGGGTAAGATGCCAGGTGGCAGTAGCTTGATTTGGGTTGAAAGACTGATCTCCTTGGCTATGAAAGAGATGCGATGTTTTGCACTCGCTACCGTCGAGTCAATTCTAAAATGTGCCATAAATGGCGGCGCGGGGTTGCGGTGAGCACAAGAGCTCAAGTATCCAGGGCGTTTGACGAGCGAAAGCATCGCCGGGGCAAAAGAGAGAAAAAGAAAATCCAGAACTGTAATCCATTTACGATGGAACGGAATGACAGATCTTCGGCAAAAGATCATTTACGCAGGAAGTCCATTGGGCATGTGGGAAATAGCCTGGCCGGCCTCGAGATGACGGTATGTCAAGCCGAGGGTGTAGAGCTCTTGAAGACTGGCATTGACTTTCTCGTGCATGGTGATGTCCTGGGGGCTGATGCGGGCAAGATCTTCAAGCAGGCGCGAGCGGCACTTGTAGTAGTTCTGCTCGGCATTCTGCAGACGCTGGCCGTGCTGGGCGATGGGCGACTTGACGGATGATCCGGACCGGGAATGGACGGAGCCAGTGCGCTTCATGACTGGAGCCGGGGTAGGGCCGGTGACTCCTCCCTTTCTACGGCGACCGGACTCCTTTCTCTTTGGAGCAACGCTGGTCGGCGAGGCCTCCGGTGAGCTGTGGCGCTCGGATGAGGCATAATCGTGCACGCGACGCATGTGGTCGTACAGGTTCCATCTACGCGGGAATCCATATCCAGGGACAGATCGTTCACATCCCTCCCAGAGGCAGAGGTGAGGGTTGTCGCCGTGACCATGCAAACCATGGGCTTCACGCTCGTGACGGAAGAGACATGCGTTAGATGAGAAACGTAGCTGGGCATCCATGCAGACTGGAACCTTGCAGCGGTAGGGCTTCAGGTGGGAATCCAGATATTTGCTACCGAGTGGGTTAGATTTCTTCTATTTTGCTGATTTGTTGATATGTGCAGGAACTTACTGGTAAGCGCATTTTTGCGTAGTGGGTGGGTGACTGCATGGCTTCTCTCCATTGGCATAAGGACAGTAGTATTTACCATCGCTGTGCGTTGACAGGGAGTAGTAGTGGTGCTCTCGCGGGTTGCGAGCCTCCGCCCCGTCTTTGGATTTCTGGCGAGAGTTATCCCGGACTGGAAGAGGGGGAAAAACTCCTCTGCCTTGACATGGGACACATTCTGCACAGCTGCTCGACGAGATGGCTTAGAGGGTCTAATAGTTCTGTTGACATCCTTCTCGCTCAAAGGTGTGCTAGGGAACATAGGTTCCGCTGGGTTAAGTCCGATTGGCGAGGTGAGGTAAGAGTCATCGGATGCCATGAACGAAGGGAAACCTGCGTGAGAGCAAGAAGAAGTAACGGACATGTCATTGCTGGCTTCAGTCAGAGGTGGTGAGACCGGAACGGTCTGGAAAATGCTTGATGAGAGTTGATCCAAAGTAGTTCCGGGGTAGTGGCCATCAGGCATCATGGTATTCCAGGGCTCGTGGGAAGCCATCAACTGACCATCTTCAGTATGTGAACTGTGTGCGACAGAAAGACAATCATCGGGTGTTGTTGCTTGCACTCCACACACATCATTATCCATGGAGGATAGATCCACAAAAGAATAAAAGTCCCGGGGCAATTCATTATGATCATGCATGTCAGGGACTGCTGGGAAGTCCACACCTGTGTACATAACATCATTTGGTCCGACCGTGGAGGCCATCATTGGTTGAGACATTGAGAAAGAGAGCATGTGCACCTGGGGAGAATCCTTGGAAATGGCCTGCTCAAGTGAATCTGTTGTGTTCATGTTCCAGTCTTTAATATCCTGTGGAGTTCCATGGGAAAGGGTTGAGCATAAAGATAAAGCGTCATGGTTTGACAATTCATCATCCTGGAGAGATCTTGAAGCCATATTTGACATTCCTTGCATCATGGAAATATGTCTAGGCTGAGAATAAGAAAGAGCTATCCGCTCGGGCTCATTGCTGATCCTGGGAGACATTGTGTGTTGGTGTGAAGAGTCTGTAAAGCATTGTCAGGTTAGTTAATCTACATCTTGCAAATGATAATTGAAAAAGCAAATAAATCAAGCTCCAAGATCCATAAGTTCCAGACCTGTGTCATGTTAGCCCGTCAACCATATGTATTTGTGGGATCTGCTGAACGAACCGAAAAGCTTTCTAGAGTTATAATAATCCAAGGTCGACGAGAAAGGAGTCCCGGGGTCAAAGAGTTGTGAGTTGTATTTCCTGGGGTGCAGTGATAATCCTATTGCGGGTGTAGTTCGTGTCGAAAGGGAGCCAGGTGAGTACGACGGAAGAAAGATCAGAAAGCTACAAGACGACCATAGGTCATCCATCGAGGGTCCAGGTGAGGGGAAAGCAGACAGTCCTTAGGATCGAGACAGATGTAAAATTCAAGGCCATTGTGTATACGCAGATCCTATATGGCAGTTTCGAGTAAAAGTGGTTCCAGCAGGATTGCTTCGGATTCCAGGCCGGTAAATGAGCAGCATAAACTCAAAATTGTTCCTTGTTCCTGGGAATGTGTTCCTCATAATGAATCCACGTAACGGAAAAAGTAAAAGAAATGGCCACAAGTTGTATATTCCAGGAAGACTTCATCATTTGTCCAAGGTTTGCATAAGGCCGAGTTAATTAAGGTACCATGAAGGGGTTCCAGGGAATGAATCCATCCGCGACTCCCAGGTTTGAAGAGTGGGAATCCAGGGACAGTAAAGCAAATCCAGGAAAAGTCATCCAGCGGCATTATTCAGAGTGTGCAACATAAACAGCACTCCGAAGAGTCCATTTACTTAGTGACCGGCACTGAGTAAGTTTCCAGGCAGTAAGAAAAGCAAGCATCAATCAATTCTTACTGTCGTGACAAGGTTGCCATTACGGTGAGGTGTGCTCCAGGCGTCCATTAGGCCTGGGATAGGCTTGTTGATATGTCGAAAGATCCAGGGAAAGATTCAAAGTACAGGTCCGGTAGGGCAAGAGAAGAACGCATAGGAGACAACAAAAAGAAAAAATGGGAAGGGCTACCTGGTGAGTGCCGAAGTATAAGCAGACTAAAGAAAAGCCTGGAAAACAACAAAGCAAATCCTGTCCCGGGAATGGGGAATAAAGTATATGGCAGAAATCCTTGGGAAATAAGATAACCAGGGAAGTAATATCTTGCTGAGACAAAACGTTGTCTTGAAATCCTGTCGTTTGGGTATGAAGAGCAATTTGTATATGATAAGAGGAGAAAGGAGTAAGAAGTGGCTGTGGTTTAGATGGTGTAGAAGAGGAAAGAAAGTAATCGGAAGGAGGGGGGGGGGATCAGCGGCCTTTTTAGGGGGAAAAGGAAGAGTGCGCTCAGGGAAGAGGGGCATGCTCTAAACTAAAACAATGGTGTGTGGCATATTCAAATAGTGCAGGAATAAGTTGCCCTGTTGGCACCATCGATGGCCAGTGCTTGAGACTGGAGGTGATATCGTATTCGGACACGGTCTGAGAGTGGACACTCCTGAGTGGTCAAATTAGTATAGATTAGTAGCGGTGAGACGGGTCAGCGTCTGTTGACCTTGGCACGGCATATTAATCATTATAATTGGTGGACTAATCAAGGCTGATCCTGTAGAATGATGTCGATTTCGGACGATCGGCATTCATCTTCGTGTGCTGACGACCATTGAATGGTGGATATGAGCCCACGTCGGAGAGCTGCGGAACATGACCATATGCACCTGAGAGAAGAGGGGACAGGACAACACAGAGCAACAGCAGATAATGTACAAGGAGTTGAGGTCCAGCTCAGTCGAGACGAGTCTACGAACTAGAAAACTACAAGGGTTTGGAATTCAAAACAAAATAAGAGAAGCATTTCATTTTCATTTTCTATTTGACGAGGGTACGGGCCGGAGCAAGACCCACGTTGGGCAGCCGTTGGGCATACATTCCTAGAACTGAGGTCAGCCCATAATCCTTGTCTCAAAATTGGATCAAAGTAAATCAAAATTGGAAAAATTCAGAAAAGAGTAAGATGGTAAATTTTGTCGTTCAGCAATCCGAAGATCTTCAGTTGAACTATGCTTTTGGTAGGTTTATTCATCAGGGAAGATGACTTGATGAGAAGTCGAGGGCAAAAAGGATATTTGGAACGGGGCTGCTTACCTGCTGGATATGGTTAGTTGAGTTGATAATCGTGGTAAAAATAAGTAAGAAAATGGTAAATTGGAAGTGGTTGGTGAGTTGTAAAATGAACAAGGGAGAAGAGTTGGAAAAGAAAATTAAATTAAGAGGTGGATTTTGTGTGGAAGGTCATGTGATTTATTTGCCCTGTTTGTTCTATCCGCCGTCTCCACCTTATCTATTTACGATGATGATCAACAGGAATACTTCGTACTGAGGACAGCAAAACAAGACACCATGAACTGGACTGGAGGGCAATTACGTCGTCACTCCGGCCCACAAGATACATTGTCCAAATATCAACGTCAGAACTTTGCGAAATCTCGGAGGTCGGTCTATGAGAGACTATCCACTCCGTTTCACAGGCCATCCCAACTTCCTGAAATTTCCTTGGAACAAGAACAAGATCATGGCGATATGGTTGTTTTGAAGCGCCGACTTCTCCAAACCCCTGATTGGGCATCTGTCTCCGCTGCTCATCCACTAGATATTTCGTTCGCCCAGGAAGAGGAATTAGAGCAATTTGGGAAGCGAAGAAGATTGAATGCCATTGATCGAAAACGCCTGGCAGTGACACATGATAATCAGCCCATATCAGGTCTCTTCCAGTCTCGACAGAGAACGAATTTCTCCGAGGAGAGGATCGCTAATACCAACCACATCAAAATACGTATCAACGGACATCTTACCAAGCCACACTCGGAGGACAGTCCAGAAATAACTACCCATCCATCTTCCCAGACAATGCTTCTTGATCATGAGGAATCTTCCATGCCTTGTACACCGCGTCGGGGTAGTGACAAAAGCAAAACGCAAGATCCATGGACACAGCGCACTAACCGCCTTTCACTCCAACTAAATTACAGTCATGCACCACTTAGCTTGCAAAACCTACTAAGAATCCAAGCCCAACCATCTGCAGCAGAAAAACCCGATGCAGTCGCTCAGTACCTTTCTCAAACCGACTGTTCAACAAGATTAATGTCAAACAGCCCTTCCCATAACCACCAAATGAAATCAGGCCAGTTTGTGTCTTCAGCCCTTGACTCTTCATCCATGGCCGATGCATCACAGCCAAACTCCTGGTACTTTCAAATTGACGAACAGAATCCTGAAGAGCAAACAGAACCCGACACTCTGAAATCTGTGTCACCTGACCGAGAAACACTGCTACTTGAATCACCCACAACACTCAATTTCGAGACGATGTCTTACTTAGAACCTACTAGCTGGCTTCCACAACCACAGCAGCGCCAACCTTTGAGCAGTCTTCATACCTGTGTTCAAGATGGGCCTCGGGGCCTCTCGTCTGACGAGCCCATTTATCCGAGTCCATTCAGCTCACTTTTGAACAAGACAGCAATTGCACGCCCACCCAGTCATGCAGCTGTCAAAATCTTTAGTCAGATTCTCAGTTGAGATCCCTGGATGATATTCAATAGTGATAGATTGGTTTGCATTATGGCCCATACACTAAGCTATGATATTGATTGATGGGCCTCTGAATACAAATTAATAATGTATAATCATCATACGATTTTCAGTGCTTCCAATTATATCAGTGATTGCGCTTTCTTTGGCGTCATTCATGGAATCCGCTATAACTTTGCACAGCTCATTCTGCTCTACCAGATTTTTCATAAAAGCCTCCACTGTAGCTCCAGTGATCGGCTGTTTGACTTCTTCTCGCAGCATGGTGTCTAAACCTGACCACATCGTTGATACCGGCTGCGCGACAGTCTAGTAGCAGTGTCTGTGCCAAATTAATGACCGACTTCCGGACAAATAGATCTGCCTAACCGAAGGTCGCCTCGCCCACGAACAGCCGGCTCTATGCTTGAGTTCTGACTGTTTCTCGAGCTTGTGAAACCGTCCCTCCTCAAGTCTCTGTTCGTTAAGCGCCAGGCGTTCATCTTCGGATAACTCACTATTGTATAGATGAGAAGCTCAGTCTCCTAAGGTGTAAAGAGATGATCACTCGACTACGTCTTTAGTCAGCGGTACCATTTCCCGTAGTTAGTTGATGAAGGTGTAGACATGATTTAGAATATTTCGGCATTGTTGTACATTTTGAAAATATCTGACTTCAACACATGTCCAGCCAATGTGGACCGTCCTTCCGTGTCTCCCCGACACTATCATGGTAGCTTGGAATACGGCCATCCTTTCTCTCTTGTTGCTTGGAATGCGGTCAGCTCTTCTCTCATGGTTGTTAGATGATTTGCTTCTAGAACCTGTTCAAATCCAGTCATTTCATAGGTAAGAGGTGTACATAATAATTTGTCAAAGGCCCGATTCCATTTATAGTTAGTCTATTTTAGTCAGCATTGGAATCCCACAATGGGATTCCTCCATTCTACAATCTATACACATACACTCTTTGGTACGCATACTGCGTTCTCATTTGCCCACTAGAATCCACTATTCCTTGGTAGTCGACCTCCATTTGACATAATTAAAGCATCACGTGAAGATAGCGATTATCCGAGATCCATTCGATCGTCATTTCATGACAGCCAACTTCAGATTCACGTTCTAACCTCACAAAAATGCTGTGTTTCATCCCGATATTGGCATGCATTACCGCGACTGCCGTTTCCGCATCCATTCCCACCCACAACAATGCAGATCAAATACAGCTCCCACTCGTGATCTGGCACGGCCTCGGTGACGACTTCCAGCGCGATGGCCTACAAGAGCTAGTCGAGCTAGTAGAAACCACCAATCCAGGCACATACGTGCATCTCATCCACCTCGCCGACACAGGCAGTTCTGATCGCCAACAGACTTTCTTCGGTAATGTAACCGAGCAAATGGAAAATGTCTGTGGCCAGCTAGCCGCAGACCCGATCCTCAGCACTGCACCAGCCGTCAACGCGCTAGGATTCTCACAAGGCGGCCAGTTTCTCCGCGGCTATATCGAGCGTTGCAATAACCCACCAGTTTACAACCTCGTCACGTACGGTAGCCAGCATAACGGTATCTCCGAGTTCCAATCCTGCAAACTTGGCGACTGGTTCTGCAACTCCGCTGAGGCCCTGCTGCGGTCAGGCACGTGGGCCGATTTTGTGCAGTCGCACATTGTGCCTGCGCAGTACTTCCGTGACCCGGAGGAGCTGGACCAATATTTGGAGCATAGCAATTTCCTAGCTGACATCAACAATGAGCGAGCGATCAAGAATGAAGCGTATAAGAAGCGGCTAGCGTCGCTGAACAAGTTTGTCATGTACATGTTTGAGAATGACACCGTCGCTGTGCCGAAGGAGAGTGCTCACTTTGCCGAGATCAATGCCACCGAGGGATCCGTTACGCCATTGAAGGACAGGCTAATCTACAAGGAGGATTGGCTAGGACTGAAGAGCCTCGATGAGCGGGGCAAGCTTGATTTCCGCACTGTCCCTGGTGAGCATATGCGATTGGAAGACGATCAGTTGAAGAGCACCTTCAAAGAGTTCTTTTCTCCTGTTGATAGTGTGATTGTTTCTCATTCTCCGGGCCTGTTGATGCAAGAACCCGTTGTTTAAGATGTACTTCATGTATGTTATTTCATTATATAACGGCTGTATCTATATTCGAATAGCTTGTCTTTCGGCTGACTTGTCATGCTTATATCACTTTCAATATACATCCAAGACTCTAGTGTGCACACCTAGATATTTTCAAGCTTTGGAGTCACGCATTTCCTATAACCTTGAAACATTGAAATCTTAGAACATGGAAAGAGGTCAACTGCTTATTAGCCTCAGGCTTTCTGAGTTCAAGCAACTTGCATTACTTCCTCTATGCTCTAAATAATGCACTGTCCTCGCAACATATATGTAAATACAACCATGGATATAGGTTTCCAAAGTTCCAATGTTGTTCCAAGGATTTGAACCTAATCTACCTACCTCGTGGATATTGATCCTTGGTGAGCTCTCTATGGGTTCAGTATATCGCCGCAAGAACTGAATCACTCTCTAAATTTGTGTGCTACTGACCGGGTTGATGATACGCATAGCTGACTTGACAAGAAGTGGACTAGCTGTTTCAATTTCGTAAGCAGAACAAACATACGGTCCTTGTGGTGCTGTTAAGCTACCTAGGTAATTATATTCATAGATCGGTGATAGAGATGTTAAAATGCAAATGACCGCAAATTTTAGGACTTGCGGTTGCGGTTGTGGTTGCGGTCACTGACTAATTTGCGGACGGATCGCAAATTTAAAGACTTGCGGTTGCGATCATTTGCGATTTTGCGATTTTTTGCGATCAATGGACCGCAGATCGCTTAACATCTCTAAGATTCTGATTCTAATTTTGATTCTGATTCAGTGATTAATATCGAAGCCTTCCGACTCATCCTCTCTCGCTTGACTTTTCTCTTCAATACGACTACTTAAGGATCTATATTCAAAGAGATGTTAAGCGATCTGCGGTCATTGACTGCAGATCGCAAAAAATCGCAAAAAATCGCAAAATCGCAAAATCGCAAAATCGCAAATGACCGCGCGACCGCAAGTCCTGAGATTTGCGATCCGTCCGCAAATTAGCCAGTGACCGCGACCACAACCACAAGTCCTAAAATTGCGATCTGACCGCAAATTAGTCAGTGACCGCAACCGCAACCGCAACCGCAAGTCCTAAAATTTGCGGTCATTTGCAGTTTAACATCTCTATTCAAATAATTAAATAATATGGGATTTGCTACTATCACTGAGCCCTAACTTTCCACTCCCATATCTCCTCACCTTTTCTCTCTCTTCCTGAGTAGGTGAGCCACACCGTAACTTCCAATTCCCCATATTATATACTGTCAAAGGCCCGATTCCATTTACAATTAGTCTATTTTTAGTCAGCATTGGAATCCCACCATGGGATTCCTACCATAGCTACACACACACATACACTTTTCATACGCATACTGCACTCTCATTTGCCCACTAGAATCCACTATTCCTTGGTAGTCGGACCTCCATTTGACATATACTTTGACGCCGCATTTGTTCAGAATAGAGCATATCTCTCTATCACCGCAACCAAGTCAGATTCTCTTGAGTCCCCCTCTTTTTCCTCCCCTTTTTCATCCTCCATATCTATCTCAATTTCCTATGGCGGCGGCTGAGGCTTAATACCATATCTTTTTTTATGTTCTTTTGCCAACTTCTCTCTTTTATAGCAGCTTCCTCAGCTTTCCTGGTTGTAATTACATGGTGGGTGGAGGATATTGCTTTGAATAGGCTGGTGTTCAGAATTGGTAGTTACGGTGGCGCAAAGGCACTGATATAAGAGGAAAGTAGGAACAAGGTAGGAACGAAATTACCTATGTATCAACTCGACGGCTCAAGTGTGAGAAAAAGTCCGTAAGGGCAAAAACCTTGGAACTAGAATCTAAGTACAGGCAATGTACAAAAAGTCCATACAGAAAGAGATGCAAGAAAAGAACAAAAAAAAAAACTAGAATGTACAACGGAGACCGTGTAATGACGAGGGTAAATGAGAAAAGAAAAACGAAATAGTATATCCGGGAGAATATGTTCGCTGGAAGGGCGACTCGGGTGCACAAAAAAAAGATGCCAAAAATAATGAGGGGGTGAAAGAAAAATAGAAAGATAGACTTATTAGTATGGAGGACGACCGATTCCACTCGCACGTCGGCCGGAAGGAAATCCGGATTTCGAGGAGGCTGATGTGGTGGGACGGCTTACGTAGGCCAGGGGACTGCTGCTGCTTCGGTATCCATTCAGGAACTTCTTCAGTTCATCGCGCTGGCTGGATTCGAAGGAGTCTCCGTTAGCCTCTCCGATTTGATGAGCATCGGCAGCGAGGGTGTTGCTGCTGCGGCTCTTTGTACGGTTAAGAGACTTCTTTCGAGAGTGTTGTGAGAGATCCGACGGTGTAGTTTGGAAGGAATTATCAGGAGCGGTAGATGGTCGGTCGATGAGCAAAGACCGCTGGGAATCGACCGGGAAGCTACCGGGAATGGCCAAACCAGCAGGGATAGGCGGTACGGGAGGGATTTCCTCTGTTAGGTACAGCGAGTTCCTCTCGCCGGAGAGAGCAACATCTGAGGCACGCACATTCTCGCCATTAATCGACTGTTCATTTTCCTGGGGTCTGATCGAGGCGGCGTCTGGGTCCATTTCAGAGGCAGAATAACCGCTGACCATGCTATCACTACCAGAAGAAATAATGCTCATGTTTGATGCGTCAACGCGACCTCTCAGTGGGCTTAGTCGTCGGTTTGGGTTCTCGGTGTTCACAGAGAGCACCCGTCGGAGCTCGGTGACACGCACTGGAGATCCTCTAGTGCTATTGTTCTCTGAGGTCTGCGAAGCCTCGGGAACACTCATACGGCGGTTCTTGTCGGAGCTAGTAGGGGAAACGGTCGGAGCACCGTTGGTATTACTGTTGCGAGCCACAGTGCCGGCACGGGAGCCATTGATAGAAAGAGCTTTGAAGCTTTCCTTCTCGACAGCGGCAATGCAGGCCTCTCGAGACCAAGAAGACAGCATCTGTTCCTTGACGGTTGATGGGAGACCGCTCTCAGCTTGTGGTTGGAACTCCGCCATAGAGTTTATCAGAACTGGGAAACTGAAGCCTTGCGCCAGCGCAGTTGTGGGGCTTTGTGGTGGCGATGTGACGGTCTGGCTATAGGACTCGTCGATTCCATTCACCAAGCCCTCCGCATTCTGGAAGGGTGTCAATATCGACTGATTTGAATTATAGCGGGAAGAGTTGTTATCATCTATGGCGATGCCATCAACCGGGGTTGGGGGCGAATGAATCTTGGTTAACCACTGGCCATTGCTCTGACGCTTCTCAATTTCTTTTTGAATTTCAATGCCAGCGTTGGTGGACACAAGATGGAAAATTTCTGAAACTGCCAGAAGATATCCATGGACCAGGCTTCCCACGTTCACGCGAGCTGTATATCCCAAGTCGAACGAAGTAGAGAGATCTTCCTGCAGCTTCAAGACCATGGGAAGGCCAAATTGAAGTGCGTTGACGCCAAGGTTGTCGACCAGGCTTGTCAACAGGAGATGAAACAAGAGTACATCAGATTCACTGGCAGCTGTCTCAAGAACAGAGTCGTAAATAGCTAGATGCAAGAGACGAAGGAATCTAGATTGTGCAACCATAATAACCTTCTCTTGCTGGTTTCCTGGGGCCGAGATGGTTCGTCGGCCCTGTCGCTCCTGCTGCTCCGAGTCACGCTTCGATGACGGCTTGATGTACTTTGGAGCTCCCACTTGGACCTTGAGGTCACGTTTGTGTGTCTCTAGTTGCAGCCATACCAGGAATGCGTCAACGTAAGCGAAGCGGACCTCTCGGTCAGCGTCTCGGACAAGATCCTGTGTGCCTTCCCACACTTGAATGCCCACTGGATTCTTAGTTTCGGGGTCCTCCGATGTGGCAGACTTTTTCGAATTCGCCACGATGAGAATTGCTTTCACAGCCCGGAGAAAAGTCAGTTTAGCAGTCGTTGAGGAAAAGGCCTCCACGTGGAATTTACCCCATGGACTGTCTGCATTGGATTGGACCGGGGTGACAGGGACAGCCTTGGTTTCATGGACGGTGGCCAAAGTAGAGGGCGCAGCGCTATCAAGATTGACCGCTGGCTTGAAATGTCGCAAAATGGCTCGCATCATGTCAAAGACTTGGTCTCCATAATATGTATGGGTTGCTAGGTTCCCAATACACTGTTCTAGAAGACTCAGTAACATCTTCCGTTTAACAGAGGCCCCACTACCAGACTGCTTTTCAGAGTCGGGGGACAATATATTCGCAACGTAGTTCATCAGACCAAGCAGAATGTCCATAACACTCAATCCAATCATATTAACAGAAGACTTCAGGAGCCAGTCCGCCACCGTGAGAATGGTAAAGGCCGGATCCAAAGCATCTTCCTTGGGACTTGTTTCGAGCAAGATATCGATTGCCGTCACCAAGATGATGAAACGGACCTGAACTGGGCACCAGTTCGCAATGAGTCCAATCAATGAGGTAGCCCAGTTCTCACCGTTCTCGCGACTCGTTGTTGGAAGACGCTTGCTGGAGACGAACCGCACGATAGTCGATGCCGCAATTCGAATCTGGCCACGGTTACTCCCGGAAATGATAATATGCTCGAGACAGCGAAGAGCCAGTAACCGCGCATCAATCTCTGCTTGATGATCCACAGCGGCTGTCGGCTGAGCCGCCAAAGTAGGATCACCCTCTGGAATATCAACCGTCACAATGCTCGTTCGCCGGTTAACATTGACAGGTGCTACCTCTCGCTCTTCTTTTTCAATCTCAGCAAGCCGTTCCGTCAAGGGAATAATCACATCTTCATCTGGAGAGTACAAATTTTCCAGAATGACGGGCAAAATGATCTTTAAGCAGTTTCCACCATCAATGGCTAGACTTTCAGAGCCAATCACGCTTTTAATCGCACGAAGTCCAGCATTTCTCCACCGTATCGCAACTGGGGGGCTGAGCTTGACAGGCGAGTAGTTTTCAGAGGAAGGATCGGCGAAACTAGCATATGTCTGTACGACATCTCGGTATTTATTAATGATTCCTTGTTCGGCAGCGATAGTTGCAATGTCCTGGTGCCGGCAGAAAGTCTCAAAAGTCTCAATGGACTCCTCTACCATGGAAATTTCATTCGATCCAAGAACGGTTTCGATGATGGTTAAGACGGATTGCGCATAGATGGGTAGATCGCGAGGGACTTTCTCGATGAGCGCAGTCAGGATGTGAAGCGCAACCTGGACATTTCTAAGCAAATGTTATTATCAGTACTTTTTTCTCTCCTTTTTATGTAATGCCATAGTGTAGGCAGTTATGTTGGATTCTGTTACACTCACCCCAACCTGCGCCTCCAGACATCTTTGGCAACTCTTTTTTCCAAGAAAGCGCCGACCTTGGTCAGCTTACTGCGACGTGTACTGGCATAGTACAGCAGATAGGAAAGTTCACTGGGGTTCGGCTTCACTTCCGAAACACCTTTCTGGTATTTGGGATAGCACTTGAGCGTCAAGACCTGATGCTTGGGCCGACACGATTGGCGAACTGATTCCATTGGAGGTAATGCGTACCCCCGCCGGAGATGTGCGGTGAGTTCAGAGGAACTTCAGGGGAGAAGGAGAGATTTCCGGGATGATTGGTTCGAAAGCGTAGTTTAGCGCATAGGGGAACTATTGAGGGGTGACGTTCGAAGCCACGTTAAGACGGAAACGGCTGAGAGTGATGAGGTAGTTTTAGGCCGATCACCAGGGGGAAGTGGGGCTGATTCAACCACCACCTTTTTGCAATAATCACGATAAATGCGATGCCAGGATAAGAAGCAAATCCAGGGTGAATTATGAAGTGTGAAGAAGGATGATAGAGAAGGAAGAAATATGGGCAAATGTGTAAGTTCTCCAAGAAACTGGGGTATGACGCCAAGACTCCTATTTTTTTTTTTTTTTTTTTTTTTTTCTAGAAATTCTACGGCCTAGATCTACTTGGACGATTGAGATCGAGAGACTTTATATTGTCACTGAAACTGCTTAGTTACTCCGGACATAATAGCAGCCAGAAGAGGAAATGTATTAGTATCTACCAAGGTAGAAGACACAAGACACTATGTGATTGTGTCCTTTGAAGCCTTTTCTGAAGATATCATAGGAAGACACTCCGTATATTGATAGTAGCCCATTTTATTTGTTCTGGAGTTGTCCCCTGAACTTATTCCATGGTCGTTCAAGAATACGGCTGGAGTCCGGGGCCAGCCTTGTACCTGGAATTGTTGATGTGCTCCGCGATGATCACTTCAGGTGAAATAGCGGATACAGTATATCCATTCTCTGGGCCATTTGATACGCATTTGATAGAGAGAGTTCTTTGACAATGTCCCCAGTGACGGTTTGGGAAATTCCACGGTTCGCTCAATGAATTCCTGTGTGATTTCAAGTTTTAGACCCGTTCTGCTGGTCCTTCTCTGCAGGACCTTCCGCTTTCGCTTCAGCATCAGAAGGCTTTACCGGCCCGCTAAACCCAGCAAGTCCATCAATAACCTGTGGCTGAATGATAGCATGTCGAAAGGTTTTTTCTTGAAGAAGTCGTAGGGCGCGCAGAGTTGGACCGGGGTGGGTCAGGAATTGCGAGTACTCGGGCGTCTTCCAGTAGGAGTAAAGGTAGGCTAGGTATGCAACGAATGCTTGGGCATCGGGAGAAGAATCGGATTCATTGTCATTGTCATCGGCGCGAATACCCAGCAGATTTTGGTAGTTCACAGCCAGGTGAGACAAGTAGTAAGGGTTTGCCAGGGACGAGACAAATTCAAGCTCGAGGGTGAAGCGAGGATTGGTTAGAGTAGGAGCCGGAGGCTGCGCTGAGTTGTCCATAGCTGGGAAAGAGTTGAGGGAGTTGAGATTCGGAGATTTGGAAATGGAAGAAGCTGAAGCTTGGGTTCACCGCCTGGAACTACTTTAATTTCCATTCGCAGTAAACATTACGGCTCATCAGCTAATCTTGAAGAAGTGAAAATTAAATTGATCTAGTATTGAGTACTTTACAATTGACCATATGATGGAGCTTGGAGGGAAAATGATGTCAGAAGAGGAAATTAATGAGAGCGAAGTATGTACTCACTTCGCTGTCTCTTATTACCTGCTAATCTCAACTTTGGAAGATGACTTAGGTAGGCCTTCATTCAATTCTCATTAAGCCAATGAGCCTATGAAGTAGTACATTGGCATAGGCTTAGAGATGTGGGGACATAAAGCAGCTAGTCGACGTATATATATATATATGTTGATTGACAAGAATCGAGCTCAGGGTAGCTACAATTGGGTCATGTCATTCCTGACATTCCAGTAGGTGACTCTCAGCAAGCATTAATTATGAAGTATAGATCCTACAAGATACTTCAAGCCCAGCTATGGAGACTTGAATGGCCTGGGTTGACCCAACGCTATGGAGAAGACATATCGGATTACGTATCCGTCCGAGCTAACATGAAAGTTGACGCCGGTGGGAAAGAAGGAAGTTCACATAAGAATTGGAGCTGATAACACGGATCGTAATTTGGTCAACAGTGCTGTATCAAGGTCCTTCCTCGACCAGAGAATAACACGGCTATACTCCGTATGTGCCTTACACATCGGGATCTCAACGGCTATCGACAACAAAGCTCGACTGTGGCTAGATACAGGTCGGTTCGGCCCAGGGCCAGCCAAGTCTAACCAGATCTACAGGATATCGACCTGATTCGTTGAAAGTTGATAGGATGATGAAATGTGATAATTTTGAAACGAACGAGTCATCACATAAATGAAGTATATCACATCCCGTCAGTATTGAATCAGGGTAGGCACTGCTAGTAGGTAGTAGATATGATGTATGATGTGTGGATTTGGCCCAGAAAGAACATGAGTCGTCGTTAGCCTTCGACATGATGGATCGTAAAGTTTCCCATCAAGGAGCATCGTGGGTGAAAAGCCGCATATGCATCTTTCCTTATCTTTTGCAGCCACAAATCCACATTCAAGGATGACATCAACCGAGTCTGGAATGCTAACGTCATTCCTGGGGCTATTTTAATACTGGAAGTCTCAGGGAATCCTTGAAGTTGGAAGTTCCAACATATTGTGTTAAAGTTGAATCTTCCTCATTACACAGTATGTTCAGGGGAAACGGAAGTGCGAGTGGGAAGTCCAAGAAGTGGAGTATACCTATAGGTTGATCGTCGTCGGTCTTTCCCCCCTGGGATGGGAATAAGTGAAGGAAGCCCATAGTCTAGGGCGTTTGCTTTAAAGATGCAAGGTTAAAATTAAAAAAAAAGAGTATCCGCTTTGAAGACTTTTCACATCATGCTACTAGAAAATAAAGGGGATATTAATAGTATTATTAATTAGAAAAGTCAAGTTGCCTCCTTGTGGTCGATCTCGTTCTTTACTTTCCCCGTTGATCCCGTCCTCCCTTTCGGCTTTCTTCTTCTCCATCTCTCTCTCTTCCTTCCAGTCACACCTTTTCTGTGTTTCATCACTATCACACCTTCCTCCTTTCTTATTCGTGTCACAGCACATCTAATTTCTTATCCTATTGACTTCTCATCTTTCTCCCCCACTCAATCCGTTTCATCTTACCATGACTGCCCCTCCAGCGTTCGGGCAAGCGCCCGGCGTTTCGCTTTCGCCAGCAGGTATGTTGCTTATCTCTGCCCCCCGGTGATCTCTTTGGATCCAAATTTGAGAGGAAATAAGAGCAATTGCCTTATATATGCAAATAAGCGCCTTCTTCATGCACCTTGCTAACACTGACTCAAATAGACCCATTCTCTCCAACTGGAGGTAGCTTTGGCTCCAACAACCCTTTTAGAAACCGTGCTTTGTCTCCTGCAGCTCCCTCTACTGGTACGGAACGTCCTCGATCGACAAATCCCTTTTTAGACGACGTAGACGTTATTTCTCCGCAATCAGCTCCAGGAATGTCTACGGGCGGCAGCCTTTTCTCACCTGTCGACCAGCAAGACATGACTAGCAACACTCGTGATTTATTTGTATGTCTCTTTCTTTGGATAATAGAATGGATTGTTACTGATTTTCTGATGACAGGAGAATCTTTCTCTTCAAGGTGCACCCACATCTGCTGCACCGGCACCTCGATCAAGTGCATCTCGCCCCCCTCCCAGTAATAATAATCCCCCTCGAGGACCGCCTAGTCTCTCCCGTCCACCGCGAGAGAGAAGGGATCAAGAGGGTGGAGACCGTGAGCGTGGTGACCGGGAACGTGGAGATCGAAGAGAGCGCCCGTCTGGACGACCAAAGGATCCAAAGGATCCCTTCGACATTTTTGCCGACCCCCCTAGAAAGCCATCGAGTGGCGTGAGACCTCGTGATAAGTCTTCTTCTCGCCGACCCCGCCGCAATTCCGAGTCATCGGTGATGGATCGCTCATCTAGAATTTTCGATGATGATGATGAGCAACGACGACGAGAGCGCCGACGCCGTGAGCGCGAAGCCCGCCATCGTGAGCGGGATGGTAAACCTCGCTCTTCTCGCAAGAACCGTCAACTCGACATTATTGATAAACTTGATGTGACAAGCATCTATGGCACTGGCAGTACGTCTTCCACCCTGTTTGAATATTGTATGTACTGATCTATCAATTCAGTGTTCCATCATGACGGCCCCTTTGACGCATGTAACCCTCATCGCAACCGCAAGGGCTTGCGTGCTGCACCAATGCAAGCGTTCCCCAAAGGATCTGCCAACATGGCTCTGGGTGGTTCCGGTCCACTCAACTCGAACATCGACCTTAACCTCTTTCACGGCCGAACTGAAGAAGGCTATAATGACTTCTCTGGAGGAGCCATTCAGCGCCAACCCGACACAGTCACATTCGATGCCACCGCTCGTATCGACCCTATCCACGGTGGTGAGACAGTTGGTTTAGGTACCAGCACTTTTCTCGACGGTGCTCCCGCCAGTCGCTCGGCCGCACGTCGCCAGAGTGAGAATGAGGCGTCGAACGCTCAGAACGGAGGTCTTGCTCGCAAGAAGAGTCTGGCACAGCGACTGCGTGGACGAGCTGGTACCGGCCGTATGCACTCCCCGACTGAAGGGAACTTTGTTGCACACCATGCCCCTATGGGCTCAAGCCACTCAGCATCTTCTCGTGGTAATGAGGGCAATCCGTTCTTCCAGGACTACGACGAGGAGTGGGACAAGAAAGGATCCCGGATTGAGGAGTCACGTTTCGAGGGAGGTGGTCGAATGCGCTCATCCAGCAGCCCCAAGCAGGCAACAGGGCTGGAGCGCAAGCCTACCAATGACCCGATTTTTGAAGAGCCAAAGCTCAACTCAGGTGGCGGTGGATTTTTGAACCGTATGAAGAGCTTACGCAAGCCGCGCCCGGAGCGCCCGCGCCGCACCAGCAGTGATCAATAAGCTGGTCATTGATCGAAGGAAATGACTGCAAGGCTGAGGACCGGTCAGATTTATGATCTTAGAATGATGCAGGCACTATCCTATCGTTACCTGTCGACCCGGTTCCTCAAAAGTTTAGGGTTGATGAATTCTTTATGTAATACCCCCAACATTGCGCGCCACCAGCCATTGGGGCCGAAGGCGTTAACCTGGGAATTTGTTGATATGGCTTCCTTGGCTTTTTCGTATTTGAATCAGTTGCTTTCCTTTTTCGTATTACTTAGCTCGTCTTTCAATCCATATCATTCAGATTAGATCAATCTTTAGAAGGCTATACCTGGAGTAATCACTGTAACTCAGCTGTTGAATCACGCCCCTGCAAGAGAAAAAAAATTAGACGTCAACATGAATAGTGTTTAGCCTACTATGGTAAGCAAATCAGCGTACATCCATTGATTCGGACGATTCGTAGACAACGGGCATGAATCCTTACCTTGAACCAAGCAGATTATAGGTTGCTACGTAGCTTTTGATAGATATTCATATTAAATTGATATTGATCACGATAGCTTCGTCAGATGATATTGCGCCTTAGTCATTCTCTGACTGAAATCCATTCCCATCCATGATAGTTAGCCCTAACCACAATCCCAATCTCAATCCCAATCCAGTCCCAATCTCAGTCCCAATCCCTGTCCTAGTCCCAAGTCATAGAAAGTCAAAATCCAAGTAAGAGACGGATACTACCACCAAGACAGTATGAAAACACCATGTCGAAATGATAGATCCCATCAGTATCCTGGTGAAGAAGGTTAGCAAACAGCCAGTCAGTGACAAGTCCACTAACTAAACTAACCACTCTGTTCACGTCGAACATCACCACCAGTCCCAGCCTGACCGGCAGCATCTCGAATCCCTTGCTCATCACCGCGCAACTTCTCAAAATAAGCCTTAACGTCCTCAGCGCTAACAGCCTGCCCACTCTCGGCATAAGGCTTCAAGAACGTCTTCACCTTATCTCGGAGATGGGTGTAAACCATAGCGCCTTCAATGGCGCGGACTCGATCGACAGTGCTGAGTGCTGCCTCGCCGCGTTCGAGGAGACTACCTGTACCTGAGATGCTTGCGTCGCCGTTTTCGGAGAGAGGGGGCTCGTAAGTGTCTTCTTCTTCGCGCAGCTGTGGGTGAGAAAGGAGGTTGGGGAAGCATTCTGTGCAGTGGCAGAGTTTGTCATAGAAGTTCTCTTTTAAGAAGAGGGAGAATGATTCGGTTGGGCCTTTGCTGGGGAGAGAGGCGTGTTTTGGTTCGGTGTTTTCGGGAGTTGCTTGATTCTCTGAAGCGACCTTATCTTCGGTGACCTTTTCTGAGGCGACCGGCTCTGAGCTGACCATCTCTGAGGTGGCAGTTGTGGATGACTGTTCTGCAATGGTGGCAAGGATCGACTTCTTGGGCTCTTCCTCGATGGTGGCAAGGGTCGATGCCTCGCATGCTTCCTTGGTACGCTTTGTGGGGGCCTCTTCCTGGTCAGATTCTTTGTCTTCTGCTTTGCGTTTCTTCGGGTTATCTGTCTCTTCCTTTGAGCTCTCAGGGGCTCGTGTGTGCGTTTGAGTTTCGCAAGGTAACTCCTCTTTCATGCCACCATTCTGATAAACGGGGGAAAAAATCCAGGTGTTCCTGCATATCGCTTAATCCACGGGTTAGATTCGACACATTTGTAGCAGATAAGGACTGCCCAATCATCCTGTTCGGGGAAACCAGGGGGCATAGGCGGATCCTCGTCCAATTCCTCGACAGCTTCATCAACAAGACTCGGTTTCTTCAGACTCTCCTCGTACCAGTCTTTTGAAATGCCGATAAGACATTCTGGGTGCCACCAGTCTTCCCCACAGCCGCCAGTCGCGACAGAACCAAGACCCAAGCATTGAAACATAGTTCCTTTCTCCGAGTTTGGATCATACGATTCGCCACAGCCACAAAACTTGTTGCGAAAGTTATCGTTGTATGTGTTGGTAGATGCTGCTTCCTGGGAGTGGACGCCTTTGCGACCAGTTTTGGGGTCGACGCGCAGACTGCATGGGGAGGTGGAAGGCAGACGAGAAGTTCCACAATCACAGACAAAGTTGCGCTTTTGGAAAAGCTCAACTAGGGTGTGTTCGCCATGGCAGACAATGGAGCAAGAGTAGCAGACCGCGGCAGCAGAGTATGGATCATCGGCGTTGGCAGGAGGAGGGTTGCAAGTCAGACATGAGAAGAGGCTCTGACGCAGCGGACCGAGATCATGGGTACAGGAATCGAACGACTGAGTCCTGTCAGTAATGCGCTTAGGGAATAAATCAGCCATGGCCTACATATGGCAGAATCTCACGGGCATCAGCCTCCAGACGGGTCTGATCGTCGATGAATCTGGCAGCCGGTTAATTGAAAACGTTCAGATAGCGTAGGATTTCATCTGATGATGCGCACTCTTTGGCAGTCTGAGAGTCCTGTGACGCAAAGCTATCGCGCCGAGAACCGAGCTGATGTGCAGCAGTACTAGGAGGGTCCATTTTAGCAATTGTTTGTGCTGTCAAGGACGGATGTTAGATGTAATAGGGTTCGAGCTGGAGTGTGACGATGGTTTAGCCACCCTTGGGTACGCTCCGATAGTAAGAAGGCGTTCTCACACGAAGGCTTTGGAGGCTAATGTAGTCCCGTATACTGAGAATGATTCGCTCCGTGGGAAAGTAAGAAGATGTAGGGTTCGAGTTGGGACGTGACACGATAATATACCCTTGGGATTTTGAAGCCCGCGTTGCGATTACACGATGTTTGTTTAGTTTGCAGATTAATTCCAAAACGGAAACATCAGTTCTCACGTGACTAACCACTTTTACCTCACTTCAACTTCACTTCCATGAACTAGACATTTTACTTTGGCCTCACTTACTTTTCAATTGATGGCTCGATATTTATTTGAACCTCAGTCCCCTGTCACTTGAACCTGACTTTAGATTTTACTCTAAATTTCTCTTTCACGCTATCATCACGTGTCATCCTAATTAGGTTAAATTGAACTTCCCTCTTAAGAGCGATTGCTTTTTCTTGCTATATTTAATAGAACATATTCATTAATATGTCGGTATCATGACATCAATAAGAGATCACTGGGACGATATTTCATGATTATGTTCCAAATATTCAATGTCATAATGGAAATGTATACTACCGGTGCAAAGTGACGCGTTACGCGTTCCGTGTTTCGCGTGTTTTCTCGAGTTTAATTTCCACCTCCCGCCTTTATTTCTCCCTTCCCTAACAACCTCCTATCAACCACACCTTCGACGCCTCCGGCAAAATTATACCCTTTTGTGTCTCCATTAATTTGGGTCTCCCTTTTCATAGCATAATTAAGCCATATTGAAATCTTGACATAATAAAGGCACACAACATGGAGTAAGTTATTCTTTTTTGCCCTCTTTTAAACACCGACAAGCTAATGTTGCTCTCTACAGTCCCCTCCGGCCTAGCGAATCGGCCGCAAACCGTGGTCCGAGATCAAATACTCGCAAGCGTTCCAGAGAGCCAGATGATATGTCCTCTCCGGCTCCATTGCCCCCCTCTAGTCGTATGTAACAGAGATGTAAAAGTCTGCGGGGTCAAGTTCCTTACTGACAATATTTGCAGCTACTGCACTCGGCTCATCTCCTCCCCCGATGCCATTTGATGACGATGAGGAGGAAGAAGAAGATCCTGAGCTAGTGCCTGATATTGATGATATGGATGAGCTGGCCGAAGATGAGGATGGCATTGACCTGTTCGGCGACAGTTTTGAGCGGGATTATCGCGATGGCCAGGAAGATCGGTACGAGAACGAGGCATACATTGATGACGATGGAGATCACCAAGAGCTGGATGCCGCCGCTCGCCGACAATTGGATGCTCGGTTAAATATCAGAGATCGTGAATTTGCCCGTCGACGTCGCATGCCGGCCGCTTTCTTGCAGGATGATGATGAAATGTCGCTTGATCTCTCGCGTCAGCCGCGTCGTCGGCGTCACCACTACGATGAGGATAATGATGATATGGATATGGCCGATGAGGGCATGGAAGAGCTGTCGCTGGAAGAGTTGGCCGATGTAAAGGCAGCCAATATCACAGACTGGGTCACTCAGCCCCAGGTCCTTCGCTCAATCTACCGCGAGTTCAAAGCCTTCTTGACTGAGTTTATCGACCCTAGCGGCCACTCTGTCTACGGTAACCGAATCAAGACTCTTGGCGAGGTTAATTCGGCTTCCCTGGAGGTGTCTTACGCCCATTTGAGCGAGACTAAGGCTGCTCTGTCCTACTTTTTGGCCAATGAACCCACCGAGATCTTGAAGGTTTTTGATCAGGTTGCTCTTGACGTAACACTCTTCCACTACCCTCAATACCACGACATTCACAACGAAATCCACGTCCGCATTACCGATGTGCCCATCATCTACACTCTCCGTCAGCTTCGCCAGTCTCACCTCAACTGTCTTGTCCGCGTTGGTGGAGTAGTTACCCGCCGCACAGGCGTGTTCCCCCAGCTGAAGTACGTGATGTTCAAGTGCCAGAAGTGTGGTATCACCCTTGGTCCGTTCCAGCAAGAAGCTAGCGCCGAGGTGAAGATCTCTTTCTGCCAAAACTGCCAGAGTCGTGGTCCCTTCACCGTGAACACTGAGAAGACCGTCTACCGCAACTACCAGAAGTTGACTCTGCAGGAGTCTCCCGGCTCTGTCCCCGCTGGTCGTCTTCCCCGTCAGCGTGAAATCATTCTGCTGGCTGATCTGATCGACTCGGCTAAGCCCGGTGACGAGATCGAAATCACTGGTATCTACCGCAACAGCTATGATGCGCAGTTGAACAACAAAAATGGCTTCCCTGTGTTTGCCACCATTATTGAGGCGAATCACGTAGTCAAATCACACGACCAGCTGGCTGGATTTAACTTGACTGAGGAGGATGAGCGTGAGATTCGAGCTCTCTCCCGCGACCCTGAGATTGTGGACAAGATTGTTCGCTCTATGGCTCCCAGTATCTACGGTCACCTGGATGTGAAGACCGCTGTCGCACTCTCACTCTTTGGCGGTGTGAGCAAACAGGCCCAGGGTAAGATGAACATTCGTGGTGACATCAACGTTCTGCTGCTTGGTGACCCCGGTACTGCCAAGTCACAGGTGCTCAAGTTCGTGGAGAAAACAGCCCACCGAGCCGTCTTTGCAACGGGTCAGGGTGCTAGTGCCGTCGGTTTGACAGCTAGTGTTCGCCGCGACCCTCTGACCAGCGAGTGGACTCTGGAGGGTGGTGCGCTGGTGTTGGCCGATCGCGGTACATGTTTGATTGACGAGTTTGACAAGATGAATGACCAAGATCGAACTTCTATCCATGAAGCTATGGAACAACAGACCATTTCCATCTCCAAGGCTGGTATTGTCACCACCCTTCAGGCTCGCTGCTCAGTCGTCGCCGCTGCCAATCCCACAGGTGGTCGATACAACGCCACCAAGCCCTTCTCACAAAACGTGGAATTGACCGAGCCTATCCTTTCCCGTTTCGACATTCTGTGCGTGGTGCGCGACTTGGTTGATCCGACCGAAGACGAGCGCTTGGCCAATTTCGTGATTGAGTCTCATCACCGTTCTAACCCACTCCGACCTCTGCGCAATGACTTGGGTGATCTGGTTAACACTGAGGGTCACCTCGTCGATGAAGAGGGCTATCGCATCGACCAGAACGGCCGCTTGCCTCTTTCGCAAGATGAGCTGGCCCATCGTGCCGCTGAGAAGAAGAAGGCTGAAGATGAGAGGGAAGGCGAGATTCCGCAAGAGTTGCTGCGCAAGTACATCCTGTACGCCCGCGAACGATGCCACCCAAAGCTGTACCAGATCGACCAGGACAAGATCGCCCGTCTATTCGCGGATATGCGTCGCGAGTCTCTCGCTACTGGAGCCTACCCCATCACTGTAAGTCCAACTCTGATCTCTCCGTCAAGTATACCCATACTAATTTCCTATTAGGTCCGTCATCTCGAAGCCATCATGCGTATTTCTGAGTCCTTCTGCAAGATGCGTCTATCAGAGTATGTTTCCTCGCAGGATATCGACCGTGCCATCGCCGTGACTGTGGAATCTTTCATCGGTAGCCAGAAGATCAGCTGCAAGAAGGCGTTGTCTCGTGCATTTGCTAAGTACACCCTCGCCCGACCCAAGGCGCAATCCAAGCGTCGAGCTGGTGTCGCCAGGCCAGACGGCAATGTGCCGCGTACTGTGTCCACGGCGCATTAAGCATTTCGCCATGGTTTAAGTCTTTTGGTTTGTTTCATGTTAAAATACCATCTTGTCTTGTGGTGTGTGGCGTTTACTGAGTATATTTTTTGTTTTCTCGGGCTGCCTCTCGTTGGGCCATGATTTAATGAAATGAACAATAATTTCTACAATTTTGCTGCATCCAGACTCAGCGACTCGTAAATTCCAAGCCCTAGAACGATACAATTTTTGAATCATAGATATAGCTACTATCCTAGCAGCGGTAAATACATCTGGGGCTAATCGCTGACAATTGTAAAGTGCCCGCATATGTGGTCTTAACTATACGGAGGTACCTGGCTGGTTCAATCGCTTTCAAGGTTGCTGCGCTTGATCTGCTCCGGCTTGAATCGATCTTATCACAGGATGGGCTTGACTTATATATTCATTCTGGTTGTTGCTGCCGACCTAGCTCTTCCGTCTCCATAGTCAATTCCTTCACGAATAGAGAACTCAAAAATCCTAAAACTCAAAGCGCAGCCAGTTCATACCAGATAGTCTGCATGGCGTCCTTGTATGCCTCTCGAAGAAGGCCCCGCAGAGCAGGGGAGATGTCGAAACCTCACAGATTAGGAATAAATCCCACAGTCGCCCTAGGATTTTTCAACAATGCCACAGAAGCAAGCAAAGCGATTCCGTCAATGCTGTCGGTAAAAATACTGCTGAATGTAGTGGAACCAACGGCAAGACCAAAAGAGCCCTAAAAATCGAAAAGCCAACAGTCATAGCTAGGGAGGAGGATTGGTCCTATAGTGAGAGAATATCACAGCTGACGGCGAGAGATACTCATCCAATCCAGATTTCCCATTCATATCGCCGGAGGAAGTCAACGATAAAGACAGCAATTTCTGTGAAAACGAAGACCACATAGCAGAATAGTAGGTTATGGAATGAATTCAGGAATTTGCACGCTGTAAAGATCCGATTGTTAAACAAGAAGAATTAGCTAAGGAAGGGAAGGCCGAATGCTCTTATCCAGAGAGAGACTGGGCATATCATCGAGTATCGACCCGTTACATTACCCTAATCCTCTCCGGCGTCTCGTACGACGTGCCGTGGGCTGCCGTTGTTCTGCGTTACCGTCCCATAAGAGTAAGGCGTCCTCGGTGGCCGTAGTGGTTTATTGTTTCCTCTATCCGCTGTTGAGATAATACCATTAACGCTTAAGCCCACTCTCTGGATTATCTTAGCTGTTATACGACAGTATCTACCTATAAAATTAGAGAGTGGTGGCTTATGCTTTTTGTGAAGTCATGGTGGAGGTCTAGAAGTTGTGATAGAAAGAATAGGCTTACGCCTATCACGGTTGCGTCCCTACTATTAATAGTAATGTCGGCCGAGTGCAGTAATTCGTTCTAGTCGTCTTGTGCGTAGATTAACTGTAATGAGACCAACTATTACCCTTGTCCTATATGGTCCACCACTACAGCAAAATAGTGAGATAACTGCCCCCATCTTCAAGTCTATATGATGATGCAGACCTCGAGAGAGCTAAACGCTAGAAAGTTTTATAACGGGATTTTGGTATTACTGTTGCGATAGCCGCCTGAGAAACAATGCTAAACTGTTGGAACCAATGGAATCTGGTTTGCTGAAGTAAATGAACTCGGGAAGTGAATGAGCTCGGGAAGTGAATGAAACCAGTGGAATCGGGGCATATCCGATTCCATCGCGGGAACTTAGAATGAACACACATCTTATCGCATAACTTATTACACGTACAACGTAGTAGTAATAGTGCATCGAGATCCCTGTGAACCGACACTAACACAACTCGGAGGACTAGGCTAACTATCAGAGCAAACAGCACCCCGGTATAGACTGCATCGCGACATCCTTGTTCAATGTGCATCGCAAACAATACCTTTGAGCAGTCTGCATTTACAACAGTGATGTCCCGTCTCTTCTGTTTTATAAGTAGCTAGTCCTTGACATGAATGGAAAAACAGACTTTACAACTACCCCAATATTCACCTTGTAGGAATCTACATAGTAGCATTACCTCCTAGTGGTGAGTATGGGTTCGTAAGGTTACTGTTGCGACAGCCGAGAAACAAGGCCATCAACAGACGGAAAGTATTTCGGCCGAAAAAGCTTCTGCCGAGACAGCGACTCCGGAACTGGATTAGTATATCACGGCATCCTTGAACGATATGCATTCATCGCAAACGACACCCTTGAGCGATGCGCATTCGCGACAGTAATGTCCCGTCTTCACCGTCTCTTCTGTCTCGGACGAATGTTGACATTCGTCCAGAGCAGAGGGGCGCCCATATACTATAAGTAGCTAGTTCTTTCGTCAATGAAAAAGCAGACTTCACAACAACCACAATATTCAGTACTGTAGAGACCACTACACTTGGTGGTTTGTCTACGGTGTTGAGTAGTGGTTTGTTGAAGCTCACCAACTCCTTTCTACTGCAGTAAACTCCAATTCCCTTTTACTGCAGTAAGGACTCGAGCACCGTTCTCAGTTATCGGCGACTAGCTAGCTACGCTCGCTAAGCGAGCGACAGTTACAACAACCTCAGCACAACCTCAGCTAGCTTATAGCGACAATTACCGCAGTCTTACCCCTCCCACCTTGAGTCCAACAATAGCTACAATAGCTGTCAGAAAAATCCTAGCACTGAGCTCACCACCTATTCATCATACAGATAGAGTGATACGCCAAGGCTAGGCAACCAGCGACGTATAAAATGAACTCTTTTCGGTAGCATAAAAAGCCTAGGGAGAAAGGGAGGATAGAAAATCGTGAGAGATATGGAGCGAGACATGTTATACACGTGATACCTTTTGAGACAAAATCCATGTAAAGAAAGTTAATTTTAGGTCCGTGACGATAGAGGCCCCTAATCTTCAGGCTTAGGCCTGCATGATGATTTAGACCTCGGCATGTTTTGCTTTCTACTAAAGCCTTTTCTTAAAAGGGCATTGTCCTACCATTTTATTCTTCTAGTAAGAAAATAGGGGATATTTCAAGATGGCGCTACAAGATTATGTGGGCCGAATCCAGAAGGAACCCTTCCTTGTATGTATCCCCACCTACCTTTCCCGAAAAATAAATGGTATCCTAATGCGGCTCCTTAGATCTCAAACAGCTTTTTCTTAGGACTCGCTCTTATCGGAGTATTTGTCCGCTTTATAGTCCGGTTCCATGTGCAGAAGCGCCGGTTCCAGATCGAGGATACACTACTTATATTGGCCACTATTTTCCTACTAGCAGCTCTGACAATCATGTATAGTAAGGTGATTACCCCAATGTTCTTGAAGGCAAGTATTCAAAGTGGGGTAAAGGGCGTCGATCTGCCTGCAAATCTTGTGGAAATATCGCAGGTAGTACCCAAATGGACTCTGGCCTCTATAACGCTTAGTTGGTGCTCGATCTCTACCGTGAAATTCTTCTTCCTCGCACTTTTCTGGAGATTGATCGATCGCTTACATGGATGGCAAATCTACTGGTGGATTGCTTTCGTCATCAACGTCGTTGGTATAATATTTACTATAGCGATATTTTATTCTAGTTGTCTTTATTGGGAGAGCTCAGCATGTGAATAATCATTCCTATCCTTCTTTTTTCGGAATAGGTGATACTAATAGATATTTTAGCTCATTGTCCTATCGGACGGTCTATGGATAGGTCTTTGGATAAGGCTATTCGCAATATAATAGCTCAAATCTCTTTAGATATTACGGGAGATCTTTTAAGTATGTCCTTCAACCTCCTATAAAACACTGAACTTGTCAATATTCTAGTATAAGCTAATTTTTCTAATCTTTAGTCCTGGTGATTCCTATTGGAATTCTCTGGAATGTTCGCATGAAATGGACTCAAAAAATGGCTCTAGGGAGTTCCCTTTGTCTTACGATCCTTCTGGTTGCCCTTTCAATCGCTCGGTTTATTGCTAGTTCACACCCTAATGTAAAAAATAACACTTGGGGATTGTTCTGGTTCACTATGAGCGCAAATGTGGGCGTCTTCCTCGCGGCCGTGAGTGCCTTTCGATCCTTCTTCCGAAAGCAAAGCAAACCCTACATTCCTATCTATCGCAAAAAGCTCAAGAGCTTTTCCAAGAAGCTACCGATCCGGTCAGGCCGAGGTCATAACGTCTCAGGTACTTGGCCTAGACATACTTCTACCAACCCAGGCTTCGAGCATCTGCCCGAGAACGCAAACGATTTGGATCGCCGGCACGATGACCCAGAATGGCATGCTATGTCGTCCTTTACTATCTCTGCTGAATACGAGAGTAGCCACGATGCTGCTCAAAATTCTGCCTATCTGAAAAAAGTCGAACGCGTTGCAGTCCTGCCACGGTCGACCTAATATACCGAATTTACTGTTGGTTGCAAGGTCTGACCAATAAACTCCGATTAGTCTGAATAGAAAGTGGGGATTGGTTTACTCACTGAAACGTCTGATTATATTGAATATCTGAATAACATACGAATTTAGAACCTCCTAGTCTCTCAACTTTGTAAGGGCAATAATGGTTACTAAAATATAACTCAAAAGAAGAAGAATCGCGGGAGGAACTTATATCTGTCAAAAGTGGCCCAATAGAATCTAGGAAATAGAGCTGTCAATAATAAAAATGACTAAACAGTTCCGGATCTAGAAGAAAGCCGGTCTATGAGTGAGATTGTTATCATTTGAAGTTCAGCTAGTATATTTACCCTATGGCTCCTACAATATGTATCAAGTCAAACTCGATGCCTTAGGAAAGGGACTTGGAGTTACATCAGCTCCAGGGCGATACATTTTCAGGTCTTGTTTGTAGTCACGATTAGGACTAATAGTATCTGAGGATGAGAGATCAGTTTTAGTTCTTTTTCTCCTTTCCACACCACATTCTACACTCATCTGCTTACGTAGTCTTTCCAGCTAGCAGTGTCTGCTTTCGGTAATTACTTCACCCAATGGACTTGTACTCTTGCAGCGTGATCGTATGGAAAAAAGTGCAGTCTCCTTTCAAAAATTATTTAGTCTACCTAGGTACTTTTGCTAATCTATTCTTTTTTCCCGTAATAGAAAATTGAAGGTCAATTTCGTCTAGTAGTCTGCACCGACCTTCATTATATGGCTAGACTTAAAGGAAGTTTGTAACGAAAACAGGTTAGGCATTGTCTGCCCAAATTTGCCTACGTTCTTCCAAATCATGGAAAAGATCGCCTTGTGACTGGGCATAGCCACTTACCATCGACCACGCAAGCAGGGGTGAAACAAATCGACCAATAGGGATCTCTGGAAGTGACTATCTCAACAAGTTGTTATGTAAGAGGTACATGGAGCTGATAAGTTACTAGGCATCTTAGAATTGTTTGTCATAGATGCTTGGAATCTAAGATTTATTTATTATGGTGTACTGGGCTCTTGATTTTATGTTTCCGTTTTTTTTTCTTCTAGAATTTTGTAGGATTCAAACCATCGTCAGTTCAGAAATTTCCCATAATGGACTTAGTGCCACAGCCCAACCATTCAAAGCCAGACCCGGTGAACGTTCCTCTCCTAGTTGATATGCCGTACGAGATATCACAGCCCGGCAATCTTGAGAAACGTCTCTTAGAAGCCGAGAAGAAGCTTCCCACCTTTTCATCCGCGAAGGAAATTGCCTTTTATATTCAGTCGCGGTTTTTCTTCGGACTATTGGCCAATTACCTAGACGAGGAGATTCAAGTCAACAGTTTTGCAAAGGAAATCAAAGGCCACCAGTTCGTCTGTCTTGATATGGTCGCTAATAGCATTTATGGTGACTATGAACGGTACCATCTGCGCTGCTGTTTTCGCCGGAGTGAACAAGTCTTAGCACGCACAAGGTTACAAGTTTTGAAGCTGGAGGGTCTTCCCAATGGAAATTGCAGCCCTGTGCCAGAGGTCGCTTTGTCTACACTGGTTCTTTGCGATGCTTTACTTGCTCTGATTATTGATGATCAAGAAAGACAATGGTACCCCAGAAACACCGGAAGGGAATTGATTTACAACAATCCTTTACAGAAACCCTATCAACATAAGAAGTGGCCATGGGTTGCTTCATTGGAAAATGTGAGCAACAAGTCAAACATAAAGGATGGGGTACAGGGTTCACTACTCCTCATCATCGACCGTCTTGAAAAAAACGGGTGGTGTCCTTCGACTATCCAGGCCACTGCGAGAAGCGTTGGGTATTTGACCCTCTACTACATGTCCCAGATAAATCGTACTCGTGTTCCCAAGCTAGACCATGGATCCTGCACCGATTTAATATGTATGGCGGCAAAGAATTGTGTGGAGGGTCCACAAACCCCTCCGCAATGCAGCAATCCGGCAAAATGTTGTTCACTAAAGGAAGATGAAATTATATTTAATCCACAACACACATCACACAAGAACGAAAGTTGCTCCAAGGTGGCTCCTCCAATTCAAGATGTGATAGACATCCTTAAGGATGGGAAAATTCCGCTTGTCAAATTCGAGAAAAATGAACATGATGGCCATGCGAAATTGAAAATTGTTCCCGCAAGAGTGGATAGCAGATACGTTGCTGTCTCTCACGTCTGGTCCGACGGCCTAGGAAACTCTCACGACAATAGCATCTGGCAGTGCCAGCTAGATTCGATTATTGAAAGCATTTCCAATCTTCCGAATCATCGTGGGGAGACAATGTCACATTTGGCTTTTAATAGACGGGAAACCCTGTCACCATGGAGTATACCAGGTATTTACTCCAGGAATGAGCCTTATGATCTATTTTGGCTGGATATTCTCTGTATCCCAGCTAAGCATGCGCTATGTGGTCTTGTTGACATCCCTGAAGATCTTCGGTCTACCACAGTCAGCCAAATCTCGGCCGTCTTCGCAGGTGCGATGCAAGTCATGATACTAGATAGAGAAATGCAGCGTCTGAGGCGTGACACATGTCAGATGCCAGAGATTCTAGCTCTATTTCAAGGCTGCAACTGGGCAAGTAGGGCTTGGACCTACAAAGAGGGTCAGGGCTCACTATGCTACGTGAAACTTCAGAATGGATTCTTCAATCCTCGAGATATAGTCCTTGATTCGAGAGATTGGAGCCAATTTATCCGTCGAGATGGACGTACTCTGCAGAAAATAGTATCTGCCTCAGTAATTGATCCTTATTCAGAGACAACGTTTTCGGGGATGATTGAGCGATGGCTCTGCCACGACTTACAGCGCCTGATTCACCAATCCTGGTTCTTTCCGCTACACTGGGATGATTTGCCGGAAGCTTCTGTCGGGTCTTCAATTCAGAGAACTATAAATCAGCTATACGACAAGCCAGATCTCCATCCGCCAGCTTTCTTCGCAAGCTCTAAGCCTTTTATATCGGTCTGGAATGAGTTACTTCGGCGATCATGCTCAAATGACAAGGACCGGATGTATATACTTGCAATGTCTTTACAGATGTCGCCAGATGACGTCTTTAAGATTGATTCTGATGAGAGATTGAAGGCTATACTTTGGAGCTTTTCTGATGTTCCGTTATCGCTACTCTTCGATCCCTGCAAAAAGAATCTTTCCACTGGCTCTTTCATTCAAAATGGACCAGACAAGTGGATCCAAAGAAGTGCTAAAGACTTCGATTCTGGTCCTATCTATCCTCTGAAACCGGAATTTCGTGGTAAATTATCCCCCAGTAAAGATCAAATAACTTTTGAGCTCCCTGTGGGGCAGCAGAACCCAGCTGTGATGGTGATTCCACATATACAGGCACAAACCCAGTGGCTGAGAGTGGTTCATAATAAAGAGGTATGGATTATTCGCATCCATTCTGCCCCATCTCATAAAACGAGTGGACAAGCCATTTTAATTATTGATACTCATACTCTCACGTGGGAGAATGACAAGCCGGCACCAGGGAATCCAAAGTTGGATGGTAAATGGTTTGCAGGATGTTGCCTTGAAGTCAACCAAGCTCCCAACGAAGAGCCCAATCATAGGCGTTGGTTCTCTAGCAGGCAGCTCCCAAAGAAGATCCATGCGACATACTTATCTTCTATCTCAGTGTCGCAACCTGGAAAGGCCAATGATGAAAGAATAAGAGAGCTTTGCTCCCAGTTGCCAGTGATATCGGTGTCTACTATGGATATCAATAGCGACAGGGATTTGGATTGGTCAAAGATTATCTTACTTTGCGGTAGGAGATCACCCCCAGATACGTTTTGCTTTCGTTGTGTTAACAGTATCTTAGAGCCCCCGAATTCCAGTGTTACATATATCAATCGTCAATATTTACTGACGAAAGAAGAGTTATTGGGTTTTCGAGAAGCATTCACAGTTATCCCTTCTATTCTTCATCTCTTACTATGCCTCGCTAGGATAGGACTTTTCATGGCACTGGTTGGTGAGGATGTTTCTCATGTGTCACGTGTGGCAGCAGGGGTTTTGGCACCTTCCGACATTGTGACTTCCCTTCTCCTTATCGGTGTATGGTTTGGAGCCTTTCCTCTTGGTGACTGGGGTCTTCGTCTATGTGCAAGACTATTTCTCCAGAAGGAAAAGAACACCCAAAGCACGAAACCTAATTACATGCACGAGTCTAGTGGATTCTTGTCTACTTTCCTTGGGTTTGTTTGCAGTTGTTTTGTCTTTCCAATATGTGAAGTTCTTTTTCTCATCGGCTGGAAAGCAAAGTATACCGGTTGGGGAACAATCGATAGGGCTTTTATTGGTGTTGCAGCTTTTCAAATCCTGTTGTTTCCTTTGACCCTATGGGCTCACTTGCGCTGGGCTTATCTGACACGCAAAGTTTGGCTTATGAGTTATTCTTCAAAACTGGGCAAATTCCTGGCCAGCGATAATGATAAGAATGACGAAATACGCAAGATCTGGCAAGGAGCTTTGAGAGGAGAACGGATTGCTCTTTTAAAACTCATTTGGAAATTTGATCAGATAAATGAGGCGCTGAAGATGCCATTCCAATAGACGACATGAATTTCACAGCACTATCTGAAAATCACTTCTTCAATAGTTTTGTAGAATTTTAATTCTTTTTTTGAAAAAATTCTTCAGTATACTTGTATAGGTCTCGTTTTATTATGCTAATCATACATTGAGATATATGTATTGTTTCAGCCCTCACTTTTGATGATGCTAAAGAACACACTCCTATCCTGTAGTACAGGTCAAGCTTCAGGCTTTGGTTAAATACAACCTAAACTCGGCGCCTCTTTAGTTGATCTAATGAATTTCAGTACTGTGCTACTCTAGAAGGTATGGCTAGGATTGTTAATTAGGGGTCTAAAACTGTTGTTCCTAAGCGGCCAAGGCGTTCCTGCAAGGGACGGGTCTTAGTTATGCATAACAAACCTCTATTTCAGGCCTGCATGGCGAAAATACCCCTGAGCACTCTTCTTTTGTACCCACTGCATTGATACACTATTCGAGGAATATATCAAATCCCCGGTTGGGATCTCTTTCATGGTAACCCATGCTATTCTCACGAACATCTTTTTTTATTTTATATTTTATCTTCACCTAGAAACCAAAAGATTTCAGTAAAATCAACCTACAAATGTAATTTCAGCCTCTATTATCAACTAGCTTAGAACCTTTCCCTCTGAAGCTTTGGTCGTGTCATTTCTTACTCGCGTAAGATAAGCATTTTCCTCTTCGGCCCCACGAACTGCCTTAAGATAACTCTTGAAGTTGTGTGACATGGTGACCACTTGGCGAAGATGATCTTCCGTCAGCTCAGGAACGGAATTACCTTCATGTTTTGCCTGGAAGCACGCCAGCGCAACGGCTGTTTGGAAGGCTTTAGGCTGTATTAGCGTCAAGTTGACAACTAAATGGGTCGATAACTACTTACCGTTCCGTATCTCGCGACCATTCCATTTGAGGACTCGAAGATCCCTCTCTCGACGAACATACTCCTTGGCATCGTAATTGTAGCGAATGAGCTGGCCTCCATCTTCATGGTTTTTGCTTAGCTTTTTGAAATAACCTTCCCAGATCTTTCTCCTCGAGTCATCATCGAGAGGGTCGTATCCGATCTGCACATGGATTCGTGACATGAACGCTTCATCAAAGCTTCCGACGCGGTTAGTTGTGAGAAAAAGAAGGCCCTCAAAATAATCAAGAGCCCGGAGAAAAACTAATTAGAGGTAAGAATGATTTCTGTGCGTAATGTTATTGCAGCAGGGCTGGAATGACTTACTGGATACAATGCTGTTCCGCCGAAGGTCTTGAGAAGAGCGTGTCTCAAGATACACGTCAGCTTCGTCAAGAAGCACTATCGCGTTCCATTTCCTTGCGTTTCTGAAGAATCGAAGCAAGTTGCTCTCCAGTCGCTCTGGCTCATGGCCCAGATCAGCAGCAGTAATACTCAGCAGAGGGCGACCTGTATACTCTGCGACAGACTCTGCGAAAAGTTAGCTTAGACTTTTTATATCTTTGTTTCTTCAATATTTTCTATACCAGCCGTCAGAGTTTTCCCTGTCCCTGGGGGGCCATGAAGCAACAATATCTGTCCTTCTCCTTTTCCCCGAACAAAATCTGCAGAGAATGTTTGAGGGTATGTTCCCCCAAATATCTCACAGACTGCTTTGATCAAGTATTTGTTGCTGTCCGGCTTCAGTACTAGCGAATCGATAATGTCCTTGTCTATCTTCGGATCTCTCAAGCCAGAGACCTCCAGGACATCTAGCTCATAAATATCAGCTACTTGATATCATACCAAGTGGGAAGGTTGGCTCCACTTACCCCAGACACGGTCCTTTAACACAAACCCATAAACATGTGACCAGCAAAGGAGATATTGGTGATCATCTAAGGTTTCTCTTGAGCTAAGATCAATATCATCATAGTCGTCGAATACGCGACGCTCTACACCATTTTTGCGTGGGTTCTTGGTCTCGCATGATTGACATGGGCATCGTGCAGTTCTTGTTCGTTCACCCAGCTCATAACCGACGAAGTTTTCACATGGTGTGTGAGCATTTGGATCATCAATAGAGTTCCATGGCAGACTCTGATGGTCGATAACGACTCTCGCTTGATTAAACTATGCCGTTGTGAGACCCGGATGAAAATTCTTGAAAAGGGACGAAGTCATTCATGGAATTCAACTCACGGTGCGGATACCTTGCAGCTTACTTGGTCCATTGTACTCTTGAAATGAAGGCTTTCTCATCACTTCCACAAATCGTTTCCCTCTATCCACCAACTGCTGATATAGAGGGTTCTGAGGGTCTTCATCGACGTGGAACCGAACTGGGAATATAGGCAATGAGTTTATCTCACGATCGTTATCAAACACAGGAATAGTGATAGTCTTGACAGATCGGGTCAAATACTGCCCATCAAAGTTGAGATTCCAGACGTCGACAGTGTATGGGTCCGAACGCTCTGATGGAGAATCCCATTTGATTCCACCTTCAAATGATTCAATCACATATGCATTCAGCTTCCCCTTTTCACGAACGTAAACATCTGAACCAGGCTTGAGCAGGAGCCACAGAGTCGTAAAAGTTGTTTTTGGAACCGAGCCACTAGCAAGACGCTCGGCATCTTTCAAGCCAAGCTCTGTCAGTCCTTCTAGATATTCATTCAAGATATTAATATGCTCCACACAAACTACATGGTATTCGTCATCATGGCTTTCTTTTACCACCTTCCGGTATCCAAGAAGTTTCTCTTGATAGTGATGAAGGTCGACGAAAGGGTACACAAAACGCCCCAGGCCAAGATCGCTGATAGTAGATTTCGCTCGAAATTCCTTTGGCGTAAACTTATCCGGGATTGATTGGAAATCAATGATAGCTCGAAGAGCATCCAGAAGAATTGGCGAGTGAATGTAGAGAACAGGGATACCGATTGTATCTACCATTTCATCCAAGTTGATGGCATGTGGGTTGCTAAAGTACACCTCTCTGTACTCTTCAAGAACGGATTTGCGAATCTGAATTTCAGAACCTTCTGTAGGTTTAACCCTTTCTTCTTTGCGCCGAGTGCTGCTGCTTCTATAGTCACCGTCCTCGTCTGGGGTCAAATAATGTGCCACATAGACTATCTTGTTTATATCCTCGGCTGGTGCGACAGATTCCTTATCACTGTCTCTCTCCATATCCTCTTTTTCTTCGCGGATACAATCCAAAATGTCGACCCTAGTAAACTCAATCTTGAATTCCCAGCCTGGTAACACCAAACTTTCCCAGTGACTGCGCAAGACCTTGGAGGATCCAGGTTTGATTTGAATAATTGAGAAATTATCAGTGGGGCCCTTTGTCTCCATGTCAAGTAGATCTGAGACTCTATTGGGGACATATATATCGAGAAAAACGGATTTGATCAGTTTCTTGACACCCTGCCAATAGTTAATAATCAACGAGAAAATGAGTATTGCGTAAGACAAACACTCCAGGTCTTAGCCGCCTCGTATGGAAAAGTCCAGCGAGTACCGACTGGGTCGATGAATACAATTTGTGGTTGATCTTCCGTATACTGTGGTAGAGCTGCACTACCACATCCGCTAGACTGAGTTTCACTCTCATTATTACCTCCTTCAAGAGGCTGCTCCTTCATCTTATTGTCTCTATTAACGTCGGGAACGTCTAAATTACCAGAGTTCTCCCCATGATCCAGCTTCTCGCTTGAACTGACCATATCGGTAGAAGCCCAGTCGTCTTTTCTCGCAATCACTAAGTCGGCTGTTAGAAATTCTGCAGCATTCATATCTGTCTTTTCATGCTTACATTTCAGTGTGTTGTCACTCGTACTTCCAATTAAAGTATTGATCAATACAGTATCTTCCATCAGTACCGTCCCTTCAAAAATGAAGAAAAGTTTATTATGAGCTCTCCAGGGAACGGGCCTGTTCTTGGAACTGCAGCAGGTGGAATATCAGAAAGTATTTAACAGTGTTTCAAGGAAGTTGTTCTAAATATTTATAGCTTGATATTTCAAATTTCTGATAAGATTGAACTCAATGGGCTACATCTCAAAATCCCACCCTTCAATATCTGATGATAATTGGATGCATGATGCGGTCACATATCCCGAAGATAGTGTATAGTCCGAAAGAGGCTCAATACCACAATGTAGTTCGTATATGCTTTATTGTGAGCTATTTTGGCCTATGCATCTCAGCCCAATGCCACCTGGGTATTATGTGGGTAAGCCGCTTGATATTGTAACATTGGACTTCTTTCAGTAGTTCATGTGGCATTGGCTCAAAAGGGTAAAGAAGGCTGTCTATCATTTATTAGGTTCATTAGCATTTCTATTCCTCAGAAATCTAGAAACTGTATCCCATCAAGTGACTGGGTGACCTTTTCTTCCTTTGCGTTTCAGCTGACCCGGGGCGTTTACAGTGAAGCGGGGTTTGGTCTCGGTTCGCTGAAGTTGCATATTTTCTTTTGATATCGATAAGTAATTTCATCACAGAACTCGGGAGGGGCTTCAGTATCATTGTAACCGATCTGTAAAGGGGCAACTGTACCTAAGTCAATTTTTATGCAGACTCTTTTTGGTTTTGGTTTATGGACTTATGCCGAGGTAATGGACGATGCCTCTAGGGCTGGAGTACTATCGACATATTTCCAGTCTTAGAGTTATTGATTGCTGCCTAGGTGCTCTATCTTGTTTATCTTTATATATCCAGTAATTTTGACTCCGTAGAGTATACAGGGATGTCTCTGGGCGGATTCAGTACACGGATTCCCAAATACTTCTGTCCAATAAGCATATACACTACTATAAGTGCGATTTTAGTGCTGATTATCTGACAGCCACAGTTAGCCTAAAGTATTAGCGGAGGTTACAACGCACCAGATTATAAGCCCCCCTGTGACGCACCTGACCACCATTAGTCACGGTCAAGTAACAAATATAGCAATTTCAAATATCTAAAATCCAATTCATCGGTGTAGCCGAACTCAGTATCAGTGTGAGTGGGCCTGAATAGGTCTGTTGACGGCTCATATCTCTTAATAGAGCAGGCATCCAAGGTTACCTTATCAAGGGACTCGTCAATTTGATCAAGTCTTCGTCAGTCCTAGCATTTCTTTGACACTGCACTTGAGATTTCAGGAATAACTTGGCAAGAAAAGATCATGAGCACCGAACAGGACTCACCACGGCCCATAGTTGTGCGTCGGTTCACTTCCGAGCTTAAGCCGGATTCGGATCTAGCGGTCCAGACAAAGTCATACCAAGAAGACTTAGACATGGAGATGGAGATGCAAGGTAGGGTACGCATGTACCGCACTTACTATCAACAGCCAATCGAAAGGTACTGCCGACGGATAACCTTGGAAGAAGTATCATGGAAGAGACTGATAGCCTTCATCTAGCTTATTTACAGGAGTTGAGATTGCCCGTCAAACCCTTCAAGACAAATGCAACGAGTTTTTCAAGTCCGTCGAACAGAAAGAGGAGTCTGAGAAGAAGAAATTGAGGATTTGGGGAAGATTCAATCAAAATGATGCTGAGAAGCAACTAGTCCAGGAAATTGGCAATAGTCAGGGAATGACAGTGAATCAAGTCAGTTCAATCACAAATGATCTAGAGGAGAAATGGAAAAAATCAAATAGCAAGGTGAGCTATCCATATTTCCTATAGACAGCCTGGGAAGAGAAATATGAATTTAGAGTTGGCTATTGACAAAGAATATCCTAGGCAGCGACAAACTTTATCAAAATTTGTCAGAAACTCGACTTGCATAGACAAATCTTCCAATGTTTCTCCAATCAATCTGACTACATATCTACCCTTTGTGGTGCTGTCTCGATGATCATCCAGGTGAACTCCCACAAACCGTAAACCCACTAACCCATCTAACTTTCTATCTCAAGGCCTCGGTCAACTACTCAACCATCGCAGAACAGCTTTCATCATACATTGCGGACCTATCCGAGCGTATCGCTATCTGCACGAGCTGGCTTGATTTGTACACAAATATAGCTATGAAAGAGCGATTGTCTGAGATATATGAGCAATACTTCGATTTTTTTATCGAAGTGGCCTGCTGGTATCTGAAATCGAAAGGATCTAAGATACTAGACTCTTTCAATTCCAAATTCACATCAACTTTCCAAGGAACAATGAATAAAGTTCAACGTTCTATTCAACTCCTTGACAACCAGGCCTCAATTGAGAATGCACGGGAAACGAAAAGCCTACTACCAGCGATTACTGATTCGGCGGATTTGATTATAGCACAAGTGCTACAGAGTCGAAAGGAGAATAATGAGGTTGGAAGGAAGATGTACGAATTCCTCTTGCAGATGGGGGATCGTGGTATGGAATTCCTTTCCACAACACCAAGCCCACTCCGTTTTTAACATCTATGTGGTGACTAGTGGATCGAATCGAGCGTGCACAGCTCCAAGCAGCTTCAGGGACTATTGAAACTATATCTAGCGAGGTCCTGACGATAGAAGCAACGGAATTCACAGAGACTACTACTGTCCCCAAAGTGATAACTAGAGCCGAGGCCGAGCAACTATGTCAGCATCTCCAAATACTAATTGACCAAGTAGGAGGTAGTGACGGAATCCGACTGGCGCTTCAAGCAGGACGACTTGTCGCCGAGCCACTTATCATCCGCATACTTGGTAAATGGGCAACCGCAACATCTGGCAACGACCTCATACTCTGGGTTATCAGCCCGTATGAGCCTGGTCCACAAAACAGCGCAGACCTCGTGGCGTACGGGGTAATCTGGTCTGCTATACAAGCCAAGGCCCAATTCATCTCATACATCTGCCAAAGACCTTGTCCCAATAAAGTGCCCGGGTTCGAAGGCTTCGAGGACAAAGCTGCTGTTCTGGCGATGGCCTATAGTTTGATATGGCAGCTGCTACAATTTCAGCATCCGAACGATGAGTTAATTCTCCGCCGGGATATGCTTGATCGAATTACGAAGTCCGAGGAGCGCTGGAGCTCCAGTTTAGAACTTCTGAGTTATTTGTTAGAGGAAACATCTTCACTGGGATACTTTATTATCTCTGGGATCAACCTTCTTGAAGGTGGTGCGTGTGAAATGTGCAGAGAGTTTGTCGACGTGGTATTTTCTCGTGTGAAGAACTCCAAGTGGCCTTTGCGGGTACTTTTCACTACACCAGGGCAGTCGAGGCCGCTTTCGGAAACCGTTAGCATGGAAAGCAAGGTTCTTTCTAATAAGACTTTTCACCAGACGAAGGGGAGGATGCATAATCGCAATATTCAAATGTCCGGATAAAACGCTAAACTTTAATTCACACTCCACTCTTCTACGATACCAATGAAGAAAAGTATAGATATGTTCAAACGGCAATAATAGTTACTAAAATATAACTCAAAAGAAGAAGAATGTACTCGTCCCGTTTTTCCGAGTTTTCTGATTGGCCAACGAAGCCCTTTATATACGAATCAACAATAAGGGGTCCACGGGTCCATATGGGGCTGAAAACACCACCCAATCAGCAAATCCGCTGCCAAACAATAAAATCTTATCTTGACCCAAACATTCCCCTTTATAACCATGGACGCATACCTAGACATCTCCAAGCAAAAGACAGCTCAAAAATGGCCACCTCAACAGCTTTAACCGCAACATACAATCTAGGAACAAGCGCAACCTCCTCATCAGCCACTTCCACCAACTACCCTGTATTTCCCAATCCAGACTACGTGCAGAAATTCTTCGTCTCCCAAAATAGTGGCCTCACAAACCTCGACATAGACCTATACAACGAATGCTACCTACCTTATAGAAATCTCCCGCACCATAGTCAGAATGCACGCAGGGACACAGATCTTTCTATTGGTCAAAACCCTACAATCGCGCAACCAACGTACCAGATCGATCAGGCCCCGTGTAAACGGCAGGCGGCGATAAATGCGAACTGCTACTACCAGAACACGAACGGGAAGCTCTCAGGTCTACAGACTTATTCGGGCGACTGGGATGCTCAGCAAAAGTGCTTTTGTGAAATCTATCCTTTCTTTGATTCGGCGACTGGTTGTCAGGAGTGTTTCCGGGATCATGGTGGTATTGAAGGTAACTATCATTTCAATGTTTCTTAGACATTGAGTCATGGAACTAGATCTGTAAATTCAGTTTCTAATGCTAACACTTTCCATAGGCTATCATTGGTTTCCGGAGACTTATCTCTCCGCCGTCTCGAGCACTTACTGTAATGCCAATCCCCAAACGACGGGGTTTTATGCCGTTGCTCATGAGTACTCGGTTTCGAACAAGGCTAGTGTGCCCACCACTACTGCTAGCGATATCTTGGGTACGCAGACCGCTGCTAGTCTTTACTACACCTATGAAGCTGAACGCACGAAGAAGAGCGCTGCAGTCCACTCCCTGAGCTTGCGACAGTCCCTCGTTGTCGCGCTACCGTTGCTTTTAATGCTTCTTCATTAAGTGTGTATAATGGCTTTGATTTGTCTAATAATCTTGTAAGTATAAGCTGCTTAAAAGAGCGGCTACTGAACATATTGCGCTAGACTTGATACCGGGCACTGTACATAATACTTCTGTTACCTGTTTCCATATTACAGTTTATGATTAATGTATTTACTAAGTTCAAGTCCGCTTGGACAGTGCCATTTCCACTAAGTACAGGCTGATCTATTAAAGATGCTAGCTAAGAAATGAAGAAAAAGAAAGCCTCCCAGATTCTTTCCTCCTCGGTATATCAGACAAAACGCCTCAAACTCCATTGCTTGCCAATTGCAAGACCATACCTGCTAATTGCCTAGAACCATAGTCCATCTCAGTCGAAGAAAAAGGCAGGTTCGTCAGATCGTCATCAAATCAAAGCCAGCCTGTGGCCATACATATCCCGCCGTGGGTTTCAGGGGAGGAGAATATAGAGAAAAAAAATAAAAGAACAAGAAAGAGTTGGATAAAATGAAAAACTCGCTAGAGAAAAAAGAATTGAAACTCGGAATGATTGAATACGCGGAGCTTTGTCACTATCGTCTCTCGACTCGACTTAGTGCCCCTAGAATCAAGCCTATGTCTTCTCGAGGCCGCTCTTTTCGTATTGTCCTTACTTGCTGGTCACTGTCTTCGCTTTCCATCGACAGGAGCTGTAGTTGTCTTTGAGCGTCGCGCTCTTCAAGACGCTCGGCGCATATGCGTAGTATTCGTGATGACACGGCATCCGCGGTTGATCGATATAGCTCGATGTCGTGGATGCCGTCAGCGAATGTGTCTAGCGTTGGAGCAAGTTTAGACGTTGTTTTAGATAGACGTGCGGAAACTGTAGATGGGCTCATGGGTGGTCGTATTGAAGAGTCTCCTTCTGATATCGATGCTGAAGGTTGAAGGGATGCGAGAATATGATGTTGAGAAGGATCAAGGAGAGAGGGATTTATATGGTCGGGTGATGATTTGCGTGGTTGTTTTGATTTTGTTGAATCTTGGAGGTCCGGTTCGGTGATGGGAGGAATTGCTGGTTGTTTAAGAAGTGCGTTCAGAGACTGTTTCTCCTTTTGGAGTCTGTCCAAATCATGTTAGCTTCGAGTCCTTCAAGAAAGAACCATGTATTGACGCACTTTTGTATTTGCTCTTCCAGTTGTTTGATTTTATCAGTGTTCTGTACATTTCTTGGATTCGGTTTTTTCACGACCACTTTCGGGGGGTTGACATCTTCACGATTGAACCAGTTGGAAAGATCGGCATTGGACGAGAATTCATTTAGCAACTCCTCTTGAATGACACGAGCTATGACCTTGTCAGTACCAAACTAGTTCACAAAGCTGAATAGGGGAATTACCTGCTAGACGCGAGCTCTGATCTTCAGCATCAGCCACTGCCGGCTTGTTGCCCAATGCGCGTGTTGCGCACCATATAAGAAGCTGACGCATCCTTCGCGGTTCAGGGAGACCCTCATCGGCAATGTGTTTATAGAAATCAGCTGTGCCAACTTCTCGATGTGGTAAAGCTATCAAACCAAGTCCCAGTTAGCGTTTGTCGCGTCGAATGCTTTTGCGTAAATCCCTACCATTTGAAGTCCCCGAGTCAATCAGAGAACTAGCTCTCCGTCCTCGCATCGCTACACTGCTTCGCCGTCGTCCTTTTCCTTTAGCTCCTCTTAACTCTTTATTCCGCTCGATGACAGGGGTATCAGCTGGTGGTAAGGCAATCTTCGTCCCCTCAGGTCTTTGTGGAGTGACCCCGTTCGCGTCGCTCGGTCTCTTATGAGGTCGTCCTCTCTTGCTCTTATTTTTTGGAGGAGCATCTGGAGTCGTGTCGTGAGTTGGTAATGAGCGCGCCGTATTAGCTGATTTCGATACTGATTCGGCATTTCCCGTATTTCCAGCTCCCTTCGTCGATCTGGTCGGAAGTCCACGCACTGTCTCCGTCGAAGGTGTCGCAGAGTCTCCAACTTTCTGTTTCTTCGGCCGACCTCGCCGTGGTGTTGATTTTGGAGGTGCATTTTCCGATTCTGATTGTAGTTTTTCTAGCGCTGGATCCACTGACGGCTTCGACTTTTTTTGCGGTACTCGAGTGAATAGGAACCCATCGGAATCCTCATCGTAATCTGAAGGGAGGACTCATTAGTTTCTTTTCTTACGAAGTTATGCTCTCCCTAGCGAGGCCAATGATCTGTGCCACTCACCAGCTTTGCGTTTACTATCGTTACTTGTAATCTCTTCCAGCCCCTGCTGCGTCGCACTAAGTCGCGTCGTTCGTCCTTCCTTCTTACTTCCTCGCCCGGATGCGGGCAGAGGACGCGACTGTGAGTATGCCGGCATGCCAATTGTCACAAGCGATTCGCGGCGCTTTGTTTTGGTCACAGCCGTGACAGCGGTCATGTCAAGAGTACGTGACGGACAGATGGAGGATGCCTGCTCGAGCTGGTTGGAACTGGGCCCGGATCAGGCTGAATATTGGAGATTGATTTGCACATGCGCCTTAGTCAGTTTCGCCCGCGATGAGTTTCGAGCTGCGGGCGGCAAGGGAGCGCAGAAGGTGGGTTGGAGAGATTCGAGCACGCGGTTGTTTTGGTTGGCGGGCACTATCCGCTTTGGGTGTTTCAAGATTTGTGGTTGGTCAGATTTGCTTACTAAGAGGGAGAAAGTGGACTGCGATATTGTTATGCTCCTGGTTTCTTCTCGAACGCGACATTCTGGTAGATGATGCGAATCGAAGATGGATCAAGTAAAAGTTTCGCTACCCAAGGTTGAAAGATGGAATCTCTCCTGCATAGCTACCGCCAGTTCTCAACATACACATCTAGCTACTAGGTGAGCCTTCTTATTTACTAGTATGTTAGCCTATGAGGCTTTCAGATTGACTATTTCAAGGTGCACTGATATGCATGGTCCCAGGAGATAAATAATATTGAAACCACTGAAAATATTTTAATAATTAGAAAGCATTTTAGGTGTATAAAAGCCACCAGAGACAGATACTCTCCCCAGAGAGAGCACTTGGGCAGCAGATGCAGATGAAATTCGCTATGGGTGTGGCATGAAACGATTAAGGAGCCATACGGAGTGCGATCCGCTCAAAACAAGTTGTCTACATAGACAGCGAGAGGTGAGCGATGGACTCTAGATTGATGCTGATCATGGAGAAAGTAACGTTGGATCATGTGTTGTGGGTCCGCCTGTGCTACCTGCGATACGTCGGTTGGCATCTTGTATGTCTTCCGCTGTGATTTGGTCTGCTTCTTTGGACATGTCTGGTTCGAATTCAGGGATGTCAGGGTGGTGGCCCACGGACATGCCTACTCGGATCTATTATTCGGTTAGCCGTATATACTTACAATGCGTATCGAAGAAAGGTGCCTACCAAAGTTTCTAATGGGCCCTTGGAGTTGTCCACGAGATCCTTGTCGAACTTGCAAACACCCTCCTCAAATAGTACAAGGAGAGTGCTGCCACCGAACTTGAAGTAGCCTAGTTCCTCTGCTCGGCTGACCTTTTCGCCTGCTTTGCGGGTGATGACTGTACTGCCGACCATCATGGCTCCCACGCAGATGACCATGACGCGGCCATGCGCAACGGAGTCAATCGGAACGAGAACGCGCACGTTCTCACCGTAAACATCCAAGGCTGAGCGAATAGCCATCGGATTCACGGTGTAGTACTCGCCCTCTATGGTCTTAGGCTCTCCCATGATACCATCAACGGGAATGTGGAAACGGTGGTAATCCTGCGGTGCCAGGCGGAAGACTCCGACGGCACCGTTCTTATACCGCGAAACGTCATCTGGGTAGGCGTTGCCCAGTAACCTCGCGATCGAGAATTCTCGGCCCTTCACCCAGATGCTGGTCGCATCTTCGAGTTTATCAAAGACCACGGAGCGGCAGTCGGCCGGGGATACAACAATTCTAGGCTCTTCTGGAGCTGCACAAGGCCGGGCGCTGGGTTTAAGAGCACGGTAGAAGAATTCGTTGAATGTACGGAATTGCTCAATGGGAAGCAAAACCTCGTCCATATTCAGCTGATGGAAATTGATGAAATCTCGAATCTGAGTGGCCGACGCAGGGTCATCATACTTTCGGCCTTGTTTAATACTGAGAGAGCGCAATACACGACGAACTAAATACGACATTTGTTAGCATAACATCAACTTTCCCAATTTCAGAACCTACTTCTCTTCTTCTCCATATCCCGACTCTTGAGACCCTTATAGAGTAAGCGAATTCCGAGTCGAACATAGACGCTCATACGCTCTTCATTGATCTGGCCTGTGATCCGATCTTGGACGAGGATGTTTGCAGAGTTTGCTCCAAGTTTGTAGCCACCATATGAGATCTTGGTGATCACCTTAGAGTACCATTTACGCTGCGCCTGGCTCGAGGTCACAAAGCCACCCATCACCAGATTGTCGACCTGTCGCCAGTCACGGCTAGCACAGGTTGCAATATGAGTGATGATATCGGCATCTGACCGCTTTGAAAGCCGAGGCTGGTGGCAGAGAGGACATTCGCGGATTTCCACAACATGTTCCTCACCCCCTCCATCTCTGAGGTCGTCGGGCCGCAGTTCGTCGGAGTTCGAGTCACCACTAGATATAGTCGAGGTCGCTATCATGTTCGGGTCAGCATAAGACTGCTGAATGGTGCGGGGGTCTAAAGCGAGGTCATCGCTGCCTGATTGTTCCTCACTTTCTTGGCTTTCCTGGCTTTCTTGGCTTCCAACAGACGACGGTTCGAATGCCGATCTCTTGGGACGAGCATCGTTCTTCTTGTGTAGTGCGAGTAGAAGATCTTCCAGGCATATCAAAGCCTGGTCAAAGGTCAGGTCAGCAGTCTCGCTGGGTTGATTTTCAGCACTGAATCGCTTGAAGAAAGAGTCGATCGTTGACTCCTTCAGAGTGGAGCCAAGCGTATCGAGCATAGTGGTCATTTCCACCTTATCAATCCGGCCGCTTTCGTCCGCGTCATATTGCTTCAGCATCAATCTCCAGAACTGCTGGCGAAGGGCACGGTAAGGTAGGTATTTGGCTCTGACATAGAGTACGGGTGAGTGCTTGTCTTCCCAACGCTCCCGATTCTTCATTGTGAGAGGAATTGGATATTCTCGCAATCCTTCATCGTCCGCGGGTGGGAGCTGCTCATCATCATCGTACGACACAGCGGATATGGCTGGAATTGTTAGAGTAGAACCACTATCCAGTCCTAGGCCAGCTTCTTCTGGCGCAGAGGTAGGCGGAGGGTTGGTGGGGTGACTGGAGAGAGAAGCGGCAGAATTCTGCGAGTCTAACGTTGGCCGAGGGGGGATAGAAGCGTTTCGCGGATCCAGTGTTGATCGAGTGGTGATAGAAGCAGCAGAGTTATTTCGTGAATCTAGTGCTGGACGGGCCAACTTGGGGAGACTTGATGTCGACAGCGAGGGGCTGAGAGCAATGCGAGGACTGTACTTGGCACCGGGGCCCGGTTCGTCAGTCTCTATGAACTGGTACAAACCCGTCTCTGGATCTGTCTTTGGGGCAGATTGAATGAGAGTCTGTAGAGGAAAGTTGGCGGATGCGACAAAGTCATTACCCGAGAACTTGTCGCGGTCCATTACTGTGAAACCGATCGAGTAGAACTGCTCGTGCCGCATCACCTGGAACACCATCTTCTCGTTAAATACTGGGTTCAAGTTGTGACGGATAACTGGTGTTCTGAGTGTTTTCCTTCCGAGGGAAGTTACAACGAAAGGGTCCATATCAAATGATGTACGTGTCACTGTTGTAGGTTAGTGGGTCGAAGCTGGCTGATGATCCGAGAAGAACAATTCATCAGATTTTAAGAAACATACCATTTCGCTCAGGAGGAAGGTCAATCACTTTCACAACCTCCATGAACACAATACCCTGCACACTCGTGCCACCGGAAAACTGATACGCTCGAGCTGCTAGGGATTTGCGTCGCAGACGAGCTAGACGAAGCCGGCGACGACGTTTTTCAACAATCTCGGGCTTCGACAGGTCATCAGTCTCGTCCGATGTCTCTTCATCGACGAGATCATCCATGTCCATATTTCTGATTTGTTCCTCATCCTCCTCGCTCGCGCATACCAAGTTTTTGAATTTGAGGTAGGTGTCTGCTGGCGAAGCGGTAGGGTTTGAAGAGTCTGAGAGCGAGAATTGCAGTAAAATCTCGCCCGAGACATTGTTGTCTTTCTTCTTCTTGGTCCGATTTGAGGCACGTTTCGATTTCAGGGTATACCATTGTGGCTGTGTGATTATTCTCGAGTCAGCCATTCCATTCCCAGCCAGTCTTGCAGGAATAAAAGACTTACTTCTTGCTCCACCTTGCCATCCTCGAAGATATCTTCCAGTGGAATGTCGAACTCACCCATATAGTCCTTGCCAAACCGATCATGGTCCCAACAAATACATTCCAACAGAGGTACACCCCCGACGGGCATTTCGAACGACACCTTCCATTCCGGGTTTAAGGTTTTGGATATTGTCGGCGTCGACTGTCTCGAGTCCCCCAATGTGACCACCAAGTACTATAGTCCATTGTCTCAGCGAGCTTGGTTGGTTTTCGGGGAAGGTCCCTGTTCAGAGGATTGCTTACCGGATCACTGGTGCCACTCCTATCCTTTGCAGCAAGATTTCTTCCCTATTCAAAAGCACGCTCCAATTAGCTGATGGTTGTTGGGATGGATGGACGGAATTGATGGTTGCCTAGAAGTGGGGGGGGGGGGAGGTATTTTCCAACAGCATACCCGAATCACAGTGACCTTAAGCAGTAGAGGCTTAAAATTAGGATCCATGGATCTAATGGGACTGACACTTCTGCTCTGTCCTGGTGTTGATGACGCGCTTCTTGTAGACAGGCGCGAGTTGAGTCGCTGTGGTATGGGCAATCGGACCATGACGGAAGCTGGAGCCTAGTGAGGTTGAAAGTGGCGATAGAGAAGAGGGGGACAAGGACCTTGAGAGAGCAAAAAAAACAAGTCAGGAGATCGAGAGTGGCTTTACATGCCCTAGTCGTTGATCGACTGTGGCTTAAGGACCCCAGAGTTCGATCTGAGATCTTGGTGAATCTTCGGGACGATCCTCAAATTGATCCTCACAATGTACCAGGTACCGTGTATTTGGAGGAAGTTGCCACGGAATGAAGTCAGGGGATGAGCCTTGTTCTCTTCTTGGGTTTAAAGAGAGGAAGCTATAAGGGGGAAGTCAAAGGGAAGTAAAAGGGAAGTAAAAAGGAAAGTTGTCGTATTGGAGCTTCTTCTTCATAAGACGTCAGTTGCATTGAACTCCACACTTTCCACTTTTCCCTTTTCCCTTTTCCCTTTTCCATTTGCCCTGCCCTGCTTCCATGTCCACCCAATAAGACAGGTCTATTTTGACCAGAATAGCCTTGTCTACTCTATTACTCCTTTTCAAGAGACTCCACCAAAATACGCCCCGCATCCTAAAACAGCAAATTGACCCTCAACAGAATTAAATTGTGTAGCAGATAAAAAAGAAATGGCTACGCTATATCACTAATAAATTCTCAGTCTCGCCGGCGATCCACTCGACCCCAAACCTCGTCCGCATTGGCTTTTCCTTTGGTCTCGGGCACCCACCGGTAAATGAATGCGCCTAGGAGTCCCGCCATTGCTGCAAATACCCAATACACTTTCCCACGACCGAGAGCTTCATTGAGAATGGGGAAAAATTGAGCTACAAAAAATGTCGCGGTCCAGTTGGCTGCCAACGCGCAACTCTGGGCCGCACCAACTGCCTCAGGTCCCACCAATTCGGAAGCCAAAATAAAAGGAACTGGTCCTAATCCAATGGCAAAACTAGCCACAAATAGCAGTGCCCCAATGGCGGAGGCTATTTGTTGATTCAAGTAGATACTGACCGCCAGTAAAATCGAGCTACAGCCCATGCCGCCGATGCTCAGCAATAGACAGGTTTTGCGACCAATCCGGTCGGGTAAAGGCGTGCAAGCCAGGGTAATAACAAGATTGATGGCAGATATCAGTATAGTGAGTGATGCGGCACCGCTGGGAATGATGCTCTGTAGCAGAGATACACTGTACATCACGATACTGTTGACTCCGGTGAACTGCTGGGCAATCATCACTCCGACGACGGCTATGATCGCCGGTCGGTATTCTGGGTCCCGTATAGCTTGCCAGAGGGTGACAGATGGCTTATTCGGAGGCTGATCTCCCGTAGATGGGTTAAGGAGTGACTCTTCTTCACTTGGAGTAGATACAGTATCCGAATGCCCCCAACTTTTGATTTCCGCATCAATGTCAGCATCTCGGCCGCGAATGCGCTGTAATACACGCCGAGCTTGGCTTGTCCGACCGTGCTCTATCAGCCATGCAGGGCTCTCAGGCACCATCAACAAACCCAACAGCTCTAGGCCTCCAATCAAGCCAGCCACGGCGAGAATCAACCGCCACAGGCTATCACGGCTCCAGAAATACCCCAGGCTTTGCGTCAGCAAAATACCAACATTGGTCATGACCTGGGTAAAGGCACCAAAGAAGCCCCGAGACTGGGGAGGAGCAATCTCGGACACATAAATAGGACCAACTACGATCGCTGCGCCCGACGCAATACCAGAAAGAACCCGACCGAGGAGAAGGATCGGTATGGATGGTGCGAGAGTTTCAGCCACTGGTCCCAGGATGAAGAAGATGGTAGTCACTCTTAATGCGAATAGACGTCCATACTTGGTTGAAACGGGCCCTGCTAGTAGAGCTCCCAAAAGACCTCCAAGAGTATAAATTGACGAAACAAGGCCGAACTGGGAGGGATTCATGCGGATACATTGTGGGAGACCGTGAATGCTGGATGAATGAATACTTTTCTTGTCACAAGTTACAACTGCCTGGGGTGCATTGAGCTCGGACTATGGATGTCAGTCAGTCAGTCAGTCAAGTCAGGGAAACTACCATACCAAGTGATAACCAAACTGGAGTGGACCAAGTGTAGTGACAAAAACAAGGTAGATGAGATATGGCGTAACTCGAAATTGGGACGAGTCTGTAGCCATGATGCCTACCTAGGTACCTCAAGGTGAAGTGAGGAAGGGATGAAGAATGACGTTGGGGCGGGAAGCTCAGATGAGCGTAGTCAGCCATACTTAAGGCAAAGGACTATGCAGTTACAACTAAACGAGTTCTGATGTATCAACTCCGAAATACTGTACTGAGGAGGCATTCAACGACCTCCTTCCAACTTCATTCCTCGCTTTATATACTGCTCAAATTAAGGTACTTAGGTAGCTTTACGTACTGTTTTTCTTGTGACGGGTGAGGATTTCCTATTTCAGGTGCCGCCGCTTTTATGAAGGCGATCAGGGTCAGGCTGCTTATTATTATCACGTGATATGAGTGATATCCAATCAACACTCAGTGAGCACTTAGTAATTGTGATTTGCTGCTCACCGATTACTAAGGGCATCTATTGAGCACTCATCGGTAGTTACTCGGCCCCATAATGCGGTTATGACGGAGTACTTTTCTGAGGTTCCATCAACTCCACCCCTCTCTCCTCAAAAATTTAAGGGACAGTTTCTATAGATTAGACCATAGCCTACTAAAAAATGTCTTTCTGCTTATCTACGAAAAAACGAGATGCCTATAACTTTCCAGGCCCGGTACTCAAAGCATAGTATTATCTCTTCGTTGAAAGTGGTTGGAATAATTCGTTTTCTTTTCATAAGTAATCCAAATTTGTAGAAACTACTCCACATTTGATCAAATAATTATTTAATTATAAAAGGGGAATAATGCACCAAAGCAGAGATGCTCAACATAAAGCAAAGACGACCAACCCAAACCTTCGACGATCAATGTAGATTAGACCTTATTGGAAACCGGTTATGGTTTAGACCAATAGTAACGCTAGGCACACCAATCTTTGGAAAGTGAATAGGCATTACCTCGATGTTGTTCAAGAGCGCGTTTCGAAAGATTCTAGCATATACTTCGGCAAGAGTAAAGGGAGCTCCGTTGATTTTCTGGAGCTCATTAACGAGAGCCGAGGTAAAAGAAGTATTCAAGTTAGCAGCCGCTGCCTGGCCCCAGTTAAAGGCTGCAATGAGCTCTCCACCAATGTTCGCATTAGTATTATGGACTGCTCTTGCTCCCCTAGAGCAGCAGTCAAGAATATAGCAGACTTCTCCGGGGCACCGGTCAATATAACCACTGATCAAATACCAGTCGAAGGAAATTCCTGTGAGTTCACTAGTGTTTTGGTTTTCTGTCCCACTATTTGCTCTAATATATTAGTCAAAGTATCAGTATGAGGTTAAAATTTATAGTATACCTAAAATACCATTAACCCAGCACTTGTTCAGCATCATCGGCAAGTCCGGAGTAGATGATTATGCGGAGTGTGTTCTCTCCACCGTTCTTCTTGGACCAGTCCATAAGTTTCGTTAGGAGTTCATACTCCGGTGATTGCGCGAGGTGTGGGATTTCAAAGGCGGTGGTCTCGAACCCATACTTATTTTAAACTCTTGGAGTAGTTGTCTTTCTAGAGGTGCCACGCCCATATCATCGTTGGACCAATGCAGTGCAAAGACTGAAGTTTTGCGGTATGATGTGTATTTCATAGCCTGATGAAGCAATGCCTCAAGATCGGCCTTAAAACCGCTGAGATACTTTGTAGCCTTCTTAGACTGGAAGGCGGCTACTGGTTTAAGACTGGAAGTTGCCATAATTGATGACCGTTTGACTCGTTTGCGGAGGAATAGGTGCTATCTGGTAGGGTTGTAATCTTAAGCAGCCCTAAAGAAGAAGCTCAAGATCTCCTAATGGAGGAATAGAAAAGGAAATTCAAATGGTGGTGATTGAGGAAGGAAAAGAGAGAGAGAGAGAGAATCTAAGCTCTTATGGTCTATCTAATTTAAGTGAGACCTCATATTTACTTGTCACGCTAGCTCAAATTAGGTAATAAGCTAAACTATATTTGGTCTAGATTGCAATTTGGAATTGGCACCCCAGCTACAGAAATAAGTAGGAAATGGAAATGATAGTTGTACTCTCGGTAACAGTAGCCGGAGCTTCCAACTTCGAAACATTGTAAGATTACCCCATGAACAGGAGTGTGGCTCCGAGGATGAACGACCATTCTAGTGAAACCCGACATTTATTGATGGGATAATGTAAACAACCTATGGGAAGGGACGAGACTAGCGTGTTGTATTTTATTGAGGTACATGCTCATCTCGCTCATGGAGCTAATCAGGGCGCTCATAACTATTTCACTCAGTGAGCTTATATAATGCTCAAGAGGTGTGCTCAGTCCTACTCAGTGAGCAAAAGCAGCGAGGGGATGAGCAGTCATACGGAAGAAGAACGCCAAGAATTGGCATGGGAAATCTAGTGTGAAGGTACTTATTTACGAAACTATAAAAAGAAGCCAATGAAGTGTATAATCTATATCCTTTCGCTGTTCAAAAGAAGAAAAGGGACTGAAGCAAATCAAGCATTCAAAAGTAAACAGTAGCCCATTCATGCATAAAACCAACTTACGCCGAGAAAAACAAACAGCCAACAGACATGCAGCAAAAGACAAGACAGGTACCACTGCGCCAGCACATGAAGAGCTGTCAAGCCATATCAGAGAAGGAATTTCAAAATAAAGGACAATTTAATAAGCTCGCGCAAACCTAAAAAATAGGGCCTCGATGATTTTAGTCGTGACTCGTGAGAATCGTAGCGTCTATTTATGTCCAGACGAAGCCAGTCCGTAAGTCAAAGTCGGTATAGATTTGTCGACGATAAGCAAGAAAACAAGAATCCCATCCTAGATGGAAAACCGTGCCAAATCTCACAATTGTTGAAAAAGGGGAATGACAGACACGAATGCAAATTGATATTTAGAAGTCCATCGGAAAAAAACACAAGATCATATATGATATTTTGTTGAAAATACTAGAAGCTGAACAGTCCACTGCGCTTCTTACCCAATGGGTAAACCACCAAGGCCGCAAGGAAAAGACCAACAGTCGTACCAATAGCCACTTGAACCATTCCATAGCCAATATCAAAGACAACGCCATAGCTCTGATCATGGGTATTGGCCTCAGAAAGATTCTTCGCCGCATCGACAAAGCCCTGAGTCCCATTGCGCACAACAGCATAAGGCGAATGAGTCATTTCCTCAGCGGACGTGATCCCCGAAATGAGAGAGCCGCTAGCCGCAAGGCCGGAGGGCACAAGGACCCAGATTGCAGGTAACATTGCGGCGGCTGCAAGGCCGTGTCGTAGGCGGCTGTAAAAATTGCCCATGAGACCGATGACGAAGGCACCTAGTGCGTTCGAGACCTGGGTGTTTGAGGAGAATCGCTTGGAGCTGAAGTAGCTTACTGCGTACCCGGCTAGAGAGATGACCATCATGACTGGGATCTGCCTCCATTTTGCTTGGTTGACTATAGCCAGACAGGCTGTGAAGAGAAGGACGAAGGGGAACGTTTGGATGTATTCATTGGTTATCGGGCTGGCGGGACAGGTATATGCTGTTGAAGCTTGCGTGTCCAGTATTCCGTATACTGCAGTGCCGACTGTGATGCCGAAGCCGAGGAAAAGAGAGTATATAATCGCGTACACCATGCGTACTGACCCAGAGATGATGCTGCGGGATTGGAGTTCCAGACTGGCGCAAAGTACTGTATACCCCGGGAGAATAAGTGCGATGGCAGATTGTGCTAGAGCTGAGAAACAAAATAGTGGCTCGCCTTCATATCGAATGCTTCCAAAGGCACGTGCCAGGAAGGAAGTCAGCACGGCGGCCGAAATCTCGAAGACGTTTGAGTAGAGGCTTGATTTGGGTGAGAGGATGAGTTGCAGAATGCCGAGCAAACAACCTAGTAAGAAGGCAATCGGCATGTCGATTGGCCGGGCATTGAAGGCAAATGGGCCCACACATGCGCTTGCACAGCCATGGGCAAAGATCAGAAAGAGTATGTGGAATTTGCCGGGCCGCTTGGACGTCGAGTCGAGTCGCCGAATGGCTTCCTCAACTCCTATCACATCGTGGATCACTTCTTTGTAGATCTCGTGAACATCGGCCAGCTTGCCCAGGTCAATACCCTGGGCAGAGCGGACAACCTTTACCTCAGTCGTATGTGTAGATACGTCGTCAAAGGAAATGATCATGCAGCCGGGGATATACAAGAACTGGCTATCAATCTCTAGCACACGCGCAGTCATGCGCATGTATTCCTCGAGACGGTGAGTTGGAGCACCGTATCGCATCAGAGCCCGACAGAGCCGTATCAAATACTTCTGGCGGGATAGGAGAGCTGCAATGTTAATTGTGATTCGAATTTCGTCTTCCAGCTGTGGTTTTCCCCAGCGGTGAGGCCTCTCCCTCTCGACTGTACTACTGCTGTGGGACCGCTTGAGCATGTCAACCGGTCTTGTAGCCTTGGAGCCCGGTCCATTTAAGGCGAGGGTTGATTGACTGGATGGTTTGTGGTACCATTTCTTGGTCCGTTGTGGGCCGTGTGGTTTCCAAATCGGTTCTGCGGACCCAGTCTCACTGAACTCAGAGCTCTTTTCGCTGGATTGACCATATTGGTCATGGCTCTGGTATGGCTGCTGGTCATAGAGCTTGAGGATGGAGGATAGAACACCTCCACGGGCGTTATGTGGTCGCTCGACACATGTTTCGGAGGAGTCTCGCTCTTCACTGGACTGGTCAGAAATAGAGCCCGAATCCAGAGGCGCACGAAGGCGACTCAGAAGGTCGAGATTGCGGCGGGACATTGGACGTTTTGGTTGTGCTTTTGATTCTTTGGTTGATTGCCCGTCTGTGAAGCTCGTTTCATTCTCATCAGTTGAATTGTCGAAGAGTTGTTGTTTCTCATGGAAGCTGATCATAGAAATCTCATCGCCATCTTCCAAGGGAAATACCACCTCAGCCTCAGTGGGGGTGGAAGCGATAGAAGATGCTAGACTGGACCGTGGGCTTGGCTTCGGAGATTTAGAAGAACGACTGAGAAGGGATGCAAGTCGCTGGGCCCTCTCTTGAGCGCAGGATATAGCCCGCCCCTTGTCATTCACAGTCAGACTGATATCATAGTCCCTCTCAGTCCTTATAGAGGTGTTTTGGTGGTTGATCGTCAATCCTGCAACGCCTGCTGACGCGCTGGAGATTCCATCCTCCACTGAGGATCCAGGTAGAGGATCCACTGGCCCTCTTTCCTGCATGAATGGAATGTTGGCCGTGGGCAACGGTCTTTGAGGTAACGCCGTACCCCTTCGATCCAGTTGAGGTTTGAGGGTGGATCCAGTGGGATCATTTGGGTTGAGCTTGTCCACGGAGAATTCAACGGGATTTGTGATTTCCAGAATTCCTGCATTCCGATGCTTGCCCTGGGACCCAGCATCACATTTCCTCCCATTATGATACGTTTGTTGACCATTTGGATCATCAGTCGAAAGGGGTAATGGCGAAGAACGCGGCACGAGAGATATTTTGTTTGTTCCTCCAATATCAGAAACGCTTGATCGACCGGAGCCAGGGAGATCAAAGTAGCCCCCCGCCATTTTTTGGCAGAATGTAATTTTTTCTGGAGTATTTCTTCACTTGTACTATAAACAGCAATGTTCAAATGTTTCACAGGTTCAACACTGCCCAGGTGGTGGGCTAGGAGCTATCTAGTTGATAACTAGATATGTGAAGAGTATATAGTTCGTGATAAGACCTGTACCTGACAACATTCAGCTATTTGAAATTATATATCTTAATTACCTCCAGGGTTCAGATAAATTTTTCATCACTCATATATGTAGAATTTGAGAGAATGAATCAGCACTCACCTTGTTCCATGTACCGCCAAAATAGAAGACGCTGGCCCCAGGGCTGAATCCGTCCGTCCAGCGTCAGGAGCTTATGATGAAAGGGAGTGTAGATCGAAGGGAAGACCCGCTGTAAAGAATGTTATTATGTCACCTCATAATAAGTATGAAATTGACAAGGTAAATGAAGGAATTGGCAGAACGGGAAGCGAATTGAGGCGAATATAAAAGCTCATCAGCAGCTCCAGTGACGTTTTTCTTTTATTCTGCGGCTACAGACAGGCACAAAAGGCACGAAGATACACACGGACCACAGAAGGCAAGGCCTTTCCATTTATTTTTGTCTACGTAATCCATCATGGGGGAGGGGCGTGTAGCCGTTAGGGGGGGAAGGAAAGGGACTTCCGAAGCCGGGTTCCCATAGATTTGTGTTTTTGCCACTATGATAAATCACCGGGATGGAAAGACTTCGGTGCTTGACTTGGTAAAAAAGAAAGAAAAAACAGGTCACGAACCATTAGAAATTGGATGGATTGTCCTATGAGTCTGAAGTCTCTCTTTGAGTATGCTCCAAGATTCGATCTATCTACAGTGAAAACTCGGGTTGGATCGCCACATAGATCTACGGTCAGGATTGTGGCTTATCTAAGTTTCTATTTTGGATCAGCCCAGTCCATGGAGTAAAATGAAGATGAGCATGAAAAAAAAAAGAAAGTATAGAGACAAGACTCGCAAGAGGGCCGAGCTCATTACCAAAGGAACTAGAATGGTAGTTCCAGTTCCACGGAGACTATGAGGTAGGTATCACAGGTCACAAACTTCTTTTCCATAGATGTTTGTCATGAAAAGGAACTGCTAGATAGTTCATAATTGTCAAGAAAAGGTTCAAAGGATCGCGGGTTCTGGAAGCACAGGCTCAAGTGGACCCGGGCCGCCATCAAAAAGCCACTATAAAATCATATTATTGAGAATCATATTGTGGATAGACAAGTGAAACTATCAGATACCATCCCAAACAACCCCTTTTCGTGCTTGAGAAAGTATATACAAGATTGTCCCTGATCGACAGGAGGTACGTACCATCTCCTTGTATGTCGGTAGATCATATGGAAAGAATCTCGCCCTTGCTCTATAAGCAATCAAGATAACGTATGTACAAACCAGCATGGTGCTGCTATTCTTTGAGTTGAATTGGTATCTGCATGACAAGGATAATCTGGCCTTGGAGTCGGGATGTCAACCATATTCCCGTCAATTCTCCACCTTTCCATGTTCCTATCCTTCCCCGAAGTCTTTCCTTGATTAATGCCTACGACCTCATAGTCTCGTCGGCTGTATCTCATCACTTCCATATTTTGAACAGTATCTATGATTTATTCCCCTGGGTTGTCCATGATTTCAGTTAGTGTCTCAAAGACCTCGGAGGGGCTCTTGGTCTCATTACGCGTCATTGTATCACAGAGAACCCGCAGTAAGGGCTGGATCCCATATGTATGAGGCCCCGGGCTGTGATTAAGCTTCCCCGTTACTAACTTAGAGTACATGAATCCCCCCCCCCCCGACGATCAATGCCCCACAAACTTACGTGTCAGTATGCAATATCGGTCCCTTCATCGGCATGAACGGGAAGGGGGAGGCGTCTGTAGATCCCGATATTTTTGTAAGGTAAATTCGGGATGCCGACAATTCAAGGCATGAAATGTTATCTTCCAAGTATCCTCTACGTTGTAGGCTTTCCATATCCAAGTTTTCTTACACTGAGATTACTCCCCTTCTTCTGTTGCAGAGGTGTGACTGCGCCAGTGATCGTGTTACCCTCCCCTTTCTACCGTTACACAGCCCCTCTCAAGCTAGCCCTGCCGAGGATGGTCGTCCAACCTGTAAAGATGCAGGAACAAACCAACGCCTAATTTTCAATAGAGAAAAAAGCCCAACCAATTAGCTGTTCAAGCTGGATGGGCTTATCGTGGTTGGATTTGATACTTCTCTCACATAGTCACAGGGGCACAGAAGCGATTTTGAATCATAAGCATGTCAAGGATGATGTTGGGTGACAGTCTGAGATCTAACAATGATCATTCCGATCTACCGAAGTTTACTTATTGCCAGTTGCGGTAATAGGTTCTGAATGATGGGTCAGGGGTTCACAAACCGTTCCGAGAGGCTAATCTAACCTAAGCAGTACTTAGTCTGTTCACAATAGTTTGCTAAATCTTGGAAAAACTATCATATACTTTTGCCCATATACCCCTAAAGGCTTTGTATAATTTGAGTCGCTGCTCAGCTGACAGCAGAGTTAGATTGACTGCCGAATCCAGAAAACGTGATGTATCGTGTGAATTCTTATCAGACTTTAAGATTGAAGTCTCAAGGTAAACTTCTGACCTCAGTTTGATACCTAACGTTATTACTACTATGCAGTGATCATTGGAGCAGAAAATGTACACCGGGCAGTTATAATTTGGAATACACACATCTTTTACCATTTGCATAACACCACTATAGTCCTCCTCCCTTGAGTATCCTGGATCTATGGATAGTGGAAGTCTAAGGATATTTGAAACAGAAATTTCGGAAAGTTTTACAATTTAGATCGAAAATAATGAGCGTCTTATACCTAGGTATTTTCTTCCCTTTAGAGGTCCTTCTTGAAGTAGATTCTTGGGTCATCTGAGATATCGATATACAGGTATCCATACCAAGGTTCGCCCGATTGATCCATAGGTAAAATGTCTATAGATAAAGATTTAAAGTCGGATGATAGTGGGTACATATGGCGCCATGGAAGTAGAGGTGCCCAGGTGACTGAAGTTGTACCTCTTGCTAGGGCTAGACCTCAGGATTAGTATGAGAACCAAAAATGTCAACAGATATCAAATCCCGCCGTCAACCTTAGAAGGTTACATAGTTATCCTTAAAACTATAGAGCAACGTATATGTAGAAACGAGGTTCTTGTAAGACATGAGGCGCTTTCTATCAGATTCCAACATTGATGGAGATAGAGATTCCCAGGTACTCTCAGATCCATCACTTACAGATGCTTATTTCTCATAACTGTAATTCGTGTTCAGATTCTTTTTTATCTTGATGCAGTCCATAGGTGGATCCGGCCCAAGTGAAAATATTGTTGGAGCTCTGCCCCGAGCATGCAAGGAACCGATGTATGCATCCTATTCAAGTACAACTGGTGCAGATACCGAACGAAGAACATAACTAGATAGGTATAAATAGGCTCGTGCAGCTATTTGAATCCGGAGGTCATTTCATGAACAAGGTAGAGACTCCTACAAGTTGGAAAACAAATACACTACGAAGTGACATGCAAAGAATGAGCTGTAAAGCTATTGTACTTAAAAAGGGCTTAAAGCCGTAGGACCCAGATGGGGTACCTAGGTAGAACTGCATGTACATAACCGGATGTACGTCAGGAACCCGAAAGATGAGAAGAAAAAAAAAGGGACGATGGTCAAGCCCTCGTTTCTATTCCGATCTCAAGCAAACGATCCTCGCCTCGGGGATAGGTAAAAGGTGAAAAGCAACCGGTGCAAAGGGCGACGAGTTGGGCAAAAAACGGCACAGGGAAAGAAAATAAAATAAAACGACAGGTTAAAAGATGGACGTGAGAAGAGAAAAAGGAATTTGAATGAAGGCAATAACAAAGTCGTTGCAGACCAATTTGAGGTCTTTCATCACGCGCACAACAAAGAAGGGCAATCAAGAGTGATAATCCTGAAGATCTCACTGAGTAGAAGAGGTAGGGCATATTTAGAGCAAGCAGCAAATACCATTGACTCTGGAAAGAAGAAAGATATAAAAGTCATACGTCGCTGTCACATGATGTTCGGCATTACATGAGAGGGGTTTTGCGTTTCTCGGCGCTTGACAGCACAAGCATCGGCATCTTGCGACGATCTGGTGCTTGTGATGTTTGACCTTGGCCTGCAACAACTGATGCCACCGAGGGAGACGAGGCCTCACTCGAGGTTTGGCCAGCACGGACATCGGAGAAGTTGGATGAAAAGTACCCATCCTCGCTTGTCGGCGTAACACTAGTAAATGGACTGTCTGGGCTCTTGCGGCTAGACTTCTCTTTGCGCTCGGATCCGATAGCACCATTTGCAGCTGCGCGCAGACTACCCAAACTAGGCTTGCTAGAAAGACTGCCACTACGAACGGTCGCATCGTCGCCGTCGGAGAAGGCGAACTCATGTTCACTTGCTGGAGTGTTGGTACCACCACTGCTGTTGTAACCAAAGCTACGGGAGTCACCACGGCGCTCGATTCCAGCACGAACTAGATTGTGAACGGCGCGGCGCCTTTGACGGGTAGCAAAGTTCTTGCTTCCTTCGTGCTTTGATGTGGGCCTGGCAATGAGATCCTCCAAAGAAGGCGGGCCACGAGGCTGCCGGATCGGGTGCTCGCCAGCGCGAGCTTGACCAGGGCCAAAAGTTCCAGTAGAAGGTGTAGGAGGCAGGACAGCTGAGCGGGGACCAGCTCCAACATTTGCCTTGGCTGTATCAATGGTGTTTCGCAGAACGGGGTTGAACGAGGGGTTCTTGCGGTGATTGCGACGGAGAGTGCTTGCAGAGGACTCTAGGGGTGGAGAAGGAGAAGGGGTGCCATTGGAAGGGGTGCCAGGATGAGAGTAATGCATTGGCGATGGAACCGAGTCAGGAGGGGAGATCTCAGCACGGAACTGGGGCACCTGTGAGCTAGAGGAATGTTCATAGTACTGCTGAGGCGGCTCCTCTTGGTAGCTGTTGTCCATAACGTAACTTTGTTGGCCAGTCAAAGGGTTGTAAACGGAGAACAAGCCCGGTTGGCCAGGCACAGGCTGTACAATTGGCTGCACACCCTGCTGAAGTTGTTGCTGGTAGAAACCCATGTGCTGCTGGTTCTGGTGCTGGTGCTGTTGTTGCTGTTGCTGCTGAACGCCCAAGCTGAGGCCCTGGAACTGCTGGGCTGCAGCAGTAACGCTGATCAATTGCTGTTGCAGACGCTGCTGCTGAGCTGCCAGAAACAGATTTGTCGACATCAGCTCTGCGTACAGATTCTCGTCAATGACCTCGTGGCCGCCCATTTCAAGTGTCGGAGGTGCAAGCACTTGCTCCGGCAGGGTGTACATCGGACGGTTCTGATTGTGGTTCTGACTTTGGTGCTGATTATGCTGCTGACTCTGGTGGCGGTTGCCCATGCCCTGGTTCGAAGAGAACGTCTGCTGTGGGAATCCAGCCCCCGTGGCAGTTTGCGGAACCCGATCAGAGCCTCGATATGCGCCTGGGAATCGACCACCTTCCATACTATTGTGCTGTTGATGCTGAGAAGGGATAGTAGCTGACCTGGGAGCAGTGCGGAGCCCGGCCAAGAGATGCGAGCGACTAGTGCGAGGAGTGGAAATTGATGCGGACGACTGAGATTCATCAATGGTGGCCACCTGTGGAGTTACACTCAAGCGCTTGATGTGTGAACCCTTCCCCCGAGAAGCGAAGCCGGAGCCAGCCACACCGAGGGAACCATTATTGAAAGAGTTGTTGTAAGTCATTTGAGTAAGACCGCCAGCGTCCATACTCTAAATCAAGTCAAAAGGGCGAAGTTATGTGCAAGAAAGGCGAAGTGGAAGGATGCGTTTGCGTTCGGACCGGTACGGGTTGGCGAGCGTTTGGGATCAACCACAAAGCTTCGAGCGTTTCCCGAGAGATTAGATGATTATGAGGTGTATGAGCAGACTTTGAGAGATTTCGAAGTGAAATAATCGAAGAATGGCGAGGAAAGAGGGACTGTAATCGCGCGATTTCTAAAATGAGAGCAACCATCAGCGCAAGTTCGATTCAGATATGGAAATTCGTAAGTTTGGCGATCGCGTACCAGAAGCGAAGGAAGAGGATGGGAGTTAATGAATGGCTCAATGTTGATAGGAGGAAGATTATCGAGCTTAACAGAAACTGTTGGTTTTGTTCCTGATGAAGTGGAAGAAAAAACAAGTCGTAATCGAAGTGTAAGGTGAGAAATTATCGGGAATATCGAAAAGAAGATCTCTCAAGAAGAACAATAGAAGCAGGGGAGATGCTCTGCAAATCCCAAGAAAATAGAGTTGAAAAAGGCAGCAACGACACTCCGCAGAACCGGCAATACCGGGAAATGCAAGTTGATAAAGGCGAAACACAAAGAGCCCCAATGGAGATGGGGTAGTCAACGGAACAGTCGGTCAAAACACGAAGTCTTTCTCTTTTTTTTTTTTCTTCAGGGGGAGAAAGTATTTGCAGGAAGGGGAATTATTTTTTTTCTGGTTGATTATTAGTTGTTTTTTTTTTTTGCTTCTGGGATTCCAACCAACGCGTGCAGAGAGAAAGAAAAGAATGAGAGAAAGGAAGGTGAAAAGGGAGATTGAAAGAAGTCGTGCGGATGTGGGGAATTGATTTATTGGCCTTAGGCAGAAAGGTACACATTAGTCATCTGTATAGATTGCTGGTCTTTTCCTATCCATCTTATTTCATTCCACATTCGAGGATAGACTAGTTCACTATACTTTGAGTCTTTGACCGTTTATTCCCTACTTCTACCCTACTCCATGCTTCTAAACAAAATGCTTTGCGTGCTTCTACTTTGCTGTGTGCAGTATTCATCACATCAATCCATCTATTGATTGGTTGAGTATTATTACTAGCGCCCCCAGTGTGATTACCTCGTCTCACTTCGCCCCTGGAGCCGCTGGGCGTCTTCGCCAAGCCTACCATCCAACCATTTTTTACTTAGACTCGAACTTGGACTCGGACTTGGGCTCTGTGGCGATCCATGCTCAGAGTTAGATGTTGTCGACATATGTTACTAATTATCAACACAGTATAAACGGGTCCCAGAACTCGGATCAGGCGTTCGAGAACAAACTTTAGAAGCAGTGGCAAAAATAGATTGTAGATTATGATCTACGATGGTCTATGCTGATCTGGGCTATTTATACTACCAAGTATCTGATTGTTTGCCTCCATCATATTGAAGCTTTGAGCAACCATGGAGCTTGGTCTGTGCACATCATGTATCCATATATTAAATTATACAAGAAGTAGTAATTTATTTACCTTTATCCCTAATTTTCAAGTCGGGATTAGAGGTCCCGGGGACAACTCAAAACTCGTGCCTTAGTACCTACTCGTACTATTGCACTGTAGAGCCCCACTATAGGATTCTCCCTATGGAAGTTTCAAGTTCTAGTGGATTTTGATCACAGAGCTAGTCGATCCTTCCGTTACAGTTTCAATCCTACAAGGAAAACCTCCATAGATAGTACTTTCGAGTTTCATTTCTGAAATCAGCATTTAGTTGCCAGCTATACATAATACCTTCAAGTACCATGCCAGAAATCGGCAGTAAGTTGCCAGCTATGTATCGATGTCCAATCACTTAAATCTCGGAAATCGAAAACTTCGATCGGCGATAGTTGAGGTAAAAGCCACGAGAGAAAATATGATATGAGAAGGAGAAAATGTAGATAAAGCATAGACAAGAAGCTTGCAGGGGTAAAGAATGCACAGAGAGAATATAAAGAAGAATGTGAGGGTAAAGCGTTGGGGTATCTGTTGGCCAAAGGCCTGCCACAGAAAGAAAGATACAACAAAATAAATTTGCCAGCCATAAGAGAAGTTAAACGTCGACCGGACCACCAGGACGAGACTCCGGAATTGATGTGAGTTGATCAGGACGCGAGATGGATGGACGTCGTTCGGGAACAGGCGAAGAGTTCTCCCTATCGAATTCGAGAGTCTCAGCCAGCTCAGCAACCATCGGATCAAGATCCTCCTCTTTCAGTCCAGTAGCAAGAGCAACTAATTTGCGGTGTTCGAGTGTGGTGCTGCCACCAGCGTCTGCCGATTGTTGGGTGAGCTCTCTGACGGCGTCACGACGGCTTAACTGGGCATCGAATAATTCGCGTGCAAGTTGATAAATGTGCAAGAGATCATCTTGGCTATTTTTGGATAAGCCCGAGACCTCAGGAATCTCTTCCACGCTAGAAATTTCCGTAGCAAGACGGGTGGTATGCAGTTGTTCCACCAGTGACTGGTAATCACCATATAGACTCTCATACTCTGCTTGCTTTTCCTCAAGGAGTCCACATCCCGCTAACTTCGTTTTCAAGGCGATCGTCTCCGCTCGGATTTTCGCGCGATCTGCCTCGATGTGTTCGTACAGGGCTTCTGGGTTATCAACATCACTGTCATCGGGCTTTCGGTGACTAGGCTTCGATTTGTTGCTATACAGCACGGCAAGTTTCTTGTTAGCCTCCGTCATGACGGCGCCGACCCTGGCGAGCAGATCCGAGGTGGCTGTAGGGTCTACGGCAGCAACTACAGATTGGCAGTCTGCTGGGACAATCCCATTCGCTTCAACGTCGACATGATCATTGGTCATAGTGATGGACGACATTTGCATGTCGTTGTTGTACTGAGCCCGTTCAAGGATCATATTGGCTGTATCTCCTCGTTTATTTACGAGGTCCCCAGAGCGCGGACAGTGTGGGAGAAGCATGTTTACCAATCGGAAAGCTCCGTTGCGCGCAGCCACGAGAGCAGCCGTGTCGCCGTTGTCATCTTGGCATGCAAGAAGAATGTCAATCTCGACCGGTTGATAGGCCTGGCAAAGCTTTTGAAGAATAACCTCGCAGTAGTACAATGAGCTATTCCATTTTCCTTTGCTTCGGGCAGTTTCCGCGATATGATGAAACAGAGTGGCACCGAACCAGTCGCGGAACGAGACAGTATCCAACAGCAGCTCCAATAATGCAGGGAATGTTCGCTTTTCGTAGTTGTTGGTGAACAAGACGGCTCGGACTAGCGGCGTCTCTTCGTGAACAGACAATGTTTTCATATCGGCACCTCGGCGAAGCATGTCTTGCACGATTTCGAGGTCACCCATTGCGCAAGCCCAATGCAAAGCAGTGTTCCCAGAGTCATCAATAGGGCGGTCGATCTGGAATCGCGTCGGGGGTTGAGGAGGATTCACGCGTGTCGCCTGTGGATCATCACCGACGGTCATGAAGTAGTCGAGAAGCTGATCCCCATACATGGTGTGCTCCTGGTTAGAGGCGGAGATAAGTGAGGACTCTTCAGCTCCGCGCTTGCGCTTCATGCCTGAATTCTGGGACAGTTGCATCATATCTTCGTCTGCAATCATCGAAGATGATTCAATGGTAGCATGCTCAATTGACTCGCTATCATCAAATCCAGTACTCATTTCATATTGCTCCTGAGGAATGATAGGAGGTCCCATGCTTCGCTTTGTCTTGATAGCAGTGGGTGTTGATTTAGTCGTGGACTTTCGTGGCTGTCTCGGTTTGGAAGACGCCGAGGTGTGTTTTGGGGCGGGTGGAGGACTACGATCTCCGGCGACGTAGTCGAAGATTGGAAGAAGCTTAGTGAGAATGTTATTGCGTTCTGCGAGCATGCGGCCTTCTGGCAGAGGAATCCATGTTCCTGAAAAACAAGTTAGCAAACTTAGAGATGATCAGATCTTTAGATGCATGTCTACCCTGATATTTGCCATAACCACCCTGAACCTTTTCATGAACGCCCTTCTGCACTTCACGCTCAAGAATTCGAGTTCTGGCAGGCTTATCAAAGCCTGCAGCTTTCAGTATGTGTGTTGCATTGACCCAGTCATCATTTCTTCGCCTCATAACACTCTCATTCTCGATCTTAAACTCGTAAACCGGGACCTGGTGGTAATAGTGTCAGAATTGGGGATTTCCAAAAGCTATACAACGAATTGGAGTCTATGAATAGATGAGAGAGTTTCATACACTGCTATAAGTGGCAGAATAGATGGTATCCATATCTGCCTATGTGTTGCAGCAGCAACAAGTGCGCGATTCTGCAGGAAGAACGAGTATGGTGACCCACACGCAGGGCCTCGAAAGCCCTCAAGGAGGGGTGAGGTTAATGAGTGTGTTTAATGATACAGAATCTGATACATTGCATATATGCAAAATCAGGCCGTGAATATGGGGAGACAATCTGATTTGTAGAAAGAGTGTCTTTGTAGCTCTCGGTAACACGACCGACGCGAAACCGCGTAAAGTGCCAATCTAGACGCTAACCTACTTTGGAACAAGATAACGTAATCTATAGATCAAAGGTCACGTGGCATCACATGACCCTCGGAAGCAAATGAACATAGCGCAACCAGGCCAACCCGTACATTTCGTCGTCGTGTCTCGCCTTCTCCCCTCTATAATCTGCAATTGCACTCCCAACTTCTGCCAAAATGACTATCATTGAGTCAGTTAAGAATGCAGTAGGTCTCTCAGAGACCTCCGGTACGATATCTCGACACGCAACCTCCAAACATCTCAAATAGGAAGCTAACTAGACTGCTCCAGCTACCCGACAGGAGATGTCGGAAGCTCGACTTCCCATGCAATACAGAGACTCGTGTGCACACCTTTTGATCCCGCTGAACCGGTGTCGGCGGGAAGAGTACTACCTTCCCTGGAAGTGCGAGGTATGAATCTTCCCCGGCCCCGAAATTGCAAGACTCGACAATCAGACACATACTAAAAAAATTCAATGGGTTTCAGGATGAGCGACACTCCTACGAGAAGTGCCAATACGTGGAATTCAAGAAGCGCGTGGCCAAGATGGACGAGCTCCGAGCCGCAAAAGACGGAGCCCGCAGCAACTAAGCTCGTTCAGCTCATTGGGCATTTTGCGCGTTGAATGTTTGTGCGGTCAGGACTGCTGTCAAGCAGCAGGTTATGTACATATAAGATATACCGAGACTGCTCATGGACTGCCTTTTTGGCGTTGGGATCTTTTCTTTCCTCAATCATCCTCGACCACCCTAGTCCTATCTGGTCCTACTTCCTGGAACCTGCAATACTGAGTAAGTTGACTGTCGATCTTGATCTTGCAGCCAGATTCATGGGACCAAGCTTCCAAGGCTTCGGAGTACGACCTCGGAAGTACAAATGGGCGAATGCCTATGCTTTGGCGGCTTTGGCGGCTGCGATAATGTATTTGTCAGCAACGTCTTATTCTGCAGTGGAGATTCTTGAACTAGTAATCAAATGAGCCAATCAATTGGGATTTAAAATGCAAGCTGACCCTTATGAATCTGCAAATGCAGTAAGACCAGGATCGGCATACCATGCAGCCTGTCATAAAGATACTACTTAGTACGTAAGTCGTGAGACCAGGATATAAATTGCTAATATCTTTGACACCTTAATCTCAAAGGTCGACAAGAGGTCCATTGAATAAGGGATAGAATATATAAAAAATCATAAATATGAAGAGCAAACCTCACCGAACTTGACTAGTCAGGTTAGTTAACTACTCTATACTAACGATGACTGAGGCTGCTTAGAAATCTGGGCCCGTTATCGCTCATTCTGCCCCGCCGAGAATTGTTGCGGCGAAAATTCCCCTCAACTTAAAAGAACCGTGCAGGATCCTTAAAGGGGATATGCGTGGTCTTCTCTAGCATATTCTGGATCTGATCATCGATCGTACGATTCGTTCTCTCTTAACTGCGTGGTGTCTTAATTTATCTGTCTCTTTATCCGCCCGGTGTTTTTCTTGCGCATACTGAATCCCGAAGGAATCGCTACTATGGGTCTGCTGTAGGCAATCCCATTGAAAATCGTCGGAGATTAACGGACATTAATTTGATGTTATAGTGCGCTCGGAACTCCCCTCGATTGGCCCGAAGCAAAGAAGAAAGCCGACCAGGTGCGACAATGGGGAATTGAGGTATGCGACGAAATTATGACAGCCTGAATGAAATCTGATAAGAGATGCAGCAACTTTTGGCAAACTGGCAGCGATGCAAGGGTAAGGAGCGAGATGCCCTTCTATGGGGAGACGAGGTCAGATCATCTATCCAAGCTTTCTGACTATTGTCTGATCTTTTGTGGAATCTTTAGGTCGAATATCTGGTAGTCGCTCTCGATGACGCGGCTAAGAAGGCCCGGCTATCACTGGCGCAGGCCGATATCCTCGAGTCTCTTGCTCGGGATGAAGCTTTGTGGCAAGCCGGTTCGAGTGCGAACGATAAGGGAGAACAGTAAGTTCTGTCGCTAGGTCTGGAATTCAAGGTTCTGACCGATTAGTGCTGGCGAACAACCTCCTCATTTTCACCCCGAGTTCGGACGATTTATGCTCGAGGCCACACCAGGAAGTCCATGGGGTATCGGATTTAAGGATCTATTGAAGGTGGAGTCTAATATGAAGTGGCGGTATGTTCCTGTTCACGAATGTCATGGAACTTGACTCATTATATCATTAGACGAGAGGTTGCGAAAGCACACATGGCGCCCAACGAATCTCCTATCACTATGACGACTTATCCACGCCTGGGAACAAATGACTACACCCAGCCGTATTATCCTCCATCGGGAACGGCTTTTCGCTCGCAGTTCGTCCCCGATCAGATTGCCAACCCTCATATTAGATTCCCTACGCTGGCAGCCAACATTCGATCTCGGAGAGGGCGCAAGGTTGAATTGAATGTGCCTATCTTCAAGGATGTGAATACACCAGTTCCATTTAAGGATCCCACCGTCAATTACGACCTTCATCTATGGCCAGAGGACGACGACGTTCGTAATGGCGCCGCCAAGGACGACCATGTCTATATGGATGCCATGGCTTTTGGTATGGGCAGTTGTTGCTTGCAGATAACCTTCCAGGCTAAAAATATGACTGAGGGCCGAATGATGTACGATCAATTGAGCCCGCTCGGACCTATATTGCTGGCTCTCACGGCTGCAACGCCTATCTACAAGGGATTCCTCGTCGACACGGATGTTCGATGGAACCAGATTGGAAATTCGGTGGACGACAGGACCCGTGAAGAACTTGGCGAAGCTGTAAGTTTTTCAACTGATAATTAGCCTACCAGTCTACTAATAGTTAGATAGCCCCTCGCAAATGATCGGTGGAGTATTCCCAAGTCTCGATATGCATCGAACTCTACTTATATCTCGCAAGACCCTCGTCTACGGAAGGAATATCTAGATCCTGACCTGGTGATCGACGAGGACATCAAGAAACGACTAATGGATGGTGGTATGGATGACCTCCTCGCCACACATTTTGCGCATCTCTTCATTCGCGACCCCTTGGTCATCTTCTCCGAAGATCTTGAAAAGCTCGATCTGAACCAAGGAGACCACTTCGAGAATCTGCAGTCGACCAATTGGCAACACATGCGGTTCAAGCCCCCGCCGTCCGACAAAGATGACATTGGCTGGCGAGTTGAATTCCGGCCGATGGAAATTCAAATAACTGATTTTGAAAATGCCGCATTCTGCATTTTCCTTGTTCTTATCACCCGAGCGATCCTCAGCTTCGATCTCAATTTCTACATCCCCATTCAGCGAACCACAGAAAACATGGAGACCGCCCACAAGCGCAACGCCGTTCTTGACAGCAAGTTCTACTTCCGAAAGGACCCCTTTCCTCGTCGGGTCCACAGGTCCAACGGGAATGGCGCATCATCGGGCGCCAACACGCCTCCTCCATCCCCTCCCCTCAACCCAGTTGAAACGGAGTACGAGTTGATGACCATCTCAGATATCATGAATGGCTCCACCGACGGATCATTCCCCGGTCTGATACCACTGGTGGAATCCTACCTCAACAGTCTCAACGTAGACGTTGAGACGCGCTGCTCCTTAGCCAGCTACCTCGATCTCATCCGCAAGCGAGCAGACGGCACCCTTTGGACTGGCGCACGCTGGATCCGCGAGTTTGTAGCAAAACATCCAGCGTACAAGCAAGATAGCGTGGTCTCCGACGAAATAAACTACGACCTCGTCAAGGCAGTCGAGGAGATAACAGCCAAGGAAGGTCGGGATGGCAGTGTCGGATGGGAAATGCTCCGGGGAAAAAAGAACTAAGCTCTTCGGAAGCATTTCACGTGTTGTTGATAGATATTTCTTGAATCTGCCCATAATTTCTACCGAGAGAGTTGGATCTCCGGTCATAATTCGGGATTATATTGGTCCTCTTTCTCTTCTGCGCTTCGTAGATCTCGTTTATTGGTTGAAATGGTCGTTATTTAAATTTCTTACTGTAAGCTAATGTTCATGCCGTCTTTGTACCACGCAAATCGAGATGATGGATGGTACGTACTTGAGCCATATAGTGAAATAGAGCAGGATAAATGCAATATGATCGATCCATCATGTTTGAACTATCACGACGAATTATTTAGATACACTGGCCGAGGGCAGATTCCCTTTCTCTGATTGCCTGCTGAATATTCCTTATCCGCTTTTTCTTGAAATGCCCTGCACCCTTTTAACAATACCTAAGTACCTGTATGTAGCACATTGATGTGACTAGCTCCTCCACTTCCCTGCAGGTTCGAGGGACTAGAGCGTTTGAGAGAAGAATTAGATCCCACTTCGAAACCATATAACGTTGTATCCTGCTTGCCCCTGAACCATGCCCAACTTCCTAATTCCCACTCCTACCTCTTCCACGTCATCTCCTAAGGAAAAACCAGAAACCTTCATACCTAGAATGACTAGAAGATTTCTTCGAGCTACACACTTTTCACGCTTTTGCCGCCAATTCGTTCTTTCTGCTTGCCTGGGTGTTTTTTGCTTCCCTGCTCCTATCAACCACCCTTTACGTCTCACAAAGCCTGCGTATATACTACCACATTTCGATAATACTATCAAATCCTTCTCAATAATGGTCGTTCCCTCGAAGATCAAGTAAACAAAACATTAACAAGAAAGTGTGGCCAACTAACACATCTGGAAGGTCTCAAATCTGATAATGAAAGCATCAAAATTAAATACTCCTGGAGGATGTTGACAACGCAGGGATTGTTAACCTCTTCACCGTGAAGTCAGTAAAAGCCATGAAGTGATGGGCTTCTCAGAGAATCAACATGCCATCCATAGTGATACCTCTCTATTGGCCCTTTTGAATTGTCTAGATGGTGTCGGACCGAGAGTCGGCTTTTTACATGACAACTAATCACCTAGACGAGCTCAATACTGCTTTGACTCACCCTGGCCGGATGGATAAAACGTATCACTTTGGATATGCGGATAAAAATACTATCAAAAGTATTTTTTTTCGCTCGTCTATGAATTTTTCTTTGGAAGGGGGATCGCTGGCTTCACATCGTGCATTCTAGCCAAACGTCTAGCCCTAAAAGAAGCCGTGTTATTTAGCTCAGGCTTTCCCCATCCATAGTCTTACTCCGAAGTACATCGTAGTTCTAATTTCTAAGGAAAACCATACTTTTAAAGCCAGACTTTATACATCCTACATTCGTTGTCATTAGCATTAGAAGGAACCTTTTACCTCAGCTCTAAACTCCCCTCATATTTGACTTAGTTCGAAGGGCGTCATGCTTCTAAAACTGATTCATTGGTTTGTATCTGGGCATCACACTACCACACTATTCACTGATGTATGCATTGGCCAGACTTGAAATCTTTTGTATATGACCGCGTAGGGGTCTTTCATCTCTAGGACTGCTTTGTATCTTGGAGAAAAGCCTTTCGCCGCTAGAATCAATAATCATACGATACCGAATCGGCTTTTCTTTTGAGAATGTCTAGTAGAACACTCATTTCCATGGCAGAAACAATCCAGCATGCGTTATAGGATTTCGGAACATCGTAGGGAAATATAGCACTTTCATAATCTTCAAAGTCCGTCCACTTTTCGGCGAAAGCTTGTCCTTGAGCATCTTAGGTGAAAGTAGAGTCCTAGCAGGTCCCTTCCGCTCTCCTTCATTTCGGAGCTTTCGAATGTAATTGGGCGTATTCAGCGATTTCCGCTCAGTCAGCGAAGTTGTCAGAGCTGAATCGAGGAATTTTAGATGGCGACGAACAGGAAGTTCAGTTCGATCGCAGGAATTGGAAGAAGTGCTCATGTTCGAGCGCTGAATGCCATGGGCGAAACTTATTTCCATTAATTAATGTCTTTAGTTTGTAGAGTGTTTATCTATTCTGTGCAAGCGACATGTCCTTCTCTTCAGTTCGCTAGTCACTTTTGGTAAGCCGTGTCCGACTTAAACCCAGGAGAGCAATCCTTCCAGAGTAATGAAAGTGAATATCAAGGTGCAGATTAACAAACTTGGTATTGAATGGCAGATTCAGTTTCCAATGTCTCTATCGACGAGGTTCTTCGTTAAGCTAACGACCCAGCACTATCACAGCATTATTAACTACCATTCCAATGAGTATTTAGCATGTGTAGCACTAGTACCACTAATCCCAAAGAGGTTTCTTAGTTCCATAACATTCCATGCCGGGCTGAGATTAGGTCTTACAACGAGAATCGCCGATATACAGTTACACATGGATCAGTAGAACAATGACAAGTATGTAGGCTGGATTCTAATTCTGCTGCATACTGTAGGGCTTCACTAGAAGGAAGACCCATTTCCTCATACTTATACTATATAGTACAAAAAATGAAGCCATATGCGTGGAGGAAGCAACAAGTCGATTAAGTTAAAGCTGTTATGCAACTTTTAATAGAATAAAGAGGATTTTCTTCTCATCTGGCAATTTCCTCTGACGTACAGTACGCAGTAAGCTTTATCCCTAGCTACGGAAATTACAGCGGAGTAAGGAAGCTGGAATTTGTCATATTACTAATTTACTTATAAAGCTTTACTCCATATACGATCGGGCATAATCTGAAAAGCCCGAAGTCAGGTCGAAATACCCATAAAAGCTTGTCGGGTCCGAACGACCGAACAAACTCCACAACGGTCATAATGTGTCCGCAACGGGAAAGAAAGAAAAGGCGGCAAGGCTCGCAAAAATAAGAATGACACGGTTAGGTATCACGGGCAGTCTAATTTCGGGCAAATTTCAGTGGAAAACATTGAAAGTCCAAAATGCAGATCGATCGAGATCTTCATCTCAATCTTAATCTCAATCTCATCTTGAAAGTGGGGTATTTAATGACCTTAAAACATTGTGAAACTCTATAAAGCCGCGTTACAAATTCGATTTGGGAAAGAGTTTAACACATCTTTTACCCACTTGAACCTATTCGACGTAAAGAACAAAAAAGAAGTAAAATGCTCCGGAAGGCTTAACCTACGACCCGCAGATCTGAAACACTAAGTGGATCATTCGGGATGGATCTCGATTCTAGCACTAAGCATCGTATCGCTATATTAGCTTTGATGGAGGTTTAAGATAGGTGAATCAGCCCTGAATTAGTACTAGAGGCTCTGAGACTAGGGCTCGGTTCATTCGCAAAGCTAAAAAGTCACCAAGATGAGGCATACCAAGGTTATACTATATTGACTAACTATATAGGGAATTCATGTGATATTCACCACGCTAGTGACGCGGCCTGAAGCCACTATGTGAACAAAGAGCAAAGGATTATAGCAAATAACTACAATAACTCCGTACCTCACCACCAGACAGGTACCCGATCGAGCTGTGAGCATGTTAGGCATCACCCTCGATAAAGTAAAGATCACCTAGATGACCCAGTTAAGTGACATGTTGTAAATTCCATCGGGAAACAAGCAAGCTGGGCGAAGATCTGAAGATCCGAAGATCATGTATGGATTCATGCAAGATTCATTCAAGCCATGGGAGATCTCAGTGCACGAATCGCGATCCGTAAACAGATCCTCACTCAACCCATGGCAATCCGATATGCAAGTTGCTCGATTCCGGGGCTGAACCAGTTCATTTTGTGGAGATTGAAGTATGCATATGCATATATCAAACTTTGTTCAGCTTGGAATGAAACGATACGGTATGCAACGGGGCCGTACAGAAGCCGTACCGATCAAAGAAACTCCGTAACACGGTTGGCAAGACAACCTTCCCACTGGTTGCCTACTTTACTACGTTCCAACCCCATGGTAATCCATTGCCTAAGAAATTTGATTTTCAATTAATATCGCAGTCTAATGTATCAGATCCTTATCCGACCTTTCCGCTTCATGGACATTTTCTCAGAACATGATGAGTACCTTCGAAGATTATTTATCTTCCATGGAAATGTAGTGGAAGATGAATTTTCAATATTGAGCCATACTACTTTCGAAGGTTCTTTGTAATTTATGCCTGTTCAGTCAATTCCATCTCCATCACCTATAGCCAAGTCCCGAGGTCCAAAATCAAACGGGTAGATCCGGTAAATTGTGTTCGCCGATCCCACAGTTCATACGATTCCTGACGAATCACAGCATCACTGATACGCAGAGAAGGCCCTTAGAAGGTCAGCCAGAACCTTGAACTCCACATTTTACCCTAGAATAGTATAGTAAAGCCCAGGAACCTGGTAAATACTGAGCACTGATTCACTTCACGAGTAGATAGATCATAGTATCCAAGGTTCTAAGGTTCTAAGGTTCCTATTTAATCTATTACTGAACTTATACCTTTGATAGGCAAGAGTGACATATGTAGGTAGACGGGCAAATTCTATTTATCTACATTAGTTTGAATCGCAGCCATAAACCAATCCAGTCGTTTATGGATGGTACGAAAAGGCCTTTGTCTGTTTAAATGAGGATGTTCTTTTTGGTCCAGGTATGGAAGTCTATGACTGAAAATAAGATACTTAGATATGCATATATCAAAGTTGCTGAACTTTAACCTGGAGGTTTACAGCAACTAATAGAAAAGGCCTAGTAAGGTTTTCTAGGCCATAGACAACGCCCTTTTCCATGTAATTTTACATTACTATAGTATTACAGCCTTAATAAGCGTTTGATTTTTTTTAAAAAAAAATTAAGATTAGCTTAGGATCTCCCCAGCTATAACTGTAGATCAGGGACGTCAGACAAAACAGGGGTCAACCCCATTTGAATCATCTGATACAAGTACGATTTACTTAGATACCTTCTTAAGATAGTTTCAGATATACTTTTTTTTTCTTTTTGGTGCTTTGGTCTCTGCCGCACGGCACAGGCCCTAAACTGATCTATCCTTGAAGAAATTACTAGGTAAATCTTGGCGCATCTTTTCACATGCTTTCCCCGAGGTAGCATTTGTTCGGCAAATTTCACCCAAGTACGCCTTGGTTACTACAGTTCCAAAGTTAGTGATACCTATCATGGATGTCTGCGAACCCGAGTCCCTGGGTGAGACCTAACAGAGTCCACACCCAAGGTCGTGTTTGTGTTTTCACACTTTCTGAATCGAGTCAAGGAAACTTTGTTTAGCACGGGGTCGCGTGGCTGACGTTTCTAGTTTCGGCCGGCGGAGATGGCGGATTCGACGAATAGATTTTCGATCAAAGTGGCTTTGATCAAGCTACTTAGTAAACAGTAAGATGAGACACGATAAGTACTAGTAGTACTTGGAATGAATTGAGGGATAAAGAGCAGCATGGGAAGTCCTTTAATACCAAGACCATATTTATCGATTAGGTTGGTAAAATGAGATCTACCAGACTAATGTATTCCGCCTGTTTGCACTATGTATGGTCACTTTATTTCCAAATCCACATCTCTTAGGTATCATCAAGTCATCAGAATTCAGTGTCACATGTAAATGATGCATCTAAGCATATAATACATCTAGTTCTAAGATCGGAATGTGTAAGGGGGCAAGAGATCTGTCCATGTATCATACTATATTCCGAAACCGACAGACTTCATTTTTTCAATTTCACATTTCTTCTTACTTCATACATCTTACTCCATACAAAAAAGAGGAGCCCTGGAAAAAGAAAGGAAGACAAACGTTTCATAGCCGTACTAATGCACAAAAAAGTGTCCGAGCCACGGATCTAAAATAGGACGATCGCAGATCTCGATCGATTCAGCCATAGATCATCGCTAATCACTTAACTTAGCAACAAACACACCGTTCTTTTGCAGTGCACCATATCATATCATATACTACGTACATTCCTTGAACTTAGAAATTCCTTCTTACTTGCATCTTGCATGAGGATTCTAAAGAAATACTAAGACTTTGCCTTCCAGCAGTTCGGCCCACAGCGCCTCCGAACAGGGGTGCTCCTCCCAACAACGAACTAGCCAGTCATCAACATCAACAGCAAACCCACTGACAAATTCTAGATGGTTTGTTATTTACCAACGCCGTACTATTTAATCAAGCAGCTGACATTGCATGTATAAACAGTTTAATTACCCGCTCTGATGCATACGTAGAATTAATCGGATCGGACTGGATCTTAAAAGAGGTAATTTAGATGTTAGATGAGAGGGCCCGCTGGGGGAACATAACCCCATGTCAATCCCCGGGGCCATCTACGATTGAACCTGAGATCAAAGCCTTTTCCACGCGGGTTTTTACGGAGTTCTGCATCTCCTGCACTACTGAACTTTGATTAAATTTAGTTAGAACTAGTTGCGTACCCCGTACTATTTATTACCGACGACAGAGTTCTATACGTGGTAAATAACGGAATAGCCCTACATCGGGAATGAACAAAGTCAAACTCTGGAAGCCAAGAACACAAATCATATCCAGAATCTGTGGTAAACATCGCCATCAAGTTTACTGTTCACTTGGACACACTTGAATGTAACTATAGCTTCAAAACGCCACACCTAAGCCACCAGAGTGCCCTAAGCGAACATCGAGAAAGTTCCAAGTTCCGCGTTCTAAACCCACTCCATCCATGGATCAAAGAACTAGCCATAGATTAGAAGCTTCCAAAACTGTCAGAATTGCCAGAATCTAACTGACCGCCTGGATTGAACCCTGGAACGAGAGAATCAAATGCTTTACTTTTACCATCTGTGACTTCATCCGGCCGATAGAACCACGTTTTTTAAATGGTGGATCCCGTCAACCGAGATATGTCCTTGCTATTTACGGAGTACAGAATCACTTGTGGCGTCTACATTAGAACTCGCGGCGGACTCCGACTTTACTCTGTGACTTACTTAGGAAGTTGCTTGCAGGACTGTACTATACAGGACTGAAATTGGATTGCCACTGTGAAAAATCCCCAGACGCCTCTATTTATCTAGGTAGGTCAATAAATAGTGTTTAGGGCTACTGTAAGAAAAAAAAATGAAGATTGCAGTAACGAGGAAGGAAGGTACAGCAAATGTCCTCATCCAAAGGAATTTTAATATGTATAATCCATGCAAGAATAGATGCTTGGCTCGATCATACACATCAATTTGACAATACTCAAGACAAAAGTAAACGTATTGAAGGTCAAATGCAGTTGGTGTTGACGGAAAAGATATCCTTTCCACTGCTGTACTGCTGCACTGCACTGCATCCGAGATCAAATCATATCCTATTATAAACAGAAAGAGATGACATGTATAATGAATGGGTAATGGGTATTCTATGCTTTGAAACCGTCACAACCTTGAACGCTCCAAGGGTATTATATAAGATCACCAATTAAGAAGGTAGATGAACAGGACAGCCTCAAAAAAGAAAAGGAAAATTGGGGGAAAGGGGGGGGGGATAAGTTATGTTTCATAAGATCCAAATCCCCGAAAAATAAAAAAGAAAAGACCGGCAAAATAGAAACAGAAAAATGGCCATTGAACTCCAACTCCTTTTTGCCCCGTCCCTTTCTATTCCTGCCTTTGAATGAAACGCCACATGAGAAAAATAGTATAATGAATAATAGTAATGATGATAAAAAAACAAGCTTAATGACTTGGAGGAGATGCAGATCCTAGCGTCGTTTTGGGCTTTAGATTTGATCCCAGGGTTGCGGCTTTGTTGGCACCCATTTTGCGAGTCAGCTTGGCGTAGTGCAAGCCACACGCGTTACACAGCGTTCGGGCTCCATCTGGACCCCGACGCCATTCCGGTGTTTCGGCTCGGTTACAACTGTGGCAACGACCAGGAGGGGCTGCCTTCTGCAAATAACGGTGGTTAGCCAAACATAATTCAGAATTGATAGATAGAAATAGCATAATAGATTGCAAAGGGGTCCAACCGCACCAGTGACGGCATGGCGGAAAGCAATGAGCGAGTAGGGGAAAAAAAAACTTACTCCACGCCGTTTCTTTGAATCAGCACCAGCAAATCCACCGTTGCCCTTGTACTCTTCTTGGTACATGGCCATGTGCTCGTCTTCGCCAGGCTTGTAGGCCTTTCTTTGGGCAATCTGCTCGGCTAATGCCGCTTCTTGGTTCACCACTGCTGTCCTGATGCGTATCAGGGCATCTTGGTTCCGACGCTGCATATGGAGCATCTCCTCCACTTCACCCAGTGTAGGGAGAGATCCCATGATCGGCCCAGACCGCTGAGTCTGATGAGGCCCTCGCGGCATAGTGCCTAGAAAAGTCCAATGTTCGGTTGCTCATATCGGAGATCTATTCCGTGGGGCATGTTAGCGCAGTTCTGATTTGATAGTCACAGGCGGGCAATCGGCGGATCAGCGGGGAGATTTAATCTCCCATGTGTGCCCACCATAGCAGAATAAAAGGGAAAAATCCTCATACCTCATTGAGAGATGACTCCACATCGTAAATATCTAGATGTCGTTTCACTGCATCGCTATGCAGTTGGCCAGGCATTGGACGACCGAAGCCCTTAACTTCTTCCACGCGAGGCGCATTCATATACCGGCTATCGTAAGGTCCAGTAGGGTGGTATGACGGGCCACTCTGCTGAGGAGGAAAGGAGTAATTGGGAGGGAAATGGCTATAATTGGGAGAAGCAACACTGCCGGCGGAGGGCGGTGCGCTGTAGTCGTAAGCGGAGGAGTTTTGAGAACCGGAAACCGAAGTGATGCCAGTTTTGGCGCTTTGAGTCGGCGACTTGCCGGTACTGAGAGAATGGAGTGATGAACGCGACTCCTGTGTGCTGATGGAGGCGAGACTAGTGCGCGAGGCCTCTGCCTGGAGCTGGGGTTGATGGGGAAAGCCTGGTTCGCGCATCAGTGACCCTGAGGCCGGGCCGTTGGAGAAAGGATTTGGAGGACCGGGTGGTCCTTCTGCGCTGGAGCGTCCGATGAGATGTGATGGAGGCGCTGATCCAGGTTGTGTGGGAGGAGCAGAGGTCGGCGCAGGGTAAGGGAGGTGGTTGTCTTTGCCCAAAGCCTCGTGGATTGAAGGTAATGATTGGCGACCCTTTTCTTTATCATCATCCAGAGCGCGACGTGAATCTGGTGGTGAGATATAACCTGGTTGGGATGGGCCACTGGTGGTAGCTGGCGCGTAAGAGTAGGGTAACGGTTGACCGGAGTACATGTTGTTAGGACTGAGAATGGGGGTATGCGCAGAGTGGGAGGAATATCCTAAGCCGTCCTTGCCCAAGAAACCGATGGCAGGCAAAGGGTCTCTGCATTGAGAAGATCTAGTCAGCGATTGAGTTCCTGAATGTCAAGGAGGCCAAACTAACCTGTGCCTAGATGCGGCTTCCAAAGACCCCATCATGAATGATAGTAAGATTAAAGAGGGGGAAAAAGTAAGAAGTTGCAGTAGTCTGGATGGTAGAATGGGCAGTATTTCACTGTTATCCTAACCTCATCAACAAGACTGGGGTATGGGACTGGAGTATGGGGGAGATGTGTTTTGGTCGTAGATTCAACGCGGAAGTCCGATCGCGTTTCAAGATGATCCGGGGTACACGAAGTATTTGTTGAAAAGAAGAAATTGATATGGCCCAAATAACGGTTCTGAATCTTTGGAAGCTCGTGTGACAGTACAGGGAATTCCACCGGTTCGTGTCCACTTATTTCGAAAGGGTTCGGGTGACGGCAATATCGAACGTATTCCCAAGGAACCAAGAATAGCCAAGATTCGCAGATAGATCCCAGATGGGAAAGTGTACCAGGCAATGAAGCCCGATTAGATCGGGGAATAGAACTTTGGTAGGAGGGAAAGAAATCCTGGAGCCTGCCAGGAATGATCTTGAGTATATGTGATGGTGATAGATGTAGAGAGGTAACAGGGTGGGGGGGAGAAGAAGTAAAAGCAAAACAATAAAACAGTAAAACAGTGAAGTAAAGTAAACCAGAACAGTACAGTAATAAATTAAGATCGATCGCAAGGGATGAAAACAAGAAGTCGCGTGGTTTAGGAAGGGAGAATGTCAATCCAAGTATTCTTGCACGAGGTGGAATGGAAGCGAGTTAAAGTAAGATTTCGATCCGATCGATAGAAGAGGGGAGGAAAAAGCCAAAATAATCAGGGGATCGAGGCTACTTCATTTCGGGTCTTAGATTAGTATGAACGGGGGAGGAAAGGAGTACTCAAAAATAATTATATAATTAGATAATTATAAAATTTATATAAAATTAAATAAAAATGTAGAATTATAGAATTATAGAAAATAAAAGAAAAGCGTTATTTCTCCATCGGAGGAATCAATGTGGAGTAGCAAATAATAATAATAATAAAATAATAATTATTATAATAATAATAATAAAGTAATATATAACGATAAAATACAGCAGCATTGAAATAACCGTAGATTACACGAACTGCGGATCTGGTATTTTATTCATATCTTCTTACTAATTTTACCTATTATTTTACCTTTTTTCACCTTTTTTACCTTTTTTTACCTTTTGATATACTCTTGTATACTACCTCGTATTTTTATTTACCTCTCAACTTTTCTACTGTGTACTCACTTCAGATAAGACGTCACACAGTTCCCTTAATCCCTTTAAATCGCAACTGGATCGATTCTAACAACCAATCACTCTTTTCTTTCCGGTAGTACAATTCTAGCAAAAATACTAAGTCCCGTATTCTTTATTCCTTATTCTTTCGATCTCGGGTCTTTCCGCTGATAGAACTCAGATCCTATTGTTTGATCCCTCGGTCTCATTGCCTCCTTCAGTATTCCCTCCGAGCCGTTTCACTTTTCAACGTTGCTCAATAAGCTTTGAGATCGAGATCGGACCACAGGAGCGCGATTGGTGAGATCGTATTTCCCTTTTTATCGTACTGTTTTTCATTTCCACTGATCATGTGATGTTTGCTTTGTAGAGGGGTATGCTTATTTCAGTCCTCATCTTATTTAGTTGACCATCGGGGCCATGATCCATATAGAAGTATTCCGTACACGACACATCCATCTCTATTACCTAGGTATGTACTGCTTTGACCCCGACCCCGCTTCGGCCGTTGCCCAGTGCTCTCTGTTTCTCGCCCCATATTGAACTTACCTGGAGATCATCCTATGACAAGGGCATCTCTACAGCCTCAGAGCCCTAAACATACATAGTACAGGTACCTGGTCTTCGGTAATAAGCATGTATCTTGTTTTTGGATGGAATGCATGGCGCAACGGTCAAGGGCCCAAACGTCGACTCATCCAAATATACTCCCGTTGTATACATCCGATTTTCTTTTTTTTTTTTTTTTTCGTCTTTTCTTTTTTTACTTCTATTAAAACATAGATGCGGTCGGCATGTAAACGTGAAATGGATCAATAGAAATGGAATCCATAGTCCGCTATGACTTCTTCAGGTCAAAGTTTTGAAGGATGAAACGTCGTTTTTTTTTTCAAGATCAGATGCGACACATCTATCGATCTAACAACATCCTTTCTTGGACCACACCCGGATTGCACCATCTCAGCCACACGGGTGTCCCGTGCACTTGAGATTTAGTATAGTGCGGTAGGTCACTTTTCAGACCTCAGAACTCAGATGCAGGCTTGACTGTCTCTCCTCGTGAGAGAACTTGGAAGCATAGAAGACTATTGTTTCAGACACGACCGGGACAATCAATCCATCAATGAATGGTATGGTATTACATCGATTCCAAGAATATCATGATTTCAAGGTTCAATAGTAGCTGTAAGATCAGATTAATCAACGTTCATTGGATACTGATACTGGAGGTTCGATCCGGGAATGCATGAAAAATAAAAGAGCCGCTTGTACATAAGCAAAACAGATCGGCTGTGTATGACCGTGCACTAAAGACTCCGTAATGTGATACAGATTCCAATATTTACGTCACAGTTGATTTTCAGTTTCAAGTATAAAAGTACCAAGTACTTCCGTACTTCATCAAACAAAAATGGAGAGGAAGCAGGAAGTGTGGCCGTATATCGAATATTAGGATATCAAATCTCAATTGCAGGATATTGAACAGTGATGTGCCAATAGGAGTAATACGGAGTCTACTGGTCCACAATGGACTCAGAAAGAACAAATAAAATGGAGACTCAGATCCTTTCAGAAAACGACTCAGGGCAAATTTGCTCAATCTTCGATGATCGACCGAGGAGAACCGTTAAGACTTGTTTTCCTGTCCCCGCTCTTAATAGTAAGATAAGACTGATGATGATGAGCTAAAAGCATATACGCTAAGGACGATCAGATAATCCCGAACCAGAATAAGGGAAAAAAAGACAGGTTGGAGATGAAGATCCGATCCCACTTTTTCCCTATTTTCCCTATTTTCCTTTTTCTCTCCCTTTTTATTTCTATACTCCGTACTCCGTACTCCTCTCTGCTCCGTCCTCCATCCTCCCCTTCTGTCCTTTCACTAGTTCATCCCCTAGGACCAGAGTACCCAAATCCTCGGATCCTGTCAACCTTTCTACTAATCTAAGTAGAATTAAATTAGGATCGAATAAAATAGAAGTGGGTAACGCTATGACTGGAAATCTAAATCTTAATCTAAATCCCAAATCCTACACGGCTTAAAACAAAAAGGAATAATAAATTCAGAAAGCATGGGTCTCCACAAGGTAACAAAACGACAGCACGGTTCACGACCCTACGTAGTCAAACCTCCGTGTGAGGATCGTTTCCGTGACGCCACCAAATGCCAGTGATCTAACCTTCCCCTCAAAGGTTAAGGATTGGCGCTTTAGAATTCCCCGATCAGTACTTTTAGACCTTAGACCTTGGACCACCGTGGCACTAGGAAAAATAGGGGGAAGATAAACTCTCCGAGCTGTGGAGATTTCAAGCGGTAATTAGCCCGATCTCTAGCCTCAAATAGGTTAAGTAGTTTAATTGACAGATGGAGAGTTCGGTCCTGTCTTTTATTACCTAGATGCCTTGGACCTTTTGAAATTGGGGGTTATGTTTAATCCTCAAAAGTACTACTTCGTAGTCAACTTTCTATATGTACCTAGGACACTATAATCTGCAGGCTATCTCTGACAGGTCTGACAGCGTTAGTGACAAATGAAATTGAACTAGCAAGGGGCGGAAATCTGCATTGTGCCATAAAGGGATTGATGACAGATTCCCACAGAGTTGGTACATCATGTGGATCTCGCTATCAGGTTTTTCATCTTGTACTGTCAACACGGACAAGTATCTACAGCGTACTCCCCGCTACGGAGTTCACCTACAAGCACATCCTTGTATCTGTGTCTGCCCAGTGCCACGCTAAAGATAGTATAGAATAATAATTGATGGAATATGGATGAAAATGAGTGAAACTGTCTTGAATTACGCCTCGATAAAAGCCCCTCTTTCTTCGAACTTTCCATCGGAGTGTCAGATCTTGTGATAATGAGCCATTCCTTATTACTAGCTCCGACAGGGGTGAGCGGTGTTACTAGTTCGGACAAGTATTGACAACGGTTCGGCTTTGGCCATGATATCACAGAGTTTACCGACAAAACTACTCCATAGTCATGAAGAGGCAGTATAATGCACTCCTTACAATGTGATGAAATAGTTATGTCATGGCAGTCATGAAGTCCCAATCTTGTTGGGTATAGAACGTAATGTATCAAGGGCCGTTTATGGTAATTCCGTACTTTTTTTTTTGCTTTCAACTCTATCTTCTCTTCCTACGACACTAAACCCAGAAAGGAAAACATCAAAGTTTACACGTGGGCATTGTGTTCTGCCTGCATTGTGATTCAACGGCTTTTCAGGCTTCAGCTCTTCTGCACGTCCCATCAACACGGCTGAGAAAGTTTCACCCGTCTTGGATTCTTGCCTCCAAATACAGACACTGACTTGGAAGATCGTCAAAGACGTACGACATCTATTCCGAGTATGAGCTAGTTGTATGGATCAGTGGAAACCGTTCTGGAATCCCATAGTACATATTCTCGACAGGGGGTAGACTAATAGACTAGGGTCCCAAAATTAAACCACGCCCAGCCCGTTCTCAGACCCGCCTTGATCGGCAGGCGCTAACGAAAAAAGAAACGAAGAAAAACGGTTAGTAGTCATTGACGCCCAAAGCAGAAGAGGTGGAGGTCATTGTTGATAGCTTATGGAGTAGAAAGCACGGAGTAAAATTGAAGAGTGGAAGACTCCAGTGGGCCACTAGGCATGGGCTGTCCGGTTAAACTCAGCAAAGGAGATAGAGGACACTAACTCCACAAGAAATCAGTCGATCCCATGCCTGGAGCGAGATCCCGCAAGATTGGAATGGAAAAAAAAATAAATAACCTAAGTGGGCTGACCGTTATTACCCTGATGGTTCTAACGCTAACTTATCTGGAATGGATCCGAAGAAGTCTCCCGCTTTGAAGATCCACTTAGAGCCAACTACAAGTTGAACCGCTCTTTTTCCGGTAATTTATTTCTTTAATTCACAGGGCGTCCCGGAGAATTCTCCCTTTTGGTGACCTTTCTCCACCATCAAAAGTCAAGAATGCCACGATCCTGACAAACTATCGATTATAATAATCATGGTACCCAAGGCGCTGGAATTAACCATCCTTCCTAGTTTGGAATGGATCGTACAGATGTACTATCATACATGGTACAAAATACAAAGCACGGAGCACTTCACAAACCTTCCAAGGTGGAAATGAGGTGATTCATAGATTTGTGCCTTATGGTTTGACGATACACGGGCATATCAATATAAACGTGAACCCTTGAACGAAGACTTCAGGTACCCGAAACACAGATCCACACCCAATCTCAACATGGAGAAACTAAAAGCGCTACAGGGCTTCGGCACAAGGATCCTAGATCGACACAGGAACTTTGAGACAATTGGACTGACAGAGATACGACAGCGTATATCGAACCAGCCGAGTTCGATTTCGAGCCAGCCACGACGATGGGCCAATATTCTTCCTTGTTAAGATCAGCCTCAGTGGAGTCTGATTTCTGTAGTGGATGCACTATTTGCTCCAGGTTTTCCTATGGACCGGGTTTCCACAAGATCAGAATCGATTACAAAATCAAGAACTGAAAAAAGGAGGGAATTCTATGACAAAATGGGGAGAGCTTGTCGATCATGTCGACCGGTCAGTGAGGACACTTGAACACTGCCGAAGTTTACCCTATTCATATGAAATATACGTACAGTAATGAGCCCGTACGGAATCAGGTACTTTGCTTTGTTTAGGATGACCCACTCTCTAGATGGTAGTGAGTTATTCCAAATATTCTTGTTGCCGTATCTAGATGGAGCTGTGGGTTCATCCTGAATCAAGGGTGATCATGGATCTAAGTACGGAGTACGCTGGAGCTGCGTCATCTAGCCTTAGTCTGGGTCAGGTACCCGTATGGAATCTTCCTTTCCACAGGTCAAGTCCAAGCTTCGTCTACCGTCTCCTGAACACGAATCAAGACTTGACCGCTGCTTTGAACTGGTTTATCGGTCAGTGGCAAGGGACGTGTCATGGAGTCCTTTTGCTCGGTCTAGCGGAAATCACTGGAGATCAAGGCAAACATCTAAATAGAGAGCAAGTACTTTTCAGTATGGAGGAATGTACCCCAGGTCGTTGCAATCGATCGCCCGCACAGGCCTCATAACGGGATTTGGAAATCGAGTCCGCGGGATTTGAGCATCTCGATATGAGATTCTGGGGTCTGGAGAGCTTCGGGAATAATAAACATAAAGCAAATTAAAAAAAAATCAATCAATTTAGAGGCTGACCCAAGCTGATCCAAGCTGATTAACCAAGGTTCAGGCCCAAGCGAGTCATATGTCTATCAATATTGGACAGAGTTTTTGGTAGAATTTGTCTTGGTCTAGCCCACGGGGATGTTGCTTTTACCGGGCTATGCCAGATGCTTCGGCCGAATCTGATCGACTCGCGTCTCAGATTCCGTGTGCTAGTTTCGAGCCACTCCATACCTAGTCAAAACTAATGCAGCGGAAGCCTTCCGATACCGTTACTAGCCTTGGGATCTTATGCAAGTTCATGCATCATAAACATGGATTTTGGCGTCGATGGCTCCAATTTGGGGGCGGATCGGGTCGTTCGGTGTGTCGATGTTAGTGCACATTAGTACAGCGCTATCGCTGGAAAAGTCCTGAATGTGTGCTCTGTGGTTGATGGAAGAAAGCCGTGTCTCGCTCAGTTTTTTTGGTTTCGGTTTGGAAGCTATGTATTCCATACCGAACAAGATAGACATTAGACAGATTTAAGCTTGCGCTCACTGACGGTTTTCTGCAACTTAGTGGATGAGCTTGCGGGGAATTATGAAACCACTATGCCAATGGATTTACCAAGAGATACGGTGAAGCGAGCTACATGCCGTCCGGATCCTTCGCTTTGGCACCAGGAACGCTTTTTGAAATCTGGAGATTTCTTGTGTACTGTGTAGGTGTACACGTCGAGTAGAGCATATCTGACAAATATATGACCAATACCTGACAAAATTCAGTCAACCGCTCCAAGGTTGGAAGTACCGTCATCATGAAGATTTGATATATGCAAGCTGCAGGTGCAATCTATTTAGGTATATGACAGCTGCTAGCGGCATGGGGTCTGCATTAGCAACCAATCTAGATCCGGGAGGACGTAGATATTTTCTGTGGCAGTGGATAAACTAGTGCCACTTCCAAGATTGTAGCGGTGCTCCGTAATTGAGACACTTGGAATTTTTCAGTCCCCTACCAACCTGTAGGGTCACACAAGAAATAAGATATTCGGAATGGGACCGAAAACAGGAACATGTTCGTTCGAGTGACCAGATTCCAAATACCATTCGAAGCTAACTCAATAAAATCTTGGTATTTCTCGTAGTGCGTAATCTTGGAACAGACATCGACCAATAAACATAGCGGTGTGAAATCTCTTGCTCCAACAGGAGGGTGACGGGCTGAGATAGTGGAGGTTTACGCTTGGTGAAATAGATCCGTGTGATTAAAGGTGACAGCATAGCCATTTAGAGGATCTGCAATCGAAATCAGCCAGTGAGAAGTGAGGGTCTCACTCTGAATTTCGATGGGTCCTCGGGAGTGTCACTCTGACAGGAAAACGGCCGCCATCCTCGTTGCTTTTGTTTTCTTACTCCACCGAGGGAAAAAAAAGGAAAAAAGAGCCAGATATGATTCTGTCGTTGGCTCCACCGTGAGGGGATTACTTTGAAATTGCCATGTTTGCTTCTACCTAGGTTTGTGAGTCTGGCTACTGTTGCCTCGGACGAAAGACTCAGCATTCAGGTATTACAAGTTTGTTTGCAGGATTTTATGGGGAAGTAGGTCCGAAATTACATTTTCATTTTCATTTTTATTTCCTATTTTATTTTCACGGCATCTCCATTTCAAGTTTTTCCAAGTGGCGGAAACCTGTGTGGATGCTGATCGAATGATCTAGTACAAAAGAAGGAGAGAGAGGGCAAAATCAACCTTCTCTCAATTGGGAGAAGTGGGAATCCTCAATACGATTCTGGATCTGCCTGCATTCAGGCTTACTCCTACTTTAGCGCTACTCGATAAAGTCCATCTTCGTGACTTGTACCTTTCTCGAAGTACCATCTCATTCCCCCGAAGATGGTGGCGATGCATCTCATTCCCCCGAATCCCTTATTCATCTAGACCAGAACAACAGGACCAACGAGAAAATTGGTGCAGCCGCCACGCAAGGTTTGCACTCTACTCAGCGCCCAAGCCGCTACCCATTCCCAACTGGACCTTGAGAGGAAGGGGGGCAACACAGTGAATCCAGCAAATCCCGATCCTGACTGTAAAAATGATTGGGGCTGGACTCCTACGGTGGGCAAGCCTCGTACTTTTGGCTTGGACCGGTCACCAAGGGGGTAGGAGGAAGTCACTGACCACTCGTCAAAGTGTGTCGCATTAGATGCTGTGCAGATTTCATATGTAGTGTGGGTTTCCATATCAAGTGCCGTGCGCGATCGATCCCGCAGTATGATTATTGTAACCTGCCTGTGTACTATGCCTTATGCTTATCGTGGAGAAGGACCAGGCTATCCTTGAATTTGACCCTGTACGCATCGTATGATTTTTCCCTCCCCTCTTTGATCTCATGTCCTATGCCACTATTTTGACTTCATCTTGTGACATCTTGCCTTTATTAAGGGGTACATAGAGCTGGAATCTTTGATCATAAGATATGACTCGTAGGTGAGAGATGTTTTGCAGGAAAGCAGGAAATTGATTCAAGTCTATTCAATACTGAGAAGGCTGGTCTAGATTTGATTATTGGCAGACAGAATGATTATCTCCAAAGTTGACTTCGCAAATAGAATTGTTGGCTCTTAGTGCCTCATTTGGATGACCTTAAATTAACTGTATATTGTCAGTCATAGTCGCTGCTGGAGTTGTACTTTCCGAGTTTGTTGGAGATACTCGTATACTTCTTGCCCTAATTTCAGGGTTTCAAAAAAACCAACAAGACCACCAAGAATTCCAAAAAAATCATGGAAGAAAAAAAGCCACAAATTGGCTCGAGTTAATTCTAGACCCGACCACTCATGTAAAAATCCCCATCACCACTACATTCGCCTTCAGCCGCTTCCCACAGTTTGCTTTTTTCTTAACCACTGATCACGTGACTACGCGTTCTTCATCAAGCGCGGGGGATCTTCAAACTTCCCCCGCGTTAAGACTTAGACCCGAACGATCTCTTTCACTTCACCGTGTGTGCGTGTTTGCCCATCTTCTCTATCAAGATGGCATCCCTCAGGAGACTCACAGATATCCCAACTTTATCTGACCTCTACCGAGATGGCATAATGCAAGAGTCTTTTTCCTCCAACGAATCGCCGTCGCAAGTACTAAATGACATCGTCTCTCCATTTCGCTATGACATTACTCAACTTGAAGTGGACGCCATCGTGAATGCTGCTAATCGCTCCCTTCTCGGCGGTGGAGGTGTTGATGGTGCTATTCACCGCGCAGCTGGCCCACAGCTATTGCAAGAATGTTCCCGTCTGGATGGCTGTGAACCTGGTGATGCGAAAATTACTCCAGCTTATTACCTCCCCTGCGAACGAGTGATTCACACTGTTGGACCTGTCTTCCGACTTGAATACAACCGAGATCCCAGTCGTCCCTTTGTTCTGTTGCGATCATGCTACCGTCGCTCTCTCGAAGTTGCTGTGGAAAAAGGTATTCGTAGCATTGCTTTTTCTTGTATCAGCACTGGTATCTATGGATTTCCCCACGACAAGGCTGCCTTTATTGCTGCGGATGAAGTCCGAAAATTCCTCGAGGAGCCCGAAAATATCGGCAAAATAACCCGCGTTATCTTTTGCCTATTTCAGCCAGAGGATGTGGCCGCTTACGACGAGGCGCTCCCGTAAGTGATCCTTTCCCAGTTCCAGTTTTTTCATTTTTCCATTTTTCCATTTTCCCCCATTTTATCCTGTTTTCAGCTTTTTTCTTTCTCATTTTTCCATTTTTATCCAGCTTTATATCTTTCTTGTTCCTGCTTGATCTTCGCAATTCGGCTACAGAAAGCTAACAACTATCAGAAAAATATTTCCTCCCGCATAGGCGAAAGATCCTAAGGGTAGCCTAGCTGCATGAGGCCGGATTCCCTTCGGTGGCTGTAATTGAAAGTCCAGACTGGACCTTTCTTCACCATCTAATCGCATAACGATTTTCACGACTTTACGTGACCCATGTACTCTAAAGAAAAATTTCCCCAAGCGTTCTGACCCGAGAGGGTACAACATATGATTCAGCTCTCTCTACATCTCTGTCTCTTTTCTCTTTCATAAATTGTGAATTGATTTTGTAACCCCGCACTTCATCGATACTTGGCGTTTGATCCCCTCTCTGACAAATCTACATCGGCCTGTATCTAAATGTCCTATTCCATTCTGGTTCTAGGCCACTATGTTACACACTTGAAGTTGAGATCTGACAACCTGCAGAGATGATATGATGATTACTACAGGTAGATTTCGATTCTGAGAGACGAAACGAGTGCAGGTAGTACCAAACTGCTTTTACCTCCGTCTCGATACTCAAATTGGGCGATATGCTTCATCTCGGATCCGAGATATCTGGATGGCGTTTTCAGGGATCCACATCAACCTTGGAAGGGTTCAGGATTGGAACCTTCAAACGAGATAGTCTTTCATCCCGCTCGATAAGATTTGACCGGGAGATGTGGGGATATACCTAGGTATAAGTGACCTCAGGCCTAATATGAATGTGAGACGTGTTCCTTGTTGAACCATATAGTGCGTGATAAGGCAGATGGAGACCGTCTAAATCCCAAGGCCTCCAGGGACTCAAAGGAGAGCGGCGAAACCCTCATTGTCATATTTACCATGCTGCTGAATTTAATTCAGATCCATTCTAGGAGATTTCAAGTACTCCGGGGCATCCAAGATTCTCACATCCAATTGAGCTTCTATCCTGAACTCGAGAGGTCTAAGACTTATCCATCTATCTTTAAAAAGAGGACACTTGCACGCTCTTCGCTCTTCGACAAAGTCTTTGGATATCAAGATTTTGATACCCTTACAGTGTACAGTATCCGTGGACACACTCTCTTCTCCAACTAAATGTGTCGTGAAATCGAAACTGATTCACTTTGGTCTTAAAGATCAGAATCAAATACCCATTGATAGCTTTTTAGAAAATGATTATGATTCGAAGTAACTCACGATCGAATGCCTAGGTACGACTGAAGATCGAGCCCATTTTTAAATATTTATATGGTGAGAGGGTGAAATTCAGAAGCCTAAACCGTATGGAGTCAAGGAACAGGAAGTCGGGACTCGACGACTCATAGCACTGGTTCTCTACCGATGTAAACATTGTTCTTTCATAGAGAAGATCGGTTGTTGCCGTTGAGAAATGTTTACACTGTTTGCATTGAGACTCGGCCGATCATGTCCCTATCATCCACAACTTAAACAATCGAAGCTATCAAATTCACTCTCCACTCTTTAACCATGCACAATTAATTACCCTACTTCAACTGTTCAAGAGACGACGCTGTACAGATACAGTTAACATCCAATCAAAATGCCACCCCAAACTTCCGAATCACGATCTCCGAAATCAGCGCAAGAAAAATCCACTGCACACTTCCTCAATCCCAAATCAGCTAAAAAGCTCGCGCAAAAGCTCGCCCCCAAAGCTCCAGCTCAACCACAACAAAAATACGCCTCCCTGGAATACCAAGCCAAGATCCTCGCCCAAAAACCCAAAGTCAAACTCCTAGATCCCAAATCACTATCTAAAAGACTCTTCGACTCTTCCATCTTCTCTCGGCTACGGCTTAGCTATACCCGCCTGCCTCGCTTTGTCAAAATCCTCGTTCCGCTCATACCAATCTCTGGCTTCTTCACTCAAAATGTCGCGCAGCTAATGTGGATACGCGGTCCCTCGATGACTCCCTATCTGAACGAAAACTATGATCAGGACCATACTAAATCCGACTTTGTGCTTGTCAACCAGTGGTCATGGGGACTTTGGTCCCAGAGAGTGTTAGAACGGGGCATGGTCGTAACATTCCGGTATGGAGAAAATCCAGACATCCTCGGTCTGATATCTCGTTTCTACAGAGATGCTTTAATACTACGCTGCTCTATCATTTTGTACTAATTCTGTCTCTTTGTCTAGTTCACCGTCTGACCCTACTAAGATTGCTGTGAAGCGCGTTGTCGGACTTCCGGGAGACCGCATTCACACTCGTGAACCGTGCCTTAAGCCTTCGCAGATCGTGCCATTCAATCATGTTTGGCTGGAGGGTGATGCCGAGGATCCGAAAACGACGATAGATAGCAATACATACGGACCTGTCAGTATTTCTCTGATTTCGGGGCGAGTGCTTGCGGTTCTGGGGCCTCGCTGGCGGTGGTTGAATTGGAGGGACTGGGACGAAGATAAGCCTGAGTATACTTATCGGAAGAGTGTTCGGGATCGGGTTGTCAAGAATGCTGTGGTTCTGGGGGAACCTGAGCTGGGTAGAAAATTCTAACTAAAGATTTGAACATCTTGTCAAGATTCCCGCGGCGGGAATTTGTTAAGACTAGGATTAGGGTCCCTTGGGGCCTTGTACCATTATATCATTGTATTATTAAGACTATGAGGTGCCCTTGTTTAAAAGAGCCAATATTAAGTATTATCCGAGCCCCGAGAAAGAAATCAAAATCCAAGGCGCTCGTATGGAACCCGAGTTACTGAGAAACAATGCGAATGTCTTCATGATTCTCCTCCTGGAGACGATCGATCTCAGAAGAGATACTCAACACCCATCTGTCCTTCTCAACACGACTACGGGCCTTGAACACAATAGTGCGGCCATATTTTCCCAACGTTGAGACATGTCTTAGGGACCGTTTAGCTTCCCCTTGTGCATCCTGCTCTTGGGCACGGAAGTAGCTTTTCTTGAGAGGTTGCCAAATAACGAATGTGATAGCTGCGTCTTCGTCACGGCTAGTGAAACCGTCGGAAGCTAAATATATTCGAGGTAAGGCGTGAACACCTGGGTTATTACTGTCAAAAGTCTGGTTGGCATATAGCAAATCGCTCTCAGTGACAAGTCCGGAGTAGATGTAGCAATCGCTGAGGTCAATGGTTGTTTCGAGATCTTGGTGAATGTGTGGGATTTGAACACCGTTCTGCTTGCGGAGGGTGCTGCGGAAGATAAGTAATTTCCCATCTGTAAGAAGAACGTGGCATCTGGCAAAGGTGCCACGGCGACGGGGTTTCCGGTAGAGCTGACCGGACATCTAATCCTTTTCAGTAATTAAAGCTGTTTTCGAGTCTAAATCACAACTTACCCTGATGATCCGACAACCTGAGAGAGAACACATGTTATGCAAGTGAGGCGAAGCCTCAGCTTTTTTAACCTCCCACTTATCAGCAAACTGTCCCATGATTGATTCCGTCTCCTCGTCGATATCCAAAAGCTTAAGGTTACGTTGGCGTACAGCCTGGAACTCTGCGGTATCATCTGCGGTGCGCGCTCTCCAATACTTCACCAAGGCGTCCAGTCTATTGACCCATTCATTACAAGTGTCAACGTCATATGCCTGAAGACGGACAATCAGATCATTCTCCAAAACCATTTCAAAAATTCGATCGTCCTCAAATTGTTTGGTTGCACCGTCCTCTTGCCGAGAGTCCGCGGCTTCGGGATTGAAGTCCACAGCAGGCCCATCTTGTATGTTCGCATCGGCTGGAGAACTTCCACGGTGGATATGACGCACCTCACGAACCTTGCAAAGATCGATATATCCATCTGAATTGATCATGTTGTGTGCGTTCCTCTTCATCTGAGCGTAGGCTTCCTCGTCATGCCGTTGAACATATTCAGGGTTTCCACTGGTGAGCCATGCAACATCCCCATCTTGTACTGGGTACGGATCGATGTCCCAAGAGATAGGTGCCTCATTCAGGATTTCACGAGGGGAGGGTATGGTCGTTTCGTCAGTTGGTGATAGTTTTGGTGGTGCAGGAGGGTATGCCTTGGCTGGCCTGCAGAATAACAAGTGGTGGTCTTCTGTGAAAAAGTACAGTCTTTTGAAAAAAATCTTGTTCCTCCACTGATGCACACCTTTTTGAGATGTCAGCCGAATCAAGAATCCCTCGACTGGCGGCGGCTCCTCTTCTTTCTTGTCTTCAGTGTTGACTGTTGTGGAGTAGTGGTGCCGCGGCCGAAGTTCAAGCTCATGTGATGACTGCATCGCTATCGTGCCATACATGTTCTCTTCGTTGACGCCAAACACCCATTCGAGACGGTCATACCGTTTCCAGGCAAGACCCATCTTCTCTGTTTTGGACCAAGTCTTCAAGACCTCAGCCCACTCAGGCTGGCCCTCGAGCATCTTGATGCAGGTTCTAATGATGGACTCGGCAGCTAAATTACCAGCGGCGGATCGACTTAGAATGGTGGTATGCTGAGCATCATTTGGCGAGATTCCTAATTCAGCCTCCAACTTCTGAAATGGATTCTTGAAGATCAACGACACTCCAAGGTCAGGCACATTGATGGGCAGTTTGTTTGGGCGGCGCCAGCCTAAAAGCTGGCGGATGAAAGTATACCATTCAGCCGCATGCGCTGACGACTTGGGACGGAGAATGTATATCTTTGTGCCGTGTTTGCTAGGACGCCAAAGCACAAGAGTCTTATCAAGTGTCGAGTAGAAGTTGACCCCAGTGGTCTTATGGTTGAGCCCTATTTCGTGATAAGGCGGGGTTTTGTTATTCTTACTTTGCATGTCTGGTATCACGCGCGTGCGGTACATTTGCAGGGAAAACGGCACATGCTCTGCAGAGCTTTTCCGACAAACAACCAGGAACTCCCGCCATTTATCCGCAGTCCGAGTCTCCATGCGAAGGCTATCATTCTCGGTGTAGTTGTCAGGCAGAGTGTCTTGCATCGTCTCTTCAACGAGAACTAGCATTTTCTCAGCCTTGACAATCTCCCCATTTTGTACTTTTCGCCTCCGGGGTCGATTCGCAGAAATTGTATCCTGAGTCTTAGCAATGCGGTTACGCAACCTCTGTTGCCTGTGCATTACCTTATCATCAATGTTGAATCTAGCCATTTTCTTCGTAATTCGTCCCTCATGATCTGATTTGTCTTCCTGGCTATCTCCTTCGTCCTGCGGTTCCTGGTGCTCCAGTGTCATCCGAGAAATTCCCGAAGTTTTAGATTTCAACTTCTGCTCTTTTTGTTTTCCTTTCAGCAATTGGGTAGTGGAATCGGCTTCGCTCACTCCTGCAGAAGCAACAGAACTCAACGGACTTGTGGCGCGAGGATCTGCGATTCTTATGCTCCGCTCTGCTTTCGATTTTGGTTGAGCTCCGGGGACGGAAAGTGTTTGGTTAGCACGTATTGTTGACACCGATATCTGATCTGTATCTGGTGGACTGAATGCGTTCTCCCTTGCTGTAACGAACGAAGACGAAGCGGCGCCGTTATCGTACACATCATTTTGTTCTCTTTCGCCTGCTCGACTCGGCCGGGGTGTACTATCAGAGTCTGAGGGCAAGCTGTCAATTGAAGCGGCACTTTCAGCTCCGATGTCAATCCCAAGCCCATTTTCATTCCCATTTGCCTCTTCCTCCTCCCCAAGTGCAGAAAAGAAGACTGTACGGAGATCCCCGGTGCTTCCTTCGACTATTTCTTGTTCAGATAAACCAGATTCATCTTCCAACTCAGAGTCGTTGTTTGTGCGCGTGAATGTGAGAGTGATATTCTCATTCAAGGGTTGAGCCGTTGGTTCGCTGTTGCCCTGGCTCTGGCTAATATCTAGTTGGGTGTAGTGACGAGTCACGGGGTCAACTGAGAACGAAACCTTCTTCGAGGTATAATTCTTGAACCGAAGCCTTGATTTGTACCACGACTTTCGATGGTCATGAAGCCAACCCTCTGGAATTGGCCCTATGAAGAAGCGACGATTTGTCATATGCAAGTGATGGGCGGAGGCATGTCGCTATTAATTGGGAATATGTGAGCTAGGGGCGGGTACGAACGTGTGGGGATAATGGATCAGAGATCTGGGGTTAACATACTAGTTTTTGATCGGTGAAAGAGCCGACGGGTAAACCATGATAATGCTCATGGTGTGCCGGGTTAGTAGTTTCAGACTGTGCTGAGGTGCTGGCCTGATTCGGATCACTCATGATACCGATGATGCATTTACCCTTAAGGGGGTGAGATGGAGAAGAATGAGCTGCATGTCAAGAAAATGAGACCCATGAAATCAGGAAGCGATCGACCAGGAACGCGAGGAGCCAATTACAAGATGGATCGATTGAATCTCGATGCACTACCAGTGATGACGTCGGTACTCCGTACAGCGAAATTATGTAATAGGGATACAAAGTTCATTATATAAGCAGTATGCCTTCCGTGTTTGCAATGTTTACACAGTGGCGGTGTAGGGAGTAGACAGGTGTCTGGATATTGCTTCTCCCCAGCTCTTTCATCTCTTCCTTCAATTGATTAATCTACTTTACTAAATCACAGTTATGGCTGCTACTTTCCCTCCTGGTGGTACTTGGTTCGATACCTTGACCAAGTCCTTCGCCGATGTTCCCATTGACGCTGCCAACGACGATGCTATCTCCACAGACGATTTCCTCCAAGCTGCCGAAGCTCTAGTCTCTCTCTTCGGTAGATACGCCAGTCTCACTGCTATCAGATCTCAAACTCATAAGAATAATTTGTCTAGATGTCCTCGGCTCTGTCGCTTTCAATCCCGTCAAGAGTGATTTGCTGGGCAACATCAAGGTCCGTTTACTCCCTCTCCCTGCATAAGCTATAGACCCTATACTAATATACTGTATAGAAAATTCGGGACCGCAGACTCGAAGCCCCTGCCGAGTCTGAGACTCTACAGGCACTTGTTCTGAATGAATTGAAGACTAAGAAGCACACCGCTACCGAGGGTTTGCTCTGGCTGGTCCGGTGAGTACTAATACCAAGTAGCTTTGTGACGATCACTCTGCCTTTAGTGGAATGTACTGACTTTTGTCTCATTAGTGGTCTTGATTTCACTGCCCAGGCTCTCCGCCACAACCTTGACAACCCCTCCAGTGAGCTTTCAGACTCCTTCCGCAATGCCTACGGTGGCACCCTCAAGCCTCACCACAGCTTCATCGTTAAGCCCCTCTTCAGCGCTGCCATGTCCGCAACCCCATACCGGAAGGATTTTATTGCCAAATTAGGTGACAGCCAGGTTAACGTCGACACTGCCATGTCGAAGGAGGTTGCGGCCTTGGAGAAGTTGTTGGATATTCTGAAGAAATTCCAGGCCCGCAAGGAAGCTCAGTGGAAGTAATCTTTTCCCCTCATGGAACACCTGGCTAAATGTCAGCTATACTCTTGGTGTGAATTTAATATGTACATGTTGGATTCCGTGGCTCTGCGAGCACGTTAGCTTCATTCATATAGCGAATCTGCGATTGGCATTGAATATACTGTTTATAAATTAAGTACATGAGTACGCTGTGTTGTTAAATTACACTATTTTAGCGAACATACAAGTAGGAATATGCACCTATCTAGGTAGCTGTTAACCTGAACAACTCGTATAGCTATTTACTACCTACTGCGTACAGTTCAAAATATGATGCCCAGCCATAGCAGTGAACTATTCTAATGCGGCTTGAACGATATAGTTTAGGAATCCTTCAATAAATTTCGGGATATCTTTTGTAATGGCTCATAATCTCAAGAATCCTCCGAATACAAACTATTTGCATTATCACACCTGCATATATATCTCCGTCGAATATTGCAGAGTCGATGAAACAGTGCCATGAGGAGCTGCTGCCTGGACCACGGCTATGGAACAACCTCGATGATAAGTATGAAAGAAAGAAAAAAACATAATGGGTTCCGACAGATGACTCTTCTATCCCGACTTAATGAAGCCAGCAATGTATGTCAAGCCATGATTTTCCAAGATCCACCTTTAAAACCCTAGACTATTTAAATTAGGGGCCTATAATTCCACCCAAACAAATTGGTATTAGGTGACAAATGAAGCTGGAATCATCCGTATTCTGAAGCTGATCTGGCTAAGAGCCCTCAGCCTGACATGTTAAGTTAGAGCAAACAGGCTATCGACTACAAGGTGAACCAAGGCTGCGAATTGGGGGCTATGATAAACTACGACAAAATAGCCTTAATTCAACAGAGCCAACAAAGATAATACTTAAGTTCTCCCCGTCATCAACAGATCAGTTCGTTGCATCGGCTAGCTGCACAGCAGTACACTGGGTTCTAAAATGAAGAGCCATGCAATCCATGGCGGATGGTCTTGCCCGTAAATTAGAGACAGAATTCAAGATGTAAGAAGGATGTTGTCCAATGCACACCCTCACATCCACCCCAAAAAAGAAGTTTACCAAATAAATATTTTTGTAGGGTCCTCATTGTGGTTAGAATAGATAGCTAGTTAAGAAACCAGTGCGAGTGTAGTTAACTGACTATACCAGCTACCTCAGTACTGATAGCAATTTAATATGAGCAAGGCTGGAGATCCACAAGCCATATAACCTTGGAACCTTGGAAGTTTTCCAGTCTCAGGTTAATAATAGATCTAGCTTCATTTTCCCCAAATTCGAGTCAATCGATTGATTCAACAACAATGTATTATTATTTCGCTATCAGATAGATAGCCGTCCACGGGTAATGTACCAGACAAAGATAGACCTATTAATTAATAGGTATGCAAGTCATAAAATGCAAAGATACTAGTAGACTCTTTTTTCTGCATGGTTTGATAGTCCACGATCTCAGCCGTTTTTATGATCCACTGTGGAGCCGATTTGTAGATGCTAATTTCCCCAACTCTCGCTAAGCTGACTATTATCTTACCTATTCCTCATAGTGAAGCATTTCTCTCGACGCTCATTTTAGCACAATACGCGCCTAGATATCAGATGTACTCTTTGAAGTGTAAATTAATTATTGAAATATAGGGGAAACGTAGACCACGTGCCGAACTATTAGGAAACCTAGTAGTTCTTTAGTCCGACTAGAATCGAGAATTCAAGTATAGAATGTCTCAAATCGAGATCTTTGATCCGATATGACTATGACAGTTATGGCGAATTCTTCCGAAATATCATGGAGTCAGAGCAAGTTAGTTTTACATTGTTTCCCTTTTTATTTCTCCAAAATAGCTTAATTGAGACATAGCGGCATTGGTTTCTGCAGCGGATAAAGGAACTTGTCCACTCAAAACATCGTTGGCTGATATGCATTCCGACAGACTCCGCCAAAGATCTTTGGATCCCTTTATTTTTGGACCAGTTTGGAGTGGCAAGCTTAATGTTATCTAGTTTGAGGATTGTTTTGGTATAAGGTAAAAACGTGAAACGTAAAGTTAAATTATTTCCGCGCCTTAACACTCCTAAATTGAAAATTAAAACTGTCTTTCTTATTCCTTAGGAAAGCTTGAAGTAAATTGATTTGTGGAGATTCTCGTGGTCCGGACTTTTGTCTGCATTTGCTGCGAAACAGATTATAGACTTTCAAGGTTCTGCAAAACTCGTCTCCCCATACTTTGTTCTCCCTACTAATCTCTATTTTCAATGTTTCAAATCAATCAGACTACCTCGTGAAAGCGGGTCTTGAATTTTCCTATATTCATGATCAGCTCTAGCGTGTCTTCTCCATTATTTAGAGCTTTGGAACCCTGAGGCGTTTTTGGTCTGGTTGTTTCGAGTTTAAACACGGAGTAACGCTCGGGGCACTTTCCTATTACCGTTACGCTATTTACATATACCTGGGATCACGCCTAGGCCGTGAAAACTGTTTGTTTCTCAATTGCTCTCAAGGCTCTTTCTTTTCTTTCTCTAGAAGTTCCTGTGGACAAGCCTCTGGTTAGGAAGTCCCGAGGAAGTACAGTCCGCGACTTTTTACTATTCTTTCTTTTCCCCAATAATCATGCTCCATACATGACAAAATTCTATTCTTTTGTGATCTGTCATAATGCTTGAGTTGGAAGGCCGTAGTTTGATAATCTTCATCGTGACAGCTGTTTTCCTGGGTATATCCTTCGTTGTCGTCTGTCTGCGATGTTTGGTCAGAATCCGAATTGTTAGGGCGTTCGGATGGGATGATTTGTTTATGATATTTGCAATGGTCAGTATCTTTACATCTCCATATAACTAAGAACTCAACTCATATACCAACCTCTAGCTCGTGAATATATTATTTGGTATATGCGGTATAATTGGCCCTCTATATGGAATGGGCCAGAAAACCGAAGTACTCATAGAGCGAGGCACGATGGAAACTGCCATGTTTGTTCGTTTTCACCCGATCCTTTGAATTATAACTGTAGCTAACATTTCTTAGTGGTGGTGGCTGGGCCAGGCTGCTTATGTCTGGGCCTGTGCATTAGCAAAGATCTCGATTGCACTCACCTTATTACGTCTGACCGTCTTTCAGACTCATAAAGTCATTTTATACAGCGTCATTGCGGTGAATTCTGCTGTCGGTCTGGTGTTCTGGGCTATGATAACCTTCCAATGTCAACCGGTTTTTTATTTTTGGCAGCGAGCTCTCCTCATTTCACATCCTACCGCTGATATTCATGGAACCTGCATGAACCTCGATCGTCTTATCATCATTGCCTATGTTTATAGTGGAGCCGCTACGTGCTGCGATATGACTCTAGGAATCTTACCCTTTTTCCTTGTGTGGAAGCTGAAGATGGGGTTCACAACCAAAGCATCCTTAGCCGCTATCTTAGGTATGGGAGGCATGTAAGTAAAACACATTCTCTGGACATGGTGCCTTGAGCTAACATCTTCTTCCAATTCAGAGCCAGCGCAGCAGTTATCGTTCGTATTCCATTCTTGCATTACTATAAGAGCACAGATTTCCTATGTGAGTACAGGTTATTTTCATACGAAAGTTATACAAATTCTGAAATTTATAGATGCAACAACCCAAATCTCCATCTGGTCCAACGTCGAAGCAAGCCTAGGAATCGCTGCCGGCAGCCTAGTCACCCTTCGCCCTCTCTTCCGCTGGATGTTCGACCCTAACTACTCGGGACCGGAAAGCAGATCCTCCTTGATGGGCGGCAGCTTACCGCTATCTCACTTGAATGTTGTTGAATGCAATACAAAGGGACAGCAACACCCACAATACTGGCGGCCGGATATTGGACCTGAGGAAACACACGCCATTATTACGACCATCCATACTGTGAATCACGGCAGTCGTGTTAATAGCCAGGGTAATATGGAGTCAAGATGTGGCTCCCTTCAGATCAATAGAGATGTCAGCATTCAGAGGAACTTCTCTATTTCGGAGCTACCTTCCCGGGCTGAGGCATCTAGGTATACCTAATTAAATGAATTTATATTTTGATCTATCTCGATAAAGTTCCAAGGTCCGTGAAAAGGTCATGAGATGCGGGATTGGTTGTCGCTTAGAGGATCCTCGCCCGGGGGAGCAAGGCACGGTGATAACGATCCGGTGCTAGATGCAGAAAGGAGGAGCTTGCGCAAGTCCGCGATGAACAAGAGCTTTTATCAATTCAAATGCCTCCGAAGACGTGGATCCTATGCTTCATGCCGTTGCAAAAGAAAACCTGTAAAGCCTACAGGGCCACCGATATGAAAAGATTAACATTGGAGATAAAAGCAAAGGTGAAAACGGCAATTATGTCGGAAGCGATTGGAAGGTAGATTTGTTGAGAGGAGCTTCTCATCAGTATGATGGAATCATTGTTGGGAGAGAATCGAAGGTTCGTAATGGATATAGGTTTGGAGGAAAGGATTTCATGGACGATTGAGAGATTTTCGGAATTTGTAACAGTGTATGGGCGGGCTTACGGAGTCACATACGGAGTCGCCTAAAAGCGTCATCACTCACTTCCTTGAATCCAGTATTGTTTCTAGCAACTCGCGTTAGTTTCTCTAAGATACAAGAAGGTATTTTCAGCTCTATTTTCTCCCTCTTCCATCCCACTTCGAAAAAAAGATAATATTCTAAAAATTATATTGTCGAATTACTATTTTGTCATTTAATTGGCCCAATCGTTTGTAGATTACCTTGAAATATCTTGCTGTTTATCAATCACAACTGAAGATCGGCAGAGCTATACGTCACGATGGCACATGCTTGAACCTCACGATGAACTCTTCATATGGAAGCCCTCCGTGCAATAAAGCTCCTCGCCCCTCACGCACTGGCCACCTGGCCAACATCTCTGGCTTGATACCTACGATCAACATTTCGACTATATGACCCTGAATTCTCGTCGGTATCACCATGAGAATACTGGTCCAAATGGTGTCCATAAGCACCAGGATGTGGACTATAGTGATGATGGAACTACTCATACTCGTAAAGAATATGAAAATCCTAATAACGGCATCATCTATCTCCAGGAGTATAATCGGTGAAGGGGACATTCATGGTGAAAGTAAAGGTCATCCAAATTTGTCTAATTTTGCTAAATCCCATAATTAATATGATTTCTTTCCAATTTTTTTTTTCTTTTTGGATCATTAACTTCAACTTTGGAACTGTGACGATTCACATCTTCACTAAAATATCTCATAATAAGCCACGTCTTGTAAAGTATTGACAAGTGGAAAAAGAGACTAGCTGAACTGCCTGAACAATTATCAATACTGCTTACCTATGTATACTCTACTTTATAAAATGTTACAAATAAATGATACTGCAATATATACGGGATTATTATAGAAAGTTTGATTGGATTGGGTTGAATGTTATCGGGTGGTTGCTGCCTTAGGCGGTTCATGCAAGGCTCCACCTCATCGTCACTAGCCCCCATCCTCACACCAACTGCTGCTACGCACGGGCTAATCTTTTAACAACTCGATGTTGGGTTAAAGAAGATACCTCTTCTCATGTCCCTGTAATCATGTCCAGGAGGACACTGGGTGGAGGTCGTGTTCTAGGCACTCCAACTGCACTTTCATCTATCCCGTCTCCCTCCCCGCAAAGGAGAGTGCTCTCACCGACCGCGAGCAGCTTGTCCCTCAGTTCACAGACTTCAGCTTCTCAGTTTTCATCAACAACTCAAGACCTCACCTCACGGATATCCCTGGAAAATGGGGACACTTCTATATCTGCAGCTCCAGCTGCCCCGGGAGCTCAGCTGTCATGTCCAATATGCAGTGAGGAGATGGTATGTTTGGCCCCAATGCGTGAAGGGCAAAAGCTGATCTATAAATCTTACTAGTTAACTCTTTTACAACTTAATAGGTACTAATGTCCCTTTGAATCAACGCCGGAACCTTGAATACAACAGTGGTTAACATTTCCCGACAGACACCTTGACGACATTCACCAGAACTTAGAAGACGACCGGCAGGATGAGGTTAAGGACTGGTTCAAGTTGCAAATGGAAAAAGCAAAGCGATTCCAACCACTCGCCGTGCTGAATCAAAAGCTAAAGGGACTGGATGTATTTGAATCAAATGAAACCACGTCCATCCCTGTCCGCCCTGCAACCCATACCGGAACACCCGACCCACCTAGGCTAGTAGATCCCGAGGACCTCATTACCAAAGAACACTGGCAAACCACATCTCTCTACGATAACTGTCTGGAACCTTCTTGCGGGAAACGACTAAATTCTACCAACGGATGCGTGAACTGCCGAAAATGCGGGAACCTCTTTTGCGAAGAACATACAATGTATCAGATGAAGTTATCTCGATCAGCGCAGCATGAACCAGTGAGAGGAATTTGGGCCCGAGTATGTGAGACTTGCTACAAATCAAGAGATGGCTACAACGATCACAATGGTACGCATATCAAATACCCTTGGGTTATGCCCATGCTTATAAAGAATAGGGGTAACGAGAGACCAATTGAGTGTATTCAAAAGTATCCGGAAACCGACTGTTGATAAGGACGTTCTTGAAATTTCTCGACTTGAAAAACGATTAACACGTCTCACACAGCTTTTGGCCAATCTACCGCCTGACCAGATTCAGCCCAGTGCTACTAAGCTATTTTCTCTTACATGGCAAAATGATCAGCGAAAGGCCTTGGAGCAAACTATTGTTACTTGGCAGGATGATGCTAGCGTCTCGCGGTGTCCTTTTTGTCAACAGGATTTCTCTGGGTATTCTTTTCGAAGACATCATTGCAGGACTTGCGGGCGGGTCGTATGTGGTGATCCTAACACGGGATGTTCCAGTGAAGTAGGACTTAGTATTGCTCCTCGTGAGTATCACTGCATTTCATGTTGAATCGCCCCATCTCTAATTTCAGTCAACAGTGTCGAAGACTGAGAAAGCCATGACCCGTCAGATGATCAATATAGACGTGAGACTATGCAAGGAATGCAAGCATACCTTGTTTGACCGACGAGACTTCGAAGCAGACATCACACGAAAGCCGGCCGATGTCAGGGCTTACGAAAATCTAGTCCAATTCGAGAAAGGCATTCGTCTACATCTACCGAAGTTTCAGAAGCTTCTTGCCGCATTACAGTATGCATATTGATTTTTCTTGTTTAATTGAAATCCATCTAATGACATCGCAGAGATCCAAGGCGACCTCCAACTTCGGCGCAAATTTCAGATGCATCCAAGGTCCGCAAACGACTCATTGATTCTTTTGCCAAGTATGATGTTGCAGCTCGACGAGTCCGTGACTTCCCCACCGACTCTCCCACTCAAAAGCGATTGCAAAAAGCTATATATCAACAAGCCAGCAATTTCCTCCATCTCCACATGCTGCCCCTGAAATCTCTCCCTCAAATTCTCAAACATACATCTCCCACAGGAGGTCTTCAACCCAGTCGCACCTCTACTCCAATCACATCCCTTAGCGGGTCTATACCTGGCGACCGGCCACAAAATTCTGCACTCACCACCATAAAATCTAATAACCGCATTTCTACTTATGACAGTACCAGCAGTCTGGTCAGCGACGCGAGTAGTGCCGTTTCGGCGCTAGAAGCCGAAGAAAAGTCACTCCGTGAGCGACTGATGGTGTTAGAAGAGCAGAAATTTTTTGTATCCGAGATGATCGCGGATGCCAACCGCCGACGCAAGTTTGACGAAGTGAGCAGTCTTGCAATGAACGTTGAAGATTTAAGTCGCGAGATCGACCGAGTCAACGGCATGCTGTCTAATTTGGACTTTGAGGGCGTCTATACCGGCAATTTGCATATTAACAGTTAAATTTTTCAGATGAGCGAGTTTATATTGATTGAAATACATTGTGCACAAATGCATGGCGCCCTTGTTTATTTCTTTTGTCGTTTTGTGGGCTGAGAGGCGTTTTTGGGCATCTTATGATAGTACGTGCATAGCACCGGGTGTTAAGTAACTATTTAGTGAGTGGTTATTGTCCCTTAAGTAATTGATTTCCTTGTTGCTATCCATTGTCTTCATTTCGTAATTGAGGATATAAGGTGCAGCTCTCAAAGAAAGAGCTGTGCCTATGCTTGTACAAAGCTATGAAGCTTGAGCTTAGTCATCAAGTGAAGAACCCCGGTAACTATTCTCGTATGAACGATAAATTTCAACCCAAGTATTCCAAGTGGAATCGTTCCGGGTCCAGCCAAATTTCCTCGTCTTATAAAAGACCAGATACTCATCCAATATTTGCCAGCGACCCAATTGAAAAAGCCCAGGTGGCAAAATCGAAGAACTCTGCCTTACCACCACCACCATACTTTCTCACAAGCTTTTCCCAAGCCTCACCCTTATCATTAGCCCATTTCACCATGTCAATCTCGTTATCTGACATGTTTGACTGTCCAGCAGGCTTATAGGAAGTAGTTTATGGAACCTAAAGCTTGCATATAGCATCATGAATAACCACTATTAGGAATGGCTTCGCACCTCCAGACCGAAGTACGCGGCGAAATTCTGCCAAATGTGCTTCCACGCAAACACATCTCCGTTCAAGTGGAGGAGATCTTCATTTTTTGCAGTTGTTGTTAGACATAGCCCACAATGTGAAGTGTGTAAGACTTTGTGCATACGAGTTGTCGTCTATGCTGTTCTATAGATATTCATTTCCAGGAACTGTGCTGGCTCGTTGATCTCATGATTCAGTCTGGTTAATCTTGACTGGTTGGAATCTGACTCACCTTGCCGCCTGTCTGGAGAAACACGCACTGCAACTTGGGACACGCTGCATTGAAAGCATCTAGGAAGTTCCTAAACAAAGGAAAGGTCTTTTCTTTCAGGACCTTGAAGTTGTCGTTGTGGATGTAACATGTGAAGAAAACGCATATGTTACATCGGAACAGTACTCCTTCGGCATGGCAGTGATGCTCTCGACTGGGTCCAGGAAGCCAATGGCTAAAACCTTGACTCTTGGTTTAATCCAGGCATTGGGAAAAGGGTTTCTAGAAATCACAACAATCTCGGTCCCGTTCTTGACCAGTCGTTTACGCGAACCTGAAGAGGCATCGGGAGATACTATTATTTTTTGGCTGGCGGACAAGATGCTCAATGACTGAGAATCCAGTGATTCCGTTGGCATAAGAAAGAGTATGCATATCCATGGATATCCATAGATGAAGCACACGGAGGCTGGATTGGCATAGAGCTTTCGGATGTTCAACGTTCTGCATGACGGAGATCATTCCAGTAGTCCCAGCATTGGAAGGCTAAGCCCAGATCTAGATTATCGAGAGGGGGAGAAAGGAGGGGAAAACAGATAGAAAAACATTTAATTTCATGCATCAGTCCTTGAATATGATGTGAAAATTGGACACTTCAGTAACTGCAAAGTAGTAGATATCGTCGATAACTATTCCATCGAAAGCTTATAAATTGGACATGATATTGAATTCCATGATTACCTTTTTCTGGCTTATATGATCATATACGGACCGGCTATCATACAAGCCCTGCCGGGCTAGCTCAATCGGTAGAGCGTGTGACTCTTAATCACAAGGTTGGGGGTTCGACCCCCCGTTCGGCTATTCCTACTACGAACCTTCGAGTCCTTCTTTTTTAATTTTTGCTTCAGATCTGTTTGGTCGGATTTAAAAACAATGCCTTTATTTTTAAGCTGAAAAATCATCCTTTTTGGCTGCATAAAAGTCTAATAAAACCGAGACCTGTATTTTATTGTACAATTCTGTAATATTACCGTAATGTATACTATTTAGACAAATATCTGCAGGAATAGCCGCGTTTGCCTTGAGTCCTGGTGTATCATGAGGTACAGGTTACACTGCACTGCATGAATCTGCTTCATGCAATTCAAGGTTACTTACTAACTTGCATCAGTCTTGCATTAGTCTGGCGTCAGGGGTATTCCAGAGTACACCAAAAGCTCTAAGTTATCGTATCATACTTGTCAGCAGTTTGTCACTCTCGAGGTCCAATAGTATGTACAGCCTTGGAAGTTACAAGTATTATTATTTTTAGTCGAGTATTTTATACTGAGCAGGAGGTTAGTGAACACAGGCACAGCCAATGGCCTTGCAGCCACCTGGCAGGTCGAGGTGCCGATCACAGATACTACATACTTTGACGGCTCTATCAGTGTCTGCCATGATCTCTTCGGTGGTATTCTTGTTGAACTTTTTTGCATATCAGAACCCAATCCGTAAATTTGCTTGAAAAGGCAGATTCAACCTTGGAAGGTTTGTGGAGACTCGAATTCCACCTGGAAATTTACGGGTTAACGAATCACTTATGATCATAACTAATCGTAACTTGAGATCACCTTTGAAAGTTATTTATTCAGATAAACGTACCAGGCTCCCTTAGAATAGAATCCCCTGCTGGGTTGCCATCGAAGTACGTATTTTCACCCTGTTCTTCATACCATCAATGGAACTCCTTATTTCTCACCTAAGCTCATACTCCATCCCTGCTATCCGAAATACAAAAAACACCCAAAAGAAGAAAACATACATCAGTCAGGATTCGCATGTGGTCACCCACCATACTACTAACTCACACGTGATATCTTCTATGCGAGTTGTTGATAATCATACTCCGTACTTCATACTCTATAAGCTGATCTGGTCTCGCCCAGTCGGCTTGAAAGTACGTAGTACAGCTAAGAGTTTAATATGAATAATCTAATTAGTGAAAATAGAACTAGATATAGGGATAAAAATGGTTAAAATTCGGATTATTTGAGTTTCGAAAAAAGTGTTAAAGCATTCTGCCCGAATTCTATCTAATTACTAATATGAGTATCTGAAATTTTGATTTCCTCTGGAAGGATACAAAACCTTGAGAGGTAACATTGAGATTTTAGGAGCTCCCAAGTGTTTGGCACTTATACATGCTTGATGACTCTGACAAGCAAGCCTTATGGAGCCAAGGTCTTGAGGTATTATCCCATTCACCTTTTTGTACGGGTTGGTGATTGATAGACAGCTGTCTACCGGATCAATCATTTTTATGTCAAAAAATGACTCCGGTAGCTTATTTGATCTCAAATTTCCAATTTTGAGCTCTAAATACTGCCTATAATTTACTGAATCAAACATAAATACCACTATGGTCAACTTAGCGTGTCACTAGCGTCGACACCAGACTAATTCAGTAACACCAGCGCGAACGTCAGGAAAATGCGATTGGTCGTGGCATCTCGATATATTACCTGTAGAGTCGTGGCAGCGCTTATATTATACAAAGAAATATAATACAAAAGGCCAAGTATATCTGGTCTAGTTTTTAATCTTGATCATTCTTGGTTTTTGTGCCATCCAGGACATACTTACCTTTGCATTCTACGATGACACCTTTGACAGTCCATATATCAAATCTCCTAGGGATCTCTGGCGTTTCACGGATGTTCCAGAGCATCGCCTTAGCACTCCGATCCATTTTAAAAAAAAAGCCTCGGGGAAGTCTGTATCCTGAGACGAACAATACGAGACAATGAACACGGAATTGTTATGGATCCCGTGCTATCTATGAAGTACAAACAGGCGGAAAAGCTAGAGAAATCCGCGAGCGGTTTAGCTGGCTTTGAAAATGACGACACATTCTATAAATACCGCAAAGGAGCGATGGTGAATTGGGTCAAATACTGGCTGGGCGTGCTACCATGCTACATAGAAAAATAAATTTCTTCGGCGTTCAAGGGTTCTTTTCGGCTTCTATAATAGTTATAATAATACGCTTGAAGTATGCAAGATTTGAATTATTATGTTTTACAGTCATGTATCAAGCTTTGCGTCATCACCGCTCTCATTTGTCTTCTCGCCAAGAAAGCTGTTATTTAGCCTTCACGACCCAACGGGTTCAACGAATCCGACAAGAATTCACTGGCATTCATTAAGTCCGTACTTCCATAAACCACTCTGCGTCGAAGTCCAGGTGAACGATTGGCTGACTGTGAACCATCAGCGCCGGGTTGGCCACTGGTTCGGTTGACCCAATCCTGCAAGTTACCATACTCGTCCATACTGCCACCACCGACTGTGAAGACAATGGCCTCATTGAAGGCCTGGCGGCGTTGGCCAAAGGTTGCTTGTGTGCCAGGACCCACAACACCCATTGCGCCAGGCACCTGTTGGTTTCGCGACGCGGAGGCTGGAGGCATAGCACCTCGTGCATTAGCACTACGGGGGTCAAAGTAAAGATAGTTTTCTGTCTTGGCGATTGCTGAGCTGGAAGCAGAGGCCGGGTCCATGATCGACTCAGTGATCTTGGTCACGGTAAGATCCTTGTTGGCGGGAAGGAAATTCTTGACACCGGAGATTAGTGAATCGAAGTTCGCACCCAGGGCACCAGAGGTGATACGATCTGTGAGACGGTTGGAGAGTGAGGAGAATCCACGGAACAAGTCGGAGGATTGCTGCTCTGGGGCCGCCGTGGCCATCATAGTCATCCGGGTAATTTCACGAACTTGGCGGACATAAGAGAGAGATGTAACATCTGACACGCCGGAATTTGTGAGAGCCTCTTCAAACTGCGTCATTTCCGAGCGGTTGAGTTCCGTCTCGGTGCTAAGGAACCAGATGATGAAAATACGAAGCTTGTCCTGCGGGTTGCTACCTTTCACCGGATCATTAATCAGCTCCAAGATTTGTGTCTTCGACTGTTTGGTAACATTCTCCTCCATTTCAAAGAAGTTGTCCAGTTGACGATCTTTAATACCCTTGAGCAGGGCAGTAGCAATGTTCATGTGCATATCAAGAACAGCTTTGCGCTCCCGCAACTCAGGGAGTAGGGTGATGGCAGCCTTGAGGTGTTGCGCCGATGCGCTAGTATCGTTCTGAAGATCCTCGATTGAAGAAGCTCCGGTCTTTTTGGTGATATCATTGGCATCCTCCTTGTATCGTGTTAACTCGGCATCGATATCCTCGGCAACCTGGGGAAATGGTGCTCCGGCGTTTCGTTGCCAGAAAAAGTCGGTGCTGTTCAGATCGTAGGCCTTTTTACCGCCCCCCTCTACATCGAGAGTAATCCGATTCAAGCGCATTTGCAGCACATCTTGCACTAGGGATTGATATGTCCAGGAGTGTGAAAGCATAGGCACCAAGTCGACATTACGGTCCATGATAATTAATACGGGTCGACTGGAGGGTACGCCGGGAAGAGCTCGCTGGCCACCTGAAAACAGGTTATCCTTAGAGTTGAGGATGTGATCTCGAAGTTTGCGGTCCAGCTTTGTTGCGATCAATTCGGCAGCGCCGCCCTTGGGGCATCTAATGATAGGGATTGAGCCTAATCCGTCAGTCAAAACCAAATTGACAAGTCACAACAGGAACTTACCCATTGTCACACTCACACTGAAGAGACCGCTGACCACCTTATCGACAATGGCATCGAGATCTTCATCACTAGTTTTGGCGCTGTTGATTTTGTAGTATGCATCGTTTCCCAGACCCAAACTGAAGAGGTCTGGCTCGGCGACAATGAAGTTCAAGTACTGATCGAAGACCTGTGCGATATTCTCCGAGGCACCAGATGAGACTATTTGGGAGGCGAAATCCTCAAGTAGTGGCCGAGGGACAGAGGATAGGAAGTTAACGTAGGCGGGGGAGTAGAGCCCATGGGAGAGATCATGGGTGATCGCCTCGATGTTTGCAGCATTTGGTTCCACTAGATAGACGACAGGGACGTCGGGAATAGGATATCTCTGGGAATTGATACCTCTAGAAGTTGATCATTATTAGCTATCAGCGTTTCTTGAGTGCCAAGGGGCTCCAGGGTTAGAGAGTCATACAGATGGATGGTGACACCCCAAGCTCGAAGATCGTTCACCCTCAGAACACTGCTAATGACATCACGTCCCATGGTGTCAAAGACCAGGACTTTCCAGATTGGGTCGCCATCTTCATTTAATATCGGGGTAGAGTGGGAGACGAGGCCTCCATGACCAGCTTGATCAAGAGTGTTATCATCTGTAGGTTGTGTGTCATGGTTCAAGTTGAGAAGCTTTTGTATCGATGCTAGATTAAGTGGTCAATGGCCCTGTAATTGTTGATCTTAATGATTTCTTGCATTGACCTACCGACCTGTCGGTCTCGGAGGGACAGTGGATGCGCCATGACAAAATAGGCACCACGGGCTTAGTCAAGGACAAAGTCAGAGATAGGAGCAGCTCCACTGTCTGAAAATTGAGCAGATAAGGCGATTCTAACAAGAGAAGGCGAAACGAAGTCTTCGATCGCTATTATGTTTGTTGTATTACAACGGAGGTGGCCGAACTGCGGGGCTGAGGTAAGCCATACAAACAGCTACAAACCAAACAAACAACGCCGGGCGTCATCACATGAATGATGGAGATGATCAATTAGAAATATAAATACTGTAATTTACCACAAATTGAGCCAATGGAAGGTTAATGTACCCGAAACATTGGTAAATGACAATACCAATCAAACCGCGTAAGTTGTTCCGTTCCCCTTCCCACCTCACCTTCTTCTCCATCAACTATCCTATCGCCCACAATTTCCCCTTCCCCTTTCCTCATTCCCCCTTCCCTCCCTTTTTTGTAAAGTGAATGGCATCTTAGAGTGGCTCCTTGTATAAGAACCCATTCTCTTCTCTTGTCCTTGTGTTTGGAGGCAAGCTTTTTTTTTTTTTAGCAGAGAGGCGCAAAGCTCTCTAGGAAGCTGCAGGGTTCATTCAAGATACAAGCTTCAGGAAGAGAGAAAACTGGATACTGGAAAGGATCTGGACCAGTGTATTCATCAACAATTCGTCGCGTGATCGCCCATTTTAAAAGTGCTAAGAAAGAGGTTTACAACAGCGTTGAATCAACGTTGAGTTTCCAAGTGAAGAAACGGGCGCCTGAGGATCCAAATTTCTAAACGGAAAAACGGTCTTTCCTATTTACCTTTTCTTCACTTTCAACTTTCTCTCAACTTTCTTTCTCTTTCACTTACAACTTTAAACCAAAAGGTACGGCTCGTACTCAGTACCTCAGCTTCAGTTCCAAAGCCTAGATGTACCATTTGAAACCCTGAATTTTTGAAACTCATTCTTATCAGGTCTTCTGCAGTTTCGAAGCTCTTCCAACCAATCAGAAGATCCAATAACGCGCATTCCCCACTGATCCCCAATTTCAACCTTACAAAATACCAATTAGGAAGGCGGTGTGATATAAGCTTGGTCACACGTCACGTGACGGACAGTAGCTTAACTTCTTCTCTTTTCGAGTTGGAGAAATCATGGAGCAGTCCACGCCAAACTCCATGGCTGGTCTACCTCATTCTACTCATGGTCCTCAAACCCCTGAGTATTGGGGTAACCTAGACTATGCTCAGCTTCAACAACCCCAGCAGTCCCTCGTCCAATCCCAAACTCAACTCCAGCAACAACAACAAGGCCAGTCCTCACAGCAGGCACCGCAAGGAATTACCTGGAACCACCCCATTTTCCAACAGCAACAGACCCAGCAGCAACAACAACAACAACAGGGAATTGCAACGGAACAACCCCATATAATTTATTCTTCTATGAATGATTCCTGGCATGCAAACCCGCTGCACCAGCCTCAGCCAGCCCACCAGCCAGCTCACCATGTTGCTGGTCGTAACTATGCCGTGACCCCATCATATCCACCCCATCAACAATACGAACAGGAACAAATGCCTTTCGATTCACGCGTGCTAGCACCTTCAGAGAGCTCTGCGTTCCCACAATACCCCTTCCAACAACAGCAATACTTCCCGCAGCAACTCGCGCCACAGAGTTCATTCACAGGTCAATTGACACCACAACAGGCAATCCAGTTACAGACTGCTCGTTTTGACAGCTCTTCTGGATTTCCTCCCGGAATGTTGAGTACTACAATTGACCTCACCGAGGATTTCCCAGCGCCTGGATCAAGTCATACCATCGATCCCCACTTCATCAATCCCAACCCATTGTATGGATCGACGGAATACGAAAGGCAGCCAAACGGAAGGATGTTTGACTATTTTCAAAATAATATCTCTCTTCAGCCTCGGCTAGACGGTGCGCAGGACCTCATGATTAGAAAGCCACTTCCAGTACCCCATGTGGTTATCAGATCAACTCCAGCTACCAAGAAGAAGCCCGCAGCAAAAAAGATTGACCCCAAGAAGGCAATGAACCCCAAAATAGAAGTTGAGAGTGACGATTCTGATTACTCCGACTCGGATATCGAAGCCCCCGATGAACTACCTCCTATCCCAGTAGGCACTCCTCGTCCAACCGAGCCTGTGGCAGCAGCCGAAAACGACACATTTCACATCGTATGGTCTCCACGAAATAAACGCGTTCCGGCAGATAAATTCAAAAGTGCACTTGTTGCCTTCAAGGATATCATCAAAACTCTACGTGATAACTGGAAGGATCAAGTTCAATTGATGAAGACAGCAGAGAACCAAGGAGATAATGATAAGGCAGCTACACTTAAGCAAACTGTATCTCTTCAGCGCTCCATCATGAATAAAATCATGACCACCACTTTGGAAATGGGCCACCCTATCATTGTTGAGAAGTAAGTCCTTCCCAGTCTCAATTTCTTTTCCCCCTTCCCCTTTATCTGCCTCCATTTTCCTCTTTGCATGACGGCGGTCATGGCTATAGAATTCCAAAGCGAATTGAGAGCATTACACCGTGTAAACCCATTACTTTGGACATGAATTGAGTTGCCATTAAGTCCACTATAGAGGGAAGAAGCTTCCTTTCAAATATTGGTGCGATGACATTAGAAACATGTCATTTTCCAAATTGAAGTGCCCAGAAGCAATACGTGATACCCAAATTTGGGATACCCTTCGGTGGTCCCTTTTCCAAATATTCCAACCCAGATCATTTTGACATTCCATGTTGCTGCTTGTATCAGATTACTGATTTTCAATTCCTATGTAGGCTGGGCGAACATCCTATGGCCCTTGCAGCAGTCTATTCGTTTCTGGCAGATCGATTCCAGGCTGCCGATTACGACGGTTCTTTGTCATTGAACATTCTCAAGGTACGATTAATGTTTTATTCTAATTTCAATTATGAAGGCGCTGACCTCTAGCCAGCTTCTCGCGCGATTCGTCTCTGTGGATCAGGAACTACTTCAGAAAACCAACCTTTCCAAGTTATTACCTCGTTTTGCTAAGAAAGGCGGATTGGTCAGCAAGGATCTCGCCCAGAAAATCATTGACAATGCTGAGGCATCAACTAAGCGTAAGCTATCTGGCGTCAAATCTGGTAATGATGATTCGCCGACAGTTGGATCATCGGGAGACTCAGTCAAGGCCGACACTGTTGGTCTTAAGCGTCCACGCGATGGAGAGAGCATTACTCAACCTGCCACGAAGCGAGCTGTTCTTAATTCAAACCCGAAAGATGCAAGCAAGACATCTTTAGTGAATGGCTTGGCCAAGCGCACCATTCATGGCACCCAGAACGGCAAGCCTGCCGCCGCAGCCATCCCTCGCCCTAGACCCCAGATTGTTGCTCCCAAGCCTTTGAGTGCTTTCGGTGTTTTGGCTGTTAACAAGAAACCGGGTACAAGTAATGCTGAGCGGGCAGCGGCCGCAGCAGCTGCCGCTGCAGTTGCAGCAACTTCAAAATCTGCGTATGTCATCCATAATATTTTCTCTACGCAAATAATAAAGACTAACTCTTGACCAGACCCGCAGCCGTAAAGAAAGAGAAATCCGCGGTGCCTCAGCCTCAGCCTCAAACACAGTCTTCGTTTTCGTTCGGGGATCTCCTAGCAGATCTTGACAAGCCCAAAGAAAAAGTCATCGCCAAGGTAGCCGAGGATAAGCCGCCAGAAACCGAAGAAGAGCGAAAGAAGCGGCTACGTAAGGAGGAGCGGCGGAAACTACGTGTCACTTGGAGACCAGATGACTGCCTTGAGGAAGTTAGACTTTTCACCCATGACCCTGATGAAGAACTGGGCCCCACAGATGGGCGCGGCGCAGGAGATGTCAAGGGAGAAGGCAGTGTTCTTAAGCTTCATAAAGATATGGAAGAGCTGGAAGAAGATGACAGAGAGACAATCTTTGAAGATTATCGCCCGCTTTCAGGTAAGCCAGACATTCTAAGCACCAAACATTAGCTAACCCCGTGATAGACATAATCTTAGACGAAGTTATGGAAGGCAACTTCATTAAGCGTGGTGGCACTCATATGCCCACAAGCCCAGAGAAAGAAGCCCAGGAGCATCGAGAGTTGAATAGCCTCATGGTCTTTTACGCTTCTCCAGCGGATGTTCCCTCAACACCCAAGGAACCTACTGCTCCTGCTATTGAGGAAATTGTTTTGGACGAGCTTCCATTCGGAGAATTACCAGATACCATCAAGGTATGTGCCACAGTCTGGAACTTAAGCAACTTCAAATGAGAGTACAGGCATTAACTGGAAATACTACAGGCTCGACAGGAACGCTACTTTGCTTACATGAGCTCAAAGACCACGATAGTTCAACCTCCAGCCCAATCCCAAGCTACTCCAGCGGCAGGTGGCTTCGATCTCTCAAATTTCCTAAAAATCATGCAAACTGGACAGCAATCGGCACCCCCTCCACAACCCGTATCAACACTAGAACAGACAGTCAACATGCTCCGACAAAATCAATTCACCCAGGCTCCGCAGATTCCAGCTCAGCCTGCAGCCGCGCCTGCTATGGACTTCCAGGGAATTTTGAATATTATGAAACAATTTCAACAGCCAGGTGCTGCATTCCCCCAGCAACCGATCCAGTCTGGCGTGACACCAAATCTTGGGGCTATATTTTCTCAGTTTGCTGGCCAGCCTCAGCAAAACGGGGCTTCTCAGTCAATGCATCATAATTCATCCTATGATGACACGTCTCGCAAGCGGGTGCGCGAGAATACCTATTACGATAACGAATACGAAAAGGAGAGCCACTGGTCCCGCCAGACACGCACCAGATTAAATGACCCATCGGCTCCTCAACCTGTAAGACTTATATCAATACTGTTTTGTTGAAAATCAATACTGACTTCGAGTTTAGTACCGAACTAAGCGTCTTCCTTGCATGTTCTACAACGAGGGCAGGTGCAAAAAGGGAGAGAACTGTACTTACCGCCACGACGTGTAAAATCTCTACCCCTTCACTTTTCAAAAACCTCCACTTCGCCAGCTGTTCATTCGGATTGATACCCCTGGCAATCTTGCGTTGCCATCGACAGCCAGCTGACTCTTTTCATTCTTATCCCCCTCATTTGTTCTTGTATGCTTTTTTCCAATTACCCCGTGATGCCTTTGCACTAGAGCTTCAGTCGAGGATTTCCAAGGCGTTAAAAGTGATGGCAGTTTGAGTTCCATTCGCATCGGTCCCTGCAAGCTCAGTGAGCTAGTTTTCTTCTTTCATTATTTCTCGATTTCCTGCATTGAAGCCCCAGCGGCAGAAGGCGTTCACGTCCTTTCTACTTTTCGTGCTACCCGGTTTTACTCTCTTGTGCTGGGAGCATCATCTTACGGCGCATATCTGTTCGCATAAATGTACATTATTGATTGACGTATCCATAGCAATGCTGCAGGAGCAAAATTAACAATAAATTAATTTCTCCAATAATCTGTTCACTTTCATTTTCATTTTCATTTTCACTTTCTAGAAGTGGCCTGGATAGGTGGAAGCATGATTAAAATCATATTCGAAAGAACACTCAAGCATTTATTAGATGAATTGCGTCTATTATTGCCAAGCCTCCATTCTAAGACTAAGTTGTCCTAATACCAGCTAATTGACAAGTGCCATTATACAGTCTCTCCAGAGTCGATGCCATAATTGTGACATCAGCCGTATTAGTCGACCAGAGCTTCAGTGTCCGAATAGAAACTCGTACGAGTGCTGGCCAGTTCAACGGCGGATAAAGCATCAGTCCACTATGTCCCCGGACACAATGCACGTTGCTCAAAACAGCACCCAATATTTGAATAGCTGCAGCGAAGGTGCACCGCAGAACGTTCCAGATCCACTCGTGCCGAAATTGGTAGAATAGCCTCGGGATAAGTTGGGCACAGTTATTGATGGCTTTCTGGCCTTGATCGAATATTTCGCGGGAGAGTTCCATGTTGTTATGCACATAGCTTGGTAGTGAGGTATAGTGCAGGGCAAGATAGAGAGCGGGGCGGTAAATCTTTTCTAGAGAGATGTGGTATCGACCTCGGAGGAAGTGTTCAATGTCTGGATCAACTGTGCCTGCGGAGGACACTCCAGCAAGGCAAGTTTGTAGCCTAGTTTCGTTCTGGTTAGATTATATTACATATATAATGCAAAACTGCATATATATATATGGGGCAAAGAAATGGGTACGTACCATGAGGCTACGACTTTCACTGCGCCAGAGGTTCTTTCCAAGGTACCGCCGATGTTGGATACCCAGCCTCGTTCGCCTTCTCGCCATATATCAATGAGCATCTCGTTCACTGTTCGACGATTGCAGATAGAGCCTATGTAGAATCTCCAGCTTTTTTCTTCATTGGAGCCAGTAATTTGATTAAGGAAAGATTCATTGAACCCATCCATATTATCTGGAGTAGTAGGTGAACTCTTTGAAAAGGTTGGAAATGGATCTGAATACCCTAGGCTCTCGAGACCGCTGCTCCACAGAGGAAGCTCGCTTTGCATTTCGCTTTTGCTAAGTCAATAACAAGGTCTATACCTCAAGCATCATGTGACTTACTGCTCTGCTTGAATACATGACCAGTATAATCTCGACTCAAGATTGTGATAGTTCACATCTGCAGTCCATTGATCTCTGCATGATGACCGCAGACGAACCTCTAGTCTACAGGAGGCTTGTTGGAAACAGAACCAAGCCTGTAAGGGTCGAAGGGCGTGTCTATGGTAGGCGCCAGCAAGGAGAAAGCATTGGATATCCGTCGGGGAGGTATGCAAGAACCCGAAGCGTTGTTTAGCAGCATGAAAGTAAGCCTCGGCCCTCTCGAGACTAGCGTCAAATATTGGAGGCGGATTCATGCGATCCAGATCTTCTGGAACTTCATGTGGAGGGAATGATGACGCGCAAGCGGCCAGGGCACATGCAAGAAGCTACACACGGAGTTAGTGATATCTATAGAGCTTTTTCTGGAATAATAGTTCACGACGCACCACTTGGCACGATGGTCCGTCCCACCCCAGTCCCCGTATCGTCACTTCGCGGGCGTACCGCGTCAATTTCTCCGTATCAACTATAGGGTTTCTCATATGTACCAATAGGAAATACTTCTGACACAAATCCTGTATATTATCGAGAAGTGGGGTTTGTCGGGGAGATGGCATGTACTGTTCATCTTGGGCATCCAGAGAGTCAAGGAGGTAGGAACGGGCTATTCTCTCCGCATTCGTAATAACCTGATTATAAATTGGCCAGCGGAGCATGCACTCCGGAGAATTGGCTGTGTATAAAGTTAGGGGGTCATGCTCCGAAGGACCGTTTTCAATACTGATATTACTGCCGGGGAGAGTGCTCCCGGAAAGCGTATCTCCCTGTGGGCTGGTGGAGTTCACAGCAAGCTCAAAGAAAGAGGTTTTGAGAGAGCGGGTGGAAGAAACAGTTGATGCCCCATTGTCTTGTTTGATGTCTTCCAACAGAGAAGCGATATGACCCAGACGTTGTATAATCTCCTGATTAGCAAAGTCATAGCTAGGCCTACACGGTCTATTTTAGTCCACCTTCCAAACTGAGACAGAAAGCTTAAAGATTTTGCCGAAACAAGACAAGCCACAACTTACTGACTAGATCGAGGTGATGATTCAGGATAGGAGCAATCGACCCCTTGATGCGCACAGTAGCTACATATGGGCCTGACATTATCACACCGGGTTTTTCGCAGACGGCACGTTTGACAAGCTGTAGGTGCTCGCGTCCGACTATCACGCTTCCTAGATAGTCTCTGTTCGGCAAAGTCCATGGTTCTTGGTGTACAGCAATTACCCTGAGGAGACAAGGTCTTGATTCGGGGAGCATCGGGGAGAATTCCTGGAAGTTTGAAGAGTAAAGTGCGGCGGCCCATGGACGGTAAGGCACGTACTTAGAGGCGAAATGAAATCAGTACCCATGTAATAGGCACAGACTAGTCTAATATCGGAAACAAAGAAAGTTGGTTGATGATTCTGGTTCATCGAGTCAAGCCGAGTGGAGAATCGCCGGATTAAGCAAGAATGGTTCTTCTGAACAAAGAACTTGAAAGTCAAAGTCCAAGGCTCTGATCCCACTTCTGAAATGCCTCCATGACTAAAGTGGGGATATTTAGCTTCCTGATTGGAGTAGATCGTCAACTTGATAGTTCTGGTAAAGAGCTTTGACATCCACTTCGAACCGCGGGGATGGATGGGGACTCCAAGTTTGTCACTCTTGATTAACAGAGACATAACCAATGAATCGGGGACCTCCATCACCCCACTTTTAGGCTTCTTGCAGCACCTTGAGTGGCACCGCGAGCGAATGAGAGCCACAATATGATGTATGTCCAGGGATAAGTTGAGAATCCGAAGTAATCAGCGGTCAGGGGTATCCCGGGGAAGAGGCTGTAATAGGTGGGAATCTGACTAGATCGGAATACCGAGGTAAAAGGAGTCCTAGACAAGTAATCCTTAGAGAGATTGCAAGTTGCCTAGTTTGTGCCGGTGCCCAGGTGATAAGCCAGCCCTAAAAAGATGCCACCCACCTCTAGGCATTCGAGCACAGTGTTCCCTTTTAAGGTAACTGGATGTATTCGTCCACCTCATATCATCACTTGTATAGACAGTTACCAATCGGCTTCTAGGGGGATAAATAGATATATGTACAGGATTGTGCCCAAGAAACAGAAAACCAGGAAATGACGTCCGATGCCGAGAAAAATGCGACTAAAAGAGAAAGAAATGCATCTACAATGCAGTCAATCTGTATACAGTGGAAGAAGCAGAGACAAAGGTAATAGTTTGTCCCAATTCTTTAGTTGCTAAGAGGTTCTAAGAGTTATGAGCCCTTCCTGGGACAAACCTTGCCACTAACGGACTGTTTTCTTAACCTTCTTAACCTTCTTCACCACTTTGGGTTCAGTCTCATCCCAATTGTCTTCAAAGTCATTCTCAAGGGTGTCAAGCTCTTTGTCGTAGAAGTCGAGCTTGCGCACCATTTCCATGGCACCGGTACCCAACCCCATCGTTTTGCCCATGATAATGCACTCAGAAACACCCTCGATCAGATCTGTGCGTCCAGCACCACCGGCATCGAACAGATGGTCCGCAGTCTTTTCGAAGGAAGCAAGCTGAAGAACCGAGTCACGCATTTTGGCCAGACCAAATCGAGTGATACCTAGCACCTCTCCCTTGTAGGTCATCACATCTGCGAGAAGCTGCATGTGACGAGGATCAATGTCCATGTCCTTCATGACTTCACTGATTTCAGTGACAATCGTGCTGCGAGCAGCTTCGATTCCAAGAACTTCGCGAGCTTCCATGATATTGTTGCTCTTGGTGCGCAGACCGTCCACACCGGCGGTGGTCATACAATCTCGCAGGCCGTAGCCTTCTACCAGCAAGGTATTGAAAGTCGAAGTCTCGTCAGTTCGGAGGATGGCACGGGCAGCACCAGCGTGGCCGGTGATTTGGATGTCGGGTAGCATGCGTTTCAAATGCTTGATACGCAAGAATGGATCAATACTCGTGTGGGTGATCTCAGTCTTCGACAGACCCGACTTGGTGGCTGGGTCCATATCCATGTAGAGTCGAATGGAGCTACGGCCAGCGCGCCACCTGAGATCACCACCCTTGAAACGTTTGTTGGTCTTGATTGCTTCCATGATATTGGGGATGGTAAGTTCAAGTTGCAACTGGGATATCGTCTGGAGATTGATCTTAATTGTCACATAAGCCTCATGTTGGGTCCAGTTTTCAGTAAGGGAGCGAAGAACATCCCGAAGGAAGGTCTTCTCGATACGACCTTTGACGATGCGAGCCGAATAAATGCTTTCCTTGTTGACCAACTCGCAGGTGATAACTGGTGTACTGATATTCTTCGATGCATTGATAATTTCCTTAATACGAGGGACACCCTGCGTGATACTCATACCGGCGACACCAGCGAAATGGAAAGTCTTCAGTGTCATCTGAGTACCTGGCTCACCGATAGACTGAGCACCGACTGCTCCCACTGCGTGACCAGGTTCAACTTGTGCTCTCTTGTATTTCAACAGACAGGTGGTAATGAAGACACGCAGTGTTGTCTCTGTCAACTTTCCGGTATGCTCCAAGGCTTGTCGGTTGCTTTCCTCAGAGTCACCTCTGCGCGGGGTCAACTTATCAGCTCGGACTTGGATATAACTCTCAATGGAGTCGAGGAAATCACGGGCACTCTCAAACTGATCAATGCCGGTGTCAGAGCGATCCATGTAGCCCATCCTATTGCCCAGAAGATCCTCCCGACTGAGTTTCGCACGTTCTTTGTCCAGCATATCATTGCAAACCCGCATAAGCTCTGTCGACGACAAGCTCTTTTCATTATTATTGTAGGTAGTAGCCTCGCAGTGGTTGAAGGTTCGGTCGAAATGAACAGGCTTCGCTTTGCCCTCCATATCCACGGGATCCAGCTTGTCGTCACCATACTGGAATTGCACAATAGCAGCGGAAGAGTTACGTACGGTGTCGTCATACATTGTTGATAGATCTTCAAGCGATTTCATCAGACGGCGAGACATGTAACCGGTTTCTGCAGTTTTAACAGCAGTATCAACTAGACCTTCACGACCAGACATGGCGTGGAAAATGAACTCGGTAGGAAGAAGACCCGAGAAGAAACTGTTCCGCACGAAACCCTTTGATGGAGGCTGTCGTGCGTTCTTCGGAAAATGAGGCAGAGTACGATCTTGGAAGCCATTCAGAACACGCTCACCACCAATAATCTGCTGTCCGACAAGTGCAACCATCTGAGACACGTTGATGCTGGAACCCTTGGATCCAGATGTGGCCATGATCAGGGGCGAGTTGTATTTGCTGAGCTGCTGAATACACTCGTCACCAGCTTGCTGACGAACCTTACTGAGAATACCGGAGATTTGGTTCTCCATTGTCTGCAGCTCGTCACATCCAGGGTATTTCTCAAGTGTTCCAGCTTTGAATTGAGCAATGACCTCGTCACACTTTGCGTAGGCTGTTTCGACCAAGTAGTTCTTCGACTGGACAAGCCCTTCACTGGGGTAAACGTCACCGATACCAATGGAGAAACCCATGTTGGTGAACCACCGTGCTGACAGTTTTGATAGACGGTTCATGCCCTCGGCGGCTGCAGGAGGTCCAAAATCACGTAGCATAACGTAAAACACATTCTCCTTTTTTCCAGAACCAATTGTTGACTTGTCCATCACACCACACATGATTTCCGAGTTACGGATTATAAGCCAGCCATCATTTGGATCCAAGTCTTTGGCTCGGCCATCCTTGGGGGCTTTGAACTCACGGCATGCAGCGTCGATATTAACCAGGACAGGGTCGTCCTTGTTAGGGTGCATCATAATATTGAATACTTGTTTACCAGTCCACAACATCTGCGGCTTGACAATTGAGGGCGGTGGGAGATCGAAACGGGTCTCTGGGCCAAGCATATACAGACAGATTTGACAGAAGCTGGCGCGATCAAAGAAATTGTCTTTGCTGCTCAGCACGTAGGCGGCACTGATGAAATCCTGAATGGCTGAAATAATGGGTTCACCGTTCTTGGGAGTAACCAAGTTGTTCTTCACACCCATCAATTCCATAGCTTCTGCTCTTGCCTCTTCTGTTTGTGGGACATGCAAGTTCATCTCATCGCCATCGAAATCTGCGTTGTAGGGATTGCAGACACACTCGTTCAGACGGAAGGTTCGATGCGGTCGGACTTTGGCAAAATGAGAAAGAATACTGAGTTTGTGAAGGGACGGCTGTCGGTTGAACAAAACGATGTCGCCGTCTTCAATGTGACGTTCAACCATATCACCCTCTTGAAGATTGTTGGCCATCTGCCTTGGGTTACCGAATTTCAGAGACATTTTCATAGTAGAGCCTTTCTTTAGCAAGAAATTCGCTCCTGGCCATTTCTTCGTGCTGTTCAAAATTCGACCCTGTAGTTTCTCTTTGTTGTATCGGGTTACAACCTCTGGATAGGTCATGTTCATAGCCACCAGTTCGGGGACTGCAACCTCATCCACGCGAAGATTAGGATCTGGGGAAATAACTGTTCGACCGGAGAAATCAACACGTTTTCCCGAAAGGTTACCACGGAATCGACCTTGCTTTCCCTTGAGTCGCTGAACAAAACCTCGGATAGGTTTTCCCAAATCCGCTTTGTTCAGACCCGGTACATCGCTATTGATATAGACAGCAATTTGAAGTTGCATGTAGTCCCAGCATTCCATGATAGTCATCACTGGAGCACCCTTCAGTAATGCATTCTTGAGGTTGATGTTGCTTTGAACAATATCACCCAGTTTTGCAGTCAAATCATCTTCTGTCGATGCGCCATCCTGTCCAACAGAAGGTCGGATACAGACGGGAGGGGCCGGGATGAATTGCCAGAGAAACATCTCGGGGCGTGCCTCCAGAGGGTCCAAGCCCAGGAGCTCACAGTCAGTATCGGAGATTTTCTTAAACAGCTTGAGCACACGTAGGGGATTCATATCGTCCTGCGCCTTCTTGAAATGTTTTTCGACATCGGCATTCGATTTTCGTGATTCGGTAAAAGAGTCGTCAAAGACGGCCTTGCTGATCGGGGGCTGCTTCTTAGCAGAAGTCGAAATGTTGAACGCACGGAACTTGTCATGGGTGATCTTCAGAGCACTGGTACCGGCCTTTTTCACCACTCCGTTGACAGCTTGGCAGTGATCGCATACTCGAGTCTTCCGGCAACGCTGATTGACGCGCTTCCCGATTTGCAGTCGGCGCAGATTGTCGAGACCAGGGCGGCGCATCTCGCGCAAAAAGGAACGACGTTCTGCTTCGGGGAGGAGGATCCGAGAGCACTCTTTGCAAATTTCCTGGAGAATACCGATGACTCGCTTGAAATAACCGACATGGAAGGCAGGTAGAACCAATCGCACATAACCAAAGTGACCGTTACATTCTAGCAAACGAAGTCCACAAGTCCCGCAAGTTGATGATTTGTTTGAAATACCCATGCGCGAATCGAGGGGACCATGGGGAACAACTGTACGGCCATGCTCAAGATCAAAAAACTTTCGGTCAGAAACTTCCACTACAGCTTGGCCAACAATGTCATCATTTGTTCTGAGAAGAAAAGTATCTGTTAGTGGATACACTTGGAAGAGATGACTTTCAAGTCATTAAATTTGTTACGTACAGAACACCGAATTTCAATTCCTTAATGACTTTTGGGCGGCGGTCAATGACCTGGGCCTTGCCCAGGTCGATCTGAATACCCTCTGGAGGCTGCATGACGCAGGAGTCAAAGACCCATGGCAGATGACTCAATACCAATTAACTTTGTTGAAGTGAAGTAGAAGGGGGTATCGAAGTTGAGGTGGCAAGGTGAACGTATTTCAGCCCTAAGTGCCTAGCAGAACCAGAAAGATCAAGAATAAAAGAGAATTGGAAGAAAAAAAAGAGAAGAGTAAGAAAGATTGTGATTGGGAGTCAGAGTGAAGGGAAATGGACGGCGGGGTCGGTCATAATTTTTTTTTTTTCTGCCGGTGAAGCTTTCACCGCTCAGAGTATATACCAGTTAACTAAATAAAGCTCTAAATAAATATTTATTTATTTTAAATAGCTAGATAAATACAAAATATTGGACTAACTAGATAGTTGGTTTAATAACCTTGGGACTAGATAAAATCGCTTATATAATGATACTATCTATATTTTCTAAAGCTGTACGGAGTACGGAGTACAGAGCATCATATTTGCTGTTCTTTTTGATGTTTTGGAATTCTATTATACAATTGTTTTATAGTACATTTATTTGGCTAAGAATGCTTGGAATGCCTTATGTTCGATAATCACATTTCCAACAGCCCGGAGCCTCTTGCGACCTTCTTTCTGCTTCTCCAGCAGCTTTCGTCGTCGACTCACATCACTAGCATGCAACTTGGCCAACACATCTTTCCGATAGGGTTTGATGGTTTCACGAGCAATAATCTTCTTGCCCACTGCAGCCTGGATAATGATCTCGAAGAGCTGTCGATCAACATGCTCTTTAAACTTAGTCACCCATATTCTGCCCTGTCGGCTCACTTGACTCATGTGCATGAGTCGCGACACGGCATCTACAGGAACCTTGTTGACAAGAAGCTGAAGCTTGACAATGTTGCCTGCTCGCCAGGCAGATTCTTCGTAGTCAAGACTGGCGTAGCCCTTGGTGCCACCTTTCAATTTGCCAAAGAAGTCGTCAACCAGATGTGCCAGTGGCAGCTGGTACTTCATGATGACCTGGCTCGTTGTAAAATACTCGATACTCTCCTGTTCACCTCGGTTGGCTTCGCAGAGCTCAATAACCTTTCCTAGATACTCATCCGGGAAGGTCAAGGTGGCCAATACATACGGCTCCTGGACCTCAGCAACCTTCAGGCGCAGGGTGTCGTCCTCGGGAAACTTGGCTGGATTTGTGATTATATCTTCAGTTCCGTCTTTCCATATGACCTTCACCGGAACGGAGGGCGGGGTAATAATAATGCTTGCACCGTGCTCCTGCCGCAGACGATCTTCAAACACCGAGCAGTGAAGTGTACCCAAGAAACCCATCCGGAAACCTGCTCCAAGAGCCTCAGAGGACTCTTTTTGAAGAGTGATACTTCGATCGTTTAAGACAAGTTGATTGATGCTGTCCTCTAGATGCTCGAAAAGGTCCTGGTTCACGGGATAAACAGCCACAAAGACCATTGACTTGGGTTCTTCAAATCCTGGCAAGGGTTCGACAAGTTTTTCGAAGCCTACTCTGGTGAATGTGTCGCCAATTTTGGCTTCTTTACTTCGCTTCATGCCTGGGTTAAAGTAAATGTATCCGACTTGGCCGGCGCGAAGAACTGTTTGTGGGGTTTCAAGGGGATACATGATGCCCACTTCGCCAACATAGTATTTGAGACCTGTTGCAAACGACACAAGTTGTTGACCTGCACGTACTTCGCCGTCGAAAACGCGCACCAGAAGAATGACACCTTTGTAGGAGTCGTACCAAGAGTCGACCAGCAGTATGCGAAGTGGGTTTTGGGTACTACCGACAGGTCTGTTTGCAATTATTAGTCCAGATTGCTTCAAAATATATAGGAGCAGCACATTACATACGCAGGGATCTTCTCAACAACTGCCGGAAGAATGGCCTCCACATTCAAACCAGTCTTGGCCGAAACCATTACTGTATTTTCAGTGTCTAACTCGAATGTATTTCTCAGTTGCTCCAGAGCCCGCTCTGGATCTGCCGATGGCAAATCTACCTTGTTGAGGATAGGAATCAATTCAAGGTTTTGAGCAAAAGCCAAGTAAAAGTTGGCCACAGTTTGTGCTTGAACTCCCTGGCTGGCATCAACCAGAAGTAAAGCACCTCCACAGCTGGCATAACTGCGTGATACCTCTGCGCGAAAATCCACATGTCCGGGTGTATCCACCAAATGCAGTAGATAGTCTTCGCCTTGGTGGTTGTATAGCATTGTACATGTTTGTGCCTTGACTGTGATTCCACGTTCTCGCTCAACATCAAGCTTGTCCAGCACCTGTTTATTAGATCCGGCCTTAATCGTGCCCGTAAGCTCAAGTAACCGATCAGAGAGCGTACTCTTGCCATGATCGACGTGTGCGACTATGCAGAAATTGCGGTATCGGTCGATTGGAATCGCGGCGATTCTCCGTTCAAGTTCCGTATCAGGCGAGCCAGGAGGTGATCGTGATCGGGCCGCATTCCATACTGCGGATGTTGTAAATGGTCTTAGGGAGCTACGGCTGTATAGAAAGCCCGCAAGCGACTTGAGGCTCGCCGGAGGTTTCGGCGCTGCGCTCAGCCTTCCGACGAACTGCAGACATCCTCGCATCAGGGTTTCTGCAATGACATGGAAGAGCACAAATGCTTTTCTCTGATTGCAGTCAATTGAACCCAATGGGAATATAGTCTCGAGACTTGAAGCTCACTCGGACCGGCATAATTTGTGGAGAAAAAATGGACTCGGCAGGCGGTGACAACGATTGATCACTGCGCCAACTATCGCCATATAAACAAGGCATGCGCCATCTTCTACAATTATTTTCCACACGAGTCTACAGCACACACCATGTCTGAAACGAAGGATAAATCCAAGGTGCACAAGCTGTCCCTGAAAGGTACATTAAATCGTGACTGGCACTAAGTCCTTCCTCATTATGTATCATTGCGCATGAAGCTTACAAGACAACAGGGTCGGCTAAGCTTGTGGCTGAATTTGTGAGTAGGTGCTCAGCTTGCAATGTCAGTCAATACTAACTCAGGTCTAGTTTGAATACTCGATCAACACTGTGCTGTGAGTTCTGAGTAGCCGTCAATTGATGCCAGAGTCTAATTCTCATTTACAGCTTTCAACGTGGTGTCTACCCTCCCGAAGATTTCATAACGTGAGTGCAGTATTTAAGATCAATGGAAACAGTCGCTGACTTGAAGCAGTGTCAAGAAATATGGCCTTAACATGCTAGGTTCGTTTATCTACGCCGTGATCACTTACCTACATATCGCTGGTGTCGTTCCAATCTAATGTCTTGGATAGTGTCCGCCGACGACCAGGTCAAAGCCTATATCAAAAAGATCATGTCGCAATTGAACAAGTGGATGTTGGGTGGAAAGATCTCGAAGCTGGTGGTCGTTATTACCGACAGAGAGACAGGTGAACATGTGGAAAGATGGCAGTTTGACGTATGTTTACTGGACTGTTCATTCCCTTAGTCCCCGTCTAATCATATGACTACTACAGGTTGATATCTTCTCAAAAACCTCGAAGAGCAAGAGTTCATCTGAAAAATCAGGCGACAAAGAGAATGCAGCCGCAGAGTGAGCTACCCTGTTCTTTCAGCAAACATATATCATGTTCAATTTACTGACTATCTTGCAACGTAGGGAAGCCAACTCTGCTCAGCCCGCCGAAAGAACGCAAAAGGAAATCCAAGACGAGATTCAGGCTATCTTCCGGCAAATTACTGCCTCGGTCACATTCCTTCCTGTCTTGGATGGTGATTGTACATTCAATGTACTCGTCTATGCCGATGCTGACTCTGATGTCCCTGTGGAATGGGGTGACAGTGATGCCAAGGAGATCAAGAACGCCGAGAAGGTCCAGCTCCGAAGCTTCAGCACGAACAATCACCGTGTGGGCACTGTTGTCAGCTACCGAATGGACGATTAAGAAAATGGACGATTAAGCAAATGAACGATTAAGCGAATGGGCGACTAAGCGCATGGCCAACTAAGCACAACGCTGTATTTTACGACTGAATATGAGGAGTTCCTTGGCGTTTGAAAATGGTTTAATCGCGTTAATGGTGTTTGTTTTAATTCAAGACGTGTCTTGTTTGATAAATGTGCAATTTGATCGCGTGCATGATCCCTTGAAATAGACAACCTTGAAATTAATTCTATGCTGTGTCTTCACAGAACCAGGGCAATTCCTTCATCCTCGGGAACCATTCATCGCCTTTATCACTATGCCAGCACACTAACTGCTCCACAACCTCTTCAAGTCCATTGTTGACAAAGATACCAAGCTCCATCCCTGACTTCCAGCCCCGTTGGGACCTTTTTGCAGCCAGTTTCCGACCAACTCCATATAAATCATGTCTCCAGAGTCCAATACCTTTTGATGTCTCACCTTGGATCAACGTCTCCTGAGGAGTTACCTCCTCAGGAGGGTTGATACCGATCACAGAAATATTCCGATTATCTGTAGACTGTTCATCATGAGGGAGAAGTCCTACAGCGGGGAAATGACATTCCATAAATCGAGCCCTCTTGAACTCATGTGTCACTACAGTGACACTTCGAGGGTAGACACCTGTATGGAGTCGGAAGCAAAGTAATGAAAATAGGACATTCTGATAAGAATCTGTTGCATGTTCCTCTGTGAGGACTTTTGACGAGTCAATCTTCAAGTCTAGCGAATTCTGGAAATAACCATTGTCTTTGCAGAGATTCTGTAGAATGTTGGTTTCTATGTATGTATGCTGGGTATAACAGGCTTATACCAAATATGATTGTCCTTCACTAAGTTCTGTTCTTGGTCTTTTTGTTGGTGCTCTTGGATGAAGATTAGCGAAGTTCATAGATAGTAAGACTTGGAGTGCATGGGGCTTGTTAGGTAGTGGCCTACCCAGAGAATATGAGCAGTGCGTGAGGATCTGCAGCTAGCACTTTCAATCCAGCCTTGACGTGCTTCACGAAGGTTGATGTCTCCCCCCTTTTGAAAAGATTCAATCATCCTATACAACAGTTGTTAGTAGCTAGAAGTCATCAGTTGAGGATGTCTGACCATTCCCCCTCATCATCACCATTCTGTGGTCCTCCAAGATAAATTGCATGACAACAGACAATAATAAGATGATACATTGGGTCATTTACTGCCATTTCTGATGAGTAGTTGAATGGATGTATCGAATGGATGACGGTCAGTGATTGGATCCATGGATGTAAGCAAAGACCAGATATGCAGACTGGTCCGTGCATTAGTATAGTGAGTGACATGGAGGATCTCAGCTATTTCTCGACCTTTTCGACCTTATAAAGTCTTATATTGACAGATAAGCCTTGGAAATGATTAAATAATGAAACTGAAGTTCATGGCCAAGGAACATGATGCTTCTGAATGAGATATATAAAGAATAAAAAGCTACATGCATTGCATTGGAAATAGATAGATTTGTTGACATGAGTCCTCAATCTCGGCGCAAAGTAGACCAAGAATTCCAGTCATCTCCACACTGTAGTCTAGTGATCGCAAGAGAAGATATAGAATGATTTGAGTATCTTAGGTAGACAAATGAAATAAAAAAACATAGTTCAGTGTAAACGCCAAAATACTTGATGAAATATTCTTCTTTGCACCTTTACACACATACCAACTCACTTGGGCACCAAATTCTCAGATTTTCAGAAGCTCAGCAGCTCAATTTGACCGGAGATTTCCATTATTCCGATTCACCCTGCTTCGGACGTTCACTCATTATAGCCGAGAGAAGAAAGCGAAGGAGAAAGTGAATGAAGCACGAGAGCTTGACAAGAAAACACGGTTCAGATCAACGTTCATTCAATCAGATTTCCCTGAGTAAGCTAAGCAATGATTCAAGTAAAGTCAGCATCGAACATGGGAGTACAGCTACACTGTCGTGACAGAATAGTTGAAAGGAAAGACTCTGGGATTCGGGATTGAAGGATAAACGGGTTCAAAAGTTATTTCAAGAGCTCCAATTCCTCGAGATAGTAAAAATATCGAGCTTTGTTTGTTTGTGAGAAGGAGCTGAGAGTGATTAGTTAATTTGACGGGCTTTCTCCGGACATCCTATAAGTTGAGTAGCAAATTTCATGTGCACACTTTCCCACCACCCCAATCCTACTTTTCGTTCAAAATTAATCATAACCATCTTGTCCTCTTAGTTTGAATCATCCTACACGTCCCTCGCATCCCATTACCTTTCCACTTTTCTCACTCCCCATTCCCCATTTCCCATTTCCGCTTTGTCAAGTTTGGCAACCTCAGACATCATCATCAGAATGGAGGAAACATTCAACTCTTCTGACTATCCCCTCTCTGCACTACGTGAAACACTTAACAACTGTCCGCGAGCTGAAGACACACGGGATGAACTGGAGCGACTGGATAGTATACACAAATGTCGATTGAGAAAGGAGTATCGCGAGAGGAACTATGACCATGTTTATCATGGGGATATTCCAGACCTTGATCTTTCCTACTCTTACAATCATGAAGCCAGCCAAGGTGAACTTACAGGGTGGCTAATACCGAGATCGATCTATCTAATAGTGATATCTATAGATGACTTTCATGCCGAGGAAGATCCTCGAGTCTACTCCGGCGAGCTTCACGAAGAAGACGACAGCATGATTAAATGCGAGTTTTCGAATCCCTGTGCAATGGGACCTTCCCCAGACGGCATGCACTTCCGGAAGGTTGTATCCCATGTCTTTGGACGCAACAAGTCCTCTACAAAGCTGTTTCCCATGCATATCTGGGTTCACTACTGCCGAAAGCACTACCAGCGAGCCCGATACCGTGCCGACAAATGGCCATTCACCCAGTGTGAGCTTCTTCTCGAATCTCTGCAACGTATTGAAGATTGGGGAGGTGTTGAAGGCTTTGAGCTTAGTCTTCGCCGCCGTGAGAGACTTCGCCAGGGTGACAAGGATTGTCTCGATGGTAACAACACTGCTGCTTCTTCGCAGAAGAGGAACCGGGGACGCAAGAACCCCAAGCCTGTCAACGCCCCTGTTCCCGAGTGGCTGAAGCAGGAGGTTGGATGCGACAAAACCTTTGATCAGATCCGTAGCATCATTCGCAGAATCAACTCTCATATGACCAACCTACTTGAGGCTGAGAAGGAGGGTCATAAGGCTGCCAAAGAAACTGCTCAGATGTCATTCACCCCCTGCCGAGCAAACCAGAAACGCGATGCAAAGCAGTTTCGACAAGAAGTTAGCCTGATTAGGTTCCCGGATATTGAGATCTTGCCCATTTTCAAGTCGTGGGTGAAGGAGGATGCGACGCAGCAAAAGGATAAGGGAAAGGATAAGGGAAAGATCACACCTGTCAGTGCTTGCAATAGCTCACGTGGACGTTTCCACCATAGCTCCAACTATTTCGGTTACGACGAAGACTACGAATCGGACAACAATGTTAGAGGTGCTCGGGGAACCGAGACGAAGCGATGCTCACCTTTGGGTCGACAGAAGAAGAAGTCGATTCCACGAGTCTCCTCCCGTGGCGCAGTTCAAAAGCCAAAGGCGAAGAAGAATTAGTTGTCGAAAGATCGAGTCAGATCCCTGGTGGCTGTATGAGAGGGCTGAAAGACTAGATATGAAGAGTCGCTGAGAAAACTAAGAATCATAAAATGTAGACATTTTTGCAAGGTTCTGTTCTGTTGTTCTGTTGCGAGATTATTCAGTTGCTTGGAAGTTGCTGTCAGGGTGAAGGCTGAGCAAGAATGGTGCGACAAGAGCTCAGAGAATGAGAAAAGTTCAAATTGCGAACGGTCGTCTTCAAGTATCCAGGTATCTGACTTTACTCAATCATAGTTTCCAAATATTCACTCATGCTTTAAATTGTGAGAAGGTTGAAAGTGATACCCGTTCCGTTACTGCGCATAGAACAAGTGCAGACCACTTCGCTCGCAACAATACTCCAGCGCAACACATCACTGACAGGTGAACTTTGTTCAACTTACTAATGGCGATAAATATTATTTCATCATGGAGGGTCCGTCACAGAGGTGTGATTATGAGGTTCAAGATTCCAATATCAAATAGCATTGATGCTGACTAGCTCAGAGATCTTTAATCTACTCCTGATACCCTTCTTCCTTTCTATTTCCCAGCCAGAAAGGCTCAAGGCTAATGGCTCACCATTGCTAGATCAATTGGAAGTTGATTGAAACCGAAAGTGATATCAATTGAAATCAAGCCAATCCATCAAAATCGAACGAAGTCTATACAAAATCAGGGCCACCCTCTATCGCAAAAAGTCCACCGAGGAACAATTACTTAGTAGTTGGTACGAATGGCTACTCCAAAAATGCATAGCACATCGAGAGTAGGCCCGAATCTCCAGCGGACATGGAATGTTCTACAAGTGTCGAAGAGATTGAAATGCCACTGAGTGTCCCACTAATCCAATTGATGACTCCAATTGAGCTTCCTAGTTAGGGATAGTGAACTAGTTCTTCTCCATCTCAAGTCAGGCTTGTATGCGATTGTGGACATGATACTTGTATATTTTCGTCACCTCTTCGCGCGGGGGCAGAAAGGAATGGTGGTGTAGCACCTATCAATTTGGCTTAGTTGATCTCCACGGCTTCGTGACATAGTCTTTACTTTTCAGGAAAGCCTACATTCTCCTTTAATTCTAAGGTTTTGTCGTTTTGTATGGGTTTTTTTCTCTCTTGTCTTCTGGTGACTGGCATTTCTTTTCGTTATTTTCAAGTTTCTAACCTGTATAGTAATCGATAATCTTCATGCATTTACGAAATTCCCCTGGTACCTAGATATCTAGATACCTAGGTAACATTTTAAAGGAGTCAGTACAGTATGGATTCTAATAATATATTTTATTCATGCAGTAAAAGAAACAAAAATCTAACTCCGTACAGACAAACACGCTCGGTAAACCGCCATACCAATGCTCTCAAATAAAAGTCTCCGTACAACGACGACCCACAACAAGCGGGGAGAACAGTTCAAGGAAATAATCATGAATTAGAAAGATAAGATCGAAAGAATGGTGCATACGAGACACCCGGGCAAGATAATGAAATTCGCACCTAGCTGGCAACAGCCAACTGAGCAACAAGGTCGGATGCCACGTCGAGGAACGGGTACGGGCTGTTTACTTCTTTCTCCTTGTTCTTGAAGCGTTTGCTTATGGGGTGCCATTCATTGCTTCCGTCGCCTCCGGCGCGGATGACGTTCTGGTAGCCGTCGCATTTGAAGTCGACCATGTAGCTGCTCTCATCGAGTTGGTAGAGCTGAATGTCGATAAATACCCACACGCCGTGCAAGATCTTAAGGGTGCCGCTGTCCTTTGTTGCCGATGCAGGAGTAGACTGATCTCCGTCTTTCTCCTTATCTTCGACTGGGGTATTGATACCCGAAATGTGGAAGCGACGACGCAGCTCCTCGAGATCGCTTCGGCTGTTGTAACCGCTGGTCGAGGTCCCCGGTGCTTTGACACCTTCTTTCAAGATTCGCGCACGGATGAACCACGGCTCCTTGGGAATGTAGTAGTCCGACGGGAGATCCGGGTACTTATTCTGTAGAGGCTTGGGTTTGTCAGGCGACTGTGTCGGTTGTGGGCCAATGTTTGTTCCTAGTAAACATCAGTATGTATTACTCAGATCGATGGAATTAAAGAATAAATACCTGATTCAATGGGTTGGATATCCCATTCTCCGTCTAGAGCCGCAATTGCCCGATACAGGTACAGCATAGCTTCGTAAGGCTGGTTCCTGGAGCGGATACCGAATTGCCACTTTCGAGATCTTTTGGGCTGTTGTGTCAGGGGTTGACCGGTTGGTGGTTCAAATCGCAGGCTATGGAGATCCACAATACTTCGCGAATGAGGTTTGAGAGCCTGAGCCGTGAGAGCCTGTTCTTCAGGGTCCAATCCACTGGATTCATCTCCTTGTCCTGCCTGAGCAGCTTCTTTCTGCCGGCGCGCCTCAACTCGAGCTTTGTGCTCTCGCTCACGTTGCTCCATGAGCTGGTCATGGACGTAGGGAAGACTAGTCGGTAAGATTCGGACCTGACTGACGCGGTCCTGCTCCAAATCCTCATCCACGGTGTCATAACGAACAGGGGTCTGAGTAGGAGGGGCCTGGCTACGCGACTTGGGCAGAGTGGGAGCTCGGTCAGTCGATGGAGAAGAAGGTCCCTTTGTCTGAGAGGGAACAGTTTGAGCCAACAAATTGTCTTCCGTGGGGGCTTTTGTCAAATTAGTAGAGCTCGGAAAATACCAGTAAAGAGATCTAAGACTCACAGTTGGTCTGCATCATCTCGTTCTCAACGACAATGGAAAATGCATCCTTAATTGCGCTAGGCTCTTTTTGTCGCAAGGCATCTTCAATATCATCGCGATCATATCCCATGCTTCGTTCGAGCTTCGATACGGCAATCTCGTGGATCTTGTGCTGAACAGGAAGCGGCTTGCCTGGGGCAATCTTATCAGGATCAATCGCCTTGTTTGGGTCGATACCAGGAGCGTAGACTTCCTCTGCTGGAGGAAGTAGATACTCGGGAGTATTCTTGTTGAACCATGGGTCCTGTCGAATCTCGGGGATTGTGATTCTGTGAACTGGATGAACCTGGAGCATGGCGCGAATCAATCGTGCAGCGCCGGAGGAGATGTATGAGGGCATGTGGAAATTGCCTGCAGCGATCTTCTTGAAGAGAGCAGGAATGTAGTCATCGTCAAAGGGCAGTCTGCCCACAAGCAGGACGTAAAGAATCACACCGCAACTCCAAACATCGACCTCCGGACCAGCGTAAAGCTTTCCAGAAATAACCTCCGGGGCAGCGTAATTCGGACTACCACAGCTGGTCTTCAAGAAGTTGCCATCTGTCATGATGTTGCTCAGTCCGAAATCAGCGATCTTGACGTTCTTGTTGCTGTCGATGAGCAGGTTCTCCGGTTTCAAGTCACGGTGGACAATCTTGTGTCGATGGCAATATTCAACAGCGCAGATGATCTGCTGGAAGAACTTGCGGGCCTCGTCATCTTGGCACTTTCCCTTTCGAACGAGGTAATCGAACAATTCTCGCTCGGCGTATTCGAGGACCATCACAATGTCGGACTTAGTGGCAATAACGGTGTACCTATCAGAACAGGGGCACTAGGTCAATCAATCATTCATCTGCGCATACACACACAATTTCTACGACCTACAGCTTGATAATATGAGGATGTCGCAGCAATTGAAGGTACTGAATCTCTCGCTCAACACGACCAACCATGTCACGGGAGAGTAACTTGCGGCGAGAAATGATCTTGAGAGCGACCTGACGACCACTCGGCTGGTGGATAGCAAGCTTCACCTTTCCAAAAGACCCCTCACCAAGAATCTTGATTGTCTTGTACTGGTCCAGGCGTTGCATATCTCGCGTGGTCGCGGGGGACTGAGTGGAACTCTCTGTCTTCCCGGTCGTGCGTGCTGATGGCACAGCCATGGCGGATGAACTGGAGATGACGGGATGGCTAGCTCGTTCACGGGGACGGTCGGAATGGGGTAGGGGAATTGAAAGCTCTTCCTCGTCAAAGGCGGCGGCCATGATGGGAAGGAAACGTGACGTGATTGATTTTCTGGGTCGGCCCAGTGGTTCAGCTTGCTGACTGAGCCGGGGTTTCTTCTATTTTTTTCCCTGGTCAGAGCATCGCCAATCATGCGTTATTGATCTCCCCACAGAGCCGACCTCGGGGAGGTGGAGCTCAACTTCGAGTAAGGAGGGGCGGGGTGAGATGGATCGGGAGGCTCCAGGGGTAGTGGGGAATTGTTATACTGAGCAGGGTTAAGGGATAACACGTCCTAGTGTTGATTTCCAAGAATGAATGAATGAAGACACAGTGATGATGTCGAAGGAATCAGATCCTGTGGAGAGGGGAAAATCAATCTTGGCCTAGAAACAAAAAGGGGGGGTTCAAGAGCCTCGAAGAGTCCAATTTCCAATTTATTTATTTATTTTTATTTTATTTTTCTTAGCTCTCTCACTCTCTCTACTCTTTACCTTAAATACTCAGTCTGCTATACTTCACTTCGTTCACCATTTATCTGATCAACCAATTAATAGGGAAATGCTTCGATTTTTATTTTCTATGCAACTCTGTACAAATGAATCCCCCTCCATAAATAAATCCCAGACACCTTTCCAAACGCCAGCCAGATGATATTTGAAGCAGGATGTTAGTTCACCTTCAACATATCCAACATTCCCTTGGTCTGGTAGGCATGCTGGGCCATCTCAACTTCGTCGCGCACCCGACGGTGCAGTCGCTCCACCATCTTATCAATCTGGGCAGACTGACCCATATTGCTAGAGTATACATCAAGTAAGTTCATGGCAACCTCCACGCTGAGATCAACCAGACGGGGTTCACGAATATGCTTGTCAATCCAGGTCAAGATCGGTTGAAGAGTGAGCTCGTCGCGATCTTTGAGCGAATCGCGCAGAGCCGAGCGGTGGCGGAGGGCTGTCAGGAGAGTGAGTTGGGCGGTTTTATCGCTTGTTGCGAGGACCTGGTCCAAAGCAACTGAGTATCGGCCTTTATGAAGATCATTCTCCCATGGTGCTTGCTTCTTTCTTCGCTTGGGGTCTTGGCCTTCAATCACTATGTCCACATCTTCACCGATGAAGTCACGTCCACGGAATCGCTTCTCCCATCCAGCTCCTCGCTTTTGCTTCGCCACCTTTTTGTCGTACTCCTCGAGTTTTCCCTCGAGGAGAGCCTCCATCTCCTTCCGGCGCTCACGCTCCTTGACTTTTTGTTGTCCAGACAGACGGGTCTTCACTGACAAAAGACCCGACTGCATACCAACAGCGATGTGCTTGTCCTCGTAGGCAATACCAGAAGTGATGACATTGAGTGACAGAATTGGTGACGGGTACTTGGACCCAGAGACCGCGTTCCACCCTGTAGTCTCAAAGACCTTCATGTGTCCATCCAACGCACCACTGAGTAATCGCTCTCCGTTAGATGCCAATGCAAGCGATGTCACAGTCTTCTGGTGGTTTTGAATAATGTGTAGAGGTTTGCCAGCCACAATATCCAGAACTGCGATCTTGTTGTCGGCGGCAGCCAGAACTGTAGTTCCTGCGGGCATGGGCAGAACGCATTCAATCGGGGCAGCCATCTTGAAAGTCATAGCGGCACGACCTTCCACTCGGGGGTCCCAAATGCGAACAGTGCGATCGTAGGAACCGGAAACTAACAAGCCAGATGAGGCCATGGATCCGGGCATGAACGAACCACTACGAGCGTAGTCAGTATGGCCGACAAATGTGCGCAAGCTAGTCTCCGCAGGCAGATCCCACAGACGAACGGTCCGGTCATCACTGGCCGTGAAGACTGAAGTGGGATCGCTGGGAGAGAACTTGCTGACCCATACGGGCTGCTTATGGTCCTTCCATGTCTTGAGAATGGCGCGCGACTTGACGTCGAATACTTGCACGGCACCCGTATCATCACCCGTTACTACCACACGTCCATCCGGTCGGACGTCTGTGCCGCGCACTGTATCATCGAAGCGGGTGATGGTGCGCAGGAGCTTCCGTGTGCGAATTGAGTAGATCTGGATTCTGGCGCCAGTTGTCACAGTGAAGATATCCGGTGGCTGTGTCAAGGAAGGAAAGGCCGCGGCAGAAGATGGAACAGCGGGCTGTGTGATGAGGTTGACAGGACCATTGGCCGGGGAGGGAATCAGGAGGGGATTCTTGAAGGTGCGCCAGTATTGCTGCTCTGGTGTGAGGCGGGTTGAAGGAAGCGAGGCAAGCTTCACCTGCTGCATAGGCAGGACGGGAGCCGCCATGGTGAGGAATTAAAAGGATATCAGTTGCCGGATTGAAAGTGCAGGATTGAAGATTGAAGGCTTCGAGAACTTTGCTAGAATTTAGTGTGTAGCGTTTGATCTTGAAAGTTGAGGATCTTTTTTTCTGCCGATCAAAAAAGTTCGCGCTGCCTGAATAGGAATGGCGGCGAAGGGCTTTACACCTGAGGCAACAACATAATCAAGTTTCTTATCGCTTATCGGTTGAAAAGCGGTATCAGGGGGCAGAATAAGCACAAGATGATTACCTCACCAATTTAGAGGAAGTTCTGCCATAAGCGGCAAGTCATGGGTTCTCGGGTTTTCGCTATCGTCATCAACCTTTGAAAGTTTTAAAGTACATGAACTACGGAGCATATGTACGCTCAATTACTGCTGAGGCGCCAGAGTTAACAAACCGCTACGACCGATACCTAGGTAGCAGCTTAAGGCCGTTTAAGTGGGTGAGATGACATCGCGATAGTGGATCAAGAAGCGGCCTCGGGGCGACTATTGACTAGCTGTGGATCATTGAAGAGACGTCACCTACGAGGCTATGACATGGTGGGTATCTACGTATGCGATTTTTTTCACCATTGACGTGGGCAATTTCAATTGAAAATCCTTGTCGCCTGTTGAGCCATCCGAATCTGAGAACTTGGAACTAGGCAAACTTCTATGTTGGGATAAGTGATCTAAATACGGAGTAGCAACCGAGACATCGAATACGTTGCAAGTTCATGAAGAATATACGTGTCATGTAGATTACCTAGGTACAGCCTACTAGCCACTAGCTACAGATGCTAGTTACATGGATACACGAGAGCGATGCGTATTTATTCTCCAAGTAGGCTCACTCATAATAATAGAACTTCAAGTGGGACTATACCAAGGCTAATTATTCAGGCAGTGCCTAGGCAACATGATTGTCTAATAATTGCAGCAAGGATTAAGGTTATACGAGATGTAATATATCGTGGGCATAATAACCATATTTCAAGTCTATCTTTTGCACTGAAACACCGTTAGCTGATATTTTGGCCGTCTATAGCATTTGGCCAACCCTACAAAGTGGGGGCCTCCTGCAAAAGCTCTGGATACTAGAAGTAGAAAGAAGTGCTAGGTTGAAACAGGATTCGGAAACCCAAGCTAGTAAGATGATCATCTAGACCAATCGCCAATCATTGTTTTTTCATTAGTCCAATCGGCAGCCTTGTTCGCTAGTAATGTCCGGAATGTATCGATTAATCGGGTGTAGCGGTGGCTGGGGAGATCGTCCCAGTAATTCCTAGTCCATCCTGAGTGTGTCAAGATCAAGTTGGCGCTCCTGATCCACTTGGGTATCAAAATTTGTTTCGGGCTGGAAGAATAAGTCTGGAAATGACATATGATAAAGGAGAAAGGCAGAAAAGTAGCAAAGTACAAAAGATGGATGTTGTCTGTTGTTAGAAAGAAGGTCGTTTTTTATCTGGATAACGTATTATTACCGTCACGTATTGTCACATCGGTGGGATCGACGCCAGTAGAAACTGCTGAATCAGGGGTTCTAGCCAATCAATACGTATGATTAACTTTCCCCAGCCACCTTCAATACCGCATCTAACATTCCATAGTAGGTGCTTTTATTCTTGCACTCCCCTCATTCGGGCTAACCTTTTAATTTTCTCCCAACTGATGATTCATCGCCTTTCTGGAGGGAAAGCAGATTCTAGACATTCTAGATTGAACTGCTGTCATGTCAAAACTCTCTAAGATGAACATCAACCATGCTGCCGGCATTTACGCCGATATGTCGGTCGATGGCCCTGCTATCGGAACTCTCGTCATCATTGTTGACAGGGCGAAGAACCTCCCCAATCGCAAGACTATGAGCAAGCAGAATCCCTATTGTGCTGCCAGATTAGGAAAGGAAGCTAAGAAGACCCAAACTGATATGCGAGGCGGTCAAACCCCCCGATGGTAAGCTTACGATATACTGTGTTGATGCCGGTGACCGAAACTGATGCAAATTGTCTTAGGGATCACGAACTTCGATTTACAGTCCATGAATCTCCAGATTACTTCAAGCTGAAAGTGTCGGTGTTCAACGACGACAAAAAGACCGATTTGATTGGAGAGACCTGGATTGATCTACAGAACCTGATTATCCCTGGCGGAAGTCAAAATGATCATTGGCACCCGCTGCAGTCGCGAGGAAAGTACGCTGGCGATATTCGACTCGAAATGACTTATTATGATACCCGAGAACAGGATGAAGCGTTGATCGGTCGACGAAAGGAAGCTGCAGAGAGGGTTCAAGGAAAGACTCATGCATCGTCCAACTCGAGCCCGTCAGTATTGTCTAGTCTTTCTGGTCCGAGGCAATTAAATGCAGTCAAGAGACGACCACTACCCACTGACCCTTCAGGGGCTACCCCTCCACAACCTTCTCCATTGCATCACCCCATGTCTGCGCGACCACCGACGCGTGATCATGCCAACACCGTGCCTCCTGTTCAAGTGTCAACCACTGGGCAAGACTTTGACTCGCGTCCGCTACAACCACGCGCCCACTCTGACTCTGACCGCCCTCCACAGCGTGACTACCATCCTGCATCTCAGTATCAGACTGACGGACAAAGGGAGAGCCCAATACGACGCGCTCCCTCAGCCACATGACATTTATAGCCCACTGTCACCGCAGTATAATACAAATCCTATGACATTTGGGCATGTCTCTGCGTTCACACCACGATCTCACCACCCAGAGGAACCCCTATCCTTGGAATACCCTCCATCTGGACATGGTGATGATGATCGGTACGAGCCTCACCATGTAAGACCACTGCAAACTTCCCGACGTGACAACTATCATCCGGAATATGCATCAATGCAGGCACGTGTCGAGGATGAAGATGAAGATGGGCCTCCTCCTCCGCCGCCGGTTCATCGATCTTGGACACAGCCGGTTCAGGCCGCTCAATCACCGGTGGCACAGCCACCCTCCCCATACCAACCATATATTCCTGGATATCACAACAACAAGCCTTCTGTGCCTGCAAGTCTTGTTGCGGGCTACGAAAACGATCAAGATATGAACGACCGTTCTGTGCTTGAGAGTCGGCGACCACGCAGTGCCAGCAGTCATTACGAGGATGAAATGATGATTCCTCCATCGCCCCGTATAGCACCATCTTATCCCCAAGAGTCATCGGCCCCTTCGCCCTATGAGTCTGCGATCTATCCATTAAGAATATCCCCACAGTCAATGGATGATCGACCGCGCGGAGGATCAGTCAGTTTCGATAACCGGGTCGTGACCCGCAAGTCGGTCAGTCCACGACCCTCAATTTCGAGTGAACATGGAAGCTCTGCGACTCCGTTTTCTCCTGACTCTTATAACTCACTGAATCCTAACGCCTCGCGATCGGCCATAAACAGGGACCCTACACCAATGTACGATTCACCAGGCCAGGCGAGGGATGCAGCGATACGTGCAGAAATCGAGCCAGTTCGAAACCTAGACCAACCCATCATTGGCGATGATGGCCGCGAAATTGATCCTTCAGATCATCTCCCTACAGATACATGGGCACCAGAGCCGGAGAGAAAAAACCGTAAGCCAGAGGTGATCATTCGCTTCAAGCACTCAACCAGGCCTACTTCACGCGGTAGTGATAGCAGACCTACTTCTCGGGGCAATGATGCAACGCCCCGCAACCTGCCTCGCGTTGGATTTCGATCGGAAACAGTCCCTTACGGTTCGGATCGCGTGCGATACGCTGCCAGTTATGCTGGAGACCCCGTAGAGCGAACACCACGTGGACAAGACATCTATACGCGGGGCTACGGCACTCCAATTTCAACCGACCGACCACGCTCATCCCGCGGCTCAGTATCTCCCTCTCCAAGCGCTCGCTCACCTCTGTATGAATACAGCAATGGCCCACCAGTCCCTTCCAAAGTCCCAATCAACCAAGGACCAAGCTACCCCGTCGCACACGCGGAGAATCCAGGCATGGACGCATTAAGCCGAGAACTCAAGACCATCGACCTTGGTTCTGTAGGTTGCAGCCCAAGCCGGGCAGTTCGGAAATTTGCACCAGCCAGAGCTTCGGCAACAATGGGATACGCCAGCTAAAAAAAAAAAAAAAAAGAGATGCATTCGCATATAATCAGTGGCGTACATAATTTGGTTTCATACTTCTCATATTTCATGGTCTTAAGAATATCCAGCACTAGTGGCGTTATTTGCTTTTGGGATGTGTCGCATGGGTGTACGCATAGACGAAGAATGATTTAAATTGATATTGAATGAATACGGCATTACATCCATCGATATGAATATATATCTTGACTACTAAATCTCTGCTTAAACCTATCACATCTCCCAAACACGTCACATCTAGGCGTAACGAGAGTGTGGCTGTTTTCCATCTATTTTCATCCAGACCGGAGTGGTATCTTATATAATGGACCTGGTATTCACTTAGCGAGGAGGAGATATTATGAGATCGATCGGTTCAATGTCAAGGTGCGCTTGGCTGGGCGCCTCCTCTCGCCCAATGGCTCCCCTAGGTTTGAACTCTCGGAGTTGGCGTCACTCAAAATCAAGTTGAAGAGTATTATCTAGTGGAAGATCTCGCACTTGAGATTCCTCGATGTCTGAGAGTAGCGGCAATGACTACTCTCCACCAGTCTTCAGGTAATTTGACTAAACAAGCTTCCCCTTCAACGCTCGATAATGGGAATGGACCAGTTGTATACTAGCGACAACACAGAAAATGGCTGACTCCTGACTCTTGGGAGGGTTGGTGATCGAGTTAGGGCGAGCTCCTTTCCCTGGTCATTATAAGCCGAAATTACCAGTCTCTACTTTTCAAAGGCCTTCTCAGTGCCTTTGTTTTGGTCTCATTAACAAGTCGAGAATTAAAGGCTGAAAGGCATATCGTCAGTATGCAGGAACCTGAACACCCCTTTCTCAGGACAATCGTCCAGCTCCTGTCTGTACACAATAGAGCTAGCTCTAGATGGAAATTTCGAAGGCTGTCTTAGATTGGCGCAATCGAACTAACTTAAGAGATTATATTCCGACTGTCTCGAGTAGTGGAGCGGTAATTATAGCCCCTGGGCTCATTTGAACACATATGTGTGAGAGAACTATTAACATATTTGCGCTGGCGAAGGATGACTTCCTGGTCATAGTTTGTCATAGAACCAATTCACAGCTTAGGTCCGTAACGTAGCCAACATCCTGCTTATCCCACTTTGAGATATCATGGTTCCAGCTACCTTATTTGCAACATACAGAATTGGTGTAACAAATCAATAATCTGGATATTGAAATCCTTCAAATGAAAATCAGAATATCCAATTCCAACATGGTAATCTCCACGGGCGACTTCCACCATCAACTCGGTTTAAGTAGCTCTTAAAGTATGACAGATCTTCTTTTCACAGAAGAGCAAATTGGAACAATCTAGTAGATAATTCTCGACCGCGATGCAATCAACACTAGTCTAAAAGGTTCTATAGAGAGTCAAGTGGAGAGACCTATGGCTGACCGGCTGAGTTATGGTGTTAAGCAGGTTCATGTGATCCGCAGGTAAGTAACATAATATAAACACTTTTTGCAATATTCAATACCGAGCAAACACCCTGTCACTTGTATATGGGAATGGCAGAGGGAGATGACACCTCACCAGATTCTCGAGGCACCCTAGCTCCAGTTCTGGTATCTGTCTTGCTTGCATTGAAAATTCCAGTTTCCTTAGATCGCCAATACAATTCCGAGACAGAGCAGTGTATCTTATTTGACTTAAGCCAATATATTGAGACCGATACAGGAGTACTGATACTCCAGAACTAAGCCTGGCAATCCCGATAAACTAATTTTGGCATTGAGGTAAATATATCAATTTAAAAAGTGTAGCACCAGTTCGGGACGTACTGTGATGAAATCCATTCAGAAAGGAAATTCGACACCTTTCAAACTGCTTCACTGTTTAGACTTATAGTCTAGAAATGTACTATTTCTTATCCGTATACAGAGTAGAGTAGGTAGAGGAGCATGGGGCCATGGTCTGACTTGATAACAGCTTATCTCGTATCTCTTATCTTATTTCCCCGCCTTCAAAATCAGCGCGCAAAACACTTTCAACACCTCAAACATTCAACCAAGATGTCCCTCACAGATGCTCAACTAGCATCTTTCCAGGAAAATGGATACCTTGTGATCCCCGACTACCTTACTCCAGAAGAAATAACCTCCGTCCTCACCGAAACCAACACCCTCCTGAACGACTTCCCGCTCGAAACCCACCCACTGACTCAATTCACGACCGGCGATGACAAGAAAGCCGAACACGTAGGAGACGAATACTTCCTCAATTCCGGCGACAAAATTCGCTTCTTCTTCGAGCCCGATGCTTTCAGCTCCGAGCCCGACCCACTGACTGGCGGCCCCGCATTGATCAAACCCAAGAATCTGGCCGTGAATAAGATCGGCCACTCGCTACACACTCTCTCTTCACCCTTCAAAGCCATTTCTCTGACTGCACGCAATGCAGCTATCGCGCGCTCTATTGGCTTTGTTGACCCTCGCGTCTTACAGAGCATGGTTATATGCAAACAGCCCTCTATCGGCGGCGCGGTCCCCTCGCATCGCGACTCGGAGTTCTTGTATACAGACCCTCCATCAGCGGTTGGATGGTGGTATGCGCTCCAGGATGCAGGACCTGGAAACGGGACCTTGGGAATGTGGAAGGGATCGCATCGCGGAAAGAAGGGAGGCCATATTGCTCGTCGTTTTGTGAGGAAGAGCGTTGGGTCTGGCACGGAGTTTATTGAGAATCCTGGGCCTCGATTGCCTAAGGGTATGGATGAGGAGAAGGTGAGTGAGCCGAGTGATGAGGATTTGGAGATCTTGCAGGTTAAGGCTGGCTCATTGGTGCTTATTCATGGCAATGTGCTGCACAAGAGCGAGAAGAATACTAGCTCGAGAAGTCGGTATGCGTATACCTTCCATGTTATTGAAGGAGGTGAGGGGTGGGAATATGATGAGCGGAATTGGTTGCAGCCGCCTGAAGGTGGATTCTCGAAGTTACAATGATATTCATGGATATACTCGGGGATTTAGATGTCAATATAGTGCACCGCATGATAAGAATTACCGCTCTTATCAGGGCTTGAAAGTGAGGCTACTAAATATTTGTTTATTAGTCGTAGTCCGACCGTTGCGGGTCCGATGATCTTCCCCGCAACCAACGTTGAACCAACCTTGGAAACCCAAGCTCTTCTCATATTGACGATGACGGCTCAGTCCCTGCGAGAGATCAACGCTCATAACCTAAACACCTTCAAAAACCACTATGTATCCGAGATATCAGGGTCGCTGGGCGACCTCGGCACATTCTTGCCCATCGCCATTGCACTGGCCGTAAATGGAACTGTGTCGCTGGCAAGCACTCTGATTTTCTCAGGAGTATACAATATCCTAACCGGTCTATATTTCGGTATTCCACTCCCAGTACAGCCCATGAAAGCTATCGCCGCCGTTGCTATCGCCCGGAACTTTTCCAACGGTTCAATCGCCGCAGCAGGCATCTTCGTAGGTGCCTGCGTCCTCGTTTTCAGCATAACGGGACTACTGAACTGGTTTACAAAAGTCATCCCAGTCCCTGTCATCAAGGGCATCCAAGTCGGCGCAGGTCTGTCACTAGTCATTTCAGCCGGCGGCAGCGTGCTCGGCTCCTTAGGCTGGATCAGCCCGTCCTGGGCAGACAATCGGATCTGGGCACTGGCAGCCTTTATTGCTCTGGTAATAAACAATGTTTACCGCCGAGTTCCCTATGCATTGGCACTATTTGCACTAGGCCTTGTATTCGCCATCATCTGTACCGCGCTGGCGGGCCATCTGCCACGTTTTGCGGTTTGGCATCCATACATTGTTCTCCCGACGCCGCATCAATGGCGTGTTGGTGCTGTTGATGCTGGTATCGGTCAGATCCCTCTCACGACACTTAACTCTATTGTTGCTGTTGTTCACTTGTCCCAGGACCTACTGCCGAGCGTGCATACCCCGTCTATCACGCACATCGGTCTCAGTGTTGCTGGTATGAACATTCTGGGCTGCTGGTTTGGTGCCATGCCTGTATGCCATGGCTCTGGCGGTCTGGCAGCGCAGTACCGTTTCGGTGCACGATCAGGTGCTAGTGTCATATTTTTAGGAGTGTTGAAGCTCATCATCGGCTTCTTGTTTGGGGAGACTCTGGTTGATCTGCTGAAACGCTTCCCTGCCGCATTCTTGGGTGTCCTGGTCATCGCGGCTGGACTTGAACTAGTTAGCGTGGGAGAAAGTCTTAACACTTCTGGTGCTCGTGATCTAGCTCATTCTGGAGAAGGTATCTTGGGGCGTGCGGAAGAGCGTATCGGTCTTCTGCTCACGGAAGAAGAACGGAAGCGTCGCTGGACAGTTATGATGGTTACCGTTGGCCTATTGGTTGGGTTCAAAAATGACGCAGTTGGCTTCATTGCTGGTATGCTATGTCACTATGCCTACGAGCTTCCCGGGTGGTTGGATAAGGCACATAGGCGGTGGTTCCCTAGTCGCCTTCGTTTGCCTTGATCAATCTCCCTTGAATGCGATAACTTGAAATATCAGTCTGTTATTTAGCTCTTAATCCATACAGATTTATCCATTCTGGTTTACCAGATGGGAACTTTGATATAAACAGCTTTATTAGATTACTATATACGCTACGACACAATTTTTGACGGGATCGCAATGCCCGCTGTGTTTACTCATATTTTGCCCTTCGAGAGGCTACTCCACCGATATTCTCACCAAAAATCCCAATAGAAGGGTCATATGAGTTAGGCTGAAAAGCCTTCCTGTTCAGCTCAAAAGTGGCGCCAGTACGAATCGGCGCCGGAGTCGGTGTTCTATAAGGGCTATCAAGGTCGACGATTCGACAAATCTCGCTGGCAGAATGGCCCGGTGGACCTAGTATACCTAGCCGTTGATGGCCTGAGCTGTCGTAGCGATGCTGTTCGATGACTGGGGGCTGGCCGAGGCCTTGACTGGCTGTGCGCACGATGCTATTACCCTCCGTGTCGGTGTGTGAGGTTGCTGAGTAGCGGTACCCGCTGCAGGTTTTGCCGTTGGGTGATTTGGAAGAGTTGAAATAGTATGAAGAGCTGTTGTATGAGTCGAGAATTTTGGTATTTTTTGATGATGACCTTGGGATGGTTCATTCTGAAGTATCTGATGATTAACTATTGTCAATTACCTGTTACCTAAGTCTTCGACTATCAAGTTTTAATTTTTTAATTTTTTTTATAGATATTATCCTTGTGTGATTACATTGACATTATCCAAGGTTGTCTGTATTTTGTCTCTTCGGCGCCGATGAAGTTATACCAGGAGTGAGTTTGATCCAGTTGACTGGGTATCCATATCTATTTTTTGCTTCAAAACCTTAACAAATCTCGAATGTATCGATCAGCCAAAAACTAATTATAGAATTATCCTCGATCTTGATCAAAGACTTCATTCATCACTCTGAGTCCTGATCGTCCGAGTCGCTAGTCAGTGCACCGTCATCAACATCCATCTTTTGCACCAATTTATCGCCATTGCGCCCCTTCTTCTCTGCAGCAAACCAGGCTTCTCGTTTCTTGGTTTCACGTTCTTCTTTCCTCGCCTGCCGCAAGACCTTGTCACGCTGAGCTGCCTCCTGTTTCTCATGTAGCTCGTTGATGTAATCCTGTAGACGAGCAACATCTGAACGAAGCTGCACCACCTCATCAGTAGTGACATGCCGAGCTGTATCGTTTAATGCCGATTTCTTCTTCAGCAGGTCAATCTCTGCCTCCAAGTCGGCAACCTGACTGTCGTGAGTAGTTGTGTCCATTGAGATGTCGGTAGTGTGAGCGACTCGAGAGATATCAGCCACCCCAGTCTGGCCAAAGGTGGCGAGTTCAGCAAGACCTTCTTCAATCATAGAATCGGGAAAGTATGCATGGGTGAGGGCTTGAGAGAACTGAGTTGGTTGGCGAGAGCTGACATCTAAAGGGGCAATGATGTGCGCGTGGAATGAATACGCTGCTGGAACAGCACCAGGCGCATGCAAAGGATCCGCAAATGAGTTATCATGACGTGGTTTCACGATAGCATGGCTAGTACGTTTCAGTTCCTGAGAGCGGTGGGGTAGACCATTGGGAGGCAGCACCACCAGGTTGGTCGCCGGATGAGTAGTGTCCGCGATTGAAGACGCAAACTTTCGGCGTGCAATGTTCCATGATAGGACCTTGCCGCCTTCGTGTGCGGAAAATAATATTGTGCCGTCATACGACAGAGCAAGGGCATTGGCAGCACCCGAGTCGGCAGAGGGGGGAGCCATCGATCTTCGGCAGATACCTGAGCTGGCGTTGATTGCAAGGAGGAGTTGTGGAGAGGATGTTGAGGGGATTGGCTACGGTAAAACTCTACCGATTGCACGCTACCGTCTTCATAACCAACGTAGCAAGCCCGGTCGACTGGATCCAAGGCGACACAGGTCGCAGAGGAAGGAAGCAAGAAGGTTCGCAAAATATTTCCAGTGTGATAATCCCATGCAATTGCAGTGTTATCTTTCGCAGTGGATACAACGATGTTGTGGCGACCATGGCTATGCCCCAGAGCCAAGGATGTGATGGCAGCACGGTGGTTGGAGAAGGTTCGGATAGGTGAATTTGGTGGTTGTCTATCACGGCTGAGTGCAGGTTTTGAAAAAGATAGAATTCCGGGTAAGGACCAGACGTGTATACTAGCATCAGAGGAGCCCGATAGAATAAAGTTGGAAGTGGGGTCGACGACGAGGGATGTGACCGGCTGAAGGTGAGAAGCTGTGGTAGCTACTTGACGTCCCGTACATGTCTGGAATATAAGACGCGGAAGTTAGTTTGTCGCACTAGAACATATCCAAGTAGGCAGAATTGATAGATCATACCTCCCACAAAATTAAACGACCGCCCTCGGTTCCCAAAATTAGTACATCGCCGTACTTGGCTCCAGCGACTGCGATGCTACGGATGCGTTCCGGAAAAGGCACCAAAGCCTCTTGGTTCCCTTTTTCTCGACTGTAAACATGAACCACAGCCTTGTCAGCCTGGGCGGAGAAAATATGTGACGGGCTCACAGCCAAGCAATTGGGTGTAGTTGAGCTCTTCTTGAAGGTAGATCGCAGCTGAGGCGATGGCTGGAATTCATGCACGCTAATACCGACATCCCGAAGTGTGGAGTTCGGAGTCTTAGCGGATGACAGCGTCGAAACGACAAATGATTCGGAGAGCATGGAGAATGGTGCAATCTTGCATGAAATATGGGGGAGCAACTCAAGAAACTGCATTCGCGTCGCCGCATTTTTTTTCTCTTTGCGATAAGACTGATTGATAAGGGGTGTTTGCACTGTTTGACTAAGAAATGTCCGATTTCCCTTCCCACGAGTTAAGTGATTAATCCCAAACTCTACTTCAGCTCCAATCTAACACGCTTCTGCTGCATCTACTTTAATTTTTAGATTTCGTTATCTCTACAGGCTAGTGGACGTCGCATAAGATCTTACGCAGTTCGTGTTTGAACCAAGTGGACCATATGCTCGGAATTGATCTATCAATTTATACCGAAACAGCGGCGTGAACCAGCAAAATGAGAACGGATATCAATATCCATACGATAGATCATAATGATTCAATCCAACTTACCTTTTGAGCATCATCTCTAATGCACGATACACCAGATACCAGGCAATGGGAAGAATTGTCAGCCGTGGCGAAGCATTTTATGTTCAAGTTTTAGACACGGCCAGGCAGGAGCCACCCCGACGCAAGGGATGCTAACAAGTCCAAGAAGGGGCATCTCATTGCTATTGCAACGAGACATTACATCCAATGGCGGCCCGCTTCTATGCAGCTGTGGATGATCATGTTGCCCTTCCCAAGGGCTATGATTCGTCCTCCCCCTGTATCATTCAATTTGTTTCATTCCTTGTACCCACCTTGCCGTCGAAGTATGACGCTTCAAGGCGACAAAAGAAGGCCTATCCACGTTTAGGCAGTCATTCAGTGCGACTGATCAATAACAAATCACCAATCATGGCCCGCTATCTACTTAGATTCTACTTTCCTCGGGAATGTAAGGACAGCACAAACTAATTCTGAAATATTATATTGTTGGCCCGTGCCGGTTGATAGCTGAGATGAGTTCGTGCCAGAAACCCCAAAACCTTGAAAGGGGAATTCAGTTGAACATTCCTGGACTTTCGTCATAGAGTCATTCTAAATTCCGTCAAGGGATACTCAGTTCTCGTGTCCCTGGTGACCCTATATCCACCTTGAATTACCCGACTAGCGCCATTATGAATGTATAAGGACGTTTTGAGCCCCTGCATAGCTGGCAAATTCCCTATTCTGTTCTATTTTCCCTCTTATTGTATTGCATTCTCATCTGGGTAACTCTTGTGCAACTATATTGCTTCTTCTTCCATCAAATTGGAACTAGGGCGGCTTCGCGAAAAGGACACACCATGTCCGCCATGGACTGCGGTGTTGCCAAAATGCCTCACAATGCATGTTTTCCAGCCCGGATTCAAACACATTTTAAGAACCAAGGATCCAATTCGTCGCTGAGCCACGATGTTATGCCAAATAGCGAACCGCTCCCATCGCCACGCCGATGGTCGCCTACATATCAACCCCGGCGAAGGAGCAGGCAATTTCCGACGTCTTTGTCATTCGTTCCGTCTACAGTAATAACCAGTCCTGACGGCCATGACTCGACATCATCACTACCTAGACGGCCCGCTGATCGAGCACAAGTCCCAATTTCGCCCTTTCGATCAGTCAGAAGAATGAAAGAACCATTCCAACTAGTCCTACCATCTTCGCCAGTATCATGCGACGGTGGCCAGGTATTCCCTTCAACCAAGCCAATGCGGCTCTCAAAGCCACCGGGTGGTCATACCCTACGGACTTGGCGCTCAGATCAGAACTTAAAGTGTGGTGGTCTTATGCCCAGTCCACCCATCTCAGAATCAAGACCTGCGAGTGTAGGCGGATCATATTTTGAGCATAGAAATGACTTGAGAAAGGAAAAGCAGGCCGCCACACTCTCACCAACAAAGGAACATGCTGAACATGTTGCAAACGTGATGATTCACTATGGAGGCCATTGTCAGACAGAGTGGGAACATCAATCTCCAAAAGCAGATTTTATCAATATGCCGGAACCTCACTCAAATCTGTTCCGGCATTACGAAGGCAAAATGCCCTCTTCTCCGCACACCACTCATGCCAGGCAACCAGCTTCCATGTCATCTCCCGTCTCTGCTTCCAATACCAAGCCTAGGTTATCAGCCAACTCCCCGACAATTCAACGGCCGAGAACAGCTACTGTCTCAAGCGAAGCCAGCTGGATACCCAGCAACCTAGCGTACTGTGAAACATGGCTGCAGAACGTTCCCTATGATCCACTGGATGATAAAGAACAACAGCCCAAAGAATTCACAAACCGTCGAAAAGTTCAGATTGTCGAACAAGGTCCCCCAATGCCAGTGCTGAGCGATCTACCCACCCCGAAGGCTCTTGAGGCACCTGTGGTAAGTTTAACATCACATTAGTCGACTAGTACAACTTCACTCACTCTTCTTAGGTATTACAGAGGTTTGCTGTTGCAAGCAGGCCAAAACTGGTCAATATTGCTAAACAATCTTCCCCTAATTTGCCGCATCCAGTACCTCCTAGGCTACAACCTTCACTTCCTATGACACCAGCCCAGCGGCAAGAAGAAGTATCCGCTTTCAGCCCGGATACACCAATGGAAATCCCAAACAACGACTATGAACCTTTGCAATCTGCGTTCTCTTTCAGCAGCTACGAAGATAGCAAGGATGATGATACATACACTGACCCTGGGTCATTGACTTCGGACAGCGTCACTTCAACAGTGGTATATGAAAGGCCGGAGTCTGCGCAGGGAAAGCGCGCCACCTCACCACAGCCCGAAATTCGATCTGGCAGTGTCAGTCCGAAAGCGTCATCCCCCAAAACACTCTCTTCGGGGCATAGATCAAACTCACCTCAAAAGCATGAAGAAGACAAACAGCGAACGTGGGACAGGGAGTGGACTTTGGACGAGCTCGCCCACTCTGTCAATGATTTCCCTCGTCACATGCTTCGCCTCACATCACCAGTTATTGTATTTATTCGCGGCAGCGATGAACAAGTTCTTCTCCGCCATTTTAGGACCATCTTCCCTGAAGTTGCCGACAACCTCCTTGACTGCCTTTGTGCGGCTTTAGTGGCCCGCAACTACCTTATTTCCTTATCCAATCTTCATCGCCACAAACCTTCTTTACCACCTCGCAGCGATATTTACGCTGTTGATTCCGTTCCAACAAAAGCCTACAGCACCCTGGGCATCCAACTTCCTACAGGTGCCCCGGGGCGCATTAAAGACCGCCTTTTCACCTCACGTAGCACAGATCTTCGTCGAGATATTGAAAGAATTGTCGACAACCTGATGTTTGCCATCTGCGGTCGATCTGACGACACTATCAAAGCCGCCGTTGAGGTTCTAGTTCAAGTGCTAGAAACCAATGCAGTGAAGTCTTGATACACTCGTTCTACTCATCTATGTCTTCCGCATCTTTCATTACCACCCTCCACTCCTGGATCATTTCTTTACCTGTATTCGAACTCACCACCATTTCCTCCTCTTCACCCTATGCAACGATTTCTTTGACTCGATTAATTCTATTTAATCATGTCCCCATTCTCTTGATTTTTCCTATTCATACCCTTCCACCGTATTCACTCCTTGAACATGTCTCTATTTTACCACCCTTTATTGGTCATGTATAATTAGATTAGATAGTGTGCCCGTACCACAAGAAAACTTAATCATAATTATTGTTATCTCAATTGAAGTCCATGGCAGTCCATAGCAAGTTAATTTTATAGGACTGTCATCGTAATATTGTTTTGTCACCTGGGAACTCTGGCTGTCCATTATAGGAAGTTTACTATTTTAATTCATTTACAAGTCGAACTTGGGAATCTTCAATAGCCGGGATGAATCAACAAAGAAACTTTATTCCGCATATCAGTCAATTGGGTCTTTGAGAACCTTAGATCTACGGAAGATTGATAGGTAAGGAGGAAAGGAAATGAACATTGAGACATGGTCGCAGTAGTAGTTCTACTCTATACATAATGTGGGGGTTAAGCTAAGTGGAGTCGGATCATTACTGATCCGCTATTAATCCGCCCCAGGGTTAACCTTAAATCTCAGTATCACATGACTACAAAAGTAGGTGTATCATCGGCTTAGTCATATTCTTTCCCGCGGGATTCGCGCCGGGCGATATCTTTCCCTGCGGACATGGAACGTTGACTTTCATCCATACACATACACAATGGCAGCACCTACACGAAGTCTACGACACCTGTCGTCTCTAAGAGCGACTATCTCTCCAGCAGCATCAGCCCTCACACCCCTCGGCTACCGCACCTACGCCACAACTGATGCTTCCTCAGCCACCTCTAACAATACAACGGGCGTTACCCGGCGGCGCAAAACAGTTTTCCAAGATAAGCTAAACGCCGGCCCTTCGTTCTCGGACTTTGTATCAGGGGGCAATGAAGATGCCATTGTCGACCCCGCAGAAGCCTACGCCCTCAAAACAGCTCTTGTCGGCCCCGCCGGCCGCAAGAAGGAAATGACTCGATTGCCCTCATGGCTCAAGACGCCAATCCCAGACTCCAAGAACTACCAGCGTTTGAAAAAAGATTTGCGCGGATTGAAGCTCAATACTGTCTGCGAAGAGGCTCGCTGTCCCAACATCTCCGACTGCTGGGGTGGTAGCGACAAATCCGCCGCCACCGCAACTATCATGCTCATGGGCGACACCTGCACGCGCGGATGCCGTTTCTGCAGTGTAAAGACATCTCGCAACCCGGGTCCACTCGATCCCCACGAGCCGGAGAATACCGCGGAGGCTATCTCCCGCTGGGGACTTGGATATGTAGTAATGACTTCCGTGGATCGGGATGACCTCGCAGACGGAGGAGCACGACACTTTGCCGAGACGGTGATTAAAATCAAACAGAAAGCACCGAGTATATTGGTCGAGTGCTTGACGGGTGACTTCCGTGGCGACCTGGAGATGGCGGCTTTGGTCGCGCGATCCGGGCTGGACGTCTACGCGCACAACGTCGAGACAGTCGAGGCTCTGACGCCATTTGTTCGTGACCGCCGCGCCACTTTCCAGCAGTCAATCCGAGTCCTTGAGGCTGCTAAGGCTGCTGTGCCCGACCTTATCACCAAGACATCTCTCATGCTCGGTCTGGGCGAAACAGATGAGCAACTCTGGGATGCCCTCCGCCAACTCCGTGCCGTCAACGTTGACGTCGTGACATTTGGTCAGTACATGCGTCCTACCAAGCGCCACATGGCTGTTCACGAATACGTGACTCCAGATCGGTTCGAGGCGTGGCGTCAGCGCGCCCTTGATATGGGCTTCTTGTACTGTGCCTCGGGTCCTTTGGTGCGCAGCAGTTACAAGGCTGGAGAGGCGTTCATCGAGAATGTTTTGAAGAAGCGCCGTGCTGGTTCTGGATCCGCCGAAAGCACAGTCGCACAGACTGTTACTTCGGCCGAGGCAACCCGCTAATGTTTCCTGTCTCTATTTAGAAAGTATATGCATGGCAAATGGACTGATCTTGGTACAAAATGGGGGTTTTATGCACCCTTGGCGCTGAGAGTTCGCATTGTTTCTGGGCTTAATGGGAGTTAGGGTCTTTCAATTCTAGTCGTTTTGTATCATCCTTTTTTCATGCTGTACATTATTATTTTCGAATTGATCTACATTCACACACAGGTATGTACCCTTCTGGTATACCAAATCGTGTTTAAACTCGCGCAATTTCGCCCACATTGCCCGAAACCGAAGAGTACCTATACCCTGTTAACCCAGATACTCTTGCTAGATAAACGTGGAGCCTTGGCTATTTCGCCATACCATTCAACCTGAATTTACGCTATTATTTCCAAGGTTATCTGGGTTATTTGTGTGGTTACACGTTGATAGGAATGTTCTATTCTAAGCAGCAAGCTTTAAAAGAACCTTGAAGGAATAAATTGACGCCAAAAGGGGGGGAAAGAGCAAGACACTTCCAATCTCCATGGATGCTGTGTCGCACCACAGGTATTATACCGTATTTAGTGTACCCTGTCGTTGAAAAGAAAGTAGTCGGCATATATCGTAAGGAAAGAACCGAAAAAAGCCTGAAATTGCAAGTGGTTTAATACTGTCTCAGGACTCCGGCAAAATGGGTATTATAATGCATATACACTGGTGAGGTACAGCTATATTGACTCTTTCCCGCGAGTCTGGGTCAAATGTATATTTAATTATTCTCGCTCGTCAACTCGGCAATATCTTCCTTGTCTAGACTGAGCAGGTGGAGGATATCGGTCAAACTCTGACCGTTAATTCGAGTCGGTGCCTCAAGCTGGACCTTAGACTTAGCGCGCCAGGCGACGCCGAGGCCAGCCGCGTGAAGCATAAGGAGGTCATTGGCCCCGTCGCCGACAGCCAGTGTCTGAGCGATAGGGATACCGTTGTCTGCAGCAATTTTTTTCAATAGCGTGCGTTTCTGGGCGGCGTCGATGATGGGGAATGTTGGAACCAGCTCACCAGTCAGCGTTTGAGTTTCAGGGTCGATTGCGAGCTAAGAATGATTTTTAGTATGCTACGATTCCTGTGCTTCGTTGACTGATACTACTCGTGGGATACGGGTGTTCTTACGTGGTTCGCGAACGCGTAGTCCAGTCCAAGTTGACCTGCAAGCCACTCTGCAAGAGGCTGGAATCCACCGCTCAGAACGGCCATCTTATATCCTAGCGCCTTCAGCGCACGGCAAAGCTCCCGAGCGCCCTGTGCAATGGTAATGACGGACTTGAGCTTGTCGAAAACGTCTGCGGGGACGCCCTTGAGAAGAGCGACGCGCTCTTTCAGGGATGCGGAGAAGTCCAGCTCGCCGTTCATCGCGCGCTCGGTTATTTCCTACATAAGGTCAGAACCTAGCAGCTAAATAGTGAGGGAATAAAAAAACCTACAGAAACCTGCTTCTCCACCCCGATGAACTTGGCAATCTCGTCGATCACTTCATTTTCGATAAGGGTGCTATCCATGTCGAACACGGCCAATCGCTTATGCCGGCGGAACACGGTCTCCTCTTGAAGAACGACCTCGACGTTCCACTCGCGCTCAAACCGCCAGATACTCTCGTGCTTGCGCAGATCCGCGAAGGGGAGATACTCCGGGTCTGGGGGTGGGGAGAAAGTGACCTCTACAATGCGGGGCTGAGAGTCGCGGTCCAGACAGCGGTGCGAGGTAATCATGCGCTGATACGGAGTTGGAAGAGATTCAAGTGTCTGGAGGAAGTTTGTTAAGCACAGCTGCGACACAAATGGGCCGTACAGGTGGTCCAGAGGTTCAGGCTCTGGGGCCGGCGGTTCGCGAGGGATCTTTTCCATGTCGTCGGTCGGAGCAGACCCCTCGGGTACATGGGGGGAAGGCAGCTTGCTGCCAGTGGACTGGGCGACATCGGGGTGGAAGTTGGGGTGAACAGGGTTGGATGATTTGTAGAATATGGTCGCGACGATGCGGGGGGTGCCGGTGGGAAGGGGGTTATGGTGGTGATTGAAGATGCTGTGGATGACACCGCTGTCTGTGACTCTCTCTGGGTCTGGACTGATCGGGTTGACTAATGAGGACCTTTCATCATGGGCATCCAGGACCTCACCGATGGTCTGACTGATGGGAACTGGGGGCTTATATTGTTGGTGATCTTGCAGGAAGGAACTGCTGCGCATTTGGCCAAGCGAGGGACGCTGGCGAGAGGCGTTGGCATCGGCCATTGTGACTCAAAAAAAGGGTTGATATTCTCTGATGTTCTCTAAGGGTATCAAGCAGAAGTGGCAGTTGTTGAAGTCTCACTAGGAAAAAAAGCCGTCGATTGGGCCCCACTTTCCTGGTACAACGGGATGACCTAACTAGGACTTAATTGTACTTGTAGATGTGGCTGTTAGAGGTAGCTCTATTGGGTATAGTCTGGTTAGATAGCTAGAGCGTAATAACAGAAATCCAACAACCTCTTAGCTAGAGGACTTCCTTTCCTATATGCATCTACCTCTTGGCAACAATTTTACTTAAGCTGTTTAATGTGAACCTTTTTTCGCGAGTACTACGTCAAATCATGATTGGAAGATCTTGAAAAAAGTAAACATTTGAAGCAGGAAATAACGAAAAATTGATATTCAGGTATCTAGCTTATTTAGGCATCCAGATGTGAGTCTTTCGTTTCCCACTCAAGCAGTGTTTGAGAATTAGACAGAGTCTCTGGATGGCTCAGTCCGAGTACTTGTTTCTGCTTGACTAAGCAGTTTTTTAGCAAATTAATGGCTTTGGCATCATGACCTGAAGTTTCCCAGGTAAAAGCGAGATTGGCCATACTGGTCAGCGTGGAGGGATGGTCCTCGCCGAGCTTCGTCTTGCTCGTGTCCATCACCTGCACATCGAGCCGCTCGGCCTCCTCCCATCGGCCCTGATTCCTGTATGTTGACGCCAGGTTGGCCATACTGGTCAGCGTGTCGGGATGGTCCTCGCCGAGCTTCGTCTTGCGAGTCTCCATCACCTGCACAAAGAGCCGCTCGGCCTCCTCCCATCGGCCCTGATTCCTGTATGTTGACGCCAGGTTGGCCATACTGGTCAGCGTGTCGGGATGGTCCTCGCCGAGCTTCGTCTTGCTTGTCTCCATCACCTGCACCTCGAGCCGCTCGGCCTCCTCCCATCGGCCCTGATTCCAAAATGTTGACGCCAGGTTGGCCATACTGGTCAGCGTGTCGGGATGGTCCTCGCCGAGCTTCGTCTTGCTTGTCTCCATCACCTGCACCTCGAGCCGCTCGGCCTCCTCCCATCGGCCCTGATTCCTGTATGTTGACGCCAGGTTGGCCATACTGGTCAGCGTGTCGGGATGGTCCTCGCCGAGCTTCGTCTTGCTTGTCTCCATCACCTGCACCTCGAGCCGCTCGGCCTCCTCCCATCGGCCCTGATTCCAAAATGTTGACGCCAGGTTGGCCATACTGGTCAGCGTGTCGGGATGGTCCTCGCCGAGCTTCGTCTTGCTTGTCTCCATCACCTGCACCTCGAGCCGCTCGGCCTCCTCCCATCGGCCCTGATTCCTGTATGTTGACGCCAGGTTGGCCATACTGGTCAGCGTGTCGGGATGGTCCTCGCCGAGCTTCGTCTTGCTTGTCTCCATCACCTGCACAAAGAGCCGCTCGGCCTCCTCCCATCGGCCCTGATTCCTGTATGTTGACGCCAGGTTGGCCATACTGGTCAGCGTGTCGGGATGGTCCTCGCCGAGCTTCGTCTTGCTCGTCTCCATCACCTGCACAAAGAGCCGCTCGGCCTCCTCCCATCGGCCCTGATTCCTGTATGTTGACGCCAGGTTGGCCATACTGGTCAGCGTGTCGGGATGGTCCTCGCCGAGCTTCGTCTTGCTTGTCTCCATCACCTGCACATCGAGCCGCTCGGCCTCCTCCCATCGGCCCTGATTCCAAAATGTTGACGCCAGGTTGGCCATACTGGTCAGCGTGGAGGGATGGTCCTCGCCGAGCTTCGTCTTGCTTGTCTCCATCACCTGCACCTCGAGCCGCTCGGCCTCCTCCCATCGGCCCTGATTCCAAAATGTTGACGCCAGGTTGGCCATACTGGTCAGCGTGTCGGGATGGTCCTCGCCGAGCTTCGTCTTGCGAGTCTCCATCACCTGCACCTCGAGCCGCTCGGCCTCCTCCCATCGGCCCTGATTCCTGTATGTTGACGCCAGGTTGGCCATACTGGTCAGCGTGGAGGGATGGTCCTCGCCGAGCTTCGTCTTGCGAGTCTCCATCACCTGCACAAAGAGCCGCTCGGCCTCCTCCCATCGGCCCTGATTCCTGTATGTTGACGCCAGGTTGGCCATACTGGTCAGCGTGTCGGGATGGTCCTCGCCGAGCTTCGTCTTGCGAGTCTCCATCACCTGCACCTCGAGCCGCTCAGCCTCCTCCCACCGGCCTTCAAGACAAAATACTGTTGCCAGCATACTTATACTATCAAGGACATCTTCATTTTCATCATCGAATAACCTCACTCTTTGATCTCTTGATTTCAATGCCATTTCTCTTGCATCTATGATATTACCGATTTCAGATGCATACCATGCACCTCTATAAAGTAATGTAGCCCATCTTTGTGGATACTTGGTTGATTCTGGCTGTTGCGATATTGCGTATCTGATATGAGGGAAAAATTCCCTACATCTATCCCAGTTCTTGTATTCACCAGTCGGACACTCTTTATAAAGGATAGTAATAAATTTGTCTCTCCACTGGTCTCTTTGTCTATGAGATTTTAGCCACTCGTGTGTAGTTAGTTGCACTATCCGATGCATTGTAAAGAACCTATTATTTTTGCTAGAGGATATAAATGAATAATCCTGTAGTGTCGTGATATCGTCCTCAAAGTCAGGCTCTATATCAGAATCAGAAGTCTCTCCATTACTAGAGTTATCTGAAAGGTCTGAGTAGCCTGAGCTTGATATATAGTCGGCCTGAGATTGATGCCGAATAAGATCTTCTGGTATCCCTTGCCGATCGAAAAAACTCATAAGAGAAAGTAGCTCTGCTGCAGATGGCTTTGTTTGGCGGATATAATCGAAAGATAGTTGCCATGTCACCAGAATTGAATTCTTTGCCGTCCAGTCCCGGTGGAGGTAACCGGCTTCTTTCTCGAGAAGTTTGATTGCTTTATGGTCGCTCTCTTGGAAATCTCTTAGGTATTGTGACACTGAATAGCGAGACCCTCGATTCCGAATCAGGCAAGCTGCCTGGACGATCGCTAGAGGCATATGCTCTAGTGTATCCACTAGCTGTTGATTCTCTAAGGTTTGGCTGTTTTGGCTTTCTCCTGGGTCATCAAGCTTTCTCTGGAGAAGATCTAGCGCTTCAGACCTTTCCATGGGCTCAACCTTTATTAGGTCTTTGTGATCGACCATCTTCAACGCTATTTCTTTCGCCCGGCTTGTGATGAGAATAGACCCATTTCGAGTTCTTGGAACATATTCCAGTAGTGGCTTTGTCGAGGACTTCGTAAGTGGAATCGAGCAAAGGAACTTGTCATCGTCGACGTTATCAAGGATGCAAACCCATTTCCCTCTCTTCTCATCTCGGAGCCAGTTCTCAACCAGTTTGAAGATGTTATTTTTGGGATCCTGGCGACCTGGGATTTTGACCTGGTCCGCAATATCGCGGAAACTTTGCTCGAACCGGGCTTCGTTGCTCGCATGCACCCAGAAGACCCATGTTGCCGGCGAATCAGATCGGACTTGATGGGAGTATTCGATTGCGAGTTTCGATTTTCTTTTGATTTATGAGTAAGAGATCACAGAAGAGCTGATCAGCACTTACCCAGCACCGCCGAGCCCAACCAGCGCTATTCTCGACCCCGGAACTGAGTTTTTCTCACGAATCTGATCAAGGAGAGCATCACGACCAACAAAATCTGGATCGCGTGGGAATGGGACTGTCGATAACGGGCTTGGTGGAGTTTCCGGTCGCTCTAGACAGTCATTAGTCAAGTCACCTTAACCTTGTTCGATTCCCTCTAATTTACCTGGAAGCATATGGATTTCGGCGTTGATCGGGCCATGGCTTACTCCAATCTGGAGCCCATGATTATCATTACCCTGGAACGATATTGATGCCATTATCAAATTAACGTGTGTCGCTTGTAGCTCTCATGAGAAGGCCTATTGTCTGTCAGCTGAAAGAGGGGTCAGGCTGACCATCAGGTGACTGGCACTAATCCATAGCATTTACCTCTACTGTCTTAGACTATCTCTCTTAGCAAATGGTCTTGTTTGCGCGGACGTTCTAAGCAAAATTTCTGAATGATCATGATACCCATCAGATCTACTCAGCATTAAACTCTGACTTTCAGCCAGGCCTTAGAGCTTCAATCTCCGAGTATCGATGATAGCTGCCACTATAGACCCAAAGTTGCAGAATCTTCTGCCCTCCATCCTTCCAAAATCCAAGCCATATCGTAGCAAAGCCAAGTAATGTTAGACCATTCAAACCTGCCATAGATATCTTAAAGCCCACTATCATTCTCGGAATCGGCTCAACTAATCCACACAGAGTGACTCTCTTTAGCCCCCGCCAAGTCCTTAGCGCCGATCAATAGTTGAGCCGATCTTACTACGTAATTTAACACGATTTGAACAAGAATTCAGTGGATATGCCTAGAAACCTTTGGTGGATTGCTGCCAATTATTAAGGGAGACCTGTCTGACGCCTTGAAGCTCGATTCTCTTTCAAAACTTCGATTCTCGTTCTCATCCTATGTCATACGCCGGTTATCAGACCATGGATAGGAGTCATTGCCTCAATCTCCCCTGTAAAAAGCCACGCCGATAAAAGCAGACTTGCGAAGAGAGTCCACAAGATTTCGTTAAAAATATAGACATTGGATTCACGCCGTAAGAAAATCCAAGTGGTCTTTCTGGTCTCCCTGCATAGTGATGAGGAAAAGAGAAAAGAGAAAATTACGGTAAGAGAGTAGTAGTGGTGAAAATAGAAGTGGAAATACCTGTGGACTAGTAGGAGCTCTGATGCATAGGATGGTGCGCCGCTCTATATACGGTAGTATATTTATGTCAGAGCTCATGGAACTATACCTCCCCTCGTCATTCTTGTAAATTGCCTAGACTGTATCTATAGAGCTGATCGTTTATGGGTTGAGCGGGATATTGAGAGCAAAAAATCAAGAAGTCTCTTCACGATCTCTGAATAGCCATCCTTTCTACAAAAAATTAATGTCCTCTTGGTCGCCCTGTGCAATAGCTATAAGAGAGACCTTAAGCTCGGAAGATTTCCGAACAGCCTCTTCGAAAAGCTCCTTGCTGACCCAAGCGTCCTCACTTACTCCAATCTGCTCTCGCCAGTGATTCACCATTTTATTCAAGCTAATCCATAATTGCTCTTGTTCAGAAAACTCATACGACTCCTCATCAGTGAAATGCACTGGACAAGTGGTCCAGTACTTAACCATACGCAGTAGTCTCGGGCGAGTTAGTAGAATTCTAATTCCAGTTGTGCCCTAATCATATTTCACGGATAGATTACTACGAAAAAGACTCCTTCAAGAAAAATCCGAACCTGAGACATATCCAACAGCGACGATCCCCCGGTACGCCTATGATGGCGCCGCCCAGCTGAACTCGAGAAATTTCGTTCTGAAAAATCCTACTAGACATAGATGAAAAGTCCAGAAATCAAGGTAATACTTAGCGAATCGCCGAGTAATCTCATCACGGGATATATTTTTGTCTCATGGGTGAGGGACAACTACGACGAAATAGCCCCAATCATCATTATCCTAAGAGCGCCTCTAGCACGACAATTTATGTTCGAGCATCCACGATCACTAGTGGTAATCAGTTTGGCGGTCCAGCCTCAGGTGATGTATTGTGATATTCTAAGTAGATACACTGCTCCTCTCTTCTTCATTCATAAAAGGAAGAACCACGCATATAACGTTTGACGCTACTTTGACAGTGGCACAGCTATCTCTGCCTGTCAAAAGTCTGCTCGAATTGTCCTACGTTGAATGAAGTCACGACAAGACGATTAGTACACCGCCCTTATATTCCGGACGCGATATTTGAGCTCAAAGCTCAGGTCACACATCGGATAATCACATTCGTCAACTTTCACCCCCGTGTCCGCACACATCTGCAAGATCCGTTCTGAATGATGAAACGATGCATTATCCATGACCACTACGGACTTAAGCTCGGGCCATCGTCCACAGTGATGAAGAAGCTGAGATAAAAAGTCTTCAAAAGCAGTGTTATCGGTCACGCCACAGAATACACGCGAAAGGATGATCCCGTCCTGGGCATAGGTAGTATCTGATATCGCTGCTCCCGATGGAACTGTGATATCTGCAAGGGGGCCACACCGAGTGGTGACCAGCCTGTGCGCCTGAATCCAGCCCTCTTGTCACATCCAGATTCATCAACGTAAATTAAATGATACGATTGAAAATCCGACAAATTATGGAGATAAAGCTCTCGCAAATGGGCATTTTGCTCCTTAGCATGTTGACGGGCCGTCTTCTTAGACCAACATTTGGCGAAAGGGCTCTTCTGATGCTGGAAGTTGTAATCATAGTGCATATACGCTTCCGAACTGCCGCAAGTTCCTGCGAATATTAGTGATTGTAACCTTGCTGCATTCGGCTTCTTCAGCTATTTGAGTTGTCGTTAGTGATCGGCTCTCTATCATGTCTCGGATGAAATACAGCTTTTTGAGGGAAAGTCTTGGGCCCATAGTGCAAGCCTAGTAGAGGATATGGCTTAAAGTTTATTGACAAGTCTGTTGCGTAAGGGAGAGAGAGAAAGGGTAGTGGTATCGTATGTAAAGCAATCTCCTGTAATTTACAAAGGGTCATGTAAAATAGGTTCTATTCTAAAAACCTGGAGATCGACAGAAATACCATATTTTGACTAGCGTAAAGAAGGACGGCCAGCTCACTTCTATTTGCCTTGTTTGCAGAATCAGCATTCAAAATGGCTTCAAAACAATACAAGTCCAATATAAAAGAGATTTTTATTGTGTAATTTACAATCGTACTGGAATACATCCACGAACAGGGACCAGGGCAGAGTAGCTGTAATAGGGATAGTGTTTCAAAAGAGGGTTCGGGAAAGAGTCTCGGGCTTCTTGAATTCAAGTCCTCTGTGATTTCCATGTTTTCAGATTTCCCTTCCAATTGAACTTGATTGAACATTGGAAACATTTTCTTGGTCAGAATACGAGTAACCTTGGGATATATCCATCACGAGGGACAGTGATGAGCACTCTGAGTTCATTGAAATGCTGGCTTCTGATGTTATCTCTCTCTAAGGTCGATATCTGTATTGATTCTTTTTAGTGTTGAATCTCTCTATTCTGAGGTCCGGGAGCTCGTCGTTATGTCTGATCACGTGACATACTGACTCGCCGCCCGGCAAATTTCATAATGTCGTGATCCCAGTAGCATCATACTAACAACGGCAACAGAGAGTTTTAATGTTGGTATGGTCTGCTTCACTAGATGCAGATCATTAAGAGATAAGGTCAAATCCAGATTCCCATCTAAATTATGATATAACTCTAACATCATGATTAGACATGACCAGGACTCTTGATCACTTGTCGTCACTCGTGAATTGGTCAGCACGCAGCGTCAAATCAAGTTGGGAATGAGCTCGTTCCACCATTTTCCAGGTGGGAACCAGAGTCAAAAGATGATTTATCAGCGTGCTCAGGCCAATAAATCCGTTGATGCCTGGTGAATCCACGCCAAAATGCCTTTATCCGGTTACCCATACGGACCATTGACGCAGGTATTGCGTGATTCCCCCGGATCATGAAGCCATCAAATTTTTCAGCAACCGTCCAAATATGGAAGGCGGTAACTTGCAATGATGTGATTGCAAATACGGCAAAATGGACCCTCATGGAAGACCGGAAGCGCTGCCAGGGCACCGAACCCCGAATAGATGTCGTGATTTCCTGTTCTTCCTTATATTCCTACCATTGACACCTAAAAGTCCATCTTCAAACCCTTACAGGCTTCCCCATATTATCCTTTGAAGTGTTATATCTACTTTAGCTTACCAGGCATTCATCCTTTCTTATATCTGCCTTTTTGAACAATACTTCACCACACAAAATTCACAATGCCTGCCAAAACATCTCAGTACCCCTCTGAGAACGAGGGTATTGACTCTATGACTGAATCTGGCTACGCCAGCAGTGGCTCCAGTGTCGACTATACTCCTGAGATTGTCTTCACCAAGCCCCATCTTAAGTTCCTTAACCGCCAGTTGCAATTCCTTGAGCCTCAGGGTATGTTGCATTCCCTATATACCCCGCTTGTGCCAAAAGTCCCAGGACTGACTTCAATATTAGATATCTTGAGATGGTGCATCACATCTCTTCCCAATCTCTTCCAGACAACTGCCTTCGGCCTGACTGGCCTGGTGACTCTGGACATGCTCTCTAAGTTGGAAGTGCCCCGACCCCAGATGGTCGATCTCATCTTCCTCGACACATTGTACCATTTCGACGAGACCCTGGCTCTGGTTGACCGTATCCGGGAACGCTACCCTCACAACAATATTAACGTATATAAGCCTGCTGGCGCCGAGACTGCCGCTGAATTCGAATCCAAGTATGGTGCTAAACTTTGGGAAACTGATGACCAACTCTACGACTGGGTTGCCAAGGTTGAGCCCGCCCAGCGTGCTTACCGTGAACTCAATGTCCACGCCGTGCTTACTGGTCGCCGCCGTAGCCAGGGCAACAAGCGTGGTGACCTCGACATCATCGAAGTCGATGAGGCGGGTCTAATCAAGATCAACCCCCTGGCCAACTGGTCTTTCGATCAGGTCAAGCAATACACCAAGGAACACAACGTCCCCTACAACGAGCTTCTCGACCGTGGCTACAAGAGCGTTGGTGACTGGCACTCCACTCAGCCCGTTGCTGAAAACGAAGATGAGCGATCTGGCCGCTGGAAGGGACAACAAAAGACTGAGTGTGGAATCCACAACCCCCGATCCAAGTACGCCCAGTACCTGATGGAGATGGAACGCAAGCGTCAGGAAGAAGCCGTTACACAGGTATTGAACTCGCAACTGTCTACCGCTGCGCAGTAATACTTATGTCATGTGCTTTCCTTTCCTACTCTATTGCATCACTCCTGGCGTTCTTTGATGATACCTTCTGGGCTATGTTCCTTCAGCGATCCAGTTCCTCTGTTTAGACGGCGCATATCTTTGATTTTCTCGGGATAATTTCCCAAAAAGACAACTTGTGGTACAAAGTTTATCCCGTACCACTGTCAAATCTACCCTTTTCTGTACTTATGGAGATGGATTTATTCTTTCTGTGGACCCTCAAGTGGAGTCGGCGAAGATACGATAATGATAGCCTTATGATATTAGAGTCAAAGGCATAAAATACAATTTACTATATACATAATTCTTCACCCCTTTAAATAAGAACCTACCTATATCTCGATGTAAACTCATGAGGTTGCGGAGCCTACTTCGACCATTTTGTTGAATACCATCACGTGATCAATAAACCCTAACTGAAGGCTTTCGTTCCGGGTGTATTAGCATTCACCAGTATAGGCTTGGCATGAGGGTTAAAAAAAAAATTGTCTGCGTAAAAAAAGGCAGCCATGTTTGAATCTTACTGTACCTAGACGATATGTGTAGAGATTAGAATCGAGTTGATCTCCCAAGTGAGGTGATGCCGGTAGTACGAGCAGTAAATATTATATTCGCCTTTTCTGCTGAATGTCACGCTTTCGAGACTTAAATCTAGCCAATTAGTTAACGAATTTCTTGAAAAGTCTAGATCTGAGGCTGAATTTTGAGCGCACAGGCCTAACTTGGTGCCTTTTTCGCACAGGACTCCCTGGCATCAGGCCCATTATTAGTACTGCATCTGCTCCCTAAGCTTTCCATTTTGGCTATCTGCATTTTCAATACCCGTTATCCCGCGCTAAGACACTGATAGCACCAAACATGGCATACTAACTCTAGCAGCTTCTGCTGTTTTATAGTAAACCTTGGCCAAATATTGGCCTTACTAGTAGTTTACATCAAGACTTGCGCATACCACTAACGAATCATAGCAAGTCTAGCGCCGAGGCTTACTTTCATTCGTATAGAGTCACAGACCATTTTCTCTCCACCGGTCATTCTAGATCGAATATCAATTTCCCGCCACCCATCCCGACCGCAATGGTATCTTCCACTGATAAAGAGTGGCTAGAGGAATGTAAACCCGAGGCTCTGTCTATTCCACCATTTGACCGATATATCTATATGCTCGAAGGCTTTGTTATGAAGAAAACTCTCAATCCTGGTGAGCTTGGCTATGGGATAAAGTCTCCCCGCGCCAACAGGAAGGAATCAAGCTCCAAGTCCAGAAATACATTAATGAGCTTGCGAGAGTTCCTAATGACACTGGGGGTGTTCGATCTTTACTTGCTTCCGGAGAATTGTTTCACGATCAACTTCCTCATCGTGGACCTTTCGCGTCCACAAGGGATTTTCTCCAATCATACGAACATGATGACGTACCTCTTATCCAACAAATCGATCCTTCCAGTCTACCAGTACTTTCGCACATGGATTGGGATCTTTCAAATATTGTATTGCATCCAAATATGGATGCAGTTTCAGGGGTGGTTGATTGGGAAAGAGCAGCTTTCTTTCCAGAGGGCGGGCGGAGTATTCATCGCATGTGCCATCAGTGGCTTGGATGGGAGAGTTTGTTTGGTGATCTTCAATTTCTAATATCAGAAAAGCATCAAGTTGAATGGCTTGTTTGAGCCTGGTAGTGAATTCGGCGGCTGAGAAGGCAGAAAAGGCAGTAAGTGAATGTTGCGGACAGCTAAAATGGGAAAAATGCAGAATCTACAGTTACGGAAATGCAGAAAGCTCAAATGTCCTAACGGTAGCTCTATCCGCTGATTGCCTCGGAAACCCTTAAGTAGTACCTAGATATTTCATTCCCAATCCAGAACGCTTCACTATGAAATACCAGTCAGATAGGATAAACTTGATAGGTAGGAAGAGATATACCTGGAGCCCGAGTCAATGCCCCGAAAATCAGTAGAATAATATCAAGGTGTTGAAGGAAGCACACGGTCTTTCCTATTTTTGTTGCTTCTTGAGGATGGAGGGCGAGGAAAATAGATAATTGAAGCTTGATCCCCAGCATCTTTCAGAGCCATCAGAGAATTGGGCTTTAAAGAATGCCAGGGAAGGTTACCAGAAGGAAAACTAGTTTTGCTGTGTTTATCATGCTTTAATGGCTTAAATAGATCCAGTGGAAAAGTAGGTAAGGCACTTGAAGGATCCGAAACCATTGAATGGAGATGAGAAAAATCACGAAGAATGATATCCTTGCTGTATTTTCCATACTGCCTCTGTTCAAAATGCACATAAGGAGGGATCAGGTACTGGGGGGGGGGGGGGGGGGGGGGGGGGTGCTAGTAGTGCTGTTTCCGATGGCAATCAGAGGAAAGATTCTGCCTAGAAACTCACAATTTCAAACTATCTGGGAAGATTCCAACATACGGCTATTGACTTTTATAGGCTCTCTCGGCTTCACTATCATCGGTTCTGTAGAAATTTGATATTTTCCCTTCAACTACTTACTTTGACCACCGGAAAGCTTATTGAATGAAAAGGATCGCCCCAGATCTGTGAAGGAATTGATCTTAGGATCGTTCAGCATTCATGGGAGGATTTACTACCTAGGTAGATACCTAGCTACAGAGTATCTGAAAATTCGAAATTGAAGTTTTCACTCAACAGATGAGAGTTAAAGTAGCCGACCGTTCATGTATTTTGGCTGGTATATTTATCGATAACTGGCTTGCCATAGGTAGTACCTAGGTGTCCCTATCTTAAACCAGGTGTACGTAACTAGTACACACATGATATGGATTCAGCATTAAAGTTTGATCAATTTCAAATGTTGAATTTCAAGGATTTTCATTTTCCAGCGGCCATCTTCACCCTGTGTAGAAACAGAATACCATCTATTTGAAGCTGTTGATATACAGTATTTGTATCGATAAGACACTTTGGCCGAGTGGTTAAGGCGCGCCCCTGCTAAGGGTGTTCATTCGTGAGCGCAGGTTCGAATCCTGCAGGTGTCGTTTTTTTCTTTTTTGGTTAACAACCCCTAATTCAAGTCAAAGGGGAAATTCATATCAAGAGAATTATGACTACTAGTTTTACAATTTAACTTGAATTTCTCTCTCGACCATAAACGGTTTCAAAAGTCTTTGCAGTTTTGCTTTTTGGTATTATTGAACATTACTAGTGCTGTTTTAGTATACACACTCTTCCACCCCTCAGTTTACTCTACATCTATGCATCAGCCTTTAACCTTTATCAAAATGGTTCAATACGATATCAGTATGTGTGCAGCTGTTATTCATTCGAAATTGCTTGGATGAAGCCGCTTATAATCTCTGCGACGACTGATATACGTACCTGAACGATTAATTCGATATGGGATGGAGCTATTGAGCAGGGCTTAACCCTTTACAATAACGAGCAGCAATTAGATAAAAGATCGAAAGTGAAACATAGAATAAGGTTGAAGCCTTGGACGTGAAAGTGAGAGTAGAACTAAAAGTAACATCGGGAATAGAAGGCCCGGGTCACTGGACCACTACTACCTATGGAACCTTAGGATATAAAGCAGCATGATAGGACTGTTGATTTTTTCTTCTTATACCATCCAGTCGTACACAACACCTTCGTACAATCTGATTTTTTCGGGTATCGAATCGCGCCTACGCAGATCCAAGGTGCTAAAGTCCAGGAGGCGAAAGCCCCAGTGAATGAGGTAGGTTCCTTTAGTTGTTAAATTTGTGTAATTTATGCTAGTATATTATTTGCTTTAGACAGCTAAATACCTAGCTACGGCGTATCTAAAAATTCGAATGAAGTTTTCACTTAACATATGAAGGTTAAAGTAGCCGACCGTATGAACAAAATACCTAGATATCTCAAGGTATGGCTTAATCCGATGATACATAGCTACTATTAGATTCTGCTCACTGCTTGATTCTGACTATCTGGATAAATAAAAGGTTTGCCCATAGATTAGTGTCTCATATAAGAGTTGAGAAAAGGGTAGGTAATGTATACAAATTGAAGTACTTCGACTCTACCGCCCTGCATAATGTCCCTTAAGACGATGCAGGGAGCACCCAGGTAACAACTGACTTGGTGGGAATATTTCCACTCCACTCCTCTCCGCTCTGAGTGGAAACGGTCACATAGACGTCGTTGCTGAAAGTGTTCTCAATAACGACAGAGCGCGTTCCATCCGGGTTCAACGAGGCCACAGACTGAATACCGCCAGAGTCAGTGTAAGTGTAGCTACCAGAGCCATCCAGAATGATAGCGCCAGTAGGAATGAACTTGCTGAACTGCGCTATCATGTAATAGGCAGTGTTCAGAGTATAGCTATCATCGCCGATAGTGACCAGGCCGGTACAAGTTTCACATCCACCACTGCTAAGATACGGACCGTCGTCAGAATTGGTGCCCAAGGTCCATGCAGTAACTCCGGCGGCCCAGTTTTGAAGGGGACCCATTGTAAAGTCTACTGCCTGGTTCCAATCTCCTGTTGATGGTGTCCAGCATTCAGTCATGTATTGTGCTATTGATGGGTTGGATTCATGGAATGTTGTTAGAACAGTCCAATCGACTGAGCTTGCGTAACAGTGCCAGGCTACCGAGTCCACATATGAACCAGCATTATCAACAACAACCTGCGGGTAGTCGACGTTATCTGAAAGCCGAAGTTAGCTTCTAGTTGGAAAAGCCAAGAAGTAAAAAAGATTGAGAGACATACCGGTGTTGTGGTCATATGCCCAAATGGCAGTATCAAGGCCAGCAGCTGCAAGAGCAGGACCAACGTAGTCCTGAATCAACTGCGCCGATTCATAGTCATAAACGTACATCGTCGGATAGCCAGAAGCACTGTACAAAGGCTCATTTTGAATAGTGATGGCGTGGATTGTAGCACCAAGGTTCTTGAATGCTTCAATATAACTCACAAAGTACTGAGCAAATGCACTAGCATAGCCGGTACTCCCAGTGCCCCCGCTAGTCAAATATCCATCATTGAGATTGTTGTCGTCTGTGTTTCCATCGATGACACCATTCAGCTTCATCCATCCGGGAGCACTCCAAGGAGAACCGAAGATCTTCAGGCTAGACTTTAGAGACGTCATCGATGCCAGCAGCTCGGCCATAGCAGTTCCACGATCACCGAGGTTAAAAGCTGACAGTGTAGAGTCAACATTGTTTGAATTGTCATCGTAGGTATATGCGGGATCGCCGGAGAGATCTGAGGCACCAATAGTGTGTCGCATCAAAGAAAAATCCGCCCCAGAGCTGGTCATGAGAGTTTCCAACAGTGTTTCGAGGTTCGAACTGGACAAAGTGTTGAAAGATGTGACGGTGGCATCTGTCACGGCGGCACCGAAACCAACAATAGTCTGTTTATATCCAGAGCTTGTATCGTCGACAGTCAACTGCCAGGTCGACTCGGAGCCCGGAGAGCCTGTACCTTGAACAGGGGCATCAATTGACGAGAGCTTGTATGTGCCATCTGAGTTAGAGCAGTATGCTGACGGTGTTGCAGAGCTTAGAGCAGCTAAGCCCACGAGAACGAAAAGAGATCGCATCACGTCGCTATAAAGTGAGCGAAGGATTCAATACTTCAAAGATTGGAATAAGTAAACATGGTGCGATGTTTCTTCTTATATCTGACCAGTACGGGCTTATCCGGACATGAGACATTTGTCAAAGTGATGGATACAATATGAGGTCTCATCTGACAAAAAACGCCTTGTGCCTGGCATAATTTCCACCTATAATCTTACGACTGTCCATTGCATATCAACCGGCACGTCCGGTATAAGGCCGGGGGAAGGCCAATGGACCGAGTCTCATCACAATTTAACGCCCACATAAATACTGAAGATCTTTTCCTAGATCGGATATTGTACCTACTCCGTAGAAGGTTGCATTGCCAAGTTTCAAAGTCAAATCAAGGATGAGCTTTCTCCGTACATCCATGATATGAGAGGTAAGTACTAAATTTTCGAGGGATAACAAGAGTGGGACATGAAAAAATGCTTTGAAATTGCCAGCTGCAGGATTTAAAGATCTAGATTAGTAGTTAAGGGTCAATTTAATCCCGAGCTGAGCTAGACCTAAACTAACTAGTGATGGGCTCATATCATTTGGGCCCTGAAGAAAACTATAACGCTTTATGCAAGATAGAAATGGGTGAAATACGGCAAGGCTTTCACGCTATTCCGACTACGTCCTTTTGAAACGAGATGGATCCTAATCCCTGTCTTCCCCTCATCCGAAAGCCGACCTGCTCTACATTTGCTGACGCATTATCTTCCAGAGCGTGAAAATTTATTAAAATAGCTTGCAGATTTACTTCTGCATTCCGCATTTCCGAGTAATTATAATGGGCCACATTTCATCCACATAGTCAGAGTACATACTTCCGCTGGAACTTCCATTCCGTCAATCAATTGATTCCAAGTTAGGTTCCCGGACTTTACAAACCGTTGACAATCACGGACCTGTCCAGGAATTTGGCTCCCTGAAAAGCTGTCACTTGGATGACTGAGGCTGACTGAGTCAAGTTGAAAGAAGTCTCAAATCCCTGCTTCGGAATTCTTCCCACGCTCTGAAGGCTCTGGCGCGATTTACCAGCGAAGACTTCCCAGTGGGAAACTTCTGTCGCACCATTCCAGCTCATATAGACAACATTATCCTTGACAGTGGCCTTGGGCTTGTGACGGGGAATTGCATGCCACTCTTGGCGGTAGGATCTATAAGACTGTACGAGACCCAGCTCTCCAAATTGAATTCTCATTCTGGTGTTCCCATCTATTCCAAATTCCTTGATCACCGGATTGGAACCATATCCGAGAAGAGTGTTACCATTGTCCAGAGACCAGAATGTGCCCTGGGAATCAGTATAGAGCTTGTCATTCGGATCTTCGAGATTTTGAAGAATAGTGACGATCTTGGAGTGGAGATCAATTTGTAGATTAAGACCCGCTGATGGCTGGTTTGTGTCATTGTCCCAGCCACAGTTATCATTGTTGAAGTAGCTGATCTGGAGGGAGCTCTCGGTGACATGATGGACGCGCGCATGGTGTTGCCATTTCTATGGTTTTTCCGAGTCAGTATATACTGCTTCAATTGCAGAATAAGAAGAGTTACAAAAAGATCCGAGTAAGGCAATTTGAAATCTCCTCCGTTGCTTCCATCGAGCTGCCACTTAACTTTCCCATTATTATCAATCAAAAATGTAGTCCAGCAGTGTCTACTGTTGACGAGATATTTATCGCCAATCCGCTGGACGGCGTTCAAATGGAACCAATCCCATGGGTTTGTTTGAAAAGTTCCATTTCCAGCATTGTCAGAGGCGAGGTCGACCTTTGACAGACCCAGAGAGACACCTGCCTCTAGAGCACTCCAGCGAAACAGAACCTCATTTGTCTTGATATCAATCTCATAGAACCAGTCATCATAGATCCATCCATCGACCGGTCCTCCGACAGAAGAGAGGTCAACCTGGGTAGTATTCACTGCAGAGACTATGATGGTGCCTTCCTCCGTGATGAGGGACTCGTGAAGGTCAGCATAGCAGGGGAACTTGATTCCATTGGGAGTAGTGAAACCAAGTTCGGGGCAAACTTCGTAGATTGTGCTGTAGCTCTCATCAACGATTGTCACTTTTCCGTAGCCATGTCCAGTGTTGGAGCCGACACCGTTCCAATGAGACAAGACAGATCGACCATCAAGCTCCTGAACGAACAAGTTTGTTTGGGGCTCAGCGACTGGACCGTTCCACACCAACTCGCCTTCATCAGTCATAATCATACCACTAGCAAGCTCCTTTGCGTTGAGGTTGGAGGTGTCCTCATTTGCAGGAGTGAAGAAGATCAGTCCATCGGCAAGTGGCTGTCCAGACTTCTGGATGTCTAGCACTGGAGGGTGGAAAGTCGGCTCCGTCACGAAGGTTTGATATGGCCAATATTCAGCAAGAGTATTAGCTGGGGCCAAAGCCAACAAAGCAAGACCAATCATGTGGAAAAATCAAATGAAGAATATCGGGAACACTGGTTCTGTGAATCTATACTGTCGAGTTGGAAAAGAAAACCTTCGGAATGGGAAAAACATCTTGAAATAGGTTTGGCCTTCCACAAGTCGCACTATACTTCATGAAGAAAGCCATTCGTGTAACCAATAAAACATCTGAGCTGGAGGACCTCAATTTCCTTCCCAACGGTATCAGTGTGTTTTGAGAGAGGTTCAGTCAAACGCACGAGCCAAGTACATGATGATTCCTTTTCCTGGAAAAGCCTAGATTTTGTATGAAATGCTTAAAGTATTCACCTGGGCGCCTTAACTACAAGACATGTCGACTAATTTAAAAAGCGGCTGAGATCAGATTCAGACTTCCTATTTTGGAAGGGAGATCGTTATCGCTATTATTGGTACAAGATAAGCTGTACGGAGGTCGATTTCAAAAGTCATGCGTTGACCCACTTAATTTATTTTACTAGCGAGTATTCTAATACCACTAGGATTACACACAGTAGCCCTTTACCCCTCTCTCTCTCTCTTATTACCTACGCATATATGCCTTACGATATTGCTACACGGGCCTCAGTCCTAATTTTACGTGCTGTTTCTAAACTGACATCTGCTGAGATATCTGCTATTCTCGGTATATCTCAATCGCAGGTAAATCGTATCTACGCGAGTGCAATCAAACGCGGATTTAATGAAAATCAACGCCCTCTCCATATTGAAGACGCATACGTTGAAGACGCGCCACGATCCGGACGACCAAAGAAGCAGACTACTGAGAATAATGATATCATTATCTCTAAGGTTCGCCTTAATCGATATGACTGAGAAAAGTCATGTGCTGATCTTGCGGGCAAATTAAGCGAACTAGGTATCAATATATCGGCGACAACAATATGGTGGATGCTAAAAGAGGCGGGCTTTCGAAAGGCGAAGCTGACTCGGAAGCCTGGACTGACGAAGAAGATGAGAGTTGATCGCCTTAATTGGTGCCTTGCTTACCGTCACTGAACTCTTGAGGATTGGGAAAATCTTATATTCTTGGATGAGACTTCTGTCATCCTTCTTCATCATAGGGGGGATGCCGGATTTAGCGTAAGCCTGATAAGGCTTTTGTCCGATCATATATACGTGAACGATAGAAGGGATCATCCGAGTTTGTGTTTTAGGGCTGTTTTTTGTACGATAAAAAGGGGTCTTGTCATAATACTATTGCCGAGAAACGAGTATTTGCTTCTAAAGTTGATGAATCAAACACTGAGCTTGAGCCTATAGCTAAAGAAGAATGGGTGCTAGTAACCTTGATTCGTCATATAAACCTTCGAAGGAAACCTGGTGGTAAAAAGCCTTCTTGGAAATAGAATTCTGCACCAGGGAAGCTCTCGCGAAGTGCTCGTGGTAGAATTGATTAGTATCGTTATCAGAAGATTATTCTTTTACCAAAGCTTCTTTTTATTCGCTTAGGAGTATGCAATTTTACGGCTAGATACTGTTGTCCAAGAAGATAAAGCGCCTGCGCATAACCATCATATCCAAGATCGAGACCTTAATATAGCGAATGTGAAACGTCTTTATAGTATGGAAATTCACCTGATTTGAATGCTATTGAGCCGGTGTGGCCTTGGATGAAGAGAAGGACTACTAAGAAAGGTGCACCTAAATCGAGACAGGAGGCGTTTTCTGCATGTAATAAGGCCTAGATTGAGCTACCCCAGGAGGAGATTCAGACATGGATTAAACGTATCCCTAGGCATATTGAGCAAATCATTGCATTAGAAGGTAGTAATGAATATAAGGAGGGAAATGGTCGAATACAGAGTTGATACAAGCTTTTAAATACTACTAGCTAATTGGGATTAGTTTCGACGCATGACTTTTTGAACTCGACCTCCGTACAGGAGTAGACATAAAGCCTGGAGGGATCCGGCCCGTAACGGGTACCAATTAGACCCACTTAGGTGTCAGGACTCTGTCAGAGCGCGAGACTTCAATGCCTCAATAAGGTACAGAGGATGGAGTGTTCTCGATCATAGATAACATTCCAGGAGCTATCCGACAACTTTTGGAAGAACTTCTTGATATTTCCTGACGAGGGATGAAGAAACAGCTTTGTTCCTCATTTTTAGTAAGACTATCTGTTTTGACATGATGGTGGTCTCTAAAGCCCACTGGCCATTAGGGTCTTGGAATCTTTGGATACGATGAATGGAGTTGGCTTTTAACGAATGGTAACTCCTCCATCAACTCGAATATCTGCACCGTTGACCATACCGCTGGAATCCTGTTTGGTCTCATCAGCAAGGAATCTTGCCCAATGCCCGTTTCAATCAAGCTTACCTGACAAAGAAACAGCACAGCCTCTGCCACCTCCTCAGGCAATGCAAATCTTCCAGTGGGGATAGTCTTCAAAAATTCCTCCCTGGTCGATTTTTCCCCCCACGCTTTCTGTCCAAGCGTCGTCCAAGCCACAGTAGGGGATACAGTATTCGCGGTGATACCCTGAGATCCCCACTCAGAAGCCATACTACGTGTCAAGCCTAAAAGTCCAGCTTTGGAAGCACAGTAAGCACCATGTCGGTGTAAAGCTACATGCGCCGCCTGAGATGCCAAGCTGACAATCCTACCGGGTGGAGAACTAGTAGGTGTCTGCGCTTTTGACGCAAAATAAAATCGGGCAAAGGTCTGTGAGCAAAGCATTGGCCCGAAGAGGTTGGTGGTTAGATGCCTCATAGTCTCTTCGGGAGGAGTAAGGGCCATGTCACTAAGAGAAACATAGCCAGCGGTATTTATCAGAATGCTAGGGAAGGCCCCCTTGACCAGCTCGGAGGATTCTGGCGATACCATTTCCTTTCCTAGAGTATCAAATGCCGACTGCACAGACTGGGGAGACGTGATATCGCATTCATAGGTGCGGATATTCTTCAAGTCTGAACTATGACTACTACCGTACCCTAATTCAAGCAATTCCTCCCGACGAGCAGCTTCAAATGGAGCATAAAGAATGGCAAGATGAGCTCCCTGCTCTCTCAGCTTCTGGCCTATGCTCGATCCAAGACCGCCTGAATCAAAACAGAATCTTAGTTAACCCTGTCTTCACCGTCAAGGATATGGGATTGTCACATTATCCCTACCTAGACCTCCAGGAAGAATGGCTAAACGACGAGCGAATGCCATCGCTTCTATCAATAGATAATCTGTTGTTGGAAATAGTTGTAATGTAATCTTAGAAGATTTGGAGTCTAGTGGGGTCTACTAGACTATAACAATTTCATAGCATTGCGCTTTGACCCAAATGCGGGGGTTATCACTTCGGAATCCTTCCGAAGGACGGACACCCGACTTTGAATATAGATATTGCATGTAAATTATTGGAAGATTGCCGTACAGGGAACTCTAGAGACATTACTTATAACTTTGAGACTGCAACATGCCCTAATGCTCAATTATGCCAGGGCATCGTTTACCTCCACCATCGGGGAGCTTAATGATTCTACTTTATAGCGTCAGTTCTACAGGGTTCACTACGAGACTACAATGGCGGTTTGCTGTAAACTGTTGGAGGACAGTCAGCCAACAGAGTAACAGAAAGAAAAACGGAACATCCGGTCTCTCCGATGGGCCTCACACGCGCCAACATAAATGGGAGCATGCCAGAATGATCTGACCGCGCTGATCCGACTGACTCTGATGGTGGTGACCGGTCCCTGTTATCACCCATAGACCCCGACGGTCATGAATATATAACTTGAGACATTCCTTGAAAGGATTTAGCCTCCTGCCAGCAAACCGCATCTACATGAAAGTTAATAGTAGCGTCTACTACCAGATCGAGACTGGGCAGTAAGACTCCATAAAGGAGGAAAATAAAGCAAGCATGTCCTTTCGCTGGTATTGTCCAGATCAAGTTCTAACGGTAATTTCTCAGAACGAGGTTCACTTTTTCAAGTGAAGCCTCGAACACCCGTCATGCGTGCTGCAGAGCATACGTACCTTTTCCCCCTCATGAACCAGACACATCGTCCGTTCTATCTCATCTCCCCCGTCATATATCCACGTCCTATAATTAGCAAGCTTGCCCAATTTTTTCCCCAAGAGAATGTGTCGGGATTTACAAGGCTGTCGGACCAGAGTAAATTTCTCTCTCGGTTTGTGCAGTCGAAGATTCAGTCACAGACTTAGTGCCGAATTTGTTGGATTCTAGGTGTTGGAACCAGTTGCTGTTCGATTTGCGCCAATACTCTTCAACGGCAATTATTGTGACACCACCAACAATGACAATTGCATAATTGAACAGACTTGCATCTTTGTCGATCTCGCTATCAGAGTACTCAGGAGCGCAGAGCACAGAAAACGCAAAGCCATTCCACACAAATGTGATGACAGCTGCCACAACACCAAACCGTCCTATGTCCCAGAAACCGGGGCGGAAGGTCTTGCGTGTGATAAATGCGCGGCCAAAACCAACAAGGCCATATGCAGCAATGGAACCAGCTGCCGAGGTAGAGATCAGACTGGAAAATGCTACCTGAGACGGCAGCTGGGTGCATAACAGAAGCGCAGAGATCGTTGAGATGAAGATGATCGCATTATGAGGCTGCTTTGATTTTGAGACCTGAGAGAGCCAATTGCTAAACGGGAATACACCGTCACGTGCCACAGCAAAGACAAGTCGCGACACAGCGACCAGAGATATGGAGGTATTCACTATGCTGCCAATCATACAGATGATTGTCATGACAACATGAGCATGTGGTCCCAACGCTATGGCGTACATGTTAACGAATGGCTGGGGTACGGTGGTGTCGTAGAATGTCTCAATAGGTGGCATGCAGAACAGAAAAAGAATGATGATTGGGAAGCCACACACTGCTGAGGCAACGGTTGCCCAGAATATTCCCCTTGAAGCAACCTTTTTGGCCGATATGGTCTCTTCGGCAACATGACCTGACGCATCTTGACCGACGAGAGTGCTAGCAGGCAAGAACCAGGACAGCACCCAGTTTAGGCTAGGGGTGGTATCGCCGCCATTATACGTCGAGGTGAAAACATACTCAGCGGATTGAAATCCGTACGTTTTCGATACACCGATGGGGAGCCAGATGAAGTTGAGCAGCATATCAAGGATGATGACGGCGACTCCCACACGAAACACCCACGAATACATGCGTGAGGGAAGGAAGTTCAATGAGGTAGCTATAGCCAAGAAAAGTAATGAGAAGGCCCAGGAAATGGCGCGTGCGCGCACCTCAGAAGTCTCGTAGGGAAAGCTTGTCTGCGGATTGAACAGAACAATCTCTGACACGAGATAGTTGGCAACTCCGAACGCATCACTGGCCAGAAAAGAAGTCCACGCAACAAGGGTCCATGCAGCTACCATGAATGAGACGAAACGACCTATGCGCCCACCACCGAATGATCGGAATGCCCAGTAGTAGATTGACCCCGCTGCGGGATAGCTGGAGCAGGCTTCAGCAAGACAAGCCGCAGTTATGATCGATAGAATGCTACCTGAGACGTAAGAGCTCCACCTTTTGAATTGTTAGCAAACTTCAACGGAGGTATAGATATCGTGTATACATACATCGCCGCCGGGCCGCCGCCACTCAATGCGATGTAGAACAGCACCCGAATTCCTCCAACCACATATAGAGCGGAGAAAGAGCAGGCAAAATTGTCAAACATGCCCCATCCACGCTCTAGGACAGAACGATAGCCCAGCTCTAGCAGCTCACGATCGTCCTCATTGAGAGTGTCTTGGCTATTCTTGCCTGCTTCAATGGCAGGAGATATTTCGAACCCCATTTTGAAATGAATTGACTCAGTAAGGCTCAGTGAATCTCTTTTTGACTGTAATGGTGGACTTGAATAAGAAAAGTACAAAAAGGTAATTCGTAAAAATCAAAAACTTTGTTGAGTAGATCACGTGCGTAGATCAGATGGTGAACGGAGTTCCTTACTCCGTACGACTACCTAGACCTGCATTTATCAAGTATTAGTTGATGATTCTTACATCATTTCATGGATAAGACACTTTGGCCGAGTGGTTAAGGCGCGCCCCTGCTAAGGGTGTTCATTCGTGAGCGCAGGTTCGAATCCTGCAGGTGTCGTTTTTTGATGCTTCTATTTTTTTTATTTCTGCCGTTTCCAACATCACCACCACCTGGATAAACACTGGCTTGATTGAAATTAAAGAGAGGTTAATGAGATTTCAAAGTTACCTAGTATTTACGTTCTCAAATCAAGAGAGAATCTCTTGATGGTCATATATATGTCCATCAGCGCGCATCGCTTCCATCACAAGTTCTCTTTCTTCCTGTCCACTTTTATCTCCAAAGACTTCATCCAATTCCTCCAAGGTTTTGCCACTTGTCTCTGGAACCAACAGGAACGCCCATATTCCTGCGAAGAAACACATCACTGCAAAGAAAATGTACGCGCCGTAGCCGATATTGTCCATCATACTAGGGACAGAAATGCCCACAATAAAGTCGCAAAGCCAAATTGTACAGGCGGATAATGCGACACCCTTGGATCGATCAGCTGTCGAGAAGACCTCTGAAGGGAGAGCCCATCCGAGTGGAGAGTAAGAGACACCGTAGGTCAGAATGAAAAGGAACGCCATTGCTACACAGGCCCAACCGGCAGCTGTGTGGTCTTGCCAGTCCTTTGAGTAGAGACCAGATAGTATGGCAATGATAGCGTAAGTTGCAGCAGTGCCAAAACCGCCCCAGATTGCTAACTGGCGTCGACCCACCCTGTCAACAATAAAAAAGCATCCAAGGGCTGCGACGAGTTGTAGGACGTTGAAGACACCCGAAAGTATCAGAGATTTTTCTGAGGTTTGTCCGAGCTATTGTGATAGTGAGAAAAATGTAAACTGTAGAAGGTATATATAGAGAATGAGGAGTATGTGAGCAATAATGGATTTTCAACCATTTCAGAACACCCGCTCCATATTCTTCTTTTCTCATAGCGGTTTCAAAAGAGGACTCACCGAAGCAAATAGCTTAGGCGCATAATATATGAAGGCGTTTATTCCTATAAACTGTTGAAAGAAAGCAACCCCCACGCCCACAGCAGTTCGTCTCCAGCACTTTGCCCGGAAGAGGTCAGTCCACAGTAATATTTCGAGCTTGATTGCAGTTGAGTTAGGGTGTCTTTTTTGCTGAGCAAGCTTTTGAATTTTGACCTCAGCAATTATTCCTTGATACTCGGCCTGTAATCTCGGATCTGTAGCAGGAAGACGTCGGAGTTTTGTCAAACTGTGCATACAATCCTCATTGCGATGGACCAAGGCCAACCATCGAGGTGAATAGGGGAAGAAGTGTATTCCGATGCCTAGAGCAGTAGCAGTGACCATCTGTAAGCCAAAGGGCAGCCGAAAAGATGTGTCGCCGGCTAAATTCCTGGTGCCATAAGAGATCCAGAAGGCAATGGCAACACCACTGGTGATGGAAATCGATTCAAGCACCAGCAGAGTTCCACGCAGATTTGGCGGAGATATCTCAGAAATGTAAAGCGGCGCACCCTAAGAAGGTAAGTGAGCGTCCTGAAAATTGAAAGAAGCCTTGGAAGATTGACCATACCATCGCAAGAGTACCAACACCAATCCCACCAATAAATCTTCCAACGACGAGAGCGGCGTAATTTGGAGACGCAGTCTGGATTATAGCCCCAATATCAAAGATAACAACCACAACAGTCAAGGCCCATTTTCGTGAATATCGATCCGCCATGTATGGCATGAAAAGGCAACCAAAAAAGGCGCCCAACAATAGCATAGCCGTCATAAACTCTGTTCCGAATGAAGTCTTTGCAAAAGGATATTTGGCATGGAATTGATCCATATCATTAATGACAGAAATCACACCCATGTCGTAACCCATAGAGAATCCACCCAAAGACGCGAGGACCGCTGCACCAAAAACAAATGGAGAGTACAGGATACCTTGAATTCCATTGCTGCCATAGGATTCTACCACAACAGCAGGCTGAAAAATGTGTTCGTCGTGTTCGGTTGAGCCAAACTTGGCCTCTGGTTCAATTTTGTCATCAGCCATGATGGTAAGACGAAGATCTGCATAGAAGAAGAAATGATCGATATCAAATTTCGCATTGTTGTGGCGGCCTTTATAGTATATCGTATACTAAGCAACGTCTTTCTTACATAAAGCCATGAGCTTGAATCCACATCTCCGATATACAATACTTTTGCGGGGTAATACGAATCCGGGGCGCCGGAACCTACTTCATAGAGCATTATATTTCTCATTTAGAAACGGGGCAACTGCCCCCGAAGAAGATTAGCATCATTATCAGTAAACAAAAATTGGATCTGAAGCTTCATAATCACTGCATTCAAATCAATTTCTGGAGCATCAGACATTCGGTTTCTTCGTCTTTTCATTCCTCTCTCCTTGAGCCAGATCAGCTGAGATTTGATATAAAGACGAAATGATGTCACTGCTAATGTAAGGACTCACGTGCTTTAGGCCGGGGTCTGGGGTATTAGCTGCAGGCGTTGATTGGACAAACTCCTACTTTACTTCTGTCCTCTCTTTTCTTTTCCTGTTGAATTTTCCCTCGACCGGCATTGATGGAATTTTTTAGTCATTTACCGGGATGATCGGATTTCATGACCATTAGAATCACAGTAATAAAGCCGTTGATCGAGTTAGTCAGATTTGAGCCAAAACTTGAAACTGAGTGACTGGCTGAGCCACAGTGGTCACACCACTCGTTGGGCTTTGAACTGGATTTCAAGTTCGACGTCGGGATATTTCAGGATATTCGTATATACGCCTTCAATGGCATCCCATACTGATAGGAAAAAAGGCTCAATAATCGCATCTGAATCCCAACAGTCCGGCGAACGTTGAGCGGGCTGATCCCTTAAGGCAGGAGGGTCCGCAAATCCAAATATCTTCATAGGCTGAAGTTCTTGAAGCGGAAGAAAGAATCGTAAGTTGAGATGACGCGGTGAGTTATTAAAGGGAAATTCACGTCAATTTCTCCATTCGAGTACACGCACGCGTCCATGTTCAGCTCTTCTCAACCTTGGAATTATCACCAGATCTTTGGCTTGCCGATTTTCACCGAAGTCTTCAACATGAGAGAAGTCACGAATGAGAGCTCAGATACTTTATATACTGTCAGCATTGAACCTTGCTCGGGTATAGGAATACCCATATATTGCCTCAGACAAAGATTAATTGATGCAAACTTCGAGAAAATATGCCGTATTCTGCAGGTCCCTAAATTGAACATAGATTACTATGATAGGGGTTAAAGGTTTTTCCGGTGTGAGTACAGGGGGCATACTTTGACAGCGTTAAAAAGTTTGGCATCCATGGAGAATCAATGAATGAAGACGAGAAAGATTTAAAATTCCAGGTTTGCATATCTATGCATATTTTATCAGTACCAAAGGAAGGTAGATTTGAATTTTAAAAGGACTGCAAGAAATGGTAGAGTAATACTCCTGCTCAAGTTTCAGTTCTGATAACTGTGGTAAGGCATGGAAAAGTGAATGCAGGCTTCAACCGCAGAGAAGAAGTTGTGATGCCCATAATGGCCACAAAACAGGTGCGCCACAGGTTCCATGTTCATAGAAGGAGCTCTTTTTCAATCTATTCTTGTGGCTTTTCAAAAATAATTATCAAGGTCATCGAAAGCACAAAAAAGATCAAATATTATGGCAATCGTAACGTGTACAAGGTTCAACTTCCTTTATGGTCTTATCTTGCCTGTCGGATAAGTTGCCTCTTCCAGAGCCGTCATTGCACTTCATACCTGCATATGCAGATAGCTAATTAGTCTACTTACATGGCATTTTTACCCGAACCCGAGCGTACACATGCGCAATTACTTATATATTCTAGATATTCTCAAGGCTTTTTCTCGTGCGACCAATTTTATTTACTTTCATGATAGTAATAAGTTTCAATTAAGGCTTCTCGTAGTACTTGATAAAATGTTTAAATTATACACAAAAAGAAGCTTCCATCATCACTAATAGACGTTATGCAACCTTAGAGGGAAGCTTACGCGATTCCCTTCTTGTTGGATCACGGAATATGCATGTGAGATGAAATTTGAGTAGCGATCAACATCGTATTTGACGTTTTTATATCCTTGGGAGTTTTTCAGCCGAAGAACCAATATACGTCGAGCCTCGGGCAGTAACTATGCAGCTAACAATATTGTGATTCAATATCAAGTCACCGGGTTAAAGTATGCGCCAATTAAAGTAAGTCTAGCCCCCGAGTTCGTCCTAATTTGGCGTCTAAATACGCATGAACTCTTCACACCAGATGATCATCGGCAGGAGCGGCGAGAGAATAAAAGGCTTGTTTTGGGCAGCTTTATTGAGGATGGCCAATTATTTTTGTTATTTTAGTTCTGAAGACTCAACTTTTGTCGGCTATTAAGATACCCATTTTGCCACGATATTTTCTTTTCACCCACAGAATCTAGCACAAAATCAGCCAACAATGTCGAACCTCATTTTCATAACAATTTTGAGCACGTTGGCTGGCTCCTTGCTTTTCTACTACCTACACTTGACAATCTCAGAGCGAATTATGAACAATTTTCAGGCCCAGAAGGTATGGAACTTGGAAAATGAAGTGATCATAGTCACTGGTGGGAGTAGAGGCATCGGAAAACAAATAGTGGAAGATCTGGCTCTCCTCAAAGCGCGAGTTCTGATCCTAGACATCAAAAGTCCTACATTTGAACTCCCAAAAAATGCAGTGTTCTACCAAGCAGATATCACATCAGCCAAGTCGATTGCCGAAGTAGCATTGCTGATCCGAGAATCATACGGAAATCCAGCTGTTCTTGTGAACAACGCCGGTGTCTTTCAGCATGGCACTATTCTCGAGAAGTCAGAACAAGAGATACGACAAACATTTGAAGTGAACACCATTGCTCACTTCCTCTTACTGAAAGAATTCCTTCCGTCTATGATTCAGAAGAACAGGGGACATATTGTCACAGTGGCAAGCGTTGCAAGCTTCGTTGCTGTTGGCGAGATGGTGGATTATTGCTGTTCCAAAGCCAGTGCTCTTACATTTCACGAAGGTCTGAAGCAAGAACTCAAATATTGGTACAATGCTCCCAATGTGCGAACTAGGTTAGTACACTGTAGATTTAGAAATTTTCCAAAATACCTTACTGATAGTCCTCAGCATCATTCACCCTCTTTGGGTCGATACCCCGATGATAAAAGGCTTCACTGATTATCAATCTGTGTTTGGTCAGCCGGTCATGAGCCCAGATTTAGTCTCGCAGAAGGTGGTTGAGCAGATTATCTCAGGGAAGAGCGGTAACATCATCTTACCCAAAATGATATCGGTGTCAAGCTCGCTGAAGGCCTTGCCGCTCTGGATGCAGGAGGTAGTACGGTCTTTCGTTTCCAGTATTGTATATCAAGTAGCAAAGGTGCGGTCTGTTGATTCTAAGGCCTTTGTTACATGATGCTGCACCATGCTACGGGATGTTTCTTCTATCATATTTGATGAGAAGGTGCCACCCATGCTGCTTAGCTGTTGATACATCCAGGTGTTTAAATTGGGAAGTTTCTACAAATTTGAAGAGTTTGATGAAAAGTTGTTCGAAAGAACAAGATAAGATACAAATCAGCAAAGAACTTTGCCTGTCCTGAAGGGCGAAAAAAGAGATTTTAGAAAATCCTTGCAGTTAACCACGAATTGTGAACTAAATCCGAAGAAATAGTAAGTTCTGAAATCATGAGACTTCAACTGTGTTCAAAAAGCCATGTTGAATCAGAGATCCCAATGTAACAACGTTCAACCAACAGCCTGTCAAGTCTTGAAGCCCAACCGTCAAAAAGAATAGGGGTGACGATGGATTTGCATCTTCAACCCTGATCAATCAACCACGAGATAATTTTGGGATTTTTTTGAAATGAAAGATTCAAGATGTCACGCAATGCTCAGTGCATAGGAATTGTTAAAAGAAAGGTGATGTCAGGCCATGAAGGTCTGATCGCGTCATCAACAGAAAGCGAGTGAAGAGCCAGGCGAAGAGTTAAGATCGAAAAGTAAAGATTGTTTTTGATTCATATGCTGTGATTCTTCAAAATCACAAATAGGCGATGCTAAACCATGGCCGAGCGCGTTCAAAAAGGCAATATTTTTGATTTTTGTCGAACATGAGTAATGATGAGCTCGCAATCCATCAATGGCCAACCACGTTAAATGAGCAAACAACAGGGTTTCTGGGTTTTCTTCAAAGGGTGTAAAACTGATCAGTCGAATGGCAAAAAACATATGACGCAGGAACGTGACCAAACATGTTTAAAAGAGCAATTTTTTTTTGAGTTTTTGATTTTAGAGTAATAATGAGCTTGCCATGAATCAAAGGAAGAAAATCGAAACCCGAACCAGGGACAGCCGAGCGAAGGGAGAGAGATTCAATAGTCCGGATCGTTCCATCGGCGAAATCGCTCATTGGAGTCCGCATCGCCGAATACAGACCAGCTTTTATCAGGACAAAGGGCAGCGTGATCGTACATAATCAGGGCTGATCCAAGGCAGTTGTCAAGGTGCTCAATAAACTCATCCCAGGTGTAGGCCATGTATGAACGGGCCGTGATAATTGGACGGTAGGCGCGTGGGTGCAAATCTTCAAGTCTCAAGTGCTCTAGGTGCATGGTCTGCATTCGAAACGGGAACACACTCATATAGTGGCAGCCTCTGCAGTACCAACAGTCCTTCGATGGAGTCTTTACCTTCCACGGCAAGTATGGGAAGTTTGCGATGCCGATGCCTTTGTTCGGGTTATTGATTAGTGTCTTATCCAGGTTTTCTGGATCGGCGAGGAAATCATCTGAGGCCGTGTCAGTCTCATAGAGTGCCATGCACATCCTGTCGTATTGTCTATGGACTTGGTCGTTGTCATTGTAATTGTGGTGAACTAGTGCATCCAACGCCAACATCTCACACTCAAGCATTGAGCCGTGCTTTTCAAGACCTGCCTGTCTTGCGCACTTAACGGTGATCATGGCCTTAATAGGTTTCTCGTCTTCGGCACACAACACGATACCCTGCGGCTTAACAAAGTTACTAAACTTTTCAATGTCCTTTTGAGTCAGGTAAAAGGCGTCCAACGCCAGCTGGAGATCGATAGCCCAGTGGGAGCGGTCGAGGTAATAGCACCTCCAGCAAAGACGATCGCAGGTAGGCAGATGAATGAGGGGACCCAACTCCCCACATTCGCGGCAGTTTGGAAAAGCCATCTCCTCTCTAATCCGGATGATGGGGTAAACGTTGGTGAGTTTCATCTTGTTGATCTCACGAGCGTAGCCTGGAACCAGGCGCTTGATGACTTGATAAGTCGGGTTTTGTTCACCAACCGAGCGAGCCCGGCGGCAGGTCCGGCGGATCTCATGGTAAGAAACGGGATCAAGCTCGTCGAAAATCCGGAATAGCACATCGTTGCACAAAGGCGAGAGATTGCCAAATAGCATTCCATCATTCTCAGGCGGAACGTACTCACCAGGGGTCTCAAAGCCTCGACCCCGATTGATTGGCAGGGTAATGCAATCAAAATGGGGAGCAGAATCCATTCCTACAAGAAATTGGAGCAGATCTTGATGCCAGATGTATGGATCCGTGAGGTAACTCCAGTTGTCAGATGTCATAAATTCGTTTATTTCAGCTGTTTCCAACTCCAGCATTTCGGGGGGCGTATTGGGACGGGCCATAGTCGCAGATTGACGTGTTTGAAATAGAACTTGTAGGAACTGATAAGATTATCAAGATGAGATGTCAAAGTGGTGTTGTCGGTGAGATTTTGTGAGTGATGAGAGGGACGGAGAAGAGAAGAGTACTGGGACCAAGAGGGGTGAATTTAAAAGGTGATCCAAAGTAACGCGTTAGAAGATTTTGCGTGGGCGTTTGGACGTCGATCAATAAGCAACAATATCACAACACTAGGTAAGTGAAACACGCCCAAACCGTTGTTGCTACCTGGGCTTTCAGCGTAAACAGGAATCTTAGTCAACGAACAAGTAAAGATTCATGCTAGCATAATATCATAAGCATATGGTTGTGTACATTGCATATCGATCCCTTGAAAGGTGTTGCGCCCTATTATTCCGTGAGTTATTCCACCTCTTCCATGGGATTCATGAGATGATCAATATGTGCAATGTTGTCACCTTCATCCACTGCACCATTCACATTACCCTCATCACTGCCACCTTCGAGCGAATCGTCTGCATCAATCCTACCTTTTCCCTTACCACTTGAGGCTGATTGACCACTTGCGCTGCGAGCACCTCCAGACCATTTCTTCAAGCCTTTGAGACGGCCATGGATACTCCCACCGATGGAATAGTCGCCATTGCTGGTTATCTCCGGGGTTTGGGCGCCTCCCAGGTTGAAAGCCTCCATGGCCTCTGCGATAGTCTGTGGAGCAGCGGCAGGATCCTGCTTTTGCTTGTCAACAGATTCAAACGTCTGCCGGATCCTCTCAAAGTGTTCCAGTTCCTTTGCACTGCGTAATTGTGAGTATCTAAACCTGTTCTTTGGAGTTAGGAGGCAACTTACCTGACGCTAGGAACAAGTTCCTTTTGAGCCGAAACGAAGTCATCTTCCGTGACCATGACATTCACATCCTCTGGTGTCGCAAGGTGATCGAAGAAGTACGCCGTAGTAACCGGAGCACCCGGAAGCTGTTTGATCTTCTCGTCCACGGCCGTGGACTTGCGCGTGATAGCTTTGAGCATGGCATCAGAGCAAAGGGCATACAAATCGGCACCGGTATAGGTCAGCGGAAGCTGTTCCGCCACCTGATCAAGCGACACATCCGGGCTTAGGGCGAATTTCCTGGTAAGAGCCTCCAGAATAGTCGCCTGCTTTCTATGCGTATCTGACACGCCTAGGTAAAGCATCTTGTCAAATCGTCCAGGCCGGAGAAGAGCAGTGTCCAGCAAGTCTGGACGATTGGTAGCTCCAATCACGAAGACGCCACCACTGTTCTCCTCTCCGCCATTCATACCATCCAGCTCCGCAAGCAACTGACTCACGATACGATCCATAACACCGCCACTGTCTCCTTGATTACCTCGCTTGGGTGCTACCGAGTCTAGCTCGTCGAAGAACACAACACACGGACGAGCATCCCGTGCACGCTGGAACACACGCCGCACGTTTGCTTCAGATTCACCAATGTACATATTCAGCAGCTCGGGACCTTTGACGGAGAAGAAATTTAGGGAGAACTCGGTAGCAATAGCCTTGGCAAGCAGAGTTTTACCAGTACCTGGTGGTCCATAGAACAGGATACCGCTACGTTTCTTCATTCCCTTTGCGAACAATTCAGGCCGTTCGAGTGGCAGCTGAATAGTCTCAACCAATGCATCCTTGACATTACTCAGACCACCAACGTCATCCCAGCTGACATTAGGAATCTTAGGTGCGCCGATAGAGTCGGCAAAGTTCTTACGGGCAGCCTCAACCGCAGCATCGAAATCAGCCTTCGTGACGCCTCGTGCGCTCTCTCCCCCAGCGAGTAGAACATCCCTCACACACACTTCCGAGTCAATGAGTCGCTTGCTTGCGACCTCCGCCAGGTCCTCGAGGCGAGAAGTTCTGGCGCTGGCAGCTCGCTCCACAACGTCAACCAAATCGCCAGCAACCAGCGCTGCTGTCTTTAGCGCAACAGTACCAAGATCGACGTCGGAAGAAAGCTTGATACCACGATCTACCACGGCATTGCGCAAAATGCCTTCACGCTCCTTTTCTTCGGGTGTACCCATCTCGAATTCGTGTGTGAACATGCTGCGGATACCCTCAGGGATCTGCTCTACGTCGCTGGTAGTCGCGATGATGACCCGGGCCTCACTCACAACATCGGCCATCGCGGTGACCATACGGTCTGCCGTCAAGACCTCAATATGTCGAATAAGCAAAGCTGTGCAATTAGGTCCGCATTGGAAGGCCCGATCAGCCCTCGCTTTGAGATACGCTTCGGTTTTGACATCGCCACCATTGGCGCCACCTTCTGTCAGAATATCGTAAGCATCAATTGGGAACGTGTGGAGGCCGATATCTGCGCATGCCCGAGTCGCAAGAGTTGCTTTGCCGATATGTCGTTGCTGGGATTGCAGGAGGATCACAACGGGCTTCATGCCCAACTGGATTGCGCGCGGACTCGTTGCCGCAGATATCAAATCGCGTAGCCTATGTTGCAAGGGCGCTATAAAGGGCTGCTGAGGGTCTGCACCGATGCCATGGGGTGTCGATACATCGCCAACGGCCTTGGGAACGGCCTTTATACCTAGCCAATACTCCCAACCGTTTCCAATGACACCAGGAACTCGGCTGACGTCGCTGCCAGCCTGTACCATACGGGTACTTGTCGGGTCAATGACTGCAACACCACCCCATTGATCGTCGCCCGTCTCCTCCAGCTCTTCGACCTTTATCGGAACCACATGACCAACTCTGAACCATGCCACGACGACCTTGCGAGCCTGAGAACTTGAATGTTTCGGAGCGTGTCCGAGCTTGGCAGTAAGATCGTCCTCTAGGTTGGCACCTTCGGCACTGGCGGTTCCTGAGAAAATAGCTCGGCCAAGTCCTTCGTCCACGCTGATACCAACCAGATCACCACTTTTCAAGATACGCCGATGAGACTCAAAATACTGCTTGAGACCAGCAAAGAGTGCAGGCTGAAGTACTCTTTCCATTGAAAGAGGAGTAGAGACCTTGAGAAGGGTGACCTCCTTCGCCAAAGGTGGGTTTCTTCCAGCAGCGTTTTTCATGTGGTGCAAAAGACCAGGCTTCGATACCCCGTTAGGACTGGCAAATGTTAAAGGTGAGATGCGCAAGTACTTTGGATTTTCAATATTGTTCAATAGTAGGGGCGGGACGAATATTGAAGGTGTCAGGCGTGTGGGTGCCCGCTGCGAGAAGCTTAAGCGACGGTCTCCAGATGAGTTGATGGCATATCGGGGCTTTGGTGATGGAAGTCCTGGCAGACCGAAAATTTTCACAGGTCTCCAGTCTCCAGCATCTTCTGGAGAGTCGGTGAAACTTCCAAGCTTGAGGGAGGCGAACATATTCAACTGAGGTTCCTCGGCTGCTTCGATACGCACCCAGTCGCCCGAGAAGCAACCAATCTTGGCAAGGGTACTGATATCGACAAAAACAAAGGAATCGACATCCTCATCATCTCGTGGCTGGGGATGTAACACTTCATTGGGGACTTTCTGCAAAAGTCCTTCCACTTTGAAGACCTTGCCTCCGCCGCGACCAGGACGCAATGTTGCTGCTGTGAAGTTCGAAGCAACAGAGCCAGGGGTGTGAATACCATCCGCTCGGCGTCCACCAGCACGAGGGGTTGCAGAAGTGATGGAAGACATGATTCCAGAAGGAGTTTGTGGCAGTTCAGGGGCTGAGAGAGAGATCATATCTTCTAGAGAGTCATCAGATGAGTCACTAGCAGAACCAACTGAACCTTCAGTTCCTGATTCATCAGCAGCTGAGGTTGATTCCATATCTGTGCCAACTTCACTGGGTTTGTCCTCGGCAGCAGAAAAGAACTGTTCATTTGAGGTATCATCAGCCTCATCTTCGGCGACTTGATGGAGAAGTGCAGCTCGGGTAGAAATTGACTGTTGTGGCCGGTGGGCCTGAGAACGAGCTTGAACAAGAACAATCTTGGTTGTGGGCATCAAAAGACCCTGAGATACTGGTTCGCAGAAGGAGATATGTGCTGGTGAAGGTGGTGCATACGTTATGGGATGAGGGGGAAGTGGAAGAGGTAACACATCGCCGGCGTGAATAATACGCTGAGTGGTCAAAGCCTCACGAACTGCGGCTGTTAGGCGCTGCTCAAATTCAGCCGCATCTTTCTTTGAGTAGCGTTTGCTTTCCGGCGCCTTTCCGTTCTTTGGCCATGTTCCATTGGTGTTGTTCGATGTGAAGCCACCACCAAACTTGTTCTGTACATCATCATGGTTACGGAGTAGATGCCGCTCTACTGTAACAAATATGGTATCCAGATGGAGTGGAGCAACATCAAGGATATGAATTTCTATACTCCGGATATTTTGCAGCGATTGACGTGAGGAGTCAAGTTTTCCGAGAGTTTGAAAAAGGGTTTGGAAAGAGTCGGCAGACTCAGGGAAGCGAACAGTCGAATGAGGTATCGGGGCCTGAGACCGTACTGTGGGTTGAATCCGAACTGGGAGAATTGTCCAAGCCCGGTCTTCTATTAACGATAAAGAAGGCGTATGCGGCGAGACTGCAACGTAAAGAGCGCCGTCACCAGCTACAGCATCTGATTTCAATCCAATTTAGCCCATATCAATCAATTACTCAAGCACAAGGCAAATTTACTCTGTAGTGTCTGCGGAGCAAAAAGGCGATGTGCTAGATCCTCCGATATCACTCCGACGTTTCCACGCAATTGAGGGTCTGAGGACAACAATGCTGTGACTGGAGGTTTATAACGTGGTCGACGTTTGCCTACTCGTTTCTGTCGTTGTTTGGGCTGCTGGGAGCTTTGCCCGGAGCTTTGGCCATAAGGCTCGAGATCCATTGCGGACGGTCAATTGCCGAAAATAGAGCGGGTTTGGGATTAGCTAAAGAGGTGGGATATTAGGTGATAAGGGCAATTTTCCAAATATTCCGGCGGTCTAAATTCCACACACCAGACAGACCCAGAATCTTTCTTAATAAAGATTCAACTGGAAGCGGAGAAGCCACAAGAACAGTCAACATGCGGGCAACATTTCACCGCCTTATTCTGCCACAATGAAAGCCGAGGTTCAACAGCTATAAATCTCCGGAGCAAGGGCATGGAGGCTGAAATGAAGCCCGAAGCACATGTTCAAATTGGCGGGATCAGATAATTACTGGTGCAGATATCCAGGTTTGGAGTTTGGAGGTAACACCGGGTGTTATTTAGCCAACATATATATGTCAATATGAGCTCTAGTCTACGGGGTACCTAAAGACTCCCGTATGTGTGGGGGGGGTCTTGCGGGGTTAGAAGCTCTGGATGTTTCTATTGTGAAAGGACTCAATTCTGGAGCCTCAGGTCTAGACCGGGGATTAAATTATTGCTTCAGCCTTGGGACTGTAAGTGCTCAAGCTTGAGGACAGACTATGGTCTTATCTTACCTATTTAGGGCTTTAGAGATGTCACCACAACAAACTCAAAGCACTAATAGTGTATTGAAGCTGCCTAAACGATCCATGGATGTGAGATTTGGCTGTATCCCATGTTTGGCGTTATTATGCAGTAATCGACTACGTGTCGCAATGATGCGTCTCGAGATCATAGATTGGCCAACAGGCAGCCTCCAATTCGTCAGGTAGTTTTAATGACTGATAGGCCTTGCTGACAGCAGTCTCTGAGAAGCATAGAAGTGTAAACTTCCATATTTTCAGTGTCTGTCACTAGTCTCAGTGTCAAATAGAATTCATTAAAGTCATCCAGTGTCTGCCCTGGTGAGATGTAAGGCAAAGAACTCAAAGACTCAAGGACTCAAGACTTGGACCCTGGCATGTACTGCGCCACAGTGGAAAGTGGGAAATCAGGCAGACATTGAAAAACGCCGTCAAAAACGCCGAGCCATCCGGAGGCTCAAATTCCAAGCCCCACTGATATGAAAGGATTTAGGTAGATCGTACGTTCCTTCCCAATGTACTCAGTAGTTAGGGGAAGGTCTACTGTATTAAATCCAATGTCAAAGTTTCCTGTCAATACAGAAGGGTCTGTCATTAATTTAAGTCTCCCATTTAAACATGATAACAATGCCCCCCTTTAAATTTCCATCCCTGTAATTACAATACAAAGAGGTCAAGTACAAAAGTAAGATGAGGTCCATAGTAGTAAAATTCAACCAATCAAAAGGTGACAAAATGCTCAGCCACTGTGCCTCATACCTGTTCGGGTATAGTGGCTTCGTTAAATCAGGCAGACGTCGCAACGCAACTTCTCTCCGTCATCCGGCATTGATTATTATTCTCCCCCTTATCCATTATCCTCTCATTGCTGCCTTGTCTCCTTTGTTAATTTTTGATTTCTGATTTCCAGATTTTTTCTGCGCCAAATCCACTACAACCCAGTTTGCTCTGAAATCTTTTATTCATCTGCGAGTCTACTTAGAGAATCCCGACATTATAAACAACTCATCGGAACTTCCATTTACTCTCCTCTGGGGCACCTGCCTTTTGGGTGCAAGAATTTTGGTCTCCACTGGTGTTGAAAGACACTAGTACTTATATTTATTTTCAAATCACTGACTGTTATACGACCCCAAAGTGAGTCAGACTTGTCCAAGGCAACACTTGCTGCCTGGAATATACTAATACTAAGCCTTTCCCCGAGCAGATTCCTGATGACTGCTTCTCCGGTTCAGCCTAGTCGGATAAATCTGCGACGACGACCCGCAGTAAAGTCCGCTTCGGTAGACTCAGATGAATCCATAATGCAGCTGAAAAAAGGCGAAACATTTCATACACCCACCTCCGCGCCTACAAATGATCACCCCGTCCTAAACATACGCTCTCTACCACAACGATGCCCCACAACTCTAGATTCTATCTTTGAGCGATTGACTTTGGATCCTTCAGAGGAACAGGAACCATCAACATCTGAGAAGGAGCCTCCCAAATGCAACATTCCCTCAGCTGGTACTGAGCCAGAATGCTCTACACGCTCACGAAGTTCATCCTATGGTAATCTTGATAAACCCCAAATTGACCATAGCCATGAGTCTGATAGTGGCTTGGGATCATCAGTCAGTAGTGGAGATGCCACTTCAATAATTAATGAAAGCCCCGGTAAGTTTGTACTACTTGCATTTTTGAAAATATTCCACAGTCAAGTCTTCTCTTGTCGTCCAAGTACCTTTTTTTTCCATCATTTCGGGTTACCAGCATTCTATTTATCGTTCTTATAAAAGTGGAAGTCATAAAACCACTCGGAGTTGCTCACTAATCAACAATGCTGCTTGATATCTGAGTCTATTGACTTCCAAGTTCCATCTCTTTTCCATTCATATTGTCAAATTTTGATTTTACAATCACTAACAATAAAGCAGATAAGGACAATGTAGATCATCAATCTGCCATCACTGGTTATATCTCAGCCTTTGAGACTGGATCTACTCCAAGACGCCAGCTAGGACTGCCTACATGCAAACAAATTGAACGATATGTCCTTGTACCACTGCTTAAGGAAACCAAGCTGCAACCTTATCATACTCTGGTGCAAGGTATTCCATCTCGTATTGTCAAAAAGCAGATTGTCTGCCTTCGAGATCTGGAGAAGATCTTATTAGGGCTATCACCGGTACGTTAACTATCTATCCCCCTCCTTCCAAGTTTCGCCCATTTTTGGTTAAGCGTCCCCCATTCATTTTATTTCTATTTTCGACGATGCATCCAGGCATCAGAGTTACTTCCACTTCCAATTTTGAGAAATTTTGAGAATTATCACTAATGAATATCTTCAGAAATATGCTCCCTCTCCTTCTTCATATCTCAACTTCTGTGAATTTACCATTCAGACAATTCATACGGCAACATCCCACCTCAATGATCGTGATCAGCGACTACCAGCTGATCGTCCCTACACCAACGGCTATTTCCTCGATCTTGTTTCTCAAGTTCGACGATACGCATCCATGATTCGTTCCGTTCGTGAACGAGTTGTGGAGACTCCCGAGGTAAAAGACCAAGTCAAGGGTCGAGAGATTGAAGTCAAAGACGTCGAGATGACTACCACAATGTAAGCTATTATAGGTGTAGATCAAAACTTGGTCATGCACCCGCATCCATTGCAAACATACTAATAATAAAAAGGGCTCCTCCCATTGCCACCCTCGAAGGTGGCCTGTCCAAGGATGGCCGCCCTGCTGAGCTTGTGGTGGTTCACGAGGGCAAGTCTATCTCGATGGCCACTGGAGATTTGTATGATCCGATTTCTCCCCCGCTGGCTTTCAAGCGCGGTGTCAGCTTTTCCAGCGTCGACTTTGTGGAGGAAGAGGGTGTCGAACGTTCCATGGCCCGTCGTAAGAAGAATGCGCCGCCTATGGACATCAATCAAAAATGTGACCACTGCGACAAGGTGTTCAAGCGTCCTTGCGATCTCACCAAGCATGAGAAGACTCATTCCCGCCCCTGGAAGTGCCCGGTCTCTACTTGCAAGTATTTTGAGATTGGCTGGCCCACTGAAAAGGAATGTGACCGCCACTTGAACGACAAGCACTCCAATGCTCCGCCCTTGTTCAAGTGCGAGTTTCCCCCTTGCCCCTACGCCTCGAAACGCCAAAGCAACTGCAAGCAGCACATGGAGAAGGCCCATGGCTGGTGCTACGTTCGCTCGAAGAGCAATGCTCGCACTGGTAGCAAGGCCGGTTCTCTCCCACGCACCCCGGGCACCCCTGCTACTCCCAGCGTCGTTGATAGTATGTCGACGCCGTCTTCCAAGCCCGTGGACTTCGCTACTCCCGGCAGCGTGTCGACCATGGCTTCCAAGCCCTTGGAGTTCTCGCCTCTTAGTGGAGATTCAGATACAAGCCCCCTCGGAGAGCTTCCCATGTCGGACTATGGATTCAACTTCAATGCTCCTGTCATGGCCCACGGCACTGGCGTCAGCTTTGACTTTGACTGGAGCCACCTGGACCAGAACCTCGAGCCACCTGTGGATTCTAGCACTTACAGCAGCACAGGTGCACCCTACATGGACGGTTACGCCATGCCAGCTATGCCTGCTATGCCCCCAATGGACACCCAAATGACCGGCGCAGAATTTTTCGACGCCCCGTCAAAACTCTCCACAGGCCTCTCGCCCGGCGCTCAGGGCGATGCCACCCTATTCACTCCCAATCTAATGAGTGAGCAGCAACTGTTGGAGAACTATGAGTATGAGATGCAGTGCCGTGATTTCACTCTATATGGTGGCGGCCCTCAGCTCGGTATGGCAACTGGCATGGACTATGCCATGCAGCAACCTGCTGGTCCTCAGTTTGCTCAGTCCGGTCAGGCCATGTTTCCTCAGTTGAACTCTGCTAATCCCTTCCTCGCACCCGACGTCCTTGCCCGCTTTTTCGACCAGGACGAGTAGATTTCTGTTTACTCCCATGTGGCATGATGAATTTTTCGACTTTCTTGCAACGGAATAATCTTTTTGTGGTATTACTTAGTCGGCTTTACTTTAGGATATTAAATTCACGTTCCAGGTTTTTCATTCTCTATTTTCCTTTCGTCTTTACATAATGTAGAAAACCAGAATACCTTGGCACTGCGCTAAAGTCAGCCGCCTTCCATCTTTGCATATAGAGACTATCGAGACTCCAAAACTAGTTAGCTCCAGATCTGCACCTCTTTACAATATTAAATACCTACTTTGTAAGTACAAAGGGTTAAATGCCCCCAAAGTATAAATAGTGACTTGTAGTTTCCGCCTCCAAGACGTCATATCATTCATTATCTACACATTGGTACGTAATGTGGCTATAATATCTCTCTCGGACCCCGTGGTTTCTCACTTCTACATGGACGTAGTAAATCACACCTGACATACCAATTACCTCTGATTTGACATGGATGCCTTATAACGACCTATTAACCTTCTTGATGCCCCACGAGGATGACTGGTCCACGGGACTGCAGCCGTACAGGCCGCGTCTGATCCACTGGGCACCAGTTTTCAAGGTTCTTGTATTTCGTTTCAAATGTTCGTAATTTGTGGCGACAATATTTGACAGGCGACATGCATTATAGATTCCTATAGGGGCCAGAGAGAGCAATCCTTGAAGGATCTACAATCTGCGTTCTGTAGCAGCCAATTCAATTCAGCTCCTATAGTCCCAAATAAGTAGACATCATCTGTAGCCTAGATCTGTAATCAATATAAATTTAGACACGTGTTTGCGGGCTGAACAAACCTTGACAACTTTTTTTGACTTTAGCTTAAACGGGTGACGACATCACTCTTGCTCTCGCCAGCTCCTATTTTTATCTCGTCCCTTCCTTTTTTGGGATTTGATTTCAATTTGATCGCAGATTCTACGCAAGGTACTCTCATGATTTATCTCATTTGAGGATACACCCGCTGTATCACCCTTAGTCAGTCCGATCACAGTTCCACGGCTTGAACCTCGGCGATCAGAGGCCAAGGCAGACAGATTTCGCCCCACAACATACTTAAGAAGGGTCAGGGTGTGAGATTCCGCTTCATCGACTGCTAGCTGCTTGACGGAAAAAGCAACAAGCCTCTTGCGACCATACACACCACTTTTTTAACGGCGGTCAAGGCGGAGACATGCCTGACCCGTCTGCGACCCCGCCGACAGGCGAAATCTTGACGGGAAAGCAGGAACATTGTACGTCACCTAGGCCTACAATTGGGACTACTGGGCCACCTTCTAACGGTCTTCCGTCTAGATCTCAAGCGCGAGCTCGTTGCCCGCCAGGTTCGCCATGAAATCTCCGAGTTGAATTCCCCCACCGCGCTGAAGCGATTTGGCGCCCCCTTCCGATCCGAGTTTGGAGAAGTCGCCCCGGTCGATTCAGATCTTCCGATTCTTCGTTACATTTTCGTGCATCATGTTCGCAACTTCCCCTTTCTAGACAAGGCTCGGGAGAAGGAGTTCTGGCAGGATAAGCTACAAGTGGTATGTTGGCGCGTTTACGCTTCGGAGGCATTAGATACTGATAAGTCGAGATAGTTTCTAGAGTCATTCGCCAATAAACATGTTTCGTCCTCGGAAGATCGCCTGGAGGAGACAAAGCGACGGAAATTGGCCCGAAAAAGTGAAAAGCTCGTGGAGCTTATGATGGTTTCCGGCGTACCGACAGCGTCTGGATATGAGGAACGTATTCAATTCTCGGAAATGGAGGTTGTTGATCGTGGGGCCAACGATAATGGACTTTTGGTCAATATGCCAGAAGGCCACGCTATCAACAGCTGGGATGTGAACGTTGCGGCGGTTCGAGTGACCTCTATAAAGCGGACTGTTCGATACCATCCCCATGCGGTATGTCACTTCCCTCCTGCTTGATTGAACAGCTACTGACAATATCCTGTATAGGAATTCCTCATCCGGGTCAGTAAAGATGGCAATAAGGACATTTATGTTGGCAGGAGATATGGAGAGTTCGCCAAGCTTCATCGGAGACTACGTACTGAGTTTCCGGGCAAGCATCTTCCCCCCTTCCGCGCAAGAACAAGTCGTCCATGTCGAGCTGGTTTGGCTCTGCAGACGACGACAATTCCTCCATCTCTTCAAATTCAACACAAGATCCTATCTCTCGTGATGAAGCATTCACTGGTCGAACATTGGCCCCAGGGAGCCATCAGCGCACCATCTCGCGCGATTCCAGGTCACCGCGCGCATCATCTGACAATACCCGAGAAGCTGTACTTTATCGTGAGGAGCAGCGAGTCTCATTGCGGGCATTCCTCCGCACTATTTTGCAAAACCCACGCATCGCTGAATCCAAGTCGGTAGATGAATTTCTGACCGCACAACCGATAACCTTGAACGAGGAGGAGTTGCTGGATGTGGAGAGGCGGAAGGACATGGACGCGATCCGAATTGAGGAGCAACAACGATTCTATGAGATTGCAAGAGAGCGCGCTGCAGAGCTGGATGTTTACATGGAGAATTTCCGAAAGGATATCGTTGAAAGCAGTAAGTCTTGCAACATAGTGGAATTCTTCGTTATTTATGATGCTGACTCTTTTAGATGGATTGACCAAGCTTTTCTCTGAGATCCGCGAGAAACCAACCATTGAAGAGCTCAGTCCGCAATACCAGAAGTTTGCCGAATGGCTCCGTATTGAGTATGTCAGATCGGATATCCATTGTTGATACCAACTAACCATTTCCAGGGTTGCTGCAACGATATACCATATTTTCCTGGCCGAGGACAACTCACCTGAGATGTTTGCCCAAGCCAAGCGTATACATTCCCTTGTTCCTTACACACTACTCAAGAACGTCATTCGCATTGCCAATCCCGCTGCAGTTATGACCGGTGTTCTAGACTTGTTCCTAGCCCAGCCATTTGGATCCCGATCTCTCCTTCAGCGCATTTTCTCCATGACCCTCAATGATGGAATTAAAAATTACCAGAAGTCGATCACTGCGCTCAGCGCCAAGATTGAAGACCCGATACTCGCGCAGAAACTCAAGTACTTTGTGGAGGCCGATGAATCAATCAAAAATGAGATTCGGTTAGAGGCCGAGAATGAAGACATTGACATTATCGTGGCCATCCTCCGCTCAGAACTCTTGTCACCAGAGCTTACGCCCGAGCAGATCGGCAAGGTATTTAACGCCTGGGTAGCTTGGAACCATGCTGTAGATAATGTGGATCTAGAGATGCAGCAAGGAGCAAAATGGTTTGCGAATATGAAGCAGCTCCTCAAGCTCTACACTCGACAGCGCGACAAGGCAATGATGCTCAGCATTGTCGAAGAACCAGTCACCCTACAACTGTTCCGTGACCTCTTCACGATCTTCTACGAACCGTTAGTTCGAGTATACAAGTCCGCCAACGTGTACAGCAGTATCACAGATTTCGCGCAATTCGCCGACGATGCAATTGCCGTGATTGAAAGTGCCCAGCGTCAAGACGCATCTGCAGACCCAAACCAAACAGTACAATCCTTCATAGATCTGTGCGCTCGCCATCAACATAATTTCTACAAGTTTATTCACGAGGTGCACCTGCACGATAATGGCCTGTTCCAGTCTCTCATGACATGGATTGAAGAGATCCTCGAATTCCTGCGCAAGGGCCCTAAGGGCGGGAAGCTAGACATTAACGCGTTATTCCAGGGTGCCGTGGGAGTCAATCAAATAAACAGAGAAGTAGCTCTGGCCGAAATCAACGGGTTGATCAAGTGGCATGAGGACCGTAAGCGCTGGCACTTGAACAAGACCCGTCAAAAGATGGCTGCCGAAGGCACAACAAATGAAGTTATGCCGGGAACTGCCAACTTCCGGAGTAGCGACTTCGGTCTCGATGAGGTATATGTTCAGTACCCCTTTCCTAATACAATTGACTAACATTTTCTCTTTCCAGGCCGATCTGGAAGACCTTACCATATCCGACGAAGCATCCGACTCAGAAGATGAAGCCGAAGAGGTTGACGCACTAGATGATCCGACCGAGTCTGAGCGACGTCGTCGGATTAAGAAGCAAGATCAGCTGCGCCGTACATCTGGAGAACCTGTTAAGCCCGAGGTTGTTGAGATCCTTAAACTTGGCGAGCCATTCGTGATTATGTTACGCCATGTTTTGGCTGACTGAAGATTTATGGATGCTAACTTAGCCACATTCACTTCACGTCATTGTTTTGAGAATAAAATTCCCTCTATATGTCTTAATTGCTTACTGTTCAAGATTAATGGGAAATTGGGGTAATGAAAACACTCGGGCACCTGGGATGTCATTTGAAAAAAAAAAAATTATACCTTGAAATTTCCACCTGGCAGGACTGCCCATTACATCAAATTTCCCAGATGAGTGCCCAGATAGAAAAACAATACCTAGGTAATTACCTAGAGTCGCCTGCACTTGTATTTGGTAGTGTAGATCAAGGGTTACCCAGCTACATTGTCATATATATATTCATCCATGGATGGATGTTCACATGACATCTGAAATACCTACCTAGTTACTTGGATATTCTTTTGGTTAACAAGAAGAACCTTGGAAGTAATGATACTGAAGTTCAGCGGCTGGACCACCGACACATTCTTGGAAGTATGGCGTGGAAAGAGGTTGAAGATAATTCAGTCGTCACGTTAAGGCTATAAGTTTGAAAACGGGTGGATCAAACATCAAATAGCAAGGATGGCCGAGTGGTTAAGGCGCTTGACTCAAGTAATCATACTTCTTCTGGATAACCCGAAGAGTATTCAAGTATCGAAAGGTGCGGGGGTTCGAATCCCCCTCCTTGCAATATTTTTTGGTTTCTTATTTTTAGTATGTGGATCAGAATGAACTTTCGCGGACTTAGCGCTTGTACAAGTCACCGCCTACCTTTTTTGTAATAACACGTGACTAAATTTGAGTTAAAGGATCGCCCTCAGTCTTAATACGGCTAGTGTGAAGAGCTAAGGGTTCAAATCCGTTTAAGTTTAGCTGTACGAAAAACATTTCACATACCTTACCTTCTCCTATTTTCCTCTGTGTATTATGGCTCACAATGGATGAAATTGTTTTGGAAGTTAGCGATTTATGTATCATTGATTAATCAATATAGAGCGTCTGGGACTAAATAACGATGCTAGCAATGATAGTGGTGACCTTCCCTCAATAATTATTCATATCTCGAGTCTCAAGCCACTGGGGGAGTCGGGACGCCCTGACACTACGAATTACGATCTATTCGCAAATATGTATATTAGCGAACAACTTACGATGAACTCCCTACTTGAGTTGATAAGTATTGAGTAGATAAGCTGCCATTAAATTTTGTTCAAAGGTACATAGATACTGTTGGAATATGGAACAAAGTAGTCATGTGATCAAATTGTTACTTTATAATAGATAGCAAACTAAGAATGAAAACCAGACTTTACAACCACTTCAAGAGGACACAAAGATATCATAGGGGCGTAAAGCGTTACCTGTGATAGGTGTCAGAAGTGGGCGTTAGCCTCATCACCTTTATCGAATAGCTATTCCACACTTGGTACAGGTGTACCGACAGATACTATTAGATAGTGGTTCAAAAGTCTAGTCTCCTTAATAAAACCTGTCTAACATCTCCTGTGTTAATAGTTCATGATATCGATCTTATGATACGCACGGACCATATACCTAACTGATGAGCTAGGCTCAAAAGGATTATATCATACGGTATACATAGTCGACGTGGAAAAGTGCCGTAGAGAATAACTCCATGTGGCAAGGCAAGATCAAGAAACCGAGAACCCAACCTAAATAATGAGCAGTGTCTTCCTTCTTCTGAAAAGAATATTCCCTGATCAAGAGCTCGGAGGGTTTATTGACATCCCCTTGGTCTCTCAAGGACTGTGAAGTGCTTTATAACGGTTGTATTCAGCATCAACTTTATCAAGAAGCCCGGGTGGTCTAGTGGTATGATTCGCGCTTAGGGCAGCAACTCCTAAGCACTCCTGCGCGAGGTCCCGCGTTCGATCCGCGGCTCGGGCCTTCTGAAATTTTTTATATATACATAATTTATCTCAACCAACCATCATCATTCATTTCGTTTTTTTTGGATCAATATTATCAATCAGTACGAGAGCAAAGCTCCAATATATTATTGGCCGAATGGAACATTAGACCGATGAATTCACAAATTATAACCACTATGGATTTGGTCCGTGGTACTTGATAAATGGAAAAACAAGGTCGATTTACGCGCGAATAATGTAGACAAGTCACTGCATATGTATGATACGAAAACATGAAATTGCCTATTCAAAGGCGTAAAACCTCATCTCTAGACCAATCGGAGCTTGTAAAGATTCTCTGAATGTTCTGTAGTATGATATAGAAAGCTAGTAGTATATTGTTATAATTCGATCGGTCAATGTTCAGCTTTACGACGTAGAGAATATTTACCACTCCGAGGTCACTTGTATGTCTATGCACGGTAAGTCAATCACGATACTTCCAAGTGAGATATGGTGCTGATGAGATGAGTGTGTAGAACCGACCCACCGTCATCCACGAGAAGAGGCTCAGAAGTAGACGTGTTCATCTGGGTTGGGTTTACCCAACCCAACTCAACCCAACTCATTTGAAATGGTTTGGGTTTGGGTCAAGCTTCTCAACCCAAAACCATATGGGTTGGGCATCGGTTCGGAGGGTACGGAGTAAACCCAAACCCAACCCAAAAACCCATTTTTTATCGTAATGTACTCCGTATATTACCTAGTGAAGTTTAGCATGAGGCAAAAATCAGGCACCAAGGCATCACAAAACCCAACCCATGAACATGTTTACTCAGAAGGAGCCTCCACAGCAGGGTAAAAGTCCAACTTCAATTCCGAGGAAGCTAAAAAGTAATGCACTTGATTAAGGTCCCTAGTGTTTATTTAGGACGACCTGTTGACAAAACATCTTGGCAAACTTTGAAGCGAAACTGCCGCACACAAACTGGACGACCGAAGTCTGCGGCCCATACTCGGAGTTTGCTTCTTGAGTCTTGAGAATGGGGAGTTTCATACCTCATGTTTTATACCAGTGGGGAAAAAGTCCCTCCCGATTGCCAACATCAATGCCGCCAATTGAGGAATAGCTAGCAGTAGTATGGATCATATCGACTAGCGAAAAACCAAATTGATTTTCAACGCGCTCGCCATATCATTATGGAGAAGCTATTGCTATATTGTTTATCGGGAGAGCCGCAGAAGAGACGGGTTGGCGCACGTGGTGAACCATCAAGTTTCAATGACTAACCGGCCAACAATCCTCCGTGAAGATTTGAGTGACGCTACCGAAAGTTCCGAAGTATGTTGTAGTCCTTGAATCGGGAATAATGATTCATTCTCCGAGTGTGGAGTGTAATAACATCACTAGACCTAATTAAGAAGTGATGAGTAATGAGGTTGATCAACCCCACAAATTCCCCCGAGATCCTGAATTCAGGCTATCTTGATTTGCTGAACTCTCACCACCCTTATCTATGTCATTTGATTGGTTCCAACTTAGAGTATTCTTTAACATCAACCTCACTAGTGAATGTTTTATATTCAAGTATTCAAGTATTCCATGTATTCCATTTATTTAAATGTGCTCTGTAGTAGGAGGTAAATCAGACAATCACAATGAGACTCTATTTTAGCTAACAGTTTCCATTAATAAGAGGCAGGAATAACGCGGGAAGAATCAATTACAGTACGTAATATAATGGAGGCTCACTGGTTCCTCCAATCAGGGTAACGTGGCTTATCAAGTTTGACAATTTGCAAATCATAATTGTGCTTCCTTTGAGGAATTCTGTTACGAGACGAAAACCATTGATCGTCTTGGAACTATGTCTTTATACTCGATGTCATTACCCTTCTTTAATTCTTCACTTACTCAATGACGGAGAGATCTATTCGGTATCTCATCTTGCTTCAGTCTTTAGCAGGAGCCTAATTTATCTTCATTTCTCATTTCATTTTTCATTTTTCATTCCGTTCCGTTTACTTTTCTTATATCTTATACTTCATACTTGCTAGTCTCGGAGATAATCCTCAGATACCCTGATAAGCATATCTCGTGCGTTCCTCTTCCTATCTATTCCTTGCCAGATCCGCCCTTTGAACGAATGACCGCTAACTATGGCTGCCACTTACAGTAGGAGCGTGGAGGTGTCAAATCGTAGACGCCCCTTGACCCAACTAGTCGGCGATATTTACGAATTGCAATCCATTATTATTTTTACACTATCTCCCTCTCTCTCGATTGCCTATCTCTGTCATGGCTACCGTTATCACGATCCAGCCCTCCGGTCCCGTTACCTCACCGGCCTATACTCAATCCCATTCCCCATCAGACCAACTCCTGGCCCAGTCGACATCCACTCCTAATCTCTCTCCATCCCCTATCTCCGTCAATTCCACTCTTCCCCACGTTTTGCATCGGAATGAACCCAGCTGCGACGCCTGTCTACGTAGAAAGAGCCGTTGCGCTATGAAGGAATCTGTCAATAAATGTTACTCGTGTGACTTCCACCGCCAGGATTGCACATTTACAGGCTACGAGGTAGCGGAAAAGAAGAGGAAACTGGAAGATTCACAGGATGTGGATTCTGTAAAACGGTTAGTTTAGACTTTTAGCATTGGTACGTTGGCATACTGACCCTTGCCCTAGTCCCTACATTGCACCCTCCTATCCCATTCCTGAAAACCATATCACTCGACCAAAACAGACCAGTGCTATGATCCGTCCAGGTTTCTTTAATCAAACCACCCAGAATATTGGTCTGACCACCGAACTGGAACCAAAACTACTAGAATATCTGCCATTGGACGAATACGACGAATGTACAGTATCGAACTCCCGCATCCGAAAGTGCGCAGACGACGATTTCAGTTTTATGCGTGTTATGGATACCGTATCGATCGGAGACTCGCACGCAATGTCACTGGATGCTATCGAGAGCCTGGTTGCTCCATATGGCTCCACTTTGATCGAGAAGTTCTTTGAGCACGTGCACCCTTCCTTTCCTATATTGATGGAAGATGCTTTCCGTCAGTCATATCGCGAACGTCGTCAACTATTACCTATGCTTTTGGCTGCTGTGTATCTGTTGACCTTGAAGTTTGTGGATTTTAGCACCACTTCGCAGACCGCTAGACGACCAGATGCTGCCCGCTTGGAGAGTTTGGCGCTGAAATTGCTCATTGAATCTCTTCCCTTCCCCAGCATCTCCACCATTCAAGCCGGTTTGTTGTTGACGCAAAAGTCGACACTGGCAACCGCATCGCTGAATGGTCAATTAGTCACGGCTGGCTTTGAACTTGGTCTACATCAGGATTGTACCAACTGGCGGATGAAGACTTGGGAAAAGGGTCTGCGGAAACGTCTGGCCTGGGCTTTGTATCTACAGGACAAGTGGTCTTCGCTTGTTCATGGTCGCCCTTCACATATATTTGCATTTAATTGGACCGTAAAGGACCTCGTGGAACAGGACTTCTCGAACGCCTTCGCGTCTGGCACCGACTCTTCTCATGACGATGAAACTGTTGGTCATGGCCCCCTTCTCTTCTGCCACATGGTGGCTCTAACGACCATTCTGTCGGATATTCTGGACCGCTTTTACACATTACGAGCCATTGAAGACTTTGCCGCTGCTGGAAACCAGCGAACACGCTTGATACTGGAAAAGGCCAAACCAGCACAGATCTGCCTGAAGGAGTGGTTCTCATCCCTGCCAGCATCGCTCAAAATGGAGTCCTCAAACGACGATCTGATCGAGACCATCACCGACGAAAATGCCCGCAACGGTGCCCTCCACCTCGCTTATTTCGCCACCGAGATCACCCTGCACCGATGCATCGTCCGCTCTCTCGCTACAGACGGAACAGACTCGTACCTCGGTCACATCTGTCGATCAGCAGCGAAGACCCGCCTAATCTCCGCTATGGATTTTGTCAACAGACTCCGACCTGTACATTTACGATCCTTTTGGCCCGCGTCCGCCCGCACCAACTTCTCACTGATCGGCTCATTTGGCATGCTGCTGCGCATCTCTGCACCAACAAACGAAGAAGCTGAGTTCTACCGTATCCGACTCTGCGAATACCGCTGGACTCTAGGTGTTAGCCACAAGAATGCTGAGTTCATGGGCTTTGCCTTGGAAAGTCTGGACAACGCCACAACCCTCAACCAACACGTTCCCCAGAAACCAGGTATCGAGGAGTTAATGGCAACAGCAGCCAAACAGCCCGTCTCCCGTCTCCCAACCACAACTGCAGCCTCCTACGAGGAGGTCATGGGTGATGTAGTTGGCGTCATTGCCGGAATATCCGCTTCGTCTTCTGTCATCTCTGGCCTAGCTTCTCCAGCCACGTCGATGAGTGAAATGGACGAGAATGATACACCAGCCCTTATCTAATACATCTCTTTCCCCATTCCTCCCATCATATCTATCCTCCCTTCAGCCCCTTTGATTCCCCCCTTATTCTTCCTCATTTTTATCTTCTGATGTGCTGCATGACACTTCTGCATGGCGTTTTCATGGAGTGGAATAGCTCCCAAAATTTGTTTGAAGCGCATGATTCTGTTGGTGTTTTTTTCTATTTTATTATTTTTATGTACAGGACCGGTCTGGAGACCGCGTATGAATGATGAATATCTAAGTTACCTTTTTCAATCAAGCACATCTTGAACCTTCGAATGTCGTTCGTTCGTTTCAATGATCATTCTCTGAATCTTTCTTTTACGTATCCTGCCGTTGGTCTATAATGGCACGTGTACCTGGCTCTTGATAGGGATTGAGATGGACGACTGAAAACAACTGGTACCATTCAAAGGTATTTAACAGTGTAATAGGGTGCGGTCAGGTTATCAATAAGGACAATCATGAGAATGCTAACCTGAATACGGTTAGCGTGGGCTTTGTAAATCTCATGATCTAGGTGGATATTGGGAGATGATATCTTAAAGTATTCCTATTCAGCAGTATCTAGGTAGGCATGGATTACAAGTTAAATCATCTGTAATCGGATTCAATAAGTGAAAAGCTCTAAAACTAACTCCTGCAGTGATTCAGTGGGCGGGCTTCAAGGTCTATGCCATTGAAGTAGAGGAAGCCCATCATTGGAGAAGATGATGATTCCTTAACACGACTGCACAATGACCTCTATGATGCTGGCGTTTCCCAGTACACGTTGCCCACTATTCTTCATAGGCTCGTGAATTTGGAGTAATGGTGTTTCTCTCATTCAGCTCTTTCAAAAAAAATAGATATGCTTTGCCCTGGCAACATAAAGTCGCCATTTGATTGGTTTCTTACCTACACAACTTATCTCCGTATCGCGTGCTGATGATTTCCCCTCACGATAACTGTAACATTCGAATGTTGCTGATCTCCTTTTGATTCCACCGCTATCACGAATTCAATTACCCCAAGAACTATTTTTGTTACTAATATTGAGCCTGTAATCGATTCGAGAGCCTCGAAGTGGTTGCCAACGGAATTGTACTGGCGAAATCGAGTTAAGCCGATTGAATTTCATGATCGCTTCGCTCTTTTTTGTAAAGATCTAGAAAAAGTCGCTGCGGCCACCATCACCCACCCCAATGCTGAAATTTATTCTAATCCTTCTCGTGGGTACAACCCATGTTGCCAGAGCGGCTGACGCGCAAGTGGTTTTCGCTCCTGCGTCCAAGACTCCGAGTGCGCACGAGCACAAAGTTGACGAGGCCATTACTGCAGCTTTGAAAGCGCATTCGGATCCAGTCGCGGCACTTGTCTCTTTGAAACCTGAAACCGAATTGCTCCTTACTCAACCGCGTCTCTTGCATGTCCTGGGCGATGACTCCAAGGCACAATGGATGACAGAAGGAGACAAGCTGCGCCTCCGTAGACACGGAAAGAAGTTCTTAGACATTACCGATCATGAAGAGTTCTATGCTGAGCAGGTACATGACTTGACGGCTGGCAAGCCTCGTGGGTTTCCTCTATCTGTGTGATCCTCGATCAACTTATGTTTGACTGACCATGAGTACTAGACCTCCCCGACCTGGTCCATGAAAGCCTTATCCGGCCTCTCTTCCCAAAGATTGACCAACAGCGTATGGCTGATGTTCTCTACCACATGACTGGGTACTACAACCGGTACTATGGAGATATCCATGGCGAATTGAGCTCCGAATGGCTTCATGAGCACATTGCTGAGGTATCTCACCTCAACACCTGCCTGAATACAGGATGAACTGACGCGGATTGAAAACCAAGATTATCGCCAAATCTCCATTCCGTACCCATATCTCGCTCGAGTATTTCACCCATCCCTTCCCTCAGTCATCGATCATTGCTCGGTTCGAACCCAAGGTCCGCAATGCTTCTGCCCCATTGACCATCATCGGTGCACACCAGGACTCAGCCAACTATCTCTTCCCCCTCCTGCCAGCCCCTGGTGCGGATGACGACTGCTCGGGTACGGTGAGTATCCTGGAGGCCTTCCATCTTTTGGCCGAGAGTGGATACACGCCTAAGAATGGCCCTGTCGAGTTCCACTGGTATGCAGCCGAAGAGGGTGGTTTATTGGGCAGCCAGCGTATTGCCCGCTACAAGAAGGAGCAAGGCACGCGAATCGGTGCGATGATGGAATTTGTAAGTTGTGCTGTGGAACTCGCTCACCAGCCTGCAAGTAGTATTTGTTAATGCGAATATTTCTTCACGTACAGGACATGACAGCCTTTGTTGCCCGCAACGCGACCGAGACTATCGGATTTATATCGACCCAGGCTGACGCGGCTCTTACCAACTGGACCGTGAGTTTGAGCGAGAAGTACATCTCAATTCCCGCGGAGATATATGATCTCGGACCGTAGGTTGACCTTTCTTCTTTTTTGGCTTGGGGGTTCCGAATATTGACAGAATAAGGTCCGCTGGCTCCGATTACATGTCATATACCCTACTCAACTACCCGGCTGCTATTGCCTCGGAAGGAAATCCCTTAGCGGGGGGCAATTTCCCTGGTGAGTATGATCCCTATATTCACGGGAGTCGCGACACCATGTGGGTGAATGATGAAACGGGCTATTTCTCTATTGATGTAAGTCATCTTCCACTTGTGGATTGGGAATAAACTATTGACGTTCAGCGACAGCACATGGCACGATTCACCGAACTAGCGATTGCATTTGTGGTGGAACAGGCTGGTTGGAACAATGGATGGCGGTAAATCAAATCAGGGCCCAAGATATGTACAGCATAGAGGTCAAGCCCCAATGGGTTGTCGCTTGGAATAAATTTGGAGCCCCCACTATCTAAAGACCATAGATTCTGCTATATGGGGGTCCCGCTATGGATAGTGTGAATAGTGTATTCTACTTGGAAGGGAAGTGTTGAATATCAAGAAATTTCAGTATTTGTGTTTTGACAGAGATTCAATCTTAGGCGACTGGCCCCTAAGAAGCTTATAACTGTAAAAAACTGAAGACTATAAGTTTTGCCTCTATACTGGAGGAGACTGGCTTTTCTTGGGATCTGCATTTCGGTGTATAAAGCAATGAGTACTAAAAATCTCAGCGGGCTCACCCGTCCTTATTCAACCCCATCTGTTTCACCATATTCTCAATACTGCTCACCTGAATCCTTACCATAAGGTTTTGTTGCTGCTTTTGGGCGAAGTGAGTGCTAAGAACTTCCCTGGTTTTGGCCGCGTTATATACCAAGTGGGCTTAAGTACGACTGAACGGACGAGAAACCCTGTTGCCACACCCTTTGTTCGAATGTATTGGGATACTTCAGGAGAGAAATTGTATAGATCAAAATGTGGGCAGGTATACTAATTATTACTACTGCTAGTTAAATATATACATACCTAAGATATTAGAAAACGTTAAATCATCTTAATATTAGACTAAAGCTGGTACTAACAACACACTAGAAGAACTGTCGTATGATGCAGGCACAACATTGATCACGACCGTGCGCACATGAAACTAATATCTCTCCAATTCCTCCTTAGTCCAATTCCACAGCCTCTCAGAAAGTACATCATTCTTCTTGTTGCCACCTAGCTTATGATCAGCCAACTTACCCACAGGTTCATACCAGTGGCCATTCTCTATATCTTCCCGAGGAACCGTAGCTGCCCAAATTTGGGTATATGCACCATGCTCTGGCGCAAGAAGCTTCCCACCCGCCAGCATATAGAGAAAGACCCTGTTGAAAACGCCACAATTGCCAACTAGATCTGTACCCACGATGCCGGGGTGGATAGACACCGACAGAATGCTAGGGTATCGACGGGCTAGCTCGCGTGCATAGAGAGCAACAGCCAGCTTACTCTGTCCATACCTCTGCCAAGAACCTCCAACAGCAAAAGATTGGACTGTTTTAAGGTCGCTAAAGATGATACCACCCCGTGGGTGCATCTTCAGCGCTTCGGAGGTAAGGAGCAAAATGCGAACATCGCCAACTTCCTTTGCTGTTTTCTGTAGCAATGGAAGGAACTTTTTGATCAGGAGTGCGTGGCCCACGTAGTTTGTGCCAAACTGCACTTCGTAACCGTCGGATGTAAGACCGGGTGGCGTGGCCATGATGCCGGCATTACACATGAGAATGTCGAGTCGTGGGACTTGAGAAATGAATCGCTCGGCTGCTTCTTTGACGGATGAAAGGGATGCCAGATCACATTTAATGAATGAAACCTCTGTTTTGGTCCCGGTTTCCTTGATCTGTTCGATGACTTTCTCTGCGCCTTTCTCATTACGTCCACTGATGTAGATATGGGCGGCATCGTGTCTTGCCAGCTGTAAAGCTGATTGTGCTCCCAGGCCATTTGTTCCTATTCATGCTGTTAGTTCTCTATGTTGGCGGTATTCATGGATGATTAGTTTAAATTACCTCCGGTGATAAAGATAACCTTTCCAGCAAGATTTGGGATCTGGTTAGGGCTGAAGTTACGATTACACATCATGCCGGTGCACTGAATCAATGACTGAGTTTTCATCTGCATAAAAGAATGATTCCAAGAATTCCAAATATGGGAATAGGATTATTTATGCTATGAGCGAATATTATCATATGATAATACTCGCTGTATTTCGGATGAACTTCAACGTTCCCTGCGGTGGAGGTGTTGCGACGGCGGGACGGGCCGACGGCTTATTACCAGCGGAGAGGAACCTTTTCATCCAAATCAAACATGCTAATGAATTGCAAAAGTTTGTTACCTCGTGTAGTAGGGAGCCCTATGCAGCAATACGTAGTATTCAGGAAAGCGTTCTGCGTTGCAAAGGCGAGTTATACCATTTATCTAGAAGTTGTGATACTTACAGAATGGACACCTTTACACACCTCTTCACTTTTTGACTCCCTACTTTCATTGAGCTTTCTTTTGTGGTTTTGGTTGGTTTTCTTGGCTGAATCGACCTGCACGTCCCTTGCTGCCTAGAGCGTTCCCCGTTTCACTCGATAGCTCGGCGAATGTTGCTTTTGTAGTGGATATTTTATTTTTGCCAGAATCCAGTCAGATTAAGCTTCCTTCTACTGGTGGTATGCGGTAGAAGCCCTGCCGTATCTGATAGGAAAAGGCGCCAACCTCGAGCTTCGGGAGAACCATGGAAGACCCCGTTGCAAGTTGCATTAGACTCGTCAGGTTTTAGAGAATTCTGGAGAGAAGTTGTCGACCTCTTGATTGACAGAGGAGCTGATGTGAATTCTGCGGATGATGGGGGTAAGACTTGTTTATCGAGGTTGTCAATCAAACAACTCATAGCTTATAGCGCTGTCAGCGCAGCGGCTGTCTTTCGTGTTATTGCGCCGATGCAACCTGAAACCTTAGAAGTTCTTCTGTCTCATGATGATACTTCTAATATGCGCAAACCAAGGCCTCCAACAAGTTGAAAAGGCAGCCAATCGAGGACTCCGAGATGTCTACATTGCTATATGTCAGGATAGTGACCCTAATACAAGCCTGAATTTCAAGGCCATGAAATGCGCGTGATGGAGCGACTTCTTAGCCATGGTGCAAACCTGTATTCCACTTTTTCCAAGCACATTCAAGTTTCAGGAGACATGCTAAATGATGAAGAAGCGGAGGAAAGATGGATAACACGAAGCACCACTGGTTCCCATGAGATTATGTCTAGGTCGCTCTGTGCCAAACCGATATTCGGCCTTCCATCGTTGGATTTGGAGGCCCGTGACGCAGATTATTGCACCTTACTTTTAGCTGCATCTAAAAGCTACTCGATCAATCAGACCACAGTTGAAAGCCGGCAATATCAAAAAGCTATAAAGAATGCATTACATGACCTTATCGATAGTGGGACCAATGTGACGGCAAAAGGAAGAACAATTCCTCATCATCTCAAAAGCCCATACACTGAAGCTATTCAAGATATCTTTGTAAGAACCCTGACATTGCTCCTCAGTGAGAAAGCTGTTGAAGCACCCCTACACTACGTGGTTTGTTCGCATACGTCGAAATTCTTCTAGTAAATGGGTCTAATTTTCTCAAGCGGGATTCAAACGGGGACACAAATCTTCATTCACTGGCTGGCATCAATGTGAATCTGTTGATTGGTGGTGAGGGGGCTAGAGGGCTTTGACAGATTGTTTTATATTCTTGGTGTAGCTGGGTCTCAATCCAATGGCTGAGGATGCGCAGCTGCACATAATTTTGGATGCTGCAGCTGCTTGTTGCAAGGAGCATATCTTGCAGGTCTTTGAACGCAAGCCAATGGAGTAGTTCAGAATGCTTTTTGAGCTAACTATAGCTCCTCTATGTACCTGATTTGTTCTTTCTAATATAAACTCCAGTGGCGAAGGCTACGCAATTGACATTATGGCTATTATATTCCACTTCCTATTAAACATGTAACGAAATAATGTCAATGAGACAGCTGGAAAAGCCCACTCTTTGTTTAAATCACTATTGCAAAAGGTATAATAACACCATGCCCAATAACATATTCATCAGTTCCATGCATATTTCTTGCCAAATATCGAGGACTCTGAGACGGAGATTGTATATTCAGCTTAACAGTTCCATACCGAGAGTCTGAATGCAATCATTCTGTCACATTCAAATAACGCGGAAAATGCCCTTTTTGCCCTGTCGAGTCTTCTTAGTAGTGTATCTGATTTGAGAAACCCAATGGGAATGGATGGATTCGAGGTAGTAAGATTTGAGGAGTGCCTGGAAAATGTAAATATTCACGTATATTTTCACATGGTAGATTTCTTTGGTGTGATTTGAGCCAGTTGCATGCTAGTAGTGCCTGCCTTATCTACTTAAGTCTGTTTATTCCCTTCTACCTCCCTCTCCTCTTCAACCATCTATTCCATCCCCCATTTTCTACTCTTGAACTTTTCATCTCTACAAGGCTATCGAATGGTAAGTCCAGGTGTTGCCTTCTAATATAATCTACCAATCTTCCTGTCAAATTTGATTGACTGCCACAAGACTTGTCAATTTCGACTGACTGAAGAAATAGGTATTCTGTTTACAATGCCGCCTCCATGGGCACGCTGTGGAGCAGTGCCCCCAGGCCAATCTCAATCTGTTCTATCTTAGGAACGTCTTGATTCAACCTGGTACCCAGGACTCTTCTCTTGGACAGCTGACTGCTTTCTATATCCGAAATGTGATGATCCAGCCCGGTGGGCGACACCCTCCGCGCCCCAGACGACGTCGCGTTGATCGTGCTCGACAGACCGCAGCTACAGAATTTGGTACCACCACTGTTACTCCTGCTCCTGTTTCTCAGAATTCTCCAGGTTCTTATAACATCTCAATCGATGCTACTCCTGCCAGTTTCTCCCGGACTTCTGCTGCTCTTGGTGGTGGTGGAAGCTTTGGAGCTATCCAAGCTGGCGGTTCAGTTGGACGTAGAAGCCGGGAAGCTCCCTACCGTCCCCGCCGTCCTACTCACCGTCGTCGTCGCCGTAGTGATCGTGAACTCCGTGGACGCCTTGATTATCGTCGTGACCTTGGACGTCGTGGAGGCCTTGGAGCTCCCTACAGTGGCCGTGGAGGCCTTGGTGATCGCAGCGGTGCTCCAGTCGCTGGCACTGGTGCTGGCGCTGGCCAGAGTGGTGAGCTATCCTGATTATTCTTTTGCCAAAATAGTACTAATGTAATATATAAATAGGACCCTCTTCCCCAGCGGCCGCAACCCCCCATAACGAGGCGAACCTGAATTAGGGTGGCAAGAGCCATTTGTGTATTTTTATCAGATGCCAAGTTGTGAGGGTGGCCAGAAGAGCTGTTTCTTCATTGTTCCCTTACAGTTATCGCCAGATGGGTTGACATTCAATATTCAATGTCATAGAATAGCAGAATATGACCTTTCGTGGTACTCATGTACACCACGTCTTTCAACCGAATAGACTTGAGTCTTCCGATATATATGGCCTGGCAATTGCAGGTAGCTCTGAAGAAAAGGCGTGATGTCTGGTCTATATCTTTTGGGAAGCCTGTGAGTATACTCTGAATATCCTTGCCATGAACCATGGACTTGTACAGCGTTTGCATGATTTCCATTCTCTGGGTTAAAAGCTTCGACTTTAATAGCCTTGATGACTTCACTTATGGCTGTATTGAGCCATCGGCCTGATCTTCTGATGATCAGTCAGTTGGAATTAGTTGTGCTTGTCTACCTACTTTGCGATCTCTCTTTTGGTGGCTACACTACAAATAGAGGAATAACTCAAGAGCCAGTGTTTCCTCGATTATTCCTATAATGAGTCGTTTTCTCATATATTCAAATATTGAATGGAGATGAGAAGACAATTGGACCCGAAGATGGTTTTGTTCAAGATCAGATGAAAGGACCTTTTTCCGAGGCGCGAGGAGACTTTCAACTTCAAAATAGCAATTTATCAATAGAACAGGAGACGAGGACTTCCATTCCTGAAATATTTCAAAAAAGTGACTCCGAGAGATATACTCCACGACCTAAGTCACTTGCTTAAACAAAAGTCCTAATACTGGCGATTGGCGAAAATTTGATATCCCAGCTTCTGACTTCCAAATAACATATTAATGACTGGATCAACTGTCCATTAATATCATGATACAACTCCGGCGTAAAATTCCATTTTCCATAAATGATTTTGAAAAGTAAATATAGAATACAATGCACACAAAGGATTATCGAAAGTCCATTTAGTATCTGTACATGATATGCTGCCTCGGCAAGACAGTTCACAGCCCTCGGCTTGATATATGGGAGGCGCTTTTTGACTATTCGTCACTCTCATTATGACCGAGCCTCAACTTGAGGGGTGTCCTCTGCATCCTCAGTCACTACCGCGCCCTCCTCCAACAACTCCTCGGGAGACTTCACCCGCACTTCCATTACCCGCATGATTGTATAACGGTGTTTGCTCCGGGCCTGTTTTGTGTGTCTCTGTCTCCGCTTGGTCTTCTCCTTGATGCGCAGGGGCTCTGATTCGGTACCGATCACTCGGACCCGGCACTCGAATAGGCGCTCATCAATGTGAGATGCGCCCTTGAGAGTAAAATCACGGGATCCGAGAGCGGTAGCCCGATTGAGCCGCAAGATATCTCCGGTCTTAACCTTGGGCATAAGGAATGGCAAGCGAAGATGATCACCTTCCGTCAAAAGGTAAGGCCGGGCGTGCAGCTCAGCGACAACATAATGTGGTGTCTGGCCGACGAGGTGGGGAAGTTGCGACATGAGAGACTTAGTCACTTGAATGGGAGAGTCAAATGTAGGCGCAACGGGTTGCTTGGAAATTGGGATGTCGTCTGTTTGAGTAATGTTGTTAAAGATGGTTGAGTCGTATGAGAGCGCCTTGGCCGCGTCAGAGGTTTGTGCTTGCGATGTAGCATTCAATGGTGTCTCTGAGATTGGTAAAGGTGATTGAGTCTGAGATTCTTGGAGCGGTGTCCGAAGGAAAGCAGTTTGGTGCAGGCAGGCTCGTTGCGGAAGGGGAGCTGCAGACGAAATTGACGGAGCAGTCCATCGGAGGTCGGAGACGAGACTCCGCAATACGGAGCGTGAGAACATGGTGGATTAATCCTCCTTGTTGACCGAGAGCAATTGGAGGAATGAAAGGGTGCCTTGATGCTTGAGATGCAGAAGCGGTTCTATGTTTCTTCGAGAAAATCCGCTTGTGGCCGCTTTGTCACCCGTAGGTTCACGTGACCAAAAACGCATTAGAGCGTTCGAGGATTGCAAGCCAAGAATTTGGGCATTAGGAAAAAAAGAATCATTCAAAGCATAGAGATTTTCAGATTTGAACAAAGAGGAGAATCTTTATCAAAATTACACCCTATTCTGTAGGAATTTCAACCTATCACTTCTCTAGAATCGCCCGACTCGATCTAGTTGATAAGAGGGTCACGTGAATCGCTATCTTTGCCGCAGAAACAACTTTTTTCACTGCGATTAGATCTGCAGACAAACCCCGTCTCTATCATCTCACCCTCTACACTCTTTGTGTAGTTAATAATCATGGTAAGTCTTCAAATTCCAAATTGAAAATCCCAGTTGCTGCAATATATCAGACTTACTAACAGATTTCTCCGCCTACAGCCTCAGAACGAGTATGCTTCTCCCCGCCAACCACTCTGGTGAAATCTTCGATCCACGAAAAACTGACATTCACCCCAACCAGGTACATCGAGCGCTGGCAGAAGCAGCACGGTAAGCGGCTGGACCACGATGAGCGAGTCCGCAAGCGCCAGGCCCGTGAGGGACACAAGGCATCCTACGATGCTCAGAACCTGCGCGGTCTGAGGGCCAAGCTGTACCAGCAGAAGCGACACAAGGAGAAGATCCAGATGAAGAAGCGTATCAAGGAGCAGGAAGAGAAGAACGTCAAGTCTGCCGCTCCCGACGAGCCATCCAAGACCCCTCTGCCCCAGTACTTGCTCGACCGATCCCAGGCCACCAACGCCAAGGCCTTGTCAAGTGCTATTAAGGATAAGCGTAAAGAGAAGGCGGCCAAATTCGCCGTTCCCTTGCCTAAAGTTAAGGGTATTAGTGAAGAGGAGATGTTCAAGGTGGTCAACACCGGAAAGAAGACTCACCAGAAGTCCTGGAAGCGAATGATCACCAAGCCTACTTTCGTCGGTGGTGATTTCACTCGTCGCCCCGTCAAATACGAGCGATTTATTCGTCCCATGGGTTTACGTTACAAGAAGGCCAATGTCACCCAGTATGCTTACCTCTACCTTTTTTCTGCGTCAAGTGAACGGGAAACTAACATACATACCTTTTCTAGCCCTGAACTTGGTGTCACTGTCCAACTGCCCATCCTTTCCGTCAAGAAGAACCCCCAGAACCCCCTATATACTCAGCTGGGTGTTTTGACCAAGGGTACCATCATGGAAGTGAACGTATCCGAGTTGGGTCTTGTCACCACAACCGGTAAGGTTGTTTGGGGTAAATGGGCCCAGATTACAAATGTGTAAGTTGTCCCTCAAATTCTTCAATAAACCATTCGAGGTTCTGACAACTTTCAAAGTCCCGAGAATGACGGATGTGTCAATGCCGTTCTGCTCGTTTAGAATCATTACACGCCATTCCTCTGTTCATCGCCCCTCTGTCAGACAACATGTCTGTCTTCGATACCACCGTGTCCCGGACACAACTGTGAATGTCTTTCTCGGGGTTCTTTTGGTCAATTTAGACCTAGTTATTCCTTCGGTGTTCCTGGCGCATTTTCATGTTCAAGTGTTTGGTTTTCAGGTGAAAAAGTATCCCAAGTTTAGGCCCCTTGAAGGGCATAGTTAAAAGATATTACATAAATGCATATCAACCATGACTCAAAGAAAAAGATCTTCTTGTTTTTGAAAATGTACAAGGCTGTAAAATCTGAGATATAACAAGGAGTCCTTGTGTGTTATGAGACGAATTGATCATTCAAAAATTGATATTTAACCAAACTAAACCTAAAGCCAAGTCCAAGAAGCTTTAAGAGTCCTCTTTTAATTCATTGCGATGAAATATCAATATCATCATGTTCAAGTCATATACAGAATAAAAATCCACCTCCTGGTAAGCAGAAGTGGCCAATTGCCCATTTGGAGCAAGGATAAGAATGAAAGAGTAAAGAAAAGTGATTAGATCAGACAGATCAACCACCAGTGCGTCCAAAAAAGAATAAAGAAAAGATATAAAAAGAAAGAAAGTCCATCCAACACCAACCAACCAGTCATCAATTCATTCTTACAGGAAATAAAGGGTTCAAACAAAATGGAAACTAAAGTAGTAAAGACCGGACAGGAATGTTAGGAATTTTCTTCTTCCAATGCGGCTTTGATTTTGGCAAAGAATCCAGCAGGCCAAGCCGTCAGCTCTTCTTCCTTTGGAATACCGCGGACCTTGCAGTGGTGGATAACGTTGGCAAGGATGCGACCGAGCATATCTTGTGTGACAGGAACGGCGCCCTCGAGCTGGGCATCAGGGTGCAGGAAGGGATCTCTTGGGCCGAGCATTTCTTCAATGGTTGGACGAAGAGTCTGGTCACGCTGAAGGCAACGTTTCAAGGTCCGGATCAACCCAGGAGGGACAGGGAATCCGCCGACACCAAAGGCTGGGAAGTCGATCTGCACGCGGGGGTTGGGGATTGCCATAATTCGTTCGTAATATTTGGCGATTTTTGCAAATGGAGGTTGGCCATACACCATTTTATACAATATGCAGCCCAAACTCCACACATCGCTGGGCTTACCCAGCTTCATAACTTTACCAACACTGGACGGCAGGCCAAGTGAGGCATTCGAGTCGACCAGAGCTTCAGGAGACATGTAGTTGGGGGTTCCAACTTGTTGTTCTCGATGAACATTGACAGTATTATCTTGGATCGCATTCGCGATTCCAAAGTCGATCAGCTTCAGCCGCCCTTGAACCATGAGGAAGTTGGCAGGTTTCAAATCAGAGTGTACAATATTGAAGTTGTGTACAGCTTGAACACACTCAAGCATCTCCTTCCAATAAAAGCGAGTGAAGTTGATATCAAAGATAGCGTCTTCGGCGTTGAGACGGTATGTGAGTATTTTCTCCAGATCAGACTCGCCAATCTCCATGAGAACACTCAGGCAGTGTTTTTCCATGTTGAGCTCCCAATCAAACAGTCGCACCACGCGGTCGACATTTTCAAGCTTTTTCAAAAGATCAATTTCACCTTTATAGCCAGCCAATGTTACTGGGTCCACGTCTTCCAAATTCACTCGCTTGAGGGCAAAGATCTTGTAGTTTTCTGCCATGACGCGATAAACACGGGAGCTGCCACCACGGCCGATGCAATCAAGGCGGGTAAAATGTTTGTGATTGATGGTGACTTGTGTTCGCTTCTTGCGGGACTGCGAGGTTGATGCGCCAGCAGTTGCAGTGGCAGTTTCAAGAACGGACATTTTCGGTGGTGGAGGAGCTGGCCTATGAGGCGTGTTATTACTTCGAGCCGCAAGAGCCTTTCGTGAAGTCCCTGACGGAGTCTCTACGGGTTCATTTTTGTGAGTATCGTACATGGATGACATCTTCTCGGGCTTATCCAAGAAATTCAACGCTTGTGGCTTAGTTCGCCTGGATGTTGATGGCAGGTCATTTTCTTGGTCTTTGGCTGACGGTAGCGATGGTATAGATGGCACCTTGAATAGCGGTTGTTCTCTTGCACTTGATGGCCGTGGAGAATGTTCTGAGGAGGCGGGTGTTGATTTGGATTGGGATCCGTATGATTTTGGAGATGAAGAGCGTGAAAACAGACCTTCGCCCCTAGAACTTCTTGCGGCTTGATCGTACCGGCGGGATTCTTTCTCCTGCACCGGACTGGGGTCTGCCCACGATACCTTATATGTAGAAGGTTTTGACAATCCATGAGGTTGATAGTCAATGTTTCCATCTTCACCTTCCCCATCCACGTTGTCTCTACCCTCGTGGAGAAAGTCCTCTTCGTTATTTTCCTCACTCTGTCTGCGCAGGACCCCCCTCCGAGCAGGTCCATTCAAAAATGTGCCAGTGAGTCGTCCAACGCGCTTGATTCGCAGCGAGCTTTGGGGGCCAAAGTCATCCCCGTTTCGACCTCGTAAAACGGAGGATGTGCCAATTCGAGACGCTGGGTCGTCTTCGTAATGCAATTTGTGATCACTACCAGATCGGTCGCCGCTCCCGTACTCATCTCCAGAGTTCCGCTCAGACGACCGCTTTGCAGAGGGCGAGACTGAAGCTGGTGGCGATCGTGAATGGCTATGCGACGTGCTGATCCGAACACTTCGGGGCCGGGGGGCAGGGGTAATAAAGTCATTAGGGCGATCCTGGGGCTCGTATTCGGCACTCTGGCTGTTGGAGAGTGGGGAAGACTCGCGCGAGGACCTTGAGTTGGATGATAGCGCTCCAATTCGGACGACTCGTGGCGCAGGGCTGCCACTAGAGCTGTCATGTGGCGACGAATTGCGCGGCGATTGGCTCTGTCTTCTGAATCCGGCCGCAGCTCGTCTCTCATATGCGGCATGTCCCCTCTGAAGATGAGACGAAGAACCCAGACCGTCGCCATCCAAAAGCGCTTTTACTGATGCACTAAACTTGGGCTCTGGTACTTCATCATCAGAGCTGTCACCAGGAGAATAGTGTCGGGAGGTTGATATTTTGGAATCTGCTTGTTGGAAGATTGGGGAAGCCCGTCTGGAACCCGAACGTGAAACCGCAGATCGGGACATTGGTCGCGAATGCTGGTTAAGATGACTGTGGTAGGCTGGATAAATCGTATTCGGGGATGCCATGTCGATTGGTGCACTACATTGAAGCTGAGGATCAATGAGGCCCTTGGCAACTCGATGTTGTCGAACTTTGTTGTTTTTAATGTGGGAAGGTCCATTGATCTGGAAGTTCCAGAGCGCGCTATATTGATCACGTGTTTTTGTCGGTTGCCACAGCAATGGCCACAACAAAGAATACCTGACCCCTTCATTAACATTTCAGTCATTCCAAGATATTATTGATGGCTCATATTTGCAATCAATAATAAACATGTATCAATCTTGGCAGATAGTTACCTTCTTGAGAGAGCTGACTACCTTCATCATTGCCTCTAGGGTTAGATCTTAGCAATACCCTTCACATATCCCTGCCTCCATAGCTCCGCATACCTAAGTATCTAAGTAGCGATTTCATTGAATTATTAGAACCAAAATGAGCGGCCGTTAAGAGACTCGACAATACCTAGGTAGTGCAGCCCTGGAGGTGCCACCTAGGCAGGGTTGGAATATTCAACAGATGGTAATTTTTGATCGCTCCGGCTATATATAATGTTTGGTATCTGCCCAGGTGGAACGAACAACCTTCGAAACCCACAATCCATCCACCTGGGCATCATGAACAGTAAAAAACCCACATGCCCAGGCGTATGAGCTCTAGTACTCTGGTAGTGCACATGGTTTACTCGGGAAGGGTTGCCCTTACTTAGGTATTATATACCCAGGTGCCCGGCATTCATCCCAACTGCAGCCATAGAAATTTATTACATCACCCGAGTAGTACCTATCTACCTACTGTAGTGGGGAGGCAGACAAGTGGCAGTGTGGCCTGACTAAGCAGGATGTGTATATAAGTAATAGTTATGTTTTAGAGATCAGACCATCAGACTTCTTCTCCTCTGAGCTCCCAAGTCTCCTTCTTCGTCTCCCACTACCCCTCCGATCCCTGCGCCCATCTGGGGAGTATCTGGTTTCGCAGACCAATGCAATACGGTGGCCCCGTTCCCCATTTCACTACATAGGTAAATGAATAAATACTTATTTAGTAGTCATTTGAAACTTGGAACCTCTTAGGGTTCATTTGTAAGTATTTTGAATGGGCATTGGCCGGGCTTTATCCATAGAGTCTACGGATAGGACGGCATCGGGAGATACTACGTAAGAGATGCATGCACAGTCTTGAAACTAATCAACTTCGATAATTTGGAACCTTGGAAGTGGTACATGGGTTCGTTTAAATGCTAGTGCCTGACACTACGTAGCCGGACCGCTACCGCCTTCGAGGTAGCTGCCCTTCACATTTACGGCAGACTACATCTTGGACTTCTATTCAATTCAACTTTTTAAACCAAATGATGTTTGAAATTATATGGGAACCAATCGATTAATGGATTAGTTTAATATGAGCTGTCAAAGTTGATTAAGACTAGATAGAGCATACCGCCAGGGCTAGGTACGAAAACTTTCTACCGACCTCGGGGTCTAAGGTTATCCAAGCCGTGTAGTATACAAGTTTCCGGAAGTTAAACAGAAAAACATTCGGAGAACCCCGGAGCTAACTAAGTCCTTACCTATGGAACCTCGACCTGGAAAGAAACATTTCAAGGTGACTCTAGGGCTTATTACAAATATGTATGAAGTAGCCCTGACATTAGGCTCACTGGTGCTGAAGATCTGGACAGATGGTCTGATTCCAGCACATCTGACCACTTTTATTTATAATCATTTGGGTACCTGAGAGAATTTCCGAGTGCTATGACGGCCTTCAAAGGTTCTAGACCTAAATATTCAAACTTTTAAACTGTCCACACTGGTTCATTGTTAGCTTCTTCGTACCTTTATCGTATAGGTACCAATAGTACCTCGGAGTACACCCACGGAGTTAAATTCTTCGAACCTTGAACGGCTCTAAGCGAACCTTAGAAGTCACGAGATCTCTAGATTGACTTTAATGATCTATTAAAAGCTACCCCCCATCATGGAGGCAGCCGCATACTCTTCCACAGCCTTGTCCGCCCAGATACCCGATTTTTCAACATTCAAGTACTATGTAAATTAGGGTTTTGAGGCTGATTCCAAGGGCCTTCAAGGTTTCTTTCTCGGTCTTCACCTACGTCGTAACTGGGCATTAGTGAACTCAAAATACAGGGCTGAATTAATACCCATGGATGGCTTTCGCTTAGCGTACTGGTATTAACGTTTTCTTCTAGACCGCCTGGAGAACTATACTGATATCGGTGAAAAAGACGGCAGGATATGAGCTCGAATTCTACTAGGTACGAATACGTCAAGGAAAGATAGTCGACAGTCATGTGGCTTCTTTGTGTCAAGCTCGGGCTAACATTCATGCATTATCTAGATGTACCAGGGTTCTGACTACTATTAGTCGTTTCAAGTTCCTTCGCAATACTGGAATAGACTTATAAGCTATTCTACTAATAACCATAAGCTATTTATGGTTGAAATGTAAAACCGGCTCTCCAATCTTTGGTCGTTTTTAATCTATTTTCTCCTACGTCGTTGCCAGATCCCAATAAATGGGAAGCTGCAGGTACAAAAACAAGGCCGGGAGTAGTAATTGGTGCGACCCACTTTAAGAGGCCCCGCATCAGCCCATTCCATTCTAGTCTTCCTGTGTGTAATCAGGGGCAACAAACAAGGCTGGAAGGTGTGCCCCCTGCGTTTATACATAAAGGCTGAAAATTTGAGTTGTATTCAATGCAGGCTAGCAGTATGTAATGGAGAGAGCACATTATGAGACCCGTATAGTGATAGGACTGGAAATAATAGACGAGCTGATAAAGTGTTCTCCGTATTTTGAAAACTCAAATGATCGACAAGAAAATCGCCGATGTGATCGAATTTTCGGATGTATAACCTAAACAAGTAGTTCCACTGAGCTTTGAGCTTTGAGCTTTGAATCTTTCAAGTTTGAGAATCAAGAATTAATGTGTATAACCAAAGATCTAAAATCCTCTGACGTGACTACAAGTGAAACAGATTCATACACTTGACAAGAAGCTCCGTTTCTTTAAATAGCCAAGTTGTTTGAATGCATTGTTGACGGGTTAGAGATTAGTACGGAGTATGATCAGTGCAGACGGGATCTTCCGTCGGATGCTGTAGAAGGATATGGAGAGAAAAAGAAAAAAACATCAAACATGGACTAAAGGAGCTGGGGTTATCCACTTGGGTTCGTACAGAATTGCAAATCAGACTCCTCGCAATTTTGACTCGAGAGGATCAAAGTTCGGAAGTCTCGGCAAAAGGCTGGTGTTTTCTATATTTTTTGAGGGGAACTGACGAAACTTCAGTGGCTGAGACATATTCAACAATGTTATGGATTGTTCATTACCCTGAGAAGCTTAGCAAAGATCCTGAAACGTGAAATGCTTTAATAGCACGTTGAAATGGCCGAGCCCTGAAACTTAGATCACCCAAAACAGGTATCACCGATTTAGGGCGAACCACTGAGAAAAGGGTCAAAGTTACTTCCAGGTTCTCCATAATTTGCGGAGAGACTATACTTGTTTCAGGTAACTAGTCCGTAATAGCACACAGTAAACAAAGAGGGGGCCACTAGAACTGTTAGAAGAGAACGGTATATTCAATCCTTTACTCCGAGTCACACTGTGCCGGAATCTGTAAAACAATAGATGTTAGATTTCGGGAAACCTGCCCCTGAGGCCAAGGAAAATACTAAGTAGACATTGGAACACGCTAATGATTAGTGTCAGGGACGGATTTCAAGCACCTCGTACGTTCGGATAGAATACCCCAAGTGGAGATCGCAGTCTGAGCTGCATGAGGGACGTCAAATATTGTTCCAAAGTTGAATAACTCTGAGTCTGTGCCTCCATGTTGATCCAAGTACGTAGTAGCATCTAGACTATTCTAAAACTAACGAATCTGAGTCTTTCGAGACTTATCTGTGGAATGTAGTTACGAAGTAAAATGCTGTAAAACAGTACTTAGTATCTCCATCGTGGAGAATAGAAGGTCCATGGAATCTCTCAACTGCAGTCTGCAGCTTTCCGTTTTATTAGTTCTTCATTTGATTTATCGCATGGTAGGGATTGCACACGAGGGGAAATATCGAGAATGACAGAACACATAAGTTACTTAGCTAATATCAGAACATCATCAATTAATGGTAATATCAAAGGCTACAGTAATGATTTATGGGTTCTATTCTTATTATAGTCCGTAAGTACTTACTGAATCTCCATATTAATTCGTACCGTAACTAGTTAACAGTTTGCGTGTTTTGATATTTTGATATTTTGATATGTCTATTTTCCCAATTGGGATCTAAACTAGAAGAAGAACAGGTCTCCACTAAAGACCCTAATTCTTTAGTTTTCAAGGATTTCAAGGATTTCAACGTTAGTTAACTGCTTTGTAAATCGGAAAAAGGGATAAACAAGTTATTTCGGGAGCCCGTCAAAGCCGTTGGTGGGTCTTGACCTACATTACCCCTGGCTATCTATCTCATGTTTGAATTGATTGTTTGTTATGTTCGTAAATGCGTACCTGCAGTGCGTGGAGTTCGTTGAATCGATTGTGTCGGTTTGCCTTCACTCCCCCCTTTTTTTTTTATATCCCCTGAACCTGTGTGTATCCGATTACCATCCAATAGTACCTATTACGCTGGGCAGTATTCAAACCAGATCTCTTAACCTAAACCTTCTCTAACAGTTTTGCCACAGATACACGGCACGATGTGGATGACGGGTGTTTCGTCTCAAATACATCGTGAGATATCACTGGTCAAGAGATCCATTTTGACTCGGCTGAAATTATGGACATGGGCTTCGGCTTCGAGACCGGGGTAGCATCTCTCCGATTAAATTAGTGCCAGTTTAGAGTGGAGAACTATTCGAATCATCAGACTGGGCCTGTAACTTTGGCCTGCACTCCCGTGGCCGATCATCAGGGGTATATAAACGTCAACATCATGGCCTCATCTAACTGTTTATCATCTTTCGTTTTCTTTTCATATTTTCACTATCTTTTGACATCAGCGGCATCTGGTCCGTTGATTGCCTTCTTTTTTATTACATTTATTATCCTTCTATATCCTTTTTCAGTATACTATCCTCTTAGCCAACGCGCTACACTCTCGTTACAAGAACGTTATTCAATATGCGTTCTACTATCGCCATTCTCGCCGGCCTGGCGGGTACTACTCTCGCTTATCCCGCCGCCGATGTTACTGTCGACCGCCGTACCAACATCTTCGGCTTGGGTGCTGAAGTCCTCCAGGGTGCTTCCGTTGATGTCGGTACCATCCTGAAGGGCGTTCTCAGCGGTGGCTCTTCTGCCTCTGTCTCGGCTTCTGCTTCCATCTTCGTTGGTCTGAGCGCTCGTGGTGCTGCTGCCTTTAACGGTGGTGCCCTTGGATGCAGTGCTGGCACTATCAGCATCAGCGATCGTCTTGTCTTGAAGTCCTGGTTGTCTAGCCAGACCCACATCACCGGAAGCCTGAAGACCTCTTTGATCGGATGGTGTGAGGGTTCCGGCTCTCTGACTCTTGAGGCCGACATTCTCGCCGCCCTCAAGGTCTATATCCCCGCCTGTGCCAGCATTGCTGCTAAGGAGTCTCTCTACGTCACCGTTGATGGTATCTTCGGTGCTAGTGCCATTGCCGGCGACTTGGTCCTCAGCGCCTCTGCCCAGGCTTCCCTTGGTGCCTGGATCGATGCTTCCGTCGGTCTTAATGCCCACGTTAAGGCTGGTCTTAGCGCCTGTGCTGCCGGCAGTGTCATTGGCAGCTTGTCTGCCGATGTTAAAGCTTCCCTTTTGGCTTGGTTGAACGGTGGTCACTGCACCCTTTCTTCTTCCCTTAAGATCTCCGTCCTTGCTTGGGTTGAGGGTCGTGCTGGCCTTAACCTCGTTTCCGTTGGCACCCTTGGTGAGAGTGCTCTCGCCGGTGTCTCCGTCGGTGCTTCCGTCGGTGCTTCCGTTGGAGAGAGCGGTGTCCTCACCGCCAGCGGCCAGGCCGCTATTACTGCTTTCCTTGATATCGATGTCTCCGCTGACATTGATGTTAACGTCCGCACTGCTCTCAAGGCTTGTGGTTCCGGTGCTCTTGCCTCCAGCCTCGATGTCGATGTCCGCACTTCCCTTGCTGTTTGGTTGTCTGGATCCAGCTGCACTCTGGGAGTCGAGCTCAAGGCTGTTGTCCTCCTCTGGTTGTCTGTCTCTGTTTCCTCCGATGTCTCCGTCGGCCTCGTCAGCGGTCTCGGCTCTCACGTTCACGGCTGGTTGACTGAGGAGATCATCGGCGAGCTTAGCATCAACCTCCGTGGTGCTCTTGGCCTCATCATCGGTGGCGAGTCCCTTTCCGTCTCCTCCTGGAGTTCTCGCTGCGAGCTTGCTGCCTTCCTTGGTGGCTCCACTAGTATCGAGATTGATGTTAGCATTCAGCTGATCATCTTTGAGTGGTTCACCGGCTGCAGCATTCCCGGTGCTCCCGCTGCCTCTGCATCCGCCACTGCCTCTCTGCCCAGCGCTACTGGCTCAATCTCTCTTCCCAGTGGCTCTGCTTCCGTTCCCAGCGGCACTTCTCCTACTGGCTCCACCCCCGGTGGCTCTGGCTCTGGCTCCGTTCCCAGCGGCTCTGGCTCTGTTCCCAGCGGCTCCTCCCCTACTGGCTCCACCCCCGGTGGCTCCGGCTCTGGCTCCGTTCCCAGCGGCTCTGCTTCCGTTCCTAGCGGCGCTTCTCCTACTGGCTCCACCCCTGGTGGCTCTGGCTCTGGCTCCGTTCCCAGCGGCTCTGCTTCCGTTCCTAGCGGCGCTTCTCCTACTGGCTCCACCCCTGGTGGCTCCGGCTCTGGCTCCGTTCCCAGCGGCTCTGCTTCCGTTCCTAGCGGCGCTTCTCCTACTGGCTCAACCCCTAGTGGCTCCGGCTCCGGCTCTGTTCCCAGCGGCGCTTCCCCTACTGGCTCCCTTCCCAGCGGCTCTGGCTCTGTTCCTAGCGGCGCCACCCCTACTGGCTCTGGCTCTGGCTCTGGCTCTGGCTCTGGCTCCGGCTCCGGCTCTGGCTCCGGCTCCGGCTCTGGCTCTGGCTCTGGCTCTGGCTCCGGCTCTGGCTCTGGCTCCGGCTCCGGCTCCGGCTCCGGCTCCGTTCCCAGTGGCTCCGGCTCCGTTCCTAGCGGCGCCTCCCCCACTGGCTCGGCCACTATTACCTACGGCAGTGCCCCTGCTCCCACTTCATCCTCCACTGTCATCGTCGGCAGCGGCAGCGTCACCACCGAGATCGTCTGGGTCACCACCACCGTCTGTGGCTGCGACTTCTAGATTCATTCTGAACCGCGTGCAATCGTTTGAAGCGACTCTCAAGTCCTTCCATCTTGTTTTTCTTTGCTCATGATCTGATACTGAACGAATCCCCGACCTGTTGTCCACAGCGGGGGTTTCAAAAACCCTCTCCCAAGTTAGCCAACGGTATCTTCGTTGGCTTTGTCCTGTTTGTAGATATTTTTTAATTGTAATTTAAATCTGCTCCAGGGAAATCGGGTCTTGCTGGGACTCCTTTGGTATTCCAGGCTTCTTGGCGAGTTTATGCTTTTTATTTTACTAGCTGCCCTTCATTCCCTTATTGGCATACATTCCTTCTTGTGCATAGTGCTGGTCATCAATTTAAGAATAAGAATTGTTTTTCAGTCTGATTTATCTCAGAAAAATTTTAACTTGTTCTCTTAGTTCTAGTCCATCTTGACTGCTGATTTTATAGTTGGCTATTTCTACTCTATTGACCTCCACAATATCCCATAGTATCCCACCAAATACATTCATTCAATCCAGAAATCCCTTTTAAGCTTTATATCGAGATTCGAGCTTCCATCTTTGATTGGACACCACAATGACACATGAGTCCCAAGCAAATGCCAAACAATATACTGCAATTGGTTCGGTGTTAATCAGCATTCCACTTTGTAGAAGTACTCACGCACACATGTAGTTAATTCATTCATTGATTTCTAATTTTCTATGAGATCTAAAATTTGACAGCAAATGTCAATCTGGAAAAGAGGGGCGTTGTGTGTACTGTTTGCAATGAGCGTGTATCTAGATACGTCAACATCTGACTGGGCAGTTCAATTTGGAGATGTCAGACTAATTCATTGGTCATTCATATTTGTTTAGTTTGTATTAACTAGTTTAACTTTCTCTTTCCTTTATGAATTCCCACCAATCAATCAGTTGAGTCAATTTATTTCGTCGGCTTATTCAGCATTTAGTTCAACAGGAGATATTGAATCACGTGAGGAGATCGCCGATCGATTTGACCCCGCGCTTCCTTGACAAACTGTAAAGGAGCTAACTTACAATCTAGTGATATACAATCTTAATCTTTCAAGAAGCTTGAAGTTAATCCAAACGTCATAATGGGTCTATTTGGGCCCCACAATCTCGAGCCTGTCGTTCAGCCTATTGCTGTATTCGACCAATTTGTCTCAACGGACCCACAGACATTAGTCCTGAGAGAAAAGGTGCTCTCAGTCACTGGAGACAGCTTCGAAGTCAAGAACGCTAGTGGTACAACGGTGCTGAAAGTGCATGGAGCTTGGATATCACTTTCTGGCCGCAAGAAGGTCGATGATGCTAATGGCAAGCACCTCTTTGATATTGTCAAGGAGCATCTGCATCTTCATGCGACTTATGCTATCGAAGATCCTCATCGCAACAAGGTTTGTGAAGTTAAGAGTAATCTTTCATGTAGGTAATCACTCCTGTCTTCATTCCAGCCCATTCTGACAGAGCAAACACTCCGTATCATACACATTACTCACTGAACTTATAGTGCTCGGCTCCAAAGCCACAGCCACTTTCACTGATCGTAACGACCATGCGTACACCTTACATATGAAAGGAGGCTGGTTCGATCATACTGCTGATATTGTCAACCAAAAAACCGGCCAGACAGTGGCTCGCATTGACCGGAAGCTACTTAGTGGTCGTGACCTTATTTTTGGCCAGCAGACATACGCTGTTGTTGTGGCACCTGGTGTGGACGCAGCGCTGATTGCCGCCTTATGTATTTGTTTTGACGAGAAGAACAACGAGGAACGCGGCGAGTAGAAAGCTTTCGCTTAGCATTCTGGTAATATATTAAAGACAAAAGAAAAGTCGCTGTGATCCAGCAGTCTTATACCAAGGTAGTGCATAATCTCTCGAAATCCCCGCACCAAGCACAATTAGATATTAAAAACATAAATGGCATCCCAAAACTTTTCACCCAAGCCAATCAAAACATCTATAGATTAGAATTAAACCACGAACCCGATACGGCCCAAATCAAACAGTAACACGGAGTACTTCCTGCAGACACAGCTGCTCAGTCGAAATCTTAGAATCATCGTCATGAATCTCAGATTTAGGATAGAAATCAATCTCACCCCCAGCCTTGATAATGCCAGTTCGATCCAGAATCGTACGAGACCGTACATAAGGGTCAAGTCTCCAATAATTCTCACGTAGTTGTCTGATAACTTTATTTCGTTGTTCATGCACAGCGTAAGTTTCCTCGCCCAAGATGGCTTCATTTGTCAAACTGAACAATTCATTTCCAAGCTCTTTTCTCTCGGCCAAGATGGTGATTCGTTCGGCTGTATTATGAAGTTTGTCGTTTTCATGCGGTAGAGGGTCTATGTATTCCCAGTCCCAGTCTTCATCGCCGCCTAGTTCTCGGAGAATATGTTCTCGGGGTATCATTGTTTCGAGTTCTTTGACGCCGCTTAAGAAGTGGATTTCGGTGACGGATGGGTTGAGGAGACCATTTATCATTTTGCCAATTCCTGTATTGAGAGAGTTGTTTAATCTTTGAATTGGGAAATTGATAGATTGGTAGAAGAGTAAGCCTACCACTGAAGAACCAGGGTGCATTGTAGAAGATCATTGCGCCCAAGCTTTCGGGATAATTCTTTTTGCAAGTTTCGATGAGAAATTTAGCGGTATTGGGATCCTTCATTGTATGATTTAGCTTAGTTATCCAGTGGACAGACGTAATATTTAGCTTACCCAATTTGAAAGACTAAATAAGGTCAAGTCGAAGATGACAGTCTAGACTCAAGTTAGATTGGAAACAAAAGTACCGATAAACATGATACGTACCATTGTCTCCACAGGTTCAACCATAAGAATATGCACCGTCTCCATGCACTGAATACAATAGTCACGCAAAGCTTTTTGATTCGACATATCTGAATTATGATTCTCGGCCCAAATTATGAAGATAGGACGACCGCGTCTATCAACACCGTGGAGAGAACCTCTATTCACTTTGAGATGATGCATAAATTCCTCGCTATGCTTCTGTTCCTTGGAGTCAATCTGTTGAGCCTTTCCAAGGCGATATTCTTCACCCTTGAGTAGAATTTCATTATCTACATTATATTCATAGGTGCGCCAGTTCAGAGCCGCGATAAGCTTGATCAGAGTCTTAGGAACATCCCATTTTTCTGAACGGAGAAACCGCAAAAGAAGAGCGTCAGGGTGATCTTGTTTGAGAAGAGACAAAAACGCCGTGCGGAGCTTATCGCCTCGTATCTTGAAGAGCTGCGTGCGAACGGCTTTAATTTCATAAGTACCGGCGCCTAAGTTTTTTAATGCAAGGCATAGGTTGTCCGAGATATTGTATCTTGTTTTCTTAACGGGTGGTTCCTCGGATGGCGGTCGAGAGAATGAAAATAACCTTCGGCGTGCCTTTGTAGGTGAAAAACAATCTGTCTCCAAGAAAGAATCATCGATACTATCGGCCTTTGGAATTTCCGGATCTGGCTCCCAGGCCAGCATGACCACATTCCATAATTCTCGTAAACTTTGTTCTTGCCTCATGTTGAGGTTTCCAATGTGACCCGAAGGCGTGGCTGTTGTGGCTGCCATTATCGAGTAGGAGTAATCATTAATATTCCAGATTCCAGTTTTCGAGCTAGAGATATGGAAGAATATGAAGAGAAGAAGACTAAATCCTCGCCCGAAAGTCTTTTCTTTTTTGGTCGAAATAGCGAGCGTGGTGGGTATTTATTTCGAGATTCAAGTCAGCTCATAATAGATCCAATCAATTGGAACCTGTTTTCAGGATAAATGGCATTAGCCCCACAACGAGAAAATAGGAAGCCGATATGGAACACTAGGTCGCTTTTTGACTTTCGATAAAGTTCGAGAACCTTGGCTGAGCGGTTTATCGGTTCTGTTTGAATGGAGAGTTGATCTCACAAGACATCGGAATAAACATTAAGCTCAAGATTTAGATCGACATTCGGGAGTTTGCTGGGATCTAAATCGGAATCGATGGCAATATCACGGAGCGAGCCGTTCCAATTTCACGTGGAAAGATGAAACAACATGGAAGTACAATAGGGGGATAATCAGAATTTCAAACCGCGAGACAACAGTGGACCCTGTGGAGAATTTTAGAGCATCACATGATACGGAACTGATTAAACACAGTCAGAAACACCTCGGGAGGATTATGCAGTTATCGCGACATCTCTATTAGAGAATACGACGGTCCGCACCGGTCGTGATGAAAACCACCGCCCTGATATTGAGACTTGTGCAATGATCTCATATTATTCCCAGTGTTTCCAGCTTTTGCTCAATGTGAATCATCTACTAATGAAGTGGCAGTGCGACGGGGTTAGAGGTGAGTCTATTCCTTAGCAATCGGTGTCTTGTCAGTCCACGGTACAAAGGTGGAATTCGTCATAGGATGCCGCTTTCACGGTTTCTCTGGCCTTGAACATCGACATACGCATGAACAGTCATTCTACTTGAAGCGATATTGAACCAGTGACTTCGTTATCAAAGAGACATGAGTTATATCTTGTTGAGTTTTCGTGTTCTTGGTGATATAAAGCGGGGCTATCCCTATTTATTGCTATTTTCTCCGTGGACTGAATATACCGGAGACTTTGAAGCTCATGATCAAGGCTAGGACCCGTCAGCATGACACCCTGGTAGAGGTGTCAAAGGTCTTCTGATGGGAGAAAGCACTAAATTCAGTGTGACAAGATGTCGCAGAATTGGCTGCATTGTTAAAGAGCAACCAAGGCATTCAGTAACACTCAATTTGCCCAAGGGAATAGAATAGTTTCATCCCAACGGACACGACACCCCGCAGCGGTCAGATGTATTTCATTGCTAGTAACCTTGGAACCCTTTTAGCTATGAAAGCGTGTGGCGTTCGAGTGCTGCAGCAATCGCAGTTGGAGCTAGAAACTGCCTGACTTTGAAAAGACACATGATGGAAACTTTGGAAAGATAGTCTAAAAGACAACCGCATAGCTTGAATCCGTATGCGATAATGTATTTCGCTGCGACTGCTCAATAGACACTGTACGGTTAAACAGAGATTATTACGTACCAAAATTGGATATAGCAATTGGCTGTACACGGGGAGATAGAGAATCGTTACATAAAATATTAATTGTGATGCTATTCGTGCGGACTGGTCAACTTTGAGTCAATAATTTTGAGAGCATTGGGCATTTGAGTCATATCAGATAAAAGATAAAAGAGTAAGGTGCTGATGTGGGAGAAGATAAAAGAGGAAGTTTGGAGGTTGGAGGAGGAGCCGTAGTGGGAGAAGAAGTAGTGTTGGGAGGAGGAGAACCTGTGCTATTGTAAATCCAAACTGGGCAGCCATCAAATGCTTTATGGGGATGACCTTTGCAAGTTTGGCGAGCCAATGGAAATTTACGGTGATTGGTCGCGCTGGGGAGAGCGGGTACGACTTGATCTGAACGGCTCTTTTCTGTTTGAATTGTCCCCACGACCGCTGTTGCTGGGTACGTAGGAATCGCGTTCAGTGCGACGAGAACGGTAGCGATCCCGGCTTCGGTCTCGTCGGTCTCGTCGGTCTCGTCGAGGGGAACGGGATCGGCGACGATAGCTGTCTGAGCGGTTTGCCTTCTCCCCTTCAATGCGTGATGCTTCAATTCTTGCTGCCTCGACTCGCGATGCTTCGAGCTGTGATCAAAAATAGTTAGAAATACTTGTATTTGTGGTATATAAGTAGGGTCAAAGCTACCTTCTCTTGAAGAAGCTCAAGCTTCTTTGCCTCTAGGAGCTTTTTAGGAACACCGGTAGGCGTTTCTTGCGCATCCAGACAAAGCTGCCAAAGTTCTTGGCAAAATTTCGGAGTATCTTTATCGAGGAAACCAGTGAGCTGGATTTGCAGAGCTTTGATGTCGGGCTATTTGCAAGTCAAGAGGTTAGGACAGTGCGGGCAGTGGATGCAAAGAGTTCCTACAAAACGCGAGCCCTCCAAAAGTCCAAAGCACAATTCAGTAACGACGTCATCTTCCGAGCGAAGAATCTCAAAGATTTGACCTGCGATCCATCTGTAGGGAAATCATGTTAGTTCCAGCTCCACAGTTGGAATTGGGAACGGACCTACTTCTTGATGACTTCGATGCTGACTTTCTTCATGTCAACCTTTTTATTGAATTCAGGGGGGAACTTGGTCCGCATCTTCGCTTTAGCATCATATGAAGTCATTTTGTGCGGTTTGAAATGGGATCTGTTTTGAAGAAACAAAGACGCGCATGGAGGAGCTTCAATGGTGTCAATGCGGGATAAGACTTGGAAACATTTGATTGACCGCCTTATAATGCCATATGAGACCGCTCTTTACTGCCGCAATATGGGAGGCACTCTATACCGCCTAGTGTATTGATAGGATAGGCACATGTTTGTCCCAGGCTCATCATGAACCTGTAGAAAATGAAAGTTACGTTTACTTGTGAACTTCGATACTCCCGAGGCAATTGGCCTTGCCCACCCGGACAGGTAGTTTCGCTAACCTCGCCTTGGAGCCTTAGCCATTGGACTAGTATGTCCTACAATGAGTTAGCGCTGTGACAAAGCCTTTTATTCCATAGTTAATCTGAAAGTAGTATTTACTAATCCAAATTGATAATTGTTCACACTGAGTGACTGCACTATTGTTGCTCCATTTTCAACCTGTTGTGGTAACATTTCAGCTCCAAGGTGATACCTTTGCGCGATGAATGGCAACTTTAGTGGCTTCATCAATGTCTTCCTCTGGTAATCCGAGTAACTTGTTGAGAGGCCCCTTTCTCTCAATATTACCACATCCGTCTGGGTAGAAAACACGTGTGTATAGCATCTTTGCAAATCCAAAGCGATTACCTTCCTTTGCATCCTGGACGCCACCCATGAAGCGTTCTTGAGATGGCTCTGTGGTAATAGTCCAGTCCTCTTCGTTGGTGTCTGTCATACGAAGAGCAGAAGCCCACATATCCTTCTGGCTTACAGTGAAAGACTTGATATAAATCACCTGGTCCTTAAAGTTCTCAAGACAAGCTTGATCTTCAGACTTGATGGGTAAGCTGAGAAGACTGGCAACAGCTCGACCAACCTAGTATAGTTAGTGGCTAGAAAGAAATTGAGAGCAGCTTTGTTTTTTTTACAGGAAACATACCTGAGGCCATGTGGAAGTTGAGATCTTGATCTCACCATCGTCGAAAAAGGTAGCTTTGTGGTTGAGAAGATCGATTCCGAATGCTGGTTCAATGGCAAGACTCCACTCGTACCAAAAGCCAGTTGATACCCCAATGTAATGACTCTTGCCAATATCGGTGATTGCCTTTCTAATAGCAGCTGGAAATCCGATGATCTGAATTTATCAAACTTTGTAGTGGCTGTGGACGTAATAAAGCTCACATTTGGGAGGGAAAACAAATACATCCTTCAACAACCCTTCGTTGGTGGAGTCAGGAGACCAGTCATTGGGTAGGATCCATTTCACTCCAGCCTCGCCGGCCGCGTTGACCAATTTTAATTCTGTTCCATCGGGAGCATGGCTACTGAGTATTATTACCAAGGCATCTTGACCCTTGAGGGCTTCTACCAGGGTCTCTGGACTGTCGTAATCAATTTTCTTTGTGATGACACCATCGGGTAGCTTGTTCGAGCTATTGCCTCTTGTTAATGCTGTGATAGTATGTTTGCCAGTTTTCAGCAAGAAATCGACCATGAAACTGCCACTGTGCCCTGTAGCCTATTGTCTGATCAGCATAAAGAAAAGAAACAGAAGCTAGATGCGAGCACTTGGGTGGATATAGCTTACTCCCACGATTGCAACTGAAGAAATGTAGTTTGTTGAGCCCATTGCGAATTGGAGGATGGTCTAATGCTCAACTTTATAGGTTTTCCGGTGAGTTGCAACTTCCAAGGCTGGTCACAAAGTAGATATTCTCCTACCTGTATCAATACGTAGGTATTAATGATTATTATACCAACATTATTTATACCTAAGTTATCGGGTTTTATACCGGATATATGGTCTAGGGCACTGGAGGCATACGGAGTTAATCACCATAAAACCCGACAAATGACGATTCCTAGACTAGATACCGGGTTTTCTATGGGTCCATAAGATTACTGTTGAATATTTATCAGAGAAAATGAGGGGCTTAAATTTGAAGGGATATGGATATATTGAGGAAAGGAATCATCCCTCCATTCCATAATGGATAGGATGTCCTTTGGAGTCTTAAACCGCTCATCCGCTTCCATATATAACAGCACGGCATTAATTGGATCCACGGAAAAACGCGAAATTTATCTATAAATAATTGCGCCCGGTTAACTTGATCTGCAACGCTATTATTCTCAAACCCAGCCCATAAAGCCAGTCCGGTCGCAAAAGTACGATCATCAATGATCAACACTGGAAGATAGTCTTCGGAGAACAAAGTCCCATCTTGTGCCATGTGCATAATAAGAAAGGTAGGCTGGGCAACATTTGCGAGGAATGAGAAGTTATCAAAGAGTTCCGATTTGGACGGGCTATCATCAATAAGCATGAGGACTGATAAAGCTCCAGTGAGTTATTCAGGCGAATCAATCCAGCAAAATAGGCAAAGCCATTTAGCAAGGAGAGCTTCATCCATTGGAGTTCATTCTGAAATATAAATGCAGACATCGCCAATCCAGCCAGGATACATAGCGCCAGGGCTCTATAAAAATAATGGTAGTATATTTAGTTAATCTTTTATAGAGAATATGATACAATAGTGTTGAAACGCGGCTCATTCTCTGGCCTCGGATTTGATAGCTATCGTCTAAGTCTGGCAGTTGCCCATTTTAAATAGAAATTTGTTGTTGTTTGATCTTCATCATCGCCGGCTGTCCATTGTGCATGTGAAAAGTGTCACCAGCCGCGAGTGGCGAGTTCGAAGTCATCCACTGGCTTATCGCTATTATAGCGGAGGTAGGATGGAATGCTGCCTGACCAATGATAGTAGAAAAACGGCCAACTAATGGAATTGACTGGTGAAAATTTCCTTAATTTTTTTTATAGATGGAAAACGCTGGAAGTGTGGGAAGGGAGGGGCTAAAAAAGAAGAGCACCTGGAATTCGTGCTTTCTACAAAACAGCAAGGCGCGTATTTCTGATCAATTAGATGCGAAAGAACATCCTTATATCGGATTTTAAGCAGAGTTGGTGTGACTGACTTACGCATCACCCCGGAAGCAGCTAATATTCGGCGCTAAGGTTGACAAGGCCATTGGCTTAAATTGGCTTGTGTGAGTCGATTAGGTCAGAGGCAAGCGGTTAATGACCCCACCGTAACCCCTCGTTTCTTGCAAGGCATGCTCTATCACATTGCTTAAAAGAAGGAAATACCCACTATCTATGGTATTGATTGCGTTCTTCTCCTTACACTCTCTTGCTTATCGATCTCTAAGTTCCTAGCAATGTTAGTATAGCACTGATCAACTTATAATGGTAGAACCTATTGGTCTGGCCTCTGGCGTCGTGGCGTTGACAACGTTTGCGTTCCAGTCCAGCATTGCGCTCTACAAAACCATCAAAAGTTACCAATCAGTTCCAAAACGTGTTCGCGACCTGGTTGAAGAGTTAGAGACTCTCAAGGAGGTCCTTGGCGGCCTAGGAGAGACGATTCGAATTAGCTCCGCTGCCACGTTCGCTGGTCTTGAACATCCACTTCTTAGGTGTGGAAATGCCTGTCGTGACTTTGAAAATGAGATTCAAAAGCTATCCTTTCGATCCAGCGCTGGAAAATCAAGCTTTCGAGATTGGGCTAAATTGAAGTACATGGATGAAGACCTAGATGGTTTCAGGCGCATGTTAGCTGGCTACAAATCCACAATTGTGGTCGCACTTACAGATGCGAATCTGTCAGTTAATCTTGATGAATCTTGTTAAAACTTGACCTAATAATTTCTATATAGACGTCAATCTTCCATCGCAGTTGATAGCATCGAGAGCTACAAGGAAATGATTGAGACAACCACTGATGATCTTCAGGCTCATTTAGAGAGTATTGATGAAAAGCTTGAACGAGTCATAGCCAGAAGCACCGATGCCTCAACTCCAGACGCTGATAACATTAAGCTAATGGAGGAGGAGCGCATAAGCACCCGCAAATGCCTAGAAATATGTGCTCAATTATCCCGTCACATTGAGCAGATTCAAGAATTTCAAGTATCTTGTGACGACCCCAGTGCCTCCGTGAGCTCAAATAATCTGCCCGAAAAACTCATGAACGATGGCTTGCAGGAATGCAGAGAGAGCCTCTTCAATGCTGCCACCAAGCTAGAGATTCATCTCAAGACTTTGATGGATCGAATTGTGGCAAAGTCAAAGTCCAGCATAACCTCTCAAGAGGACGTTGCAGATCTGATCAGATTACAAGAAGAATGGGAGACAACTCGTCAATCTATGCATATATGCTCTAAGGCTGGAACCCGCCTGGGTGCAAATGTGAGTAGTGTCGATAACTACGCTACTGGGGACGCTGTTCAGTTTCTGGTCTCTACAAGTGAGAAAACCATACATGGCAGAAATCGTGGTTTAGGATGGAGAACGAGGCAGGTTGGTGGTCACTTGAGTGATGCTTCCGTTCAACAGTTGTCAAAGGATATGGTACAAATGAATGTCACAGACCTCGATTACAGGACTTCCCCTTCAGACGGCAATAACACCCCTGTACAGGATGAGGAGATTGAAAGTCAATCTTTGTCGGGATTCAAAGAGCGTTATGGTGAAGGATTTAAGCTGAAAGCTGCACATTCTGCGTCCCGCTTCTCTCCCACGACTCCTCTTAAGTGAGAACATTAGCTGTTCCAAGGGATTTTTGAGGGTTTCTTTCTGGATACCCCTTGTGAAGTCTACGTATCGGTCTGTGTCTAAGATAAAGTTCCCTAATATTAAACGCCAAGTAAATAGTTGAAGATGATAAATAATGATATCTTGAAAACATCGGAAGGATAAGGAAGATCGAAATCTTAAGGAATTGGAACTTTGGATGCAACGTGATTAGATTGATACCTGGTGAGTGAGATAGAATAATACTAGGATTTTTATATCAATGATCGTTGATTCGGAAGAAAGGTCTTAAGACCAAGGCCATATGAAAGTAAACACTCATTGTTAAGTGAGGTTGAATATTTTGTAGTTTTGGCAATCGGCGGACCACGTGATTCTAACCAATGCGCGTCGGGTTGACGCGACTCCATGCGCCCCTCTTGTGTCTCTCGACAGTCAACGCGATTAATCTTTTCACCTCAGCCCACACACAGTCTATAACTTGAGTATTTTGAGCGTGGCTTCCTCAGGAAGCAGCTTCGTCGCATCATGGGGAAACTCATTCGGCTGGAGCTTTTCAGTAAGAACAATGTCTAAAAATGCGCCGCTCCAATGTGCTAATCTGCCCATAGATTTCAAGTCTTACAAAGCACACCATGTCCTCCTATTCGGAGATGCGTATTTTACGTCAATAATCGGACCCAACGGGTCTGGAAAATCCAATTCGTACGTTAAGTCGCGCTTGCTTTGTTACCTTCTGTTTCTGACATATCCCAGGATGGATGCTATATCCTTCGTGCTAGGAATTAAATCGTCACACCTACGATCAACCAACCTCCGCGATCTTGTTTACCGTGGCCGTGTGCTGCGAACATCCAAGGTGGATGGAGAACCTGCTATTAACGGAGAGAGTGGCCAAGAAGAGGATGAGGATGATAATATGGATACACAGGATGCGACTCAGAACGATCCCAAGACCGCCTGGGTCATGGCTGTCTACGAAGATGATGCTGGCGAGGAGCAGCAATGGCGTCGCTCCATCACCAGCGCGGGTGTCAGCGAGTACCGTATTAATAACCAGATCGTAACCGCCCAGCAGTATAACGAGGCATTGGAAGAAGAGAACATCTTGATCCGCGCACGCAATTTCCTCGTGTTCCAGGGAGACGTCGAGGCGATTGCGTCACAGTCCCCGAAAGATCTCACTCGATTGATTGAACAGATCTCGGGCAGCTTGGAATACAAGGCAGACTACGAAAAGCTGAAAGCAGAGGCGGAGGAGGCTGCAGATCAGCAGACTGTCCAGCTCAATCGTCGACGTGGAATAAATTCTGAGGTGAAGCAATACCAGGAGCAAAAGCGGGAAGCCGAACACTACACGAAAAAGGCCGAAGAACGCGACCAAGCCATTATTACTCATATCTTATGGAAACTTTTCCACTTCCAGCGTTTGATTGATGCATCTAGTGCGGACATCCAAAAGTATCAGGATGAGCTCAAGGAGTATCGCCGTGGCGTGGAGGAGTTTGAGCAGAATACTGAAGATGCAAAGAAGGAGTACGCCCGTGTTGGCCGCGATGTTAGCAAGGCAGAAAAGAACATTGTGAAAATGGAGAAGGAAATCGAAGAGCTCGAAACTTCCCTGGTACCCATCGACGAAAAGGTCGCCATCACCCAGAAAAAAGTTGAGCGCTATTCTTCGAAGATCGCTGAGATCGACAAAGAGCGTTCTTCGCAGTCAAGCAACGCCAAGCAGCTCGAGAAAAACCTGAAACTTGTGGAGAAGGCACAGACTCAATGGGAAACAGAATGGCAAAAGACCATGAACAAGAAGGGTGGGCAGCTCGGCGAAGCTGATCAGCAGGAATACCACAAGCTCAGAGAAGAGGTCAGCAAGCGTTCATCGGCGGATCAGCTCAATCTCGACAATCTTCGGCGACAAAGGAAGACTGAAGCCGAAGCTGTGAATAGCCTAAAGGGCAAATTTGAAACTACCGAATGGCAGCTCAAAACTCTCGAGACTGACGCCCAAAACATGAAAGAGCGAAAGGTATCTCTCAACGACACTATCAAGACCACCTCGAAGGAAATTGATAGCAAGAAGAAGGAACTGAATGCTCTGACTTCGGAGCGTTTGAAGGTCTCGCAGATGAGAACGGAGTTCGAAGAGAAGCTCCAGGTTGTGTTACGGAAACTACTCGAAGCAGATGACGGCAAGAAGCAAAACGAGCGGCAAATTCGCGCCAAGGAGCTGATCTCTACCCTGAAGCGGATCTTCCCTGGTGTTAAAGGCCGTGTCAGTGATCTCTGCAAGCCTAAACAGCGCAAATACGCCGAGGCAGTTAGCACCGTTTTGGGCCGCCACTTTGATGCAATCGTCGTCGACAATGAAAAAACCGCCAAGGAATGCATTCAGCATCTTCGTGACCAGCGTGCAGGCCAAGCCACTTTCATTCCCCTCGAAACAATTCAGGTCAAAGCCTTCAACTCAAACCTGAAGGGTATGCACCGCGGTATGCGTCCTGCGATCGAGACAATAGACTACGATGACTCTGTTGCACGAGCCATCAGTTATGCCTGTGGAAACTCCATTGTCTGTGACGATTTAGCCACAGCCAGGTATCTCTGCTACGAGAGAAATGTGGATGCAAAGGCAGTCACATTGGACGGTACTGTTATTCATAAGGGTGGTCTGATGACTGGTGGACGAGGCGCTCAGAACAACTCCAAGCGCTGGGAAGACTCCGAAGTCGAGAATCTTTATAAGCTTAAGGATAAGCTGATGTCCGATTTGTCCAAACTCCCGAAGAGTCATCATCGGGGCTCCGAGGAGGAGACTCTACAGGGCGAGTTGGTCGGTCTCGAGCAAAGACTCAACTACTCTCGAGAGGAGCTGAAGGCGCTTGAAAGAAACCTCCAGAGCAAGCGTAGCGAGCTGGACTTTGTCAAGAACCAGATGGAAGACCTGCGCCCCAAATACACTGAGCGGAAAGAGAACCTCGATGAGCTAGACGAGACCATCGAAAATACTCAGATCTCAGTCAGTACCGTAGAAGATGATATTTATCGCAAGTTCTGCGAGCGACTCGGATATGAAAACATTCGTGAATACGAAGCCCAGCAAGGTTCATTGCAGGAAGAAGCTGCGCAGAAGAAACTCGAGTTCACAACCCAGAAGAGTCGTATCGAGAACCAGCTGAGCTTTGAAAAGCAGCGAATCCAGGCAACGGATGACCGAATCCAAAGTCTCAAGGCTCAATACGAGCGTGACATGAGCTTGGTCGAAGAGCTGAAGGGCGAACAGCAGGAGATCAGGGAGAAGTTGGACCACTGCAGTGCCAAGCTTGAACTTTTGCACGAAAAGCTTGCGGAACAGAAGGAACTCTATGCACAGTCTGCTGATAATTTGGCTGAGCAACGAAGAGAGCTTCAGAAGCGCAGCAGACAGGTTGAAACCGACTTGAAAAATATTAATGCTCTTGAAGCCGAAATTCAGCGGAATTCGTCAAGTCGGTATGCGCTCCTGCGGCGTTGCAAGCTTGAGGACGTTGATCTTCCGTTGACTGAAGCTTCTAACTCCCTCGATAAACTTCCGATCGATGATTTGATGCAGGCCGATCCGGATGCGATGGATGTAGATGAAGCTGATGAAATGGATCAAAGTCCTATGGTGCAGGACTATGGAATTGAGGTCGATTTCGATTCTCTCGGTGAAACTCTTAAAGAGGTATGTTGAATGCAACTTTTTTCGAGAATTCATATCTAACCACTTACCTACAGGAGGCTGATGACAAGCTCGAAGAAGAATTGTTGGAGAAGGTTCGTATTCTTAACAACGAGCTTGACAAGATGGCACCAAATACTCGGGCACTGGAGCGTCTGGAAACTGTCGAGAACAAGCTTCGCAGTACTGAAAAGGACTTCGAAGATGCACGTAAGCATTCTCGGAAGGCCAAGGAAGGCTTTGAGGCTGTGATGAAACGGCGCTCCGATATTTTCAATAAGGCTTTCTCGCACATTTCCGAGCAAATTGGCCCGATCTACCGTGAACTCACACGTAGTGCCAATTATCCCCTGGGTGGACAAGCGTAAGTTTCTACCTGCCCCCTGAAGACTACATGAACTAAAAAAAGTATGAAGATATCTGGATATTGAAGATTCAGATGAGCCCTACCTTGACGGCATTAAGTATCACGCTATGCCGCCGCTGAAACGATTCCGTGACATGGAGCACTTGTCAGGTGGTGAAAAGACCATGGCAGCCCTCGCTCTGCTGTTTGCAATCCACTCATACCAGCCGTCTCCCTTCTTCGTGCTAGATGAGGTCGATGCTGCTCTTGATAACACCAATGTGGCCCGAATTGCAAACTACATCCAGGACCACGCCGCACCTGGAATGCAGTTCATTGTCATCAGTTTGAAGGCCGGACTCTTCCAGAACAGTGAGGCATTGGTTGGAATCTACCGAGACCAGGTGGAGAACAGCAGCAAATCTTTGACGCTTGATGTGAGTATTTCCAACAGACATCTTCTACGAACCCTGCTGACTTTTTCTCCTAGCTCCGCAAATACACCTGATGCCCTCTGAAATGGAAGTCATGATGACACTTTTCTTACTCCTTTCAATTGTGTAAATTATTCGTTTGGCGGCTTACTTTTGTAGTATCATTCGCTTCAGAGATGTTGCCGGTTGAATGCCGTTGACCTGTTATCAACGTATGTCTATTACCAATTTTGTTAATCGATACCTTTAGCGCGAGTCACACACTTTCATGCCTTCCACTGTAGCTGTCAGAACTTTCATTAACCTATTTCAACGTTCTCAGATTCGTCAGTGCATACATCGCCGAATCTAAAGAACTAGCATGGAGGTGAACCGAACTCTCATATCGACAACGAGATGAGCTATACTAAATATAAATTTCGGGAAATTTCGTTCCTATGAAAAGCCCAGATGCCACTTTCCAAGACATTTGCAGCTTCTCGGTAGGACGTTGCAGGCAGGTTCCGATGAGATATGCGGCCCAAAGCTCAATCAACATTGAACCTTGGAAAGGTAATCTCGAAATGATGTCGTCACTTGCATATAAAGTAAGCATTCATGGGTCGCACAAATGAAGGCGGTAAAATATATAGACCTTCTTTTCAAAAGGAGCATACCAAGTTCAAATTCAGGGCTGCAGTTGCTCATTTCAAGTTGGTTTTTGATGCTATGGTAGCTGCAAATTTGCCAGCCGTTCAATGAACCTCCAGGTCGTTTATAGTAGCGGCAGTGGTGGATCAGAATGGATTTAGCGAGGCGGCATAATACCACGCCTGTTCCTTTTCTTGACTCATTCTTTGCTATTTCAAGATACAGGGTAATCTTCGAGTTTTTTCAAGATCTGAGCTACCTGCTGTGAATCCAATCAAGTTCCGAGGTTTCTTCCGTCCTCTATCCATTTACCCCGCAACTATATGAAAGTTCTATGTGATTGAGCTCTGTTTAAAATCACGATGCCTGATGGGCGGAATCCGAATTAAAGACGATCCCGGGAAGGGCTATAAGTACGGAGAATATCGAGTCGGCAAATATCGGATATCAAGACTTAAAGTCATGCAAAAAAAACGGCGATCGTACGAGGTCTGGAGCAGGCCAATTCTAGCAGGACTCCGTACGTGCAGATTAACCAGGGGTAGAGAAGTACCTGGGTAGAAGTCGGGAACCTGACGAAAATCTCACGCTCAGGACATGAAATTTGTACTGCGGCATACTATGTACGTAGTACTCCGTCATCTGTGTACAGCGTGTGAATCCACTCGTGGGTTTGGGCTCCGGCTCGAGGAGTCGCTATGCGCATCTCCCATCCCTTACATCCTTAGGAAACAGGCTCTGTTCCAGAAAAATCGGGTCTATCGAATGAATTTGATACCTTTTTACGCCGAGGCGTATGCATTTATATTCCAGAAGCGCTTAGGATAACTGGTTTAGACAACAAGCCAGGATTTTGAGGTCCTAGGGTGTGATTGTGGCGGTGATGCTGCGTAGTGGAGACTAGAAAGTCCAGATCAAGCTGAGAAGTGTGAGATGGCGAGAGTGAAAGCGAGGATACCAATGATTAAGCCTGACTTTTGACGCCGGGCAAGACCGGCATCTATTTGCGTTGGTATACGGAGTGACTCCAAAGCCTGGACAGGTCACTTGGTACGGAGTTCGGATAGCCTTAGAGCCGTAATAGACTTGGGAATATGCAGGAGTTTGGTTATCCAGGCGCCTTGGTCCTGCTGCTTGACGGTGAAGTAATTCTTCCACTTATTTATCTCTTGGTGACGGAAAAAGCCCCTATCTATGCAGCTCACCTCCTTCCGGCCAATAGGAGGGGATAATATACTGGTTACCCATGGGTTGTGTTTGATTTGTGCTGAATGGGGTGTCGGTTTGTGGGATGAGATTGCCATGGTGGGGAGTCATTCTCTGTTGTATTTTGCAACGAATTTTGGATGGGTCGGCTCTGCGAGGCAACTCAGTGTTTGCTCAGGTTAAGAGATGGTTTCATCGAGGGTTGAGAACTGGTTACCAGTCATAAAGTATGTCCAGATCTGTCTTCAGAGCCGGAAACGGAGTTATATCCCAATCCGAGCACGGAGTTCTTACTACTTATCTCCGCACTTCAACCAAGCAAACATGCAAGAAAACTACCCCTCTTGTGTCTTTAGTAAAGAGGATGCATCGAAAGCATCTACTCCTAATTTCAAATTCAGTTCTCTGCTGTATGCATCATCGGAAGCCTGTATCTAGAGCCGTACATAGTGTGCAACTTGTACAGACCTGACTCGAGTTGAACTACTGAGGCTTATGCATTGATTGCCCTAGGACTACAATCTGCACAACTGTAATGGTGTGGATCTTGTATTTCCAACTTGACCAAATGGAAGTAGGTAGCCGAAGAGAAGAAAGTGGAAAGTAGAAGTGCGTGAGAACAAACTAGGCTAGAAACCACGCAAGGGGCGGGGTGTTACGCCTCCACGCCACTTTGGAAATCGAACTCTGGGGAGCTTCCGAGTCATGGTCAATGCGGCTGAAGAGTAAGAATAACACTTTAGCCTTTCGCCAAGTTCGTAAGTAGAGAGGGTAATTAGTATAGACTTTGGTAGAAAGGGCTGCACTATCTTGATTAGGAAATAGGGTGGCTCTTCTCAACTACTTATTTTCTTCCAAGGTTCTTGTCCTCTTTTGCATTTCTGTTTTTGATTATTATTATAATCGGAGCTTCTCTATAGATTATATTGCCCAACCAGGCTCTTCTGGTTATATTTTCCGGTGCGTGGAGCCAGTCCGACTGGGAATAGTTTCAGGTTAAGCACTCTCTTGAAGCCTGGACGTTATAGGTAATCCTGGGATCCGCAGGTCCCCGCTTAAGTCGATCCGGAAAGAAGGAGTCGATCCTAGTGGATGTCAGCTTAGCCCCTATTAACTACTATAGTTAGCTATACGAACTATACGGACTACTCCGTAGCTTTTAACTCCCGCTGTCCACGTATGCAGGAAGATGGATAACCGGGATTTGGAATGAGAAACTTTATTAACTAGAGTCAATAGTTCGATAATAAAAAAAGAAAAGAAAAAAGGAGAAACATGAAGGCAGCAGTTACAGCATTCGATCGTCCAAGCCTCAAGGTTGTTGATCCTTCCAAGGTTGTGGAACCAAGCTTGGACCCTCAATAGTTCAGTTAACCGAACGCCCGTTTGAGATTAGATCTGTGCTAGACTTCCATCCGGAGGGAACACGGCATTCTGCACCCCGCTAAAAAGGGTACTCCTTCGATCCTGGTAGAACCTTTGTCCTACATCTTCTTACTTAAGACTTGTAACTACTGCAGGACTATGATATAAGAGGCGTATTAGGTATATGGAGCGTGACTAGTATGTCACTGACGCTACTTGGTGGGAGAGTTTGTTTGTTCTGTCCAGGTGTTAGAATGTGTTTCCCCTGACCTAGACCTAGGTAGTAGTAGACTTAGACCTCGAGCCCTTGAGATGTTTGCACAAATCAATCCGGGTTAATAAGCTCTACTCGGGTCAGTGCGTTTGGCCTGGATCCCACTCGACTCATCCCAAGTGAAAAAAGGGAAAAAAAAAAGAAAAAGGGAAAAAAAGGAATGAAATATGCATCCGATCCTAAATGTGAATGCACAAGATCGGAAAGTCTTCCTATTGCCACTTCAGCTCAGCCAGATTTCCTTTTTTCCTTGCATGAGAATCAGGTGGTTTGACCTCGGTTTGAAGCCCTGATCTTCATGTATAATTACTTCGAGTTTCCAATCTTGTCTCGTTAGTCTCGAATTTCATATCCGGGGAATTTTTATTCTACGAGAAACATTCGTATCTTCAGCGTGACAAACTCTTGTTTTCTACTCTTTCGGCCTTTTAGCCCTTCGGTGCTCATTATCAATTGCGTTACAAGCCCCATTACCCCCATACGCAACCTATAAAACCATCATCCATTAAATCTCATGGATATAAGTCGATCTCATCTAGATGTTGAGACAGGAGATGTCTTGGAAAGAAGGCATTCGGATACCTCAATGCTCCAGCCTCAACATCATATGGTAACTTGGCTCCAAGATCTCGAGACGACCATTTCATTAACCGGTAAATGTCGAGCTAGATCCCTCATCCTGGTTATCAACATCCACATTTTGCTATCATCTTTCTTGATCATGATGGCCGCATTAAGGTGGAGTCCTCGCCATCAATTGCTGGATGTGGCGGTGCCATATTCACACCGGACGTGACAGACCGGTTCATGGAAGTGGCTATTACCGATAACGAAGCTATGAGGTTCAACAGTAAGTGGGGAAATATTTCCGAAAATACGACAAAGTTCGAGCCTGACGTCCCCTACTTGTAGACTCGATCCAGGCACCCCCTTCACCATGGGACATGCAACCACAACCACCACAAGCTGAATGGATTTCCACAGCACCAGCTGATATGATACCCTGCGAGTGGCAGTCACTTCAAGGCCGACGGAAAAGACGTGACGGAAAGCGAAGAAAGACCTCCACTCGCGATACTAAGCGCAAATTAAACCCTAAGTCAAGATCCAACTCTAAATCACCAGCACCTAGCCCAAGCATCGGGCACACCATCCTTCGTGTTGGAGACCGCGACCTTCTACGAAGGTACTATGAGAAAGCATTCGAAGATTTCCAGCAATTGAACTGTCGCGTGATTGCCAAGTCATACATCAAACTAGTGGAACCGAGAAAGCAGGTTCATTTCCCTTATAACGGACGCAAGGTCGTCTCCGGTGAATCGAAACGCGTTGACCCTGAATTGACTAAGCCTGCATGGTGGCCAGCTGGTGTCTTGCACAAGGAACCTGACCACCTCCTCATGCGTGGTAAGAGATATTTTCGTGAAGTGACCTCGGATATGATACTAATGAGGGGTTAGATCGCCTCCGGCTCCTAGTTCATATCCTTTGCGAGCTGAAGGATAGCCATGGAATTACTTCAGAAAGACTTCGCGAGGCGAGTCAGGATGTACGACGCCAGATCAACCCACAGCACAGACTTCAAGTGCTGGATGAAATTTATTTTGTGCGACACATGGAGGAGAGATACCTAAACGGAGAACTTGGTAAGAACGTAACTGTCAAGCAGAGGATGAGGATAGTTCGTTAACATGGCCTAGATGGAAACACGAGACTGCAGGTGTCCAAAACACACCTCCCCGAAGCCATCTTCATGGAAGATGAGATATCATCGAGGTTCCCTGAGGCTCCCCTCACCATCTCGGATATGGAATTTGACAATTACGATCATGGTTACCAAAGCCCTCGCTCAGAAGATGGAGATCGTGCACCGCATTTCCACCACAATGCTTTGCCTCCTTCTCCCACCAGTGACTCGAGTGAACCACATACTCCGACGATCGGGTTTGGAACGCATCCATCTGGTATGACACAGTCCTTTGTTCCAAATGGGTCACCAAAACCAGTGCTCACGGACCCGAGCCTCCTGCCTAGCTATTTCCCTCAGCCATATCCCCCTGCTGCAAGAGATATGGGATACTGGCCTGGCATGGCCTATATGCCGCAGGCCCATCACTACGGATACTGAAAATTTTGTTTATCTATTTCTGGGCTTTTCATTTTCTTTGGGCTGAACATATCTTTATTGGGGCATTGCGACGGGAAAACATGTATTGAAAATAAGGATTCAAGGACACATTGACACATTTTGGATTTCAGGCACATACCTAGGTATCTAATTACATATCAAGCACTCAGTTTCATCACCCTGGCTGGGTATGTTGAGGGTTGCTTTTTCTTTTCCTGAGCTATATTACATGTACGACAAGTTCAGATCATTATGACTAATAGTATTCTCTAAATACTTGAAGATTTTTCTCGAACTAGAATCTCGAATGTGAAGCATGCCCATGTGGCTGTTTATGAAACTCCTGAGGTCTCTTTATGAGAACCTTGGAACCCCGGAATAGTATCGTTCTTGCCCATATGTGCAGGCAGATGTGCATAAACATGGATTCTCGCTCATCTATTGATATACGCTGGGCATGAAGGTACAAAACCTCTTCCATTTGAACATTGAAGAAGAACTCCGAGATAAAAAATAATACTTAAGGAATAAAAAGAGCCGACTCACTAAAGTAGCGCTCACCTTTTCTGACTAGAGAGAGAGAGAGAGAGAGAGAGAGAGAGAGAGAGAGAGAGAGATACCTTACCACAGAGCCTGTCATAGACAGGTTTCCAAGTTTTTTTTTTAATCTCCACTAAAGACATCTGCCGGCTTGCCCAAGCCCAATATAATGTGTATCCCTGATCAGCTATATTAAATAGATGATGACCCTGGAGAATTGGTTTATTAGGAATCTTAAATATATGTTGAGAACGCCCAAAACCAAGAATCATAGATTCGTCGACGGCAAATGTATTTGATGGCTCCCAATATTTTACAAACGTGCCTCTCAAATCCTAAGCAAAGTATATTACTATGTCTTATTTGGCGTTAAATATAGCCGTAAAGCCTTTTGAGTAGTAGCCTCAGGATTAGGGTCAGAAACATGGAAAATAGTTTGTTGAAAACGACCTAAGCTGATATATTTTTGAGGTGATCAGAATGGCGATGAGGTAGTTGACCAATAACATCTCTTCTTGTGAACCTTGATAGATGATCATATATCCAAATCGCAATAAATAGCTTAAACTCAAGGTGTAGTGTCAGACCAAAGCCTGTCAAAATACTCAGCACCCTTTAGATTCATATATTTATTAGTATTTAGAGATAATAAGTTAAATAAAGCATCGGTAAAAGACAAAAAGGAAAAAAAGGGGTAGTAATTTGGTAACCATTTATATGAATACCAGGTGAAGAGGGTTCTGAAGGCATTTCAAGAACCTCAAACACGTTTTCAGGAAGCAAATTAGCCAGTGATTTAGTTAGCTCTAGCTCTGGTTCTGCTTTCGGTGATTGAATAGGCAATTCAGCTATAAAGGAGCTAAAGATGAAAAATGTGCCAAAAAAACACGTAAATAGAGTGAAAGTAGAGAAGAGAGTGTAAATAATCGTCATATGCGTGTTCTTTATTATGGAGAGCGTAGTCATCTGTTATAACCAATCATAAACTTATATCCTACCAAGGCGCTAATTTGGTCAAATTCGACAGCCTAATAATGGGTATGACGTATTTTATTTACAGTTTAGGTTTAGCTCTCTCCACTCCGAGATGTCCTCCATAAGGTCAAAAGTACATTAATCAGCAATCAGATCGAGCACAGCTTAATGGCAGACGTGACGGAAAGCATATTTGAGCGCGTTAAAATTGTGACCAATGGCAATGAATGACATCGGCAACCCGCGTGGATTTCACTATTTTGGCGCTTAGCCGCGCTAAAAGCCCAGCCGCACAAGACACCCGCACATCGGCTTTAGGGCTTGAAAGGAAGCATATGCGAACTGCTAATTTTGCCATTCGCGATAGTGTTCCACACATGGATGGGGGTGGATTTGGAGCCCTCACTCAATAAATTCCGAAGCGACGTGGCACACGATGGAGAGATATAGGTTGACCTCCAGTTCCTCAAGTATGGGGAACTGGAAGTCGAGTTCCGCGACGGGTGTATGTTTCAATTCCAGGAGCACTATGGTCTTGCAGGTGACAGTAATACGTGGCTTCAGCACATAGCTGTTGAGCGACCAGACACCTTACCCGCTCTCATTGCTATAACGCTACTCAAGTTCATTCAGAGTAAAGGGTTCTGATCATCTTGATACCTATGCAGTTTCTAGTGGGTTTGAATTGGAGTTTAACCAAGAGCAACTGGAAGATAGCCCAGAAGATCTACTAATGTACATACTTGGTACCCAGGTATACTCTTTGCAAGGATTCACAAGATCTTTTGCAGCGTTTACGACATTGCCATCTCCATCTTGAGGAGCCCGATTCATAAGAGCAAAGAACGAAATGACAAGCGAATTCCCCACACATCCAGATCGGCTAACAAAGACATGCTGAGAGCAGTAAGACTGGTAACTGATCAAATTTTGTTCATGCGTAGTTTTGTCCGGAACAAGCTCCCAGTTCTCAAAATAGACTTCTTCCGCCTTCGTATAGATCACAAGCGCGGTCTTTCTATCGCCAAGACTATTTTTAACCCACTAGTCCTTATGATGGCGAAAGTTCTCCAGAGAGTCCGAACCTTCGGTTTTGATAGCAAGGCTTGGCCATTGCTGGCTCCCGATTTACTACTGCATGTGACGGGCTAGAGGCTTGAATGCTTCATCTAGTTACTTGCACTTAGCTTGTGTTTTGTGGGCAGTTAGTTTTTTCTTTCTTGGCCTGGGACGCCGGTCAGGGATTTTATAGTCAATTTGGCTATAGTTCGTTTAATGATCGCATGCGTCTCAGGGATGAGCTTTATCAGCCGTATCCCGCTCCCATTGCAGTATTATATCCCCAGGTGATTTTCGTCTCTAGGATTATTGGCGGCATGAACTGGTAAATGGTATGCCATAATCAATTGATATTTTGCATCACTCGGGCGATATTTCAGAGTCTAGCCGTGATGGTACTAGTGATGAAAGCTCTGATGCTAGAGATTCTAGCAAGGAGTATGGTTTATCGATCGTCTTCTGGACTAGGTTTTAAGCTATCTAAAGCCAAAGAACCCCTTCTCTTCTACATGACAGGAGACCTTCCAAATGAGTTTTTTGGAGAATATACTATATCTGAAAAACAAATATGATATGACGGGAGGCTTGAAGATATGGTAATTGAAGATATCCATTGTTAGCTGTCACTGGAAAGAAGCTGCCCAGGTGGAGTTTTGGTAGCCGAAGGCAAGATAGCGAAATTGATATATTGTGTGCTCATACAGATGGCAGTTTCCTTTTGACGCTAACCTACACTTAATTGACTACTATACTTGGGATTTACGGAGATATTGAGTGGCTACTATACTTATTTGGATATTGAATACTTGCTTAGGTATGACATGGTCATATAGTGGTAATGTTCAATACAAAAACCCCTCTCACTTTGAGATTTGTTCAGTATGGAGGCGATTGGATTACGGAGGTAAAAATTATGCCGAAAGAGAAAAGGAGAGAAGCTAAGATCTCCATCGCTTCAAATATCTAGACCGCTTAACGTGAACGAAGGATGAAGATATGACATCGAGACCTTTGCTAGTTTCAAGGTGGAGAGTAGCGAGAAGTAGTTGCAAGTTTTGGATGAGAGAACCTATTTCAATATCACAATCATTAGCGCCAGTGATCTGGTGATTATATGAGATAGATCATGAACACAGGCCTAACTCTTCTTCTGACATCACTCACTATTCCAGGCAATTCATCCATCAGAAACATATCATCAAGCACACTTGCAATCAAACAAACATCCTCATACTTAATCTCCGAACAGACACGTCAATTGCAGCGTTGGTTTGATTGCCACGCGCGTAAGAATCCTTCACACATAAAAGACCTTCTATTGGACCGGCTCGCCAACCGGGCCCTCGTGGCGCTAAACAGCTCGAAACAGACCAGGATGAGAAAGGTACAGCTATTCGATAGGACAGGAGCACGTGTAAAGGAGCTACATTTATATTAGGACTGGCTACTGCAGGTCGGGGTTCTAGTCCGTAGAAGATCAAGGTCCAGGTCAAAGCCAAGGTAAAGAGCAAGGTCAAAACCAAACATACATACGTCGTATGCATGAAATAGACACCGCTACTTTCCATTTATAGACAATGGGCCACGTCCGCCGTTGACTTGTTTTTGCCACTTAGGCCTACTCGCAGGAAGGGTTTTTGGTGGCTGGGTTTATTAGTGATTATTGGTTCGGAGGTAAAGTCGGAGTTTTGATGCATGAGGCTGGTAGACAACCTTGGAAGACTGTCCGAGCGTGTAATTAAGGTGTTTTGTAGATTAGTATAATGGTCTAGTTGCAGTCAAATAAGTAGATACCTACCTTATTCTATCAGCATTAGAAGCAGTACTCAGAGGAAGTGTGGTACGTAAAAGTCAAGACTGGATTAAATAACAAATAGTACTCTAAAATAAGGACCTATAAATATAATAACGCCTGCGGGTCCCTATGCAAGTAATCAAAGAGTCCGATCCAAAAGTGGGGGCGCAATGCTAAAAGGATTCGCTAAGGAAAAGTAGGGAGTGTTTCCAATTCTGAACATGAGGGAGAAAAAAAAAAAAAAACACATGCGGTCATGAAGTCATCGACAAATAGTAAGGAAAATAGTAAAGATTGATCTCATTTAAAGCCATGGGTCTGATTGAGTATAGGTGTGTGGGTTGACAGGGCCAACAAGTTTGATTTGAGATTTCAAATGTTCACGCCGGCGATCTTGTTTCGATTCAGTCATCTTTTTTTTGCCCCCTGGAAAGCACGAACTGCCTCCCGAGTGTTTTGCTGGAATTGAAACTTCAGCGGTGGGGAGGAGATGGGGGCTGTTGGGTTTACTGTGAACTCTGGAGCCGAGGAGCTGGTTACCAGGGAGTCTTTGCGGTAACTGGGGAAACGGATGCTGCGCTTTTTGGGTTTAGGGGTTTCCCAGATTGAAGGACCGTATTTTTGATATGGGGACATGGGGACTGCTAGTTGTTTTGGTCGGGTTGTTGGTGATGGGCAAACGTTGACTTCACTTACGACAGAGATGACGGAGTCTCTTCGTAGTTGACTGATGTCGGTCGACGAGTGTTGGAATGTGGTTTGTTGTAAAGTGAGTGTATCTGCATCCCCTGGGGCTGTTGAGGGTCGTTGTAGTGGAGTGCTCGTATCGTTTGAATCTCGGGATAGTGTGCGATGAACATATGTCTTGATGGAGTCGCGTACATTGGAGGCCAAACCAAGGCCCAAGCTCCGATCGAGCGAGTGCCATTTGTAGCGGGTCCGTGGCACATTCAGTCTACCATCTTTTTGTTTCTTCTGTAGACTGGCGCTATCCCGGCCACTGGCCTGCAGGGCGGAGGGAGTGGCGAGCTCAGGGAAGAAATCCCACTTCTTCTCCCGGAAGTAGTGGTTTGTGGCGGAGCGGTTCCAGTGGGGAGGACGGCCGTGTATGGGGTCTGATTGCGCACTGAGCGTTGAAGCGGCTGACTTGGGAGGATCTATCAAGTCCGTGCACTCGAGCGCATCCACATTTGAAAAATGTTGTGGAGAAGTATGGATCGGACCCAAACTGAGATCGGGGGCTGAATGATCCATGAAGTCGTCGGAGTCGGAGCTTACGAAGATAGGATAGCTCTCGGTTGAGTCCCGGGGTTCACTTGGGCTGGCAAAGCTGTCGACGGTGCTATGGCTTTCGCTTTCGCTGTCACTGTCGGAATCACTCCACATTACCGAGTATTCGGTCGAGTTGTCGGGTATTGGTTTGGCTGGTAGTGGCTTATTCAAGAAAAGCATTGATCGAGGTGAGTAGAGAGCTTTTGGAGGGACGACTTGCTCCAGTCCTTCAAGAGAACGAGAAGGTCGGACTGGGGGAGCCCTTGAATAAGAAGTGTGGGAAAACATCTTCGGAATTATCCCCAGGATAAAAAAAGATGAAAGATGAAACAAAGGGAAGCATTCAATATATAAGCGAGTTCAAAGGGAAGGTTGGGATCGAAAGAACAAAGAGAGGATTCAGTGTTGATTATCTACTCCGAGTAATCAGAGGCGATCTGCATTGTAACGCACAGACCAAACGCGAGGGGCTGCAAGGGGAGGATGTGAAGTGTCTAGAAACGAAATAGGAAAACGCGATGTAAATAGAAACTAAAAATTAAAATTAAGATTAAAATAAAATAGCACGTAAAATATCAAGATTCAAAACACAGCCGAATCCTGCCCCCAAGCAGAATCGGCTCATTTGTACTAGTATGTATTCGGCTCAGCTCATCCGTACCTGGTACTTGGTCTATCTAGGTATCTCATATTCCGCATCATATGCACGTTGAACTGCATGCTGTCATAAGCTAGAGACAGTACGACGTAGGTACTTATGTACATAGTAAGTCTGACAGTTCCTACTAGTTCGCCCATAAGGCAAGATATCAAACATACCTATATCCACAGTGGAGCAAATATTAAAGTGGAAATGGGGCTGTCAAACCTTCCATGTGGATGCCTGTATATTTTAGTATATTTTAGTATATTTTAGTTCGTTTAGTGAATAAGAATAGTAGTTTATTGCCAAAATAGGGGGGCTTGTCTCGCTCAATTTAAACACGGACCTACTGCAGCTGAAGGGTTATGCAGTGGGAAACGGCGTAAAAGTAAATCCTAAATTTTAGAGAATATTAGAGAAGAAATACTGACCAACTGTACCTTCCGAATTGGACGAATAAAGGAGAACCACGCAGGGTCGGACTAGACAACTGTTGACAACATTTGCCGGTAACTCGCAGATATTCGTTCGATACTCTGGAATGTCGGAGTTGCCTCCAAATCTTGGGATTCTCAGGCTCGGAACAGCTCTAGATAGTCATTTCATTATTTCGTATCCCTTCTCTAATCTGCCCCTCCATTGCGCAATTACCACACACATGAAGGCACCTGCATCTGAAATGCATCTCGCCCGAACTGGTTACAAGGGGAGTCAGCGCATGTCATGCAGTAGCTAAAAACAGGGCTGGTTTAGATATAAATGTGAGGGAAAAGAGAAAAATGGAAGGAAAAAGCAATACTGCCTTGGGCCGGATCGTAATAGTAGCTCTACTCTCTAATCTCCAGGTGTTTTGATCGACGTTCTAAGGTTAGGTCCGATGATAAGCGAGACATTCATCTAGTAAGAAGGCAACGCATTAATAGGTACTATGTCGAAGTACATCTCGAATACGGAGATACGGCGTAAGTACGGAGATTCGGAGTAGGTACGGAGTAGATACTCCACATTCCATCAATGTTCCAAGCTGTTCCTTAGTTCCTCATGCCACGTGAGGGCATGATGGGTCTTAGTCTCAGTCTAGTCTCAGTGCCATCCATGGCCAGGGATGGAAACACCCACGGGATAATAATCAAGTCTCAAGTAGTCCCAATCTCTCAATATCCGTATACTCTGTAGAGCATTCTGCATTTTACATTTTGTATGCATTATCACGCAAAAGCAATTTTGAATAATTATACTTTGCTGCATAGTACCCCATATGGAGCACTTTTTGTTTCCCCCACGAAAGTACAGATAATGTGGCTGACTACAAAGTGGAGTGGACTGGTTTGGGCCTGCACACGCGAACGGGTACAGACATAGGAGCACATTGGAGACAGGGGGTGTGGTTTTTGCTGGAATGGGCTCGGTCCAAATTCCGCGAGGAGAATTGATGATACGTAGATACGGAGTATATGAGTAGTGATGATTAGTCGTCGTTCTATCGGGTCGGCTATTGAAGTTTAATATTCGATTTGGTGACTAATGCGAGAATACCCCCACGATATACGGAGTACGGATCACGGAGTACTTAATACTATGCAGTATTATGCGGAAAAAGAAAATCCAACAATTATCTCATCGATTTGATCTATCAGTACATGGCGTTTTTTGCCGTTAAAAATCCAATCACTGGTCCCACATGTCCCCCTTGTTTCGGTCTTGCCCGTGTGCACGGAAATTGCAAGCCAGGGACGAGTAAAGTAAAATGGAAGGGATGTTCAGGATTCTATCAACATAGAACTCCATAGTGAAAAGTGGAAAGTAACACAGGGTAAGAAAGGAAAGGGGAGAGAAGGAATCTATCAACCGACCAGGGACACCATAAAAGCACAAAGGGAAAGGGTGAAGGGGGAAATAGTAAGAATGCCATTTAGTGGACGATCTACGAGCTGTTGTTCTTCTTGTCAGCCTGGGCTGAATCCTCCACAGCCTCGGCGGCTTCCGAAGACTGCTTGTCGCTAGAGGCGGCCTCAGCCTTGGCTTCCTCTTTCTCATCAATGTCATCGATGTCTTTGGGTGCAGGAGTATCGCTGTTCTGCTTGGTCTCCTCATGAATGAGATCTTCCTGCTCCTTGATCACCTCGAGACGCTGCTTGTTAGTAGCTGCGCCCTCGGCATTGTGGACCTCGAGCTCGATCTCATGGAACAGCTCCTCGGGGATGCTGGACAGCACAGACTTGAGGGCATCAATCTGCGACTCCATCTCAGACTCCTTGCCACCCTGAGTATAGCTGTAGGCATTGCTCAGGACCAGCAGGGTGGAAGGCACACCCTTCTGGAGACGGAGGTCAAGCCACATGGTGAGGTCCTCGCGCAGACGAGCGGGGGACACACCGTGGGTACGAATACCGCGAGATGCACTAGCCATCTGCAACTCGGGCACGGACAGTGAGTCAACACCTTCGTAGAAAATAGCCCGGTCGTCACGCTTGATCTGGCGCATGCGATGGCGAATGTTGTAACGGAGCATGGCATCGGTACCGAACGAGTTGAGATTCATGTAGCGGCAGATGGCCACAAGCTGGGGCCGTGACAGATTGTCCAGGGTCAAGTCATCCTTGAATATCTTGCAGACCTTGATAATGTCGTCGGTGGAGGGCGATTCACCGGTGGTCCGGATCTTGCGGAAGAATTCAGCAAACTCCTCGTTCTTGACTGTGGCCGCATTGAATCGCAGACCAGTCTCACGCAAAGTGTTGCGCAAAAAGCCGGAGACCTCCTTGCGGGTAGAGCTCAGATTCGAAGCCTTCTTCTCGCGGGAGCTCTTGCCTTCGTAGGTGCTGGGCAAAAGATTGGGGAAAAGCTTCAGGGCGATGGGAAGCAGCAGTTCGGCAAATGGAACGATGACGAACATCGAGAAGGGAACCAAGCGGCCCAGATCCTTGACGGTACGTTGAAGCTGCGATTACGAATTTCGAGTTAGCCTAGACCCCTAAAAAGAGAGTCTTCAAAGACAAACCTGGCGGTACTCTCTCCGAGTGAGCTCATATCCAGCTGCCATCTTCACTGCTAGTCGGGTACTGATCTTGACCTCTGTCGCCAGCAGCTTAGTACCATCCCAATAATGCTGGACCTCCTTCTTGATCTTCTGGCCGATCGTCAATTTTTTAGCATCCTTCTCCTCAGAGGTGGGCTTTTGCACCTCGGTAGACAGATCCTTTGTAGCTGTTGCCTTGGTGACATTGGTACTGGCAGACTCAGCCTTTGCGGACTGAGCAACGTCTTGTGACGATGGCGCTTCTTGCTCTACGGGGAGTGGCTTCTTTGCTTGCTCGGCGTTGAAACCGGGAGGAGGGTATGACTGATGAGAGGAAGTGTTGGATGTGGATTGTTCAGTGGCATAGCTCCGGTAAGAAGGGTTGAGGATTGCGAGAGCCGATACTTGTGATGGAAGACCGCGTCCATTTCGGAGAATGTTGGCCACAGACAATGGGGATGTACCGACACGAGTGCGAGCTGTTTATCCGGAAGATGAGAGGAAAAAGTCAGAGAATCTTGTCGCAAGCTGCTCCTTTATTGAGAGCGATCTTACCGGCCAGAGAAGGTCGCAAAGCAGATGTGTTGCGCACTAGTTGAGCCGATCTCATTGTGGTGGACATTTGCGAAAAGCTTAGGAGAAAAAGGGAGTAAGCCCGATAGGTCGAGCAGGGAATGGGAAGTACAACAATCTATGGTAAATTGTTGACAATATAAATATCGAGATGAATTAACTTATTCAGCGGTATTAATGAATGGTGTTAATGCAAGTTTGATGAGCCTGAAAAGTTGTTGTTACAATGCTCATCACGTTACACCACGTGACCGTATCCGGCGTTGGGAATTCGGTCCGCGGCCGCGGAGTTAAGGCGGTCGGGGCGGAACGGCAGAATTCCCACTAGGCAATTTCCATGCTTTGATTGTTTGAAACCTACAATTACTATTTGTCGTTGAATAGATCTAATATTATCCATTACACATAATGAGCCGGTGAAGTACAGTGGTTCTGGACTTCATATTTCTGAGTCTGAATAGGGAATGATTAGGATCTAAACGTTCTAGAATTTAAGTAATCTAATGTTTCCCCACTTTGCGTAATCTATAGAACTGAAAAGAATTCATACAGTGACAACTCAGAATTGTTTGTGACGTGTCATAATTTCGTGACGTGTTGTCGAAACATTTATTATTTCTAAATTCTGTACGGAGAACTCCGTATTCGAATATTGACTTGATCGACCTGCTAATGCTTCAGGCCGAAGACAACCCCGGAACATCTCGGCCTATATTTAGGCGTCTAGTTTCGACCCTTTCAAAGGTTACTAATCATGTGGATTTGATGAAATCTTGTTTCGTACTATTAATGCATCGATGATAAATGACTTCAAAAATATCAGTCCAATGGGTAGATAGTAGCTAGGTATTTCGACAATCATTAAACTTCTAAGGATCTTAGGGAGAATCGAGCCTTCGGAAGAGGTCTAGTGCCTAATTTCTTTTCAGCTTAGAATCAGGTTTGAAGAGCCTCACGTTAGCCTATCGGCCAAAGTCGCCAGCAAGAAACAAGAGAATGATTTAATTACATAGCTCCCCTTCATTTGAATTGTATTAACATCCCGTTAAACTGCGCAATCAAGTGATGCACTTGTCCCATATCAGTCTGATCATACTTGTCCAGCATACGCATAGCCCCGCTACCTTCCGTAGAAGGACTTGATCGTATCTTCTCCAAGATGACACGACCCAGCAACCAATATTCAGGTGCACATTTCATGAATCCATCCCGTCTCCACATTCCATCAAGGATCGATTTCTCGCCCGGTTGCTCAACGGGACCACGGAGGGCTTGCATTGTGTCCCATGCCACTTTCCAACGATCCATCCCACGTTCAATATTTAGAAACGCGGCGGGAGGAACCAGGGAGTTTTGAAGTTGGTATATTGACATGCACATTGCTAAATACTATAAGCTGGGAATCAATCTGGGATTTAAGTGGCTTCGCCTTACCGGAAACTATCACGAATAAGTTCAGCATTCCTAGGTGAGGGTATGCCTCTTGCATCCTAAGGGTCATATCTGTTTGACAGATTCCCTCGATGGACAATTTTAGTGTGCGAGGGTGGTCATGATTGGCCGTTGTCCATCTCTTCAACTCGCTGAAACAGCCACTTGCCGACTCTACCTGAAAACATACTTCAGGACAGTTGACACCCATATCCAGTTCTGCGACAAACATTCGAGGGGGTGCATTGTTAAAAATCACAAATGCTGTATCCAGCAAGAAAACGTAGCTCAATGTTCTGGCATGCTCTCAGTATGTTTTCTAGTCACTATAAACTCTTGTCAGACTCACCGAATCCTTTCCTCAATCTTGATATAGTGCTTCCAGTCGAATTGAGATTCCTTAATTTGGAAGTCTTGGTGTACTGATTGAGCTATCGCTAGATCTCTTGATACCTGGAATTTTTTCGGTGTCAACGGATGATGCCTCGTCATATGGAGCTCAAACTCACTGCAACGACCGTGCTGAATCTATGGCGTCTGATCCGTCGTTTAGCATTGCCTGAGCCCTCCCAATTTTGGAATAGACAGACGAAGTATGCTGCTTTTAACATTTCAAAGCTCATTTGATCACATGTATCCCCACCTGCTATTATATTCAAGTGCTCCTCTTGCATTGATTCATCGTCAAAGACCATTTCTTCAACACAATCAAACCACAGCTTCGCGCTCTGGCTGTCCGTGGAGGAAGAAAAGCATGAACCGAGGATTGCCATTGAGGCCAGCAAAACAGGTGACGCATTTATGGCATCAAACGAGGGCCTGTGAATGATAGGGCAGTTCGGATACCAATAGGTCCAGAAATCACCCAGATATCTGGAAAGATTCTCTGGAGAGAAAAAATCGAAGCACATTGTTTCAATTCGTGGTGACCAGGTGAAAGCAATCAGACTCCGCCTTGGCTTGTTGTCAACTGTCTCTTTCAATCTAGTCACTATCTCGAGCGTCTTCAATACCAAAGGGTGAGTTTCCCATTGATGTCCTAAAGGTGAAATAAATTCACTCTGACATGTCGGAGCCAGATTAATATCTCCAAAAACATCAAACCAGGAAATTTCTTCGTTAAGAGAGCTTCTAGACTGTGAATGTGAATCAAATCTTCTAGGAAGCTTCACCACCGTTCCAGAGTTGAATGATTTGTCCAGCCCGGATGCACTTGTGAATCTCGTCAAGAAATCAAACCTGCTGCATGAGACTTTCATATCCTGATACAGTGGCCCTGAGAAGTTCTCCGGTGGCAGATCGAGAAGAGAATGGTATAAAGAGAATTCCGCCCAATCTTCGATAATCTCCCCATCAAGCAAGACAGGAGGATGACAGTTTCCCTCAATTCGAACATCAGGTAACATGTCAAATTCAGCTGGGCCTTGAGACCCGGCAGTTGGCATTGCTCTATCTCCCATGACAGTATTTGAGATAGACTTGCTGTTTTGGAATTCCACATATGAACAGTCCTGCTCCTTTGAAACACAGGTACCACATGGATGCTGAGCATTACATGCCCGCTTCAATCTAGAGCATCGGTCACAAGCTTTCTTCTTCTTTCCCCTAGCTCGAACTGGGAGAGAAGGAATACTTGCTCCATTGGAGATTCTTATATTGCATGTCCTCCAATGACGGCTCAGGCTATCCCTGCGTCATAGTCAGCTTACGTATCTTGCATAATAAGCTAAAATATACCTCCGAGTAAATGCCGCGCTACAGAAAAGACAAAAATATGGGCGCCCGCCTTCATCTAAAAAATCGCATCTCAGACTAGCTCGCAGACCTCCCATGTAATTTTCAGACTTACGAGATGACAGATGTCTGTCCAGATGCTCAGCACGTCGGAACCTCGCAGAACATAGCGAGCACTGTAAACGGTATTTCGAGTCATTCATTCCAATTGATCAGGGTTCCTCGGACCGAGTTCTGAATTATTATTGTAACCTGAAGGATGGAAATGCGGGGAAACTCCACAGGATGGAGACTACGCCAGTCTTAAGAAAGTATGTAAGCGAGATTCATACCGCTTTGAGAGGTCAATATCAGCGGGATTTCCACCGCCTCCTCTTTTCCTCTTTCTTTGTAGATCGTGTACAGCACATACCTGCTTTTCACAGCTCTATGTATAAATACAAGGGTATTAGACAGACCAAAAGTACCATTCTATTCTGATACCAATTTAAATCTATCAAATACTAGCCTCATTCAATCTTCAAGTATGGTTGTCCCTCTAGCCCTCCCTCCAAATACTACTCAGGATGCATTCTCTCGTTTCTTGACCGAAGTATCAACGACCGTTGGTCCTGAGAATATCAAAGTAGTTCAATCGGCCGACGAGCTACAGGATGGATCCTACCTCGAACAACCACGAACCCACGATCCCCATCATATCCTGGACCAAGACTACTTTGTAGCATCTGCTGTTGTCTGTCCACGTAATGTACCAGAGATCCAGTCTTTGGTGAGAGCAGCCAACGATTATCAAATTCCCCTCTGGCCAACTTCCATCGGTCGTAACTCTGGATATGGAGGAGCCGCTCCTCGTCTTCGTGGAAGTATTGTGTTGGATCTGGGAAAGCATATGAACCGAGTCTTGGAGGTCAATATCAACGGTGCTTATGCCGTTGTGGAGCCCGGAGTGACATTCTCTGACCTTTATCAATACTTGGTTGATAATAAGTTGGATGACAAGCTTTGGATCGATGTAATTTTGCGTCTGAAGCAATTGATAGAATTGAATGAGTACTAACAGTTGCAGGTTCCTGATCTAGGAGGTGGCTCTGTGATTGGTAATACTGTCGAGCGGGGGGTCGGTTATACTCCTTATGGCGGTGAGTTAAGTCCACTATTCTTGGGATTTCAGATGTTGATCACTTCTTAGATCATTGGATGATGCATTGCGGTATGGAGGTGATACTTCCCACTGGAGAGATAATGCGTACTGGTATGGGAGCTTTACCGGAGCCAAAGAAGCCAGGTGCACCAGAAGTTCCTCTACACGAAGAACCTGGTAACAAGTGCTGGCAACTGTTCCAGTATGGATTTGGACCATACAATGATGGTCTCTTCTCTCAAAGCAACCTAGGGATAGTCACCAAAATGGGAGTCTGGGTAAGATCTGGGTATATCACAAAAAGGTAATGACCTTGACTGACACCTCGCAGCTCATGCCAAACCCTGGAGGGTATCAGTCTTATCTCATTACCTTCCCAAAAGATGAGGACCTTCACAAGGCTGTTGATATTATTCGGCCCCTCAGATTGGTAAGTCTGATATCATTTATAGATCTTGAGCTCTGTAATAACACTGATTGCAGCAAATGGTTCTTCAGAATGTCCCAACAATCCGCCACATTCTGATGGATGCAGGTAGGTTGTAAAGGTTTATTTCAAGTGTCAATTTCTAATAGCTATAGGTGTTATGGGGACGAAGGCTTCATATACAAAAACCACCGGCCCTCTTGGAGATGTAGAGCTGGATCAAATTGCCAAGAAGCTCAACCTTGGAAGATGGAACTTCTACGGTGCACTCTACGTAAGTTTAAATATACCTCCCGAGGTTTATTAGACTTGCTCTAAGAATTATTTACAGGGCCCCAAGGCCACTCGTGACGCTCTGTGGGGTATCATCAAGAAGGAATTCTCCGCGATTGAAGGGGCAAATTTCTTCTTCCCGGAGGACATCAAAGAAAACTGCGTGCTACACACCAGAGACAAGACTCTACGCGGAATCCCAACTTTCGATGAGCTGAAATGGATTGACTGGGTTCCAAATGGTGCACACCTGTTCTTCTCACCCATCAGCAAAGTCTCAGGCGATGATGCCATGCTTCAGACTAACATCACCAAGAAGAGAGTGATCGAGGCAGGATTTGACTACATTGGTGACTTCTGTATTGGCATGAGAGAAATGCGTACGTATTGAGCTCATCCCTGCATACACTTCGCTCTTCCAGCTGATATTTTTTCTTCGATCCAGATCACATTGTGTGCCTCGTCTTTGACCGCACGAACGCCGAGGAGAAAAAGCGACTCCATCAGCTTATCAAAACCCTCATTGATGACTGCGCGGCCCATGGTTGGGGTGAATACCGGACTCATTTGGCTATCATGGATCAGATTGCGGGAACTTATAATTGGAATGATAATATCCTGATGAGGTTCAATGAGACTGTGAAAAATGCCCTTGATCCTAATGGAATCATGGCACCCGGAAAGAATGGTATCTGGCCTAAGAACTTTAAGAGAAGTTTGTACAAATTATAAGTGTCGGAGAAGAAAGGGAATAGCCTGTATTGGAACATCAGGAGGTCTTCTAAATTGGAAAATTTTCAAGCTTTCTTCTGCAACCATTCAAATACTCACTATCAAAGATCTATTTAACTCCATTTTCATTGTTCATCAGAACCTCCCTAGTGTATCACAACATCATGGGAGAACTGCCGCCGGCTTCGTTGATAGCTCTGAACCACATCCTTGGCTGGTATGAAACATTCAGAAGGCATGTAAAGCATCAGCACTATCCCTTCAGTTATTATTGCGCCGAACCATCTTGTACGAGCCAGTTCTACAGACTTGACTGGGCAAAAGCTCATTGCTTACAGAGAACGGATGGGACCTCAGCCCGTGGGAATTCCCAATTTCATCAACCTCAAAACCCTTCAAATTGTCCCATTTGCCAAAGGCATACCGAATTATGGAGTGAGTTTTTGGAAAGTCTGAAAAACCATACCAAGGATTTCTTCTCGTCTGGGAACACGGGCCTAGATGTGTTCCAGCAGTAATTTGCTGCAGCCCTTTGAGTGCAATCTACACTCTTATGGCTAATATAATCGCTCTATAGTTCCTAAAGTCTATTACTTAGCCACATTTCCTTGGACCTTCAACATATACTAAGGCATCAAGAAGGAACAATCATATGCCTAGGTACGGTTAGCCAAGGTACTAGGTATAGGCCGAAGCAGGGCATCAATCGTTAAAGGATAAAATGTTTTCGGGATATTTCTAGGTACTTAAATGCCTAGTTAGAAGATAACTTATATATGGGCTACTCAGTAACCTTGGAACATCGATAAATATCCTATGCTTCATTACTAAGTACCAAGACAGCTGATAAAAGGTAATTTCAAGCCTTTATTTACTCGATTACATTTCATTGGCCTCTCACAAGCTCTTTTGAAGCCCTGTATATACCAGCCGTATCAGGATTTTTCTGGTTTTTTAAGTCTTCAAAGGTGTGCTAGTTATCTTGCTGTACTCGGTACCCTAAGCTGTCCCCACTGATCGCCAAGTGCTCCGCATTCCGTCACTCCGCAGCCTCCGCTTTCAGCTGTGTCATCGTCTCATACTTTCCCCCGCTTTCGAGGTTGACACAAACACCTCATACCATTTCAATTCATTACCTCTATTGCTTCAAAATCAAGCCTGAAGTCAAATTACCGATTCACAATGGGTGGAGATTCTCCGGCTGTCACACGGCTCACACCTATCCCAGCTTCGAAGACGTTGCCTGTCCTTGCTGAGCGCCCAGTCGGTCAACGAATCACCAAGATCTACACCGATCGATTGAAGCAGTTCACAGATGCCGGTCAATATAAGGAGCAAAACCTGATCTCAAAGTTGCAAGAAGCAGTCAATTCCGATGAAGACCATGTGAAGCTGTCAGTATACTCGGTTCCCGATCTGCAGCGGCCCACCTTCCAGGAAGCGACATCACACGAATTCAAAACTACCCATATCGGCGAATCGTTTGGCCCAAGCTGGTCGACCCACTGGTTCCGAATCCTTCTTACCATCCCAAAGCACATGCTTCACAAGGAACGACTGGAATTCCACTGGGACGCCAACAATGAGGGTCTGATTTGGTCAGAAGACGGTCGGCCTCTACAGGGATTGACTGGTGGTGGTGAACGAATAGAATGGATTATCCCTGATAAGTGGCGCGATGGAAAGGAACATCTATTCTACATTGAGATGGCATGCAATGGGATGTTTGGAAACGCTCCTGGAGGCGACTCGATTCAACCCCCTCGCCCGGACAAATTCTATACACTAAGCAAGGCACAGATTACTGCGGTGAACTTAGAAGCACGTGCTCTCTTCTATGATTTCTGGATCATTGGAGACGCTGCTCGGGAGTTCCCTGGAGACTCATGGGAGGCCCATGAAGCAAATGTGACAGGAAATGCCATAATTGATGCCTTCATTGCTGGCAATGGGAGCAACGATGCTATACGAAAAGGACGTGACATTGCACGGAAGTATTTAGGAGACAAGGTAGACTCGTCGGATGTCTATGCTTCTGATACAAACCCGTTCGTTTACGCCATTGGCCATTGTCACATTGACACCTGCTGGCTCTGGCCCTGGGCAGAGACGAAGCGTAAGGTAGCTCGCTCCTGGTCAAACCAGTGCGACTTGATGGAGCGGTATCCTGAACATCGATTTGCCTGCTCTCAGGCACAGCAGTTCAAGTGGCTCCAACAATATTACCCTGACGTTTTTGATCGCGTCAAGCGCTGGGTGAAGAAAGGCACCTTCCAACCGATAGGTGGCAGCTGGGTCGAGCACGATACAAACATGCCTAGCGGAGAATCTCTTGTGAGACAATTCCTTTATGGCCAGAGATTTTTCGAGAGTCACTTTGGAAAGCGATGCACCACTTTCTGGCTACCAGATACATTCGGCTATTCTACTCAAATCCCACAGATCTGCCGCCTTGCAGGCATGAGTAGATTCTTCACCCAGAAGTTGAGCTGGAACAACATCAACAATTTTCCTCATACAACATTCCAGTGGGTTGCGCTCGATGGCAGCCAAGTCTTGTGCCATATGGCTCCTGCGGAGACCTATACAGCTGAAGCCCATTTTGGCGACGTCAAGCGCAGCGTAACACAGCACAAATCAATGGATAAGGACAAGTCGTCCCTGCTAGTCTTCGGTAAAGGAGACGGTGGTGGTGGCCCGACCTTCGGACACTTGGAGAAGCTACGTCGCTGCCGCGGTCTTAGTGATAAGATTGGAACACTTCCGCGTGTCAAGATGGGCGACTCAGTCGAGGACTTCTTTGACAAGCTCGAGGCGAATGCTACCAGTGGCACTGACTTTGCGACATGGTATGGTGAGCTCTATTTCGAACTACACCGGGGTACTTATACCACTCAAGCAAATAATAAACGTAACAACCGCAAGTCTGAGGTCCTTCTACGGGAAATTGAATTCCTTGCTACATTGGCTACTATCCGTGGTTCGGAGAAAGAGTACAAGTACCCAAAGGCTGAGATTGATCAGATGTGGGAGAGCGTACTTCTTTGCCAATTCCACGACTGCTTGCCCGGCAGCTCCATCGAAATGTGCTATGACGACTCTGACAAACTTTATGCTAAAGTGTTTGAAATTGGCGCCAAACTGCGCAAAGACGCCCTTGTCGCTCTAGGAATCACTAGAAAGACTGCCTTCACGGAACTCGTGGCTCTCAATACCTTGCCTTGGCCTCGTTCGGAAGTTGCAAGAGTTCCAGAAACTCTTCCCTTTACGTCAAACAGGCAGAGTAAGTACGCCCTTATCAATGGGCCTACTGGAGTAATCTCGTGCCAGGAGGTGGACTTCAAAACTACGGCTGCAGTTACCGTGGCTGAAACTGCACCGGGTGTTTTCCGTCTTCAGAATGGCAAGCTCCGGGTAGATGTCAAAGATGGCACTATAACCTCCTTGTTCGATCTCGAGGCGCGGAGAGAAGTCATTGCAAAGGGCGGAAAGGCTGGACAGCTAGTCATCTTTGATGATAAGCCTCTATACTGGCAGGCGTGGGATGTAGAAGTCTTCCACTTAGAATCTCGAAAAGAGCTTCAGAGTGGCAAGACCATCATCGCAGAAAGGGATCCGCACCGAGCCAGTCTTGTGACTAAGACCCAGATTAGTGACAAGAGTTGGATCAAGACTACCATTAGTCTCTCTGCATCTGTCTCCTCTGAGCCTTCCTACGTGGAGTTTGAAAGCGAGGTCGAATGGAAGGAGACAATGAAGTTCCTGAAGGTTGAGTTCCCTGTAGATGTCAGCAATACCGAGGCATCCTACGAGACTCAGTATGGCATTGTCCGACGCCCAACTCACTACAACACAAGGTAAGTTAAAGAGCTCTTCCATATGGACCTGATCTTTCAAACTAACCTCTTCTTAGCTGGGACATGGCTAAATTCGAAGTCTGCTGCCACAAGTGGGCTGACCTGTCAGAGAACGGATACGGAGTCTCCATCCTCAATGACTCAAAGTACGGCTTTGCCACCTGCGGAAACCTGATGCGCTTGTCCCTTCTGCGGGCCCCTAAGGCCCCAGATGCCCACGCCGACATGGGCCGTCATCGCATTCGGTACGCCATCCTTCCTCACTCCGGTGCGCTCAATGACCGAACAATTCGTGCTGGGTACAATTTCAACCACCCACTGGTCATAGAGAATGCCAGTCCAACTACTACAGACTGCAATGCCGCGTTCAAGGCAGTGTCGATCAAGGGTGCGCCATCTGTTATCCTCGACACTATCAAACGCGGCGAGGATGACGAAGATGTCTCCGTTGATGGAATTGCCGTTCGTAAGGGTAAGAGCGTAATTTTGCGTGCTTATGAGTCCCTCGGCGGTAAGGCTCGAGGATATATCGAAAGTACCTTGCCTGTCAAGCGGGTTTGGAAGTGTAACGTTCTTGAGGATGATGAAAATGAGTTGGAGATTGTCAAGACTAATGGGACTTCGTCCGTCAGTATTGAACTTCGGGCATTTGAGGTTGTTACTTTCAGACTACAGCTGTGAGATTGGTATGGTCTTTCGGTATATGATTAAATTCAATATGTATCTCAAGAGAATGAACATTCATTTTACTGTCCTGAATTCTGTAGATAAAATGCGCAGTATTCCCTATGCGCCTATGATTTCGTCTTCACCAACTCCAATAAAATATTCAGTAGCCCTTGAAACTCCAGCCAAACGAAAATGCAATGAAACTTCCGTAGGACCAACTCAGTCCCTCCCATAGCTAATTTTCAAGCGCTTCGCAGGTTTATCCTCATCGGAAAGATCTTCAACCTTGGTATTCTTCGAACCACCAGACTTCTTTTTATTCTTCAATGCAGCCGTAGCCTTAGCTGCTGCTGCAATATCAGCAGCACTTTTCATCGAGGAGATATTGCCACCGGAAACAGACGTAGGAGTCGCAGCGTGAGAGGGAGTTGTCATCGCAGACGAAGGAGCTGGTGAATCCTAAAGAAACAAGTGAAAAAGTCAGTATCAACTGATAAATACTATCCTACTCGGCTTTCTTCATGCACTTCTGCTCACGCATACCATCATGTAACTTGCTGAGCTGTGCGAGAAAACTCGATCTGAATCTGTGACCTGAGCCTTGCGACGCCCGCCAACTCCTGAACCAAGACTCAGACCGGAAGCGCCGAGACTTGAGCCATTTGCTGAGCCTTTGATGTAGTTGTCGAAGCCTCTTATGATGTTTCCAGCCGTTGTCTCTTCGAGGTAGGATTGTTCAAAACGGGAAATTTGGTCTTCGAGTTGGGCCTGTGGAGAGAGGTTCAATGAGTTAGCCAACAGCCATTATAATACGGATATTGTATAGAGATCTAAGCAGCAGAAGATGGAGCAGAAAATGTATTCTCGTGATCTGCGTTTTGAGGCGTTTTTGACCGAGAGATGAGAAGGTGCAACTCACCATGCTCTTATCCATCAATCGCTTTCGCGTGATCGTATCCCTCAATTCTCTCCGCAACCTCTCATAGTATGGTAGTCCTCTGTTCGCAGCATTCTGCTCAGTCGGCGCATTCGGTGCCCCTGCGGCTGCGTTGGCTGGCGCAGCAGGCACAGTAGCGGGTGTTGCCGCGGGCGCGGGAGCTGTTTCGGCCATCACGGATGAAAATAGCGGATGAATATTTGGGTATCAAAAGTGTGTTATTCCGAAGCGCAATAGAGTTGATTGTAGATTTTGTGTGGCGAGTATGTGCCAATGTGAGGCTGTTCTGAGTGTAATTCCTTATCGAGCGATATCAATGCGGGTGTTTGCGCGAGTTTGCGCAGTTTGCAATTGGTCATGTCACCTCGACTCATGTTTACTTCCCCAACTGTCCATTATTGCTGATTTCCTCCGTTTGATTCAATATTATCTTTCTTGATATCTAGTGCTTCCTACTCGTCAACATGGACCACTCGATGCACATGCAACATACGGATCATGAGCATATGGGCCATGGCGATATGGGACATGGCGATATGGATATGGGAGCCAAGTGCAGTATGAACGTATGGCCATTATACGAATGTTTTTCGGTATCCATGTTCTAACTATATTTAGATGATATTTACATGGTCTTCCGATAACCTCTGCATTATCTTCCGCCAGTGGCACATCACTGGCCCCCTCTCTTTCATCCTCTCACTCATCCTCATCGTCCTCCTCACTGCAGGCTACGAAGGTGTCAGACAAGTAACTCGAAAGTACGAGGCAGCCCATGCCCAACGTCTGAGTGCGTTCGCAACAACTTCATCTACAGGAGGTAGGTCACTTTTTTTCTTGTCACCTTTGACTACTGGGATGGCGTTGGCATGAAGGAACTGGATCTATTGGTGTAACGGGAAGGCCCTTGTTTTCCCACTGCTTGAGCGAGCTCTCATTGATGTCTTGCTCTGCAGATAACCCAAACCTAATTCTGACCAACGCCGCCGAAGATGGACTTCTTCCTGGAAGTAGCGAGCGCTCACCACTGGTTGTAGGAAGGGATAACAGGGCCGCTGTTGCTCGCAAGGGCAAATTCACTCTTGCAGCGTTGTATGCGATTCAAGTCTTCTATAGCTTCTTCATCATGTGAGTTTTCTTGGGCATATCTCTACCCACTTGAATGGATTCCTGACTTCAATATACAGGCTTCTGTTCATGACCTACAATGGTGCGGTCATGATCGCAGTGGCAGTGGGCGCTTTCGTTGGCTATATTGCGTTCGCCGATGACGCGCCTGCTTCGAAGACGATCGCTTGCCATTAACAGTCGTCCTGTCTGAGCGACGCCTTACTCTAGCGTTCACATTTTATGCGATATCAAGCCATAGTGCATAGGAACTTCGTAGATTTCATTTCGCGTATCATGCTGAGCTGTGAATAAATCCAATTTGCGGATTTCCATATACTTTCAGATATATGTATGCATATTTTTACGGGACTTCAGCATCACTGTCGTCTCCGAATCCAAAGCTGAATCCACCTGCAGCTTCTGAGTCTCCCTCTGACTTGCCATGAACAATATCATCCCATTTTCGTTTCTTTCCCTCTGCTTTCTTCTGCAACTCTAGCTGTGCTTCGGCTAAAAGCTCCGGGTAGGCTTTGTGCATCCCGTTGATAAATTTCTCATATGGATTCGCGATTTCTTTCCTGAAACCAGAGACCTGGTCAGCTTTATTGGAGAGGAAGTCCAGGGCAGCTCCCAGTTGAGCACGAGGAACAAAGTTCTGAGTAATGGCAATAGACGGCTCCAGGTTAACGACAACATGCCACCACCCTGATGGAACATGCAAGATTTCTCCCTCACTACAGATGCCTTCTAAACAGCCAGGCGCCCGTCGAGCCTCAGCATGGAAGGTGAGGAGCCATTCGGCTATACTGAGAGGTGATGTCACCTCGCTCTGGTCTTCAGAAACAAAGACACCAGGTGGAGGGTTTTCACCTGGAGACATGATCCAGTACTTAGCACCACGAACGACTGCGTTCCAAGCGCTAGTCGCATTAGGGTCAGTATGAGGTCGGCTTCTGCACAACAGTTGTTAATATATAATGAGACACAATTTTGAGCAAATATCTTACCCAGAATTCTTCGGTCCAACAATCAACCACTGATGATCCGGCCGATCATTACCCAACACCGAGAATAGATCTTCCGAAAAACATTCTGGTGGCCAGTAAGATGCGTCTGGGGTCTCATTGGGTGGACCCACTGTCAAGCCCATCTTGGAGACAAAGGAACGATCGAACAGGTACAACGGACTTTCATCTGAATTATCGGCCATATACTCACCGTAAGTTCGTAGAGGCCAATCCACTGCTTCGGCGCGGAATTTACCTTGTCCATACTGGGATAGCAAGGTTCCAAACGACCACTTCTTGTAGACTGGCCATGTCTTGACTGGTTCGGTCAATATGAATGGTTGGTCAGCCCATTTTGAGTGGAATTCATCTAATGTGAGGTCTGGGAAGCGAGGAATCTGGTTTCGAGGAGGGATCTTGGCGACGTATGGGTCTAGCTTGATATGAGCACAGTTGAAAGGTCGGTATAGAACATCTGAGTAGAGATGTGAGCAGTCTATTGACGGGACTTTGGAAGCTGGCAGATTCAGATATGTTGATCGCCAAGTACCACGCCATGTAAAACCATCCAAGGGAGATCTATAAGAAGTTGATTAGTCAAAGACTTCCCTTCCCGCTTCTCGAGCCATGTTCGCCATGTTCCATGTTCCAACCCCCGTAAAAACCTTTAAACTTACCGAACGAAGAGAGTCTTCCATAATTCTTCTGCTTTTGTGAATGCATAGAATGCCTTAGATGTGCGCCCAATCTGAAGGAGGCTAGACCCATCTAGTTGTTCCAAGACAAGTAGAATTAATTCATCCGGTAGTCGTTGGAAAAGACCGATTGCATCCCGCAGACTCCATGCGGCTAGAAGAGAATTTCCACTAGGTTTCACTCCCAGTGGATGGCTGGGAATGGCTTCAACTTCTTCTCCATCTTGTGTTGGTGTATAACCGGGTAGCGTTGTAATGTCAGGCATTGTTCCGTGATAAGTAGGCTTAGGGCTTCACTATTTTTTTTCTGCCGGTCCGATCAACTTCTAACAACCAGCGAGACTGAATGGAAAATCAATCGAACTAAGTTTGAAGAAAGAAAAAAAGGCACAGGCCCAATTCCACAATCAAATGGGAACAATCCTAAGATTAAAAAAAAACAAGACTGATTACTTTTCATCGCATACTCGCTTGGGCCGGGCGGGGTCACGGGACCTTCCCATTTAGGTAAGCGGTAAGAACCTAACCCACCCTGGAAAAAAAAAAAAGCGTGTGCAGCAAATGGCGTCCGTCGTTGATTTTTTCTCTCTTTTCTCTCTTCCCACCACTTTTGTGACCTCACATCAACCCACTTTCTTCAACTCCATCAGTATCAATACGCTCTTCTATTGAAGAGCCTTGATACTACCTTCAACTTCTTTACGAACTACCTCCACAGGGCAAGTTCGTTTCATTTCACCCCACCCGATCACAGCGACCGTCGCCTGTGATCACCACTTTACGACCGCCAATATGTCGAACGACAAGGGCCTCGAGGATCTTCCCGAGGGTATGTGATATCTCCTTTTATTCCTGGTCGCATTTCATTCTTATTGCTCGATGAGTTTTTGGAATGCGACTGGCGGTCGCCGGATAAAACGGCAGGGAAAAAAAAACAAACTTATTGGAACTGACATCTTCTGCGCACTTTTCAGGAGCTATCGAGTCTAACTATGACGAGATCACCGATTCTTTCGACTCCATGGATCTGAAGCCTGAGCTTCTCCGCGGTATGTTATTCAGAACCCACCCCTCCCCCTTTGTGGTGGGGTATGCAGAAAATTCATTTCCTAACTTGGTAAATAGGTGTCTACGCCTACGGTTTCGAGCGCCCCTCTGCTATCCAGCAGCGCGCTATCATGCCCATCATCAAGGGTAAGTTCCTTCGAAATCAAATCTCCTTTTTAAATCATATGCTGAACTGTTGGGATTAAGGTAGCGATGTTATCGCCCAGGCCCAGTCCGGTACTGGAAAGACTGCCACTTTCTCCATTTCCGCTCTCCAGAAGATCGACTCCAACCTCAAGTCCTGCCAGGCCTTGATCCTCGCTCCCACCCGTGAGTTGGCTCAGCAGATCCAGAAGGTCGTTGTTGCCATCGGTGACTTCATGAGCATTGAGTGCCACGCCTGTATCGGTGGTACCAACGTTCGTGAGGACATGAACGCCCTCCGTGACGGCCCCCAGGTCGTTGTCGGTACCCCCGGTCGTGTCCACGACATGATCCAGCGTCGTGTCCTCCGTACCGACCACATGAAGCTGTTCATCCTCGACGAGGCCGATGAGATGCTGTCCCGTGGTTTCACCGAGCAGATCTACGACATCTTCCAGCTTTTGCCCCAGTCCACCCAGGTTACTCTCCTGTCCGCCACCATGCCCCAGGATGTCCTCGAGGTGACCACCAAGTTCATGCGCGACCCCGTCCGTATCCTGGTCAAGAAGCAGGAACTCACCCTTGAGGGTATCAAGCAGTTCTACATCGCCGTTGAGAAGGAGGACTGGAAGCTTGACACCCTGTCCGATCTCTACGAGACCGTCACTATTACCCAGGCTGTCATCTTCTGCAACACCCGCCGAAAGGTCGACTGGCTCACCGACAAGCTGACTGCTCGTGACTTCACTGTCTCCGCCATGCACGGTGACATGGAGCAGGGCCAGCGTGATGTTATCATGAAGGAGTTCCGTTCCGGATCTTCCCGTGTTCTGATCGCCACTGACCTTTTGGCCCGTGGTATCGATGTTCAGCAGGTCTCCCTGGTCATCAACTACGATCTCCCCGCCAACCGTGAGAACTACATCCACCGTATCGGTCGTGGTGGTCGTTTCGGTCGTAAGGGTGTTGCCATCAACTTCGTCACCGCCGACGATGTTCGCATGCTCCGCGAGATCGAGCAGTTCTACAGCACCCAGATTGAGGAGATGCCCATGAACGTTGCCGACCTCATCTAAACTCCTTACTCCTCTTTTTATGTCTTGATGGCGGATTATGATCGCAGAACCTGCGTCAAAAGTGGCTTTCTGTGTTTTCAACCCATATCCGCTACGCAGTTGGCTCCTTTGATTCTGGTCTGAGCCCATTCTTTACGAGTTTAGTTGAGGGCTGAGCCCCCAGATCTTTGGAGCAACGGCTATGGTTTCCTATGTTCTGCACTTACGGAGATGTGACACGTTTCCTTGCGTTTTGTTGCTGTCATGTCTTTCCTTTTCCCCGCATTTACCGTTTATTTTCCCTCCGTATCTAGCTCGCTCCGGTTTGGTTAAGGATTTCATCACGCTGTCGTCGTACTTAATCAAATAGATCGGGCCAAAATGTGACTTCGTCCTTACAGGATTTCTCTATTTCCATTGTATTTCATTAATCCATGTCAAATTAATGCTAAAGGTAAAGGAAGGTAAGACAACCAGCATGTTCTAACATTACTTTTCATTGGTTCTGATATTCGAAATGACTTCAACTTCTTGAAGCAGCGCTCTCATCTTACCTTACTTTATCGAAGTGATCTTTCTCGGTTTCACTTCGACTTACAAGAGACTCATTGATGCTAAAGGTGAAAATAATACGTAAATAATCGTTCTAAAATTACCTTGCTTTTGTTTTTAGTTCGAAGTGACTTCGACTTTTTAGGGCTCACTTTGACTTCGATTCAGCTACTTACAGCCACGTCCACCACTCCGACTCAAATATCCTGCCACTTCGACTTCGACTTCTAATTATTATTCGAGTTTTCTGTTGGAAATCGGCATTTATAATGCCCTTTTCACGCTCTTTCATTTCTTCTTCCTTGGATATTCTTCCCCGCCACTGATTTCCCGGAAACCAGTCCTTTCGCGCCTGCGCCTTTTTCCTGTCTTGTCCCGCATAGGAAATGCGGTACGCCCCATACACCTGGGGTAACACCCTGCGAGAGTTGCAAGTGCAACGCCGCAGGGCTTGTCCAGCGACTGGGCAAGCTCTTCACCACAACTATCATTGTTGGCAATGCTCTGGTCCAACATGCCAACCCGTTCCACCAAGACATCTTAATACCGACCTTCTCCACAACCAGCTGGGGGAAATTCTGGCCTATTCTACCCTCCCCACCCTGGCCATGAGTGCTGTAAAGCTCGTTTACGTTAGCGTCCAGCACTACAACTTTCTGGGGAAGGTCAGAATCCTCCACTGGGACCTGGGTCGTATCATGAACCTATACAACTACGACGGACCTATGGAAGTCGGTAGCACGTCCACAAACCCGATCCTGATCGTGGATTCGGAGGATGAGGAGACCGATGAAGAAAGTTCGGAGTCTGACGACGACTCCCAAAATGCCAAGATGCCGGCCTTTGTTCTCCGGTCTAACATCTTCACCGGCGTGAGGCTGCCCTTGGCGAAGTGGAACTGTGGAGTCTTCTGAAGCAGAGGAAGACTACCCACATCAACAGACACTTCCAAACCGCCAGGGTGATTCTCTTCTGGCAGCAGTACCGCCGTAGATTCGATGAGGCCGCGTTCTTTCGGGCTTTCCTGGGGGCCTCATTCTACCGAATGAACGCTGCCAGGTGCGCTGGAGGGGTAAGGATGGGGAGTGGATGTGTCTCTTCGAACAGAGAATGATGCAAAATATCATCGCAAACAAAGACGGCCTCGACATTACGCGTCAATTAACAGACCGGGATGAAGAGATCAAGCAGCTTGAGGAGCAGGTCACCAGCAAGGGTGGCAAAAACAGCAACCTCCATGCACGAATAGATCTTATAGAGCAGCAGATGCAAGACATGTTGACCTCGCAGGAAGGTTTTTTGGTCTCGCAGAAAGGTCTTTTGGCTATGCAACACAGCTACTACAATGTTAGACAGCGCACGATCTCATCTTGGATCCAGTACGCCTTTTCCAAAGACAGCGCTGCTCACATCGCAGCAATCCGCGAAACCAATAAGCTTATGCATGGGGGCGATATTACGATCGACTCCCGGATGGTGCTAGAGGTTTTCTCCAAGCAGCTCGAAACAAAGCACTTTCCTCTGCTATACGGCCTGTCAGCAACGGAGACTCAAGAATTTTGTATTTCCTATGATTTCCTAAATTGTCTTCTTATTGCTTATAACTCTTAGATCCCAAGAAATGTGTGGAGTCAACTAAAGCGCTTGATCGAATGGCGTCCGCTCTTCTAAACAAAAACTCCCAGCAACTTTCCGCGGGCCCTCATGAAAAGCGAGATGCCCTTGTGACGTGACGTGCCTTTGGGCTAATAACTACGATGGGGCGGAGGATATTGCAGCAAAATATCTTCTCTCTATTCAGGCTACTGAAGCCGCTGTTGAAGCCTCTATATAGAGGGAGACAGGGGTAGGGTGGTAATAGCTATGGTGGATACAGACATCCCTTGACTAGTTTAAATCCATATGAATATATGATTTCCTTTTTCTTCGTCTACCGTGTGCAAGACAGATTTTCCGTCCAAATAGACGACGTCCACAATAATGCAGTAGTTAAACTCTGCGTCGTCTTGGATTTTGAATTAGAATCGGCCAAGGTATTTGTGGATCTAGCAATAATGGCAGAACCTTGTTAAGTGTACTCTAAAGCTATCGACGATTAATTGAGATCTTTCTTTCGGTTTCTATATGAATAAGAGCGTATTTGAGGTTATCTAAATAGACGCCTAGCCGGTCCATATTTGCTATAGAGAGCAAGAATACCCTTGGCACGAACACTTACGTCTCCAGTGTAATGGGTTGATGCAGTAATAATGCATTAGCTAGATTTACTATATGGCTTTGTGCAAATGCGAAGGCAGCACTGTTTCAGGAGGGATTACCCTATCCAATATTAGTTTTTAAATATTCAAGGATCAGTACGGTATTCATGCATTAGCTTAGTCTCACCCTGATGCTCACCCAACTGCTGGCCGCGTTTAAGCCACACGCCGGTCAGTTAGAATAATCGTCCGGCGAGAAGTATCAACGGAACAAGTCAGATCTACTTCATAAATTGGCCAAGAAGGCTGAAATTAATCGCTGGCGAGTTCAGCTAGATATCGCTGTTCACTACAAGGTTGAAGAGAAATAAGGACAAATATAAGGGCCCGTAGCCTGGTTTGCTATTTAAATATACAGTCATTCTCGAAATCGGCTTGACCAATACACACAAAGTAACTCTGTTCAGACCCGACTACCTGCACAATAACTAAACGGACCTGCTGCCTCACAACCCTGTCAGCAAGTAGGAGATGGCCTGCTTTCAGGATGGTCGCGTCTAAGCACCTTCTCTCGTGCTTCTAACGTCCGTCGATACATCGCTTCCGCCTCTTCATATTTTCCTTGGCTATCAAGCACTGAGCCAAGGTTATTGACACTGGTGAGCGTGTCAGGATGCTCGCGTCCAAGCACCTTCTCTAGTGTTTCCAACACCTGTCGATGCATCACTTCTGCCTCTTCATATTTCCCTTGGCTATCAAGCACTGAGCCAAGGTTATTAATACTGGTAAGCGTGTCAGGATGCTCGCGTCCAAGCACTTTCTCACTTCCTTCCAGATCTCGTCGATACATCGCTTCCGCCTCTTCATATTTCCCTTGGCTATAAAACACTGAGCCAAGGTTATTGACACTAGTAAGCGTGTGAGGATGCTCGCGTCCAAGCAACTTCTCTCTTGCTTCTAATGCCCGTCGATGCATCACTTCTGCCTCTTCATATTTCCCTTGGCTATTAAGCACTAAGCCAAGGTTGTTAATACTGGTGAGTGTGTTAGGATGCTCGCGTCCAAGCACCTTCTCACTTCCTTCCAGGTCTCGTCGATACATCGCTTCTGCCTCTTCATATTTTCCTTGACTATTAAGCACTAAGCCAAGATTATTGACACTGGTGAGCGTGTCAGGATGGTCGCGTCCAAGCACCTTCTCTCTTGCTTCTAATGCCCGTCGATGCATCAATTCCGCCTCTTCATATTTCCCTTGGCTATCAAGCACTAAGCCAAGGTTATTGACACTGGTGAGCGTGTGAGGATGCTCGCGTCCAAGCACCTTCTCTCTTGCTTCTAACGCCCGTCGATGCATCACTTCCGCCTCTTCATATTTCCCTTGGTTATCAAGCACTGAGCCAAGGTTATTAATACTGGTAAGCGTGTCAGGATGCTCGCGTCCAAGCAACTTCTCTCTTGCTTCTAATGCCCGTCGATGCATCAATTCCGCCTCTTCATATTTCCCTTGACTATTAAGCACTAAGCTAAGATTATTGACACTGGTGGGCGTGTCAGGATGGTCGCGTCCAAGCACCTTCTCTCTTGCTTCTAACGCCCGTCGATGCATCACTTCTGCCTCTTCATATTTCCCTTGGCTATCAAGCACTGAGCCAAGGTTGTTAATACTGGTGAGTGTGTTAGGATGCTCGCGTCCAAGCACCTTCTCACTTCCTTCCAGGTCTCGTCGATACATCGCTTCCGCCTCTTCATATTTTCCTTGACTATCAAGCACTAAACCAAGGTTATTGACACTGGTGAGCGTGTGAGGATGCTCGCGTCCAAGCACCTTCTCTCTTGCTTCTAACGCCCGTCGATGCATCGCTTCTGCTTCTTTATAAGCTCCTTGAAGATATAGAAACCAACCACATTTAGATAAGAGAGTGGCGACATTTACTCTATCTTCATCATCTTCGTCATATATAGACTTCAGCACACTTTTGGCGTGCGCAAGGAGCGATCGACATTTTGTCCAGCTTTCGAATTGGCCATCCGGAAACACCCTTGCCATAATCCCTCGGGATTTGGCCTGCCATCTATAGAGCTGCTGGTGCATGTTGAGCCACGCCCGGACTGATAGTTGTACTAGGCGGTGCATGTTAAACAACTTTTCGTTAATTTCTAGTCGGACCAGAGAATAACTGAGTAGCGGCGCTAATGCATCGTGGAATTCTAGGATATCTTGCTCGTAGTCGCGCACCAGATCTTCCGGGATCCCCTGCCGATCGAACATACTCATCAACGCCAGGAGATTTATCGCTGCGGGCCGCTCCTGGCGGATCTGCTCGAACGATAGCTGCCACGTTGTGATCACCGCATATCGAATGGTGGGATCGCGCCGGAGATCCGCAGAATCCTCATTCTGGAGAAGCCGCATCTGCTTCGACTCGCTTTCATTGAAAAGTTGAAGATATATAGAGACAGTAATAAAGGGCAACCGATTGGCAATATACGCCGCAGCCTGCGTGATAGCGAGTGGGATATACTCTAGTGCCTGGACCAATGCCTTCTCGTCATCTTCAGACTCTCTAGAGTAAGGGGCCAGAGCCCTTCCTCTTAATAGGACGAGGGAATCTTCCTCATTCATTGGCTGAACATCAATCACATGGCCGTCGCTCCCTACCAGATTCTGTGCTGCGAGACGATTTCGCGATGTGATCAGCATTGATCCATGGGCAGCCTGGGGCAGGAAGTTCACCAATGGCACTTGTTCATTAGATAGATCACCCCTAAAAAAGATACCATCGTCATCTGCGTTATCTAGCACCATCAGCCAGCGCCCATTTTGCGGATCACATAACCACTGATACACGAGCTGGAGGATGTTCGTCTTTGGATTGTCCCGTCCCGGAATCTCCGCTACTATAGCAATCTGCTGGTAGCTCTGTTCTAACCGCGCCGTATTACTAGCGTGGATCCAAAAAACCCATATGTACGGTGTGAATTCTCGCACGCGATAAGAGTACTCAATAGCTGTCTGAGTTTTTCTGAATAGTAGTTTTGTTAGTTATAATCTAATAAGTTTTCTTATAGGATAGCTCACCCAACGCCGGCTAACCCTACTAATACAACCCGCGCGTGACGCTGACCGATCACCCCATGTTTTCCCTTAATCATACTGATCACACTCTCACGGCCTATAAACATCGGGTCCTTCTTAAAAGGCACTGTGGAGCACGGCTGGGGCTTCGGGCGCGTCTGCGCTAAAACAGTCGTCGTTAGCTTATCTTATAGAAAGACACTAAAGTAAGTCACCTACCAAACCGACCCGCAACTACTGATGGCGCGTCTTTGGCGAACTGCCGCAGTTTATCGAGCGCCGTTCGATACCCGGTCGCGTTGCGCGTGTCGAATTTAACCGTCATTGAGTGGTCTGCATATAGCGGCACCTTATCTTCTATATGGTCGGGAAGTTGGAGAAGAGCCGAGTCTGCGCCAACCGTCGTCATAAACTCCCCGGTGCGTTTCCATCGTCCACTTTCCGAGTCCTATTACAATCGTCAACATATGTTATAGCCTGTTTTAGATAAAGACCAACACAGACCAGTACCAGCCGCCTAGTCTGCTCCATCTCATAGAAGCTGACCACCTTCCGGTCCCGGATCAGATTTTTGAAATCGGCTAGTTGATGGATCAGGACATCCGAGTTTCTGGAGATCTGTTGTAGTAATTGCTCTCGCGGATAGTTGCTCCGATCCCCTACTAGCATCTGCTGGATATCATCCATCACTAATCCTTTATGTGGGATGGCAAAGAGGATCATGCCGTATGTGGCTCGATGTAGCGACTTGATCGCCGGATGGTCATCCTCCATTGTCTGAATAGCCCTTACTAGACACTATAAGTTAATATTAGTATATTATATATTATATCTTAAATTGGGTGGCGGTCTTACGTGAGCCACGATAATGCCTCCAAAGCTATGCGCGATGAAAATCAAAGGTCTCTGATAGAGCTAGTCAAAGAATCAGCCCACACTTGCGAAGTTGCGATCAATAACCAAGTCAGATCGCGTCTCATACCTCTGTCGTGTTCCGAATTTTCTTGATTTCCTCCATCAGCCCCCGCCCGTAGTCAAGAATCGTATCGATACCGGGGCTCGACAGCTTAGAGTTATATCCGTAGATCATGGTGCGGCACTGCGGAAGATCCTTCGACAGGAAGTCACGGAGCCACATCCGACCGAGATTTCCTCTGCCCTGCCACGACCCATACGCATGTCCATCTAGTCCGGTGATGGCGATGATGCTATATTGCGGTATTAGTTAATTAAAATCTGCTAGACATAGATAAAGGCGTAGTTCTTACTCTATAGCCACTGGCTTATTTTCGTCCGACGCGTAGAGCTGGGTAAATCCAAAGAAGTTGCAGTCAAAGTTGATATCATCATCTTCCATCTCGATCTGCCAGTCTCCGAGTGGATCAACTCTCAGCTCATGAAGGAACTGAGGCACCCCGCCGCGGAACTGCACCAGCGCCACCCTCTGTGTGTCATTTTCGTAGCATGAAGGGACTATTATGATCTCAGCCTTGATATGTGATCTCTCGTCGTCGGTGAAGTTGTCGTTAAGTGTCTCTTGTAATACGGTTTTAAGATCCCCATCGGGCAGTGCCCTCGACAGGCCTGTCACCCGGAAGACGTGCGACTTTTTCTGGCTAGTCATCGGGACTGTCTTCGTTACAGTGGTATATCAGATGAGGGTGGACTTTATGTCGTTTACTGATGGATACCTCAGCCTTCCAGTGAAGCTGAATCCATTGACAGGTGCGGGGTATCGAGCATGCACCTCCAGTCATTACTATTATCACTTCGTATATACGACTATACACTACAATAAATGTAAGTCACTCCTAAATCATTTATTTATGGAGAAAATGCTTCAGCGACATATACTATATCAATGTTTCGTTACCTTCTACAGTAAAGGCTAGTTTCTTACAAACTCTGATTATCACTGTTATCTAGCACCCTTAATAAAAACATTCTAATTCCACAGTATCCTGGTGATGTCTTTGGCAACCTTTCTAGGAAACCCAGGGCTTTAAGTGGGGATTAATCATGGCCTAATTTATTATTCCGCGGGGAGGTTCCACAAGATCCACTAGGTTAACTCAACTAACTATTATAACCTCCTTATACCAGCCTTGCCTGATGAATTTTATAGGTTAAGGTGACTAATTAGAAACGTGAATGAATAATTGATCACTTCAGCCGAAAATAATGTAAGGTAAAAGACAGAAACTGAACTACTAACTAATAGAAAACTTCTTGTTAGCTAAGCAGCTTGTTGGAGAGATGTAATCGTCGGGAGTGTTACAGCTGATTCTGGAGCGACCACGAACCACTATGGAAGAGATCCAGGAAGATGATTCTGACTACAACAAGGATGAATCACCGGCACAAGTGGCCATGGTCATGGTACAGGACTCTACCCCAGCTCCTCCAGTGGTAGTTACGCCGCTCGCACGGCGCGCAGAAGTAGCCTAGAGATGGAAAGGAACCTTGGCGGAAATTGATAGAATTCAAAGGTGGAGAAAGAAGAGTGAGTAATACCCTTGAACATTTCTTTCCACTATGACATATTAAGAGAATCTGAAGCTAGTTAAGATCATAAATTACAAGATTCGAGAGCTGAGGTCTGGAGAGACCACTAGGCCTAGAGAGACTAGGTCTGGAAAGAACACTAAGGCCTGAGGAGACCCAGTCTGGGTTTCAACGATTATTAAACAATCATAGTATATATTAAATTCCACATTGGTACACACTATAATGACGTTCTTGGAGATAATAATAAATTCCTACTCATGTATGTTTATTCCCAATCTGATAAATCACATTAATTCACCTTTGCTGACGTCTTTACGCCTAGCCCTATAGTCGTAAGCCCGATGGATCTTTCCCACTGGATGGAAAGGATCTTGATTTATTCACAGGTGAGGTCCTGGTAACTCTTCTGAAATCTGCTCCTATTCGCTATAAGGTTGCTAGGATGATAGTTGTGCGGCTTTCAAAAACCTTGGTTATAAAGGGTGGTGAGGGTAACGAATTGACGGATTTGAGATCCGTTACCATACCTATGAAGAACTAATGTTAATAGATGATATCGATGCTAAAATGGTAAATAAGGTCAATATTTATGGATATCATTCGAAAAGATATGTTCTATGAGAGCCCCACCGATGGAAGTAGATAATTATACGCTATTCCCAATTAGGAAAGATTAATCATTCTGCGATCTATACAGAGTATCATCTTGACTGCGTGAAAATACTGTCGCTCGCTTAGCGAGCGTAGCTAGCTAATCGCTCGTTACTGAGAACGGTGAGCTCCAACGAACCACTACTCAACACCGTAGACAAACCACCAAGTGTAGTGGTCTCTACAGTACTGAATATTGTGGTTGTTGTGAAGTCTGCTTTTTCATTGATGAAAGAACTAGCTACTTATAGTACATGGGCGCCCCTCTGCTCTGGACGAATGTCAACATTCGTCCGAGACAGAAGAGACGGTGAAGACGGGACATTACTGTCGCGAATGCGCATCGCTCAAGGGTGTCGTTTGCGATGAATGCATATCGTTCAAGGATGCCGTGATATACTAATCCAGTTCCGGAGTCGCTGTCTCGGCAGAAGCTTTTTCGGCCGAAATACTTTCCGTCTGTTGATGGCCTTGTTTCTCGGCTGTCGCAACAAATACCACGATACTCTACAAAAATGCCACACATAATCATAGCGATTCCACAGTGTCTCTGAGTTACACCATATAGAATAGATATTATGAAAAACGAAATTAGTTTAGGGTTATCAGTTCCGGTTTAGCGCCATGATAGCGATGCCACTATACCTAATTAGAGTTTAGCGTCATAAGTCTGTAGTTCCCCCCAGTCTTAGTTTTTCTGCTCCGCTAACTCTCTCCACTACAACTCTAGGCTTTATCAATTTCGTTCAGCCTTCCTATTCAGAAATACAAAAACAATCTCTCATACACATTCACGAGAATGTCTCACGCCTCTCCTACCAAGACTCAGGGCTGTACTAGCAGCGATAAGAGCAGAAACGATAATAACAGCAGCGATAATAACAGCAGCGATAATAACAGCAGCGATAATAACAGCAGCGATAATAACAGCAGCGATAATAACAGCAGCGATAATAACAGCAGCGATAATAACAGCAGCGATAATAACAGCAGCGATAATAACAGCAGCGATAATAACAGCAGCGATAATAACAGCAGCGACAATGACAGCAGCGTCGTTAAGGACGTTGATTATTATCAAAGCCTTTTTGACGCCCGGCTCGCCCTTCTGAATAAGATGCCACCTGAGGAGTACAGGAAAAAAATACCCACGTATGTCTACTCAAGGAGCCTCTCATCTAAACCAATCAACTAAATTTTCTCATAGAACGCTCCGTCGGCTGTTCTCCTGTAGAGGCTCAACGAACTACCGATGAGATTATGTTTAGCCCTGAAGATGATGAAGATGATGAAGATGATGAAGATGATGATGATGAAGATGATGAAGATGATGAAGATGATGAAGATGATGATGATGAAGATGATGAATAGTTTAGAATTTGCTTTTTAGATAAGCAATATGAAATGCTTCTCTGATTCGAACCAGTGATTGATATCTTTTGTCAACTACAAATTCATTTTATTCCTATGCTATTCGGTTGGCTTTACATAATATACAACTGGAGAATTCCAGATCCACGCTAGGCTGAAGTATTCCATCTTCTTTTATAGTTAGAGTCCAGTTCTTCGCTGGTAAACTTAGATGCCTATCCTTTTAATTGAAGAGAATGTACTTAATTGATGGACCTAGACTGATGGAAATACCCTGAAAACACCCTGAACATTAAGAAGTGTTCTCGGCCTCCAGAAAAGTCACTGGCCTTAGAAACCGACAAGTAGGCATAAGAGAATAAAGTCGTAATGAGCACGGGATCGATAAGAATGATAAAGACCTATTTGATCGGATAGTGGGTACACATGGTTTAACTCGGGGGAAGACAACGGAATCTCTAAAATGGTGGTGTTTTCGTATAGTCAATAATTAATAGAAAACAATACTTCAGACGGACAGCGCCCAATCCCAGGATGAATAATCGTCCCGACTTAAGACATAGATGCGCTTGGTGAACTTGCCTGTGAACAGTGCAAAGGCATTCATCTTTGTCTTCTTAGAAAGGGGTAGGCCTGAGACGAAGTCAATTGCCAATGTGTGAAATGATATCGGCGGAAGTATCGGTGAGGGAATCAGTCCGTAACGAGCACGGAATAAAAGCCGATTCGGATAGGTATACCAAAAATCACAAGAAGCTAAAAAGATAAAAGAATGACTTGTCTTAGCTAGGCTTAAACCTAGGCATCATGTGTGGTGTATCTTCTCACGCTCGCGAGGGTTCGTCCTCAGGATATGAGAGTTGAGGCATTCCATAAAGCTGTGTAGCAGACCATACAAGTTAATATTTTCAACCCCACTGTCGATAAATTGACGACTTCCATGAGGCCCACTAAAAGTTGCAATGAATGATTGGAGGTAATCAATAAATTCATTTTCAATTTATTTGTTTCCTGGTTTCTTTTGAGACCATGTAATCAAAGCCTTTTGTTGCTTTAATTCCGTGATGTCGGGCGTTAAACTCCAAGCGCTTTTTCGAAAAGTTCCATGCAATCATGCCGAAGTACTTGCTTCTGGCGTGAACAATCGCCCTGATATAGTTAGTAAAAGATGATCAAAAAAAATATAAGAATAAAAAACTGACCGAAATAAACAGAGGCAGGTATTTCTGGCCGCAACTTCGCTCAAACATTGGATTATCGCGCTTTTCCGGCTGATCAAATCGGTTGAGACTTTGACTCGGTCATCAGTCTCGAACTTAGACTTGGAATTCTTCCATGTCTACTCTTGGGAAAACTTTGACCTCTTCCTCTCCGCCCCAGCCATGAGCGCCGCAGAGCTCGTTGATGCTGGGTCATTTCTAGCTATTTTCAGAAGTAGAGATAGAAACTTCTTTTCAGCTATAAGCCTAGACAACCTGGGTGACAGCTTGGAACGCACTGTGATAAGTGATCGTTGCTCAATGTGAAATTCAATTGTTTATGCTACAATTCAGTACGAAAAACAGCCATGAATTCTCCAAGAACGCGAGATGGAGATTGACATGGAACAAGATATAAAAAAATAGCTCCAAAGACAAAAAATTATATGACCGTATGATAATTTCACAGCACCAATCGCGCAGGCTCAACTTGGAGGAGAGTCTTAATGCGCTCCAGAAACTCCTGCGCGCGCACTTCCTCGCCAACGGGGACAGTCAGACTAAAGGTGTTCAAGGCAACACCGACATCCTCGGCAACAGGTGCCGGGGCAGTAGCGCGCTTGCCAGGCTTGGCGCTAAGGAAGTCAATGAGATCTTCCTTCACAGGGGCCGGCTGGCGGGCACTCTGGACAGTATCGAAAACATTCAATTCGGGGATAAAGTCGCCACGGGAAGATTGGATGGGCTCTGCGCCGAGTAGCTCATCGAAGAGCTCGTCAGCAGATGGCTTATCATTCTTGGAACGCGGGAGGTCGTCATTAGCCAGGTCCGTTGCCACAGCAAGGAAGCGGGACAATGGCACTGTCACGTTCAGGCTATCCTGGAGCTTCTTCTGTGCAGACAATACGGCAGCCAATGAGACTGAGATAGCAACGGATACTAGAGGAGTCGGCTTAGCGATGACCTCCTCTACGACCGGCGCAGCGGGCTTGGGTGCAGGGGGAGCTGCGATCTTGATGTTGCTCAAGTCTAGGTGTGCGAGCTTGGCGAGGGTTGCGGCCTGGGTGGCCGGGTAATCTGAGCTAATTTGGCCCAGATATGCGAGCACATCTCCCTTCAGTAAACGGCCCTTGGGGCCGGAGGCAGGGATCTTGGACACTTCTGATTCAGGGACATGCTTCTCGTGCAGGAGCTGTTGAACCGAAGGGTAGAGCGGATAGGCGGGGTTCTGGAATTGAGGAGCGGAGGAGGATTGGAGACCTATAAGAGTTTAAAAGTTAGTATGAGAGGAGAGAGGTTCATTTGATGTTGGATGGTCCGCTGGAATCGATGGCGTTTATTCGCTGCGCTTGCACGTATTGGAGACTCATGGGAGACTCACGCCTGGCGATTTGGTGCACTCGGGGCTGTCGGCGAGCGAACATGGCCGGGACCTGGCTCATGGGGATGCGGGCTGCCATTTTGAATATGCGATGCGACGGAGTACGTGAAATGCTGAGATACTGCCAGAGATGCTCAATAGTGCAAGGCGGCTTGCGGGCTGAATTGGCGAAGGCGAAGGAATCGACAAAGTGCCCACCACCGCGTCTAACCGCGCTGCGTTGTATAAATTTTGATCCGAAAGATTGGCGTAATTGCGAAACTGGGGAGAAGCTAATGTTGAGGGCATCGGAGAGCTTCACCGGCGGCCGGGACGGGAACATTTTTCTGCCGCGACGTGCTTTCTCCGCGACGGAAATCTTTCCGAGAAGACGACAAGTGGATTGATCATTGAACTCAGTAGGTCACCTGTTTTATTTTATAGCTAATGGGGCATGTTGCTTCCAATTTGGAATGATTTATATCCAGATTGCAGCAATATATCATCTTCTGTGACCATACTAACCTTGATGTCAGGCGCGCAATAATGTCCGTCAGACCACCTACCTTCCGAGTATTCTGGTCCTATTGCAACAGCCCTTCATTACGGTCTGGACTTCAGATTCAATCCCCCTCATCATGGAGGTCTTTCTCATCGAGCATCGCTCGAGCAACTAAAAATCCTCAATCCAAACCCGCTTCGCCCGCACACTTGAGGCCGAAGCCCGGAGCCATTGGAGCCGTTGGACGATTAGCGCTGAAGGTGGCACGGCAAGGAGAAATTTTGCTCTTCAAGGGCCCTTCGCATAGGGCGTATATTATTAGCGCGTACGGTATTTCGGGCTTCTGCTTCGCCTATGCAGTCTACAACTCTAATGAAGTGTTCAACGACCCAATCGCTCCACGCCCGATATGGCAAAAAACCCTATTCGGTGGTATCTGCGTGGTTATGAGTCTCATGGGCACTCTGTTCCTGTCACGGACGACGAATTTGATTCGTAGTATGTCGGCTGTCAAGTCTCAAGGCCAGCTCAACATCCGTTTCAAGGTTCGTCGTGCGATCCCATTCATGAAGCCCTTGCAATTTGATGTGCCGCCTACGAGTATAACTTTCACTCGCCGGCTGGCTGTCTCGAAGGAAGGGGCGAAGAAGTTTGATCTTGAGGCTAGGAGGACTGGTTCGACCGAGAAAACTGCGACCAGTTTCCTGAAGGCTCCTGTCAAGGCGCTGAGCTATGGTCTTTGGAGATCTTTCCTCTCATCGCGCCAGCTCTTCACCGGCGAGGATTTTATTCTTCTGCATATTGCCGGTCACAAAAACTCTTTTCGCATGGACGCTAATGGCTTTGTTTCTGATGATTTCTGGGCCTTAGGGAGCCCTGTACAATTCAAGCGCAAGGTTTGAGCATACTCCGTGTATGCGGGGAGATCATGATGTGTCTAGTAGTTCCCATGTTTCTCTTTAAGGGAAACTTATTAGCATAAGTGTAAATATAGTCTATGTAACACCAATTGTCTCAAATCCCATTACCTTTTCTGTGTTGATCATAATTTCTCATCAGTGGACTGTACATGCATAGATGATCTCACTGAGTAAATTTCAGTCCGGGCTCAATCTCATCACGTGATTATTCGAGACCTAATGAATGCTTACTGAGTATTCAGATAAAGGAATCGTCATCCATGGATCTTCTTCTACTGTGATGATTTTTCCTGACTATGGGCCACAAAACGACTATAGAATATATGAAATCTGTAGAGAAGCAGCTGGAGAGCCTAGAATCTGACAAAACATGGTGATTTAGAATGGTTTCTAACATCGGAGTCATTGGAGTTCGCCATAACCACTCACTCTGGCTGTGAGAGTCTAGGTATTTAGCTAGAATTACGACGAAGTTTTGTTCGGTTAGGAGGCCTATTATTTACCAATGGACCGTGGAAGTTGAAGAACTGAAGCCCTTCGAAGGTATAGCAAACGCACTTGGTATGATAAAAACTCTACCGAGAGAAGGTTGGCTCGGTCCAATTCCAATACCAAGAGTCGGCCTTTAAGTCTCTTAATCGATCTCAAGACTTATTCTTTATCCCAGCTGGCAGAGCATAATGTGATCTTCGTGCTATCTGGTGAAACGTCGCTGTTATTGTAAAGCTATTCAATAGATTCTAAAAGTCATTTGACTGAGTCTCAAACTTCCAACCTTTGAGATCAATAAGTATAGCTTTAACTAGGTTTGTTGTGACTGCTATAATACTGCACTAAAGGACCTTGGGAATACAATATCACTCTAATCTTGCAATTATAACCATAATATATAAGCCCCACTAATCTACCCAAACTCGTTGCTATCAATCACACTAATTTCGATGAGAGCGTTTATGACAGAATGATTACCGTCATGAGCATCATCTATTCCTTTTCGTTCCTCTTCAACATTTTTCACCCACACTTTCACTTCTACTTCCACCTCCACTTCCACTTTCACTTACACAGCTTCGCACCTTCCATAAGTGCTTACTTACTTTTGACTCTAACAATTTTTCTCTCAAATTTCAGTATGATGTCTCAACATAATATTAAGCCTCATCGTACTATCGATTGTACTCCCTCTGACATCCCATCAAGCTACCTCACTACTACCTCCGTTAACACGTTTGATACAATCGAACAATTTAAAGCAGATGTGGTTCGGGTAGTCACAAGCAACACTCCAGGCGATCATCTATATACCCATGTGCCTCCTCAGTGGGGACTCAAGTGCTTTGAAGAGATAGATGAGCTGTACTCCTGCCGGTAAGTCGAACACGACCTTTGAATTATGTATCTTTGATCTAATGAAGTAAAGGAAAACGTGGGATAGTGTTAATCTTACCCTGAGAATCAAGACGATGCCTGTTCAGGTGCATGACGCCCATCATGGGTGGATTGCTTGTTCAATGCAAAATTGGACGGCACTGAATTTTTTCACGCTAGCGGAAAACCGCCTCTGTTCTCCTAATGTTGGTACAACCATTGAGTATTCATCGGGGCCGTTGATGGGATCAAAAAAGGAACCTGATTTGCTTTTTGTCGTAGATCGACAAATGTATCCGACATTTGCTATCGAAGCAGGCTGGTCGGAGTCTGCCTCTCGCCTTATTCACGATAAAGATCTCCTCTTGAATGGTGCTCAGGGAGACACCCAGGTGGTTATCACGATTAAATGGAGAAAGAATACCCGCAACCAGGTTTCGGGAAGTCTGAAGGTATGGCGATGGGGGCAAGCTAACTCGCTCGAGATGGTATGTGAAAGTCTACAAAATTCCATTGAAGCAAGATACTAATGATCTCAAATTATACAGATTATCTTTCCTCGGCCTGCGAATGGCCATCTAGACGTCATCGATCTAACTCGCGGTGAAGTTTTTTGCTGGTCTATCTTGCCTGGACGCAATCCCAGCGATATTCTTCCCCTACAATTGGATGACTTGCGAAGTTTTGCTGCGGATAGGCTGGATATCATGGGATTGACACATACCTAAGCAGTCTCCCATTCGTTTTCTGTTGTATGATTTACAGGGTCGATGGCTGGAGCAGATGATCCCATCGTGGATCAAGATTGATACTCGAAGAACCAGCTGACTTTCTCACTCAAAATATTTCCAATATTGCATAGGATTGAGACCCGATGCTTGTAAAAATATCATAGAGGATCCAGAATAGTCATATAGGTGTCCCAATTGAAGGCTGAAAAGACGTTTTGCACGCCGCAAAATAATAATCAGATGCATGGAAGCCAGGCATGGTGTGGTTCTACCACGAGAAATTTGAGATGACTCTCGAGGTGCTAAGCACTTGAGAACCTAAAGAAACCGAATTGATACAACGTGAGATGAATCTTGACTTTTCGAAAGAATATTGTAAGCAAATACTGTCGGTAAGCAGACATGACTACGACGCTGATTTTGTGGCTCACCTGAAGGAACTTATGCCCTGGGAACTCACAACCATCTCATCTTATTTACATGTCTACCAGCCCAGGAATACTAGAAGACATTGAGGTAGTTTCTTGCGAGAGACCTGGAGGTTGGTTTAGGAAATTCATGAGTGGCTGAAAGTATCACTGAACAGCTTGCTGGGTGTAATTCTATACGTTAGGTAGGCTTTGCACGCATGAACTCATCTCAAATTTTCTAGTCTTTCGGCTATTTCGGCTATTCAATCTGTACGAATACTGCTAACCTAATAGAATATCCATCAACCAAAGATCCATAAGAAATTTATCTGCAACTTAAAATATACATATCAATCTTCCTCTTCAACTCTCTGGATGACATCTTCTTCATCTTCCTTTCCCGAAGAAGCCCCATACCCACTGCCAGGAAACCTCCTCATGAAAACTTTGCTTTTGAAGGTTATATACTTCACCATTAGCTCCGGCTTCATTTTCTGTAGCCTCTTCGGTCTCGGCTTGGACTTCCGCATCGACATCTGCAGTCTTTTGTGCATCCCTCTCGGTCCTTGCTAAGGCTTCGTCCGTTGGTTTCTCTGGTGCCGTAGGTCTCTCTGATATCGTAGGTTTCTCTTCGGTCTCGGCTGTGGCTTCGTCTTGGGCTTTCTTTCCGGGTTCTGGCTCCGTGACTCTCTCTGGTGTCGTGGATTTCTCTGACATCGTACGTTTCTCTGCGGTCTCGGCTGTGGCTTCGTCTTGGGCTTTCTTTCCGGGGTCTGCCGCCGTGGCTCTCTCTGGTGTCGTAGATTTCTCTAACGTCGTAGGTTTCTCTACGATCTCGGCTGCGGCTTCGTCTTGGGCTTTCTTTTCGGGTGTGGCTTCCGTAAGTCTCTCTGACGTCGTAGGTTTCTCTTCGGTCTCGGCTGCGGCTTCTTTCTCCACGGGTGTGGCCCCATCCACGGGTTCGGCTTTCTCCTCGGGTCCGACTATGTCCTCGTCGGTCAAGGCTATCTCTTCTGTCACGGCTGTGGCCTCGGATAGGTTTGATAGCGGCCTCCGAGATCTCAATAGCCATATACCGGAAATGAGTCGTTATGCCAACATCGGCAAAGGTTCCCACATTGAATCCTGTAAGGTCAACAGCTTGGGCCTTCTGGCCCAAGAGGTAGATCGAGGATTGGTGAAACGGGGTATCAGGATCGTTGCCGTGGTCTTGAGTAAGCTGAACATGTGGCACATGCTTGAAGGGTCTTTTGAAAGTGAACCTCGTTGATCTCCCATCCTGGTAGCGGGTGATGCTTCCTGAACCAGCCTCAATGGCTACAAGATGGCCGTGCTCCGATTTCGAGATTGAACCTATTTGTTTCACGTTAATGCTTTAAGTTTCATCAAAGAAGTGATGCTGTGCACTTGCTAACCTTTAGCACTCATTGTTGCTGCTTAGATGGCTTTGAAAAAACCTGAAAGTTAAAAAGAATGCTTCAAAGACTTGAAAGATTAACACAGATGGAATGAAGAGGAATTTCCTCGCCAGGTTCAAGCTTTTATAACAGAAACACAGAATTATCTAGAAGCATACTCAGCTAGTTCTCCTAGGTAGCCGAAAACATCCGGAGACTAGGTTTCAATTTGGGATAAATCAAGCGATACACAGTATACTCCATATGGGCCATACCGAGTAGTGGATATCTTTGCTTAACTGGATCTAAATAAGGCCTTTGGATGCCACGTAGATGTGGATCTAATCCAGCTAGCCACGAACCATTTTTCCAGCCCGGTAAGTTTGGGCCTCTTCTTTTCGTACTACAGTATTCCTATCTGTATTTCCTCGATTATTATTTTTTTTCAAGATATAATTCATCAAACCGCGGGTCCGGAGTGGCGCAGTCCATATCGCCACGTTCGAGCGTCAACATCAACTAGATAACTCACGATACGCAGTCTATGCAGATGGTCGGTGTCCATTTTAATATTCTTGCTTGAATGGTAATTGTCACTAGTATACTTGCTGTGGCTGGCTCCTCAATAGCACAAATCGGATAGTCGCCTCTTTGTTGTTCATCGAGACTCAATTCGAAATCCTTATGGAGCCGAAGCCTAGAAGTTACTGCTATAATCTCAAGATGATAAATACAAAAATCGAATTACTACCCTGAACATTTGCAAGTGTTGAGCACTAAAGCGACCAAGGTTCTAAGGTTGTTTCCTCCCAAGGTCAAGACTACGTATCGACTATGAGATATTGTGGAATGATATCTAGGTACTATGACTTAAGCTACCCAATTCGAATCTACACCCGTGTCATGCCCAACTACATACCGTGCGGATATCTCCGAGGTCAATTCCACCTAAGACATTAGTAGCCGTTTTTGCTAGGTACGGACCCACAATTCCTTTCAAATAAAAACATCATCTTTGAGATCATGCACTGTCCTCCTATTCCTCTCTTTTCATTCGCTCATATTCACTGACTGGCTCCGCCAGCTGTTCTATGCACTATCTCCTCTACGATCCGGCTTTTACTCCGAGCTGAACACTCAGAAAATCGTACGGAGTCCTGAATAAGATGTGAATAGTACTCACTATCTGCGGCTTGTAACTCCACTATGTAAGACTGGACTTTGAAGTTCTCGCTCAATTTTGGGTCAAATACCCGAGGTTGTGGGGTTGAGTGAGATCCACTCACTACCTAAGAGATGAGAATTTATTGCAAGTTCCCCAATTTCGATCCAATGGTAGCAATTAATGACACAAGCCAGATCAGTCAAAGCGAATATATCAGGATCCACCTTGTCACCAAAGATTCGCTGCGAAGGCACAGAAGCGGCACGGTGTCGGTGGCTTTCCAAAGCGAACCATTTTTTAACCTGAGATCATTGAGATGCTCTCGTAATCAATATGATTCCCAATATTCAATTGAAAGATGTTGGTTCTTTGTCGCTCGAAAGGGCGATATTCGAATATCTAACTGAGAATAGCGTTCGAGTTCTTACTGCAGTAAAAGGGAATTGAAGCCTACTGCAGTAAGCGAGGAGTTGGTGAGCTTCAACGAACCACTACTCAACACCGTAGACAAACCACCGAGTGTAGTGGTCTCTACAGTACTGAATATCGCGGTTGTTGTGAAGTTTGCTTTTTTCATTGATGAAAGAACTAGCTACTTATAGTATATGTTTGTCGAATCAGACAACAAGTATAGATCGATGCAGACTCTTGAAGAATACGGGATAAATGATAGGCTTTTCACAATATCTACTGATAATGCTTCAAATAACACAACTCTGGGTAATATCATTTCGAAAGATCTCCGGTGATCAGACGAAATGAAGTTGTCGGAACGTGGATTGCAATACCACAGCCCGGAGCGGAACAAGCAGACCCCCGAGTCACGGGTAAACCACTATGTCAAAGGCCCGATTCCATTTACAGTTAGTCTATTTTTAGTCAGCATGGAATCCCACCATGGGATTCCTACCATAGTCAGACCTCCATTTGACACTATATTAGCAACTCGAGTAGCTAGATGAATCGAATACATTTCACACCTTGCACAACGTATATACTAAGAATCTAGGACGACCCATTCCCTATTCCAGTATATATAGTGCAACGTGTGAACCCTGTCCTTTCAATGTAGTTGATCGACAACTACCCTCCTTTACATCGTCTTTGTTATTGTTGGAATATGGAACAAAACAGTCTTGTGATCAAATCGTTACTTTATGATAGATAGCAAACTAAGAATGAAACTCAGATTTTACAACCACTTCAAGAGAACACAAAGATATTATAGAGGCGTAAAGCGCAACCTGTAATAGGTGTTAGGGAACAGGTACGGATGCAAATCATTGAATTACTTGAAGAGCTAAGATGCTTAAAGTGGGTCCCTTTACCGTGTTTTCTTCCGCCTTTGTTCTGCCGTAATTACGGGTAAAACCCGTTGACAATATGACATAGCTCCCCAATTACTTAGTTAGCACTCGAATTTTTCAATATTTAATAATAGACCCGGCCCTGTATATGAAATCCCACAGTGGCCAAATACAGCGGAGCAAGCTGCAATGATTTCGGATTCGTACTTTTCCGCGGCCACCAGGGTTGCCGGAATGGCGGAGTGCGTTCAGGCCGCCTGCGTCTGTGCTAGTTATACATTTGATTGGAGAGATCTATTGGATATTCAAGTCCCGACTCGATAGCCTTTGCTTCTGGATCGGAGGCGGGGAAGTTAAGTAGTAAATAATTACTATTTTTAGGACCAAGGTGAACCTGCAAGAATTAGTCAATAAGATACAGACACATAATAAACCCTTCCAAGTTTTGAACCTTGGAAGCACATATATGTACATTACGAAGTATGTACCCTATTTTTAGATATCTCGTGAGATCTGTACATATAGATTCCAAGATTCACATATAAATCGTAAGATTATCTTCCAGGTTGTCTTGAACTTCTGCTTTAGCTTATAAAAGCTCCATCACTCAACATTGAGGCCTTTAAACCCAAAAATGACACCACGAACTGTTCTTATCACGGGCTGTTCCGACGGCGGCCTCGGAGCCTCCCTCGCTCTCGCCTTCCATGCTGTAGGCCTAAAGGTCTATGCTACAGCGCGTAATTCTTCCAAATTAGGCCAGGTATCAGCCGCCGGGATCGAGACCCTCGTTCTCGATGTGCTATCCAGCGAGTCGATCAAGAACGCCGTGATGAAGATTCCAAATCTCGATATATTGGTCAACAATGCCGGCGCCGAATATCTCATGCCTGTAACTGACGTGGACATTGCTGAAGCTAAACGCCTGTTCGACCTGAATGTCTGGAGTTATATCGAGGTTACACAGGCGTTCTTACCTCTGCTTCTCAAAAGCCCCCATGGCGCTTTAATCGTTAATCAGTCATCTGCGGCCTCTGTAACCGTACTACCTTTCCAAGGCGTGTACACTGCCTCTAAGGCGGCTATTGCTATGTTGTCCGACACTCTACGGCTCGAGTTAAGCGTCATGGGAATCACTGTTGTCGACCTAAAGACTGGAATGGTGTGCTCCAATCTAATTAAGAATCAAGTGGAGGCAAAGCCAGCAATTCTTCCAGCAACGTCGATATATTATCCAGCACGCGAGATAGTGGAAAAGACCATGAATCAGGATGGCCCTGCCGAATATGGGATGCCAAATATGCAATGGGCGACAGCGGTGGTGGGTGATTTGCTCAAGAAGAAGCCACCCCCCTTGATCTGGAGGGGAGAGCAGGCTTGGCTTGCGAGGCTGATTTGTCTTCTACCTCTCGGAATATTTGATGGAATGCTGAAGAAGATGGGTGGGTTGGATATCGTGGAGAAGATCATGAAGCTTGGAGCATGAGGATTTGTCAGAAAAGAGCTATCGATATCAGGAGCAAACCTGATTTGACCATTGGGGAACATACACTGACAGCGGACACCTGGGCAGTCTTTGAGCCTGACTGACTGAATACTGACTGTCTCTGATTGGTTTTAATAGTGTGGTATCTATAAATGACCGTGTCGAGTTTTTCAAATTCTTGTGCCCGAATAAAAAAAATAATATAGCTAGAAGAGTCGATAAATAGGTGCTTCTACGTAGTGTATCTTCTCTACCGAGGCGTTCCTATCTTGGCTGCCGCCGCTTCGTTTACAAAGTGTTAAGAGTGGCGGATTACAGGACGATTTTTGAATATGAGAACTGGGTGAATCCCCAAAAACTCCACAGGAAAATTACAATTAAAACAAATCGGCTCTTTCTTTTCACTCTATTATGCTTCTGATTTTAAGCTTAAGATATTAAAAACATTTTACAGCCTTCAATGTAACAAGTGAAAAATTTCCTTCGTGACGTAAACGTCCATCGGGAATTCTTCCGAGAGGGTACTAATTCATGATATGCTAGAGATATGATGAGAATTAAAAATAAGAATTATTATGTATGATACCTGAGAAGCAAAATGGGACTTGCCTTGTCTCATCCTCAGCTGGCAGCTAGGTCCTGATCACCTAGAAGGTTGGCAACCAGTGATATCGAATGCAAGGAAAGATCTAAGACCATCTGGGACAGCCCAGCAAGGAGACGATCAGCAGTCTCTGTGCTGAGCATGTGACTAGAAGCAACAATCTCAATCATCAAACCAGATCCCTGAGGAGTAGAGATGGCATAGCATGTATCTGGGATGTCAGTTGATGAGTGCGTTTCGGTCGTACATTCGAGACTATCAAAAGTCACTTGAGAAGTGACCGACATATTTTGATGTTGGGCGATACTTCCAAATCGTGTCTGGGTTGACCATGAGGTACTTTGGCTAACAATATCTTCAAAATCGACTGTATCAAAGGCTTGAGTACATGCATGCTGATCCTGGAGGTAATACAAGAGGTCTATTGAGCGCCATTTCCGCTGCAGGGGCACCCGAACGGGGATAATGTTGACGCAGGGCCCGAGGATGTTTTCAACTCCGTCTAAAGGTACACTGCGACCGTGGACGACTTGGCCAAATACGATATCGTTTAGGCCTGTAAGCCGTGCAAGAGTTAGGCCCCATGCGGCTTTGAAGACCGTTGCGATTGTGATATCTTCAGGCAAGGTAGGCGAACTGATTTTGGTGCGTCGATGGATGAGAATTTTCAAACCTGGCGAAGCATGACCCCCAAGGGAATATGGATCTAGCTGGGTCATCGAGGAACCTTGCAAAAGCTCTCTCCAAAAATTCCATGCTTGTGGCGAACGGCACTTTACCCGATATCGCATGTAGTCAGAAAACTGTCTCGCGGGAGCCAAACTATGGCCTTGGTAGGCACGGGTCAAATCCGAGTATAGAAAGGGAAATGAGACTCCGTCGTATTGCGCGTGAGATATCCGAATGACTAATACGGACTGTTCGGGTCCAGTGACTAATGTTGGCTTAAAGTATGGAGTCCCAATCGTAAGAGAGGCGAGACAATCTTCCTGACTGAGAGCCTTGGCCGCGACCTTCACATCGCTCTTGATTTTGATAATGTTTAAGGAACTGACAATGCGGCGCAGGGTAACTTGGGTCAGAGTATTATGGAGCGGTACAAAAACGGTGCGTAGTATCTCATACTTTTCGATAACCCTTTGAATCGCAGTCTCCAGATGTGGTACATCCACTGGTCCAGGGATGTGGACCATGAAGTAGTGACGCAGGTCGCGATGTATCTGCTCTCTTTGGAACTGTGTTGTGGGAAGAGCGTCGATAACATCGATTTGTTCGAAAGGCCGACCGTTAGCTACTTGATCCAGAATGAATGTTTCGGAGTCAGTCAGATTGAGCAATGAGAAGGGCTGATAAGATTCGATAGAACCGGTCCGCCGAGGAGAGCCGAGTTTGGCGGCGATGGCGAGATCACAAAGTTTTGGATGTTTAAAGACACTGGTCACAGACAAGTCGATTCCCACTTTTCTTACCATGGTGACCAACATCATCACGTCAATCGAATTTCCCCCGAGACGGAAGAAGCTGTCGTCTGCTCCGATATCTACTACCGGTAGCCTGAGGATTCGCGCCCAGAGGCTTTGCAGCAGAACCTCCATATCCGTGGATGGAGATCGTTTAGAACTCTCCAACCCATCTACATAGCGCGCAAAATCACTGTTTGACAGCTGAGATGCCGCTTCACATAGGCGTTTGCGATCTGTCTTCCCAGTTGGCGTTGAGGGTAAAAATTGGAGCGGTATGATTGCGGTGGGCACCATATAAGAGGGTAGATGGTCTTGTATCCGCGCACGAATCATCTTAGCTTGCCTGCAAAAAGCATCACTTGGCAACGCAAACACATTGTCATCCTTCTTTCCGTGGAAATCATACAGGACAAAGGCGACCAGCACCGGCGGTCCCGCCCCTCGAATGATGACCTCAGCTACGACCTCGCGAGTGTCAGTATGAGAACGGATATGGTGTTCTACTTCGCCGAGCTCAATACGTTGGCCGCGTAACTTGACTTGTGTATCCTTTCTACCGACATAGCGGATCCAACCATTCTTGGTAAGCTGGACTAGGTCACCAGATCGATAGATCCGCCCGGTGGCTTGGGGACGGAAGCGAGAAATCCAAGCCGGCGGCTCAATGAAACCCGCTCTCGTTTTCTGTTCTTGGTTCAAGTAGCCACGGGCCACCACAGGGCCTTCGATCAGGAGCTCTCCCACGGCCCCCAATGGGGCTAACCGGCTGGGATCGGATGGCATGGTCACCCATCCCACAGAGCCCAACATCGGGCCAATGGTGCCTATCTCCCAGTCTTGGGCGGGAATACGTCCCGCAGCGCAAATTGTTGCTTCTGCAGGACCATATCCGTTGATCAGGTAAATACGGTCGGCCCAGATACTGACAATTTCATAGCTGATCGCCTCGCCACCTAAAGAGACTGCACGCAAGTTTGGCACTTCGTCGGGATCAAGGAGAGCCATAACAGATGGAGTTAGTGTGGCCCATGTGATCTCACTTCGACGAATGAAGCCTGCCAGGTCGTTTATTCTTTCCTTTTCGGAGGGAATACAAACACATCCGCCATTAACAAGAGTGGTAAAAATTTCGTAGACACTAGCATCCCACGCGTAACCTGCAAAGTGTAGAGATCGACTGTTCTGATCCACCTGAAGTGCACTGCTGTGATGGTAGATGCTGGTTGAGAGGTTCATGTGCTCTAGTATGATCCCCTTTGGAGTGCCTGTACTGCCTGATGTGAAAATTAGAAATGCAGCATCATTCGATTCGACTATCGGCGGTATCCAAGGTGTTTCTGAGATAGGCAGAGAACCCCATGGTACTGTGAATACCAGAAGAGGACTTTGAGCGCACCCCTCCAGGTGCGTTTTCTTTGAATGAGAGCTCAAGGCGACGTGAGGGCCGATGCTCCGAAGCATCTTACGTACTCTACCAGGTGGTAGGGCCGGATCCACGTTAAAACACGCTGCCCCCGCGCGGAGAACGGCCAGCATTCCAACAACTGGCCATATTGACTTTTCAAAGCAGATTGGAACAAAGTCGCCTGGCTTAACACCATGAGAGACCAAATGGTGAGCCAAATGACTGGAAAGAGTATCTAGCTCCTCAAACGTCATTTTTTGGGAAGTTGTGGAGACCGCTACTGCTGTCGGTCTTTCTCGAGCCTGTTTTAGCACAAGGTCATGAAGCGTAGATTGGTTAGGATCAGGAAGATGACCATTCCAGCGCTGAAGCTTTATGCAATCATCCGGACTGACAAGTTCGATGTCGGCCAGAAGCTGGGTGGAATTGTCTACCTTGCACAACTGCTGCAAGACGTGGGCTAATTGAGCCAGCATTATTTCGGCATCTTCGGCAGAAGTTACGTCCAGGTCGAAATTCGCTTGAATGCGAACAATGTCGTTCTGCGCGCTCAGGTTACAAATCAACACTAGAGGATAGCTGGCAAAGCGGTCGAATCCCGTGCCTAAAGGATTTTGTATCTTCATCAGCGAGCTTGAGTCGTCGATTATTTCTGTAGCAAGCTGAACACCCAATTGGCTCCGAAAATTGCAAGCTGCCGCAGCCTCTGGGCCCATCTTACGAATATATTGTAATCCATTTTGCTCAAAGGGAATCATGTTAGTAGCATGCTTCTGGATTTCATCGAGCGCAGTATAAACAGTGGTACCAGCCAGCAGTCGAACCCGAAATGGGACAGTTGCAAAGGTCGGGCTTGCCATGTCTTCAATATGGGGAACTGGCGCATTGCGACCAGTCACGGTCACCCCATACAAAACATCTTCACTATCAGTGTATGCGGATACTACTATAGCCCAGGCTAGGCGGATGATATTGGAGAGAGTGACGGTTGCATTGGCTTGGAAATCAATGGGAACGGTGGTTTCAACACTCCCCCGTCTGGAAGGTATCTGGGGTGCAAAGGCTGACTGACGCAATGCTGGGAATGGAGGTGCCTCAAGGGCAGCGAATTCGGCATTCCAAAAAGCTTGGGCTGCCGGACCCCTTCCATTAGTGATCACATATTGGATGAATGGGGTAAAGGGGTATGCTTGGGGCGACTCGTTATGGTAGGCCATGTCAACCTGGCGTAACAATAAGGGCAGTGACCATCCATCGTAGAGTGCATGGTGTAGTGTCAACACCATGTACACGGAATCCTGATCATGGTATAGTTGCGGTTGAATGATGGCAAACCGTGCCAGTGTCTGTCCAATCATCATAGGTTGAATCAAGTCCTCATTGAGATATGCCTTGATAGAGTGGTGTGTTCGCCAGTTAATTTGGCTTGGTTTGGCAACCACTTGAAGGAACCCATCGGCCTCGCTTTGAACTATGCGAGTTCGTAGGATGGGATTCACATCGACGATGTTCTGCCAAGCAGCTTGTAACCGAAGGATATCAATACCTTCAGCCAGCATAAATGCGAGCTGGCCGATATACATGCTTGAATTTTGTGCAGTGAGCGCCATTAGTCCTTCCTGCAGTGGTGTACACGCATATATATCTGCCACTTTGTCCACCTCCATCCCGCACGACTCTGCCGCCATTTGCAGTATGCGAGTTCGCTGGTTCTCCTCAGGGAGAAGGGCAAAGGGAACGAGAGCAACAGGCTGGAGTGTGATATGGCGCATGACTTTGGCCAAATCTGAAAGCACGGGGTAGGTGAAAACGTCTGCTACAGTGAACTCCACATTGGCCAGTCTCGCTTCGCTCACAAGTTTCATGGCGACAATGGAGTCGCCTCCTATCTGGAAGAAGTTGGCGTCAGGGCTGATGTCGGTGGGAGCTAAGCTCAATACTCGATAGAAAAGCGTTTGTAGCGTCCTTTCCTCTGCACATGTTGTGGCCTTGCGAGATTTGCCTCCATTAAAGGCAACGAACGCCTCCGAGGAGAGGCTTAATAGATGATGGTGTAGCAGGCGCCGATCAGCTTTTCCCGTGCTTGATAGCGGCACCCGATTCAGTGGCAGAAAGAAAGTTGGCACCATGTGGTGAGGTAGTGTACGTGCCAGCTTCGAGCGTGCAGAATCGACCAACTTTAAGAAAAGTTCCTCTCCAGGCTCGCTCAACAGGCTGTCAGTTCTCTGCGAGACCTCCTCGACACGAGAGCCACAGGCAACTAATGCAACTAGTACAGGCCCACTGGACAGATCACGTTGAATGATATCAGCAATCACTTCACGACTTTTGGGGAAAAGGTGCTGGACATGGTGTTCCACCTCCGCCAATTCGATGCGTTGCCCACGCAGTTTGACTTGGCCGTCTCGGCGTCCGAGAAACAGGATCGAACCATCAGCTTGGTACTGACCCATGTCTCCCGTTCGGTAAAGCCGACTTTGTGGTGCCGATATATTACGGAAATGATGCAGCCAATGCGGTGCTGGTATAAATGAAGCGTCCGTCCTGGCTGAATCATTCAAGTAACCTCGGGCAACGATGGGACCTTCAATCAAAATTTCGCCGACAGCACCTACCGGCAGCAGTTGATCACTATTTTGGGGGTGAGTAATCCAGATGGCTGAACTCGATGGTCGGCCAATATTTTGTGCGTGCGACTGTTCAGTGACAGATGTATGCACAGTGGTGATCACACTACATTCAGCAGGACCGTAGGCATTCATTAAGTGCTTTGTGGGAGACCAAGTGGCGATATCCTTTTTTCTCATGGCTTCGCCACCGAGAACAAGAGTCTGAAGGGTTGGAATATCACTTGGAGTGAACATTGTGCGAGCCACCGATGGCGTCAGAAGCATCCAGTTGACTTTCATAGCGGACAAAACCTGCGTAATTCGACTGCTCCTATCATACTCCGAGGGTATGCAGATGCATCCACCGGCTATAAGTGTACTGAAAACCTCCATAACAATGAGATCAAATGCGAAGCCAGAGAATTGAAAGACACGAGAATCACGATTCAGCTTGATCAAGGGGATGTAGCTTATGGCGTTTAGATAAAAAGATCGGTGCTCAACGACAACTCCCTTGGGTTGTCCAGTCGAGCCTGAAGTGAAGACAATGTAGAGGGTGTTACGAGGACTAAAAGAAGTCGCCAAAAAGCGTCGATCTCCAGCGTCATTCGCTCGCCATTCAGTTTCGTCATCACTCAGAGTCACAACCTTATGCACCCCAAGTGCGGCAGTAGCCAATTTATATTGGCTTGATGTGACAATTACTTCGGCCTTGATGCTCCGGCATATTTGCTGCAGCCGTTCAACAGGATGGGCCGGTTCGAGCAGGACAAAGGCGCCTCCTGCCTTGATAACCCCAAGCATAGCCACGGGGACCCAACACGACCTTTCAAGATATATAGGAATAATGATTTCGTACCCAACCCCTAGGCTTCGGAGATGCAGGGCCAATGTGGATGACAAGGTGTCAAGTTCTCGATAAGAAAGATCACCATCCCAAGCACAAACTGCAGGGTAACCGGGCTGGGAATCGCAACGCTCCTGGATAGCATCATGAATGCAGAGCTCCAGAGGAGCTGATTCTAGATGATTCCAGGATGCCAGGTCTGCCAAATCCTCCGCACTAAGTTGTTCTAAATGGGAAATCGGAACGTCCGACTCCAGTACGCCCAGTTTCTGGAGTATGTGGCCGAAGTGTCTAAGGATCCGATCAATTTGCGCCTTAGGTATGACATTGGCGTCAAATATAGCCCGCACCTCGACCGCATCGGTCGTCAACTGACATATCAGCATCAAAGCGTACGGGTTGAATCCGTACAGTTCCGATAGTATCTCCTCCTCACAGAATAAAATTTCCGTTCGCGGCTTCCCTGCAGGTTGAATGATCAGTAGCGTCTGGAACTGACAGGCCGCTGCATGGGAGTCCCCCAACTGCATGATGTTCTGCAGTCCGAATTGTTCATACGGAATGACGCTCATGATCTTGCTTTGGCATTGATTTAATGCCCCAATTATCGTCTGGTTGGAATCAATCTGTACTCGCATGGGTATTGTCGCCTGAGTTGGGCCCGTCATCTGCTCAATTCCCGGTACTGGGGCAGCTCGACCGGTAGTTGTGACGCCAAATACGACGTCGCTACAACCAGTGTATTGAGATTCAACAAGTGCCCATGCTAGATGTAACCTGACAGCTAGAGTGATTCCATCATTGGGTTGTTGCTGTATAGGGACAGTCTGCGTAATGGTGGCCTGTGAGGTGGGCTGGTAACACGGGGAAGGCATCTCTGGGAACGTAGCTGTGTCGGCAGACGCAAGCTCTCCTTGCCAGAACTCAGCTCCTGCTGTTTTCTGTGCTTCTAAATAATTGATGAACGGGGCATAGGGTTTGACGCTCAATTTGTGGCCATCATAGGCCCTTTGAATCTGGTTCAAGATAATCGGCAGAGACCAGCCATCATAGATGGCATGATGAATCCGAAGCATCAAAATGTATCCTTTGACCGGTAGGGATTGCTTCACTGCCACCAAGTCAACCAAAGGTCTACCTAATCCGAAATAAGCCCTTGACTCCTGACGGTAGGTTTGCATATCCGGGTAAAGCTGCCAGTGGGAGTCTTCTGATAGAACGACTTGATAACACCGTCGCGCGTCTAGCTGGATAATCCGCGTGCGCAAAACTGGATTTGCTGCCATCGTAGCATGCCATGCTGCTTCCAGACGAGTCAGATCAACATCGCCTGGTAATTGATACTTGAGCTCGTTGACATAAGCACTCCCATTTTTGGCTGTGAGTGCTATCAAGCCTTCCTGTAGAGCTGTGCAAGGATATATATCTTCTACCACGTCGTTCTCAACACCACGTGTCGATTGAAGAAGAGCCAAGATATCTTCAAGTCTATCAGAACTATTTATGAGAGAAAACGGAACGGTGGCAAAAACTTCCCGACTCTGGTCTTGGATGTGGATGTGAGTTGCCAATGCCGCGATAGTTTGAAACTGAAAAAGGTCCGCGACGGTCAGAAGTAATCCAGTAGACCAGCTCTGGGTCACGACTTGCATGGCAGAAATGGACTCTCCTCCAATGGAGAAAAAATTGTCATGGATGCCAATTTCCTCAGGGTTAATTACCAGGACGTGCGCCCAGACCTGGCGGATGCGGAGTTCCAGATCCGTTGATGGAGTCTCTTTCGGGCTTTGAGTTCCTTCTAGTTGCTGCAATTGACTACTTGACAAACGAGCAGCCTCTCCTCGCAATCTTTTCCGGTCGAGCTTGCCGGTTTTGGTGTAGGGCATTTCCGAGACAGGGACCATGGCCGCAGGCACCATAAACGACGGCAAGACTTCAAGCAGCTGGCGGCGAGCTTGTGAAATCTGTGACCGCAGCCTTTTTCCAGGTATTGCGAATACATTCTCACTATTAGGATCATCTTGGTTGCGGATATCTTCATGCAAGAGAAACGCAAACAGTAATGCCGACTGCCCGTCATACCCGCGGGGTATTACCTCGGCAACAACCTGGAAAGCATCGGAAATGCACGACCTAACATGATGTTCAACCTCGCCTAGCTCAATTCTCTGACCACGGAGCTTAACTTGCGTGTCTCTGCGGCCCGCAAACCGGATCCATCCATCTGCTGTGTACTGGACCAGATCTCCGGATCGGTACAACCGTCCTGGTTGATTAGGGAATCGAAACCGTTGAAGCCATGGTGGTGGCGATATAAATCCCGTAGGGGCATGCTCCGGATGGTACAGATACCCCCTCGTGACTACTGGGCCTTCAATGAGAAGCTCGCCCACAGCTCCTAGTGGCGACAACCTCTCAGGGTCTGAGGGAACCGTTACCCACCCAACAGCACCAAGGATAGGCCCTATAGTTCCCATTCGCCAGCCAACTGCGGGAATAACACCTGCGGCGCAGATTGTAGCTTCGGCCGGCCCATAGCCATTGATGAGCCGTAGGTTCTCTCGGCCAGCCCAGACATTGACATGATGATGCGTAACTGCTTCGCCACCCAGTACAACTGTACGGAGACTAGGCACGTCCTCAGGTCGAAGAAGATTGATTACAGAAGGTGTCACTGCTACCCAGGATATCTGATGACGATGGATGAAACCCGCTAACTCGTTGATGCGTTCGTGCTCCGACGCTACGTATACCGTACCGCCATTTGCTAGAGTGGTAAATATTTCGTAGATACTAGCATCAAAGGCATATCCGGCAAAATGCAATGATCGGGTAGTGGAGCTGATCTCCATAGCAGTGCTATGGTGGCGAATGCTGGTTGTCAAATTTCCATGCTCCATGACAATGCCTTTCGGTTTGCCAGTACTGCCGGAGGTAAATATGATAAATGCCGCTGCTGAGGGACTCACAACGGGCGGGATCCAGGCTGTGTCCCTCTTCAAAGCATCTTTATTCTCCAATGGAACTGCAATGATTTTCAATGAGCGGGGTGTATGAGCTGTAAGAAAGTCCTTTTGGGATGGCGAAACTAAGGCGATGGATGGATTAGTCTCTTGCAAGATATCGCGGACACGACTAGCAGGCAACGCGGTGTCAATATTCACACAGGTGGCCCCAGTTCTGAGAACAGCAATCATGGCAATAATTGGCCATGTTGACTTTTCAAAGTACAATGGCACCATCGAGTTGGGTTGGAGCCCCAAGCCTTGTAGTTGCCGTGCGAGCTCCTCGGACAGCAGGTCTAGTTTTTGAAATGTGACCGTGGTCTGAGTTGTAATGATGGCCGGTTTATCGGGCCACTCTTTAACTTGATTTAAGACCATATCATGAACATTCGACGTGGATGGAGCAGGTATGACATCATTCCAGCACCGCAATGTCTTCATGTCATTTTGAGTAACCAGGTCAAGGCCACCAATGTTATGGCTTGGTTGGTTTGCTATCTGATGCAACAAGCTGATAAACTGATCGAGCACGGTGGCCATCTCATGGCGTGAGATAACTGAGGGGCAAAAATTGGCATGGATATCGATAGTAGAATTGTCAGCATTTAATCCACAGACGAGCACCAATGGGTAGCTAGCAAATGCAGAATAGTCCGTCTGAAAAGGACGTAGGCGCATGTTTGGGGTAGCAGCATTTATCTCCAAGGCAGGTTGAATGCCAATGTGAGTTTTAAATTCGCATGCCGTGGCTGCTTCCGGGCTTATTTTTCGGATATTCTGTAGCCCGGTCTGTTCAAATTCAATGTTGCGAGAAAGATGCAGCTGGATTGCAGCTATAGCTGCCTCAATCATCTGGGCTGGTTCGACGCGGATTCGAAAAGGGATCACGGCGATAGTAGGGCCGGTCATCTTGTCCAGCCCGGGAACGGGAGCACTCCGGCCGGCCACGGTGAGGCCGAAGGTGACATCTTCGCAGTCAGTATGCGCAGAGACAACTACGGCCCATGCCAACAGGATAATATTAGATAGCGTAACTCTCGAATTGTCTGGCATAGACACAGATATGGAGCGATCGAGGGTGCTTCTGACCTCCACATCTTCGACGGTTGTGGCGCATGGCGTAGGAAATGGACAGGACTCTACACCCGCGAATTCAGAGGACCAGAACTCCTTAGCAGACGTGGGGTCCTGCGTAGTCAAGTGTTTGATGAATGGGCTAAAGTGTTGGGTGGGAAGACAATTTCCCTGGAGGGCAGCGTCGAGCTGATGTAGTAGAAGGGCCAAGCTCCAATGATCATAGATGGCGTGGTGCATGGTGAGGACCATGTTGGATACGGTGTATCCTGGTTCAGGGTCGCCGATTAAAGAAAACCGGACGAGTGGTTGTCCGAGTTTCATTGGCTGCATGAGATCCTCTGCCAGCCACTTATCAATAGACGATGCTTGGTGCCAGGCTATTTGATGCCCCCTCTCAACCACTTGCCAGAGACCTTCTGACTCAGATTGAATGATCCGGGTACGCAGGATTGGATTGGCATCAAAAATTGCCTGCCAGGCTGTCTGTACGCAATTTAGATCCGCATTGGAAATGAGATCAAAAACGAACTGCCCGATATACATCCCAGTTTTCCGTGAGCTGAGGATTATCATGCCAGCTTGCAGGGCTGTGCAGGGGTACATATCCTCCACCTGATCTGAAGTAAGATGACATTGTTGAATTGCCTCTTGCAATATTGCGTTCGCTCGCTCCCAGGGCTCTGGAAGTAGAGCAAATGGAGGTACAAAATCTGATTCTGACGTTTGATCTACCTCCTGGACAACCCGTGCTAGGTCAGACAATATCGGATAGGCGAAGACATCCGCTACCACGAAAGCAAGGCCCGATTGCCGCCCCTTGGAAGCCAATATCATGGCCGAGATGGAGTCACCACGGAGCTGAAAGAAATGGTCGTTGGCACATATTTGGATTGGTTCTAGGGCCAGTGCGTCGGCAAATAGTACCTGCAACCTTCGCTCCATGGCAGTCACTGGAGGTCGTTTAGTTGTCTGGTCTCTTGTAAACTGATCTATGTCGCTGCTCGATAAAGCTGTCACCAATTGCCGGAGGCGCTTTCGATCAGTTTTCCCAGTTTTTGTCAAGGGCACATCTTTCAGAGGGAAGAGCACGGTGGGCACCATGTAATTGGGTAGCACATCCTGGAGACGTGGGCGGATAGAGACTATCGCTCTCCGGAACCCAGTATCGTCTGGGGAACCTAGTATCTGACCATCTGGAGAATTTAGCTTGTGAGGTAAAGGTGAATGGGCAACGAAGGCGATGAGCATTTGAGAATTATCATTTGGCCCTGAACGTAAAACATCGGCAATAACCTCATGAGCATCCGGGTACAGCAGCTTCACATGATGTTCGATATCAATCAGGTCGAGGAGTTGTCCTCGCAGCTTTGCTTGCGTATCCATGCGACCAACATATCGGATTGATCCATCGGGGCTATATTGCACCAAATCACCTGTGCGATAGACCCGTTGTGCACTTGCGTCAACCCTGGTGCCCCGAAACTTCTGGAGCCACATAGGGGCTTGAATAAACGAAGATGCAGTTTTTGCTGGATCATTGAAATAGCATCTCGCAAGGATCGGTCCCTCCACAAGAAGCTCACCCACTGCACCCACCGGGAGTAGCTGATGCGGATTTTCAGGGCTAGTGACCCAAAAGACACAAGAAATGGGCCATCCGATATTTTGCGGATCAGAGCCATGCATGCTCGGCTGAGTACTACAGAGGACAGTGGCTTCTGCCGGCCCGTAACCGTTTATAAGATGCACTGATGATGCCCATTGGTCAACGTCTGCGCTGCTCATCGGTTCACCAAGCAAGACCAGCGTCTTCAGACTGGGCACCTGTTCAGGGCGCAGCAGCCTCGCGACAGAGGGTGTAAGGAACATGCAATCCACCGCCATCTGAATTGTTATATCAGCAAGGTTGTTAAAGCGATCTGCCTCGGAGGGGATACAAATACAGCCTCCAGCAATGAGCACTGTCAACTGTTCGAATATGCTAACGTCAAATGAATAGCCAGAAAATTGCAGCACTCGTGAATGGCGAGATATATGAAATGATTGAACATGTGCCTGTGCATTGGTTGAATAAGACTGGTGCTCAACAACAACCCCCTTGGGCTGGCCAGTCGACCCAGAAGTAAAAACGATATACAAAGGATCCGTTGGGGTAATTTCTGGGAGTTCGTGGCACTTTGAAGGAGGTAGAGGCTTTTCAATTACCACGAGATTGGCGGCCAGCTCTGCCGCTAGTTCGCGGTGTTCAGTTGATGTGATGATAGTCTGAGGCTGTCTCAAAACATTACAGATCTCTTGTAGCCGCTGGAGTGGGTAAGATGGATCAAAAAGGCAGAATGCAGCCCCTGCCTTAATCACAGCGAGCATTGCGACCGGAGTCCAATAGCTTCTGGACAGGCACAGCGGTACATATGAACCAGTTGTCACCCCAATACTCACCAAGTGTAAGGCGAGATTATTCGACAGCTCTTGTAGCTTTTGGTAGGTAAGGCTTCCATCCCAAGCGTGAATGGCTGTAGACATCGGTTGCGTGTTACTCTGTTTGTCTATGAGCTCATTCACACATACAGAGCTGACTTTCGGTACATCTTGGTTCCGTTGTAGGATCCATTCTTCGTCATTTGCACTCAGAAACAGGATTTCTCGGACTTTCTGCTCTGGACGTTCGATTATTTGGAAAACAAGGTGGTTGAACGTGCTGGCTAATGAACGAGACTGTGACACCGAAAGAAATTCGCTCCAGTACTTTATAGTGGCATGGATCTCACTATCTGTTACCATCACCTCAACAACAACAGCGAATTCTCCAGGGTCCTGTCGATCTACTTCTGTAATGTTAATCATCCTTTCCTCTTCTTCTTCCGCCTGCGGCGGGAAAGTCATGGTAGTGTTGAACAGAGGATCATCGTTGGCTAGGTTGAGGGCATGGCGAATCTCTGCAAGTGATACTCTTTGGTGTGGCAGCGCCTTGATAAACTCCGATTGCAATATCTGCAGTGTCTCCAGCAAGGTCCTCTCCGGGTGGATCTCCAGATAACAAACTAGCATGTTGATGAACGGGCCCACGGCATCTTCGATTCCCATCAGAGATAAATCCCGTCCGGAAGTCATATAACCAAAACACACTTTTCCAGAAGCCGTGAAAGCAGATAGTACAAGACTCCAGGCTATCTTGAATAAATTGGCGATGGTGATCCCGGTGGCCGCACAGAACCGTCGATATCGAGCGATGTCGCCGAGCTCGACAGATACAGATCTCCAGGATGAGTCACCTCCCTTCGTTCCTTCGAGGTTGCGCCTGGGGAATATACAGGGACTAGCATCTGCTAAATATAGTTTCCAGAAGTCCAAGGTGGAGCATGTTGATGCATTGCGCAGATAGGAAATGTAGTCGGAGTACCTCAGCCTCGGGACTGGCGTGTCTTTGGGACTACTGTATAACCTCGCTAGATCACGCATCATGATTGACATGGAAGTTGCGTCGGTCACTGCATGATTTATATCGAGAAGAGCAAAGACCTGACCAGTTGTTGACGGGTAAAGAGTTAGTTGTGGTAATGATTGTCGGCCCCGTTGGCCCAGCGGTCGATTTGGACAAGACAACTCTGTTGGCGTAACAGCTTTGCATGGAGCCACAATCACCTCAGATGATCCCTCAATCAAAGTGACCTGAGTCGCAAGACCACTGGTGGTCATCCCTTCAACAAAGATGCTTCGTAGCATGGGATGAAGTTTTATCAGCTTCGACCATGCCCACTGCAGCTGGTCCACATCGACGGACTCGGGGGTGGTAGACGTAATTTCCCATATGAATCGCATCTCGTAATGTGCTGGCCGCCGAGCCTGGCTTAGCAAGATGCCCTCTTGAACAAAGGAGCAGGGAAAGGCTTCTTCAACATCTTCGCCGGGGATTCCTAGCAGAGAGAGGGACTTTTTCAACAGCTCTAGGTTTTGTGATCCAATGTTTATAAGTGAAAAGTAAGTAGACGATGTGGGTAGAACGTGATTCGTTTCGCTGTCAGGCAGTTTTAATTCATTCTTATCAGTAGCCGGGTCTGGTACCGTGTCTGATTTTACAATGACCTCGTTAAGCCGCGGCGGTGCTCGGTTTTTGGACTCGGTCAGGATATTGTGGATTGTCTGATCTGACATAATATCGGTCACTGTTAGAGACAGGCTATGGTTGCGGCAGAAACTGGCCAGACGCATTGCTTTGATCGAGTCCCCTCCTAATTGTAGGAAGCTGTCGTGTATACCAAATGTATGCAATGAAACATTCAGTGTCTTGGCAAAAAGTCGATGAAGAATTATCTCAGTATCCGTACTGGGTAGTATAATCTCCAATCTTTCGGAGCTATAAGATTCCAGACTTTCTCGAGTATACTGGCGCATCGTCTCACGCAGGTGGCGTCGATCAATTTTTCCTGTGATCGTGAGGGGCAGATAACCCAGTGGGAGATAGAGAGCTGGGACCATGTACTCTTGCAAGAACTGTGGAGTCTTCGCCTTCAGGTGAGCGACATCCTTTCGGAACTGAGGGTAGGATGTGCTGTTGTCTTGAGCCAATAGCCGACCAACGCCATCTTCTTGGGTGTTCAAAAGGCTCGGATAGAAGAGAAAGACGACTAGAATGGGCATATCTCCACTACGATCAGGAACAACAGCTTCAGCTATGGCTCGAGTAACCGTTGGACACAGCCGCGCGACGCAGTACTCGACCTCACTGAGCTCCAGCCTCTTTCCTCGGATTTTAACCTGTGTATCCTTTCTCGCAATATAGCGAAAGGTCCCATCAGGCTGGTACTGCACTAGGTCTCCAGTTTTGTATGCAAGGCGATCTCGGCTGGATTGGATCTGGTGCAACCAACTCGGATTGTCGATGAAGGTCTCTGCGGTCTTGCTTGAGTTGTTGAGATACCCCCGTGCTAAACTAGGTCCTGCAATCAGCAACTCAGCAACAGCACCGACAGGCATCAATTTGTTGTGGTCCAGCGGATCTGCTAACCACAGATCGGCTGTCGGGGACGATAATCCGATGTGCTCTACATTGGATCCATCTTTGATGCGCGCTGAGACAGCGCAGATACCTGCCCATTCTGTGAGTCCATAGGCTTGATACAGGTGGACTTGAGATGCCCATTTATCAATATGGTGTTGGCCCATGGGTTCCCCGGCGAGGATCAGTGTTTCCAACTGCGGCACTAGAGTTGGATCATCGATGGCATTCACCGTCGACGGTGTCAGAAACGCCCAATTGATTTTCATCTCGCGCATATAGCCCATGAGATTGCTCAGGCGATCCTGTTCAGATGGGATAAAAATTGAGGCTCCGCTGGAGAGGGCACAGAAAATCTCAATCAAAGATACGCCAAAAGTGTATGAGGCGAATTGAAGCACTCGACTCTGCGGTAAGAGATGTAGTGCTTCACAATGACTTGCAATGTCCCCCAGCGCATATTGGCTGACGACACACCCTTTGGAAGCTCCCGTGCTCCCAGAGGTGAAGAAGACATATGCAGCGCTGTGGGCTCCGCCTGTCCGTGGAGGCGGGCTGGTCTGAATAGAGTCATCAATTGGCCAAAGCTGTGAGGAAATTGTAACAACTGGTAATCCATAATCAGACATACGTGTAGTGTGCCACGCAGAGGTCACAATCAGAACGGCGTTAGTCTGTTCAACAGTGTCTTGTAAGCGGTGTCGGGGCTGCGCCGGGTCCATTGGCACAAAAGCACCGCCCGCCTTCGCAATGGCAAGTTCCCCGACAATCGCCCAAACGGACTTCTCAAAGCATGCAGGCACCATGACCTCAGCTCTGACCCCCTTCTGTCGCAGATATACCGCAATGCAGTTAGTAAGGTTGTCAAGCTGACGGTATGTCAGCTTCCCGTCCCAGGCACCAACCGCCAAATCATCTGGACGGTTCAGGGCTTGCTGGTGGATGACATCTGCGATCGTCACATTTCCGGGCTCAAAGTCGCTTCTTCCATTGCCCTGCGAGATGGTGAAAATGTCATCCTGGTCTACTATAACCACATCTTTCACGCTAGCGCTCAGAGTTCTGATCAGGCTTTGTGAGACTTGCCGGACGGTGGATGCGAGATGTTGCGCTTGGTGTTCCAATCGAGGCGATTCTGGGTGATGAATCACGAATGTTGGAGCCTCACCTGCGACTGAAATACACAGTAAAAAGTCATAGTTAGAGAACCCATTGCCACTGGCGATCAGCTGGGACAAATTCTCTCCCGCGTGACTCTGCCTCACTGTCAACCATAAAGCGTTCGTCGTTTCCGATTCGATCTCCGACTCTCCAGTGATGAGTTCCATCACTGCTGGATTCTCAAAGATGTCTCGTATCGCCATATGTGGGGTGATTCTCACGCGCCACATCTTTACTTGATCGTCGCCATTCAACCCAGAAGGTTGTTCCCAATCACTCTTCACGGCAAAGTGCAGCTCTTCTTTTTCCAAGTATCTATGAAGACTAATGGACCACACGGCCTTGAAAAACGTGGACAATGAATGTTGATCTCCACAAAATGCGAGAATCTCCGACCACGTCTCGGAAGAAATGTATTGCATGATAGTGCTGTGTCGTTGGACCTTGGTCTGATCCATATTCACTTATGGACGGTGACAGCCCCAATCGATGCAAAAGAACTTAAATAAAATTAAATTTGCACTTGCAATTTGATCAAAATGGCTTTAACTGGCTTACCCTGTCTTCTTGCCATGGAATACACTGATTATAAACACGTTACTACATACATGCCACTGGTCATTCCCAGTCTCCCCAACTCTCCCAATAGAGGCCCATATTGCTGCTTACACTACAGCTTACTTTTCTGACTGCATATTCGTACTGAGTTGAGCAATCGAGAAAACCCTGATCCTTGTCAACTCTGGGCAGTACAACTGTAAAGCACGCAGCACTGAAGGAAAGAGAAGTATGTTTCTCATCTGAGGCTTCACTGACTGTCCGGAGTGTCACCTTCACAGTATTTCGGCTTCCACTCATAAGCCTAGAAGCAGAATTTTAGCATTCTAGATGATGTGCAACCCTGTAGCCTGTCTGCCTCAATGAAAATGAGGGGTTCAACGCTTCCGCCATGGGACTTACTGGTATACTTTAGTTCTTCAGTAATTTATCGAATTCTTTCTGCACTTAAAAATAAAGCTAGCTTATTGATAAACATGGCCTCTCGGATGCCCGTCAACCCTTCTGGGGTGGCTACGCCAAATTCACCACCCGAAATGGGGCAAAATGGTTCAAACCCCGACCAATCCTCCCTCAATACATTCATTGAGCTACTTCCCCTCAATAGCACCCAACAGTGAGATCGGGCTCTATATGAGAGATTGGAGTCGGTAAAAACCTGCATATATCACGGTTAGCAGGCAGCGCGGAGCGTGATTTGACACATTATTACAATAGATACTGCTCGTGTCTCTCCAGGTATCAACGACATGGAGACCAGCTTTTACGCTGACTGCATGAACATCTTTCTCGATCCATTTGCCGCTGGTGATGGCCAAGACCTTGTCTCCTTTGCGAAACTCTGCAGCGATTCCATCAATGTCAAGCTGCAAATCGCGACGCGGAATGTAGTATGTATTGAGTACGTTCTCGCGATCGTTAAATTCCACCGCGCACGTCCAATCGCTGACATGGAAGACATCCTGTCCCATAACCGTATTCGCGTTTCGAAGACCATTCAGCACAAAATCATGTAGAGGCCTTTTCGTTGTATCGTAGGCGGCCATGATCGTAGGCTTGTGGGTGCAAGCGTCAGCCGCGACTATGAATTGACAGCGGACGCCCTGCTTTGCACAAATATGAGAAAATTGAGATAAGAGCAAACTAGCATCATCAGGCCGAAGATTGGCTATGCTGTTGCCCATCCAAAGAAAGGTGACGGAACTTTGGACTACCATCTTAGGATCACTGGCCAGCCAGGCCACACAGTCGTCATATGTCCCTAGTAGCCCCCTGACCTTCACATATTGGGTCGGTCCCATTCTCTTGATTAGATCTTTAATATTTTCAGTGAGCTCTCCGATCGAGACATCGAGTGCGTAGTACAGCACTGACCGCTGTTGTCGCTCGCAGGCGGAGAGGATGAGGCTTGTTTTATGCAGATTTCTAATCCGGTTGAACAATCACCTTTTGAACCCGATAATAATGCTGTAAGATGACTTACCCACACCCAAGTTCAATCAGTACGCCATCAGGAGGGATCCGGCTAACAATATCATCGCCTTGATGAGCAAGGATCTCTAGCTCTTTCTTGTTCAAATAGTATGGCGGGGATTGAGCAAATTGATCGAAGAGTGCAATGCCTTCATCGTTCCATAACAGGAGCGAGGGCAGCTGCGGAGAGCTCGATAGAATCCCATCCGAAATCTGCTGCTGGAGATCGGCCAGATCTTCTTGCTTTTGTATGTTCGACACTTCTAGGGTCTCCGAATGTTGGGGTTGAGTTAGGTAACGCATTTTGCAGAAATAATTGCACCTTGATTTTAGTATTGGGACAATCGACTATTTTACACTGATGCTCTTGGTGTAACTTGGTTTCTTACATTGGGAAACCGTGAACTTTTATTATTTCAAATCTCTGATTGTTGTACTTACGAGGAGTATGTCTAGCCAAGACTAGTACAGCTGGGAGGTGGGCTAGTGTTGAAGGCAAGACATGATTCTGACTCTTCTACAATAAGTTCCATGCAAAAACCCCCGGAAAGCTGAACGTCTTAGCGCAAAAATGACATCTCCTGCACTGCTGCTATGGTCTTAGGATGAACTGGCTATCTACAGACCCCTACTATCTTTTATTTTGCAATAAAAAAGCTCGATCAATAGTAATTATGTCTCAATTGCCACAAAAGCACTAATCATCACATGACTAGGAACAAATTATATAGCACCCATTAGATACATATCGACATACTGGACAAGCAATTGAGAATATTACTTGAAGTAGTGTCGGAAAACTGACGTTTCCTACGAATGCATATGCATCTATTCTGTGATAAATACGTGGTTGCAAGGTTTTAAGAGGTGTGTGTATCATTCTTGAAGTGAACTACAACTCAGTAAACTCGAGTCCCCACTTTGGTCCTATTTGATCAATCAGACAACCTTTTAGTCATCTGATTTCCAACAAGTAGAATCCTTGACCGAGTGTTGTCAGAAGGAAGTAGGGGATTCGCGGAATTGATGAGACAAAAATGTCATCAATACAAACCGCGCTGATCTGCAAGGTGGTACATAATTAAGTGGCTGCTTACTCCCGGGTCGATCTGACCTTGGAAAGCCATCGCAGCGAGGTAGACCGATGGATAAGGATCAGACGACATCATGTCTGACGGTCTGTCAAAAAGACCAAGTAGTAATCCGAGTGATATATCTACTTTTTAGATACGATTGGTCAAACAAAGTAGGCCTTGTTCTCCAATTTGTGTTCACTTTGATTCACGTGTATCATCCTATACCTGGACATGTCCAACTTTGCAGAAAGAATCATTTCAGCCCATCCCTTGAAGAAAAACGACGTATTGAATAAGCAAGATCGCACGGGAGAGAGACAGAGGTGGCGATTCGACAGGTCAATCAACTTCTAGGCAAAGGATCACTTTCCAGTAATTCAACCAGTCTGGCCTGACAATCTTATTTATCCAGTAAAATATGATATTCAACAGTATTTGGTGTGCAAACGAGTAGATAAAAACTGAACTTTTCAAGGTTTCATGATGTATCTTTGTACGAGCGACGGCGATCAATGCGCGTGTGGCACGCAAGAAACAGCCACCCACTTGCTAGTGCACTGTGCGAACTCAAGGGAGCTTCGAATAGAGTGAAGGAAAGAGGTTGGCGATGCATTTACCAGCATTTTGAGTCTTCTAGGAGGCTCAAAAACAGGGTAGAGAGGTAAACCAGGCAGCGTGTCGCGGGCTATAGTCCATGATGTAGCCTGCATATCAATCTTTATTGCGAGGGGTCAGGGTAAATTACACACACACATACTGTAACCTAAGGCCAAGCGACGGGCATACACCGCTTGTACGTATTTGTGTATGACTGCTATCATATTCATATTCTGCGTTTTGAGGTTGATGAACTTGCAAGCCTCTTAGACAGCGGTGTGTTGTAGTTGGCTTAAGGTTGAAAGGTGGGTAGAAGTGGGTAAGAAAGATTAGCCCGCATGAATGATTGATCATCTCAACCGAAAAGAATGTAACTAATGGAAGATTTATTTTAGCTCAGCAATTTGTCGTGGAGAGCTGTAATCGTCGGGAGTGTTAGGTCGATGTTTGTGCAGCTTATATCGGACGGGGAGGCAGATGAGCTAGCGCCTACCTACTATGTCAACGACAAAGTATGGTTAGATTTACGAAACGTACAGAATACAAGACCTTCAAAGAAGCTAGATTGGCTCCATACTAAATACACTGTTTTAGAAGTGCCCTCGTCGTATACTATGAGAGTAGATGTGCTAAGCGGCATACACCCAGCCTTTCATGTCGACCTGATACGACCTGCAGCAACGAACCCATTACCATCGCAAATCGTGGACGATTCGCAACCGCCACCACTGGTATTTGAGGAGAACTGGGACACGATATCGAGGAGGCTCTACAAGCCCGGACACACAGAATTGGACGTGGCCGACAACGTAAAGCTTTAGTAAAATGGCGCGGATACGCAGAATTAACATGGGAACCAGTCGATTCTGTGGAAAACCGCACTGCCCTTGACACTTTTGAGCTACATTACGGACCAATTACGACATCGAATGGATCACGAAAGCGGAAGAGAGGAGAAGAGGATGGTGTATTGTAAGGGGCTGAAGTCCAGTGATGGATCATGATGCCCATTATTCAAGTCTAAGCGTGAACATAGGACCAATATCCTTTTGGGTTAAAATATCACGAGAACTTCTCATCCTCAACTCTACGACGATTCCTTTACGTCCCTTTAAGCATTTTGTACACAGTTCGTGCCTAGCCAGTTCTGAATAAGATTAGCTTTAGCCCTTCACATTATGCAGCTACCCGCCTTCATTTACTTATTTATTAATTCATATATAAGTATATATAGTGACTTGAGATTATAAAGTTACTCTAGTATCAAAATAAAGATATTATAATCCCACAATACCATAGCCCAGAACGGAAGAAGTAGACCCCTAAGTCATAGGGGAATCACTATATTAGCAATTTAAGTAGCTAGATGAATCGAACACATTTCACACCACCTTACACAACATATATACTAATGTTGGAATATGGAACAAAGCAGTCATGTGATCAAATCGTTACTTTATAATAGCTAGCAAACCAAGAACAAGAATGAAAACCAGACTTGACAAAGAACACACAGATATCATAGGGGCGTAAAAAGTTACCTGTGGTAGGCGTCAGAAGTGGGCGTAAGCCTCTTGTCTACCATTTCGAATAGCTATTCTACACTTGGTACTTGTGTACCGACATTAAGAGAGGTCTTCAGGCTACTGTTTATCTGTTTATCTCGATGACTCTGGTATTACATGCATTTTTCGAATAGGCTCTCTTTTATCTATGGCTTTATGGATATCTTAGCTGCATCTCCTCTCGCTGGTGAGCTCACCTTCTTCATGTCCAGGCTGAGGGTAGATTTTACGACGCAACACACTAATACGCTGATAGCGGAGGCGTTCTCAACAAAGTGGCTAGTTATGTTCGGGCAAGAGGCCATGAATTTTCTGGAACATAGCTTCTTACTGGATCTCTACATATAATTATTGATGCTCTGTATATCTGATACTTGAAGTATAACCAGGTTCAATGGTAGCAAAAAAAAAAGGTTGAACCTATATCCCACAAAGGTACTGGTCCATTTACACTTTGAGATAATTACCTTGGGGCAAGTTGCAAAGATCAATCAAGCATTCCAAGGTTGTTTTAAAGCCATGGAGATCATTTGCATTATTGATTGACTCCCATCGTATGTAAAAGCGTTGATTTCAAACCCTCACAAGACCTATTATTATGCAGCCTTGAAAGTATGACTACTTTGATACTTGGAGATATAGACTTAAAGTAACACCTGCCTACTTAGCTACTTTTATTACATAAGGACATTTATTCCTTCAGGCCTCGAGTACATCCAGAACTCTGACTGTTGAGATATTCCCGACCTCGGGAGATCATCATCAAAGTTACATCCAAATACCTAGGGCTGCGACACTCAGTGAGACCAGTGAGCAAAAATCTGCAAGGACTGCCCAGATGAGCACCAAAAACAGAAAATGGTAAGTGAAGAAATGGGAGAGGAAACCAACTGACTACGTAAGTACCTAGGTAGGTGTTTTCATGGCAACCGAAGAAATGAAGACTTCAAATATTAGCCATTGAGGCCTCCAAGGCTCTTTCTTCAAATGCTTATAGGCATTTCTTATTCTCACTGTCATTTCGCTCTTACTTAAACTCTCATATTACCCTCACTCCAAATTGTAGTATTTGATATGCTAAGTCTGTTGACGTGATTTGATAGTCCACTCAAAATAAAAATCTGGACATGTTCACGTATATGCAAAAGAATCAGACCAAACTCCATCCAATGACAGACAAATTGACTCCAGATTGACTCCATCCCTGGAGAACATGATGTTACAAACGCCACGCTAGGACGCTACCAAATAAAAGATGTTCCCTTTCCCTCATTCCCTGCAACCTAAAAACAAAACTCCGTTTCAAATGCCAAAAAGATTTACGCACAGGATTTTCCCTTAGCGAAGGAATTCGACGAGCTTGCTGTCATCGTGGCCCTGGGCGGGGGGTGGGCGCTCGAAGATTTTCCAAAATCTGAGGGTCTCATCGCCTGCACCTGTCACAACAGTCTGACCGTCAGGGCTCATGGCCAGATAGAGGACCCTAAATGTGTGCCCAGTCAAACAGGCGATTTGCTCCAACTTGGGGTATTTCCAGATCATGATCTGGTTTTGGGAATACCCGTGTGTGCTGACGAGCTCATCCTGAACTGTTGACCAGCTCAGGTTGCAAACCTGGCTTCCTGTATCCACTTCTTTGATGAAGGCGCCTGTGGAAGTGTTCCAAAACTTGATAGTCCGATCCGCCGTACCTCCACCCGAAGCAAGCAAATGGCTAGCGTGGGGGGACCAGGCAATAGCCTTCACGGCCGCCGTATGTTCAGAAAAACGATGAACGGGGGTTTCATTAAGTTTATCCCACACCATGAGCATGTTGTCATTTCCACCGGACGCAAGTTGTCCATCCTTTGAATTCCACTTCAAGCCACAGATTTCCTGCTTGTGACCCGACAGTCTGCGCACATACTGGTCCGGCGAGCGAACATCCCGGTGAAATATGATTCGATCCCGAGAACCCGATGTTAGAATATGATCATTCCAAGCCAGAGCCCCAACACGGTTTGTGTGCCCAAGCATGGTTCGGAGTCGACGACAGCTTTCTACATCCCAAATCTGGACTAGGCCTTTGTGTGTGCCAATTGCAAGATGTGTACCCCTCTGGATCCAGTTAACGCTGGTCACGGTATCATCTTTGAGCTCGCAAAGCTTCGTCACACGTCCTTGATCAGCGTTCCACATGTAAACCGAGTTTGCTAGTCCTACACCAAGCACGTTAGTGCTACTCCAATCAACTAGATTCAGATAAAAGTCATCCTGAAGCTCGGGAGCGTCAAGAACCTTGGAGGGGGTCCTCGGAATGCTGCGAGGCTTTTTTTGACCCATTTCAAGCAATCTCTGACTGTCATATCGAATAGGTGAGATGCTGTAAACGTCAGAGCGGGCATTGAAATTGACCGTGTGCTGGCTCCGAGGAGTGCGAAAAGGAGTCAAGGTGGGAGGTGTGCTGTAATTGAAAAGGTTCTTGCTGGGAGTAGAGGGTGTGAGATTAGACGTTTGGAGGTGCGCAGGCGGCGTGTGCGATCGACCTTCGTCGATATGAAGGACTGTATCCGGGGAGGTAGAATTCATCTCAGGTTGAGGAATTTGTGTATCGAACATTTCCATGCGCAAAAGTTGTGAGAAGTCCCGATTGGCTCGCTCGGCTGTTAATTCACATCAATAACAGTTTTCCCCCTACTGTGAAGTGACAAGACTCACTCTTCTGAAAGTTCAACTCTCCGTGAGTCGGCCGTTTCTTACTACGGGTAGGAGTCGACGGAGATGCATCTTCCGGGAGCATGTTAAATGTGGCCGTCATATCCTGTCCGTCGCCACGGTTTGGAATAAAACTGGATTTGCGGTCAGTTCGGAATCAATGGTGATTTCTATGTGGATCACCATGTTTATTGCCATGTCGATTGCCACGTCGAGGGGGTTTTGTTGTGTCTACGACCTACCGATCAGCATAAACACGCTGCCTCTTTCGGAGCGATGATGTCACAGCCTGCGATTGCTCAAAATCACCAAGAGCCTTAGCCAGCTTTCTGGAATCAACTGGCTCTGATTTGTTGGTTTGATGTGTGTCTTCTCGAGGAGGATTGTCATTGCGCACGGTGGCATCACTCTGGCGAGCCTGGCTGAAATCCAATTCATGGTAAACAACTGTTTTTTTGGCGGGCATGGGGCGCATTGAAGGGGGAGTAGTTGAGGGTTTAGGCGTGGGGAGTTTCGACTGCGACCGAGTCTGGCGAGTGGTTGCGCCGCCATTTAGACGTGCATCCACATGTTGATGTCCCATGTGACTGGAGCCACCAGCGGGTGACCACCTTGGTCGTGGGATCGACGAGGTATAGCAGTGCTTAGGCAAGGCCAAAAACACAACAAGGGAAAAAAAGTAGAAAAGGAAGAGAATGTCATTCAAAGAATGGAATGGGTAGGATGGATGACAAGGGAGAGAGTACACCCTCATCCCTCTCACGCTGAAGTCACGCGGGAGCGCTAGTCCCAATTAGGACGGGCTCTAAGATTCATCGAACAACTTTTGATTTTCATAACATGGATTGCTCCACCACGGAGTATTGTATTTTGAACTATGCAGGAGTTAAATAGTACTTCTTGTTTCAGTAAAGATATAAGTGCAATTAGACCTAAGCTTAGAGCCAAATCAGAACTAAATCATAATCACAATATAATACTTCATATTGTACTTTGAAACATGGTGTGAAGACCTCATCTATATTTTCAATGTTGCTATCTATTGTTTACTATCCACAATGGTGTTGTGAGGGACTGGGGCCGGAGACTGGAGGGATTGGGATTGGGGGTAATCGACGCGTTCACTATCTAACTTACGCGCCTTGGACGCGTAGAGCTTGGACCATTTAGTAGTCAGCATCACATTACCAATGATTTCAGTCCTTAGTTAACTAGTTGCTAACTAGAAAAAAAATTCCAGTTTCAGATCTGAACAAGGTTGACCTTAGAACCTTGGAATGTATTACAGTATTAAATCATGACTCTTGACTCTCTATTCTATACGAGCATCAACAAGTGTGTCTGAGAATGTATCGTAATTAGTATATTTCTCGTCACCGCCAAATGGACAATATTGCCACTTTGAGCAGCTCTTCTCCGCTTTGACCTCATCAATCTACTATGCGCTTCACGACCTTGTCTGAAACTCCTCTGGTCTTATTGAGTCGTAATTCATTTCGCACTTATTCATCCTTAGCCATGGATCAACTTTCTAAGCAGCCTGCCCGGGACTTCCTTGACTTTGTCAATGCTTCCCCCACTCGTATGTCTACTCTTATTTATCCCCGCAATTATGTTGCTAACTGATTCTAGCTTTCCATGCTGTCCAGTCTGCCAAGGATCTGTTACACAAGGCTGGATACCGGGAAATCAAGGTAAACATCTCAGAAAACTAACTAGAACTCATTGCATTTGAATGGCATACTCACTTAATCATCCATTTTGTTAGGAAAAAGATTCATGGGCCACCATCTGTAAGCCTGGCGGTCGATACTATTTGACCCGCAACACGACCACCCTCATTGCTTTTGCTATTGGGTCTAAATGGAATGTAAGTAACCCTCGGAATCAAGTTACCAAAGTCAGGTCAGCACCTAACGTATATAGCCTGGAAACTCCATTGCCATGATTGGTGCTCACACAGATTCTCCCGTGCTTCGGGTTAAGCCCGTGAGCAAGAAGCAGGGTGAAGGCTTCATTCAGGTCGGTGTGGAGATGTATGGTGGTGGTCTCTGGCACACCTGTATGTATCAATCTCCATTGTCATCGATCGTTAGCTAATATAAATATCTTCAGGGTTTGACCGTGATCTGGGTATTGCTGGCCGGGTGATGGTTCGTTCAAGCGATGGATCTATCATACAGAAGCTGGTCAAGGTTGATCGTCCCAGTATGTGCCATCTCAAATTATCAAGGCTCCCAAGGTCGTTTGGGTACTAATATCCGAGCCTAGTTCTTCGCGTTCCCACTCTGGCTATCCATCTAGATCGCCAAGAGACCTTCTCCTTCAACAAGGAGACTCAGCTATTCCCCATTGCTGGTCTTATTGCCAGTGAGCTCAACAAAGTCAGCGAGCCTAATGTCAACGACCAGTTTTCTCCCTTGAAGGCCATCACTGAGCGTCACCACTCCGACTTTGTCGCCCTCGTTGCTTCCGAGGCCGGAGTCAAGCCAGAGGAGATCCTGGACTTTGAATTGACCCTCTTTGACACTCAAAAATCTTGTCTTGGTGGCTTGCATGAGGAGTTCATTTTCTCACCTCGTCTGGACAACTTGAATAGCACCTACTGTGCCGTGAAGAGTCTGATTGACTCGTCTGTAAACGATGCAGACCTTGCTAATGAAGGCGCCATCCGTCTCATTGCCCTGTTCGATCACGAAGAGATTGGCAGCCGTACTGCTCAGGGTGCTGACTCCAATATCCTTCCATCGATCCTCCGACGTCTATCAGTGCTCCCCTCATCTTCTGCTACTTCAGAGGATATTTCTACTGCCTATGAGCAAACCCTTGCCACCTCCTTCCTTGTCTCTGCCGATATGGCCCACTCCGTCAACCCCAACTACGCCGGCAAATACGAGTCAGACCACAAGCCCGAAATGAACAAGGGCCCCGTCATCAAAATCAATGCTAATGCCCGTTATGCCACCAACTCTCCAGGAATTGTTTTGCTTCAGGAAGTGGCACGCAAGACTGCTGAATCATTGTCTGTGCACGTTCCTCTGCAGCTGTTTGTTGTTCGCAATGATTCAAGCTGTGGTAGCACTATTGGCCCGATGCTCTCTGCCGCACTGGGCACTCGGACATTGGATTTGGGTAACCCCCAGCTCAGCATGCACAGTATTCGTGAGACTGGTGGTACTTATGATGTCGCCCATGCTATCCGTCTCTTTACTGGATTCTTCCAGCATTACTCAGACTTGTCCTCGAAAATCTTTGTGGACTAGGTCTTGATTGTGCGTGCGCCAATGGGACAGGAAATTGTATTACTTGATTAGTGACATTATAAATCCACAAATAGTAGAGAGAATTATTAGATGACGATTTGAAGATTTGTGCCCTTGCTCTCTTCCGAGCGGCATTAAAAACTCTTATTTTTTTTCTTTGAATAGAAAATCCGAAAAATTTTGTTTATTTGCTGCCTTGTTTCTCAGACCGTAATAACTCCATACTACCTTATCGTCCCTATCATCACGTGATGGTAAATAATAGGCGGTGAATCATTTATGTAATACACCGCCTATTTAAGATGGCAGTATTGTATGTTCTCCACCGAGAGATCAATCACAATGCTAGCTCATTGGATGCTATGCTAGAGCCTCTCGTGCTCTACCCGAAATACGTTACCTCTCTCAACCATCCTCCCTGATCGACGGCATCCATGCCCCCATGATCCTCTATGAGCGACGTCGATGCCTTTCGAGATGCCGAGTTCATCGGTGACGTGTCTGGCATTGCCTTCGAAGATGAAGATGCAGAGCCAGGGACGCCCGTAGTCGGCGCAGACAGCAGCCACATCAAGAAAGTCCGGGCTGCTGCAAAGATTGCCTACCTCGACCAGGTAATGAAGGACCTAGATATTTTTATTTACTGCCAACTTTCGGCATTATACTACATGGAGTAAGTTTACCCCGACCTTAACCTTCTAACATGAGGGGGTTCCAGCCACAACGGTGATTAACACCCCGCAAGCCTTCAGAGCTAACCCTCTTTTCTTCTAGCTGCTCCATAGTACTCTTCATACTTCGAGCAGTGACGCAATTCATATTCTTTACGCCAAAAGCACCACCTTTTGAACCAACCCGTAACCAGGCTTTCATCGGCGCAATCTTCTTCAGCAATCTATTCTGCATGATCTTTCACATATTTCTCATCCGTCCCGAAGCCGGCGAAGCGACACGAGGCTATCTTCACGGTGGCTTATTCATCGACTTCATCGGACAAAAACCAGCTCCAATCGCGAGGCTTCTATGCTTCGACACACTCATACTCCTAATCGACTTCCTCATGCTAGCCCTAATTGTTGAGCGAGTAAATACAGTCGGGCCTAGAAGCTTGACATCTCCGAACATAAACACCTCATCTTCAAATATCCAAACAGACTCAGATCCAAATAGCGCGCAGTCTAATCCACAAGACCACGACGCGGAGGAACGAGGCGTCATTCGCGGCCATGAAGACGCGGACGCGAACACTCCTAACGACTCCACACCACTCATCTCGGCAATCGACTATGATGTCAATGAGGAACGGACAACACTACTGGCTGATCCGGGCGAAGACAACTCTGGTCGTGACGGACACCCGTTAGACTCGTTTATTTCTGGCCAGGCGGTTCTTGTAGATGCGGGACTTTTTACTATCATACGGTCCCAGTGGCTGTACTCGATGCAACGGCCGGCGAACTACAGTCCCTCGCCCCAGATGGCGACTTTTCTTCGTCGGCGCTTGGGACTGCAGATCGATGCTGAGGGCCAACCTGTCCGAGTGACAGAAACATAATGACATTAAAACCAATCTTGGAAGGCTCATATGATCTATCGCCGAGAACATGTAATTTACTGCGATTTATCCACCTCTGGGGTTATGAAACTTGTGGCAGTCGTGTTTGGTGCTGGTTGCTGGCATGACTTTGAAAAATCAAACATCCATACTAGTACATACACCGATACCTGACTGACATATCCTCCAGAATAATGTACTACCAAGTTCAAATATCGACGATAACGACTGAATCTTTTGATTGCATACTGCATAGCCTCCGAGATAAGCTCAGTTCTTTCATCGGTGCTACACAGGTAGCATGTAAACTGGAATAAACCAAGGAATAATCTGGGGGTATGCGAGAAATAATGATAAAAAACCACAAAAGAAAACCCCAAGACGCCCCTGAGCCCTCAAAGCCGTGAGTTCAAAATAAATAGAGATACAGAGCATACAAATTTCAACCTTCATATATAAAAGTAACCTCTACCAACAACTCAGCCTAATCAACCTGCGTCCGACGATCCAGAATCTCATCCACAATACCCAACTCCAACGCTTCCTGCGCACTCATGAAGTAGTCGCGCTCCATAAGCTTCTCAATCTCATCAAGCGACAATTTATTCTTGCCAGTAAGGTGTGACTGATAAATCTTGTTCAACTCGTTGCGCACACGCAGAATTTCCTTTGCATGGATCGCAATATCACTAGCTTGGCCGATGTAGCCACCGGAGGGCTGGTGGATCATTATGGAACTATGGGGAAGACAGTAGCGCATGCCTGCTTGTCCGCCGGAGAGGAGGAGGGAGCCCATTGAGGCGGCTTGGCCGATACAGATTGTGCTGACGGGGCATCGGATGTATGTCATTGTGTCGTATATCGCGAGACCTTGATCAAGTCATCATTGTTAGAAAACAAATGCAGAGATGTGGGAGGTGCAGCGCGGGTGAGGCATACCTGCGGTGACGGAGCCACCGGGTGAGTTAATGTAGAGATGAATTGTTTTCTTGGGGTCTTGCGACTCGAGGAAGAGAAGCTGGGCGACGATTGTGGCGGACATGGCTTCGTTTACTTCTCCATTTAGACAGACAATGCGCTCTTTGAGCAGACGGGAGAATATATCGGCTATGGTTGGGAAATTGTGTTAGGCTTGTCTGTTACCGGATGGGTCTTGGAAGCTATCGCGCAACTTACAGGTTTGCCAACCACCAGCCTAAGATTCAGATAGTCAGACATATCATCAATAAATAAGTGTGAGGAATCCAAGAAGAAGACATACCACTGTCTCGGTCACAAATGGTGTTGGTGTCCAGGCCTGAGGACCACTATTCGGGGTCCAAGAACGGCTTGAAAAAGGCCGGGACAAGGCGCGTGTAAGAATTGTAGGATTGGTACGGGGGATAATACGTCCCCTCGCCAATGTCTTAGTTAATGTTATGCGCAGCATCTTATCGAAAAGTAATGTATGGAGGGGAATAGGACGTTGAGCTATCGGGACGATAACTTTATCGGAGCTAAACAGACGCTCGCACCAACTGCCTTCTATTCCCCTCCAGCCAATCATCACTTTGTATAGTGGGTCCTAAGAAGTACAGGAATAACTTCATAAAAGTTGATTTAGCATATTCCAAAATTCATCCGGTGAACTTGGAAATAGTTGGAGAATGAGGATAAAATGAGTGAAAATTATAATTTCTGGCCCTATAACCCTGATTTGACCACTCACTGATATTATCACCAAGATTTAATTAGGAGACTATCAGTTGCATTTTACTAAGAAAGAATTAGGCTAATGAAAAGCCCATGGACAAGCTCCATAATATTACTATCCATATATTTCCAAGGCTGTAGCTGCAATTGAATCATCTCCTGCCACCTAGACAGAGATGTAGAAATGGCGTCTGAGTCGGAGAAGTCTATAAGGGCTCTGCTTACCCTAATGCCAGGACTATCTAAGTTGATACTGCCAAGCCTGAGGCTGAGGTTTTTGGGTTTCTTTATACAAATAGACTCAATATCTTCTTGCGAGCGAAGAGTCAATATCTTATACCTTTGGAAGTCACAGTGATTTACCAGGCGATCTGAAATTTAAAAATTTAAAAAAGAATGAGTAAGGCACAATTCCAATATTGAATCCTCTATATAATGTATGGTTTCAATTATAGATCACATCTAGTTAGAGCACTACAGGCCCGATTCCAACAGATCTGCAAGCGTATCCAAGTACGCATGCGGACGAACCTCACCAGAAACAAAGTCCTCCTTGGAACTAATACCGGAAAGAACACCAAGGGTACCACCAAGCTTACCCTCAAGCCCGAAACGAATATCGGTGTTAGCACGATCACCAACCATGCAAGCACGACTCCGATCGAAATGAAACTTGCCCTCAATAGCATCCATCATAGCCTGGCTAGGTTTTCCCAGCGCAACAGGATCCTTACCAAGCATCATAATCAAAGGCGCACTAATGGACCCAGCACCGGGGAAGAAATCACCAGCGCTCGGGAGCGTCGAATCAATATTAGTCGCGAGGAAGATCGCGCCGCGACGGATGTATTGGAACGCGGTTGCCATCTTCAAGTAGTTAAAGTGGAAGTCCAGGCCGACAAGCACGACGCCAACTTCGGGGTCAAGGGCTGATTCATCGCCCGTTGCTAGCAGCTTGTAGTCTTCTGGTGTGATGTCGCGACGGTAGGCTGGGTCTGTGCCGCCAATGAAAGGTACGTTCTCAGAGCGCAGTTCCTGCTCAATGCCGGTCTCGCCGACTACGAATACTTTACGCTTGTTTTCTGGGAGCTGGAGAATGCGCGAGATGTATATCGAGGCGCTGTACGAAGACGAGAAGATCTCTTCCTGTTATGGATGTGAGTTCATGTACTTCAGAATGGCCAGTATTATGTCCAAACGAACCACTGTGCTTGGAATGCCGAGGCCCTCTAGTTTCTTGCGGTAGTCTGCGCGGGACTTGGTGCTGTTGTTTGTCACGAAAACGACTTGTTTGCCTATTGGACAAGTCAATTTCCTGTCGTCTGATTGTAGCCATGTTCCTGCGCACCATTATTTCGTAGTAGTTCTAAGGTTTCGACAGTTCCGGGGAAGGTGTGGTCGCCGGACCATAGGACGCCTGGATCATGATTAATTGTTGCTCAAATAGATTATGGGATACGCGGAGAATATTGGAGACTGTTACATACCATCGCAGTCGAAAAGAAAGACCTATAAAAGCAGAAATTGTCAGTCATGTTTGTATGATCTATCTCCGTGCTTAGCGGGGCACCAACATCGAACTTGGCCAGAAATTCCTGGAGACCAGCCTTGTCGCCAGTTAAATAGATGGGAGTGTGTGTGCTCATGATGGAATGTCTGTAAAGAGTGAAATGAAGGAATCAAATTTAAAGAGTCAGCGATGCTAAATAGAATGCCTGATCATGTAATTCCATGGACTCCGTACAACCCGAAGTGAGTTGCCGGTGACGATCCGGTGGGCCCAACCCTTCCCTTATCAAATTCCCAAACTCCATGTTATGTTCAATGCTCAATGCTTCATAATATTATACATAATTCAACCGTTTCAACTGATCTGAGTCATGATTCAGAAGGTATACTCCGGAATAACAATCATCCCAATCTTCCAGGTCTTCCCCCCGTCACCAGTCGTCATATCGACACTGACTCCGGGGCTGCCATTGATTGTGTCAATATACCCTGGCTCGGCGGTATCGAGGACAATCGTGGTATTATACCAAGCTAAAGGATGAAGCAATATTAGTCTGCTGCTCGTGAAATTCGAACGCCACACCTGCACTTACCATGAGAACGAAGAGTCCCACAATTGGACCCATTGCACTCCACAGCACTAGCCCAGCTCTTAGCCTTTCCGTTACGAGTAGTTAGACCTGAGACGCGCCGGCCGTTGAGGAGTACAGTCTGTGTGTAGTTGCCAGTGGACTCGTTGTATTTGTCTATGACAGGGAAAGGTTAGCTGTCAATATCAAATCCATGTATATGCGGTGCCATTTACAATGTACTGTCATTTCGTCCCTTGGGCTGGCATTTTTGGACCGGCCAAAGACATGTGTTTGCTGTGTTTCTAAGAGTTCTCGATCAGATTCCATCACGCAACAGATTAAAGCATCAAGCAACTAACCATTTGCTGATAGAACAGTACAAGCAGAAACCTTCCAGTGATCTCTGGACAGGGTATTAACCGCAGAGGCACGGATCAAATCACCATGAGACGTGCTCATACCAACCCAGATAGAAACATCTTCATTAGAATCGGTTGGAGTCCTTGGTAGAATCAGAGTCGAAGTAGATTCAAGAACGAAAGACTCCGAGGTAACAGGGCCAGTACTGAAATAAGGGCCAAAGTTAGCATGTACGCCAACAGTCAATATAGCGAGCGCAGAAAAAATCCGTCTTGAGAAATGCATTATGAGACTGAAATGACGACGGACGGAGGGAAAGATTGGTTATTTGAAGGATCGATCAAATTATGATATGCAGACCTTAAAAGAACATTCTTATTATTTTCCTAATGGCATTCAATATGATACTCCATACTTTGTTTACTCCACTACTCCGCTACACTGTGGAATCCGACGGGGGGCGAACCAGTCAATTTGTAGAAGGAACGTTTGAGGAACGGTTTTAATTTCTATATAAAATGATGTATCTGACAAAGTCGAAACTAGGCATACCTAGTACTATGTACTATTTACTAGTAGGTTTCGAGTAAAAAGTCTTTATGTTCTGTGACAGGATTTATGGGGAAAAGATGAAACAGGTATATCCCCTTGTCTCAGGATTTACTCCACTTCCTTTGCTTATTTTTCTATTTCTATCGTGAAATTTGTTATTTAAAGAGCTTTCATCGGAAATATCCATCCTTTGAAGATGAACCATAGTATAATAAACATACATCCATAAACGGAGTAGATGGATTTGTGGGTATCATAACTATCATCATTCTTGATCAGCTAAGTAGATACAAAACGCCTCCGTATATCGAGTAAAGTGATTCCTAAACGCCAACCCCTCAATCCAAGCACTACCCCTGCTTGAAGATCGACGAGTAATTTTGACTTCTTCTTCTTCTTCTTCTTCTTCTTCGAACTATGCGCGTAGAATGCCCGCGATGCGGAGCACCAGGTCAAGAACAGACAGATGCTCATCAGCGCCATCAACAAGTCGCTTGTCCACCTCGGAAAATACCATGACAATTTTATTCTTCTGCAAGTCCGGGATTGTCTCATTGTAGATAACCAATCGGTATAACTGCGACATATTAGATTAACAATGACAGCGGGAGACGAAAGTGAAATAAAAGTACTGACCTGTCCAATAACTTGAGTGGCACTCCACCCGTCAGCAACGAGGTCCGTGACGACCGCCGAGACAGCCTCGTACGCTGAGCCCGAGCTCTTAGGCTGCATGGCCTGCAAAAGACCGTCCAAGACCCCGTCCGGAACCACACCTGCAATCTCCTCAATGCTTCTGGTAGTAATTAATCCCTGGCCAACACCACTATCAGCATCATTCATTTCAGAGTCCTCATCGTCGTCCTTCGCAGCAGGTGCCCCCATCGCACCCGCCAACCGCGCCGCACTCTGTAAGTAAGTAATAGCACGACGCAAATCACCCTCACCACACCGAAGAAGAGTATCAATCACGCCATCCTCCAGCTTCAAGTTCTCAGCCTGCGCAATATTTTGCAAGCGGTCGCCTGCAGCACTGTTATCCAGAGACTTGAATCGGAACTTGCTGCATCGACTGGCCAGAGGCTCAATAATGCGCGTCACGTAATTGCAAACCATACAGAATCGGGTAATGCGACTGTACTGCTCCATTGTACGACGAAGCGCGGCCTGTGCATCTTGCGTCATGCTGTCAGCCTCATCGAGGATGATGATCTTGAATGGTGGGCATGGGTATTTTGCGCGGTATTCGGCGTCTAATCCTGTAGGCTGCGATAGTTGGGCCCGGGCAAAGTTCTTCACTTTGACACGAACAATGCCTATACCCCGCTCATCAGAGGCGTTGAGCTCGAGAATGCGGGAGCGGTAGAGCGCAGGGCCGAAAAGAGATTTCGCGAGGGCGAGGATTGTAGAAGTTTTGCCGGTCCCGGGAGGCCCGTAGAATAGCATGTGAGGGAGCTAGTATAGCATTAGAATCAGTAGTCTGAATGGGACTGGGATGGCAGAGCTGCGTACGTTGGAAGCTTGCAAGGTGCGCTGGAGCACTTTCGTGGTGTGGTCTTGTGCGGCCACGTCGTCCAAGGTCTTGGGTCGGCTATTGAATGTAAGAAAAAGAAGCTATTAATCAGTTTGTAGGTGGCATACTATTTTTCAACCCAGGGTTGTAGCCGAGTTGTATCTTCTTTATTATCACTAGCCTTGGGCTTGGAGCTGCTGGATGCGGCAACAGCGGCGGCGCGAGCCTTGTTGTCGAAGAATGAAGAAGCCATAGTTATTTAAAGCTCTATTAAAACAAGACAAGGGGATTCGAGAGCTCGACTGCAATTGCGATTACTTTCGAAGTGGGAGCTGACAGGCAAGTCTCGCCGCGGTGAAGAGACGCGTCTACACGTGACACGCGCAGCACTTAAATCTTGGCCAATCAAAACCCACAACTATACCTCGACAAGAAACCTCCGTAAAATGTACAATGCAAGTTAATAGAACTTGATATGAATGGGGATATAAGTACAATGGTGGATTTTTCGGTCGCATCAGCGATAGGTGTTGAATATCGTTACAGGTTTTTCTGTCTAAAGCTCATCATTTACTGGCTCTTCGGCCTCATACATCCTTTTCATGGGATTCCGAGGGTTTTGATCCTGACTCTCTTTCTCATCGGGGAGAATATCATCAATTGCATGCCCAATTTTGTCAATCAAGCGATCTTCCTCGTCATCTGCTGGCTGATCTGATGGCTGATCCGATGGCTGATCTTCCCAAACGGCCTTGTTAGTGGGCACGCTACTCACTGTGACAGTTGTGGATGTGGTCTGGATAGTTCCATATACACCATCGGCGACTGGGCTTGATGAGACCTGTACGGATTTTTGACCTGTGATACCGACAACACCAATGACGGCAAGAAGGGCTTTGAGGGAAAATTGGAGCGGAAGCCAAACCAGCCACCAGAGAGGCCCGTACAATATACGGCGAAACAGAAGCCAACCAATTGTTCCGATGAGGATATAGAATGCGGTTTCAAGATACCAGGTATCGGATTTCTGGGAGCGAAGAAGGGAATTTGCGAGGCTGCGGGATGAGGTGAGGAGGGTGTCGAGACTACCGTAAGATTCGGATAAAGAGGATATGGCGACAGTGGATTGTTCTAGTCAATACAGTCAGTACAGTCCCAAGAATGGCTATGTGATCATTCAGATAGAACTCACCCAGAGTTTCTTGCGCAAATTGGCTACGAGAGAGCTCGGCTTGCATCAAGTGATGCGTTCTGCGCAGAGCAGCAGTAACGTCATTCGATGCATTCAAGATAAGATCATCCTGGGTAAACTTCTCCGAGGGTGGGCGCTGGCGTGTAGGAGAAGTTTGCGCTCTTGACAATAATAACTCTCGCTCCTTTCGTTTGGCAAGTTCTGCATTGCGCTTAGCCTGTAATTGGGCATTCCTAAAGTCTCCCCGAGTTCTGATCAATAGGTTAGAGCTGCTCCAAATAACCGAGACGATAAAACGCACCTTTTAAGGTCTTCCGCCAGTCTCCCTGCCGCCGCAATCACACGCTCCTTTTCAGCCCCTTTCTCCTCGCTTGCTACCGAAGTCTTCCTCTTGTTTTCCGGAGCCAACTCCAGCGCCTCAACTTCCCCGCGGAGGAGCTCCAGCTCTCCCTCGGCATCTTTCAAGCCGGCATGGATTTCCACTCCAAGCTCAACTCGTACCTCATCGCTCTGCTCTGCAGAAGAAGTGAAATTTCGAAGCTGTTCGACAAGAGGGTGGATATGGCTTATAGTTGTTGAGAGCTCCTTCAAGCGGGCTTGAAGGGCCGCCGGATTTGACATTTTAGGATAGTGGTGCAGACTATGAGTGTAGATAGAAGCGCAAGTAGGCTACAAGAATCGTATCCAGTATTAAAATTTATCGTTATTGTAAGATCGTTGTAAATGGAAGGCTTGAAGATCGCTGAGGTGGCACTTGTTAGTATTGATCTGATCTGTTTGCATCTGCAGCAAACATCGGACTTGGTTGCAAGCCCGCGCGAGTCAGCCAACGGCATTGTTCGGACTGTCGATTGATCAATTCCAAGAAGCCTGCCAGAGTATATACCAGTCCAAGACTCTGCTTCGTTTTGATTCTTAATTTCTTCCAAACAAATATCCGCTGCAATCATCTTTCCTGCGCTCTAGCAAACAGACAAAACCATCGCAAAAAAACTTCCCGAACAACCGTAAATCGAATCTGATCAGGTACGCCGCAAGACAACAGACGTCGCACATATTCTATCGCTCAATTGATTGACTTTTGAAGGAGTCTCCAAATATATCACAGCCTATACCCACATCAGTCAAAACCAAGGAATTTTTAACTCCAAATACAACCGCACATCATGCCTATCCCAATTAGCACAATCACCACCTTCCGAACAACCTTCAACCCTTTCTCTGCTGCTTCCCGACCATGCCGCCTCTTCCTCTCGTTGTTGCGCACTCCCACCACAACATCCACTGGCAGCATTGACATCCAGGTGACCCAGTTGCCGCGCACCTCGACACAACAGCCCATCATGACCGTCGGCTTCAAGGGTGGCAAGGAGGTTGTCTTGGAAGTTGGTAAGCGTGGAATGAAGATTGATGACTGCATTGAGGAGGTCTCGCGTGTGGGCAGAGCCCTGGAGCGTGAGGCTAGCTTGAAGGGTTAGGTTCTCTATCTGTATCTATATATGGCTCTCCTCAACTTCCCATGGGGAGACATAGCGTTTGACCATTTTCTTGTACTATATCATTTGAGCTGTTTTATCACTGGCAACACTTGCGAACTGGAACTCTGTGAGATGATACGCAGTAGACCATGGAATCTATAGATGTGATCAAGTGCCCAGTTGTATGAATACCTTGAGCAAACCATGGAAACTTGGGAGTCTACGAATTACGAAATTCTTCCGAGTAAAGAATTGATCCCAGGTCGTCGTCCTACATTGTCGATCACAGATATTTGAACAATCCCTACAGGAACCTATATAGATGGAAATATATTGATAAAATTATAAGCACCACCCTAGGCAGATACTCAAACATATTGGTTTTGAATTGTTGGTATAAAAGTTCAAACAGGGACTTAAACAGCGGCACCGGAGATGAAGAACCACTTGTCAATGGTTCCATCAACAGGAGCAGCAGGGAGCTCCTCGTGGCGGGGAATGGCAGCAAGCTTGGCCTGGTCGGCAAAGCCAGCGGAACCCTCGATCTGGGAGTTGGCGAGGCTGATCTCACCAGGAGCGCTCTTGCCGCTGATGAGCTTGTCCCAAGCATCAGCACACTCGTGGATGACGTCCAGAGCGTACTTCTTGTTTTTGCACTCGCCGGAGAAGGCGAACTGGTTCTCGGGCTTTCCGTCGGGGATCTTGTAGATGCGGAACCACTCGTTGGTGGCGCGGAGAAGACCGGGCAGGTGACGCTCAACATCCTCAATGTCATTGAGCTTGGGAGCGAGGGGGTCGTTGATGTCAACGACGATGACCTTCCAGTCAGTCTCCTCCTCGTCAATCAGAGCCATGACACCGAGGACCTTGACCTGCTTGACCTGTCCGGGGTAACCGACAAGCTCACCGATCTCGCAAACATCGAGCGGGTCGTCGTCACCCTTGGCCTTGGTCTCGGGGTGAATGGAGTTGGGGTCCTCCCAGGTCTGGATTATTTGCAGTTAGTTAATTTTCGTCTTTCTACGTTTTCAATACTGCCGGATGGATCTGACCTGGGGGAAGGCACCGTAGTTCCACAGGTAGCCCTTGTGGGGGAAGCAGTTGCGGACGAAGCGCAGCTTGCCCTTCTTGGTGTCCTGCTTGATGGGGTTGAGGAATTCCTCCTTGGAGATCTGTGAATGGCGATTGAAAGATCAGTATGGAATAGGATAAATATATTTGTGTGATGATGCGGGGCGAATTTCGTACCTCCTGCTTAGCGTTGGTCCAGCGAGGGATCTCAACGACCATGTTCAGGACGGTCTTCTCAGCATTGGCGTAGAGAGGAATATCGTGGAAAGGAGAGACGGGCACGCCATCTTTCTCAATGTAGACACGGTGCTCAAGCGTGTAAGGCTGAGCAATCTTACGGATAGTGTAAGACATGGTGGGCGAAGTGGTAGAGAACTGTCTGGAAAGGAGAGCGAAGGAAGAAGAAGTAGTGGGGGGAGAAAAAGAAGATGGAGGGGCTTTGGCTTTGGAAGTGGGGGGCGCCAACACTGCTGATGTGCGCGAGACACGGCGGGAGGCGGTGGAGGCACAGAATCCAAGTCGGACCAAGGGAGGACGAACCAGAGTCATCGTTGTGTTGGCAATCCTATTATTTTGACGACGCGTTGAGATTCACGGTCGACCTATATGTATCGTGTCTGGGTATACCCTTGGTGGATGATCTGGGTCCTTCACCCCTTGGTTCGCTTCTGGTTCCCGGTGCCTCGGCACTGAAGAACGGGGATAACCGTATCCATTGCGATGCCAAAAATGAAGATATATTCATGTAAACTATATCTAAATATGTATAACTTGATTCTATAAAATATAAACACGGTTTATTGATGAAATCTCTCAATTATGCGCTGTTCCTGGCCCAAAAAGTGGCGTACTAAGTATAAGATTACGGAGTACTCCATACCGATGCCCACCCCAAGACGCATGCATAGTACGATGCATGTATAGTACACGATACCCGTGATCATCCGTGAATTCAATGCTAAGCCGACATCGGGATAGTTTAAGCTTATGATGCAAAAGCAAGATGGAGAATATTGAAGATCGAGATTCAGGCATTCAGGCATCAGCAAGATCACTTAAAAAGTTAAAATCCTCTATCTTCACGTGACATAGAATATCAGATTTGTGAGATGATCGATCTGCGTTTAATCTACCCCTCCACAACATGCTATGATTGCAAGAATTCTCCGATCCGTCATGTCTTCTATCACTGCGTCTAAGTCGGCGCAGGTGCCGCACGTGCCCATCCCCGCCAATGGTATCGACTACCGTGGCAAGGTTGTTTTGGCCCCGATGGTTCGCTCCGGCGAACTGCCCTCGCGCCTGCTAGCCCTGCACTACGGCGCCGACCTTGTCTGGGGCCCGGAAACGATCGATCGCTCCTTGATCGGTGCCGACCGTCGGGTTAACCCTCGAAACGGAACTATTGAATTCACTCGTACACCCTCCAACGGTGGTCGAACCGATAAGGCCGCCAAAGAATCAGTCATCTACCGGCTCAATCCTGAGCGCGAGAAGGGTCGCCTCATTTTCCAACTTGGTACTGCGGATCCAAATCTGGCGGTCCAAGCCGCACGTATCGTGGCCGGGGACGTCTGGGGTATCGATGTCAACTCCGGATGCCCCAAGCCGTTTAGTACAAGCGGCGGTATGGGCGCGGCGCTACTGCGCACCCCAGATAAACTAGTGTCTATCCTGGAGGCACTAGTCAAGGAAGTTGGCGAACCCTTCAAGATCGGTATCTCTGTCAAGATCCGTATTCTAGAGACCCCAGAACTTACCAAAGCTCTGGTCACGCGCCTTGTGCGAACCGGTATCACAGGTTTGACAGTCCACTGCCGCACAACACCCATGCGACCACGTGAACGTGCAATCCGTGACCAGCTATCTATGATCCGCGAAATCTGCCACGACGCCGGCGTAGCATGTCTGATGAATGGTGATGTGACCTCGCGCGACAATGCCATGAAGCTCATGGCCGAATTTGGCGTTGACGGCGCCATGATTGCCACATCTGCCGAGGCCAACTCCTCGTGTTTCCGCAGTGAAGCAAATGGTGGTCTTGCACCATGGAAGGACGTAGTTTACGAGTACATGAAGTACTGTATTGAGTCTGAAAACCGCTACGGCAACACAAAGTACCTGCTCAACATGCTCATTCCCGGCAAGAACAAAGAGTTTGCAGATGCAAAGCTGGCCAAGACTTATACTGATGTTTGTCGGCATATGAAATTCGACGATCTCATCCCTGGTGCCATTCGAATCGACGAGATCCTCGACCTGACCAATAAGTGGGAGTTGGGTCCTGGTGGTGACCATCCTCGATCAGCTGCTGTTGAGAAAGCTAAGAATAACGAGTCTGCCCGTGCTGCCGGCGGCAGTGGTACACGTTCCAAGTCGACTTCCTCCGCTTCTCACAGCGGTGGCCCTATCCGCACCTCTTCTATTCCCGAGCCTGTTAAGACCGCGAAGGCCGAGGTTGAGATCGAAAAATCGGTCGATGTCTCCATACCTGCTGCCGATCTGACTCAGAAGCCAGGGGTGATGGCATAATTTGCATAGTGCAACTACGTCTGTTCCATATATTGGCCCAGATTTGCCACTGACTCTTTGATATTCTGCATAGCTTGGTTACCGGACTCGGTCGTGTATTTTCTGCATGAGAAGGCGTGATTTCCTCAATATATTAGATTCCCCAAAAATACACATCGTTAATACATTGGTTTTACAATCAAGTTCAATTCAGCATCTACTTGTGTCAGTAAAAACGCCTTTACGTTAATGACAGCCTGCATCCCTCATTACTCGACATCAACCACACTTTTTTTTATCAACAACAGCACCAGAGCTGTTAATTTTATGATCTTGCTGACATTGGGAGGAGTACGAAGTAATTAGATTTCAAGGAATAAGCTACTCCCGGACGAAGGTAATAATTGGAATTGAAATATTACGAGAATAACAGGTTCGAAGTGGATCTTGAGTTACTTTCGATGATCAAACCAGAGTGAAGAAATTAAGAGGTAGACATGAGTAGGGCAAGCTTTAATACTTCCCCACCAGATATCCCTTGTGATATCGATCAACAGTCTAGACTGGTATATTATATGAGAGAACTTCTCATATATAGATATTTACTGGTTATTCCAACATTATCCGTCAACCAAGAACCTTGGGAGTCTCAGCAATGAACATATCAAGTGTGGGGACCTTCGTGGTAGAAGCAGAAGATAATCAGGTAGAATATCCAGCGACGCTTCCAAGGTTGCGGCATACATCCCTTTCAGGATGAGGTTTTTACCTAGATATGTATCGATAGAGTACACGTCCAAAAGCTTGTCTGTTTCTGAATTTCTTGGAGCTCGTATCGTGTCATAAATCTGGGAGTTGTGGTATGTGGATGAAGAGAAGAGAAAGGTCCACGGGTAGAAGAAAAACATGAATGTGTCTTTACTGAGGTGTCTTCTATAAATTGCATAGAAGTCAAAAGTGAATGTAAAAAGATTGAACTTGAGAAGGTGAAAGCCTTGCTGATATTCGGTTTCTTCACTTCGTCTTGAACCATCCGTAGGTCAAGGTTCACCTGGGCACTTCCCTTTAGTGCTTCTAGGATGATTTCAACCCCGAGGCCATTGTTTACTCTTCATTTCCTTCTGATGTTAATTTGCTCTGACCATGAGAGACTACCTAGATGCTATAGATCTACTCCAAGATTACAGTGGACATACAAGTGAGATGTTAACTTGTACTTGATAAATTAGATTCCTTGACTAGTGGGTAACCTCCTTCTCGATCTCTGCAAAAATCATACTCTCCACAGCCTTGAACCCAGCATCATCGCTCTTCTTGGAAGAAGCCTCGTCTTCACCTGCAACAGCCTGGTCAAGGGCCAACTTAGTTTGACCGAGTTTGTGAATCTGCTCATCAATAGTGTCCGAAGAAACGAAGCGGATAACCTCGACCTCACGAGTCTGGCCGACACGGTGAGCGCGGTTCTCAGCCTGTACATCCTCCTGGGGGTTGAAGGAGGAATCAAAGATGATAACCTTGTTGGCGCAAGCCAGGTTGATTCCGGCACCGCCAGCCTTGGTGGACAGGAGGAAAACGGGGATATCGACCTGCTCGTGGAAGTGATCCATAATTGCCTGACGATCTTGGACGTTGGTCTTGCCGTCCAGGCGGACATACTTCATATCAAGAGTGTCAAGAACAACCTCCAGAATGTCCATAAGCATGGTGAACTGGGAGAAAATAAGGGTGCGATCGCCATTCGCAACGAATTTCTTGAGGAGTTCGGCGAGCATCTCGACCTTGCCCGAGTCCATCCACTCTTGGTTCTTAAGCGCGAACTTGTTCAGAGGCTTGTACTTGACACACATGGCATGGACGTCGAAGTCGTTGTATGGAAGCATATCTTCCACAATGATAGCTGGGATGGAGTCGGTCATTGTTTCGATCTTGAGGCATGCCTTTGCGATCTTAGCAGTGAGTTCTTCATTGTAGATCTTGCGAGCAAGGAGAGGGTGGATCGAAGCCTGGCGCAGTCTCATCATGATGTTAGCGGACTTGTTACCAGTCTTGATACCGGCAGCACGGTCTGACAGCAGCTGGCGCACTCCTTCCTTCGCATGGTTGTAGATGCTGAGCTGAGATTCGCTCATCTTGCAGTACTGGACGCGAGAGATTTTAGCCGGAAGATCGATGACCTGATGCTTCTTGCGGCGTAGCACGAATGGTTTCAGCATAGACTTGGCACGGTCAACACGCTGAGCTGACAAAAGAGTAGAGGTCTCGTCAGTTGTTTTAGCCTTATTGGCAAAGATTGCGTTCAGATCCTCCTTGTGCTCATTAAAAACCTTCGGGAGAATGAAGCCCAGTAGAGATGCCAGCTCCTGCAGGTTGTTCTGAAGGGGCGTACCAGTAAGCAGGAGACGGAACTTTGCGGGAATCCGAATCAGCTTCTCGTAGACTTGGGAATTGGCATTCTTGAGAACGTGGCCCTCATCGTAAACACAGGCACAAAAGCCCACACTGCGGAGGAACTTGTGGTCGTACTTGCCTCTGCAAGTGGCATATGTGGTGATAACCACATCGACGTTCTCTCGGCTCTGACGGAAATCTTCTTGAATCTCCAAGCGTTCGTTCTGCGTGCCGTAGTATGGGATCACGGTCAACGCCGGGCAGAATTTCTCGAATTCCCGAAGCCAATTCTCGATTGTCGAGGCAGGCACCACAACTAGATGCGGGCCTTTAACATCCTTCTCATATAGGTGTGCGAGGAATGAAATGACCTGGCAGGTCTTGCCGAGGCCCATGTCATCGGCAAGAATGCAGCTCATGTCGTTCTCAAACAAGAGAGACAGCCAATTGAGGCCGACAATCTGGTAATCTTTCATGACAAGATCGTTGGACATAATGGCAGGTTGTCCGATGAAACGAGATTGGGTGTTTTGCTTGCGCGAACCGGTCACAGGGCCATCATGGTCCGAGTCGCTGTCATCGAGAGACTGACGGTTCGATGATGGAGTTGCGATTCCGGAGTCGTGCGAGCCGGAACCACCCAATGATGCGAGCTCAAAATCACCATCTGGTTTACCGAAAACATTGACTCCCCACTTTTCCATTGCCTGTGCTACTGGCTTGCCCATGGCCTCACACTGTGCGACGAGAGAATCGATCGCGAGATAACCGGTCCACATATCTATGCATTTGTCGACAATTTTGTCACCAATAGGCTTGGGAGCCTTGCGTGGCTTTTTGCCCTTGGCCGTTTTGGATTCATCGACTGGGGCCCGAACAGCACGGACTTCATCAAGCGAGAAAAAGGGACGCTGTGCGATGATGACACTCGCACTTTCTTCGGGGATAGTGGCAGTGTCAACGAGATCGAGAACATTGCAGGTGTTGAAGAACTTCAAAACTTTCTGGTCCAGGCCGCCCGCGGTGGATCCCTGGTACTGAACGTCCGAATCCTCGGAGTCTGACATAGGAGCTTCGGAGCTCTCTGATCTTGGTGAAGGCACGTTTATGGGCTTTGACTTAGTGGGAATATCATCTTCATCGTCGTCGATGACAATAGCGGCACGCGATCTGGCGCCACGAATGAGACGGCCTCGAGGTTTGACTTCTTCCGAGGGGCGGTGGTCCTGCGAGACAGTCGTAATCGCAGTTGCTTTTGCTGCCCACTTGGCGCGAATGGAACCGAGAGCCTTGATCTTCTGCTGCTTTGCAATTGGCATAGAGGCAGTTGACATGGTCAGCTCGTCATCAGACGAGTTGATAGAGATAATGTTATTGGGTTCATCGGGACCTGCGAGATAGTCCAATGCGTTATCGTAGTTACCCTTTGCGATCATGACTGCGTGGGCGATTTCGCTGATAGACTTGGTTGGCATGACCTTTTGAATGCGCTCAGTTTGAATGCGAACTCGAGTGTCCTCGATGGCCTCCAGAGACGAAAATTGGCGATAAGGTCCCTGTTTAGCCTTTTTGGCGTTACTGGAAGCTGCGATTGGGCTCAGGTGGTCCGCCGAACGTTTAAACCCACTAAATGAAGGGTCATAGACTGCAGCCGCAGTGATCTTCTTAAAGGCATCCATTGCGCTGGATTCGGTGCGGACAGGCGATTCCGCAATCTTCTCCGGGCTCTTCATCTTTTCGAAAGTGGACTTTTGGATATCAACGTTGCGAATACTTTGAAACTCGTCGTCCGAAGATCCTCCCCGGTAGGTGGGACCTTCGCTGGGAAACATAGAAGTTGTTGCTGGAGAACGGAATTGTGTACCAGAAGGAGCGAGAAGTGAGGAAAGCAAACCGCCGCGACGAGGTGGGGAATTGGAGGGAGCAGGAGGAGAGGATGCCGCCACTTGAACAATATGGGAGGGATTTGGAAGTGGAAAGTCAACTAATTGGGTTGGTTGGGTTAATGGCTGAGTCGGGGTCAATAGGGCTCTCGTTGGAAGTGTGGCGATTGTGTCATAGTCGTCTACTTCCACTTCCACATCCCCGTCCGATTTAGGACTCGTAATCTTTTTATGAGAAGTATCAGTTAAATGCTCCATAGTGGTAGTTCCACCAGGGCTATCGAATCTAGGAGGCGTATTTTTTTCTGCCAGGGAAACGCGATGCGCGAAAATCACGTGCCCCAACTTAATGGCTTTTAAGGGACATGAAGTCAGAGCGGTCTGTACTACAAATTAGATGATAAATGTCAAATAGATGTATTATATCGGATTTTTACCACTTTCACGTACATTTCACTTTACTAGGAGAATTTAGAATGTAAGTAACAAGGTGAAAGAACCATATGTTTAAGTCTATTCATTCTGTTGTAGACGTAGAAAATAAAGCGCATTCAGTGTAGTTAATTAATTGAACGCAGAAGTCTTTCTAGCTTTCTACATAATAAATTTTTAATTTTGAGCTTCAAACATCTTTGGAAAGCTGCGCATAGTGAGTCAAAATCAGTCCAGCTGTTAATAAAAACATCAGACTGAAAAAGTATTGTCAATCTCCACCGACTCCGGGTGACGTTCTCCGCAATATCATGTAGCTCCATTTCTACACACCTCCCCTCCAAAGCCACCGCCGTGGAACTTCTGAAATCCCTAATTTTAAAAGTTTGAGGAATCTGCCAACAGTGCTCTCGAGCCCAAATCTCAAATCCAACAATGTCTGCTCGTCGCCCTCAGAGCCAGAGCTTCGCCGATGCGGCTGCAAAGCCAGCACCAGAAAGCAATTCTGACGTCTCCCCAGCTGTTCCAACGTAAGTCAATTATTACTGAGGGAACAATGAGAACTCTAACATCTAATTTGAAACAGTGATGTTATCTACAAGCTACTGGGATTCACAGCCGCTATGGTCGTCGGGCCTATTGGCATGTATTTCCTTACTGTGGACTCAATATTTGCAGGTACGATAAAATCCCCACATCCATAATCTCAAAGATCCTAACTGAAGCTAACTATCACTCCAGGCAACGCGACATACTCTGGAATCACTGCGGCTATTACAGCCAACGTGGTCCTTTTCGCCTACATCTATGTGGCCTGGAAAGAAGATCAAGGTGACAGGGAAGAAGCCGAAAAGGCCAAATCCAAGAAAGCCCAATGATAGAGCCTCATCACCAAGTGCGACTGGAAAAACCAAGTTTATGTATCCTATATTATCAATTCAGCTGGCGTTTTAAGGTGTGATATGCTGTTGGGCCGGCAGAATTCAAGGCGGTAACTGGTGGTGTTGATTTCGATATACAAACCTTGGTACCGACACCGTAGCCCATTATGGAATGATGGATCAAAATAGTAGACACTTATGCCGTGATATTCTAGAAAATTTTGAATGAAAACCACAATGAGAAAAATATCATTAGATCATGGATTCGTGCTGAATTAGCAATGAGATACCCCCACACACTATGGGGCGGTGTAGGGTAGCAGAATTGAGAGACCTGGATTCGTTGTTCAAGTAAACAAGTGGGGCAGTGCGTTGATCAAACTTATAAGAACGAAAAGTAGGTACTATTATATCCCAAGACACTATAGTCTAGTGGTTAAGGCAGCAAATCTGCCAGTCATTAACTAGTGACGGTTCGAGACAGGTGCTCGGTAAAATCAAAACTGTCATACAAGTTTTATAAGTCTCTAGTCCAAAAGCATTGCCCCCCAAGATCAGCCCCAGATCTGATGTACGACTAGAGACTGAATTTTTGCTGAATTCCTTAGATCTCATTTGATTCAATTATCTGGATTAGGCATTGCTACCATCTACGAGTAGAATTCAGCTATTCATTATTGTTTTTTTTTTCTTTTTTTTTTTCTGTTTTTAGGAAACAGGCGCTCAGTCACCAGACCTGGCTACTATGATCACTGTGTATTACGGAGACTCTTCACAAATTACTTCGATTTTATCAAATCATTATTACTGGTGACACCATCGAGCAGTCGTCGAGCAGTCTCTCCTCAGGGAGATGATGTGAAAGCAATGTCGACATTCATCATTCTTGCCTTCTTGAATATAAGGATATATTGATGGTATCACGATTCAATCCCCATTTCGAGAATTGAAACCAAGACACAAGCTTCAAGAAAGTAAAAAAAGCACCATGGTCATAAAACCAAGATGCCAACATGCTCTGCAAAAGCACAAACTTCATCGAGCCTAAGTAGGTCTCCGCTTGACAAACTCCTCAAGGTCGGCCTTAGTCGCAACACCAAGAACAAACTTACGAGTAGCATCTGTAACAACTGCAAATTGGTGCTTCTCGCGCTGCTCGCCATTAGCGCCGGTATCGCTCTCAAAGAACTTCTCCAGCTCCTCCAGCGGCGTCTCCATAGTAATAACATGGTAAATGCCTCTCTTGCGGTTAAAGCGCTGCATAGCCGAGTCGACGGAGTCGCTTTCCTTAACTACACCGGATTGGATCAATTCCTTGAGTCTAGGAATGCTGAGGTAGCCGAGGAGAGAGCGCTTGGTAGAGGAGATGACGGTGAGGTGGGTGTAGTCGCGTTCATAGGCGCTCATGAGAGCTGATGAGACGGGGTCGTTTGGGAAGACGGATAGGGCGGGTGGTGGGTCAAGGTCTTCGATAGTTGCCTGTAGGAATAAATTCATGTCATGAGTGTTCAAGGTTCTTCGCCCGAGCCTCAGATTCGATTTCGCAATCTAGACTCACGCCGCGGTATTTGTCGGCCCAAGCGCTTTGTGGAAGTGTAGTTGAAGTGACTGATGGCTGGTTTTCGCGGGCGAAGGCCTCGCTGCCGGTTGAGTATGAGGCCATCGTGGTTGGATGAAGGGTGAATTGAAGGTGGGCTTGAATGCGGAGAGTGGATAAAGATATGCGGAAGGTCTTGCGGGAGATTTGAGACGGTGCAAGTCTCCAATTGACGGTTCAAAGTATCTCTATCTTGTTCAGCACAAGTAGCGTGTTCAACGTTGATGAGTGAGCTTCTCCATGACGCAGGTTAGCATCGGGTCAGAGTGGACCTACCCTATTCCTAATTCGGAAATTATGACAAAGTCTAGGCCGGGCGTGATTCTACAAAGTACACACTTCAATTTTAATGGACTAATAGTTGAAGATGTCGGAGGAAAGGACCCCGACCTCCGTTCTCTCGTTGTAACGGACTTGAAAGAGCTACCTAGGTATTGTGAAGTACACCAAAGGATACGATATTATACACTATTCCTTTCTATACTATGAGGTAGATACCAACTTTGAATTGAAATTAGAGTGAGCGCCTTCTAGGTCTGATAAATATCTTTTGCAATTCAACCTCAACAACACAGTCTGTACAGTCTGTTATCATACTGGAACTTTGTAGACCTTACCGTGTTAGGCTAGACTGCCACGTCATCTGATGCAGAGTAACAGCAAGTCTTCCCCTGACTGTACTGGAGCCTCCAAGTCACTTTGTTCAGATTGAATTTCAAAGGATACCAAAATCAAACATCAAGATCTGGTGTTAACAAGAAAGGTTCGTCAGTTCGCGGACTTCAACCCACTGATCCACTTAATCCACCACATCCACCGAGTGCCCAATCCACTTTGGCCCACACTAACATCTGGGGATAGCATGATCTCGGATTTGATCATCTCTACGCTGGCAGCTCAACACCCTCTGGGTGAACTGGGACTGCGCCAGGAGGATACCGCGCCGGCTAAGCGCCGTGAACCCTTCCCTGCCTGGAGTGCGATCGACGAGGCCAAAAAGACCGCTGATTCTATTGCCAAAGAAGCTGCGCACGAGTATAACATCGCCAGTCACAAGGTACAGGCAAAGGCGGGCCACATCGAGCCATGGACACCCAAGTACTATGTGGCTTGTACAGTTGGTGGAATGCTGGCCTGTGTCAGTGACACTCTGATTCTAAGCACCGTATATCATATAGGTCTAATTATTTATTGATCTATCTAGGGACTTACTCATACCGCAGTGACTCCACTAGATCTGATCAAATGCCGTCTCCAAGTTGACTCCAAGCTCTACAAGAGCAACATACAGGCATTTACTAAGATCCGGACAGTGGAGGGTATACGCGGTGTATTCACTGGCTGGAGTCCTACATTCTTCGGATACAGCGTGAGCAAGCCACAGAACATCGAACCGACAAACAATGACACTGACACCAACAGGCCCAAGGAGCATTCAAATACGGCGGCTACGAATTCTTCAAGAAATTCTACAGTGACCTCGTCGGACAAGAGAATGCCAAGAAATGGAAAACATCCATCTACCTGGCAGGCAGTGCCTCGGCCGAGTTCATCGCCGACGTAGCCCTCTGCCCCTTCGAATCAGTAAAAGTAAGAATGCAAACGACCATCCCACCCGACATCCGCAGTACATTCAACGGCATCTCGACCGTAGTTTCAAAGGAGGGAGTATCCGGGTAAGTGGACCTGCTAGGCACCATGTCGAAATAGAGTTGTTTCGGAGCGAGAAGCATTGACGTGTCCATTCATTCCCCACCTAGGCTTTACAAGGGTCTGTATCCACTCTGGGGTCGTCAGATCCCGTACACGATGATGAAGTTTGCGTCGTTTGAGACCATCGTCGAAATGATCTACCACAAGCTTCCTGGACAGAAGTCGGACTATAACAAGGGTGCGCAGACGACTGTTGCGTTTACAGGTGGTTACCTTGCTGGTATTCTCTGCGCCATTGTATCGCATCCTGCTGATGTGATGGTAAGTAAGTTGAATGCTAATCGTCTGGCTGGTGAGGCCTTTGGTGCGGCTATGAGTCGTATCTATGGGGATATTGGATTCGGGGGATTGTGGAATGGATTGCCAGTGAGGATTGTTATGGTTGGTACTTTGGTAAGTGACTGATATGTGAACATTCGAAATCGTGGACTTTTTTTTTTAACTGTCCTTACAGACTGGCCTTCAATGGATGATGTATGTGGTCTTTGACTTGTCTTGTTTTCAGCACTAACTGTTGCAGCTACGACTCTTTCAAGATCTTTATGGGCCTTCCTACGACCGGTGGAGGCGAGGAGAAGAAATAGAGTCAAGGATGCTTTGGAGGTCCTCTCTTCAATGAGATTGTACATTCTCTCATTTAGTATAGTACACAATATAACGACACTAGTATAACTCAGGGCCAATTCTCTTACGTATTCTATATAACTTATCGCGGCTTATCTTAACATCGTTAGATCGGAAATGAAGACTTGGCAGGAAAGAAAACAAAGAATAAGATAGGGACTGGGAATTACCTAGGAACAAGGATTGAACAGTAAATAGTAAAAAGCCAGTGATAGACAAGGATTAATCGAAAGTAAGACAATGGATCGATTAAGTACATAAAGTGAAGTCATCGCGCAGGATCAAGATACATTCAAGATCTCCAGCCGAACGTGCTTCTAGAACCCACATCTACTCTGCACAAAGCATCTTACACCAACCCCACCTTCCAATTTTGAACATCGCAAGTTGAAATTACATTCCCAAATCCCATCTGCAGTATCGATTCCAGAAATTCCAAAGGTAAGAGAAAGCAGTAAACGCGGTACCTGCATCCACCCTTATCTCAGTCCCGAATTCGGAACGCAAGATAAGGACTACCGCCCCCGGTACTTTGAGAACCCCTCACTCACTCCTCTGTCACACATCACCCAGAAATCTACAGCAATGCCCGAAGAAGAGCGCATGGTCTCCCACGGCCGCGGCGGTAAGCGGAATTGATCAGATATCCTAGTAACCCACCTAACATGTCCTATCAGGCCAGGGAAACATCGGCCACGATGACACGGAGTATGTCGCAGTCCCCGCAGCTACAATTCCACAATCGCATCCCTAACACAGTCTAGATATGTTGACGGCGAGATCGTCCGTGAAGGTGCCTACGGCGACCAGGGCGATGGCGCTTACTCGGCCGGTGTAAGGGTCCCCCACCTCGCGGCGCATCGCGTATTCAATAAGCTAACGTATCTCAGCGCGGCGGAGCCGGTAACATCGGTTCTCCTCACGTCTACCCTACCGCCAAGGCACCCGGCGATGTAGAGATGATTCCCGAGCTGGCAGTGCGCAACTCGACTGATGAGGCTTTCCACGTCGGAGTAAGGATCACCCCACACGCATACGCACTTAGCTCTCAGTTCAGCTCAGCACTAACTTTCTACAGCGTGGTGGACAGGGTAATGTCCAACTAGACGAGGAACACCTCAAGGAGAAGGAGAAGGCGGAGAAGGCGGAGAAGGCGAAGAAGGCGAAGGGGGAGCCGCTTGGATTGGCTGATAAGTTGAAGCACAAGCTGCTTGGACGCAAGTAACTTACTGCGCTCTTTTTGCTGGATTGATCTCCCAGGTTACCGAAGGAGACATGTCTTGGGTGGGAAGAGTGAATGCGTTGTAATGGGAGATTTCAGTTAAATTGTGATTCCCAGTTGATTACCCTTTTCCTAGTTTTGATTTATTGGCACGTGGATATCTAATTGAATGTGTTATATTGTGCTTTTTTTTGGATATATGGTTGTGGTTTTGGCCAATGCTTACTGTTTATACCAGCGTCCCGTGATTTGTACGAGTATCTTTCAGGAAGTTTAGATGAGATAGGGATTGGATTTCGGGGTCTTGTCATATCAGTAGATATCTACGAAGTCGAACACTTGTATCTCTCGAGCAATCAATATGAAATCAGTCATTGAAAGTTCGAAATGAGGCTGCCCAAGACTATTCAAGTGTGCAGAATAAGAGCCTATTCAGACAGGAAAGAACCATAAAAATCAAATCAAACTAAAAATATCCGTACCCCATAAACCCATGTATCATGTCAGCGTTAGCGTACGAAGGCGAAGCAAAACATGTCATAAAGACCCAATGCTGAAAGGCGAAAAGAGAGAAAAGAGAAAAGAGAAAAGAGAAAAGAGAAAAGAGAAAAGAGAGAAGAGAAAAGAGCAGGGGCAATGGTACATCTGTGTAGATAGCAAGAACCCAAAAACGCCTGGGAGATGGATAGATGTCCCCCCAAACTCCAAAACAAATGAAAATGAGACGTGGGGAATAAGGAAAAAAAAGAAGAGCTCGATGCAAGACAAAGTTGAATTCAAAGAATCAAAAGAAGGCCGCTTTTTTGTCGTTCTAGTTCTTGCTGAACCGGCGCTTCAGCCAGCTCTTGCTCTTCTTGTCTTCTTTACCCCCGCCCTTTTTGAGCAGGTTGTTTGTAGCCGGGGCGCCGAATTTAGGCGGTCCACTTGGCGCCGGTGAACGAATTCCCTCGCTCATGTTGGGGCCGGCGCTGAAATCGTTGACTCCATATTCAGTCTGGTTGTGCTCATCCATGCGACTCTGCTGCATGGCGTGTTGCTGCAACTTGTCCATAGAGCTATCATAGGGATTGTTGGAGCCTGAAGCGCCGTTCAAAGCGGCGACATTATCCTGCGATCGCTGTTGATGGCCGTACGGACTCTGCTCGACCGGTCTACGCTGGGGACGTGGTCGGCGGGCCTGGTTCTCTTGGCCGCCCGCATACCCGTCGACGAAACTGTCAGGTCGCGAAGGGTTGCTGCGACCGTAATGGTCGGTGAATTGGCCTCGGTTGACCTGTTGTCCGTTATTGGGACCTATTGGGTATGTTAGAAGGTGATCGGTGATCGGGGTATATTGCAGGTGGAAAACGTACCGTAATAGCTTGTTCGTCTGCTATAATCGCCCATTTGTGAGGCAGCGTCATCTGCTCGAAATAGTCAGTGTAAGTTCTAACAACCCGAACTTTGGAAGGTGTGGCACGCACCAGTTCGGGCATAAGATGCCCGGCGGGTCGCACTGTATGTGCCGTAGATGGCGTTTTCAAAGGATCGAATTGTATCCAGAGGACGTTCGAAGCGCGGTCGTGTGGGGTTTGACCAGTCGGGATCAGCTGTCATGCTATCAGCAAGGAATGTGGAGAACCCGAGGAATGTGACGAACTGATAATATTTCCGAATTGATCCTTATGCTGCATTTCTCTCAAGGAACCCAGATTGGACTTTTCCAAGGCGACGGCCACTGGAGAAAGGAGTCAATGTTGTTCAAGTGCGACCGTGCATTTTGGATTACTTGAGTGACGTACTGGGTTGTAGTTCGTTCATGGCGACGAGCGGGTCTGCTTTTGTGTGTAGATTGCGCCTTGCCTTATCCTGCGATGACTCGGAGAGCTGACTTTTGTGACCAGAGGTGTCTGAACGTCTTGATTTTTCAGATTTGATACTGAAACCACGATTCCTGCCGGGGTGAGGAAATTGCTGGGGGTCGGCCATGTTTAAGAAGGGGGGCCGTTTTTAGCGCGTAATATTAGACTTGAGATTATGTGAAACGGTGATCTTCTTTCGCTGGTGGAGCGCAGGAAGGTTAGGGTGGACTCTGCCAAGATGATTTCCGAAGCGTAGACCACCTTCTTGTACTAGCTTGTGAGTTCGTTAAAAACAATAAAATGTAATTCTACTTTGGGAGGTTGAATTGAGAGAGGAAAACAAAAAGAGTAGAGAGAAGCGGAAGAACTAATGGCGGATCAATTTATAGAAGAAAATAGAAAATCCTGCTTACGACGTGCCACGCAATGAGCAGAGACTGTTATTAAGAGAAGAATCATCCACATGCCGGCTCTTCCTATATGGTGGCGTTTGCTGTAGGCGAGCCGAACCAGGCTTAGCCATTTTATTATTATTCCTAAACAGAGATTTCCCATTGAATTTTGGACCTTGTTCCTTGATGTTTCCATGGTACACGTCCATTACTTACTACTTTCGGAGTTATAACCACATGACTCACTACTAGTATGATACCTGATACCTGATACCTGATACCTGATACCTGATACCTCGTACATTTAGGGTATATCAACTTAGTCTCTTTGAGTTTAGACCCGTATATTAAGGTATTCGCTACAGAGCACAGAGTACAACGTCGTAAGTATCCGGTATAATCCAATTGGGCTGGTAGATTATAAAGTCCCACTTTTTAGTCTCGGATATTTTTAGCCAAACTTCATATTCATTTACCTTATATGTTGTGCGAGAATACTGAGACATGAAACGACATATCAAGGGCCGTGTAACCGTAAACGCATATCTATTTTTATCTTGACTTCGGTAACAATGGATTATCATATTATAACTCTCAAGGCTACAAGGTTCTTGGCCTCTAACTGGATTAAGGATAGCGCTGGTTTTTATACTGATCACCCCACTAGCTTTCCTCGAATTTTCAACCTTCTTGATCTCTCTTAGAAAAAAGAATTTGATATATTTACAATCCTTGAAAAGAGACAGGGCTTGGTCTTAGTTCGAAGGAACCCCTTAAATCTCAAAGGATAACAAGAAGCCTTGAATTGCAAATACAGTGCTTACACAATGGCGAAAATATCATGTCATTGACTATTTGAAGGCGAGCTTATCTAGAGCCCCACATTAGCTCCTTTGAATGATGTAACAAATGGACGTGTTCTGATTGTGAAAAAGACATAGTTCCCCTGCCCAGTTTATAATGGATATACACTTCATAGTCAATCGTTTTATGGACATATTCCAGGGGTAACTCAGGACCGTTCTGACACTTGTGTGTGTGAGAGAGAGAGAGAGAGAGATCCTTATCGTAGATGGGTAACCAACTGTTAGCCTTCCCTGAATCATGGTTCCCCTCTCAGAAATTGATCTCTGAGCTTTAGCGTCATGGCGATCAACTCTTTGACAATGGTTCATCCACTGCTACTTGCCAGGGTGTTGGGATGAGGGACAACTTTGACAGGCAAGCACTCAAACTGAGGGTTGCATTAGGAAGATGAAAAAACCCGCCAATCCTCCTTAGTTTCTCCCAGTTCAACACGAGTCTTCTCCCACTCCATTTTTTCTTGTCGAGTTCATACAATTCATTTTAATGTGACGTTCGCTCGTCCTTTTCGCGCTCATATTCTGCCTGGCTTTCATCCCTCTTACGCCTCTGCTGCTCCTGTTTCTTAGACCACATCCACTGCCTGGCCTGTCGACTCAATATTCACCCACACATGACGCCAAAAATCAGAGATTGGGAAATTGAGCAGCTCGAGACGTAGGCATTCCATACATGGAAGCAAATTGGTGGATGTCCAGGCTGCCGAGGGTCGATTCATTTGTTCGTCTCCTGAAATCATCAGTGCAGCATCGGCATCAGGCAGGATATATTCTGCGATATATCACCTGCTGGCGCAAAAAGACAAAACGAAATGGTCAACAGCAATCGGGTTTCTCCAAACCCATAAGAAGAGGGCCAGTTGAAGATGGTGTCGCAAAAGCTTGAACAAGGCAGAGACCTCCTAAAGCCGGTTTCCCACACTCCCGTCCAACTCAAGAAGCCCACATATCTTGCTGGAATCTTCAATGGCAGTCAATGCCATGTAAGTTCGATGGTCCATTTTTGATGCTGATCTTGTCACAAATCGGCTGGGCTCTTATCAAGCAAGTACCATTGGCTTGCTTGATTTTGCCATTTTCGGTATGTAATTGCCAAGCTTGGATGAAGTCGCCGATAACATCTACGATCTCGTTAATCGCATTTTGGAAGTTTAGCCCAAGTTTTATCAACTTCATCTTGGCAAGGATGAGCTATTGAGTAACTTCAGCCATTTTGACTAAGAATGGTCGAGATCAACCGGATTTTCGCGATGTCAAATGTTAATGTCGTGATCATGATCGGGAAAGAGGCTGATGTGCATTAGGGAATGAGTCGTCGCGGTTTTCGCGATGTTGGCTGGAATTTTCAAAATGATGTCTGCGCTTCAGATTGGTGACGATTGGGGAAAGAGGCTGATGGTTAATCACCATGCTTCGACTCTTCAATTTCGAAGGTCACTTTTTGGGTGGAGCCTTACCCTTTTCAACTTCGATGACATTCTGGGTCTCTCACAATATGAGCCCTAACTTCTTCAGTTGCCTTTGGTGTATATATTTCCCTCGTCCAGCTTTGTTTTGGCAATTAACACTGCAACACTATAGTGCTCTCGAAATCGGAACATACATTCCTCGTGGAACTGGAGGTCAACATATACCTCTCCACCGTAATCTTCACCTAATTGATTTCATTGAAGGCTACCAACTGTCTTGGTAAACCTTGTCAGAGGATGTCTCGTTCCCAGTTTCACCTTGCCTGGATGCTTTGCCGAATATCAAGAATGGCCCGGGCGAGAATTCTGAAGGATAGGTTGGATTTTGTGGTGGGAAACTCTTGTTGGATCTTCTGATCAGAGAAGGGCTCTCTCAAAAGTGGGAATGGAGACAAAATGAGGCCCAGGACTTGTTACTTTGGGCCATGGCGTTATGTTCCTGGTATTAATTGTAATATTGTAACCAGCCAAACACGTCAGTTGGGAAATTCTTGTATCATTTGATAAAAAGTATGGTGTCACTTCCAAGTAGGTCCATCTTTTCCCAGTTGAGAGGGTGCCTCAGTTACTCACTGACCTGACTCCGAGTATCTAGTCTCGATGGAAGGTGTTGGAATCATAATATTCAGCAAAAGATTTATATCTTTCATTGACCAGAGCACATCTTCAGATGACAGCGATGTGGCCGGTCAAAAGCTGAGCACACTGAGATTCCAAGTTGGCAGCCAGCTTTGTATATGGCTCAGGAACGGATTCATGGATGGCTCATCTGTCCTTGAAAACTGCTCGATGCGGAATGGATAAAGAGAGAGGGCGGTATGAGATAGATATGTGAAGGTATTGGTATGTATACCCCAAGATGATGGTTCTAGGAAGGTACCTTAAAGTGAAAGTGAAAGTAAAAGTGAAGTTCGAACGAATACTGTACTCAGACAGTATGACCCGAATACCTTCACTTCTCAGAAGGTTACCCAATTCACCTCTAGGCATATGATTTAGATCACTTTTTCTTCATATGAATCTTGCTTATAGGTTAACTAAGCAAAAATTGTCCATAAAGTTGATTAAATTATTGTTGGCCTTGTATCGCTCGTCTTCGAGAGAAGCCATTATAGAGCCCTGGAAGTGAGACAGAGCAGCATTTAGAGCATGCTTTAGATCAATCGCCCAGCGTTCGAGAGCTGAGGATGAAGGGCCATAATATTGCTATAAAGGATCAACCTTGAAACGCTATTTATTTGAAAAGATATAAGTATAATGAGCCTGCAGTGAATGATACACTATTGTCTTTCGAAATCATCTGTGTCCCGACTGATAGTGAGTGATAGTGATAGAAAAAGGCGCTCTAAGATTGATGTCGACACCTTCGAATTGAAGAGTGAGATGGGGATATCCAGACCTATTTCTTCCAAGTTAGCTTGAATTGTCATAGCATCAACCGATATCTTACTGTCTGTGGCAGGATATCTTGTAAAGGATGAACGCTTGTTTTGCTTAGGCATCGTGTCAGAGCCTTATAAGGATGGGAAAGGCAGAGGAGTGGACATTGGAATGAATATTAGACTAGTCTGGACTAGATATTGTGTGGAGATGATGTAGACCAGAAATGAGAATGTCGCCAATCGGAGCTTTCATAGACGACCCACTTTAAGGGCGGGATACTATATGCTTATTTAAATTAAACTACAGAGGTTACATAGATCAGCAGACTCAACATGAAGTCCACGAGTATGATGGCATTTTGGCGGAACCAATGCGGCTGAGTAGGACACAACCTCGGAAAATTCAAGCTACCCCAGCCCTAGAGAGGCAGGCGTTCGTTTCTAACATACTTATGTAGTATAAATATATTCGTTGCAACCTTGGAAGGTCTTTTCCCCTTGCATATTCAGTGAAATAAGGTGAATAAGTACGAATCCATATGAGATTCTCGAGGTCACTATTGTGCCCACCTGGACAGGTGTGAACCTTGGAATGCTCCTTGAAACACTCCTTGAAACACTCATTGGCTCGTTTGCCAGTCCTTGTTTACCTAGCCCTGGAGACCTAAGCATCAGCAGATGTCGTTTTCAAACCTTGGAAAATGAATTCCAAGATTGATAGAACGTACATAAGTAGGTATCGTTGATGTTTTGATGATTAATTTCTACGAATATGGTAAAGTATGTTTTCTTATGAGCGAAATATTCTGTATTGATGGCTTCAGACTTGCCAAATGGCGGCTGTAAGAAGATACGATGATAGTCTCCATACGAGCCCAAATCGTCTAGTGAGAAACAATGCCAGGAAAAGCTGATGATAAAACCTACTATATGATTACACGCGCTGGTGGAGGATCGATTCTTGGCGCTTGTTATCAACAGGGAAATTGGGATTCTTGGCCGATTCCAATTTTGGTATTCACATTACCAAACGGGTAGCGGAATCGAAGCCTGTTTTGACGGATGGTAAAGAGAATGAAGGATTGGATGTTGTTGGGCACTCGGTGGGATGGCGACCTGTCTGAGAGGAATGGCATTGAAACAGAGAGATTAGTGGAGTGTGGGCCATCCATAACTTTGGTGCTTGCAGTGCTGGATATCAATGCTCGTGTGGATGTACACAGGCAGCAGTTAATCTTATCGATGAAATCTGTTCATCTCGTTTTAAGTTTTAGTTGTGAAAGATACCTAAGTGTGGTGTCCAGTCTGCGGCTATATTTGATTCGATTGGAGATGTTATATCAATCGAGGTAAAGGAAGCTTCCAGGGTCATTCAAATGGTCAACTGCTGTACGATAGACCAAGGTTAACATCACCCCATACCTGAGTAACATCGGGTAAGTTCAGAGGTCCTGTAGAAAATAGAGAACGGGCTACACATACTACCTGAGTGGGTAGCATTTACCAGTTGACTACTCCGTGTTGCAGGATGACTCTACATATGACATTTGGAGCCACCTCAAAATTTTGACATGTCGCAAAGGGTATAACTTTTTTGGTTCCAGCAAATAAATATTTCATGGTAGAGTAGAAAAACACATTCCTCTAGCAGATAGAGATGGCGGGGTGGAATCGTCTGTTGAAAGGCATGGAATTGGTCGTGCAAGAGCGTCAGATACACAGTGGGAGATAGTGAAGCACAAGGCACTAGACTGTATGCCAGTGCCACTAATGTCAGAAAAGAACACCAAGGAAAAAGAATCGGCTTGATAATATTTTGTTGTGGATGGTTCACCGATTTAACAGGATACACCACCCGACATCTCTCACTCCATCCCCGAAGGCCTTTCCCTTCCTCTCCAAGTCGTCAGAATCATTGATCCCAGAATCCAACAGTTTTCCTCCCATTGGGTGTTCCATCTGCAGATCCGTCTGCGCGAAGAAGAGGTAATCCGCCCACTAGATACAGAGATGCCATTTAGATGTTGGAGGGGTAGAGCATGACACGGACGGTGGCACCGAAGGACTTGGGGGGAGGTTGTTGCGGAACTTGGCGCGAACAACGCCGGAGTTTCCTGTACAATCAGTCAGAGAGACCATAATGAAGAGTGATAAGGTGATAACATACCGTGCGGCCGGGTGACCTTGCCCCAGATCACCCGAATGTGGGAACCGCGGACCTCACGCTTAGCACGGTAAACGAAAGCGACCTTCTTGCCGAGGTAGAAGGTGGCAGCCTTGGAATCATCAACACCCTCAATCTTGACCAAGCTGCATGGTTTGTTAGATTTCCCCATCTTCATCATGATCTGCACAGGCGGGTGATAAGTACCTGGTGTTGGGGTTGGTGTTGCGCTTTCCACGCTGGTAGCTAAGGTGGCGACCCCTGTAAAGAAACGTATGTTAATCCTCTGTTCTGAACAGTCGATATTGTGTGAAGTTTGCAGTGTATTTTGTATGTGGATTTGTGGATGTGTGTGATTCGAGGTGTTTTGTCCGATTCCATCTCCATTCTCTCATAGAACCCATATATTTGTTGAAACGCGACGGCAGAGTGTGGTAACTTACTTAACGTAGACTGTAGTGAAGCAAAATGTTAGCATAACCTGTGATATTTTTCAAGTTGCAGAACCCGATGCGCCAGTGGACATCTTGAATTCGTTCCCCTTCCCCAAGTAACAGTATCGGGCTCTCTCCAGGGTGCACTCACGGCGGTGACCTTGTTCCGAAGGCATTATGTCGGCTTTTTTATCTGAGTGGAAAAAAGTCGAAGGAATGACCCGCAAGAGATCAGAAGTCGTTCCCGGTTGTCGTGGTTGTCGTCGCTTCGGTGATCAGTGAGCGCACAATCAATTTGCGAGGTGTGGCCGCTTTCGCCCTAACCAAATCGGGAATTTAGCGACAGGGTAAGCGAGGTCCCGTGACTACCGAGCTAGTCCCACTGTGGAATTACGCTAGTCTGGTTATGGACAATCTAGAAGTCTCCGGATAATCTAATTATCCATTCTCCGAATTATTTTTGATGATATAATCAACAAACTCTCACCGCCCTGATTATCAATCTGTCCGGGATTCTGTGATCCGATTTTCTAGAGCGGGACGATGTACCTCAATGACGACACTGGCTTTTTTATTGTTACGAAGCATAAAAGTACACTCCCTCACTTTGTTTATCCTCGACTTGAGATTGGGTAGCTTGGTCATTTGGTTTGTTATTCTGTTCCATTGTTCTTTTGTATTCCCATATATCCAAATCCATCAAATCTTCAGTTGGCTTACTCTGTCGTGCATGGCTTTAAGCTATCGATAACGGATTGTAGTCCTCCGGCGTGGACAGACCGAAATCACTGATTGGGAAATCCAGATACGGCACCCCACAATGCTGGCAACTTCGGCATGATTGAATACATACCAAACTTTACTGTCAGGTCCATAGTATTGTGGTATTTCTGTATTCTTGTGTGATCTATCGGTATTGACATCGATATCGCCATTTCCAGCTCCCCGTACCTTTTTAACCCATTGATATCCCAACAGCCATAGAACATCAAGTTACTCATAGCTCTGGGGACCCCGGTTAATATCCTCCGAATCCGGCATCCTGGACTGGGGCATTTTAGATCGGGACGATGCCCCGGACCGGTAAATACTTGAATCCGTTCTTGTATGGAAGATGACAAACGTGTCGATCTCCACGATTGCGGTCACCGGTACTCCGATTGATCATATACAAACACCTCTATAGATAGAAAGAACTACTAGTATCAACACCTGTACAATGGAGTAGAGCTGACAGCACTCAAAACTGCTAAGTACATAGTTTTGTATGACAATATCTCGGGGGGAAGGTTCATGCAAGCTCGGTAAAATAGCTTTGATAGGTCTTAAGCTCTCAAGTCGGTGGAGCTGTGTGACATACTCTTATAACATCTGCCCTGTGCCACAGGGTCGTTTCTGCAAGATTGTACTCGTCCTTTGTACTTCGTACTCTGTAATGTATTGTGTTAAGAGTCGCAAAGCACTCTACTTGCCGGAGCACCGCTGACTGTAACCTGTAGGTACGTATACTTGATATTTTTTACTCCATGTTTCTTTGGGAATTACACCCTCTTCATAAATTTAAATGAATGTTGTGTAATGTTTAAATTATCTGATGACTTGATGCGTTTTATCCTTCTCATTCCAAAAGAACCGGGATGTTTATTGGAGAACAATATAGTAAGCCGACATCACGCGGGGTCATGCGTCAAGTTGAAGAGAAGAGCTGAGATCCACATGGTATCATAGAAGGTAAGAGAAGGCAGTCTCAAGATGAAATAGGAAGAAAGAGTGAATTGTAGATAGTTATAGTTTGGGGTGTATATGCTATATACTCAAGGAGCGGATAATTTCAGGCCTAGATCCTTGATATCATATCTTCTAAAAAGCGGTAAAATCCAGTTCGAGCTAAAAAAAAAGTCAGGTAAATAACATGAAGTTATAAAACATAAATTACCCAGTTAAACCCCTCCAGGACAGCCCCACCAGAAGCTGCGAAATCTACTTCCGTTAAAAGCCTTCCGGAACCTATTATAGTCATCTGGTTCCCCCATCTCTTCTAATTTTTTTTTCTCCCCAACTCTCCTCTCCAGTTCTCTATATTCATATAGTCTCGCAAGAATGACCAGCATAATCTCCAAGTCCGATGATCGCCAAAGTGCTGGGTGAGTAAAAATGACTACGTTTTATCTCTGACATCACCTCCCTTTCTTCCCTCCGGCAACGGAACAGCCCTCTATTGAACCTCAACCTGTTCCCAATCCGCCAATTTGACCAAGCGCATACCTTGATCTTCTTCCGAACCCTACCAATCCCTTTTTCACACTTTTACACACCTCCATCTTGTTGTCAGCATTGAATCGTTTTTTTGCCTCGAACCACTTATTTCAACCCCTCCGTTGGCACCATCCATCTCAATTTTCCCGCTCTCAAACCTCTGTTCCTCAACTAACAATGGCTTCTCAACGCAGCACCATCGAATTGAAGGATGACACTGTCATCGTGGTGCTTGGTGCCTCCGGGGATCTCGCAAAAAAGAAGACTGTTTGTGCTCCCCGACTCCAGCTTATTCTGGTGCTACGCCTGCTAACATGCTCGAAAATAGTTCCCCGCACTTTTCGGCCTCGTACGTGATATGCTCACCTGAACAACTAACCGACTTCAAGCTAATGCCAGATCTAGTTCCGCAACAAGTTCCTCCCCAAGGACATTCACATCGTCGGGTATGCACGGACGAAAATGGACCACGATGAGTTCTTGAAGCGCGTGCGCTCCCATATTAAGCTCCCGACAAAGGAAATTGAGGAACAATTAGATGAATTCTGTAGCCACTGCACCTACGTCTCTGGCCAATACGACCAAGATGATTCGTTCATTGCCCTCAACAAGCACATCGAGGAGGTCGAGGGAGGTCGTAAGGAGCAGAACCGCGTGTTCTACATGGCACTGCCCCCCAGTGTCTTCACTACTGTCTCTGAGCAATTGAAGCGCAACTGCTACCCCAAGAACGGTCTCGCTCGTATTATTGTGAGTTTTGAGCTTTTTTTGTCTTGTTACGAGCTTGTTGAATCAGTACTAATATTCCACCCCCCACTGAAATAGGTTGAGAAGCCCTTCGGTAAGGATCTCCCGAGTTCGCGCGCCCTGCAGAAGGCTCTGGAGCCCAACTGGAAGGAGGAGGAGATTTTCCGTATCGACCATTATCTCGGTAAGGAGATGGTCAAGAATATCCTCATCCTGCGGTTCGGCAACGAGTTCTTCAACGCCACATGGAACCGTCACCACATCGATAACGTCCAGGTATGTCGTGGAAAAATGTTATTGATCGATTGGATTCTGATATCTTGTTGCAGATCACATTTAAGGAGCCCTTTGGTACCGAGGGTCGTGGAGGCTACTTCGACGAGTTCGGTATCATCCGTGATGTCATGCAGAACCGTATGTACCCTGACTACTTTTTGAAATTATTTTGGACTAACATTTGGCTCAGACTTGTTGCAGGTGCTGACCTTGCTCGCCATGGAGCGCCCCATTTCTTTCTCCGCCGAGGATATTCGTGACGAGAAGGTCCGTGTTCTGCGTGCTATGGACCCCATTGAGCCCAAGAACGTGATCATTGGACAGTATGGACGCTCTCTCGACGGCAGCAAGCCCGGTTACCTCGAGGATGACACTGTGCCCAAGGGATCGCGTTGCCCTACCTTCTGCGCCCTGGTTGCCTACATTAAGAACGAGCGATGGGATGGTGTTCCCTTCATCCTGAAGGCCGGTAAAGGTATCTACAGCCATTTTCTCTTTTCAATTGATATGATTCTAACTCACTTCTTTCACAGCCCTGAACGAGCAGAAGACCGAGGTCCGTATCCAGTTCAAGGACGTCACCTCCGGTATCTTCAAGGACATCCCCCGTAACGAGCTTGTCATCCGAGTCCAGCCCAACGAGTCTGTCTACATTAAGATGAACTCCAAGCTGCCGGGTCTGTCCATGCAGACAGTGGTGACCGAGCTGGACTTGACTTACCGCCGTCGCTTCTCTGACCTCAAGATCCCCGAGGCTTACGAGTCCCTGATTCTGGACTCCCTCAAGGGCGACCACTCCAACTTCGTGCGTGACGATGAGTTGGACGCTAGCTGGCGCATGTTCACCCCTCTCCTGCACTACCTGGATGACAACAAGGAGATTATCCCCATGGAATACCCCTACGGTGAGTTATCTTTAATACAATTTCCCGTTGAAAATCTTGCTAACCTTCCTTAGGTTCTCGTGGCCCCGCTGTTCTTGACGACTTCACCTCCTCCTACGGTTACAAGTTCAGTGACGCCGCTGGCTACCAGTGGCCGGTTACCAACACCACTCCCAACCGTCTGTAGATGGTTAGTAGTATTTTCAAGTTGTTTACGACGATATGGGCGAGATATGATGGCGACCAAAATCTACGATTATTTTTGTTTCACTTCTGTTGGCTGGGCTGACTGAAGTGGCGCAATAGGAACTCTCAGCTCATGATGCTAGACGTGGCTGAGAAATGAAAGACCGTTTTACGCGAACATCTTGCATGTCTTGAAGAGCCTGTTGGCTTTAACTGTTCTTTGCCTTTTTTTTTTTTTTTTTTCTTTTTGCATGCAGGTGGAATCGTGTATTTTCGGGGTAATGAACCTTACTATTGGCTTTGATAATTGTAGACTGCTGTATTAGCGAGTATAGAAGCAACGCCATTGTTATAGACTGTAGTACGGATACATATAGAATACCAGGTTCCCCGTACTACAGTAGAACATTACCTAAAGGATGGCTCTACTACCTCCTGTTCCTTACTTCAAAATTACCCCTTCGTTTTAATCTTAAATTCTATTTCTCGCTCTTAATCTGCCACAATCTTCGTTGTTTCGTAGCGTGTCTTCTTACATCTTGTAGTTTGTAGTTGATTAGCATTAGCGGCCCGCAAGCTCAGACTTGGCTCAAACCGAGTCTTGATATAGAACATTATTAGACTATCAATTTATTTCCTCCATTGATCCAGCTATACACCCAGCTGGAAACCTAGCATTTATCCCCTTCTTCCAAGTACGGGAATCATACTCAAACCTCGCTCTCATCTTCGCAAAAAAAAAAAAAAAAAAAAAAAAAAGAAAAGAAGCTATCCGGCACAACAAACGCGACTTACGACCCCAATTCCGATCCCGATTTCCCGACTTCCCGATTTCAACCCCCCTTCAATCTCCCAGTCACCCCATACTTAATAGAAATCTCAGATACACCCCGCGAAGGTTGCAAATATCACTCCAGCTCATCACCATCTCACGAATATCCCCTTTAAAACGAGCCGCGATCCGAATCGCAATCCCAGGATCCCTCGGCGCAGTGTTGACTAGCCGCGCATCCTACAACTGCGCACGTGTCCTACCGAATCTCCAATCCTGTACACACGATTCAGCCGGTGATTGAGTGGAGGACGTGGAGTGCATGCGAGTACGCGCTTAAGAAAGATGCCGCAGGCTGCACGATGGGCGGGCACACCCTCTATCAAGGGACGGTCGGAGGCAACGCGCATGGCGCTGTTGACGTTTAGTCTTGTTGGATTACAGTGCGTAAAAATCTGCGCATGGAGAAAGAAAGAGAACAAGAGAATAGAGGTGGCGCATTGGTTCAGGCTGACTTTGTTTTGTTTTGTGATAGGTTTACTTGGGGTACTGAGATGACTTGTGAGTTATCTATATGCCATGATGAATTGGAAATATACCTATAAGCTTGTAACTAACTCGTGGCAGATTGTACACCCTACCTTCTCCAACTCGGCTTAACGAAATCGAAAACTTCGCTCGTGTGGATTGCTGGGCCCTTATCTGGTCTGATTATCCAGCCCTTGATTGGCGTCATTGCTGATCGATCACGGTCAAAATGGGGTCGAAGGAGACCATTTATGATTTTTGGTTCTTTTGTTGTGGGCTTTTGTCTGGTTGTGCTGGGATGGACGGCTGAGATTGTTAGCATGTTCGTCAAGGACCCTGAGAAGGTAACGCTGGAGAATACTCTCGCTCGTATACTTGATACTAACTTCTTCTTATTCTAGGCTAAGAATGTCACGATTGCGCTGGCAGTTTCCAGTATCTATGCTGTCGATTTCTCGATCAATGTTGGTACGTATAGGCCTGTGTAGTTTCAATATGGGATTACTCACATATTATGTACAGTGCAAGCCTGCTGTCGCAGTCTGATCGTGGACACATTGCCAATAACTCAGCAGCAATCTGGATCTGCTTGGGGTATGTTCTTTATTTTTCTTTTTTTTTTTCTTGTGATCATATACTAATACCGCAATAGCTGGTAGAATGTGTGCTATCGGTCAGTTGATTAGTTATGCTGTTGGCTCGATCGACACCGTCAGTATCTTTGGTAGCCTTTTTGGCGACACGCAATTCAAGCAAATGACAGTCATCGCGGCAATTTCTCTAATTGCTGCAGTATCAGTCACTTCATACAGCGTGAAAGAGCGAGTTTTGATCTCGGCGAGGTATGTGTACGAAACTTGAGTCAACTCTAGATACAAATTAACGTCATCGATAGGGACTCTGATGGCCACGCAGGTGCGATTCAAGTCATCACACAGCTGTACAAAACCACCATGGAGCTACCGCCGCGCATCCAGGCAATTTGCTGGGCGCAGTTCTGGGCATGGATCGGTACGAACCACCATCTCTCATTGAAGTAACATTGCTAACTCAAACCAGGCTGGTTCCCGTTCCTCTTCTACAGTACAACCTGGGTGAGTGAGACCTACTTCAGATACGAAGTACCAAAAGACCAAGCAACAAAATCAACCGACATGCTAGGCGAAGTAGGCCGCGTGGGCAGTCTATCGCTAGTAGTATTTTCTTCCATAACATTCTTCAGCTCCGTGCTCCTCCCCTTTTGCGTGCAAACCCCCGACACAAAGCGAACACGTTTCACGCCCCGCCCACCACGCGGCATGGCCAGCATAGCCAGAATCCAAAAGAAACTCGAATCCGTCCGCCCAGACCTTCACACAGCATGGTTCATAGCGCAGATTATGTTCGCAGCAACAATGGTCTTCGCACCACTCGCTCACTCGCGCGCTTTCGCAACGTCCCTCGTTGCTATCTGCGGTATACCATGGGCAATAAGCGGCTGGGCACCCTTCGCTTTCATGGGCGTAGAAATCAACAAACTAACCATGATCAACGCGGCCAGCAATGGCGTCGGCATACCCGCTTCATCAACGAGGTCCGGGGTAACAATGATCACGTCAGCTAGCATGCGCAATAGTAGCAGCGTTGCGGCTGATTCGGAACTAGAGGTTCTACGGCTTCACCACCGTGACTCCGACAGCGATACGGACGAAGAGGCCCAGGCCTCAAACATCCCATCTACGGGTGAACTAGCAGGTATCTACCTCGGTGTGCTGAACGTATACACAACTCTTCCGCAGTTTGTCGGCACGTTCATTAGCTGGATTGTCTTCAGCATTCTTGAGCCTGGTGCTCAGCCGGCTAAAGAGGGTGGAGAGCCGTCGGATACGCAGTGGATGAATCTTGATAAAGACAAGCCTAATGCTATCGCTGTTTGTCTGTTCATCGGTGCTATCAGTGCACTTGTTGCGGCTGAGGCAACGAGGCGGCTTAAGTATGTTCCGTGAGTTGGGAGGTTCTGGGGTCACGTGTGAAAGATGAAATGCGTATGGTATATGAAGTGAAGTGATCGGCATGGAAATAGAGCGTTTTGTGCCCTTTTTATCCTTTTCCTTTTTTCGGCTGGAGGCTCTCAAATGCTTTTATATTCAGCATTTTCAAGGGTTCTACCTTCTATGTGTATATATAAAATCCTAGGTATTCCTAGGTTTATGAAGTGTAGTAATTTTAATTGACATTGTAATAACCGAGTGGCGCTGCAATCATCACTAGACTTGCATATCGCCTGCAAATCTTTCCCCAAAAACATAAATATGACGAAGGTAGTTCAGACGGCATGTGGGGCAAAGCAAGAGTATATTGAGCTAGGTAAGAGCTGATCCCAACTGGAGCTGGCTGGGAACTGGGAAACAGGGATTTATGTTGGAGTTTGAGTTCTACTCCTACAAAGTAGTTCCTTATACTGTGCCAAGCCCTGTTTGGGACCGTCCAACAACAGATCATCCACTCGGACGCATGAACCTGGAGAGATGACGACCCACTTAAGCAAAAAAGCGGCACAGGAGAGAAACAGAGACCACTGTACCCATGGAATCTAAGATGCAAATTTTGAGAGGATCCAATTTGGTGATAGCTATATTTCCATCTAAAACTCCGAGGATCTACAGTATTAGTCCTAACCTTAGAAGTTCACAAACGTTCCGGAGCTTCTGCACCTGGGCACGCAGTGGTGCCCATCTATAATTATTGTCTTATTATCACGCTTTAGCTAAATATAGAATGGTTCATGGCACAAGTACAGGCCGAGAAACAAAGCGTGAGTTTCTATGGAGTAATCTTGTTTCGAAGTCTACTATATTGTAAAATCAAATCTGATATTGACGGCGTACCACATACCAGTGTCCGCGGTTCACTATGGGTATATTCACCGTGGTATGTCATATAATTCGCACCTCGCCGCCCTAGCGGTCTGTTCAAAAGCCGATGATTACCTAGTATATCACACGTAGTAAAGCCTTAAGAAACCCATCTGCTTTTGCAGCTGATCTAGGGAATATCTTGTCTGTTTCCCTAGTATATTTTCGAAGCGCCGCGACACCCGGGAAATGCTCGATTGTTTTGCCAGTTCGCCGGGAGTCAACTAAGTCAACTAAATTGACGTGTACTTTGGCAAGTGCCTTTTGTAGTTAGTGTTGTGAAGCGCAGAAATTTGACGGGATGCGAGCCACTAGATTCAATACCTTCCGGCAATTGGAAATGCTTCCGATTGAATGACAGATATCCAGCTCTATACATAGTGCCTGCCAGTTTTCTAACTTCGTAGCATCGGAACCGTAATGAATGTCGAATTCGGAAGCAAGGAAAAGTGATCTTTCCCGCTTATATTTTTTAGAATCTCTTTTCCAATTCATTTGACGTGCGAGGAGACCGAATTCGGAGTTTACAGACATCGTAGGGGACCTTTTAAAAGCCGGGAAACGGAGGAAGTAATCGGAATTTTCCATAATGTACTGAGAGCAGTGGCAAGGACGATGCCTGAGTTTTCTTAAGAGTAGCTCGTCTTGAATGAAGAGCTGTCATTTCGCGATTTATTCGCCCTTTTATATAACCTTGGAAGCTTCCAATGTTGTCCCCCGCTTGCCTCACACCAATGTATGAATGCCCAACAAAATATAGGCGCTGATGATATCTGTATATCTCAGCCTCAACCCTACCTACCCCTCGTCTGGCAGTAGCTGCGCAAATTAGCGCCTTGGTAAAATAGAAGTTACGCGGCCTACCACACAGTAGCTAATCCAAAACAGGCTTAGTATTTGTTATCTACCAAGGTAGTATTTATATCCTTCTTTCCCAGAGACTGCCGTATGACATGGAAATGACCCAATATAGCCTTGTAGGCCTTTCAGCCTCAACACGTTCGAAATTGCCTTGGAGTTTGCCTGAGAGTTTGCCTGAGCCTTTGCTTTCCGAACCTGTTAGTTATAAAATTTTCAGAATACTTGCCTCTGTATCCTCTCAAGATTATGGTTCTCTCTATTTCTCTTCCTGTTTGAAAAGCAAAAGCTTCAAACAGAGAAAATAATTGACCTCCATCACGACCAAAGAGATACATCTCAAGTATTATACAAAAAGGCTGTTTGGGCGGGCTTCCCGGGCTCGTATGTAGAACATTCTATGGAGTCCAAGGTATCTAGCCACCATATGACATGATCTAACCATTTAATCCTAGGCATTTGTCATGCAATGGAATTGTCAATTGATTCTGTACCAAATTAGGAATATTGTTTATTATTCCAGAATATGAACTCCGGGACTCCGTGACGATTCAGGTACCTCAGTGCTCCACTAAAGAATGCCGCTCCTTAGATTGATAAAATGAGACATAACTAAGTTTGCACCAGTGTTCAAGCAGCCCACTCTATCCACAGTGAAGATGAAGCTTCTGGAATGTCAGCCCTGTAGTTTAATGCCGTTAAAGCCGTGCTGACAAGCCCGTAAATATGAAAAAAGCCGTGATTGGAAGGGAAGGATAGTGGGGCAGCCCCAGAGTGACGGAATAATGATTCAATCACTCAAACTCCAAAATATACAAAGTAGAAAGCTGCCCTCACCTCCACCTTCAATTTCAATTCCTATACTCAAAATTCCTATACTCAATAATATTAATCATTCACAATGGCTCCCAAGGTTCTTGTCGTTCTCACTTCCCATGACACCATGCCTGGCCATGGTCCCACTGGATGGTACTTGGTATGCACCCCGCAATTTAACCCGGAGCTATAGATCCTACCCTATGCAGGGGGAATAGCATGGCAATTGAGTCGACGCTAACCTCTAATTCACAGCCTGAATTCGCTCACCCCTGGGAGGTCCTCCACAAGAAGACCGAGCTCACCATCGCCTCGCCAAAGGGTGGCGAATCTCCTCTCGACCCTTCCTCAGTAGCAGCTACCGAGGCTGATCCAGTCTCAGTATCCTTCCTGAAGGAGCAAACAGATTTGTGGAAGAAGACCGAGAAGCTCTCCGAAGTCGCCAAGCGCGCCGACGAGTTCGATGCCATTTTCTACGTCGGTGGTCACGGACGTACGTATCAATGTTCCAACCTACCTAAAAACTCCAACACAATGCTAACCCTAGACCCTTTCAGCCATGTTCGACCTCGTCAATGACACAACCTCCATCGCCCTAATCGAAACCTTCGCCAACGCAAAGAAGCCAGTCGCAGCCGTCTGCCACGGGCCCTGCGTCTTCCTCAAGGCCAAGGCTTCCTCCGGCGAGTCAATCCTGTCCGGTGCCGAGGCAACTGGATTCTCGAACTTGGAAGAGGACCAGATGAACCTTTCGCAATATATGCCTTTCATGCTGGAGACTGAGCTGCAGAAGCTTACAGGTGGCAAGTATGTTAAGGCTGCTGAGCCCTGGGGTGCTAAGGTTGTTGTTGCCAAGGCTGCTGGGTCTGGTGCGCCTTTGATTACTGGCCAAAACCCTGCTTCGGCTACTGGTGTTGGCGAGGCTATTCTTAAGGCTTTGGGTCTTTAAGTGTCTACCTAGGTAGACTGGATTGTATATACAATAGTTCACTTGAGAAACGTTCTAAAATTAAAGATTATGATTAATATTTTGAACTTTACAGGTTACGAGGTGGTTAGATCTAAGTTCGGTAGCACTTCATAGGTTTTGAATCTATCATTGCTTGGCCTTTTCGATAAATATTTTCGGATTGAATCTACTTAACTAGTCGGAACAAAGCAAATTGTAGGGTTGGCAAGTGCCGGCTTGAAACTCAATAGCAAAAGGGGAATAGGGCAATATCAAAAGCAGACGAAATTGAAATCGGAAAGAATATAATAACGATATAAGGGTAATAAAATGGCTTCGAAGAGAAGAATAAACAGGATATCAGTTGCTAAGGCGACGCATAACAAGAATAATCAAATGTGGTCCATAATTCATTTCGTTTCGCAGTATTCGTCAGTTCCCCGTTGCTGGGAAGGTTCGAAAGAGGGCTCAACTAGCAAACACGAAGAATAGAGCTCGTCTGATCGATATTATGAGTAGATATGGAAGGGATTTGCATCCGTCTTGAGGATATGGGTATGATAGAAGATGAAGTGGTAAGTGAATGTTTGACACAATTGAACTGATTTTTTTAGCGTGCTGCCTCCATGTCGCCAGTGAGTTCAGCAACGCGTGCCTTGATACGGGCTACTCGTGACTCAATTGCTAAAAAAAAAAATAGTCAGTAATGCAGGCTCAAGTCAGATGAACTGGGTTGGGAGAACTAATGAACTCACTCTCTTCGCCGCTGGTTTCACCATCGTCTGTGCGTTCAGACTGGCTTAACCTTGGCGCCGACTCGTCAGCCGCTCGCTCGGCAGCATTTTTGCGAATCTGTGCCCACCGGCCCTGGGTGGCAGTATGGCCGTTACTTCGGCTGGGTTGGGGGGACTCGTCTTCGGGAACAGGGGTCAAGTCGTCATCCTCAGGGACAAAGGCAGGTTGATCGTCCAGTGGTCCCTGGTCGAACTTGGAGAACTCGTGATCGGCAGCGGCACGCTCGTCAGTATCGACACGGGATAGCGCATCACTATCAATGGCATGGCGGGTTTGAGGAGGACTGCCGTTGCCAACCCGCTGCACTCGCATCCGGGGTACAGCCGCAGGTATCACCTCATCCTTGGGAGTGGAAGGCTTCTCTGGGGAAGGAGAAGTAGCCCCGGTTGCAACTGGTGTCGCACTGATGGGTACATTCTTTCTCAACACGGGCTTGGGCGCGCCAGGCCCCTGGGCAGCATTGGCCTTGGCTTCGAGAGCAGCACGGGCAGCTGCTACCGATGTTTCCCCAGCACCAGTGCTCTTCATGGGAGGCTGGTCACCACCCTTCTTCTTTGTACTACTGAACATGCTCTTAAATCCGGCGTTGCCATTTTTCTTTTTCAACTTCTTTTGTGAATCTTCTGATGGATGAGGCTCCAGCAAAGGGGGTGTCTCAATGACAACAGTCTTGGCAGTCTTAGCGTTCTCCTTGGTTTCTTCAGCCTGCTCATTGACTGGTGAAGGAGAGGGCGGCAATGGTGCTGCAGAGGCATCCTTCAAAATTGGTGGAGGTCCGGTCTTGGATGAGCTGGGAGATTGCGGCTGAGCAACAGGGGAACTGGGACCTTGTGCCGCTGTGGCAGTAACGGTCGAATCATTGTTCATGGACTCGGTAATGCCACGAGTTCCTAGCTGGCTATTATCGAGATAAGCGGCACGGATTGCATCTTTATCGTAATTCCTGGCCCACTTCATGGCCGAGGAGGCCTCGTTCACGATACCCGGCTGAAGCGTCATGACCGAGTTAGTCTTGGTGGAGAAAGTCTCGTCGTCGAGATTGGCGTTGGATTGGTTAGCCTCCGCTTCCTGCTCACGATGCTTCTGCTGGAGAGCAGCGGCAGCCTGTTGAATGCGCTTGTGCTGGTCAGCGCCAATGCTAACCTTGCTTTGAGGACCCGGGTTATCAGAGCGCTGATAAGTCTCTCCAATGGAGGATGCCTTGCGGGCTGTCGATTTGCTTCGGTTAATCTTTGCCTTGCGTGAACCGAAGCTGAAGAAGTGCTTCTTTTCAACAATATGGGCTCCGGCCTCGGGCTCAGGAGCAGCACCCTTGATCTGTTCCTCAAGAACCAACCATTTTGTTTGGCGGATCACAGTCTCCACCAGAGTGCACCGACCAAATACTGCCTTGCGCGCTGCAGGCTCATCCGCAGATAGACTGGTGATCCAGACCCACCAGAAGGAGTCATCCAGATCCAAAGTGTTGATGCTAGCCAGCTCAGCTGGCTCAAGCGCTGTCTCGCTGTCTATCATATTACGCTTGTGCGACTGGGAACTCTGGCCGCGCTGGTAAGAAACGATTGGAGGTAAAACCTTGTCTGGTGGCAGTAGCATAGGACTGGAGTATTTTGGGTTTCTCTCATCGGAGAAGCCAGAAGACATAAAATCGGCCCAGGACGGAGTTGTGGGACGTCCCAAGTGACCGTTGCGTGATAGAGGCACAGAGCTCAAACCACCCGCAGAGGTAGCCTTCAGAGAGGTGTTGGAATTGATTTTGTCATCCTCTCCATCCGACTCAATGGAAGCACTAAATCCAATATCCTCGAAGCGAGACCAGGATGCATCCTTCAAACCGACAGAGTGCTTTGTAGTTGACACGCTTGACTCATTCGCGGACGAAATACATTTCAAAACTCGCTGACATTCGTCAGTGAGTGCCTGGATGGGGTCTTCATATTCGGCAAATTCTTGTAAGTGCCAATGTTCATCGCGATATTCGAAATTCTTTGCGCGGCGTAGCAAAGCAAAAGGTGTAGGGGATACTGTATCAACAATCATGACAACTTTAGTCGTTGTAACCTGAAGCAGAGTCGGGGTCTCCGGAGGGTACTCGGTTCCCTCCACGAGGGTTTGAAGCGAGAGTGGGAGCGAGGAAATGCCTGTAACACCGCGTGGGACATCGGGCGAAAGCGATCGCAAATAAGCGAAGAACAAGTGGCTTGTGGCATCGGCAGCGCTGTTATCATAAAGTTAGTTATCTAAATTAATGACCAAGAGCAGGGAGTCCCTTACGCTTCCCAATTTCTATATGAGGCCTCAAAGCCATTGCCAGTGTCATGGTGTTCGAACGCCCACCATCCCGCATATCTCGAGAGCTTACGGCCTCCCAGCCCGTTGGATTTGCCATGTGCTGCGATTGCGGCGAGCAGGTCGAAGAAGTCAAAAATAATCTTGCTGCGAGCGTCTGAGTCGACACTGATGGGGATAAAGGTGGAGAAGGCGTCGCGAGCGAGATCGGAGTCTATGTCAATTGTCTCAGTTCACTAAATTCCCCAAAAGTTCAACTCTTGCTGGCACATACCTGATTCGCCAACCTTGAACAACTCATATGCCTCCCAGGTTACGACACCCCCAGGTAATCTGCTCCAGCACCACTTCATCACACTGCACAGAACCTAAATGTGATATTAGCATCATATCGTGTCGCGTTTGTGGAGCCCTACTCACCATAGGCTCATTGAGCCGCAGCTCCTGCATCAGGAAATCTCCATTGACTGGGGAGCCCTTATCGAAAGACTGATTAAAGTAGTTGCGGATGAACGTGCGGGCCGCACTAGGATCGGAACTCGGGCGGAAAGGAAGGAGCAGGAAGGGGGCGTCCAGAGCTAAATTAAGACGAATGATCAGCGATCCGAAGTATGCGCGTGGGTAACACCGCCACATGGTTGAGATAGGAATCTTAACCCACCTCTGCCTTTCAATTCTTGTGCACAACCACGAATCAGATCTTGAACCTCCTCAGGTGCGACCTCTGTTCTCAGCCAGGCATCGGTCCACTTGGGCTTAGCAGGTATCGGATTCGCGTTGGCTGGTTTTGTATGCTTCTTGGTGGAACTGGCGTCTTTACCCCGAAAGACGCGCGAAATGAACGACATTTTTTGGCAGAGTTTGCAGGATGGCGTCGATTCAACCGTGGGATGGGTATCCGAACACGCGCTGAAGCGCACTCGGGTGGTTTTGGGAGGTGGTTGGGTATCAGGCTTCCGTCTATACGTCAACAAATCCATGATTAGCGATGATTGCGCCCTGGGCTAGAGTGCAGGAGACCAACAGATAGATTAAACGACTGGGAAAAAAAAGAAGAGAGAGAGGCGATCAAGATTAAAAGTGAACCAGGCCGGGTGTCCTGCAGCCCGAAACAGACTCAGGGCAAAAAAAAAAAAGATAAGAAAGGGACCCCTGGTCTAGATTGTGGAGTCTGTGCTGACGGAGAGGTCAATTCATAGAGTTGAAGAGTAAAATGACAAAAAGAAGAGAAGATTAGACCAGAAGAAGGAAGGAGGGAACAGAGAGAGGGAGAGAGATAGAAACAGAAAACGTTTGAAGTGAGAAGAAACAAAAAAGCAAAACCTTTCTAAAGTCACGATGTTCAGGGGTAAAAAGTCCGGGTAACTTACACTAAAACCACGACCGCCCACTAGGATCTGGACAATTACTTTGAACCTATGAAATGCTGAAATAGAATAAAAAGCAAAAGAAAAGAGATTGTAATGAGAAAGGAATTGGACCTGTGTATACGAAACTGATCATATAAGCGATACATAGGAATGGGCAGAATGTGGTGGGTGCTTTGGAGAATAAAATGATACCCTATCATCGTCCAATTGACTTTCATCCGATATCGAAGGTTTAGGCTCAAGTCTTTTAAATAATCCATGGATAGAGGGGTTTGTTGAATTATATCAATAGAGTATGGTGGTTACCTATCATTTGAACTGGATTGATCAAGGTGGAGACAACTGTTGTGGATGATCGATAATAATGATAGTTCAGACTTATCCGCCAACCTTAGTAGAGTATTTCACTTTACTAGTCAGAACCTTAACTATGTAAAATTGTTAATGTTAACGTATATGAATATATTAATAGTTAAATGCCCATGAGAATGGAAAATAATGGATGATTCCGGAGTATAGATGAATAGGGGTTGTGTTTCAGGTCTACTTGCGGAGTGCAGGTAGGTAAATATGCAATAGTATTAGAAATGGCAAGTGTAAACCGATAACTCCTTACAGAAATGGAAGATAAGGATGCAGAATGGATGAGTATACTGTGATGTGTCTCTATTATTGAGTATGCATAAATAAGCATCTACTTTGTATGCCAACATAAGAGTGCATAGATCAGCCAATGGTATTATGTAAGTGTATGCAGTTTAATGATCTATAAATAGAAGTAGCCGCCTTAGGCCACAGCTTACTCATCAACACCGTCCCTCTTTTCTCCCTCGTGATTCTATCTTTAGAATCAACCTTTTCTGCATCATCAATCAGCTTCCACTATCGGTTTATCCGCTGATTCATGTTGCCCTATTCTTTGTCACCCTTTGCTTTCCTTTTTTTGTAGGACTTGATTCTTCCATTTTGTCTCTTCTCTCTCTCTCTCTCTCTCTCTCTCTCTACTTCCCCTTCTTGGCTTCTCACCCTGATCCGTCCCTGATCGCGCGACATTCAGAGCAAACGTTCTGTCAAGTTTTTACCCGTACTTATAGGACTCGAGTCTGAGTCCGAGTCCGAGTAATCGGTCTTTCAAGACTATTGCGCTAGATCCACGAAAAAAAAGAATCCCCAAGTTTAGTCGCTCGTTACGTCCGTGACCGTTCAAAATGGGTCGCCGAAAGATTGAAATCAAAGCGATCAAAGATGATCGGAATCGCTCGGTGTAAGTTGAAACTTACCTCATCATCTGGCCAAATACTTAACATGTCTCACCGCGCAGCACATTTTTGAAACGAAAGGGAGGTTTGTTTAAGAAGGCGCATGAATTGGCCGTGTTGTGTTCAGTCGATGTCGCGGTGATTATCTTCGGTCATAATAAAAAGTTATATGAGTATTCTTCCTGTGATATGCATGAGGCTCTTGGTCGCTACCAATATGTTTGTTGCGCCTCTCTGCTGCTGGTCAAGTGGATGCTAATTGATCGCCCGCAGTTTGGCCCCCCTCATGAACATAAAGGCCCAGATGATTTCACTGGAAAGCGCGACGACGACGACGACGAGGATGACATGACCCCGGGACCCGAGGAATTGCAAGCGCAACATTCACAACATTCCCATCCCGCCGTTCCGCCTCATATGCAACAGCCTGGTGGTTTCCAGCACGTTAATCATCCTTCTGCTTCTCCTCCCATTTCAAATGGTATACCGATAACGCGCCATGGTACCCCTCAGCAGAGCCTTTCGCGCCCGTCCTCAAGAAATCATATCCGCCGGGCGAGTTCTAACCTTGGTCCGCATCAACATGCCACTCCGCCGCCGCCTCATATACCCCAGAATGGTTTCGCGTACATGCCAAATCCATCAATGTACAACCCCAATGTTCATCCCATGAATCAGCCGCGCCCAGGACCATACTACGCCCATCCAGGACAAGGACCGCCGCCTCAGGGGATGCATCATCCTCACGGGTTGCCTCCAGGAATGCCAGGTCCACCGCACTTTCAACATCCCAATCAACCCCATCCTCATCAACATGCGCAAACGCAACAGCAACAGCAACAGCAGCAGCAGCAACATCCGCAACAGATGGGAATGCCTCCTGTATCGCATGCTACCGTACAACAGGTCCAACAAGCGTATGCAAATCAGGGCCGGGGCTCAATGCCTCCAACGTTTGTGCCAGAACCTCAACAGCAGGAGCGCCCACCCCCTATTTCACAAAATTCAGATCACTCTTCTGGTCTTTTAAAGGTAGAAACTAGCCAATCGCCTCCGCAGCCCAAGGCTCTGTCAAAGTCGCGTAGTATTTTCACTCCGATCGATGACCGCGGCTCTGTACTAGCCCGTCATTTTGGTGCAGGTGCACCAGTGTACGAATCACCTCGCGGAAAAAATGTCGTGAAGCAGGAAGCAGTGCGTGAAGACTCACCGAGTCGAACAGCGATCACCGCGGTGAAAGAACCTCCCCGCTCTAAATCAACGCCAGACCCGAAACTATCCCGAACTAACAGTGGCCTACCCCCGTCAAAACGACCGCAACTCAAAGTCCAGATTCCTAGTGAAAACTCAGACCATGGTAGCGCGACGGCTGAATCGTCTTCTCGGGACTCTGCTGGAAACAAAACCGCAACACCTGCTAAGGACAGTAACAATCCTACAACTGGCGTGGTTCTGCCACCCCCTTCACCATCTGCCGGTGCGATCTTGAGCGCTGGCGCGCAAGGACCACCAAATCCCTTCGCCCGTCCACAACCACCGACAAATTCGTATGGCAATAATGGCATTTCAAACAGCGGCAGTAACTCTACCAACATCGAGACTCCCATATCTGGGCTCCCAAGCCGATTTGTATCAGATGCTCTCCTTCCATCACCATCTAGTTTCTTCCCCGAGTGGGGTTTTGGCCGGTCCGGCCCAGACTCCAGCTTGCTGCCTAGTCCTCTCACCTTCCCAACACCAGCGGTACAGAGTGGACTGAGTTTTGCGCGCGATGACGAAGATAAAAAGCGCAAAAGCCCAGACAGCGGGGCCCCTGTAGAAGGAGCAAATAAAAAAACAAAGACCTAGGAGAATCTTGAATCCCCCCATGCGCTTTCAATCTTTTTCACGAAATGGCCAGACTTGGCTTATATTCTTGACACTAAATTTTGGATATGCCGGCCGATATCCTTTCCTCTATATCCTGCCCTTTTAACCTTGACTTCTATCTGATTTGCTTCAGTGCAGAATTCCTCGTGCTCTCTATACCCAACCCAGCTCTATACCTTTTCCTTGGTTTCTCTGTTGATTTTGACTTTGATTTCTATATTGATTCTATTATCTCATTCGTTGACGATTGTCTTTATATGATGGAATTTCCACTTGATCTGTCCCTCCGTTTCTCCTTATTTCTTTTTGTCTATGATTTGATTGTATTTTTTTTCTTGGTTTTTCTGGTCTCTGGATATGGTGACGAGTCTTTTGGACGATTAGTACATATCTAAAGGTTACAGACAGCAATGTCAAATTTTATGCCTATTTTGTGATGTTATTCGTAATTCGACGACCTCGGAATTGATGCAGTACAACCCTGGAGCTTATATCGTAAATACCATACATAGGTATGAATGTATAGCTCAATGATGATCATAAGTCGGTATTGGTCTGATTCATGAATGTCAATTCGCACCTTTGCCAGCTCATCTCTCTTGTCCACAAGCTCTATTTCTTAGCATTGATGTAACATTAGAGTTTTATCAACTTCGCCACCTCGTTTCTGATAGCTTGTTTTCCAGCTTTTATTCCCTTTTCCCCGAGATCGCCCAATTCATTTTCATGCTGTGTCCACTACTCTGTTTCACGAGGGAATGTGGGATGCGACATCCTGGATAAAACGCTAGACGCGCCAACGAGGCTCTTTATAATGGGCTCGTCTTGTGTTAGTTCAGAAAAAATGTCTGTCGTGTGTATAAATTAGATAAGCCCGATGTGTTAATGCAAGCTTTGCTGATCTCCGCTCACCTGGCGTCTTAAAAGAAGGCCTAGCAGTAGGTGAACTTTAATTTTTCCTAGCAAGGTAGATAGTTTAGGTTGTAGAGCAAGGCTTTGACATGAACCGTGGAAAAAGGAGTAGTAGGTGAAGGAAGGTCGAGCAGCTTGTTTACATAAGTCATTGAGGTGGGTACTCAGAGTGGAGCCGAAAGTGAGCGGAGCGGGGCGGAGTGGGACTCTGCTTCATGCCAATCCACTTTACTCCATTAATTAGGAAGCTCATCGAGAAAATGATCATATAATGATAGAATATGAAGATTATTATATGATGGATGTGATGTCACTACCTGGCGACTTATATGAGAAAACTAAATGGAAATAGAATAGCGTGAATGCTTCTAGTGTTTTGGGAGGGCAAAGATAGTATTTGTTATGAACAAATTAAATTTGTGGATTCATACCGCACATTATTGTGACATACCCTCATAAAACCTCCATATAATACATTACAGCAGTACAGGTAGTTGACTTGATCCATTTTAGTAGATCCTCGCGGTGGAATATTCAACTCATGCAGCAAGTTTCAACCAAGTCTGAAAGGTTGGCGAGTTAAGTAGCTTCTGAAGCATGAAGCGCCTGTTGGATGATAGGTAGTGTTGAAGTAAGAAAAGAGATATCATATCTAGGTAGCTCTATGTGAGGGAAGGATGAGTTAAATATCCAGGTTGTTCCGTGAACACATGCCAGATGATCTGAGCGTGATCCATAGTCATATTAACCTCATTCTCACTTCCAAAAGTGAAGTAAAGCAAAATTGAAAGTGAAGATAAACTTTGAAAGCGAAAGTACTCAGTTTTTTCCAAGGCATCTAATGTATCTAGATACAAGCAAGCACCAGTCCTGGCTATACCCATAAGTCTATCCAAACAACATTGGAACCCGTTTATAAAGACATCAAACGTCTATAAAAACCTCAGACCTTGACATCCTCAGTCATAGCATATCGACTCCATCTCCGAATAACAGGGCCATATTTATAGAAAACATACGGCACAGGAACCATAACAGCACTGATACATCCCAGAATAGTCAAAGTGTAATGAACACCAACATTCTGATAAAATGGAATGCCAACAATAGCCATGATACCAGCAGCGCAATACCGAGACACAGTCATGAAACCAAGCGCAGAAGCAGCATAGATCTCATAAGAGTCAATAACGTACATGTAAGAGCTGATAAAGATGCAAATAGTTCCGAAGCCAAAACACATCGATGCAACGATGGGCGACCACACTGATATAGAGGCGTAGTCTGTCCAGCCCATCCAGAAGAGACTTATTGGAATGAATGGCGCGCCGATCATGGCAAACAAAAGTCTGATCTCGGGTGCTGTGTGTACGCCGTCGAGGGCGTGGGAGTCAGTTGCCGGGTCGGCGCCTTTGGCTTCCATTGCTGCTTGAGTGAATTTCTTCTTCGTGATGTAGTAGTTTGGTATTATGACTAGTGTGGCTAGGACTATGCCGACGAACATAGCGACCCAGATGATATTTGTCAGACCCTGAGACATGCCATACGTGTCCCTAAAGATGAAGGTGTAGCCGTCGAAAAAAGTGAATAGAACGATGTATAAGATAGTCATGTACAGCGAGATGAGCAAAATGATAGGCTCGTGTATTGTGATCATTATCTGGCGCTTCATCGCGCCGCCAATACGGTGGAACAGGGCGATTTTCTCAGTGTCCATTTCCGAGCGGTATCTTGAGTCACCGGTAATTTTGCGAAATTGTTGACCCTTCCATTTTAGGAGGAGCGGCGAGTATGTCTCTGGTTGGAATAGGAGTAGTAAGATGAGAACTGCGCCGGATACGATGAGGATGAGCCAGGACGTCCAGCGCCAGGACAGACCACCAGTTTGGCCAATGTAACTTGCGACGACTGGACCTAGCACAGGGCCACCGAATGAGATGACGGAATACATTGGGAAGTAGAGCGTTTTCTCGAGTGGATTCCATAGATCGGCTATTGTGCCTCCGGCACATGTTAGTGGCGGGCAGCCGAAGACGCCAGTCAAGAAGCGGAATGCTAGTTGGGCACCGATGTTTGGTGCCAGTGCTGTGGCCATGACAAATATCATAAATAGAGACAGGGAGCCAACGTACACGAAGTTGCGGCCAAGGATCTCAGACAACGGCCCACTGACGAGTGAGCCAGCTGCGAAGCCGAGCAGGTAGAGCCCTGTAGAAAGTCATTAGTTCCATGGAAATAAAGCGGCTTCAGGTGAGATTACCAGTCACTAAGGCTCCTACCACATTGCTGACGTGGTAGGCCTCTACAGTCTGAGCTGAAACGCCTGAGTTGATAGAAGAAGCAGCACCAACAACCCATCCCAAAAGCGAAACGTTTATGGTAGCCATAAGTCTTTTAGAGTAGCTGTAGTTCTTAGGCATCTGAGGATCATACGCGTCGTCCCAATCAACGAGAATAAGGCCATCAGGCTGATCTGATAAATCAATCTCCTTTTTAGCCGCAGACTCACCCGGCTGGTCGTGAGAGTTAGTCGTAGTTAGAGCTTCCGAGTCGAATTTCTGTTCTGTTGTCGGAGATCCAACTTCGGTTTCTTCCGATCTGCCCACTGGACTCTGGCGTCCATCTAGAGTGGGTGATGGGCCATACTGCCTGGAATTTGATGTTGATACTAGCCGTTTTCGAGCGACATTTCCAAATTGACGATATTGCAGATAAGACTGCATGATGGATGTCGGAAATTAAGATTAGAAGTGCGGTTTTGAACCCTTCCTGACTTATTTTCTCATTATTTAACCATCAATCCGTGTATAGCATGTATGTGCACAGGTATGTGCATAGGGTAGTTAAAGGTTGAAGTGAAAAAGAAATAATGGTCTATTACGAGTCATTGAAGATCTTTCTCCACTTTGCTGAGAAATCAAGCATCTACTAACCCAATAACTAGTTCACTATCGGCTGACTTATTGACCCTCGCTTAGGCATAACCCTTGTATCAAACTACGTTGTTTCTATCAAAAGTACGGTGTAGCCGGGTCCTTACATACATTACATAAATTACGCTTTGTTACTCCGTACAGGCCCTCGATGAGACGAGAGCCAAATGGAAAGGATTACCCAAATGGAAAATTATTTCTCGTTCCGGCTTAATTTAACCACCAATGATAGTGAATACGTGATTTTTATGTAAGAAATAAATACAACTGAATAACTAATGTAGTGGGGAGCCCTATACAGTATGAAGGAGAAAGCGGTCTGCGACGGCTGAACCATCTGGTACCATTTATCTAGAAGTTGTGATAGTTACAGATTGAACACCTTTACACACCTCTTCACTTTTTGACTCCCTACCCTCACTGAGCTTTTCTTTGCGGTTGTGGTTGGTTTTTCCTAGCTGAATCGACCTGCACGTTCTGACCGTGCTGCCCCCATTTCACTAACTAGTTAATCCCGTAAGTATTTACGTCATAGACGTGTTTCCTTATCACCATGCCACTATTCAGAAGTGTAAGATCTTACCAGCTAGCCAATATTGACCAAGCTACGCTTAAGTTTAATATTTTACTTTATCCCATTCTCTTAAAGTTCTCCAACCTATAGACTAAGTAGTATCATGAGCCGCTTGAGATTAGCGGGCTTAAATCATATCGTTATAGTTTTGAGGCGAAATATTTGGTTCTTGGCTATCTGGATTGCTAATGGATGTTAGCGACAAAAATCTCGCGCTGACAGAGAGAGTATCCATCTTTTCCCGGAGTAGCTATTGCGTCACTAAGACTTAATCCCTACAGCTAGGCCGCTTATTACCGTGCTTATTAGGCTGTAGTCAATGTTGGTATATTTTTTGCTTTACTCGGAATGCAAATGACCAGTATGCCGATTTAAACGTACGCCATAGAGGCTTAACCAGGGCGGATGAGCAGCGGCGGCTGTTTTACAGTTTATACCCAGTCTGACTGCACTACTATTCCCTCTCTTTGCTCACACGATTTCTGATGTGCTGGGCTATGGATGGAGGACCAGTAATATTGCGTTTATTGCTTTGTTCATGGCATTTCAGCTCCTTTGGTCCTGATATACTAGGATGCCAAGCTTATAGCATGAGAGCAAGTAATGGGCTAAATGACCAATAATCTTCTGGTATTGTTGACTAAGGAAAACAAGTTCGGAGGAACAAGCGTATGGTGAAAGTCGATTATATTGTGCTCCCCTTCTCATCATGAAAAGCTTATCTAACATCTGAGTCGACTTCCTGGTTCTGTATAGTTTCGGCTTGAGGTTATTTATTTTGAGGAGTGAAGGTGATATATATATATTAGATACTAAAAATAGTGGATATCAAATTACATGTAAGAATATGCAAAGAATAGAAGAGTTTCTTTAAGCGTAGTGATATCAACCTTAAACGTCAAGATTGGGAGTTCCCTCGGTCTTGCGTTCAGAGTCCAGTCGCTCCTGGCGGGCACGTTCTTGCTCAGCAAGACCCGTCTTTTGAACGGTGTGAGTTGTGGTCAATTCGCGGGGTCGAATGAATAGAGAGAAAATGAAACCAACAGCTGCCATGCATGTGTAGAAGATCCACATGCGGTCCAAGGATTTAGTGAAGGCATCTAGAACAACCGTACGCTGAGAATGGGTAAGGCCTTGGATAAGACTCTTGGAAGAGCCAGCAAAGGATGAAGAGATCTCGGCGGTAAGTTTGGGGCCGATGGCAGCTGTGAGAGTGGCGGATTGTTGGCTCATTACGTTTTGGTATATGACTGTGCCGAGGACAACGGACATGGACATAGACAGCTGGCGGACAAATCCAAATATTGCCGTCGCGGTAGCCATATCGGCAGGCCGGATGTTGGCTTGGAAGGCTACCAGAGGAGACTGGAAGTTGGGGCCAATACCGGCACCGGCGATGAGCTGGTAAATGATGATACGGGGCCATGAGGCATAAGGCTTCAGATCGATGAACAGCCCCCAGCCAAGAGTCAACACGGCCATTCCGACGATAATAAGCTCGCGGTACCGACCAGTCTTCTTGATGATGACACCAGTAGCGGCAGAACCGACTGAAAGGGCTATCACAAGTGGCAAGACATATACACCACTCATGATCGGGGATGCGAGAAGGACGGTTTGGAAGTAAAGTGGGAGATAGTAGGTTCCGGAGATGAAGACGAATCCGTGGCAGTAGCAGATCAAAAGGATCAACTTGTTGTACCATGAGTCGAAGAGACGCGGCGGAATAACTGGGTACTTGGCAAACTTCCATTCCACCAACATGGCTATGACCCAGGTCACCACGCCAAAAATGATGAGGCAGATGACAGTCGCCGAAGCCCAAGGGTAGCTACTACCTCCGAACTCCAGTCCGAAGAGGAACATGAGAGTGCCGCCAACGATGAGGAAGGTACCTGTCCAGTCTATGCTGCGCAGGCCCTCTAGAAAAGGAGTCTTAGGCGACTCAATGTGCAAGAAAAAGGTCAAGATGACAAGAGAGACACCGCCGATAGGCACTATACAGAAGTGTTAGTTGAATTATGACAAACAGGAGAAGGCTATACGAACAGTTAATCCAGAAACACCATCTCCAGGTAGCGTCTGTTGTGAAAGCACCACCGATTATAGGACCTAAAGCTCCAGCAACGGCCCAAACGGCTCCAAAGATGCCGTAATACATAGGACGATCTCTCAAGCTGAACAAGTCAGATACACTGATATTGGCAAGAATAACAATTCCACCGCCACCAGAACCTTGAACTGCACGACCAGCAAGAATCATTGCCATGTTCTTGGCCAGAGCACAAATCAGACTACCGACGAGGAAGACCACATTAGCCAACAGGATAATGTACTTTCTTCCCCAGATGTCACTGATTTTTCCCCACAGAGGAATGCAAGCTGCATTTGCTAAAAGATAAGAAGAAGCGATCCATGAGTAACCACCCTCAGAAGCATTAAAGTCTGTTGCGATAGTGGGCAGCGCAGTCGAAACGATAGTCATATCCAAAGCTGCCAAGAACAAAGCCATCTAAAAACGAAAATCAGCACTCTGCTTGCGAAATCAAGAGGTAGTTAGTACTTACACAAAGAGCCAGAATGACCACAACAATCTTTTTGTTCCCCATCTTTGCGGCCTGGGATGGAGTACGATCTAGTTCGGGAACAGCCGATTTTTCCTCAATCGTTTGAACCTTTTCGCCAAGGGGGACATCGAGATCCTGCTTTTGCGTCTTTTGGCGTTCGATCTCGTTCTCATGTTCAACATCGAAAGATTTATGTGATGCGCCATCCTGGGAGACGGCAGTAACGCCGCTGGCATCACTAGCTGTACCGTGGTGCTTCATATCACTAGTCATTTCGTTCGCCATGAAGACTAACAGATCACCTGGAGCAGTCCAGGGAAGAGATCTGAGAAGTAATTTGTATTCAGCGGGGAAGTTGTGCAGAAAAGTCTGCAGGAAATTCGACAGCAATTGCCGAGGCCAAGCTTGTTTGGTCCGTAACAGCTGAATCAAAACGTCAAGGTGATATCCTATTACAGTAAATGGCAAGTATTGATGAGATATTTCTCGGACATGACTGATACTTATATCGTACCTTGAAAATGAAAACTTAAACTCGTCACCCTTAAATAGTTCCTGCGGAAATTAGGAAAACCGAAAGACCGAGTTCCGGTAGCGTCGCCCGATATAGTAAGTCCTTTTCGGATACTAACCCAATCGAAATTTATATCCATCGGGAAACACTCTTTTTTATGAATCCGATAGTAATTGAGGGCTACGTGGCTAGTTAACTCTAGGATGATCTTCTTTTTTACTATATTCAGTGTTGTTCGGCTTCAAAATGACAGTCATATTTACGTAACACCCGTATCTAACTAGTTGGCTATTTGAACGAAGTACAATTAATAAGCCTAATCACATAAGACTAGAAGATTCCTTGAACCCTGACGGTGATATGCTGCTCGGCTGCACTAACTATACAGTAAATAACTAGTCCTTTAATAGTTACTACTCCGGGTAACATGGCGCCATTATGCCAGATGTTGTACCTGAGCTAGAACAGCTTATGTGTACTAGTTGCGGAAGGATCAGTCCGAGGAACTTAAAAGATAGGCCACGTGAAGCCAAAGAATGTATTTAATATAATTTATGAGAGCAAATAATAGGAGAAAGACGGGGTATAAGTTGGAAATTGCCGGTGGCACGTATCAATCAATCAATCCTGGAGCAGAATAAATTCTAGAGAAGAGTTGTCAGTTCGAAGTTCAAATCAAATCTCATGTAAAGCCTACCAGTCAGGAACTCTTCAAAGCTAACGGTAATGTAGCCGTCGCGATCATCGTCGTAACGCTTGAACACATCCGTCATGCGCTTCAGGCTGATACACGCCTGGACAAAGAGATCGAAGCTCATGCCATTCTGTGGAGTGCTTTTCTGCGGCAAATTCCGTTGACGAGTCTTGCTCTCGAATGTCTTGAAAATGATCGAGATGAATTTCGGACTGAGGCGGTACCCAAAGGCAACCAGCGCATTTTCGAATTCATGCAGACTAATGCGACCACTGCGGTCTTCATCGAACCGATCAAACAGTTCGCGCCATGCTGCCAGATAACGCCACAAGGACACGAATTCGTCGAAGTTGATAGTGCCGTTGCCATTCCGGTCGAACATGCGGACCATCACTTTCACCGTACGCGGGTGGAAGGAGGTGTAGTCTCCATTCACAAGGGCGGATCCCAGTTCCATTTCAGTCAGCGAGCCAGAATGAGACAGGTTGGCTGCGCGGAAGAGAGGAAACAGTTGCTGCGGGTCATCACTGGGAGCAGACAATGGCGGCGGGACGGGGGACTGCGGGTGAGGCGCCGGGGGCCGATTGCGGGAAGGTTGAGATGGCGGGGGACCAAAGCCATAGTTCTGAGGAGGCGGAGAGGGGTGCAATGGATGCGGACGGTTATGATTGTGACTTGATAAGGGGCGAGCGTTATGGTTCTGGGATTGCGGAGCATGGTGCGGGGCATTCGAAGGGTGTGAGTTATGCGGAGACCCCGATACAGAGATGCGCTGGGGATGGGGGTGAGGAGAAATATGGGAGCTTGATGTTGGACGTCCAGGAAGAGGTTTGTGGGATGGATTGTGGTTGCCCGACATCTGCATCGATCCGAGCATCTGCGCGACCTGGCGGCTCGATTTTAGCGGGGTTCAAATGGGAATGCGCGATTGGCGACGCGATTGATTTACCTGTTCTGGCTCGGCGTGTCTGTAATTCAATTAGAAACTGACAGTAGTTAGATATGACGAGATCTGCGACTTACGCTGGCAGCGCATCAGGATTATAACCGCTGTTGTAAGCCATGGTCACGGAGCTCTGCCGGAGGCAGTGAAGACGGTAGGTTGAAGTAGGGGATGCGTCCTAAGGGGCTCTTGAAGAAGAAGATGTGTAGGAAGAGAGAGGACAGACTATATAAGATATGAGAGGATGGCGAGAGTTGTTTGATTGAAGCGTAGTCGTGGGGGGCGTTTATGAATTTCTCCTTGTGAGGAGGCTTAGAGTCTCCTCCCGTGTAATGGATTTCTTGGCACAAAACTCAGCCCTACTAATGTGATGTCTACTTGGTAGTTATTCAATGATCCTTGTGAGTCATTAAAATTAACTAATTTGCTAGCTTTACTACGGTAAACTAACAGTAACTGGCGGGGTATTGATTTACTATAAAAGTGGAAAAAATGCTTGCTGCCTAGTACTAGTTGACTATCGTGAGGCTCCACCAATACGAAATACGCGAAGATCAACAACGCTAATTCTCACAGTAAAGCCTCGGGAATTATGTGACGTATTTCTGGGGCTTGTTCTTCTAGCAATGCCAATATCTCATCCAAGGCTTTGGTCTGGAACTGTTTGCTGTCAGCATTGGTCAATGCCATGGTTTCACTAGACACGATCAGTAAGTCTGTATAGAGAAGAATCTACGGAGTCATACTCAAGGTAACCATCACTTCGCCAGCATTTGCCCTGTGACTCAACTCCTTGCATCGTTGCGCTCACCAAGGACCGACTACCTTGTTCGGTCGTGCGCGCAAATAGTTTATACGCTATCCATGCGAGCAAGCGTTCATAGAATCTGTTATACTGACGTCCAAGGAATGACTGGCAGAGCCCTGGGCTGATGGTGTTGACAATGACTGGTAGTGTACCGTCGTCATTGCGAATGAGACTGGCAATATTCTTGATGACATATTCCAGAAGCAGTTTGGAGATACCGTATTGCTTCGCACCCCTGAATCTGTCTGGAGAGTTTAGATGTTCCAACAAGGAACCATCCGTCTGGATACTTTCCGCCTTGACACGAACAAACTGCTGGCTAGACACAACACTTAGGTGAGTTGGATCCGATGGCGAAGAAGATTCTTTCAGCTTCGGAAGAAGCAGCAGAGCGAGAAGTGATGTCGACAATGCATTGACCTGGATGTCCTCCTCCCACCCATCAGGAGAAACGGTATATTCTCGATTCCAAAGGCCGGCATTAAGCAGAGCAATGTCCAAACTCTTCAGCTCACTATTTACACGACCAGCAAAGGTCTTCACACTTTGGAAGCTGTTCATCTCCAGCTCCCATACTTGCACAACACCGGGTCGATTCGTGCATTTCTCAAGTTTGTCTTTGGTCCGATGGCCCCGCTCTAGGTTGCGACTGCCAATTACCAGTGATGAAACCCCTAGGTCGAGAAATTTTATCGCAGCCTCATAACCTAAACCTGAAGTTGCACCTGTCAACACGACTGTTTTACCAACAAATGAGGTGCCAATAGGATCTGTGGGTGGAGTGTATTGCATTCTGAGAAGTCGAAGTAGACCTGCCATTGTGAGGGTATCGTAGATTCTGAGAATCTAGATATTAGAATTTCTAGTCCTGGGAGATAGCTCAATCAGCAGCTTGACATGTCGGATCAGAGATGATGACTAATAGATATCCATCTCTTTGGCCAATCAAAGTGTAAGCTGCACATTCTTCACCTTGACATTTTCCTTCGAACATCCATGATAAGTTCCTGTGACATCCATGGATGTTCGAAGGAAAAGGTCAAGGGTAAAATAGCTATCAAGGCATCAAGTAATCAATGATCAATGAAGTATTAGATTGGTGGGTGAATGTTGCTCTCTAAACTCCGGATAAACTTCTATGGACTTTGTATTTACTCGGTATTCACTAGGTATCATACTGTATCAGTCTACACTATCATGATTTGTGAACTGACTGGCATCAATGCACCGTTATCAATGCACTTTTATCAAAATTAATAATCAGTTTCGATCTCCCTTACAAATCAATCTACAAATTTTGATCAAATATCTCATCTCGCGTTATAATGGCGAACCAGAACAAACACTGCAAACAGAACATCCGAACCCGTGTCCTGTCGGGTAGTATAAATCGAAACAAAGTGAGATCTAGATCTCGGTGCAATTCGGTCCTCTTTTTTTGAGCATCTCTCTGAACCACTGATCTCATTTCGCAGGGTTCCCCACCAAAATATTCCAGATTTAACTCCTTGGCTCACGACTGCCCAGGTACTTAGGTACGTTGACTGCTAGCATGGCTGCCGTACTGCAAGGCCACCAGGTGCATCCTGAGGGTCGAACTTGGAAAAGTCACTTCCCCAATGGAGATCTCTGGGTATTTGGGTATGGGTAAGTGAACGAGTCACCTCGTATCTATCATCCCTCTGCAGCGGAAAAGCTGATTTATACCAAAAAGGAGTTTGATTTGGAAACCTCCACCACACTACGGTACGTCGGGAAAAAGGAAAACTGCAAATCTGAATCAATAGACTAGATTTGGGCACTCTTCCAGGATGATGGGTCTCTAACAAACATTCCCAATCCCCAGATCAGCGGGTACCAGGATACATTAGTGGCTACGTACGACGATTTTGGCAGGTATGCAAATGCAAACGCTGATCGTCTCTCTTTGGCTTGCATATTTCGAGTTCTAGAGCGTTCGAAAAACTAATTTGAACCGCTGCGCTTTCTCTTTTAGGCTAGGTATGTGGTCCGTTTGTGTGGACGTCGTGGGATGGACTGAGGCATCATATTTCTTTCCTGATTGCAGCATGAATGAGTGAACGCAAAAAAAAAAAAAAGAGGAAACAGCTAACCTCACCATAGTACTGATCACCGAGGTACACCCGAGCGCCCAGGGCGGGTAGTGACAGTTATCGAACGCAAATTCTGGGAAACGCTAGACGATCCGGTATGTGTCTCATTTGCCGATGCATGGGGCTGAAAGTGGAAGAAAAAAAGAATTCTAAAAAGCAAGAAAACTTTACTTGTCACATTTCCTACTCCTTGCAGTCTCAGCCTCGATATATCCCAAGCAAATGACCTTAACACATTCACTAACGACTATCTGAAACACAGCTTGCTCTTGGATCCGAGACAGAGGCAGCATCTACAGTTTGGGGTGCAGCGTATCACATTCCTGCCTCACATGCCGAGGAAGTCCATGATTATCTGGATGAACGTGAGATTGACGGTTACAGCGCTCACTACACTCCCTTCCATCCTGTGTCAAATGCGATATCTACACCTACATCTCGCGGGGAGAATGGGCCGACTCCGATCATTTGTATGGTTTATATTGGCCAGCCGTCTAACCCGCAATTTTTGCGTGATCCAGCCCGTCGGGATCCCCAGGATGTGGCTCAGGTAATCAGTGCTGGACATGGTCTGAGCGGGAAGAATGCAGAGTATTTGTTCATGTTGGAACAGGCACTTGAGGGCATTGGGCTTGGAACGGCTGATATTCACGTCACTGATTTGGTGCGTCGGGTGAAAGCCATTGAGACTGGTGACCAGGTGGAGGCTGAGGAATACAAGGCGGAGCTGGAGATCAAGAAATCTTTAGCTTCTACTCACGATGAGTTAGATGGGAACAGGAACACAATTGAATGAGTCCATAGCTATCGTTGACTTTTGATTGAACTGAAGAGACAATAGATTATGGAAGTAAATCTTAGCAAGATCGAAGAACTCCAGTCAAGCTCTGGAATCACAAGACTCTAACTTGGAAACATTTTCAAAACCCAAGTGTTATCCGTTTGGGCACAAAACTTCATGTCTTCTCATAGTAGATTTCATCTACTTCAAAATCTTCAGAGGTCCGTTTAAGGGACGACATAACGAAAGAAAAGCAGACAAATAAACCAAGAAAGCCGCTCCTTCCAATCCTCATACACCGATATCGTCCATACTTACTAAAATGATTGATCAAGAGTGGTAATTTGACTCGAAATGCGATATCGACGGGAGAGGGTATTCGACTAGGGCCTTAATTGCCTTCAGGGTAATTACCCTGACCCTGATTGTTACGCCAGCCTTCCAACTCCAAGTAAGCCAAAAAAATCAAACTGAGTCATGGGAACGTAGATACGAGAAACTGAAGGAAACTCACCGCCACCACCGCCGTATCCGGCATTAGCACCACCACCTATTGATTTGTTAGTCGGTCATTTCAACATATGTAAGATGACAAAAAAGCGCTCACCGTAACCTCCGCCGTAAGCTGGAGGAGCACCAGAACCATAACCACCTTGAGTTCCAGCATTAGGGTATGAATTGTAGCCAGCATCGCGGTTGTAGCCGCCACCATTACCACCGGGGTATCCGCCCTGGTAGCCACCGTTGCTCTGGGCCTGGTAGCCAGGCTGCTGGTTGTAGCCGCCTCGGCCTTGGAAGCCGTTCTCGCGTTGAGGACGGTCATAGGCGCGGTCAACGCGAATAACCCGGCCATCGAATCTTGTACAGTCAGCATCAAGCGCGGGGAAGATGTAGTTATTGTAGGTGGGGATGTCTAGTTTATGCTCACTCTTGGTTATTCATCGCGCTCATGGCAGCGTCAGCCTCAGCATCTGTGGCGAAGCGAACAAATCCAAATCCACGACTGCGCAGAGTCGAGCGATCTTTGACAACAATCTAGAATTCAGGTCAGTTGAGAGACTTGAGGTGATTAAACTGGTCAAATCCAAGACCCACAGCCTCTTGGATTTCGCCGAACTGCTGGAATCCTTCACGCAAAGTGTCATCGGTAGTGTGCCATGAGAGGCCGCTGGGGTTGATGACTGTCAGTATTTTCGCTATTCAGAGACTGCAAATGCCGATCGATGAAAACACCATCGAGTGAGATTATGAGAAAGAGATGGAACGCACTGTACAAAGAGCTTGGACATGATGAGATGAATCAGCTAGTGCAGAGTCAATGATAAAAGGATATTTAGTCCTCTGATGATTAAAACTGGATGGGAGCGATACACACGAAAATCGCAAGAGATGTGGAGGAGAGCGATGGTGAGAATCGCGACAAGTGGCAGGGGAGATCCTAGTGGTTGCGAAACGAGTCAGCAGTCAAACGCGTGTAACAATCACACTGCCTTAGGGCTTCCAAGTCCTTGGGATTCTTTGGGATTCGGGGTCGGACTAGCACCAATGGTAGTGCTTAGAGGTAGATTAGCTGATTACCTTGTGATATTATAGTATCAAACCAGCACTATTAGAGAAGAGGGAGTAATAAAAAGGTGGGGTCTAAATCCGAATCTAAAATAGATACAAAAGGCGTTTACAAGAAAAGAGAGTCCCACCAGCCTAAACCTTGAATTGATTTGATTTTCTGTTCAATCAGATGTCACCCGAGGCTGAATCTAGAATGGCCCCGTGTATCGGCTGATGCCCCTCACTTTAATAAGAGCATATTTATCATAGTTCATGAAATAGATCTTTTCTGGATTCTTTCAAACCTAATATCTAATATGATGCAGCAAATAGCAAGTTGGTTAGAGCTTCCTCTAGGGCTGTCCGTGGTATCTCGGTAATATTCGATGTATTGTGTACCTCGGCTAGACCCTAGAACAGGGAGAACTAGAAGCTTTGGGTTCTCACATATTTCAATCCCGTCAGACGGAGTATCCCGACCGCACTGATCCATTCAGCCATAGACTCGATACAAGAGGGGTTATACCTTGGAAGACCCACATGCCGCATGGCCGTGCATCGGCACTTCAGAGTCCAGAGCTAGATCATTGAGATGTATCAGGGATAAGATAATAGCCTTTGATAAGAGATCGGAAGAAAGTACCAAATCCTTATCAGTTTGGGTTAAATATCGGTGGTTGAGCCTCAATTGTGATCCATGGATGGTGGTGAGGTTATACTCCTATACTTCTTTAAAGTTCAGGGTAATAAGGTTGTTCGTACCTTCCGCTGTCATTTGTACCCGCTTTTTCCCCGTGACCTCGAACTTCCCTTCTGTAATAATGTCACTTTTCAGCCATGGAGACCACAGAACGAGGTCCAATATTGCAGTGGCTTGCAAGAGTTCCAGAAACTAGCTCTTTGTACAATCCAAATTGTATATTGTCCGCCACTGTAATTGTCAGCCTGTCACTGATGCCCGATACAGATAATCTGAGAGCGCCGTACTCGTTCAAGCTCCCAGATGCATTAGAAATATCCGATACTCTTCCAGATATCAATGAGAGCAGAAAATTCCAGCACAAGGAGGCTGTGATGGGTCAATCTCCAGAGCAAAGCCTGAAGCGCACGGTCGACAATCAGTATGAGAGAAAGCCACGACACAAGATAAAGGACAATCGTTATGAGTACAAGAGGCCTAAAATGGAGAAACAGAACTCGCACAATCAAAAGGCCAAGAAAAAAAGAGCTCGCCAAGGGCGAAAACACACTATGAATGATAGCTTTCATGCATCTAATGTTCCTCGGAGCAGACTGACGGTAATACTCACTACTCAACTCCTCATTTTTGATTCCTATACTAATAAAACGAGCAGCTACTATCCAATGCAAACCAGGGAATCTTCAAGAAGGGTAAAGCCTCCTCACCGGTCAACCCTCGTGACAAGAATATCAGCCCGTTGGAGAACAGCCGTCTTTCGAAAAATCCCAATTTTGCATTCTCAGAGAAAGGATTTATGTTGCGAAAGAGATTGAAGTCCGCGGGCAGCGCTTCGACTCCTGGTAAAAAGATGACAGATCAGCAGAGGAAAAATATGCGACATCAAAACTTGCTCATCTATAGCAAGCTTGCTGAAACAAATGAAGCTGCTCCGACATCAAACCACAAGACAGCTAGTTCTGCAGTCATTATCTTGAGGAGTAACAAACATCCACCGTCTTCAAGCCATACTCCGAGTAAGAACACTCAGATGAAGAAGCAAGATGAACATAGCACAGGCATAAATCTAGACCTAGGTTTTCATCACTCGCTGGCTGCTAATCCTCACTTCTGGCCTGATACCGAGCCTGATGAGACCGATCTGGACTGTGCAATAGAAGTTCTTTTGTTGAATCTTCTCCATGTGGGATTATCACGGCAAGGATCTTGTCAACGTCCGATTGAAAATTTGAAGAATTACTGTAACCTCCAAGACTTAAAAGGTCTTTTGAAAGACCGGAGAACATATTGGGGAAAGAGCAACGATGAAGCCCACCAAAACATGACATCTCCCTCACAGATCAGCTGTCCTCAGGAGTCAGTATCTATACCAGTTGGATCTTTCAAATATCCCAGGGAGGAGAAGTTAGTGCCCTGTCCTATTCGTGGAGCAGCACCTCCACATGATAGGACACTCAGACAGTCTCTGTCAGTTAAAACAAATAGCACGTTTGGGCAAGACTTGTGCATGGAGCAGCAGCTAGTCGAAGAGTTGAGCGTGAGAAATTTCAACCTGAAACACGAAAGCTGCCTTGAAACATTGGATGAAAGGTTTCGGGCAATTGTCAACTCGGAAGATCAAGGATACGAGCCTACTCAGCAGAATTGCGAGTTACACAGTCTGCAGCCATCTTGGCTGTGTTCAGAAGGCCAATGTAAGTCTGTATCGATATGTGAGCCACTTGATCATGCATCTGTTGATGGACACTTGCATGGACAGAATGCATATGAGAAGCCATGGCATCCAGGAATTGACATCCGGTATGGTCTAGATGCACAAGATCTATACGGATATATGAGTGAAGACCCAATTAGGCAAGAGGAACAAACTGGTTCATTTGGTAATTCTTCTACCTTCAACCCATTGGGGAGATCCTGGGGTCTGACAACGAAGAATGATGTGGGTGAAGCAACCCTTCCGCCTGGTTTCTGGCGACAGAATAGGCTGTATTGATATGTTCTGTCTATTACCTTCAAAATTCTGTCCAATGAGCTCTGTAAACTTATGACTCGCCCTTGTTTTTAGTTAGAACATGACAATTACGAACTTGACAGCATGCAACCCATTTTCATCGATTACGATCCAGCCTTGGAGAACTAGATTGGTTTTAGCGGTAAAACATGTATGATCATATTAGCGCAGTAGTATGCATAAGCTCGTACCTTTTGTCTTATTTGTTTTTTCTTTTATTCTTTTTCTGAATTTCTATACTCGCCCTTAGCGCCCACAGTGCTTGAATGGATCGATAAGTGGGGCATGATCCACTTGGCACCTGCCTGATTCACTAAGATACATCTAATAGTCAATACCCATTTAAGTGCCACTTGCCCTACGATTTTTATCTTTTCTGAGTTCTAAGCTTTTTCAAATTCCAAATCACTTGAATTAATTTCTTATTCTATTGTTGCAATGATACCCATTTCACCCAAACCGACCATCCTTCTTATAGCCGGAGGTTGGAGCAGAGCCCGAACCTATGAGCCTGTGGCGGCTATTCTACGAAATCAAGGTTATGACGCCAGAACTATAACATTGCCGTCTGCTGGGGGACCTCCATCCAGCACTGCAATTGACGACGTGAATTACATCCAACAAAACTATCTGAATGACCTTATCGACGAGGGCAAGGAGGTTGTTATAGCCATGCACTCGTATAGTGGACTCCCTGGTACACAGTGTGTCCAGGGCTTCTCACGTAAAGAGCTCGCATCTGAGGACAAGAAGGGTGGTGTTGTGGGTCTAGTGTATATCACGGCCTACCTTCTTGCAGCGGGTGAAACCGTTGAATCAAGTTTGCCGGGTGGATTGGAGTCCCACATGAGGATAGATGTAAGAGTCTGAAAGATAGAAAAACAATTATCTCAGAACAACACGACTTTCAGATCGGACTAACGCCTGATGATTTTGGCAGGGCGATGTGGTGCACCTGAAGGATGAGCAGAAAGCAAAGTTCTTCAATAGCATCAGCGAGGAATATTCCCGGAGGTATGCTGACGCTCTGACTTATCATACCATTGCTAGCCTCAAGACGCCCCTCACCTACGAGGCCTATCGTGATGTGCCGTCCACATACTTGTTTTGCGATAATGACGAGTGTCTTCCTGTTGACACGCAACGCGCTATGGCTGCTCTGCCTGGGAGAGGCTTTACCCGGATGTATAGATGTTCGGCTGGGCATTTCCCTATGCTAAGTATGCCGGAAGGAGTGGCATTTGTGATCCATGACAGCATCATGAAGAACATTATGGAGTTCTCGAATGCTACCTCTTCGTATCCCTTTCTCGGAAACCTTGAGTTGGAGGATGGTGTACAGGGTACGACTATTCCACAGCCGCTCGACATTGAACATGCTAGATGTCGAGCTGGGCATATCGATCCGGGATTGCGCTGGCTGCTTTACTAGGCGTGCAATGTAGGGTGCGTGCGTGGGTTGGGGTTTGATTATTGTCATCGTAGCAAAATAATCATGAGTGGATAGAGTATCGCAAGTTTCATTACAACGACATACTGGTACGGAAAAAAGAGCAAATGTTAACGACGATGGGAATCGCTCCTTGGACCTTGTGAAAGTTGAAAACATTGGAAAGGAAGAAGCGAAAATACCGCTCGAGGACTTGGATGTTTCTTTGAACCAGATTGAGTTGTAGAATTTTCAACTGGATATCCCTGTATCTGTTCTCAGGATCCTCGACACTTTTAAACTCCTGGTGCGATGCATTGACACCAACAATATCGACGAAGTTTTCCAGACGTCCCCCATCCTGCCGAAGCATGTTTGTTACTTTTCATGAAGTAAATGAATTGTTGAGTATAATCTAGAAAGTAGGGAGTCACAAAACAGCAGCCAAATTGATTCCAACTATGGCAAGCTATTTTATAACCACAGTAAAGCTTTTTTTTTTTTTTTTTTTGATTTACTTGACGCGTTGTTAGACGGCAGCCAATATAAAGCAAGTTAAAATTATTTTTTTGTTCACTGGGAAAACGCCTAGGGCCATTTCCAACGACGATAATGCAGTATCTAGTGTCGGATTGAGGAGAAGAGGGTGGTATATTGAGAATCCGTTATTGCACGTTGTGTGACGGCGAAATGGGGATTAAAGCTTGGAGAAAAGAGATATCGCAGGGAGTTTTGCCGGATTTAAAGAGTTGCAAAAGCTTCAACAGCACCAGCTCCTTTGAAGAGGGCAGGGTTCTTTATAGATATCTCGACTGGATACTTCCATTGCATAAGTCTGGTCCAACCTAAAGCAATAAAGCTGTTAGCTGGAGGTTTATTTGAGATATTCAATTGTATAACGTACTCCAGTATGCACATTTCCGGCCTAGATATTTCCCAATGAATGGTACCAAAACCATGGTCAGAAGTAGCTCCAATTGCTCGATGCTTTCCCGCCATTCCGCCTCCGCATCGGAGTATTCGTCATCGGACAAGGTCTCAAGGTCGGAGGCTGTGGTAGATTCTGAAGGCAGAGAGGCGATCTCATCTTCAGAGTCTGAGTGATAGGAGTTATGAGCTGATGGGACCATGTATGCTGACATGGAGAACGAGGGATTGGACTCGGGCGGAGAAGGGGTAGCCATGATGGGAGATATATTTTGGAAAAGTAGAACGGAAGCACTAGATTAGTACCAGTAAAGCAGTATCCAGCCTGCTGCTTTGGAAATTATCAAAGCATTAGCTCTTTCTTGAGCTTTTAGTTCACCAAAGGCAATGGTGTTGATTGCTCCTCATCCCGTGATATCAACACGTGACCTTGAACGAACTGTGAACTGTGACTCAGCATCACGTGATTGTCCCGCGATAACAGGCACTCGCCTGCTCAGCAGACGACTATCAGATTTTAAACAAATTCGTCAATCTAGACCTATTTCGACTATTTACACTTGTCGTTACCCTTAACAGTTGTTATTACCACTCGGTGGTGATATTGATTGCGCCTTGAACCCCCAGAATATGGCGGACGTGGTACGTCGCACCCTGCTTTCTTTTTACCGATCCCACATTTTCTTGGAGTCTGCCACAATACCCCTCGATCAATCACCACTCTGCGCAAAAACCTCTCTGCTGTGTTGGAGGGCTGATTAATTTCTTTACTTCCTGGATTGACCATATCTCATCTTCACTTTTAATTTCTGCACCGCTGACCGTTGTTCGCTTTATCTGTATAGGAACAAAAGCATCGCAAGTCAGTTGCTTTCAGCGAAGGTTCGGTCATCATGGATACCAACGGCCAAGTTACAGAGGCTCCCGCTGCCGAGAAGCCAGCCGGTACGCATCGATTCCCTCGCCATTTTACCCCAGCTCGCATGGGTGCCAGACCCGCTAACAAGTTTTTTGTTTAAAAAAAATAGATAAGGATGTCGACGAGGTTACTGAGATGTTCAAGGGTCTTTCAAAAAAGAAGAAGTCCAAGAAGTCCAAGGATACCGATGGCGATGAAGAGACACCCGCCGCTGACGGCGAGTTCGATCCCTCCTCTCTGAAGAAGAAGAAGAAGAAGCCCAAGAAGGACGACTTCGAGGCCAAGCTTGCCGAAGCTGGCGTTGAAGAGGGTGGTGAGGAGGCTGCTGAGGAGGTCATCCCCGAAGGTGACCTCGAGGCTGGTACCGGTATCTGGCAACATGACGCTACTCAGGCCATTCCCTACTCTCTCCTCGTCTCCCGATTCTTCTCCCTCATCCAGAGCCACCACCCCGACATGCTCTCCAGCGGCACCAAGTCCTACAAGATTCCCCCGCCCCAGTGTCTGCGTGAAGGAAACCGTCGTACCATTTTCGCCAACATCGCCGATATCTGCAAGCGCATGAAGCGTTCTGATGACCACGTCATGCAGTTCCTGTTCGCTGAATTAGGTACTAGCGGTAGTGTGGACGGTAGCCGACGTCTCGTCATCAAGGGTCGTTTCCAGCAGAAGCAGATCGAGAACGTTTTGCGGCGGTATATCGGTACGTTCCTCTTTTACTAATCACTACTTGCTCGATTGTATATTTTGTTGGATATTATGTTCTAATACGTCTACAGTTGAATACGTCACCTGCAAGACCTGCCGCAGCCCCGATACCGAGTTAAACAAGGGTGAGAACCGTCTGTACTTCGTTACTTGCAACTCTTGTGGATCGCGTCGTTCCGTCGCCGCTATCAAGACTGGTTTCCGTGGACAAGTTGGTCGCCGAAAGCGTACTGGTTAAGTGGATGGCCACATGGGCTCTGCATGTTGCGGAGGGAGTTTCTTTTTTATCTCTTCTTTGTGGCGTGGGTCTATGTGGTAAAAGCCACACGAACCTAGCGACATTAAAAGTTGATAGCCACGAGGCAGGAGACTGAAGCCGATATCATGTGATTATGGTTGAATTATGAAAGAGCTTCTCTATGTTACGAACCATCCTTGAAGGTGATAGCATCACTTTATAAAATAGTAGATGAAGTGAATGTAAATGGCTATTTATACTCCCTTTCCTTTGCTTTTACCCAAAAGAAACCTTGAAACTCGAATATAAAAGTGTGCTTCAGATATCTCACACATGGAGACCGGGTTCTATATACGCTGATACAGGTGACACTAGCGATAGACTGCTACCCCAACGCCAAAATCAGTCATTCTCAAATTGTCGTTGATGGCTGACGTTTTCTTCCCCAACAATAAAGAGAAAAGACTTTAAGCAATTGCCACAATTTCGAACTTTGAATGGCTGTCAAGATTTCACCAAGCAGGTCAGTCACTGGGTGATAATGGCCGTCTGCTGTGGAGCCTGGTAGAAGAATTACATGCCCGCATGGTCAAAAATCTTAGCAGGAAGACATCTACATGCGTAAAATTCTGTATGGCTATCAAGATGGTAGGGATGATGAGGACTTTGTCTCTACTTTCCTCTCTGCATATAGGACCAAATGTGGGCTTTATCCAATCTAGGAAAATTTGACCCTGGTTCGCCAAGTTCTAGAATACTGTGGTCCATTTCTATCATGGATTTCTCCGTGGGTACTACTAAAGCTTGATTTGGGTCCACTATGGCCTTTAATGTTGCTGGTGTTCGGGATGCCGATATGGTCATCCAGATAATTGTCGCGATACACTCCTCGAGCAGGTGAAGAAACGAATGGATGCCATCATCTAAATTTGGCCCTGTAGGGTCGAGGTAGCGATGATGATTCAGTCAACAAAAATGTAAAAAGGAATAGTACTTTTATAAGTGTATTCCCTCTGGATTTAAATAGAATACCATATGGACTATGATTTTGGCCTTATGACAGGGAAATCTTGGTATTTGTTGTAATCTTTAACCTACTTAGATAGTTGGGTTCTTTGAACGTCTCTGATAGTCATAGTACGGGCATTTTTTATACGATTCTGCCTTGAAAAGCTGAGCAAAGTCAGCTAATGCAAAGAGTATAGACAGATATCATTTTAGACCACATTACAAACAGAAGTGTTTTCCTTGGAGCTGAGTAGAAAGATTACACTTCAAGCGTCTTTATTGAAGATGGCAACATGCTCCGAGCAACTACCTGGTAGAAACTCCTTGCGAGCGAATCCTGCTCTGGTATACAGCTTGTGAGGATCATCCGCAATTTTGAAGCTGCTAAGGTGGCCGAAACAAGAAGAGTGGATGAATGCGTTGTAGCTTCAAAGATTCAATTAACAATTTTAGATCTGAATAAGTCTTATTTTATAGTTATTCACCTTATTCCAGGGATGTAGATCTTCATCACTTGGCTCGTTCTTATTGATACAAGTAATTAGCATTTGAAACTAAATGTTGTAGTACGTGTGACGGTGGGTACAGCATCAAATAGTGGGACTTGAGTCTCCACGCTGTAAGGTCCGTGGAATTAGAGAATAGCAAAAGAAAATTGCAGAAAGTCACAGAACTCTAAGACGAATTTATACATCTGAGGCGGTTATTTCTTCCGTGGCAGATTTATTTCATGGCTTCTCAGTACCGCACTACTGAGTAGGACCAGGCTACGGGAATCAGTAGGTAATTTCCAAAAAAGAAAAGAATGACACCTGTGGACAGCAAATCTAATGCTCATGTGGAGTCGGTGCTTATCTATTGGCTCTGAAGACAACTGTTTTTACAAAAAACTGTTTAAAAACAAAGGTCTCATAACCTACGAGCTTCTTTCAAGATTGCCCAGGTCGCACTATATAACTCATGCCACAAAGCATATTGCTTGAGCCTTCCAAGGTTGGAATGTTATATTTGGTTCTAGAATCAATGTGAGCTACTTTACCAATTTATTCACCAACGCTTGTCCATTATAGCGATGCTACAAGCTACGGCGTGCAGTCATGATAATGTTTGATGTTGATGTTGACCTCGGGACCATTGGTTTGATAATAAGGATAATTATACGACGTGCATGTTTTTCACGTGATATAAGTTTAAAGGGCGACCCACACTCGTTCCCGTGTGTGTGGGTCGCAAAGTCACTGATAATTTTTTTAGGCTAAGTCACATGATAGCTGCTGTAAGGGTCAAACTATTTGAACTGTTTGCAAAAGCTCTGGTGTCTATCGGAGCTTTCTAGGAATTATTAGATAAAAAAGGTGTGTAGGGGGCCTTAGGGAAGTTAGTGTCACCATTAAGGTAATTACTTTTTTTAACTTTAAAGTATTATGGAGACACTTCTTAGCTAGCGTCATCTATCAGCCCGACCCTCGGTACACTTACAGATTACGACAGGACTTATTCTAGAATTACTTTGATTTTTATAGACGTTTAAACTTTTTGTAATCTATGTCAAAAGTCATTATACAAGCATTACGATAGTCAAGATGTTCAGATGAGAAGACATTGACTTATAAATTGGATGTATATTTTCTATCAGCATTATCCTAACTAAAAAAATGGAGTCCGTGCTGAATAAGATCAGGTGTGCGCTGGCATCTCCGTAAATGCAGCTCTTCGTGTTCGTATATGTTGACCAAGCTGAGCTTAAGACCAATGGATTCATCGGGACAGGATCCACACATATCAGGCTACCCAAGACCTAGATATTCTCTATTTTGCAATTGCAGCAGACGTTAAGGCTATGCCTTGTGGCTGCCTTCACGGTTGAGTCTCACCGCTACCAGAGGGGCTGGAAGTTGGGTGCATTATGGTATCAATGTCTGTACCGAATGTTGGGTGAGACTGAGATGCCTAGCTAATGCTGGAAAAGCTGTATGCCCGTAACACGTTACATATATACCTTATCACTGACAGTGATTGGTAGTAGCAAAAGCCTTATGAGGTTTTTTTGGTGGGTTGAAGAGGCTCTGCTGCGGAGACGCCTGTCATATCCCAATGCACCAGCCTGGGGCGAAGTCATCCCAGTAAAAGTGAAAAATATGGGGTTGTCCGCGCATTTCCAGCCCTGTGGCTTCTATGGAATGGTGGCCTTATGGGACATAGTGATAATTAGTAAAAGTGGGCTGGGTATTTTCGCTGGGTCTGGGGTCGGCCAGACCCAGTCTATGTGCCTACTTGACTGTCTATAATACCCTGTTATATCTGGCCGCAATCCGCCATAATTCTCGTTTTGCATCTGAATTTAGAGGTATCGGATTTTTCTTGGCAGGCTTTCTCAACTAAGAAAGAAGCCTCATTGTTTGGACTATGAAGACCCTTGGCCTGTTCATACTCATCCTGGGCCAGGTAGCATTGGCTCTTCGTTATGATCCACAATTCTCTGAGTGGAATCTCAACGAGAACAAAACCGCAAGGACTGTTCTTGATTACTGGAGCAGATGGCCAGGGCATGAGTACAAACCCTCCCCCACTAACTGGCGATTTCCATTTTACACACTCTTCCTCGATCGCTTCGTTGACGGCGATCCTTCAAACAATGATATTAACGGCACGGTGTTCGAAACCGACAATCTTTCAAACCAGTTTCGGTTTGGAGGTGACTTGGCTGGTCTGAATGAGACACTTGATTACATACAAGGCATTGGGGTGAAAGTGAGTGTGGTCTAAGATTTTTGTTCTCAGGATGGAATAAATACTGACAGTGGAATGGCTACTCTAGGGAATTTATATCGCCGGGACGCCGTTCGAGAATTTCCCTTGGAAATCTGATAGTTACTCAGTATGTACAGACCGAAATATGAACGTTTGTTACTATCTGACTAGAGCTAGCCACTCGACTTGAGTCTTCTGGACAAACATTACGGCACTATTCAGCAATGGAGATCCACCATCGATGAGATTCACCGAAGAGGTATGTATGTCATGGCAGACAGCACATACGGCACGTAAGTTTACTTGACAAAAAGCCTGGAGACTCAAGACCTAGACTGATGAAATTGTGATCAGTATGGCAGATTTGCTCGGATTCAAAGGATTTCTCAACAGTTCTGCGCCGTTAAACCCGCTCGAATACCAAACAGTTTGGAAGGGAGATCAGAGATACTTCGACTTCATGCCAAGTGATAGATACAACGAGGAATGTCAATATCCTGCTTTCTTTTCTGAGGAAGGAAAGCCAATCAAACATGGTTCCGACTCATTCTTTGACCAGCTGAAGGGTTGTTACGACAGTGATTTTGATCAGGTCAGTTTCTTTCTCTCGCTTTAATACCAATGGACCATGACAGTCACTAATTGATCAACAGTATGGGGCCATTGATTCAGTTGACCTAGCACCCGACTGGAAGAAGTCTCTCGCCAAAGCTGGCTTGGTTCAGGATCGACTTCGAGAATGGGTTCCATCCGTAAGAGAGAAGATCGAGCACTTCACATGCATGTTGATAACATCATTGGATATCGACGCTCTTCGTTTTGATAAAGCCGGACAGATTACCGTCGATGCATTTGCAAGCACATCTCAGGCAATCCGTGAATGTGCGTCTCTCTTAGGCAAGGATAATTTCTTCATCGGCGGCGAGTTTACAAGCGGCAACTCTTACGCGTCGATTTATCTCGGCCGTGGACGTGAGCCAGACATGAGGCCAATAAACCAGACAGAGGCTATTCTTCTCACAAATGCCTCGAATGACCGTTACTTTCTTCGAGAACCAGAGAAGCATGCAGCAGATGGGGCAGTGTTCCACTACAGCATATATCGAGCGCTTACCAGGTTTTTGGGTATGGATGGCAACTACACGGCACCATGGGACATAAGCGTCAACTTTGCTGACGCCTGGAATGACATCCTAATATCAAATGACCTCATCAATGCTAATACCGGGGAGTTCGACCCGAGACATATGATGGGAACCGCCAACCAAGATACTTTTCGATGGCCATCTATCAGACAAGGCACAGCCAAGATGCTGTTAGGGCAATTCATCACCTCACTACATTTGCCTGGGATTCCTCTTCTGCTCTGGGGTGAAGAACAAAATTTCTACCTTCTTGACAGCACTAGTCCCCTCGGCGTTTTTGGTCGACAGCCAATGAGTTCGTCGCCATCATGGCAGACCCAAGGATGCTACGAGCTTGGTTCGAGTCTCTATAATGGATTTCCAGTCGAATCTGCGTTGACCGGGTGTTATGACCCTCAGGTGGGTCTTGATCACCGGGATTCCTCTCATCCAGTGCGCAATATCATAAAGTCGTTTTACTATCTACGAGAAAAATTCCCTTCCCTCAGGGATGGCTTCTACCTGGAGAATTTATCTAAGAAAACCCACAATATAACTCTTCCAGGATCCAACGGTACACCAACAGAACTCGGACTTTGGGGTGTTGTTCGTGATCAATATCCCGGCGTAAATGACGTCGATCCAAGCAACAATACTGCAGTATGGCTCGTCTATCATAACGAAAACAGCTCAGTGGAATATGACTTTGACTGCACCTCGCCTTTCAAGAGCTTCCTAGCGCCCTTCAGTGGAGGAGTCAAAGTCAGGAACCTGCTGGCACCCTACGACGAGATCTCGTTGCAATCAAGTCAGGTCAGACTGGGGATACATGGCTCCGAGGAATATAATGGCTGTTTAGGCTCAAGTAATTTCGGAGCTTTTGATTTCAGAGCCTATGTTCCATCAGAGCAATGGATCGCTCCTCCCGTGGTGATGACCAAGTTTGCTCCTGGTCACGACGCTCGAATTGAATCTAACACTACGATCAACGAACAGCAGAAGGTGGATATAGAGATACAGTTCTCAGAAAAGCTGGATTGTGACACGATCACTAATAGTGTCACCATATCATCCACCACCGATGGTGGGAGAGTTCCCAAAATCCTTGAAGATAGCGTATCATGTGAAACAATTCAATCAGAGCCCACAGAATACATTGGCCAGATTCCTTCCGCATGGTCCTGGAAGGCTACACTAGAAGATGTCACTCATGGGATCCATACCTTGACGGTCAAAAATGCCTCCACAGCAACAAAATCCAGGTTCACAAACTCTGTCGATCGGTTGATTTTTCGAATCGGACGCAAAGACAACCCAGTAGTTTTTCCAATGACTGCAAATTATACAACCTCTGGACTCACTGAATTCTCAGACAAGAATGGTTTTCTTGTGGAGCACAAAGCTCCAGGTGCAGACAAATGGCGTTATTCAAGCAATTGGGGCAGCTCTTGGAGCCCCTGGATTGTCTATGATGGAGTCTCAACCAATATCAAAAACCTACCATGGTCTGGCACCGAACGACAACAATGGGATGGAGGACATGTTATTCTTCAATACTGGAGCAAGGCGGCTGGGAGTAGCCAGCATATTCAACACATGGATGTGGAAGGAACAAAAAAGGCCCCGAGGAGATTCCCTCACTTGTTTGCCTTTGGAGACTTCAATCGCCACGGACAGGATATCGGCCTGTCAAACACCTTCTCTCATGATGGTAATGATGGCAAATGGAAATTCCACTTGTCGGCTGAATGGCCTTCTCAATTCCAGGTGAATGTTTGGGGAGTCAATCCAGACAAGAAGCTCGACAGGACCTTTCAGCTCGGCGATACCCTAAATAGTAGTCGGCTCAACCGATTACAACCAGACTCGTTATCTGTTATGGACAACATCGTCAATTTTTCCCAATTTCCCCCTGCACCATACATGGCCTACCGAATGGAATTAAATGACGGCAACTTGAAATTTGAGCTTGTCCCAGTCGGGCAACGCCTTCACCAACAGATTATCTATCTCTTGTTATGGGTTCTGCCAATTGTCACTGCTGCCCTCAGTGTCTGGATCTACATGGGCGCATTTTACAATATCACTTTCAACCGTACTGGTGTTGGAATTCGTCTTCCACTCTCCTTTCTTCCGGCCTTCATCCGTCCCCATAAAGGCTTTAAAAAGCTTAGTGGTGAAGAAGGTCAAGAAACCCAAATGGTGCAACTGGGAGGTACGGCTGTCTCTGGAGTTCTCCCGCTGGCCGTACCGGCAAATCTGAAGCCAAAGCGAACAGTATTGTTGGCCACCTTGGAATATGATATAGAAGATTGGAGCATAAAAATCAAAATCGGTGGGCTCGGTGTGATGGCTCAACTGATGGGAAAGAATCTTCCACACCACGACATTATATGGGTGGTTCCCTGTGTTGGGGGAGTCGATTATCCTATTGACACTACAGCTGAGCCTATGTCCATCGCCATCGCCGGCACCGTCTATGATGTCCAAGTCCAATACCACAAGCTACGGAACATTACATACGTCCTTCTCGATGCCCCTATTTTCCGCGAACAAACCAAGTCAGAACCATATCCACCCAGGATGGATGATCTTCGCAGCGCAATATACTACAGCGCGTGGAATAGCTGTATAGCCGAGACAGTGAAGCGGTTTCCTATCGACATCTATCATATCAACGACTACCATGGCGCGATTGCCCCGCTTTACCTACTCCCACGCACCGTTCCCTGCTGCTTATCATTGCACAATGCCGAGTTTCAAGGTCTTTGGCCTCTCCGCGATCAAAAAGAGCTCGATGAAATCAGTGAGGTATTCAACCTTAAAATTCCCGTTATTCGGAAATATGTGCAATTTGGTGAAGTCTTCAACCTTCTTCATGCCGGAGCTAGCTATCTTCGAGTCCATCAGCGCGGCTTTGGTGCAGTGGGCGTGTCTAATAAATATGGAGATCGCTCTTATGCACGGTACCCTATTTTCTGGGGCCTGAAAGAGATCGGCAAGCTTCCTAACCCAGACCCGTCCGACACAGAACCCTGGGATCCCGAAGCAGAAGCCCGTCAGGTTATTCAGGTTGATCCTGCGTATGAAAGCTCCCGAGGCAACGACCGCCGTGAAGCGCAGAAATGGGCAGGGTTAAAAGTAGACCCAACTGCTGAGTTATTCGTATTCGTCGGCCGGTGGTCAGTTCAAAAAGGTGTCGATCTCATAGCCGACGTCTTTCCTGCAGTTTTGGAGAAGTATTCAAACGTGCAGCTGATTTGCGTCGGTCCTGTCATAGATATGTACGGAAAATTTGCCGCCCTCAAGCTGCAGGAAATGATGACGGTCTACCCAGGACGAGTATTCTCTAAGCCCGAGTTCACTGCTTTGCCACCTTACATCTTTACGGGCGCTGAATTTGCTCTTATACCATCGCGTGATGAGCCATTTGGCCTCGTGGCAGTAGAATTTGGCCGAAAGGGAGCCTTAGGAGTCGGGGCTTTGGTTGGTGGACTTGGACAAATGCCAGGCTGGTGGTTCCCCGTCGAGTCAATGACAGTGAAGCATCTCCAGAAGCAGTTTAAATCGGCGATTGAGAGCGCAATCGGATCAAAGCAGGCAGATCGTGCCATGATGCGGGCAAACTCGGCAAAACAACGCTTCCCAGTAGCTCGATGGGTGGAGGATCTTGATTACTTGCAACTACGGTCGATCCGCATGCATGAACAGGAAGGCGACCCGGCTGGGCGCAAGCATCATCGTTTTTCACGATCTGGTGGCCCCGAATTTAGCCAAACATCACTAGTCATGATGCAGACCCCAAATCTGCACATCGATGAGATAAATCCTATCCCTAGGTCTTCGGATGGGGTCCCAAGTCGGACGTTATCATTGGGTGTCCGCTCTGGTCCTGGGCACCAGCCACGACGAACCATTTTGCATGAGGGTACCGCGCTCACACCCAGATTGGAGGAGGTTCACGATGTCGATGAGATTTCTATATCGGCGGAAGAAGCCGAGGCTATTGTCAACGGAGAGCCTTCTCTCGACGACAACGTGCAACAGGAGGGTCAACGAGGTCGTTCTGTTTCAGAAGCTTCACTGAGCTCTATCACAGGTTTAGGAATAGACCGTGCTTACTCACCAGGGGGAGGAGCAGGATAAGGCGATCCTCTATTTTGAGTCTGAGCCAGATCAAAGGAACACGCAAGAGTTTTTCTCTGGAAAATGCAGACCCCACATTCAAAGACGAAACTGGGAAGTATTCACGCTATTTTCAAGGCATGCTGCAGCGACTTAATGGCAAGAACTCTGAAAACGATCTTTGTATTGAGGATTTCATTGTGTCAAGCGAGAAAGAATGGTCCGACGACATGCGACAAGTCAAGATGGGTCGTGTATCCCGCAGCCCTTCACCGATGGTTAGATCTCGAATTTCACCTTCCCTCAACGATGATTTTGACGATGAACTCGATGGCGATGGATCTGCTTCGGAAGACTTATCCGCGCAGGGATTTTTGCTGCCTGACAGAATCCAACGTCCACCTGCATTCCAGCGCTGGTTATCGACTCGCATATTTGATTGGCCAATCTACTCGATTTTTCTCGCTTTGGGCCAGATAATGGCTGCTAATTCATCTCAAATTACGCTCCTCACTCCAGGATCATGGGGTGGCTCCTCGGCTCTCTACATTATGGGAAGCTTGTACATTGTCACAACTTGTGGCTGGTGGCTTGCATTTCGACGCATCCAGTCTTTTTACTTACTTTCGTTGCCATTTATTCTCTATGGCCTTGCATTCTTCATCATTGGTATTGCGGCTTTTATTCCCAGTACTTCAGGCCAAACCGGGGCGTTCTATGTTGCCACTGCTCTCTATATCATCGGCTCTTCCAGTGGGTATCTGTTCTTTTCGCTCAATTTTGGCGACGACGGTATGTATCTGACATTTGAAATGCTTTTACTAATACACGATGCTAAATTTCCTATAGGAGGCTCAAAGATGGAATCTTGGGTGTATCGTGCATGCCTTATTCAGGGAACGCAGAACATCTATGTTGCTGCACTCTTTTTCTGGGGCACTGAGATGAGTACAGGAAGCCGTACTGGCCCCTTTGCTTCTCCAAGTGTTGCCGCAGGCATTACAATGCCTATTGCTGTTTTGCTATTTGCCATAGCAGGAGCGCTCTTTGCTGGTCTGCCAAGCTACTATCGCCAAACTCCAGGCAAGATCCCAGCTTTCTACAAGAGCATCTTTCGAAGAAAAATCATCATCTGGTTTTCAGTGGCAGTAATATTGCAGAACTACTTCCTTAGCATGAGCTACGAGCGAAACTGGCAATACCTCTGGGGGTCTAAGTACGCACCTCCTTGGATGGTCATCTTACTGGCCTTGTTCTTTTTCATCGGGGTCTGGTACATAATCCTTGCACTATTAGCTTGGAGATCAAAGACTCATTCTTGGATCTTGCCTATATTTGCTATTGGACTCGGTGCCCCGAGATGGGCACAGATGCTCTGGGGCACGTCTGGTATCGGACTGTGGGTACCGTGGGTCGTGGGGGGTTCACGCGGCAGTGCTATCGGCGGTCGAATACTCTGGCTGTGGCTGGGCGTTCTGGATTCCATACAGGGGGTTGGATTTGGCATGATGCTGTTGCAGACACTAACACGGATCCATATTGCGGTGGCTCTGTGCGGGGCGCAGTTAATTGGCACTGCGACAACATTGATCGCTCGCGCTAGTGCGCCGAATCGTGATGGACCTGGCGATGTTTTCCCTGATTTTTCGGCAGGTATCATCGAAGGAATCTCAAAACCATGGTTTTGGATTGCATTGAGCTGCCAGTTAGCCATCCCTGTTGGATTCTTCATGTTTTTCCGCAAGGAGCAGCTGACCAAGCCTTGATCAAGTCAGCATATTTTCACTTAATGGTCAGTTTGGATCTTTTTTTTCTCTTTGGAGTCAATGTATATAAGATAGGGAATCAATTTGCTTTTCAGACTCTAGGGTTTCATAAGCAGGACTATCAACAACGGGACTACATCGTACGAACAATATTTGTATTATATAGTCGAATATCGCGAAGAGTACGTTGAAAATAATAGAAAGAAACGAACTTGGTACCAAATAGTTGGTGTCATCGTTACAGAGCGGAATTTAGGCTTATGAGGTGATATACGCTCACGTCCGAAAACAAGAAGTGAACGTACAAATTACAACATTTAAAAAGCGAAAGGAAATCACTCAAATTCTCCAACAATATTAGCAAATAAAGAAAATAATACAAGTTAGGCCGTTATTATTTTTGCTTGCCTAGCTGCGCATCCAAAAGCCTTGGAATCGTTATTTATTAGACAAATTGATATAGAATTCAACAGTTCAATCATATTTCACGAGCGAAGGTGCTGTACGGGTATTCATCAATTCTGCAACAAGTTCCCGGGGTCCTTACTGACAAAAGAATATCCATACTTGATCAACTCCAACTTAAATCCAAAATAATATAGCCGAAGAATTTTAAGCACCACTAGCAGTGCTGATCTTCATCTGGAGGGCGAAGGCGTTCACGTTTCTGGTTTGCAGATACACTGTTCCGGGGCCTATAAACTTGCAGGCAAGGCCTTCCTTGGAGGCAATGTTAGAAATGATACCACCAGAGGTGACCCTCTCGATCTTGTATTCGCAATTCCATGCCACTAGATGACCATTGTCGATGTAGTACTTTTCGCCGTCTTTCAGCTGTAATACCAATGAATTTAGTCTTTGAATGTATAGTTCGAAAAAAAACAAATGTACTCACGTCTTTCTTGATGATTGCTCCGAAGCTTTGAATCCATAGAAGCCCCCTACCAGTAACGTTGTAAACGAAAAGACCTTCGCCAGAAAAGAAGGCCTTCGATAGGGAACCCTGCCCCTTATATTTACTTTTGACACCTTCCGTTGATGCCAAGTAGGCATCCCGTCCAACTTTCCACTCTATCCCCTCCTCAAGCTTGAGAACTATGATGTCACCCAAAACTGATGGAGCAAGAAGAAGCTCTCCGGGACCTGTGTACTCGGACCTAGCAATTTCTCCACCAGTTATGACCTTTACGATTTTCAAGGAAATGTGTCCTTTAAGCGTCATGGTAGTAGACATAGCAATCATAGCGCCTGCTTCATTGTGAGAACCGATTCGTCTTGGCAGCAAAAGTCTCAATAACAGGGAGTTGCTGTAATGACTTCTTACCTGGTCTTGCCTCCAGTGGAGCACCCATCGCAAGTTGGATAGTCAAAATTGAGTTTGTATGCCGGTGGCTTATACGATAACTTCCACCATTAAAGGTTCCAACAAGATCTTCATCTACTGCTTGTGCCCCAGTAAATTGCCCTACTGGTGGAGCTCCTCCAGGTACCTGGGTCATTTTTGCCATCGTCGAAGGTGGCTGAGGAGTGGATGAAGTCGATAATGAGGCGTTGTGCTGAAACGGAGCAGCATTCTGCTGGTAGTAAGGTGAATCTTGTTGCGAGTGTTTATCTAAAGGGATGGTGGGAGGTGGAGCAAACATCTGCTGTTGAGCCAACGAGTGAGGCTGAGGTTGGAATGAAGGAATAGAAGAGGGTGGAGTTGGCACTGGTGAGATTGACGGGGGCCCAGGGTAAGCTCCATTTGAAGGGGGAGGCTGGCTTGGGGGTGGTGGATAGCTAAAGTTTGGGGTTGCGGATTTTGGAGGGCCAAATGCTTATAGAAGTTAGAATCCCATACAGCTTCCAGTTTTCCAGTCAATAGTTACTTGTGATATGTGCAGGGGCTAATTTTCAGTTTGTTAGATATTTAATGGTAAATTTCAACAGAAATTTGGAATGATCACCGTACCGGACATGGGGGGGGCTGGGTACTGGTGTTGCGACATGACGATAAAAGATCAATTATTAAAGCGTTATTTGAATTGATCTCAAGTGTTTCGGCACTGTTATTGAGTTTCCAAAGTTGAGCAAAGTTGATTTCATAGTTGAGAGCAGGACTTACGGCGAAGTAATTACTAGCTCACTGAGGGGTAGTGTAACGTGCACCTGGTGAGGTAGTCCAATCCCACTAGTATATTTCAAATTTCCTTTAAAGATGCTTATCTCATCTATCTGCGTGCACCTTGGAGGAAAATGCGAATTTAAATTGAAATGTAACAGTTGAATAAGTTGTGCCTGTTGATTGCTTTAAAGTCACAGCTCTATCCTCCAGACTCCGTAAAAGCGAACTCCACACCTAGGACTTTATGGCCTTGGGGCTACGATTAGCTGACAGCGTGAGCGCATACACTCAGCGAAATCCAATCAAAGTGAACAATGCCCTATCGCCTGTAGATGTATCACGTATCACTAGTCAGTAGTGCGTTTCCGGGCGCTTAAATGTGATAGGTGGGGCTATAATGTACTTTAGGCGGGCAAATTAAAGGACAAACGGGATTTGAGCATTCAGAGACTTACTTTTCTAAAGGGAATAAAAAAGGTTGCCTCTGGCTATTATGGTGGCATCTACATCACTTCTATAGACTAGTTCATGAATACCTGTGGCTGTACAGTGAATTCATTTTGATTGACCTCTGTTCATTGGAAGTCTCATTCCAAGAAGCTTAGTACTAATCTTCATGAAGAGCCGGTAAGGCTGGTTCATCTTGTCTGCGTTGCAGCTCTTCTTCCATTATGGCAGCTGCATCTAACCTTCCCCATTGCCGAGCCATCTCCAACTCGTTCCTCTCGAAGTGAGTTGCTAGCTCTAGGTCAGCACCTGAAGCAACCAAAAACCGTAGGATCTCCATATCAGTCAATGCCGCTGCCAAGGACAATGGAGTATTGCTGCTATTATCTATTAAATTGAGCTTGGCCCCTGCTTTTATAAGTACTTTGACCAATTCCAGACTTTGGCTTTGCACAGCAGAGTGAAGTGGTGCCCGTCCACCTATTCCAAGTGAGTTCACATATGCTCCATGATCTAGAAGCCACTGTACAGTATGGATCTGCCCATTATCACAAGCCCAGTCCAATGCTGAACTGGTACCTGGTATTGAGTTCTCGATCTCTGCCCCTTTGTCAAGTAGAAGCTCAATCATATCATTGTGCCCTTCATAGGCTGCTACATCAATCGGCCTTGCAGACTGATTAAAACCGTTGATAGCGGCACCATTTGCGAGAAGAAGTCGAACTCCTTCTGTATCATTGGCCCTGGCTCGGTTCAGGAGCGCCGAAAGGCCATAAAAGTCCCTCGCGTCGATGTCCACGTGATAGCGTATCAATACCTTCATGACCCATTCGGAACGATTTTCAGAGGCAATCAAATAGCCAAGCTGAGCGGCTGTTGATGCTCCGGAACTTAATTGTGCCCACTTGGTTAAAAAGAAGTACAGTATCGCATATCTCTCGCTTTCCAAAGCCCATTTGTAAATATGCTGGTCTTCATCGCCTAGAGGCTCATGGTCAAACTTAATATCATCCTCGGTATAGGTTAACCATCTCTGTAGAATGTGTTCGCAAATTTCAGTGTCTTGTTCAGTGTCTTTTGTAGACTCCAATTTCCTGGGCACACTAAGAGCCTCAAGGGATGATTCTAACCACCGTGCTTGTGGTGCATTCTGGGAAATTCCCCATAGCACCCAGCCTAGCTGCATCGAGAAATTGCGCCACCATTTCTCGGATTCATCAGACTGCATCCAGCCACTGGGACGCTGACGTCTTGGGGAGGCAAAGAACTTTGCTCTGACGTCTGATGAGAGAAGATCTTTGCACTGTTCAAGAGCTACTTCCTGGGCACTGCGATTGCCTTCTAACATAGCCCGTCGGCATATATTGCCCAGCTCATACACAGAGTGTTCAAATTCCGACCCCACCGAGCGCTCACTAATCCAACGTGCGAGAAGAAGAGCTTCTTTCCACTCATTCTTCTTGATGTGGTCATCAATGCACTTCTTAACGTTGGTAGAGTTTGCTGCTAACTCAGGAAGGTGGCCGTTAAGTTTCATATTTGGAACGATGCAAAGCAGGGCATCTTCTCGAGACCCTAGTTTGTTTGTCTCAAACAAACGCACAAGATCATCGATTCTATCGCTCTGGGTCATGAATGAGTTTTGTGCCCCTATGACAACCCGTACCTCGTCATTGAGCCCTTTCAGTCGATTCAGAATATCCCCGAGGAAATGACTGTAGAGGTCTTGGGCCGCCATGACTTCCAGACTGTTGTCTGTCTGGACCATGAGAAGGTCACAGGGTAATTTGTCCGAATCAGGACCAAAAAGCTGAGATGGTGAATTGAGGCTGCTCGATGCAGCCATTTTGGCCTCGGTTTGACGGAAAATCCACTTGTAGAAATAAGCATCTGTTTCTTCCTTGCTTGCTTCCTCATGAGTCAGCCCAACAAGTCTGTTGAGCTTTGAGCGATGCCATTCCTGGCTTGACTTGCATAGCGACCAGATCCACAAACCAAGGACGGCTTCTAACTGGTTAACATTCATCTTCCATTGTAGCGTATCACTACCCCGAGAGATTTCTATTGGATATTTTTCTCGGGAATGACAGGGTCTGTTTTCGGTCTCCCAGTCACAATCTACTTGCAAGTGGAACGTGAAGGCTTCTCCAAAGTTGGCTCCCCAACTTGATACCAGTTCTATTGTTTCTTGGAGCGCACTGGCGAGGTTTTGAGCGACACGGCGGATTGGAATGTGGTCCCAGGGCATGCTTGGGCTGTTCTTAGTATTAGAGGTAATTTCGGCCAGCCGGACTCTTGTTTCGATCAATGCTTTCGCTTTTGATCCATCTCTAGGCACAGGGATGTAGCTGCTTTGAGTCGATTGCATAGGCGAGACCAGTGTAAAGGAAGTCACATTTTCAAGATAGAATGCAAAGGATTCCAGCTCTTGGTTCCTTTGGGACAAAAGCTCTCGCTCGCCTCTGATCTTGTTTTCATCTGACTTCATCCTCTCTGTTCGTAGGCATGTTCTCAAGATAGACATCAGTAATGTACATCCTAACTGTGAGAGAATAACCGAGGCATGGAGTCCTCTTTCACCGATGAATTGGAAGATGAAGCCAACCATTGTGAAAAATAAAGTTGAGTAAATTTCCAAGTATCTTCCATTGTACTTCGGCACTCGAACAGACTTGATATACTGGAGTCTTGTTGTCATGCAGGATTTAGGACCTTCTTTGACGGCCAAGAATGAATTAAAAACCTGGTCTCCCACATCCTGGTTACCTGATTGAAGCCATAACAGCTTGCTTGGACAAGTTGGCTTGAACTTGTATTCTTTTGACGAGCGCTCGATGATGATTGCGCAGTAAAGCATTCCCATGAACAGGAAAACTGTTCCGATGAGATACAGTGGAAAAGCATAGCTTGGTACGGCTTTTTTATCTGTCTGAAAAGACTCAGGAAACACAAAGACTGTGATTGCTGCAAAAATTATAACTCCTGCAGTTGATATTAGCCTCACATCACCCAAGCCTTCGATCTTTCATGGTTCTATAAAATAACATACCGACTTGCAAAGCAGCGCCAATGACGGCAGTACAATAGAACCAGATTTGGTTCCTTCTTTTTATACCTTTATTCAAAGAAAGATTTGGGATATCCAGTTCTGGAAGCATGGTAGGATCACTTATAGCATCGCGCGAAAGACCTGATCCCTCCGCAGACCAAGCGCCACAATTCAGTGCATCCCTCAAGGTCCCGATTTTGACGGAAATGTGACCAGTATTCTCATCTTTAGATTCCCAAGCCACAATCTCCACGATCTTTGGCCGGCCAAAGACTCGAGAGATACCACCATCGTTGAAAAGTTCAGCCGTGGACTCTGATACGCATGGCAGAAGTTCATTCTCGGCTTCTGCTGGGCCCTCCTGTGCTCTGCCAATGAATGCTCGTAAAGAAGAGCTACCGCATACCCTTATCACAGATACAACAGCAGTCAAGACTCCAAGTGGGGAGAGTGCGAAGATGATGTTGTCGAGGAGGCTGATCGACTCGGAAAGAAATTGCTTGGTGATCTGCTCGCCAAACAGAGTGATCAAGGGAGCCTTTCATTCACAATGGTTATTTGCTTGTTCAATTTCGTCCAAGGCTCGGATGTATGATTTAACCTACCAAGTCTGTGGCTAGATTGTTTGAGAAGTTTTCCCAGTCATCAGAACTCATAGTAGAACTCATGTTCATTCATAATACCGGAGTCAAGCTAAGCGCTCAACTTTCCTATTCTCTATATCAAGGCTCTCCAGCCTCTCTGCCTCTTTTTAAAATCCACAAATTCATTTTATTTCTTGTGGAACGTGGATCATTGCTAAACATTTGTCTGGCGAAGCGCCCGATGGGGCGGTGTTCTATCCCTGCATCATCTTCAAACCGCTAAAAATAGTTAGCGTAATGGGGTATACATAACACAGTCACATGTAGCAGCTGAGAGATCATTTTAATTATCGCTCTTCGCTAAGTTGGGTCACTACAACATGCCCAGATGTGTGCATAAGTAACCAATCAGGAGGTAATCGGACCACTTTTCCCATAGTTAAAAAATAGGAGCCCTTGCTTTGGATGGGGGAATGTGGCTTATTACTGCGAGGGCGCTCTAGAATCACGACAATATCAGATAGCCCCGAGGCCTGGTTAGCGCTAAGAGAAGAACTGCCTGACTCTTGTCCCTATTGCCTCAAAATCTGGGTCGCTTGAAAATCTCCATCCTAAAATGGAGATACGGGGATTGCTTCATCTGTCTAAGGCAGCGGAGTATGACTCGAGGAAGATAAATCGGCTCGTGCGCTCCTTACATTTTCTCTCCGTAAGTTGAACAATATAGAGAGATATGGATACTACGTGCCTGTACAGTGTACAGTAACAGCTAGCGTTGTCGTGCCAGGTTACAGGATGGATCGAAATCAGGTTCACCGCTTTGCTCTCATAGAATCTTTGTCGAGCCCTACTCTGTAATACGCTTAGTTATCTATTCTTGACTTAGCTCAGCTCTAAAAATTGAATTGTATTGAAAGATAACACGTGATATAAGAGTCTATAAATTACTTGTAATATTTATTCAACACAAATCTAACAGCCTCTAACAGTTAGACATGCTAGTCACAACACTTGGAATTAGGGTTCCCATAGCGGTAACAGTAGGCCCAGTTCTGCCAATATCTAAGTCAGCTCGATAATTAGAGCTACAAGGCTTTAAGGGCTTGTGTTTCGGCCTCAAATACCTAATGGTAGAGCCTAGGCTTAGACCCTCACCGCAATACTTCTAGCGATTATTCTGAATTCTGAGGAAAATATGTGTCCGAGGCTGCTCCTAGCCCCTATACCACAGCACATATAAGATTAAACGGGAAGCCGCTGGCACAAATGAATGCAAAGAAAATGTCCACCATATCGAGCCTAACTGCCCATACCGACTAGTGATGTTAAGATTCAGGTACTTGTCTCTTCGACTGCTAAGTGTTTCGTTTTAACCGATACTCGTTAAATGATAGAGATAAATATCAAACTAGGCCCTCATTGAATTCAGAAGTACATCGAAAATCTGGAGGACTTCGGCCTCTTCTTCTTGAGACAGCTGCATTCCGCTCGTGTGCGCATACCCATCTCTGAGTCGTGCACTTACAATAGCCTTGGGCGTTTGAGTCCTAAAAGCAGCTTCTATACTTTTTGAAATACCTTGGAACGGATAAGCATACAATCCAATTCCAGCTGCAAAGAATCATCAGTATTTGCTCACGAGAATTCATCCTCAACAGAATAACTTACCGGAAGGCATCTTCGTAGCCATCCCTAAGGCCGCTCGTTGAAGACCCTTCAGTGCGCCGTCCTTTCCATTCTCCAATGCCCCTTTGAGTGGCTCTGTGAAGAGGCCTGCAATGCCACTAGCCATTCCACCGACGAAGTTCTTCCCGCCAACTTCTAATCCAGATTTCCAATCTGTCACAGTTCCATAATCCTTTGGCTTTTCTCCATAGAGCTGAGGAGCTCTTCGAAAGCCTTCTGCGGCTGCATGTGGGATGTCGACTATCACACCTCTGAAATATGTGCCACAGAACTTACCAAAGCCCTGTAGTCCCGCCTCGGCCATGTTACCAGCCGTTTCGAATGGGTCCTGTCGACCACTGCTAGTTCTTTTCGCTCCGGGCCGGGAACCTTTTCCGTCGGAAAATGAATTTATTGCGCCCAAGGACGAACCTGCATTGCTTGCTGATCGAGAACTACCCTCTGGGGATTGTATAGCACGGCCACGCTTAAATTCCTTGTATGGGTTGTAAATCATCTCTCCAGTCGATCGTAACATACCTGTTCCAGTACCCGTGGCAGCAGACAACACACCGGTCAAAGGATCCCAGCGACGATTCTCAATAAGTATCGGGTTGACAACATAGCTTTCGCAGAAATTAGTATTGAAATCCCTCGCGCATTGCAGCGGAATGAAACAGACCATTTAATATTTTGTGCATTTATTCGTTCGTGCTGAAGTAGAATACTGACAGCAGTTTTCGACAATGGCAGAGATATCTTTCCTTTGGTATAGGCCCATACTGCTGGGTGACCAGGCATGACACTGCATCGCATTCGATCCAATGGCAAGTTGCGATAAAAGGAGTTGACGGCTGCCTCCACGCCAGACTCGGTTTTCATTTTGATGGAAATCTCATGAGCGGCAACTTCTGCCTCTGGTCTGAGGCAAAATTGGATTGCAGACGCTAAGTTTTCAGGATTGAGTGAAGTGTATGGGATTGGGTAAGGACCAGCACCGGCCTTGGCGATCATGTTGCCCCAGAAAGGTTGACTGTGATGGATTTGATTAGTATAATAAAACAGAATGATGTGTAATTTAAGCAAGGATAGCCATACTCGCCGAAGAATGGGACGACAGCAGTAGGTTTGGCATTCAAAAGACCACATGCAGTAGTTCCAGCGCCTCCGTGGTGGACGACAGCGGCAACATGTTGGAAGAGCCACCCGTGTGGACAATCGCCAATATAAAAGATATTTGGGTTTGGAGGCCCAGCGAGACCACTCCAGCCTTTAGAAATTATTGCACGTACACCAGCGATCTCGACTGCCATAATCACGGCGTCAATCAGTTTCTGGGGGTCATCAACGACAATACTACCAAAACCAATGTAGACAGGAGGTGATCCAGATTGTAAGAAATCGGCCAATTCAGGCGTTGGTGTGTACGATGGCGGGTCTTGGAAGAAGAATCCACAAACATCTATGCAAATCAGTCATCTTGCCCAATCTATTAACTTTCATCCTTACCGATGTAAGCTGGCCAGTCCCGCGGCCTTGGAACCAAGGCCGGGGACCAACAGTATGTGAAGGGGATTTTCAAGGCCTCGGAAAGACAGGGCCCTTCCGTTGCAGGCACAGGCGATAGATCGATCTTGGATCTGAACTTATTTATCACATCTCCGAGCCTACAAGCATAGTGTAAGTCGTTTGTTCACCTGGAGCCAAGAATTCACCTACCCTTGCCATGTTAGCCACTCAACCACCCCGTATGAAACCCAATTTGCCGTGCTCGCTTCCATGGATTCAGAATGAAGATCTGCCAAGGGGTGAGGGAAAGCTTTGGTACTAGTCCACGGCATGGTAAACATCAGATGGACAGGGATTCCTAATGCCTGTGCACAATGGATATGTGCAAAACTAGGAGGGTTTGCAATGATCGCATCTGCAACAAATGGCTCCTGAGTGGTAGGATCATCTTCAATGCATGATCTCCAGCAGCCGTCCAACATTTCTGCTACCATGTTCTGCTTCTTCTTAATTTCCCCGTCCCGCAATGTTTGTAGTTGAGGGATAAGGCCTGGGTTTTTGACCATATATGCCATGAGCTGTGCTGGATCCCCGCCAATAGGAAAGAATTCCAAATATGACTCCTTGACAAAATTCTCGAAGACGTCGTGAGTTGCGATGCGGACTCGGTGGCCATGGCTTTGTAGGGCGTTGCCCAGTGCAATGAATGGCTGAACATCTCCACGACTGCCCACGATCTGGATAACGATATTTAGCTTCAAGTCACAGGAGGCAGGCTGTGTGATTTGAGCATCTGTAAAATCCAATGGATAATAAAGGTCTTCTAGCTGGTCGGCAATACGAGCAAGTGATTTGGCGAGCTTAGATTCCAGATTCACATCAATACGACCATCAGCTGTATACGAGTGTCAATAGTAGTATTCATGGCAGTTCATAGTAAGCACATACCGTGAACATTGCCCGACTCTGCAGTCAACTGGGGATCGACATATGGGGAATAAGGCGGGGGACTGGCATCCGCCCCCTCACGGTCGGGGGTTGGAGGGTTTCCCATATCCGAACAAAAGAGCAATAAAAGTAAAGTCGAAAGAACTAAAGTACTCCTGATCAAATTCTAGTCGTTTAGCTCGTTCCTAAAATAGGTAACAAGAGGTGGTTTTTATTTTGTTTATTTCCCGCTTTAACAGGCCACGTTATTAAGCTTAAGTCGATCCCGGGGCGGAGTCTCTCTCAGTCTCTCGATTTATCTCAACTTTCCTCCACATTTCCCTTCACCTGTGGCGATGGAAGGCGATTATGCCAATCGCTCCCAAACTAGTCTGTCATTGCCTCGGCCCAATGTCCAGGCTACGAATAGACGGCTTCTGCTGATTTACATCCATGGTTTCATGGGCTCAGAAGCCAGTTTTCATGACCTCCCAGCTCACGTCCACGACCTGTTGACAGAGTTACTGAGCGAGTCACACGCGGTTTATACCCGTATTTATCCGCGTTACAAGTCTCATGGGGACCTGTCAGTAGCAGTTGACCAATTCAGTGCCTGGTATGTGAAGCAACCCATGCTGTCGGGATGTGGACTTGGGCACTGATGCACAGTTTCTCTTAGGCTCTCACCTCATGAAGCCGATGATCTGGATATTATTCTGCTAGGACATAGCCTTGGCGGCATCTTGGCTGCAGATGTGGCTTTGCTGCGATCAAATGGGCATCCAAAGCATCGCATTCTGGGACTCGTCAACTTCGACGTGCCCCTTCTAGGACTGCACCCCCGTGTGATCCCAACTGGAATTGGGAGCTCCATGCCAAGGAAGGATGTGGCAGCTGAAGACAAAATAGTAGGCGAACAAGAATCAATGGGCTTGAACCCGGCCTATAAGCCCGCCACTCCGAGTCCCAACTTTGATCCCCCATTCATCAATGATGTGCGCTCTGTCGAACGGGGCTTTTTCAAAGGTATCATGCACTTCGTCAACAAGAACACAGACAATCTCTCACGGTCGATTATCGACCGTGCCCTATCGTCTTTCAAATTTGCCAATTGCGTCAATAATTACTCGGAACTTCGTCAGCGATACCGATACTTAATAGAATTAGAGGGTGCAGAATACAGTCCCTGGAGAGTACGATTCGTCAATTACTACACCAACAGTACTGGTCGCATACCACGGAAGCCAAAGGTTAAGTCGAAAAAAGGATCAAAAGATATAGATCAAACCGCCACATCCCCTTTGCAAGGAGGAAGTGAGAATCCAGCTGATACAAATAATGACACGCTCACATCGTCAGAAAGAGAAGAGCTCAAGGATGCAGCGACTCCCCCGCCGGAATATTCTGAGACGGATCCCACCCAGGAAGCAGAAAATTTGTCAAAAATGAGAAGTTTATCACTTGAAGATCAAACTGTGGGGTCTGACATCACAATAACACCTGACGAGGCCAGCTCCGCGAAAGAATTCCCACAAATTGATATCGCAAGCACCACCTCGTCTACCTCACTTGACCAACATCTGAGCCAAAATCTATCGGAGAGCGTCGCAAACTCCGATGCTAGCCTCATCTCAGAGACTACAAAAGAGAAGAAGCTTCGCAAATTTATTCTTTTGCCCTCCCATCATTGGAGACATAATGACAACGCTCACTGGATACCAGTTTTGATGGAGGACATGGACGAGGTAACAGCACATCAATCTATGTTCATTCCACTTGGAGCAAATTATGAGATTCTTGTTGGTGAAACTGTAGCCTTGGTTGAGCGATGGGTCCAGGATGACCTTAGCCGGCAGCTACTCCAGGAAAGCCTTGATTGAAGGGATTCTGATATATTATACGAGGTGTCTGATGGAAGAACTCTCCTCAATGCCCCGTCTTCGTAAATATCTTATTTCAATTATCATTATCCATATTTTCACGTAAACAATAGAATTGTTAGACCACTAGACTAAGAAATGGCGTGTCAATTCCTGCTTGTATCTTAGACATCAGTTACTAGATCCTTCGAGACATCCTGCAAAAAACTCACTTAGGTTAGACACAGCTCATCTTGATTCTGAACTTTCAACTCCGCCTTTTCGCCACTTTCAAACACTTGTGCCTAAGGTTCGGCGCTATATCATCAATCTCTGTCATAGCCATTGCATATCGCGAAGTTGTTACTCCAAAATATCTACCTACCGAGTCGAAAGGAAGTCTCATCAAATTCACTAGGAACACTTCTTGGCCAGACAAGATTACTCGCCTCCATTCGATACAAACCCTAGCAACATTACAACTTAGATGTCCGAGAACGTTACAATCGGGGCCACGGTAGTGAGTGAGGAAGTCACCCGGTGGGCCAGTGAAGAGCTCTGGTGCATTCAGCCCTAAAGTGATTCAGTGGGAAATCAATGACTACGAAGTCGGCTGCATTACACTGGGTAACTGAGTCGTTTATTCAAGCAGCAGCCGGACCAAAAACTCTGAGAATTGCTTCTCAATCGCAACTTTGCTCGGGGGCCCTTTGTCTTTCAATTTCTGTTAAGTGGGATTGATGTTATGGATGGCTTCAATGTTACTAGGGCGGAAGATATACCGTGACTACCTGATATATACGTAGGTGCTGAGAGCACCAGACATCTGTAGATAAGCGTGACTCTGCGTCCATTTCGCTTTTCATTTTGGTGGCTCAAAGGTATTTTCGTGGGGGAACTTTGGAAAGAATATTCATTTACAAAAACATGTCGATAAATTAACATTTTATGCATAAAAAGCTCTAACTACAATTATTTCCCTTATGCTGCTATATAATGCCATAACTCGACCATCCGCTATACAAGCCCTGCCGGGCTAGCTCAATCGGTAGAGCGTGTGACTCTTAATCACAAGGTTGGGGGTTCGACCCCCCCGTTCGGCTATTCCTACTACGAACCTTCGAGTCTTCTTTTTTTTTTTTGCTCTTTGATTATTTGTATAGTTCGTGAACTACTCTTCTTGATTGTGTATGTTTTTTTCTTTGATTCATCTAATAATCGGTGTTTAGACTCGCTAATTATCTATTTTTTTTGATGTATGCGATGCGTTCAATCTCTGGCTAGGTACCGAAGAAATCGTCAACATGAACTCAGTCCCAATTCAGAATCTCAAATTGGAAAGTAAGGTCGAACGTTGGGAGGGTAGGAGTATAATGGAATATCTAGGTAGAAATAGTGCCCTATTCTTATCAACATAACCTTCCTCTTGAAAATTTTTGCAGATTCTTCCGCACTCAGTTGCTTTCTTTCCTTTCAGTTGTCTATTGCTAAATATCGCCACAAACCACTCCCCTTTCTTTACGGTTTCCTTATCATTCAAGTTCAAGTTTTGAACAGTGAAGACGGTAGAATTGCGATAATAGCTCCAGTCAAATTTTATATCAGCTTCATGCATGACATCAACGAAACTAGACCTAATTGGGAGTCCGATACTCTGATCACATTCAAGATGTGGCGATGATTCTGGGTTGCTGAGTTGCATAGTTGACTCAAAGTGATCAAGAAAGAGTCATTGAAGAGATTACTGCACTATTTAATCGAAAATGAAAATAATCCGCATGAAGAATGAAATAGAATACAAATTTTGATATTGAGTGTCGGAGTTAAGGCAATAAGGAAGAAATCCGCTAAGTGGCGCTATCCTAAATAGGACTAGTGCGTGACTCCCCTCATCCCACTTATCGAGAAGCTTCTGTGGACGAGATATTGACCTCACATTTTCAATACCCAAACATCACATCTACACTACCCACATCCACTCTACACCAACAAAAACACTTTAAATCATCAACCATCAAAATGAGCGACTGGGATTCTGTTACCAAGATCGGCGGCAAGTTCCGTGGAGCTGGCGCCGCTCCCCGCGAGACCGTTATTAAGGGCAAGAGCGCCTTGAACGCCGCTCAGCGCTCAGGTGGCATTCTCGCAACTGAGAAGAAGTACACAACTGGTAACCTTGTGAGTTTAGTTCCAAGTCCATGTCTCAAGCGCAAATCGAGTCCGTTTTCATTGTCTAACTATAACCCCATTAGGCCGCCAAGTCTGGTGCCCCCGAAGGCCAGCACCTCACCAAGGTCGACCGCAGCGACGATATTATCAAGCCTAAGACTGTCGGTACTGCCGTCGGTGATGCTATCAAGCGCCGCCGAACTGAGGAGGGCTACAAGATGACCCAGAAGGAACTTGCTACCAAGTGCAACACCACCATTACCATCGTCCAGGACTTCGAGCGTGGATCCGCCACACCAGACCAGAAGGTTCTCAGCTCAATGGAGCGTGTGCTAAACATCAAGCTCCGTGGCTCTGATATCGGTGCCGAGAAGTTCCCCAAGAAGAAGTAAACTTGATCCGCGAGCCTGCGGCATTTATTTTCTATGGGACGACATCAGGATAAATGAACGTTCTGACTTTTTTTTGGCGATTTACAAGCTTCTGATGATCGTCATGTCCACCCATGACCCCTTTGCGATTACATGTCTGCTTTTCACGGGTTTCTTTCTCTCTCGGTCGGATTAGCGCTGGCCTTGCATGAAGATGGGCCCAAGGAAGTTTTGAACGGAGAAAAACCTTCACGAAAGATACCACAAATACATCACACTTTTATTTCCATTCAAATCGCCACTATAGTACTAATGTTTTAAGTCTCGTAAATACTGAAAGTATGCATTCCAGAGTGATAGGCCCGTGAGTGGTACGTCCTGGATATCTCGATCATTAGTAGGTGTAAGTACCTCAGTACCTCTAAGACACGTGTATCTACTACCCCGCATATAACTAAGTAACCCCACGTCCATGGGTGGATTAACGCTTAACTCTAGTTGATCCTATCTCGAGTCTCCAGAGCTACATAAGCTGGATAGACATACTCACTGATTTGTATAAATGATAAACCAAACACACGGTCTCAGGAGAGGACTCAAGTCGAAGACCGGGAAGTGTAGAAAGAGGTCTGGAGGGAGAGCTGGTATGAATATCCATGCACATACATGTGAGCGAAGAAACAGGTTGAATCCTTCCAAGGCTAGAGACGATTCAAGTCAAAATATACATCAATGTATAAGAAGTGAAGGTAGGCGAAGCTGAGTCTGAATGATTCGCAAATTAAGATGAGAGAGGGAGAGAGAAATGATATGAAAAAAAAAAAAAAAAAAAAAAAAAGAGAAATCTTTTAGTGTAGCCGGGCATGTTTTGGATCACTGTCTTCTTATATCGAGATGGACTTTTGGCAGCCAAAATGAAGGTTGACTCAAATTCTGACGAATCTGACCCTGAGTAGATATCATAAAATTGTATTCTTACCCTCCAGGGCTCTATTTTCTGACTATAGTTCAAAGGCCACTTCAAAACACAAAGTTGGAATGCGAGAACGTTATGCATTACGAAAGCTTTTTAAGAAACCGAGCGACAAAATTAATCTCCTCCCTTCCGCTGCTGCTCCCGCTCAACCTCATACATGAAGTCAAAGTAAGACTTGTCGAAGTGGTGGATACGGACGTAACCGTCCTCACCACCGGAGGCATATGCGGTACCGGCGGGGTGCACGTCGATAGTGTTAAGGGGACCGAAGTGACCACGGACACGGCCAATCTCGTCTTCGAAGATCTTGTGGTAGAAACGAGCCTCAAATTTACCCTGGCGGGCAGATGTGGTGGTGACATCCATGGCAGCCTGTCCACCACCCAGAATCACGTAGTCCTTTTTAGGGGTTATGGCGGCTGAGTTGAGGGGAGTGTCGGAGGTGTAGGTCTTGAAGATGGCGAGGTCACGGGAGGACATGAGCTGGAAACTGTTAGTGCTTGTTTAAAACATTGGAGGATGTTGGGTTTTGTATGCCTACCTTGGCGGACTTGTCCTTGGAGGCAGTGATGAAGTGGGTGCGGTCACTGGAGAATTGGATATCGGTGATCTGCATATCGAACTCGTGGACCTGGACGTTCTCCAACTGATCACCAGTCTAGTTTGAAGAGTATTAGTATTTTGGTTGGATGCAAAGTCGATTCGAAGTGAAATTACCTTGGGGTCATATTGGCTGACGCTGCCATCCTCGTGTCCTGCGATGATGTACTTGCTCAAGTAGCTCCACCCTGCCACAGTAGCCTTGCTCTCATCACAGGTAATGCGCAGGGTCGGCTCATCAGCCTGCTGGTCTAGGTTGTTTCCCTCACCATCACCGTAGGCGATGTCGAGGATTGCGATTGTACCCAGGAAACCCATACGCTTTTCTGTGACGGCCAGCAACTGGCTTCCATCGGGAGAGAATGCCACCCGCTTCACGGCTGTCGGGAAGTCCCATACTTTCACGCACTCGCCAGTCTTGATATTCCATAACCGTACGGTGTTGTCTGCGGAGCCAGTCGCGAGAAGAACGGTGTTAGGGCTCACATCAACAGTCCAGACGGCACCCTGGTGACCAGAGTACGTTCCAAGACGCTCGCCATTTGCCGACCACCATGCGCAAACAATTTTATCCTTCGCAACGGAAAAAAGAAGATCGCCATCGCGGTTGAATCGAATTTGGTTCAGGGAACGTTCCTAAAAAAAGCCATAACGGGGCCGCGGTCAGTTTCTTCGTAGGTCTGATTCGGCAGGGAAATTAAACACACATGTCCCGACAACAAAATAGGGCGCATATTGAACGGTTCAACCGAAGGAAAGGACGGTGACCGATTAGAGATCTGAGACTAGCGGCTCAGAAGAGGAGTTGCTGAAAGGCGGGTATATCGGGAGGTCAGTCTCGTAACCGTCACTTTCTTTGACCAGTGAATTTCATCGCACACTCGGCCTCAATGCCAAGACTTTGGCCGTATCGAATCCCGCTTTCCGGCTGATCTATTGTTCCGATATCTACACGTGACTTACCCCTCTAGCCCTAGCCCTATCTTACTGAGCGGAGTAATAGTTACTCCCTGTCCGGGCTTTGGTACTTTGATGCCTCAGGCAGCAGATATCATTTTTGCCTCCCCTTGAGAGCTGAACAGGGAAATTCAGCAATTGCGCGAGGATCACAGGAGTACAGAGTCTGATGGGACATAATTGGGGCCGAAAATAAGTTAATTGTTGATCAGCATTGCTCCTAATTATTTTCTGCGGTTGTAGTGCAGCACCTTACGATCTTGGTTGGAGATAACGAAACTCCGAGGGTGCTCGAGCCTAAAGAAGCAATAATATTCATGCACTTCCCCGCCAGAGTCCCTCGCTGTCGCTTGTCCATCCAAGCGCACAGGCTCCATCCCCGTGCTTTTTCTTTGTGGTCTTCTCGCTCTTCCTCCGCACGAGGGGTTAGCGGCTCTACTATAAGCTTGTCCGATAAGTCTCCACCGACATCTACTTTCCCGTCGACCGCCACTTCTTCTCGCACCATCTGCAGCTCCGCAATCATGGCCTCCAAGATCGACGGCACTGCTATTGCTAAGAGCATTCGCGAGGGTCTCAAGGCTGAAATCGAGAAGACCCAAGTCACCAACCCCCGGTTCAAGCCAAACCTCGTTATTTTCCAAGGTAAGTTCCCCGCGGGAAACACCGATTGAAAAAAAAAAAAGAGGCCAAAGAACTAACAATGCTTGTTGTTTACAGTTGGAAATCGATCAGATTCCAGTCAGTTCCTCATAGGGCAATGATTGACTGCATAATACTAATGGCTCATAGGCACCTATGTGCGCATGAAGCTGAAGGCCGCTCAAGAAGTATGACTCTTATCTCAAAATTCTAAATATGTGATTGTTACTCACCCAGATCTCTCTAGGCCAACATTATATGTACTCTGATTAATGTCCCTGAGTCGAGCACCGAGTTGGAGCTCATCCAGGAGATCACCAAGGCCAACAATGACCCCGCTGTCCACGGTATCCTAGTCCAATTGCCCATCCCCAGTCACATGTCCGAACACACTGTCACCTCAGCCGTTGCAGATGAGAAAGATGTGGACGGATTTGGTGCTATCAACATTGGTGAGCTGGCCAAGCGTGGCGGACGTCCATTATTCACTCCCTGCACCCCGCTTGCGGTAATGGAACTGTTGAAGGCGAGTGGGGTTGACCCCGCAGGCAAGGAGGCCGTGGTCCTGGGTCGCAGCGATATCGTTGGAAGCCCAGTCAGTTACCTCCTCAAGAACGCCGACGCCACTGTTACTGTATGTCACTCCAAGACTCCCGATATCGCCCGCCTCGTGAAGAACGCAGACATCGTTGTCGCGGCTATTGGAAAGACCGAGTTCGTGAAAGGAGAGTGGCTGAAGCCCGGCGCTGTTGTCATTGACGTTGGTATTAACTACAAGCCTGATGCGACCAGAAAGTCTGGTGAGCGCCTGGTTGGGGATGTCGACTTTGCGTCTGCTGTCGAGGTGGCTTCCCAGATCACCCCAGTTCCCGGTGGTGTTGGCCCTATGACTGTTGCTATGCTCCTGAAGAACGTAGTCAACTCTACCAAAGCCTATTTTGAGAAGCAGAAGGACCGTCGAATTACCCCATTGCCTCTTCGCTTGGAGTCTCCCGTCCCCTCTGATATCGCTATTTCTCGCGCTCAATACCCGAAGCCCATCACCCAGGTTGCTTCCGAGATTGGCATCGCTCCTCACGAGCTGGAGCCATATGGTCACACCAAGGCTAAGGTCAGTCTTGATGTTCTGAGCCGGCTCTCACACCGCCGCAATGGACGATACATTTTGGTCTGCGGTATCACCCCTACCCCTCTGGGCGAGGGCAAATCTACCACTACTCTTGGCCTCACACAGGCACTGGGTGCCCACCTGAACCGTATTACGTTTGCCAACGTCCGACAGCCCAGCCAGGGTCCTACTTTTGGTATCAAGGGAGGTGCTGCTGGTGGTGGCTATAGTCAAGTTATCCCTATGGATGAGTTCAACCTACACTTGACCGGTGACATTCACGCTATCACCGCCGCAAACAACCTGCTTGCGGCAGCGATTGAGACCCGCATGTTCCACGAAGCCACCCAAAGTGATGGTGCTCTCTACAAGCGACTCGTTCCTTCGAAGAAGGGCAAGCGAGAGTTCCAGCCTATCTTTTTCCGGAGACTCAAGAAGTTGGGCATTGAGAAGACCCACCCTGATGACCTTACCCCAGAGGAGATTACCCGATTTGCTCGCCTTGATATCGATCCTGAAACTATCACATGGCGTCGGGTTCTTGATGTTAATGACCGTCACTTGCGTGGTATCACTGTTGGCCAAGCGCCTACTGAGAAGGGTCTCTCGCGCGAGACCGGATTTGATATCTCCGTTGCTAGTGAATGTATGGCCATTCTTGCTCTGAGTAACGATCTTGCGGATATGCGTGAGCGCCTGGGCCGCATGGTCGTTGCTACTTCCAAGGGCGGTGACCCTGTTACTTGCGACGACATTGGCGCTGGTGGTGCTCTCGCTGCTCTTATGAAGGATGCAATCAAGCCAAATCTGATGCAGAGCTTGGAGGGAACTCCCGTTCTGGTCCACGCTGGTCCTTTCGCCAACATTAGTATCGGTGCTAGCTCCGCTATTGCTGATAAGCTAGCTCTGAAGCTGGCTGGTACTGAGCCCGATGAGGACCACGATGACAAGACCGGTTTTGTAGTCACTGAGGCTGGGTTTGACTTTACGATGGGCGGTGAGCGATTCTTCAACATTAAGTGCCGATCATCGGGCTTGTCTCCCGATACCGTTGTTATCGTAGCTACGGTCCGTGCATTGAAGGTGCACGGTGGTGGTCCTGAGATCAAGCCTGGCGCTGCTCTGCCTGAGGTTTACCGCACTGAGAACGTTGAGGTTCTCCGCAAGGGATGTGTTAACCTGCGTAAGCACATCTCCAATGCCAAACAGTACGGTATCCCCGTCGTCGTCGCGATCAACAAGTTTGAGACCGACACCGATGCAGAGATTGCTGTTATCAAGGAGGAGGCTCTTGCTGCTGGTGCAGAGGATGCCATTCCGGCCAACCACTGGGCCGAAGGAGGAGCTGGTGCCATTGACTTGGCTAAGGGTGTTCTCGCGGCTAGCTCCAAGCCCAAGGACTTCAAGTTGCTGTACGACCTGAATGGCACCATTCAAGAACGCATTGAGCGTATCGGTACTGCTATGTACGGTGCCGATAAGGTTGAGTTTAGCGAGCTAGCTCAAAAGAAGGTTGACACCTACACCAAGCAAGGTTTCTCCAACCTGCCCATCTGTATTGCCAAGACGCAGTACTCGCTCAGTCACGACCCAGCCCTGAAGGGTGCCCCCACCGGGTTCACTGTGCCCATTCGGGATGTCAGATTGGCCGTGGGTGCTGGATACCTGTAAGATCTTTCCCTATTCTATCATGACTTTGAAGCATTTGCTAATTTGAAAACGTAGTTACGCTTTGGCTGCCGACATTCAGACAATTCCCGGTCTGCCCACTGCACCGGGTTATATCAATGTGGATATAGACCCCGAGACTGGTGAGATTGACGGTCTGTTCTAGATTCCGATAGAGTAGAGATGATCACGTTTATTTAATACCCCGACATGAAGCTTTTGATGGGAAGCCAGTCCTATTTTTTTCAACATATTTAAGACGATTAAGACGATTTAATCCGGCGTCCATGGACATCTGGGGATATAAGGAGGAGCGAAAACTTCAACACATAGTCGTTTGATTTAAGATTTGAATATTCTATGACTTTTTTCTATATTTCTATATTTTCTCTCCTACTTCAATGACTATATCTCTTTCGTTCTCCGATGGTTTCCCGGTGGAAATCCGAGTATAACCCGCGGAGTTTGCTCCAAACTCCCCGCCCCATCAACCCGTTCTTACGAGTGGATAGAAGCAGAGATTGTGACTTCGGTGAATCATTGAGAGAATCTAGAGATAAATAGACCCAATTTCGTAATTTCCCATTCAAATTCCATTTCCTAAATAAAACTTCAAAGGGAAAACAAAAATCCTTGTCTCGTGACTTTTTCCGACTTCGGCGCTTCTTCTTCTGTCTTTTACTCCAAAACACTTTTGGTCCTGTAGCATCCGGACAAGGCTTTTTCCTCCATCCCTTTCGCCCTTGGCCATCCGTCACTTCTCCGGTAATTTCCCCAGTTTTAATTTGCTATTTACCTTTGCTTGGTCATCCTTCCGAGTGGTCCCGTTTTGCCCCGGCCCTTGATCCCCAGGAATTTCCAATCTCGGCATCCCAGTGGTCTAACTGGGGAAAGCCCCGATCTCCACTGCCGCCTTTCCTTTCTGCCGAATATCGTTCCCTCGGTTGTTCGTGACAGCCAGTAAAGGGCCGATACTGTCGCCGGAAACCATAGAGATATTGATCGCTGACGTTTCCCGAGTAGCTGCTCAATATGAATGCTCTTCGGTCTGGTTCCGCTTTCGCTCGCCGGTCCCTGGTGACCCCTCCTCTCTCTCCCTCTTCTTCTCGTCTTCTCTCTTCTCAAACCTTCACTTCTTTCTCTTCCACTTCCAAGAGATCCCTCTCCTCGAACTCTATCCTCCCGCGTACTAACAGAATCACTTCTGCTTCACCTTCCCGCTGGTCCGGATCGACTTCGTTGTACCTTAACAAATCTCGCACCATGGCTTCCGAAAGCACCAAGATCAAGGTTAAAAACCCTGTTGTGGAACTGGATGGTGATGAGGTACGATCTTTCTCCCCTTTATATAGATTGAACTCGCCGGTGAACCTAGACCTTAACGGCCCGAGGTCGATGCACATGCCAATGCTTATCACTGTAACATTTAACATTGCTAATATGGTGATCTTGGAAATTTTAGATGACCCGTATCATCTGGCAAGTTATCAGAGAAAAGGTAAGCCAGACCATTCCTTTACTTACTTCGGGTACTTCCTGCAAGATCGGCCCCGCTCCACATCTTGCAGGTAGCTACATGCATGAGGCTGGACCTGTCATCTTATTTGAGACTAACCGTGCATTTATAGTTGATCCTGCCGTAAGTTTAAAAAAAATTGGCAATGATTTGCTCGGAAAGCTGCTAAGACCACCAAATTAGCTTCCTCGATATTGACCTCAAGTACTATGATTTGGGTCTTGAGTACCGTGATGAGACCAATGACCAGGTCACCATTGACTCCGCCGAGGCTATTAAGAAGTACGGTGTCGGTGTCAAGTGCGCCACCATCACTCCCGATGAGGCCCGTGTGAAGGAGTTCAAGTTGAAGAAGATGTGGCTCTCTCCCAACGGAACTATCCGTAACATCCTGTAAGTGTTGTCGAGCTTGTGGAATTTTCATGCAGCTTTGATTCCCTAATAATTTCTCTCCAGTGGCGGAACCGTTTTCCGTGAACCTATCATTATTCCCACAGTTCCCCGTCTTGTTCCCGGCTGGAACAAGCCCATTGTTATTGGTCGTCACGCCTTCGGTGATCAATACCGTGCCCAAGACCGTGTCATCCCTGGCCCCGGTAAGCTGGAGCTCGTCTACACCCCCGTTGGTGGTGAGCCCGAGCGTATTCAGGTCTATGACTTCGAAGGTGGCGGTGTTACTCAGTGCCAGTACAATACTGATGAGTCAATCCGTGGATTCGCTCACGCTTCTTTCAAGATGGCTCTCCTCAAGGGTCTGCCTCTGTACATGAGCACTAAGAACACCATCCTTAAGCGCTACGATGGCCGCTTCAAGGATATCTTCCAGGAGATCTTCGACAAAGAGTATAAGAAGGAGTTCGATGCCAAGAACATCTGGTACGAGCACCGCCTGATCGACGATATGGTCGCTCAGATGATTAAGAGCGAGGGCGGCTTTGTTATGGCCCTGAAGAGTGAGTAGTTCCTGATACTTTTCGCAAGAATTACTAAATCTAACATGCCTCCTCCAGACTACGACGGTGATGTCCAGTCCGACATTGTCGCCCAGGGTTTCGGCTCCCTCGGTCTGATGACATCCACCCTGGTCACCCCTGACGGCGAGGCCTTCGAGGCCGAGGCCGCCCACGGCACAGTCACTCGCCACTACCGCGAGCACCAGAAGGGCAAAGAGACCTCTACCAACCCCATTGCCTCCATCTTCGCCTGGACCCGTGGTCTGATCCAGCGTGGCCAGCTCGACAACACCCCTGAAGTTGTCACCTTCGCTGAGCAGCTCGAGCGTGCCTGCATTGACGTTGTCAACGAGGAAAAGATCATGACCAAGGATCTTGCCCTGGCCTGTGGTCGCAAGGACCGTGAGGCCTGGGTCACCACCTCCGAGTACATGGCTGCCGTTGAGCGGAGACTCAAGGCTAACCTCAAGTCCGTCAACTTGTAAATCATTTATAATGTCCATTTACTGCCGAATGTTGCCATGAAATCATTCGAATGAGACAGTCCTCAAGAGACTTTAAGCTTGAAATGTAAACGTATCAATCAAAACATTGAATCAAATCTGCTCTTTACTCTTCATTGTACCTGTAGCTCTAAAATTAAACCTTTAAGCTGTCACCTCGCAAAAGCTATGATAACGCGAGATAAAAGCAATTTGTACGATTTTGGGAAATGTCGCACCGCAACAGGAAATTTATTTGACACTACCCAAAATAGCCTGAAAGACTTCTTCGATTTGGCTTCGGTGGCTTTGGTGGCTTTGGTGGCTAAATCGAGTGTGACATGGTACACCGATCAGCTGCCATTCACGGAAACCACTTTTTTCTCCGAAGTCATACTCTTCCGCGGACCGAAAAGTTTGGTATCTCAGAAGAAAATAATTTTTACCCTGTCAATTAGCCTGCAATTTACCACGTCAGAATCGGACACTCCGAACAGAAATCATTGGAAAACCTCGGCAAGCACGTCTAAGCGATCTCCATACTGATTCCACTCTGTAATGGACAGTACATTTGACTCAGAGTCGGCTCCGAAGAAGTAATCCAAGATTTGTCGAGCCCTGGAACGAGGCATATTTCAAGACCAGTGATTGAACGGCCCAGTATCAGTAGGTTCGGGTTAAACGAGGATCACAAAGACAAATTGGGGTACTCAACTATGGTAGAGAGAGAGATATAGGTCGTAAAGAACACGAGTCAGGGAGAAAAAGAGAGTGAAGTCTCGATGAGATCCACTTGGCCCCGCAAAACCTTATTTTCCACCAATCACACTACGCAATCGAGGGTGCCAAAGACAGCCAAGGGTCTTTGACGCAATCGACCAACATAGAACTTCCTGACGCGGCCAACCTAGCTCTGGTTCATCCAATCATCGGATAAAACAGCATGTCTTGTCAGCCATGGCAGATCTGAGGAACTTACATATTAACTCAAATCCAGTCTGCAAGGTTGCTGTCAGGCTGTCAAATCTAGTTTCTGAAGATTCTGAACGTAGTCTGGTTTTCTCAATCATATGCGATGGTGGCTTTGATCCGATATTTTATACATTGCTGTCCGAAATTTACTTGTCTATATTGCGCACATCCACCCTTCAAAGACTGCCAGTGATTCATGTTTGATACTGGGGAAACGAGGCATTTTGACTGAAGATGCAAATCGTGGCTATCACGACAGTTTTTACCTGTCTGTCAATAGTCATTGTTGCTCTTCGGCTATGGACTCGGGTCTTCTTGGTAAAGACTCCAGGGAAAGACGACATTCTTATTGGGCTCGCCTTGGTATGTCATGATGACTTTCTGGCTATTGCGGCTGAACACAACACACGCTTTTCCAGAAATCGACACTAAGACTTCTCTCAGATATCCTCAATATTGTTCTACGCATTTGTGCTATGTGGTATGTTAAGTTTCCATTGATTAACTCCAATTTCATGCTAAAACTCTTCATCAGAGAACAAGTATGGTCTCGGTATCGCTGAAACAGACTTACCCAAAAAGACAATTGAAACACAACTATTCGTAAGACCTACTCCAGAAGACAAAAACAAATATTACATTTGATCACATCTTAACCCTGATTTTAGTATCTATGGCTATCAGCTCCCTTCTACAATCTTTCCCTTGCCCTCACCAAACTATCAGCTACATTCCTATACACCCGTATATTCCGATCAAGTTCCTTCATGATTGCCGCATACTTTCTCATGGGATACCTCATCATTACAGGAATATGGATGATAGCAACTGCTTTTGTCTTTTGTCTCCCCATCAGCGTATTTTGGAGTAAGGAAATCCCAATGTCCGAAAAGCATCATTACTGCTTGCCTCTAGGGGCTATGTGGTATTCCGATTCTGCACTGCAGATGTTTTCAGATGTTTTCATTCTCATTCTTCCCATGCCTCTATTATCGAAGCTGCATCTTCCACGACGAGAGAAGGCAGGAGTCATATTAATGTTTGCTCTCGGAATCTTGTAAGTCCACTTTCTTGTCTACGGTGGATCATTAAGATGTACTAATGATTTTGAAAGTGTCTTTGTCACCGGCTCAGTTCGACTATACGAAATATGGCTAAGAGTATCAGGAACTGATCCTACAAGTAAGTCTTATACCGAATATCCTATAGAAAATCCGAATCGGTACTAATTCAAAGCAGAGGAAAATGCCGCTGCTGCCCTCTGGTCTTCACTAGAAACTAATGTCTCCATCATCTGCGCATGTCTACCACCACTACATCCACTTCTCTCTCGCATATTATCTTTCTGTTTCCGCCCACAACCAATACACTCAAGTCCGCCCTCAACAGGCCAAACAACGACAACCCCCTTGACCACAATGCACAAACCTTCAATATACAGCCGTGCTATGAACAAGTCACCCGACGGTGGAGTCTTCTTCAACAACTTCTTCTTCGCCGGCCCGGCCAGCTATTCGGCCAGTATTACAAAAGTCAATCCCAAGGACGATGAGTCCAATATCCACGAGGGAAATGGTATTAGGGTCGTGCGAGAACTTAGAATGTTTTCTGATGCGAAGCCCATCGCGCTGAACGAGCTCCAGAAAAATGATCTGGAGAGTGGGGGTAGTGTGAGTAGTAGCACAAATGATACTAGTCGACGACTTTCTAGTATTGAGTGGGATTTGGAAGACTTTGAGTTTCCGGATTATAAGGAGCGTATGAATGCTTCTATTTTTTAGTTCGGCTATTTAGCGTCAGGTAGTTGAGTGGCCTGCTAATGTATATTAAAATTTTTTAGCTCTTCTTCGTAAATAATAGAATCGAGACTTATTTTTCTCATGAAGGAAATAGCCATACAATAGGTGAAATAATTTGGACTGCAGTGTAATGATACAGACGGCGGAGATGGACCAAATAGGGTGTTTGAAGCCATAGGATTATTGCAGTGGAGAACAACTAACCCCGGCAGTCTGTTATAATCTGTTAAACATACAGAGAACTAGTCTCAGATTAATCGAATGTCGACTCTAGGGGTAGAGCAAGGAGAGGCTGAGTCAGAATAGCAGCACAATCTATACAAAGTCGACACAACATTTCACTCCTTTTCGCCAAATCTTCAATGATTACAAGAGTGGGAGTATTTTGGGAACACTCACTTGAAGGATCTATCAGCCGTGATGTCTCTAGTGGCGCATAAATAATAAATAGCCTATGCAGACCTATGTTTGCCAAGCAATCTAAATCCAGGTCTAGGTTCAATGATCAGCGACGATCACCCTTCCTTAACCCTCATTCCACATTCTGTCATCGCGCGTCTCCCGCGTTCCACCTGAAGCCCCTGGGGTAAACATACGCGGGGCCTGGTCCTACGGAGTGGTCCTGTTCCCAATTTTCCCCCATTTGCTGCCATGGCCGTTTCAATCACACTCCTTTGTTAAAACACCCCGGTATCGATCGTCACGGGAATTCCTAAACGCCATGCCTAGCCAGATCAAGTTTGCTGAGCCAATCTCGAGGAAGGAGGATGAACGCTGTCGGAGGGATAACTGTGAAAAGGGGTCGACTCAAAGATCACTTTCTCCTGGTAATGAAATTGTTTACCCAACAGGATGGAGGTTGATTCTTACTATCATAGGGTGGGTTTATACACCGGCAGTTTTCTATTAATGGCAAAGATTGACCGATGGATTGGTGATAGGCTTCTGATTGCGTTCTTTCTGTCTAACTTGGATGTTACCATCGTGAGCTCGTCTCTGACCAGTATAACGGATAGCTTAGATGGGTTCGAAAAGAGAAGCTGGATCGTTACTGGGTATTTGGCTACATATACTGGTATGTTTCTCCAATATTGGCCTTGAGCATCATTTCCTACATACCACCACCAAGGGTTCCGTGACTGATGTCAAAACTACCTCTAGGTTCTATGGCATTATGGACAAAAATCAGCGATATCATCGGAAGGAAACAAACCACAATTGCCGCACTCGTTATTCTGCTCGCTTTTTCTATTGGATGTGGCTGCGCCAAGACAGTCAATCAACTGTGAGATTCAATCTAACTTCATACACATCATCTGTTCAAATACTAACCTTACGAACTTAGTATCATATTTCGAGCACTCCAAGGGGTAGGCGGTGCTGGCGCATATGCACTTACAATATTATGTATCTATGAGATAGCTCCTAAAGCGAAGCTGCCGACCTACAGTGGCATAATGTCAACTTGTGTGGCTCTTGCATCTCTTCTTGGCCCGATAATTGGAGGCGCTCTTGCGCAAGATCAGGCCTGGAAATGGGTGTTTCTGATAAAGTAAGCTATCATTGGCTTCGATTTTGAAAGACCTTACTGACCAAACGTTTTAGTGCTCCCTTGTGCGCTATTGCGATCATTATTATCATCGTGGCAATGCCTCAAAACTTTGGCCTTGACCAACATATTCCCTCATTTAGAACAAGGGCTTCATATCACTCGTTTGCGAATCTTGACCTAATGGGATCATTCCTTTTAATGGCTGGCTCGTTTTTGATCGTTGCCATCTTGAATGAAACAAATCTAGCATTCTCATGGTCATCAGGGGCTGCAATCGCGCTTCTTGTGGTTATGGCCCTCATTTGGATTGGGTTCTTTGCTTGGGAGTGGTATATCTCAGGAATTCCAGGAAAAGAGCCAATTTTTCCCAAGCGTTGGCTGTTCGATCGCTCATGGATGGGCATACTGATGTGAGTTCAATATACAAGTAAAACCTATTGATCTGTTACGTCTGACAGAGAAACTATAGCTCTTCGTTCGTTACTGGTGCACCATTCAATGTCGTTTTGGTCTACGTCCCACAGCAAACCCAGCTCCTCTTAGGAAAGTCGCCTCTGGATGCAGGTATCTACTTAATCGGATACTCTGCAGTTGCCGTTTTTACTGCGGCAATGGTCAGTATTGCAAGTGCCAAGGGACGCATTCCATTCATATATTCTCTGCTTGTGGGATGTGTAGTCCACACTGTCGGTCTTGGACTCCTGTCGACCGTTGCAATATCAAAGGGCTTCCATGCAACAGACATCGTCTACTCAGCAATCGCCGGAGCAGGAATTGGAATGATAATGGGTGTCTTATTGATGGTAACACCATACATGGTCGAGGATAGAGATATCAGTATGTGCGAAAAAGCTATATTGTGGAGTGAAGAGACTAACTAATCCTTTTTAACTGCAGCTATCGCCACTGGTGCAATAGTCCAGCTCCGATTCCTCGGTGGTGCTATTGGTCTTGCTATTGCTTCAAATATTCTCAACGGCAGCCTGAAGCACCATCTGCATGGTGTTATATCGAGGCACGACATACATCTCCTTCTCGAGAATGCGACTCGGATAACACTTCTATCTCCTCGTCTACAACAGGTCGTTAGGGATGTTTTTGCAATCAGCTTTAGCACACAGTTGAAGGTCATGATTGGATTCGCAGCTGCTCAACTACCGGCAACTCTGCTCCTCTTGAAACCTGGCCGTCAGCTCGCCGCCCACAAGAAGCATTCAGCAATTTCTTCGGGTTGAAAGTGTCTCTCTTTTCTTTATTTCTTTACACTTGTTTTCAAGTTCTCCACCTGGGATTATCCTCCCTCCAAAAGGTATCCACCAACTGTACGATCATTTCTCAAAACAAACAATTTTTCTATGTAGGATCCTGTACTAGATAGCTGAACCAATCAAAACAGTTCCATTTGATCCACGTGGATCGACGAACCTTGAATTTGCTTAGTCACCAATCTGCCCCGATAACTAGAAATCTACAAGCGGAGCAAATTTTCTCCCCAAGCCGCACCTTAAATTCTGAATTTGATACTGCAAAAATGGGTAACGTAAGAGGATTTCCGTGCAAGACCAACCTTGCAGAAGAGGTCCCAGATCACCAAGCTAACGATGAAATCCAGGGAGCCAAAGCATCGATGAAGCGTGAGCGCAACGCGAAGGACTCGAAAACCGCAAAGTCGCAAACCAAGACCGTATGTTTGAAATATGTCAAATCCACCATCTAACTGTGCATTTTTACTGATGTTCTCCTAGAATGAGAAAGCCATGAGCATCCAGTGCACTGTTTGCAAGCAGACCTTCTTGCAGACTACCAAAGCTCCTGCGTACGTTCTCAACCCATCGGTTATGTGTTGTTTTTATGCGTTTTTAGACTTTGCTGTATTGCTTACTAATATTGCTTGGACTTAGTCTCCTTGAGCATGCTGATAATAAGCACAAGAAGACTCTTGCTGACTGCTTCCCTGGTGTGACCGCATAAATAATGCGCCTTTTTATCATGCTTCACGAATCAAAATTAGCGCATGCAGTTGAATTACAGTGGCCTTTGACGGGGAGCTGTATTTGCACTTACTGAAATGCGCTATCGCATACGAAATCGCATACGAATCGTTAACTTTTCTAATTTGTCCTTTTACTGCGCATTGTGACCCTGAACGCAAGTATCAGCCTTATCGATATCAGAGTGTAGAAAGGAGAATCAGCCGAAAGTGGCTCGTGATTGGGCAGGTGTTTCAGCCCACTTCTTATTAGTTTTCTTTCCTTCTTCACTTTCAATATTTGGAATACCAATTTGCAATTTGCCTAGAATCCATTATTAGTAGAGTTTTGATCCTATCTTCTTTTTCAAGAATGACGTCGTTTAGTTCATAATTTAGACTCTTTCGGGCCATTCAGTAAAAGGACGATCGACCATCTGAGCCCATCTGTTAAAAAGACTTAAGCTCCGACATTTCCCAAACTTGGAGCTAATTTCAAGTTGGATAGAACAGAAGTCACTATTTTAGTGTATATCAACGAGTATTTAGCAAGAAAATCCACACTTATTCAGCTTTGCAGTATACAAGATTGAGATAATGTCTAATATCTGATAATCACAAGGCCCCCAAGAACCTGTTATATGTACAGTCTATCGCATCGCTTGCTCAATTGCCTTAGCAACAGCAACACATTTCTCCTCTCCAAACCGTCCACCAATGACCTGCACACCAACAGGCATACCATCCACTAAATCGATATCATCTACACTAGTTAGTCCCGGGTTACTAGTAGCAAACTGACTGAGACACTCACACTGCTCCTTATTAAACTTGTTACTCGTACTCTTCGGGACATAATCCAACCATTCTTGGTCGGGAACATCCAGCTCTCTAGACACATTCGTCACAGGTACCGTCAGAGCAGCATATCCGAGTAGATTCCAGATACTGGTGTAGCCCACATATGCGCTTGATTTGACCCATGTCCAGGGCTTATATCCCACCCAGGGCATGTTTGGCATGATCAATGCGTCGATGTTAGAGGAAACCCAACGATCAAGATATTCCGCCTCGTATATGTATTTATCCGCGTTAAGCTAGAGCAAGATCCAGTTAGCTATTTCCACCTGATAAGATAGTGATGCTCCATCTCACCTGATGTGTTTGCGAAGTTGTTAATATATCTTTCTTTGATCCAACCAACATCCCCTCAATCAAAGGTTCGCCGGTTAATTCGGTTTTCTTCCGCACTCCCTCACCACCATCTGATAGAATGGCCTTTTCCCAGATCTCGTAGGCATTTTTGTGCGAAGATGAATCCCACTCAAACACTAATCCAGATCAGAACATGTCCCGTTCATGGAAGTTGATAAAACATACCTTTGTGTCCCGCAGCCCTCAATGCAGCGACAACTTCCTTCACAGCTCGTGCAATAGGTGGCTGGACCTTGACGACACCGTCATCGATCAAGAATCCAATCCGGAGGGGCCTGTCTGGCAGAGATGCAAGATTGCTCCTCCACGGTAGTGGTGCACAGTGCTGGTCAAGTTCCCAAGGTGATGCACTCGGCAGAGCTTCCATATACTTCTCAATGCTCGCCAGACTTACACTCATCGGACCAGCAACCGAACGAACAATATCCTGACCAGGACTAAATTATAGTGTTAGAAAATGCATCGATATTTTGATTCAAGTAGATGGAATCTTACCTTCCCCGCTCATAAGGATGCCTTCCTGGGCTCGGCGACAGCCCATAGATTCCACACAGACTAGCTGGAATCCGAATCGATCCACCAAGATCAGTTCCAATCCCTAGAGCACTGCCCCGAGCTGCAACAAGAGACCCCTCACCCCCAGAGCTACCACCCGAAATCAAGTGTCGGTTAAGCGGGTGAACGCACTGGCCGAAGACATGGTTGTAGGAGTCGGACATCATCATTGACTGCGGCAGGTTTGTCTTGACGTAAAGAACAGCACCAAGTCTGCGCAGGGTTCTGGCGACGGACTTATCAGTCGGTACAGGGCTATTTGTAAGACCGACCCAGCCTGTGATATATCAACATGGAGCTCTGCATCATTTGCCTTTTGTCAAGGTTCATACCGATAGATGTATCTACGCCTTTCACAGAGAATAAATCCTTAATCGAAACCGGAAGTCCATGTAAAGGCCCAACAGTCTTGCCCGTCTTAGCAAGATGCTCATCCATTTCTTTCGCAACGGCAAAGGCTTCCTCAAAGAATATCTCTGTACAGCATGTTGTAAGCTGGTGTGCAAGTGCTGTACGCTTGGCAAATGCCTGCGTCAGTTCCAGCGATGTCAATTCTCCGGAGGAAAGCTTGTCTAGTAAGATGTTGATATCTGTCTCTTCTGTAAGGGCCAGGTCTGAAGGACTGAGAATTCGTCGCAAATATGATAGTGCATCTCGCTCGGTATCGATCGAGGGGATTGGCGATAAGCGCCATTCAGGTGGAATCAGGGCGTATTGCTGAGCACGCTTTTCAGCGGCGCGCTCTTGGTATGAGGTGATTGTCATAATAGATATCGTGATTAGATGTTAATGGTGTAAATCCATGTGGAAGTATCAATTTGATGAATATTAGGAGACATTTTGATCATATTTATGTTCTGCTCATAGATAAGAATGCGGGGGAAAGTATAGCACTCAAAGATTTCCTAATCGGGAAGGGAACCTAAATCGGAGATATGCGTATTTGATAATAATCATAGAGGGGAACTAAATAGCGTCTTATGGTAGAAAAACAACGTGTTCATATACCTTAGTTGCCTCAAATAAGACCTTTCAGCTGCCTAGATACAAGCCCTTCTAAAAAGGATAATTTAATAGTTGTTGGTATATGGCTCTTATCATATAAGATTAGTTATGGATATCCCTAAACCAACCTTGGAAGAGCCCTGGAGGTCACTCATAACCTTATGGCCCTGTTTGAAGTAAGACTAGGGATATGGAAATCTTGGAAGTACATCTGCTCAGTACATGGCAAGGTAATATGAACTAAAATGGGAATTCGACTTTCCCCGCACTCTTATCTCCTGATCGAGCAGACCTCCAACAGACATAAAGTACCTACCTAATTAGATTACCGTAGGTATGGCCGGCGTCAAGAAGCCACGCGGAATCCGACATGATCGTCATTGTCATCGATGTCGCATCAAGAGCATCAAGTGTGACCTCAACCGTCCGCAATGTCAATCTTGTCTGCAGACCGGACTACCGTGTCACTATCCACAGAGAGTTGTTTGGATTGAAGAGAAGAGACAAAAGACAAAATCATCGTCAAAGTCCTCATCGCCCCCATCAGCTGGAAATGGAGCAGATCCAATTAATGGAAAAGATTCCAAAGATATCACCATCAATCTATACGGTTTCATCGACCTTCTTTCTCGCTTTTACCAAGAGATTCAGTTCAGCAAGAAAGAGATACCCAAAGAAACCATCGAGCTCATTTCTCAGACCTTAAGCTTTGCTCGCTCACAACTAGTTGGGACAGATGACAAGAACTCGATTCAGTCACATCTATCGGCATTGACAAATCTAAGACAGGTTATCGAGTCAGCTCACCCGGTAGCCCTATTCGGAATAGCAACATTTGCCATTTTTGAAGTTTGCTGCGGGTCCTTCGGACGATGGCATCGCCATCTGCAAGGTGCTCGCTCTCTACTAGATCTCCACTGCAGCGACAAAACCGAACTTGATCACCTCTTGGCGCAAATACCAGGTCTTGCGGACGTGCTATCTTATCTAGTTTGGTTTGATGTGACAGGCGCTCTTGTTAGAGAAGGCTCTCTAATATTCGATGAGTGGCACCGCAGAATCCTTAGTCCAAGCTTTCTTGACTCGGTTGGCTGTCCACCAGATGCATTTGAGCTTTTTGTCCATGTTACAAAACGCACCGATCTAGATACTTTGGATATTTGTTCTCAGGCAATGTGTCAGGTCCTACATCTTGACTCGGATGACTTATCAGAACCAGATCGCCGACTTGCAGCTACTGTGTATCGATGTACAGGGGCAATGGTGGCATTTAGACGAGCGAGAGAAAGCCATACTAGTCCGGATCCCTCAGTACCTGCGCCGACATCGGTTTCTTATGAAAAAGTTATTTCGTCTTTGGTGGATCGAGTATGTGATGCCGTGTCTAAGCTACCCTATTATTCACGCTACTACGTGCACTTGGCCACGCCGATTTACCTGGCTGGAGTGCATGCCACTGCTACTACACAATGCGAAGTCCTACGGACTTTTTGGCGCAATTGTCGAGAATGCGAGTTTCCAAGATACCCAGATGGCCAGGAACAATGCGAGCAAATGTGGAGGAGGATATAGCCAACTATATCATTCAAGGGTAAACAGCAGCTCTTATAGATTCTGGTAATTTGACACCACAGATAATTACATCGAAACAGCGCATTTTGGCCACCAGTTCCACTAACTGTTTACTGGTGATAATATGGGTAAAGATTCTGTATCCTGCCTTTAATCTGAGTCATCAATTGCTGATATCTCAAACATCAATGTCGAAGAATTAACGGCCCAAGTATGCTTCGGACTTCCCTTGAGATCCATGGATGGTACCTACTTCATTCACTGAAGAGTCACCAGTCTTACAACCGTGCCTGCCGTTTCCTCTTTGGGAAGGTACGGGATGGGCATATACCCATCATCCTATTCTCCCCCCAATTTTCTTTCTCCTTCTTTTTCTTCTCCTCATATGCTTCCATTTTCACATTCTTTCCTTCGCCCTCCATCCAGAGAGCGATTCATTCATTCTACATCACTCATTAGGTATCACTAATTTGATATCACCCACCTGGTATTTGAACCTTTTTCATCCTTTTCCAACCGTCACCATGTCGTACAACTTCCCTTCTACTCCCCGTCCCCGCTACTGCGTCGTTCGCCCAAATGGCATGATTGCACCTATGATCCCGATAGATGAGCTGCCTGGATGGCTGCAAATATTCAACTGGCCCTCGGACATACTCCTGGGTCTGGAGCCAGTTTCCAATCGCTCCATCCAGCGGAACGACGAATACCATGTCATTTGTCATAATTGTGCAAACAGTGTGGGATACTTGTCTGACCAAACATTTAGTTCTTCTTCAGCGACTAAAAGCCGTCGAGGACTGTTTCCTGAACCAGCTGAATGCCTCGTTATTCCCAGGGGAAAACCCTTCTTGTCTAATGAACATGTATTCACTGCAACGGACGAAACAGATTCGGAGGTAGTTCCGGACACCCCCATGTCGGCTCCAGAGGTACTGCAGACTCAAGCCATCTCTTTCAGCAGATACTTCTCTACCCGCTCTACTGATGAAGAGGTACTGGAAGGATCGAGACGATCTCCCATTCCTGCGAAGTGCCTTCAACGCAAGTCAGATACTCCAGCATCCTCTGTGCACTCGGCAGATGATTCTAGTTCGAAACTCTCCATTCAGTCTGAGGCCGAAATGTTCTTGATGACATTAAGCGACTCTCCTGTGCTTGGATCACACCCAGATACACCCGCATCCTCTGTGCACTCTGCAGATAATCCCGGTTCTGACATCTCCATTATATCTGAGGCTGAGATTTATATGGTCGCGTTGAGGGACTCTCCCTTGCTTGGACCGCTCCCAGAAACTCCAGCATCCTCTTTGTATTTTGCAGATAATTCCAGTTCCAACGCCTCTGTTTCATCTGAGGCTCCTGTGCTTGGATCGCACTCAGAGACTTCAACTCTACCGTCCTCCGTTGACTTGACGGACGATTATGATTCCGATGATTCCGAAGATAGCTGCCATTCTCCAGCACGATCAGCTCAAATTGATGACGAAATCGATGGATTCCCTGCGATTCTTCAGGCAGACCTGGATTCATTATGCTTCGTGTCCCGTGGAGAGCCAATCGTGAGCGACGAATATCAGCCAGAACTAGAAAGTCTGAAGGACTTCGACAATTCTCTTGCCGCCAAAATGGATACTGCGATCTTCAGTGACTTGGAAGATGTGGCCGACTTTGGAGAATTTGCACTGGAGGAAGAAACCAGCACATGCGCGCACCTTCACATGAAATCCAAGTCCAAACGCTCCAACATCAGGTCAATGGTTCACAAGACCCATTCGATGGCCCATCACCATGTCCACGGCGGTCGTTGCCGTCGTCGCGCGAACATTGTCGGCACTATGGTCTCGGTGGAAGAAGCAGAGTCCAAGCCGGAACAGCTGAATTCATATACCAGGAGACGTGATCGACGGGAGAGAAGAATCCAAGGGAAGAAGGGGACGAATTCTCATGGCCAATACCACCACATGGTGATGGTTCATGGCTCGCATTCACCAAAGCCACATCGTTAAACGTCCGATGAAATTGTGTTTTTGTGCTCTGCTGTTTTGCTTGGTTGCATGTCTTCATTTCATTTATAGTTGTCACTCCTTTGGCATTGGTTTGAATGTTTTCGCGGTTTGCTTTTATATATGTACGACATTCCTTGATGTCATTGCGATTGCGAGTTAAACTGTTATGAATGCAATTATTGCCATCCGAGATGCTTCCTTGTAGAAATACACTCCGCACTCCAGCTGATAACAACCTTATCCTTATCGCATCATCAATGATCTCATCTCCAACTTCCTTGCCGCATCTGTTCATATCCTACATTCATCAAATATACGAAATACATCATGGCTTTATCCGACTCCCAAAATTCAACTCGCTCTACCCCCAACATCCCAACCACAAAGGCAACCCTCCACATCGGCAGCTCAACATTCATCGCAGCCCCATCCCACCGCGTCTGGGCCACATTAACAGATACATCAACCTGGCCAAACTGGAACTCATTTGTCCCGCGCGTGACAATCCGCTCCCAGCCCAAAACCAGCACCGAGGAAACAGAAGGCAACTCGCTCTCACCCATCCTCCAACCAGGAACAAAAGTGACTTTCCACGTCCGCATGGATCCAACATCTACAAAAGCCCAAGCCGCACGGGACGTCCACCTCGTCGTGACAGAATGTGTCAAGCCATCCGTCGTGAACAACACAGTCGGAACGATCGTGTGGATATCTGATTTCGAGGTTCCCGGCGCCATGGGCCCGTCACTGCTTACAGCTGAACGGGTCCATGAACTTACCGATGCGATTAGTGAGGGTGTTAGTGGGACTGAGGTGAGGAATTGGGAGGCACAGGTCGGGTGGTTGGTTTATATTGTTAAGGCGCTTTTTGGGACGAAGCTGCAGGTGAACTTTGAGCATTGGGTCAATGATTTGAAGGGGTTTGTTGAGGCTGGGAATTAAGTGCTGTTATCGCAAAAGGTGAGATTATGTGGGTTTTATTCGAGTGAGTTCGAGGTGCTGATTTGAAGAGCTGTTGAAGAGGCTGGGAAGTAAGGCCTCAAAAGTGACTATCTATTATCCGTACAAGACGCAGATGAATTTGATATTTAGGCTGTTCAGTTGGAGAGGGGTTTTCCCTAGGTGAAAGAGACTGGGTCTTCAAAATGTATTCTAGTGCTGTTTAGGGCGAAACTACAAATCTATTTTGATCCTTGCATTGGCGATTTGGTAGGTTGGAGTTAAGGCCTCGAAAGTAATATTATGCGACGTCGAGGTCGAAAAATACGCTGTTTTGTTTTGGTATTGGAGGCTGGGGTGTGGATTTGCTTACACTAACGCAAGACTAAAGTAGTATAAACAGTTCCAATATCAACTAAGTACTATTCAAGTAAGGGACTAAAGTTTATTGGCCAATTAATGCATTCTAAGGTAATTTCTAGGGCTATATTCAAGACAATTCTCTATCCGGGTATCTCATCTATATATGTAGTGACAGCGTAAAAAACATAGGGGAAAAAAAAGAGGGAAAAGAAAGAAAAGGAAAAATGTAAAATACTCCAAATATCCATGCAAAATATCGCAAACCATGCAAAGAATACCAATGGATAGGTAAGATAAGACCCGAAATAAAGGAAATATATGTCAAGAGTAAATGTCAATATATCAAGCGGCAAGAAGCCACTCCTTCGCATCAATCCTCTTCGCCGGATCTTTACAGACAGCCTGCCGAATTAATTTCTCTACAAATCCACCCCGAGGCACACGCACACCATTAGCGCCAGCACGCACGAACTCAATAATCTGATGTCCGTCGCGCGCCATGGCAAGACGTTGCATATTACTCGATCCGGGATAGAGAAGTAGATCACCAGTAGCTGCAGCAAGCAGTGTAGCAGCGAGAGAAAACACATCCGAAGCAGGGGTTGGCAGCTCCTCGCTGAGCGAAAGCAGTTCAGGCGCAGTGAAAGGTGGAGTTGAGGCAGCCATGGCTGAGCGGCTGGTATCCTGATCCGTTCCTTTGGAAGGAATTTCCATGGCGGAGGAAAAGTCGGCAAAGACTGGGTCGAATGGAAATGCGCCTGCGTCCATGGTGGCCTGGATTGGGCGAAGGAGGATGTTATGCGGCTTTATATCGCCGTGAATGATGCCGGCTGTGTGATGTAGCCAGGATAGGCCGCTAATCAACTTGCGCGCTAGATCTTTCCAGGACTCTGGGCCTAGGATTGGGTCGAACATCGTCGACGTTGTTACTTGGCGTTTGCGTATGAGGTCGGCTTCGTCTTCGATGTAGGTTGATAGGGGCCGCGGAACTGCAGCCATGACGAGGGCACCGGAGTCAGAGTGATACCCGAAGAATGGTACTACATATCGCTCGTGGCCCAGTGTCAGGTTCAGGTGCGTTAGGGTTATTGCCTCGGCCTGGAGAACTGCGCGCGCATCGCGGCGCGTGGGAACTTTGACGGCGAAAACGCTACTGGCTGCGACAGGCGAGCTGAGTGGTGAACTTGGTGGAGTTAATATTCTCGGGGCTGACACTGGCGTTGGCGCGGTTAAAGTGGCTTTTGCTTTGTAGACGGTACTCCATGCGCCGCGACCAAATTCGACAGGTTTTTCATTGTCGTAGCATATTTGCAAGTCGTCGGTGAAGTATAGCGGGACTTTCCGAGCGGTTTGTATTGAATTCTCTCCGGCAATGGGAGTCACCGGTGGAGTGAGACTCGTTTGCGAAGTGGGTGTTTGTGGGGAAATGGCTTTATCTTTGTGACCGGTGTCGATCGACAATGTAGAGATTGTGGCCATTGCGGTAAATCCACACGGGAAATATATAAATGTTGGAAAAGTCTTCCGTAAAGAGAGGCAGTAGAAGATCTTATATCAACGACGTCAATTGAATCCGCGTCAATACATACTATCCCAGGGTTATAGGGCAACAGATGACGTGTTGGCGCAAAACAGGCGAATGTTCTGGGACCGGAAATAAACGGGAAGTAATTGGTTATTTCATAGAGAATATCCGGTTTTGAGTAGTGATTTTATAGTCCATTTTATGAGAGAGAAAAAGTACGGATAGGGCTTGGGGCATGGGAGGCTTGTTAATAAAGGGAAAAAGCAAAGAGAAAAAAGCAAAAAAAAAAAAAAAAAAAAGCCTCCACACTAAAGGGGGTCGATCGACGGTCTCGAACTAAGTGGAAGAAAGAAATGATGGACGAAGATACGACGGTAGCAACCATGAAACCTATAGGGAATTCACTTAATAGATAAGCTGGTATTTAACTATACTGACTACAAAATAGTACAAATGATAGTACAAATGATAGTACAAATGATAGTACAAAGTAAGATTACTCTGGATCCACTGGTTATCTTAACGGCTGTAAGCTTCTTTTCTTGGTTCATTCCATATATTACACTACCAGGGTTCAAGATATGAATGTTGAGTAGAACCAATCATTTTCACTACTTTCACTACTTTCACTATTTTCACTATTTTGTCTATTTAATCTATTTCCCCCTTATTTACCTATTTCACACTCTTTTTACCGGGCTGTCCTACTGATTCTCCCGCTCGGAAAGCTGTCAGTGTACCACCAAGTAACCTCGTTAAGCGACGAGCCGAAATCTCATCTACTGCCCTTTTCTGGTACTCGATAATGATGTCCCAGAGTATCCCGACTGGAAGAAGCCTTATCCGAGTACCACTCAGGTCATAATCCAGGTTCTCTTGGAAGCTTGAATGCGGGTCCATTCCATCTGCAAGCGGTATTGGTCCACTACCAGTCTTGAGTCGCTTTGTTGCATACGAAGCTAGTCCCGGGATAGCACTGACTATATCATTGATACTGGTCTCGGGAAATATTGATACTAGAAAGTCTGTCACTGACATCTCACTTCGAGTGCCGAGGATCATGGTGTAGGCTTGGAAGAGTTCCAAGAGCTGTTCGCGCTTTTCAGCCGGAACCTGCTGTATCTTTTGGAATGCAATAGGCGTTGTGCCTGCTTCAAAGTATACCACTGCTCGATCTAAGTGTGGGTATATTTCATCTTGTGATGTATGTAGTGGTTCGAATGGTCGTCGGTCATATAATAGGCAGGAGTCGTCAAAGTTGTTCGACCGCACATCATTGCGGTCGTCATCAACCGTGTGGTCGTAGCAGCGATAGAGCCGATAGTGTAAATTGGCCATATATTCCGTCAAATCATTCTGGGATGCCGCCACTTCCTGGTCATATGCTTCTAATTGCTTGAGATCGACACTGGGGTCAGCGGCCGCCTGTGACAGACACCGAACTTTTCTCTCCAGATCAGCCTGCTTCTCGGAAATGGTGGCGCGGGTAAAGAAAAATAAATTATCCCGGTTCAGCTCAGCAAAGGCTCTATTCCACTTGAGGTATTTGGCCTTGTCAGTTGGTTTGGTCGCGTCGGATAATTCAGTCGCAGTTACAGGTCTGAGGATGTTTCTGGTATGTCCAGCTATGATTTTGTACAGCCTCTGAAGATATTCCGTTGCAAGTCGGGGTTGGTGGGCAATTGCCGCCCTGCCGGGTCGGGGGCTTTTGATAGCCATTTGATACGGAGGTTGTGTTCGCGAGGGAGGAGTGATTATGCCCTGCGCCTTCTCTCTCTCCGTCACCCGCTCAAAATTCCGCTTGATCAAATCAGTGGACTTATAAGCCACCCAAGATTCAATCTCTCTAGTTTTGGCAACCTCAAACATATGCGCTGCCACATTTTCTGTCACGATGGCTGGTCTCTTGCGCTCGACTATAGTACGAGGGACGATGCGTTCAGAGTCCGATAAGCTAATAGAAGCCATTATCCGCACACTGCCGTAACAGTGTAACCCTTTCTGGGCCAGGCAATTTTCCATCGTGACGCTCCACCACCGTGCCGGAGTGTAATGGTCCTTGACAGAGTAGGGCTCGGGAGGATTGGCTAACACAAGAAGCGTGTCATTTCGCGGTAGCTGACCATCTACTTGATCAGGCAACTTTTGTTCTGGTAAATGCTCAGCGAAGAGTTCGGCCCAATTTGTGATGAGATATGGATTCATAGATAGGAGCTTGTAGCATGGCTTGCTTTTGGCTAAGGGCCCGAGCAAGGGTTTGTACTCATTGTAGTCCTGCTCAATGAGTACGTGGCGGCGAGGTTGAAGGTATTCGTTGACTTTCGTGGAGAGAAGTCCACACCCTGGCCATAGATCGAGGATATCAAGAGGTTTGTTTCTGTGAAGGAAGGGAGATAGTCGATTGAGAATGTCATCTGTGTCGCAAGTCAGCGGATTGCGTCAATCGAAGCCAAGATGACATACCACATAGTTCTGGGCTAACAATGCCTGATTGAAGAGACTGTCTGTTCTTCATGTGTCCCCTGAACACTAGGTCGTGGATTTGACCGCTCAATGGGTAGCTCGGGGTTGGAGCGAACCGAAGCGTAGTCGAGACATTCCGCGAATAAGACATTTTTCAGGCATTCACAATTCCTGAGTATAGTAGGTTTGAAGAGCCATGCAAGCCGTGCCGAAGAGGCTAGGATTGGTGAGTAGATGACATGAGAAGTCGAGGAATAAGCAGTGAGAAGCTCCAATATTTTTTTGGGGGGTTTTGGAGTTTTGGGCGGAGACGTTGCGGCTTCCGGCGCCAGACAAATTGCCCCTCCATCTTTCAGGCACCTTCTTTCTTTCCTTCCCATCTTACGCATTCTGGACCTCTTACAACTTGTCGGAGATCGCGTAATTCAACTTGTTTCAGCCATGCGACTTGGGACTCTGTTGTGAGAGGCCCTTTCGTCTCCCGATTTGTTTACCCAAGCACCATTCTTTAGCTTATCATGGCATCTCACATTCCTGCACCCAGCTCTGGGGGTAGTGCCCCGCAGAGTGTGGAAAAGATTACCCGGATCGCTCAAGACTACGAGTACAACTCAGCGGTTCCCCTGCGTTATTGGCTTAGGACTGCTGCCACGCTTATTCGAGAGGTCAGCGAGATCGCCCCTTCAGCTCCAATATCTCGCCCAGTACTTACATCATGGTGATATATATGATAGGCACAAATCTACGAACGTGAAGGCCACGATGAACAAGCATATCTTCTCCTATTTCGACATGCCCAGCTGGTCCTGGTACACCTGTCAAAGCACCCGGACGCTACTAAAGATGAAAAAGTCCGACAGGCACTAGTTGTGGCGGAGAAAGAAGTTTCGAAGAACCTCGCCAAGTTGGAGATCCTCAAACCCCGCATAAACAAGCGATACGAGCGCTACACCCAGCTTATGCGCGAGCGCCAGTCGCGGAAGCTATCCTCTGAATCCCACGTACGCGCTGAATCCCGAGAGCGACCTGTTGATCCCGCCCTCTCAGGTGTTGCAGAACCTTTGGAAGCGGCGGAGAACCGAGATCTTGCTGTTCGTTTGGCGCAATCAGAGCTCACACGCCGAGCTACTGTTAGAGACGGTCGTCGATCTGCTGGAGTGTGGGGCAACTGGGAAACAGCATCAAAGACGGACCATCGACCAGGCGATCAAGATCTGAGTCAACGGATTCAAGATATCCGGGCCAACATCGATCACGCACAGCCCATTAGCCATCCTTCCAATGTCCGGCAACCCTTCTCTCACGAGACGTCTTATTCAATATCCTCCGCGTATAAATACCCGTCTGTGCCCCACCAGAAAGCATTGGACCCCTCCATCTCTCCAGAACATGTTCCCATTCGTGACTTGAACACAGAGCGGTACTCGCCTCCAATATTGCCACCGAAGGAACGAATTGCACCCAGCAGATCCCTGGACGGATCAGGACACTCGCTTCTACCACCTCGCCGTCCATCAAAGATCCCAGCAGCGCCTGCGCTGCCAGAGAAAGTAAGACCGTCTGACTCTCTGGACCCATCCAGTTACACCTTCAAACCCTCCGCCTACTTGGAAAATGGATCACCATTGCGATCCGTCTTCCTCCCTTCGACCCTTCGATCCCGGTTTCTGGACTTGGCAGCTTCCAACACGTCTCGCAATCTCGAGACATGTGGAATCCTTTGCGGTACCTTGGTCTCGAACGCCCTATTTATCTCTAGACTCTTGATTCCAGAGCAAATATCCACATCGGATACATGTGAGACGACTAACGAGTCTGCTATCTTCGACTACTGCGACTCTGAAGACTTGATCATGCTCGGATGGATCCACACACACCCTTCACAGACCTGTTTTATGAGCTCGCGTGACTTGCACACCCATTCCGGGTACCAGGTAATGCTCTCTGAGAGTATTGCCATTGTGTGTGCACCGAGCAAGGACCCCGACTGGGGCGTCTTTCGTCTCACCGACCCGCCTGGCCTGAAGACTGTACTCAACTGCAACAAGCCCGGCTTGTTCCATCCTCATGGCGAAGACAATATCTACACGGGTGCTCTTAAACCCGGACATGTCTTCGAAGTCAATGGACTTGAATATGAGACAGTTGATTTGCGTCCCAAGTGACAGAATTGATTACAACTTTGCATTTAAATGAATATGATACCCTTGAAACTCCAATTCTGTCGAAATTCAAGTGATCCAAGGTTGGCCAAAAGATCAGCCAGCAGCTTCCTGATATTGGATTAGCGTGTGATAGCTTCATGCATTAGAAGCTAACTTAGTCCAGAATAGATAAGATTAAAATAAAATAGTCAATATCAAATACCACTTCATGATATGAAGAGCGATACCGGACTGCCGCTTTCCCGATCCTTATCAGTGAATCTCCGAATCTCCTCATATCCTCAAACCCTCCCTAAATTCGTGTACTTTCCTGTAGATAAGCAATTAAAATGACTGGGGCTAACACAATCAACTTCAAACTTCAAACCCTCATCAACCAATATGAAGCAACACACCCTCTGTCAAAGAACCACTTCGAAAGAGCCCAGAAAGTGCTACCAGCCGGAAGTACACGATCAGTTCTTGTCTCCAGGCCCTTTCCCTTGATAGTCGAGTCTGCAGATGGAACCAGCTTCACGACTATTGACGGCGTAACATTTGAAGACTTTGTCTCTGACTATTCGGCTGCTATATACGGACATTCTCATCCTGTTATTAGGGATGCGGTCCAGAATGCTTTGGCGTCGGGGTTTAGCCTCGGTGGCATCACCCAGAAAGAAGCGCAATTGGCAGAGATCGTGACGGAGCGCATTCCTTCTATTGAGAAGGTTCGTTTCTGTAATTCAGGTACGGAGGCGAATACATTTGCGCTGGCTACTGCTATGGCATATACGAAACGGAAGAAGGTATGTAGTTCATGGCTAATAGCTATTGTTCAAAGCGATTATGGCTGATCAGCTTCTACCCAGATCCTAGTCTTTGAGAACGGATACCATGGAGGCACACTCAGTTTCGGCTCAAAGCATGAGACCAATCCAATGAACCTACCACACGACTTCATATTCGCAAAATACAATGACATCCCTACAACAAAGGCCTTGCTAAGCAATGACCTTGCCGCAATCCTAGTAGAACCAATGCAAGCAGCAGGCGGCATGCACCCTGCCTCCCGCGAGTTCCTAGCCTACCTCCGCGAAGTAGCTACAGCCACAGGCGCAGTACTGATATTCGACGAGGTCGTCACCTCTCGCCTCCACTACCACGGTTTGCAAGGCTATTGGGGCATAATACCAGATATGACAACACTAGGCAAGTACATCGGCGGCGGATTCCCATTCGGAGCCTTCGGCGGCTCATCGCAGATAATGGATCTATTTGATTCGCCAGATCCTTCTGTGGCGTTACATCATTCAGGCACGTTCAATAATAATATCTTTACCATGTCTGCGGCTGTTGCTGCGTCAAATCTCATTACCGAGGCTGAGCTGCAGAGGTTGAATCGGATGGGTGATCGGTTTAGGGAACAGGGGATTGAGTTGATTCGGGCGTCAGGGTTCCCGTCTATGGAATTGACTGGGTATGGTAGTGCTGTTGGGATTCACTTTAGTGGGCCGGATGCTGCGGTCTTGGGGGATTGTTTCTATTTCTTTCTTCTTGCTAAGAGAATTTCTGTCGGGAGACGTGGGTTTGTGTCGATGAATCTTATTCATACGGAGGCTTCTGTCGATCGCCTTCTTGGTGCTGTGAAGGGGTTTTTGGACGATATCACAGGGGTCACTGCTTGAATTATAGCAAAGACATGGATTTTACCTACACTCCAAAAAGTCACAAATTCATCTCCAAGCCTCGATAACATACGATGTGGGTCTAGCATCAGAAGCGATTACGAAGGCGAAGAACAAGAGAAAAGACGCGGCTCCATTGCTTGTTGGGTGTTTCTGTTCATCTATGTATGCCCACTTAGTTGACATCCAATGTGAAATTGGCCATACGGAAAGCAACATTACTTCTGATACGTTCTTCTATCATAGTTCTATGGCCAGTTCGAGCCTGTTCATCCATCATATTTCATTCTCCTGAATACGTGATATGGGATTGACAGACACACAAAGGAAAAAGAAATATAAATTAGGCCTAATCCTACAAGAATGCCACAGCGATTGGACATATGACTAAATGAGAGGGTCCGCTGCTAGAATAGATCAACTGCAACCATTCCGGTCAAGCTAACAGGTCTCTCGGAAAAGATCTAACATATGGAATCGATACAACTGTCAATTGCTGTGCCGGACTGATCCCGGCAATCCCTCTTGTCAGTTCTACTGGAATATGCCTCCAGAATCTGAAACTGGTATTCGCAACACCGATTTCGTTAATGTCTACCTAAGTGGTATTCACGTGGGTGCGAGGTGGGTGGCTTCAGCCTAGCCCTTTATCTATCAATATCTAAGTTTTAACCTTTGAAGTATCTGTAGCTAGAACAAGTCCAGCAATCGTTTCTGATTAGGCTTTGAATCGCCTGCTTATAAACTGGTCGAAGTCTTTGCTGCCAGGTCTACCGAGCTGCCTTCCTATTTCCGGGCTGTGTTTAACGGTACTCGAGCGGGATTATTGAGAAAGTCAAGATCGAGCCTGGGAAGTCAGCTAAGTTCTCATTCGATTTGGCTCGCCGCAATATATGCATATGGGGTGTTGGGGTGCAGAAGTCGGCACTACAGACTGGGAGCTACAACTTCTTGGGATCTTCCTCTGACACGTACCATGAAGATTGTTTCCAAGTAGGAAACTTCGTAAAAGCGTATTAAGGCAGCTGGGAAGAGGTGAATCGTCTCATGTTGGCGCCCTCCAGCACCATTTACAAATTCCTGGAGAGATTGAATTTCCAAGGTCCGCACTGGAGTACTGAGAACAGGAGTCTCAACTGCAATATTTACCCGAACTGCCTCCATCTAGGGTTGTATGATTAAGAGATCAATATCAATGTATTGACGATGTCATGAATATACGTAAGTACTCTTTATTTTGGATTATAGAATGGTAGATTAACTCGAGAACCTTGGAAGAATCATGGCATTGAAAATAATCAGAACTACCAACAAGGAACGAAAGCAATATGAAAAGGATGGAAAGAGAAAAAGTCATCAACAAAGGGGGTATGGGTAATATTACAGGAAATAAGAAGATAGAAACTGGGCAAGGTATTTCAGCACCAATGGGCGATAACTAAAACACTAGTAAGGCGAGTTTACGATATCGTTTCGTCCAAGATGGCTGCTGAACCTGCCAGCGCGAGCACGTATAGGGGTGATAGGTCCAGCGATGCTCTCACGAGTAGCCTTCTGGAAGCTGCGCTTAGCTACCATGTTGACCTCGTTAGGCAGAGCCACAATCACGTTCTTATCCGAACCAAAACGGAAGTCATCCGCCATGACATTCTCAGAGTACCGCTTGATTGTGTACGGATCCTTACGACCAGCAAGAATCTTCTTCAAGCTCCAGGTGACAATGAAGGGACCGGTTGAACTAACGACCGAGGTTTCTTCGGAATCAACGCCGGTGTTAAAGCGGGCAGTTGTAAATGCGAGAGGCTGTTTAGTCTCGTGTTGGAACTGAGCAACGTGTGCGGGCTGCAAGCCGAGACGACGAGGTTGAGGCTTCGAGTCCTTAGCAAAGGACTTCTCGAATCCGAGCTTGCCCTCATTCTTGCCATCCTTCTGCAAATTGTCGATCAAGAGCAGGTAAGTCCGGCAGGTTGCAAGCACCCAGCGACCATCGGCAGAAACATCCAAACCGATGATGGGTTCACCAAGAGCAGGGATATGGGTCTTAGCGTTGATTCCTAGGCGATCAAACATGCGGATATCGCCCTTGTTCGACGCAACGGCAATATAACCCTTCTCAGTTGTAGCAAGGGCCGAAAAATCGTTCTTGCTGACGTATTGCTTCAGATCGCTATCTACTAGCTTGTTGCCAGCAAGACGGGGATCGATACGGTACAGCGCATTCCTGGAAGCACCCACGAACGACTGAGCAGAGGTCATTTGGGAGAATTTCTAGGGAATTTGTTAGCCAGACCATTACACTAAGGAATATTTCGGTTAGGGTGAAACTCACGTTCTCAGGGGCGAAGGTATCGACAGTGATATCATCGTGAATTTTCCACTCATCAACAACCTTACCGTACTCCAAATCCATGCGATAGAGGGAGTTGGGATCGTCGGAGTTCTGAAGAATCATATTGCTGTCCTCGGCGTGCAGCATAACCTTCTTCGGGCTAAATAGCTTGCCACCGGGTGTCTCCACCTTTGAAATGGTGGTCGAAAACTCGAGATTGTTGTTATTTGTGTGCTTGAAAACACCAATTTTGGAACCGCGAACGACAAATGAACGGTCATGCTTGTAGCCCACTGCCAATTGAGAGTTCACGTTTCCATCTTGGTCGCGCGTGATAACATCTTCTTCTTCTTCATCGCTGTCGTAGTGTTCACTTCGCTGGCCGTCATCATGGTCACTTTCTTCCTCTTCCTCTTCTTCTTCAGCCTCCTCTTCAGGTTTTTCTTCTAGAGTAAGATCATTGAATGCATCGAGAACATATTCTCGGTCATTCTCCTTGACCTTGGCCCATTTCATCTCATTAAGCTGTTCCCATAGAGCCTGCATCAGACCTTCCTGGAATCGCTCTTCCGAAGGTTGATCTTTGAATCGAAGAAGCCACGAGTAAGCCGAGCCATCTTCAGCATAGTGGTTGAAGATAAAAGAAAGATATTCAAAGTTGAAGACGGGATTGATATCTGCCACTACGGCCTGTCCCAACCATTCCTTATCGCTGCCGCTAAGTTGCAACCAGTACTGCCAGTTACCTATTTCTGACACAGTTGCAGTCACAACCGACTCCTGCATCACGAATGTTCCAGTAGCAAAGTCGAACAGGTGCAGCTCAGCTGTCTCCTTTGCGAGAACCTCCGTCACCTCGGGTTGAGCAGCCGCGGCAGGGGCTGTTGTTGATTCATCTTCAGGTGCATTAGGCTTCAATTGGCCCTTAGACTGGGCATATTTCACGTCTTCCGCCATCAGAGTGGCCGTGTCTTCCGAAGTCAAAGAAGGTCCACGCGACTTAAGAGGGGAAGAAGAAACCGGGCTGGCAGGTGGGATGGGCTTCTCCTCCTTGAATGAAAACTCTTGTAGATCCTCGTCAGTCGCCTTCTGGGCACTGCTACGGAACTTGCGCTCGTACTGGCACTGCAGAGCAGCGAGCTCAAAAGTAGCAAGTTTTTCTGACGGAACTGAAGCGTCGCAAACAAACTCGAATAGATCACCTTCGTCGCCGCTCAGATCGTCCCAAGCGAGTATCTTGATTCCGCCTTCACGAACTTCGGAGCGGAAATGCAGACTTTGGTCTAGTAAAAACACCTTCTCATCCTTGTCCAGGTTATCCGCAGAACCTTGATCGTCCTCGTCAGCAAGCTCCTCCTCACCTTCTTCGTATGCTCTCTGAACTACCAGCTGGTATTGGAATTCTTGACCAGTACGACGGATAGTTGCTGCGGCGTCTTTAAAGATGAGCTCTGAATAGCCCTTTGGCGATAGGGGTCGGACTAGATACAGCTGGCCCTGGGAAATTTCAATGATAGACTCTTTAGAGGTGTCACCGAAGATGAATTTGCCCACTAAATTAATTTCAAATTAGGTATTAGCATATGTTGTTGGCAAAAATGGACAATGGAATGGAGGGGGTTTGGCGGGGTATCGTACCGTTACGGAGCATAAACATGGTTGCAAGGGGATCAACTACCAGAGAGAGAAGTAGAATCGATGATGGAAGTGGAGGGAAGAGGAGAAAGGAAGAACCTTGCGATAGTAAAGTGAAAGACAAATGAGATTATGGAGTACAAAATAACTTTAAGAACCCTGTGATTGAAGGGTTTGGCCACCGTGGGGTAAAAAAAAACAAAAGGGAAAGATAACGCATACAATCGCCTCCGTCATTTGTGGCGTTTTGTGGCTAATTAATTATATAATCACATGCGCCACCCATAACTACTATACTATGCCCAAGTACACCGAATGTCTACGAGATAGTAATTGAATGAGGTATAGTCTATGGTATTGAGACGGGATTAATGCTCATCCTCGTTGCCTTCTTCCTCTGCCGCGAGCTTTTCAATTTCCGCAATATCATCGGCTTCCTCTTCGATATTACCTTCATCGGCTTCTTCTTCTTCCTCTCCCTCTCCCTCTTCCGTTGACTGAGATCTCAGTTTGCCACCCTTTCTTGGGGGCATAACTTTCATGAAGGCTTCTCCCCAATCACCCAGCTCTAGCCAATTAAGCATGATATCAACCACATGGTTTGTAGTCATCACCGAGCGCGACGACATCTGGATGTAATCACCAATAGGAAGCCTAGCTGTTTTGATACCCTTTTCCACGGCTTTTTTGTAGCAGACAGCCTTGTATCGGTTTTTGTCCACTAATCCACCGATGATATAAGTATCGTATGGCTTCAACTCGGTCAGGACATTGTCACTGTCGCTGCTGAGGTAGATTACCTCACCATCCTCTGGTTTGGCATCTTTCATCCCAGCAAACGGGCCAACAAGCTGGCCTCCGCGTGGGGTGATCATGCGTTGCTTGGCTAGTTCAGCCGCATGAACAAAGTCCTCCTGAATGATCTCGATACCCTTCCAGTTCTTGTGTGGTGCAAGCACGGTGTCGAACCGTTCCTTGAGTAGCTTGTCAAAGGAGCTAAACATCAAGTTCGAGCGCCAGGGTGCGCGAGTGTTCTGTGAATACGACCGCGTCATCTGCGAGGCAAGTGAAACGCGCTCTTTGGGGTTCATCAAGTCATCATAGCTACAGTCGATGATAATCGCAAGAGGTAGCAGTGTCGATCGCATCTTTCTAGATCTTGTCGATTCCCAAGTCTTGCGCAACGCTTCCACAGCTTCTTCGCCGCCCTTTTCCCGTGCTTCATCTATCAATTTCCCACGTCGTTCACGCTTCTCTCCTATCCGTTCTTTGCGCCTTTCCTTGCGCAGTCCGCGTTGCTCTTCCCATTTCTCTCTCCGACGGAGCTTCTTCAGCTGGTTCTTGGACATTTTCGGTGCACCATCTTCAGTAGCCTCATTCGTAGCAGATGCAGGTTCAGTCGTTTTAATTTCTGTCTCCGTGCTGGGATGCTCTGATGGCTCGGGGTTCAAATCGGGGTGGGCAGCTGTGTCAGTCTGCACCGGTTCAGCGGAGGTCATTGTATTAACAGGGCCAGCTGCGTCTTGGATGGTACCCTGATCATGCCCAATCTTGGCTAGTTTCCTCGGTCTTTCCTCCGCCTCCATCGTTTCGGAGAAGGGACAATGGGATGGTGGATTGGAAGTGTTGTCTAAAAGAGTAAGTGGGCTGTCAAATGTGTAGATCCAGCACCGGATTTAAAAACCACAAGCCAATCACATCCGCCGTAGCCCTCATTACTGTACATAATCACGTGATACCAGTCTCCAACTTCTCCAGAAACATCCTCGAGGTTCAATTAAAGCCCAAACAGCCCTTACTCGCCACAATGCCTCAGGATATGCCCCCCGCTGGGGGCTACGCTCAAGTCCAGTACAAGGTAAATCTCAGCGCCGATTCCAAGCCGTTCGATGGCCCTTTCCGTCATCGCACAGCTCAAATCAGGGCCCCATCACTAAATATTATGTCTCTAGCGTAACCTCCCAGCCCGTGGCTTCAAGCCCGTTGTTTACATGATCGGTATGCACGCTATCATGGCATACGGCTTCTACAAATACTTCCACGGTGTCCGCGAGCAACGGTACGTGTCGCGCAGTCCTGCGAACTCCCTTCCTCCGATCATTCCGAAACACCGCAATTGAAAATCGGTCATGCGGCAACAGCCTGGAAATTTCGACCAGAGACTAATATCTTCATTTTTTGTGTAGTGAGCTTGCTCGTGAGAAGATGTGGTCTCGTTTGTATCTGGCCCCTCTCCTCCAGGCTGAGGAGGACCGTGATCAGGTCCGTCGGCACTACGCCGACAAGGCTCGCGAGAAGGAGCTTTTGGGTACTGAGAGCAAGGTCTACAATTCTGACCGGTATGTTACGACTAAATTTCACTGCTGCTCTTGACTTTTGTCGTTGCGGAATTGCTTACACTCTATAGCTTCATCCGCCCTACTTTCGTCTATACCCCGTCCAAGGTTACCCAATAAGCCATAAGTCGCGTTTAGCTTTTCATCGTCATCTGTCGCCTTTGGTTTCCTACTCATGGCTCAGTATGGTGTAGAGATGTTCAATATATCCCCAACTTGGAGGGATTGAAGTTTCGACTTGATGGGTGAGGTGGAATGTGATGGAAGAACCATGGCGACAAGAGGTGCCTTCTCCCGAATCTCTTCGGGAGAAACCTTGTAGATATATTATTTCAGAAGGGCTTAGTTTTCCATAAATTGTCTTTTTTTCGCGTTCACCGCTGCTCTCCACAGTTATTTGTCTAATGATAAAATAGATCTTCCAAGATTAAAATTACATATACTTTATGATTTTGCCATTTTAAAAGGTATAGAAGCCCGTCTATGAAGAACATATACTCAATACTACCGCCATGGTAATCCAGCTAAAATATATGAGTAGTACAAGAGGAACAGTAGAAAAATGTATCGATTAAGTGCGCCCAGAATGCAAGCTGAAACGCCTCGGTATCCTGTCATCAAAACAAGAGCAACATCCGAAGATGCCGACTGAAATGGCCTCAACTCAGCCGATTGTGGCGAGATTGAATTGAAATTTCAGCACAGCATATGATGCTGGACTAGCAACGTTATAATGAGTTATTCAGGGCATGAGGGTATCGATATCAAGAAAAGCCGATAATTCTTTTTCGTTGGGAAGGAGAAGGAAAAAAGACGATTCAAAATGAAATGGGAGTGGTAAGATGAGATCCTTCTCCTTTTTCGTCTTCGCATATGGCTGCGTACAATTGACCAGACTAGCCAAACATATCCGCAACGCCGGAAAGGTCAGGTCCATCATTGATATCAACCCGAGCCACCTCCTGTTGAGTCTCCATCTCGTTGACCATGTATCTCTGCTGGAGAACGCTGCGGGCTTTGCGACGATCAAGCGAGCCAAGAATCTTTCCTTGTTCGGCAATGCTTACACCTCGAAGAGAGTCCAAGAGCTCCAGTACCAAAGCACGCTGCTGTCGGGGACTGGTACATCCCTGAAGTTGCATCTCTGTTCGGATAACTTTCTCCTCTGTCATACCTGGCAGTGTAAGGAAGATAGAACGAGGCGTGAGACTGGCGGTGCAGTACAACCCCCAAATCGATGCAATAAGCTGTGCCAAGTCCTTCTGCATGTCGACAAAATACGGTTCATGCACGGAGGTGATGCACGCCTTCAGCACATCTGAACAAATGAACTCACGAATGGTCAAGATTGTGGGAGTATTCAAGGGAGGTGCAAACTCCGTTAGAATCGACCGAATAACGCGAGTAATGATACTGCAGCACCTGGTATCGCGCATACGAAGAGCGTGTGTGCAAAAGAGCATCAAGGGTTCGAAGATCTCCGGTGACGAGAGGACGAAGGTACGGAGAGAATCTGCAATATCGGGAGTTCCTGTAGTGAATAATTTCCGGCCAAGTTCTGCTTTGTCCGGATCTCCTCGTTGGGGGTCGAGCAAACTGGCCACCATAATTACGGCCGAGTAAGTTAATTGACGAAGGACACTCTCGGACTTCATTTCATCCGCCAGGTTATCATCGGCTAATCCATCCTTTCGCTGCTCGATGATCTCCCATTCAGCTGTAATCTTTCGGTCGAGACTTCTGAAGAGAGTGGAGAGCATGGGGGGAAGAAATTGTGGACGATACTCCGCCGGGCAGTCATCAATCAGGCAGCGGGAGACATTAAGCAGAACGGAATATTGGTGGGACGAAAGATGCTCAGCGTCTTTGAAAAGAGCCTCAGATAGAGGCCCCGGGAGCTCTGTGTATCCATAGAATTGATGACGCAGTCTGCTCATGCTGAACAGCATAGAATAGCCCGATTCGCGAACAGCTCTAACTTTACCACGGACAGAGGACGCAAATCCTTCCAGAGTGGCCTTGGAGGCGGTGATTTTGGCATAGAAATCCTCACGGCTGCCATTGGAGATACCAGCTTGCCAGAACCGATCAGTTAAGATGCGCTCAACCACGGCCCGCACTTCATTGCTGACAGCCCAATTAGTCGGGTTGTGGAAGGCGTGTGCATGGCTCACAAGTTGGAGGAGAGTCGGAAGAATCTTGGGAATCAGGTCATGCCACATATCACAGGCAACCGAATACGCTTCAGATGTGCGCTTCAACTTATCCGTAGAGACCGCTAACATGGTTTTGGTTCCACGGAGAGGAAGCATTTGGAATTTCCGAGTCATCTGCTCCTGGACAAGCTTCCCCTCATCATCCAGGGCAACCAAAGACCAATCTGAGATCAGATGTGCTTGCTTAGCTTGCATAAATGACCCAACGTTCTCTATTCCAAGCCCCACGCAGAATGCCTCGAGCGATGAGGACATATTACGGAACTGTTCGTCACCCCATGCAACTCGAATGGGCTCAAGGAAATAAGCCAGACGCTCTTGGCGTATAGTCGGGTCAACATTGTTTGCTCGTTGCATAATGATGAGAAGGATTGAAGTAAGCTCCATTTTGAGCTTGTCATCGACCTGATTCGCCATAGAAATCTCTTGAATCTTTGGCGCAAGCAGATCATAGAAAGTAGAGAAATAGTCGGCATACCGGATCGCAAGGCGCCGAAGTTCATGACTTGCCAGTCCATGTAACTCTTTCACTGCCTCGGAGTAGGCCGGGTAAATCTCAAGATCCGGAAGCCGGGTCATGAGAATATGCTCCAGCACCTTGAGGGCGTAGGCCGAATGATTGCTTAAAGCTCGGGTAGAGATATCAACCACCAGCTTGATGACTCGCTGTTTCAAGACCGGATCTTCAAATGGTCTTTGCATCAAACTAGTCGCCCAACTTTCCACAGCAAATTCCAAGCTGCCTCGTTCCTGTTCCACTTCTTGCGGGGCCTTTCCATGGGTGTCGACCCATTTAGAGTAGCCCTTGATTACAGCCTCGACCACCGCAAACTGAGCGTCTGCCCGCAAAAGAGGAACAGAAGATTTGCTGAAAGTTTGCATGTTGTAGGGTGGGAGTCCATTATATAAATTATCCAAGTTGCTGTCCACTTGGGCAAGGATCTCGTTAATCGCCTCTTGGGGTCGCTTCAATGTAATGGTCTCGATGATTGACGAACAGTAACGGCGATAATTACCGACAAATGCATGACGCTCCGGGGTCGTGTCGATATCTTCGAGAAGAAACTGCACTGTAGGGTCATCTGAACTGGGAGAAAGTGACTCCCACTGTATCAACCGTTGAGTACAGATGTTCAAGAACCTTGGGGTCTGGGAAACCACAAAATCTGAGCTACCAATCTGTTTATGAGTCAATAGTTTAGACCATAAGTGCAAAACAGGTATGGACACTGTCAAGCTCTGGTGTTGCATGATCACAATCATAAAGTTGAAGAAAGGCGGGAGGTCTAAGCTGGTCAAGCTAGCGCGGGTGAATAGTTCAATTTCCAAGCAACCGGCAACGTAAGATATCATCTAAACAAGTAAGCTAGTATTCTTTTGAGAAGTTCGGATCACATGTACCTCAGAGAGTTTCTTTGAAATCAGATACTTAGGTTCATCGGCATCTTCTGGACCCACGATCGACCATTCATACAGGTTCTGCAGGGTGGTGAGATAATCCGGTTCAAAGATTAGGCAGATCAGTCCATGAGTATCTGGACAGCCCATATCGTTCCTTCCATAAAGTTGATGCAATGCCTCGATTGCAGCCTAGTAAGGGAAAAAAGTAGTCAGCATTGAATGACCAATACGGAAAACATCAAACGAGGGATCTTACCAGGAGCACCTGCTCATCCCTGCAGGTTAAAGACCTGAAAATGCTGGAGACGACCTGCGAAGCAGAAACGGCGTTGTAAACACACCAAGATAGGGCGGATCTCAGGGTTTTGAGAGCTTTGACAGCTGCATCTCGGGCTTCCTCAGAAGTCGAAATGTTCTGAATGCAGCTGTTCAAGAACTCACAGATGCGAACTAGCCATCCCTCTTGGCCATATCGATATATCACATTTCCACTCTTTGAGGTGATGATCTGATCGAGAACAGCGGATGGAGTAAAGATTTGAACGAGTGCCTTTTTAAGTTCCGGGCCACGAATGGGATCGTCCCGCCAAAACACGTCCTCTGAGAGAGTTTCCAAAACGGCTAGAACGAGCTCATTGTGCACGAAGGACGTACCCCAGAACTTCAGCAGTGTTTCGTCCATATCCATCCACTCCATGCCCCATGTCTTCTTGGCAGCTTCACACCAGAGCTGAGGGATTTTATTACGAAAATAAGCAGGGTCTTCGGCTCGAGCATTCTCTGCAAGCTGCAAGACCATCGAACGTAGATTTGTAGCTTCTTCGGGGTTATCAAACGAAAGACGACGCAAAGCATGGTCTAATAAGCTCAATCCAAAATATCGTACAACATATGCATGATCCGCGCGGGATGCCAGCAGGAAGCCATTGCGGGCAGCTGCATCGCTCTCTTTCAAAGATTCAACGAATTGTGTCGCCTCTTTCCGAAGATCATTTGAAGATGTAGTGCTATGGATAGCTTCAAGTGCGCGAATGATATCAGCTACGCCGTTCTCCGACAGTTCCTCGGCAGCCATTTCGTTGGCTCACCTCAAAGGGCCGTAAAAAAGGATGAAGGGAGTTGTGATGCGAAGCGAGTTCGAGTGGTATTGTTTTGGCGTCGGACGCACACTGAAGTTTAGTTCCGCTGGTGTAGACGAAGACGTGCGTGCACATTAAGGGTAGGGGTTATCTGTGAAGATTGTTATGGCCGTTGATGCTGTCCGTGGGGTGATTAGTCGGACACGGCAGCAACGGCCTCTCAAGAAATTCAATTGTTTCCGCGGAACAGACAAGAAGGACCAGATAGGCTATGCGCGTGATTGTGAGGGATTTGAGGTATTGTTCGTGTGGGAGGAGCTACGAGCAAAAGAGAATATGAGGTGGGAAAGTTGGAGAAAGAAAGTTAGGAAACGTCGGACTAAGATGGTTTTTCCAGGACCGCGACATGATCACTGATAGCCACACCGCCACCTTTTCTTTATCACTCACATACTCCTCACATCTAGATAGATCTCATAGCTAGTCTTACAACATTGTTATATCTTTTATTGTTTATTGTTTATTGTTTTGCTCACTGCCCCTCAATCGTCAGCGGTTGTTTATCTTATCTCACTCAACCCTCTTTCTTAGTACATTTCTAGCGCAATCTTGATCTATAAGTGTTTTATACTGAATCCTCGCAGTCTCTGCAGAAAGCCCAGCAGTGGACACGACCGAGTCTCATAGCGACGATAGCGTTAGTCGGCTGATATATTATATTTTCACATGGCATTCATCCATAACTCTTACCTTCGCGCAAGCCATCGATGGCTTCTCTTCATGGAAACGATGTTTCTGATATTGACAACCATCACTAGGCGAAATCAGATCTACAGGCCGATGGATTCATTATCCCCCGAGTCCCGTTAAGACCGCCTATCATGAGCGATGAATTTCTGGAGTTGAACAAGTTTCTTGTGATGTGGACTATACCCTAACGATATGCGTGGAGTTAAGCATATGCAATCAACCTTGGCAAGTCTCTTCTTCGTACGGAAGAAGAAACCAACATGCATTGACGCCATTGATAGCACTAGTAATGAGGGCTGGGTTATATTATCACCAGCTTTATGGTCTTCATTGGTCGGCCTCGAATTCCTGGTTTGGTAGGAAAATAAACCTGAACAGGTTGAGTGATGGACATTTGCACAGGCCTAGAGAGGAAGAGAGGAAGAGAAATCTAAGGAAATAAGGTGTAGGAAATTGATAAGCAAAACATTAGAAGTGAGAGTCCAAGTGAAAGCGAGCAAGTAACCTGGGAAAAGTAACAAAAAGTGAGCGAGAGCTAGTAAGAAAGCCTATGAAACAGGACTGCATAGAGCAACCCACCAGGAGTAAATCTTGTGGATTTTCCTACTGCTTTCTGTACAAAGATATTTTTTTTATAAAAAAACTTCAACGGATTGAGATTTCTAGTTTTCTCTTCACTACGTATTCCACCCAAGACAGGGCTGCAATGGGTGGGTGCGAATAGTCTACACGAAGTAATCCGTACAACTCACACAACCAACAACATCGACCCGCTGAACTCCAACCAGACAATAGAGTGTGAAACATAGTAGAAAGCACACGACTGCAGATTGGGAGAACAACAAGAGGGAAAGGCAATTAACCGCTGTACCCAACGGCCTCCAGGTCCTTGCGGACTGCATCCTCAGTCTGAATCTTCTTCATCTGAGTATCTTCAAGCTTCTCACCGCCAGCAAGACGCATCTTAAGCTCGTCTATGGCGCGAATCTTCTTCAGCAGACCACGGACCTTCTTATCCTGGGCTGACTGGTCGACAGGGGCGACAGGGGCGGGGGGAGGGGATGGGGGAGAAGTAGGGGCAACCTGCTTGGGAGCAGCACCGTTTCCATTCACGGCTCCGCCGTTGTTCTTGCCACGAGAACGGTTGCGATCAGGGCTAGGACCAGTGGGAGCGTTCGGGGGCGGCTGGTTATCGGTGCCGTCTTCACGTGCCTTCTTGGCCTCGCGCTTTTTTTGTTCTTAGCGGCGGACTTTGACAGCTTCTCGTTGTCAGCACCAGGGGGCAGGGCGACACCTCCGCCAGGAGCTGCGCCAGGCGGCAGGTACTCCTCAACAGGTTCGGCACCAGGAACCTCACGACGGCGGGGCTTTCCGAAGCCGTTCATGCCAGCGCCGGGGGCGCCATCGCGAACATAGGCGGCACCGCCTTGGTCTTCGCGCTTGAAGGCAAGGGGAGTCAACTGCCCGCGAGCACCAGGAGGGCGGTAAGCGCCAGCAGGCTTGACAGGTGCCTTCTTTGTACTCAGGTACGCAGTGGCTGAGGCGTGGGGAACGGGCAGCTTGGTGAATGGATCACCCAGGGGGTGCTGGTTGATGCCCTGGGGCCGCCAGGTAACATCGTACAACTCGGTCATTTCCTCGCTGTAGATAAGGCCACCGGCAACGTGCCAGATCCGGATGCCGTTGTCAACACGCAGACGTGGGCTAGTGGTAGCGGTCAGAATGTACTGTCCATCTGGCGACCAGTTGCAGAGACTGGCGTTGGATGCCTCGACGGTGGCAATCTTGTGGAAGTTTCTTTCCATATCGTAGATATCCATCTGGCCTGCCAGGTTACCGAAACCGGCAACCAGAACGAAGCGGCCGTGAGGGGAGAACAGAATAGTGTTCCGAGGGCTCAGAGGGAAGTTGTGAGTAGGGACACCACGTGCGTTAAAAATAGTCGTCTTGGCTGGCATGTAACCGTAAACAACACCGAACTCCTTGGAGTTAGGGTTCCAGGTCACATCGTGAATGGGTCCTTCCTTATCTGCTGGGACGTTAGACTCTAGCAAAAGATTTACTTATATTGAGAACACATACCAAGATCGATGCGGGAATCAAAAGCACCACTGGAACTGAGCAAGTACAGCGTGGTCTCGCCGTAGTAACTCTTACCAGAGCGGTCAACCTCAGTCTGCGCAAGCACAATCACAGTGGTTCCAGAGGAGTTCCACTTGAGTTGGACCTTGTCGCCTTTGAAGAAGTTCTTCTGAGAGACTGGGGAACTGAACTGTGGCACAATGAACACCTTCACTTGAGCGGGTTGGCCCTGTTGTAATAAGAATTAGTTGAGTCTTCAAAAATTCATATCACGTCAGATCTCACCTTGCGCTCCGGAACAAACACCGCAATCGAATGGGTCTGTCCAGGCGAAAGAGCAAAGTCTGTCACTCCCTCCACACGTAGCTTGTTCCAGACAGTTGACAGGTTGTCGCTCTGGTAGAACTGGACCTCATTGGTCACAACACGGGCGCAAAGCTTCTCGTCAGGAGTGTATTGCAGGTTCCAGCCTGTCTGCGACTTCTGGACGAACTGACCCACGATCGAGTGCTCATCTCCACTCTCAATAGCACGCCAAACCTTAAGGTTCTTTGTAGCATCGCCATTAGCGTCCTTGGTAGCCCGTTGCCAGGTGATCACATAGGTACCAAGCGGGGAAAAGCCCAGCTCGAATACGTTCTCAGCGTCGATAGTAGCGATGACATTACCGACTGAGGGATCAATAATCGTGACTCTATGGAGAGACAATTAGTCACAATGTAAGAGAGATGACAGAATAGGAGCACAAGTTGACCTACCTTTCAGGAGATGCCCATGCGAAGTAACGGCCACATGGAGAGTAAGCGCTGCAGCGAAGATTCCCCTCAGGTCTGCAAGATGTATGTATTGGTAAGATTAATTTAAACAACAAGGATCTACACAATCAATCCTACCTGACAAAGCCCGACAGAGGCTCATAAACAGGGGCGGCATCCATGATGCCAATCCCTTTGAGAGTTCGGTCTGAAAACAAGGTTAGCGAAAAGCCACTTGAGTCAACGCGATCTACCAGTGATTCCTGATCTACCAAGGAATCACCGTGGAAAGGAGAACTCACAAGCGAGCTGTGTAGAGGCCGCCATTTTGAGTTTAGAATGCTTGTAAAGGTCACGAGAGGTATTCTTCAGTCTGATCTGTTTCTCAATGGAAGCAGAATACGTCAGAATATTCTGTTCTTCGGTCCTGCTTTGCAGACGACGAAAAACAAAACAAAGCCGGGGTAAAAGATTATGTATCCAATGGTATTCGTCGCAACGAGACTGCGCGTCTAAAAGAGGCGAAAGTCGAGGCGAAGGTGAGACTGGCGGGAAAAAAACCGAGTGGTCTATCAAATAACTCGTCGGAAGGCGAGATTTAAAAAGACTTCGATCAAGTGTTCGCGGTGTGGATCAGTTCAGGGCGTGGCAGATGGGTTTGCCGAGTTCTTGTTGTGCTTGGGTCGAAACGAGGCAAATCAAAACGGGCAAAACTCAATTGAGTCACGGAGGAAAAGTGAGATAGCGTCGGGTTCTTCGATCTTGAATGCTAGACAAGTCAATGCCAGCAGGAGGGGCAGACGAGGAGGGGGGGGAGGTGGTGGGAGCGGGGAGGATGTAGAGTGAAAGAGAAAACTCGGCCGCGTTGCGCTGCGGCTTCTGCTTAGAGACGGCATGCCGTCATTGGGCCTAATAGTCTCCCGAAGGACTATACGCCACTCATCTCGGTGGTTTAACGGTATTTGATGTTCTATACTCTAATCTCAGGGTTCACATAGACTAATCAATTGGATAAAATTCTGTCACATAATTCTTAATCCGAGTAAAACTCAAAAACAAAACACCACCCAAAACCATATTCTACTCAAAAGAAAACAAAACATGTTAGAAGAAATGTGTTTTATCCCATGAACGTTATTTCATATCATCGATCGTGAATTTTCCAGGCTCTGCCTCGCATAAAAATACAGGGAACGCGTCCATCAAGTAAGGAAATAAGAAGAAAAGCATAGAAAAGAAAGGGAATTCTTAGACCCGTAGACCCATGTTAAAAGACCAAAATTCAACGCCATCCCAATTGTCTTATCGTACCTATTTGCTAGGCTTGCCATCGGATACCCATCTACTTACGGGTCTTGTCCTCAGACCCACTGCTAGGAGACATAACCAGTCGAGGAGTACGAACAGTCGTATCCACAGTATCCGAATCGAAGGTCATACCGTTGACGTAACGTGGATCCTCAGTCATAGGCTCAGGGGTAGCAGAGCCAGCCGGCGAATGCGCCATAACATGGCTGTCATCTGCCTGCTCCTGTTGCTGCTGCTGAATGTATGAAGCGAGAGGGTTGGCGCGACCGACGTTGGAGCTCATGGAGGTAGGACGACCGCCAAAGCCACCGGATGGAACATAGTTCATACCGGATGGACGGGCAGATGTTGGGCCACTGATGGTACTGTTGGCACCCTCGCCAAAGCCGACCAAGCTAGCATTGCCCTCGTCGCTAACGTTGCTGACGCTGTCGTCCTCGCTCATCTTATCGGCATCAAAAGCATCGCTCCAGGTTGTGTTGCCGCCGTAGCTGCCGGTAGCACTAGCACTGCCAACTGTGCTGCGCTCCTTTAGCTGGGCATTGCTATCGAAGTAGCCTGGTGCGTGCGAGGCGGCGTAGGCGGCGTTGGAGGATGTCTGGCCACCCGATCGCGCAGTAGCGACACGCTCGAGACCGGCCAGGCGGGAGATGCGATCCGCGCGCTCAGCCTCCAAGGTATTAGTCGAAGAGATAGAAGCGGATGAGGTGTGGTGTGCGTGGTGGCGACCATGAGGCCATGCCTGTCCCTGATGACCGTCTTTAATGGCAGTCGTAGATAGGGCGGAGAGGGAAGTAGTGCCTGAATTGGGAGTTCCCCTGCACATGCAGAGAGTGTTAGTCAACCTTTTAGTCCCGGCAGCAGTCAACAAATGGAGTCTAGGCTGAGTGCTTACGGTCCCAGTTCCGATGGAGTAACAGGGTCCGAGGGAGGAGGAGGCAGGTTGATAAAGGTGGGAGTATGGGTAGTCATTTTCAGAATTTGAAGAAATGTAAGAAACTTGGAGAAGGAAAGAGCAGAAGTGAAGTGAGAAGTAATGCGGGGATAAACGGTTCATCGCGGGATATCGAAGCGATCATTTTACTTTGTATTTTGGTATCAAAGCGACGTCATATTCCCACTACATACATCGGGCTAAAATCCCTTTATTTCTTCACTTTTTCAATTCACTCGTTGATTGACTATATTACTTAGGTACCTCTCTGTGTTCACTTTGATATACTATTAAATCTTGATGATTGGAAGACTGTACTCCGCCAGTACTCCATAATTGGGCATTTAATGTTTCATGTCATACCTGTCCTGCCTTATGGGGAATCGGGATAGGAGCCTGAACTATGTTATTCCCATTGATAATGTTGTATAATATTGTACTGTACGCTATAAAATTGATTCGGCCTTTCTCTCCGACGTCCTTTTCAGTCTGATCTTCTCCAATATTGCCCTCTGAGCACTCTTTATCTTATGCCTTGATTCCACACATCAATGCAGACCAAGCATTGACCTGCTCAGCACTGTGACAGCCTTTCTGGATGGTGTAATCATAGCCTATAAGAACTCTATCCGAGCAATCCGCTTTCTTGAATACATTACAGTGAGCTTGGCTCAAATAAAACGAACCTGGAGAGTTCAGCGAGCTGGCATCGCAATATGTAGACTCGGTTCCATCCTTAGTCCACCATGTACACGAAACATCGTCGCCCGCGTTAGGGCTCAAACCTCCATGTAGGTTGAGGCATTTGCTTTCGTCAATGTGATTGTTACGTCCCTCGACGAAATAGAAATCTCCAGTACAGTCCGTTGAGTCAAAGATGCGGATCATCCAGGAGTCAGAGATCGAGGACAGAGAGAATGTTGGCTTGGGAGCACTTGCTGTTGTAATTGCTGCTACCTTTGTTGCCTTGGTCAAGGTAGTCGCTCGTTTCGTAGCTGTAGTGGTTGCAGTTGGCTGGATGCATTTTCCTGACGAGCACTTTGTATCCTGAGTCAGTCAAGTGAACGGTATCCAACGGGTTGTATCCGAAGTCAACTTACCGTTTTACCTAATGCACATGGAAACATGGAGCTAACATCACCCCAATTGCTCGGTCGTATTGCCTGTGGCACTTGAGGACCACATGTTGCCTGAGGAAGAGCGACGGGCATCATGGGCTCTCCAGGGCTCAAGCAAATGAAATCACCCTGAACAAGATTATCACATCCAGCCCAGCCGTAGGACTTGTCATTGTATTGCTGGATTTCGTCCACGGTAATACCATATACGTCGGCAATCCGCTGACAGGTATCACCAGTCCCTTCAATGGTGTATTTGTAGCAGATGCCGTTGTTTTCAACCTTAGGTGGGAAATGTGGCATTGGACCCCATGAGCAGCAGACAGGTTTGCTGGGGGTGAAGATAGTGTCTGGGTTAAATTCCATGAACTGATCTACTGTAATACCAGGACTACACCTGGCTGCTAACGATTGCTCGGAGTCGCCGTAATCAACGAGAATCGTGGAGCAGGGGTCACGATGGAGTATCAAGCTCTTGAAGAGGTTAGTGAGTTTTGGATCTAAAGTAGGTAGGAGTATGAAGACAAACCATTAAAGTGGCAAGCCCGGATGATGCTGTTGCCGCCGGGAGTACCAACAGACTGGTCAAGGTCAGAATGGTGTAGATTTTGAGATCCATCTTACCTTATCCTTGGGCAGTTTTCCAAGGCTCGCAAAGTAGTGTCTCTCGGCCCTTCTTATGCATTTTCAGCGGTGTCTACCGACGAGATTTCCATACTACGAGACAATGTCAAAGGTACACATTCACTGTACCAAGAAATTGAGGAACAATGTTAAGCTAATATGGAGACAATATCATTGCCTTAGATCGACTATCTGAAACTCGAAATGTGTGTTTTGGGAGGTTTATTGACTTATAATAGCCAGGGACAAAGGCTGATACTGCACCTGAACAGTCAGATCCCCGAAATTCCCTTTGTCTAGTATGACAGGGGATATGCAATTTGCTGCATTTGGTATAGACCTGAGCAGTCAACCCTTAGAATTTCCTCGGGTGGTTTTGTAGCTGGATCTCTATTTTTACTAACCTTTGCCAATGTCACCTAGGTATACTGCCTTAAAACTCTTCCTGCTGGTCTCTCTAAGGAGACGAGTAGATTGTTAATAGAGCATGGGGTGCAGCTGGAGGTTTGCTCAGTCACATCATATGGGGCCTCAAGTGTGTCGAAAGCAAGTAAAAATCAGAAAATCATAATCCAGGCTAGAGGCTCCATAAAACTCCCTTTCAATTTGTGTAAACCCAGAGAGTAAAGTGGTGAAAATGGGTTGCACTTGGCTACATACGGAAACAATTTGCGTTCATTCATACAAGTCATCTCAAACATTGAAAGAACTGGCCCACAGAAGCAGAAGAAAAAAGCCTCTTATTCACTGAGCTTGCGGTTCTCATAGTGACCGCGAAGATCATCCACCTCTTTCTGTAACCTGGAAAGATCCGCCAATATATCATTTGCATTAGACGCCTTGGACAAGGGCGAGGGCATCTCTGCACTTACACCTGCGCCTGCGCCCTTCTGGGGTACGGAATCGCCATCACCGCCATTACGGGAATTGGAATCCCGAGCCCGACGGGGTGGTGGTGGAGGTGGTGGCGGTGCCCCAGACGAGCCATTCAATAAACTTCCGTGAGAAGAAGTCCGCCGCGTGTGGACTGGTTTTCTTATAATTGGAGGAGAGATTGTGTCTACATAGCTTGCTGGTGACGATGTGACCGTATCACCCAGCGAGAGCGGGGGCAGACTGAGATGTTTGTGCTTTTGAGAATAGGTAGATCCGACAGACCTGGTCGATAGTCCTGGACTCGGGGGTTGAGAGCTATAATTGCTTTCTGAGTCTTGCGAGGCATATGGTAATCGAGTGACGCTCGATTTGGATTGTGTGGACTTTGATCGATGCATCTGACTATATCTTCTGCTGAGAGGTGGTGTTGGGGGCCGCTTATGTTGGGATCGACTGCGAGAGAGAGACTCGGTCGAGTCTAATGCGGGATTCTCTGTAGAGACTGAGAAATAATCTGCCTGGGAGCTTGTATATGCGGTGTTTGGTGTTCGCGAAGTCAGGATCTCTGGAGATGATGCATGGAATGAAAGACGGCTAGAAGAAGGACGGGAAGGAGGATCTATATTTCCTGCGACACTGATGGGTTTACCATGATGACTCCGGGGCGGTGGTGGTGGTTTCTTGTCTTTAATTGAACGACCTGATGGGCTGGTGCCTTTTGTAGACTCTGATGATATTTGTCGAGGTTTCGACGAGTGGATATTTTCTCTTATGCTGGGTGGTCTCGCAATCGATGGCCTTTGTTCGATTTGTACAGTTGAAGCCGTTGACGGTGTGGACGATCCCTCCATGGATGGAGCTGGTGGAGCGGCCAAAGCACGTCGCGGGAGACCATCAAGGGAATCCGAACTCCTAGGGCTTATCATATTATCCAAGTCCTCATTGCCAGCTGAATCGGGATTGAAAGGGTTCGTCGTCTGTTCATCTGACGATGTCGAGTCTTCCGACTCGATCTCCAGTGATAACGCGGCTTTTCTGGGGTAGGAAATTGGCTGAATGGGTTTGGTGAACAAGTCCGGCACATCTACAGTTTGGGGAGCAGAGACAGTAGCTGTGGCAGAGCTGCCTGTTTGATATACATCCATTAGCATTTACTATACCACAGTGAAGCTCTAGATGGCCCGTTGTGTCATCGGATGATGGCGGTAATTGTTTCAAAACGTATGTCTTCTGAGATTCGAGACTTGGAGGAAAGACTCACCATCCAGGGATTTAGCACGGAAGGGATTGAAACTGGACATCTTGATACATCTGTGTAATCAAGGAGTTCTCTCAGAGAGAGGAATGGATGAGGGGAAGAAAGATCCCCGCCTTTCTTATCCATCACTTTCTCCTACGCGCCGCTTTCCGATCAATGAAGTCCGGAAGCTCCGAGCTCTACAACGATGTTAAACTTCGATCTGAGATACAATCTTTGGCTAATTGCTAATAAATAAAAATAGGCTATATAATACAGTGCTCATAAACTACGCAAAGGCGTAAACAGCGTTCGACCAGATCCCCCAATCGTGCCCATATTTGAATAAAACGCAGCTGCATATAAAATGCAATATAAAGGCGTAGTTCGCAATCTCATCCTGTATCACTGCTCGTTATAGACGTGCCATGTCTTTTCGTCTGCGAAAAACTTGTTCGCCAGCCGGTTTCCACTTTCTGTGGGTTGGCTGAATGCGATCTGGTCCTTTGGGATCTCCATGCCGTAAATGAAATTGATCACCACACAATCGAGGAGATCAAGTGCAATTCCCTTCCGGCGAGAAGTTCCGGATGTCCAGATGCGCGACACTCCCACCACAGCTGGCTGTATCTCGTCCTTCACGGTGACTGATGAGCTGTTGGTTGCGCCATTCTGTTCTGCCTGTGCGACCGGTCGTGATTCCCAGATGCGCTCGGTCAAGCAGAGCCCAACACACCGACTGTCTTTCATGTGTAGGAACACCCGGTATCGATCTACTTTCTCCTCCGCGGTATCCTGCTGAAGGTGCTTGGGTGGTTCTACCTGGCTCCATAGCACCTCATCCGGGATTTCCGGTGACGACAACTCTTTATTAACCACTTCAAGAACTCGCTTGGCCTGACTCTTTGCGCTGGGAGATGCCTTGCGATCTACAATGACCACGTATCCTTCATCAAATCGCGTCGCCTCGTAAACCCAGCGTGAGGCATTAGCACGCATAAAAGCTTTTCCCAAGTCAACCCCAGTTGAGTTCATTTCGTGGAACTTCTTATGTAAGGCCGCATCCTCTGTGTTCGATGGAATATATTCCATGCCACAGGTCGCGCATGTCTTGCGGACCTCAGTACCTAAGTCAATTTGCATCTGGCGCAATGTAGTCTGCTTTTGTAACTTCTTAGGTGGATCTGCGGAGGAGCGCAAGCTATTGGAGTTGACCTCGGCTAGGGGTGACCCGGCGGAGATGTCCTTGAGTTTGCGCTTCTTAATGAAGCTGAAGGTTGGTTTTCGTGCGTTGACAGGTGGGGGAGTTAATCGAGGAGGTGGTGACGAGGGTGGAGTAGTGAGACTGTCAAGGTCATCGTCCAATGTAGTTTCGGACAACACGACCGAGTTGCGACGCGACGGGCTTGATAGAACGACGGAAGACGACTCGCGAATTGCATACTGTAGATTGTTCTCTGCCTCATCAGACTCGTCCTGGACGCGTCTTTTCTTTGCGACCCGCTCGTCATCGTAGACGCGCCATGTTGGTCGTCCGTATGTCTTCATGCCTAGGCCGCTGCTTGAGGGGTCAGTAAGGGCGCGCATCAGATAAAGAAGGGGTTGATATACCGCTTGTATGAATTGGTCACTGTCCACGGCATATCCCCTGGAAGCTTAGGGTAGCGGGGGAGGAGGTTTGTTGTGTCGAACACGGGGGGAATTGCAATTTACATAGGCGGATCGACTGGTTCCACAGCACGCGTAGGTGGCGCTAACTTGTTTAGGTCATATTGTTCGAATAGTCAGAAGTAACGAAACTTACTTTATCCCTTGGAGATGAGGTTGGTTTCTTTTTCAGAAATGAATATATGTAGCACTCAGATGGTTAGAGATGGCAGGGAAGCCTGAGGAGGGGATGAGAAATGATGATATGATGATCAACAGGAGGTTGGGTTAATAAACAGAATCCAAGAGTCGCCACCAAAAGCACTCTAGGTTACGCTGTTTGGTCGCCTTTCCTTATTGAAGATTCCTAAGCTCCTGGAGTGCTGATTATCTGGTATTCCCTGCCTTTTATGACTTTGTGGGACAGAAACTCGTTCCAGGCTGCATTCTTTTTTATTTCCTCTTCTAGATAATTCCAACGCACCAGTCAATCAGCTAATTTCATCACCTCTTCTCTTGGCCAATCGCAGTACATATCAATAGGTTGCCCAGTTGAGCTTTTCACCCCCAATTACAAGTTAGGCCCCGGCTGACGACTCTCTGGGGCTATAACTCTTCGCTCTCAGCTCTTGGCTCTAAGCTGCCAGCCTCTCTCAGCCTTGTACTATGATGGATCTACTCCGTTAGCCCCTTCAGAGTTCAAGCTCTATATGCATCGAGTAAGGAAGCAGGCAGCAAGCATGAAACTTTTCATCATCTCAGACCGCCCTCCCTTCGCTGAGATCCCCACTACCAATGCAGTTATTTCCACAGAGTCGGGCGCGCCTTCGTTTTGTGCTGACTGAATGTCTTGTTGCAGCAACAGATCTGACTAACTGATTGGCGAAGCATTACGAGCGGCTACAAAGCCCTTTATCGCGTCCACTTGCCCCGGATTTTACATGGCCTTTTACGGGCTTGTGTAACCTGGCCTGGTCAAGTGGACTCGGTGGCGAGCTTGTCCTTCTGATTCAACCAGTGATATTGTAGCTGTTCCAGACCCGAAACAGAAGCCTGACAGGATGGCGGGGGTCCAGGGTTTACACAGCGACCTTCTATATACCAGGAACAGCCGAACAGGTCGCAAGAACAAAGATGTCAGCAAAGGAAGTGGAGTGTGGAGTGTCTCTATCAATGCTTCCAATCTGTTCTGTTCTACTATCAATCATCTTATCTCACCTCAGACCTCGGAGTTCGGTTGCTCTCTTGAATCTTACGGACTCCTCTAGCACCGGCCCGCGATATATCCATCTCCATCTCCATGCATGATACGAATACTCTGTACTAATTGGCAGAAGCTATGAGTCCTACATGCTACTATATGCAGCTTGGTCACACAAACATATCACAAGCTCCGGTACTCTTGGACGGAGCACTCTTGACTCTTGAGTCTATTCCTGTTTCCCTTCATCCGGTAATACTATTCAGATATAAAGCACAGCAGTGACAGCACAGATGGCTCCTTTCACTTCTTTACTAGCACATTATCTACCCGTTGAAGAATCAAGATATTGACCATACTCATACAGGTTAGGGTTCAAACGTACGTAAACCGAGGGGATCTCACCACTCCAAGAGCTCCCAAACTCCGTATAGTATCCACTTGAGAAACTGCAGAAATGAGGAGTAATAAAAAGTCTCCGGCGCTCCGAAATGAAAAAAATAGACGTATATAAGGTCGTAATATTTCCAAGTCAAATAAAGTAGAAGTCGTTTAGTCCCGCTTTTTGTCCCGCGGATCGGACGTCTTGTGGATCCTCTTTTCTCTCTGCAAAAATCTCTTACTTTTGTCTATCCTCATTTTTTCACCTTTTAATTCATATTCACCATGTCTGACGCAGCACAAGTTGCAGGCAAGAGAAAGCGTGCGAGTATGTTTCCCCCATTTCCTTTTCTCTTCAGGTTTCTACTTTGCATTGGTTGCACTGGGGTAGTTGTTGGTGGCGTGAGCGAACTTCGACTCCGCAAATCCCCATATTGGCTGTTAGCCAAATTTACAACTTCGATTTCTCCATCTTCTTTCTTCTTTTCGTCCCTCCTTTGGTTGACACTTCAATTTTCCATCACAATATGACTGACATTAAGCTACTTTCAGGGACCCAATCGTGCCCTCCGCCGGAGCTGCCTAATCTCGTCGCAGAGCAGCATGTCGCTATCCCCACACATGACAATGACACTCAGCGCTTGATTGTAATTCTCTCCAATGCTAGTCTAGAGACTTATCGGGCTTCTAGTGGCAAGCCTGGCGCAAAGGATGAGAAGTACTCGTTGCTGAACAGTGATGAGCACATCGGTATCATGCGAAAAATGAACCGTGATATCAGCGAAGCTCGTCCAGATATTACTCACCAGGTAATTCAGGAATACTTTTTCTCGGATGGACTACTAGCTCACGTTCTATTTTTATTTTTTTCCAGTGTCTTCTCACCCTTCTGGATTCTCCTGTTAACAAGGCTGGTCGGCTACAAATTTTTATTCACACTGCTAAGGGTGTGCTTATCGAGGTCAACCCCTCAGTCCGCATTCCTCGAACCTTTAAGCGATTCGCCGGTCTGATGGTGCAACTCCTCCACCGTCTTTCAATTCGCTCGACCAACTCGCAGGAGAAGCTGTTGAAGGTCATCAAGAACCCTATCACCGACCATCTGCCCCCCAATTGCCGCAAGGTGACTCTTAGTTTCGAGGCACCGGTTGTTCGCACTAAGGACTACATTGAGTCTCTGAAACCCAAGGAAAGCGTGGCCATCTTTGTCGGTGCCATGGCCAAGGGTACTGATGACTTTGCCGATTCGTTCAAAGATGATGCTATCAGTATCAGCAACTACAGTCTTAGTGCCAGTGTCGCCTGTAGCAAGTTCTGCCACGCTGCCGAGGAGGTGTGGGATATTCTTTGAGTGGGGCAGGTACAATGCGCCATGCGCCTCCGCCGTTAGCTTTCCGGCAGTGTTTCCAGATCGCTATTTGAAGCCATGAAATCCTTTCATTGGCTTTTAGGGCTTGAGTTGATCCAAAGGACTTGCTTCGAATTTCCATTTCAGATCCTCGCCCACTCTTCTCGTTATTATTATTATTATTATTATTACTTGGGGGACAGCCTGCATCATGTTCATGTTCATATTCATTCTTTAGGGATGAAACCTGCTGAACAATGGTTCCCCATTTCGACTAGAGACATTCGGACTGGCTGGTATTTGGTTCCTTTTCGCCCCAGTCCTTGAGCCAACGAGCTCTTCCATCCACAGTGGTGTGATTAGAAAAGTGAACAATCATGTATTAGGTATATTTGTACCTAGGATATATTCTGGATTTAATTTTCCTATTGAATCCTGATTCCTTCCTAATTCCTGCAACATAGTCCACTACGTAATAGAGACATTTTCGTCTCATTTCTATACCTAGTACAGTTAGGGTATTATTTTTGTGGGCAACCGCGGGCTTCAATTCTCTAATCGGAATCGAATCCAGACTTGACATTTCAGTCCAAAAAGAAACCTGTGATTTCCGATGATAATGGCGGTCAGCAGTAATGCCCAAAAAGATCCAAGACAATCTCACCTTAAGCAACCATTGGACCAGCGGAACACTAGTAATGCACCCACTCGGCTCCATACACGATCAATGCACGCCCCATCTGCCATTTTTCAGGCCCTCAGGGGATCCAAACAACGAACAACGCCATTCGAACTTTGAATGCTTAAAAATTCAAGGGTTACGGAGCCTATTTCATTTCAATCGGAAAGTACTGGCCTAAGCTGTGTTCAGCTACAAACATGATTCGAGAGGTTCTTGGGCGCTTCGAGTCTAGGCCAATCTCCAAACGAAGCCCTCTTTTAACCTATAGGCGACTATCGATTGACGCAGCCCGCCTCACTCTTGCTTCTATCACTGAGAAAGAAAGGGTCCAGGGTTTCACCTTTCCCATCATGCGCAGATCGCGCCCTCCCAATCGGGAAGGATGGAATACGATCTGGCCCAGATGTGTATAGACCCGCTATTCCACTCACTCTCAATCTCCAAGCCTTTCTACACTTCTGCACTGGTGATAGGCTTATCGGATCTAATGTATGAGGGATGTGCCGTGCGTAGCTTTCGGTCCAGGGGGCGCCGTGTCAGGCTGGGGCTTGCCTTTCTCGGACGACTGCGGTGGGCTTGCTGCGTGGTGACCATGACCTTTTTACGGAGTACTTGGGCACATAAGTCTATTTCTGCGAGTGGATCAGAGAAGCCCCTCTTTTCGCCTTGTATTGGTACTTTGTCATACTGACAGATGAGTTCGGCTGTCGTTTTATGTCATAGTTCCTGGATTTATAGACTTGCTCTCTCCCCAGTATATATGCAATCATCCTTGCTTTGAAATCTTTCTCGTCATCTGTCTACTTTCCTTGGAATTCTCTCTAAATTTGTTCCAAGTCAACGTGCTGGATAACCTGCACGTCGACTCCCCTTGATCTATAGACATGCCTGTCTCCCATATGACTCTGACAGTTACTCATCTCCCAACCTCTACTTCCTTCTTCCTATCATGTCTCCAGCCTCTTGGTTACCAATTCATTGGTCGGCAAGATGAGTACATCGGCTTCGGTCAGAAGCAAGGAGAGCCTGCTGATTTCTGGGTCACGGAGCGAAGACCAGGGTATGTATCTGATTGAAGATCATGGTATATCGGCGCTAACAGTATGGATAGTATAGGTCCTAGTGCAGTACATATTGCATTCCCAGCCCCGTCCAGAGATGCCGTGGGTCAATTCTTCATCTGTGCCTTGAAGGCCGGTGGCCAGATCCACGGTGAGCCTAAGACACGGGACTCGCAATCAGGCTATTACAGTGCGGCTGTAATCGACTTTGACGGTAACAGCATCGAAGCGGTGTACCGGCCGGGCGGATCAGTTGTTGCATCGGAGGCTGGTGGACCCACAATAGCTATGCTAGACAATGGATCCGTCGTTTCCAGAAGCAACAAGGCCAAGTCGGTGAAGGCAGAGAGCATTGCTCCTCCCCAGTCCAAAGCCCCCACAGTCATCGAGCGTGCTGCAACGGTCGTTTCTCAACCGTCGTACACTGTCCAAACTGTTCAGGCAGACGATGGCAGCAAAGCAGTAAAGACTATTGTCGGCACGCTCCTCGGCGCAGCTGCCGGTGCAGCTATTGCTTATGCCATGGTGAAGGGTGACGAGCAGTCCTCGTCAGAGACTAAAAGTATTGCTATGATGAAACATGCACCCGATCTCCTCCAAATCATGGCCCCACCGCCACCATCGCAAGCATCCAGATCTGAGGCAGGCATGCGGGCTATTGAAGCTCCTCCCGCCAAGAGTACATACTCGGCTGCCCCACGGTCGACGGTTAGTCGCAGTGCGGCCTCCAAGAACCCACGAGCCAGTACCGTCTATGAACCGACCGAGTTCGCTCTTGATCAAAAAGGCCGACGGGCCTCAGAGGGCACTGTTGCCTCATACCTCGAAGACCTGCCAATTCGGACAATTGAATATCCACCTCGGCACTACCCATGCAGCCCCAGCACATTTATTAGCAGCTACGCTGCTGACAAGCCGCGAGCCTTCGTAGCAGGCAGCGTGCTTTCAAACTCCACCATCAAAGCTGCGCAGAAAAGCCTCCAACGCCGCCGCAGCCATGACGACCGGAGTGTATACTCCACACCAAGCAGTCACCACTCAAAGTCCCTGGCCCCAGGTAGCATCGCCTCTTCTGCTCACACCGCGCACAAAGTTCCCTTGCCAGCCGGGTCCGAAGCCACGTATTACTCTGCAGCCCCAACCCATCAAGGCTATTCATATCTTTCTGCAGGGGGCGTGCCCCTGCCTGCTAGCGTGGCTGACCTTGATGTGAGATCGGACGTTACGCCAGATGACTCGATCAGCCAGGTTGGTGCCCAGTCTCATTCTGGAAAATCTACACACTCACACTCCCACTCTCGTTCGCACTCACGTCATTCCAGACACTCGAAGTCTGGCTCGCGGGCCTCGAAGCACTCTTCCCGGTCAAAGCACGATGACGGCGCCAAGCCGAGTGATAATTCGAGCCACGTTTCGCGACGCACTGCTAAGGCTGGTAGTAAGGCTCCGTCGACGTCGGGCAGTCGACGTTGACGAAGGTGTGTAGTACGTACAACTGACTTTTATGTACGCTTTCAACAGAATCTGTTCTGTTTTTTTTTTTTTTTTTTTTTTCCTTTCAGTGCATTGTTTGTCTTGGTTATCTGCATTTTGACTTGAATGGGGTCATTCGTCTTGGTGGTTCTTGCATACGACAGAAATGAGTTAAAATTTAATATAGCATGGAAATTGGAAAATACAACGGGAATTATGATGATTGATGATAACATGATCCAGTAACACAACTTTTCGTTGATTCCCACTATTAGTTCCTTTCGATCCAAGTACCACCTGGGCAGTGATATTATCTGATCAATGACTATGCTCACGCTTCTCTGAGCCGCAACACGATCCACCCATGGCATCTCTAGCCATCTTTGCCCGACTCATAGGACGAGGCTTCGGAAGAAACTCACGACCCTGAAGAACTAGTTCAACGGCAGTATCCCTATACGCCGCTAAACCCTGATCCTCAGCAACCACCGCCTCATGAATCAAGTTAAGCCAGTGACCCAACCGATACCCACCCTTAGCAATCTGCATCTCAACAGTCCCAACAACGGAATCATAATAAGCAGGATAAAGATCCGCACCCTGCAACGCATTCGCTCCATCAGGCATAACAACCGAGCAAACAAGCGCATTAGAATCAGACACCCACCGCGTAGCAGATGTAACAGCCTCACTAATATTGTCGCCCCGAATCCACCCCGCAGCCTGCATCTCAAAACTCCCCGAAGTAATATTTCCAACCAACATCTCCGCCCAAGCCGCCGCGTCCTCGAGCGCATGTCCGCCAATCAGTTTCTCGGGAATATAGTCATCCCAATCAGCATGTAGGTTGGTTTCGTGCCCGTTGAACGTGACATTAATGCCATTCCCGCCGACTTTGTACGCTTCGTCGTGCAAAGGCTGTACTATGTCCCCGATGATATGAACCAGGAACTTGAGCGCTTCGGCTTTATGCGCCTTTGAGAGGCGGTGATTTCCTGCGCGCTGGGTATAGTTCGCAACGGCGGAAATGGAACACCCTGCACTTGTGCAGTCGCGCTCGTAGTCTACATTGCAGTTATGTGGAGGGTTATCCTCAACGTCGATGAAATGCAGCTTTGCTGACCATCTGCCCGCGCTTGTTTTGCGGTAGCTATCAGCCCATGAGGCGATATTTGCTAGGTATGAGCTTGAAGGATCATTGAGAATATCTTGGGCCCTGACGAATGTTACTTTGACATGTAATTAAGGTTGAGATTGGCAGCTCATGCTCCCGACTTACCATGTTGCTGTCGAGGGAGTAACGTAGTGTTGGGCTACATAAGCGACGGTTGCATGGCCTAGTTGACCCCATGCATTTGCACCCTTGATAGCACTGACTATGAGGGCAAATCTGGAAAGTTGTACCATATCGAATGATAATTATTTGGCTAGTGATTGGTGTGAGGGTAATGGAATGTAACTGCGGAGTAATATGAATCAAAACATTGGGGTAATTCTGCCAATAAGTAGCCCTATCACTTGGAAGCGGTGTGCGACTTGATCTCCAGGCCAATGGTCAAGTACAATGTAAGGAGAGACAGAAAAAGCAAATTGAGTCTATTGCAGTGTGATATAAGATAGCCCCTGCCTATCATTTGCGACAATTGAGACATTGAAGAGGTTGCTCATGTCTACCATAGTAGGATTGAGTATTCAGATATAGATCCTTCTTCCAGCAAGTTACACTTGTACTTGATACTGAGAACCTGACGCCCTATGATGCGTCCCCGTAGACCTGGTAGCATTTCAGAACAACTGCAAATCCCATCAATGCAAACTGAGCTTTCGATGTCTGAATATGATCCAGATATTTGAATATTGAAGACTCTCGCAGTCGAATACAGCATCTAGATTATTAAATAGAGATATAGAAAAAAGTACGGTGCTCGCTGGATTTGAACCTGCGGTTCCGGCAAAAAATGAGTATGTCCATGGATTTCCAACCTCGTGCATGGGGATGTTTTCGCTTTGAACCACAGGAACTCGTTACGAAATAATTCACCCATTTTATCAAGTATATCCCGGCTTAATATTATTCCGTGACAAAATAGTTGTTCCGGTATCACCACTTTCTTGTATTTTGTACACCCCCTAATCGAATGCATGTAAAATTTAATTGATAATCATCTGGGGTAGAAAATTAATTTAAAGAAGGGCTTCCGCTGAGTTTGAGCCGCTGACCAGGGGAGAGTATATATTATTTACTCCCTATGCAAGTTAGAGATTGAAAACCGCATAAGGCATTAGTGGACATAATATAGACAAGGCCGTGGAGGACGTATGAGGGTCCATAATGTCAACTCAATTTATGTGAAAAGTCAGATGAGCAAATACAGAGAAGATTAACATGGCCCCTGTACTAAGGATGACACACTCAATCAAAGAGAAACCACCAATTATTATTTTTATTCACTCAACGGCCTTAATTAGGACGTTGTGAGGGTTATTTCCGTTTTCATGGAAATACGACACTGTGTATTGGAACCTGAGCGCTTTTCTTTCTTTCGTTTCTTTTTGGATGTACGGTACTATAAGTCAGAATTATTGCTCATTTTATTGTTTATCAGTTAGACACTGCGGTTCTTTATATGGCAGTGACTAAGACAAACCTGTACTGCTCTAAATGTTATAGTTAGTTACTTAATCTGTATAACTGACTAACCCTCGTACCTGACTTGTGACTGTGTTCAGGCGGTGAGAGTTGACGCCATAAACAGGGATCAACTTGATATTGCCGCTTTTCAAAACAATAAATATCAAATTCTCAAGGCTCAATAACACATTTTGTAAGTCTTATAGTGATTAAAGTTCATTTGTTTAGCATATTCTATAAATTTACCACCTTTTGTTATCTAATTTGTCCTATGATACCAGTTTTAAAAGATTTAATGTTATGATATGCTTCATATATATATCCTGCACCATTTTGCCTCAGGGAACATCTACCATCCTCAATTACAAGTCAACACAATAACCAGGTGATTTATTTTTCTTTTACCTCCAGGGCTGTTTAGGCAGATCAGAAAATATCATTATGTACTGATAATAACTCAGATCTCTTCAAATCCATATAATTCAAATCTAGGCAACAAAATATTGTGTCAGAAGTTATGAGGTTGGGACAAATTACAGACCTCCTGGGCAGGGCTGCCAAGGTAACCTCGGAAGAGGACTCTGAATACCTCTAGGGCTATGTGGATTTACCTTTTCCTTCAGACTCGAATTCAAATAACCCATGGATATTCACCTGGGCATCTTCAAGTTATGCCGATGGACCAGGGAATATCGGGCTTTGAAAGGAGTAAATCAGAAAACCTGGAGCCTTCATCTCTGAATAAGTTCATGCCAACCTTGGAGAGTTCTTTCGCTATTACAGTAATGGTCTGTTTCACTGCATTGCTGCGTGTACTATTATATCCCGAATCCTGATCGAAACTTGAAGGGTATGTATGCATGAGAGGAGAGATCCATGGATTCAAGGCGTGTAAATCTGCATCGTTATCTTTGGAGAAATTGACAGTCTTCAAGAATGAGATGTTGACCTGCGTCTCCACGGGTACTCATAGGTAGGCATAAAATTCAAGTAGGTTATCTGGGCATACGGATTACGATGCTTCAACCATCCATCTGCGTAGTCAAATGGGAAGTCCCGAATACCTTCGCCTTGACGGTCTTGAGTACTTGTCAACTACCTAGGTACCAAGTAGAAATGAACTACGATTATCATGTTCAACACAGAGACGGGCCTGCCTGGATTGTGCTATATGCGACATCATGAAATAAAAGCCATTAAAGCCCTTCGACCATCCACAACCACATACGACCTAACCCCGACTCTGCAACTTCATTTCCCCTCCAGTTCGATTCTTCCATGTCACCGACTCGACAAGCAAGGTGCCCAGAGTGGGGAACCTAGAAAAAAGCAGGTACTTTTTTGATCTCGTGTGTTCCCTTTAATTACCGAATGCACAGATTTGGTCATGAAAAACGGATGTTGGAATTTCCCAGAAACTAATCCCAGAAAATGAAACCTATGGAGTGAAGCAAAAGGATTGATGGGAAAGGGGGAAGGGAAGTGGCAAGGGGAAAAGGGAACATCACGAAAAAAAAAAGGTTGAAATCGGCACAGAAACGAGTTTCTACGACCACGGTACGCCAAACTTCGCAGATCTGAATCTAACGGAGTGAAAAAAGATGCAGGTGACGGGGCTATGAAAGCCAGGCGGAAAAGAACACCGGGGACCATTGCAGATTGATTGAAGCCAAATACCGTTTAAATGGCATACTTGCGAGTCCACTCACGTGCAGTAGCCTCGTAACGGGGGCGATCGGTCTTGTAGACGTGCGCGATCTCGGGCACGAGGGGATCATCCGGGTTGGGGTCTGTGAGCATCGAGCAGATAGAGAGCAGCACTAGAAGAACACCGTTAACGTCATTCATTTTAGCCTTGCAGAGAATGGCATACCTTTGGAAATGGTCAGAGCCGGGCTCCATTGGTCACGCAGGATATCCAAGCAAATACTTCCATTGGAGTTGATGTTGGGATGGTAAATGCGAGTGGTAAAGTTGACCTTGGGGGGCTTGAAGGGGTAGTCGGTAGGGAAGTGGATAGTGAGGAAGAAGACGCCTCCCGAGTAAGGCGAGTCACCCTGTGGAAGAAAGTTAGAATATGATGTGATATAAAATCTGAATGGTTGGAGGGGGCCTCGTGACCATTGCAGGGGGTGATTCTGGGGGAATCGGAATATCGACTTACGGGACCCATAATAGTTGCCTGCCAGTGGAACTATTTGAGAAATGAATTGTCAGTAAAGAACATCATTTGTTTGGTTATGATGATCTGCATGGAGGGGTTTCTCAACCCCGCCGCACGATAAGGACAGTGTGCATTCCGCGATCGAGATCGTCGAGGAAGAGGGGATAACATACCAAGTCATCACCAACGGGACCAGCGGAGCAAGATGAGGGGGGATCCCTGTAATAAGAATCAGTCAAATGTTCGAGATGGGGAAATAGTCGATGAGTTGCTTACCGTCCGAGGTCGCTGAGTTCCTTGTTAATGCGCTTGAGAGCCATGATGAGTGACGGTTGTAGGAGGAAGAGAGACTGGAGGGTGGAAGATTAGCAAGTAAAAAGCTTGGGGGTATTAGTGATCCTCGTACGTATTGCCTTTGTGTGGAAAAGAAGGAAGAGTGAAAGAAGAAAGAGGGGAAAGAAAAGTGGGCAGCTGGGTTTGCAGACGGTATTACCAATACGCGCCACAGATGACACATCTTCAACTCAGCCTTAAAAACGAGTAATGTCTTGTACGTTGTCATTTTGGTCGAATTTCGAATACGCAGAAACATCATTGTTACTAGTTATTGTTGATATCTGTTGACTAGATTACAATGAAAACCATTTCTTATATCTTCTATTTCCATTCGGAATTGAAATACAATGAAATACCATGGAATTGATCAATTGTGCCCCATGATGTCACGTGCGGGAGAGGCGTTCATCCCGATTGACGCTCCTCCGGGTTTATCCCTTGACGACAGTCATCTAATGGATACAGATAATAGCAATGTCCTTTTTGTCTTATTCAAAGTGTTTCTAAAAAAAATAAGAAAAACCTGCAAGCTAAACAAATGCCTGTACGCCGGTAATAGCCCGGCCTAGAATCAATGCTAAAACAAAAAGTCAGTACGGACATTTCGGCCTAATATATCCAGCCCGACATTGGGCATTCTTACCATGAATATCGCTCTGGCCTTCGTAGGTTTGCACAACAAACAAGTTGGCTACATGGCGCGCGATATGATACTCGTCGCTCGCGGCATTGCCGCCAAATACCTCTTGCAGACTGTTGATATGTCAGTATGAGATATCACATCTAAGGCAGGGGAACTAACATTCGTGAATTGACCAATGCTCTATCACAGTTTTGGCGCTTGATCATAGATATCATTTCCGGGGTAGCCTTCCCAGAATCCTTGAGACGAGCCACCTGTACTGCAGCTAATGTACCGTATGCAGCATCGGTCGCTGCATCAGCCAGCTTCTTTTGAATGAGTTGGTACTTAGCTAATGGATTACCCTTGAACTGTTTTCGCTGGAGACTGTATTCTCGAGCACGAGACAGACAGTCCTCCAATGCGCCCATACTACCAAATGCAATGCCTAAGCGCGCACTATTCAAGCAAGTAAATGGACCCTTCAGGCCCTCGACATCCGGGAACATATTCTCTGCCGGGACAGGGCAATCGTCCATCTGAATCATACCCGTAATTGAAGCGCGCAAAGCAGACTTGTTCTTGATAGCAGGCGTCTCAAAAGTGCCTGGTGGGCATCGCGAGCGCTCAACCACAAAGCCCCGGATTTTACCCGTTGACTCGAGCTTTGCCCACACGAGAGCCAAGTCTGAGATGGGCGAGTTGGTGATCCACGTCTTGCTGCCACTCAGCAAGTACATGCCCTTCTGTGTCGGGTGCTCGCGCGCAACCGTCTCCATAGATCCTGGATCGGAGCCGTGATTCGGTTCTGTCAGTCCAAAGCACCCAGCTAGTTGGCCCTTGGCCAGACCTGGAAGAAACCGCTGCTTCTGCTCTTCTGTGCCAAATTCGTAGATTCCTGTCATAGCGAGAGAGCTCTGCACCGACATTCCCGATCGATAGCCACTGTCCACACGCTCCACTTCCTTAGTTATTAGGCCTGAGGCGACAGTACTCACACCGGCGCATCCGTAGCCCTCAATTGAAGCACCTAGAAGGCCTAATTCGCCCATTTCTTCGAGGATGCGACGATCATAATTTTCATTGCGGTAGGCCTCTAGGTATTCCGAGTACGTGTTAGTCCACTTGATCCAAAATAAACAGAAAGAGGTAACAAACGGACTCACCAAGAACTCTTGGCATTAACTTTTCCTGGCAGTATTGTCGGGCTGTGTCCTGAATGGCCAGCTCCTCCTCTGTGTATAGCTCCGCGGCGGCAAGAGGATCTTCCCAATCGAAAACGGCCGAAGAAGCATGCCGCCGGCTAGCGACGGAACGACCAGCCTGGATTGATCGTGCAGCAGCACGTAGAATTGAGCGGTTCATTGTTGATTTGAGAGGAGATGGGAGAGATCTATGTGAAGGGACCTATGAAGTAGTTGTTGCGGGGGAGCTTCAAGTATGCGCTAATCACGGAGAGCCTCGGCAATTTTGGTTGGCTATCAAGTTCCGAACGCGTATAGTTAATTAATCTTCGTATCGAGTGCGCCTGTTAAGGATAACAGATTGACGCGATTTAATTAATTATCGAGACATGGATGCTAAGTGGTCCACTGTAGTCTGTTCCATCTCGGTGTTTTTCGGTGGTATGACTTCAGAGCCCTGGATGGAGTATACGGGCAATCGAAATGACTAATTTGTTCTGTTTTATTCATTTGCCGTCATTCTATGTAAAATATGGGTATTATGAACGTCCATAAAAGAAAAGCAGTGCCGACCAGCGCATTTTATGCCGGCATCTGGCTTTGAAGGAAATCAAACACGCCCGTGGGAAAGAAATCATCGTCAAATCGCCACAGGTCTGTCATCAACGGGTCTATTGAATCCTCCGGCAGTCCTGGCTCATGTTTGCCTGCTGTATTCTCAAAGCCATTGCTGCGTTCAGCAGACAGCGGCGCTACCCCGAGTAATGGCGGCGGATGGTTAAGGATAGTGTCACGCTCCCCCAAGATCTGAGCTCCAGGGATGATGATAGGCTTGAAAATCGAATTATATTCTTGCGGGCTCGAGCCGATGGCGTGCTGTGTACAGTTCCGCTTCTCCCACTCCTCCAGCCCGGTCAGCATCCTTCGTAGACCACGGGCAATGTGATGGCTGAGATGACGCTTGCTTGCCCGCTGGCTACATGATTCCATCATCTCGGCAATTTGTCCGACTAGAATACTTACGTAGTGTATGTCGACTATTAAACCCGCGGAGGCAATTGATGTTTTTTGACCCTGGTCTCCAGTGCTCGATCTGTTCGAGCATGACTTGGCTGCGATCTTCAGCAGGAATACTGCCGCAAATGCTATCATACTGTGGAGATATAGTGGGACGCCGACCAATGCTCGCTGAATATCTCGCTCATCTAGAACAACCTGGAGAGTCGCGATTGCTGATTCGATGGCGATATTCGCTCTTTTCCTGCGCTCGGGTGACATTACACGTGATGAGGTCGAGGAGTGGTAGGTACGCAAAGCTACTGAGTGCAATTGCAACCGAGAGAAATGATAATGCATGTTGACAGCTTTATAGGGATACGCACCGACGTGTCGGCTCCCAGCTAAGAATCACAAATCAGCATGAAAACATTCCCAAATATACGGTTTGGCTCACCAAGACGAGGCAGCCATGTTGATTTCCAATCCTTTAGGTCCTCATCAAACGCATCTATCTTTGGAAATGCGCTTTCGGGAACCTCGAGGTCGACATCTGGACCAAATGCGAAGTAGCTTTGGGTAAGAATGATAAACAAATCCACTTGACTATGTAGTCTAAGATCTCCTTGGGATACAGATGGTGTTTGCGTGAACATATTGTGTTGTTGAATACTGGCGTCCTCGTGAATGATCGGTGGCCGACCATATGCAATAGAAAAATGATGATCAAGGGTCTGGCGCAAGTTAGTAGCACTTACACCTAAAACGCGAATCGAAAACAAGACATACATATAGCAGATACCATAGCCTTGCCTGTTCCTGGTGCTCAGGTGAGCCCTGTATGGCTTTGCGAAAGAATTGGTGCAGGTTACGTTCGGTAGCAATGCGCACGGCATATCCAGACAATTTCCAACTGACATCTGCAAGCCAAAACGCTCCGATACATAGGGCGCGAATATCGTCCATGTTATGATGATTTCCCAGCATTGATTCGGATGCTAGTTTTGCGAACTCTGTATAGCACGTGTCGAACGTGCGCTCCTTTGTGGGCATATGAAGCGCTGTCACAGCTAATATAGCAGCCAGTAGCATAGATGATGATCGCCGAACCGAAGTCAGATCCTTGTGTGCTAAAAGTACTCCATCCCATAGATAGCGGTTCAGCACCTGGTCAAAGTGATAGAACAATTCTTCCGCTTCTTGTAGATCTACCACGCCCCGAGAGATGAAATCCGTCACTAATGCGACATCTGGCGAATATGCTTGCCCCGGGGAGCTTTCGCGGTTTTCACTCAGCTGCGTCACCTCGTATAGACTGCCCATAGGAGCCGTCACCAAAGAGGTTGCGGATGTTTCCTCAGTATCGATGGAATATTGTGGCTGTTGTTGCGGCTGCTGAGAAAAATTGAAATTTGCCCTAGACCCAGTTCCAAGACCAGCTGCTTTATCTATAGATTCGTGCCTGCCATTATGCTCATCATCTACTGACGCTGTTGACTCTTGTCGGCCCCGTTTCTTTGATGTCTCGATCGACCCGCCGCCGGATTGATAGTAAGATAACTCCGGCAGTTGAGATTTCCTAAGCAAGTCCGTCATTGCCAACTCGATCATAGATTTCCAACTTGATAGCGCCGTCAGCATTCAGCCTATGTGTAACCCAGTGAGTGGTACTTACTCGGCCTCGTCCTCGAGTAAAGTTTGAAGACTCTTGTTTACAACGCACTCCAACCCCATGCGTCGACATCGCGAACATACCGACTCACCAATCTTCATATCGCAGCGCACCTTGTGCCGCTTACACTCGGTACATGCTCTTATCTTTCGCGAGATCTTAGGAACATGCTGGGTAGACCTCCCATTGTCCTCCAGAGTGAAGCCATCCTGCAAGGATGTTGGCGAGTGATCGCCATTGGCTTCAAATTGAATGCGATTCCGCTTCATACTAGGCAGCTGGGCTCATCCTCCGCATGGCCAACTCCGGGGAATCAAAGCGGGGTTCCGGTATATGGTTCGGTTCTTGATCAGTTTAGGCCTGAGGCATTAAGTGGGGAGAATGAATTATTCACGTGATAAGCTCTTATCGTCATGTGACTTGGTGGTCAATTGATCGCGCGTCAGCGCGTTTTCTCGTGATTGTGGCGGTCTTGAACTTTTCATTAGCAACTTCCTTATTACAAGCATCTTATCATCAAGATGGGTATTAAGCGTGAGTAATGAATCTTCCAATCTTCTGAGCATGTTTCTCTAACCTTATCAAAAGATCTATATCAGATTATCACTGAGAATGCTCCCGATGCAGTCAAGACGGGCGAGATCAAAAATCACTTTGGTCGCAAAGTCGCCATTGTACGTGACATTCCTTCCATCACTCCAATCTTTATCCATAGCTAATGAAACTTGACACATAGGATGCGTATGTCTACAGATGACCTAGCCTAGCCAGCTTCATACTAACAGAGTATAGGTCCATGAGTCTTTACAGTTTTCTAATCGCCGTGCGATCAGAGGGCCAGCAGTTGACGAGTGACTCGGGAGAAACAACATCACACTTGATGGGCATGTTTTACCGCACTCTACGAATGGTCGATAATGGCATTAAACCTCTATACGTCTTCGACGGAGCTCCACCCAAGCTTAAGTCCGGCGAATTGGCTAAGCGTGGAGCGCGCAAGGCGGAAGCATATGAAGCTATCGAGGAGGCTAAGGAAACTGGTACCGCTGAGGATGTCGAGAAGTTCTCGCGACGAACTGTCCGGGTCACTCGTGAGCATAACGAGGAGTGCAAGAAGCTGCTAAAGCTGATGGGTATCCCCTACATCACTGCGCCAACTGAGGCTGAGGCTCAGTGCGCTGTTTTGGCGCGTGCTGGCAAGGTGTACGCTGCTGCCTCGGAGGATATGGATACCCTCTGCTTTGACTCACCAATTCTGCTGCGACACTTGACATTCAGTGAGCAGAGAAAGGAACCAATTCTGGAGATTCATGTGAATCGGGTGTTGGAGGGGCTTGATATGGATCGTAACAAGGTCAGTCTACTTTGCTTTTGGTAATCCACCAAAGCTATTTATTTACTTACTACGTTTATAGTTCATTGATCTTTGCATTCTATTGGGCTGTGATTACCTTGAGCCCATCCCAAAAGTCGGTCCCACGACAGCTCTCAATCTGATTCGCGAACACGGAAGTCTGGAAAAGGTTGTTGAATTTATGGAAAAGGACCCGAAAAAGAAATACGTTATTCCCGACAACTGGCCGTACCAGGACGCGCGAGAGCTATTCATGTCGCCCGATGTCCGACCAGCAGATGACCCCGAATGCGACTTTAAGTGGGAGGCTCCTGACGTCGAGAAACTGGTTGAGTTCCTAGTTACCGACAAGGGATTTAACGAAGATCGCGTTCGCAACGGCGCGGCCCGACTACAGAAGAACCTCAAGAGCGCACAACAATCTCGACTTGAGGGATTCTTCAAGCCTGTTGCAAAAACGGCCGAGGAGAAGGCCAATCTCAAGCGCAAGAATGAATCTAAAATCCAAGATCAGAAGAAGCGCAAGAAGGAAGAAGCCAAGGCCAAGAAGGATCTTAAGTCCAAGCCGCGTGGAGCGAATTGAGACATGAAAGCTTGGAGTGCATATGACAGATCAGTCAATGCACGTTTGTTTTCTTTTCTTTTGCACCAAAACGTTCAATCTTAGTTGGACCTGGCGTTTTCATTGGGTCTTTTCTTTTCTTTATCTTCCTTTCTTTTTCCCGTATCTTTCGGTCAACCAGTTACAAGTGGGGTCACGCCTTTTCCTTGGCCCATGAGCATGAATCCCAGCATATCATATGCAAAAATTATTTATTTCTGAAGGAATATAATGAATACCCATGTTTTCTTTCTGTTCTGCGTTGTTTGGAAGTGAATATCAGGTCGAGGTGGCTGGGGATCAGCGAAAACAGACGAAGCGAGGGACCTGAGAACCGGCTCTTTTTCTCTGATCCTCGCAACCACGCGGCCTTCATCACATCCAGAGTTACTGATATCGGTTTAATTCACCGTAGTTTACCCATTAAAGCATATAAATACTCTAAACCAAGACATTTAGTGGAGTTATTGGGCAGTGTCACATTCCCGATGCTTCCAAATTTATAGATCGGCCCGGGATAAGCGAGGACGCGTTTGGTGATGATCTCTCACGAGAACGAAGTAGACCTTTAGATCTGAAGTATTAGTTGATAGTATGCTATTTCTAAAAGTCAACACCCAGGTTTTGATAAGTTGGAGATGTTTTTGTAGCGTGGGATCAGGATATTGTTGGATGAGTGATTCGATGATCACCTGATAGGTAAGATTATCTATCAGTCATTGAGTTTACATAAAGCGGTCTGGCTGCCTAGTTATTCTGGTACCTGCTGCGTAGGTAAGTTATTTAGCCCTAAATAACTCTTTCTACCTAGCGGTCACCTGGTACTAAATCCAAGTCTCCCGCAACTCAACACTCCGAACACCTCATCAAGGCTAAAACAGTGGATACTCTGTATAACTATCATTTAATAATTATTCTATTGGTTAAGTTCACGGAGGAAGATCAAAGGGTAGAAAATTAGACTCAACTTCAACTTCCAGGTTGAGGGCCAGGGATTGATATACCAAGAAGTGGTACAATAAGATATATAGTTGAATGAGGACTTGCCACCCAACCCCTCAGTAAAGCTGCCCTACTCCAGGGTTGGCTACTACGTAACCCTAATGCCAGGTAACAATATCCATATAAAAGTAGATAAAAACTAAAATACTGTTTCGTAGATGATTCTAAATCGAACTACTAGTTTAACCGTCTAGTGCGTGGTGAGAGGGGATGGGAGGGGAGGACTGGAGTTAGGGCTGTGGAAATCAGATGTCCTGCACCACTGGGGCAGACCAGAGATAAAATTCGACAGAACACAAAAAAGAACCAAAAGAAGAAGGGAAAAAACCTCGCGAGCAAAGCCAAGAGTCTCAACATCATCGACCTCGGAAGATCCAAACTTGTACCATGGATATGGCCAGACCTTTCACTGCATGACAACACATGTGGCCCTCGTGACCTGCAGGTCCTGAAGATACTTTGATAGCAGATCAGAGTAGGTAGTAACAAGGTAAGCAGTCTGATCTACCCTTACCCTGAATAGGGAGATTACCCCTCTCAGATCTATCTGGTTCTGTTTGCAGACTTGTTTCAATTTAGGTTACAGAACGCGACGGGAGAAAGGAAAGCGATAGAGAAAGGGTGTCGGATTCCATAGCACAGGACTCTGACTGGACTCAGCTATCAGAAGAAGTACATGAAGGGGATGATCAACTGTACATCTGGAATGTCAGAATTAAATCCCTCGTGGAGGGGATCAGAGGCATTAGAGGAATTAGAACTACGCGTCAGTCCTAGATAGCTCAATCAAATAATTAGTTAGAGCTACAAGATACTACAGAAGAATCAAGTATGGTAGAAGAAGCATACAAGAACCGATTTATGGACTTTCTGCCTTTCGAGGGAATGCGAGTGGCTAATCATTCTTCAGGGAGAGAGAGGGAGTTGTGAAAGAGTTGAAGTAGAAGCAAGAAGTAGATCTAAATAAAACCCCACATAAGGCTAATACAAGAAGCTTAGAAAATGAAATAAAGAAAACAGATAGTAAATCAGGAGAAAAAGACGAAAAAAAAAAGAAACGAAAAACGACCCAAAGCTATTTGGATTAGCCCGGAGTGATCTTGTGTCAACCGCTCTACCTATAAATCACGGATGCCCCGCCAGTCTTTCCCACCCCTTCCGTTTCCTCGTCCTTCCACCTTTTTATTTCCACCAACTTCGACTCTGGAATACTTTCCTCACTCTTCAGCATCTTATACCTCTTCTCATCTTCTAACCCCCCTACATCAACTACACCATGCCTCCCAAGAAGGCTACCGCCGCTACCAAGAAGGCCGTTCCCGCTCCTCACACCTCTTACCGTGGTATGTATTTCCTGATCCTGGTCTACCACACCATCGCATAAAGATGAAAAGACTATTCGCAGAGTCGCGAACTCTTGCTGATTCTAGTCATATAGATATGATCCGCGATGCCATTGTCAACGTGAGTAGATCACCGCAGATGCTACTCTTGTTGTGATCGGGTCGCGTCCGACCGTGACACGTCTGGCGCCTCAACGTCCACCCACGCTGCAAGACTTATTCCTTTTCTTTCTTAATCAACATTACTGACTGATCTTCCACCTTATAGCTCAAAGAGCGCAATGGCAGCAGGTATGTTCTGATAATCTTCACTCGTTGTTGCACGGCGGTTGGGTCCTCATCGTCGCGTCATTTGAGTTTAAACTTTGAGACTAATAGTCCTTCTCTATTATAGTCGCCAGGCTATCAAGAAGTATGTCATTGCCAATAACAAGATCACCTTTGCCTCTCAGGGTGCTTTTGACTCCCAGTTCAACAAGGCTATCAAGGCCGGTGTTGATAAAGAGGAATTTGTCCAACCTAAAGGTGAGTAAATGACTTTCCTCCCACCATCTTGTCGTAATCTTGCTGATGTGTTTTCTAGGCCCATCGGGACCCCTGAAGCTTGCCAAGAAGGAAGCTAAGCCCGCCGCTAAGCCCGTCGCTAAGCCTACTGCTAAGGCCGCTGCTAAGCCTGTTGTCAAGGTAGGCTCTGAATTCAAGAATCCAAATGATAATAATCCAAGCTCACAATCTTAATAGAAGACTGCCACTAAGGTCACCAAGGCTGCACCCAAGGCTGCCGCTAAGAAGGCCGCACCAAAGAAGACTGCCACCAAGGTAACCAAGGTTACTAAGAAGGCTGCTCCCAAGAAGACTGCGGCCAAGGCTAACACTGGAAAGACTCGCAAGGTCAAGGTTGCTGCTTCGGTAAGTACCCTCTCTTCTCTCTTCTCAGACATCAAACTGACTTTTCAGGCCCCCGCCATCGTGAACCACCCCACTGTCCTCGGCAAGACCAAGTCTGGTCGTATCACCAAGAGCACCAGCGCACCCCAGCCCACTAAAGCCGCTCCCAAGAAGCGTGCTGCGAAGAAGTAGAGGATATTCCCTCTTCAATTTGTCTTGATGAGACCCTCCCATTGTTACGTGTGCTTTTCCCGGGAGGAGCTCTGATTGTTTTGTATTCCCTTCTGATGTAATTTCTTTCATTCGACACGTTGATTTGGCTGTGATGGTACTGGGTTTGCTTGGATATCTCCATTACGATGGCTTCTTGCGTGGTTTCGTGGTTTCTCTTTTTACTCCTAAGTCGAAGGAATGGCGTCCGATGGTGGGTTCTGGGGGAATTGTTTTGTCTCTTTACACTTTGGATTATAAGTGAATTGTTCTGGAATAAGATTCTGATCCGTTTGATACCAAAGTGTTATATCTGTCGTTGTAATAGTAGATGCTGATCATGTATTTTGGAACGGACACAGTGGAGTATAGGGCTAGTGATAAGGCTCCCGGTGGCGAAAAGCTGAAATGAGGGCGGGTTTCGCCGAGGGGAATGCTTGGAATACAGTAATATTGATTTTTCAGCTGTGTCTTGGCTTGGGGGAATATTGCGTATTTGCGTGGAGTAATTGCAAAGGCTTCTGTAGAAGTAGTTCCACGGCTGGTAGTTGGTAAATATTTATTTATTACATATTACTACATGGGTAGAAGTAAACAGGATGTTTTATTTACTCATCAATACAGACTACCCTTTCAGTACCAGGCACCTGCCATAATGTAAGAGCCTAACAGTGCCAAGATTGAATAAAAACAGTCTAATGAATACTAATATATTACTTCATACAAAAAAGGAGAGATTTCACGGTGGAGCCGACTATTTTTGGAACGGGGATTGGCTGTATAGATTCTAGTTTCGCTAGTCAGGGGGAAATCAGGTCGATAAATCTACTAAGTACTAATTAGAGGGCTGGTGAGGATCCAGGACAAGCATATAATTAAAGTAATATTAGAGTAGTCTCAGGTATACTCATACTCAGCTATAACAAAACAGTATTATAAAATCAGTTTGTTCATATCTCCTTGCAGTAGACTAAGTTACTAAGCGGATAGATTGAATTCCGCTGCATAAAACATAATAAAATAATAAAACAATGATAGGAGGGGAATTGATAATTGGTGCCAGGTTTTTATGTACATGTTCGTCTGTGACTAGGATTGGTCAGTGGGAGTTGGCGGAGCCCGGCAGAAACAGTAACAGGAATTACGACACTGGCACTGTCACTGTTCCCTCCTCCATCTTCTCCCTCGTTTACTTACTTTACATAGACTTCCTCTTTTCTTGATTCTACGTTCTGCTTTCCATCCCCACTTCTATCCACTTCTGATTTGGGGTCTGATCTCGAATGATGGTTTTCGGTTGAAATCTTCTCCTTCCCCCCAAATCCCGCCCTGTCCTGGCTGGCCAGCTCTGTATCTTGAAAATTTAGACCTTCAAAGATAGATTCCTCGCTTTTCTCTCCCTTCAACCACACATATCTCGCTCTTCACAGCCCGATTCTCAACTTTGACCCCTGTGTCAATAGAGGTGACTGCCCGTCGGATCGCCGGCCCACGCACACCTCACGTCATTCTCATTTCCTGATATTCCAAAGAAAACAATGCCGTCCTTTGCCCACGACAGCTTCCAAACTGCGACGGCGACGCCCGTACACCCCCACTCGTTCGATTCTACACACCACAAATCTCATGAGAAGAACTCCGTTGGTAACACCTTCCTGTGGACCAACTGGCCCGAGGAGAACGCGAACCACGACGCCCACCAGAATGATAGGCAATTTCTCACAGACATTAAGAACGGCAGTGCATACTCCTTGAATGGTCCTCGCTCTAGCGCCAGCTCCTACACACGCGAAACATCTTACTCCAAGGACGACAGCATGCACCCAATGAGCAATGGCATCGCGAGAGATCCCCGAGATGCTGCTGCCCGGCCATCGGCTATGCTCGATCGGAAACCATCAGACGCGGGCCCCGGAGCTGGCTCCGTGGTAGCCTCGACTCCTAATGGCAATCAGGTCAATGGAACGTCGTCATGGAGCAACTATCGGCCTGTCCAGGGAAGCCAACGACTAATGGAGATCATCGTCGTCCCTCGGTTGATCGTTCATCATCCGACCGTACAACCAGCCCGTCTACCTCGCTATTACAGATTCCAAACCCAGATGACGTTAGTCGTCAATCCTTCGACCGCGATCGGTTATCGGTCTCGAAATTGGGTGGCCACCGCCACTCATCCCCTGCCATACCCGTCTCTGCGATCGATACAAACGGTATTAATGAATCTCAACAGTCGAGCATGCGACAACGCCACTCATCACAGGTTCCGCAAGCGTCAAATGGCCGACGAAATAGCCGTGACCTCGGTGAGGACACTGCGTACACCAGCGGCCGTATGTCACCAACTGCCGGCGGACCACGGCGAACGTCATTCAGTCTGATGCGGCGGTCCAAGGTAAACCCGGATTTGCCCGTAGATGGTACGCCCCCGGATGAAGATGCAGCTCGGTGGGCAGAAGCAATCAAACAGAAGAGGGCAACACGTCGACGGCGCGAGGACGATGATGACGAACGTGTCATCGTCGGCACAAAAGTGGATCAGAACCACGTCAACTATGTGACAGCATATAACATGTTGACGGGTATCCGTTTCACAGTCTCGAGGATCAACGCCAAGATGGACAGGATCCTCACTGAGGCAGATTTCGACGCCAAACACAAGTTCTCCTTTGATATGTATGGCGCTTTTACTCTGAATGCATTGGGATTATCTGACTGACAACCTCATAGTACTGGAAATGAACTGATCCCCTCAGCCAAGTACGATTTCAAGTTCAAAGATTACGCACCCTGGGTGTTTCGACATCTTCGAGCAAAGTTCCGCCTTGACCCTGCCGATTACCTCATGTCCCTGACCAGCAAATATATTCTGTCCGAACTAGGCTCCCCTGGAAAGAGCGGCAGTTTCTTTTACTTCTCCCGCGACTATAAGTACATCATCAAAACTATCCACCACGCCGAGCACAAGCTCCTGCGAAAGATACTGCCGGAATACTACCGACATGTGGAGAAGAACCCGAACACCCTCATCTCTCAATTCTACGGATTACATCGTGTGAAGATGGCATATGGCCGCAAGATTCACTTCGTTGTGATGAACAACCTGTTTCCACCGCACCGGGATATCCATCAAACGTTCGACTTGAAGGGCTCCACAATTGGCCGAGATCTTCAGGAGTCTGATCTTGAGAAAAACCCACGGGCGACCATGAAAGATTTAAACTGGGCTCGGCGGAATCGACACATCCTTTGCGGACCTGCCAAACGAGAATTCTTCATTGAGCAATTGAAACGAGATGTCGAATTACTGAAAAAGTTGAAGATAATGGACTATTCTCTGCTCGTGGGGATACACGATGCGGAGCGAGGTAATGATGAGAAGTTACGTGACAAAACGTTGCAGGTGTTTCAACCGGGTGGTGGACGCGAGGAGGATGCCAGCCCAAACATGCTGATGCGGACACCTTCTAAATTAGAAAATGATCGCAAGGCCCGGGAGCTCCGGATGCTTATCAAACGTGAGCGTCCTGTGCCTTTGGATAAAGCAACTGCAAAAATGCCAGACGAAATCCTCGACGAACGGCAATACCATATATTCTATGCGGACGATGGAGGTTTCCGAGCCACGCATGAGAACGGTCAACCAGGAGATGAAATCTACTATCTAGGAATTATCGATTGTTTGACTCACTATGGATTCATCAAGCGAGTCGAGAACTTTTTCAAGGGCATGTCGCATGAAAAGACACAGATCTCGCCCATTCCACCGGAGAATTACGGAGATCGCTTTATCAATTTCGTCAAGAGTATCACCATGTCTGGGGAAGAGGCCGAGCGCCAGAAGACAGAGGCTGAGTTAGCAGGCGAGCACGGAGAACCCCCACTATCATCCGATGAACAGGCAGCCGAGAAGGATGCAGCCAAGGAGGTACATTCTCGCACTCTGGCTACCGTGAGGGACCCTTCAGACGCCGCTGGATCTGGCCCAACCTCGACCCTTCCAATCGTCGACGAGGCCGGCGAGGCGAGCAGTATTGGAGGCCGTAGCTCACACAGCCGTGCTAGCCGAGCTGATACTGATAAGGACCTTCCACCCCTGCCACCACAGACTCCTGAAAAAGGCAAAGCGGCTGATCGGGGATAAGTTGATCTACTACTCTTGTCCCTGACTCCTGCAGCGCTTTCTGCATGGCGTTTTTCTCTTTGATCCTGTGATGTTCAGCCATATTTCCTGTTGTCGATTGACAGGCCATTTGTTTCTTACTAGTTATACGCTGCGAGAGAATTATGCTCTGATTCAACTTTCTTTTCTTGCTGCCTCTCACCATTTCTCTCAAGAAGTTGTTTGATGGTCATGACTGACGTGCGCATTATTCTCTACCGGTTCTTGAGTGTCCCGTTTCCTCTGCCTTGCATCTCCAGCATTGTCCTGACGATCATTACTCTGTGGCTCTGCCTTGAAGAAATTCCCAATTCCTGCAATCTTTCGTCGCTACAAAGGCGATCTACGCTGCATTACTACAAGAATTTTCTCCTTTGCTTGACCAGTCTATCCTATCTACCAATCACCTTTCACACTCCCTTCCCACCCCAATCATTGTCACAACTGCTTTGCTTTCCCTTCTCATTTCCTTACATGTCTTGTCACCCTTATGCCACGTCCGCATATTACATCAACCTCCAACCCACCCCCAAATATCAAGCTTGGCCATGTCCTGAAAAACAAATGATCCCCCAGACAACAACACAACAGGATATCAACTCCAGATCACAACAAAACCGCACCTTGTTATGCGGATCCTAATATCTTCTGTTTCTTCTTCAACCGTTACTCCTTCAACCGTTACTCCTTCGTGTTTCCTTTTGTGTTTCCTTGTCTCTGATTTCTTATACTTTATTCCTTTTGCTCTTTTGCTTTTGCGCCTACTTCATACCCTGTATCAATCACTATACCACTTGCCTTCTCTTTCGTTTCTGTTTCCACAATATAGATTAGCAGATTATTGTTTGGGTCTGGCCCATTTATACCTCAACTACTTTTCTTTCCTGAATTGCTTTTCTTCTAGCTCATAATTTCTTTCGAGACTTCGTAGTATTTTGGTTTACTTAGCCTCAGAAGGCGAGTATATGTTCTATAAAGACAACTTGTCCATAAGTGGTGTAATAGGTAGGTAGCTTAGTTCTACTAATGTTGCATGATTAACCTGAATTCTACGTGCTTAACAAGAATCAAGAGATCATAAGTGGGTTTACAATTACACAATTACACTAAAGAATCAACGGAATTGAATGTAGAAAATTGGAGTAGTTAAGGACTGGTAAAGAGGAAGAACATTCAAAAGCTTCAACCGGAAATTTGAAGACAGAATTCATTTCATTTTAAATAAAATATGTAAGTCTCACCGAAATGGTAGACGTCCGAGCAAAAGATGAAAACATCGGGGAGGCAGTCGGAATGGGGAACATGAAGAAAAGAAATAAGGTATCTTGCAAAGTCATATTTGGAAGCGGTTCGAGACCGCGAAAATCCAAAATTCAAAAAAGTGAAGATTTTTTAAAAAATAGGTGGGGGGTATTGGAGTGTGCACCTGGAATGAGTAGATGCGAGCAGAAGTGAACGAAGCGATTTACTCGGTGCGTCCCTGAGTGACCTTGGCAGCCTGGACGGCAGACATCTTCTGCAGCCAGCCCTGGGCAGGCTGGGGCTTCTTGACGGTGCGAAGGTCATCGGAAGAGAAACCGGAAATACGCATGTTGTAGTTCTTCTCGAGGACAAGCTGGATGTCGCGAATTTCCAGGGTGGCCGATGGGCGAAGCTTGGCCAGGCGGCAGGCTTGGACGACGAGATCGTCAACGAAATCATCAGCCATCTGGAGCATGAACTGCGACCGGGAAAGATTAGAAAGTTAAAGAGATGGAAGGAAGAAAGCTCTAACTAACCTCTTCAGCATCGGGTGTCAACATTTCGTTCTCGCCGCCACCGGTGACCTGGCGGACGAGGATATCTAGCATCTTCTTGCTGAGGACGTGCTGACCTTCGCCCTCAAGGACGTAGCCAGGGTGCTTCTGGATAGCGGGTTGGGAAGACATTCCCATCGAGGCGTGATTGGGACCACCAGAAAGAGTAGGACGGACAGCTGGCATGGAGACAGGTTCAGGAGTTGGAACGTTGAGAGTTTTAGGAATGGCCATGTTATTGTTGCGCGCAGAAGTGTCAGTAGCACGATTTCCCAGGTAGCCCTGAGGCTGCGCCTGTTGATTATTGACTGCCTGATTCATGTTTTGCTGTTGTGGTTGCTGGGAAGTATTTGGGTTACTATAACTTTGTGCTGATTGATGCAGAGCTGCAGACGCAGATAAAGGACGAGGAGGGCCTTGGTGGATCTGTGCAGGTCCGGTTGATGTAGGTGTCGCACCTTCCAAGTTGGGAGTTTGACTGAAGGTGACTTGAGCGCCTGATGCTCCCGGTTGGGAAGGAGCTTGTGAGCGTTGTGTGAGTGGCTGCGTGGCCGAGGCAGGAGTTGTGCCAACCGGAGAGCCTGAAGGTGGCTGTCCTGCCTGAGAAACAGAAGGCGACATAACAGAATTCTGACGTGCTGCATTCACAGCTGAGTTTATGGTATGAGGAGCTGGAGCCTGGGATTGTCCCGCGTTGGGTGTTTGATTGCTCGGTGTTTGGACTGGAGTTGCTGCTGCGAGAACAGGCTGCGACTGGGCAGCTGCTGGTTGACTCATGGCTATTGGGCCATTCGATCCTGATGCCTGCATTTTGAACCCTTCCTGCTGTTCCTTGAACTTGGCTAAGAAGTCACTACCCTCCCGATACAGCTTCTCAGCAGCTAGCTGGCGGTTTTTGAAGTCTGGCACCTCCTCCGAAGTAATATTGCCTTGCGCCGTGCGTGCTGCATATTGCTGACGCAACTCGGTCATCCGAACTCTACCAACCTCCTGTTTCTGGAGCGCAATTCCATATCGCAACCGGGCCTCGGGGATCCATGTCTGAAGTTGTTCCTGGGTGACATTTGGTGGGAGGTAGAAGTTGAGGGCGCTAACTTTGGCTTGGATTTGTGGTAGCAGCTGGTTCAAAGACTGTGGGTTGCTTGACTGAGTTCGTTGAACAGGTTGTCCTTGCGGCGCAACATTCTGGGCTTGTGCCTGAGCATGAGCCTGAGCTTGAGCGGCTTGTGCCTGAGCCTGTTGCTGATGCGCCTGCATTGTGCGGTTCTGCTGATACATCCTCATGCCCTTCATGAGACTCTGAGATAGCTGCGACAGTTTCATGTGTGCAGTATTGTACTCATTGGTCGATGGGTCGCGTGTGTTAAGTGTGTCCCAGAGAGTCCGGACAAGCTGGGTATGCTGCAATTTCTGTTGCTCTGTGAGATGAGGCAGCTTCTGAACTTGATCAGTGCGAATCAGGTTCGAGTTTTGCTGCTGAGGAGGGACCATTGGGCCCGATTGACCTGTTCCGTCCATCTTGGATGGCTGGATGGCTGTGCTCTTGGGTGATGGAAATCGCGCGATCGGAAGAGGTTCAAGAGAAACTGGAGTGGAAGGAGGTCTGAAGGCGCAGTGAAGGAAGTGAGAGAAGAGAAATATGGGAGAAAAAGATTCAAGATGTTAGACCACACGTGAGGTCAGTGAATTCAGCGCGTTCGGTGAGGAAATGCCGGATTTATCTACACTGTAAGCGGTATGAGACCGAAGAAGTGAAGCTGGGATGTTAATCTTGGCACGCGGCTAGATTGACTGATGAGATACTTCGGAATAGATACTTCGGTAGAGATACTTTGCAATAGAAACTCTGAAATATAATATCGTTACAACTCTTGGACCTTCTAAAGGGTGAATGGGGTTATCCACGGTTGGTTTACAGGGCTCACCGCTTTCTACCTATACATTTGTAATAAGCCTTGGAGGTCTACTATGGGAGAAATCATGTTTGGAGTGATATAGATCTGAACGTTAAAGGTCAATAGACTCTTAAGAGGCCTGAGGGTATTTTATTCAATCACAAGGTGGAAGACTTTCAAGGTGTATGTCGTCTGTAAAGCTGCAGGACACTTCCTATCAATATTGTCAAAGTCCCCTTATAGCTGTGAACTTGTTTGCTTGACAAATAGAAACAGGCTCAAACAGAAGAGTTTCCGGAGTCTATTGATCACTCCACTAGTTCTGGGGCCTGTTCCTCTTATCATTCCTTTAAATTCACTTTGACATCACTTTGTAGACATCCTGTGCTCCACAATGAAGTAGAACATAGTCAACAGTCAGAGAGGGGACCGCTAGACTGCATCAAGGCAAGGAATTTTGTCAATGAAAGGACCAAATGATTCAAATGATTCAACGAGTCAACCATCTGGGATGTTCTTCAGACCTGGGGCAGCACTAGTGGTCGTTCCCAAGGATAAGGGATGCACTTTATCAGTTATGACAAGAATAGACATCTTTTTTGTACGTATGCAACTTTCATGTTATCAACCGACGAGCCCACCAAGATCACGCTCCATGCCAGTGGCTCGAGCTTCCAATTCTCGCTTTCTCCGTTCCAGATGTCTGATTTCAGCCAATTCCTGCTCGATATCTTCGTCAGTAACTTCGGGAATGTCTGACCGCGGTACAGTAGCAGGTGCATATTGATCATCGTCTTCGTATGATTGCCTCATGTTCTCTAACTCTGCAGTGTTGGTCGCGACACGATCTTCTAGCTGAGCAATAGATTCGGTAGCTATTTCGTGACGATAGCGCAATGTGGCAATCTTTTCTTGTGCACCAGCAACCGGGCTATATATTCATTAGGAATGGAAGATAAATGAAGTGGCTGGCAACCTACTAGACTTTGCATAGCTTTTCCGCGCCACGGAGCAAGACTTCGATGTTGACTTCACCGCGGGGACCGCGAGTAGACGTGCCAGTCGACCGCTTTATTTCTTCCATCATGTCTGATCCAAGCACACGGGCTACTGCAGACTGGTTGCTCTTGTTTCTTGCAGAGTAGATTCGACTGGCCATGGTCTCGTTCTCGGGCTCTGTGGGAAACATAGTTCCGCGTCGGGTGGCACGCCGTTGCGATCCATGGGGTTTGGCGGCTGGGTCAACTTGAAACAAAGCTCGTTCATGAGATTCAGTATCACGGATCAAGGAAGTGATGTCGTGAGAGCCTAGTAGCGCGTTTGTGAAGATTCGGGGAGGAGGGAACCTAGTGAAGTGTAAGTAAAGGCGACACATGAGCAAGACGATAAGCACTCACGGTAGATTAGCGATAGCATTCGAGGAGAGAGAAATTTGCTCCAGATGGGATTCAAGGAGAGCCATGTTGGTGTGTTGAACTTTCAAATCGCTGATTGTTTTGGTTGATTCGGAGCTGTGGTTTGTGTTGCCTCAGGCGTGAAATCCAAAGTCGGCTATGAAGCAGTAAATATGATTTTGATAGGCAACAAATCTAATATTTCCTTCTTAAATCGTTTTTCTTATCTCTGAAATAAGTCGCTTTATTACATCACTTTCTAATATCTAGGAACTCGGAGTAATATTGCGCTATCTGACTTAGCCCAGTAAGCTCTACCCTGACTAAGCACTCCTCAGGCCCGTCTTGCACCCGTCCTCGTCTCTTGACATCACATCATTCATCCATTTCATCTATCCCCTGTCAACTTTCCCCCATCGTTTTCTTGGTCATTACTAGCTTGGCATTGAATTTGCTCGTCTGATTCTTGCTTACGTTCCGTGATTCCTATAGCCCTTCCCTTCCCTTACTCTCTTAGCTTGGGTGCTTGCTCAGCCGAGCTCAACAGCTTGCGAAATATGCCGGCCGAGAGGCGTTCTCTACGATCAAACAACAAATCCGATACCTCTTCATCTGCTAACGGTGAAAAGGCAAGCTCAAACTCTCAGAGCCCGGGTGCCAAAGACAAGGCCGCGCCTACGACTCGCGCCGCTGCTAAGGCCAAGTCAGCTCCAGCAAAGAAAGGTGCCAAGGGCACATCGAACAGCAGCATGGAGAAGAATGACCAGTCGCAGACCAATGGATCTAAGTCGACCGACAATGGTGTGAATGGTTCTGAGGACGTTGAGATGGGCGAGGACACGACAGGTGCGCCTACATCCTCCTTCAACTCCGATAAGGACCGGAATGGTAACGAGATGACAGTTGTAGTGCCTCCGACTAAGGGTTCCAGATCATCTGGCAAGACCACCCAGGATAATGAGGAGGATGTGACGATGGAAGGTGCAGAGGACGGCGAGGGTGCAAAGACCGATACCGAGGTCGACCCTACGACCAAGGCCATTCAAGGTATATATATCTCCATATCATCCAGTCCGCAGAACGCTTTTTTCTAACAGAAAAACCGCCATCTATTCAATGATTACAGACATCAAAACCAACTTTACCCTGCTCGAGCGGGCTGTCGCCCACTTCGATCCCCGATTTACTCTACGTGTCCTACGGTCCATTTCGTCGATGCGGAAACATATTACCCCGCAGGTTCTATCCAAGGTGATTGTGGAAACCTACCCGGAGTCGAGCCAGACAGCGTCTTTCTTGCTCGAGGGTATCGACCAAGCCGGTGCCTTTGAGAATGTTGAGGCAAGCTCGGAGATGGAGGTAGATTCAGAGAAGAAGGTATCTCCCAAGGAGACCCTACCTGAGGTGGATGCATATCTTTCTGTTCTGGTGCAAATCTACCTTTTCGACCAACAACAAATCCAGAAGGGTGCCGAGTTCTCGACTAACCTGATTGAGCGCCTACGAACCCTCAACCGCCGTACGCTGGATTCTCTCGCTGCTCGCGTGTACTTTTACTACTCCCTCTTCTTTGAGCAAATTGCTCCTCTTGCTCCGTCCCCCGCAGCTGCTGTGACCAACATTCGTCAACCGTTGCTTGCTGCGTTGCGGACTGCCGTCCTCCGCAAGGATGTTGATACGCAAGCGACCGTGATGACCCTACTGCTCCGCAATTATCTGTCCACCTCCCATATCACTCAGGCAGATCTTTTGATCTCGCACAACAGCTTTCCCGCCGCTGCCTCCAACAACCAGATTGCCCGCTATCTATTTTACCTCGGTCGTATCCGTGCCATTCAACTGCAGTACACCGAGGCCCATAGCCACCTGATTGGTGCCACTCGCAAGTCTCCTACCAGCCAGTGTGCACGTGGATTCTACCAAGCCTCTCACAAGCTGCTCGTTGTGGTGGAGCTGTTGATGGGTGATATCCCAGACCGTGCAGTGTTCCGCCAACCCGCTTTGGAAAAGACCATGCACCCATACTTGCTACTTGCGCAGGCTGTCAGCGCTGGTGATTTGGATGGCTTCTTGAATATCGTCAACACCCACAGCTCGACTTTCCGTAAAGATGGTACATACACTTTGGTTCTCCGTCTGCGACAAAATGTCATCAAGACCGGAATCCGCATGATGTCGCTGTCTTACTCCCGCATTTCCCTTCGGGAAATTTGTCTTCGCCTGAAGCTGGACAGTGAGGAGTCGGCAGAGTACATTGTGGCAAAGGCTATCCGTGACGGTGTCATTGAGGCAACCCTGGATCATGAGCATGGATTTATGAAGAGCAAGGAGGTTGGGGACATCTACGCTACACGGGAACCTGGCGAGGCGTTCCATGAGCGTATCCGCGCCTGTCTGGCTCTTCATGATGAGAATGTTAAGGTATGTGACTTCTAAGAACTCTGATAGTATCGGTTTCTAACATAATGTAACAGGCTATGCGGTTCCCGATGAACCAGCACCGCCTAGAGCTGAAGAGCGCCCAGGAGGCACGGGAGCGTGAGAGGGAGCTCGCCAAGGAGATCCAGGAGGGGGATCTGGATGATGAGGATGCCGGCGGTGACTTCGACGCTATCTAATTTATAGTTAGTTCATCGAAGTTGTCACAGCACATCCACTTCTGCGCCGGCTCTATCCATGGGTCCCTCTTGTAGTGACCTTCAACTTATGTGTTAATTGTGTTCAGTTTCGCTTTTTCTTTCGTGGAGGGTTGTATGAAGGGGAATATGCAGGATTAAGATGACCGGCGCAAATATTCGTGTCTCTTACAAATTATTTCCTTGCATACGATCTTGGGTATCGCCTTGAAGAGGTAGTTGTTCTTCCTGTGCCTCATAGAAAAGTAATGTAGTAGGGGATGTCAAGATTACCAGTCATATCGAAATAGATATTTTATTTCTGCATCTATTATTCAACAAGATTGGTTGTGTCTTTTTAGTCCAACGTTGATATCACGAAGTGCCTGGAGCCCAGAAGGCATGTCTAGGCGTTACCGCGTTGGTCCGTGCCGTCCCGAAACGAAAGCTCGAAATCTTTCCGCAGGTTTATTTCCAGTCCTCCCCAAACACAATATCATATTTCGCATTGAGCCAGCTCAACAGAATATTCAAGCCCCAGCTACTAATCTACTATATCACCGGATTTTCTTTGTAAAAGCCCTGCATTGAGCCATGCGGGCTCGAACCGTTTCAGCTGGGCTGGCTCTCACACGAACACCCTCAACGTCGGTGTGTTCGCAATGCCTCCTTGACGACTTGCTTTCTACACACATCACAGCTCAATCTCGAAAATATCATCCTACTCGCCGACGGGATATCTCTCCGATTGGGGCCGCAGTGTCAGCGGCCCAGACCATCCTCAAGGGTCTGCCGAAGGCTCCTCCAGGAATTTCAGTCGACCCGTTGCGAATTGTCGGCAAGGAGCTGAAATTCTTGACGAAGAACATTCGCCAGCTGCTTGGGTCTGGTCATCCTGCGCTTGACAAGGTTGCTAAATACTATACACACAGCGAGGGCAAGCACATGCGGCCAATGCTGGTTCTGCTTATGTCCCAAGCGACAGCTTTAGATCCTCACAAGGAAGCTTCCAATCCCTCCAACCCAAGCCCTGTCGATAATCCTTTCAGTGCTCCTTCAATCCTTGATGATAGCAACCCCGATATGAACCCGCTAGTTGATAAATCCGCCGAGGCCAAGTACGACTTTACTGGCGACGACAAAATTCTCCCATCGCAGCGCCGCCTGGCTGAAATTACTGAACTTATCCATACCGCATCCCTCCTCCACGACGATGTCATTGATAGCGCGGTGAGCCGTCGAGCTAACAGCTCGGCTAACATGGCTTTCGGTAACAAAATGGCCGTGCTTGCAGGAGACTTCCTGTTGGGACGAGCATCAGTGGCTTTGGCCCGACTTAGAGACCCCGAGGTTACTGAGCTGATGGCAACTGTGATTGCAAACCTCGTCGAGGGCGAGTTCATGCAGTTGAAGAACACAGCCCGGGACGAGCCTAACCCCGCCTACACGGACGAAACCCTGGAATACTATCTTCAGAAGACCTACTTGAAAACCGCCAGCTTGATTAGCAAGTCCTGTCGGTCTGCTGCTGTGCTCGGTCGGAGTTCCCCGGAGGTTATCGAGGCTTCGTATCTCTATGGCCGTAACCTGGGTCTGGCATTCCAGCTGGTGGATGATATGTTGGATTACACTGTCACCGAAGCTGAGCTAGGTAAGCCAGCAGGTGCTGATTTGGAGCTTGGTCTGGCCACCGCTCCATTACTGTTTGCTTGGAAGGGCAACGCTGAGCTTGGGCCTTTGGTTGGTCGCAAGTTCAGCAAGGAGGGCGACGTGCAGCGAGTAAGTTGATGCTTGCTTTATCATAATTGTCCACGCTAACATTGTTACCAGGCCCGTGAGATCGTATACCACAGTGATGGTGTTGAGCAGACCCGTCAGCTGGCCCAGGATTACGCTGACAAGGCTGTGGCTGCTATCAGCGGATTCCCTGACAGCGAAGCCAAGCAGGGACTGATCGACATGTGTGAGAAGACCATGCGCCGAAGGAAGTAAGAAAGAAAGTAAAGATGGAAGACCCTTGTACCATTTGTGAACATATATATTTTCGACTTCTTTCGCTTTGAAAGTAGTAGGTGTATGACTAGACGCGTTGAATTTAGACCAACAAAAATCAACTTGGTTGTATAATGATTTTGAATATAGATGGGTGAGGAATCCTTCAAGACGACCTCAGGACAAATTGCTCAATGGAATAATCCATAGATGTGCAAAGGTATACAGGTAAACTGGTGACATACAGACACAAAACTTGAAAGACTCTAGACTCAATCTTGACAGGTCGCAATCTTGCAGTCCTGATTGGTTATATTGTCAACGTCGTTAATTACATACCGTAATAAATACAGCCACTGCGAGTCTCTCACTATAGCAACGGTATTATAATACATGAATATGACATGACATCGTCATTATCCCGTCAAGTCAATAAATACTGTTGAAGCTTACTACTCCACTTCTCCTCTCAGGCATTCGTTCATAGTTTTGAAATTCAAATCGCAACCAATAACTCGATCTAATCTTAGTAATCGCATACTCTCTAGTCTACACGTTTCCCAAACTATGGAGCTTTCGGTCCTCCCGCACTGATCGAACTGGTTCCTGATGGGTTCGTTCGGCAGCTTCCTCTTTATATATGTTCTCGGTGGCCTCACCTTCATCCCGTTGGTCATATCCTTGATCCTCCTCTACGCATACCTTACTCTTCCCGATGTCGCCTCGTCACAGCAGACATACAAGCAAGCTTCTGAGGTTCGTCGGCCCACCGACGATGAGAATAGCTTGAAGTCCGGCACCGATGAGCTGGCTGAACAGTTCCACCGTACCCATGACTCCGATGTTGCCGCAGGATACTTTGCTGTTTGTCGAGAATACGTTCCCGGTGGAGTAAATGGGAAACCACCAGAGAGAACAACCCCGGCTGGTGAGGTCGTTGCGGCTGAGAGTCCCAGCGTCTACCAGACTATGTACCGGAGTTTATTCGATCGGAAACAAACGCCCAGCATTGAGCCGACGAAGTCCAATGGGAAAAATACTAAGCGGGCGCGAAATATCTTTTACATCGTTCTTCGGTATGTGATGGGACACTCTCAGGAGATCGGCAGATCCTTGGCGGTATACAAATATGCTAACGATAAGCGGGGCCACCCAGACATGGCCATCTTATGCTCTATGATGATGAAAGTCAAGTCGAGGTGCGATATGTCATCTCCCTCGCCCATCACGACGTGAGTATACATGGTGCCGATGGTGAAGGGGAGATCCCAGAGGGCGAGCTGTGGATCAAGAGAAACGCCATCTGCCTGTCGCGGCGATTGAATTCGCTTGGAGACCTGGGAGGACCAACGCCGCCCTTTTACCTGTTTTCTGAAAATCTGTCTGAGAAAGAGGACTTCTACTTCGCCATGCTCCAGAACCAATCCAAATTATGGGAATTTGCCGATCGTCCCCCCAAGCCACGGGAGTTTGATATCAAAAACATCGTTACGCTAGTCCAGCGCCTTCATTCATCTGAAGAGCAGTTGCAGACTAGATGGATCAATGCTTTCCTCGGACGATTGTTTCTGGCTCTTTACAAAACGTCAGAGTTGGAGCAGCAGATTCGAAATAAGATCAGCAAGAAGATCGCACGCGTGAACAAGCCCAACTTCATCAGCAAGATTGGACTGCAAAAGATTGATTTGGGAGAAGGAGCTCCCTTCATTACTAACCCCAGACTAAAAGACCTGACTGCTGACGGCAACTGCTGTGTCGAGGCAGACCTTCAATACACGGGAAACTTTCGAGTTGAAGTTTCGGCCACTGTGCGCATTGATCTCGGTCCCCGGTTCAAAGCGAGAGAGGTTGACATCGTATTGGCTGTAGTACTGAAGAAGCTGGAAGGTCATTTGCTGGTCCGCTTCAAGCCTGCACCTAGCAATAGGATTTGGATGGCATTTGAAACAATGCCGAAGATGGAGATGGACATTGAACCTATTGTCAGCTCGAAACAAATTACTTTCAGTCTCATCCTACGCACGATCGAGAGTAAGATTCGTGAGGTTGTGGCTGAGAGTATTGTTTTGCCGTTCTGGGATGATATTCCATTTCTTGATACTATGGGTCAACCCTTCCGTGGTGGCTTATGGCGACAAGATACGACAGAAACTTCTGAACAGACGGAAATACCTGACGAGTCTGGTGACGCTCCCACAACACCCCAGAGTGTCCCTGGGGACAATCTTGATGCTTTGAAGTCCAAGGATGATCGAACGAAGAGCATGCCCGTTCTTTCTGATTCTGTTTCATCTAAAGTGACATCTCGTCGGGGTTTGAAGTCGTCATCCGGGGAATTGCAGAAAAATGTGCCAACAGCGACCTCTACCGGAGTTGAGAGACCTGTATATCCTCGTGGCATGCGGTCACAAGCTTTTTCCAGCGCAGCAGATCCAGTGGTAACACCGGACAATGCTAAGGTTGATAAGGTTCTCTCAGAGGCTAAAACAAAGGGCGAGGAGAAGAGCGGCGCAGCTTCAGGTCTGATTGAAATATCAAATCGTTCGCCACCTATTTCTCCAGCACCCACTCCGAGTAGCTCGCCGCCCACTGGTGGCCTCATGGTACCCGAAAGTGCAGCAGTTCACAGCCGTCAATCTTCCTTTACGGAATCCGTCGATGGGCTCAGCACCTTCAATGACCATATCATAACAAGCCCTATGTCTGCTCGTTTTGACGGCAACTCTATCTCTAGTCCACGAATGTCTCGTGGTAGTTCTTCTGCATCTCTCACCGAAGATAGCAAGCCCCGGCGGCGCAGTACCATGGAGATCTTGGCTAAGTCATTCGGGTCTTCATCTTCCGATGACAAACCGAATGGTAGCCTTACAGTGGGCTCAGCAACTGCCGCTGCGAAGAAATGGAGTATGAGCGTTTTTAGGAAAGGAGACTCGAATACAGACCAACAAGCCCCCAGCCCTGCTCCTGGCAACCTCGATCAGCCGATTGGTCGTGGACATCCCCATCTTCCCCCTGGGGCACCCTTGCCACGCCCGGACAAATATGCCCTCAAGAGAAATGCTACCTCGAACACCTTGCCCAAGCGGAAACCCGTGGTACATTCAGAGCTGGCCGACTCACTCGACCAAATTCCTGCTTCTTCCCATACATTACCTCGCCGGAAGCCGATCCCCCCTCACTTGCGAACTAATATCGGCACCGACGAGCTCCTCGTGGTTGAGGCACCTTTTGACTCTACACCGAACAGCCCAGCTGTGGGTGATGTGGACTTGGAAGACAATTCCGCAGTACCGATTCTCCCTGACAGTGAGACTTCATCCAAGACTGATCTTACTGGGACAGATTCCAAATGGAATGATGGAGATGAACAAGACACTAAACCTCTGGAATCACCTAAATCATTGGACCGTACGATATCTTCTTCACCTGAAAGCGAGAATTTGTTGCCTCCTGAAGTGCTCCAAGTTCCATCAGCTTGATGTCCAGTTCAAGGCTCTACTTACTAGAACTTCTCTTCCTTAATTCTTATGCTTGGTTATGAGATTCAACCAGGGCGTTCTTTCAGGCGGGTTTGTGATTGCATTTGTAGGGTAGAAATTGTTTCTATTCCAGTTGAGTTGTGGGGCAACAGAAGTTTGTATAGAAATTAAAGGGTACTTGGTGTTTTAGGCATGCCGAATTCAAGCAACTCAGAATATCCTTTTTTTGCTATTCAGTGCTAGGTAGCAACATAGAGAGGCTTTTCAGAAGCAAATATTGATGTATTATATAACAAATTTAAAGAACTATTGCAGTGTTGCCTAGAACTACGCGTAATCCCATGCGGCAATATAGTAAGGGATGGAGCCAGGCTTAGGCGTCGCCAAGACCCGACAGGCTGCCAGCTTTCTTCAACGTCATTGCGCTCCACGTGCAGTTGTCTCGAACCTATCCTTCATCTTCGCCGGTCAGCGCACACTTTTGCCCTAATAGCGCTGTCCGGACTCAGGACTTGCCGTGAAATCTTGTTCCTATCCTTTCTTTCCCCTGAATCCGCATTGCCCGCGCCTCAAGATGTCTCGGTACGACCAGGACCCCCCTCATATTGAAGGAAGACGCTAATACCTTCAATTGTGCAGGACGGAGGCCGACTTGGCCATTAATATCCGAAAGGCCACAAGTATTGGTATGTGATCTTAGTTACGAGCTGATGTACCCCAATACCCGGGGACGGCAAAAGGAGAAGAGAGATGCTAATGTGTTGATTGCTACGATAGAGGAAACTGCGCCGAAACGTATGTTCTACACTGCCTTACTATATCCCTTGCGATCGTTTCTGAAACACCCCTCAAATCGACTCGACTGACCCCTTATGCGCAGGAAAACATGTTCGAAGTTGTATTGTTTATACGTGGGACCATAAGTCGTCGTCGGCCTTTTGGGCGGGCATGAAAGTGTACGTGGTACTACGTGAATAATGGAAGAGTTATTAGTGACCTGGCTGACCTGAATTCATCCGTTGCAGTCAGCCCGTCCTTGCAGACGAGGTCCAGACGTTCAAGGCCCTCATTACCATCCACAAAGTTCTCCAAGAGGGTCACCCCGTGGTCGTGCGGGAGGCCCAGCAACACACCGACTGGATCGATAGCTTGATGAGAGGATTCGGTGGAGGCGAAGGTGTTCGAGGTATGGCAAACAGACCTGCAAACGGTGCATTGGCTCTTCGCTAAGGAGAAGTGGCGCATGGAGCAGACATGGATATTGACAGCGTTGAACAGGATATGCGACCCTTATCTCCACATACGTCTACTTCCTTGAGGCGAAGCTGGCCTTCCACCGCAATCACCCTGAATTCAATGGTAGGTCGTTGACGGACTGAGGCCTGCGATGGACAATTTTTAACATGCCTAGGATTGTTTGAATACGAGGAATACATCAGTTTGAAGACTATCAATGATCCAAATGAAGGGTACGTTTCATTCGGGCAATGGGCTTTCTTACAAATGCTGACGGGTCTACTAGCTATGAGACTATCATGGATCTTATGGTCCTACAGGATCAGATCGATGCTTTCCAGAAGCTTGTTTTCTCTCATTTCCAATCTGGAACTAACAACGAGTGCCGTATCTCTGCGCTCGTTCCTCTGGTGCAGGAGAGTTATGGAATTTACAAGTTCATCACCAGCATGTTGCGAGCAATGCACACAAGTATGTACTCTGAGAACTGTAGAAATCATTTTTTTTCTAACGGGTTTGATTCTGCAAGCAACCGGAGATGACGAGGCCCTCGAGGGACTGCGTAACCGTTACGATTCCCAGCACCACCGACTCGTTCGATTCTACTACGAATGTTCCAACTTGCGCTATCTGACCAGTCTCATCACTATTCCCAAGCTGCCTCAGGATCCGCCAAATCTGCTCAGCGAAGATGGTGACCGTCCAGCTCTACCGCGACGACCGGCTAACGAAGTTGAACGTCAGCCTTCACCTCCGCCCAAGGTCGCCGCCGAACCTGAGCCAATCAACGATTTCTGGACTAATGAGGCCAAGAGACAGCAAGAAGAGTATGACGCTGAGCAAGCCCGTCTGCAAGGCCTTTGGGAGGACCAGCAGCGACAGCAAATGCTTGCGCAGCAGCAGGCTCAGCGTGACTTCGAGGAACAGCAGAGACAGCAGGCTGAACAACAAAGATTGGCACAAGAGCAGCTTCTCCGCGACCAGTATCAGACACAAACACATGGTCGACTTGCAGAGTTGGAGCAAGAGAATCTCAATGCCCGTGCCCAGTACGAGCGTGATCAATTGATGCTGCAACAGTATGACCGCCGTGTCAAGGACCTGGAGGAGCAGATGAACCAATTGAATTCGAATATTAACTTGCAGAATGCCTCCAAGGACGACCAGATCAGGGCTTTGCAGGAGCAGGTGAACACCTGGCGGACCAAGTACGAGGCCCTCGCCAAGCTTTACTCGCAGCTGCGACAAGAGCACTTGGATCTCCTGCAAACCACCAAGAGCTTGAAGCTTAAGGCTGCTTCGGCACAGGAAGCCATCGAACGGCGCGAGAAGTTGGAGCGTGAGCTCAAGACCAAGAATCTAGAGTTGGCCGACATGATCCGCGAGCGAGATCGTGCTCTGCATGACAGAGATCGCTTGACAGGTACCAACAAGGATGATATTGAGAAGCTCAAGCGAGAGCTCCGCATGGCTATCGACCGGGCTGAGAATGCCGAACGGTCGAAGGGCACAGAGATTTCCTCCATGCTTTCCAAATACAATCGCGAAATGGCTGATTTGGAAGAGGCTCTTAGAGTAAGTCTTGCCAGAAGTGTCGACTGTTAGTGATGTATCCGCTGACAAATACAGAATAAATCAAGAGCTCTTGAAGATGTCTCCAGCCGCAAGTCCGAATGGCAAGGCGATCATGAGCTCTCTCTTCGTGAGAAAGATGAGGAGATTGAAGTTTACAAGTCTGGCATGGAGCAGGCTTTGATGGAATTGGAGGAGTTGAAGATGGTAAGTCAAAATTCATTCACCCAATGCATGTTATGGTGGTACTAATTTAGCATCATTTTCTAGCACCAAGGCGATGCCGACAATGAGTTGGACACCCAGATTGATAGTGTGCTTCACGGAACTGTGGCCAAGATCAACGATATCATTGACTCTGTGTTGCAGACTGGTGTGCAGCGTGTGGATGATGCCCTGTACGAGCTGGATTCATCCATGCAAGCCGGAAACCAGAATGCCTCACCGGCCTACGTGTTGTCGCAGATCGAAAAGGCATCCGCTTCAGCTACCGAGTTCTCCACAGCCTTTAATAACTTCATTGCCGACGGTCCCAGCAGCCCCCATGCCGAGATCATTCGCACCGTTTCTGTCTTTTCAGGTTCAGTTGCGGATACTTTGAGCAACACCAAGGGTCTTTCTCGTTTTGCCAACGATGACAAGAGCTCCGATCAACTGTTCAATGCGGCTCGTAAATCAGCCCAGGCGACCGTGCGTTTCTTCCGCGGTCTGCAATCCTTCCGCCTCGAGGGCCTGGAGGCTCTCCAGAAGACAGATGTGGTCATCAACAACAACCTTGAAGTCCAGCGGGACCTGCAAGCACTGTCGAAGATGGTTGAGTCCTTCACGCCGAAGAGCAGCCACATCAACACCAAGGGTGACCTGGGTGATCTTGTGGACCAAGAGTTGCTGAAGGCAGCTGATGCCATTGACGCTGCTGCTCAGCGCCTAGCCAAGCTGAAGAACAAGCCTCGTGACGGTTACTCGACCTATGAGCTGCGCATCAACGACATCATCCTGGCAGCAGCCATTGCCGTTACCAACGCGATTGCTGAGCTGATCAAGGCAGCAACTGATACCCAGCAAGAAATTGTGCGCGAGGGTCGTGGCAGTTCATCCCGGACAGCCTTTTACAAGAAGAACAACCGTTGGACGGAAGGATTGATTTCTGCCGCCAAAGCCGTGGCTTCTTCTACTAACACCCTGATTGAGACTGCCGACGGTGTCATTTCAGGCCGCAACTCTCCCGAGCAGCTCATCGTTGCATCCAACGATGTTGCTGCTAGCACAGCACAGCTAGTGGCTGCCAGTCGTGTCAAGGCCACTTTCATGAGCAAGTCCCAAGACCGCTTGGAAACTGCCAGCAAGGCCGTTGGTGCGGCCTGTCGGGCACTTGTGCGACAGGTCCAGGATATCATCAAGGAGAAGAACCGCGACGACACCGAAGCAGAAGACTACGGCAAACTCAGCGGCCACGAGTTCAAAGTGCGGGAGATGGAGCAACAGGTAAGTCCATTGTCCATTCTAGTTCCAAGTGTTATATTAATTCTTTTTTTTGCTACAGGTCGAAATTCTCCAACTCGAGAACGGCCTCGCTCGTGCCCGCCAACGTCTCGGAGAGATGCGCAAGATATCATACCAGGAAGAGTAAACCCCCTATCACATCTCACCAGTGTGTAGCTCCTCTGAGACAATTGTATATTCCACAGCCGTGCCATTTCAGTTCTGTTCTCATCCTAGGAACCTAGGTAGTAGCTCTGCAAGTACTTAGCGAAATATTACTTTGGCTATTTTCAGCTCCCCTTAATGAATCCATGTACTCAGTATACGCTGTACATATACCCTAGACCCGAGACATGTTCCGCAAACGGTCATCTCCGTACAAAAGAAAATTACCTAATCAGGTTAGAACACAAACTGTCACAAAGAAAGAGGCTGAACATGTGGGGATTTAAGTTGCAGATCAGTGGGTCAATAGTCTTGGCAATATGCAGCCTTAACAAAGAAACCGAAACGGTATCAGCGACTAAAAGTATGTTCCGCGACACAGATCCAGCTCAAGATCCAGATCAAAGTTCCTACAATTGCAAGGGAGACTAATCAGGAAAGGAAATCTTTATGTACAATTTTCTTTATTGTTTTTTCTTTTTTTTTTTTTTTTTTTTTTCAAACAAAAGGGCCCTCTTAACGGTCAAGGACTATGGAAGTTCGTCTGCCACTTCTTGGCTATGTTTTTTGGGGAAAAGTTCGGAATCTCAGATACGCTTCGTTGTCATGTAGTTATCGCGCTTCGTGATCATTGTTGTTGTCCTTCGAAATCATATTGTTGGACTTTAAATTCAAGGTCGATGTTTTTGGGTTTTCGATGTAAAAGTTGTAAGAGTGGTGTTGCTATGTGCAGAGTTGTAAAAGAAGTTGAAAAATATGAGAAAGTGGCGATCGCACACGTAGAGATCACAAGCTGACAAGATATCGAACCCCGTAGACTAATTGGGGTTGGGTGCGTGGCGGGCATAGATGTTTGCTTGAGTCATTGCCTTCGTGTTTAGGAGACGAGCTGTAGCAACAGAAAATTCTGGAGGATCCACGTTCGGAGCATAGTGAATGAGGTCGTTGATAGGGTGCATTCCCTCGTCGGGGACGTAGAACATATCGCGCAACGTCAGATAAGGGTCTTCTGCGGTCAGAAATTCGCCGCTTGCAAGATCAAAATCCCACTCCACGGGATCAAGGGTTCGACCATTGAGAATAGCAATAGCGGAGTCGTTCAACGAAGAGCACAATGGCACAGGCTTCAGGATTGCGTAGCCACGTATGTGGAGGGTGACAAACTCGATAATCTCGAAGATATCGAGTGGGGTACGGATAAGGCTCATACGGACATCATCGACCCATGCTGCTCGGTTGAGCTCCACGCCAGCTTTCGTTTTCTCAACAGTCCATCCGCACATCGTCACATATTTGCTAGGAATTGGAAAGTTGACGAAACGGCTGATACGTCGAAGAAAGCCGGTAAGAGAGCCGTCCTCGAGATCATAACGGTCACGGAGCTCATTGTAGGTCTTGGCTAGCACCTCCCAATGAGACTTCAGGGGGTCTTCTGCCCACAATTGGGCGATACATTGCGATTTATGCTTCTGAGTGAGGCCGTCAAACACGGGCGCCAACCAAGCTATCTTATTATTAGCAAAAGATTTAGGCCTAACGGTGGAAGTTTTGACTTACTGCGAAATGCCATGAAGCTATTCAGAGGTCGGGTCTTGCGAAGAGCAGAAGGCCGAAGGGGGACGTTGTTCGACCGATCCCACAAATCAACGAAAGGCTTCAGCTCTTCATGATTGATGACGTGCGACTTATCACACAAAGGGTCATAAATCAACCTTCCATCTGAGATTTCGAAGTGAGGTCCGGAAGGGACAGGAAGGGGACGAAGAAAAAATGCAGCTGGGATACCCTCAATCAGGCTCGAAGCATATTCATTCATAGTCTGCTCCTCCTTGTTCCAGAGGCCGAGAATGTGTGAAGCTCGCTCAAATTTCATTGTCGTGAGGTAAGCAAACATCAAGGCCGACTCAGCTGGCCATGCAGCTGAGAATTTTGTGGCCATGATAGTAAAGACAGGTGAAAAAGCGGAGGATGAGGATGAGGAGGAAGAAAGGAAACAGAAGATGGATAAACAGAGGTATTTATTTAATGGGGAGATCCACTTTTTTACTTCGACTTCCAAACTCAGATGAACTTAGTGACATCACTTCAACTACTGTCAATACAATGGTCTATCAACTACTGACTTCTACTTTCAATTTGCCTGAGTCGTATCAATGAGTCATTGTCTCTCAAATCCCTTAAATCCACTGCAATATTTACTTCTTGTCTTATTGAAAGAAACTGAGTAGTGGCTCTTTAAACCACTTAAAGAACTAATCTATTTGGACCATAACATGTGGCAATATGACCCATGGCTTCGACTCAACTTCTTTGTTACCGCGGTGACTCGATTTCAGTGAACTGAATTCTCTTTCATGAACTTGTTGGGAATTCCAGTATTCTGATTTTCAACCAATTGACTGCCTATACCCAGCCTTTAAAATGCTTTTAATTCAAAATGTCCAGTTATGTCAAATTGTGTGTTATTCCCGCAGCCTTCTTTTCATTCTATGATTAATTAACAACAAAATCATGTCCTCCAATTCCATAATCAATTTACACCAAATAGAATCCTAGCCTTTAATCCTATACTGATTCAATGATCATGCAAACATAGTTCGGATACACGTGGAGATGGAGATCTCCATGACCCACCCGCAAAATGTATCCGTGCACGATCCACACGTGAGCCCCGTTGGATTAAAATTACCTATTTAGGTAATTTTTGAAATTGAAAAGATAAAATTGTATCCTCGATTATATCTAAAGTCTACTCATCTAGATAACTTCCCGGGGTGTATAAGCTACCTAGCCAATGCACGAATATATAACCTCACTACTTAGATCTACGAGTAGCAAGTACAATCATTCCAAGGCTGCGAAGTTGATCTACAAAAACTGTGAGAGCTATGCATGGATGACAAGTTCCAACATCTGAAAATTGTTGGTACATGTATTCCTAATTAGAGATCTCTGAAGACAGGCATGGAGATTTAGTAGCATCCCTGGATGACTGGGAACAGTAGCATTCATGGAAGCATACAGCTTTCCCAATTGTAATATGATGATAAAGTTAAAGCTTCCTAGATTTAATAAAATATATTGCCCGCGCGGCTTCGAGTGTGGTATCTGAAGAACAAGTTGTAACACCTCATCCCGAGCCTTGCAGGTCCTTCATCACGGCTCTGCCTGCTGCATTGGCGAATTCCAGTCACTGGCCCAGATAAACGTTGCACATCGCCATTCGGTTCCCTTCTCCTTCTCCCCGCTGGGGCCGAGGGGTCTAGAACATACCCAGAATGCTCTTCCGCGATTGATGCCCGGTTTCTTCGTGGTCATACTGATACACGGCTCTTGGTGTTCCTCGCAACGGGGAATTGGTTTCTTTGTGAATAGCTTCGTCCAGTCTTCCTTGCTGACAATCGGATCGATGATTGTGTCGGCCTGAAATCTGTGCGGTGAGGATTGCATGAATGCGTCTGCGTCGTTTGAATGGAGGTCATTAGCTATGGAATAGGGACGTTGGGAGGAGTTCGAAAGGAGTTTGGCGTTGTTGGGGGCTTTGTCGAGATTGAAAGAGCTTGTGTTGGCTGGCATTTGGGTATCCGGTTGACTGGGCGCATCACATTCAGCCGCTTTCGGTTTGAAGAATCCCTTCAGAGTCTTCTGGCCCGACCCAGCGGAATTGGATGAATTCATGACAGACTTTTGACGCTTGACAGGCACGACAGACGTTGTTTGAGGTCGTTTGCGAGGCAGAGCTTGGAGAGGTGTCCCCGCGAAGGGGGTTGGCAAGGTAGAGGCAGAATAATTGGGATGAAACGTTGCTGGTTCTGCTGTTATACTGCTTGATGATATATCTAATTTCTCTGTGGTATTGGTAGTTGATGTGGATTGGGAGAGAATTTTGGGTGGCTTGCGAGCAAACATATCCTTGATGCTTCTCCGTTTGTCGACGTCAAATTCTGGGAGTAGACGTGCCGATGTTGGAAGCATGTATCGAGAAGAGTACTCCTGTTGCCTCTCACCACACTTGAATATCCCCGGTGGGTTCATGATGTCGCGGATATGAATTATGGCCTGGTCATGCTGAACCTGATCCTTGAAAACTGCAAAGACAGGACAGTGATCTGAACCCTGTAGAGGAATTATTAGCGGGTGAACCTTCAATAAATCAACATGAAACAAACCATTAATCCTTCCTGAATGTTTGAGTCCGAGAACCAATCCTGCATGTCCAGGCTACACAGGACATAGTCGATTCTAGAGCCGAAATTTCCAGGTCGGGTGTTGAGTTTTGTATCCCAGCATGTATACATGCCTGAGCGCTCTGGATGAAATGACCTACAGATATCATGCAGGACAGGTTGTTCTCTGCCCTTATCCCGTTGTCCAATGACTACTCCATCGGACAGCAGAGAATGAAATAATTTTCTAGGCGGGCTAGATATATATTCTTCTGCAGTCGTTACGCATTTTCGAATGCTTTCCATTGCATGCGCTGAGTCACACGCCCCCTTTGCGATGTTAATATCGCCAGTCAAAAACACTCGCTTTCCCATAGCCACAAGGTTTCGGACCCGAGCATCTAAAGCATTAAGGAAGTCCATACGAAATATATCACGGGCTTCATCCCGAAATGCAGGAGAGTAGACTCCAATGAGAACGAAGGCTGGAAACTCCAGAATGACACATCGTCCTTCGGAGTCCAGAGTTGCTGCATCGACCTGATCGTCAGGTGATGAATTCTCACAAGGAGTCTCCTGATCACTTCCATCAGAATTAGAGGAAGTTCTTCTGAGTTGCTTCAATGTAGGGTACCCGCCAATCTGTTGATCCTCTGGCAAGTCCCGGAAGCGAACTGATGAGTTCGGCGGGGAAAGTACCCCAGTTATGCCTTCTTCGAAACGGATAGGAGCACAAGTGGAATTACGCGTATAAACCACCACACCGGAATATCCTATTCACAGTAAGAGCAGGCCGATGAAGCAGTGCAGCTGTTCAAATTACCTTTCTTAGCTTTGGGCAGGCTGAAATAACAGTCCCATCCTGGAACAAGAACCATATCATCGCGAAGGTCTTTACGCTGGATCTTGGCTTCTTGAAAGACCACGATATCTGCCTCAAGTATATCGAACATGGCCTGAAGACAAGTTAGCCGATTAGTTACTTACAAACAGATCTAAATAAGAGCTGACCTCGAATGTCCGAGTTCCCCTCCATGGTTCATATGAGAATGGGTTCCTTTTATAATCAATTAACCCTCATTCCATTGAATGACTTGAAGCTTCATACCGGATCCCGTTCACTGTGGCATAATTTTAGCTATCATCTTCCAACAAAGGGCTGGACACTAAGACGAATGAGGAAGCTTACCATTCCAAGTAGTGATACGAAACCCCATGATCAGCTTGATTACGCACACAAGAACCTCATGCCCAGCGACACAGTCCTACTCCGAACACCTTACGATCCTTACCACTCAAGTGCACCGCAGCAATAGTCGAATCAATTCTGAAGAATGAGGACGATATCAAGCAGTATAGAGGTTGATGATGGTGTCACGTGAGGATGGAGTGACATAGGGTTACATAAGCCGGGGCATCACGGGATCTAACCACCATTAAAGCGCTTGGATTTCAAACCGTATGACCTTTTGAACCATCTCCTCTCCATATCGACCACCACCAAGATGTTCACCCGCAACATTGCTCGTCTGTCTCAGCGCGCCGCTCCTCTGCGCTCGGCTGCTCAGCGTCGCTTTAACAGCGTCGAGGCCAAGCCCTCTTGGATCGCCGACAACGAATTCAACCGTGAGCGTGCTGCTGTCAAGCACCATGCTTCCTCCACTAGCGGTGCGTGACCCCCAATCGCCCCTATGACGGAAGTCCTTGGAGTCTTGTAATATTCCAGGGGGGTTTAAAGGTACTTTGGCTTTTTATACTGACTCAATGGCTCTAGGCTTGTGGTTCAAGCTCTCACTGTATGTTTTCTCGGTTTGAAAATCCGCTCCATGCGGACGGAGTCTTGTATAACATTGCTAACCAGTGATACTGTGAAGCTGCGTTATCCCTGTCCTGATCGGTGGTAGCATCAACGCCTACTCCCTCTGGAACGAGCACTGGGAGCACTGGGCCCACATGCCTCCTCTCGAGGAGCGCACCGAGTACCCTTACCAGAACTGCCGCACCAAGAACTTCCCCTTCGGTGACGGTGATAAGGTCAGTCCTGACTATGATATCTCCTTTTACTCTTGATTACAGCCTGCTAACCTATTCGTGAAGACCATTTTGTAAGTTTCGATTTGCACCCTTTGCGGCACAACTTTACGCCAGAAAATTTCCACCAACCCCCTCACCTCTATTGCGAGCGAACTCGCACACGTCTTGAATCACACACGTTCTTCTGAACCTATGCTCATATCCCCTCATCCGAAAAAATACTAACATGTCCATATAGCTGGAACTCCAGCGTCAACTACCACAACAAGGACAAGGCTACCTAAGCGGCTCGCCCACCAAACCAAGAACCAGCTCCAGAAGCTCAATATCAAAGCTTCAGATACAAGCTTGGGAGAGAATATATGGTTGTATAGTTATGTATATCTACCGCAGTGTTGTTCCGCAGAAGCAGAGAGTCATGGCTTTCTAGGAAGCTTTGAAGACGTGTTGAATTGGGGTTTGTTGACCGAATGAAGTGAATTCTTCGTATTACCAACTGTCTTTTGCGCAATTTTATTTTGTCAGTTCAAATTTCACATGTAGAGCCAAATCACTTGGTAGTTCCAGTAAAAGGCCATTACTTGATAATCTTTGAACTATCGCAAATCTAGATTCATACTTCTTTCCCAGAAATGTGGAGTTGGATGGGTTTCAAGCCTACGAAATGTCATTCATGCAACATCGACCTATGTATCTATGTCGATGTTAACGAAGGCGAGTTTATAATGCTTTATAAGTCGATTGCTTCAAATTTTCACACTTACGTCTATATACATGTCAGCTACTCGTTCATGATAGAATTCGAGTTTGGATGAAGAACTCGCTTGCCTATAGCTAGGCACACCCACAGAAAACTTAAACACGAGACAAACACTACTAGAGTTGAATAATCATGCGGCAATGAGATTGGTGACTTGTGGATTTCTGTGGTTAAAATGCCGAGTGCTGAATAGCTGCACAGGCGAGCTTACGCTGTCAGGCCGGCAAAGCTGTCTGTATTTTAAGAAGCTAGTCAGACAAGTAGTTGCGGCATAGGAATAGGTCGTGAGAGAGGCAAGGGTGATGAAGTACCACGTTTAGATATCAATTTCGTAGTCCTTATCGTTGGCGGTTCGGGAATGTATCCTTCCAGCCTAACGGTCATCAACCTCTACTAAGTACCAGTCATCTTGGGATTAATAACTGGGCACCAACAACGCAGTCTCAGAGGAATCAGCTTGAGGAGCGATGTAAGAGCGCTTCTTTTAGCTATTGGTGCATACCTAGGTCAAGAGCAATAAATTGCACGCGCATGAGAATCCTGTCGAAGGGCACATCAGCCGGGTTGAGTACGTGCTGAGGTTTGATGTGCCAGAGATCAAGAAGGGTACCTTTTCGGACACCCTCAGGTCGAGAGGCTTGATTACTTTGTCATTAGGTTGTTCCAGCCGTGTTGACAGCAGCTTCCACAGTAATCTGCAGGGTTCTCTTCGGAGTCGTCTTCGAAGATTTTGTTACCTTCCAGATGGATCGTATCATTGTGGCTTATTTTCGCAACATTATTCAAAGAAACTAAACCAAACCAACACCGAGCCAAGAAGAAACAGAGCCGAAAACAAACCGAAATCAGGAACCACGAACTCTCTAAAGAGAGATCTAGGTGGCAGTAGAAGGTCTTAAGTCGAGTAGCTTGGTCATGAGCTTGTTCCAGTTGGCCTCAACGGTAGCCTTTTCTTAAGAAGTGCGCTGGACCACGCTCTCAGACGAGGAAGCTGTGACAGAAGCGGAGGCTGCCCACTACATATCATTTGGTTTCAACTTGCCAGAGATAGATGCAGATAAGGGGCTGGTTCGCGCTATAAAGTCCATGAAGTATATTATTGGTACAATATAATCGTAAGGTACCTATGTATCCATCAAAGATATTTAAGGAGGGAAGTGCAAGGAGAAGAAAGTGTAAAGAGAAAAAAGTGAGCCCTTAAAAATAGTGAAGTGAGATCTAGCCAATGTGAAATTTGGCAACAAACTACCTGGGTAAGCTGGAAAAAGAATAAATATAATCATATTGAAGTCCACGTATTCAATATTTAAACTGGGATCTGATTATGAGAAGAAGCACGTTTTTATTGCCAACTTAAAAGTTCTAAGCCGATAAAGAAGTGAGATACTTGCATTGCTTTACTCGCTACTGGAGTTTCGCTGAGAAGAATACTTATTTCAACCTCTGAGGTAAGATTAAAAATATTGATATCTAAAAACCCAAATGAACCCAACTCAAAAGGAAATCAACCTAAAACAAAACTGATCCAGAAATAAAAACTGATCCAAATTGAACCAACTCCAAGGCAAATCCAAATACAACCCAAACTAACCCAGAACGAGCCGAAACCACCGCTGATGGACCCTCTAAATGGAGACAGAGGTAGCTGTCCGCTTCATAAGATGGAGGTACTCCTCCTCCAACTCGTCAGTGAGAGACAACACAGTCTCCTCCCCCTCCAACTCAAAGTCTCCAATTAAATCCCGAACATACTCCTCAACCGTCTTTCCGCTGGCCAGCACGTACTTGGGGGTACGTTTACCCATAATTGAGACAGGGCCAGGAGCCGTGTCCGATTCCACCACCATAGGAACAAGCTTAGGTGCCTTTTCAGGCACCTTCAGATCAAGGAGTTTCATCATAAGCTTGTGAAATGCCTTAGTTTCAACTTGTTCTGAGGTGCTAGGAAGTGCTCCATCTGAGGAGGAGTCAGAAGCACTATGATAGCTTTTGCCGCTGATAGTAGATGAAGGGGTCATGGCCATGGTGTTGGCAGCGGGCATGGCATCGCTGAGCTGCTGAGGAACTCCACTTCTACTATGACAGCTATCGGGAGGAGTGAATCGTGCAGGGTCCTGGTGGTATCCCTGGTAGAAGTTGTCGATATATGGAGGGGGAGGGGGAGGGCTATAATAGTCATGGCCCATATATGGGCTACCGTTGCTGTGCATAGGCTCCACAAGTCCGGGAGGGAATCCAGGAGGGCAGCCAGGAGGGTAACGGGGGTCGAAGGTGTGGAAGATCGAGCCTTGGGGCAGCCAGTTTGAGAGGATGGGGGGCAGAGGGCCACCGTAAAAAGGTGCCGCGCCATGGCTGTAAGCCACCTGTTGCTTAAGGTAGAGATCCTGGGCGTGTGCGGCCATGAGATTAACAGGACCGGGAGCGTAAGCCTCATAGTGAGGGACAGAAAGCTGTTGGTTCAAGTAGGCCAAGCGCTGCTGGTCCAGGTTCATGAGCTGCTGCTGGGAGATCTTCTGCTTGGTCAAGTTGCCATTGATATTGGCATTGGTGCTGTAGTTGGCGCGATGGCCGAATGGCTTGCGGAAACCATAGTTGCCACGAGTTGGCCAAGTTGCAGTCAGAGGACTACCGTCCATGTCGAGGAGAGACATGAAGAATTTTGTATCCTTTTGGAAGAACTGATGAGAGCGTCAGTGATGATCAGTGATATAATGAGATGAACAATGGTTTACTTTGATTGCGTCTCTGCAGTCGTCGACGTACGCAAAGGTGACCTTGCAAATTGAGGTGAGGGTGTTAAAAGTCGTAAGATAGGGCTGAATGCAGTACACCTCAACAGGTCCTCGCTCTTTTAGTGCAAATTGCACTTCTTGAATTGTGATATTTCCGTAAGAACGGAGACCAAGGCAGGCGGTTCCTAGAACTGTGTAAGAATTATAGAACAGAGAAGATCTTGAAGTAAAAGAAATCATAAGGCAAAGTGTATCAGAAGAAGTTGCAAGGCAAGAAGTAACAAAAGAGGCTGTGAAGTAAAACCAAAAGAGAAATTTGAGGGAGAAAGAAAGATAGGAAAGGAAAGGTGAAAAGAAATGGGGAAGTGAATTACTTCGAAGTGAGATAACCCCTGTCCCATTTCGAAGTAAAAGTGGAAGTGAAAGTGGAAATAAGAGAACAACTTACTTCTTCCTCTTGCCCTCTCAATTCTTAAGCAACGACCGTGCAGAGAAGTAGGACCACTTTCCAACGCTGATTTGGCATCTTCCGCGCTCTACAGCATGTTAGCAGCATATTCACTCTGGATATCATCAAGGGATATAGCTTACCTCAAATTGTACAAAGGCTCCAGGCAAGCCTTTTTTCTTGTCTTGCTTAATCTTAACATGGCAAGCTCCAAACTTTTCAAAAGTCGACTTGAGATCCTCGGCTAATTTATCTATAGAGATTTTGGTTGACAGACTGTATCAAGGTCAGTCACTGCCAAGTATCATCAACTTGAGGCTATAAAAGAGTATTTACTTTCCAGCAAAGATACAGGCATCGGGAGAGAAGAGACCCTGGGCATTCTTAGCCGACGGCACCTCAAGTAAGCGGTCCTCACGTCGAGGATATTTGTCCTTCCCGCCATTAGAAGTACCCATTTGGGCCATTTTGGAGTATATTCGTTAAAGTGAGACAAATTATGTTAAGATCAAAGCCACAGTATGGACAGGGGCTTTGGATGAGTATAAGTTGATGAGGAAAGAGGTCATGTCTGCTCAGTTGATTTTTTTCTCTCTCAAGACTCCAAGCTTAAAATCATACTAAGCTCTGTTTGTGGCCCAAATCTCTCTAGTGGAAAGATAAGAAGATGTTTACTATGGTTAAGTTTAGGAAAAGTTTACTATTTCTATCTAGAAAGGAATGTTCCCGCTATTTTCACTACAAAGTCTCATGTGAGTAGCCCTTTTTGCAGGTGCCACAGTCTATAGTTATCACAATCAGGCTCTGACCATGGAACCTTCTTGACTTTTATCTTGAAACATGAATCCTGGGGCTTAGTACTAAGAGATAGTTTGCCTGCTTTTGATCAATTTCAGCCATTACGAATGTTGTGCGTAGAGTATTTCAAGACTAGACGTCTAAAAGTTTGAACTAGTCCTAAAAGTGACTGTATAGAAAAGGCGAAGCCATGCCTCCCTCTACACAGATTACGGATTGATTACACTATCTTTTTTCCAGGCTCATTCTGAGGCATCAATCTATTGACCAGAGCAAATCAAATGGTAAAGTTTCGGCCCTAAAAGATAGATATCTGAAGTCCCTGGTTGGCAGTTAGAACCTGAGCATTTGAACCTCCATCTCTGTATTTGAACAGATCTTCTACAGCTTGCTAGGCTGCAGCTCCCAAAAATAGCCATTCAAAATGTTTTTTTGTTACGGTGGAAGATGCACTAGTCATGGTGAGGTAAAGGGTTAGGTCACCTGACATGAATTTATCTTTGTGAAAGTCAGCAGTCACCATTTCCTTCTTGTAGGCTGTCTAGGAGTAAAGAAGTAATTATATGATCAAGGGTGGCTAGCGTTGGATAGCTTCTTCTATCTAATCAACTCGGCAACCTAGGTATAATAGAAAGACAAGTTACAATATGCGTACCTTTCAATGTTGAAATCACGAAGCTGGTTTCAGGACGAATCAGGACTCAAGAGTGGTTGAATATTAGCAGCACAGCCAGTGCCGGTTTTCGAATGACGATCGGTAAAAAGCAGCAGACATCTTCCCAGGAGGAGCAGAGCTCAATACCTAGGTACCTAGTAATAGTCAACAATGTATAATCGAAGATTTTGCATGTTAAAAGATTAATTAGTCATTGATCAATACAGGAATGAACTGATACGAGAATGATGACCATTAGAGAGAATGAGAAAGATACCCTGGTTAAAATACGACATTTACACATAGAATATAACGCCTAAAATGAGAAACGGCTGCCTTTCCGTAGTTCTAGACGGCAAGAAGCTGGCCTATTATGTGCGCTGTCGGATGGAGGTCTGACAAACCAATTAAGGTGGATACGAATAGGCAAATAGGAATGGAGCAAATTGTAGTCAAATTATGTATGTGTGTGTGTAAACCTACAAGGTGGAACGGCCTAAGTTGGCCATTCCAAGCTGACTAAAATGCACTAAACTAAAACAGGAATCGGGCCTTTGACATGCGCCAGGGCTCACGTGCTTTTTACCAAGCTTTTTAGTGCTGTGTCAAAAATAGCCGGTTCCAATTGACATATTTGACATGTTCGATTATCCTTTGTTGTGTACATGTTTGCTCGCGTGTCATTTTTCACCATGTTTGCCCTATATTACGTTAGTCTATGCGGCAGCCTTAGGCACCCTCAGCTAAGCCCTAGGAAAAAAAAATATTGGGAAGTTTCAATCGGCCACCACATAATATCTCAATGGTACTAGATCTAAAATCAAGATTGGAGATATGTTGTACTATTACCTAGGGCTTGTAAAATTTTAAAGGGCATGTGTCACCAAATATTTCTTTAAAAAGTTTCTTTAGAACGCAGTCGAGAAGTTTCGTGGAATGCACTCACCACTTTTTCCCTATATCTCTGGTCCATCAACTGGAATGTAGTGTGTACGATGGTTGTATTGTTATGGAGTTCTGTTAGGCTGAGGTAGAGTGAGATTGGGTGAGACGAAGCTAATACATAACTACTACACTGATCCTTAAATACTAGTACTCATTATTTACCTAGGGGACCTAGGAATGATTTAGTAAGATTTTATAGCATAAAGGAGTAATTTTAGACAGCGAGGATGCTAAGAAGAGATTATAGGCAGATATACTAGGCAGAGGTACTAGATAGAATTATGAATATGTAAAATTATCAAAGATATACGTTGTTAAGGCCCTAAGTCCGCACCCATATAGCCTAAAACAGAATCTAACCTCATCAGACAAATACGTAAACTGCGAGCAATAAACACAAGCTGAAGCTCCATGGCGGTAATTTCTGTGTTCCCCTGCGTAAGAATCTGTACGCTGGCTAGCCTGTCAGCCTAGCAGTGCGTTAAACCTCCCCAATGACACGGCATTCTACCAGGCAAGCATTAAGTCATTGAAACGATGCGAGAGGCGTGTAAATTTGAGATAGATACACCGGTAATACACCTGTTGGCGTACATACCATGCAGGGTCTCCTAGCGCCGTTCTAGCGCTGGCACGGTAGATGCTAGGATCGCTGGGTATAGCACCAATAGAGATAATGTAGCCTCTGGAAAATGGAAAGGGAGAGGAATTATAGGGCTTGCCGGGTCTGCTAGGCCCTAGCACGCATAGCACCCATGGCACCAGGTGGTACATGTAGTCCGACTCCTGGTGGTGGTGGTGGTGGTGGTGCTGCTGCTGCTATAGCTGGACAACGGCAAGGCACGACAGGCGGCGAAATAATAGTAGCATGTACTCTATAGGCTCATCATCAAGGGATTGATCAGGCTCCTCCGGCTGAAAGGTCTCTCCATTCGCGTCACGTGGATGCTGATGGTTAGCAAGACAGTACTGGTAGGCATCAGTGTGCGTGCTAAACTGGTGGCCGTTCACATCTAGTAGCTCTGCCTCACTGCGGAAGGGGCGATTTAGCATAAGCTTCACACGGGCATAGTAATTGCTAGCATGGGGGTAGGTGGGGAAGAGCTGTATGCTAGGATCGCGAGCACCGCGACGATTACACTCTTTATACCAATAATGCGACCAAAGTAAGGTGAGGTAAGAGATATCAGCCCAATTTAGTAGCCGTGCTAATTACTTCTCAAGCTTTGAATCTGCTCGGCGTGGGCCAGTATCTGCGCTAGCGTCAGCGGTGGAATTGGCATTGTTCTGTGTAGCAGGGCTGCAGTCGACAGCCTCATGCTCCCTGCCAGAGAACTGGAGCTTGCTGCTAAACGGAATATGGCAGACTTCTTGTGCAGACCAATCTCCCCCACAAGGGAGTTCAGAAGCTTACTACTAAACCATAAATGGTAAAACTAACCTCATGCAGTAATTCACAGGTTCCAATATTACATGAGATGCGCAAGTAGAGTAATTACAGATGTGGAAATAGCCTTATCGCCGATCAGCCGGCAACTTTTAACGCCACCTCAAACATCATTCTCAAGCTTCTCTCAACCTTGGATCTCTTCAGCTTTCGGCTACTTCAGAGCTATGATTCCAACTCGGAGCTTGGCTGCTCAAGGCAGCTTCCTCAAACGCAGTGCAGAGGAATTCGGCCGTTTGTCCAAGATTGGTATGGCTGCCCTGATGTTTTCCCGCCATGCCGAGTACGTACTTACCGCAACGCAGCCTGGAACTCCGAAGCTCTTCACACACCCACCAAGCCCCATGTACTACTTGATTTCGAAGATGAGGCCACTGCTGCAGACTGCAAGACCTTTGCCGACCGTGCCGTAGGCGGTTACAGCACCGCCAGCCTCGACTTTGAACCAGGCGACGCCTCTACAAACACACCCTCCCACGTTCGATTCCACGGCAATATCTCTACCAAGCTCCCAGAGAACTGGCGTATCGAGAGAACTGGTACGGCTCAATTTGCGTTGCATTGACAATCTACACAAACTAATCTTATCGGAACTTCGAAACAGGATACGCCGCATTTCGGAATAAGGACCGCGGCCTTTGGCTTTTCGGTCGACTTTACTGGGATGTCGACCCCTACGCCTACCTTGCGCTTCGCATCAAGTCCGATGGCCGTCGATACACCGTAAACATCCAGAGCGATTCTATCATCGAGACGGATATTCACCAGCACAGATTATATACCCGGCACCACCGTGTACACAAATCCCCGATCCTGAAGGAAGCCATGAATTCCGAGTCTGAAGGAGGCGAGGACATTGAAGAGCTATATTCGTCCGGTTTGCCGCCGGCCCTCTCTGACATCCCTCCTCAATCTACTATCATCTCTACATCTTCTAGCACCACTACTTCCGGATCAACAGGTTGGGAGACTGTTCTTTTGCCTTTTAACTCGTTTGTCCGTACGAATCATGGCTTTCCAGTTGAACCGCAGACTTCTCTTATACGTCAGCGCGTGAAGAGTATTGGTATCGGTCTCACTGATCGTATCGAAGGCCCGTATGACTTGCGCATCCATAAGATCTGGGCCACTAATGGTATGGGCGAGGCGGATATTGAAGAAGAACGGCGAATTTGTGGCGCTGATGCTTTGCCGCTTGATGAAGGAGTTCGATCAGCCTGGATCGAGAAAGAGCAGCAGTCAAAAGACGTTCATAGTGAGAAAATTTCCAACACAGAGAAAACGGGACTGAAAGGTCTTCGATCGGAATGGGAGGAGTGATTTGATCTACCCGCAATATTGAAAAGACTTCATGATACCTACTTCCTCTACTTGGCCTTTATCAAAGCCGGCGCTTAGTAAAAGTCAAACATGATTCTCTGTTTTTTTATTATTTCTCATAAAAATATAAACTCATCTTGACATATATACTCGTAGTATACAGTAGTATCTAGTTGCCGCCAGTGATCTTCTCCCAAGCCTCCTTGTACTTGGCAGCAGTCTGCAGCGCAATCTCATCGGTCATGCGCACACCTTCCTTGCCCTTGTAGCCCTGCGAGACCAACCAGTCACGGAGGAACTGCTTGTCAAAGCTTGCCTGTCCCCGACCAATGGCATAGGATTCCTTGGGCCAGAATCTGGATGAATCGGGCGTCAAAACCTCATCGGCTAGCACAACCTGGTCATCTTCATCAACACCAAACTCAAACTTGGTGTCAGCAATGATAACACCTCGCTCTAGTGCATACGCATGCGCCGCCTTGTATAGTTGCACAGCAAGTGCGGCGACCTTCGAGGCGTAAGGCTCACCGAGAATGGCAACAGCTATAGGTCCTTTGGTGAGATTTTGCGGCCTGCACAATATTACAATGGATTATAATACTTACCCTGGTCAGGGTGGATGTTCTCATCGTGCTCACCTAGCTCGGCCTTGGTGCTAGGAGTATAGATAGGACCATCAGGGAAGGCCTCGCTCTCCTGCAGACCGGCAGCAACCTGGATGCCGTGTACGGTTCCCGACTTCTTGTATTCATTCCAGGCGGAGCCAGTGATATAGCCACGAACAATTGCCTCGATGGGGAGAATGCGGAGCTTGCGCACCTGCATAGATCGGTTCTGCAACACTGGACGAAGAGAAGCAGGGATCTGGGGAGGGAGATCCAGCGTGATGAAGTGAGTGCGCAACGAGGGAATGGCTTCGGACAGGATCTTAAACCACGTGCGAGTGCAAAGGGTGAGAAGAACTCCCTTATTAGGAATTCCCTATAATAAACTGTCAGCTATCAATTTTTGAATAATTAAAGATAAGTACAGAATTCATGTACATTCTCCATGATCACATCATACGCGGAGATGCGATCAGTTGCAACGAAAAGTAGGGTCTTTTCATCGACTTCGTACAGGTCTCGTACCTTACCCCGGGCAATAAGGGGTAGAGCGCCTTGCAGATCAGTAGTTGTCAGAGCTTCAGCCATTTTGAAAGAGGTCAATTGAAAAAAAAAAATGGAAATAAGTAGATGCGTCATTCGAGTCTTTTTTTCCCGCGGCGGGGCATATGATATATATGCCTCAGGCCACAATCACTCTTATCGAGATCCTTATCGCAGACAACAGACGATTAAACGCGTCCAGGAACAACTTTGTTGAACCCCCAGAGAATGGGCTACGAAGATGGCGCGCTACCTCACACCATGGAGGGTCTCCTTATTGTGCCTGACAATGGTATACACAGATGGCACCGTGCCTAACTCCTCTGCCCTCCACATCCTCTCTTTCTTGACTGCAAGCTTGTTCGCTCTAGATCCCGCCGATAAGCAATGGGAGCAACATTATGTACCGACCATCACCGAGCTCGAGAAGTTACTGTCGGGTCATGAATCGTCAGTACCGGGCCGCACACTGTGGGACTTGTTTCTCAAGAAGATGTGGCACATTGATTCGCTATGTGCTCTCGAGACGTTCTTAGACAAAGGCCTTCTATCCCTGCAGGTCAAAACGCGACAAGAATTAATCGAAGAGCGGGATAATGGCATCGCCCCTGACAATGATGCCATGCGATTGTCACACACCTCGCCGCTTGGAGCGTTTGTCCGAAGATCTCATCTCGAGTTCACTAGGTTGAAGTTTGACGATTTAATTACTTTGTGGACCGGATTTGTCAAATACCGCCTGCCGACGTACCCAAAGTGGGCTCGCAAGAACCCCTCAGAAGATCATGGCCCTATTGATGTCAATCACTTGACGTATGGAGTAGACTCTGGTAGCGCTCTTTATCAGGTAGTGTATGGTGACGTCGAATCCGATGACGAGGAGGAGAATCGGGGCGTCAGTGTGAAGGACGCCGAACGCCTCATTGAGTTTCAAGTTACAGAGCTTCAAAGTATGCTTTAAACTTTTCTGTACCCCTGCGTTCAAGCTGACGTTCACAGGACTGGGAGGTAGAATCCCAGGTGCAATTAGAGCTCAGATCCAAAACATCATTGCAGCTGAAGTCTCTGTTCCAGTGCAGATGTATTACCTCAAGTAAGCTATGAAACTTCTCCGAGTTGAATACGTTGTTAACGTAAAATCAGTTTTCTAGACGCCTGGCGCGCTGGGGACTACACGTCAGCATTCGACAATCTCCATAGATACTTTGATCACACCATGCATAGTATCCCCGAAAGAAGCTCATACCAGTTTGCTCTGCTGAACCTGGCCATTCTCCATGCCGACTTTGAGTGTTTCGACGAGGCCATTTCAGCTATACAAGAGGCTGTGGCCATCGCCCGCGAGTCTCACGACTCGATTTGTCTCAATTTCTGTCTGAGCTGGATGTATCATTTCGGCAAGGCTTTCCCGGAGCAAATGCGGGAGGTGCAGAGCACCGGTAATTTAGGCAATGAGAAAGAAGGCTTCGCTTTTCTCAAAGCTAAGGCTAAGGAGACTAATTCGTGGCCCCTCATGAGCACCACCTTGCTGAGTGAAGCCAAGTTGGAAATGCACCAGGTAAATATTGCAGAGTTTACTAGAATTCCAAAGGCTGAAAGATGCTAATATCACTACTATAGGGAGAGAGCCTAGCCTCTATCCTTGAGGCGCTTGTACGATCTGCCCATATCAACCTCACTAAAAACTTAGCTGCGCCAACAGGCTCGCACATGTTGCTTCAAAGCACCTTGTATGGCCGGATAGGTAGGTCTTCACGAATCGTTGAACTTACAGTGCTGATTGCTACAACTAGGGGCTGCTCATCTTGCTTGGCTGACTACTGAGGTTTTCCGCGAATGCTACACAGAAGCACAGCCATATGATGATTTCCTCAAAGTCACATTCATCAATTCTCAAGTTGTACGCCAGAATGACTAAACACATCTCCCTTGACCATGAATGCTAATGAATATATAACAGTTATTGCAAAAAGGCAACTACAAAGAAGCCTTTGCACGCATGAACAAGGTTGAGCCAGAAAAGGTTCGAGCCGTCAAGTACAACAACGCCTGGATCTACTACTCAGGTTTGCTACAGCTGCAACGTCAAATCTGCAGGTAAGAATTCATTCAATACCACACATGTCCAAAATACAAGTACTAACAACCTAGCAGACACGATCAGGTAGCGGTAGAGCACATCCTTGCCCAACTCCAAGCAGTGCAGCTCCTTGACGCCGACCTCCGCATCCACCTCGCCCTCTTCACAATCGAATTCAAAATCCGTCAAGGCGACTACGGCCGCGCTATGCGCTTGGTCGACGAAGCCGCTCACTCAATACAGCCCGAAAACTTCGATGTCTACGCGCAAATCAAACTCCTCTGTCTCAAAGCGCTCATTCTCGAGAAATCCGGCCACCCAGAACGTGGCTTCTCACTTGCTATGCGCGCTGCCAACATCTCCCACAGGACCAAAGTCCTTTCCTGCCTCTGGGAATCAAGCTGTACCCTCGCCGCAGTCCTGATCGGGCTTCGCGAGTTCAATCCTGCACTCAAATTAGTTGAAAGCGTCCTACCTCAGATTCTCGAGTCAGAGAAATCGGTACTCATTGCGCGCGCGTACTCGCTTCTCGTGGATGCGAATATGGGAATTGCAAGTGAGTTGTGGACACAACTTGGTCAAGATAGCATTCCCGTGCGAAAGGAGTATATCAACCTTGCGCTCGGGTACATCGACTGTGCGTACGACGCTTTTGAGAAGATTGAGGATCTTCTTGGGCAGACGGAGATGATGGCCAAGAAGGCTACTGTTATGCATCTCACTGGTGATCTGGTGCTGGCTAATGACTGTGCAGCCAAGTACCTGGACTTGAGGAAGCGTCGAGGCATGGAGGTATGATGCATAGATTCGAAATGTTTGTATGATTAGTATTAAGGAACTGTGAGCATAGAGCAGCTTGCTCATACGGGGTTTTTTCTTCTTCTAGATCTTTCAATGACGAAGAATGGTTAGAGAAAATGAGATAGGATATTCAAATGATATCTGTCTTTCAGTGCCCATTCTTGAAACTTGCATCCTGGGTTTCTGGTACTTTTAAGACATGCCAGGTGCCCAGCTATGCCGTCTACCTACTTTGGTAGCATAGGTACTATCTATCGGGACCAGCTAGAGTACCTATCTTCCCGTGCTATTTACCTATATAGGTACAACCATATCTCCAGGGCTGGCACCGAGACCTCGGATGCTGAGGTCAATTTCTACAACTTTGGAGTAGTGGAGCATGCACATGTATTCGCCAACGACGACAGCAAGGCCTCCGATGCTGGAGAAAGGAAGATAATTACGCGAGGATTGCAGATTTAAGATGACTGAGCTGAAGATGTAAGTCTCAGCCGAGTAAGAACCTATCTCATGTAAAGTATACCTTAAGTAATGGATATTTTGACAACCCCCTCAAAAAGGCCCATGATATCCCTGAGTTGAACCCAGCCAACTCCAACGCCAGGATATGGATATAGATGAACGAATAAATGTATATATAAACTCCAAACCAGAGAGACAACGACAATGGAAGACAAGGCTGTTTTGCATGGATGTGGAAAACGAGAGACACCGGGTCATATATAAAAGAATGCTCGAAAAAAACAATCGACAGCAATAATCCACGATGAATAAGGTATAAGGTATGGTTGCGGATGCGAGTGAATTATGCTTAACACGGCCCGGAATGCTTGGATATCGGTAGTAAATAATGCAATGATTGTGAAAATGATGGAGGTGAATATGTCATAAAGCTATGGTGGGTATGTAAGGGACGAGGCAAATTATGAAGGAGGATGGGGGAGAATGAACAGGAGGATCAAAGATGGAAGGGGGGATAAGATGAGAAATCTCAGACTCGGACGCGCCTGGCATCGAAGTAACCTAGATTAACAGCCGTGTCATTTATTCCAACAAAGGGTGCAGCGTCTGCTAACAACTCCCAAGGGCGGAGTGGGTATGAACCAATAGTCCGACCGCGTTGTTGAATGCGGAGTCGGTTTGACAAGGAGTTCGAGCCTTCGATCGAACTAACGATTGATGTCGATGATACAGTTGCCTGTTGAGCAGCAACATTACTGCCAGGGAAATTGGCATTCATCGAAGTAGGAGTAGAAGTTGACCCGGCTGGAGAAGAGATTGAAGCTGGTATGCTAGTGGAAAAGTCTCCTAGTGGACCGAGGAGATACAGGAACCGAGCATCATTCTGAAGAGGGGCGAACTGTGGGCATTTCTCCTTCAGGAATCTGGAACACTGGTGGCGAATCTCATCGGGGAACACATCTATCAATGAAGCGGCGACATCCAGCGCGTGAGTTTGTAACAAGATCCCGGGGCAAGGTCGATAATCCACGGAAGCACAAGGATGGGGAAAATAATCAGCCCCCGGGAAGAGTCGGAGGACATCACCAGGAAGACGGGAGAGTGCAATGCAAAATATGGAAATCAAAAGACGTGCCTGCTCATGCAAGGCGTTAGTCTTAGATGAAGGAGGCGGCTGCATGAAAGAAGCACGGTGTATGATGACCATCCTCAACAGTGCCGAGAACCAGAAGGCAAGAGATCTCTCGAAGTCGGGCCGCACCTGGCTAGCAGGAGATTCGGATTTGGCACCGCGTTTACCGAAGCCGGGTGGTAAAGCGATGATCTTCTGAAGGAGGGATTCCATTTTCTCCACTAGGATTGAGGCAACTGCTGGACTTCCAGAGTCGGGAATGGTGTTATCGAATTCCTCGATGATAGTGAGATACAGCTTTGCTGTCTCCAGAGACCCCATATTTTGTGGAGCGTTTGAAGAAGTATTGGTCTGCACCTCTAGGAGTGGAATGGCGAAGAATGCATTCTCGGCACGTTCACGGATCTGGCACACTGCAGCCGGGCTCATGAGTGCAACAAGATCAACCCAGTGGAGCTTCCCAGCGCGAGAATCTGCGACAACTGTTTTGAACATTGCATCGACGAGGCTGTTCTGGTCTTCGCCCACAGAGTCCCCATGGAAAAGGGCTTGCAACTTCAATTGACAAAATGGCAGGGAAAAGTCGTCAGTCGTGCTGGCAAGTTTCTCAACTTCTGAGATAACGGAGTTACTAGATTTGAAAGAATCGACACCAAGCAAAAGGTCAAGAGCTTTCTGAAGACCACCCATGGCAGCAGGATATTGATCGACGAGCCTTCGCATGCATTGATTATGCGGGCATTCAGGATTTCTCACAATAAGTTCACGTAGCAAGATTACTATTGAATTTTCCAACTTGAGATGTTTGGCTGAAGTCTTTGAGTCGTCTGAGTCGAGTGATTTTGCAGCGTCACAGATTATCTCAAAGATATCGTCAAAGTTCTTGGCTAGAAACTCCTGCTGCGCCAATTTGAAGCGATAAGAAACCAGGTCAAGATACTTGGTCTCTCGTGGACGGGAGACAAGAAGCTCCACGAGGTCTTCCGGCAGGCTCGTCACGTTTGAAATTGCGGTCGAAGAACAGCTAAGCCTTTTCACAAGAGACAAAAAAGACTTGATTGTAACACACCCGACTCCGATCAGTGATGGAAGGGCACGGAACAAGGCTACACGATCTGGGGAGCGCAGGTGTTCACAGACCCAACGAGCCAAAATTCTATCGAAATGCTTCGGCCGGAAGGACCGTAACTGTGCTAAGTACCTGCAGGTGTCATTGAGGGACATATGTACCTTACTGACTTCAGACTCTAGATGCTTGGTCAATGTGTTGAAGATTGTATCAAGAGTAGCTTCATCCATGACATTCCCAGACAGAAGAACCTGATCCAACTTCTCACGGAATAGTGGATCTTCGTCGCCAAAGTAGTCGGGAATGTGATCAGAAACAGGAGATGATGCAGCCAAGGCAGCCTTGTTCTCCATGCGAGAAAGATCCTGACGGAGAATAATAACTGCGTTGAGTTCACTAGGAATTCGCAAGCCAAGCTCTATCAGTGAAAAGATCAAATCAAGACTTGGCGTGGCAAACCGTCTCATCCCAGCATACGCATCCACCAATTTCCGGAAAAGATCCGTACTGGCACCAATCACACTCAGAGAATCGAAGTGACAGTTGGTAGTATCGGCAACAGATGCAAGGACAATGCTGTCGTCAGAGCCCGCAGCAGACATCAGCACATCTGCCAATATAGAAATATCACCAAAAGTCTCCAGAATGTCCCGGATCGAATAGAACTCATCCGGTGTGAGCGCAGAGATGAAGGGAGAGACCTCGCTAGGGATGGTGGCACGAAGAACTGAGCTGGTGATATCGCGAGTATATTCAGCTACACCACGCCGCAGCCATTGGCCAATCTCGGCTTTAACAGCCCATGTCAAATTCCCTGGCAAGACATCACAGATTTCCATATGAAATTTCACACCAAATATTTGTGGCAGACGGCAACTAATCGACTCCTTGACGCTGGCAATAATAGCGACCTCATCCTGAGCAGCGAGTCCAGTTCGTGTCAATAATGTGCGGCGCAGGTTGCGTACATGTTCTGGGAGACGACCAGTTGGTAATTGTGCTATCAAGCCAACATCACCAGCGAGATCGGGAGCCTGTCGCAATTAGCATTTCTATAAGAAAGACGGTCCAATTTCTACAAACTCACCGTATGTTGTTCTTCTGGAGAACGACTTGTAACACCTTTGGCCATCAACCACTGAAGGTATCGCCCAACCGAGAAAGTCTGTGACCTGACAAGCTCAGAGATGACGTGATAGATATTGTCCATGTTGAGCTTTTTGCTATGATTGGCGCGGGTGAGGAAGCGCATAAGGTGATCGTCTGTATCGATGCCGGAGGCTTTCCACTTTCGTAATAGTCGAACTCCAGCGTATACACGGCAGATACCGTGGCGGAAGGGAGTGGCAATCCACTCCAGCAACTTTGATACCAAAACATTTCGATCCTCAATGGCTTCTAAACAAGAAGATGAAATGGACGAAAGGTCTTGTGCGGAATGAATAGAGTCGAGAAGACGGATGATTCGTTGATGAGGAGAACGTTGGTTCATCTGTTTGGATTGTCGGGGACGCTGAACTCGCGCATTACGTTCCGCAAGGGTCTGAAACAAAGCACGATGCGCTTTGTCTGTGAGATCAAGACATGACGATACCTGAGATTTGTATATGCCCCATGAATTAGGTAAAATCACCGAAGAGGTGTTTTCTTGGATTAATTTTCGCACGAAGCGAGACAGTCGTTCAATCAATGGTTGTAAAGCCTCTAATTTTGCCCCAGTAGCCTAAAACCACAGTATCAGCATCTACAAGACACAAAAAGAAAAGAGAATCACAACATACCTGGCGCAGTTTTTCAAGCAGCAGCTCAGCCAGCCGACGTCCTCGTCGTCGATAGCGCATAATATTATTCCAGTATATCCCAAGCATTAACAACCAAACAGGAACAGTGGCGATGGACGCCGAATCGAAGGACGACATAAACCATTCGAGGTAATGATCGTGGTCAAGAAGATTATCGAAGAACAAGCGCGCAGTCAATCCGACACTGGCAAATGTTAGTTTATCGGGGTGACAAAAAAATCTCGTTAAAATATCAAAGATACACTCACGCATAAGACATTTTGGCTTTCCAGTCTGACGACTTGGGGCCACTTAGCACACCCTCTACAAACTGTTGGACATTGTTTGTCCAGTCTCGCACCCATTTCACCTCCAGTCCAACAGCCAAATTTCCATTGGTTCCTTTGCGCTTGAATGCGCGGATCTCATTGGCACCGACACACTTCGCTAGCCAGACGGCACGCGCCACTGGAATCCATTTGCCAAGGCATTGATCTAGTAGAACTTTACCTCTGATGCCATGTGGAATGGTGCGACTGAGGCGGCGTAGCGGTACAGTGGGGTTGGCAAGATCACGCAGCCAGGCCTCGCGTTTGTTATCGGTCAGGGTAACACGTGGCGGCGGCTTAAAAGTCGAGGGTGCGCGAATGACAGTATGAGTCTGTCGCTTCTCCAGCGCCGCAGCAAAGACAGTTGAAAGCATCTGCAGTCCAGTGCGATGCTTGAGTTGAGCGTAAAGTGCTGGGCGGGCGGTACTCGACTCGTTCTGAGCATACTGTGTGCGATCAGAATATCCCAACTTAGCTGTCTGCTCGTTCAAGACATCTTCTGGTTGGCTGCCCGTCCAAGGTGTGAAGTCAGCAACGTTTTCACCTTTGATAATTGGTGCGGCTGAAGGAACCTCGATGCGATACGGAGTGGTCTGGACCTGCTTGACCGGAGAGGGTTCTCTCGTCCTCACGGGTTGTAATCGCTCGGGTAAGGCACTTTTCCAAGGCTGAACTGGGAGTGGAGGTGGTGATAAAGACCTTGATCCCGTCGCATTATCACCTCTATTCTCGCTACTAGGTATATCCGACATAACAGCTTGGAAAGACCACATCGGCCGGCCGCGCCACAACATCGGAGGCCGTGCGGCCGCACTACTCGGAGTACTTTTCGCTTCGCCACTGTTCGGACCAGACTCGCTCATCTTGGAGCTACCTGATATGTCCAATCTGGGTCGTTTCGGGGGAGGTTCTTGAGAATCGGGCCCAGTGGTCAAGTCCACCACAGTAGGCTGTTGGCGAATCTGTTGTGATTGTGATGGCGGCTGAAGGGAATGATTCGATTTCGATGCCGACGAGGTATCATACTGAACAGGCGGTGCTCTATCAGCTCGTGTAGGGCCACCATTGTGCGCTGGCATAGGGTGGCCCCAGGGTTGGCCACCAGAGGAATGAGGTATCATCTTTGGTTCATGGTGTACCGTGGACGGCGTAAATCATGTAAATCATCCGAACGGTAAAATTATACAATATTTAACAAGGGATCGGAGAGGGATTGGATATATTCGAGATGGAATAAAATATATACGATCTTGATAACGGTGGAACGGGGAATCGGGGGAAAGGGGGTCCAAGCGGGGAAAGATGCTCGAACCACAATAAAGGAGAGAAAAGCTCTGGAGGTGAAGTGTGAAGATGGGGAAATAGTAAGTTGTCTATCGGAAGATGTTTCTGAATACTTACGAGATAACGTAAGTGCCGGACCAAAAGCAATCCGTCCTTGCCGGCTTGAGAGGATCCACATTTTTGTCACCTACCTGTGTAGATACACACTTCTATGCTACGTACTAAGCACTCACTATTAGATCTCTTTACTTCTTACATAGGTATGGATATTCACGCCCAAGTCTACTATTTCTCTTTAACTAGAAATCGAAATCGAAATCGAAACCTCTATTCAATCCGGGGGAATACCAAAGTCGGATGATTCCTCGGGATTAGGGCGCGTTCATTCGCCCCTTTCGCTTCCAGGCCGAGTCTTGGCCGAGTACACTAATTTATTTCAAAGGCTTCACGGTTGCTATGATCCCTATGCACTGTGACGGGAGATCATAGGGTAGCCACTTGTACGTTGATCGTGCGTTGATCGCATTGCCTGAATCAGATCACGATCAGCCCATCTGTCACATATGCACAGGGATAATATTTACCCATAAAATATCCAGAACTTACGGCAACTATTCACGCGCTCTTCGATATATCTAGATATATCTGGATATATTTGGATATATTTGGATATATTTGTTCCAAAGTTACTCCTCTTCATGAAATGGATCCATGGCGCCTTATCTCGCCCGAGGAGCAAATCCGGGGCCCACTACCACGGATGGTTACAGCGGCACTCTTGACTGTTCATCGTACGGTGTGGCACCATAGCTCCTCACCTGGGCATGATTTGGAAACATACCGGGCAAGTTTCAGATCGACCTACAGGGAATCCTCGTATGTACCTGCAGTATGGGTACTTCATACTCCATTATCCATTATCTATTATCCGTACTCCTCGCTCCGGGGCATAGTTTAAAGTTCAGTACGGAGTACGGAGTACGGAGTATCCATATTGGTCTTCCAGGGCCGTATTCATTTACCTAGAAAGGTTTGCCGGTTTAGACACATTTAACATCTATCCCTAGTTGCTTTCCTACCTAGATATATCTACGTGAGTATATAAATATATAAATATATAAATATATAAATATATAAATATAAAGTATTATATCTTGCAAAACTTGGAACATTCAAGGACCAATTAGAGTTTCCAGCACGTTCAGCCTCGGAATTATACAATCTGATACCTCACCGCAGTATGCTCGAGTCGATGTGGCTTCTGACATGTCTAAATACCGTATCTATTGACTAGATCCTTGTAGCTATACTCCAACAAAGGCTACAAGGTTCCCATGTCCAATAACATTCCCGATCAAACAAATGACCGGGATTCATCCGGTCCTATCGTATATAGATGTCATAGATGTCACAGCTCAAAGTGATCTGCATGTGATGATTTGTTTCCATAATAGATCAGATGCTCGTGTCTCCTGTACTCACTTGGTACCTCATATATGCAGTAATCAGTACTCCGTAGTTAACATCGAGTAATGTCATCCAGATGGTCGACACGTCCACGTCGCAGTAAAGCACTATCAGGCCACTGTTGTCCAGTTCTGAAGAGAATCAGACGATGAAAGAGACGGTGTAGTGATGCGGCATATTTCATGGCACGGAGTAGTCTGTCTTTGAATTGCCGCACCGTATGATTCCAAGATTGAAGACCCCGCTAGATTGTTATGGAGGAAAGTAAGTTGAAAGTGGCGCTGATGAGCCTCAAACTAACAATCTCTTGTATGCATGTGATAATGATATCTATAATATGACGAGGGTGTTGACTTTGCCTATTCTCTCAGGCATCATATATCATCTATCGAACACCTCGGCCGAGATATTTAGAAGCTGAGATAGTTAGAAGCCGAGATCGCAGCCTCATCTTGGACGTCTTATATTCTGGTCCCAAAATCCAACTTTGGAAAGGATTTCTTCAATTATCACTGAGACCTCGGAGCTTTCCTAATAGTCTCCTTCGAAAGAGATTCTGAACCGATTAGTTTTCTTATCTTTCCTAGATAGCTTCTCTTCCCTTCAAATGAATTATACAACTGCCCACCAATTGGTCTTCTTGAAATAATAAATTCCAAAATTGGAAATTTGAAATAGAAAAGGAAAATATGATTCCAATCTAGAATAAAAAGCTGTTCGACTGTAAATTCACTCTATTTGGCCTAGTCTGGATATCCCCGGTTCTAGCTTCTTGGCGGGGACGTCGCCCGCAGACTTTCTGGCCTTAACAACCAACATCACCTCAACCACAAGATGTCGTCAAACAAGGATATGCGAAGGGCAGATCTCGGTGAGTCTCTTTCAATATCGCAAAGTCTTCATCTCTGTGACTAATTGATACAACAGTCATCCCCTATGTCGACCCTCCCAGCAACAGTGGCGACGTTGATATGAACAGTATGTTGCGCATCTATACTCATGCCATCTAGTATGAGGAACCAAGTCTGACAGGGCTATGATATAGGCACCATGTCGAGTATGATGCCAATGGCTGCGGTAAGTTCCACAGGTGGTACTGTACACTCAAGCACTGGACTCTGACTTTACCTAGATGTTCACTCGCAACAGGTGAGATTCCATCCACTTCTCAGAAACAAGACACTCTTATTAACGGCAATTGTGGTTCAGAATGATTGGATGGTGATAATCGATAACAACACTTGAAGCTTCTCTCAGTCCCTCTAACCCCCATCTGCAGGGTGTCATTTGTCTTCTCACTTCAGACCTGGCTCGCTGAGTCTCCCGACCAGAAGAATTCCGCTTCTACCCCGGGCTACATGTCTGTCGGCATGGCTGGTGCGTGCTTTATCCCTCCTACCTCTGACAATCGAGCTAACCTGATCGTTCTCTTCCAGCAATGGCGCTTGGTGTCGTACGTTATCCTCTAAACTGTGCATCCTGACCCCCTATTAACCTTCGCAGACCTACCTCCCTCTTTTCATGCCCCCTCCAACAGCCGCAGGTGTAGCGGCAGCTACTCCCTCTCCCTTGCCCTTGGCCTGAACGTCCATACCTTCATAATACCTTTTGCCAGAACCGACGAGTGGCAATTAGCTAGATATGAACATTCTGAAAAATTGGATATATTTGGCCAACTGCTAGAGGACAACCCCCTGCTCTTTCTCTCTCTCTCTCTCTCGCTCAATCACGCGACTGACTTATAAGTACTGTATTGTCTTTCGCAAGCAGTTATGAGATCTGAAGCTCGATATATCTTCTGTTCGAAACTTGTAATAATAAAAACATTTAATCTATTCCAATCTTCGTCTATGTATCAAGTGTGTACCTTTAGGTAGAAAGTACTTAGGGTAGAAAGTGAGATAGTGAAGCGGTGTGCGACTCACCGCCTTACTCCTCAACGTGACCTTCTCAAAAGGCTCTTCCCTCCTCTTCCCCTTCGGCCCATCAATCCAACCTTCACTTCTCCCCACACCTTTCGATCGTTCTTTCAGAGATATTCCATCTCACCTTCTTGACTCTTTACCAAACCCCTCCCAACCTACTTTTAAACGACCGAGTTTATGTCCATCGAAAACTTCAAGGACAAGGGTAAGTCATCTCGCCACCTGCCACCTGCCCCTCGTCTCCGTGAGCGCTTATTGCGATCGGGTCAACCCAACATTCCAGCCCCCACGTGCAGTCATTATCACTCCTATTCCGATAACGTCTGATACTGGCTGTGCTTTGGAGTCTGCTTATCGTTCGGGCACATCACTACAGCGGGGTAAAGATTCGGGACTGAACTGAGGCTGACGCACATTTCCCACAGACCCCTTCGCCGAGGCTGAGGAAGCCACAGGCGGCGACACTTCGAAATCCGAAGGCTACACCCATATCCGGATTCAGCGTATGTTTCCCTCATCCACCCCCTGTTGTCGCTCTCCCTTTGTCGGGATCGGGGCACCAATTAAGGTTTACGGCCACCCGTGCTAACCTCGTGTATTTCATAGAACGCAATGGACGCAAGACCCTGACTACTATCCAGGGTCTGAACACCTCTGTTGACCCCAAGAAGGTTCTTAAGGCTATGCGCAAGAACTTCGGTATGTTTATCGCCGCCCCTTATACAATGTGAGTGGATCTAACCTGAGGTCACAGCTTGCAATGGCACTGTTGTTACCGACGCCGAAATGGGCGAGGTGATTCAGCTGCAGGGTGATCAGCGCAAACACTCTCTGGAGTTCCTATCTCTGAACCCTAAGCAGGGTGGAGTCGGAATTCCCGCGGCCAAGATCAAGGTTTGTCACCATACTCCTTGTTACTGCTCATTGCTAACCTTGTTAAAACTAGGTCCACGGGTTCTAATCCCATCAATGTACCTCGTTCCGATCCTTTCCCATTAGTCACATTACGACGATGGGTTAGAAAGCCCGCCATGTGTCTCTTTCGCCGGCCCTATGTTATGCTGGCCGTTTCATGAACGTGATACATTGCTTGTTGTCTCCACCATTTCATCTGGTGTGTTGGACATGGGCTTTGGTCGACTCTACACGCTATCACTTACGTCTTTTCATCGGTCTTCAGTATGATTGACGGAAGCGTGTTTTTGACTGACCTTTTTTCCTTGAAGTGGGATTATGACGGAACGAGGCGTTGGTAGAGATACCCTATCTGCACAGACAGACACATGTTATTGTTCTCGGCTTTTCGATTTCATTCCTTGGTCATTTGTTTTAAGGGGAGCAAGAGCTGTGCAACACGAGCTGTTGATGTTGCACAGATTGCTCGTCTCTCGTATTGTCAGTCTCTTGATACGGTCGTGGACACTGTAAATGGATTGGCGTGCTTTGCATCACTTATCATTACTCCCGATCATCCCTGTCTCTTGCATTTATATCATTATTATCTCTTGGAAACAAGGAATATAAACTCGTCACATCTACTTCGAAAACAACCAACTAGATAGTACACTAATCTCGTATACTAGAGGATATCAAGTCGCTAGACTGGAAAGGATCAGATAGAAAAAACGAAATGGTTGAGATGTATCAAATATCGCTGATAAAAGAAAAGAAAGTCTAAGATGGAAAAGAACAAGTAAAAATCCAGAAATCTGTGTAACATCAAGCCCAAGATGAACTCCAAAAAAAAAACTCCAAGCTACAGTTCTGCATTCATGTGACGGTCATCAGAGATTCGCATACGGAGAAAGATTGTAACGGCCCAGTCCCATAACTTGCGAGTAATCACGAATACGGGAACTTCCGGTTCGTTCTCGCGAGTCAGATGCAGCTGTAGTAGCAGTGAGGACATGCTCAGGAAGCTAGCTAGTGATACAACCAAGAGGGATGCGGCTGTTTCGCGCTTGATAGTTGCATGTCCATGCGTTGCGTGATAAACAAAAGTTAAGCTCTGTGTTGAAGATCAGCAAATTATATACCCTCAGAGAATAGCATTGCCAGCATGAAGCTTGACTTACGGTAGTGATGGATATCCAAGCTGGTAAGAGTAGTCGAGGGTCTGAGGATGCACCTGATAGATGTAGAACCCAAGAAGTAATGTACGCAATAAGCCCATTTGTAGTCAGGAGGCGGATCAGAACAGCAGGAGGAGTGTAATTTAAAAGCCTAAAATGACCACTTAGCAAGTGAATGAAACACTGATAGGACACGGGAAAACTGACCATCGAGACATCATACAGTCTGCAAAGAAATAGGAAAGATATGCGGATGCGCAACACTTAGGAGATCTAGTTAGTCCAAATGCTAGTATATAGCAGACAGAAAACCATAAGGCCTATACATACCCACATGATAGCCAATGCTACCTCAGTCACTCTGAATCTCCTCTCAACATCCCAATCCTGTCCCACACTCCCGATAATCGCTGCAGCCCACCCTTCCCCTCCCATGCCTGGCCGAATGTGCAGCAATTCGGCCAAGAACGTGAATGCACATCGCAGCCCCCACCATGCAGCTGGTAGCGTACTTGACGCCCGACAGACTAGCAGAGGAATATGCCAAATACGGTCGACTCCCAAAATGACGGCAACTCGCGGATGTAGTGCTGAAGGAACGGCCTGACCATCATCGCTGTCGAGTGGTGTATGAGAGGCGGAAGAGGGAGGGGAGAGAGGGACAACGGTCGAGGCAGCAGGCGCCACCTCCTTGATGTACTGGGTCGACGAAGAAGTTACAGAATGGCGTAAAAGACCTGGAGGAATTGTGGACCGCGCGATCTCGTGAGGCGATTGAGTAGGAGGTGAGTAGGGTGGAGGAGAGGCATTACGTCGAGGAGCCAGACTTTACCCACAATCGCGGCGTATGCCGCCGTCGAGCAAAGAAATAAAAAAGGGTTCGATGAGGAATATAGCAAGTAAGATCTTTAAAGATAAAGAATATTAGCGTGTGGGTCTAAGAGTCCGCGTGGTCGTTTGAGGGATGGACCGATCCCCTAAAAAATAAGGCTGGGCGGTGTGTTTTTTTTTTGCTGTGGCTGTTTGCTCTGCAGGAGTAAAATGTGCAAAAATCTGAGACTGGACGACTCTATAATTATCCTCTTAAAAAAAAAAGGGAAGCAGATATATAATCATTATTCGTGAGGATCTAGTTGCGGACGAGCTTATACTTGGACACCGCGGAGGATGAACACGTGATCTGCGGATTTTCAACTTTGTTGGCCTTCAAGATTCAAACCCCGGACATTCGCATCGAGTTGCAAAGCTCGCCATGACGTCCTCCCTCCGTCTGTCTGTGGGCAGTCTTACCACCCAAGCTCGTCCTACTCCAATAATTGCCCAATTACTCGTCCAAAATCCCTCCCAATGCCGGTCCTTTTCTCAGTCTTCGCAACTATGGGCTAAACGGAATGTCAACATCAAGACTGGTGGCCGCGGCACATCGCAGCCTTCAATGAAGTTGCGACAGAAGGAAGCGCTTCAAAGCCAGATGAAGTACATGAATGATATAGGATTATTGCCAGGAACTTTTGTGCGACCGAAATGGGCTGAATTGCCTTCAATCTTCCAGGCGCCGAGGGACCGGCTCCTGCTGGAATGGAATTGGCTAAAGGCTTCTGTTCAAAATACCTTGAAGTAAGTTCTTGCCTTCAATTCATAAGTACCTGTGTCTACATCAAATCGCTATAGACTGTGTTTGGTAGAGGAAGGCGAGCCTATGAACCTAGAAATGCAGACCCGGCAAAAAGAAGGCGAGGGCTAACTTCTCATAGTTTGATTGTCTACTGCAAGTATCAAATGTCGCTGCCTATCAATTTTTTTTCAAGAAAGCGTATTGCGCGCCTGTTGTACACGGACATGTACACTGCCCTTGCCCTGTGAGTATACAGATCATGCCATATCTATGAAATCGCCAGGCTAATCTTTTGATTTCTAGAGGTGACATCCCTGCCCTTCAACGACTCACATGCACCGGTCTGTACTCCAAACTCGCCATGCAGATCCATAACCGCCCCAAGGATCAAGCATTGGACTGGAAACTGATTAAATGGCGCCGCACACCGCAAACCAATTTCACCGGAGTTTCAGTCGTCATGGACCGCGCAACCCAAACGGACGAATCCGGGAAAAATAGCGGTGTTCGTCAAATTGTTCTCCGCGTGACATCCCGCCAGTCTATCAGAAAAGGCAAAAAATCTGCCAGAGATGCCGAGCCTGTCTTCACTGAACCTGCGGTAGAGCAAGACTGTGAGGAGTACATTGTTATTCAAGACCTCATTGTTCGGGGCCAGAGTGATGGTTGGAAGATCTGGGGATATGTCAAGCCCACTGACATGGAGCAGATCTACTCAGATCCTGCATTTGCGCCTGGTTTGTCGGCTACGGAGCGGCTGCAGGCACTGAAGGAAATGGCGAATATAAAATAAACGATGTGAGAGGATCAGATCATTGTGCCTATTCTCTTGAAGAAGACGCTATGGTCATAAAGTTCCATCCTGGGTCTCATATCTGGTGCCTATCGTCTCATCCCCTCCCAGTTTCAATGTATAAAAAGGAGCATTTGAACTATCACAGATTTCATTTCTCCCACTTTTTTTTAACAGTCTCAATTTCTTATCTATCCGATCTCCCTTCGCTCTTATTCTGCAGCAGTTCATCCCCGGCATCCATATCTGGTATCTGTTGACTCTCCCAGATATATAGACACCGGAGCATCTACCCTCATGTATCATAGCCACATGTCAAGTTTCCTCTTTGCGGTCTGATCCTGTTCCCCGGGCCTGAAACCCGAATGTAGTCCTCAATCTGTACAATGATGATAATGTTAAAATCGTTTTGTTACATTAACTTTTGACCTTTAAAGAAGAACCACAAAGAAACTGCCATGTACGAATGGAAGACACGACCTCGAGATCATGTGTACTAGTCTATGTAGCTATAAAGAGCATAACATCAGGTTTAGAAATAAGACAAGCTCGGGATTGAATCAAGGGTATGAAATCTTATTAAGAGCTCAAAGAAGTACAGATCACGATTAGACTAAAATCCGATGTCAGATTAAATAAGCAATAAGCTTGGACGCACGAGACTAGTCGTCATCAAAGATTTGGAAGGTGTTGTTCAAGATCGTTTCAATGACACGAACTTGCCAGCCGGCGTCGGCAATGTTGCCTCCGGAGTTGGCGCCCATCAAGGTTGGCCTGTGTATCATCAGCAGATGTTCGGTGTTTATCAAGATGGAAAGAGCTTACCCAAAGCAGATAGCCAGGTTGCCTGCGTTCATACGGTTCTCGGTGTAATGCTCTTGAATCTTGTTCAGATGCTTTTACCGGTTAGTATATTGCTTGGAGGAGTTCAGAAGCGTAAAGGAACATACCAGAATGACGGCCCTGAGGGTGGCATAGTGGGCATCGGGAAGATTATTGATAAGGGCGTGGAGAGAGTCTCGGCGTTGGATATCATCATCAATGCCTTTTATTCAGGTCAGCGCGGAGGCCAGATGAGTACATACGGAGATAGCACTTACGGGCAGCTTCAACAAATTGTGCATAGAACTGAGATGTGAATAGGGGATCAGGCAGATCCCTGAAGAACTGCTTCGCAAGTCCTGCGACACTGTTGACATCATGGAAGAAGTTCTCTGGGTTTGCAAGATCAACTGCATTTGGGTCTAGGCATTCAACATGATTTAGTACACAGCTAATATTCTGGTAAGGCTCAAGCTTACCGTTGTCGAATAATGCTTTCAGGTGGTTGATGTGGTTAGCACTGCCGGGAATTCGATAAACACCCTCCAAATCCAGTCCAAACAGCTCAATGGCTTGGAAACATTTGTAAACAAGGAGGGGTACCGCCGTTCCATCTCTGTGATAGAGATCTTCTAGCGACACACCGAAAACGGGTTTCAGAGGAGGTAGATTCTCAGTAAGGCTAGGCTGGAATCCCCTCTCCACTGGAGGTGGACCAGATAATGGGCCGTGATTAGGAGCTTCGTGAACGGGTGTTGCGGAAAGTGGATATGGGGCTTGACTCGCTGCCGGTGGTGGGACAGGATCCGTTGGGTAAGGTGGATGGAACTTCTCAATGCTCGATTGGCTCACTGGAGCAGAGGGAGTATGAGAGAAGGATGGAGGTGGAGCCATGGAGGACGCTGGCAGGGAAGTTTGGGGTGGTGGGGAAGATATGGGCACGGAAGGTTGGCGCTGGGCTTGTACATTGCTTGTTTGCAGGCCAGGTGGTGGTCCACTGAGAGTCTATTAAATGTGTTAGCATTGAACTTTAAAGAACGTGTGGATTGCGGAAAACTTACAGGATGACGCTCGTATTTGACTTCCTTCCCTGCAATGGCACCCGGATTTCCCTCATAGGTCAGGATGAAATCGTGGAGATCCTTCTGGTTGTCCACTTGGCGGACCACTTCTGCCAGACTCTTAGGTGCGCTTTGTCCACTGTTTTCACCCGTTATTGGGCTGACACATAGACCTTGACCTACAAGTAGTTTCTCGCTGAAGGTAGCTGTGAAATGTCAGTCAAGAGCACATGGATCTTTCATATATTACACGTACCAAACTTCTGTTGTTGCAAAGTCAAGCCCGAGTCACACTCTGAAATCAATTGCTGGAGCTTATCCACGGCCTCTGGACGATGAGTGGAGATCAATTCCCGGCGAGCACTCTGTGCAGCTGTGACCTTCGCTGAATAGTCGCTATCCGCATGCTGCACCTTGCGAAGGAGTTCCTCCTCATGCTGCGCAGCGGACTTGTGTCCCTTCAAACCAAACTTTCCGCTCTGCTTGTCTCCGGTACGGGCGCGATCGTACTGTTCAGCCAAGGTATCATACTTAACCTTTGCCTTCTCGGCCAAAACTTCAGCATCCACAACTTTCTTTTCAGCAGCCAATCCGGTCTGTTTCCATTGCTTACGACTCCGTTCCATCTCAGAGGCGAGCTCCGTCAGGTCCTCGGACATCTGTTGTAGGGATGCTGAGAATTGCTGGCCATGTTTGGCCATGCGCTCCTGAAGATTGTGGATATCTTTGTAGCTAGCACTGTATGTTCCCTGTCTGTTTTCGGTCCGTTGGGCGGCATCGCTAATGGCGCGGGACAGCTTTCGTAGACCCTGTGCATGTTCTTCTTCCAGTACTCCTCGCTTCTTCAAAAAAGTTGAGAAATCCTGACAGGCTGTATTAGCGCATCTCAACACCTCCTTTAGTCATGTATGGTGTCGAACCTTGGCAGATGCCACACTTTGTTTTAAGCGAGATAGGAGGGTAGTGATGCCGATCTGGGTGAGTTGACAGGGATTTAATTAGCATATTCATAGGCATCACTTTGTAGATTCTTTACCTCTGAGTAGATGACCTTATTCAAGCGAGCCTTGAGCTCATCGGAAATGGGCTGGTCGACAGGAGCTGCAAACGAGCGAACGGTACTGGATGGGGCATCTGATGCAGGTAGGGCATCAGAGTTTGTAAGTTCTGCCATTGTGCATGCAGAGTGTTAAGAGAATACAGGAGAGGGGGGGAACATAAGCATAAGCATAAGCATAAGCACAAGCCACAAATGTAGTTACCGATGGCACCAGAGAGGGCTTGGCGGTGGGGAAGGCGGGAGTTTGGGTCGATGAGGTCACCATTCAGGTACGCTGCTTACGTACGCTGTACAGCCACATTTTATTGTAGCTACCTAATCCCTCAATGCCTTCCTTGTCACTGGCACACCTCAATGGTCAGATCCTTCTGAATCAGGTTGTTGTTCATAACTACTACCTAGATACGACCTACAACTAGAATATTCCGCCTGAACAACTACTGAGATGATAGATCAGATCATCTTGGCTGATTATATGCTGACACATTGGCTGATTGCCCAATGCCTTAGACCTTCTCATAGGGTACTTTTTTCCCATATCAGACATTCATACCTATATATAATTGGCCGGCTCCACTAATGGAACAGGTCTCACTACATCAAACTATACCTGTACTAACTGAACTTTGAAATTGACAAGTCTAATATCTCTCACCATTTGACAGTTCCAACTTTCAAAGTTTGTGGCACAGAGAACACTCATATTTGGATGCTGACTAGGTCTATCGGCCTTGTATAGTTTGACTATCAAAATCCAATTCAATATCTTCAAAGTTCACATTGATCCGGTGTTTTTCATAATTATGCTCCATTAGTTAGAGCTACATTAGAACTGTGGCAGATGATCTGAGATACCATACCTAGGTATAACTGAGTAAGATAGGCATACCACATCGCATTCCATATATACATAAGTAATGGAAGTAGTGTGTGTACTGTACTTGGTAATTATGGATTCAGTGGAGACGCCGATCTGATAATTACCGACCCACATGCCACCTGATGCCGAGGTTTGTTGACTTGTGTTCTCCGCAGAGGATTCCATTGCTCTACATATCAGCCTTCTATTTATACCTCTAGGTACTACCTTCTTCACTCTCTGAGAAGTCCACTTATACCTACCTCTCCATGTCTGAAATCAACGTTATCGCTGTCATATATCCCAAGCCAGAGCACTTCCAAGAGGTATCCTAAGCACGGTGTGCTTATCATATCAGTCTCTAATATCAACAGGTTGCAACACTTCTCACTGGCTTTATCAGAAAAGTGCAAGACCAAGAACCTGACACTCTACTATACTATGCATTCCATGTTGAAGCAAATAAGGAGATAGTAGTCGTGGAAAGGTATGGCTCCATCACATCCGTGCTTTGGTATTTTGGAGCGGCCAAATACAAAATACCAGAGAATTCAGAGATAACAAAAGAACCAATCCTAAACCAATCTCAGATATAAAAACCAAACTGCAGTTCAAACTCACCTGAAGACCCCCTATTTCCAGGAGTTTGCCGCTCAACTGTCTGGGTGGTTGGCTAAACCTTCTGAGGTGAGAGTAGGAGGTGTTCTGAGTGGTCCACTAGTCTCACGGCTATAGGAAGAAAAAGAAGGGTTATAAATAGCGAAGTTCATGCGTGGCGACTGATTGAGCGGTTAAAATCCCCGTGATTGAAGTGAGATGCGGTGCAGTTACTGACTAGAACTAATTTGAACTGGAAATTCAACCCTATCACATTTTCTAGTAGATAGAGGGGGCTGGATGGATTTTATATAAAAGATGTATTACTCAATGTGGGGACGAAAGCCAAACCCTTTTGAAACCTTTTTTTTTTTTACTTTTCTCTAAGCTCATCTCTTTTACTAACTGGAGCCCCTCCTATAACCCTTTACGTTCTGTCTCCACCTGTCTTTTCCTTTCCCCTCTTCCCCTACCTTCACATCTTTCACTATTAACTTCCTTTTCCCCCCTCGTTATCGTCATCCCCCCCCCCCCCTTATCGCGACCCTCTGATCCTACTCCCCTTTCCTTTCCGTGTACATATTTCACATCATGGCGAGCGGTCCAGCCACCCAATCGCTAAAGGTTCGATCCTCTGCTCATTTCAAATGACGCGCCTCTAACCAGACTCGGATATATAGTGCGTGGTGACAGGTGATGGTGCTGTGGGTAAAGTCAGTATCCCCTCTCCATATTTGGCGATGAACCGAAGACTGACTGGGATCTCCTATGTCCTCTAGACATGTCTTCTCATCTCCTACACAACGAATGCCTTTCCAGGAGAATACATCCCGACTGTGTACGTTATTTTCTCACTTTTATCCGATCAGCTCATGCTGATTCCAACTACAGCTTCGACAATTACACCGCTAGCGTGATGGTCGACGGCCGGCCGATCAGCTTGGGACTGTGGGATACAGCCGGACAAGAAGATTACGACCGTCTCCGACCACTTTCCTACCCACAAACCGACGTCTTCCTGATCTGCTTCTCCATTGTTAGCCCGCCATCATTCGATAACGTGAAAGCCAAGGTACGGCAACCTGCCACACACCCCCCTGTGTCTCGTCCCGCTAGTCCGCCATTCCAAGAATCCACTGACCGTGAACATATTAGTGGTATCCTGAAATCGATCACCACGCCCCTAGCGTCCCTATCATTTTGGTCGGCACTAAACTCGACCTGCGAGACGATCGCCACACCACTGATGCCCTCCGAGCTCGAAAGATGGAGCCAGTCTCGTACGAACAGGCCCTGAATGTAGCCAAAGAGATCCGCGCACATAAATACCTCGAATGCTCTGCACTGACGCAGCGCAACTTGAAGAGTGTATTTGACGAGGCCATTCGGTACGACCCCCTGACGGAACAACCGCCAACGAAATAAGCTAACTTGTTTTTTTTTCTTTCTTCCCAGCGCTGTTCTGAATCCTCGCCCTGCTGCTAAATCTGGGCGCAAGAACAAATGCATGATCTTGTAAAGCTGTTGGGTTCCTGTCCTTCCTTTCTTTTTTTCGTATGCTATAATGAATAATATATAGTTAATACGGCGTCTGGGTAGCCAGAGGCTTCTTGGGCCCTCTTCTTGATGAATCCATTGACCCTCTTCTTTTCACTGGGGAACTGACTGCAAGATATATGTTTGTTCGATAGAAGGCCCAGGCAGTGTCGAGCTTTGATCCGTGCTTTATTCATTTAAGACCCAAATCTATAGTTACTTAATTTCCAAGTTTCAAATGTGAAATACTTTCCAATGTTTCAGTGTTCCAATGCCCTCTATTCGGAGTTGAGAGGGATGATAGTTTGATGGGATTGTTCAATTCATTCAAGATATGCACAGAAGATGGGAAATAACCCTCCATAAAAACATCTCACTTGTTTCAAATCCAGGACCCCGCGATATACAAAAGAAAGGGAAACGAAATTTTCAAGGCTTCCAAGGCTCTAGCAAAATAATGAAGCGTAATTCAAGTCTATGAGTGCGTCAAATTTGAGTCTACCGCAATTGCGGCCGACGACTGGGGTGCACGCCAGCGTATGGGTCATCATCAGTAGCAGCAGCAGCCGGTGCAGCCTTGGTGAGCTTATTCTTGTCCTTTTGTATATCCTTGGCAGAACGCTGACGCTCATCATTGAGCTTCTCGTTCTTAGCCTGGATCTTAGCTCTGCGGTTCTCAGACTTGCCACCACCACCACCGGCACTGTAATTTTGTCAGTGAATGAACATTAATGTAAGTGTAAGATAGGAAAACTCACGTCAGTTCAACATTCATCCGTCGAGGTGGGTACTTTCCATCATCGAACATAGAGTGATGGTAAAGCTTAAGACAGGTCTTCATACGATCGTAGTTATCAAACTCGATGAATGCAAAGCCGCGGCATTTGTTCTTCGGGTCATCTGGCTTTGTAGCAACGCGGATCGAGGCAGGCGGGTTCTTCTCGAAGTGTTTTGCGAGGGACTCTTGGCTTGCAGAGTACGGCAAGTTTCCTAGAATGGGTATGATTAATTTCGCGTCTTTGCATACGTAGGAGCTAGGGCTTCACGTACCGACAAAGCAGATGAATCGGTTCTTCTTGCTGCCTTCTGTCTCATCACCGTTTTCGCCGGCTGGCTGCTCTTCAGTGTTGGCTTGTTCTTCAGACTTTGCTGCGAGCTTCTTGGCCTTTTGCTTGTCTTTCTTTACTTTCCTGGCTGCCTTTCTGGCGGCGGCTGCAGCGTCTTCGTCGACAGGTGCAACTTCGGCTTCAGCCTCGGCTTCGGCTTCGATGGTGGTTTCAGCATCTGTCTCCTTTTCTTTCTTTTCCTTCTTCTTGTCTTTCTTCTCTTTCTTGTCCTTCTTGTCCTTCTTTTCCTTCTTCTCCTCCTCTGTATTCTCCTCTGTCTTCTCCTTCTTCTCCTTCTTCTCCTTCTTTTCCTTCTTTTCCTTCTTCTCCTTCTTCTCCTTTTTGTCCTTCTTTTCCTTCTTTAGCTTCTTGCCCTCCGGCGCAATCGCCTCAACTGGGACATCCTCCTCGAGCTTACGCTTCTTGTCAGCACCCATTTCGAAATTGAAAATAGATCAACAGATGAGAGGTTGAAGTGAATGGAATAATGCTGCTCCAATATGCTCAGAAGAGCTAGTTCGTCGGAAGATTCGAAGAATCAGAATGAAAATACGCTTGAGTTCTCCGAAAAAATTGGGCGGAGACGGAAGAGAAAAATAGTTTCTGCCGTTTTATTTTAGGGCGGTCGGAAGATAAGAGCCTCGCTATCAAAGTCTGCTTACTCTATTGAGGAAGTACAATTCACGTCTGGAAGATATCAAAATAAAATTGTTCATCTATATGATTTTCAACGCCAGCCCGATGAGCATTAAACTTTTGATACAAAAGCATCAGAACACCAAGATTTGCACCTTGTCTTTTCCACTGTAGCGATCACTAAGCTCGGGACGATTGAGGAGCTTGAGAAGAGGGAAGTGCACCTCCTTCATGTCGAATATTCCGCGCTTTTTTGTATCGATGTACGAGCCATCAATAACAATACGTTGTAGCTCATTCACTTTCAGTGCTCCTTTAAAATACCAACAACTTAGCAATGTCCAGTGGGAAGCATCGTATATATCAAGCCTACTTACCAGATTCAATTAGATCAAACACCCGTTGAGGAGTTCCGGCACTAATACCAGTACTGTGAAGGTTGTCAGCTTGTCCGAACAGTCGCTAGAATAGACATCAAGATTTCATACCGTGCGCGTTCGAGGAACTGCTTTGCCTCTGCTAGCTTGATGTGCTTTGCAAACAGCTTTCCAACAATTGATGTCTTGGTATGGAAAGGTCGGAGTGCCCTGAATCATATTATGTCAGAATATATACCGTAATGACCAAAGGAGTTGCTCGTACCTAACAACATCTGCCGCTCGAAGCGCAGCAGCAGAGATCACTAATGTATGCGGAGTGCCATTATGTTCTGAGGCCTTGGAGAGATCGGCATTCTTAGGGCTGAAAGCCTTGAGGAACTCAGGAAGCTTGTCTAATGATCGGGGCTCGGCGAACGAAGTTGTATCAAGGAAAGCGGAGCCTGAGCTGATCAGTATGCGTCGTTTGTCACGGGGACGTTTAATTTGCCTACCTGGAACCGACAGATCGTCTAATTCAACTGCAGAAAGCTCTTTATCCAGCTTCTGGGCCCGCTTGGCCAAGTAGTCGGCCAGAAGCCCTCCATCCATCTTTCCAATCGACTCGTCGATGCCATCCTTGCGGTCATCATCCTCCACATCTTGGTCGTCTTGACCCTTGTTCTTCTGGGCCTTCTTGCGCTTCTTTTTCTTCGAACCATCTGCAGGAGCTGCTGCGGATGCTGCTTCGGGCTTGTCTTGCTTGGTAGAATCCTCGGTTTGGCGCTTGCGCTTCTTGTCCAGCTTACCTGCAAGCCCTTTCTGGGCTGGAGCTTCACTCATTTTTAGTGAAGCTTGCTAGTTTGCACGATTGAAATTCGTAGACTTAATTGGCGATCGAGTAAATCCAAATCAAGTTGTCGCAAAAAAGTCCATGGAAAAACCACCACTTAGTCATCGATACTTATCGATAAGATAATTAACTTTGGCCAATCACTCTCACATCCAGACCCGCATTGTTTTGGAGAATAAACGCGCTTTAACATTCGTCTGCGTTGGTCACCAAGTACTTTTTGATTCTAATCCCGCTGATTTGCTCTGGCGGTATAACTAGCGATACTACTTACCGCCTGATTGAGGAGATGTCGACTCCAAACCCGCGTGACCACCAGTCACAGCGTAATTCGGGTGCTGGAACCAGTACGCCTTCACGAGGAGTAAGTCAATATTTTGATATGGTTGTGATTTGATAATTTATACTAAATATTTTCCAGCTTCAACGTCTTCCCAGTCACACACGCTATCCACTTACACCCAGTCGCCTGGTCACCGTTTCGACTCCATCCCAACGCTCAGCATCTCGGTACACACCACGGGCTCGACCTCCTGCTACGCCATATGGACTACGTGCGCTTCAGCAACGAGCAGCAAATCAAACGCCTGGTCGCGACAGGCGACGCAGCGTTCGAGTACAACGGGAGACTACATTTGATATTCTGCGAAATCTGGGTAGAGGTGTGCTCATGCGGATCTGATATATAGATAATAGTCCCCCTACTGACATGATATTAGCGCTTGCCCCTATTTCTCAGCCTATTCAGTCATCACCCCAAGAGGAGCCTGAGATAATAGAAGAATTGCAATACGAGATAGACGAGCTGGATAATGAATCGCCAATCGAACCGCCGCGGATGTCTTTGCCATTGCAAGAAGTTGACGACGAAAGCGATGAGACTAGTCCTCCCATGCCTCCTCGCATGTCTATCGCCTTTGACGACGACGATATTACGTACAGATCCGTCGAATATCCTCGTGACATGAGTGCTCGAGACCAGAATCGACTTTCCATAATGGATCGCCTTGCGGGAAGAATGAGCGAGACTTTTGGAGCTCAACTCGAAAGCGATTCAGATGCTGGGGATGAAACGGGCATAGTGTACGAGGATGATGCAGGAGAGGACACTATGATCAGCGATTTTGATCGAGGGTAAGTTGAACAATATTTCACTTTGTGGTGGTACATTATGGGCTAAAACTATGTTACAAATAGAGGAGAGACTGAGGACCTGGGCCGGTTCCATTTCGACCTTAACTTCCCTTCTCCAACTGCAGTGGCTGAAGATCCAATGGACGAGCATGAGGGCGAGATGGATGGGTTTGAACTCTCTGCGGGTGATATAGAGCAGGTTCCAAGATCGCCCTCAGACGATGATGATGACGCTGGTGGTGGGTTCGACTATGGATTTGATTTCCCACAAGCAGACTCTCCAAGCCAGAGCCCTGGCATAGTTGGCGGAGGATTGCGAGAAGAGGATCATCCAGTAAAGGGCAAGCTAAAGAAGCTTTCCCGGTATGGAATACCCATTCCAAACCTGCCTGTTGGCGTTGTCAAGAATCTAGCCACTCGATTCGCACGCAACAAAGCTGGTTCTAAACCGAAGCTTAACAAAGCTGCAATGGCCGCAATCGAGCAAGCGTCTTCGTGGTTCTTCGAACAGGCAAGTCAGGACTTGGCTGCATACTCAAAGCACGCTGGTCGGAAGACCATTGACGAATCCGACGTTATTACTCTTATGAGAAGGTATGTTTGTTGCGCTTAAAAATCGAAAGATTGCTGACCCTCTCTAGGCAACGTCATATCAACAAATCCACAACTGTTTTCTCCTTGGCTCAAAAGCATTTGCCCAAGGAACTCCAACAGGACATGAGAGTTGCAATGCCCCCGTGAATGACCCAAATAAACATTTACACATGCATAAAACTCCAAACACCAATGCCGATATACTATACAAGAGTGACGGATCTACCAGTTCCGGTTCTGGCGAACGCGGCGCAGAGCCTCGTTGGGATTCTTGCGTACGACCATCCACATCATGATGGACGTGGCTAGAGACAAGCTAAACCTGTGATTGGTGAGAAAAACGTTGAAAGAACATCATTTATTCTGGAATTGAGTGGTCAGACTTACCACGTGAAGATGTACTGGGCGTGATTGTTTTTCAAGTTGACTTCTGCAGCACGGCCAATCGGGATGCCTTTGGCTGTACGATCGTATGTCACAAGGAGATCAGGCACTTGATGGAACAGTCAGTCTCAGCTTCATGTTGACAGACGAAGTAGAATATCTTACCCATAGTCTCCTCAATCCAAACGGGCTGACTCCCACTATACTCTGCCATTTGCTTAATGTCAGGAAAATAAAACTTGCCCTCCTCAGGTTTATTGTCTGGTGTAAACATATTCTTCTTCCAGGGCTCGCGTAGCAATCCCTCAACAGTGACTTCTTCCAGAGGTAATCCCAGAGGACGATCTTTCTGGTTTGCCAACTTCTTAGAGATCCACCCCCGGTTCACGAGCACAGTGCTTTCGCCGTCATCACGCTTGAGAGGTGTCACAACCATGAACCCGTCCTCACCCTCCAACATACGGGGTCCAATAAGCATCTCATGCTCGTGATCAAAATGGCCAGTGGCAATGACACGGCGGTAGTCAAATTCGGTAATAGCATCAGGATCAATTCGAGGTGGAAGAGGAAGAGGAGCTTTGACCAGACGGTCCTCGAATTTGGCAATGAGATTAGTTTTCCAACCCAGGCGCTGGACTTGCCAGCACCCCAATACAAATGCGATTATTGGAATTGAAGCTGCGGGAATGAGTGTGTTAGTTTTCACTTTGATGTACTCATAGTTGTAGAAAACGTACCAAGAATAATCAGCCCGGGTCCATGCTTCTGGCCCACTCGTACGAGTGTGGCCGGGTGGTCCACATTGAAGTCTTTCAATTGGCGCGAGTAGCTGAATGGTCGCTGCTGCTGTATGCGACATCTAGCGTAGATGAACTCGACATTCGTTGCAGCGATAGGCTTTCGGACGGTGCGGCCCGGCAATGACCAGGTCGGAGAAGACCTCTGGAGAACGGAGAATAGTGAACGCATTGTGGAGAAGACAACAAGACGAGGTTGTATAATTAAAAATTCCCCCAGTTGTCAATTAGACTGGAATTAAAGGAAAAAAGAGCCGCACTGGTTTTGGAGCGGGAGTTCTCGCCTTAGGGCGGTCACGCGGCTTCCCCCGAGCTGCCTTCGCAATACAAACAAACTAGCTAGAGTTGCCAATTGTAACTTGTACACTATTCAAAATTTCGCCTCAAGATAATGGATCTTTTCTATCAAGGAACCCTACAGGATGGAATTGCTCTCGCCATGAGAGAATCTAAAGCTGTCGTCTGCTTTGTCCGAGGTTGGTAATCTCCCCGCATTTAGAGATATGGCCATCTAACCTTGTCTTGGGCAGATGACGGAGAGCTGAGCACGACATGGGAGAATGAATATTTTAACGATAATGAGGTAAAACGACTCTCATACAGAATACTTCAAATGTCTGCTCATACGTCCTTGGTATAGTTTGCGCAAGCCCTCAGCACCCAGGCGGTTGTATTGCGCCTACAAGCAGGTAGCCCAGAAGCTGGGTTCCTGACGTCGTTCTGTCCAGTCGAATCTTTTCCCACTGTCGTGGTTATCAAGTATGTTTGCACAGTGTCTAGGTCTGGCTGTGTCGTGTGAGCTGACTCGCTGAATCATAGTCATGGCACCTTGTATGAATACATAACAGTAGGGACCCCCAAGCCTCTCTTTCGTATACGCCTGCTAGCGGCTACTTGTGGAAACAATCTGCCTCTATCTGAAAACCCGCTGGATACCGCTGCAGCTGAAAGTATCGAACCTACTTCTACCTCGAGTGCTCCACCCGTCATATCCAGTGCTCCTCCTGTGATATCCAGTTCGCCAGGACAATATCAGTCGCCTCAAAATAGTCGACCGTCAATCCCTACGGCGCACGAACTTCGAGACAGTGTAAATAAGCACGTTTCAAAGAAAGATGAATCCGAAAAACCTCCCACGGTCAAGCAACAGCCACCAAAAGAAGACCAGCCCCAGAAGCCCGTCACTAAAAACCAAAATAAAGGCAAAGCACCTCAAAGGCCTGTAAAAGCCGAATCTAGTAGAGCTATTGTGCCCCCTCACGAGAAGGAGAAGCCTCAATTTTCAGCTCCTCGAGGACCGCCAACGCAATACAGACTTCAAGTGCGACTATTCGATGGCAGCTCAGTTCGATCCAACTTCTCACCCACTCAAACAATTGGGAGTGACGTGCGACGTTGGCTTGATGAACAAATGGCCGATGAGCAACGCCCATATAACCTAAAACATATCTTGACTCCTCTTCCCAGCCGAACACTATCATTCAGCGAAGAATCCCAGGCACTCCGAGATCTGGGTATCGGTTCAACTGCAAACCTGGCCATGGTACCAGTACAAACATACACGAGTGCATATGCTTCAGCAGGTAGCTTACCTGTGCGCGGTGTGTCCGCTGTCTATAATATGGTCTCTTCCGCTGCGGGAGCAGCCACCGGCCTTGTGGGCTCGCTCTTGGGGTATGGCTCGAATCCAGCGCCGAATGAGTCGAATGCTTCTGATACTGCGCCTGCACCATCGCCTGCGACTACTCAGCGAACTCGACCCAGCGGGCTTAATATTCGGACGCTCAGAGACCAGCAGAATGACCGGGATGACAGACAGTTTTACAATGGGAACCAGGTAGATCGATCATAATAACCATATTGCCCTCTTCGACTAACATGATTTCATAGCTGAATTTCGAACCTCGGAGCCAAGATAGCAAGAATGATTGATTACGATGACCGATTTCATTTTCACATGGCGTTGATATACGGACACGCTTGACGAATATGTCTTGATAATTAACTTCTATGGTGTTTCTGGGTGGATTGGAAATTTTTTAGGTAATTGCAGAGCCAAATAGTGGGCGTCAAGCAGTTTTATCACTATTGCTATACTTCAGTATTTTCGGAAGGGACCTAATTTATATCGAGTGCAATTCTGATGCTTAATTTTCAGTAGTAGAGACAGATGATATAGAGTACAAGAGCGCGATTCTGGAGTCGCGATGCGGAGAGATACACTGTTGTAGAAAGGAAAATGCAGCAACCGTTTAGATAACCTAGTACGGCTTGGCAGCAGCCTGGCAAGCCTTCTATTAGGGCATTAGCATTGAATATAAACCGAGGTAAAAGGGAAAGACAAAAACGTACCAGCTGGTCCATGTACCAACCGCAGATGCTCATGTTGCCTCCGTTCTCATCCATGCACTTGCGGAAGTTGCGCACATCTGCCTCGCAAGCAGGAGTCTCCCAGGACTGGTTGGTAGCGCTGCTCTGCCAGAGACCGTTGTCGACGCCCTGCGACTGGACGGGAGCAGCCTGGGGCTCAGCAGGGGCGCTGGAGCTACCACCACTGAATAGACCACCGATAGCGTGGCCAACAGAGGAACCGATAGCGACTCCACTAGACGAGAAGAAATGTAAGTGACAGGTTCTCAACAAAAGGCTCGACCCCGGATTTCCCTAGTGATCGAATTGAGCCGTATTTCAGGCGAACTTACGCAGCGGTCGAGGCCATTTGGCCGAAAAGACCAGGTCCAGCGCTCTGCTGGGGAGCCTGCATGGGAGGAGCCTGCTGGTACTGCTGTGGGTGGGCAGCAGTAGAGTGAGGAGCCTGGTGCTGGGCAGGGGCCGCGGGCCGGGCGGGGGCGACAGTAGGGCGCGAGGGAGCACTGCGCATAGGAGCGGGAGCGGCACGGCGTTGTTGGCGAGGCATTTTGTGATGTATTTTATTGAATAGAACTTGGCTAATTCAGACAGATGGAGAAGAAAGATCGCTGAATCCCGTAGTTTGCCTTTGTCCCGGATGACTAAGCTTCTAGATTTATCGGCGTTTTGATTGGCTGGCGTATATACTTCACGTGCTTAAGGGTATTGGAGGAGATTCAATTGCATTTTTAAAGAAGAGTTCTTGGGTATCTGATATGGTACGTTTTTGGCAAAGAGGTCGATTCGAGTCATCGACAGGCCTTCTTCTCCGACTCAACCGGGAAGTGAAGTTGAGTCGTTTCATAGGAAATTCATTTCGATTTGTTGGTGCGTCGCTTCTTGTTTTTGTTCTTTCGCTGTCCCTTGCTAGCATCGCTCAAAGCCTTAGCTTGACTTTCCGATGCCTTCTTCCTCTTCTCCGAATTCTTAGGCAAAATCTCAAGATTGGTATCCATTTTTTCATCTGCCCTCACCTCCTCAACTTCGTCCGAACTCGAATCAGAAGAGGAGTCAGATGTTGAGGATTCTTTTTGTTCTAATGCCATCTTCTTAGCAATAATGGCAGCCTTGATTTCGGCTTGTGCCCGTTCCTTTGCCTCTCTTTCCGCTCGTTCGAAGTCGATCTTCTTATTACCCGCCTGGGAAAGGTTAGTTCATGGTTCTGCCAAGGAAATAGCGCATTGGTAAATACAAGGCCGTGTTTAATGAAACGCGATGCAGCTTCCTTATCGAGTGTCAAAGTCCGCTTCTCAGGCTCTTCCAGCGCTTTAATCTTCGCGAAATATTGCTTCACACGGGTCAACTCCCGATATACCGCATGTTCTTGCGCATTGGCACCATGAAGTCTTAGATAAGCTAGAGATTAATAAGAAAGTATTCTGACAGAAGGGAGTGTAAAGGAATTACAGAATATTAGTGACTCAAGAGTGTAAGTGACCAGAACATGGAGCTTCGCTTTGTCCATTAAAGGCAGATTTTGCGAGTTGTTGACCAGGGACTTGCCCAATAAGGGCTCAAGGATCTCCTCCAAGTCATCCAATTGGTCATCAAGCTGCTCAAGCAGCGGCAACAAGGCGTCTGTGTTCATATTGAGGGTTGAGTGTGGAAGTGAAAGTTAGTTGTCAGAAAAATTAAGAATAAGACCGGTGCAAATTAGGCGGTGATTACAGGCGGTGAAGATGTATTTCCTCCAAGCCGTGATTTATTTCGCCAAGCTGTCCGAGTTCTTTAACAACATAGCCTAATTTCGAGTCTGATGTTAATTGTCACACAGGCTTGAGTAATCGATAGCCCTCTTCAAAACTTCAAATCAATCAGGGTCGAGACTCGAAACCTCACCCTTTCCTTCCGGCTTTCTCTCGGGGGACTTTTAACCCCGAAGCTCCATTCAAAGTGTTACAACTAATCAGCCGCCGCCCGCTATGGCGAAGCGGAATCGTGGATATCTTAAGCTATTCTCAGTGTCAGCTTAGTGGAAAATCCTCCATGTCATCATGGACTCAAAATTGGAGGGATACTCCCGACAAAACGCCAAAGTTGACCGGGCGAGTGCACGTCCTTGGTGTTGGTAATGTTGGAACATTCGTTGCGCATGCCCTAGCTTCCCGACAGAATCCGCCGCCTATAACATTACTCTTTCACCACTCTGGGTTCTATGAGGAATTCCGCAAGAAGAAGAAAAGTCTATCTATAACGTACAACGGTCTGGAGAATACCCAGAAAGGATTTGATGTCGAGTTCCTCAGCAATGGTGTATGGCAATCAGATCGGGTGGACGAAGACACACAAACGGATGGGCCAATCGAGTGTTTAATTTTATGTTCCAAGGCAACAAAGGCAACAAAGGCTATCCAACAAGTGAGCCACCGCTTGAATTCAGATTCAAGTGTTGTCCTGATGCAAAACGGAATGGGAATTATCGAAACACTTAACGAGAGGGTGTTTCCAGACCCGAATAACCGCCCCCATTACATTCACTGTGTCAACAGTCATGCTCTTACCAGGCTTCAGAATTTCAGTATCAACTACAATGCCGTTGGTACAATGTCTCTCAGTCCAGAGGTCAACAGCAAGACTCATTTAGTCGACGCGGATATCGACACCCACTGGGCGCCGTCAACAAAATATCTGCTACGCCTCCTCACTCTCACTCCATCTCTAGTCGCGACCACTGAAACGCCCGCTGGAATGCTACAAATCCGACTTGAAAAGCTTGCCATAAATTGTATCATAAATCCGCTAACTGCGATCAATGACTGCAAGAATGGCGAGCTTCTTTACAACTTTAGCTGCACTCGTGTCATGCGATTGCTTCTATTTGAAATCTCAAGTGTTATTTGCGCTCTTCCAGAATTACAAGGCGTTCCGGGCATTCAGGATCGCTTTTCCCCAGAACGTCTCCGTCGGCTGGTGACAGGACTTGCCACCACCACCGCCGCCAACACCAGCTCAATGCTGTCCGATGTTCGTTCCGGCAAGCAAACTGAGGTTCATTTTATAAATGGTTGGATTGTGGATCGCGGCGAGGAGCTGGGCATTAAATGTGCCCTAAACTATATGCTAATGCATTTGGTTAAATCGAAACTTGCCGTCAATACACGCAATATTGCTGGTGAAGTCCCAATTGACAATAGCAAGGATGTTGAGGGAGTGGATGACGATTCCAAAATGCAGGTGAAATTTAGTAAGGAATGGGTTTAAATCTCGGAGACTTGGATTTTTGCAGACACAAGCTGGACGAAAGCTCTTCCCTCTCATGATTGACTCAAAGAGAAATCGCCTGAGACGCACTCTCACAGATCTCCTTAATCTGAGACCACCGTCGTAACAGTGTCTCCAGCTTTTGGCGGTTTGCCTGAACCACCGCATCAGACTTGAGAGTCTCTCTTATTGCGTCCATGGTTGCATCTGCTTCCGTGACATACGTTTGGAGCCAACTCTTGATGATGGCCTCTGATTTTGTCTCATCAACGCCATCATCTGATCCCTCGAGAATATGGTTTCGCCAGTCCTCCTCTTTCATGTACTTGAGACATGCTGCCACCTCTGTACGATAGCAGACGCCTGTCGAAGTGACTTGATATTCACTTCATAATTATGTATCAGCAAGATCAATTCATACCTGATATATCGTGTGGGATTAGCACGTACCCATAGTATTGATTCAATCGCAATTCCTCCTGTTTATCTGGGCTATTGAGGTCACGGAAGACAATGTCGTCGAGGTAAATGCAGTCTGAGTTGTTCTTCTCGAGGAAGAACCCATCTAAACACATTTAGCACAATGAACTCAGAAGATATACTTTATCCGGGTACTTACATTCAGTCAACAGGAAGTCATTTGGGTGATTCCCATAACTCATGTATACCTCGTCGCCTTCTTCGTAGTCTTCTGTCACGGTCAGGGTATACTCAGTGTCACTGAATTTGACGTCGCACTGTTTCGGTCAGTCATATTCACGCCATTTGATCCTTGAAAACACAAACCTCCACGTCCGAGTGATTGAAATAGTCTGCAAATGGCAACAAAGCCATAGCATCGTTCCGATCTTCTGGAGGCTCCTGTCCAGGTTCGACCCAGTAGAAGCACCGCGTATTAAGTATGAGCCAGCTATAAGAGAAAGACCGCCATTCTGTCTCCGGAAAGACAGATAGAACATCATTCCATGCCTTGCGAATTCGATGCTCCTGCCCAGAGAGCATATTTTGGTGGTCACTGTCATATTTTTTCGTTCTCGGTCCCTTCTCAATCGTTGTCCACATGCCGGAGATGCACGGGGTAAGAACATTGGACACCTCGGCAGATCCGGTAGACTCGCTGTCTAGCCATATTGGCCCGCCTAATTCTCTTGGCCATAGCATTGGCAAGCTGTCTACAAAATCCTGACGTGTTGGCCAGGCTTGGAACCATAGCTTGTATTTCTCCAGCTCCTCTTCGCTTCCGTGAATGAGGTATGCTGCCATAATGGCTTGCACGGCAGTGCCTTCAGGGAATTGCTCCCTGAATGATTCGGGGAGATTGTTGATGGTCAAAATCGCAGAGGTTGGAACTTTTACCACTGCATCTCCTTTCTGGTTGGAACGTTAGTTTGGCAATTGTAGCAGGGATTGGATTGGCATACCTTGATTCTCTTAGTTGCTATCATTCCGAGCCCACGGCCTGGAAACCGTGCTGGGGTGACACCATTGGCGACCACACCTTGAGTAAGGGCCCATTTAGCAAAGGCTTCATGGTTCTCACCCGGCCACCATTCTGGTTTGACGTCTGACATGGCGTTTCCCGAGCAAAGTAGACTCCAGATCTAGAAGGCCAAATGGTTTGATGAATTGAGGTTAGTAGAATGGGCCTTTTCCAAGTAAGTTGGGTTGATTTGGTACAAGAAGAGTAGGTTAGATGATATTGCCGGTGAGATCATAGATGCAGTATCATACGGCCAGTCATTAATGCCGTTTTTTCTTTGATATCAAACCGATCTTGCATGTGGAGCTCCGATTGTTTTTTATCGATAAGCCGCTTATCGCTTATCTTCAACTACGGCAAGATGCAATCACCTGACACTAAAGTCCTTCTTATCGTACGATTCTCCAGACTTAACGACTGTTTATACCACAAGCTACACTGGAATTGAGTCTCAAAAATGTCGGCTCTAGCAAGGCGTAGAGCTCAAGAGCTCCGAAATCTAGCTCTAACTAGCTCTAAATACACTGCCTGTCCATTGCGGCCTTTCTCCGTTCTCAACCGCCCACCACCAAATTATCCTGGCCATGTGCCATTGACAACCATTGAGCGCGGAGTTCTCGCCGTGGGCTCAGCTATAGGTGCAGTACTGAACCCTTACAGAGGAGGTGTGTTATATATTTTGCCCAGCCATTTACTACACTTAAGTCATTAACATAAACTCCAGATCTCATTGCAACCCTCGGCGAGGCAACTGCAACCCCATACTTCATATACAGACTACGAAATGCCATGCTTCATGACCCAACAGGTCGCCGCATCCTCCGCGACCGACCTCGTATCACTTCCGAAAGTCTCAATCTTCCCTACCTCCGCTCACTACCCGAGAACTCCGTCGGTCGTGCTTACGTCAAATGGCTCGATCGCGAAGGTGTCTCCCCAGACACGCGCACCAGCGTCCAATATATCGACGACCCGGAGTGCGCATACGTTATGCAGCGGTACCGCGAGTGCCACGACTTCTACCATGCTATAACCGGACTCCCGATCTTTGTAGAGGGGGAGCTGGCGTTGAAAGCGCTGGAGTTCCTGAACACACTTATTCCCATGACGGGACTGAGTCTCTTTGCGTATGTGCGCATGAAGCCTGCTGAAAAAGAGCGGTTCCTTAAGTTACATTTGCCTTGGGCGGTGAAAAATGGACTAGCTAGTAAGGAGTTTATTAATGTCTATTGGGAGGAGATATTGGAGAAGGATGTGGATGAACTGCGAGCTGAGCTACATCTTGAACGGCCGCCGGATCTGAGAGATATTCGGAAGATGATTAAGCAGCAACAGAAGCGCGAGAAGGAGAGAAAAGAGCAGCAACAATAGTTGTTGTTTTAGGATTTTGTACGATAGTTGGTGTAAAGAATATCCACAACATGCGCAAGAAAGATCAGAAAATCTCCTTTTGAAGGAGAATGGATTATCATGAAAGACAGAGCGGCCAGGGTAAAAATATCAAGTCATCGCACGCATTGATCATAGGTCGAACAGATCGTCATCGTCATCATCCCAGCCGCCTTTGCGCCGACTAATCACGATTTTTTGTTCTTCTTCCTCCTTGCGTGTGTTCTCGGCCACAGCGTTCAAAAGATCCTTAAGTTGGTCCTCAGTCACCTTCTGGCGCAGTTGTCCGGACTGGGCGAGCATGATAAGGCGGTTTTCGATGTCAACTGCGCGCGATTCTTTAACCAGGCGAATTCGTCCGAGACGGTCAGCGGCAGCGGGATCCAAGATTTGGCTCATGATAGAAGAACGTTGGTCGGCTGGATAGATCAAGTGTGTTAGTGTCTGGGTTGGTCTTGTCGGAGACGAGGCAGTGGAAGTGTCATCAAGACCTACATTCAGCTTGTCTGCGCAGATAAAAACGTTAGTCTTGTCTTTACACTAGATAATCTAGTCGAGACTCACCTCTTTTCCTCTTGGCTAGGGCCCTGGCCACCTCCTCTCGAACCACCCTGCTGAAGCTGGGCAAGGCGAGCTCGCCTGATCTATTTCATGTTTGAGCATTGGCACAATCCCACGTATTGGAGACAAACTGACCTCCTCCAGCTCTGCATCAGCCATAATGTATTGCAGGAATCAAATGTTGTAAGGTGTTTGAAGTGTTGAAGCGTCAAAAATGACCCCACTTGCTTCCGCCTTTGCCTGGTGGGGAGCACTCTATACTAGGGCTAATTAAATACTTCTATTCATCTACTTCTTTAACATAGAAAGAATTGGCAATTGGAATTTACTATTTTATTGATGTGTCTTTCTCTGTTGATGGTGAGGTTCATTTTAAATTATTATTTTCCAATATTACTCAGAGTATTTTTGGCGTTTTGGGGTTTGTTATGTAGTCGCTATGGACCTTCTCTCTTCTATAGAAAGGGGACAGTCAAATTACCATTGCTTGCGCGCAGCAAACATGAAATACAGAAGACTAGAGGCTTAAGGCCGACTCCTGAGCTATTCTACCTTTCTCTCTTGAGAACTTCGAGCAAAAACACCTCAACTCCAGCTCAAGTTCCTTATAACAGTGAAATGAATATGGAACCTTGGAAGTGAGAGTGAAATTGAAAGTGAAAACGCACGCCTAATTGATTTACTTCAACTACTTCCAAGGTTCTTTCCATTTGAAATTTCTGGGGTTATGAAATAAGAATTGGGCTTCTCCTATTTCTTACTATTTCATTCTCCTGAGGTCTACATCTTCCATCTTAACCTTCTTAATGGGGTTTGCCTCAATCATTGATTCTTCATCCATGAAGTCTTTGGGCTCTAGACATGATAGATTCAACCTACTGCCTTGGCTACAATCTGGAAAAACAGTCTCCCGGACGTGCGTTACCTACTTTTTACATGGAATGAAGCCTCCATAGTAAGTTCAAAACAGGCGTTCGATACAGAACGCTGTACGCCTGACTTTCACCTCACTTTGACCTCACTTTCGATTTATCATGTTCCACTGGTGGTACTGGATACGACATCTACTGCCAGCCCAACTGGTATATATACTAATTGACAAAAACCTCTTCCGCCATTTATTCTTCATACATCTACCTACTCTTCCATATGGACCGTGCAGTTTTAGATCTTCGGTGCTTAACTTGAAATATGATGGAAGCCTTCAACCCTTCTGCAAAAGCGCACACTGGGTGAGTTTGAACATATCAATTCTGGAGGTGGTTGGAACCATAAATTGCCTGCGGGCATGCTGGAAGTGCGTTCTGCAGCTCTGATATTTTGAAGATCGCACTGAAGTTGTCTCAAACTGGGAGCATAATAATCAAAACGGCATCTAAAACCAGGCTTATCACCATCCTTGGTCTCAATATAACTGACGAGGAACAATTTCGCGATGGTCTTGTTGTCAACATGACATATTTCATCATTATGAGGAATGCTACTAGCTGGCTAATATATGGGCCATGGCTATTACATCTTGGCTGGTCTGATCACATTATGTCATGTATTTTCCCACCAGGGCCAACAAGGGTGTCGAGCTTCGAGCGGCTGCCAGCTGGGGGCAAATAACAGGAGAAGACCTGAACGACTGTTTCACGGCCACGCTCATAGCCGAACTCCGTGCTATCAATGGAGTCCCAGTCACACTTGCGGCCATACATAGCAGAATCGCCCGAAATGCACGTCAAAACACTTGCTGTTCAACCTGTGCATGTGAATATACGTTGCGATCATTCATGAGGAGTTAGATCTTTCCTTTTTGTGTGATGCCGATGATCATATGGAGGATTTATCAAAGGCTCCCGTTCCACATTCAGATGTTTGAACCGGGTACACAGCCTTGGTATAATGGCCTGCTAGGATCACGCAATAAGACCATTCTAGGTCTGACTACTAAAGCCGATGCTAGCTCGTCATCAAACCCAACATCTTGAGCCATGGAGCTGTCCAGGGTGATGTCTATCATGGTCCTGTGAATTTTCCCAGATAGAAAATAGACAGAAACTGAGATAAGCCCTGGATATGGATAGGATGATTAGGAGTTGAACCGTGCGCGGTGTCAAAGTCATACAAACTATGTCAATACTCATTAGATTACGTAGATTCGTATCTTCGTATCTAACGCTAACTTTTGTCATATTATGAATAGTGTTGACTAGTGTCTTTAGTGATAAAGGATTAAAATTAAATTGTAATCCAAGGCGCAATTAGCGTAACTCGAGTGAAGCTAGTCGTGGGGTCAAAGTACGCGATAACACGAAAAATGTATCACATACAAATGCCAAAAGTTGAAATTGAAATTGAAGAAATCCGAAACCTTGTGATAATAAAACATGGCATCCAGAGACCAAAGTAGCCAAAATAGGAAATCCAGATCTCTTTCATATACCCGAGTCAATGGAACAGGTGCCGATCGAACGGAAATCGGGTTTAGCGGGCCGAGTTGCTACGTAGCTATTTACTACATTTAAACAACTAAGTTATTAATTAATTAGCCTATTCTTTCCTTTTTTTTCTGTTTGTGATTTGTCTCACGTAAAACATTTAGAGATGAGTCCCCCCATTCTCATAGCATTATTGATATAGATCAGATTCAATCTGAGCTTGTCCGGCTGAGGCAGTGCTCGTGATCTAATGACTAAGCCCTCTCAAACGCCCAGCGCTTGAACTTATCCTCCTTAGTGTTAGAAAACAACCATTCTAATTCTCTTCTCTAATTTCTCCCTACATCCTTTACTCTCTATCTCTCTCTATATATATATATATCTCTCTCTCTATATATATATCATTAGCCTCTATCTCTACCTATTCCCCAAATCCTATCCGGCCTTCTCTGTTCCGGTTCGACCGACATTCCGATTGCTTGCGGGGATCTCCAGCCACCAATAACTACTGCCTCTTTCCCCTCCCAACACCTGTGAATGGACTCGGTAGTACAACTGTTCAGCGCGTACTAGAGTATGATATTGGGCTAGGAGCTTGTTGAGATATCCAAGAATCCCTTTATCAACTGACATTCTTTTGGCGCCCTTTACGTCACCCATGATGGCGGAGTGAGTCCCAGATCTCCCAGATCTCCCAGATTGAAGAATTACCACTAAAGCCCTGGGTAGTTTAATTGCCTTCCAAACGTATCGCTACAGTAATTTCATCCCCTCCAACATGATTCCGCGATCGTCTCACAAGCGATCGTTGTCCGATCATCGAACCCTATTTGCCGACAAGACTGTCATGAAGGCCAAGTCAACTACCGATCTCTCCGACACCCTTTCTTACCCCTCCGACTCTCACCCAAGGTTTCAGGAGAGTGATTTCAACACCCTGCAGGATCCACGATTGGCTATTGGCGCGGAGATTTCACCGTCACCCTCCTCGACGACTCATCACCCTGACTTGAGCAACGAGGTCGCAGCCCTAAGTGTGAAATTGATACAGGCGATCAACAACCAGACCTCCTTGGATGACGATTTGGCCGCTACACGTCAGGAGCTGGAGCTAGCCCAAGGCAAAATACAAGCTCTAGAATTCCAGAATGAGAAATACCGAAGAGACCTTGAAAACAAGGTCTATGTAAAAAAGGCCGATGTCGACCTCGAAATTGCGCAATTGAAGGCTCAGCTCGCGCAGGAGAAGGCACAGCGTACCGCCGCCGAAACTGGAACGCGGACCATGGAGCAGGAGCTGGAGACCCTTACCGCGGACCTCTTCGTGGAAGCCAATAAGGTAAGACTTCTTCCAAACATTCTTATTTTGCTCTCATACTGATATGTTTTAGATGGTTGCGGCCGCTAAAATTGAACGGGAAGCGGTGGAAAAAAAGAACGAACAATTGCGATCGCAAGTAAAAGACACCGAGTTACTCCTCGCCTCAAATCAGGATCAGCTAGCGGAGCTTAAGTCGCATATGCAAGGGATGGACTTTTCCAAAGATGACACAGATACTCGCACAATCGCTTCTACTGCACCTCCTTCCCCAGCAAGACTTCCACAGGCACCTGGGTCTGCCAATCGAGGGCTTGACTTTGCTCCATGCGACCCCGAAGAGCTGACGCCTGGTCCATCTTGCAATTTCCCCAATATTCTCCGCATGATATGCCGCACTGATTTGCAAGCCTACGATGACTTCCGGGAGCTTTTGTCACTTTCACGAAACTCCAAGCCTCCGAGTCGCGCAGGAAGTGGGTCATATGGCGGCTTGAATGTTATGAGTCTAGCTGGTTTTGGATCTGGATCTGCCACATCTTCTCCTACAAAGGTCTTCGCCAACTCTCCAAGTGGCAGTCTTTCCTCGCAAACCGGCTCGCATATTCCACTCAAAGAAACCCGGTTTTATAAGCGGGTGATGTTGGAAGATATCGAACCAACCTTGCGACTTGACTTGGCTCCTGGTGTTTCATGGCTCGCCCGTCGCACTGTGCTAAGCAGCATTTGTGAAGGTAGCCTTGTCGTGGAACCTGTACCAGCAATGGTAAAGAAATATGAACTACCGTGCTCGGTGTGTGGTGAACGCAGACCGGGTTCTCACAACGAACGAACCCACCGCTTCCGAACGTCTGAGAATGAAAACGCTCAGCGGTACTCGCTGTGCATTCAGTGCTTGGAACGAATCCGTTCTTGTTGTGAATTCACGGGCTACTTACGCCTCATCCTTGATGGACATCTCCGCGCCGGGGATTCCGAAGAAGAGAAGGAAATTTGGGAGGAAACCGTTCGTCTAAGAGAGCGGATGTTCTGGTCTCGTATTGCAGGAGGCATTGTTCCCCTGGTTACTCGACCAGCTGATTTTGAAGAAGATTCAGACAACACTGTATCCAACTCCAATGAAATGGAGGATTGCGATGGCAAACATCTTCAGCCTTCGAATAGCACTGCCATTGAATCTAAATTGCCATCAGTCGAAGAGGCAACTGCAGACGAGCTTGAGTTTGCTGAGATTGAACCCCATAATCTCGATTCTGATGCGCCCCGGCCCGTAACTCCTGACATCGTAGAGAGTGGAGACGGGGAATATGCATCTGACGTGCCGCAAAAGCGAAACTCCACTGATTCTACGTACTCTGTTGAATCCGAAGTCAGCGTCTACGAAGAAGCCAGTACTGATGTCGAGACTGACACTCCTAAACTTGTCGTCGACCACTCAGAACCCACCCCCGAAAATGACGATCACACTGAAGCCAAGGACCCATCCAGTTCCTAAACATGTTGATGACATGGCCGGCCAGTGTTTCATGACCTGCTCTTACACAGCTTTCTCTCGACCCTAGCACCTTGTATCGAGAAGACGTTTGACGAGTCCCCTTTTCCTTCCACGTCCATGCTGCCTATATCTTTAATCACCCACTTTCATCTGCCCAATGGGCCTACCTTGCATTTATCCTCTTCGTTGATATCCCTCTTTGATTTCAAGCAGCCTGTCTGATGTATTATTATTATTAATCCTTCCAAGGTTCTTTTCTTTTCCGTTCTCATGGGTTATGGGTACATAATCCCTTGTTCTTTTTCCACCTTTTTTTCCCCCTTGGACTTGTTACTTCATTGTTTGCTGAGACTAATTTGGGCGCCCTTTTGCTTCTTTTTTGATGGAGTCTTTTTTGCATATCTGATGACTCGAACGGCTTCGTGTCGAGTCGATTTTGCTTTCTTGCATTCTTGGTCCATGGATATATGTACAAGCACGAGCAGAAGGATCGCGGTGTTTGGAAAATTGGAATAGATTAGCTAGGTAAATTCCTTCGATAAATATATACAATGCATTTGATTCACAGAATAACGCCTCGAGATCTTTCTACTCCTATTTTAGTGATTCTAATCCATTTTATCAGAGGGATTGATGTACCTAAACTTGGAGGATATCAGAAATCGAAACCATAGAGTCCTGGAGACTCATCTCAAATTCATATAATTATTTGTCTCTGTAATAGTTCTGGTGCCACAAAAATAAACAAAAATGAAGGGAAAAAGAAGATTACGTCGGATGCGAGAGCTACGACTCGTACGCCCAACCATGGCAACCTCCAATTTCTACAAAAACGGCAACTTCTTCATTTTGGCCTGTTAACAAAAAAAAAAGAGTTGCTTCTCTTTGATTGAGCGTGTCATCCTTATATGCAGGGGCCATGCTAATCTTCTCTGTAGATCTTTTTCTTGTTTGCAGTTATGGATGGTTGGCCCAAACATGGGTTGATATACCCCAATTGAGATACTGCCGACCTTCGCCGGTATCCTCGCTCAACATTGAAAACATGTTACTGCGACAATTGCCATGGAAAGCTTCTAAGATTTACCCAGAATATGGTAGCTTCGGAAGCTGGTGAATGGTCCTTCCTACGAAAAACAACATGTGAACGACTAAAGGACAGATAAAAGCCGGTGATAGACGATTCTTCCAAGGTTGTATTGGGAGACTGGACGAGATTACCGATTTGATGGCATCCATATTGCAACTCAGTAGTAGTATTATATTTGAAGGGTAGGTTGGTGTTCTACGATATCTGGAAGTGCTAATGATATATGCTGGAGATATCTACTACTTGGGTAGGTATTGGACTACCGGTGGATTAAAAGCAAAGATATTATGTACTCAAGAGTCGGGCTATGTGCTTCTTTAAGCTATGCTTGGAAGTATGAAAATCATTTTTCAAAGGCCATAGTGCATTTATAAAAATACAGATAGATAGTGGCAGACCACAGTGAGCTAGCACTTGAACTGCCACGGAACACACCAAAACGCCCCTCCCAAAACCCATTCGATTGTGGATATCCTTTTCAAAAACACGGCTAATGGTATTCCCAGGCTACGTTGAAAGAAATGTTGAATTATTTCCGACTGGGTGCAACCCACCCTGAAGGATTCGTACCAGTCACTCGCTTACGACGAGCCTCTTCCTCAGTATCTGGGGGCAGAGTGAGCGGAGATTCATTGAAAAGGTCAGTGCGCTGACTGGCCAGACGCTTAAGGTTATTGACGGCATCAACGGTGGACAGGTTAGTAGTGTGGGTTTCAGCAAGGAGTTTGTCCTGCTCTCGTCGCCAGCGGGGATCAAGAAGTTCGATCCGCATGTGTTGCTCCATCTCTGAGATGAGAATCTGTTGTTTACAATTGGGACAGGGTGCTGTAAGAGGGGCTTGAGGCCGGCGGCCCTGAGGAACGTAATCGGTGCGAATGCGTATCGCAGGCTGGCCTGGAATAGCAGCCACTGGCGACTCGGTATGCACTTGGACTGCAGCTTGTGGGGCATTTGGATACGGCACGTTGTAGTCCATAGCGGCAGGTTGCGCAGGGTAGGATACCGGGGCAGGAGGCTGCGTGACAGGAGCAGATTCGGTCGCATTGTAGTAGGTGGGATTGTCGAGGTCGGTGGGCATAGCCTCCTCGATGCGGAAGAGGTTAAGAGACAAGGCGGCTTTCTGCTCGAGGGAAGCGCACTGCAGATCGTTGAGAGATGTCGGTGGTGGAAGCTCTCCCGCGTCATCGGCCGCGGTAAACGTCACAGTCTCAACTAACACGAAGTCGTGCCAATCGATCTGGGCGTATTCGATACGCTCCTGTTCTGCCTGCTCATCCTTCTTTTCCTTTTGAGCAATCTGGTGCTTTGTCCATTCGGACCGCTGCTTAGCACGTTCCAAGATATGCCACTTGTTCTTCACATTCTCCTTCAATTCTGCAATGCGCTTCTGCTCAGTAGTGGCATCGTCGATTCCCTCTGGACGTATCACGATGGTGTATTGGTCGATAAGACGAGTGAAGAATTGGTATAGGGAGTGCTGCGGCCGCAGGAAATCAAATTGGGAGTTCCTGCTTTCTTTCAGTGCGAGGGCATTCAACCAGGACTTGCCTCGCTGAGCAGTCCAGAGAGCTACCAGTTTGACCACCTCGAAGTCCTTCGCATTAATGTTGGGCATGCGTGCAGAGAAATGGAATGGCGGGGGTTCAATAGGGCCGGTGGGCTTTTCGGCTTCAACGGCGGGAGCTGCTTCGCCAGCTCGACCTGCTGACACCGCTGTACCACGGCCACCCCTGATCTCTGCTACACGCCATTGATAAAAGGGTGCGTAAGGATCGTTGTCGATTAGGAAAGAGAATTTTGGGTTACTCTTCTCCTTGTCACGAATGCGCTCTGTAGGTAGAAAGAGTGTGAGTAGTAGTCATTTTTCAATTTAGACCATATTAGCCATACCTTCAAAGATAATTCCATTTCGTGCGACATAGCCGGCAGTCTTTTCAACGATTACTATGCGTTGTTAGTACAGTTGTCACTTGCGCCGGAATTCAGACCTACCTCGGATATCCTTAGGTGGAAGAACAAGACCTTCGGGGGCCTTGCTCAAATCCTCTTTGTCTCCTGGCTCCATATTGAAGCTACAAGATGAGAGGCAGATATGTGCGTTGAAGAATGGTTTGCAACAGAGAAGAAACTATCTTTGTGGTGAAGAAGCTACGATTCAACGTCACATGATCGTTATCATCTTATCTTAATCACATGATCAGATCTGCCACTTGCACCAGCCATATACACAGCCACATGTTAGTGGGTTATATAATCGTGGCTGTACCTCCAATTGCGGCGAATTGTTTTTCTTTTGACAAGTAAGCGACGCTTTCATACTCGATATTGTCTTATTTTAGAAGAGATTTAAAGACAATTTGAATTATTTAATCGTCATAAAAGATGTGTAAAAATTGTTATAATTCTATATTTATATTCAAGTATTGATCTTAAAGCAAAGCCTGTAACTACGTAGGGCCAAAATGGCCCCTACCCCTACCGCGGAGTACACGTTGTATTACGTTGGACCTTGGCTGATCTGGCCTTCCGAGTCTAAGGTTAAACTAAACTCCCCTTAACGCACGTTTTCGTCCATTCCCTCACCCTATCCTTTTCTTTTTCTTCTTCGGCCCTGGCATGGGGTCTTTTCTTTTGACCATCTACGATCATTAATCGGCCACCATTTAGTTGCGTCGGCTGTTGAGAGCTCTAACTTCAAGCTCAACAACAAGCAACCCGTCTGAGTTTCGCAATTGAATCACTGTTCCATTCTAGCTTTCTTTTTTCATCTGTGGCTATACACAATTTTCTCTACAATCCAACCTCTTCTACAATCGCTTCATCGCCATAATCTCATCTACGATGGGTCAGAAGGCGAATGCCAATTTGGCGGTTCGACCTGAGAGCCGCGGGCGTCGGTCTCCAAGTCGCAAGCCCAAGAACCGCAAAGCCGTCCAAATTGCAAGCTATGCCTCCGATGGTGTCAAAGACCACAACATTTTTAACCTACCCTTGTCCGACTACAAGCTGCTGGCGTTGGTGACCCTAATTGCTGGCGCTGTCCGTCTGTTCCGCATCTACCAACCCACCAGCGTTGTCTTTGACGAAGTTCACTTCGGAGGATTCGCATCCAAATACATTAAGGGGACCTTTTTCATGGACGTTCACCCACCGCTTGCCAAGATGCTACTCACCCTCGCAGGCTGGCTCGCCGGCTTCGATGGCCAATTTGACTTCAAGGACATTGGCAAGGACTACACCGAACCGGGCGTTCCTTATGTTGCCATGCGATTGCTACCAGCCATTATGGGCGTTTTTACGGTTTCCCTGATGTTTCTTACCCTTAAGGCCACTGGATGTCGAACTTCAACGGCAGTTATGGGTGCTGGCGCTGTCATCTTCGGTAGGTTCTCAATCAGCTGACATCTCATGGGCCAAGCTAACAACGCTCTAGATAATGCTCTTACCACTCAGTCACGTTTGATCCTTTTGGACTCTCCTCTGATCTTTTTCACTGCTCTGACTGCGTTGTCGTTCAGCTGTTTCTCTAATCAACAAGAACTCGGTCCGTCTCATGCCTTTAAGGGACCATGGTGGTTTTGGTTGACTGCTACTGGTCTTTCCTTGGGAGCTACGCTGAGTGTAAAATGGGTCGGTCTTTTCACCATGGCCTGGGTTGGATCTCTCACTGCGCTCCAGCTGTGGGTTGTTCTTGGTGACGCGAAGACTGTTACCCCACGACTGTGGTTTAAGCACCTGTTTTCTCGAGTCTTCTGCTTGATTGTCATTCCTCTTGGTTTCTATCTTGCTATGTTCGCCATACACTTTAGTTGCTTGGTCAACACCGGCGATGGCGATGGTTTCATGTCGTCCGAGTTCCAGGCCACCTTGAACTCGAAGTCGATGCAAGATGTTCCCGCAGATGTGGCTTTTGGATCGCGAGTCAGCATTCGTCACCACAACACTCAGGGTGGATATCTGCACTCTCACCCTCACATGTACCCGACTGGTAGCAAGCAGCAACAGATCACCCTCTACCCTCACAAAGATGAGAATAACGTTTTCCTCTTGGAGAACCAGACTCAACCCCTGGGCCCCCTTGGAGAAATTGAGGGCCCGTCTGCTTGGGATAATCTTAAATTTACGGACAACTTTATTGAAGATGGAGCTGTTATCAAGCTCTATCACGAGCTCACCCACCGCCGAATCCACTCTCACGATGAGCGCCCGCCCGTGACCGAAGCTGATTGGCAATTCGAGGTTTCAGCCTATGGCTATGAAGGTTTCGGTGGCGATGCCAATGACTTCTTCAAGGTTGAAATTGTCAAGTCCTTGTCGGAGGGTGCTGAGGCCAAGTCTCGCCTTCGTACCATCCAAACCAAGTTCAGGCTGGTGCATATCATGACTGGTTGTGTATTGTTCTCTCATAAGGTCAAGCTTCCGGAATGGGGCTATGAACAACAGGAAGTTACCTGCGCTAAAGGCGGAACTCTGCCCAACAGCGTCTGGTATATTGAGTCCAATGTCCACCCTATGATGCCCGCAGATGCCGAAAAAGTCAACTACCGCAACCCTGGCCTCCTCGGTAAGTTCTGGGAATTGCAGAAGGTGATGTGGACGACAAATGCTGGTCTGATCGAGTCACATGCCTGGGATTCTCGCCCTCCATCATGGCCCACCCTTCTCCGCGGTATCAACTTCTGGGGCAAGGACCACCGACAGGTGTATTTGCTGGGTAACCCACTTATCTGGTGGTCATCCACTGCCGCTATTGGTATCTATTTCATCTTTAAGGGTATTGCCCTTCTTCGATGGCAGCGGAGCTGCAATGACTATCAACATGTTTCTTTCAAGCGCTTCGACTATGAAGTGGGCACAACTGTTCTGGGATGGGCCTTCCACTACTTCCCATTCTTCCTCATGGCTCGTCAGCTTTTCCTCCATCACTATTTGCCCGCCTTGTACTTCGCCATTATGGTACTTTGCCAACAATTCGACTTCATCACCAGCCGCATCCAGAGCCTTGGCCTCGCCTCGCGACCTGCAATTGGCAAGATCCTGATAACCGTGTTCTTGGGCCTCAGCATTGCGGTCTTCACTATTTACTCTCCTTTAATCTACGGTAACCCATGGACACAAGGCGCCTGCCAGCGAGCCAAACTCCTTCCAGGCTGGGATTTCGACTGTAACCTCTTTCACAGTGACGTAAGTGTTCCGAAATGGAAGCCTCCGCTCCGGGGGGCTTCAAGATAATCGACGCACTCATGGCTGACACGATGCACATTAGCTGAGCCAATACGTCACTCAGATTGGGACACCCGCGGCTCTCCCAACTCAGTCACACGTTCCTCCTCCACCGCCTCCTCAGCAGGCAATCCCTCAGGCTCAGGTCCCGGTTCAAGAGCCAGAGCCTGAACAGCCCCAGGTGTCGGAAAAGCCCGATGTTACCAAACCTAGTCTGGCTGGCTCCGTTGCCCGCGTTGAATACCGTGACCAGGACGGCAACATTCTCCCGGAGACTTTAGTCGCATCTCTTCGAGCGGAAGGTAAGGTCAAGTTCGAAACCCGGTATGAGTCTCAGTCGCGTCTTCAAAATGCACATGAAATTCCTATCGTCGACGGTCAACTTGCGCCTCCTCACCCGGACGTTGAAGGTCAAAATCCCGAGACTGGCACCAGTCCTGAGGATTCTGTTCCTCCTGAGCGACCTGCCTCTGTTGTCGAAGGTAATGAGCCTTCTGTAGAGCAAGTCAAGACACAGGAGGCCAAACCTGCCAGTGAGGCTAATGAGGCTACCCAATAGTGGCTTTAAGTTGAGCCTCTAATAGAAAACTTATCCATGTATCATGAAAGCTAGATAGTTTTTACTTTTCTTTTACATCTTCAATATCATTTCTTAAAGCTGGTGTTCATGATTATTCGGTTGTAATATGAGTGTTTTCTTGATTTCAATTACTTCCAAATTCATTGGTCTGAGGTCATGCCACTTTTAACCCCCACAAACTAACAGTGGAAATCAGACCACACAATGTCATAGACATCTCAAAATATAACATTCTCGAATAGAATACTCAAACTATGCACAAATCCCTGTTAATCGAAAAGTCCACAACTCTTCTCCTACATCGTGGTCTTAGTATACAGCTTTCAACCCTCCTGTATCAGCTCTTAAAAGGCTTATATAAGCAATTTAGTAGTCCCACTCCTCCTTGCCGTACTTGTTGAAGCGCTCGTGGAGTTCCTAATAGTGAATACAGTCAGTAAATCTATAGCAACTTGTATCACGATCGGAAGTGCTCGGCATAAGCCGAACGAGTTATGGGGCCGTACCGCGGGCAGGGTGACATTGGGCACAATGACCGTGTTCATAGCGCTAGGAGCGGCTTGTAGGGGCTTGCTCAGATCACCGTTGGGGTGGTACTGGTACTTGTAGACCTTGCCATCCTCGGACTCAGAGTTCCAGGGCATGGCACTCTCAGCAATGCGGACATTGCTCTCGGAGGTCACGGATGTGGGCTTGCTTCCGAAGTACCTGTTCGTTCATAAAACATTTAGTCAGTTATTTTGAGTTTTTGCATGACGGTCAGTTGGTCGGCGCAGAGGGATTGGAGGTAGTAGTATGTATAGGAGTGGAGAGGGGGATATTCACCAGCCAGCAAGGCCAAGAGCACCGGCCATGACACCGAGGAGAACCTGTATCATGAATCAATTAGTTTACCATATCATATGGGAGTCAATCGAAGTCGGGGAGACGTACGTAAAGCTCGGGGTCCTGCTTGGGGCCCTTCTTGAGGTTGGCCTCGTCTAGCTTGGAGGATATGAAGCGACGAGCAGGGGCGCGGACGATGGTCTGGCGAGCCAGAATCCGGCGAGAAGCCATAGCAGCAATTGAAGACATGATTGAAGCGGGTCTTGCGTGAATGGGGAATTTGCGGAGAGACTGTTCACGGAGTGAGCGGGAGAAATCGTGAGCATCGAATGATGTTTCTAGGTCATGTGATATTTATTGATTAGTCAGTGCCGCCTTCAAGCTTCATGCGCGGCCTCCTGGTCATTTCACTTTCGACTTCGGGCTCGACTTTTCTGGATTTATCCTTTGTTGTTTGACACCATCAATTGAAATTCTTGACTGGTTTTGCTACCAAATCCGTATATCATTCATATCAAAGGTAAGCTATGGAGCCTCTACATATCATTTCTTTATTGCATCAGGGGTCTATCAGTTCTTCACGCGTGGAATACGCCTCACTCGGAGATTTTTAAGCTAACCGATCTACAAAGCCTCTCGAACTTTCACTCAGTCCTTCTTTACATTTGTATCTTCCAGTCCCGCCGCTCCTTTACTCCATTACTCTACTCCGTAGAGTAGTATTTCTTATCTTACTCATCCGGAGTTTGTCCCTAAATTCACTTGAACGCCTGTCTTTGCCGTTGGACACAACCATGAGAGCGCGCGCAACCTACTAGCAAAGTCAAGACTATATCCATATACACATCATGGGCAATCCGTCGGATCGCCCTAACTCTGGCGAGAGGAACAACTTCCCAGCACCTCAATATGTCCTTGGCATTCCTCGACCTCCATCAGTAGGAGGAATTTCATCCCGAGTTACTGATGTGGCCTCCGAGGATGGTGAAAGATCATCTGCCTTCGCATCGCCAGCACCATCGCTTCACCCGCGCCCCTCAGTTTCCAGCCGCGCTCCTCCTCCTGTCAGGAACTCCATAGGTGCATCTAGTAGGCCTGAGAGCTCAGGCAGTAGGTTGAGTAGATCGCATGTTCCGTCTCTGGCAGCCCAAGGCTTTTTTCGACCAATGAGTTCCCAAAGACTGCAGGCGCATCGAGGAGGGCGGCCTGTGACGAAGGGAACGGTCTCTTCAAACGACGAATGGTCTGATTATGCGGGTCAACATCGGAAGAGTGTGATATCAAACAGCACTTTGCAACAGGAATCACAGCCAGCTGATACTGAACCTCCACCATCACGAGGCACGGAGTTTACAGACCCTGTAGTTCCTGATCGAAACGTTTCCAATGGAAATACCACATTACGCAGTCTGGGCGAAAATGTCCGTATTCTCCGAGACCGGAATCAAGGTGAAAAGCAGCGTCCTGGTCAACTGGATCTCAGTTTGAATTATAGTACACACAATACGTTGGACACGCCACCGAAGTCTGCGCTATCATTCTTGTCGTTGCAAAACAGGGGCTCGCACAATAGCAACGATCCCCGGGGACTTGAGATACCTTCTTCTGCCGGTTCTTCTCCGAACCCATATAACAAGAGCGAACAACTACCTAGTGTTAACCTTGGCAAGAATTATGAGTACTTTGTTGGCAACACGCTATTTTGCGGTGGTGGTCGGCTTCAGAACTCAAGAGACAAGCCTATCAACATTGCTACTGGTTTCTTAGTAGCAGTTCCAGCTGCTCTGTTCTTTGGATTCTCTGCTCCCTGGCTTTGGCACAACATCTCTCCTGCCATTCCCATTTTGTTTGCATATGTCTTCTATGTGTGCTTTTCGTCTTTTGTGCATGCGTCCGTCGTCGATCCTGGGATCATGCCTCGAAACGTCCATTCTATGCCTCCCATCATTCCTTCAGAAGATCCACTGGCGGTCGGTCCTGCGACCAATGACTGGGTCATGGTTAAGCTTGCTACTTCCGACGTTGCTGCCATGGACGTGCCTGTGAAATACTGCAAGACTTGCAACATTTGGCGACCTCCTCGCTGTTATCACTGCCGTGTCTGTGACAATTGTGTTGAGACCCTCGATCATCACTGTGTCTGGCTCAATAACTGCGTTGGTCGCCGCAATTATCGTTACTTCTTCGCCTTTGTCAGCTCATCTACCATCCTTGCCCTTTTCCTGATTGGCGCCAGCCTCGCCCATATCTTGGTCTATATGAACCAGGAGAATATCTCGTTCGGGGCTTCTATCTCGAAATTACGAGTGCCTTTCGCCATGGCGATATATGGGGTCATTGCGGCGCCTTACCCACTATCCCTCTGGATTTACCATCTGTTCCTGACCGGTCGAGGTGAAACTACACGAGAGTACCTCAACTCTCATAAGTTTGCCAAGACAGATCGCCATCGGCCCTTCACCCAGGGTAACATGCTGAAGAATTGGATTGCAGTTTTGGGCCGGCCCCGACCACCCACATATATGCAGTTCAAACAGCCTTATGAAGATGGTGATCAACGCTACGCCATGCAGAAGCGCAAGTATCTCGTCCATGACGTCGAGTCTCAGGCGGGGATTGAGATGCAACATGTTCATCAATAGTTCCGAACCTCAAACAGCGGCAACTGTTCATCTCAATACCCTCCTAACGACCTGTGAAGACGATACGACTTTGTATTCATTTTGTGCTGGCATCCACACTATTTTTTACCCTTTATTCTCAAGACGGTCACTATTTACTTCTTTTAATATTCTCTACACATATCTTTCTGCCTCTTATTGAAGACATAGTCATTTTCTTCTCTCGACTGTCTCTGACCAATTACGGATATCCGTATCCTGCCCATAATACCACTTTCCTATCTCTGTCGCATTTGTTCATCCAATCTTGTGAAATTTCCCTTCAGTTCGTTCTATATTTGAGGCAATTAAACACCCAATACCCCATATCAAACTAGATAGATATCAATTACATTCAAACTCGAATAATTAATGCGTATAATCATGGAGGGGCAAGAGTTAATTGACATTCCGATTGACATGTCATACACTTCCCCCCTTTCTCCCTTGATTAAATCAGATACTTCCACTTCCAGAAGTCTGCACTAATAGTTAGTGTTGGTGTCGCACGCGTCAGACATCCCTAAATTGATAATTGATAAGAGGCGCGCGGCTGATCCTCCAACCTTTCCCACTCCTGATACTCTCCGACTTCCACAAACTCACTTCCCACTACTGGAGAGACTAGTCCACGCTCAACCTGGGGGACTGCCTTTCTATATACCAGTTGTGCTCCTTCCCCCATTATGGCGCGCCGAACAACCCGCCTCTCCGCGGCCGCGTCTCCCGTCCTCGCTGATGTCCCTGTACACGTTAACCCCGACGACACTATGAGCCTAGACGTTCCTGAACAGCTTCTGACTCCCGAGATGAGTCGCTCTGAAACTTCAAGCAATTATGAAAACGTGTCAACCGAAGATAAGCCCGCTGCTCGACGTAGATCAACGCGAGTGAAACGCGCATCGCTGCGATCGGCTGAGTTCCTCGAGGATACTCCAGTCAATGATGATCAGACCACAGCCTCTTCAAGTCAGGCGTATGTTGACGACCTTGTTAAATCTAAGCGGTCTCGCTCGAAACTCCGGCATAGTATTGCTGTGATGGAATCAACGTTATTGAATGGCTCGGATGCTGGTGATCTCTCAATGGCCCCCGCCACGCCTATCTCGAAGTCTTCCCAGGAACCAGATCTGAACACTTTGCCTGATCAGCAGGATGAGGATAGTTCTATCATGAAGGGTAAAAAGCCGCAACCCAAAGCAACGTCAAAAAGCCGTTCTAAGCCATCTGTCCGACGTTCAACTCGCCTGAGTATTGTTGGTACGGCATCAAATATTTTAGATCGAGCCAGCAGTTCTTTAGGCAAACGATCGCGAGAAGGTAAAGAGATCGGTCGACGTGCCAGTCTTAGACCTAGAAATGTTGCGCCGAAAGAAGAGCCAGCTATTTCGTCATTGGAGCCTACATCCAAGAAACGTCGGCTTTCTGAAAGTGACTTATCGAAACTACAATCTGAAGAGCCCTCATCTTCTAAGGAACAAGCTTCTCCACTGAAATTGAAGCCAAAGAAGATATGGTTGGCTCATGGACTATATTCCGGTCAAGAGCCTACTGACAAGCGCCCCAAGCAACGCAACAGCAAAAATTCAGCAAAAACCAACACAGGTCCTTCGAACCGACGTCTTCTTCCCATGCCCATATTCGCTGGATCTCGTCTTATCGCCATAGGCAAAAATTATGAGCTACCATTCGATATTTTCTCTCCACTTCCACCAGGACAACCTAAGCCAAATGAATGGCGCAAGACAAACAAAAGTATGTTATAGTTGACCATCCCCCTCCCTACCCACCACCTGGCCTATTACTATCGCTAACAACAGGATTAGATGTCTTCGTGGGAGATGCTGCCAGTGAATGGAGATCAAACAAGAAGCTAGAGTTGTCGACTTGCATGTGCGAGGAAGAAACCGGCTGTGATGAGAATTGTCAGAATCGCTACATGTTCTACGAGTGCGACAATAGCAACTGCCGACTGGGTATAGAGTGCGGCAATCGCAATTTTAACGAGCTGAAAGCGCGCACAAAGGCTGGCGGCAAGTACAATATCGGTGTTGAGGTCATCAAAACTTCAGATCGCGGCTATGGAGTACGTAGCAACCGCAGCTTTGATGCCAATCAGATTATTGTGGAGTACACTGGAGAGATCCTCACGCAGTTTGAGTGTGAGAAGCGAATGCGCACAGCGTATAAAAACAACGAGGTAAGAAACCATCTTTGATCTGTTTTGCGGTCACTGACCTTTTCGCTCAGTGCTATTACTTGATGTACTTTGATCAAAACATGATTATCGATGCTACGCGAGGATCGATTGCTCGCTTTATCAACCATTCATGTGAGCCCAATTGTCGAATGGAGAAATGGACTGTTGCAGGAAAGCCGCGCATGGCTCTTTTTGCCGGAGACAGGGGAATCATGACTGGTGAAGAGCTGAGCTATGATTACAACTTTAAGTAAGCATCCAGAAAGCGTTGTTGTAAGTGTTTTGTTTGACAGTTTTTTAGCCCCTACTCCAACAAGAGTGTGCAGGAGTGTCGCTGTGGTGCGGAGAACTGCCGCGGATTCCTTGGTCCCCGGCCCAAGGAAAAGGAACAACGAGTCAAGGCAGAAGCTATCAAGGTGGACGCTGTCAACAACGCAAAGAAAGCTAGCGGCGTGAAGCGCAAGCGTGCTGGAGAAACTACTGCCTCGACTCCGGATAAGAAACGCAAGTTGCTCACAACAAAATCTATCAAGGCTGGTGTTGAGAAGGCTGTCGTCAAGGCCACCACTGCACGCGGAAAGGCACTGTCTAGAAAGGTAGCCGCGACTTCAAAAGTCAAAGTTGTTACCAAGAAGACAGTCAAACTGCCAGCAGTTAAGGCCGCCGGCAGAGTTAAAGCTGCTGTACAGCGGAAGACAAGCATGGTCAAGGCTACTAAGGCAGTTCCAGTCTCTCCGAGTAAGAAAACATCTCGGCTCAAGCGCCCATCAGCTGAGACCAGGCGAAAAATTCTCGCTGCTGCGAAGGGCTCGACACGCAAGGCCTCAACTCCGAAATCAGCCGCAAAAAACTCCCCCGCAAAGGCTGGAAAGTCTCAGGTCAAGAACAATACTGCTTCAAAGAGCCTTTCCAAGGCTAAGGATTTGGGCAAAAGCCTGAAAAATGCGGCTGGCAAGGTTGCGCGGACGGTGCGAGTTACCCAGAAATAGTCATGTTTGAAGCCTTTTCAAGCCAAGACGGCAGCGAATGCTAAGGCCGGCTTCAACCTGAAGATTTGTTTCAATGTTCTTTCAATTACTACCTTATGCCTCACTCCACATTTTATTGAATGATCGCAGTCCCTCACGATCTTACCATCCTCCTTTCTCCTCCCTATATTCCCCGTTATCGTTACCGTTATAGTCCCTTCCTCTTCTCTTGCTGATTATTTTAATCTCTTTTTCTCGATACTGCAGGTGCATTTGTTACCTGAAATCTGAAATGGTGTTATCCATTTTGCCCTGAATCCCCAGCATCCGTCTTTACTTCGTGGATTTGAGTTACGCATTTTGATGCCCGAAACTCATACTTTCTTTTCTTACCTTCTTCCGGGTTCTTTTGGTTTCATAAACACGCAAGTTCCTATCAATTGGGTCGTTGGGATGGTTAATAGGTGTGCCCAGGTGTGGTTGACTTTGGCTCCTAGGTGGTTTCGATGGTACGTGAAATGGAGTAGGGGGATATGAAATTACAGCTCTATGCTTTAGCTAGGAATATATAGCCTCTGGGCCTTGGCTATTTCCTTTTCAACCATAGAAGGACTCCGGTCTGCAACAAACTTGGATGTGATTGATGTTCTTTGTCTCTTCAGCTTTACCAGTTGGGAGAGTTATCTGCCATGGATATATATGGAAATGAAGCCCCGGAGGACCTCCCCTTTCAAGCCCTAGATCTCTGGATATCAAATCACACCACTTCCTACCCATGAAATGGAGCTTCTCATGCATAGGTGAGCTGCCTTCCAAGATTGGAAGGTTGATCCAAGGTGTCGCCTAGGTAAGTTGGAAAGTGGTGTGTATTAGGTATTCATTATCCTGAATCCATCCTTGAACAGTGGCTGCCAAAGGCACCCCCACACCAATTACCTAGGTATCGTCGGTGGATATCATTGATCGAGATCTTATAGCGCGTGGAGTTCCAGCCGGGTAGATTCAGGGTCATTCGTGGAAAAAATCCTCCTGAATTTCATCTCCAGGTCTAGGTATTCACTGATTATAGTCAATGAACAGACCAAACATGACTGATTACTCACGTTAGTTAGTTAGTGTGCGTACTGGGGACCTTTGATTCTTTTCGCTTCCTTAACCTTCATGATCAATCATCAGTGATGAGGTTTTTTCCCTCACCAATGATAGATTCACTTAATGTGTTTCCTACAGTACCCAGCTCTAGACGATATTTCCTATTGTGAACCCCTAGAAGATGCCCAGGTGGATTATTTGAAGAGATTGTCTCGGCCAAGTTCAACTTGCTATTGATACAAAAGTTCGAAAAGGTATAGATAGAAGACTGAACTCCTACCATAAGACTCCATTCAATCCGTAAGAACCCAAAAGATTTTTAAAAAAAAATATATAAAATATAAAGAAAGAAAACCCTGGGCCAAAGGGGAAACGTGATAATGAAAAGAAAATAATAATATGCGTGGCGAGTCTGTTAGTCGAGGAAACTAAATAGACTCCGCGCTAGGGGCAGACGGTTCGTCTTTGATATCCTCAGATGCGGTCTCCACTGGCACCGACTCAAAAGCCTCCTCGGGTTTGGTGTCGGTTATCAGGCCTTCTTCTGTGGGCTCTGCGACTACCGGCTCCGGGGCGGGCGATTCTGGTTTGATAGGGGGCTCAGAGTCCTGGATAGACACGGGCTGTGGCTCTGCTAAGGTGGTATTGCCTATTTCCGTATCTTCATTTAGCTCTTCAGAAGTGGCAGGAACTGGAGACTTGGATTCCGGTTCTTCGTTTTCAATTGGTACAGGGACTGGCTCTTGAGAAGGCTGCTCGACGTCAGGTGTGGGTTCAATTGTAGGGGTTTCTTCGACGGGTTCATTGGGTTGGACCTCGCTTGCTGTTATATCAGTCTCTTCATAAGTCGACTTTTCAGCGGGGATAGATTCCTCCATCACAATATCTACATCAACAACAGCAATGGCCTCTGCTTGAGGCTTGTCTTCAAAAACTTCATCTGCGGCGGGCTCAGTTTCTGGTGCATTCAGTTCGCCTGGTATCTCAGTGGGCTTTATTTCTTCGCTCTGAGCGGCAGGTGCTGTGATTGAGGCTGAAATATCAACTTCGCCCAGTGGGGGTTCAGTTTTCTCGGGCGAAATCGCTGTTTGTGGTGACGGCACATATGATCCAGGGGTGGTGAGGTGTTCATCAACAGGGGGCTGCACCTCAGAGCCAGCGTCAGTCATCTCGACATCGTTTGATTGATCAGCCGTCAAGTCGACCTGGTCTGTGGAGTCCACAGCCGACTGATCCGGAGTCTTCGCATCCATAACGGACTCGTCTCCGTCATCTCCATCGTCACTATCATCCTCTTCACCATCGTCATCTTCATCATCATCTTGGCCTGCTTGGTCGATGGAAATGTGGGAGCCATCTTCCTGCTTGGCACCTCCAAATGTACCCGGAACGCCATGTACTGTTGCAGCATCTGCACCCTCCCCTGGAGCAAACATGACCTTCTTCTTTCTGCCCTTGCCAATGCCCTTACCCTTTCGCTTGGGTGGAGGCGGTCGTCTCTTGGGTGGAGTCAATACAGAGGCTGAACCAGCCTCTGCAACGACCACGCCCTCTGAATTTACCCGACCAACACCTTCCACAATAGTTCCAGGAGCGGGCATCTCCGGCTTAGCATTTGCATCAGCTTGCTGAGCAAGAGTCTGAGCATCCCCAGTAATTTCCCCTTCGATGCGATGGCCCTCTGGCACCCAAGCTTCATAAATCGAGGTAACACCCGTGTCCGGGTCAGTCTTCTTGAACTTAGTTCTCCGCATTGGGCCAGGTGTAGCAGCTGAGTTTCCATCCGCAGCACTACCGCCATACAGCGACTGTAAACCAGGGCGTCTCTTGGCCAAGAATTCTACATCGGCTGGCTCCAACTGCTTGGGAAGTGTGGTCCACCTGCGACTCGTGAAGCTACGGTCAACCGACAAATCTCCATCTGCATCTGTAGTTGTCTCCTTTTTCTCTTCCTCCTCTGCAGCCCGGCCATTCGAGCGAACATAGATGCAACCTGCACGAGCTGCACGTAGCAGGGCGCGACTGAGTGGTGGCAAGATGTTGCTGTCGCGTGGCATTGCCAGCTCCGGGAGGCCTCCACTTCCACCGGGACCTTGTGTCGAGAATCCAGAGTCTTCGGTTTTAGGTGCTTGGGAGAAGGTGTGCTGTTGGCGCGACCAGCGGCGGACAGGCAATCCTTCAAAAATATCATGGTCAATATGACCTGATCTCCGGTTACCATCAAGGTGGCGCCCTGAGCGGGAGGATCTGAACTGTGTGTCACATCAGTAATGATTTTACTTAACTCTCACTTGATTGAGGGTGAATTGATTCCTCGCAGCGACAAACGTGTTGGAAACAGGTAAGGAGATTGTGAGTGTGTAATGGAGACTTACACTGGCTGGCATAGTAGAAAACAAGTCGCACAAGAGCTCAGTAAATTGCGACTAATGTTTTACTTAGCCTCAGCGGTGAATGTGGAGATCGTGGGGGAGCTTGTATGGGTGCTTAATCGCTGGTCGCGTTGTGCAGTACCGTGAATAGAGTCACGTGATATTATAATCAATCAGTCACGAATCTAGATCAATGATTATGGATGCGATTCAATTTACAGATAAAAAGGGAGTTTTTCTATTCCATCAGAATGCCAGATATATAGATTTTCACATAGAGCTCTCAGCTCTCATTCTGGGCTCACTATGCTACAGAAAACACATAAAAATCAAATGCAGTCTTGCGGTGGTTGTTCACCTGATGAAGAATAGCAGTCATTTTGATTTTGAGATGCCCGATCAATTCCAGCTAGGAGTGAAAGAAATATTAGTACTTATGCTATAGTCCTGAGTCGAGGTCATATGGGACCAAACTAATCAACATACCCATTATCTTTCTGGCGAACAATCCCGCCTTCTTGTCCAGTTTCCTTTCCAGTCTTCTGGCCCTCCACCACCAACTTATCCAGCTGATAGAACTGACTGATGATTGTTTGCCTCTGAAAATAATCGTTAGTAATTGCTCTCCTAGAAGAATATAGAGTAGGTTGACGGGTCTCTTTCAAAGGTGGGGTTATAGACTGAGATAGCCATTCCTGGAGAAGTCCCAACCTGGCCTCTTGACAGAAAATGTACTGACCTTAAGCAAGCGAAGGTTTTGCAGGCCATCCTGGATCAGCTCTTGTATCTGGCGCTCCTCCGACTTTTGTTGGTGTTCGCGGAACGAGTCTATGGTCTTCCGGCGGGCATATTCGCGGAAATTGTAGTTGGAGAACTGGGAAGATTGGCGCAACAAGGAACGGAACTGGAAAATTTGAAAATAATATCAGTTAAATGTGGCATAGTGGGAGGGATTTCCAGCAATTGAGGGGATATATCTCGGAGTAGCAGAATCGGATATGACTTACCAATGACCGCACCTGGAAGCTGGTCGGACGCTGTACTGCCGACACGGACATGATCAATGTAAAGGAAGATAAGAGGGGATTTGAGAATGGTCGTAAGCTAACAAGTTCACCGAATGGAACTAGTGCGCAACTCTTTATGAAAAGATAATTTCTCTGCTACCTTGACTTTGATGTCAGACCAGAGTCACTCAAAAAGGAGAAAGATAAGTTTGATTATATGCGATAACCCAAAGCTCCAACTCAAGTCTATTTCACGAGTGGTTGAGGGTAACCGATGGAATGGCGTTGACAGCGGTGGCGGTTCAAGATATCACGATGATACAGCGCGATATGGCGAAATGAGCAATGTCTGGCCACAGGAGTGCTATCAAATCTGACAGTTGTAATCGCAGTGCAGATGAACTTCTATAGAAGCCAAGGGTGATGAGGGAGTTGTGCAGTGTTAAGAGATGCGATCTCGGACAAAGGGCGGGAAATTCTTGTGTTCGGAGACAATGACGGAGCTACCGGGGCCGAGCTCCACGATTCCTCTCTATTTCCTCTTGCTAGCGCTGCCAATATTCACTATCCACGACTACCCCATATTTAGGCGTTTTTAGTCTTTTCAAAATGCCTCAAATTCCAACACCACCGGAGTCGCGATCAGGCTCGCCTCCTGAGGGTGAGCGGAAGACCGAGACCACGGAATCCGAAGCTTCGGAGCTACTCCAGTCTTTGGACACGCTTCTTGAGCAGTATTTACATCTGCTTGATCGGCAGCAGCAACTCCAGGCTGGACTAGCAAAGCAGCTGTCCTCGGTATGACTCTTTGATGATTTTCTGGGGCTCGAATTTACTTGATTGCTCATGCTCATGCTCATATTTTGGATTAGGGGTTCCTTTCCCTCGCCCACGCAAACTATACCTGTCCTCCCGGTAGACGGTATGGAGCGGACTACTACGATGAACGGATGAAAGCCACTAGGCAGATGTATGGTACTCCTCGATGGCACGTCTCAACAACGACTAACCTCAAGTTCCATAGAATAATCCAACACTCACACTACCTGGATGATGGAGAGTGCGACAAACAGGATGAAGCCGTAAAATCTGATAAAGATGAGGAAGGCTACGAGTACGCATTCCGAGTAGAGTCCATCTCGAAACCACGATCGGAAGAGGCAGACCAAGAAGACTCAGAACAGACCACCAATCAGGCTGAGGATGCACAAAAAGCGAATAACCCCGCAACTACGGAAATCGAGATCGAAATTGAGAAGGATTCTTTAGTTCCCCAGGGAACTGACCCCGATCCTTCATCGAAAAGCCAGAAAAACAACAAGAAAAGCCGGAAGTTTCTGTCTGACGACCCTATCCACTGGTACGGAATTCTGGTGCCACAATCACTCCGCACGGCACAAAAATCATTTACAGATGCAGTGCAAAGCCACGTGTCTGAACTAGCCGGGGCAGTCCTTGAGATGCGTGCATTAGAAAAGAAAATTACAGAGATACGGACCAAGCTCTGACGAGACCCCTCTATTAAGATTCAAGACCTTGGAAGCAGCAAGCCTTATGACTCTACTACTATCTATATATAGTACCTTCTGCTGGAGGTCATGAATAGATTAACATCACATCATTGCATTTACCCCTTATTTTGGAATAGTTTAGAACTTCCAAGATTCTTCATGACAGTTTGGAATGGTACCGGGACCCATATACTTAGTAGATGATCTGATCCACAGCAGAATCTCTAACGGCAGAATCTCCAACGGCAGAATCTCCAACGGCAGAATCGAATCTTGGATTTTTCTCTTCCGAGAAGAACGACCGAAACTGATCTCTTTTTTGAGACTTGGAGAAGACCCGTAAAAGTACAGACCAAGTGATGGTACGTGATGTTACTAGGGCATATTATCAGCTAATGCGGCACGGAGTACTACCCTAACTAAACACTGAATTGATAACTACTTGGACAATAGTGTAAGCATGTTTCATACTTACAGAGACGGGAGCAGCACTATATATATATGTATATATATGCTACTATAAAAATAAACTTTGATCAATGACTTCATGGTGCAGGTTTCCATTACTTCTATACATATGATAGATTCCAAGATAGAATCATATAACAGCAGATGACAAGTTGACTCGTTGAAAAGCCGTCTCACGTTGGGTATTCTCTCCCTTAGTGGCGGCCAATCTGAGACGTAGCGTTAGAGACTAACTCCTGGATCTAACCCCACAATAATAAAAGATCGAGAATTATTCGTTGATTAGATCCGATTAATATACTGAATTAGGTCTAGACCCATTTCTAACGGGTTGAGCCCCTGCTTGTTTTTCAGTTCTCAGTCCTTTTGTTGACTAGTTTTCCTTTCGTGATCCGAGCTGAAACCTGATCCATCTGATGGGTTTATAGGACAGCCTATTGTCCAGCCACTTATGATACTAGATATGATAGCCTATTGGCTCATATCAAGCTGAACTAGTCTTTGGCATATCGGATGCTCGGTTCAGAGTACGTACTTGTTTAGATTGCAAACGCTCTGACATCGGCAAATTTTACAATTAATTAATACTTCCGGAATGACTGGAACGAAGTTTTTAATCTAAAAATTGTATTAGTGTGTTCGCGTCACGCTATTCGTAGTATTTTCTGTATTTTCTTCATTGCAAGGCGATTTTTTTCTCCTCTACATTTCCTTGCCACTCTCTATTTCGTTAGTGAGCTGGAGGCTCGCTCTTTATATCGCATTACTTGTGAGTATCAAGGGAGTTATCCGTTCCAATATCTTTAGTAAAAGCACAGATCTGATATCTTTGTCTTTGAAACATAGTCGGTTTGATACCTGAGTGATCTTTTTTTATTCATTTCTCTCTTGTTCTCTTATCCACTCTTTTACTTAACCCAGTCATCTTTCATCGGTAAGTCCTTTTGACGGCCCAAGTCCAGGGAATACCTGGAATAACACCGCTTGAAAAGATATGCACAAGGGCCCAATCTAACATTGACTAGGCATTGAATGCCCTTCCATTCCTTTTTGATCTTTGTCGCAGCTTGAGCCCGTATTTCAAACCATCAATCCAGCAGCCCTCCCGGATTCGACGTGTATACTGGCGGAATATCGGAATACTACATCCATTGCTCTATCGACATCAGACGTTCATTCTCGCGCCACTACTACATTCTTTTCTTTTCGATCACAGTATTGACCTTATTGATCATCGTAACCTGAGATTCATTTCAGATAACCTTGGAACTCCATGCTACAGAAAGCCCTATCATAACCTTGGAGCCTTGGACAACCGACGATCGTCACTCCATATTGATAGATTCACTCATCACAATTACTGAATCAAATGTATCCACAGTCTTCGGCCAGCCCGGAGCCAAGCTCACATCCATCTGGCAATGTGCCAAGCAGAAGCGGATCAGTCAAGAGGGCGAGGGAGTTGCTGGCGGCTGGTGTCCGTCCAGAAAGGTCACCACAACCAGCTCCAGCCAATCCCACTGCCACCACTGGAGCTGGGCCTTCTCAAATGCAATGGCCTCTTCCAGCCTCTGGCTTGCAGGTGAAGCCGCATCCTAAACTACTGCCAACCCGCAGTCCGCCGCCTACAGGTCCTCTGCCGCCAAGACCTGGGGAGCATAGTGGTTTAGAGCTACTATCGTCTTCAGTTTACTCCGTAAACAGACAAGAATCAGAGAGGAAGTTTGTGAATACCTCTAGGAATTCTGCACGAACAACACCATCTTTTTCTCAACCAAAGTACCAACAAGCACGCGCACCACGACAAGCAGGTGACAGTGTCCCCATTAGCCCTACAAGCACCGTACGAACAGATTATACGATAGAGCTACCTGAACCCCATCCTCGTCAACAATCGGTAGGGCTTGTCCCTCCCCATGCACGACGACACCCGGGCATAGTGTCACCAATTCAAGAGGAACGCAATACCTCGCGCCAAAACTTGGCATCAATGGCTTCCAGCCACGCTATGCCAGTAAGCTGGGGATCAGGACCCCCAGGCTCCGAAGTCGTCGGGATATACATGGAAAAACAACAAAACCAACCAAAACTACCGGGGAGTGACGAATCTCCAGAAAGCATCAGTGAAGAATTCACACATGTTAGATCTGCCAGTGTTGGAAAGAGAGGGAAACCAACTGTGCGTACGATATCAAGGTCTAACCACAGTTCTGAAGTACTTCCAGCCATACCGAATATACCAGATCTGCCATCACTACCAGCAAAGGCATATGACCCCCGAGAAAAAGAATTGGTCGGCCTAGCCATTGGAACCCAAAATGGACCCTCGCTGGATCAATCCAACCCTGGTTTCCACCGCTCGAGCACATCCTTGGAATCCGCCATTGATCCCGAGAAGCCTCGTATCGCCAAAGATGAGGAAAACCCATATATTGTGAAGAGTTTAGAGTTGCCCAAGGCTGCACCTACACTGAGTGACATGAGACCTGGAAGTCGTCGACCCCCACGACTTGATTTGGATGCCGTGCGCACTGCAGAGTCGCGTGGCAGTCTTTCTAGTTTGACTGATCTGATTCGACGCGCCACCAAACTTGCCTCCAACTTAGATCGTGGGAAGACAGCCAGTCGGATTGATCCAGATAGAGACGGAATTAGTAAGTGTTTCCGCATACCCTTCATGCCCGGCCACGAGCAGCTGACCATGAATTGTGAAAATTAGCACGAATTAGCTATGCTCGAAGCTCTGGATCTATTTCTGATATCCTTGCTTCATTCCCCAACCCAGTACTGACAATGCCCGCTCGAAATGGATCTTGGCCCATATTCTTTGGACGAGGTCCCAACCAGTACAATGTCGAGCCCTTGTACTCGCATGAGGATGGACCCAATTCAAAGAAAGAGCGAAAATGTTGTGGAATCCCTAAAAAATGGTTCATTTTCCTCAGCATCCTTCTCTTCGTCATAATCGTTCTTGCCGTTCTGCTCCCTGTCTTTTTAATTGCCGTTCCGCACCAAAAAGCAAATGAAAGCTCATGCGCTACTAAGAATCCCTGTCATAATGGGGGTTTCAGTGTGTCCAGCGGGACTATATGTGCGTGTGTTTGTTCGAACGGCTATACTGGCTCTCAGTGCACCACTGCTGGTGATAGTAGCTGTGTGACATCCCAAGTGAACAATAGCACGAGCAGCAGATCTGCAACAATGGGAAGCTCGCTTCCGGACTTGTTCTCACAGTCTGACTCTGAATTTGGCATCAGCCTGGACACCATCACAATCATGGCTATGTTTAGCATGAACAATCTTTCCTGCCAGACGGAGAATGCGCTTGTAGCATTTAGCGACGTTCAAAGCATTGGCAGCAGAACCAAGCGCTCAATTGAGCTGCCACTGGAAATCAATGTTGGAATTGAAGCTTCCTCTACTCCAGATTTACATGATCCGAACGTGGTGAGAGAGGTTCGATCTTACGCCACTAAGGATGGGATTCTGTATGATGGAGATGCAGGTACAAATACGACAACCACCAGCAGCACCAACAAGAGCTCCTCGGTTCCATCAAATATAGTGGAGTTTTCCAAGGTGGCGGTGTTGTACATCTTCCAGGAAACGGGGTCCTTTGATACGGCGCAGTCCTCCGAGTCTTCGATCCAAACATATCTGGTTGATTCATACAACAATGTGACTCACCCATCGTTGAATGTGGGGAGCTTTAAATTGGACTTTGAGAAGACCAGCATTACGAAGACTTGAGAAAGAAATGCAATTGTACATAATTTCAGTTTAGAAGGGTTATAGTTATGTAATGCACTAATCCACTTGCCGAGTCTAGCCCTAATTAGTCAGTGATCACGACATTGATCGCGGAGGTTGCGTTATCGATCACGTGAACTCCAAATACATTTCTATACTTAGTACACGGTAGTATGGAGATATCTAGTTACAAAATAGAAGAAGGAACTTTGGAATGGATGGTTAATAAATAAAGTGACTGTCTATGTTTAGGTGAGGATTCAGCCCCTATCATATAATATATTTGTAGTACGTATTCCATTACGATCCTGTGGAGAACTACTGTGTACATTGGCGGATATCCCCAAAAGGTTGGAATATCTATCGCCTCAAAGTCCCACGAGGTACTATTAGGTATAATATAGGTCCAATGTCACACAGGTGGAACTGAACATGTAGTCAATTGGGCTTCTAGCGTGTATAAGTATCTTTTTACGAATTCAAGACGAAACACTGGCTTTTTAAGTGATGAGGCCAAGACTAAAAGCCCCACAGTTGACTGGATAGAAGACCAGACACTGAAAGGCCTCGTAACCCTTGGAAATTGGTTGATCAGTACTTCGTCATGCTTTTTCTTCTCTTCTTTTCTTTTCCACCCTCCTCCCTTTCTTTCTTTCTTTCTTATTTTTACGGCCATTTCTCACTTTTTATTTCTTCCTTAATATCTATACACAATGGCCAACTCTCCTCACGGTGGTGTCCTCAAGGACTTGCTCGCCCGCGATGCTCCCCGCCAGATCGAACTCAGCGCTGAGGCCGATACCCTCCCCGCCATTGTTCTCACTGAGCGCCAGCTGTGTGATTTGGAACTTATCATGAATGGTGGTTTCTCTCCTCTTGAGGGTAAGCAATTTACCAATCCTAATTCTATGCAATTCCTTGTCCTGTGAGGGAAAAAAGAGAGAAAAGAGAGGGAAGTCCTACGAGGGCTAACGTGGGGGCAACGCTGGACTGAGGGGCGGAGATTCCAAGATCAATTGTTAACGCTCGTTTCGCATAGGATTCATGAACCAGGCCGACTATGATGGGTATGTCCTACTACGATGTGCCCAGCAAGGGGCCTCTTAATCACGACTAATCACGAATACCATACTGACATGTGCCTAGCGTCTGCGAGAACAACCGCCTTACCGATGGCAATGTCTTCTCTATGCCCATTACACTCGATGCCAGCCAGGAGATTATTACTAAGAACAAGCTGAAGGCCGGTTCCCGTATCACTCTGCGTGATTTCCGTGATGACCGCAACCTTGCTATTCTTACCATTGACGACATCTACCGCCCCGATAAGTGAGTGCCTATTTTTTTCTTTGGGTGTGGGGCTTGAGGCTCTGGATCCTGCAAACCCCGCGATGGCGCAATCGACATGGATATCGTTTGTTTGGTTCCGGCCTCAGGCCTCAAGTTTTATACTTGGACCTTTCTTGGACTTTTCTTGGACTTTTCTTGGCCAATTCTGAAGTAAAGGCTAACATGCTTTCACTCAAGGACCCGTGAGGGCAAGCTCGTGTTCGGCGGCGACCCGGAACATCCGGCCATCAAGTACTTGAACGAGACCGTCCAGGAATTCTACATTGGTGGTAAGATCGAGGCTATCCACAAGCTGAACCACTACGACTATGTCGCTCTCCGCTACACACCCGCCGAGCTGCGCATTCACTTCGACAAACTGGGCTGGTCCCGCGTCGTCGCTTTCCAGACTCGTAACCCCATGCATCGCGCTCACCGTGAGCTGACTGTCCGCGCTGCCCGCTCTCGCCAAGCCAATGTCCTGATCCACCCCGTCGTCGGTCTGACTAAGCCCGGTGACATTGACCACTTCACTCGTGTCCGTGCATATGAGGCTCTCCTGCCCCGCTACCCCAATGGCATGGCCGTCCTGGGTCTGCTCGGTCTCGCCATGCGTATGGGTGGTCCCCGCGAGGCCATTTGGCACGCTATCATCCGCAAGAACCACGGTGCCACCCACTTCATCGTCGGTCGTGACCACGCCGGTCCCGGTAGCAACTCCAAGGGCGAGGACTTCTACGGTCCCTACGACGCTCAGCACGCCGTCGAGAAGTACAAGGATGAGCTCGGCATCGAGGTCGTCGAGTTCCAGATGGTCACCTACCTACCCGATACCGACGAGTACCGCCCCGTCGACCAGGTCCCCGCTGGTGTCAAGACCCTGAACATCTCCGGTACCGAGCTCCGCCGCCGTCTCAAGACCGGCGCCCACATCCCCGAGTGGTTCTCCTACCCCGAGGTTGTCAAGATCCTGCGCGAGTCCAACCCTCCCCGTAACAGCCAGGGTTTCACTATCTTCTTGACCGGTTACCAAAACTCCGGCAAGGACGCCATTGCCCGTGCTCTCCAGGTGACCCTGAACCAGCAGAGCGGCCGCTCCGTCTCACTGCTGCTCGGTGATACTGTCCGCCACGAGCTCTCTTCCGAACTCGGCTTCACCGCCGAAGACCGCCACACCAACATCCAGCGCATCGCCTTTGTCGCAACCGAGCTGACCCGCGCCGGTGCCGCCGTCATCGCTTCCCCCATCGCTCCCTACGAATGCTCCCGCAAGTATGCTCGCGACCAAATCTCCCAAGCCGGCTCCTTCTTCCTGGTCCACGTCGCCACTCCTCTGGAGTACTGCGAGGCTACTGACAAGCGTGGTATCTACGCCAGTGCCCGCCGTGGCGAGATCAAGGGTTTCACTGGTGTCGATGACCCCTATGAGACTCCTGAGAAGGCTGACCTTGTTGTTGACTTCTCCAAGCAGTCTGTCCGCTCTATTGTCCACGAGATCATCCTTGTACTTGAGAGCGAGGGCTTCTTCGAGAAGGGCCAGTAAGTGCCTATTATGCTAAAAATGTTTCCGTTTCTGTTTTGTTCTGGGCTGTCGTTCTTGGTCCCATAGAGATATATGCACCGGCTTTTTATAATCGCGATTGGATTCCCCTTAGATTCTTACAATGAATGTCTTGTGTTAATAATGTATTCTCTGTAGATGAATGTGATGAAGTCATGGAGGAAGAAGATCCATCACATCTCTTCCTAGGTTCTCGAGGTTGAAGATGGAACATCAATGTCTTGTTGATTAAGGCATCAAATGCAATACCACGGTTGTGTATGAACCAAGAAGTCGGGCACTAGTGTCAAGAATACTCGTCATAGTCAAAGCGCAACAAACAGAATTTGGACGTTTAGAATCTCTGTTTGAGTGTGAGTCGGGGATTCATTAGTTTCTTCTCTTCACTTCTTCCATCTCTTATCTTCCCTCGTCACCCTTCATTCCTTTCCAACACAACCACCTTAACTCACTCGTTTCATTAATCTCTTTTCCATCTCCGCCAGTTCTTAGGCAGAAACAAAACCGCACTTTCCTTCAGTATTAACCTTTCCATCTCACCCCGCTGAGATTTCTCACATTATTTTCCAATCTGTTGGAACATTATGCCGTACAAGGACTTCAAGAAGGATCTGAAAGATGCCGCGACTCCAGGTCGGTATCCGCACTTGAGCGGCATCAAGGCTGGTGAATACGATGCCTCTGTCGCATTTACCTTCAACGCCCCTAATGGACCCAATATCAGTCTTGAAGCGATAGTATCTGGTGTGATCCATCACATCAACCTAGCTTAAACCCATTATTGACACGCTTGTTCAGACACTACCCAATACCCAGCCTCCCATACTTTATTAGTCATCACTACGTCCGACAATCCAATGGTCAACAAGGCGCTGAAGTTGGAAACACCTTTCTTTAAAAGTGCCACCGTCAACCAGTTTTTGAAAACTGTTGATCAAGTTCTGTTCGAAGCCCTCGTCCACGATAGAGTCATTCGTGATTCTCCATCTGGAGATAATGAATTTGATACATACGAGCAAGATGATGACAGTGAAGAGTATAACGATGGTTTTGAATGGACATGGGAAAGCCCACCAGAGAATGAAGCTGTGCAGAAGCTGATTCGCCGTGATCTTCGTGCGGCTAAGGCTGCTGGGTTCAGGACCGGATTCTACCCGAATGTACATGGATCAAGCCAAGGAGTTACGCTTCTGTGCATCTCCTGTCGTATTTCCCGACTCAATATTTCCGATGAAGTCATGCAGGCATGGAATGTGCACCGAGATGAGTATTTGGTTCTACTCATGCTCTATCCAGTACATTACAAAGGCATGGGGTATATTTTGGATACTCCCGCTTCTAGTGGATATCAGGGTTCAGTTATCCAGATGCGCGTCGGGCTCTGCGACTCCTACAAACCAACTCTAGAGCACGCTGAACAAGTATTCAAGACTACGCGCCATCCACCACCCGCGGTTCAGGGCACCCCACTGAAACATCTTTTCATCGGGACATCACTGAACAAGCTTTTGAATGATCGACTGGTGCCAATTGCTAGGTATCGGGTAAAATATAATTTGACGTGGACTGCCGCTGAGCTTTATTACCACTCAGTGATGGGCAAAGCAACGGTTGATTCTGATAAAGACGGAAGACCCCCCTATGTGGCCGACACATGGGATACCCCAGCTCCACCCCCTCTGGTGTTTGACCATTTCCCTTTGACGGAGAAAGACTTGGGTGAGGCTTCATTTCCTCTCGTGGCAATGCAGTTTACTCTGCGACATCTTGTCAAGTGCAACGGATTTTGCGCTGTTTGTCACTGCAAGGTTTCCAATGAACTAGATGCCGTCAAGCCCTTTGTTTGCGCGAATCAGCTGTGTCTTTACCAGTACATGACGCTCAACATGGGTCTCAGCATTGACCACGAGGTCATGTCCCAGCCTAAAGTAGTCGATCTACTTATATACTTGGCATATGGCAGGGCGAGACGCTGCCTTCTTGACGATTTCCCAATTGGATTGGGCCTGATGGTTCCAGATATGACGCTTGTTAAATATGGGAAGCCTGAGGACAGTGACAAGTGCATAGCTGAGTTGGATAAAACTGAAAGGGTACTTGTCGGAGAAGATCTCAAACTCTCCGTAGGTGACTGGATCATTATCTTCCACGATGAAAAATCCCCAAACATACATTGTCGAGTTGAAGAAATTGACCCATCCCGCACCCATGCCAGTCTCTCGAGCTTCATCTGGGATAGGCCGAAGCCAGCTAATACTGACTTTGGCACACATGTCCGTTACCAGGTCTACAGTCAATTATTTGACGACTTGCCAAGAGAAGCAAAATTACTTTCAGTCATGACCCTGCTCAACACCCTTCCAAGTGTCGACTCGATGAAGAATTATCTCAAGGACTGTTTCTCTGTTTCCCTGTCCTCTTGGAGGAATCGCATCAGCCCATCCGCTTTTACCCTTTTGCGATGGATCGTTGCCTCAAATCGATCATGCATCATGCTAGACGAAGACCCGAAAAACCTGGTGTCTGACATGTACTTCTGGAGGCAGTTTCGAATCATCGGTACCCCCGAGAAGGAACTAAGCTTTGCTCAGAACGTTCAGCTCCACGGGAATAAACAATTTCCCACGATCTTTGCCTGGCATGGCAGCCCGGTCCATAACTGGCATGCCATTTTGCGAGAGGGGCTTAATTTCCAAAGGATTTCGAATGGTCGCTCCTTTGGCGACGGTGTTTACTTCTCGGATCACATGCGTACTTCCCTAACTTATGTGACAAAGAAGGCGTTGATAATACCCACAACTCTATACCCGGAAGATTGGATCGCCGCCGATTCTAGTGGAGGGATTGTTATGTCTCTGAATGAGATTGTCAACTCTACTAAGGATTTTGTCTCTACTAGGCCGCACCTCGTTGTCAATCAACTGAACTGGATCCAACCGAGGTATCTATTCTTCCAGGTGATGACTGACCGGCGTATCACACCTGAGCCCTCGCACATCTACAATCAAGATCCAAACCATGTGACCCAGGGGACAGCGGGACCTGTCCAGATACCCATATCGGCAATTGCTCAAACTCGCCGAAAAGATCTTCATGAGAAAAGCAAGTCGCCAAAGAAGTCTAAGATTTGGGGCGGCCGTCCTCCCGGTTCGAAAAATATGATTCGTTCTCCCAGTCCGGATGTTATGATTGATAGCAAGAGTATCGCCACTGATGATGAAGACCGGATGATTCTGCTTTCCGACAACGAGAGCAGCAAAGGCAATGGATTTTCTGACCTGTCACTGAATGCTGGAAAGAAGAGGTCTGAAAACGGAATCATTACGACTGATACCGAGAACAATTTCGTTCCAGGAACTCTCAGAAACAAGTCGTTGTCTTTGCTCGAAAGTCCTAAATTTGCAAACCCCGTCGCAACCAGACTCCTTCAAAGGCAACTTCAGACAACCCTCAAGGTTCAGAAGAAAGAAAAGTCCCACGATCTGGGCTGGTACATCGACCCCGAGCTCATCATAACTCCATACCAATGGATTGTGGAACTGCACAGTTTTGACCCCGAGCTGCCCCTAGCTAAAGACATGAAGAAGGCCGAAATCAAGAGCATCGTGCTTGAAATGCGCTTTCCGGCTTCATATCCTATGGACCCGCCCTTTGTGCGAGTCATTACCCCAAAGCTCCTCGAATTTGCGAATGGAGGTGGCGGACACGTCACAACTGGAGGCTCCATGTGCTTGGAGCTGCTCACCAGCTCGGGATGGCTGCCCACATTTTCAATTGAGAATGTCCTGATTCAGATTCGCATGGCCCTATGTAACACAGAGCCACAGCCGGCACGGCTCGGTAAAAATCCTTTGAATCAGTATGATGTTGCGAATGCAATTGCTGGTTATCAGCGAGTTGCCCATGCCCATGGATGGAATATTCCTGGTGATATGAGTTGGATCAAAAACATGAAGTAGACGGAACTGAGACGTTATCTACTCACATGGCTGGGGATAGGTTGCTATTGGAGGACGCACCCGAGGATTACCGTGTTCTTATTTCTTGTATCTTTTATTTTGGAGTTGCTTTCCCAAGGGTGTTGATCCCCGACCTACCTATGCGATAGTCGGATATGTAGCCTGAAATCATATTGACATTGAACAAACCCCCTGTAAATCTATAAATGGGATATGTAAATGCACACATCAAGCATATTTACAATCATACCCCCGAACCCCACGCTGACAATAAACTTCCCCCTCCCCCATGACAACATCCAGGGGATTGATATCCGGGACCTCGACATCCTCCCAAGTAGAATGAACCGTCTTCTCCCCCTCAACAACCGATTAACATTAAGCATAGTGCTATATAAAAGCCCCCAGCTAGCGACACCAACCACATGCCCTTCTTCTTCATGAATATCCGAAACCTTAGCCGAAGATCCAGCAGGACGATAAATGCCGGTGAAAGCTGGAAAAGCCGTAAAACACGTCAAATACCCATTCCCACACATCCGCCCCAACGCAACATCAATCTGCGCACCGATATCAATCTCCTCTGCAATACCAACAGGATTCACGGACAGCGCGGCAAGAATCCGCTGTGCGCCGCGAAAGCTGACAGCGTAGAAACTCGAACAGGCAACGTCTTGTGCAGCACAAATTAGCCGCGTGTCGTCTGCCCGCTCTATTGGCGGCGATTCGCGCCAGTAGGGCAGGAAGTGCCGGGGTAGAGGCACGGTTGGGTCGGCTGGCGTTAGGTAGTATGGGCGGTCTGTTTTGCATTCAACCCCGCAGTGGCCTAACCAGAGGATATCCCAGTCGTCGCCGTAGGGCGAGTGGGTTTTTGTGGCGCTTGTGCCTTGGAGGGCGCGGACCGCGCGCGCTAGGCTCTCGAGTTGGGCTTTTAGGGAAACGTCCCAGTCTGCGTCATCTTCCATTATTATTGCGCTGCTTATTCTCTCTTCGACGATGCTGTAGCGAATGTTAGATTTGGGTTGAGGTATGGATATCATTTTGCGCATACCGTTGCATTCCGTTTACATGGGCGCGTCGACAGGCATATTCGGATGCTGAATGGTCATTATTCCAATTCTAGGCTAGTCAGTACTAGGTTGAAATGAGAGAAGAGGATCTTTTTTACATAAGGGAATGTTTTAGGGTTGATCTCATCCGAGTTTACACCGGCGATCCAGTCAACGCGAAACCCAGTCACCGAAGAGCCTAGCACGAGATTATCCCGTTTATCAGGTCTTCCGGGTAAATTGATGGCAAAGACCTTCTCAACCTAGAAGTGACTGTTAGCGCCAGACATCAACCAAGTTTTTACCTATCTGAGGGGTTGATTTACCCCTAATGTCTCATTCCTAGCCTTCTGGAAGCTTTCCCGGATCTCGGAGCTACCTCCGAACACGAAGACAGCTTTACGGGAAGCAGGCCATAATTTTAAAGTGATGAGAATGATTCCTATAAGGAGGATAGCTTGTCGTAGGAAGCGGGATTGGAATATTGAAAGTAACATGGCTCCTCACTTGACGTTTGGATGACTACGGTCAGTTCTTAAAACAGATCTCAAAGCCTTTTTTTAAGGCAGATATGATATTAGGTTGGCTTAGGCGCGTCTTGTTTCTATGCGATGCTGGTTGGTTGACTCGGATCCACTTTTCAATATAACTTGTGGGGACCTGTACGAAATCTTATGGCGAGGAGGTCTAGATATTAGATGGATACATTTCATTTACTTCCCATACTTCTTGGCTAGATTGAGCATCAGATTTTGCATATCTAGGCAATGATGCTGTTTTTATAGAAGTCGGGAGAAAAACTTGAAAGATCGGAGTAAAAGAGTTGATTATGAAAACGTTTTTCTTGAAGAGTATACAGCAAGTAAATGAAGCTATCCAGTAGCTCTTACTGCTTCTTGCTGGGGTCTTCTGAGTAAGCAATTTGTATATCCCCAATCTGTCCCTCAATCTCAAGCGTAGGTCCACTGTAATTCTTACGACCATCAAAGACCCAAGTGAGCGAAGAAATGATAACGACAATAGCCAGCACAACAACACAGTAGTTCATGTTGCTACCGGTAACGGGAAGGTCAGGAGGAAAGAGGAAGAGAACAGTTGTGAGGACGATATAGACCAGAGAGATGATGTTAATGATCCAGCCAAACCAGTTGGGAAGAGTAAAGGCTCGATCGGGTAGTGTCTTGCGTCCACGCATGACGTTGACGGCAATGGGCATGCCGTATGCAAGGTCGAGGAACACGACAGAGCAGGAAATGATGGCGTTGAAAGCACTTGATGAACCGAGGAAGATGCATCCGAAGACGACAACGAGGAAAAGGTTGAGGTAGAGCGAGTTCAGAGGAACGTTCAACTTGGGGTGGATCTTTGAGAAGAATTTCGACGCTGGAAGGCCGCCATCTCTTGCAAACGCGTAGCACATACGACTGCTCGTGGTCATGATAGCGGTTGTGGCGAAGAGCATGCACACGAGCGGGAAGATGAGCAGGCAGATGGCACCGGCGTTACTCTGGGTTGCGTTCTTCAGGATAGCGAGAAGGGGGCCGGCTGAGGAGCTGATGATATTGTCAATGCTGCCAGCGACGAAGAGTAGACAGACAAGGAAGATCCAACCAGTTACTGTGCCGATTGCGACACAATAGATCATGATCTTGGGACCTTCTACAGAGGGGTTGGGGATTTCTTCAATCATGTGGGCGACACCGTCAAAGCCAGTGACACCAAGTCCTCCTTGTAGAAGACCAAGCAGCCAGGCAATTCCATCGGGCCATCCAGTCTCATTGAGGAACTCTGTAAAGACGAACTTTCCGGAATTGTAGTTGGGCGACGCGCATGACAGCACGGTGATGCAGATGATGACAAAACCAGAGATGGACCAGATGAAGGCAGCCTTGTTGAAGTAGGGGAGAATGTGGTTGGTGAGAGCGTTGATGAGGAAGGCAGCAATGTTGTATCCGATGTAGATCAAAAATTGGTGCCAGCGCTGGGAAACGTAGTCGGGGTGCATCAAGGAGATGACTCCGATAACCAGCTGGCTACCGAGAAGACCGCCGGTAGCTACCAGAGCGACCCAGCCAGCACAGTTGATCCATCCAGTGATCCAGGACAGAACTGGCATCCACTTTGTCCATGAAATGACCGCCACCCAGTGATATTGACCTCCTGCAGTGGGATAGGCAGAAAGGAACTCAGCGAGGGATGCGGACATGCAGAGATTACAGATACCGGCAGTGACCAGACCTGAAGCATTGTTAGCATATGCCGTTGAACATACGCAAGCCACGAGCTATTTAGGCTACTTAGTAGAATTACATACCCCAGATCACACTTGTACTACCTCCAGAAGGCAGACTGAGAGATAAACTTGTCGACAAAGCAGTCCATGACTATCAGATTGTTTAGTATAAATCGGAGAGAAGATTTTTGGGAAACCATTACGTTCAAAATAGCAAAAGCAAGACCCAGCATAGACCTAGGGCAGTTAGTCTCGTGGTCGGACGAACATTGAAGAAAACATACAGCATAGAGAAATTCCGTTTCAATTCAGGCGCGTAGCCCATCTGGGCTAAATGGGCATCATCGCCGGCAGCTTTTTCTATTGTGTCATCCATGGTGATGTGTGTAGTTCAAATCACCGGGGAATTGGTAATTTGTGTTAAAAGAAAAGAGAAGGGAAAGAGGGAGATAGAGTTTCAAATAATGCTTTACGGAGTAGACGAAATCTCCGCCGATTAATGCGGGGAACAGGTATCAAATGCTCTGAGTAATTGATTTGGGGTAATGAACTAATCGATTAGATATCATTTACTGATAGCGGTCGAGATGGAAGTGATTGGCTCGGCGCACCGATTCGGGAATATGAGCCAATGAAAATAATTAAGGAGGCGGGATCTACAAGAGCTTAACCTGATCTAATGTGGTTTGATTGGTCTAAAGCCAGGGAAGTTATGGGTCTTACTAATTAAGGTATACACTATGCCCGTTTCTAGCATTGAAGAGTAAATGATACAATACATTTAGTAGTACAGAATACACACGAGGTACAATAGAATCTACTGATCTGAATCCATCATGGATCTAGGTATCATCTACTGCTTGAGCCCCTGTAAGCATATTAGATCTAGACTTCTCCCTAGATCGGTCTAATGTCCCAATTGGCAACTGCTCCTATCTCATCAGCATGGTTTGATGTGGATACGTGGGTCCATTCTCACTGATAGACAATCAAACAAATACCACCATGTAAGAGATATCGAGATAGATCCGAGATTTGCATTTGAGCCAGGAACGCCTCTTCGGATAATCGGCGCTAGGAATGGGAATTCGAGATCTAAACCTCTGTCTGTTCAAGGCCACGTCTAGAGTTATGAATCGATAAAACAACCGTCTTTTCTAGAACTTTTCTTTCATGAATCATGGCTGACTTGATTAAGGCTATCCAATCATAGTCGTCTACATCTACGAACAAAGTACTACACTCATTGGTCAACGAACTTATCCCAGGATTGTTAACGGCCAACGCCGCAATTGCCCCATAGCAGTCCATCATACAAAGTGTTTTCCATCTTTACCGACAAAATTAATCTTTCTACTAGCATCAGTCGCTCTGTGTCTCTTATCACAAGGCTGCAGTTTCAGATAAGCCGCCACCATTACCCCTGCAATCCCCTGAAGCTATCCCACTCCTCATACCACTTACTGCAAGGCACATGATGTCTCATTAGTACCGCTAGCACAAGGACTGCAGCCGCGCAACATGCAGACGCGGTAAACTGATAGCGATAACAAGATTATGAATTTCATAAGTGAATCGCTGTATTATCTCTCTCTGATTTTGCCTGGAACTTAAGTTCTCGCATGACATCGCCACAGTCCTGCCTTATGTAAGACGTTGTCGATCTATGTCGCTGTTGGCTGTTGTGCGCCCGACTTTAGCGTGATCATTGGACTAATGCGGAAGTATGAACATCGATTGCGGTTATTGACTTGAGGCGCATCACACGAAAATCGAAATTATAATTGGAAAAACTTACCTAGATACTAATTTATGAATATTAAGAGCTGAATTACATCCAGATTTCACGATTAAAACTGTCTGGATGTAGAAGACACTCAATTCATGCCAACATGCACATGTGTTATAACTTCGCTAAAATTCGCTTCATTCAAAATCTTTACTAATATTGGCAATTTCCGACGACTAATTACGAACTATTAATTGATTTCGAGGCTCTTCAGTGGATGAGGTCACCTTCACATCAAGATGTTGAAGTAGTAATAGTAGTAGTAAGTATTTAACCATGGAGTCGTAGCAGTAATTCTATTGATTGACCTCACTACACCTGACTGGATATTAGTCAATGGTACCACTAGTAATCGATCATTCACAATATAAGCTCGCCAAATAAGGATGTCTTTTCTTAGACAGGTTATTCTGACTTGACATGTGGGGTGTAAGGCGGTCTCGGATTCCTGATATTAGTACTCCGTACTCTAAGTAGTTACTAGGAAGTTATCTCTTCTTTTTAAATGGAGGCCCTCGTCCATTGTCGATTTCATGGGTCGAGTTTGAAATTTTAATTGTTAAATTATCCAAGTTAGGAAGTACGACATTGAATAGATAGAAATTACGTTTACTAGCCTCAGGCAGACATCATTAAATACGGAGTATTCCGTTCAACAGCCTTGGTAAAGCTTGGCTTATGTTGCCAAGGTAGTGGGTACTCGTTTAATGTTCACGGCTTCATCAATATCCTTTTCTTCGTTATCAGGTCCATTTAGGTCATCTTCATTATAAATTCAATAGTTGATCTCATGCAGGCATCATCACAAAGGCAAAGACCCTAGCTTTCGAACGGTGTCTCATAAGGAGCCTCAGCTTGTGGTGTAAGACGGGCAAGGTGACGTCTTTGACCATCTTCCCAATCAAACAAAGCAGAGTGGCAGGCCAAGCGGTTATCCCACACCACTACAGTACCGGCCTTCCAGCGAACACGGGCTTGCAAGTCCTGCGAAAGACCGATGTGATCGTACAGGAATTTGAGAAGATACTCTGACTCTTCCTTCTTGTATCCGACAATGTGGCGAGTGACTGCAAAACATCAGTATACGAAAAGCAGGAAAATCTTGGTAAGTACTCACACTGAGGGTTCACGAAAAGTGCCTTCTCTCCAGTCACGGGGTGTGTCCGAACAATAGGATGCTCTGAGGTAATCGGGTCGCGACGCGCAATACCACCACCGTTCAAACTGGCATTCACCTGCTCAATACCAGAGTGGACAGCCTTGAGTCCATGCAGTCGCTTTTTGAATTCGGGCGAGAGTCGCTTATAAGCCTGGACCATGTCGGCGAAAATGGTGTCGCCGCCAGTGGTAGGGCCATCTAGAAGATAGAGGAATGTTGTTCCTGGGGGCTGCTTCTCAAAGGTAACATCTGAGTGCCATGTAACAGTATTGGTGCGCTGCTCGAGGAACTTTTGGCCTGTCTTGTCATCCGCACCACGGAAGACGAGATGGATCTCTGGGAAGCCCTTTGGCGCACCTGATGTTTGGTGCGAGTGGTGGCGGCCGAAGTAGCCAGCATAGTCGACTACCTCTTGGATGGGGAGGGAGGCGAAGTCTTGGTCACGGAAGGCAACGACTCGGCGCTGAGCGACAAGGAGTGCTAGTTGGTCCTTGCCTGCATTGGACAACTTGCTCAGTTGCACGCCCTTGACTTCAGTGCCGATGAAGGGAGTGATATCGTCGGTTTCCACGCCCTTGGAGAGAAGGTCGGGGAAAGTTGGATCGGCATCTTTACCGTGGTCATAATGCTCGAATGGGGTCAGAGGGGGTTGTCTATGAAGCGTGAGTTTTGACCTATACTGTCATCTGAAGTGAGTGCGAACCTCTGTGTCTCATTGTCCCAGACGGGAAGATAGTTGGGGTAGGATGCTGGGGGAAGCTTTGATGTTCCCTTGAGCTCCGCGTCCTTTTCAATGTCGTATCCGATTAAGTTCTCTTTATTGTGTCCAGATTCAGTCTTAAGGGGAACGGTAAATGCCGCTGATCGCAGCGGAACGAATGTGGCCTCAGTGATAGTAGTCATCTTGGAAGAGCTTTTCTTATATTTTATAGAAGAGACGGATAAAAGGCGCAATTCTGATACGACTAAAAAACACTTGAGTATTGGAATGAGGCCTTGTGTCAACTATATAAGTTTCTGGGAATTGTTACTACAATGGTACACTATTGCGCAATGAATAGAGTGCGGGGTTCAGTCCAAGATTTAAGTCTTTCGTCAAATATAGTATGAATTAATAATCCAGTTAGACGATAGGCGAGGTACTGGTGGGCGCATTTTTAATATATGAATACAAGAAGCAAATTGAAGGGGCCCAAAGTACCTATTCGGTAGCGAAATACTGGTTTACTATGGCGTGCTGGGATTGCGTGCGTTGATCGACACGCGATTTAGTAGTAATTTGGCCGGTTTTGGAGCCCAGAATACGCAGAAGAGATATCGGCTCTCGCTTAATTGTTTGGTAGATTCATTGTTGAGAAATTCTCATACTGCTGTTGTCAGCTTATGTGTTTATTGCGCCATGGAACACTCATGTTGCGCAACACTTTTACATTTCTCGCCTGGGTTACTCCGAACTCTTATTTAAGTCTCACTTTCATCAGTAGAACCGGTCAAGTCAATGATTCAAATTAAATGATTCATTTTGCATGCTGTTGAGTTGGTACGGTCTTGCTGTACGGAGTAGATGTTGGATCATTAAGGGTTCAATTATGCTGACTATACAAGGTTATGCAGTGGGGCCAAGCGGAGCCTCTAACGACTCGCCCATCCTTCCGTCACTTTATCTACTTTTGCGTGACCTGCGATCTGCATATTACTCGGGAACTAATTCAGCCATACCGGCATTGCCGTCCTCTTGATCTTGATTTAGAAGCTGAAGAAAGGTTACTGCTTGGTTTTTATATACGTCGTAGGCGCAAAAAGGACTAGACAACTAAAAAGGCTAAAACTAAACACTAAACACCTTCCGATTCCGTTAGATCAGAGACACTAAGAAACAGGTTACAAATGCGCGCCCCTCTTCACCCTTGTCAAGTTTCAGGCCCCATAGGAGGCAGTATTATCTTCTCAACTTGGTCTTCAATTTTACCTAAAAACTACTACACAATGACGCGTAAATACCCACCAGGCTTTGCCCCAGTTGTGCCTTATAGTGTGTACTTTCCTGGATTTTATCTTCGTGAAACTTGAGATTTCAACCTCCTATCCAAGGTTCCGATTCAAGGCCAATCAAATATGGCAATTGAAGAGACCAATCCTGGCTATGGTCAGGAACATGATTCCAAAGATGAATCAAAAGTCTTAGCAACAGGTAGTGACTCTTCATACTCCTCTTCATTGGAGCATCGTCGAGGATACGTCGGGAACGATGCTTCTGCATTTGACACTACTGAAGACCCTCGTTACTATAAACCTATCCCCGAATATGAGGGTTTTCATCGCTGGGATCCCGAGTTTGATTGGACCGAGGCAGAAGAGAAGACCATTGTTCGAAAGGTATGGTCTACTTGATATCGCCAATTCGCCGGGGAATCAGTTCCCTATGAAATACTATACTCACTTTATTGCCTCTTTAGATCGACTGGAGAATTTGCACGTTTGCGTGTTTTACCTTTTTCGCCCTTCAATTAGATCGTGGAAACGTGGTTCAAGCAAACTCCGATAACATGCTTGAAGACCTGGGTATGACCACCAATGACTACAACACTGGTCAGACTATTTTCCTTTGCACTTTCCTGGCAGCAGAACTTCCTTCACAGCTACTATCTAAGTGGGTCGGACCGGATCGCTGGATCCCTTGTCAGATGGTTATCTGGAGTATAATCGCGGCCTGTCAAGCATTTATCAAGGGTAAAAGTGGATACTTTGCTTGTAGAGCTATGCTTGGTCTTTTGGAGGGAGGCTTGTAAGTTTACTTAATTTACTTTTGTCTTGCTCTGCTCTCATAGACTGACCTGAACAGCATTCCCGATACGATCCTCTTCCTCTCCTTCTGGTACAAATCAAAGGAACTGCCAATCCGACTGGCTTGGTTTTGGGTTGCATATGAAGCTACTGCGATTGTGAGTGCCTTCCTGGCATTCGGATTCTTGCACATCCATAACTCGAGTGGTGGAGGAGGCTGGCGCTATCTGTTCGCCTTTGAAGGACTTATCACTGGTATAATTGGTATCATTGCTGCCTTCTGGATGCCTGCGTCTCCAACGCAGACCAAGGGTCTTTTCCGTGGCAAAGATGGCTGGTTCAACGAGCACGAGGAAAAGATTATGGTGAATCGGGTCCTCCGCGACGACCCTAGTAAGGGTGGCATGCACAACCGCCAGCCAGTCACTCCTAAGCTCCTCTGGGAGGCGCTGAAGGATTATGATATGTGGATCATCTACCTGATTGGGCTGTCCTGGATGATTCCCAACACTCCTGCCACTAACTACATCAGTCTGGAACTGAAATCTCTTGGATTCACCACTTTCCACACAAATCTCCTTACTATTCCTGCCTATGTCATCTTTATCCTCAACCTGCTCTTCTGGACTTGGATCTCTGAGCGCTTTAACCAACGTCTACTTCTCGGCGTCGTCACCGAAGTATGGGCATTAGTCCTCCTAATTGCTCTCGAGACACTACCTGAGGATAAAAGTGCCTGGGTACGCTGGGTGCTGATTACTCTGCTGATTGGCATGCCCTATATCCACGCAATTATCGTGGCAATTACATCTCGAAACGCTGGCAGCGTCCGCACTAGGACTGTCGCGACAGCACTGTACAACATGGCTGTGCAAGTGAGCAATATCATTGGTGCCAACGTGAGTAACCCACATCTTCCGAGGTTGGAAATGGAAAAATGAACTTCATACTGATTGACTATTAGATCTACCGCACCAACGATAAACCACTGTACCGTACCGGCAACAAGGTTCTGATCGGTATTGCTGCATACAGTTTGGTGTTATTCATTGCGGCCAAAATTTACTACGTCCGGCGAAACAAGTAGGTTCTACCAAAGCACTCTTTTTTGATGAGTATTGTGCTGATAGTTGCTCTCTAGACAAAATGCTGCGATTTGGGACAGTATGAGCAGCGAGGAGAAAACGAGATATGTGGCTGAGAACCCGAATCTTGGAAACAAGAGGTAAGTTGCTCTCAAATAACCTTGAAATTGGGAAATCATGTTCTGACTTTGTCCTGCCCCGCAGAGTTGATTTCCGGTTCTTGCATTAGACTTAGGAGGATATCCAGGCGTTTGATATAAAAAAGAGTGGCTCTGGAAGTTACATAGACATATCAAATAGTATTTTCAATGGGATATTCATTTCATGAACCTTGGAAGATGACCACTGTCCATTGATCACCATGAGAAGTGACCATTACATAGGTAAGGCCACTGACTTAAGTGACTGAACTTATATAACCGACAATCTTGGAAGTGGACCGGTCCATTTATTAGCTATAAAACCCGGGTCCTGGCAGAATGGAAAGTGGGGTGCGAAGTATAAAATTCAAAAAGTACCAAACAAAGTACAAACGAGAAGATTTAGAGTAGGTAGTAGACCACTAAAACCGTTTATTGAACGTAGATCTTAAAATAGGGTTTTTTTTCGAGGTTCAAAGGTACCATATAGAAGAAAATAGAAGAAAAAGTTGATGATTATCATGATAAGGCGACATAAGAAATCTTCGAAGAGAAATAAAAGTGCATCTCTCAATATCACACAAACGAGGAGGTCATAACAAGCATGTCATAATAGGGCCCGAGAGACCTGGGCCAAGACCAAGCCCTTCATAACGAATAAATCATAACGAATAAATCATGGTATAGATCTATTCACCAAGATCCGAAAAGACTCCACAAAGCAAACGAGATTCCACGATATTAATGCATTTCATCAGGAGAGACAATCGCTCAACCTTTCAATTAAACCCAGGTATTAGGAGCGCATTTTTGTTTTCCAGTTCCGATTCGTATTTTTGAGGGACATTATAAGCAGGGAGTGTGGCAGATGTGACAGTTTTTTCCTGGAATGACCCAGATTTCTTGGCCTTGCTTGATGCAATTGGGACACCGGACACCGGGCATCTGTTTAGTTCAAGGTTGTTAGATTAGACTCGCCGTATAAGTACTAAAGTATGAAGTACTCGGTGATATCGGACAAACCTTGTTAATGGTGGGGGAGCTCAAGCATGAGGCGCCATTTGTTCTTGAAGTAGAGATGGAGTGACACATGGCTCAAGTGATATCCAAGGTTGATCGATAGATGTAGATTGTAAAGGCGAATTGAATTGTCTGAAATGGTTCACACGAGGTTGGATATCAGTCCTATTTAAAGACATCAAATAGTTCGAACTCCCAGCAACAAAGTAAAATTAATTACAAGGCAAAAAAAAAAAAAGCGCAACCCTCATCGAACTAAGTCACCCACGGCCCATGGACTCGGAAGTTCCCGTTGTTGGATAGAACCACCGACCGAACCCACCAAACCATCCTTAGAGAGCTTCTCCCTGCTGTCGATCGACTAAAAATCTGCTGCATCACTTTATTGTATGGGCTTTGTTGTTACCGGGATCAGGGGTGACGTGAAGCAACCCCACTGTTTATCGCGCCACTGAGCCCCTTTCCTAATTGGCTGTTTCTTCTGCCCTACGGTCTCTGCTACATCAATACATCAACAACTATTTAGTCAATATTGATATAAATCACTCAGCTTTGACCCGGATCTGAATAGAGGACAAGGGAACCTGGTCTTTTCCACTTCCATCCCATCGGAATGATCAATTTGGACAATCCGTATCAAAGACTCAAAAAACTTCCACAAAGACGAAAAAATGATGTATCGCTCCCCCGAGTCCCCAGAAGCAGATCGCAGATCGGGACCCGCTCGGTCATCCTCGGATTTGGATACGACCAATGTGCTGTATTCTGACAGGACCTGGTTTCGACTCCTCACAAACGTTTGTCCTGTCAGTATGTAGTCGATCGTCCAATGAGACTGGCCATCAGCTATATCGGAGAGGACCTAGGCATGCGACCTTAAACTGTCAGGTCCATCTTCTGTTCCATCTTCGGTCCATGTTGTTGAAACGGCCGAAATATTCAATTGTTCTATCTCTTGAATCTCCGGATACCTTAGTACCTCCAGGATGCCATAATCGCTTTCTGGGGATCTACAATAGTTACCAATGGTATGGGTCTGGCGAGATGGACGGAATCCAGAATCCAAAATCCAGCCCTTTGGCCCCCCTTTCCCGATTAACTAGAAGGTTTAAAGAACTAGAACAGAGGGGAATGAAGTCTCATGATGCGTCTTTTCCTCGTTCTACCGCTTATCCGAACAATTTTTAGCTATTTCGTAACAGTTGGCCACTCGGAGGGGCCTTGAATCAAATCTGATGTATATCACTTGGCACGGTGATCTATATCCTGATTGGCCAGTGTGGCTGGCAAGATGTGTACTACCGACGACAGGGGTCTGGTTTTCTAGTCATGATCATGGGAGTACGATAGAAATACGGAGGGCACTAACTGGAATTAGCATAGTATACTGTGTAGCGACAACGGAAAAGGTGTTCACCGAAGAGTATCTACGCCCACTAATCGCACTATCCCACCTGTCCAGACTTTTAGTCTCTGTGTATACTGTACTAAGTACACCGCAAGATGGAAGTAAATAAGCTGTGGAGCCCCTAGATGGCTCGATGGCGCGCATTATGCAGGAAAACTTACTTGATTGTTTAAAATGGTGTCAAAAATGGAGCCTCGTTCGGGAGAAACGCCCCAAGCCACCAGCCACGCCTTCCTATACACGTTTCTTCCTTCATTTTGTTTTAGACACGGGCTTGAACGGTACTTAGTCACTGGGTCCATGACACAGAAGGATCCATACGACCAAGACTGAGCCGTTTTGACTCTTAGATACGGAGCTCGGAATACTCCTAACGCACATTATTGAATCCACTGTGGATCGTACTGTGGCACTTTGCTGTCAATGTGAAAACATTACCCGCGGATGCCGCGACAACTTCGGAACTCGCTTGATGGCCAGTGCATACGCCGGGTTGCGAGTCCGAAGTCGATCAGCGAGCTGTGCCCTTGTTTGCCTTGTCGTGGCAGGCAAGGTTCGCCATGCTTTCCTGCAGTTCGCCGTGGATCTTTGCAGGGAGTGTCGCACGGGGCACACTGTACAAGCAATACAGTCCTCTTTTTCCTTTTTTTTTCTTTCTATTGTCTTGAGATCTAATAGGCTTGCTTCTGATGCTTGATCGCAGATCACTTTGGCTTGGGCAGCAATATATGCCAGTATCCGGTTGATCGAGGGAGATTTGAAATCACCTAGATCGGGACTCCTGAGTACATAAAACCATTTCTAATGGCATGCATCTGGATTTATTCTCGCAACTACTCCTGTGATCATACTGCTTATGTATAGATGAGACTAAACAATTATGCACGATGCCGCAATTTATGATGTCAAGGTTGCTTGTATTCTAGTGGAACTAGTCTATTCTGTTTTCAAAGAGACGGAGCTTGGGATGTTTGCTACTATCAATATTCTGTCGGTGATCTTTCCGAAGCTATAATGACTGACTCATGAGATACCCTTGAGGTATAATATTTAGTATTAAATCCTTTGCTGTTCCAGTTTATCGCTTGCTCAGGAAATACGCTTTGTGACATGAACCAATAAAACTCCCCCTGCTTTTGCTCCAGTACGATCACGAAGATGGAGGAGTCGATATCCTTCTCGTAACCGGTCAAGCCGAATACACGCCCACGCAGCCAAGGAATCACGACCTATCTCCTCATCCTTAATTTTGAGCCTGTTAACCAACGTCAGCTTATGAAATTCATCTGATCGAGTAATGCGGGACAGAACGGCTCATCATGCGGTGCAACATGTATATCTCAATGTGCCGTTATTTGGTGCTTTCGACAGGTTTAGATGCAATGTGCACACCCCGCATTGACGTCGGACGAGATCATGCAAGGTATCCTGCAGAGAGCTTGAATGGAAAAAAAAGGGAAAAAACATACCGAACGAAACTCAACTCTTCTATCACTCCAGCCACAGTCGGGAACTCTAGCTTTTGCCCCTTGAAATCAGGGTTCGTGCCCGCTGACTTTTTCGTGCAACGCCTGTAACTGCTTTTTTCCTCGTCGGAACTTGCGTCGTCACGTCCAGTCGCAACTGGACTGTCTGGCTCCTCGACATGCAGCTGACAGTTGACATAGGGATTAAACCATTTCCCATGATCGCCTTGTGGCAGTGACAAATCTTGTGCAGCGAAAATCTCAATTGTCAAATCAAGTGACCTACGAGCAATGATGTCTGAGGAGGACTCGGAGCTTCGGTAGCCTGGAGGCTTGAGTTCCCAACCCGGTGTGTCGCAGAACATGCCCTCATTCAGCATCATGCCTTTGTCGAACTTTTGCCAATTCAACGCTACGATCTGCGCACCTCTGCGCCAGAAGAAAGATGGGTCAAGATTAGAGGATGTGACGCGGAATGCGTAGGGAAAAATCCGCATCATTGATACACGGTTATGTTCGAATAACGCCGCGCGTTGATTCTCATGGGCCTCGCGAGCTGCATTTTCAGATAGTGAAAATATGTGCACTGGGATTTTTGCCTCTGTGCAATTGTTAGTATTCGCCATCAAATCTCTGGCCTCGGGGAACGTTACCTGGTTGTTCGAACTGACTAAAATGATACGCTTGAGTGTATACCGCCATTTGGGCCAGGGCTTCGAGAACCTTGGAAGGCTTAGCTGGTTTTTGAGTTTCGTCCTCAGCAAGCTGAGTACTGGCGACATTTTCTGTGAGTTCAGGGGCATTGGTTTTTGGAACTTCGGGCTTTTCCACCGTTCCAGGAAGAGGCAGTGATTTCGTCTTGACCAGGATTTTCCTTCTCAACTGTCCCAGTGTTGGCAATTCATTAACCTGACCCTCCGGAACCTCAACAAGCAGCCCCTTCCAAATATCTTTCATGATATCAACCATCATTTGCTGCTGCTCTAAGCAAGCATGAATTTCTAGGCTGACGATAACGGGTAGATCACTCACCACAAAGGCACTATCACGAATAGCATGGCAAATCTCGCGGAAGGTAGTGCCTTTGGTCAATGTATATCCATGCAGAACGCGAGGCTCCACCAGTTTGAGCTGCTGGTTCGAAGCAGAATTGGCAGTACGATTCTCATTCCGGGTGGCTTCGCGGCGCTGCAACGCCTCTTCCAACCTAGAAGAAACAGCATGCTTCAATCCCGCACCAGAACTTGCTTCGGAGTGGAGTTTGGACTTGAGTTTTCCTTTGACCTTGCTTTTCAAGCTTCCACTTTTTTCTTTGGCATCATCACTAGATGATTCTGAATCGCTAGAATCTGAGTCTTCAGTTTCTCCATCCCAAACATCAATCTCGACAGAACGGCAGCCCCGCAGTAATACCTTGGACATCATTAACAGCTCGCTCAGCAGACATATCACTAGAAGAATACTCACCGACGTATATGCACTAGCAGCAGCATCACTATACAGTTGATTACCCGTCAAATAAGTGTTGTGACTGGACGAAATGTAATAATCCGAGATGGGCGCTGAGACATCCAGCTGCTTGGCTGGTGCTTGGGCACACGAAGCCGCATCTTTCATGTAAGCACGGAATGCATCCAGCGAAACCAGAGGATCTGTAGTTGGAAGGACATCGGCAGTTTTTAAAAACTCCGCTTTTTTGTCTGGAGACTTTGTGAGAGATTCGTAGATATTTTGGAGGTGTGAATCAAGCGTTGCGTGGAATTTATCCACTGGGTTCAACGATATATGACGTGCCCGATCCACAAGACTTTCAACTGTATTCATTTTTGGATGTTATTGCAGTGTCGATTTATCCAAGTTATTAGATTTTGTCAACTCGAAAAAGTGACGAGTACAAGGCGATTTTCGGATGTTTGTGCTGCAGTGGGGTATTCTGCGGTGTAGGTATGTACCACCGTGCTTCTCACTGCACGAGTCCAATTGGCGAATAAATTGATAAGAAGTATGAGGATTTATGTATAGATGATCGGAGTTTTAGAAAATCGAGATATAAGATTGAAAGCGAAGTATTAAAGGAGTGCAGGCAACAAAGTTTCATTAAGCTCACACGTGAGATATTATCCACTTTATGCTTGCGTGGCGCCAATGAGTTTTGCGTGTTTTGGTCTATTATTATCTACCTCTAAATCGTACATCAAAACACACTGGAGATGTAGTGCATTAATAGCTACACAACAATGGCTATTTGAATTCATTTCTTATGTATATTACAGAATCTATCAATTATAATATACAGAGGATCTACCATATTCACGTTTTTCCAAGAGCTACTAGAGGTGGTGATGGATGTAATATCTTTGGGACGGGGACTTTGCACTGTGGATGGAGATAGTGGCAAAGGGAGCCAGAGAGCAAAAGTCCTTCGCATAGAGGGTGCACTGGTCCATTTTCAAAATTCTTTAGAGAAAATGAAGAATCTCCGTATATCCATAAAGGTAGATACCCGTGGACCTGGGCTGCCGAGGCTGCCGAGGGAGAGAGAGAGAGGTGTAGTAGAGAGGCAGGAAGAGGAATCGAAACTTTAGCTAATGACTAGAATCAGTATTAGTATGGGTATTCAAGAGCGTAGTTCTATTCTCGTTGGGATGAGGAGAAAGACAGTGAAAGATGAGATGAGAGTGAAGAGAGTACACTTCGGCACAACCTGAAGCCGTCAAGAAGCTTGGAGCCTATGCTATTTTCGACTACAGGGTAAGCGGTGTCACCTACCAGATTTTTGGTGCCGTGAAGAAGGATGGTGTTAGCCGCACACAGCACACACTGCGTTGTTGATGGAGCTCTGCAGCCAACATTGGATATCCTCAAGGAGACCAAGGGCGATGCACACACCAAGGTTGCACACTCACCCCTTCTGAAGGTCAACCTATCCTCGGTAACACGCAGATCACTTTCAACTTCCCATTTATGGATGAGACTGCGAAAAGCAAGCTCATTGGATCAACTTTGCTGATGTTTATGAGTACCATATGAACGAAGAATGCCAACATATAACTAGGCAGGTTATCTTCAAATGATCCAAAGTTGGTAGAGGGACTTCTAAGTCACTCTCTAGTAGTCTGAGAGAGGAAGATTGATTGGTATAAACTCAGCGAGAGTATCCTATAGTATCCTACACTCTAGGGCTATGTACTCAAGGTTAGTTATATGCTCTACTTAGGCAGCCTAACTGCTAATTCAACATTCTGTTTAACTAACAGTACAAAGTAAATATCATCGAAGGATTCCTTCAAGGTGACTCATTCTTTGCTGAGAAATCAAGACTCCACCTCATAAGAACCGCTTCCCCGCAACATTTCAAATATTCACTCTTCTTATGTTCACAAAATACTTTAGATACAGTTGCATTGACTCCTGCATCAAAATGGCCAATTCAGAACCCGTCCATTTCTTCGACATCGCCTCTATCCTGCCAGGTCGGTTTACAAAAGTAGAACAGAATGTCATAAATACTTACAAGATCTAGGCTCTTCAAAATCATGGTCCCCAAATACCCTCAAGGTCCGCGCAGCACTTAACTTCAAGGGTATCCCCTACACCCAAAGCTTCATTTCATACCCCGATATCGCCCCGCTGCTCGAGAGCCTCGACGTCGAACCCAACAAAATCGGTACTCCGTACACCCTCCCCGCGATTATTCACAAGAGCTCCATATCCTCCAACCCGCATGGCGCAATGATAGACTCTCTCCCGATAGTCCTGCACCTAGACAAAGTGTTTCCGACCACGTCGCTCTTCCCCTCCGGTGACGCCAGCTACGCCCTCGCGCTAGCCGTCAACAGGATTATAAGTGTTGAGATGCGTGGGTTTTATGTCAAGTACATTATCCCGAACATTGCAGACAAACTGGACCCGCGCGGACATGAATATTTCGTGCGGACACGCACTGAGTCTTTTGGAAAGCCATTGGCTGAGATGCGGCCGACCGATCCTAAAGTTGTGGCGGAGGAATGGAAGGCTTTTGAGGCTGGTTTAAAGCCCGTGTTGGAGATACTTCGCGGCCGCGAGGGAAAGAAGGGTCCTTTCTTTGAGGGTGATAAGGCAGGATATGCGGATCTGATTTTGGCGTGCCACTTTGCGTGGTTCGATCGTGCTGATCCGGAACTGTTCAAGAAGTTTATCGGGTATGCTGTTGAGTTTCAGGTGCTTTGGGACGCCTGCCGGCCGTGGTTGGAGGGACAGGGTGAGGAGAAGGAGTGGCCGATTCCTGGGCAGACCAATTAATTGTTATCTGCCAATTATCAGCTAGTCATAATTTGTCTGTAGTTAAAGTGACCGTGGATTATGTAGATCTTATCAAGTAGCATTTCAATATATAGGACAATGGAGAAAAAAACAAATCGACGTAATAATACATGCCGGAAGCCCGAAGAGGCCATTTATCCGATATTCAGTATTGGGGTCTGGGCCAATTGACCACAAAAATAACAGCCCAAGGAATTTACAGACCGCGCAGGAAGTTGGCTTCCTTGATAGATTTCCGCCGAGCTTGGCGGGCACTCTTGATAACCTCTTCACGCTTTTCGAATCCCGCAGCAGCCTCGGCCAGTGCGTCCTCTGGGAGTACGTCGCGGTTATACGAAGCAGGTGTAATATCGTCAGCGTGGTGGTGGGCAGGGATCGTTGGTGCAACATGGCCAGTACGAGCAGCCAGCTTTTTCTCGTAGCGCTTCCGTTGCTTTTTGTTCAGTGCTGTGATATAAAGTTAGACCTGGAAGATAGCGCAAAAGGGAGATCGAGGTTGAAACATACTGCTCACGTCGACACCACCATTGTCAGACTTGGACTGCTTGCTTGGATCGGCCAAAAGATCCCATAGCCAATCTGGGTACTCCGAGTCTTCCTTGGCGAAGACGTCTGGCTTGTTTTTGAAATAGTTCAAACCGTTCATCTTGGTTCCGGCCGGACAGCTACTTGGTGGACGCTCAATGACAGGTTTGGAGGGAGCAGCAGGCTTTGCATCAGTGTGAATGCCTTCAGGTGTGCTCAAGGGCTGAGAAACGCCGGGGGTGGCGGAGGAGATGGCGGATGGAGTTGACTTATCACCAGCGGTCGGTTGGCGTGGTGCAGAGGGAGGAGGAGGAATAATGTCACTGTATGATCGCAATTGAGGACGGGCAATTGGCAGTTGGCGCACAGCTGCTGTAGTCCAGGTCATCGACTGTTGTTGGTTTAGCCGGGCTAGCATGCCTGTTCGGCAGCTTCTGCAGATCATAATGGGCGGAGTGGTGTATTTTTGGCAATTGATTTGTATCAAGAGTTTTATCCCACACAGGCCTTAAAGTCTTGGTGGACCCGGTGATATAATAGCTAATTTGCTGTCGCAAGACACGAGACAAAAAACTGCGGAATGGAATGCCAAGACAGAACCACATCACGTGATATAGATAACTAATGCTAAAACATTAGCAGTGCCAAGAGCGCACCTAAACACGGGAAAGTGTTTAGATGTGCCTCACCGTAACCGCCAATTCTGAACACCACCCTATTCAAAGCAATATCCTCCATCCACCATGCCTAGAATCGACGAATCTACAAAAACCAGTTAATAAGTCTTTGAATGATGTCCAGGAGGAAGATTTAGTACGCTGGATCATTCAGTTAAATAATTGGAGCATGCCGCCAACACCAAAGCTAATTGAGGCATGGGCAAATCGCTTGCTTGGAGATGCTAGCCCTGTTGGTCCGATGTGGGTATATCACTTCATGAAGCGTCTTCCTGAAGAGCTAAAACTAGCTCTTAAGAAGCAGAATATCAAGGAATTAAAGCGAATTAAGGCTGAAGATCCAGCTAAGCTAGGTCATTATTATGATCTACTTGAATGCGTCCTTCGCAGTGTGCCTTCGCGGTTGATCTATAACTTTGATGAGTGTGGTTTTCGACCTGTTGAAGGTAGAAATCAGAAGGCGGTTAGTAGAGGAAATGTTCCTGATCTTGCTGAGACTGAAAGAGGTGAAAATATCACTGCTGTTGAGTGTATTGCTGCTGATGGTTGGGTAATGGATCCGCTTTTTATCTTTAAAGGCACTGACTTTAAGGAGTCTTGGTTTTATGAAGATCTACCACCAAATATAATGGTTGGGGTGTACCTGAATGGCTGGATATCTGATAAATTAGCTATTGATTGGCTAGATTCCTTTATTAAGGCTACTAATACACCTGATCGACTAAAGAAAGGTATATTTTACTCTTATCCTTACTCTTATTCTTTACATATAGGAGAGAAGCGTGTCCTTATCTTTGATGACTATAGCTCGCATTTTACTCTTGAATTCCTACAAAAATGTGAAGATCATGAGATCATACCTTTTGGTTTCTTGCCATATTCGACGCATCTTTGCCAACCCCACTTGATGAGAAGCCGTTTTTAGCCTACAAACAACATTTTAGAAGGCATAATAATGATATCTCTTACTGGACTGGCGCGGCTATGGCGGAGTCTGAGTTTTTAAGGGTAATCTACCTGTTGGAACGAATATCAGCTGACATACCAAGATCATGTGATCTTGGCATGGCAGCTACTATATCTTCTTTCATCTGAGCATTTTAGAATGACACTTCACTTTTACCCAATATGCATACACCTATTATATACGTACAGAAACGATATCAATAGCTGTCTGCTTCGGTAATAACCTAGTCAACCGACACTACCCTATACGACAGAAAACCTTTGTTCCACGAATCATTCGAGATGCTTTTTGTAAGGGGACTTGTACGCATCTAACGATGAAGGTAGGTCTCGATGAATATCATTGAATTACTTGAGGAACTAAGTGAGGTGGGGAATATGGATTCCTATATACGGGTCCCCTCCACCGCCTTCTCCTTCTGCCCTTCTCCTTCTGCCCTTCTCTTCTGATGCGGGTACAACCCGCTGACACTTTTAAAGAGCGCGGAATCTATCCCTATGGATAGTAAAAAAATATTATATAAGCTTCCTAACACATAAGATATGTTACCTGATTTTGTTGTTACTGAAGGTGGCCTTGCTAAACACCATGACGATCGGACACCAACTCTGCCACTATTATCGTCTAGTGTTGAAAATACTCCGAAACCCGCGATGAAGTTTCAGATGAACCAAGAGAAGCTACTTAATAAGGATCTTTAGACGCTAAAGCATCAAACAGACATTATACGTATCTTCCATCATTCTAAATTACTCTATGAAGAGCTTAAATTGTATAAAGATGCATTTCAGCAGGCTAGGGCTGCGCAAGAACCACTCCGTCGCCCAAAAAGTGAACGACAGATTCCACCGCTTCAGGATACTGGTATATTGACTATACATGATGCAAATCGCTCAATTATAGCCAGGAAAGCAGACGAATATGCTGCAAAACAGAAGAAGCAGACAAAAGAGAAGAAAAAACAGGTTCAGGAGCAGGAAGATAGACCAAGATCCTTTGGCACTGCTATCAATTTTCTATTTTAATTTTGGATTTCGGAAATAAAAACAAAAAACTAGACACGATCTGAATCTACAGCCATGAGTCCTACCTTGAAGTTTGTGTGGACCTTAGCTTCCCTCCAAGGCTACAAGGGTGGAAATACCCACTACGTATTTGCACTTAAATCATGCACAGCTACCTTTAATATCATTCAATGTTGCCCAGATCTTCAATTACCCAGGTAATTATATGCCAGTCTTACCTAACTATCTAGATTAAAAGATACCTATGATTCTGTCATATCATACCACTTCTAAGATTTGAGATTCATCCCGAGACAGGGCTACTCCGATGTAAACCGTACCTATATAAGGAGAGGTATGTAGGTATGTTCTTACCTTGGAACCTGCCCATGTGGGCATTCAGGTCTTCCCAGGTTCGAGTAATTGAGATTATCTGTAATGAGTATTCTACATTGCTCGTATCAGAATCCTTTCCATGTACCTTTATCTGAACCTTTTCCCCTAGATAAATACACAGCTATAATAGCAGTAGAAATCATATTACAAGTTCAAAGTTACAAAGAGGTACTGGTAAAGGTGGGCAGTATCTCAATTAGGGTATATGTCGGAACGGTGACGTTCTTACGGTGCATATGCAACTAGTATTCTTGATGGAATAGATCTAGGTGCGTCGATGCGAAGTTGTAAGATGTGTGTTATTCAATCTTATCCTCGCTGTAACTAAATAGACAAAACTCGCTAGATTCACTTCATGTCGAACCAACAGCATCGGAACCATTGGTCCTGTGCCCCACTTTGGTCTAGTGGTATCGACAGTATATTATCCCATGCTTGGGCCAACAATCTATAACTAGGACAACGAATAAGATCTACAGATAAGATTAACATGGCCCCTGCATATAAGGATGACGCGTTCATTCAAAGAGAAGCTATTCTTTTTTCTTTCTCTTCATTAAAAGGCCAGGCCAGGATGGAAGTTGCTGTTTTTGCGAAAATTGGTTGTTACTACTGGTTGTACGAGTCATCGCTCTCGCAGCCGGCATGATCTTTCTCTCCCCTGTTCCTATTTTTCTCGTTTTTGAATGAAATTGTTCAAGGGTTGCTTTCAAACATTGCAAGCACTTTCAGAACTACTTATATACCTACCTAAGTATGTATTCGAGCTAATTCTACACGTATATAGTTTACTAGTATCTAGGTAGTCACGAAGTTCCAAGTTTTCAATTGCATTCAGACTCATATATCCCAAGGTTGATGCCCGTGTCGGAGTCTTAAAACCAAAGTTAGGCCCAGGCTATATTCCAACATTGATACCAAGGTTCTTTTGATTTCGAAAGGCCGGCCGGGCCCTCGACCTACGTCCAGTGGTATCTTGGCTATCAATCTTGGGAGCTTTGAAGGTACCTTAGGGTCGGTAGCAAGTGGCAAGTGGCAAGTAGCGCACCATTGACGTACATGGCCACCTGCCGGGGTGGACAGTTTGAAGACCTAAGGACTAACTATTGGAAATAATAGTAGCTGGACAATGTAAGTGCTTTAATAGAATTGATGAAAAAGTGAACTTTTGTTTCATTTATCCCAATGGAGACATCATAAGTAAACCGGACGAACCAACAGCAATTTATCCCGGCAAACCATGTATTTCCAGTCCCAAACGCGATTCAAAACAAAACAGAAAGAGTAAATACAATCTAAATCTTCGATTTCACCCGAGAAGAAGTAATTAAAGCCGCTCAAGTGGCATAGGTATCAAAAATAAACGATGAAAACAAAATGAAAATGAGATCGTCTTACGTAGAAAGGCCACTGACTACCAAAAAGTTGCATATATCCTCGCAAGCATTTTTGAGTGACTTGACAGTCTTCCAGTTCAGCTCTTCCCTTGACCGATCGGCAACAGCGACGCATGAGCCAACATCTCCAGCACGGCGGTCTGCGGCCTTGCGGGGAATAGACTTATTTATCACAGCTTCCATGGTGTTGACGACATCCAAGACAGAATTGCCAGATCCAGTGCCCAAGTTGAAGGTACGGAAGTTTTCGATCAGCTTTCCTTCGACGGCAGTGTTCAGGGCGGCAATGTGACCACATGCGAGATCAGTGACGTGGATGTAATCCCGGACAGCGGTTCCGTCCTCGGTTTCCCAGTCTGAGCCAAACATCTGCAGCTCGGCGTACTGGCCAGTCATGACCTTGACGACGACTGGGAGCAAGTTGGTGGGAATTTGTCTTGGGTCCTCGCCGAGGAGACCAGAGGTATCACATCCGACAGGGTTGAAATAACGAAGAGCAACAACTGTCCATTCTGGATCTGAGGCAGCAAGATCTGCCAGAATGGTCTCACACATCCATTTTGTGCGGCCGTAGGGGTTGGTGATACCAGTGCAGCCGGGCTGCAATGTCTGGATATCGCCGGTGGCATTGGTATATTTTTCTTCCCTATGCACACATAGCTCCTCTTTCAATGGGAGACCACTGTTTGCAAGTGTGCCATAGACGGTAGCAGAGGAAGAGAAGATAAAAGTCTTGATGCCAAATTCGCCAAGAATTGAGGCAAAGTCGATCAAGCCGCTGACGTTGTTTGAGTAATACTTGAGTGGACTCTTGATGCTCTCCTCAACTGCCTTATATGCAGCAAAGTGAATAACACCGGCAATCTTTGACTTGGGAATGTTCCATCGTGTTTGAACTCGGTACTCTTCAAGAAGAGGCCGGAGGGCAGCTGTGTCTCTATAGTCGTGTGCATGTAATCTGAGATCGGGCATCTTAGTGCCATTCTCATTGTGGTATTTATGTGCCAGAGTAGTGATGCGGTCGAAGACGTTTTCGAAAGCATTGCTGAGGTTGTCGACCACAACGACATTGTAATTCGCCTTGAGCAATTCAAGGGTTGTGTGACTGCCGATGAAGCCAAGGCCACCGGTGACAAGGATATAAGAGCTCTCGACAGGGAACCGCAGCAGTTCGTCTAGGTTCTCCAGCGAGACTGAGTTGACTGTGGCTGGAGTGTCAACAAAGTTGGACTCGCTCTCCGCCGGTGTGCTTGCATCTGAATGATGAGGGCTATGCATGTTGATAAAGTTTAGACGGAATGAATGTCCGTATAAAGATATGTGATGATGAACTTCCAAGGCTGAAGCCAAGATTTTATAGTTCGAAGAAAGGTAAAATGAACAACCTTGCCTTAGTGGAAAGGAACTTTGGAAGTATAGATTGTAATGATGGTTGAAAAAGCTTTTGGAGGCTACAGAAGATCGAAGCAGAAGCTATATAGTAGTCTGCGGCAAATGGGTGGTCGCCTCGTCGCCTCTCAAAACAGAGGACTCGTTTGAGTTCCAAGGTTCTAGGTTTTAGCTTGATAAAATGGGGACAAGCCCACTCCTGGAAAAACTGGATCCTCTGGGGAGGAAGCAGATGCCAATTGCAAATAAAAAAATAAAAAAAAATAGAGAGGATCGAGGGTCCCAAGGAATCCACAGGCTAAAGAACTGTTGGGTAGGACTCTCATGGCAGTGGGTCGGCGCCACTGGATGTGCCTTTGGGTCTGGCCATGTCTAGGTATTTTTATTTCATTTTTTTAAAATCAATATGCATTGAACATTGTGTCATATGTAAGTCTCATCTAAGAAGATCGATATACTATCTGTATACTTAGGTTGACCCACCCTTTTCCTATTTGACTTTGGTACCTAGTTTACCATGATGGAAAAATGGTACCATGGTACAAATTTTCCTATAATTAATCCATTTATATGCCCAAATAGGAATGAGCTTAGTTTTTGTACTTGAAAAAAACGCCAGCCGCCTTTTTATTTCAGATTTTACTCTAGGCACGGAGTGAACCCACAATGGAGGAAAGTAAACAACACGTGAGCTGCCTTCGCTCTCGGACTCGAGTCTTCCTTTTGGCTCTAGGCACATTCATCATCGTCTGCGCCGCTGTGATCCCTGCTGCTGTTGTCACAACACTACACAAAAAGCACAACATGGGCCCAAAATCAAAGGTCTTCATTCCGCTCTACGTGTACCCCGATCCTGGAGCCTGGAGCCCTCTAGAAAAAGTGTATGTTCTCCCATTTCAATCCAGCCCAGATCGTGCTATTCCCGCAGGCTCTCCACATACAATGATTTGAGCCAGTTGCATGTCAACCATTTCCAAGGCCATGGTCTTCCTAAAAATAAACTTCTTAACCCCTCCTTTACTGCAAATTTATGATAAGACCATTACTGAGTCTCAAACAGGATCTCTGCTCACCCCCATGTGAACTTTACGGTTGTAATCAACCCAGGAAATGGGCCGGGGCCTGACGCATTGCCTGATGCTAATTATACCCGTGAAGTTCCCATTCTCGCGTCGTACGCTAATGTACGGCTTTTGGGGTACGTTCATACGACTTATGCCACTCGTAATATATCCCTGCTCCATAGAGATATTGAGACATATGCGGCTTGGCCTACCAAGTCTTCCAACCCCAACCTGGCTGTCCGGGGTATATTCTTCGACGAAACACCTCAGGCGTACAGTGATCATGCGTTGGATTATTTGCAAAATCTGACTGAACTGACCAAGGGTCTAAACGGGCTTGGTTCGGATCCATTTGTAAGTTATCATCCTTGCTTGTTCTTGGTTTATTTTCACAGCTATGACACAACATACCCCTGTCATTGCTATCCATCTTATCAATTCCCCTTCCAGCATGGATGTGCGGCTGGAAATATCTCTGGTTGCATGGTTCGGTTCTAAACTTCAGTATTATTCAAACCCCTCGGAGACTTGTTACCCAAATGGGATTCCCAAGCGACTATTTCCAACCACTAACAAATCACAGATTGTGCACAACCCTGGTGCTGTACCTGACTCCCGGTACCTCACATCAGCAGATTCAACAGTCGTCTTCGAAGGTACATACAGCACCTTCCAAGAAAGGCTCGGGGCAAAAATATTCACGGCGATCCCCGACAGTAATCGCACCGAGTTATGCGCAGTCCTACATTCCATCCCTAGCGATGTGACTGGATCTCAGCTGCGCAGCTTAGTAAAGCAGGTCCGCGGAGTATCTGATGAGATTTTCATGACACATCTCAGTGATGATTACTATGCTAGCTTTGGGCCACAGTGGGCTGAGTTTGTTGATCAGATGGCGGCTTGATGGATCGAATACTAGGGCTTATGGAATTTATGCCAATGTTGTATGCATTTTATATTCATTGTATATATCGTTTCAAGCATCAGCGAATTGATATTATATTATTGGTCAATGATCTCAGTTTAATTGATCAGTCAAGCTTCTTTTCCCATTTGGCTGGACTTGATCTACCAGGGCATAAAACAGTGAAAATTTTTCACCGCTAGATTCCGTCGTAACTATGATCATCGAAAACACACTAAAAAAGGCTTGTGATAGATGCCACGCAGTAACGGAGTCGTTCGGACATAGTGGAGAACCATGGAACCCTGAAAATAAACCTACTAATTAGGAAAATAACCAGTAATTTTCAATTCCTAGCGTAGTATTTGTGACACTAGTGGTTCCAGGAACAATAGAATCCCAGAATCCCATTACTATGCATCTCATCGATTCCCCTTCCAGCACGAGCGATCGATCGACCCACGATTTGGATACGAATCTATACTTGGAGCACCTTCCTTCTCTGGGTACAGAGTTTTTGGTGTTATTCGGAAATAAACCGGTTTAAATGGCGATTATATCATTTCCACCGAGGTGCATAACCTTGGAAACCTGATGTATAATACTATCCAGGTGGTGTTTCTCGTTGCGTCAATTATGGTCCAAATTCTGCGAATGGTACCAGTTCTGACAGCATATGACAGTGAGACATAGGCTGGAAAGGTGGGTTCTATTTTCAGACAACCTGTAGTAAGAGCGCAAGCGCGTTTGAAGTTGAAACAGCGGAGGGATTAAAGTGTTTTCTGTAGGCTTGGCGTTTGGAGTACGGGGGATAGCGAGAATAAGGTACCAAGTGAAACAGACGGAATTATTTTCAAAATAAACACTCAGGTTACGGTCCGTCCCTGGATAAATAAACTCTAACGTTACTAGCTTAGAATATATTACATACGATGATACAGTATTACCTGCAAAATAATGGTTTTTTTCTCGACCCACACTTCGGAGAGTTATGGCTGTCGCTATTACTTACTCAAGCTAACTTTTGAGTTAATAGATAGTATCCATACTACTCCGTACCTTGGTACGGACAGCTCTATTCGACCTGTATTTATAGATTAGGATTGAAGCCATAGCCATTTTTGAGAAGCTGTGGACAAATATTTACCGGTGACGTGGTTAAGGTACAACGTCCGAAGTTTGAGAAAGACTATAGTTCCCACATGGCGCAAACCATGTTCTGTGCAGATATCAGGGAAAAAAACTCGAGTCTATTCCACTTCTAGCTTCCCAAATGGTTTGTTGCAAAGCGTGGAAGCATTGCAAATTGGACATGTGTGAATACGTTCGCTAGAACAGGGCTGTTTCATAGGTACACTACAAAGTAAACATATATCTTGCGTGTAATAGTCAATTCTCTCCATTATAGATTAAATTTAAGTTATAGTTATAGTCGTAAACTGATATTAGGAGAAGAGTTGAGAGGAGAGCTGCTTAGTGATCGTGGCGAAGTACCCATATGGTTCACCCGAGATCTGCCCGAGAGCCTCATAGATCCTAGCGCTCGATCTGAGATCTCAATTTTGATCTTTTGCTTTTTTTTTTTACATGGGTGTGTGGGTCTTCAGGATCCAGATCCATGAATGTATCCACGATGCTGAATCTGGCTATTACTCCTGAAGTGGCGTTTTCTTATTGCCGATCCTTCCTAATAGTGATGCAGTTTGGATAGCCTGTCTGGGGTAAAAGTCATATTATGGATTCAGTCACGACAACTTCACGCTATTAAAGTCTATACCCAGTAGCTGCAGAACTAAAACCCGAAGTCTGGTACATTCCTCCGCTAAGATTCTTTGAATAGCTGGATGATCGATCGATCGAATAGTATATTTGACCATATATCATAAACCAACTAGTCGTTCTTTTGAGTTGAAAATTACGGACATTACAACTCTATATAGTGTCAATACCTAGGCACAGCCTGGCCGGACCTTTGACCAAGGATAACGGCTAAATATACTAAAGTAGTTATCTGGCACGCCAATGTTTGAAAGGACTATTTTAGCGATGCTACGGAGTAAGTTCTCATAGAGTCTACGGGCCCGCAGAATCTTACTCCTAGCAAGTATTGCCTCAACTTAAGGGTGTACGGGCTAGACACGGACTTTGCGTTTGTTTCTACACTTGGCATCTATATTTACACAGGCAGAATGGATCTGGACCCTGAAGCCCTTGACGGTAATTTGCCTCCACATATTCGCCTGGGTATGACACCTGTTGATCACTTCGGGATGCTCGAAGTCTTTGGTAATAGCTCTGTCTGAGGTAAAGTCAGTGCTGTATACGAAGCCGACTAAAGTCTAGAGGAACGTCTGGAGCAAAGCCCACGTGATTGAACATTGGAACTCTCCCAAGGTTGGGCCGTGGCGAGCTAGTAGACTTTCAATCAGATTTATTGAACTACGCACACACTACGTAAATAGTTACGATGGATGAAAGGCAAGGAATTGTGGAATCTTAAATTTTGAAATAATCATGACACAATTTGAAAGTGATGATAATAGTACAAATGAACGTAGGCTAACAGTGGGTAAATGAAATTAACAGTATTCCACCCAGACATCAAGGTCCATGTTCTTGATCACAGTGGAAAAATCAGTTGAGCTGGCAGCATTGCAGGCGGAGTTCTTTTCACTCGTCGTGACGGAATCATCGTTGTTGGTGCTGTCACCCTTGGGGTACTCAATGTGGAACACGGGTTTTCCAGCGTCAGTAAAGGCAGCATAAGTGTCGCACTCATTATATTCGGCGCACTGTTCGTTGACAGACCATTGCATGTTATCAATGACAGAATCGATGATGTCTCCACCGTTTTTAAGTCCAACAGAGAGACCACGGCTATGCGCCTGACCAGCGAGCCAGTTGACATAGTTGATAGCATCATCTTCAGTCAATTTCAAGCCATTTGTGTTGTCATAGCCATCGATATTGTCAGGATCAACGCCGTCGCAACCCTTGGTGACAGCCAGATCAAGGCGTGTTTGCATGATTTTGCGAACATTTGCCGAATTGGTGTTGAGCCACTTCTCGCCTGGCCAGTCATCGAGGTTATCGCCCAAGTCGGACTTGCTGAAATTTCCAGCATCCTCGCGCCATTGTTCGTAGGTTCCAGCAGAGAAATAGCAGATTACTTTGCGGCCGAGTGTTTGCAGTTCAGAGATCATAGACTTGGGGTTATCGAACAGGTCGATGTCGTAGACGTGCGCATCGACTGATGTGTCATTCAGAGGGTAGAGCAGCTCAATCTGCCATTTCACTCCAGCAGCCGGTTGCCATTTAACAGTTGTGTTTGTACTGGTAGTTCCGTTTCCAGTGTCGGTGCCGTTCCCACTGCTGCCGCTGCCACTGTCATCGTCATCGTTGCCGTGATTTAGGCCAACACCCAGACCAGCTCCAAGTCCGACACCGAGTGCAACAATAATAAAAGTGATACCACCGAAGATAAGTATCTTCTTACTGGTGGACCAGGCGAAACAACCGCCTCGCTTAGACATGTTGGTGTAATTTTGACTTGAGAAAGAGAGACGATTTTGCCCAGGAGAAGGCATTCAATATAATAAAATAAATAGAAAAGAGTGGGTCAGCTGTAATGCATATTATATCAAGAATTCGGGAAAAATATTGGGGAAAGAGTGAAGAAAAAGGCAGTTAGGCCCTTTTAAGCTTAAAGAAAGTTTCTTGGGAAGGGAAAATGGGTGGGCTGAAACTGTGGCTAAGCCCTTTAGGCAGTCACTATAACTACCGCCGGATGTCACCCTGCAGCTTGTTCTTGTGAGGATTGACAATGTGGCCGGCAATTAGACTCGAGGTATATATAATTGAACACAAGCAAAAAGATAAAAAGAGAGAAAATGGCAACATTCAGAAAAATGGGGAAAAGAGACAATTGGCTGACAAAGAGCCCAGTTGGGGAATATCATTGGCTGAAACTTGTGAAAGAGAGGATAAAAGAGAGACATTCCATGGTTATGAGAGGTGGAACCGATTTCTAAGGTTGTTGATCGACTAAGTTTACCACAGAGTAGTAGATCATCCTCTCGTTTTAGTTCTGAATATAAACTTGGCATTTAAGTCAGTCAGATTGATATCAGATGCACAGGTGATCTGAGAGAAAATCGGATATCTTCGGTAAAGTAAACATCAAGACGAACAGAACGATCAAACATGAGAAGTTTTCAATTTGGCTACCATATGACCCCTGTTCGCCAAGAGGGACTTGTTAGCCGAGCCCTGGTTCTGTCCCACTTGTCCGGCTATTCCGATACGCGATATAGAACTACTGATTGTAATGAACTAATGTGTAAGAATAGAAAATGCAACCTCACCTTACAAGCTGCAGGTCAGAAATATATATTATTGAGAACTGAAGAGTTCTTCTAACATCTATAGGTAAAAATAACAGATCAATACAAAACATCAAAACCCCAAAGCTCTCGTGAAATTGTAACAATCATGCACTGAAAAGATCTGGATCTCAATCGGCGCCGAAAGTATTGAAAAATACTTACTGTGTAAGTTACCAGCAGTATCAATGGTATTTCAACCCCACTATAAATTACCTAGCATAAAGTTAAGATTCCTATTTTTCAGGATTTATTACGGAGTAGCATACCGTCGTATGTGCAGTTTCAAGTGGGCGGCTGTGGCGTGTGCCAAGCCTCGCGAAGATTGACCCCGGCTAAAATAAACTAAGAAAAACACAACATTCAAAATTGAGATATAGCTTGGTAAGGATTTCTGGTCAGGAGACCTATATTGCGTATTCGTACTGCATCTCGCGTATAGTCAGCACCATATCATTGGGTAGTACCTCTTGCGCCAGGGCCTCTGGACTGAGACGAAATGTACCATGTTCTCACATACATTTGGTACATTTTAATCTAAGTAGTACTTACTAGCTACTCTGTAGGTACCCAGATACTTAGAGTCTCAGATTGGTTCATCCATAATTAGGGAACCTAGCTAAAGGCGAAACAATTACCCAAGCTTAGAATACGTAATAATTACGGAGTCTGCTAATTGTGCAATGCTACCTTCCTACAGGTCATGCAATGGACCTGCATGAGCACGAGTTACGGCAATTGAGACAATGGATGTATAGAAAATCTCAGCCGTACACACGAGTCATTCAATGCAGGGTACAGCCAGTTGGATAAATTCTATGTCCCTCAAATAACAGATTTGGGTAAATAATAAGAATAGTGCATACTCAAAAATCATTCGAAAATGGATTGAGGTGTCCCGTGGGGTAGGATATATTTTGTGAAAAAAATTATTGGAAGCGTTAGTCAGAGATTCGCTTAAGATGAAACATCCTTCTACAAAGGACATTGTTTATAGAACTGACTTTTCACTCTTCGCTTCAGAAGCAGAATAGGGAAAGGTGAAACATGGGGTGTAGTAGATAGGAAAGGTGCGGTGTGTCGAGTTGTCCCGCGAGGAAATCAAATTATCATGGAGAGGGTTTTGCCCCGAATGGATCAATTATGATATAGAGTAGATAGTAAAAATGATATAGAGTAGTTAGTAAAAATTATATAGAGTGGATAGTAATAATGATATAGAGTATATAGTAATAATGATATAGAATAGATAGTAATAATGATATAGAGTAGATAGTAATAATGATATAGAGTAGATAGTAATAATGATATAGAGTAGATAGTAATGATACATTGGTCACGATATGGTTATCTCCCCATTGAACAAAAAAAAAACAATTAGTAAGAGATAGACCAGCAGTCATGATGTAGGTAGAGCTATTTCAGCTGTAACAAATTCATCATAGATGAGTTTACAAAGTGATAGGGGTAGTGAGAGTGAAGGAAACGGGAGAACCGGAGAGGGTGACCCAGATAGTAAGGGGGTCGCTACCAAGCTGCTCAGTGGTGAAACCCTGGGTGTTTGTAACAGTACCGGGGAATGTAACGGGGATGGGAGTGCTGCAGGTGTTGCCAGTAGCGCCAACAGTGACACCGGTGATCTGCTTGCCGTTTGTTTGCCAGGTCAGGGTGTAGCCACAAGCATCACGAGTGTAACGGGCCAAGAACTGGGCGGACATTTGCTGTTGGGTTATGGTAACCAAAGGCCAGGTAGCAAGACGAACGAACTCCTGGACCTGGGTCTCGACCCAAGCCTGGAAGATGGAGTACTGGCCAGAAATACCGTTGATAGTGACAAGGGGAAGACCGAAGTTGCGCAGGTTGGCTTGGTGAAACATGTAGGGGTCGTGGTAGAGGCCGAAGAAGTGGCGCATTGTGTCAGCCTTCTCAGTAGCGAGCAGGTTGTCAAAATCACCAGTACCAGCGGAGGTAGCAATCCACTCAGTGAGAGTGCAGGCAGGGGTGTCGCAGTTGTAGTAAATGCGAGTGGCCCAGCGAGGGTTGACTTGCATACCGTCAAATCCATCAGTGGACTTCTTGGTGAAGTAGGGCCACATGGCGTTCTCGGTGTTGAGGAGAACGGGACGAGTGTTGTCACCGACGCAGTTCTTGATACCATTGTCCCACCAGGCCTGGAGAGCGTCTCCGTTGTGCAGACCAGTAATGGCAGGAGGAATGATACCATTGGAAGTCCAGTACTTGGCCTGGTCAAGACCAACTTGTTTGAACCACTGCTGGTTGAAGCTGATCTCACGGTTGATATCGAAGTAAGTAGCATTGTCTTGCTCCTCATGGGTAAAGGTATGGGAGATAAGACCGAAGACATCGCGGTTGGAAACGGTAGTCCACCAGTTGAGGAGAGGGTCGAGGTTCAAGCACTTAGCAGCCCAGTTGAAGGCAGTCGGGGTGGCAGGCCAAAGGTTGGAACCGGTGCCAAGGGGCTTCTGGAACTCAAGGGCAGTGTCGGCAGGACCATCGTATTCAATACCGCCGTTGTTGCAAGCAGTGTAGCCAGCATCGGTGTTGGAAGAGTTCTCAATGTTACCGTTTCCGTTGAAGCCAACCTCGGGGAAGTACAAGCTGCCGGGGTTCATCTTCTTGGTAATGACAGGGATCCAATCACGGACTCCGCTCATATCATCGACGGTAATACGGAAGGTGTTGCCACTAGGATAGTAGATATCAGTCTCCAGCATCATATCATCGATCTGGGTGTTGAGGTTGACACGACGCCATCCAGCGTGAAGACCATGAGTAATCCAGTTGATCCATGCGTGCTGCAAGTAGCTGGAGGTAGCACTCCAAGTGGTATCAAAGCCAATGAAGAAAGCCATCTGCTGACGACCATCAAAGTTGCTGATGACAGCAGCAACAGAGATGCTATCAACAACGCTGTTGGCAGCAAAGGAAGCAATGGCCTTGGTGGAGGTAGTGTTGGCAACAGTTGCCGAGTAGTGCCACAAACCAGAAGTACTGACACCAGCACTGGCACCGGTTCGCAGGCCAGCAGTGGGGAAGTCACTAACATCGGTAAAGTAAATATCCTGTTCAACACCAGTTGCGCAGCAGCCAGTGCCGACAACAGTAGCGCCGAAGTTGGGGCCGGGGTAGACATCGTACTGGACCATACGGACACCATAAGAAAGCTGGTAAGCGTACAGCTGGTTCCATTGGTCAGTAGTCAGAGCACTCTGGTATCCAGCAGTACCATAGTCATAGCTGACTTCAGAGGCAATGACGATACCACCGAAGTTACCACCGGAGCTGCTGTTGAGGGCAGGGAGGGCAACACCAGCCTGGGGAACTATTAGAGTGGTAAATGGAATACCGTAGGCATTCAGACCAGATGTGGCAGTGCCAGCAGAGGTGCTGTCCTTAGCAATGACCAGGATGTTGGCTGCAATGGCCTGTGCGGTTGCCGCAGCAGACGCCGTGGCAGTAGCCGCAGTAGTTGAAATAGAAGTAGACATGGTGGAAGAAGAAGTGGACACTGTAATGACCGTAGGCACGGTGGTGGTAGTCGACGTAGAAGTAGAAGTAGAAGTAGAAGTAGAAGTACTAGTAGTGGACTTGGTAGTAGAAGTCGAAGTAGAGGTAGACTTGGTGGTAGAAGTAGAAGTGGTGGAAGTTGACTTGATGGTAGAAGTCGTAGAAGTAGACTTGATGGTAGTAGGAAGAGCAGTAGTCTTGGTCACGGCTAGTCTCGGGGGACTGTAAGCAATGATAGAAGGCTCTGTCTGTGGGAAAACACCTGGGGCAGTGCTACAAGTTAAAAGGCCCAAGTAGCAGCCTGCCTTAACGGCCCAGGATGGAATGGCGACCATTTTGATAGGGCTCGGGGATCTGAAACAGGGAAGAACGAAAGGACTCCACGCAAAATGCGGGAATTAACGAATGAGTGAAACGAATTCCAAAAAGGAAATGACCCTAATGCAGGTTTTTCAAGGGACAACGCAGAAGTCTGAAATCAAAGACATTGCATGGCAGTCGGAACTACTTTATACAGTAAGAGCGGAGCACAGTTAGAGCCCAGTTCTTTTACCAAACCTATCGGCTTCTGTGACTGAGTTCAAAGGGAAAAAACTGCTGAAAATTCCCATCCTATGAAAACCTAATTAGGTTCTATCTAAAAGGTACGAGTGGGGTATGTTCCTGAAAGTTCGAGGTTATGGATCTCTATGGATTACCTGTGCGCAGGTGGAGTTACGATCCGACGGAATTTGAGTCCGGAGTATGTGCAGATCGAGATTGGCTCAAGATCGGCGGTTAAAATTTCTTCTAATATCTATTTCAAGATTGACTGATCCTACGAGCCATGGTTGAATGATGAATCGATCAGATCCAAGTAATATCTTCGCATATCAAAATAATTCACAGACTAAAGAGCAAAGAACCAAAACGCGGGATATCCGAGACATCGAGTATGGTAGTGAGAGTTAAGATTACTTCCCCTGAGTAGGACAACCGTTAGTACCTGCATCTATCTTGGCAGTACTTCATTATCCGACGTTATGGAGTATGGTATATAGTTACGGGAAGAGCTAACCATTTTGGGAAGTAGCTATGTTATTTAAATTTACTCTGTATCGTATTGCCCGTATCCGTAATGACAATACAGACCAGCACATTTCCACGATCGCCCCACATCGTTCCACTTTTACATCCAAGGTTAGGGCATGATTTTCCCCATAATTAGTTTTTATTCAAAAAATATTAAACCAATTCCAAGCCAGAAAATTAACTTTGTTTTTTACCATTAGGAGTAGTGTTCCGGCGAGATTGAATCTAGATGAAGCCGAAATTCACCCATGGACGCTCAAAATTATATCATTGATTGGATCGGAAATCAGCGGTCTACTTAGTATATGGAAAGAAATGTGTGCATTTAAATCATAGCCAATTAGATCGGTAACATATAGAGGTAAACCAGCTGGCACCTATTGTACATTTAACAGCTGTATGGAACTCCACCATTTGTACTCCACTTCGTGTCTCGGTCAACCTTGGGCCATGTCTTTAGTGCTTTTTACCCTATAGTTTGAAAGTTTTTTCAAGTCCTATTTTTGTTATTCGTTTCAAGAGGCTTTAATCATATTCAAACGGACCACGGACCCAGCTAAGGAGTCCTAAAAGGGTGAACAGCCGTATAAGCCACTTCTAATCCTTGGCGAGAGGCGAACAAGCACTACTGCTGCTGGCTTCCCAAGGTTTTGTCGACCTTCAAGATTTCAATTCCTGCCTTTCCCCTTTACTCTTTACTATTCTTTCTCTCTCTTAGGTGCAGATGAGGCCGATTCCTCCCTTTTACCTATCATCTCTATTTTATTTTTCAACACTCTCGCTCATAAACTTAATTATGCCATGACAGTTGCTTAGAATAGCAATCGTGGTTTCAAGCAGGCTCTTTCGTTTTAGCCTTGTTCAGTCCGTTCATTTTTTATTAAGACTGGAGAACAACAACCATTTGAACTAAGTCCGCACGCGGCAACAAATTTATCAATATGGGTGCTAACATTCTCCCCGTTTCTGTGCTGGGGTGGGCTCGCATGAAGGAGAATTGGTCGCAATTTGTATGTATTTCCCCAGTCCTCTTTGCAACTAGATTTTGGCTTGACTCTATGCATGAACATCGAGACTGACTTTTTTAATAGTTCATGATTGCAGTTCTCTTGGCTTGCATAACTATTGGCAGCGTCAGTATCATCTGGTCATCTGGCAAAAGAATTATTAAATATTATAAGGTAAAACGTGAACAAGATTAAAATGGTTAAATAGGAAATACTAACACTTTGTTAGATGAAGCAAGCCCCGGATGTAGTGTCTTTGACTGTTTCTCAAAGAATCAACAGGTTGGCTGGTCGAGAATTGAAATTGATCCCCCGCTTGAGCAAAGTCAAGCCAACTTCATTTGGTACATATCTAGGAAGCTTTACTGAGCCTCCAACTCCATCACAAAAACTACTGCTCGGGCAATGGGATATTCTCGTTGTGGATCCACTTCAAGTTGGAGTTTCTAGGGCTCTTTTCAGCTGCCAGCACAGCCAGGTCCTGGGTAGAATTAATCTTGAACACTTGGTCGCTTCAAATAAGTCACCTATCGCAGTCATTGACGCGGTTGAGGACGTGATCAACAACAGCTTCAATGGTTCCGCATTTTCTGGCATCCTCTTCGCCAGTTGGGAGGATATGCTTTCTCCGAACACTCATGAATTGCTGTTTCAAACTATCCAAAGCCTTGGTCTTGATGTCTTCCTGGAAGTGGCACCACCAAAATTCTTGAAAAATAGAAAGGCTCTGCAAAGCGAGGCTGTGTCTGGCTTGGTGATTCGAAATGCAAGTATTATGCCTAATGGCGAGAAGCGCGACTATTTTCAGATGATCGACATGCATTCCACGATCAAAGCTTTCGTCTCAGAAGCCTGTATGAGAGACTTTGTTGTCCTAGCTTGGGAAACCGTTGATGACGATGTCACTCTCTCAAACGCCGTCATTCGAAGAGCTCTTTCGTGGTGCAACTTTTACAGTGCCATTCCTTGGATTGGTTCGGAATCCTCCTTAACAAATGCCGATTTGAATGGTCCAACGATCGAGCCTCTATCCGCTTTTGGATGGTTGAAGGAATCCAATGTCATGAAAGCTCACGATGTCTGGCGCACGAACCTGAAAATTGCACCAGCTCCTGGATCTCAGTCAGGGTGGGATAAACTACGATCACATTTCCCGGCAATCAATGCTTTACTCGAATCGGATGAAGTCTTGACAGATTTTTCTAAAATCCCAGAAATGCGCCTCCGCGATCCTCCAGAATGGGTTCCTCAAATGAAGACTGCGGGAAATCCGTTGTCTGTATCTATGGCCGGTCAAGAATACAACAATCTCGGCTGTTTCCCCTTGGGATCAGACCCTTCATTATTGGCATTCGCTGAGCTTCTACAGTGTCAGCAGCGCCTCAAATCTCTTTCACTCCTCCACCCCGTTCCTTCAGAGCAGATCAAGAATATTGGTGTACTTCTCCAAAGTTTCCAAGAGACTCTGGGCATGTCCTCCTTCATTGGAAATGAGCTTGCCCCTGCTATAAAGGAGCTTGCTGATCTAGCAACAAATGAACAGCTACGTGTGCACCTTGTGCTGGACTCTGGTTTAAGCAAGAGTACAGACATGCGCTTTTGGGCTGTTTACCAAATGGAGGAGGATGGAACCGATATCTTCGTTTCCAAGAACGCCAAAGGTCTCGTCGGCACGGTGCTGCACACCTTCCTATCTGGAAAAGGATTCCCTCGTCATGAATGTTTCGAGGCAGAATTTGCGTTGGCCAGCTGGTCTCAAGACCTTGCGCCAGATACCGGCCTCCCTCGCCGATTCATCCAGGATATTGATGTTCTCAGCCCAGAAGAACGACTTCTTCTATTCCAGCACCTTTCACTTACCGACTCCCAAAGCGACATATCACAGAAGATTTGCATGTACATCCGCAAGCAGCTCATTGATGCACCATCCTTTATCCAACTAAAGGAACTCAACACTGTCGGCTACCTAGAACAGACTACCTCTTTCATGGAGTTGGTCAAGAGTCGCATTGATTGGTACGAAGGCCAAGGATGCAGGCATCCCTCAACTGCCGCTTCTTTGACACTTTTCCGCCAGGTTGACGAAGTCTATTCTCAAGTCTGCAGAGAGCACCGGGAGTCTGATCTCGCGGATATCACAGCAGGACTCTGTGAGCTGGTTAAAGAGGGCCATATGAATGCCTATGTTGATATGATTACCCTGTCTATTTTCTGTGCAGCCAGAAAGGGTGCTTTCGATGAGATCTACGCAGAGGTTACCGACCGAAACCCTTTGTTCAACAGCTTCACTGATCAAGCCGCCGCATTCGCTGAATCATTTGCCCTTGGATCGCGGTGCGAGGCTTACTTTGACATGCCACCCAGTATTTTCGGCAAAATTCTCTCTGGTCGATTCCGAAAGCACTACAACGTACATCAGCCACCAAACTGGATTAATGGTGGTCAGATGGCGACTTCCTATGCTGGTGCTCAAATTGATGTCAATCCCGATGACAAGGTCAAACCCATGCGTAGCTATCAACGTTTCACCTTCATGAGTGTCTTTGCTATTCCTGCTCTGATCGATATCATTCTTTTAACAATCATTGGCCGCGGCTTATACCTGTCTTCCCAAATGACAAGCGACGAATTGAACAGTGCGACAATAGCATTGATGATTTCTCTGTTGCTTTCAGGTGCCATTGGCACATGGATTGCAGTTGGTGGTCCATATTATCTTATTTCTATGGCCTTCGCTGCAGCAAACATGTTCGTTCTCATCCGTCTCATTGCTGGTATTGCCTTCACTGTGGCTGGAGGCTTGATTGGATTTGTCGCTATCTCTGCTGTCAGATCTCCTCAAGCTGGTATAATTTTCTACCTATACCTGATCGCATTAACCATTTACTTCTCCGCCTTTGCTGCTCTCGCAAGTTTCAGTTACCCCGGAACAGCATTCCTGTCAGGTCGCAAAGCCATCATTTACTCAATTCCGATCCTGTTCATTTCGCCTATTATCACCACCTTCTCCGGCCACGATTCTGCTATCTACCTTGCTGTCATCTACATTTTCATCGCTGTGCTTCTATTTTTTCTGCGCTCTGTCCTCTCAAAATGGGTAACCTGGTACCAGGCGATCAGACGTACAGACGACACTGAGATCCGTAAATGGTACCTCTCCACTTATGGAAACAATGATGAAAAGGTCTTTGCTAATATGAGCGACCCTGCTGCTGCTAAACTGGGTCGAGAGGCTTTGTATGCTGATGTCATGGCTGAGAAGAATCGCGGTTATTTCTCCAAAGAGACATCCGACAAGATGGTCAGGGAGCTGGCTCGTGATTGGGATTCGACAAATTTCTTGCTAGACTGGTACTGCCGATATGCCGATGTTCCAAGGCCGATCCCCTACAGCTCTGGCTGGAACATCCAGACAAAGGTTGGGCTTGATGTTTTGAAAAATAACCAGAAGGGTCTCAAGCTGCACAACTCTTTCATTCACTGGCGCGAGTCCAACAGGGAGATTGGATGTGGCATTCTCTATTTCATTCTTGCACTTCTCGATAAATGGGCCCAGATGCTCAGTGGAGATAGGGTGATCGATTTATTGGGCTCTTTCTCTTCTGATGCCAACCGCATGGCTGTTGGATTTGCCCTTGTATACTACCTCATTGGATCCGTGCTCATTGATACCAAAGCTCAAGAACTTCACCAATCCATCGGTGGAAAAGAGCCCACTGCAGTGAAGAAAGCCAGCGAAATCCGCAATTCTCTCAAAGAGCATGTACAGTTTCGACGAAAGGTTTACTGGAGGACTCTGGGCAGATTCCTTTTATGGCACGTTTGGAGTCTTGCACTTTCTACAGCTCTCTTCTGGATGTTCCAGGGGTCAATTGATGGCATGGGTGTCTTCTTCTCCTATATTCTCTCTTACACTGGTCTGATTTGGTACCAATACACCAAAATATTCACCGGCCCCCATGCATTAAAGCCGCTCCTTGTCGGTATTTGCATTGGACTGCCTCTGGGAATTGCCCTTAAAGCCTGTCTCCCGGAATTCATTTACTCGGCTGTGATTGGTCTTGGAACTGCAACATGGATCGTTGCCATTCTTTCATTCATGAACTCGAAGATGAGCATGCCATCCAAGGTACCGAGCCCGGTTGAACTGGGCAAGACCTTCCATGCCTTCACTACACCCTGGGAAGACCCCGAATGGTCCCAACAGGAGCTGCAATCCTTTTATGAAAATCTCGCAATAGTTCCGGTCGAGTCTCGATTCAAGCTCGACCCTACTGCTCACCCTGGACTCCAGGTTGAGGCCATTCTCCGCAACCACCGACAACAGTTCCGTGTCCAAGAAGCATTCCCCAACTCCAATGACATTGTTGATCTGGCAATATCTTCCTGGAAAAAGGGTGACGTTTATGTTGAGCTTCTGCCCCATGGATCCATGGGCCCAGGAATTCGGGCACTGAGTTGCAGCGAGGATGGCAAGCTCAGACTGGCTATTGGTATCAGAAACCTGCAAAATTACGATTTCGATGTATCTGTCAACTGCCAGATTATCGCGGAGTCCCTCCTCCACTCTGTCGCGGAGATGATGATGGGTATTCCCCATGAATATGCCGCTCTGACCGAAACAATTGTTTCTGGCGGAGTTTCCTACACCATAGCTCGCCAACTCCGCGAGGAGCCCAACACAACTCGTGTGGTGCGATGGGCCAAGAAAGAGCTTCTTCGTCAGCTCTGCTTAGGATTTGAAGCCGATATCCATTGGGATAAGCTACCCGATGGAGTCCGAAATGTGCTTATTAACCGCTGTCTCGGACATTCTTGTAGTCTACCCGAGGATCAGCGTCAGTGGCTACAGAAAAAGCTGTGCCAGTTCGACACTGATAGTCTCGACACCCATGTCTCGCGATGCAATCTTGGTGCTGCCACAGCAATCAGTATTCTCGAATACTCCCTTGACGGAACTGGTGAATGCCCCGTTCCCAAGGAGCGTGAGACTGCAGACTCCATCCCGTATAATCCTCAGAAATTGCCCAAAATGTTCGCTGTGTTCCGATATCCACTCAGCTACTGCTATCACACACTGGGCACAATTGTCAAATTCATTGTTATTGCCTTGGTTGCCGATCCTGAATTCCAGAGAGAATTTAATCATGTCTCTGAGCGTTTGCCGACAGTACTTCGTTTGATGTTCAGGTACATACTCAATGCGCTCTGGATCTACGGCAAATTCATGCAGGACTGGGGTCTTTCCTTTTTCCTGTTTTACGGCCGCAAGAACGTCAAGCGGCTGTGGGATGAGACCAAGGGCATGACAATCCACATCAAGAAGAGCAGAGTTCACATTCAAAGTCTTGCGGGAACATTCACAGCCTTCCGTCATTCTGAAAGTGATGGTAGTTTCAAGATTTACCAATACACCGGTGAACACAAGGACGAACCAGAGGAGACCAAGAAGCTCATTTCTATTAGCACTTACTCTCGCGAAATGCTGCTTCACGTTAAGGAGGAGTACAAGGATGGAAAGGTTCTTAACGAGTACCACTACGATTACCGTGCGCCAAAGAAGGGTTTCAAGCTAGGCAAGGCTACCTCTGCACGAATTCCCCTTGGACGACGTTGCGTACAGGGTGTGAATCATCTCCAGAGTGTACAGTATAACCAAAAAGGTCTCATCGAGGCTGGTTCTTACATGAAAGATGGCAATATCGTTCGCTTCCAGTACCGCTATCGCAAGAACCCCCGGTTCGGCGATGAGCTTCTCCGAGCCGAGTTCGTAATGAGCCATATCAGCTGCACTGTTTCTTGGTGTGCGCCTCCACGCCGGCGTCCTGAGAAGGTTGATCGATGGATTCCGCATTCTAAGATTACCGAGGCTACCTTTGTACAAGGTGCTGATGTCTTTGAAAGTCGCTGGTCTTATGATCACAAGTTCCATCCCACCATTTTTACCACTGTCAATGGAAGAAAAATCCAAACACCCCCTATGATCGAGCACGATTACTTGGGTGTTCTTTCTAAGCCAAAGAACACAAGCTTTGTATACGACAACCCATTCTTCTACCTCGACAGTCTTGATACGAATCCTATCTCTCGGTACCTTGGACTGACTAAGAAGCGCTTCCCTGTCTCCACGTCTCACGCTCGCTCCCTTTTGTGGAAGGCTTGGAAAGAACGTGTAGACTTCGACGGTATTATTGTTCGCTGGATGGATGATTTGATTCTACGCAGAGATCACGTTCTGGCTCCCTACTGGCGCCATCGTGACTGGGGTAACCTGAGCTTTGCCAAGAAGTACATGGACCTTCGCGCCGATGCAATTATGGCCAGTGCCGACCTCGACGATAACATTTCTAGTTGGACACCATTGGCTGTTAAGATCAGTGATCTGTTCAACTTTGGTCCTGGAGGTGACGCCGTCGTTACCACCCGTTCTAAGGATATTTCTTCTGATACCGACAAGACTCTGCATGTCATGGCCGCTGACAATGGAACCTGGCCCAACGAAGGTGGTGGTGTCTCTGCCTGTCGACGAGACATGATCAATTCTCTGAACAGTATCAAATGGCACATGATCTGCGAGTCTGCAAATGACTTTGGTGTTCCTAAGCATCAGACAGAGCAGAACGTCCAGTCTCTCAAGGTCATCCCGCTCTGGGGTATGGATTTCCTCACACCCACCCATGGTCTGTTCTCGAACAAACTAGATTCGGAGGTGGAAAACGTTACCTCAGCTAGCGATTTTGACATCAAGATGAACTTTATTCCTATCTTGACGGCATTGGTGAAGGGCGCACGAACCGTTGATCTTTCAAAGGCAGACATCCAGCAAGCTACTCGAGCCTTGGTAAACCTGAATACCTACTTCCAGGAATCTCGTCACTGGGGTCAAGTCTGGAGCAGCGAGATAGTGAAGTCGAGTTGGCGCGATCTGTGGCTTACCCAGGAGATGCCAAATACTATTCCTTCATCGGAGTGGTTCGACACTGAGCTACCCACGCTGGAATCTATGGACATCGCCATGGAGCTGTGGTACCGCTACCTCTTCATCTTCTCGATTCCAGTGCCTGACAAGATCCCGAGCATCTTCCAAGCTTCTCATCACAGTGTCAGTGCTTCATACGGCGTAGTCTGTAAAATGAAGAGAAATGTCACTCTGCAAATTTGGGACCACGCCATCGCTTGGCGAGAAACTAACCTGTGTCTCTCATCTGCCCTTTGCAAACTCTCGCCATTCGTCCGCAATTGCCTTCTGGGTCTGATGCGAATTACCTCCGTTCTGACTCTTCACCACGCGGATGTCCTGCTTCCTTGTGCCGATTTCTTCAACCCAGGCTGGGAAGTCGAAATCGGTACCTGCCAGGGCACAATTGAGCACCGCAACACTTTCCGCCGCAAGATCGACCCCGTCGTCAACGGTATCACCGACATGCAGAAGTTCTCCCCCGTCAAGGAGATTAAATCAAAGAAACCCACTGTGACCATGCTTTCCCACGTCTGGTACGCCAAAGACATCAAGATCGCCCTGCTCGCCGCCGATATCATCATCAACCAATGGAAGTTCGACGAATACCACCTAGACATCTATGGTGCCATCGACAAAGCCCCGACTTACTCCACCGAATGTCAGGAAATCATTGCATCCAAGGGTCTACGCGGCAGAGTGACTCTGTGCGGAACCGCCGACCCCATGAAAGTGCTAGAAAACACCTGGCTCTTCCTGAACTCATCACTATCGGAGGGTCTGCCCCTCGCCCTAGGTGAAGCAGCTCTAACCGGCGCACCGGTCGTCTGTACTGACGTCGGTGCTTCCCTCCGCGTGCTTAGTGACCCAGACGACTTCTCGCGCTTCAGCGCAGTGGTGGCACCAAACGATGCTCTCGCTCTGGCAAAGGCACAAATCTCCATGCTCGGTATGATCGGCGAATGGGCTGAGTACTGCGGCGACACAACTCCAGCCCCAGTCCTCACTTCCGCGCCCACTGCCGACGAAGTAGCCGCCATCACTCGCCGTATGTATGAGAAGAGTGACCAACGCCGCGAACTTGGCATGAAGACTCGTCAGATTGTTCAAAAGTCCTTCAGCGGTGATCGCTACCTACGGGAGCACGAGCAAATGCTGTGGATCGGCAAGTCGATCAAGATGATGGCGAGCCGAGCCGCTGGCGAAGAGCTCGATCCGATGGAGATCGAACAAGCAATCGAAATGACCGCGACAATCGATGAGGAGATCATCACTATCCCCCGCAGCGCTGTCCACTCATGGCGCTCATCTGCTGCCTCTGCCATGTCGACATTGTACAGCAATACTTCAGCCTACCACCCCCTCCAGAAACACGGCCACCAAAGGGCTGGTTCCAGCGTCTCTGCCCTGACGCTGAACAGCGACTTCGACGAGTCCACTGCTCGTCTCCCTGTGTTTGCGCCTCGCAGCTCTATGCTTTCGTATCTGTCAAATGGAGGTGCTAGTCCTGGTAGCAAATCACCGGGGCTTGGGCCCACGCTCGCGCCACCTGGTACGCCATTGCATGGACAGCGTCGGTCGCGATCTCGTTCACGAACGTACTCTTATGCACGCTCAATTTCCACTGCTGGTCGCGAACAGCTGCGCGGTCTAGTGCGCGACGAGGAGGATGATACGATGCAGTACCGGAATTCTGACGTTAGCACTATTATGCGAGAAGACTTCTTGCGATCGGGTATTCTTTGGAGCGACTAGACACCCCTCAATTGCTACCTCTCTCTCTCTCTCTCTCTCTCTCTCTCTCTCTCTCTATTTATCTTCCTTCCCTTTTCATCTCATCTCCTTTCCCCAATAAGTTATTCCCCCATTCTGCAACCTCGCAGCCACATTACCTATCTTGCATCATTCATCATTCATTCTTTCTTCCATATTTTCCCATTCTGATATTCATTTCCTGGGAGCGTGATTTTCTGGTTCTGTCGAGGAGCGCAAAGCGTCCCGACCAAAAAGACATTTCTTAACTTTTACTTCAGATTTTTTGCCTAGCATTTACTTCATAATTGCAAATAGAGATAGTAATAGAATTTATGTGTATAATCACTGAAGAAACAACCTTCTACTCGCGTAAATGTATATTATTTGCAGAAAAGTACATATATGAGTTATATAAGCCTTGTAAGCCGATTTGATACTGGAATTGACAAGCCAACACTTAGGCTAAAAGAATGAAAAAGAGCGTTTGGCCTTGGTCCACGCTTCCTCTGGTTTCGGGTTCGCAATGCGATGCCACTCACCATTGAACGCGTTGATGAGCCAGCTCGAAAGACCTGTTGGTAAGATATCAGTATCTTGAGAAAAGAGAAGATGGAGGGCAAGATTAGCCTACGTTCATATACAAGGGTATGTCCATTGTGGAAGTAGATGCTGTGGTCGGAATCCGGGAAGACCTGCATATCATAATTCGCCACGTTTGCCAGGTCCAACTTGTCTAATAGAACCAGAGTATTTTGGAGATGAACATTGTCATCGGCAATGCCATGCATGATCATGAATCGAACGTTCTTACCCAAGGCTTCGGCGTTACTGATACTGGAATTGTCGTATCCCGAGGGATTATGCTGGGGAGTGTGCATGTAACGTTCTGTATAGATGGAGTCTGCAAAATCCTCGTTAGTGAAAAAGACCGTTGGACGCCGATATTAGTTTGCGACTTACCGTAGAATCTCCAGTCCGTTACTGGCGCCACAGCCATTCCGTATTGGAATGTCTCTCCCGCATCCTGCTCCAGAACCTTGAGTGTCATGAAGCCGCCGAAGCTCCAGCCCCAGATAGCCATCCGAGTTTCATCCACGTATTGTTTAGATGCCCAGATCTTTGCCGACTCAATCTGGTCTCGTGCTTCGTAGTGGCCCATATTGCCGCGAACGATGCACCGTGCTTTACGTCCGACAAATCCTGTGCCTCGACCATCGACGGTGACAACAATGTAGCCCAGGTTAGAGGCGATGTAGGATTGGAAGTCGACTGTGAACTTGCGATCGACAGTTTGAGAGCCTGGTCCCTGATACATGTAGAAAAGAACCGGATACTTTTTGGCTGGGTTGAAGTGGGGAGGTCGGCGCTCGACAACTTGGAGGATGTTGCCGTCAACGGTCACGTTAGAGTAGATCTCAGCCGGAAGAGCAAACTCTTCGACCATATCTTTGAGCTTAGAGTTTTCTTCGATTACAGCCACGTTTTCAATCTTGTCACCTTGCGTGCTGATAACAGACTGCCAGGGGACTGCGGGGCCCTTGGAGCTGAGCAATGCGTATCCGGATCCCTGTGAGAACGAGATTCCATAATATCCGGCCTTTGAGGTATCGGTAAGTGAACGAAGACCTGAGCCGTCGAGTTTGACTTGATACACATGACGCTGAGTGGGTGCTTCCTTTGTGGCCACGAAATACACGATATTCCTCTTCAGGTCAACGGCGGAGGGTGCGGCAACGACTTCCCAGTTTCCCTTGGTGATCATTACAGGTTCCGAAGAATCGAGAGGACTAAAGTAAGCCAGGTGGTCATAGCCTTCGTGAATCACGGTATCAATATATCCATCTTGTGGACGACCATTTGCTGGATCGGCAGGAATAAACCGTGTTGACTGCGAGGGTTCAACCCAGCCGCCATCTAGGGCTGCGATATCCTCTGAGCGGACGAGCTTTCCAGTTCTAGCACTAGTGTCCATCAAGAATACCTTGACAACGTCACTCTCACGGTTGGTCTCGCGAAGAAGAACTTTTCCGCCAGATGCCCAAACGACCTCGATAATGATTCGATCATCGTCCTTGAAGTCCTCTGGTATGTCGATTGAAAAGACCTCGCTCTTGACCGTATCATAGAATTGCAAGCGCACCACAGGGTTCGGGCTTCCGGCTTTGGGGTACTTGATCTGTCTGACTTCAGGGTAATTCTCCAATCCGGGGCGAGGCTTCTTGCCAGAGGGGCGGGAGAGGAAGTACTGAACGGGATATTCGGGTACTTCCGCCTCTTCGGTCCGCAGGAAGGCGAGGAACTTGCCATCTTCAGACCACCAAGTGCCACTGTTGCCTGCGAACACTTCCTCTTCATACACCCAGTCAGGAACGCCATAGAAAAGCTGCTCCCCGCCATCTTTGGTGATGGGAATGACCTCGGAAGAGCTCAACTTTCTCAGGAAAACATTGTTGTCCCGAACAAAGACAACAGCGTCAGATTGAGGGGACCAGACAGCAAGCTGCACGCGATCGCTCGGGTTACTGGCATCCAGCGGCTCCGCCGTCTGTGTCGCAACATCAAAGATCCAATACTTTCCATAGAACGAATGTCGCCAGTTAGAATGCGTGTTTGATACAAGCAGCACCTTCTCCAGATTTGGACTCGGCCACGTCTTTACCGGAGTGACCAGTTCACCCTCGACTCTGACATGGCTATCCTTCATCAACACCCGAGCATCAAGCTTATTGGCGCCATTCTTGCGATTTCTGATATCTTCCACGCGTAAATATCCCTCTCCACTCTCCCCGCGCTCGACTAAAAGTCCGTCTTCACCGCTTGGACCCGCAATCCAGGAGATCGCATGCGATTGTGGTGACCAATCCCCTCCTAGGACTTGATCTAATGTGACTGGCTTCCCATAGCTCGTGCCGCCGGTCGCGGATTCCGGATCGTGGATGTTGACGGTTGAGGATGAAAGGGCTTCTGCGCTGGGCCGTGTCGATGTTAGGAAGAGTATGAAGGCTAGAGCCCAACCCCCGACGCAAAGTATGCCGAATAGCCAGAGGATACGGCGGATGCGAGTCCCCGAGGCGGGCTTCTTAGTCTTAGCAGCGATGAACGATTCGTCCGAGCCTGGTTCGGCACCATCTTCGATATCGCGGTATGGTTGTGTCTCGTCTGTTCCCATCTCTCCTTTATGGAATGCATTGAGGAAGGCTGTTGAGGCTACCGATAAACCAGAATCCGAGGAGGTTTGAGATGCCAATGATATTGTCCGTCGATGAGCAAGGGGCACGGAGACAGAGCCAGAGCTGCCTTCCTTGTCCAGCTTCCCCATGATTGATGGTAGTGACGAGTGGGAAGTTGCGGAGACGGCTTGTTCTTATCGTGGAGCCTCCACACGTTCAGATAACGCAATCTTCACCTTCAAGACAAGGATAGAAATTCTGTCCGAATTGAACCAAATGAGAGAAATCGAAGTTTACTTTTCTTAGGGAATGTTTGCTTTGTCCTGACTCCTATTCAGTATCGAGTTGGGCGGTTATTGAGCCCTATTTTAGATCAGTGGCGACTGCCATTCTCCAATCATAGTGGTGGAACAGTCTGTGCTTTATCTAATACATGCTTGAATGGGTTTATAACTCCTCACATATTCCAACATTGAAAAAGGAAAATGCTAGGGGGTTGCTACCTTAGTAGGGCTACATAGGTCAAGATGATAGTTCTGAGTGGTTGATTGTTAATGTAACCGCACTCTTACTCCAACCGCTCTCCTAGACCCCAAGGATTGTAACTCCTCTTAACGTCTACTTCAGCCTTATCGAGAGCCTTTTTGGTCATAGGCAGTTCATACGATATACCTTTCTCTTTCAATGTTACTACTTTGAATCTCCAGATGATCTCTTAACAGGAGTCTTGGAAACAGGCGTCAGCTCCACAGCTTACCTAGGATCCACTTGGTTTTGTTTTTTTCTCCTAGATGATCTGTAACACAAATAGACGCTCGCTAGCCTGTATTCACTTTTTTTAACTCTTCAGCTTTCTTGAGGACAATGGCTAACACATCAGTTCAACGTCAATTTCCTCTAAAAAGGGCAACGGAAGAACTTCGGGATCCACTATATCTGTTTTTGAGCTATTTTGTACATACGAGCCCCCATTACCCGAAGGCATAGATTCTGAGTATATTTAGTTCAGACCGAGGACCGAGATTTTATGAGGCCGAGTCATCTAGGCAGCCATTGCTGAAATATAGTCGAGACAGAGAGGTGACTATTACTGAAGGTAATAACTAGAATGGTGTTTTGAGCTCCCGAGGTTAGATGCAAAGATTCAACACCCCAGACTTCCAAGGTTGACAATAGCATCTACCATGATGGATTGAAGTAGCGGAGAAATAATAGTGAATCGGAGGATCGGACTATCGGAGAACATTGCTTGCTGAGATCTCATTTCAGATTCATAATCAGATTTCGATTATTTACCGTTCATAACTGTAATTCGTCAATATCTTCGAAGTCGCTCCACGTCATCTCGTTTGTGCAACGAATACCTCCAGAGCTGCCCCTTTTAGACCCCTTTTAGGAAACGTCCAATAGTCTGGAAACTCTACGTTGGATACACGCGTGTCATTGGAGGCTGAGCAAATAGATATTATTGCTGTCAATGTGTATAACCAGGTACTTATAGGCTCGATAAGTACATAGTTTATCAATTGAGGCCTCATCTATTCTTTTCTGGTCGATTCAATTTCAAGAGAATCCCAAGGTAACGCTCTTTAAGCTTCACCAGAGGATCATCATCTTCCTCATGTTGAAAGCACTGTATATGGGAACGTATAACTACATTCCTTCTATTCCCGCTGCAGCAGTCTTTATAGCAATTTTCATAATCACGACTATCACACATTTCTGGCAAGTTACCCGAACTCGGACATGGTTCTTTATTCCATTTGCCATTGGAGGAATTTGTACGTTCTCGCACATAAATATCTACTTAGGTAGACAGTCATGATCCATCCATCTTCATGGTTCAAAGCTGACCCGTCTTTTGTATAGTTGAGATTGGAGGATACATTGCTGTATGAACTCCCCTTCTCCATCTTTCATATTGACCCGAAACTCATCCCATTTAGCGTGCAATCTCCTCAAGTCAGTATCCGAGGTATGGGGCACCAGCTTTAGCTGTACAGGCAGTTCTCATTCTCGTTGCACCGTCACTCTTTGCCGCCAGTATCTACATGGAGCTGGGACGCATCATGCTCGCTACTGGCGGAGAAAGATACTCGATTATTCGACGCTCATGGCTCACCAAGATATTTGTCGTGGGGGATGCCTTTTCTTTTTTAGTCCAAGCTGCCGGTAAGTGGTAGCAGCTCCGTTGATATACACCTCCAAGCAGATATCTAACGAGTATCAGACTCTAGGTGCCAGTATGCTCGTCAAAGTCAGCACCGCAAATAATGGTGGAAACATCATCAAAATCGGTTTGATCATTCAAATCGTCTTCTTTGCTCTCTTCGTCGTCACAAGCATCATCTTTCATGTCCGTATGAATAGGAATGGCGCATCATACCAACACTTCTTTCCCTTGAGGAAACATCAGTTGGTCCTATACTTCGGCAGTGGCCTTATCTTCGTCCGTTGCATTTTTCGACTTATAGAATACGAGGCTGGAGATGGCAGTACGCTACTTCAACATGAATACTATAGCTATATCTTCGATGCTGCTCTCATGGTGCTGGTGATGATGACGTTCAGCTTGGTTTACCCCAATGAAATCGGTCAGATGGTGCAGCAGAGGAAGGATATGTCAGATAAATTAGAGGGGTCGATTGGATTTGCTCGACTTTGACCGAAGATTTGAGTCGTTCCAGTGTTCATTCGCTTTGAATAAGTTTCTAATTAACCTTCCCAATTCTTGGCTTTCCCCTTCTTTTTAGTGCTCAGTCCATTCACCTGTTTACTGCAGTAGATCCTCAACACCAACGATTCACTTGGTTCCGACAGTACCACTATCACGAATTGTGTCCCTCAGGCTACAGCATCAGTGTCTGTTAAAGCTGGTAACGCTACAGTCGATGTTGGAACTATGACTGGCTCAGAGCTCTATACAGGAATCTCTCAGGCCCTTGGAACAATTTGTCCTACGGTCATGCAGACAACAGAATGGACAAATTGTGCGGCCGAGCTTGCTATGGTTGAGAAACTCCCTTATATCGATGCTGGCCTCATGTCTTATGGCTCACTTTATGTTACGGTCCTCGATAGCTAGTATAATGAGACTTCATTACGGGATGCTATGATTAAAACTGCAGCTTTAACAGCTATGTACAGTGCAGGAAGTAGCACTACTTATGATGTGGAAGGGATTAAGAGAAGAGATTCATAAGACCATCCTTATGCCGAATCGAACACCGCAACAGTTTGTAACACGGAAGCATTTGCTGCTGTGAATTACTACAATGTCTGGTGAAAACCGCCTCAGAACTAACAACACAAAAAACATTTGCAATTTATTCATTCGATACAGAGAGGGGCGGTGGTGATTTCGTTTGTGATTTGTGAGAGGAGCTTGCTGATGTCTTTGCGGCTGTCGAGCCGGAATTTACTCTGACGGGAGTTGAAATCGGCAAAGCTATTGATAGTCTTCGTGAAAAGGGTCTGCCGATGGACTAGGGGTCAGGCAAATGGTTTTCAATCTTGTAACCTTCTCAGATTCTTGCAAAGTCATGAGCAAAGCTGAAGGAATATTGTGGATTTACTATTACCTCGATCACCAATCTCACCACCATCACAATACGTGTCAAGATCATCAACTTCATCACCCCCTCCCCCTTCATCCCCGAGATCCCCACCATCCTCACAAATTATAACGAGCCTACAATTTAGCGAACCTATAATCTTGTTTTGCCACTAGAAATTATTGGTGCAATTCGAAACAGAACTCAATGGTAGAGAAGGAAAGATAATTGGTGTTGGAAAATATTTGCCTGAGCATGGGTTTCATTAGATAGAAGAGCGAAAAGAGATACTGAACCTCACAGAGGTCGAAAAAAAGAAAGAAGAAAGGCACACAAACTCAATCCTTACAGAGGGCCGCATAACAGTAAGAAATATATTGAGCGAAAGTAAAAACTTAGACCGCCGGGTGGAGCTTCATTCGGTTCAGAGATCGTAGAGCCTTCTGACGCAGGAGATTGAGGTTGATGTCCACTGCCACAGGAGGCCCATTACGAGCCGGGTCTTGCCGGAATATTGGTCCGAAGACCTCCTCATGAGTCAAAATTAGGCGTTGCGGACCCCCCAGTGGGGAGAGGTGGAGGAGGCGGAGGAGGTCGCTGGTGAGGAGTACGTAAAGGTGCCGGAGGACGCTTGCCACGGCGTGTGGCCATTTGGTGGGTTGATCCTGTGGGCACAAGGGGGGCGGGAACATGGGCAACAGGGAAATGCAAGACAGGGACAGAGGGAACAAGAGAAACAGGGAATATAGCTTCGTGCTGTCGGAGCGCAGGGTCCCCGTATATGTTTCTAACATATACGTCCGCGAACCCACGAATTCGCTTAGTGAACCTGTGCTTGGTCCACTTAACAACAACGACGGCATTAGTAGAGCCTTCTCCGCCCTTAAGCAGCAAATCTATGTCTTCTTTGAGGTCTTTGAATGACTCTAACCATCCAACTTCAAATACTATGGTCAGCAAATTGTCTGTGGCCAGCTTCGGAATCACAAAGAGGTCGGGTTCTTTTCGGGAATTCTGGTATGGGCCGGACTCGAACTTCAGGGCTGAAATGAGTTAGTGACAGGTGAATCTTGATAATCCAAGAATGGCTTACTCGTCCCGACGAAGGAACCAATCTGGCTTCGCTCCATATCTGTCATCAGTCCATTGACGCTCATCTGAGTCACGGTTTCTGCCCACCATTGCTGGATGCAATCGTGGATCCAACGAGGCCTAATTTTGATCGTCAACTTTCTACTAACCGCGTTCCATGTCGATCTATATGTTTCAGTATTCAGAGGAGATGACATCAAAGATCAGTTTTGTTCTTACCGTGTCCGATGTTCCTCCAAGGTATCAAGGATTCTTCGTCCCCATGAAGGCTTCACGCCCTCTACTATGAGAACTTTACTCTCAGAATAATCATCAATCTGAGAGAAGATATATTTCTCAAGCTTGAAGCGACGAGAGAATTTGCCGGCAGAAATTACGACTACTGCTGCCAATTCTTCATACGCATCATCAGCACCAGGTGGACTTTGCTCAGACGATAAAGCCTCGGTATCTTCCACAGCAGTAGACTTGGTAGTAGCTGATCGATTGGGTAAGTGAATGGTATGTTGCTCAATATCTGTCATTGCGTTTTGAAGTTAATAAGAGAGGAAAGTGTCGCTAGATTGGAGTAACTACGAAAGTGGGTCTGATTATCAAAAAGGGAGACCGACTAGACCTGAAACGGACTAGCGCTTCACCTACAATCAATAATAGTTTAAAGTAAATCACATACGACCCGTGATTACATACGACCCGTGAATTTCATTTTTTTAACGCGTCATTTACGTGTCTTACTTTTTCAACCACCCACCATGCCACCTAAGAATGCTCAAATAGCTCAGAAACGGGTTGAACAGGAGGGTAGGATCTTATTAGCTATTAAAGCTATAAATAATTGCGAAATTACCAATACAACCCAAGCTGCATCTACCTTTAATGTACCCCGCTCAACCCTCCACGATCGCCTATCTGGTGTTAAATATCGCGTCGAGAAGCGCGCAAATGGTCATGAATTGACTGAATCTGAAGAGAAAACTCTTCTCAAATGGATTTTCTCTTTAGATGACCGTGGATCTGCCCCTAGACCTCATTATGTCGCTCAAATCGCCAATATTCTACTCGCCGACCGCGGAATCGACCCACCTCTTACAATCGGACGAAATTGGGTTTCAAACTTCATCAAGCGTACATCTGAAATCGAAACTCGCTATTCAAAACGTTACAATTTTGAGCGCGCAAAACAAGAAGACCCTAAGATTATTCGCGATTGGTTTATCTTAGTTGAAAAGGCTATTCGCGAGAATGGGATTCATGAAGACGACATTTACAACTTTGATGAAACTGGTTTCGCGATGGGACAAACCGCTACTGCCAAAATCGTTACTAGAGCTAGCTATTATGGCCGACGAGAAAAGATACAACCCGGGAATCGCGAATGGGTTACGGCTATTGAATGTCTAAATTCAACTGGCTGGGCGCCTCCACCATGTATCATATTCAAGGGCAAAAACATGATGCAACGTTGGTTTCACGATGTCGATTTACCACCTAATATGCGCTTTGAAGTAAGCCCTAATGGCTGGACATCAGACCAAATAGGCCTTCGTTGGCTACAAAAGCTATTCATCCCCTCTACCATAACACGTACGAAGGGGCGATATAGGCTATTGATTCTAGATGGCTGTTACGGGATGAATGCAGGAATTTGTACGCTGTAAAGATCCGATTGGTAAACAAGAAGAATTAACTAGGGGGGAAATGGGTCCTGGGGACCGGGTGTTCTTATAGCTCGTTCGGCTCCGCACAGATGCCAGGAGCGCAGTCTCTCCAGAGACTGAGCATTTCATCGGGTATCAACCCGTTACATTACTCCCCTCCTCCTCTCCGGCGTCTCGTACGACGTGCCGGGGGTTGTCGTTGTTCCGCGTTACTATCCCATATGCGTAGCGCTTCAGTGTCCGCGAAGGCGTTCTCGGGTTCCCATGTCGGCCGTTTGTACCCTGTCCACTTCACCAGCACTTTTCTCCTGCCTCGTACAAGTTTCTCCTTCATAATGTAGTCGACCTCGTATTCTTCCTCCTGTCTGTCATTCCCGACCAACTTCGGCGGGGGTTGAGAATCGTCTTGCTGTTGACTTGGTAGAGGGTCGTCTGACGCTAGGCGCAATAGTTGGCTATGGAACACATTATGGATCCCAGGTGGTGTATTCAGATCGTACGAGTGAGATCCTATTACCTTTGTCACTGTGAACTTGGCGTGTCTGGCGTCTAATTTCTTTGTCGGCCTGTCGGTGCGTATATTCTTGAGGTTCAGCCATACTTTGTCTCCTACACGGAAATTTGGGGACTGTTGGCGGTGGCGGTTTGTTGTTTCTTTCATCCGCTGTTGAGCTGATACCATCGACATTTGGGCCCACTCTCTAGCTTGTTTCAGCTGTCGTACGATGGCGTCTGCCTGTGAGATTGGAGAGTGGTGGCTTGTGTTTTCTGTTAGGTTATGATGGAGGTCCAGAGGTCGTATATGGTAGCCATGGGATAGGAAGAATGGGCTCACACCAGTCGCGGCTGCGTCTCTACCATTGATAGCAATCTCGGCCGAGGGCAGTAATTCGTTCCAGTTGTCCTGTGCGTAGTCCACAAACATATTTAGGTAGGTCTCGATTGTCTGGTTCATTCGCTCCGTAGACCCATCAGTTTCAGGATGGAAAGCTGTGGATAGGCGTCGTACGATGCCTAGTAACTGGCATACCCTCGTCCAGAGCTTCCCTACGAATTGTGGGCCTCTATCAGAGACGATAGCACGTGGGAGGTGGTGTTGGCGGTAGTAGACTCTTATAAACCATTTTGCGAGCGTCTCCGCAGTAATATCAGGTAACCCATCAACCATAACTCCTTTTCCTAAACGATCTGTGATCACCACCATATTCGTACAACCTTGGCTCTCAGGGAGATCAACTATAAAGTCGATCGAAATTTCTTGCCAGATCTGGTCAGGGATAGGTAATGGTTTCAGGAATCCTTGCCTCCTATCGCGCCAGGTAGTATTCCTCCCACAAACATCGCAATTTCGTACGAATCGTCGTATATCCTGATGCATTCCGGGCCAGAAGTATTGTCGGCTTATTATCTGGCTAGTGTTATCTCGTCCTGGGTGTCCACACATCTTTGAGTCATGGGTTTCAGTGGCTTTACGAAGCGAGGCGGTAACTTGATGTATCTAGGAGGTAATGGGTTCTACTAGGTTGCTGACATTGACCCTGCACGCTCTCATCGTCTCGAAATACGGAAGGGCGATCAAGGTTGCCGATCTTTGACTTTCCCCGCTGGTGAACGCACGCATGGTCTAATAGGAAACCTTAGAGGGCTCTGGCGTAGCCGCGGGCGCGCTGCAAACTACCTCTTCGGTATCGGCCCATGTGCTTTCGGTACTGGCTTAGGGAAAGCATATGTCCCCGATTATAAACTCGCCGTGGATCCTCTCTACTCCTGGATTTTTGATGGCATTGGCCCTAATATGCTTATCGGTGGAAATGGCTTTAGTGGCGGTGCCAGCGGCGACGAAATCGACCGTGTAGACTTTAAACTAGGCTCGCCGACTGGTACAATCATGCTAGCTACCAGTCAGCGCCACGACGATACCTTTGAACTTTTCAACGAAGACTCAATGTTCCCGCTAGTGAACACTTTAGGATCACAGTGTGACCGTGTCAGAAGTGATATCATCTTTAACGAGACAGTGGGAGGAGGAGGAATCTTTTCTGTTGGCAGTATCAACTGCTACAGCAGTCTATCATGGGATGGATTTAGTAATAATGTAGCCAAGATGACTGACAATGTGCTCAGAGGATTTGTGAAGCAAGGTAAGGGCAGGGCCCAATCTCACCCTGTTTATTGTGTACTCACCTTGCTCACCCCCGGTCGCGCGACGCTAAAGCAGCGCTCACCCATTACTCACCCTGGCGACACCCGACTATTTTCTGCGTTTAAGCCACACGCCGGTCAGTTAGTAGTATGGTGGGTGACCACATGCGAATCCTGACTGTTGTATGTTTTTGTTTTTTTATTATCCATTGTCCCAAATCTCACCCTGTTTATTGCGTACTGACCTATATTATCTCAAGTATAGAACTGTATAGCACATACGACCATAGGGTGTGGAGAACAGGGCTTCCCGTCCGCTCAGCCGTACTTAAGCCACACGCCGGTTAGTTAGTAGTATGGTGGGTGACCACATGCGAATCCTGACTGTTGTATGTTTTGTTTTTGCTATTTTTAGCCTCGTTTATCTTCAACTAAGAGAAAATACTGTAGGCTTGTTAGCGAGTTGCACCCGCAATGGTAGGACGGGCAGAATGGAGAGCGGAGAAGGAAGCGGTAATGGGATCCACATTAACTCCACTCACTTAGAGCTTCCCTTCTTGCCGAAACCTCGCCTTAAATAGGCGAATACGAACGCTTCATTACTTAGTATGAAAATAACTACCCGCAAGGAACTAGTTCTTTTACACTCAGAGTGTTACTGTCCGCCCAGATTAACCCGTGAATGGCTCAAAAATTGTGTATAGATAAATGGAGGGCACCACCACATCCAAATGGCGTTCCGACTGACTGCGGAGCCCTCACATACCTAAACAAAAAAATTAGGAACCGTTCTCAAACGATCCTACAAGCCGAGATTCAGAAATACACATCGCGATGTATAGCAGACGCCGCTTTACTCCCCAAGGCCTAGCCGTGCACTTTCAATAATCCATCACTTCCATAGTCAGGTACAACAAAACTTAAATTTTTTTAAAAAATCATCACAGCATAGCAGCCACTGCAGCAGCAAAAATTGGAGCAGCTGTAATCAAAGCAGCCGCAGGACCAGCAGCAGCACCAGCAGTCTGAGTCGCAGAAGCCAACCCTGCAGTGACCGTCAACTGATAATAGTCAGTGGCAACTGTCACCGTGGGATAATCTTTCTTGGTAGATGTGGAGGATACATAAGAGGCACCATCCTGGGTGCCAGTAACGCCGATACTCATTGTACACTTGAGTGACAAGGTGGATTGCTTCATAGAGCAGTCCCAGGACTCGGTAACAGTGAGATCGTATGAACTTTCTTTGTTCGAAGTAGAAGCGGTGTAGATCATATCGACATTCACGGTCTCAGGACCCTGTATGATCGTGTATGAATTCTTCATATTGCAATCTGTCTTGGGGGCATCTTTTGAGCAGCCGACATGGTACGTGGCAGCCTTGGTATTGAGACTGGCGAGACTGGCAGCAGTGCTTGTCCAGCCGCCATACTCAAGCATTCCGACATCCCAGGAAGGAGAGAAGTAGCCAACAATCTCGGTGCTGGATTTATCATCGGCTTTGACAAGCGTAGCAAGTGCTGCTGCGAGGAAAATGGAGAGACGCATATTGATGACTGAAAGGTTCAAGGATCGGTCTTTTGAAATTAATAGGTCCACGATCGTGAGAGAGGTAGAAACCTATAAAGTAAGACCTATGGATACAGAACACTTTATATGGCCACGCCGGATGGGTACTCCTTTTAAATGAGTTGCACGCCACCAGAGTGTATTTCCTTGAGTCACTTCGTTAAACTTAGCTGAATACTAGTATGATAAATGATTTCACTAGCGTACGGGTAAGGACGGATGGATACCGAGGTAGTACCTCTATCTACTCCATAGTTCCGAGCAACAAAGTCTTTAATTGCTCTGAGATGAATTAAGTTAAACCATTCAACAGACTACCGATATGGGTATAAGTCACTCAGATGGTAAACTACAAAGAAACCTCGAAAGACTCAAACGACCACTTTGAGTCGGAGCCAAAGGCTTTGATGCCGGACAATAGTAGAACAAAAAAAACGCAACGATGTCACTCTACTACGCTTAATAAAACTTAACCAGGCAACCAGGCTGAACTAGTGCGGATCCAACTTTGAAAGAGCCTCTAAAGTCTCGTTCAGATAATACTAGGTCCAACTCTTGGACATTAGACTTCAGTAACACGTAGATTGATTTTACTAAATTCATGTGATTAGAGGTGCGATCAGAGGTGCGATCAGAGGTGCTGAAGTGGTAGTGAGGCTGGGTGAAGTGCTCAATCCGTTGAAATTCGTATTTCGGGTTTAAGAAGACAGACCCACTCAAGGTGCCCGTTCCTTCGGTGACCCTGAAAGGGGTTCAGTAGTGAGTGTACTGTGGTATGGCAGTGTGGTCGCGTTAGTGTGGTACTTCCAAGCCCCACTATAGAGCTAGTTTTCTGCCACTTTTAAATACTGTGTAGTGTATTTAAGCACTAATATTACACACAAAATATAATAAATTACATACTATTCTATTCAATTCAACACCACTTATTTGATCCAACACCATTTATTTGATTCAACACCATTTATTCAATTCAACTCAACCACCCTAGAACTAGAACTAAAACTTGGTATGGCCACTATTAGCTGCGATGACAGCTTCACACCTCTCCTTCATCAGACCAATCTGACGCTCTAGGAACGCCTCTGCCGCCTCCCACGCCTCCTTTACCACTCCACGTAGCTTATCATATGAGATCTTTGTATCAACTTGGAGGTAGTGATCTCCAATCCAGTCCTTCATTCAGTTCCATATCTGTTCGATGGGATTCAGATCAGGGGGAAATGCAGGCCGCTTCAATAAGCAGTTCGTTTATTGTCGCTATAGCTTTATGACCAGGAGCGTTATCATGCATAAAAGAAAAATCAATACCATCCATGCTAGCCAACTTTACCATCCCATCTATAAGAGGCATAATCCTCTCACGGTATCTCACAGCATCAATTGTACCCCATTCTTTCTCCCAAAACACACAAGGTCCCTTTTCAGAGCCATAAAAGGATCCCCAGAACAACCATCCTTGTGCCTGTTGATGTCGTACTCGGAGACAGGAGTCATCTAATTCCTCTCCAGGCCTCCTTGTAACCCAGATTCGCCTGTGAAACACTGCTGTAACCCAGGTTTCATCGGACCATAAGACCTCCTTCCACTCCTCAGGGGTCCAGTGTAGATGCTCGAGAGCCCATTTAAGTCGAGCCCGGCGAGTAGGTTCGGAAAGAGGAGGCTTCCGGAGTGCTACACATCTAGTATAGCCTCTTTTTTTCATAGAATACCGGAGGGTAGTCCAGTGGACATCAAGGGATAGATGACGGACAATCTCTTTCCAGATCATCCGTCTTGCTACTGCAGAAGAACAGATGAATGACTCAATATCATCTAACTCCGCTTCAGACAGCTTAGGAAGCTGTCCACGACGTCGACGGGGCGTCGGACGGGAGTCACTGCAGGCTAGCTGCACCTGACGATAGGTTATACCTATCTAATCAGAGATCTCTGCATAGCTGTAGCCTTGCAGACGTAATAACCGCGCATTAAGACGCTCATCGCGTGATGCAGGAGCCCGAGCTCTCGGGGCCAATAACACTGAAATAGTGGTGTATTACACCAATCTATATTAGGTAGGCGGTATATGATCCACTTGTATGGCAAAGTACCACACTAACGCGACCACAGTAGATAATCGGCTAATGATATACCCGAATTTAGCATCTAGAGCCTAGGTTTGCGAAAGTCCCAAGACCGAGGTTGAAGGATCTCGGTGCCCCTTCTCCAAGTTCGAACGTGAAAATTTTGGCCGAAAAAGAACTGCAAGGAACCGAGACCGATGATGGGAGCATAGTGCCCTTCTCTCTCTCTTTTTACTACAGTTGTCAACCTAGAAAAGAGGGGGTGTTGTTTGTACTGCTTGTAAGATCCATAACGGGCGTGTATTTAGTAGTGGCTTTTCACCCCTGGATAGAGAATTAAGTTTCGTCAACGAAATTCGAGCTTCCATCACCAGGCTTCAGCTTGTTACAGATTCAGCCGATATTTTCAACTTTGACGAGTTAGGTTTCGCGATGGGGGTAAATACGACTGAGAATATCATTACGTCCGCTGAATATCATGGTCGGAGAGCTGTTTTATAGCCTGGAAACCGTGAATGAGTGACGGTAATTGAGTCTATAAGGTCAACTGGAGAGTCTCATCCACGTTACTTTATCTTTAAAGGAAAGGTGTTTATGGAGCATTGGTTTGAAGAAAAGGGGGCCTAGTTAGAGCTTAAATAAGAGCTGCAATGGCTGGAAGAGCGATCCGATTGGTATCGATTGACATGAAAAGCATTTATCCCTAATATCTTGAATAGAAGGGATGAAAATTGTTTTCTAATCCTAGATGGCCACTCGTCTCATTTAACACTAATTTTCGACGATATTTTTAAGAATCATGATATCATTGCTTTATGTATGCCTCCGCATGCATCAAATCTTGTACAGCCTCTAGATGTGAGCCGTTTTGCGCTATTAGATAAATATTATGGTGGTGAGGTTGCGGGGTTAATGCGATATGGAATCAACTCAATCAATAAAGATGAATTCCTTGGGATCTTTCCTGATGCACATCTAAAAGCTTTTAAGGTAAATAATATAATTAATAGCTTCAAAGTTACTGGTTTAGTGCCATTAAACCCATCAGAAGTGCTTGACAATCTAAATCTTCAGCTTGAGTGTCTGCTAGATTTAGAATTACCTTCTGATCGTCCGACGTCTTCTGGCTCTAATAGCGACGATAATGCTATTTGGAGCTTAAAACGGCTTAAGAATCTAGATTTCGCATCGATTCTAAGCTGGAATCTTCTTCTTCTCTTATTCCATTTCCTATTAAAAGGGGTGGAAGACGTTCTATGATCGCACTACCTGGACGGTCCACCATCACATTTTTCTACATGATCGCTGTGGCCATTCAGAGAAGGCGAACAAGAAACTGACGAAAAAAGAAGAAATTTATGGAAAAGTAGTTGGCTTATTTAGGTAGTTAAAGGGACTTAGACGAGATTCAGGTGCCTGTTGTTGAAGAGACCGATTTCTAAAGCAGAGTTAATTATGCGAATCATGCAGTGGAGAAAGAATCGAGAGGAGTAACATGGCAATTTTCCTATCAATCAAAATTCTAGAAGGAACCAGGCTAACAATACAAATTAGGCTGTGTCCTCTATTCTTTGCCAATTGAGCCTCAGCTGCAAATTTTAGCCGAGCGTTATGGCTGGAATGTGGACGAAGAGCTGCGTTTTCCGTGGCTACATTTTCATTTTCTGCGATCCTGGTTGGAAAGTGGAGGCGATGTATACACCTCTGGCATATTCAACTACATATGCGCCCTTAAGGGCGGCCGGTGCTGCCTTTGTGTTGACCAGGGAGATCTTTCTGCATTGTACCTTTTGAGCAAATTCGATGCCCCGTCGTTTTCTAGCTTGATTATGCCGCCGTTGAATGTTGCTGGAGGTGTGCGCAAACTAGCTAACTCTTAGAGTGAAAGTGCTGGGCCGATAATTTAGAACTGCCGCCAATCTGTCTTTCCAGATAAATTTAACAGGAACTGCCAGACAGGTATGTACATTGAAGGAACCATATACTGTGGGATGGTCTTTAAGAGGGATTTGTTCAGATCCTTGGTTAAATTCTATATGCCTTATCGCAGTTGCTATGCATCCTCGAGCTTCACGGACTCGACTTGACTCATAGTAAGAAAACAAAAGTAGGTCAACCTCTAAGCTTTGATTGCCCCCAGCCATGAATAAATCCATAATGGATTAACTCGTTTCCTTGCTTGCGAATAACAGATGTTGAATGTGGTGTTCAACTTCACTCAGCTCAACTCTTTGTCCACGCAATTTGACCTGGGTGTCCCTACGACCCACAAAGTTAAGCGTACCATCTGGATTGTAATAAACAAGGTCACCAGCCTTGTACAGTTGATTGGAGGATCTGTCGGGGCGGAGCCCCGCTCGAAGCCAGTCAGGAGCGTCAATAAAGACAGATACAGTTCGGTCGGAGTCATGAGGGCGACCTAAGCTCTCCTACTTCTCCTACTAGAGCCAGCTTATTGTGATTGTTGGGATTCACAACCCAAGTGGCCGCGCTATGACCTCGTCCGATGTTCCGGGGGTCACTGTTTATGGTCAAGACATTGATAGCCACAAGCAAACACTCAAATGGCCCGTAAACATTGACCAACTTTAACTTCGGGGCTCATTGTGCAACATCTGTGACGCTGCTAAGTTCTCCACTAAACTTGAGGGTTTTTAGGCTGGGAACAGAGTCTGGATTCATCAAACGCGCCACAGAAGGGGTGAGATCGGCCGAAGTGACTTCGGGATGGTTGATGGCACCAACAATATCATTTTGAAGTCCCCGCTCCCGTGGTACGCACACACATTCCCCAATAATCAGTGTGGAGAGAATGATATCCGTACTGATGTCAAAGCTATACGAAGCAAAGTCAAATACGCGAGATGATGGCTCCTCCAGAATGGACCGTCGATAGTGTACCCCCGATATGAAACTTCGGTGGGAGCTCATTACACCCTTGGGTAGCCCCGTACTTCCAGAATTAAATACAATAAAGAGAGTTAACTCTGGGTCAAATGTGAAAACAGAGCTTGGAGCAGCTGGCATGGAAATGAGGATGCCATGGGAAACCAGCATGATCTGTGGCGATATTTTGGATGCCAAATTCTGCTGTCCAGGGGAGGCAACCATAAATTTGGCGTTTTTGAGAGAAAAAATGTCTCGAAGACGGGTTTCGGGCTGGTTTGCACCAAGAAGCACAAATGCGCCCCCGGATTTGATAGTCGCCAATATTGCCACGATCGTCAATGCCGATTTCTCCAAGCATAAGGGTACAATGATTTCAGATTCCACTCCTCTCTTTTGAAGCTAGTAGAAAGACAACTATTTATGGAGATTAAGTGCCTTTGCATATCTAGTGGCTATATTCTTTTCCGATTTCCTTAGTGTGCTATATATACTCTTGCAAGATTCTTAACATAAAGCGCCACTTGGTATTCGCGACCTTGCCGCACATCTAGGGCACAAATTTCGTAAGCTTCTCGTGCTAGGTTCTAAGGTTCATTCAGATTTTCCCTAGCTCTCCTAGAGACCGACCAGAAACTCATTCGATTATCCAACAAGATGATGATACTAGTTGTATCTCGCTTATCTGTAAATCGCCTCAATGAAACCTTGTGGCTATCTCTACTTTGAAATACCTAGGAATAGGATGACAGGATCTGAATTAACAGAAATCTACCATCCATAGAAATCGTCATGTGTTCAACTTGACAAGATTCATCGAGATTCACTATTCAGAGTACCGAATACCTAGGTACTTTCGCTCTAAGCATTATTCGTTACATAAAAATATCGTGGGCCTTATGACCAACTTGATATTAAATGTGGATGGATGAAGCTCGTATTCTTAACCAATAATGAGTTAGATTCTAATTCCCTTTAACAGAGATCTGGACTTTCAAGATAGAGAGGAAAATACGGAAGAAGAATTCATTCTTTACGGAATTTCTCTCTTCGTTCTAACTTATTTAACGTCGTTCAAGACCGCTGATGAAAATGTTTCTCTGGCCAAGCAAGGGCATCACCTATGCGTTTACGAATATCACAAGCCTGACTCGTGACAGTAATATGTTCTCGGTGCAAAGGAAAATGTACGCGTTTTCAAGACTTCAAACGTCTTCTTATTCTCTAAAGTATAACTCATTGAATGAGTACCATCATAGAGAGATTCAGTGGCTTCCAAATTTTATTATTCTGTGCTAGAACGGCATTGGGATACTAAATTCTGGTCCTTGACGCACGAAATGCCTCTAACTATCATGTAACTAGTTAGGCACTGGATAACAAAATAAGTACCTAGTCCTAGTTTGATTAAGCTTGAATTTAATGGTCACCCCACATGTTCATATAGTAGACGCACATATATCTTGCTGCGTGGCAAGAAAGTGCAGCAAAGCTAGATCCGTTCCTTTGATTCCGATCCTATACTTTAAGACTCAAAAAACCTACTGGCCATACACATAAGGATACAAATGCTATGCCCCGCATATTCGTATAAACTTTGTCACAAGATCTAGCCTATAAAATGATCATAGCATAGAAAGTAAATTGCAGCGAAAGGGTTGTATGTTCGCTTTCAGATCTTGTCACAGTGCCAGCTCTGAGCGGGTCTCGTATCAATATGTAAAGACATCAAGGGTCTCTCACTACTAGTCTAGATTAAAATTTGATCCTTAGCATATTCTTTTTACACGCATTCACCAATCATCAGTTCCCTCATTTCCTATGCTTTTGACTACCTTCTTGGAACATTGACACCTGTATCTAGTCCTATCTCTGTTCCGTATTCGTCTTCTGTCTACCAGTTAGCTTAATCGAGTTAAATTCTGTCTCCTGTCCTGCGACTTCCGATACGACCCTCCTACCAACCTATGACGTATCTCCTATACAAGTGTTATTGTCGCTCGCTTAGCGAGCGTAGCTAGCTAATCGCTCGTTACTGAGAACAGTGAGCTCCAACGAACCGCTACTCAACACCGTAGACAATCCACCGATCTGGTAGTGGATTCCTACTAGTTGAATATTGCAGTTGTTGTGAAGTCTGCTTTTTCATTGATGAAAGAACTAGCTACTTATAGTACATGGGCGCCCCTCTGCTCTGGACGAATGTCAACATTCTTCCGAGACAGAAGAGACGGTGAAGACGGGACATTACTGTCGCGAATGCGCATCGCTCAAGGGTGTCGTTTGCGATGAATGCATATCGTTCAAGGATGCCGTGATATACTAATCCAGTTCCGGAGTCGCTGTCTCGGCAGAAGCTTTTTCGGCCGAAATACTTTCCGTCTGTTGATGGCCTTGTTTCTCGGCTGTCGCAACAGTTATAAAATAGTTTTTTAGAGTAGAATTAGTAATGATTCATCATCTCAGTATATAAGAGCGAGTTTATTCTTCCTATAGATATTAGAAAGTTTTGTTCTAAGGTCTCTCTACAGATCACATTACCTTATTAACGCTTCCAATCATCCAGGTATGTTGAAGATTAAGATTTGTTGATACTAGTACATCCTAGTAGATAAATAATGAATAAAGCTGATACGTTACACTAACTACAGCCGCTAGAATCAAAATGCAGAGCCTCTTATTGATTCTTCTTACCACTTTTGTTTGGTTTGGAGCTATACACTCCATAGATTAAGCTCCCAAGCACCTTGAAGATGCCGTGAAAACAATCCATGTTGATCCCCATAAACACCTGATTCCTACAGAGGATCTTACACTCCTCAATTCAACTGAGGGTGCCACTGGTGTTTACTATCCTACCCAAAAATTTGAAGCATTAGAGCTGAAGCCAGGAGTGAAATACACGTTCAATAACAATACGCTCAGCAAGCGTAGCGGCACACGCGAAATCGCATTTTGGGGGAATTATAACTGTGGAGGAGTAGTCAGATGCTATGTGAGCAACTTTTACTGCGGCACATGCGTTATTTGGCCCGGGGCAGCGGTCAGTGCGGAGCTAGAGCAGCAATACAGCAGCAATCCGAAGCCGACGGCATCGTTATTCAGCGGTCCCGGCTGTTCAGGTACCTACCAATCTATTGGTATTGCGAGTGGATGGCTCTCAAGTTGCACAAATAGCAATATTGTCGGAGGCTGGCATTCGGCAATCTTATACTATAACTGCTGAAAATAAGTGTACAGGGCTTCTACCAGTTGATGTGACAGTACTGCTTGATAGTTCTCATGGCTTATAAGCTTGTTATGGCTAAGAATATGCTACAGTCGCTGTATGGAGTTCCCATAGAGTTTAAGCTCGGTCGACTGGAACAGGGTGTCATTCATTATCTATATGGTCAATAAACAGCATCTGTAATGTTTTGTGCCGGTACATCAGTACCAAGTGTTGAATATCTATCCGAAATGGTAAAGAAGAGGTTAACGCCCACTTCTGACACCTATTACAGGTAATGCTTTACGCCCCTATGATATCTGTGTGTCTTCTTGAAGTGGTTGTAAAGTCTGAGTTTCATTCTTAGTTTGCTATCTATTATAAAGTAACGATTGGGTCACATGACTGCTGTGTTCCATATTCCAACATTTTGTCATAGCCATGTCGAGAAAGTAGGGGAAGCTGAGATCAATAATAGTCCCTTTAGAAGGCCATAATTTTTGGGGAATTTTCACCGCAATCACAACTTCAGAATACGGTCTTCCAAAGGTTATATAGCTAATAGGCAGTGATCTATCGGAACAAAATTGAAAGCTGCGAGTCTCCCAAAACGATTGACTCATCTTCATTTTAATTAGGCTATCCTAGAATGTTTACAATCCAGCCAGAATCTCGTCTTACCAACTTCGAACTGACCAAACCTCGTCGACAACCTATGATAAAGAATTTATAAATTTAACTCTACAGAGATCAAATAGATATACGGCTTTGGTCTGTGCATATGCTTTTGCAATAATGCAAATTATGGGCAAATTCAATGAAAATTTGATTCCAGACATCAGCGAGTGCATTCAATAATATTTGAATTCAAATTCAAGAATACAGTACTGACAAACCCACCTACGGAGAAAGAGAAAGACACCAACCAATTCCGTGATCCAACAGCCACAGAAATGTCTGAATTACTCAATGCCAGCCTATCCTCCACTCGATGTTAATGATAATGAGGCGACAGTAAGGTGATAGGAAAACCTCACAGTTACTTCGCATCAGGAAGAAACCAAACCATCTCACTCTCGGCTCCAAGACTCCAAATTGACAATCTAATATCGGACCCATGGATTCAGATAAACACCAGATATAGTTGAGTGAAATTGAGGTCACAGTAATACTACCAACCTTGGAACGTAACATTCAAAGGACCGTCACCACACTAGATACTTGAATATGCCAAAGTGTGAGTCCACGAGTGAAAGGAAAACTTAGATCATATGGTTACAGCTTCGCCTTCGCTCTAGTATTGGCTCTAGTATTGTGATTGAGATAATACTAGATCTGAGATAGAGCCAGTTCTATACCGGCCCTGGAGCAGCTGGACCACTGATATGTGTCCGCTCTCGGCGGCCCACCATGAGGGCATCTGGCCAAATTTGTCCTTAATGTTGGGGTCAGCTCTCGCTGTCGAAAGCAGCAACTCAACGACACTAAATTGACCGTTCTCAGCCGCCCAAGAAAGCGGTGTCCGACCGAGCTGATCTCTTGAATCTACCTCAACGCTGTCTATTGCAAGAAAATACCTCACGATACCCTCGTAGCCACACTGGGCGGCAAAAGATAGTGGTGTTCGGCCCAGACTATCCATTGTGTCGACCTCAATTTGCTTAATTTGAAGAAGTCGAGCCACAATAGCTTCCTGTCCGTTTCTGGTGGCACGACACAGTGGTGTGCGACCTAGACTATCCCTCGAGTTTACCTCGATCTTTTCAGTCGCGAGCAGCATCTCGACTATTTCACTGTGTCCGTTATGAGCTGCCCATGAAAATGGTGTGCGACCCCACTCATTTTTTGTATCGATACTGACGTCCTCTTTGGCGAGTATGAGACGGACAACATCCTTGTGCCCATATTTTGCAGCCCACAATAGAGGCGTCTGGTTATGTGCATCCACTGAGTTAGGATTGGCGTTTTTGTTATATAGAAGCTCAAAGACTTCTAGCTGGCCTTCTCCCGCCGCTCGTACTAACCACGCATCACGCAGTGATGGCACCTCCGAGACATCGATGTTTAATCCACCTAACACTGCCGGATAACTCGCGATCGCATGGCTCTCCCACATGCTAGATGCGTATTCGAGAAAGCAGTGCTCCTGAAAGATAGTATCTAGATCTGAGGAATCAATTTGGAATGCATGAGCCTGGTAAAGGTTGATTGAATGGCCGCTGTGAAACTCATTGCTACTCAAATAGCGCCAGCACACCTGAAACATGACAAGATTTGCTGTATCCGGGGATGTGCGATACCATACATCATAAGACCCTCTCTTGCCTCCAAGAAGAAAATCCTTTAATGATTGGTGGCAGAAGGTGATCGTGCTTTCCTCAGGGTTGCTCGCAGCATCTTGATAGATAATGGAGCTACATAAAGAAAGAATATCCATGTATTTATGAACATCTACTCTTGTAATCACAAGGCCGTCCTTCCAAAGAGCAAAAGACGTCGCTATCTCTCTTTTTTTCAAGGGACGCTGGGCGGTAGCCATGCTGAGCAAGAGAAATCGAGCTTCCTCCCACCTTTCACGAGGAATATTCTCGTTCAAAATTTTGATGTATGTCTCCTCGAGCCCTTCTGGTAGAGTGTTGAGTTTGTCCGGCACGTCGTAGTTCGGTGTGTTTTTCAGCTCGCTGAGCATCAGAGAGACCCACAAAAAAGTCCCTCCAGCCCGACTCTTGAGAGCCTTTGCAACATCATATTTCAACGTCGAGCTGTAGTTTCTTCTCATCGCCAGTTCTGCAACTTTGAAATCAACATACTCGGAAAGATCTCCACTGACCTCTGCTGAATCAAATTCTAGAATCTTTCCAACTCCATAGAGCTCATATTCGATATCACTGATTTCCTGTCGGCTAGTGATCAAAAACTTGACTTTGTTTCTGTATTGCCCCGGTGATTGGAAAATCTCCCTCAGAGCAGAAAGGAGATGGTTGCGTGTGGACTTGTCACACTCGTCAAAAGCATCAATGACGATGAAGACGTCGCCAGCACGCTCATCTTTCAACATATCTTCAAAGATTCGCCAGAGGGTAGTGAAGTTGTCAAAGAGGTCAATAAAAATTCGGCCTTCTTTATGTTTCTCATAATCATGTCGCAGGTGCTCGAACAGTTCATTTTTTTGTAACAGCAGCTGCCAAACCAGGCTCCTGACGATTGCAGTCGGCATCTTGCGATCTTGAATCTTGTCATCACAAAAAAAGTACGCCAAGACTTGATCGTCAGATTTTTCAACTTTTCCTTTGAGAAGTTCAATGAGAAATATAGACATCATTGTCTTCCCAATTCCAGGGGGCCCAGTAAGGCGCAAAAGCCGCGACTGGTTAGCGACACACCAATCAGAGAATTCCTCTCGTCTTAATATCCACTTGCAGGTACGTCCTACCCTTTTCCCTTTATGAGACTGAACACCTAAGAGGATATCGCGCGGATTTGGAACTCTCATTTCTTGCAAGCACTTCTGAAGGTCGCCAAATGTAGTGTTTTGGTTGAACGGAAGAGCTTTTGGATTGCGACGGCGTCGAATCATCTCCCTAGCATTCCGGACCATTCGTTCAATTTCCGGATAGACACTCTTAAACGATGGATCATCAGGGCCATAAAATTTATTTATCTTTAGATGGTCTGTATTGAGAGATATCTTGTGATGTCCATCGATGCAAGCGCTGGTCTCGGGCACAAGCTGAAGTTTGTAAGGAGAAGGTAGCAAAGAGTGTGTAAAAAGTACGTACCATCTCCTTGTGGGATACCAGCTTCCCAACATATCCTATCCTCGATGAAAAGTCTGTCTTGAGCTGCTCGAAGCAGCACACAACGGGCACTGACTCGGAGAAGAGCCAAGATGAGAACTCATGTAGCCGATCTATCAGAGTTTCCGAGTGCTCTTCTAGGTTCTGTAAGATTCTCTTTTCGGAGTGGAATCCAGCAGGTGCTAAACTGGCAATAATTGAACCCCAAGCGGCGGCGGCACTACCTCGATGAGGCGTACCCAAGAAGACAACACCGGCACAAGATTCAGCGATTTCATGATGCGATGGGCTACGAAATGATGAGACAATAGCCTATGAGTCATTAGCAGAAGATAATTGCGGGTTTCCGAGGCCTACCAACCTGCTCAATGAGATTGCCTCCGAAACTATGGCCGATAAAGATCAATGGTCTTTCCCGGGTCTATTAATTAAAACCAGTTGTTCAGATGCAATAGCTTATGATTAATCAAACTCAATGCGCTTACCTTCTCACGCTTGTTTCTCAAACTATCCAACAAACTATCCGATATGTTGGAAAGTCTTTGCTGAGGGGCGTTCATGAACCATTTTGAGTCGTAATTGAAAGTCATGACTCGACAAAAGATTCCAGCAGACGAAAGCTTTATCGGTAGCAGCTCTTTAAGCCAGTTGTAGTGCTGTTGCGGGTACTTAGAGGCTCCTGGAGGGTTATTAATTGGTTGCCAAACCCAAGCATAATCTGGATTTGCGGCGAGTCCATGTACCGCCACGATACTAGAATGATGTCAGAAGTTAGATATTTGCTCAAATAATATCAACATACTCTAAATCTGCATTTTCGTGGTCATGTAGAATCTGTATCGGATATCCAGCAGCGGGCGGACTGCTGGTGACTCGTCGCCATATAGAGGGTCCCAAAGCAAGGTTGAATCGAATCACGCCCGACGTATATGCGAAATAAAGGAGACAGCAAAGCGATAAAGCACTTATGATCGCGCTGGGAGATATTACGAGTATTGCAGTGATAGCAGCAATAGGTATGAGTAAAGACATGTTAGCTGCCCATTCTCCTGTCCGTTGCCGCTAGAGAACATGCTAAGGGTTCTTACTTTAGCAGTAGATTAAATATATTTGTTCCAGGTACAGCCCCAATGTTAGTAAGTGGTTTTTGTGAATGATGTTCAAAAAATGGCTAGTTGATTACATAGGTAGTCAGAGCAAGCCAATTATGAGTTACGCTTGAGAGCGCCACTGAGCAAATCGCTATCACCTGGACACAGCAGACTGACATGTATTGGCGCCTCATTGAATATACAAATCAATCAACCAATGAGACGACAAGTACAAAGCCTCATACTCCCCATGTACTATGTAGTTTTGTGGGGAGGTAAGTTTGTTGTTGATTTCTAATCTGACTTCTAATCTGCACCGCAGTGAGTTCGCCCGGTTTAGTTCATAACCTCAGCCTACCCTTGACGTTCGCATGGGAGCGCACTGATCGTCTCATCGAACCCTGAGTTCAGCTGGGGGTCCGTGTGACAGTTGTCAACGAATTGGGCGATGCGTACCCATTCATCCAGCTTCTCAGTGGGTGAAATGAGCAGTCAGAATACATGTCGTATTCAATCCTCTCGAGTGAATGATATCTTCTTTTTATTTCTCGACCTTGGCAACTAGTGACTATTCCTTTCCATCGGTACATGAGTACGGTACGTAAGATATATATGTAGAGAGTCAGCCTTTACAAATTATGAACAAGTAGCATACCCGAATGAAGAAAATAAAGGCTACCAATGACTGTTCTAGCTGAAAAAAATATTCAATATTAGTATGGGTAGTCTCTTCAAAGTCTTCAGGTTGAACATGAACCAACCAAGTTTACCACCGACCTCGGAGTACTAATCACGCTTTCGAAGGCTCCTATTGCTATGACTGGTCGCACATATTGATTATAAATAGAGAAATGTCCATAGCGTTGATTTTTGAGGGGAAGTTGGAGTATTTTATTGGTGCACCCCCAAACCTTCCACTGTTGACCGCTGCCCCTCTTACATCCTCCACAAACTCTTCGACTCTTCTTGCGTCTCGTCTTTATGTGCTGACTAGGACTTTTCTTCGCCAACTGAGCGTCAATTGATTAATTAGAGTTCATCTAGCAACTAGAACAGTCGTCAATCATGACAGTCATAGCCGAGAGCGGGCTTCGTCCCACGAAAGGTATCCATTGCCCAAGAGAACTACATACTCTGCAGTATGATAACACATGCTAGTCTGGACAACCCTCATTACTAATACGGCCTATCTGACGGGCCTCTTGACCTTGGAATACTCTCTCCGCAAAGTGGGCTCCAGGTATCCGTTGGTGGCTCTCTATACAGACACATTCCCCGCCGAGGGTCACGAAGCCCTCGATGCCCGGGGAATAATGAAGCAACGTGTCGAGTATCTCTTGCCATCAACACCCAAAGAATACATCAATGACCCACGTTTTTACGATTGCTGGTCTAAGCTCACGCCGTTCTCGCTCGTGGAGTATGAGCGCGTAGTGCAGCTGGACAGCGACATGCTCGTCCTTCAGAACATGGACGAGTTGATGGAGCTCGAACTAGACGAACCAGAACTGAATGGCAATGGGGATCGCGTATTTGCCGCTAGTCATGCCTGTCTCTGCAATCCGCTTAAAAAGCCTCATTACCCGGTTGACTGGTAAGAGTGCTCATTCTTATCAGCTATCAACTTATTTTCGCCGAAATGGATGCAAATAAATATACCCGTATTTCGTTTCTGACAATTTCAAAACAGGATCCAGGCCAATTGTGCTTTCTTTTCTCAGCATGATAATCCGGATGCTGCGCAGGATATTGGTGCTCCACCAACCACGGGCCTTGGCATTCCGAATGGTGGCCTCCAAGTAGTGAATCCGTCGAAAGGGATTTACGAGAAAATTGTTTCTCAGCTCGCTTCCTCTGCAACTTCAAGTTACGAATTCGCCGACCAGTCTCTCCTCGGAGATATGTTCTACGGGCGCTGGGTTGCAATCCCATATATCTATAATGCTCTCAAGACCCTGCGTTGGGAAGGCGTGCATGACACTCTCTGGCGCGATAAGAAGGTGAAGAATATTCATTACATCCTCAGCCCAAAACCGTGGGATGAATTTCATGAGGGTCTTCAGAAAAGCCAGGACCCATCGCATATGTGGTGGATTGAAATGAATGAGGACAGAGTCAAGGATGAGGAGCAGAGGGGCAAGAAGGATGGATTCTGAGCTCTTGAGCTCTTTGCATCAAATTACTAGAGAAAATGAAAGTATATAAAGACAGTAGCATATTGAAGCAACACTGAGCAAGATATTTAATACTGTGGTTCAACGAACTGAACTCTTAGAAGTGGCATCCCAGACACGCGGTGGCAAGTTGAAACTCGTCTCTTTCCATTTCACCGATCGCATTACTACTTTGTAGGCTGGTCAGATTAACCTCTTCATTGATAATTAGTGCCATCGTTATCTCTAATCCAAGAAAGCTATTATCAGCCGCAGGAAGATGGACAAAGGTTTAGAGTACACTTTTCTCAACATTTAGGCCAATTCAGGTCGATTCAAACAGGTGGTATGGGCCGAACCATAAGTAGCAAACACCTCTTTCAGTGTGTTAAAAATCATCCTCCTTATCAGACCATAATGAGCTGTGCATAAGCACTAATGCAAATGGAAGTTTGACTAATTCTATTTGTGTAGTGTTTGACAATCACACTTGCCCAGCTTATAGTATTATCTCTACCTCTGTACCAAAATGTATAGATATTAGCGCCAGATCACGGCAGGGTCTTTACGACTTTAATAGTACATAAACTATTCGTCAATTACTAAAAATGGCGGCCCCTAGTGATCGAAGTGACTAGGTCGCGCCACGTATATGACAAATTCGGAGTTAGAAGAGTGCCAAGGCAAAATATTATAGGATGATGGAAAGTAGGCGCATATGGAAAGCATCTAGCTGAGTCGGTAGTTGCCTTGACCCACTGTGGACATGTACTTGGTTTCCAAGGTTATTCAAGCACTTGATATATAGAATTTTCTTACGTCACAACCTCGATTTACTGCATACTTCGGCCTATTGATTTGGGTAAATTTGGTCACCTACCATGTGGTCTAATTTGCTTTATATTAGGGAGGGGGATATAAGTAAAATTTGTCCAACTTTCAATCCAATCCAGGCATAGTATCAGATCAGCTTGCTATGGCGAATGAATCGAATATGGTAATATCCCATCAGCTCCTAAATCCATAAATCACTGTATTGGCATACCTAATTTATATAGACTGAGCAAACAGCTCCCTTCATAGTTGATTTACTGGAAGCATCCCCAACAGGCAACTCAAAGTCCATACCTCAAGCTGAAATACTGTTCCCATCCACATACCGGACTAGTGAAGGCGATTTGGCTCCCATGGAATCCAATGAGAGGAGATTCCTTGATTCCGAGCTGTCCGTCGCTCGGCTCGATTGTATATATAGACACCTATGTGTTGCTGGGCTTCCTTTACCACCTCGGTCGCTACACCATCAAATCGTCTTGCAGCGGGAAATAACAATTTCCGAGTCGATGGATATGCACTTGATCTGGACAGATGCACGATTATTTCTCAAGCCGATTCCACGATTCCTCCTCTCAAAAGATTTTTGGAATAAATATCTCAATTGTGAACTAGGCTGCAAGTGTGTCCAGATGAGAGGTAGGTACTTAGAGGTCCTTTTTAGCACAAAACCTTGGAATAACTAATTTAAAGTAGAAGATTGCACAATAAAAATACAGCGAAGAGTTGCTCTTGGCTTCCTACTCACATATACGGGCCTCATAACTTTTGAAAGCGACTTTGCTATTGCAAAAGAGAAAGGCCTACTACCAAGGGAGGTCACAGGATGGACCGACTGGCGCAAGTTCGTGGAACAGATCATCACACCATCAATATATAACAATATCCACCGACGGTTTTACTATGGTGAGCTTCGCCTTCGACGGCTAAACGCTGTCTACTTTTTTACGAGGTTGCAATTTTATAGGAAGCAGTGGAAGAACTACTACGGCTTCCTCGGAGACCAGATGGGTTGGTTGGCTACGACTACCATCTACATTGCCCTCGTGTTGACTGCAATGCAGGTTGGGCTTGCAACAGATCGACTACATACAAATTTTCAATATATGAATGCGGCGTATGGGTTTAGTGTGCTCGCAATTTTAGGGCCCTTGATTTCTGGTGGTCTTATATTGATAGTGTTGGTGATTATGGTTTTTGTGAACTTGCAGGCTACAAGAGTCATGTCTGCAAAAAGGTTCAAACATATTAGTGATTGTGAAAATCGAAAGGTCTGATGTTGCTTGCGTAAAATCAATGAGTATATTGCCCCCTAGGGTCCCGCCATCGTTGAAGGAATTAGATATTCAGAGGTATATGGCCTAAAAAATATATATCAGAGGGACATGTATTCGACAACAAATAATCATATAGCGGCCAGACAACAAATTACGGGTATGGCACATAGCTAACGTGAGTCAAGAATCTAATGGCAATATCCCGTAGCTCGTCCAGATCAAGCACAAATTCGTCTGCCGGGTTTTATCGCAGAAAGACGAAGGCTATTCTAGATAACTCTTCGCAGTTGAAGAAGATCGGATGTTGCTGGATAGGAGGAATAGGGAAGATATCGCGTTCTTCATCCTTGTAAGGACTTCCGGTTATTTGCGGGAGCAGAATATGGATTTTTGGGGCGATATTAGAAAACTCCATGGATTTTCTGAGAAAGACTTAAGACTCTGAGGGTGGCTAAGGAGCAATATAGCGAGCATGGCCACCCGCTTTTTTCTGGAATGACGACGAGGATTACAATAATGTAAATGCAGATAGATTCATGAGGTTATGATACAGCCAAACCCACTTATAAGCAGGATCTTGGATTTTAATACTCTATTGGGATCAATGCGATGTGCCGTTAAAAAAATGCATTCCAAGGGTCTGCGTTCAAGTGCCAGAGCCTGTGACACAATACGCCTCGCCCAACTCAAGAGTACCGCAATTATTTTTTATACTCAGATTCCACTCCTAAAATTGGGCAAACATGATGCCATGGCTCTACCCCAGGAGATACCTCTCTGTATAAAGTGCCACATATAGCACGATGAAGTTGTTCCTGTAGGATTCTCTCAGTCAGCTTTCACATCCCTCAGCATCTCATGCTATTAAAGTGACATCTTACCACTAATGGTCAGTGCTGGTCGCTGGCCCCTCCACGCTGTAGGCATCATTTGCAAGCAGGTCAGTACAGCTACTATTGATACTGGGATTCCACTTCTGCAATTGAGCTAAATACTCCTATTTGATCGTGCAAAATTTTCATCGAGCTGTACCACATACCGTCGGTAGCATACGGAATTCGCGTCTGATGCCGTCGGCGCTAGCAGAGCTACCATCATTATGCTTGTGGCGGCATTGCTAAATGTGGTGACGTCCCAGTCTGCCATTACCACACGCAGTAGCAGAGCTCTGGCACCAAATTACTGCAACTGCTGTTGACACTGGAGTTGATGTCTTTGAACAATAGAACGAGATAGTGTTTTCGAGTGCGATAGGAAAGCATATACCACCGGATTACACATCATAGTACTTCCCGCGCTTCGTTGTCGTGCTGGACGCTGTCGGTCCAGCTAGTGCCACCATTAACTTTGCGTATACCACTATCTATGTCCTATTGCACCTGCCACCGTCGTGCTGCTTCAAGAGGCACCTCCCAGGAATGCTGATACAGATATTGGTACCAGTCAGGAATTGCTACATCTAGTGTTATAAGTGTCCGTGATGCTGATACATGTATCGCTACTGGTGGCGGTGTAGGTGGTGCAAGTATATTATAAGCACAGGATCTGGCTGAATTCGATATCGTGCAGTCGGGTAGGATCTGATTGATGGTTTCCAAGGTACCGGTGGCCATCCTGTTGTTATGGGCAATCTTTTGAAAATTGCCGCCGGAGGCTACTATAAGTTGGCGTACTCTGGTAGGAAAGTTGATGATACGGTGGCCAGTTTCACGTCAGCTGGGTATAAGCTCCCATAAGTATATTATATTGACACTGATCGCAGCAGTTCGGCGGCGCTGATTTGATGGCCCAGCATCCGACAGCTTCTTCGCGATGCACTTGCATGTCAGCCCTTTCCTGTACAACGACACAGCTAACAGGTAGGCAGGTTTCTACGCTCATAAAGCGTTCCATGGACAGTATATCAACAATGCCAGCAGCGTGGACAGAAACTTGATACGACAGCCGACCTTCATATGCAATCAATATTTCCAAATTACAAGGTAAAAAAAAAATTCGGAGGCAATGTCAGATGACAAGTCGAGCCACCAATGATGGTAGCTTGTCATTTTCGGACACTTCTTTATTTAGCTCGCAATAAGATATACAAAGAATAAAACCAAAAAAAGAATGAAGCACGTCAACATCTCTTATCAAGCAGCAAAAAAGAGCTACCCTCGGCCTTGATTTGAACTCCCTCAGAAACTCCATGAAAACCACCTTGACCCATCAATGACATAAGCGACCCCGTCTTTAAATCATACTGTGAGTTGTGAGATTGGGCCTATATATATATATGCATCTCTCCGCTTCTATGGTGCTGTTTTAGTGTAGCTTGTTTCGCTTTGGCCCGCTTGTAAGGGGACACTTCTTCTTCAGCGGCAGATCGCCTGTTATCTGGAGGAGGCGACTTGGCCTTTTCGAGGACTTCATTGTCGGAGTCTTCCTCTGTCTCAAAATAGGATTTGCAGAGCTTCCAGAGTTGCTTGGCATCGTTTGGGTAGAACCGGAGAACAGTGGCATGTGTTGTCTGAAAACAGTATCGGAATGTTGCGGTTGATGCCCCGGGCCACTGTAAAGGCTCCAACTTGGCAGTCTTCATTGGACCCACGAAGAATGGCGAGATGAAATCCTTCAAAAAGATTCTTTTGTAGAGCCCGTACTGTTTTGCGACATCGCCCTCTTCTTCACTCTCTTCTTCTTCTTCATTCTCTTCTTCTTCATTCTCTTCTCCTCCATTCCCTTCTCCTCCATTCCCTTATCCTCCAGCAACAACTTCCAGATAGTATTGAGGATACTTCGGGAAATAATGCTTTATATTCTTTAATGGTTGGTAAATCTCTATTCCGGTTGCCGCTTTTACGCTCTTTTTTGTTCCGGTCTCCCAAGTCGATGAAGTACTAGATATCGACGGGCATAATTATTAGTCTAGGTGATGAGATATAACCGTATTAGTGGTGATAGGATAGGTATAGAGAAATTGTATTAGCCACTAATTGAGGTACAAAATTAATCAGGCCGGTGTAGTCCTAGATTATGAGCTATATTTCAGATATATTCAACCACCCTAAATAGCCAAAAGAAACATAAGAATCAAAGTACCTGTTTACCTGTTTACCTTTAAAGTATTCTCACCTTTTATCAAAGCCCTCTTCTAATTTATCTTTATAAGCCGATATGAAGGCTCTAATTCTTGCTCTAGTGAAGAGATATAATTAAAGAGTCAGAAGAATGATGACATTAAGTAATCCCGGCATAAAGTAACAGTGATCTACTTACCACAGAGATGAAATAGTCCTAATGAAATCTTTCTAAGTAAAACTGTGGTTAGAAGACTCAATGTTTTCAATGGTTCCTTCTACTATCAGCGACCTCTTAATCCACTAGTTTAAAATTAGTATAGGCTTATGCTATTAGAGGAAATCAGGACAGAAACATAGGCTCCCATTAAATATCTCACTTCGATCTTCTAGCACAATGCTAATCTACATATCTTCTTCGAGGCTACTAAAAAATCGCCTATAAATAATAGAACTAATTTCATGACTAGTTATCCATTTTCACTAACCCGTCCTCGAGCGGAATGAATATACTAACGGACAAATTCTTTGATAAGTTTATGATCAGGAACATTGGTTTCGTGGCCCTTTTTATGGCTTCCTTTCCCATTTTGTTCGAGGAATCTAGAAGCAGGCCAGTTTTTATCCGCTTCTCATTTACATCAAAATTAGTGGGAGCCTTCTCTTTCCTTAGCTTTATATGTTGTTGGTATATCCTGAGTCCTCTGAGTCTTTGTCGGAACATGGATATTGCAATCCCGCAATATCATAGCCCGGAACGGAACAAACAGACCCCCGAGTCACGGGGGAATGACTATTAGGAACTCGAGTAGCTAGATGAACCGAACACATTTCACACCACCTTGCGCGCCGTATATACTAAGAATCTAGGACGAACTATAGCCTTTTCCAGTGTATATATTGCAACATGTGAACCCTGTTCTTTCAACGTAGCTGATCGACAGTCTTGGCTAGTCTCTTATCTTTATCTCGAATCGCATCTTCATTTGCATACGCTCCGAAGACATAGCCATTTCCCTATAATCGTTTATAGCGTTTCTCTTTTCTCGTTGATCATGATATTATCTCTAGCCTATAGGTGACTAGGTGAAAAGGTGCCGATAAGAGAAAGCAAGTTAAGTATACATAAGAGAATGAGTGATCGATCCCTAAGTAAGCAGGGAGCAGCCAATCACGCTCACTAAGTAGGTATTGTTGAATGGAGTAACAATTTTAAATATCTAGTAAATTAGATGAAATTTTTTTTGGGTAATTACTCGTCGCGATCACATCGTATTTCATCATACATCTCTTCGCAACGGCTTCAGAAGCACTTTATCGCGAGAGAGCAATGTCATCAATTCTCATGATCATCTTGACTGTCTCTGCTGCCAGCTCGATGGCACTGGTGCTCACCAGCAGTGGCTGCAAAATGTTCTCCTCTGTAATATCATCCTTCACGCCACCACTGCGGATGCTGACACCAGCGTTGTGCTGGCCCTGAGCGTGACGGTGACGAAGCTCGGTGACGACCTTGATCGAATTAAGACCAGCGTTCTCAGCAAGTGTTGTGGGAATAACCTCCATGGCCTCGGCGAACGCCTTCCAGCAAATGGACTCGGTGCCAGTGAGCTCACGGGCTCGCAAGGCCAGAGAGTGTGCCACCTCAACCTCTGGGGCACCACCACCAGCAATCATAGCACGCTTCTTGACGAGGCAGCGAATAACGCAAAGGGCATCGTGCAGCGAACGCTCAGCCTCCTCCAAGATAAGGCTGTTAGCGCCACGGGCAACAATGGACACAGTCTGGTTGATAGGGGCGGCAGTGGGAGGTTGCTTGATGCCGGTGATCTTAACGTAACGGGCACCAGAGGCCTGGACCTCCTCGATGAGATCAGCAGTACCAAGCTTGTCCTCGGTGAAAGAGTCGACATTGGCGACTGGCTTGCAGCCGAGACTCTTGCAAAGGAACTCAACTTCGTCGCGCTCGATGTCTTTGATGGCGAGGATCTTCAGGCGAGAAAGGAAGTGCAGAGAGAGATCGTTGACAGCGTCGCGGAGGATAGACTTTTGGATCAGCAGCACATTACACTTGGTCTTTTGGATCTTCTTGACCATATTGAGCAGGTACTGGCGCTCCTCCTTCAGGATCTTGTCCATCTGGCGGTAGTCGTTCACCACAATTTGGTTCTCCATCTAGAAAAGAAAGTCAGTCCTGGCTCTGCACTGACAATCCAGATTTTAACATACGTCTGGCTTAGGCGGGCTCAGCTGGAACTGAATGAGACCGATCCGGGCCTTTTCGATTCTTGTCGGGCCACCGCTACTCTTGAGGACCTGTTGGTTCAACACCAAGCCATCGATCATCTCGCTGTCCTCAATTGTTCCGCCAACCTTCTTCACGATCCGAATGTTTCGCAGATCAACATTGTCGGAAGTTCGGGGGTCAACAACCTTCAACACTGAGTCAACAGCCATAGGGCCTAGGAGGTTGGAGTGCTGGGAGACAATCTTTGACGAGAGTGAGGTCGAGGCGGCTTGCAGGAGAGTAGAACGGTCGGTCAGGTTGATCGGACGGGACATGTTGTGGAGGATCTCAACGGCCGCTTTGGCAGCGCGCTGGAAAGATTCGGAAATGACGGTAGGGTGGATGCCCTTGGACAGCAATTTTTCGGCGGCACCGAGCAGACTGCCAGCAATGACGACGACGGAGGTAGTTCCATCACCAGCCTCGACATCCTGGGCAGCACTGAGGTCGACCAGCATGCGGGCAGCGGGGTGCATGACGCTCATATCCCGCAGCATAGTATTTCCATCGTTGGTCTGTGGGGGGTTAGTCGGAGGTCTCGCCGGGGTCTAGGGTAAATGCGTACGATAATAGTCTTTCCCTTGGCGGTTTGGATCTGTAATTGCATTAGTTTCATGTCAAGGGCAAATGATCAGGGTGTACCTACCATCTTATCCATACCCCTGGGTCCCAATGACTGCGTTCATGTTAGCCCCTCATCTCTGTACTTGCGATTAGAATTGACAATGCATACTGTGCGAATAGCATCGGCGACAGCTAGATAAAAAATTAGTATAGAGCTTGAATCAATGGCTTTGTCATGGGCATACCTCGAGCTGCAAGAATGTTGGATTGCCGAACGGCCATAGGCTTCTCCTTGTCCTGCTTGATATTAGAAATCGGTCCCACAAAACAGAGGTTTCGACGAATCGCACCTTGAAGGAGGAGTTGTGAGACGCTCCCTGAGGAGCTACGGTCGCCATTTTGAATATTGATATTCAAAAACAACCAAAAGAAAGAAATAAAAAGGAGAGAGTTGGGTTGGCGGAGGTGGAGGACACACAGGAAATTCTGCGAGATTCTGGGGCGGTGATAAAGGCTTGGCGCGATTAGTGAGTTGAGAGCTCGGCCACCGCAGCTCTGTTGCATCACCAATCCATCCTTTGCGTGCCAAACAAACCTCCATTCCTCTTCAATTCTCGGGGATTATTACTATTATTTGTACTTCTTCACTTAATTTCGCCTTTGATTCTCTTCTCGTCGCAACTGTTCTAGCTCTTCGGCCCTAGGCTGTCAACATCTCGCATCATGCCTAGCGCTACTGGCCAGAACTGGGAGAAGTATCAGAAGAACTTCGCAGACGACGATGAACCGGAGAAGAAGATCACACCCCTTACAGATGAGTAAGTTATCCTGATGCATCCATGCACACTATCCGCCCACAGTTTGTTGATGATGAGGTTGCTGACGTCTTTGGCAGAGACATCGCAGTACTTAAGACCTATGGCGCTGCGCCCTACGCAAATGCTCTGAAGGAGCTCGAGAAGAAGATTAAAGAGAGACAAGCAAGCGTCAATGAGAAAATCGGCGTTAAGGTGATTACTTTTCGAGCTACACCTCCACTCTAACCCCCCAGAAGCTTACACCTGTTCAGGAATCCGACACTGGACTCGCACCTCCACATCTCTGGGATGTTGCTGCCGACCGACAACGGATGGCCGAGGAGCAGCCACTGCAAGTAGCTCGATGCACAAAGATCATTCAGGATGAGAAGGACGCGGATAAAAGCAAATATGTTATCAACGTGAAACAAATTGCCAAATTCGTGGTCAACCTTGGTGAACGTGTCAGCCCAACAGATATTGAAGAGGGCATGCGAGTCGGGTAAGTATTTCTGTTCGATTTTGATTTGCTTGCAGCTACTGATTTGATGTTACAGTGTCGACCGGAATAAGTACCAGATTATGCTGCCTCTGCCTCCCAAAATCGACCCCAGCGTGACAATGATGACCGTCGAGGATAAGCCGGATGTTACATACGGTGATGTGGGAGGTTGCAAAGAACAGATTGAGAAGCTACGAGAAGTTGTGGAGATGCCCTTGCTATCACCGGAGCGATTTGTGAACCTTGGTATTGACCCACCTAAGGGTGCTCTGCTTTACGGTCCTCCTGGTACTGGTAAGACTCTCTGTGCTCGTGCTGTGGCCAACCGAACCGACGCCACCTTCATTCGCGTTATTGGAAGTGAGTTGGTCCAGAAATACGTCGGTGAAGGTGCCCGGATGGTTCGTGAATTGTTCGAGATGGCCCGCACGAAGAAGGCCTGCATTATCTTCTTCGACGAAATTGATGCTGTCGGAGGTGCACGTTTCGATGACGGTGCTGGTGGTGATAATGAGGTCCAGCGTACTATGCTGGAACTGATTACACAACTGGATGGTTTCGATGCCCGTGGCAATATCAAGGTGATGTTTGCAACCAACCGACCGTCCACTCTGGATCCTGCTCTGATGCGTCCTGGTCGTATTGACCGAAAGATCGAGTTCTCTCTGCCAGACGTTGAGGGCCGAGCCAACATTCTGCGTATCCACGCCAAGAGCATGTCTGTCGAGCGAGACATTCGATGGGAGTTGATTTCACGACTCTGCCCCAACGCTACAGGTGCTGAGTTGCGTAGTGTTGCAACCGAGGCCGGCATGTTTGCTATTCGCGCTCGACGAAAGGTCGCAACTGAGAAGGACTTTTTGGCATCGGTGGAGAAGGTGATCAAGGGTAACCTAAAGTTCAACTCCACGGCCACATACATGCAATACAACTAGAGATCTGCAATGACAATTGCATGAGAATGGTGCTTGTGGATGTATGATCATACTATCTTTTGTATTTGGAGTTCTAGTCGACTTCTAGAGGAATCAATAGTCTAACAATTTCCAAGTTGAGTGTAGAGCCATAAGCTCCAGAGCTGTTGATTGGCAATGAGCTAGATATTCCAAAATTTTCGGAGACTATCTACAAGTTTGAGTGAGATACTTCCAGAGCTTTTTCCAAGGATAACTGTGGCAACTTTTTTATCTTCTCAGTCGTATGTACTCACTTTATCCCGCACCTGGACACTGGGCAACTGTTCGACCTGATATAATTGTAGCTCGGGAGGTTGCAAAAAATGATCACTTAGTTCTTGGACTTTGAACAAAGGTCATCTCGATGCTCATCATTAAAGAAGAAATTCAATTTGGAAAATCCTAATTTATACACAAAGTTTTCAAATCAGCTACAAAGGTATTGATATCTCTTATTCTCGTGCGGATGCTTGACATTGGATATACTAGCACGTGACGTCTATGGGGAACTCGGGAAGAAAGTATATCCGCGGGGTTCGGCTTCACGGAGCAGCTCTATAATATATCATTGAACCCGCGCATGATAGTATGAGTTACATGTCTTTATATTAGCCAATTGGATGCATATTCACCTACTTCTCATCATAGCCAATGGCCATGTAATACATTGTACAATGCCAGCAATAGATAGAGGTAAAGTCCTTAGCTACCTCGGCAATAGCAATGGTAATCAGTCCTGTTCTGATTGGCCAAGACACTCCCGTTTCCCCCCGGCGCTCTCGTCCGCAGTAAAAAATGCATTATGTCAGCCACTCAAACCGCCATCCCGAATTGCATTCCAGCGAAAGTTGAACCTGGCCCTAGAGTTCCCCAGTCCAACCTCTCCCCTCAACCCGCATACCTCAACGGTACTTTCTCTTCTTTGGGGTAATTAGAGACCTTCTCTCTTTTGACCCACCACGATGAGCTCCCTGAGCTTGCGGAGCATTGCTCCTGCCTCAAAGGTTAGTAGCCTTCAACTATTTTCGGCCCGGGATCGCATCAAGCTCATACCTTTTTGCCTACAGGTTTCCCGCATTTTGAGGGATCAGAGACGCCTTTTCTCTTCTACAAGGCCTGCCGGTACGCATTGGGATTTTTCGATTCTCTTACGCCACGATCTTACAAACTAATACAATTGTCGGCAGCCCGGGTCTGGACTGGTAACAACCCTTTGCGCGCTAAGGCTGCCAATGGCTACATCTCCGAGAAGTACCCTGTCATTGTAAGCCTATACTGTCGCGGAAACGAAGTACAGAATATATGAAAATCTGACCAAATCAGGACCACGAGTACGATGCCGTCGTTGTTGGTGCCGGTGGTGCCGGTCTTCGTGCTGCCTTCGGTCTTGCCGAGGCCGGCTTCAACGTTGCCTGTGTCTCCAAGCTCTTCCCTACTAGAAGTCACACCGTCGCTGCCCAGGGTGGTATCAACGCTGCTCTTGGAAAGTAGGTTTCGCCTTTATTTATCTGTGTCAGATGGCACGTGCATGAAACAGGATAGCTAACTCGACTACAGCATGCACGAGGATGACTGGAGATGGCACATGTACGATACCGTGAAGGGTTCAGATTGGCTCGGTGACCAGGATGCGATTCACTACATGACTCGCGAAGCTCCCGCCAGTGTCCGTGAATTGGAGGGTTACGGTTGCCCCTTCTCTCGTACTGAGGATGGCCGCATTTACCAGCGTGCCTTTGGTGGTCAATCCAAGGATTTCGGCAAGGGTGGCCAGGCCTACCGTTGCGCTGCCGCCGCTGACCGTACCGGTCACGCTCTGCTGCACACTCTTTACGGCCAGTCTCTGCGCCACAACACTAACTACTTCATCGAGTACTTCGCCCTTGATCTCTTGATGGAGGATGGTGAGTGCCGCGGTATCATTGCTTACAACCAGGAGGATGGTACTCTGCACCGTTTCAAGGCCCACCACACTGTCCTGGCCACCGGTGGTTACGGACGTGCCTACTTCTCCTGCACTTCTGCCCACACTTGCACTGGTGATGGTATGGCCATGGTTGCCCGTGCTGGTCTCCCTAACCAGGATCTGGAGTTCGTCCAGTTCCACCCCACTGGTATCTATGGTGCTGGTTGCTTGATCACTGAGGGATCCCGTGGTGAGGGTGGTTATTTGCTCAACTCCGAGGGTGAGCGTTTCATGGAGCGTTATGCCCCTACCGCTAAGGATCTGGCTTCCCGTGACGTTGTGTCTCGTTCCATGACCCTTGAGATTCGTGAGGGCCGTGGTGTCGGTCCCGACAAGGATCACATTTACCTGCAGCTTAGCCACTTGCCCGCTGAGCTCTTGCACGAGCGTCTGCCCGGTATCTCCGAGACCGCCTCCATTTTCGCCGGTGTCGATGTCACCAAGCAGCCCATTCCCGTCTTGCCCACCGTCCACTACAACATGGGTGGTATCCCTACCAAGTATACCGGTGAGGTTCTGGGAGTTGATGAGAACGGCAAGGACAAGGTTGTCCCTGGTCTGTACGCTTGCGGTGAGGCCGCCTGTGTATCTGTCCACGGTGCTAACCGTCTGGGTGCCAACTCCCTGCTCGATCTCATTGTCTTCGGTCGTGCTGTTTCCCACACTGTCCGTGACCACGCTTCCCCTGGCGCTCCGCACAAGGAGCTGGCCTCCGATGCCGGTGCCCAGTCAATCAAGGACCTTGACTTTGCCCGTAACGCCGACGGTCCCAAGTCCACCTTTGAGGTCCGCAACGCTATGCAGCGCGCCATGCAGACTGATGTCAGCGTGTTCCGTACCCAGGAGTCTTTGGATGACGGTGTCAAGCGTGTTAACGAGATTGACACCTGGTACGAGCAGGTTGGCACTAAGGACCGCAGCATGATCTGGAACTCTGACTTGGTCGAGACTCTTGAGCTCCGCAACTTGCTTACTTGCGCGTATGTATCCCCTGTAAAAATGGGTTATGAACAAGAATCAATGCTAACTACCTACTTCTACAGTACCCAAACCGCCACTGCCGCCGCTAACCGCAAGGAGTCCCGTGGCGCTCACGCCCGTGAGGACTTCCCTGACCGTGATGACGAGAACTGGATGAAGCACACTCTCACCTGGCAGAAGGAGGCCCACGGCAAGGTCGAGCTCGGCTACCGTGAGGTCAAGTCCCAGACTCTGGATGAGAATGAGTGCAAGCACGTGCCCCCCTTCAAGCGTGTCTACTAAGTGTTTTCATACTCTGTTTGACAGTTGAGGTCAGATGCAAGGAATATACCACGGATTCGATTCAGACGCCGCAGATCGATCTACAGATGCGGCGTCGATGAATGTGTCCATGAAAAGAGCATATTTTCTGTTTTGTGTTAACTTACCAACCTGTATAGCCATATTTTCCTTTTATCCTATAGGCGAGTTGGTGTACTGAGTGATTTTTTCTCAGTTTCTCTGATATCATTGGAATTTCTTTTTTTTTAACCTTGATTTTCCTCTTAACCGATAAATCTTTCGTAGGATCCATCATCGCTTTCAACCATTTCACTTCGTCTTTTTAACCTTTAACATTTGACCCTAGATCTATTCTCGATGGCTTCGGAACAAAGCAACATCACTACTCCACCACACATCTACAACTCCGCCTTTGTGTCAAGTCTATTTCCAAAAATGTTTCAGTGTTACTATCGAGCTGGTGAACTGTTTCAGCATTGGAATATATCATGAAACTGAATTTGGTCAAAGACAGTCCAGGAGGCAGGACCCCTTGACCCGTCAAATAATGACACCAGATCGAGTACGAACAAAGAACTTGCCTTTCATCTTCCAGACTCGACCGCCACCTTGATGCTCAATACTCTCTGCTCCCAACATCCATCGATGCCACTAACCAGAGTCATCTCATTCTTTTATCCCAATATTCTATCCTACACTCATTCACTCACCCATGCCTCGCTCGTTGATTCTCGAGCAGAGTTGATTAAAAGGCATCTACATCTATTCTTCCTGGTGGATAATCTGCGAGATGGCGGACGAGACCTGCACTGGCAATAAGCTCTGGTATGTCTGTATTGCAGGGCACTTTCGAGGATGCTGCTCCAGCAACCCTTGTACATCAGGCATTTGTCCAGACGATGACACTTCGAGTCTTTCTGTGACTTCGGTTTCGTCAACATCCTCTAGTATATTTGAATCACCAACGGCAATCAGCACTGCGATGACATCTACTAAAGAGGTAGACTCGAGCTCTGCAAGTTCCACGAGCTTGACCTCCACTCCTATCACTGGCGTAGACTCTCTGGGCGCTTTGCTGACTACCACCACGGGTACCCAGGCGACAAAAGCTTCCGCTGCAACTTCAACTTCAAATTCCACTCCAACCAGCCCCTCACGCAATTCTAGCAATGTCGGTGGAATATTTGGGGGCACTGTAGGGGCTGTGGTGGGCTTGGTCCTCTGTGGCACTCTGTTTTTCATATGGAGGCGTAGGAAACGCCAAAGGGTGTTCAATATCAACCTGCACCCATCAGTCTCCACGTGCTCTCTCCACAAACGAGAAATAACTCCAATAACTAAGACAGTTCTGTCAACAGGTGATGAGAATCAACCTTTACGTTCAGATGATGAGCGCGAACTTGATCGTTTCGCTCCGGGCGAACATAAGCCCGAGAGCTCAGTGTTAACGAACTCCGTACTCCCGAGATTTTCAACAGCAAGATCAAACCCAGGCATAAGCATACATAATCCTGACACCTCAAACCTGAGCCTTACAATCCCAGCGTCCAGTTCCACGCCGTCACTAAGCTCTGGATATCCCACGATTGAAGACCTGTCACAAGTCCATCCGAAGAAACATGTCAAACCAGCCGAGCTTCCTGCTTCTACGCCCAGGGGGATTGGATTCACTCCAGAACTATACGACACTGGATTCTACCGCCAAAGAGCAGAATTGGCCGAACAATCCCAGAGAGAACTGATCAATATACCACTCGAACAAAGAAGACGGCAGAACAAGCCCCGATCCCGACATCATAAACCGGGCGCAAGGTCCTGCGACTCATCATCGCCTCGTACCCCGAGCTCTGCTACCAGTAATGAAACCATGAGCCCTAGACTCATGAGCCGACAAACAGCGCGGAGAGTATTAACCACAGAAGGGGTTGTTCTAGGAGCAACACTAGACTCTCACGACAGCGCTGAACAAGACCACATCCTGAATCCAAATAGGCTTAATACAGCTGACCACGTGATGAGCTTTATGGATTATGAGCTAGTGACTCGGTCTGCTGCGGGGTTATCTACTGAGACGTCAACAGAGGGCCAAACTATTCCCACTCTGACTACTCTTGAGGAAGATCCTCTCTCCCCACTAGGCGATGCTCCGCCTGCGTATAATGCCGAAGGGGCAGTCTCGCAGGTCAGAGACACCAAGTCTCCACATGGCACTTTGGGATGTACAGCTCGCAGAGAGTAATTTGTTTTGTCACATTTTCGCATTGGGGGTTGTCGCTGCCAATATTTGACCACATTGGGGTCTAGTTAATTTCCTATGTCGCAGTAGATTATATCTTACCAAGCTATTTAGGTCTTTAGAAAACCCCAGACTATTGTCTAAATGAAGCCTTGGCTACTCTAGAAGCCATACTAGTCGATATCAAGTTAGCATCGAAGCAAAGGAAAGACAACAAAGAAATAAGCAAATTGAAAGTGGCAAATAACCCATGCATCAAGTCTCTTCTTACAAGTCATAACTGCCATGCATGGTTTGCTTACTTACAGGGAGTATCTGCCCCCGATGCTGCGACAGAACGCCCTTATCCTCACATAATTGAAGTTTTGCTTTTTTTCTACATATGACATGTCAAAAAAGATTCCAACCTTACAAAGAATGAGATAATATATGGTATGATTTGGTCTCGACTTTTTTGTCACTTATGCACCGGAGGAACAGAGGGGGCAATGAAATGAGCTTTTCGCAGGATAAGATCTATATGTTGATCCGTTTATCACACTTTTAGGACCAGAAAAGCTGGAATCGGATATATTTCCACTCCGTCTTGTCCAGATGTGAGTTAATCACAGTCAAGCACTCGGTTTAACTAGCATCATTAGCATGACTAGCATGTTTGCTACGTACATGGATGTTCTGCCCAGATTACCAAAATTAGCGCCGAGCCCCTCACTTGGCTTTCAATCCATCCTAACATTTGCTGGAGATTCTTCCTCTCTCAGTCTCACTTCTTCTGTTTGTTGTTATTATTATTGTTATTCGTCTTCGTCTTCGCCTTCGTCTTCTTTATCTCTCATGGTTCCTTCTGAGGTTGACTTATCTACACCAATTTACCCAACTTGACCATCGTCTCTTCACACCCACTGAAGACTTAACACCCCGCTTGATCTAAAAAAAAAAAAGTTACAGCTGGAGACATTCTCCCAGCCTCTTTTCCTCCTAGAAAGTCATTCTATTGCAGTAAATACCGTACCAATACACTGTCTCGAAAAAATCCTTCACGAACGTCAAAACACTTCACGCAATGGCATCTCAATCCACATCCATGTTGGAGTTCCAGACAAAAGATACCACATTGATTAGAGATGCAGAAGAGACTTCAAATGCTGTAGGGATTGCAGAGACTCTAGAATATCAAGAGTTTCCACAGGCCGAAGCCACTCCATCAGAACTGGATGCATCAGTGTCCGAAGAGGCATCGGTGCCAGAAATCGATCCCGACACCGAGTACGAGTATGATTCAGAGGACATCGATATAATACGAATATCAGATTTGCAAGAGCAAATGAAAAGTTTGTTCCATGCGCTCCTCTCCCGCATGTTGAAGTTTAAGATTATGGAGCCTGCGACAGACTCTGAACCTGATCTCTTCTTCAAAGCCGAAATCGCCAATTGGATCGATGATGTGAGGAGGGCATGCGATCAGATGAACACAACTGTGCAGGTGTTCGATGAGAAAGGAGTCAATGAAGCTATCGATGAGTTGGCCAATTTGATCGTCGTCATGAGCAGTTGTGTTGATGAAAGTGATCGCATCAGCAAAGCGGCCAACATTAATTTAAGCGAGGTCAACTTGGGCGCCCTCAATATTGGATCAACTTCTGAAAAATGAACTGGGGGATCAGGATTTGGACTGCGGAACGAATTGAGAGTGTATATCTCTTAGATACTCTTTCGACACAAGTGAATGAATTTTCGGGTACCAATTTTATTCCCCAAACATGGAATCATATATGCCACCTCTGATCATCACATATTATCTACACTGTACATACAAATACAACCCAGCCATTACCTACAATCCTCAATAACAGTCCACACAACCGTCGATACAACTGAACCCCCAACCTTCTCCATAACCTTCTTACTAGCAGTGTTATACTGGGCAACATCAGCATGCGTCCACCCCTGCACAGCAGACTTCAACCCCTCATCTTCAATGCCAGCTTTTTCCGCACAAAAGACCCCACCATCAGCCATGCCCCGTCTCATAGTCTCCCTAGACAAAGAAAGCGCAAGACCCTTTCCCCGATGCTCAGGCTCAACATGCAACGTCGCCAACGAGCCTTCCACGCCCAAAAATGCCCACGCAATAGGCCACTCCTCGGTCGTTTCATCGACACGCACTTGCGGTGGATCATAGTAGATCGCTACACCGGGCATAGTGGACAATTGGGCTCTGGAGCGTGGGATGTGCGTGCGACTCTGCACTAGATCTAACTGGGAATCAAGGACGCCTGTACGGCCCTGTCGATCGGCGAAGCGATAACCGGGTGGGAGGACAGCCTCGCTCTCGCCTTTCGGCGGAGTGAAGACTGATCTCCGGAAGAGATACTTCTTGTACGGTGGGTTATCGTAGCGGTGGATGCGTAGACCAGCTATTGGGACTGGGTCTATGTCATTACCCTCGTTGTCTGTGGGGGCTGGAAAGACACCTGAGTCTAGAAGGAGATTGAATAGACCCGTGTGAAGGGATCCTATCAGAAAAGCCCGTGGATCTGGGGCTGGGATCAGGGGTACGTCATTTTCAATATCGGACTTTGCCGGCGAGGTAGGAGTTCCAGTTCCAGTTCTAGTTCCAGTTCCTATTCTGGGGACTCCACTCAGGGATGACAGGTATTCTGGTAAAAGGTTTGCCTTGACGTATGCTAGCAATGCTAGTAATTGGGCTCGTGTTTGACGTAATACGGCTGGAGGAGCCGTCAGAGTTGACACGCTATATTTGGCCTCATTTTGGTCTTGGCCTTGGCCCGGGGTAGTGGAGATCGATGATGCAGCAAGCCTGGATAGGGACAGTTGGGCAGCAGAAGAGTCAGGACTAGTGGACCCGACTTCAGGGATAATGGGGATGATTGACGTGTGCTCCGCTTCTAGGCTGGAGTAAACGAGGATTTGGATCTCTCTCCCACGAAACAGGTCAACTACGGCAGCCTTAGAAGTAATGAAGTTAGTTCAAAGTGAATCTTGGGCTTCAGCGATTTAGTGGGATCCATAAGCTATTTTAGGTTGTACTTACGAGCCATGGGGTGTCAGGGGAAGATCCCTGGAAAGTAGCCAGGATCTTGGCTGTGGGGCTTGGATATGTGATAGAGTGCTGTATACGACGAGTAAGGACAACAGAGTAGGGAAGTTGGGCTGCTAGAAGCGGCAGGATTGCGGAAGCATCTTGTTCGTAGATTTGAATCATGGCTTAACCCGACGGTTTGGATACGTAGATACGCAGTGCGATGTATCAGTTCTTATTTCCCGTATTGCTTATTTTAGCGCATGTTGTGTGTAAGTCCGGGATAATGGATACTGGGAACTCTTAAATTGAATATTTCAAAAAAAGAGCAGCTAGTCAAATTAGTCAAAAATAGCCAATTGACAGGTTGACACATTGTTTTATATTAATTTTAAAAAACCAAGTGAGTCACGGGCTGAAAAGGTGGAGACTTGGAAGGATGAGGCTAATCCAAATGTAGTAAGTATAGGGCTTCTAGATCAATTCCGTTTACGACATATCCCGTATATGACAAGTATACAGGTGCAAGTCAAGTAGTTTAATTCCATTTGTCAGATTACTAAATTATAATTATTTCTTAATTACCCGTGGCGGTGCAACTATTGATTTGAGGTCGGATCACTAATCACGATTATAGGCTGACATCTATACTTTAATCTACCAATCGTTATTTGACCCATATATTCCCATATAGAAAATTAGTATGTGATGTTTTGATTTGATATTTTGGGCTGCCTTGAAGGCCTGATAATTGAAAAATTAAGAGAGAAAGAGAAAAAAAAAAGAAAAGAAAAGAAAAGAAAAAAATAGAAACAAAATAAACGACAAATAGTTATAATATCATCATGTAGGGGGGACCTTTTTAAGTATCACCTGACCAGGGACTGCGAGTCCCCACCATCCAATCTTCCATTGCAAGCCATTCACTCCATCGCGCCTCTGCCGCCCTAATCTCCTCTTCGGAAGGGCCCCGCAGAGGTCGCAGAAACGGAGTTTGTTCATCCGGCAATATATCGTAGGCAGCTTTGGTCGACGCCCATCCAGAGCTCTTCGCTGTGAAGAGATAGTTTGTACGCTCTTGTTTATAGATACATCCAATACCAGCTTCCCAATTATCACCAAAGAATGCACGCAAGGTGGTCGGAGAGTCCTGTGCCGTAATAATGAGGCGTCGCACATAGAGTCGAAGAGAGACATAAGGCATAGCTGTCTCCTGAGGGCGTTGCGCCGGCAGACGGATATTGACAAAGGCAGCCACAGACTGCACATTGGCGGTAAACTGGCTTGACTCGAGGAAGTATTGCATGCATTGCTTGTAGTGTGGATACCAGCCGGCGGGGTCTACTCGGCCAAACTCGCCCTCGTGTGAGAGGGATGGCTCCGGGGAGATATTGCCTTCGCCTCCATGATATTGTTCGCGTCTATCGGCCGTGCATTCAGCCTCTTGTTCAGATCCTAAATAATGGGGACGTTTCAGAATGTATGCACAGGACACATTCCCCCCACGAGGAATGGAGAATGAAGTAAATGAGGAAAGACATACGGTGTTCGTGAGAATATGGGCCGTGCCAATCCATGCGAGAGTTTTCCCAGCGCTCTCTTCCAGAATCTTGCATACTGAGAGACATGATTTGACATAGAAGGATAGTGGATAAACAGATAGTGAATTAAAGATTTGGACATTTCTGGGGGAAGGCGACTGGGTCGCTCCTTATAGGCGTTTTTTTTTTTTTTTTTTTTTAGAGGCCTCGGCCCTTCATTTCACTAGAAAGTAATAAAGTAATAACGGGCAGGCCGGGGGTAGACAGGCCGCCCCCATTGCGGTGTGATGCTGAAAATTATCACATTGTGAAGATCAAGGACCAGTTCGGGGTATGGGGAAGGTGGAGTCAGCAGATTAAAGTCAAGTCACTTTGATCAGTATCTCTTAAGACGAATCAAGAAGCCACAAGCTTGAGCCACATCTGTATGATTCAGTAATACCTAATGTGGCTCGTGCAAGGGGTTAGTGGCTGTGTTTCGGTGGAATCCGAGGATTTGCAGGTTCCGACAATTAGATTGTCAGGCACCATAGATCTTCGTCTAGCTTGTTCTTAGCTTCTTTAGCTTGTTTAGCTAATACTTAGCCTGTTTGGCCTATTCAGCTTCTTTAGCTTGATCTAGTCTTGCATTAGTCTCTCAATAGTGTGGGTAAGCCCACTCACTATCGTTTGAAGAGCCGGGTCTTGGATCGATTTCGTATTTGGAGATCTTCCTATTCCTGAATCTAAGAATCTTCGTTCAGAGCTGCTATACGGAGGTGAGCTTTAGCCTTTCCATTGACGTGTTCGGCATTCTTGTCGGATCCTGAATCCTGGAGAGCCCCGCCCCATTCCTTCTTGATCTTAACCTTAGATAAAATATGATGTATCCTAAACTTCGGATATGTCGGGAGGCTGGGGTAAAGGAGTTCAACCATTTTCCATTTCCATCTGAGAACGGAACGTGGAACATGGAACAAGAACGAGGAAATGAACGGTGACATTCTCTGACACGCAAGGGATAGAATAATACAAAAGTACGAGACTAGAAAGGCAACAGTATTCCATCTTACAGGGATATCGCCTGTTATTGCTTTCGCCTGAATTCGTATCTCATAACTCGGTCTATCCGATCGATCTAGTCAGCTCCACCAATGGTATTTCCTTCCCCTTGGCTGGGTTCGATTACGTCGGTAAATATTATTTTTATTTTTAATTCAAATTATCTTGACGTTCGTTGTTTGAGATTGACTCCACTCAAATTCGGACCTGATCTACTTAAATCTTCCAGCTGTTTAAATACGGCCTTGTCTCATCATTTCAACTGCACCGACGATCAGACAAGACAGTCCTGTCTCTTATCACGACTTCCATCTCTAAATCCCCGCCAAATAATACATCTCCCCAACCATCACTATGCCTCACCGAATGTATCTGAACAACTATGAACTCTACGTAAGTTGTTTTGTGTTGAGAGTGCCATGTCCTCGATCTAATGAATATCTATAGAGTTCCCGTGAGAGTCTTGAGAGTCGTCGCTCGCCACCACCACCAGACAGCCAGCTCCTCAATCCTTTGGCAACTCTCTACCCACATGTTGCAAACATGCAGCCTCGGAACAGCACTTACAACTTTGATGGCTACCGTGATACAGGCTACTTTGTTGCCGCTTATACCACAAACTCCAACCAGCCCTCTCCTTCATCTCCATCTCCGGCAGACAGCTGTAAGTATTACTCTTCTTTCTTCAAAGATACTCAGATACTAACATTCAATCCAGGCCAACCACCATACCGTCGCTTTGTCTCCAGACTCCGCCGACTGCTCAGCCGGGACGATTTGAAATCTCCTGGTCGTCGATTGAGATCGCGTCCTGATACTGCGCGGCCTGATACAGCCAGACCTTCCACTGCACGACCTTCTACAGCATGGTCTAATATGGCGCGACCTACTACTGCACGACCTACCACCTCTCGGGGCTTGCATGACCTATTATTCTAAAGTGTTTTCTGAATACTTTAAACGAGACACTCATTATCTTTTCTTTCACTTTCGTTTTATTTCCGCATGCGAGCAGTCTTTCTGAGTTCTCTTTTCTTTGCTGTTCATTTCTTGTCTTTTTGATCGTCGGACCTCAACGAGCGGGGGATTTCTTGTTTGATCTTTTCCAGAAGCGATGTTTTAGCGCAGGAGGTTTTTGTGATTGAATGTTGAGTCGGCTTTTTGAATTTTGTATATACGAGGGAGATTTCCCTCAATCTGTTATCCACATGAATATTATTACTATGTACAAACCCAGACATTGAATTCTCTCCAAACTACCTATCTAGATGGGCATATTGAAACGGGTGGTTCAGTAAGTTACTTACCCAGGTAGTATCAATCGACGTGGGTCTGGGATCTGCGCAGGTCCATGGGCGGCTGAACTCCAGGGCTGAGAGCTGGATTTGAAATCAGAAGAGAAAAAAAAATTAGTCTGCGCCCAAGTCTAATAGTACTAAACACTAAGATCTAAGGTTTCATCCTCCAAGGCGGGTACAACCTTAGCTGGATATACCTTGGCAGACACATTGATTAGCCTTGAACCTTCATGTTCCATCTGGACCGGGCCCCTGCGCAAATCATAGACTCAATACGCACTATTGACTGTCTATCACAGGGGAATAGACCATGGATTAACTTGCTCACTTCCGATTTTTCTCTTAGTCTTTAGCCTAGCGTGCATATGATATGTGTGCGCACGAAGAACTACTAGATGATTGTAACCCTAAATCCCAACTACCGACTCCACGGGTTGTCCCGACCCGTGCCGATCATAGCCAAGACCTGAGCTTTTGGAGATCACAGATCGCCTGTAAATATATGTTCTGTTGTGCAACACAACTAATATTCTAGTGCTGGAAATCCGGTGCGGGTTTTATTGGATGGTCGCAAAGGAGAGGGATGGCGGATATTTGGAAATTACAGGTGAGAGAATCGGAACCTTCGAAGATCCCTTCAATTCATTGGAATTCATGTTTACTTTTCTCAGTCTTCGAAAAGCCATCTATCAGTACCAAGAATCCAAAGTGATGTGTGATTCCAGTCGAACTATTCCCCTGGTTTCTGACGCTAATGTCAAATCCATAGATCCTGATCCCTGGTTTGCACAAACTCGTGTTGAACCATGCTATATCGGGGTTTACGATTCTCCAGCTTGATCGACCCACTTTTGTGCTTTTTGGTGTTTGTGACGGATTCCGGTTGAGTGGTTACACTCTGGAGTTTACACATCACAGTGATCAATGTCCACGGGTAATTAATAACATGTCGATTTTCAAGCTTACTAGGTTGGTTATTGGTCAATGTTTTCATTTTAAGTTCTCGGTCTTGTTCGGGGCCAAGACTTCCTACAAATCACTTTGCTTCTTAAGCTATGCACTTCGACTAGCCCCTGAATTACGTACTTTGATAACATCACATGGCAAGGTGCCATCTTTCATTCGCTTTCGAAGAAGCATTGCATCATCTCCTCCTGGGCTGATTTGAAATCAGGTCTGCTGAATCCGATTCCACAGCCGTGGGTCGGTTTCCAAGGTTGTTCTGAGCCAAGACTAATTGATTAATTGATGGTAGATCACAGACAGCAAAAAAGGCCTCAACATATAGTTTGCTTATTGGACAATTCTTTGGTAATTGAAGCCTCCCGAGTTCTATTCTCATCGATAGTAGCACCTGACTACCAGGTATCTCCTAGGTGACAAGGTTGGGATGCATAATCTACCATGGATGACACCATTCAACTATTCCATACTCAATATCATATCGACCTAGAGTGAATTATGTAGGCTCTCAATATTATGGGTTGACATACATGGATGATATCACTTTTCATGACAAGGCCTCGTAGTTTTCTTAGTCCTTCTTTCCATACACAACAAAGCATCTACGATACAAGGAGCGCATGACGTGAGCATAGTTGCCTCAATTCAACTCATGACATAGTCATGTAACGGCCTTGCATAAATCTCCTGTAGATCATTTGACAAGTACCTGAAACCCGACTCCCAAGGAAGATCCAAGGTTGACATGAGCAACTCACCTTGGCACTCAGCAAGTTCACTAAGTCTCCTATGTACATATCTAGCCCCAGTTCCTTGCTGATGGGATAATGTATGTTTAGGCAAGGAGGCAACCGGAGCTTCCAAGGAAAAAAAATAAGTTTCCAAGGTTAGAGATGAAGACATCATGGGTAGTAAATTTCCGTGGAAACCCAGGTTTCCGATGAAAGCTTTGTCTGTATCAACTATTCCAAGATTATTCATCGCCGATGCTCACTCGCCTTTTTTTGTGTATGAATAAGCTCCAGGGCTGCGAACATCACTCAACACTGGCGGGGGATCCAACGCAACAGCTATACCCATTATGCAATCCTAAATCTGATAGAATTGTGTTTTTTCTTTTACTTGTGCATAAAATTACCTTTGTAGTCCTGTGACATCCATCCATAGGATCATCTCGTCGGATGTGAAATAAATACTTACCTCATATGTCCTTTATCCATCTGTACTTGACCTTGAAAATACCTAGTTCATATTCATGGTAACTGCATCTCAAATATCAACGTTGGAATGATACTCACATCCAGGTCTGTTCTCCCTACGCCCAGGTGGATAGTTTCTCCAGGGCTGAGGTCCAACCCTGGAAAAATATATATCTACCTAGCCCTTCCGGCCCGGAGAAAGCTTGCTTGTAATCTTGATGCCGAGAAGCCGCCCCCGGAATAACATCCCGCTTGCAGCGTTATATATACGAGCCGAGAACCGCTGAGCAATATATCTAGGCCTAGGTATTCCATATGCTATACTTCGTTCCACACTTCCAGGGCTGGGCCGTATTAAGCTAGGAAGATCCCAAGGTTTCAATCTTACATGCCCGGGGACCATGCACAGGTGATGATGGCTCGAAACTCGGAATTGTGGAGTATATTAGACGTACACAAGTAGCTCTGAGGGCAGATACGGGTTGAAATTAGGTGACTAGGTGTACCTAGGTATGAAGTTCAGATTTCTTCGAAGCTCGACGCAAGATATAAAGGTCGTTGACTTCCATGGATACCTAGGTTCCAATTTACAAAATACATACATCTATAGACCCTGCTCAGATATCCTGGGCCAGTCTTCGACCCGTGGACTGCCAGATCTGCCTAACTGCCAGGTGCTGATCTACCTGGAATACAGATACAGATCTTAAAACGTAGCATTCGTATCGACCATTAAAAAAAGGGAGACGGGAAATTTTTGATTTTTGATTCATTCAGGGGAATAATATGAACGCGCGCCGAACCAAGTCCCATTTTCGAGCGATTCCCTTAGATGTGGGTGTCGTAGGCGATGGGCACAACAGTCTCGGGGGCGTTGCCCTCCTGGGAGACGAGGTGGCTAGTGCGGGGGGTAACGGCCTGGCGCTTCAGGTGGACGTGGATACCCTTCTCCTTGGCCTCCTTCTTCTTGAGGGCGTTCTCCTTGACACGGTTGATGAACTCCTCGCGGGAGCGGGAGTGCTGGACGTGCTCAATGCGGACGCTGATGCGCTTCTCGAGGTAACGGTTGTTGACCTTCTTGTAGAGCAGGACACCGACGGAGGACTTGGTGACATTGTAGACGACACCGGTCTTACCGTGGTAAACCTTGTGGGGCATACTATTGAGGTCTCAGTTATTCATGTTCCATCTCAAAATGTGTGCAATCGGTATCGAAATGTTGAGCGCTGAGCGCGTTCGGGCGGTGGAGTGTGGAAATTTTCAATCGGATTGTACTGACCCCTTCTGGACGGCACCGTTGACCTTGACATCGACGATATCACCAACCCTATTTCATTTCGTTAGATTCCAATTTCGTAGATTTCGTAATTCGGGGTTGATCGATCGTACCGGTAAGTCTTCATGTAGGTAGACAGACGGATCATACCGTGCTCCTTGAAGCTACGGCTGAAGGCATACTGTTCATCCAATTAGTATGCTGTCTCCATATTTCCCAATCTCTATCTCTGGCGGCAATTTGTCGATAGAAATTAAAGCCGAGTAAGGGTGTAGATCGAACGTACCCGAGTGCCGGCGCGCAAACCGTACGAGTGAGGCATGTCGGCGGTTGTGTGGTTGGTGCTGGTTGGTAAGTCGTCGCAACGGGCTGGCCTTCGTCGAAGTGAAGTGCAGATTCGGTGTGGTGGAATAATCGGCTTAGGTAATAGGGTTATGCCCCAACACATGATCACTAACCACATTAGGTACTAGCGCCTTTTCGATTAAGCGACTCTCCATCCCAGAAAAGAACCATGGTCAATTTGTGATTTCCTTCCCTAAGTGCGCTTCACGACAATCTTCGACACCCAGCAACAATGGCTCCGTGAGTATTGTCCGATCAGCTTGCGCTTTCGCATTGCATTTCTAATTGGTATTTTTTCGCTATACAGCCGTGTCTGCACCAAGACCTACAAGGTCCCCCGTCGTCGTAAGTCCCACCTCTATCGAAATTGAAGAAGACGAGAAAAATTCATCGCGTGATCAATATACTAACTTGTTTGCAGCCTTCGAGTCGGCCCGTCTGTTAGTACTCTCCGGCCACTGAACAGAAGCGTGCTTCTGCTCATGTCGTGTGTTCCAATGTCTAATCTTATTTTCATAGTGACTCGGAACTCAAGGTTGTCGGCGAGTACGGTCTCCGCAACAAGCGTGAGGTCTGGCGTGTCCAGCTTACTCTGTCTAAGATTCGTCGTGCTGCTCGGTATGTGGAGGAACAATTCTTGAAATGCGACTGGGGTCTCGGTGCGACCGTGTGGCTTCATGTCAATTTCTGGGCTAGACCCTGAACTAACATTTCTATAGTGAGCTGCTCACTCTCGATGAGAAGGACCCCAAGCGCCTGTTCGAGGGTAACGCCCTTATCCGCCGTCTGGTCCGTATTGGTGTGCTCGATGAGGCCCGTATGAAGCTCGATTACGTTCTTGCTCTCAAGGTCGAGGATTTCCTTGAGCGTCGTCTCCAGACCTGTGTCTACAAGCTCGGTCTTGCCAAGTCCATCCACCACGCCCGTGTCCTGATCAAGCAGCGCCACATCCGTGTTGGCAAGCAGATCGTCAACGTGCCCTCCTACATGGTCCGCCTCGACTCCCAGAAGCACATCGACTTCGCCCTGACCTCTCCCTTCGGTGGTGGTCGCCCCGGTCGTGTTCGCCGCAAGAAGGCTGCTGCCGCTGCCGGCGGTGACGGTGATGCCGAGGAGGAGGATGAGGAGTAAATTAGCCTCTCCAACAAAAAATTGACGAGAGTCCGGAATCAAAAATAACCATCAACTTGGCTTAATTCGGAATCCTGAATCTCCAACGTGCTCCATGTAATGATATCCCTTGTAAATTTTCATTGAATTTTCTCATGAACCTTTCATTGTGGGTATATGCTCCATACTCCATATAAATAGTAGATAATTAAGCGCCAGTCCCCCACATTAAATCGTAACTTAGTCGTTCATCTGGGCTTTAAACACCCGACCCCACCATTTCTTTCAACGTCTCCTCGGCCCCTCTATACCACCGGCCCATCTCCTCGAGGCCATCACTTTCACCCTGCTGCTTCTTCCGTTGCGCTTCCCGTGCCTGTGAAATTGCCTCTGCCTGTCTACGCTCCAATACTGTACACTCCCGCTCAATCGCCTCAAGCTGTCTCGTCTTCCGCGGCAATGAATTCTGCACAGCAGCAATCTGCCGATTGAGCGCAGCTAATTCAGCTTCCCGTTCAGCTAGTAATGCAGTAGTCGCAGGGAGCGGGAGATTCTGAGATGAGCGAGGATCAGACGAGTCCATATTAGCGACCTGTTTCGCACGGAGACTGGCGATAGTAGACTCGAGGTTTTCGATAGAGTCAGGAAGTGTCAATAGCTGCTCCTCATGGATTTGAACATTCTGGTAACCTGCCAATCCAATTGGTTATTTCGTTTGACGAGCATAGCCTATAAATCATAAAGATAACTCACGACTTGCCAACTCTCGCCCGATCTTCTCCATTTCCTCAATCAAGAGGCGGGCCTCTTCCTTCTGTGACTTTAATTCTGCCTTCACCAAAGCCAACTGCGTTTCTAACTCGACATTCTCCGTATGTCCGACGACTAAAGGCGGGTCGCCCACAATTGCGCGTAAAAATTTCTCTTTAGTAACTTGCTCGAGATAGGAAAATCGAAGTTTGGAAAAGAGTTCCTGTATAGACATTAGAAGCACGTTCATACTGTGGGCTGGGCCTGCGCGTCGCGGGCAAACCTTGTAATGTGTGAGATCCGCCTCGAGAGAGGCTGGTGTTGGGTCGCTGAGAGCCGAGATGGATACGTCTGATCTTCGCTTCGACGGTGATGTCTTGGATTCGCCAAAGGCTGAAATAGGTTCTGAGATGCGAATGATCGCGAGGTGGGACTTTAGATCTCCCTGTTCTTGGAGTTGTTTGAGCACATCACGCGCATTGACTATGTCAGTCGACATTTTTAGAGGAAATTATAATTCTCTATCTCTGTCTGAAAAGTATATGAGTGGTTTCCAGGCGAAGGAAATTTGTCGATCGCGGTTGCCGCATCCATTGTAAACAGATAAGATAATTGGGCGGTGAGTCGCCACATTTTGGCCCTCAACTCACATTAACTGGACAGGCCATACTTCTGCTTCTTACAGTATCCTTCTAATTTGCTTTTTGATTCCCAATTAAAAGTACTCTTCATCTGTTTTTATTCACTCTTTATCTCTATTGCGCCCACGTATATACATCCATTATGGATGATGACTATGTCGCGCAGCTTCTCGCCAACGAGGCGCGCGATGACAACGACAAATACGCAAAGGAAGGCTTGAGTGCATACACATCTCGCAGGTAGGTCTCAATTTCCTACAGCTCCAATACTCACCTTGACTATGGATCTGACCGACTCAATCACCAGACCCAAAGGCAACGCTCCAAAACCCAATACCCGATTCCTGCGTCACCTTATCAAGGAGACCAATAATCATAATACAGCGCTGAAACGCAAAGAAGAGAGAGAATCAAAGGAAAGGATGCGTGATTTAAAAGAACCCTCGGGCCTTTCCAGAAAACACGAGATGAGTACTCGGGAGAAAGAACACAGGAAATATCGCGAAGATCGACATGGGCGTTTGAGTCGCGCTTCGACACCGGAGAGAGAGCGTTCTCGAAGACACCGGCGGAGGGATATTCATGATGATAAAGCGAAGGAAGAGCGCCGGGACCGTTCAGAGCACCGCCGAGAACGTCGGAGTGAGAAATCTAGGTCAGATCGTCGAGATCGAGATCGTTCGCACTCGAGGTCTCGTAGTAGATCTCCACACAGTCACCGCAGCTCCAGACGCCACCGCAGTGAGCACCATCACCGTCGATCCGAATCGACAAATCCGCATAAAAAGCATATAGAGCGCTGTTCCAACGCCGAGGACGATCATAAAAGTCGCTCTTCACGACGCGAACACAAATCACCACCTCCGAGTAGCACGCGACACTCACGAGACTCAGGAGATGAGTCCGATCCTTTAGAGGATATTGTCGGACCTCTGCCACCACGGAAAGACCAAGAACCCATCCGGTCTCGAGGCCGAGGTGTCTATAAATCCCACTCAAGTACCATGGACGCCCATTTTGCTCTAGACTACGACCCTACGCAAGATATACAGCGCGACGACGAAGAAGTATCCACCACTCAGAAATACTCCCGTCGCCCTGTTGCAGGCCTCATGACTGCGGAGGACGATTGGGACATGTCCCTGGAGGCAATAAGAGATCGATCCCGGTGGAAGCAGAAAGGTGAAGAGAGACTACGAGCAGCTGGGATTAATGAAAACGTTATTGAGCGATGGAAGGGCAATGCCGTCGCTTCTAAAGTGCCCGTTGGTGAACGTGGCCCGAATGATGTTCGGTGGTCGAAAAAGGGTGAGGATCGCGAATGGGATCGTGGGAAGTTCGTGGATACTGATGGTCACATCAATGTTCGCGCTGCTTGGTCTTGACCTTTCCAAGCGACTTCTTCTTGGTTATGTTTGATACCAAGTTTTTAATTAGGCTTTTGCCAAGTCTAAATAGGTACCTCTGTCATATAAAGATTCAAAGCTCAATCGGTTCAAAAATCGCTAGTTAGGTACCATTGAAAGGGTCTAGATAAGTAATATTGTGCTTCAGGACTGTTAGCATCAGTTTACAGAGTTTTAAGGCCGGTTCTTGAACAACTTTGGAAAGCAACAATGACTATGCACAAGAACACTGTTCTAATAAAGAGTACCGCTAATTCGTCCCCCTTAACAGCCCGAGTCATAGTAGAAAATCACGTCAAAGAGAAGCTACCAATTTCTTTTGTAAACAGACCAAAATGAAGATGTTGCTGTTTGTCTGGGCGTTCGAGTCGTTGCCTGGCTAGTCAGGCTAATATAGTATATATACACCGGGCGGTGAAGGATACTGCCAATTTTAGAGATGAGTTCCGCATATTTGTCATAGTGCGGAATCTGGAGGAGCTCAACTGCCAATTATGTTACATGGTGCGATGTTAGCGCTATCAGTCATCATTTAAAATCATATTGTTCAAATCCTGGTAGGCATTTTGTAATATTATTTCACTTCTCGGCATCTGATTGATAAGATCTATCCCGGGCCATTACACCTATCCTACCTAGGTATCTAATATATAACTCTAATCAGCACATTATTCAACCGTTCTCAATTTTTGACCATTTCTAGGTTTTAAAGGTTGACTATTTCAGAGCAGATCTTTTCACAATGACTGATCAATTCGCATTCAAGTACCCATCGCCATTAGCGGGGTATGGGAACCTCGAGCCACTGTCTGAGTGAGTATCACGTCGCCAGGTGACCGCGGCGTAAGACTAACAAGACCATAGCGAGAGAAACGAAGATGGAAAGTCGCTGAAGAACCCTCAGCACGGTATCCTGAGTAAAGCATACGAAGAATTCCCAGACCCTCTAAGCAAAGGTCGGCGCGGGGGATTTGACATCCACATCTACCATTTCCAAGTGAGCACCGAACCGCTAAACATGTACAAGGCATCTGATTATCTAACCGGATGCAGACCAATCCAGACCAAGTGGCTCATGCAAGAGCACTCTGGGAACGAATCCGGCGAGAATGTAATTTTTTCTTCTTTCTTTTCCCCCGAGGTCATCTGGACCATATACTATCAACTCCATCACCCCTCACTCCCGACTCCCCCGGAATATGATATCACTTGCTAACTATACGTATAGTCCCCGAACTACGGATATATAGATTTTTCGACAGACCCGTTGGCCCGCACCCAGTCGCCATGTTTGAAGTGAATCTCTTCACACCTGCCCAATTTGGCGCATTCATTCCTTGGCTGGTTATCAACCGAGGTCCTCTTAGTGCCCTTGTACACCCTAACACTATTGATGATGATGAGGAGCGAGATCATACTCAGCGCGCGACTTGGTTGGGTGAACGCATTCCGTTGGATTTGACTCTCTTTAAGTTGAGGAAGGAGCAGGAGAAGGCGGAGGAGGAGGCCAAGTTGGCGAAGAAACAGGAGTAGTTGCTGTATTAATACCAATGCTGTTAAATGTATAACATTGCATCGCTAGTGCATAATTACCAATCTACGAAAGGGGCCGGTTAGGTATTGTGATGGGACTGGGCGTTCAATACTTCGTACCCATGTGGAAGAAATACCAGTTTTTATTGGACTTTGATGTAAATCAACTTCACTGAACGTACCCGAAGTACCTAGGTCAAAGCAACATTTTGTGAAAAATGGGGATCTCAGGATTTTTCTAAATACCTAGGTACATATGATTGTACAGATAAATTGCATTTAAGGGAAGGTTCAAATATTGCAACATCAAGTGACCAAGTCAGGCTTGGTCAGGAGCCAAATTCCCGTGCATGAATACTTAACTTCCAACGTGTGCGAGCCATAAAGACATCAGGACAAGGTAAACTCGAGGATAATTTATTCAATTTATTGCCACATTCCAGTAAAATCCCTTTGATAGCACCCATCCCTCTCATGAGCCGAGTTAGATCTGTACGTAGCTGCGATTATTGTTCAGCTCGGAGAGCCACGATCTACAGCATACTTGCTATGGTGCATGAACTAGATTGAGAACCAATCAATGTGACTCGTGTCTACAGTAACTCGATCGTCCTCTTCACTCCGATGGTCACTCTGTCACTCAGCTGAGCAGGTGCGTTCATGAGGTTTCATTTTATATTTGGGAAACTAGCCTTCTTCTAAGGCTGCCAGAAGCCGTGTTATACTCTAGAAACATTCCACTAGAGCCGCGTGAGAAAGAGTCTTCGTCTTAATCTACCTAAAATTATTGTTATTAAGCTATACTGAACATCTTCAGTTACTGCCATGCGTTTGCTTTTGCACCTGCTGCATGTGGCACTGGTCCAGCTGGCATCTCTACCTATAGTTCTGTCTGTCACGCCAATCAAGGCCAGAGACGCCACTATCCCACAATACGTTTACGACTATGGTGATTACCATTGGATGTTCCTCCACTCCATAGATATTGACTGACAAGTGGTAGCACCATTGGTGTGGCTCCATAGTCAGGATCCATACAAACCAAGCGACCTACAAATACAGCTAGACAAGACAACTCCCCAGAAAAACTGGACTGTACTTGCTGAGGCACCGTCACCACTAAATCTGAGTAATTTAAACAGACTGAACGATCTGGGAAATACGAGTGTGTATTTGACTTCACGCGAAGGCATTGCTGCTAAGCCCGAGCCAACCTGGTTTCATGGTATCACCCCAGACGAGGATGGCCGTACAGGGAATGGGACTGCATGCGCAATTATTGTGGTGGACCACGGTAAAGAGGCAGTTGATGCGTTCTACTTCTATTTCTATGCGTATGTCCACGCTCTCTCTATATCATTCTGGCACTTCTAATTTCGATCCAGGTACAATAAAGGCGACAAGGTTCTTGGATTGGAGTTTGGTGACCATATCGGTGACTGGTGAATCACCTTTTCATGAGTTATAATGAATGAAGGGCTAATTCCAGACAGGGAGCACAACATGATCCGTTTCTCAAAGGGCTCTCCACAAGCTGTATGGTTCAGCCAGCACTCCAGCGGCCAAGCATTTGCTTACCACGCCCTCGAGAAGGAGGGCAAGCGACCCTACGCATACTCCGGAAACGGAACACACGCCAACTATGCGATAGCCGGGTAAAATTTCCCCTCATGAATTGAAAGTGTCATGGTCAAGCTAACAAGGACAGATCACACGACCACACGATTCCAGGCGTCAATCTACCCACTGGTTTCCTCGTAGATTATACTGACCGAGGTAAATTATGGGATCCAACTCTAAACGCCTACAGCTATGTCTATGATCCGTCGACCGCAACGTTCACATCTGGTCCTGGAGAATTTCCGGTCTCATGGCTGTACTTCAATGGACGGTGGGGCGATGATAAACCGCCTAATGAGCCTACGATCTTCGGTCAAGCTCGGTACATGGCTGGACCTGACGGTCCCCAGTTTAAGGATCTGAATCGCAAGTATGTTTGTCCATCTGAACCTTGCTTAGTTCTTCCATTCCGCAGCTGGGCGATGAATGTGACTTCGCAGGCGACTCAAGTGGTGGTGGATTGAATTGAATAAATAGCTTACATATATGACTTGAGAATTGGACAGCCTCCACGTGAAATAGTCGTCCGCTAATAATATAAAAAACAAAGGTTTAGATTGCGCCAAAAGTAAGAAACAAGAATAAGAGAATTGAAAAAGCTAGGATCTAGATTTAGATTTTAGAATTTAGAATTTAATCCAATCAGACCCGGGATCTTACCTAGGAAGTCTTATCCTGAAATCTGCATACCATCTCCTTCATATAGCCAGAAGACAAAACGTGGCAGGCTGGGATCGTATCAATCAAGTCGCTAATTCTTCTAGTTTCAAGTGGTTGCACCATGTACTAGCTGAGTAGCTCCACTTTAGAAACACTAGTTGGAACTGGGATAAGATGAGTGAGACTGTGCGACAATAATCAATGTAGATAATGGACAATAAAGGAAGTCTAAAGAGCTGAGATCTATGGTAATGATTAGTAATGGGAGAAATCCTGAAGTCAGTCAACGTATTCCACAGCTGTTGTTTACTTATAAAGCGGTATGAGATGGCAGAATACATTGGTCACGTGATATAAACAGGATCCATCGAGGGATGACGCCAATTGTGGATCCTGCAAACAGTACAAACAGCCCCTCGTTTCTTTGCTCACATTATTTACAAAAGTATAAGCGTGATGTAATCATTCTGGGCTGAGGACTAAATAGTTGACAGAACATCCACCACCATGACAGAAATATACAATCTGGAGAACTGTAGATATCAGTCCATCAGTTATTCATATGATAGATCACTGGTAAAGCTGAAACACATCTACTTCGCAAATGTCAGTGGAGTTTAATGTGCACGTGCCAGATATAGACTCAGGGGCCAACTCGTGCTTGATCTACTTCATAGTACATTTATAGAGGATATTTACATTGCATAGTAGGTATACTTCATACCTACCACTGGAGGGTATATCCATGGTATTATTCCAATATCAGAAAACAATACTCGCCAAGTAATCCACTAACAGTGCCCAAGTGGGGTGAGTCTCAATATTTCTGGACTAACGCACCATTACCCCTGAATCCTTGAAACTCTGGATGTCGTTATTTAGTTCAGGTACACATTGAGCATTGTTCAGAAAGTTCATTTCAATTCAACTCCATTAATTCAATTCAATTCAATGACCGTAATATGTATAATTGTAGAACTCCTGAATGCCGTCTGATCGTACTCAAGTCAAGTATCTAGACTTGAGGTCGACTTAGAAAGTAGAAAAGTGTACCCGTACTTTCACTTCCACATAAGAAGCCGTCTCTCCGCAATTCTTGAATTTTGGTTGTTTTCTTCCCTTCCATCCTCTCCTTTCCTATTCTCATGCTCCCAAGTCGGACTTGAGCAGGCCATTTTTCAATTCTCAATTCAAGGAGTTTGACTTCATCTCAGATCTCGATTGATTTGATTTGATTAAATTCCACTTCAACTCACTCCTTCTGCCCTTTACGTCCTCTAGTAGTGACGACAACTCACACTGGCTGCGAGTATTATCCAACTCCTGAGACTGTGCCACTGCGATTCTCGTACTCCAGTTCTCTCCAATAGTAAGTGAGATGTCCGAAAAGAAACAATACTAGGAATAATTACTGATTCACCTTGTTTCAGATTGAATATTAGAAAGTACCATAACAAATTTCATTTTCCATTTTCTCCATTTTCTTTCAAAATGGCTGCTTCCACTACATCGCGCGCACCTCCCGATGCGACTTCCCCTGTTGGTCGTTCTTCACTCGGTTTCCTCCGTCGCTCCAAATCAACTGAACCCGTCGGTGAACGCAAACCTTCTCTGAGTCGCAGAAAGATGAACAAAACACAAGCCATGGAGGAGGAACTACGTCGCCAGCGTGAATCTTACGCGCCGAAAATCGCCCCGCGACTCCCTGATCTCCCTTCGGCCCCACAGCTCGATACGTTTGGTGGTGAGAACAATGCGAAACCGGTCGTACTGCGTCCTCAGGACTCTTTAAGTCCTGTTGCTGCTTCCGGCCCTGTTGATCCTTATGCCCGTAACGAGAGCATGACCCATCGCGGTCGTTACAGCTACGCCAGCAGTGCCATCAGTACCGTCAACAGCCCTCGTCGAGTGCGCCGTCGCAAGGACCCTACCCCATACAAGTAAGTTTTTCCATGTATTTTACGCGATATATGTATCTCTCCTAACTTGATTAGTGTGTTGGTGATCGGCGCGCGCAATTCCGGGAAAACGACATTCCTAAACTTTCTCCGCAAGTCGTTGACTATGCCCCCGCATAAACACCCCACACGGACCCCGGAGGAACTTGAAGAGCTTGAGCGCCAGACCTCCGTCTATGAGGGGTTCACCTCCCAGTATCTGGAGACTGAAATAGATGGAGAACGCGTAGGATTGACGCTGTGGGATTCCACGGGATTGGAGCGCAGCATTGTTGACATACAGCTGCGCGCCGTGACCGGCTTTTTGGAAAGCAAGTTCGAGGAGACACTGGCTGAGGAGATGAAGGTTGTGCGTTCCCCTGGCGCCCGCGACACTCACATCCACTGCACATTTTTGCTGCTGGACCCCGTTGATCTGGACCAGAACATTTCTGCCGCTGAACGCTTCGCCAACGGCACACCCAAAGACACTGATACCCCTGTGCTGGGCGTGTTGGACCAAAACCTGGATCTGCAGGTGCTTCGCACCATTCTCGGCAAAACCACCGTGGTGCCGGTCATCAGCAAGGCCGATACCATCACCTCTGTCCACATGGCCTACCTGCGCAAGGCTGTTTGGAACAGTCTGAAGAAAGCTAACATCGACCCACTGGACATTTTGACTTTGGAGGACCCAGAAGAGTACACCTCGTCTGAGAGCGCCGATGATGATGAGGAGGAGGAGGAGGAAGAGAAGGAGAAGGTAGAGGCTGTGATTGAACTACCGCAGACTGAGTCCTCTGAGTCCAATGATCCCGCGACCGGCGATGAATCAGAGAAGCCCACTCCGACCTCACCTCAAAGCAAAAGCTCGCGCAAGTCTACTTTGTCTGTGTCTGAAGGACCTGGCAACCCTAACGTGCCATTCTCCATCCTGTCGCCGGACCCACACTCCCTCGCATCGGGTGAAGAACCGGTCGGACGACGATTCCCATGGGGTTTTGCTGACCCGTACGACGCAGAGCACTGCGACTTTGTGCGTCTCAAGGATGCGGTATTCACAGAGTGGCGATCGGAGTTGCGCGAGGCTAGTCGTGTGATCTGGTACGAGCGTTGGAGAACCAACCGCCTCAACCGTAATGGAGAGCCCGTTCCGGCCAAACAAGCCTCCGGCTTCGGTGGTCGTATGGGGCCGAGTCGCTTACGATAAACACAGTTTCTGTTTTTGCTTTTACTTCCTGCTTTGCTCCAGTGCTTTCTCATACCCTTTCCCCCTTCGCTTCTGCGGTTGACTTTCCACCGACTATTTTCTTGCTCGATTTGTCTTCCCTGCATTTCTATTCTCCAAAACGAGTCCCAACTTTCACTTCAGCTTGATACTTGATATGTTTTTTTTTTCCAGAAATTCCATCTTTTGAACTGGATTCTTTCCACAAAGTAGCCTTTAACCAATAATATTGCATGTCAGACGAGTCCTGTAGAAGCGAAGAAGCGAAGAAGCGGCTGAAGTTGTATTGTAAATACGAGCTGAGCTGCAGGTGACTAATTCCCCTCTTTCATCTTCTCCTTACAGCTCTGAATTTGGATGATAAATATATACATTTCATGATCTGGAGTGTCGGCTCTTGGAACGTAATGTCGCTTCAAGTCCATGACCCACGGTCGCGCACCCGATCCAAGTCTCCAGGCCACCGCGAGCACTCCCGGTCGCGAGACAACAGACCACACTCCCCCACAAACTCACGTTCTCACTCTCGTCAACGCTCCAAATCCCCTGCAATTGCAATCGCCCAGCCGCGAAAGTATGACGTGAGAGAAGATGAGGCCCAATACAAACGCAAAGAGAGCACACGACATGAGGACTCGATCCGCGCCTCTCGCAGCCCTGCACGCTACGACGTTCGACACTCCAATCCAGACGAGCACCGCAGTCGAGATAGATCGCGCCGACCGGATGATCGATACGACGGTCGCTATGACCATTCAGACGACGACCACATGAGAGTGGTACAGCCGCGTGAACACACCCGCTCGCATCAGCGCATGTCCTCCACTAGCGGCCGCAATTCAAGACGTTCTTCCCCCGATTCATCAGACGATGAACATCTCGCCTATGGCGATGGTCCGGGTAGTCATCCTAGCTATGCCCAACCGGGGAGATACCAGTATGCGCAGCCGTCGCAATTCACCCACGCGCAGCCTACTCCGCGCCAGTCCGACACGCAGATCGATTGGGCTTCTGTGCCCGAATGCGAACGACCAGGCTTCGTGCCCCCGTCTTCGTCTTCACAGGCTCAACCGAGTCCCTCTGGCCCTGGAATGCCGGGTGCTTTCCCTTCTGGCCCTACAGCTCCGACTTTCCCCATGCCTCAGTATTCAGGCACCCAGCAGACTCATTACGCGCCGGTGACTGCGCATGGAGGAACTGTACCGTCTCATCAGCGTGTGCCTTCTACGGGCGATCCAGGCTATGCCACCTCGAACTCCGCCTATGCTCAGCCGAATAGTTATCAGTATGCGCAGGTTGATCCAAAGGTTCGCTATACTTCCAAGACTCAGCCTAAGGTGCCGTATACTGCTTCGGCGCAGGAACAATTCTCTCAAACTTCGGATCATGCAAATTCTGAGCAGTTTGCGAAGATGCCTGAGCAGCCGAGTTATCCCATTCGGTATACTGAGGAGCCCCAGTTCGGAGACAAACACTCTTCGTTGCAGCCGCAGCTGCCACCGCGGCCCAACCAGCATCAATTTGTGGAAATCACCCCCGGTGGTGGGAGACGTCCACATAGCCTGTCTGTGTCGTCGGCTAATAACCTCGCTGTTGCTGGGGCCCCGCAATCAGGCTATCATCCACCTGCCAGTCCCTTGTTGGAGCCATATCAGGGTACTTACCAGTCAATGTCGCCGATGCCTTCTCCCATTGTCATTCCGTCTATCAAAGACGATGAAATCTCCGACGTAGAGCTGGATGGGGCAGCTTCCAACTCAGAAACACGGCGAAAGAAGCACATGCGAACTAGATCGAGTGACAATGAAGCTCGCTACCGGAGCAGTAATGAAAAGATCAGGGAGAAGTCACGAGACCGAGGAGATCGTGATCACAACCACCGAAAGGAAGATAAACATCGCAGTCGCCCAAGCACCCACGACCGACACGACTCAAGCTCGTCTCTGGCAGCAGGCGACTCCCTCGTCCTAATATCACCGACAACCTCACGAAAACGCGTCTCATTCTACGATGCAGACGCCGACGCCGAAGCGATGAAAAATGCCCTCAACCACGCCCGCAGCATCGACAACAAAACTCTCATTCACGTCCTACCCCCACTAAGCAGCGACGAAATCCTCCTCCTGCGGCATGAGTACAAAAACCGCGTCAAGATGCACGGCAAAGGAGTCAATCTCGCCAAACACCTCCGTCTGAAACTGGGCAGTTCCTCCTTTGCCAAAGTCTGCTATGCCACTGCCCTCGGCCGCTGGGAATCAGAGGCATACTGGGCTAACTGCTACTACCAAGTCGGAACATCCCGCCGCGAACTGCTTATTGAATCACTAACCGGCCGCTCCAATGCTGCAATCCGAGAGATCAAGGCTGCGTTTCGCGATACCCGCTACGATAACAGTCTTGAGCGGTGCATGAGAGCCGAGCTGCGCGCAGACAAGTTCCGCACTGCGATCCTTCTCGCCCTGCAAGAGCGTCGCCAGGGTGATCGTGATCCGATAGATCTTCGCCTCGTCCGCCAGGATGTATCTGATCTGCACCGCGCGCTAGTTGCTCGCGAAGGCGGTGAAACCGCCATGATCGAGATCATTGTCGTGCGGAGCGACGCACACCTGCGCGAAGTACTTCGCAGCTACGAGGGTATATACGGGCAGAATTTTGCGCGGGCGATGATAGCGAAATCAAGGAATCTAATAGTAAGATCTTCATTCTACTAGCTCTTTGAATACAGAAACTAATTTACGCTCTAGGGAGAAACACTCGCTCATATCCTCAATGGCGCTATAAATCGTCCCATGCGGGACGCCCTCCTCCTCCACCAAGCTCTTCGCGAATCGCGTTCCGGCCGTGAACGTTCTGAACTGCTAATATCCCGCCTCGTTCGTCTGCACTGGGAACCGCGGCATATGGAACTAGTCAAGAGCGAGTATCGACGTCGATACGGCGATCTGATTGAGGAGGCGATCGCGGAAGAAGTCCTAACAACGAGCGGCGGCAGTGAATGGGGAGAATTTTGTATTGAACTCGTTCACAGTTCGAGGCCTTGATTGTTCATCTCTTTTCTGCACTTCTTTGTCTCTAGTTCGGCTCTGTTCCGTTCGTTTTTCTTTTTTTTTTTTTTTTTTTTTTTTTTTTTTTTTTCGTTTGATCCGATATATATCAATGAATCACTACAGCTTATTTTTTGACTTGAGCATGACTTTTTGCCTTTTCAGAGATCAGTTAGTCTATTCTCTTTTTTTTCTTGTTCTTTCGATCTTCCTGTCCAGGTCTTTTCCGCGGTGGACCTCTTGAAGGAGAATCCGAAGCCGCGATGAACCTTTTATATATATCTATATGCCTATTCTCATAATTTAGTCTTTTTAGCTCCTCGACACTTTCCGCTTCTAGTCCTGCTCTATTACTGTCTACTGCCGCTGCTAGAGGCGATTTCTGTTAATAACGCAGCTAAAAGATGTGAAACGCTAGTTTTTTTTTTTAACATGGTATTGTGCCGAAGGTTGGATGTGTTTTGTGACACCAGGGCGGGATACCGAGTCTGACTTTGGAAACATAGACTATTTAGAGATAGGTAGATACTAGGTTGTAGTACGTACTTTGTAAGGTTATCTGGTTGTAGTAAGCCGACATGGCAGCTGTCTCGGGCTAATATCGGAGCTATCGGATTTCAAAAATGACCAATGCACACTTCTACGCTTTTGTTTTTTCTTCTCAGATGGCACGAGACTCGGGTGAATATAATCAAACGCCATGTTCCAAGGCTCTTTGCATGCTGCATAATGTGCTAGGTAGCTAGGGGAACCCAGGCACCTGGCATTTTTGCATATGTTTGAAAGGGTTGGATTTGGCTTGGCTTGGGCTTAGGGCTAGTATTGATTAGGTAGGACACGGATCAAACCGTGTTTTATGACTTGGGCTCAGACCGTCAAGCAATGTCAAGGATTCCAGGGCTTGAGTCTATCTCATGTGCCTGGCTCTACTTTCTGGGGATGGATATGGAAAATAATTGGCTTTTGTATTCGAAGATGTCGGTGAGGCTCCCAAGGTTCCAGCTCGTATGCTGGATTCCAAGGTTACTTTCGGAACTTGGAACCTCGATATTCAAGTCTCCATGGATCCAACCATGCTTGAGTTCAGTGTTCTGCGTTGAAGTAGTCCCTGGTATATTGGAATTATTACCTGGTATACAGTTTATACTCCGTGTCTTGGTACATGTGCGAAGTATAGAACATGACCGAAATATCTACGGATGTTACATCGTGCCGTCTGGAAAGGGCTCCAAAATTCAACATTGCAATTGTTTACGGATATACAGTCAGATCTTTATCTACAATGGATGATTTGTCGTCTTTCCCATTGTAATGTACTGGATACTCGATCTATCACAATCGTTATCGAGAGAAGGAGGTTGGTGTGCGGGCCAAGTACTAGCTACTTATACTACAGCGTTGAATACCGGAATGCATCAAGTACTCGATACCTGGTACCTGTTTCCAGGGCCTGTTTCACGGCGGTCAAAGGTCAACTGGTTCCACGAGCTAAGTTCTGACGCGTTAAAAGGGATAAGCTGCAAGGGGAGCCTCTCCGATTTGACTCCTGAACGCCATGAGTTGAATCTGCAGGTCCCCAAGACCGGTTTTGAATGCCATGTTTTCATAGAATGCTCCTTCTTTACTGTTTTACGACTCTACAGATCTACTGACTCTACTCTTTTGCTTGCTATACTTCTACCCCCTATTGTAATTAAATTCCTCGGCTGATCGTCATTTCCCCGCATTGATCGGACTAATTAGTGAGACTTTTAGATCTTTAGATGCTACCAAGTAAATGCTAACTATAGCGACCTGTAGTGCATAGAGCGCATGATGGTATCACGCTCTTGCCCTATGTAGTCAACAGACAACCTTCCTGGAGGAACTTCATTTCTTCCAACTTGCACTTGGAAGATAGCGCACTCGTTTATTCCATCCCTATTTGTTGCATTGCTCTTTTCAAGTCATCTGCATTCATTTAGTCTTTGCCCAGACTTCACAGTCCCATTAGTTTTACTGAGTTTCATACTATACTCCACCGTTGATCCCCCGCATAGACGTTGATGATCGGTCATACTTCCAACTAGTTCAAGGGTATTCGGAGATAGATCTCCAAACGGAGTAATCCAGGTGAATTAACGGACTCTATTTCTCCCTTGAAACCATCCCCTCGCATCCGTTTTTCCCGTCTCCTTGCTGTCTGCCGTCCAGCCGATGCAGGCCGCATGAGATCTGAATTTGGGACTGACGATCAGCAGGCTTCGTGCTCGGAACCCTTTTATGGCTTTATTTTCAATAATTACAGTCTCCATTGCACTAAGCCTCGTTCACTCGTGCCCACTGGACTCTAGAGTCGAAGCATTCTGGTTTCTGGCATGCGGGCTGACCTATACTTCTCTCCTTGCCAGTGAGACCCCCCTTCTCTCCAAATAATCCACTATAAAAATATCCCTGGCATGCCAGTAAACAAGTTGATATTATTTTTTTCTCCTGCAACGCGTCCTTCCGAGTTGCTTGTACAGCTGAGACCTTCTCCGAACTAATTATTGCTTTTACTATTTTTTTTTTCCTTTGCTGATTCCACCTCACACTCCTTTGTTATCTTCTGTTCGCCATACATAATTCACACGCATACTCTTTGGTTGATCGTTGATCCCGTCCAATCCTTTCCCAAGTTTTTCTCCATTCGCCATAATGCAGTTGTCGCATATTGGCCTGCTGCTCGCGTCTTGGGCCACTTCGGTCCTGGCTATATCGTCCTTTGAGCCTGCTCGTCCGCCATCGTTGCCTCTGGCGGTTCGATCTCCGTACCTGAGCACTTGGCTCAATGCTGGCAGTGATGGTGGTAATGGTGGGTACTTGGCTGGTGAATGGCCTACCTTCTGGCAGTAAGTTGATATTGATACCCGTACATATGGACTACCACTAATGATTTGAACAGGAACCAAGTCACTGGGTGGTGTGGATTGGTTCGTGTTGACGGTGTGACCTACACTTGGATGGGCTTGCCTGGCTCGACTACCGTTAACCAGACTAATTTCGAGTATACCTCGACTAAGAGCATTTTTACCATGAACGTGGAGGACAAGTTGGTCCTGAACATTACTTTCTTGTCCCCCATTACGCCAGATGATTTCAAGCGCCAATCTCTTGTTTTTTCATATCTGGACATTGAGGTTGCTTCTCTGGACGGTGCTGAGCACGATGTCCAAGTTTATGCGGATATCTCTGCAGGTGAGTTTTGACGATATTGCCCACACATTTATAATGTTGCATTTCGTTATTAACGTTGTTTAGAATGGGTCACGGGAGACCGAAGTGCAATTGCGCAATGGGATTATGGTACGAACGATGGGGTTGCATACCACAGGGTGTATCGTCAAACCCAGCTGGCCTTCTCAGAAATTAATCAACAGGCTGAGTGGGGCTACTGGTACTGGACCACTGACGCTTCTACTTCAACGACCTACCAATCCGGCAGAGATACGGTGGTTCGTGGCCAGTTCTCGTCTAACGGCACTCTTCCCAACTCCGCTGACACTAACTACCGCGCCGTCTCGAATGAGTGGCCCGTCTTTGGGTTTTCAAAGAACCTGGGAAAAGTGACCAGCTCCCCAGTTAACACGTTGTTTTCACTTGGCCTGACTCAGGATGAGGCGATTCAGTTCGAGGGCAAAGAGGCTTATGCCCCTGTGCAATCTCTGTGGAAGGCATACTTTGATACCGATGTGGCTGCAGCTACCTTCTTCCACAAGGACTATAGCACTGCCAGCGATTTATCAACTACATTTGATAACAAAGTGGCCGCAGACTCTATCACCTCCGGCGGTGAAGATTATTTGGTGCTTACCTCCCTGTCAGCCCGACAAGCATTCGGTGCCACCCAGCTGTGTGGAACTGAGGACGAGAAGTACCTGTTCCTGAAAGAAATCTCATCCGATGGCAACTTGAACACTGTCGACGTTATCTTTCCGGCCTATCCAGTTTTCTTGTACGCCAACCCAGAGTTGTTGAAGCTGGTGTTGGACCCGCTCTTCGAGAACCAGGAGGCTGGCCGTTACCCCAACACTTACTCTATGCACGATATGGGCTCAAGCTACCCCAACGCAACTGGCCACAAGGATGGATCTGACGAAGCGATGCCCTTAGAGGAGTGTGGAAACATGCTCATCATGACTTTGGCATATGCCCAGAAGGCTGATAATTGGGATTACGTGTCTGACCACTACAAATTACTCAACCAGTGGACCGGTTACCTTGTGAATGAGGCCCTGTACCCAGCGAGCCAGATCTCTACAGATGACTTTGCAGGATCTCTAGCGTGAGTTTGAGCATTCCCAAGCTGTGATGCGGCTACTAACAGACGCAATTAGCAATCAAACCAACCTCGCCCTCAAGGGTATGATTGGAATCCAGGCGATGGCCGTCATTGCCAATGAGACTGGTCACTACGCCGACGCCGCCAACTACTCTCAGATTGCCACGCAGTACATTGCTGAGTGGCAGGATCTCGCAATCAACAAGGCTGCCAGCCCACCGCACACAACTCTCAGCTATGGCAACGCCAGCAGCCACGGTCTTCTGTACAACCTGTACTGTGATAAACAGTTAGGGCTGAACCTCGTTCCAGAATCAGTCTACACCATGCAGAGCACGTTCTACCCGACAATTGCGAACAAGTATGGTGTACCTCTCGACACACGTCACACTCTCACCAAGGGTAAGATCTTCCTTCTTTCTCGATGAAAAACTCTTACTAATGTTATCAACAGCTGATTGGCAGCTATTTGCTGCAGCCATCGCGTCAGCCGATACCAGGAATGAGATTATCGCGGACCTTGCAGTTTGGGTCAATGAGACACCTACCAACCGTCCCTTGACAGATTTATACGATACTATCACTGGAGAGTAAGTTTCATCCTCTATACCTCACACTGAATAGATCAATCATGGCTAACCATTCCCAGCTACCCCTCTTCCGGACCCACTTTTGTCGCCCGACCTGTTATTGGCGGCTCTTTTGCTCCCCTCTTGGTTTCTTCATAAGCCCGCTGTCCCTACTGTATATTATATTATATATTATTCTTGACCGCATTACTTTCCAACCACAAAGTGCCTATTTAGTTGTCCTTGTGAAGAGATGCAGACTGCTCTGCTCAGCGTATGTGGACTCAAAGCCTTGAAGGTCGTAACGCTTGGTAGTTACCCAGGTAAGGTGTAGGTGCTCCTTGCTCTCTTGATCTTACGGGCTTTTATAAACAGAACTGGTATGGTACTGTTGGAATATGGAACAAAACAGTCATGTGATCAAATTGTTACTATATAATAGATAACAAACTAAGAATGAAAACCAGACTTTACAACCACTTCAAAGGCCACACAGATATCATAGGGGCGTAAAGCGTTACCTATGATAGGTGTCAGAAGTGGGCGTTAGCCTCATCACCTTTATCGAAAAGCTATTTCACACTTGATACAGGTGTACCGACAGGTACCTTGGTATCTACACCGCTATCCACAACATTCTCTTCCTGAACTGTCTAACACCATTCTCGTACGCTGACAACCTCCAATATCTACACAAAAAAAAAGCAACTCCTTCATTTTGGCCCGTCGGCCTATTTATATTAAGAAAAAGTAGCTGATAGCTTCTCTTAATTGAACTTGTCATCCTTTTATGCAAGGACCATGCCAATTGTTTCTGTAGCTCATATCGTTTTTGCACTTATGCTTGATAGGTTCTATCCCATTTTAGATACTGCTCACCTTTACCATTATCCCTCTTGGAAAAGGGAAACTGGAACTTGAACTTTGACCTTGGTTTTTGAAATGGGTTGTTACTTCAATTATGGATGTCTGTGAGATAAGGAATTGGATGTACCATTTAAGAAAATATAGCAAGAGCAGTGTCATCATTGTGAATCGATGTAATCGTTAATCAGGTCCCCGCGTAAGTTACTCATTCCAGTTATCGAACGAACGGATCAGGTCTAGAAGGGAGTTAGCAAGTCAGTCACAATCACTACAGCCTGTAAGAAAAAGAACATACCATAATAGACCATCATTCCCTCAAGATGCACATCCAGTGAGATCCGCTCGTCAACGGTGTGGACATTAACCCTTCCCCCCGCGCGAGACGGGCTCCACCGATATATATTCTTCGAGAGAGACCAGTAGAAGTGCGTGTCTGTGTTTCCGGTCATGAAAGCGCCCGTGACAACGACGGTCGGCGTCGAGCTTGATGTCTCACTCGATCTAGCAGTCTTCTCGAGCGGGTTAGCATGCGACTCGAAGACGCTGCGCGTAACACCCGCAAACCTAGCCCAGGTATTTGACGTGAGAGGATTGGTAGGGGAAATCGGGGCTGGGACAAGGGGGTCATTGAGAGGGTGGAGGGTTAGAGTGCGGACGTCCGAGTCAGACAAGACAGGACTTGGAAGACCGGGAAAATTGACGAGTAGGGTGATATTGTGACGCTTCGCGATAGGCGTGATGATGCGAAATGCGCGATCACGAATCAAATCAGGCGTCTGGTGCAGTGCTACACGGTAGTTTACAGTCGCGGAGATCTTCTCAGGCAGCGCATTCGTCTTAACACCGCCGTGAAACAGATCTGCCGCCTGTGATGACTGAAGCGTGTAGCGCACGGAGGGACCGCGCGATGCAGCCACAGCTTCACCCAGCGTAGCGGGGTCAGTGCTGTTCAGTTTTGCCGAGAGCCACGACTCGACGTGCTCAGGCGAGTAGCGCGCTTGACACTCGAGCATGCTGTACGCCGGGTGCGACGAGTCCAGCCAAGCCGTGAATAGATCTTTCCGCTCAAGCTCGTACAGAATCTCAGACATGATGCCGATGCCCGTATGCGCTGGTGGCACGGAGCTGTGGCCGCCCGGAACAGCGAGGTCAAGGACGATATCTACCGCGCCCTTCTCGCCGACGCCTGGAAGCGCGTAGATGACTTCGTTGTCGCCGCTGCCGAGACTCTGGAGGCCCATGCCGCCCTCGTCGAGGATGAACTCGAAGCTGTCCTTGCCGTATATCTCTTCGAGAGCTGGCGCGATCGTGCCAGCGCCTAGCGAACCGCGTGACTCCTCGTCGAAGCCAAATGCCAGCACGACTGTGCGATTGGCTTGCCAGTTCTGCGTGATAAGGTCTTCTAAAACGGACAGTAGTCCTATCAACACGTTCTTGCAGTCGCTCGCGCCGCGGCCCCAGAGCCACTCGCCGTCGAAAGCGCCAGCGAAGGGTGGGTATGTCCAGTCAGATGGGTCGTCGATTGGAACGACGTCCTGGTGTGCCATAAAGAGAAGTGGCTTGCGGGTTGTATCTTTGCCTTTGAATGTGTATACCAGGCCGAGACGGTTGATATGCTCCACTTCAGCGTGTTTGTGTCTGTAGCCGTCAGGTCGTCGTCATATGCGTTGATTCTACTCGGTACATACACTAGGGGAAACAGTTCTTCCAGTAACGTTTGGAATTCCGCAAAATTCGCAAATGCCTCATCGTATGGATCCTTTGCATAGTCGCCGACGGTGGTGTCTACCTGCACAGCTTTAGACAGCCGATATACCTGGCGAGCGCGAGATGCCTCATCCTCGAGAAAAGTCAATGCATCATGGAAGCCATCGTTGGGCTCAGCGACCTTTGCTGCTTGTGGGCAGGTATCGTGTTTGGAGCGGGAGAGATCGGCATCGAAGATGGTCTGCTGTGTGGGGATGTTCAGGGCAATGGATGGCAAGGCCAATCCCAATAGAGCAAAGGCTCTCATTGTTTTATATTAAATTTTTTAGTTCGAATTGAAGGATCCTGAAGGATTGTAATGAAGATTTAATGGGGGCTTTGAAACGGGTCATAGGCCATATGAAGCGATAGCTGCTATTCAGCTGTTTTCTATACATCACATGACGTACTTCAGTTACACGAGGAACCAATATTATGCATAGACAACGCACGGGAACTGGTGTGTTCGATGTTGTGCTTATCTTTCCCCCTCACTCTAGCGGCCGATGCCGTCGCATGTCTGTATTTGGACAATGTTAGCCGAGTTGTCGGCAGAGCGAGATGTTGTTATCCGAGAGATGAAAAAGCATTATTATTATATTAACATTGTTATATTAGCTATCCTGCTACTCAATTCCTCAAGAAGAAAGAACAAAATTGATCAATAAAATGTCGAATTTCTCAGCCAATCAGATCCATTTCCTCCCGAAGCTTCTTTCGGGCCCGTCCCGTGATCTATGACTAATCATTGGTTGTTTTGATAATAACGCCCGAAAATGGAATATTTAGACTAATACCTATTTAAACCAATTAGATAGCTTTTCCAACAAATGATAAATCCGATATGATGGCGCCACTGTGTTGGAATTGCTCTCGGAGACTGCTCTAGCTCATTTATCGATTTTCATTGTTCAGCACACCATAGACAGCTTCTTCGGGAACTTGGAAGTCTCTTAACCCTGTGAATTATACCAGCTGGTTATTATGGCTTAAGCTCTGCTGCATCAAGTCTAAAGAGCTTCAAATGGAGCTTCTTGTGAAACTCCTTCTGGGTAATAAGATCGGCTTTAAGAGCCACCTGCTTCAATTGCCTAGTGATATTAGCTCTCGTAGACATTTTCCAGTGCGTTTTCGTTAGTGTGTAATCTAGTCTGAACCTTTAGTACTAGCTTAAACAGTTGTTGAGCCAGTGTTGATATCACAAAGTACTATCTTACCACATGAAGTATGAAACCTGATTAATAGGTGCGGCATAAAACTCGTTCCACTTCAGGTTTGTAACCCTATCACTACCATCCTTTATTTTCTGGAGAGCTCTTAGGAAACGTCCTTTTAATATATATCAAGTAGATGAGCTATTATAGAATATATGAGTTTAAAAAAAAGAGGCAAAACAGGAGATCTACCATAGATGCTATTTGGGTTAGATAGGTGTAACGGTGTGGGGAAAAACGCCAGTGAGAACTTGGCATCAAGCTATTTACAGGGCGGTCGAATCCCAGTTGAATTGGTGACGAGCCAACTACGACGTAATGTTCACTGGAGAACCAACGTCGATCACTGGTCTTTGTTGAAGGCAAATTCAGCGGTCGGGAGCCAAGCGAGCCGGCGATGGATCAAAGATTGATCGCCCGACGATCACGAAGCGTAGGATTTGCATATTTGATGACCCCTGTTTTAAGTACCCTGACGGATCTTCAACAATTGTTTTTGGAATACACTGGATGATCCCTCACTCTGTTGATATCTGTAGTCTATCTCAACATTAGTTCTTCTCTTGTTTACGGTCATCCATCTGTATTGGATTCAACACTTACAATATGATAGTTTCCCAGCTTCAACTATTAATTTTGTATAGCTCACCCCCACCCAAAAAGGACAGTACCCTTTATTGGTAGTGACAAATAGCTTATGTTCCCGAGGAATTTGTTTCTGGGGCATCTTAAAAGTACGGAGTATACTAAGACCTAAAGCAGCGAATGATTAACTCAGTGGCGACATGGCTTAATGGAAGCCAGTATTTATAAATGCAGCACGAATCAGACCTGCAAAAGGGTCTGTTTTATGCTGCCATATCTATGATTCTTGAAGCCCTAGCATTTCTGTATTTTTTTTTGTTCTGATCAGGATTAGAGATATATGAGCGACTAGACGGCCTCGTCTTCAAATTTCATGTAGAGCATGTAGTAGATGATTATTTGTTATTCTGTTTCATTGGTTGGAATACTGGTAAGCATTAGTGTTCCACAAAAGCGGTTAGAGTTATAAGCCAATTATAGCTCTCGATTCTACTCCACTTTGTATACGCTTAAACTACAGTGGAATAAAAGGGGCTCTAACGGTTGACGACGGAAACAGTCGAAAAGTACTGAAGTAATTACAAAGTAGTTCGGTTGAGTTAATTCCCGAACTTCGAACTCGTTTCGTATTTTCATGTTTTCATATTTTCAGCCCTAACACTACACAGTAGTTCCTTAGCTACGGTTCTCAGGAATGGGATGGTCCACTAGTTGACTCCATAATTCAGTGAATTAGTGTTTCAGAGCTACACCAAATAACTTAAATGTCATAATATCCATTTTCAAGCTCCATAAAATGGTGGGGCTTGAACCCCGTAGCGTTCACGTTCATGTTCACGGGAATGTCAGATCCTGACCTTTTACTTTGTTATTACTTCTGTTCTTTTCTTCTTTTCTGAACTCTTCTTACCTTGAGCTATCCTTATTTTCCATCCTTGAAGGTGAAGCCTCGGTGTATATTTTATATCTCAATCCCATTCATTTTACAACATTCAACAACACTCCATATACTGGACTTTTTTTCTTCTGTCAAACCTTACAAACTTCATTCACTTTCCACTCTCCTGCTCGACTATATTCACCAGTTCAATCATGCGTTCTCAACTCCTTGCCGTTCTGGCCTCCCTGTCGCTCGCTTCGGCTACCTCCACTCTCGGCTGCTACTCAACTGTCTCCGGCCTAACCGAGACAGAAACATTTCAATTCCAGTCTATTAGCTACTGTTCCAACCGCTGTGACGGGGCCAGCTACTCATATGCCGTCCTTCAAGGCACAGAGTGTTCATGCACCAACGATGCACCACTCTCTTCGGCCAAGGTAGCTTCCAGCGAATGCGATACCGCATGTCAGGGATGGCCCGTCGACAACTGTAAGTGGCTAATAAAAACAACCAAAAAAAAAAAAAAAAAAAAAAAAACAGTTAAATCATATAAACAAAGCGCTCATCAAATCAATAGGTGGTGGCGACGATACCTACTCGGTCGTTAGTACTTCTGACATCATCGTTGATTCAGCCTCCGACGCCACAACCGCAGCCTCCTCCAGCATCCCTACTAGCATCGCTGCTGCTACTGTCATCGTCGCCCCGGCTACTGTTAATACTTCCCTTATGCCAACTGGTATTATTACCGCTCCCTCTAGTGTGGGCGTTGTGAGCTCTACGATTGTCAAGTCTGCTTCGGCTATTGCTACTGCTACTGGATCCAGCACTCCGACTCCTACTACCAATGCTGCTGGCTCTCTTCGAGTCGGCTCTGTTGCCGGTGTCGTTGTTGCAGGTCTGGGCTTGATGCTGTAATGGGTGCCATTTGTACATTTTGGAGAGTGCTCAGGGTTGTGGTTGGCTTCGTGCTTGTATTATTATTATTATTATTATTATTATTGCCGCCGTTGTTGCTGTTGCTGCTACTGTTTTATATCCCTGATATTTCTGATTCGCGTCTCTGTTTTGGAAAGAGCGGACGTGATTTGCTTAAGTCGCACTGTTGATTTGCTGTGCAAGTCGAACAGTTTCGATTGATGTGGTCTATCTAAGCTGGGACTTGGATGTCTGCATTAATCAACTTCGCTCGTTGGGAAGATTGGTGGGAAAAAACACACAAAAAGAAAACCTCTGTTAGACGCAGATTCGTATGCATCCGAATCCCAGGCGGGTTTTGATAGATACAATGCCATGGATAACAGAAGATGGAGTGCCCAAAAGAACATAAAGCTAAGATAATTAAACTATACACCCGAAAACCTCGGTAAAAAAAAAAAAATGTGCGAGAAGATAAGGATGTCTACTAATTGCAAACACTCTCATTAACGGTTCTTTGGATAGTTTTTACCCAGTTTTATACCCACAAACGGTTGTGGGATAGGTTGTCCAGAACTGATACAATGTTAGCTCAATTTAGAAAGAAGAAAAGTGAGGACTTACTCATAATAATTTCTGGCGACAGTTCGGGCGCGGTCCTTCAGAGCTTGCGCTTGTCGATAAGGCTTGAAGACCGGACCGCCATCTACGGCTGGGCATTCTCGGTCTGCTTCGAGGATAAGGGCCCATTTGAATCCGTGGGTGCCCACCAAGTCCAGGAGCCGTTGATCCTCTTCTGTTGTCCAATGAGCACTATGACCTTGACGAGGAGCCCGTGTGGGATTCTCGGCCTCACGAGAAGTGTTCCGAGCAGCCCACGCAGTGTCGCGGTCCCGGCTCAGTGGGCCGGGTAACTGCTTCCGTGCGTCGTACGGAGTGTTGTCGCTCATCTTCGGGTTGTGTGCTAGAGTCAGCACGAGGACGCTTGGCTGGGGAGCGCGAAGAACCCGCGTCCGATTGAATGGGAGATACCCGTGTTGCTGATTTCTGAGCCGCAAAAATGTTGCCACTGCTACTTTGACGTGGCGGCCCATTAGTTCGACGCTGTGAAAGATGTTGGCGACCTTTTAAGATTGTTTCGTATATGTCATCTGAGCTGGCGGGTGAGTGAGTCTCAAGATGTGTCGTAGGGCGCTTCGAGGGATGTTCCTCGCGATGAGTCTCGGGATGACTTTCAGGCGTATCATTGTCAAGCTCATCTTCCAAGTGGAAACTATCGACGAGGGTCTCAGACTCTGCAAGGGTAGTATCTAAACGAGAGTTCTCTTGCAATTCACCCAAGGCAGAGAGTTTTTCTCTGAATGGAAAAGTTAGCATTGCTAAAAGACGACTTCGACTTGGACCTACATCATGCTATTGTCAGTGCCGGGAATTTCAAAGGACCGGTCATTGATCTTTTTGATGAGATCAGGTGTCACGTCCTCAACTGATGGCTGGGACTTAACACTCGACTTCAGGCTGTCGCTGACAGCTGCCAGAAGGCGTGCGGTATTCAACACGATGCGGGTCCAGGGGTATGCAGACATTAGTTCTGTAATGTCCAACTTGTCTTCGAAGATGACGATGAGAAGCAAGTCCTCCAGGTCCTGCACTCTCTCCAACACTTTATCGTGGAAACGAGTCGGCATGCGGTTGTCTCCATTCAGGAACTGGGAAGTCGAGGCGAATCCCCTAATATAGCGAACAAAGTTGTCTTTACTTCCCACTTGTTCTTTGAAGACTTGTTGTAGAGTGGCAGCCGGGTCAAACACCTTCTCCTTTTGGCGTGTCTCCAATTCGGCAATAAAAAATTGAGTGCGGATCTCTAAAGCTAGATCAAACACAGCACCCTCAAGCTTTTCGCTGAGTTGTGGAGGTACGAATGAAGCAGGAAATATGCCTTCAAGGGCCCGCACGGTCTCTTTCGCATCCTCAGACTTGGGAATTGCAAAGAGCACCTCCAGGGCAAGCCGAGCACAGTTTGCACTGTACAGGATCGGTGTGGGTGCCCAGTATATTTTACCATTTTTGGTAAGCGACGGAATCATTTCGGCTACGCCGGTCACATCGATGAACATGTTTTCGGTAAATTTACCCATGCGTTCTCTCAGTTTGGCATCCAATTTGGTGAGACGCCGATTTGTAGATTCGTTAGGACCCGCTAGACGTGCCTCCTGGGCGAACTTTACAGCGAGTGCCGGGCGCTTGTGGTCGGAGATCAGCATGTTCAGCATAAGAGTGGACGCTTGTTGCAAGTCGCCCAGCTCATCGATTAACTCGATGGGATCGACATGTGTCTCATAGTCACAGGAAGATTCGCGATTAGCACTTGGAGATGACTCATGGGTAGGGGATTCATCCTCAGGGGATCTCCTTGAGTATGAGGAGGATGGAGAGTCAAGCTTTCGGGAAGAGTCCATGTGAGAGTCCTTTCGCGAAGAGTCCTTGTGAGAAGAATAATCCTTACGCGAAGATAAATCCTTACGCGAAGAAGAAGACTCTCTTTGGTACGAAGAGTGGCGACTCTCATCAGAATCACTGCCTTCATTTGCTAGACGGCATTAGTATGGCAACGGAAAGTAAAAAAAAGTGGCATAAAATTGGCAAGGAGATGTAGCCGTGTAAGACGTGTAGTATGTAATGGAGACGCGAGGTACCCCGCCAAAAAGTGCATACTGCGGAAATAAAGGCTTTGTTGACATCCAAGAACTCACAGTTTTGACTCTGCAGACGCGCCGGGGTGGTGGGTCCCAATGCACCAGACATGGAGGCGGTGAGGGAGTATATACAGTTGAAAGGAGGATGACAGGTATTTGCTGCCGTAGGAATGACAGAATCAATGGAATTGAAGCTGGGAAACAGAGCAACTGTTTCAAGCTTAAGGTGCGAGCTGTGAGAAATAAGAGCGAAACTTCGTGAGATGGTGCAAAGAGAAGAGTAAACAATGGTGGATACCCGCTTAACCCTAGTTGCTCTAGGCGGTAAGCACTACACGCTAATCCTATTCGGGTAATTCTGGGTGTGAATACCCTAATACCCTAATACCCTACCAACTATGAATTCGATTGCTATCAAAACAGTGCAAACATGATTGATGCAAACTCGCACTCACTATGCCGCAACTACCGTTAAATCAATGGATCAATCAATACAATAGGCCCTCGAGTAAAAACTCAGCTAAGAAACTCGTTGGTAGAGCCATGCGCAAAAAGCTAGAAATGCTGCCACTTTAACATACCAGCGGTAATTCTACACAGAAGGTCACCTGGGCATATTCTTTGATAATATATGGCATTATTAGATGTAAGCTCAATTATCATGGATTCCTCGAGTACCTGACTCGAACGTGGTATAGATGCTCGTGAACACAGACCAGGGATATAATTGAAGATACCATTAACTAGGCATACGTTGATATGCCGATTTTTTGAACAGGAACAAGCTCGAAACATCACATACATGATTTTATTCATCTATAAATGCAACATTCAGAAGAACCCTTCTATTAAGTAGATGACGCCGAAGATGAGGAATGCCGTGGCACCACCCAGTGTCACTGTGAAAGGTTAGGTTAGCCACCGAGTCGTAAGCAAATCGGAAGAGAAGGGGAATACATACCAACGCGCATACTGACACGGCCGGCAATCGCACGGCCACCGATGACAGCGGCAGCAGTGCAAATGCCGTGACCGGTGATTGCACCGATCGTCACCCACCAGTAGTCCTGACCGGCGGCCATGGCAATGGTGGCGATCTGACTACGGTCTCCCCATTCACCGAGGAAGGTCATGACGAAGGTTTGCACCCACGCAGGGCTGAGGAGGAGGGAGAACAGGTTGCTGACGCCGTTCATCATGTCGTTGAAACGGCGACGGTGGCTGGGGGAGGTGCCACGAGAGGAAGAAGAAGAAACACTCTCTGGGGGAGAAGGGAGTCGGTTGTGCGAGCCACGAGACTTAGGGCGGCCACCGGCGCGGCCAGCCTCTAGATTATGAGGGGTGACGGAGGAGCGACGACGACCCAGGCGAATTTGCTCCTGTTCCTTCTCCTCCAGCTCCATCTCCACTTCGCGCATTTCCTCGCCCACGCCTTCGTCAGGGGACATCTCGCGGCCTTCCTTGAGCATCTTGGCGCCGAAGACCAAGAACAGAATACCTGCCATGAACTTGGTGAGGGTTTTGGGAATGAGTGTGGGCACGGCGTGGCCAAGAACGGCCGAGAGAATAGTCATGGTGATTAGGGCAGAGAAGGCGGAACTGAAGACGACCAGACGTGGGTGTCTCATGGCCATCAGGGCTGCGACGAGGAATGTTTTGTCGCCGATCTCAGAGACGATAATCATGGTAAATGAAAATATCAGAGAGTGAAGTCCATCACTTTCCACCGGTACTGAGCTCTTGCTGTAGGTGCTAGACGAAGTGGAAGAGCCCAAGCCACTAGAGCCGAGCTCCGCAGCCAGGGGATCGGACTTGGCTTGAGAGGGAGACTTGGGATGAGGGATATCGTGTGGCTTTCCAGGAAGATCGGCCGGTTTCTAGCCGAGTGTTAGCGATAGGGTTTATAGGGCTTGTCAAGTATACAAACATACCTCGAGCATTCCAAGGGTATCTGCATCAGCAGACTGGCTTCCACTTCCAGACACCTCGCCGCTGTCAGCAGCAGACAACTTTTTGGTCTCGCTGTGCGGCAGGGGGGCGCCTCTTTAGGTGCACCAGGCACCTTCTCCGTCTTCAGAGTATCTTTCGCCTTATCCGATACTTTATTCTCAGTGCCCCTAGTGCCTTCTTTAGGACCCGCTCGGGTAGGGTCATCCATGACGCCGCTGTTCGACTGCGGGATAGATTTTCCGTCGATACCGACATGATCTGAGGAGGGGACAACAAGTTCTATAGAGTCATCACCTCCCTTGGTGTTTTTGCGATCCCGCTCTGCATTCGTTTCAACCCACGGACCCGCATGTGGTCTGCCATCTTTGCCGTCCACGGGGGCATCCACAGGTTTTGGCGCAGGGTCAGCATCGACATACCGCGAGTCGAGGCTATAAGCTGGGCGAGATGGCGAAGCAGTTGGCTTGATGCTCGACTTGATGGGTGTTACCGCATTGGAGAGCGCCGGAAGGAGGAGAAGGATTAGAGAGGAGGATAAGTTGACCCTCATTATGGACGAGAGGAATTGGTCGGAGGATCAGTGAGAGTTAGGAAAAGTACGATATAAGAGTCGTGTTTTTTAAAATCGCTTTGAAAATAAATGAATCGGTCGGGGAGTGTTGATGCCACGAATACGAAAATAAGTAGAGGCGGGTGACGCAGCGAGAGCAAAAATGGACTAGCCTTTGCATGCAAGAGAGATTGAAAAGTTATTAAGACAGATTATCCCGGAATTGAAGAGAGAAACGAATGAAGACGGGGTTAGAGAGTGTTGCAAGTTATTACTGTTGCTTTCTGCAAAGGGGCTCCACGTGATCCCGCCGGAAGCGGCCTACTGCAGCCTGAGCCTCATAGTTTATTCCTCCTTCTCCCTGTCAAGCTTAGAACATATAAGGGTGATTTCCAAAATTTAATTACGTAGATAAAGATCACCACTGAAAATCCTGAAAGGTAGAAGGCACCTCTTAGAGCAGAACCTCCAATTTTGAAGAGGTTAAAGCTAAGGATGTCTCGTTGAAGGATGAATTAAGACCTATACGAGCTCTAGTATTTAAGAGGAAATAACTCTGAAACATTGCGAAATACATAACTTAATATTGAACAATAAAAACCTGCTCAAGAAATTTCATGTTGCTGGTATTACTCATAAAACACCAAGCATCTAACTTCAATGCTCTGTCTCGCTGGAGATGCCGCTGGTGTCTGTGGATCAATAAAAGCAGTATGGCCCGTCGCATGGGCAATATCAGTCTGTCCGTCCGTCATGAGAGAGCTTCTGGAATCAAAACATTTAATCAACAATGCCTCCTCTGGCGTCATATCCTTCACATAAAACCACCGATGTGAATCATGAGGAGTAAGAAGGTATGTCTCCCCCTTAACCTCGTATCCATCTGTCGATGAATGTGATTCAGGATTAGCCATGACTTCTCCAATCTCCTCATATGCCTTAGGATACAAGAGATCAACCCGGTTAAAGTCAGAAAGATTGGTGCTCCGCCAATCGATCAGGGCTAGAGGGAAATCTGCAGCTGCGTTTTCAATTGGTCGCCAGACGTTGATAATTTGGTATCGACCTTTCAATAGCTCTTCTACTTCGTCTTCTGGCGTATGACGACGCACTCTCAATTCAGCAGCGGCGGGTGTTTGGTCGACGTGTACTAATTGGACTGGAGAGCGAGCTGATCCCTCAATTCTCCGTCTGATGGTGTGGTCAAATATGACTACCTTTTTCACACCAGGCAGCTTATCTCGAAGCAGGGCTTCTATTTCAGCGTAATATCCTGATTTCACTTGCTCTTCGTCTGTGAACAAAGTCTCCTTTGCAGGTGCCTTACACACAGAGAATCCGGACAAGTCGGTTGAAAATTCAGACTCTCTGCCTCGGATATTTTCCACTGGGCGTTCTTGGTCTATCAATTTAAAAGAAAATCCAGGCCCGTCGACTTTACTCCATGGTTTTTTGAAGGCTTCTGTGGCATGAGGATCAAATGAAGATGGATCGAGGTAGTTGAAGATAGCAGTGGTCATGTTGGCTCTTGCAAGAATTGGTGTTTGAAATAATATAAAGGAGGTAGCTCTCAAGATTTTAAACCTCCGGAGAAACTAGATTCATGAGTGATTACAAAAGAATCAAGAAGAACTGATGGCGTGTTAGCTGACTAGTTCCTTGATTAATAATGCACCGGGTGGGGCTCCGAGTCCTCGATCGCTGACGGATGTCATCTTTCCAATGTTTGAACTTGGCGATAAGCTAATATAAATCCATTTTTGAGGTCAAAGTAAGATTCATACGGCATCTGCGAGGGTCCTCGGGATAATATAAGCGTTGGTACAGCTCAGGCAGACAGGATGGTGAGTACACCAAGAGTACAATAGACAGGCGTCCATAAGATATGTATATGGAAGAGAGTAGTTTTTTTTTCACTAGGGTAGATCTTTCCTTCGCCCGTCACTGTCGGTTCTGAGAATTATGGCTCAGTGCCCTACATGTTATTCTGCTTTAAACTAGTGAGGTAATTAGATAGTATATCTCCCGGTAGATATGAAATCTAAGTCCAACATGCTGGGCCCTTGGTCAGCATTTCTGATATTAAGCAAGGCAATGAACGCATAGGCTTTCAGTTTTGAAAACATATATTGCTAATTCGATGATTGATTTTCCTCCAAGCTAGACAGTACTATTCTCTCGGGATTCTATACAATTATCCAAAGCTTCAAGGCTCAAGGCAGTTGATGGTATGAAGACAATATTGACTCTTGTAGGATCATTGTCTGCTTGAAGCTTTTGATCTTTGCTGATGCTGGCAAAATTCATTATTCGTCATCAAATCATTGAATTTCTGATTGCCATTTAACCAAATAGTAATATAAATCAGGCATCAATATTCAGGCATTACATCAAGATCACCTGACTTAAGTGAATAAAGGTCCGAGCGCACCACCCCTTATAAACAAGTCTTTTCGCACTGGAGTGTCTCCCTTCTTCTTCTTCTCCAGCTCTCTTTGCCAATTGGCTTAGATCAAGTGTAGTATCTGTTCTTTTCAGTTTAATCTCTGAAAGTCTTCTATTGGAAGACACATTGATTATCCTTATTTTTGATAACAGTGACCAGCCTCTGTGCTTGCGCATGCTGGACGCACTGTGTCACTGGGCTTACACTACCCCCGGTTGATGCGAACCTCTTTTTCACCAACTGCTTTCGACTTGTCCGATCAATTGGAGAAGAAACTGGCATGCTAAAACTCCGTATGGAAATGTGTAAATTTTAATGATGAAATTGCCACCGCCACGGTTTCACAGTTTCAAGCCACAAAATGACGGTTGTTTCCTATGACGAGTGATCGTCTGCTTTCTCTCCATATGTGGCCAAGTCAGGCCCTGAGGCTGAATCTGATTGGTTGTTCAATTCCTTTTATGTCTTCTTCTTTCTTCCTCTTCCTTTCTCAGTCTCCACTTCTTCGTCGCTACTGATGAGGTGGAGTAAGAGTCGATCACATTTCCACTAGTCAGATCGGCATCCATACACCTTGACGGTTAAGATCCTTCTATGACTGTGTGGCAGAATTACTGATCTGGCTTTCGGATGTAATTCGCCCTTCTTTTGCATCTTTCCTGTATGACTAACGACTGATTTATCGCGTGTCTAGCTTACTGCGTCTTTCAAACCGAACTTGATCCAACCTGCTCAGTACCCAACTTCAACTAGGCTTCTGTTCCACCTCTCACCTCCGACTTTGACGGAGTCCCCAGAATGCGGACGTGACCTCAACATTCTCCATTTTTGCGATCATTTCACAACCATGGAGCCCCTCTCGAGAGCTCAGAGGAAGGCCGAGCATAATACAGACCGGAGACTACGTGAACTCTACCGCTTCTACGATCCTGTCAGACCTACAGGCATTGTCCCTTCATGGCAGACGAATGTGGAAGATGGTTTACCTAGAAGTACCGGAAGTCCAATACCCACGTCTTCGCCAGATGGATCACGAAGTTCCAGACATAGTTCGACGGCGCCCTCCTCCATTGCAGCTGGCCCGGAAACGTTGGTCCTGGGCACATCCAACAAAACCCTCACATCGTTTGCACAATTGGCTGCATTACGCTTAAATGCCGAACGTGCTTTCATATGCGTTCTTGGTCGGAATAAACAATATGTCCTGGCTGAAGCAACTCAGTCTCTCAATTTGAGCGAAACTTCAGCGCATGACGACAAAGATCAACTCTGGCTGGGCTCGACGGGGAGCCAGCTGACGTGGAGCATTTGCCGAGTAAGTATATAGGACCCAGCATGACTATCGACTGTCTTCCAAACCCCCCGATACGCAAACCAACACCATGAAGGCGCCGAAAAACAGAGTAAGGATAGATTGTCTGATTGGTACGACAGGATACTGTTGCGCTTCCACCCCCCGACCCCGAAAACTCTCTATACAACTTCCTGGTCGTAAACGATATGGCTATGGACGAGCGATACCAGCAATTGCCGTTTGTCCAGAACGATCCGAATCTTCGATTTTACGCTGGAACCCCCTTGACTACCGAAAAAGGTATCAACCTGGGCTGTTTCTTTGTGATGGACAAGAGTCCGCGTGATGGACTGATGCCATTGGAAAAAGACACACTGGGAACACTGTCAGCACTGGCTATAGATTATCTGAAAGTTTGCCGAGAGGCTTCAGAGGGGCGGCGGGCAGCCCGTTTATCTCGAGGACTAAGCTACTTCGTTGATGGTAGCTCAAGTTTTGTTAACACGACCGAATTATCACGTGCGGACAGCTGTGGCCCACACTCGACAAATCCATCCTTCGAAAATTGTATCAGCATGCCTGGAGACAGCCCGGGAAACTCACCACGGACAGTGTCCCAGGCATCCCATAGAAATCCTCGGTCACCCAGTATGACCGCTCCGTCAGTGAGCTCCCAGTTCTCCGATTCAAAACAAGAGACGGGCACATCTGGTGGGTTGAGCTCGCTTCCAGAGTGGATTACCAGCAGTAGTCGAAATCCACTTCCTACAGATGATTCGCAAGGTAACTCTTGGTGTTTTCGTCGAGCTGCAAATCTCCTGCGTGAGAGTCTTGATCTGAGTAATGAGGGCGGCGTGGTATTTTTCGAGGCAAACAACCACAGTGCCTTGGCAGAGAATGATATCAGTGGAAGCGACTGCTCGTCAAGTGACTCGAGCGGTCCTGCTGCAATTCTGTCTATGTCCACGAATGACGAACCATTCTTTCCCCATACAGGTTCGATGACTGATTGCCCGACGGCCAGTTTGGATCGGTCTTTCTTAACATTACTTCTCAAACGTTATCCGAGGGGAAAGTTATGGTCGTTCCACCGCGACGGGCTGATCACGTCGTCCGATGACGATGACAAAGTGCCTCGCAATGGGGACTTTCTAGCTCCGAATCGTTCTCCCACTGATAGACCGACCTTTGATATGTCCAATCCTTTAGGGAAACGACGAAAGGCAGCAGAGAATACGATGCTTAACCAGTATTTTCCCAACGCCACTCAGATCATCTTTGTACCTCTATGGAGTACGATAGGGTCTCAGTGGTTTTCCGGTTGCTTTTGCTGGACAACCCTTGAAACTCAGGTCTTTACCTCTGCTGTGGAGCTAAGCTCTGTCATGGGCTTTGGTTCATCTATCATGTCAGAGTACAGCCGAGTCGAGTCACTAATTGCAGACCGACAGAAAGGTGACTTTATTGGGAGTATCTCCCATGAACTTCGAAGTCCGCTCCATGGAATTTTAGCCGCAGCTGAGTTCCTGAATACTACTAATCTCAATGAATTCCAAGATTCATTGCTAGAGACTGTCAATGCTTGCGGCCGGACATTGCTCGATACGATGAACCAGGTGCTCGACTTCAGCAAAGTCGTCTCACTTGAGCGCACCTTGAAGTCGCTGAAACGAAAGAATGAGTCGCCACTTGACTTCAAAGGAACTCGCAAACTTGGGTCTCATCTGGACTCATATGTCATAACAGATCTTGCGATCCTGACCGAAGAAGTCGTAGAAGGCATTTGCCTAGGTCATACGTATGGCCAAAACTCTACTGCCTCCGCCGATTTACCCATGCTTTTCTCGAGCAACGCTCCGAAACCACGGAGCCATCAGTCTAATGTGGAAGTAGTTCTGGACATACAGCACCGCGACTGGGTTTATAGAACTCAACCAGGTGCGCTGCGACGAATTGTGATGAATATCTTCGGAAACGCAATGAAATACACCGATTCTGGGCGGGTATGTCTCAGCCTTGAGGCATCCAGCCACTCTGAAGGTCATTCTCGGCGACAGGGACTCGAAGATATGGTCACTTTAACTGTGTCAGACACTGGTAGAGGTATATCTGAAGAATTCTTGCGTGGGCGACTCTACACACCCTTTGCTCAAGAGGATACATTGGCTGTGGGAACCGGTCTAGGGCTATCTATTGTGCGCAGCCTTGTCAAGTCTTTGAATGGGCATATACGTGTTCGCAGTCGTATTGGTGAGGGCACTGTCGTTCGCGTGTCTCTCCCCTTGGCCCGATCTGTGGGAACAGAAAGCCCATTTGTCGAGACTGACAGCCATTCTCCGCATCAAATGGAGACCCTGACCCAATCAATCATGCTTCGCAAGGATTATCCGGGAAAGCAGGTCGCTATTTGGGGTGTAGAATCTGCCCAAGTGGCAGAAGATTCATCTTGGGCTGAGATTGCCCGCTATATGACCGATTGGTTCGGTATGAGAATTGTCAACTGGCCCCCTTCAGAGCCCATTGATATTCTGCTCGTGAAAGAAGACCACCTACATGAATTGCGCAAGTATGGTCTTTCAACGGCGCTGCCGGCCCTTCTGGTCCTTTGTCACCGCGCAATGGATTATAGCGTCGTACGTTCCGAATGGATACCTCTTGCTTCTTCGGTAGATATCATTCGGCGGCCCTGTGGGCCACATAAGCTGGCTCGTAGATTGCTGAAGGCACTTCAGCACGCGCAGTCAGCAGCTGTCACGCCAATATCTGTCTTGCATGATCCCATGGATTTGCCTATACGAGTACCTTCAACCTCGCATACTGCCGTCTCTTCTCCCGTTATTCATCCCCTCGTGTCACCGACAATTTCCGAATTTTCTACGGAAGTCGTTGACGCAAGTGAAATTTCGCCTCCAGTGCCAATTGCCAAAGTAAAGGCCATGGAGACATCCCTGGCACCACTGCCAGCAGAAACTCCCGCTAGTCCTTCGCAGACAGCACGGATTCTCGTCGTAGATGACAACCGTATCAATCTGAACCTCATGATGACACTCATGAAAAGACGTGGCATCACGGAATTGGTAGGCGCCGAAAACGGAAAGATTGCTGTTGATGCAGTTGAGCAGATGCCGAATGGTTATGACATTATCTTCATGGACATTTCGATGCCAGTGATGACGGGCCTTGAGGCAACAAGGGCAATCCGTTCACTGGAGAAAGAGCATGATGGTCGCAAACCAGCAATCATTATCGCGTTGACTGGGTTGAGCAGCCCACGCGATGCATCCGAGGCCATGGCATCTGGTATGGATCTATTTCTCACCAAGCCTGTTTCTTTCCGGGAAGTTTCGCGTCTCCTAGATGAGTGGGAGCAAGATGGGCTGGTGAGTAAGCAGAGGACTCCCTCGTAGTATCCTTGTAAATTGGTAGGCTTTATTACTGGAATGAGTTCTTCGCTTTTCCTAGTCACCTCTTTGCTGCCACTCCCTAAGTTACATTGATTTTGGCATATCCCCTTTGCACCTTTTATGTTGTTTGATTCTTTCTCGACCTAAATTTTCCCACGCTTCGATATGACATTCGTCTTTCTGAGATGACTTTGACGAATCGCACCTTCATCTTTTCTTTCAATTTTACCCTCCAAAATATCTATACCCCTTTTTTTTAACGTTGGCAGGTTGCATCAAGGAGCTACTTCCACCGGAGTATCATTCCTATCAAAAGTGTTACTCCTCGGTGATCATGTATTTGAATTTTGTCTATGAATTTCACCCTTTCAACTTGGATTTGAACTTGCAGAATTATATGCATTTACGACTCTCATTTTGACCAGACCATATGTACACCAATGGGGGAATGACTTTGATGTTGAAGAGACTTCCTAGGTCAACAAGAAAATACATATATCTCACATAAAATATTCAACACGTCACTATACAGAAGCGTATAGAATATCGCCCATTTCTTCTTCACTCGGCAAGTCTGACGGAATATCAAGTTGAGAAAATATCGTGCCAGACGTCTGGTTGAGAAGGATATCGCTACCAAAGACACTAGCCAACGTAAGTAGAATGCACAAGCGCTAATCCAAGAGATTAAAAAGAGACCCACCGATCATAAAACTCACTCATAGCATCAAGCCCAGACAACGAAGCATTCAAATCCTGTAAAGAATGCCGAGGATCCGAATGATCAGGAAACAACCCCCATTCCATAAGCTCAAATAACACCTCCGAAATCATCATCTCACCAAATCCTGTCGTCCCCATTGCCTGCAAAACCTGTAGACACTTACAAACATTATTGAATTCTTTTTCAGCCTTCGTTAAAGCAAACAGCGCCAAGAAAACCTGAAGAATATCCAACGCATAGAAGAAGTCCAGCGCGATGAGCTTGGAATGTAGATCCTCGCTAACCATGCCCTGTAGAATATCTAGCATTTGCTCTGCAGATACAACACAGGCTATAGTAAAGAACTCGAGACTGTTTAGTTCCGGTAGCTCTTTCTGCTTCTTCCGGCAGACGAGTTGATAGAGGAGGAATGGGCGCCCGACTAAGATGCGGGTACTATGGTATCTCAAATGTAGGATGGAAATTGGTCTGCGGTACAGAGGAGCAGCCATGACAGAGAGACGCAAGTGTGGTGTGAGGGTATTCTCCCATTCTGTCAAAGAAGCCATTATATCTTGAACTGTATTTATTTCTAGTTTAAGGCCGAGCATAAGTGGGTTTTTGTATATGTGTTTTCGGGCTGTTTTAGCTATCTGGCTGAGTTTGCTGCAGCTTTGTAAATAGTCTGGTGGACTGTATGGGCCGGATGGCAGAATCTGTTCAAGTTAGATATGGGGAATGGAAGTGAGGGAAGAAAAAAATGCAGTACCGCTTCAGAGGGGAGGGGCGGATAGAAGGAATCTTCTGTTGCACATGGCTTTCCCAGGCGCAGTGATATATCTTGCTCGAATACAACGAGAGACCACCAGATGCGACGCGCGTGTTCCTTTTCGACTCGACCATGCGAAGTGGTGTACTTGTCGCAGTGCAAGCCTAGAGAAGTCGCTATCTGAACAGCTAGGCTGGTGTAAAGGTACGCGGTATTTGAAAAGCCTTGTGATTGCATCGCGGTTGCCTGTTACAAAATCAGCCTCCAAACATCGCAATGCCTACCAAGGTTAACCTGGAGGTAGAGCAAGAAGATACTTACCAATAGGACCATAGCACGAACACTGTCCAGACTCGCTTCATCACAAACACCCGCAAGAAAAGACTTTGCGTATTCTAGATACTCGGCTGGAGCAACAACCTCGTGAAGATTCTCAGGATACGATGATCCCAGTGTTGCAATTGAGAGAATAGAGTAGAGAGAACATTTCCATGATGCGGTTTGGTTTTTCTGTGGAGTGCGGTATGTCTCCTCTAGCTGGTTGTAAAACCTCTCTGAAGAGTAAAGCCAATAAAGACAGTGGACCTCTTCAAAGTACCGCATTATAAGACGTTGACATGCTGATTGAATAGGTAGGGGGATATCTCTTTGTCCAGGTTTCTGATTTGCGAGTGGCATTCTCACAGTTACCATTCCGGGAATTAGATCTGGAATTGGAGGCGTATTGAGGCCGTCATTCTTGAAGCATTTTATTGCAGCGTTGAATGAGACACCAGACTCAGAACCCATGTACCCTAGATGGGGATGATTATTAGCGCGGAATAAGGGTTGTATATAAGGTAACTAGGTGTCAACTCACGACACTGGCCTTGGGAATCGGTAAGGAGACAGCCTAATTTCTGATGCAAGTGCGAGATATCCTGTAGTATAGCCCTCTCTGTATCAGTACTGGCAATCATATTAGGCACATGTAAGGAGCTAATCTCAAAATACTCGAGACAGTCGTCTGGAATTCGACTGGTACCCGCGCTAGGAGGTACAGCGGGTGAGATCGAGATAGGTGACACGGGGAGATCATGAGTGGCCTTTTTGCAATTTGAGGCGATCGAACGCAGGTTCTCCGGCGTAAGCTCAGTTTCAGGAAGGTAATATTTGACGATTTCCTGCATGTTGCGAAACTCTTCTTCCGACACGAAGTAGAACGGCCGTTGTCGTCCCTTGGCTGGGTCGATGTGGCATTCTGATCTTGTACTACTACAGTAATCACATGGTCCAGGGACTGAACAGATCAGATAATATGTTGTCAGTTATCCAGAAAAAAATAAAACGATATGCCGAGGTTAGATCCGGTCAATATTTACCTGGATTATTGCACTAGAACATTTGTTAGCTTGTAGATAATACATAGAAGTATAGCTAGCTTTACCTTTGTCTTGCGACTCCTACAACGGTCACAGCTAATTGCCGTCCGACCTTTTCTTGGTCTCTGGGTCGACATGGTGTGATGATTGACCTAGGTATGAAGGGAACTACTGATTTAAGGTAAGGCGTGGGGCGCTGCACCCCATACTCGGCAGTTGAATATGCGGGGATTTGCGGGGAAGTGGGGAAGCAATGATATCAATATCTAAATTTCATTCACACCTACCAGTGGACCTGTCCAGTTTGGTAAGAAACAGGCATTCCTAATAAACTACAGGGATTGCTTCTACTCTGAAGCGACATATCATTAGATAAACTGATAAATACCTACTGTGGACTCTAAACTTCTAATCGATCAAAAGCCCCAGTCTGTGATAGTCCTTGCCGGTGGGGCAGTGCTTGGATCTCCTATATCGCGCAGCTTAGGGGCCTGCATATCAGGTTCAGCTACATCCTCGCCTGTGATAGGATGCTTATAATGAAAAGGAATGACTCGTGTATCAGGCCAAAGAGACACGTCATCAAGTATCTCATCCGGACCAACTACATCAACAGGAAAAGTCTCCTTGTACAAGGGGATATAGTTGGTGCAATTCTTCCAGCCAGACTCAAAAGTACCATGCCAAAATGGGTAGTACCGAAGCCGCAGGATCTTCCACTTGTCACCCTGCAGGATGTACTCGTTCTCGTACAGTCCTCCTTCCCACCACTGGCGAAGCCCACCTGGGAAATCAGATGGAATGGATTGGTGGGTGCCCGCGCTCATCAACGTTCGCGCTCGACCTTTAGCTCTCCCTGCTTCTGGATCGAAGTCGATAATATCTTGCGCCATTAGATGATCAAGAAGCCACCCTTCCATAGGTCCGTTACGGCCGTTGACAAATCTGTTTGCAAATCGCTCAAGGTAAAGACGGTTGACTCCCTCTTTTCCATGGAAGCGGCCATTGAGAAACTGGACGTATGTGTCTGGGTGATCGGCGAAGAGGTCCGCCACCTGCTTTCATAAACTATCTGTGCATAACTTCTTCACAGGTGTGCCTTCTTACCTCTTTGTACAGACATTTGTCCAGATAGTAACCATATTTATGGTGGAGCTTCCGAACATCCGACTCTCCTGGACTGATATCAGTGAGGCTATACAGAAACCTCCTTTTCCAGATTTACCTTTGAGCTTGGCCAATTCGTACGAGAGCTGCTGCACCTGAGTAATCAAAGCCGAGGCTTCAGAAATCTGGGTAATTCCCGCCATGGTGCGAGATAGGAATTATTGACGGCGAGAGAGATGAAATTTTTCACGGAGAGTTCGTATTGAGACCAAATCTAGTTCATTTGAAGTACCTTTTAAATCATATCAGAGCTTGCTGAAAATGATGCGAGGCCGCCCCTCGGAGAAATGAAGCCGAATTTTTGAAGCTTCTAGAGTAGCAAAGAATTATCGGTTTCAAATAACGACTGAGTTTGCGAATCATCTATAACCAAGTTTACAGCCGACATGATTGACTTGCTGATAACATGTCGGCAACAATTAGCGATGACAGGGCGTAAATTGTGGAGGAGCTTATGTGCCAGCTCCAAGATGGTCTGGCTTGATTGAACAGCCCACTTGCCACTTCACTGTACTCCTTCAGGATTCAAGCAGTACTTGATACTCCGGATTTCTACTCTGGATGAGGCTATCAATAAGCACGAGTCATCAACCGACTACGATGGCAGAAATTCAAGAAATTGAAGGCAGTAATGTCTTTTCTCTGATATGGGAGGAGAAGGTAGTGGTGGCAGTCTCTATTTTCATCGCCATGGCCCAGTTTCAGTATGGATATGACTCTGCTGCCGTCTCTGGTTTCCAGAGCATGCCGGGATTTCTCACCATCTTTGGCTATGTTGATGTATTTTTCTCCTGGAACTATGCCTGAACACTTACTGAACCATTTTAAAGCCAGATACTGCCCTAGGCTATAATCTCAGCACTTCAGTGCAGACCCTGATTCAGAGCCTCATGCAGCTCGGCGGCCTTGTTGCATGTCTTTTCATCTTCAAATATGGAGGTCTGATCAGTAACAGGCTAGGGCTCTGGATTGGATCCCTTGTATCCTGTATGGCCATCATCCTGCAGATAAGTAGCATCCATATCGGGGCCCTTTATGCCGGACGTCTGCTTCTCGGCCTATCGAACGGCTTTTATCTGACCTACTCTGCCACCTACCTCGGCGAGATTGCACCCACTCATCTCCGTGGTTCAGCTGTAGGCCTGGTCACCTTCCAGACCTCATTCGGTGCCTTGATCGGAATCCTTGTCGACAACTATACTACACAATATTCTTCCAAAATGTCATACCAGATTCCACTCGGAGTCATGTTTGCCATTCCAGTCGGACTTTCCGTCGGCCTCTTCTTTCTGCCAGACAGTCCACGGTACTATGTGCGTCATGGCGAGGAAGCAAGAGCAGCAGATGCAATCCGCAAGCTGAGAGGGATCAGCGACGAAAGCAAAATCAACGCCGAGCTCGCTAAGATCAGAGAGGCGTGGCTGTTGGAAAGTACTTCAACCCAGTTTGTGCGTTTTGTTGACGCATTCCGTGGACCAGACCTGAAAAGAACGATTCTCAGTATTTGCTGCAGCGTTGCTCAGACAGGCAGTGGGATAATCTTTTTCTCCAGCTACTCCGTGTACTTCTATGCCCAAGCTGGCGTCACGAACGAGTTTGTATGGGTGATGATGAGTCTCGCGATTGCACTCACTGGAAACATGAGCGCATTCTTCGTCATTAAGTATATTGAAAGACGAGTTTTGTTGGGAGTTTGCTCTGTCATCAACGCCGCTCTGATGTTCATCATTGCGGCCGTTTATACCAAGTTCGGCGTCGGTTCGTACACTGCTGCCCAGCTTCTGGTGGCGATGGGAACTCTTTTCACCTGGACATATGGTGTCGGTCAGGGCCCTGTTCTCTGGGCATTGACGATCGAGATTCCGTCTCAGAGGCTGCGGTCGAAAACGGTTGGTCTTGCGGTAGGAGCTAATTATGTGTTCGGATGGTTGGCGACGTACTGCACACCATATTTCATCAATCCTGGATCATTGAACTGGGGCCCAAAGTACTGTTATATTTGGGGCGCCAGTAATCTCATCCTGGCTGTATGGACGTTCCTGGTTATACCTGATTTGAAGGGAAAGAGTTTGGAGGAAATCAACAATTCCTTGCCTGTGTTAGATGAGAAAAAGTCAGACGAGACTGAAGTTTCTGTTGAACACTACCAGAATGAAGATTCTTGGTAGGCCAGTAGCTGAAATATCTTATCTTCCAAAGATTCTGTGTAATTAATCAGTGCGAAAGTGGTATGAGAAGTGTCCGTATTGTCATCCTGTTTACTTTCACCGTTTTCCTCAGTTTCTATCATCCTCTCTCTGCCTCTTTCATCTCTCTCACTTCACTCACCTGACCAATTCCCTAAACACATTCATCATGGACCTCTCGGAACTTTCGGGACCCCTGGTTGAATCTGGCACGATTTATATCTCGGGCGAGACGTTGCTCACTAGTTCCAACGAATTTCGAGCTCAAACTCTTGTCAGACTTCCAGTCTCAGATTTTAAGTGCAGGCCTTCACTAATAGATGAATATTTTTAGGCTGATATGAAAGCCCAAATCTATGAAGTGCGCCGCACACTCATCTCCATGCAATCCTCAATCGAAGAGATGGGGGTTCCAGACACGTATAACATTCGTTCCAATTTTCTCCTACCCTGAATAAATATTTAGTAATTTTTCGATTTAGCGACGCCAAAGTGGAGGTACACAGCTATATTCAGATGCTGCATGAATACAATGTACTCAAGGACATTGCTTGGCTTCTAATCGGCATCATAACAGAAATTGAGGGCGTGCCATTTGCGACCGTCTTGTCGCGATTCCACGCGATTGAATCTGTTTCGGAACAAAGCTAGATTGTGTGGATACCTTTGATGCTCATCTTAAAGGCACTTTTGTCTTGTAGGGAGCTAGTCTTTCAATGGTACTTCTGTGGTTTTCAAATCATGTTCAATCAGATCAGCTATCAACTATCGATGCAAAACACACAGTTTCATGTTTAGACTAGTAGCTTTAAACTTATACTGATAATGTGTTGCCAAACTAAATCTCTAAGGGAAGCTTGAATAATTGAATTGCATTCTCCCTTGACACCTGATCCTTGGTCCTTTCATCAAGATCCACAGTTTTCCACCAGTCCTGCGCTTCTTCTATCTGATCGTATGGTGTATCTGCAAGATATTTGAGCTTGATTCAACAGAAATGAGGAGTAACCTACCAATCGAATATAGACACCTCTCAGCACCGAGTTCTTCGATGCAGAATTTAAGGCCTAGGGTTGAGAAATTCCCAGAAGTCGTGATGAACACATTTTTCTGGAAGTAATATTTGTAATCCTCTTTCGATGGACGTGCAACTTTCTTGCTAGGTTTATTATACCAATGTGAGGCTCTCCAGAGATTGAAAGGAATACTGTAGTCTGTTACTTTTCTGCTTCATAAAGAAAGAATATTCGGTTCCTACTTTTCACCTAGATGACCGACCACGATTTTCACGCCAGGGAAACGATCAAAAACACCTGCAAAGAATAAATTAGCATATCTCACGTCTTTTCCACAAGATTGTCACGTACCTGAAGCGCAGATAGCATAGATGTGGAACGAAAGGTCCAGGTGAAACTGGACACCTGCACCAAGTAAATGCATTCGATCACAGTATGCATACGCTGGTGATTCAAGATGTTTCGATGTCGGGTATCTGGGGTGAAGGTAGATTGGCACATTCAAATCTTCAACCTTCTTCCAAAATGGATCATAAAAAGCGGTATCAAAGTACCCTTTGCCTGTTCCATCAACACCCAGGCTCTGGAAGTCGTTCAATAAACCCCCAAAGAACTTCAAGTCCTTAACAGCCCGCTCCAACTCTGCCGCAGCTTGAGAGGGATCATGCATAGAGAGCGCTGCCAGTCCACCAAAGCGACTGGGATTTTTTGCAACTTCTCCTGCCAGCCAGTCATTGAAATCTGTGGCTGACTTCTCAGCTAGGGCCTGATGGGGAATTCCTTGACAGCCGGGCGATGTCAGTGACAGTAGCATATACTCGACACCTTTTGCGTCCATTGCCTGAAGTCTACGACCGTGGATATCCATCAAACGGGTTCTGTGAGCTGTCACTGCCTCTGGACCTGCATTGCCGGGTGTGAGGATACTCTGCGCCTCCTCTAGCAGCCATGCGGTGCCGGGACTAATCACTGCTTCCTCAACCGCAATAGTACCTTTTGCGATCATTTTTCTTGAATCTTGGAAATTGATGAGGTGTATTGAGAAACTCTTGAAGGAAATATCTCCTTTCTAGAGAAATTCTTTTTCTAAGTGATTCATTATTTGATTCTCCGTTACCAGTTCGGCAAGTCTGTGGATTGGCTGTTTCCGATACTTCGAGTACACCATCGGCATCAATAAGCCGAGGACGCTCAGCTTCAACCCGGCATCAGACCACTCACAGCGCTTGGATCGTCTTCAATAGAATTAAATACAGTCATTAGAGTTGATCAGGTTGGATCAATCTGGAAGAAGGTAGATCTCAACGATTCAATTGCGACAGAAAGCTCGACCAAACATGGCTCATATGTACGACATTGTCGATTCTGTTGACTATCCATACGTCAGCGGGTGGAGGAAAGGAGATCAAACCAAGTATCCCCAGACAGCAGTCTTCCAGACATTTAATGCTCCCTTCAGACTTGAGGGCGATATCCTTGACCTGGAGGTGGACGGCACCATTCCACCAGAGATCAATGGCACCTTTTACCGGATACAGCCAGATCACAGATTTCCACCAATATTCGAAGAAGACATCCATTTTAATGGCGATGGCAATGTCACGGCTATTCGGATTGAAAATGGCCATGTCGATTACAAACAGAGATATGCCAGAACAGACAGATTCCTCGCCGAAACCGCGGCTAAGAAGAGCTTGTTCGGGAAGTATCGTAATCCATACACGGACTCTGAGTCTGTCAAAGGAGTTATTCGCACGGCTGCAAACACCAACATTTTTTTCTGGAGAGGTATGTTGTTAGCCACTAAAGAAGATGGTCCACCGTATGCTATGGACCCAGTGACTTTGGAGACGATTGGTCGATATGATTTTGAAGGTCAAGTGCGAACGCCCACTTTTACTGCCCACCCAAAGTTCGATCCTAAGACTGGCGAGATGATCTGTTTCGGATATGAAGCTGGTGGTGATGGCAATGATGGCTCTTGCGATATTGTCGTTTATACTATCGACCTAGATGGAACTAAGACAGAAGAGGCGTGGTATAAAGCTCCATTCTGCGGCATGATACATGATTGTGGCATTTCAGAGAACTATCTTATTCTTCCCATGACGCCTCTCAAGTGCTCAGCCGATCGACTCAGGAAAGGCGGTAACCACTGGGCCTGGGATCCAAAGGAAAGCCAGTGGTATGGCATTGTGCCAAGACGAGGCGGTAAGCCTGAAGATATCGTTTGGCTCCAGGCAGAGAACGGTAAGATAAATTCATTAATCCGATACCGTTCCTACACTGAACTTAATCACAGCTTTTCACGGACACGTCGCTGGCTGCTACGAAAACGAGGAAGGCAATATAGTCTTCGACATCACAGTCTCCGATGGCAATGTATTCTTCTATTTTCCGCCTGAAGGAGAGTCCGCCAGCAACCTCGCTACTAGAAACAGACTGACGAGCGTCACTCATCGCTGGATATTTGACCCAAGCACCAAGACAGGCTCACATGTGAAGCCCGAGATTCTTTGGAACACCAGTGGGGAGTTCTCCCGCATTGACGATCGATATGTCACAAAGAAATATAACCACTTCTGGCAAGCCCGGATTGATCCCACGCGTGAATACGACTATGCCGTATGTGGATCCCCGGCTGGAGGGCTCTTCAATGTCCTTGGTCACTACACGTGGGAGGGTCAGATGGAAGATGTTCTATGGGCAGGACCACGCGCCACGTTCCAGGAACCCTCATTTATTCCAAAAGATGGGGGTGGTGAAGGAGAAGGCTGGATCATTGGATTTTTGAATCGCCTTGACGTTCTTCGGAATGATATTGTCATTGTTGATGCACAGAGTGTTTCTGCGGGACCGGTTGCAACTATTCACCTTCCGTTTAAGCTTCGACTGGGGCTTCATGGAAATTTTGTGGATCATCGTGATATTGTGGCATGGCAGAAGCGTCGGGTGGATGGAGGTGATGTCGGTCCGGTAAAACCAGCTGAAAAGCTACTTGATTGGCAGCTGAATCATCAGTATTCGGCTGGTTATAGTTGATTCTTATGTGAATTGAGCGATGGCGTGGTTTCTCAAGTCTTGACCCGAGACTATTCTTGTAAATAATTTGAACTGTAATCAACTCGATTATTTTAAAGAACCTCAGAGTCTTGAAAGCTCAATTTTGTCTTCCTCAAGTACCCAATTCTATTTTCAGGTGGCCTAAGGTTCTAATTTGGGCTTGATAGTATATATGGAAGCAATATTTTTGTGACAAATTGGCATCAACAGCTGCACAATATCTAGGAATGTATCAGTTCATCATTTTTAATAATTATCGTCTTGTGAGAATGTGTTATATGGCCTTGAAAAGCCGATATCCTTTTTTCATTTTGCAGTGACATAATCTCGAGCTGGCCTTAGATCAGGGTCATAAAGGGAAAAAATGAGTGCATAATTCACCTCCAAGTCGCTAGAGTACAGCGGTGAAGATTCTCGCACCACCTAATGTGGTAGCTCAGTCTGAGACGTGCTGTCTCTATGAAACCTTCAAAAACTCTCAAGTCTCATATCTCACTCATGAGCTTCTCGAGTAGTGATTGGATGATGAAAAGTGGACCTATATCACTTATGTCAGCTCCGATGCTGAGTCATCCATTATAACCAGTTTTGAGTCGAATTTCACCTCATCTTTCTTTCCATCCCAGTAGTCAATACGCTGAATAGTTAACCCCTGAACGTCTGGAAAACGTTTAGTTAGGGGTATCAGGATTTGGCCCCAGTGGATCGGGCCAGGCATAGTTCCATCCGCGGCCCGGGCCCCGTGTCAAAATCCCCGGTTAAGATCGCTTCAACCATGGTAACAGACTCTTAATTTGTGTTCGTTTTAGATATATTAATATACTTCTATGGCTCTTTTGTATGATCTATTGGTCTTTCCCAACTCAAATTTGGAAACTGGTCTGATCAAAATTGAAAATATTTGTGGCTTCGATACTAGTGTCTTTAATCACTGATTTATGAATGCTTAATGTGTACTAGCGTCCAATGCCAAGAGCCTTTCTGTGCTTACACGATCTAGGAAACGTCTAACTCAATTTTGGCTCAAAGGTTTCACGAATTATAGATAGACTAAGAGCCTAAAATATGTTTTCAGTGGCTATATAGAGCTGTTCAAACTTTGGAAGCATCCCAATCTTGTCGAGGTCATCAATCCAGCTCTTGATAGAATTCTCCTTGGCTTCATCAAGGTTAAAGGTGAGAAAATTGAAATTTTTGCATATGTCAGACCCGCGTTAGCGTGGGTCCATAGTAAATTGGCAACTTATTAAGTCAGAAAGCGGCCGGTAGTTCATCTTAGTTTTCCAGCCTTACTCCCTTTGGAAGGTGCATATATCTGGGAATACTGATAGACAATTTGCATGTTTGAAGAGTGTACACTCATGAAGCTATGCCCAGTAATCATCATACGTCCTAAGAGTTAATTGTACACTCATTCTCAGCATCATTTTCAAGGTTGAAGTCTGGAATCTAACTGTGGTCTCCTTTAAAGAAGACAATTTTCAGTTTCTAAGGGGGTCACTAAATTCCTAGCATTAAACTTACAAAGGAGTAGAATATTCTACAGTAAGCCTTAAGAATGTTTAGTTGTTGGGGGCCAAGCCTAACTTGATGGAGGATAGAAAGGAACAATTAGGGTACCCACATTCGGGAAGAACTTCGAAAATATGAAATCGAACACTCGGAAGATAGATCGCATCAGATTACAAATTAACGATATCGGAACTATTGATCGAGCCGAGCGGATGTCAACTACTCCGAGCCTCGGCAGACTTTGATAGAGGAGTGGCAAAGCTAGGCAACACGGCAGGGGCCGCAACGCGGCTACTTTGTATAATGGAAGCAGTACCAAAGGAACAGGAGTGAAGGAACCGAAGGAATCAAGTGAGATTGTTATTTGGTATAATGTGCGGGGTACGTCAGTCGCTAGACTCATCGGAAGAATGAACCCGGCATTACGATCAAACTATTAGCGCGCCAAACTAGAAGTTAGGATGACAAAGAAAATCCTCCATAGCTTGGTTCAGTTCAAATATGAGACTGCTCCCCTATCTAGATTAGAACTATCATTGCTAGAAGATTACGAACAATACATAGGTATACAAAATGACTATAACCTATCAAGCAAAGCCAGAGTCCATTGAGACTCGACTTTACATCAATGGGAAGGTTTGTTTGGATCATCATACTTCAGTGGGTAAACAGTGTACTGATATTGCTTATTTAGTTCGTGGAATCGTCCGACGGTCGCACGTTCGATGTAGTGTCTCCAACAACAGGCGAGAAGGTCGCTGAAGGTAATTAGCCCTGAGACTCCATAGTCTGGAATCAGTGCTAATATTGCTTTGATTTTAGTTTTTGAGGCAAGTGAAGAAGACACAAATGCTGCAGTCGCTGCCGCCAAAGCAGCATTCCCAGCATGGTCTGCCCTCGCCCCAGCTGAAAGGGGAGCCTACTTCAAAAAGCTAGCCCCTCTGTTCCTCGAGTCTCACAATGAGCTTGCTCAACTCGAGGCTTTGTCAATGGGTCGTCCTGTTTCCATGTATTTTGAGTCTTTCCACGCTGCTGAGAACCTGTATCACTATTCTGAAGCAGGGTTCGGAAATGTTGGAACTTCAAGTCTGAACACCCCCGGCTTTGTTAACATGACTCTGCGCCAGCCATTTGGTGTTACTGCTGGAATTATCCCTTGGAATGTGCCAGTTGCTTTCCTGATCATCAAGTCGCTGCCAGCTCTGATGGCAGGAAACACTGTGGTGATCAAGAGCAGTGAAAAGGCTCCATTGACAGTGAGTTTTATCCATTCATTATCGCTTTTTTGACTTTTAATAGCTGATAAATCATCTAAGTCTGCCTTTGCTGCTACCCTGATTGATAAAGTAGGATTCCCACCCGGTGTTTTCAACATCATCACTGGTCACGGTCACATTTCCGGCAGCGTGCTATCTCACCACATGGACGTGCGGGTGCTGAGCTTCACTGGATCAGCCAGAACTGGCCGTATTATTCAGGAGGCCGCCGCCAAATCTAACTTCAAGAAGGTTATCTTGGAGATGGGCGGCAAGAGCCCTGCCATCATCTTCTCTGACGCCGACATCGAGAAGGCAGTTGAAGAGACTAAGCACAGTATCCAGTGGAACAGTGGACAAGTCTGCATGGCAAACTCCAGAATCTATGTGGAAGAATCCATCGCATCAGCCTTCATCGAGTTGTTCAAAGAGAAGTTCTCCGCAGTCAAGATTGGTGACCCATTGTCGCCTGAAACGACTCACGGCCCCCAGGTAGATGAACAACAGTTCAAGAACGTCCAAGCCTATATCGAGGGAGCAAAGAAGGATGGAAAGATGGCTATTGGACAAGATTTCTCAGAGTCCTCCAAGGGGCTTTTCATCATGCCTACCATCTTCCTTGAGACACCAGAAGATGCCAGGGGATTGAAAGAGGAGATTTTTGGCCCTGTTGTTCACATCAACACGTTCCGCGACGAGGCGGAAGTTGTTAAAAAGGCGAATGATAATGAGTATGGGCTTTATGCTGCTGTATACACAAAGGATCTCAGTCGTGCTCTTCGCATGGTGAAGAACTTGGAGGCTGGAACTGTTGGAGTGAACTGCACTAGTCCTACCGCGGCGGGAGATATGCCATTCGGTGGATATAAGGGAAGCGGTTCTGGTCGGGAGGGATGGACTGTTAGCATGCTAGAGAACTACCTTGAGGTGAAGAGTGTCATGATCAAGGTCGATGACCTTTAAAGCTCTTTAGGTGTTCTATGAATTAATTAGTTTCTGTTTTGATAACATCTGAAATATTATCTTTCCATTTTTCAACGGAATAAGAGGACTTGAAAAGGTCCAAATTTTCGTGTCAGGCCCCGATTGAATTTGTACCTAGTGATTTTGAGGCTATTCACACAAAGGCCCACTTTCTCATGATACGATCACGACCAGACCCTGATCTGCGCCCCACTTGTTTACTCTGAATAACTTCATAAAGGCAGGGGGGATGATCAAAGGACGCAAAAAGAGGACATTATGATCTACTTTCTAAAAGTCATATAATGAACTTTAAGATGATTGAAAGATAGGGGAGAGTGTCTGATTTAGCAAAAACTCATAACTACCAGGCCTGTTACTAAAACTTGTATACCGGTGTTTTGGGCTTTTATGAAGGAAGCACGACCAGAGCCGCCTACTTATGGTGCTATGCTGCTCACATGGACGTGCATGTGTAGTTCTTCTAGTCTACAAATGCCTCAAACTGGCTTTTGCGTCTTCAAAATCATATTCAATTCATCATTTAGTCATGATATTGACAGCACCTTTTCAATTTCTATATGATGGTACCTGCTAGATTTGATTTTGACGTCAAAATCAAGGCCCAAACATTAAAATACCGCCACATGATACTCTTACAGCTTCCGGACATTGGCGATACTGTAACCAGTCGGGTAAAGGTTCGAGTAGTCAAAGTAGGCCTCGTAAACACCAGTGACATTTGTCTCCTTGACGCGGAATGAGTCGGAAAGGGAGCCACTAGTTTCCTCATACATCGGCCAGTTGCCATAGAAGATCCAGCTATTGCTGACTGCATCAGATGGGGTCTCGATGCCGTTGCCAGTGAAGCCAACTGGAAGGACTTCGTCCGCAGTAGGACGGATGTAGAAGAGAGTGTCAGCATCAAGAGTCACGCCGTCAGTGGTGGCGGTAGCAACGATCTCGCTGTCACTGTACACGACTAAAGAGAAACATGTTAATATCATCGACTGATACACTGTATCCATGGTTTGCGCAACCTGAAGTAGGGATGAGGGCGGTTCATACATGTGACATCAGTAGTGACGGATCCCCAGGTCCATGCCGACGAATCACCGAAATAAGCGATTCCTATACGCGGTTAGATTTTAAGGTTAAATGATTGATGTGAAGTGAGCAGTACCATCAGAGTAGAAAAGCGTGAGGACGGAAGATTCAACACCGTAAGCACCAATCTGGAACGAATCGGCGCGTTTCTCAGCCACAGCCGGTGCTGACAGAGCACTGGAGGCAAGAGCCAAGACGTTGGCAAGGGTAGTGAACTTCATGTTGATTGAACTTTGAACTTTCTGATGTGAGGAAAAGTGCGAAATTGTTGACTCTAAACAGTGGCTCTGCGCCTTGTTTTATAGTAGAAAAACCAATGCCCGGACCACATATTAGTGAAGCAGTAGAGATGACGCGGCCGAACGAGCACTAATTTAGCTTAGAGTATTATGCATAGCCTAAATTGTCTCTTGCGTGCTCTAATTGGTACCCGCTTCATTTCAGGGTTCTTTTCTCGTTCCATTCAGCATGGAAACCCTTCAGTTGATTACTTTGATCTCTCACATCATTACGAATGGCCGCCATTACCAAGTAACCATAAGTTCTAAGGTTTTAAAGAGCCACTTTCATGGCTGTTGTTTTGTATACGCCGAGTAAAAGTTCAGAAATCCGAGGCCTATTCTCAATGACTGATAGTAAATTAGATGTATCAGATGGCGTTGACATAATATCGTGAAGGATCAATATTTGAAGGATCAATATTTGAAGTTAGAAGTTCCAGAGAGAATTTCAGAACCAGTTAGGTTGACAAGTTTAATTGCAAGGTCTCCACCTGGGCACTTGGCGGTAGTAACGGTCAAGCTTGACTCAGCATTACACAATGATTTGCGAGTACTCCGAGCCAAAAGTGATATCCACCATAAATCCCACGAATCCCCCTCAATATGAGTGATGGCTCTGAAATCCTTCATGGCCCTCGTCTGTCCATTTTAGGGTCTTGGCAGAATAGGGCACTATCATTGGTTATTGGCTCTTACCGCTTATTATGTAATTTAGTAAAAGTCATATGTAACTAAAGTAAATCACATACGACCCGTGATTACATACAACCCGTGAATTAGACCCACTTTTATTTCATCTTTTACATTATTTATCCCATAACTCCATTAAATTCAATAAAACTATGTAAATAAACTATTGAATCGGGCGCTGTGGACACGTCTCTCTCCTATGCCCGGTTTCCCGACATATCCCACACCTACGTGGCCGATGGCCTGGTTGAGAAGAAGCCGGGGTTTGGTGTTGGTTTACACCATCACTATTTTCAACACCATTAATTGACGCGTCGATAAGCTGTTGTGCTTCATGGAGCGCAAGACCACCTTCAATAGCCATTCGGCGGTTAGGGCGTGCCTTTTTTTTCTTCTCTTTTATGTTGGCTTTGCGAAGAGCGGCGATTTCCTGAGCTTGTATTGCCACATGTTGGTGTATAGCTACTGCGCCTTTCAAGAACTGGTCTAAGATCTGCTTTGTTTGTGTAGATGGCGATCGTGACACTGTAAGTAATAGAGATTTATGTTGGCGACGTATATCCTTCTGTGACATTGGTGTCTTTGGAGTATAGTTCTGGCTAGAGTCGCTGCCCCGGGATGGTGGTGGTGGTGTTGGTGTACGAAGCGAGATAGTAAGCTTTGAAAGCCCCCTTTCTGGATCAAATGGTGTAATTCCAGTAGCAGCGAACGCATTGGATGCAGATCTAATAGCCTCTTCGCGCGCGATAGGGTAAATAGCTAGGAAATCTCTCTTATCGATAGAGTTGAATCCTAGCTCCATTTGAGAGCTAACTAGCCGGCCATATGATCTCTTTAAAATGGCGAAACAGCCTACATCGAGAGGCTGTAAAAGATGGGATGAATGCGGCGGCATAAATATTGGTATAATGTTGTTCTGTTGGCATGCCTGGTCAAAATCAGGCGTAAGGTGGCTACCATGGCCATCTAGAATCAATAGCCTATATCGCCCCTTCGTACGTGTTATGGTAGAGGGGATGAATAGCTTTTGTAGCCAACGAAGGCCTATTTGGTCTGATGTCCAGCCATTAGGGCTTACTTCAAAGCGCGTATCAGGTGGTAATCGACATCGTGAAACCAACGTTGCATCATGTTTTTGCCCTTGAATATGATACATAGTGGAGGCGCCCAGCCAGTTGAATTTAGACATTCAATAGCCGTAACCCATTCGCGATTCCCGGGTTGTATCTTCTCTCGTCGGCCATAATAGCTAGCTCTAGTAACGATTTTGGCAGTAGCGGTTTGTCCCATCGCGAAACCAGTTTCATCAAAGTTGTAAATGTCGTCTTCATGAATCCCATTCTCGCGAATAGTCTTTTCAACTAAGATAAACCAATCGCGAAGAATCTTAGGGTCTTCTTGTTTTGCGCGCTCAAAATTGTAACGTTTTGAATAGCGAGTTTCGATTTCAGGTGTACGCTTGATGAAGTTTGAAACCCAATTTCGTCCGATTATAAGAGGTGGGTCGATTCCGCGGTCGGCGAGTAGAATATTGGCGATTTGAGCGACATAATGAGGTCTAGGGGCAGATCCACGGTCATATAAAGAGAAAATCCATTTGAGAAGAGTTTTCTCTTCAGATTCAGTCAATTTATGGCCATTTGCGCGCTTCTTGACGCGATATTTAACACTAGATAGGCGATCGTGGAGGGTTGAGCGGGGTACATTAAAGGTAGATGCAGCTTGGGTTGTATTGGTAATTTCGCCATTATTTATAGCTTTAATAGCTAATAAGATCCTACCCTCCTATTCAACCCGTTTCTGAGCTATTTGAGCATTCTTAGGTGGCATGGTGGGTGGTTGAAAAAGTAAGACACGTAAATGACGCGTTAAAAAAAATGAAATTCGCGGGTCGTATGTAATCACGGGTCGTATGTGATTTACTTTACTGTTTGTCTTAACCTTATTTCATAGGTTTGTTGAAGTTATTTAAGGATTCAAGATTGTTCATAACTCGTTTAGGGCTAATAGAAGTGGCAGAAAAAGCGGCAGAAAAGTGGCAGAAAAAAAAGGTTTGTATTTTAATTTGTTAGTATGGGTAATACATGTAATTGAAATACGACACTGGTCCTAATTAGGAATTAGATTCCCCGGGGAAAGAAACTATTCGCCGAGCTGCGAAAGCGGACACTGACGATCAATCGGGGCGAAAATGGGCGAGAAGTGGATCCACCAATTACACCCCGGAATCGATCACATGCTCTCATTGCTGGTAAGGAAGACATTACAAAGTCTGGTTCATCACTTCCATAAAACTTCCCTCTTCTCTAATATGATTCCTAACCTCTACCAATTTCCCATCTCGATTCGCGTCTGGGAGCCACTGTCAGCTTACCATGAGATCAGCATATCTCTTCCTCCTGATCTGTGCTTCACTGTGCTCAGCACGGCCGATCCAAATCCAAGAATCACTCATCCAGCACCAACAAGTCCTGGTCAATTTGGAACATGATAGCACACAGCCATATAAGTTGCAGGGATCCAACATCCGAGAACCTGCACTTCGCAAATACCTTAGTTCTTATCAAGAGACAGAGTCATTAGTGATCTCCTCGCCACTCAAGAAGACTGAAAAGGGGCCCAAATGTTTCTTGGATCGATATGGGAGCTTCGTCGGCAAATATTTTACCCCACGTCATCACAACACTACATCCAGCCAGACTGTTATAATATATACCCACACTGCGAGTATCTTCGATATGTTCAGTCGGCACGGGCCTGAATGTGTCATGCTCTCTATATTTGTTCTTTTCCCAATCGCATACTGCCTTCTTGAGTTACTTGAACTAGCCTACAGGTGCTGTACGCGAAAACAGAATAAAGAACAAGAGGATATGTACCGAAGCACAGCTGGAGTGTGTTTGCTCGGTCCAGAGAAACAGCTGCGCGTATGGAGCAATAAACAGCTAGAGGTACTTGAGATGGTCACAGAGAAAATGGAGAAGGATGACTGTCAAACTTGAAGTTACACTCTTTTTCATCCCTTTCCTTGCTGTTACTGATTTTGATACCCACATATCTTTTTTCTTTCTTCTGCGTCCATCTCCGTTGAGAATTCCAGCTGTCTAGTCAACTATTTCCTATATGTCTATGCACAGTGATGATTTCTGTGATTGCTCACCGGAAACTATACTTTTCCACCCTCAGCTGATGATTGCATATTTTTATATCGGTTGCTTCCGTTTATCCAATTGCTTCGAGATGTAGCTATTTCGATCTATGGATGATACAACTACCTGGAGGTAAATAAATGCTATATTAAAATAACTCGGTTTTTATTCAACAGGAAATATGAACGATTACATCAGGAGACTAATATTTAAAAAAATATATATATTCTTTAAGAGATGAATAAATGCTCAAGATGACACATCAAGAATATAAGATGCGCAGGACTGTGGGACGATGACCACGACCACAACACATTGTGCCCATGAGACTTGTACTCAAAACAAGCTCAGGCCCGAAATATCTAGTTAGGGCTGCTCTAGGCGTCAGCCTCGGCACCAACGCTCTTAACACCATTCTGAATAGCAGTCAAGTGCTCCCACTTGTAAGTATCCTCGCCAAGACTCCAGGCCATGACACCGCCCAGTTTCTTAGCCGTAACAATATCCTTGAACTTGCGGGTGATCAAGTCGGCAGTGTCCCAGGTCCAGAAGAGATTGACCTCGCTATCCCAGTAGTACTGGCCGCCGAGCTCCTCGTCGGTCTTGCCATCTGTCTGGGCGCGGTGCCAAGAGTCGGTGATTGAGATTCCCTTACAAGTGCCGTAGTCGGAGAGGCAGCCGGCCTGGCAGAAGTCGTCACCGGTACCGCTGCGAGAGTTAGTTTAACGAATGTGAGCATGGGGAGGGGAAGGAAGTACCAGTTGCCATATTGGCTGCAGCATGAGCCAGCGGGGCATTTTGTGCCCTCTGAGTAACCACACCTGCCATTGGTGCTAACAGCTAGGTTTGCAGGAGCGGGTGCAACAGAACTAGCTTCGAAGGTCAAAGCGCCAGACTTGCCATTGTCGCTACCATCATCATTCTCAAGCTTGACAACCTGGCAGCCAATTGGGTTGGTAGCGCAGTTCGAGTTGGGATCAGTGGTGAACCACTTGGCATAAAACGCAAAGCCGAGGTTGAGCTTCGCGGGATCACAACCGATATCAATATACTCCTGGATCAGATCTAGAGAGCCTTGTACACCGGTGTGGTGATTGGTAACGGGGTCACGACGGTTCATGAGATCGTAGCTCATGACATTGACCATATCAACAGACTCCCAGATCTTAGGGCCGGTCTCGTTAGTGAACGCGATGAGATCCTGCTTGCGACCGGGAACAGCGATGGAAAGTGTCTTGTTACCGATGGCCTCGCGCACAGCAGCGAGGAAAAGAGGGTATGTTTCGATTTCAGAGACTTTGTCCGAGTTCGGGACTTGCTTGTAGTCCTGGCCGTTGCCACCGGGGTACTCCCAGTCGATATCTAACACTGTTAGTTTTGTGCTGTAGCAGCGCTGTTATAGATATATCCTACCAACGCCATCAAAACCATTTGCATCAAGCATCGACGCAACGTTCTTGGCGTACCGCTTGCGAGTCGAATCATCTTTCGCCGCGGAGGAAAATCCTGCCTCATCACCCCATCCGCCAAGTGCAATCATCAGCTTGGTGTTTGGGCCGTAGCGCGAGCGCGCGGTTTGAGTCGACTCGTATGGAGTGAAGGCTGGTGGAGAGTCTTGGTCAAAGAGCTCTGATGGGGCAAAGGCCATGATGGCATGGTCTATTCCCTCGGTTCTTTCTGTACCGGGGAGACCAGCGGTATGATATCTAGAGACATGTCAGCGGGCTTCAAGGTCATTGTCCTATAGTGATACTTACTGGTCGATATACATAGCGAAACGCAAACTAGCGACGCTTTGAGCGGCCAGTAGGCCAAAGGCAATATGCTTAAACATGGTAAGTATATAGGCAAAAGTCGTGCAAAAAGAACAAGAAAGCTGCTTAAAGAGTGAATAAAATGAATCCAAGCGTTGCAGGACTCAGGGGTAAGAGCAGTTGAATGCCAGCAATATCAAGAAGGATTGAATGAAGCCGAGATGGTTACGCGAGCAGGGACAGGCTGTTTAAAGTACTGTAGCATCAAAGTTTGTCTACAATAACATTCCGAGTAGCGCCACAACCGGGGTAAATCGGACCCTTTCTTGGATGTCGGCTCATATCCACGCTTTCACTCCTGAGTGACTGCTCATATTTGAGATTGCAGGGTGTATATTCCATCCCTGCAGGATGGTGGAGCTGTAAGTTAAGCACTTGTTGAGGCTTACAGTCTTGGGAAGGGTCATTGGAATGTCACCAGTGGAAGGTCTAGATCACAACGAAATTTGATGCGGCCAGCTGATTGAGCTGATACGATCTAAGCGAGGTTCAATAGATCGCTAACGCTGTATAAGGCTTTAAATTCATTGGATTTAGCATACCAAAAATGGTGGGCTTGAAGGAGATCAGCATAATAGTATAGGGCATACCAGATCTCAGCGCATTCATATCCCTCTCTCCCTGACATTCCACTGCCATCATGGAATATTCAGAAGTTTTCCCTTGATTGTTCAACACATTGAAAGGAGATATTTCACATTCTATTGATAGCGAGACTGTGAGCAAATGGATACGCAAGGGCCGTGTTATTTAAAGATTGATTCGGGATTATACCGAGGGACCTAGATATAGGCATGAATTACTAGTGGATATTTTGTAATGCGAATACACTGATCTAGGGGTATATAAAGCAAAACCTAGAAAACGCCGATGGACAGGGCAGGGAATTAAGTAAAGGAAAGAAGCCGGTATACAAAGCTTATAGCAGAGCAGCCTCAGGTCCAGTGTCGTCGAATAATCGGACGCGCTGGATCCCAGGGACCAATGACAACATTCTTGTACTTTTGCAGGCTGATAAGCCACCAGCTACAGCCACCCATTGCAAATGCAGTCATGATACTGCCCAGGACAGACCCAATGATGGCAGACGCCCATCCACCACTCAGTGTCATGCCCACAGCTCCACCTGCAACAATGACCAGGAAGAGGGTGAGACAGACATGGCCAGTCCATGATTTCTGCCGCAGTTGCCGACGGAAGATGGGGAACAGACCAAATACCTCCATGGAAAACAGCATGAGACTGAACACGTGAGTGGTCGATGGTAATCGAGATGCAAGCACCGTAGATGCCATCACAGCAGCGTTGGTAGATAGTGAAGCGGGAAATCTGGTAGTAGCACCCGAGCCTTCGCCGCTTCCGTAGTCGAAGGAGAATATGTTCATTATGAGAAGCCAGCAGCTCATCGCCCAGATAGAGTCGCTGGCGGTGGATTTAGTAAGAGATTTTAGGATAGGACTCAGTCCCAGCAGAGCGAAGTAAATTAAGATGGCCGATTTGACCGTTGAAAGGCGCTGGCGGTTGCGAGAGGAAAAGAGGGATGAACGGTCAACGTCCTGGTCGTCCGCCTGAGGTTTAGTTGAGATAGATGCGTTCTCAGCACGACGTAAACTGGGATTTGTTGCGCTGTTCATGCTGCCATTGATATTAGAACCCCCATTTTGTGTCTGCTCTTTTGAATCCTGCACCGCCATGGTCAAACCAAGTCCGTGAATTTGGCTCGTCTTGGTACTATTGGACTGATTCTCAGTGGGAGCATTGGCAGCACTCGCCGTGGAACTTGAACTGGAGTCATCGTCGGCAATTGCGCCATTTCCACCATGTGGCAAATTGGCATGCTCTTTCCAGATCCAATTATCCCAGAGGATCCAACCGACAGCTGTACCGACACTACCCCAGCACACAATCGAAACAGGATTCACCCGATCCTGCACAATCCCAACAAAGCAGCACACGAAGATGACGACGGAACAGACATGTTGCACGATGACTGTCGAGTCAGCGACAAGTGGCCAAAAATCATAAGGCCGTACTCGGGGGTTTCGTTGGAGATGATCCAAGAATGTCTCAGTATCGGTGTAGTTGTCTGGATCTGTGGCGGCACATCATATCAGCATGGCTCATTCAGAAGAGCATCGATCGGCACCAGACACGACCATATTCCACAAACATACAACTTTGTTTGACCCAAAGCAATTTCTTCCAAGCCCCTTTTCGTCTCCTCCGCCCAACTCCCAACTTTTGTACGTCCTTCCGATTCGGATCCACTCCGAGTACCCCACGGGGAGGCCGCAACATCCCAACAGAGATACGGTCACTATCTAGAGGCCGAGGATTATCATCGTAATTTGCCGGAGCCGACCGCGCCCGGGAGAGCGAGAGGGCGAAATATGCATCTGCTGGTGCAAGCCGCTTAGGATCGGGAACCTCCGATTCAGGAGGTTCTGAGGGGTTGGGATGCTTGTCGACGGGATTGGGCGAAGAATGGGGCAAAAGTGAGGGCGGAGAATTCATCGAGTTAGTGCGACTCGCATTAGATCATAGCGTTGGCAAATAAGGACAGTATTTCCACCGAGGAGGTTCGAGTTGGTTGAACGGCGCAGCTCCGGAGACGCGTTGTCACGTGGTACGATGCTGCCCTGATTGAGCAAGAAGATTTACTTTTGAAGGGGTTTGGCCTGATGCAAAAAACGGACCAATGGTCTCGTAATATATAATTATAATTACAATCTGACTATTATAATCTAGAAGGTTCTGGTTTCTATCTAATAGAGCTCTTTTTCGTTTCCAGTTTCTAGTAAGCGTGGCAGTTCTTTTTCTATATCTGGCGAGGATATAATTTATGTAAATATAACTTTCCACAATTTGATAATATTCTTGATGCCTTGAAATGGTGCTTCGAGTATCTGCTTACAATATCATCCCATAGGAAAGGGTGATCGATTCATTGAAGTAAGCAGGCTGCCGGCTCATGTTATGTTTAAGAGCTCGTGAACCGCCAGTAGCAGTCAATCAGTAGGTGTTTCTCGGGCTCGGAAAGTCCGGTTTCAATGATAAGTAATGGTCAGCGAGTTGAATATTAGGTTAACAAAACACTGTTCAACGCTCGAGTTTGTGGTCGTCCAGGGAATGAGAGCACTGATCCAAAACCGATAACTATTGGTCAGTTAGATGAAAATCAGAGTCATATATTGAGAGTGCTGAAAACTGAAGTTTATGCTTTTACATATATTCCACGGCCTAGGAGAGGTGAGGCTTAATAAGACTCGGCTTGCTAGTTCCGTAGACTATGTTGAAACGAATGCTCGAGGTTGACCAGGAAAAGGCGAATGGATTTGGTCCAAAGTTGGAGCATCCTCTTCAATTGCCCATATACTTCGCCCGAGATTGTGGCGATAATAAATTCTGATCGTAATTCAGATATGATAATCACCTTTGCAAAGTTGCGCCTTGCAAGGCATTCAGTGTATTCGATTTCTGATCTCCATCCTTGCAAGATGTCAATTGGTAATGTTATGTCATGCATGCATGCATAATGCATTGAGATCTACCGAGGTAACACAACCTTAGAACCCCTCATAAATAGAAACCCCGCCCTCAGGATCTTCAATTTGTCTTCTAAGAAGTATTTATCTCGCTCTTTGTAAACCATGGCAACAAAATATCAGTTGCCATTCAAGGTGTGTGTTCCCTTTATTTTATCAATCTCATCTGCTAGATGCTCGGGCGTTCGGCGAGATACCTAGCAAGAAAAAAAAAACTGAGGAAGAGAATTTAGTTATCCGATTCTTCGCTTTTGCACTTTGACTCATTTGTCGAAAACAGATGGGTTGAATCAAAGAGTGCCCAGCGATTTGAAGTTATTGGTATGATAGCCCATCTGCAGAAAATCTTAAATTGCTATAGCTATGCAAAGCCTTAAAAAAGAGCCTTGCTAACACCTCTCAGATCCTGGAACTGAGAAACCATGGGCTAGCTGCCCTGCTAGCACCGCTGATGATGTACCTTCGGCCGTGGAAGCAGCTCACAATTCATTCCAGCAGTTTCGTAAGGTGGTCCCGCGACAGCGGGCTGTGTGGCTACTCAAATGGCACGACCTGATAAAGCAAGCCCGCGAAGATCTGGCCCAGATAGTGACTCACGAGACTGGAAAGCCGTTGGTGGAAGCTTATGGAGAAGTTGACTACTCACTTGGTTTCTTGTGGTGGTTCGCCGGAGAAGCAGAGCGCATCAATGGCACCGTGTCACAAGCTGCTGCACCTAATCGTCGGATTTTTACTATCAAACAGCCGATTGGTGTGGCAGCCGCGTTGGTGCCGTGGAACTTCCCTGTCGCGATGGTCCTTCGAAAAGTCGGCGCCGCGATCGCAGCTGGCTGCACGATGGTAGTGAAGCCGAGTCCGGAGACGCCCGTTTCGGCGCTGGTCCTAGCTGAGCTTGCGCAGCGTGCGGGTATTCCAGCGGGAGTCTTCAATGTGCTGACTACTGACCTAGAAAATACACCTTCTCTGAGTGAAGCGCTGTGCAAGCACCCGCTTGTGAAGAAAGTCACATTCACAGGGTCTACCCGTGTTGGCAAGCTGGTTGCAACACATTGTGCGCAAGGCCTGAAGAAGTTGACCCTCGAGCTGGGCGGTAACTGCCCGTTCCTTGTTTTTGACGATGCTAATCTGGACCAAGCATTGGATCAGCTTATGGCTCTCAAGTGGCGTCATGCCGGTCAAGCTTGTATTACAGCCAACCGCATCTATGTCCAGGCTGGTGTCTATGATCGCTTTGCTGCTCTCCTAAAAGAACGAACAAGTGCCCTTGTTGTCGGTCATGGATCTGCCTCTGGCACCACAATGGGTCCATTGACCACGGCTCGCAGCGTTGAAAAGGCTATTGCCCATGTTGAGGATGCTCGCAGTCGTGGTGCAGACATACTGTTAGGAGGAAAGTCCCTTGACTCGCAATCTGGATTCTTCTTCGAGCCAACTATTCTCTCGGGGATGACAAAGGATATGCAGATCTCAAATGAAGAGTCCTTTGCGCCTATTGCAGCGCTTTATCGATTTGACACAGAGGAGGAGGTGGTGGATGTGGCCAATGCGACTAGCATGGGATTAGCCAGTTATGCGTTCACTAAGAATGTCGATCGAATTTGGCGTTTATTGGAAAATCTAGAGGCTGGAATGATCGGGATGAATACAGGTGAGTCTCAAGTTGCGACTGTATAGTCTACGAGGGTATCAACCAAGTACACTGCTGATTTAAAATCTACAGGCAACCAATCGGCTGCTGAATCTCCTTTCGGGGGCATCAAGGAGTCGGGGTATGGCAAAGAAAGCGGCAAGGATGTGGCTGTGAGCGAGTTTCTGGTGACCAAAACTGGAACTCTGACAATCGAGGGGCAATACTAAGTTTTTAAGACTTGAATCGTGGTAGAAAGAGAGTCGAGACTGATATGATTGGAATTTCAATTCGATTTGGTATACGCTAGTAGGTTATAAATCAATGATATAAAACACAGCTGTTTGCTCAACTTTGCTGGAAGTGTGATTCTGGTCTAAAATTTGTTAAAACTCATCTTGAGCATCTAAATGGCATAAAGAATGTTGCCAAATTGAACTTACAGAGGAGGTTGCTGTGCATCATGACGAAAGAGAACGTTATGGGAAAGGTTTCAAAAGAGACTGCTAACTAAGCTGGTAGATTAATGTAAAGATAAATATTAAATATTTGAAATAATTGGGTCATTCAATTCCAAGGCCTCGTGGTAAGCTCAAAAAGGATGAAAAATGAAAATAGACGAATAACAAAAGGAAGAAGATTGGCAAAAGTTCGCTCATCCTCGAGACGTCCCTCTTAGCTTCAAGCTATAACTATGCTGCCTGATGCAACCTCTACATGCATATACAGAGTAGTGAGAAGTAGTCAAGTGGAGCGAAAAAGTGGGTGTATATTTTACCTCCTATCACCTCTCCGTCTTCCATATCAATACTAATAAGCGGGATAACTTTAGTCCGCCTTTGGTTGGTGTAAAATATTAGATTATTCTTTTTTTTTTTCACATCGACATCCACCATGGAAACAGTTGATTCTTTTCGACATTTTGTACAATCCTGTCCACACATTGACGGCCATGCGCATAATTTGTTAAAATCCAATGTAGCGTGTGAACTGTCCTCATTATCGACGGCCAGCGAGCCAAGTGATGACACATTGATCCATCGCAACAGGCCATCTCTGTCATCCCTGCGGGCTTTCAATAATATCTCTGAGCTCTATGGACTCTCCCGCTGTTCTCCTTCCGAGCAGCAATTGAATGACACACACAAACAATTGGTTCGCCAAGACTATGAAGGCCTCATTAGGACATGTCTCAAAGGCACGCATACACTCATCCTTGACGCGTCTTTGCCTTTAGACTCTGAGGTCGACAGTGAGGATCAGGAACCCTATAATTGGCATGACCAATTTACCACATCGCCAACTTCACGCGTTTTGCGTATCGAGACAATGGCCGAGTCTCTGCTTGTTGATATAATGAGCGAAAACCGCGTGGCAAATGAATCAGTGTGGAGCCTGTTTCGCCGGAGATTCCGAGAAGCTTTGTCTACTGCCATTCAGGATACGAGTATCGTTGCATTCACAACTGATATTTGTTCGCGTACAGGTCTGGACATCGATCCCCACACAGCAGGGGATGATATTCTGACCGCTTCGCTGTATCGCACCCTTGATTTAGGGACCAGAAGTTCTGGATACTATATAGAAGACAAGCCTTTGAATGAGTGGTTGGTGCAGCAAACACTCAACATTCCAAGGGCAAAACCTCTTCAGTTCCATGGGGGCTGGTCAAAAGAACCGTCAACCGTTCCAAATAGGCTCTACAGTTTGCCTGCTCCCAAGCCAACTCCAGCCCTTCTTGAGCCTCTGATCGCTAATCATTCAGACGGACCCAAGATTGTACTGAGTTTGGCCTATCCTTATGCGAGGGATGCGGCGTATCTGGCATCCTATTACAGAAATGTTTATCTGGATCTAGGCGAGGTTTTTCCTAGGGTCAGTCGTGAAGGTCAAGAAAATTTCCTCAGAGAATGTCTGGAAGTAGCACCGACCACTCAGCTGCTCTGGAGTAGCAATGGAATTTGGCAACCAGAGTCCTTTTGGTTAGCCAATAAGCAGTTTCGGCAAGCCCTTGAAACGGTACGTTTGAAAGCTCATGGTGGGAGTTATATGTTACTAAACAATGATTCTGATATAGGTTCTTGTTGATTATATCCAGCACGGTGATTTGACCATAGAGCAGGCAAAACGAACTGCAGTGGATATTCTCTTTAACAATTCAAATGACGTGTATCATCTTAGGTTAAAGGCAGAGGCGCCATATGATATCTAGTGAATCTTCAACAGCGTCGCCTATCCCGATTGCTGTCATGACATCCAATCTCCTTGTTACAGTCTCAGCAATCAATTCACAATTTATACAAAACTCGATTCTCTAGTTTATACTGCAGCGCTTGAGGTTCGACATGCTCCTGGGATCTCTGCTGAACGATTCTATGATATCACTCCAGAAACTGACGAATTCTGTCTCGTTTATGTACATTCACCGTAATACAGCCGAAGCCCGATCTAGATTTGGCGAATTGCCAAACCTGCGAAGCGCCTATGTGCAATATCGCAACGGATTGTTGGGTTCAAGCCTGAGAGATCAAGTGATTCATTCCACAATCTTTCCATCAAAATCTAGTTGTAAATCGGAACTCAGCTCTGATAGAGTAGGTTCTACCAAAGTTTAAGAATAAAGATGAGAGAAATGAAAATCTAAAGGTGTATTATCACTACTCGCAAATTCATGACTCTGATTGGCTCTGATTTGTTTTGAAGGAAAATGGCGGTGAGAAAGTCGGTCAGAGAGTCGGTCAGATGTAATATATGTAACCTAAATACGATACTGGGGCCGAATTGCGAATTTAGTTTCCCGAGTAAAAATAGAAAAGGGTTCCCCCAATGATTCCCAATTACTTGGACCCATTTCTATCCTAATCGGGAATCACATATGAATGCATTCAAGGGTATTGACTTTTATGTGATGCGTTCAATTTTATTTGCAGTGGCTTGTTATGTAGGAATCAAAGACAAAATTAATTCAGCTCTGAGAGCTGTTCGAAGGTACGGAGTACAGATATCATTTTTATCGGGTTTTGTCCTTGTTACATCTTCTTCCATGGTTTCTTTTAATCTCTAAAGTTAGAAATTTCCCTGAAATATCTCACCAAGTATGCTCCCGGTATTTATTCCTATCACTAAGTTGTTTTAACTTAGACTGAAACGCCCAGGTATCTTACCAAAGAAAGACTAAACTCTGTAAAAGACTATTGCTTCAAGCTAGCGCGGACCTAGACTCTTCGGGTTTCAGCTAACCGAGTCTTATAATAAAGAATATCGGCCATCAGATTGAATCAGAGCTCGTCAATTGGTTACTAAAAGCAGGGTGTGATGCTTTCTCTAAGAACTCTGGAATTGATGTAATTGTCGCTCGCTTAGCGAGCGTAGCTAGCTAGTCGCTCGTTACTGAGAACAGTGAGCTCCAACGAACCGCTACTCAACACCGTAGACAATCCACCGGTCTGGTAGTGGATTCCTACTAGTTGAATATTGCAGTTGTTTTGAAGTCTGCTTTTTCATTGATGAAAGAACTAGCTACTTATAGTATATGGGTGCCCCTCTGCCCTGGACGAATGTCAACATTTGTCCGAGACAGAAGAGACGGTGAAGACGGGACATTACTGTCGCGAATGCGCATCGCTCAAGGGTGTCGTTTGCGATGAATGCGTATCGTTCAAGGATGCCGTGATATACTAATCTAGTTCCAGAGTCACTGTCTTGGCAGAAGCTTTTTCGGCCGAAATACTTTCCGTCTGTTGATGGCCTTGTTTCTCGCAACAGTAATAGCAGCATTTCATATCTCGAGTTCATAGATTATGTCTCGGCCTATTCATCATCTTTTGGGCCAAAGATCATCTCACTGATAACTTCTTGAGCCTGAACAGGAGAGTAGCTGGCAGGTTTGGGTTGTCCTTTAGGAGGAAGAGTAGTTGACCTTCGTTCCGACGAGAAAATACCTTTAATAGGTATACTATCTCCCAGTGTGATTTAGATTTAGGACTATTTAATTAGTTATCTAGCTACTCTCTACGTAATCTTGAATTATAGGATCTTGAATTATAGGACACGACATTTCTAACGAATTTTCCACAACAAATTGAAATTCACTCGTAAAAATGCTATAACTGATTGTATCGTTTTTCTCGGGGCATAGAAATACGCTCGTTGATCCCAATCGGAGTATTTCTACACGGACTTGCATTGGAATGCAGAAACTTTCGTCTGCCGTGTAACCTGACTATCATTATCAAGAGAGTCGTATTAATTAAAGAATAGTGGTACAACATAGAAGAGGGGAAGCAATTGATACTTACATAGGTGGGGAATGAGCGTCGGTCCTTAGTCACATTGGTAAAGTATCACTTTCACTTCTAAAGCTCTAAGCCACATTGACTTGGGAGATGCGATTCATTTTTAGTATAGCTGAGAAATTCATTGGTAATGTACTCTCAAGTATGAACAGCCCTATAGGAAATAATACTTGCACGGCAGCAAGTGTGCCTTTCATGATCAGAAGGAAAGAATCAAGCCACAGGAGCATTAAAGATTGGACTTTTGACAATCTTTTGTGAAGAAGTACCCTAGGGTAGTGACATGGAAAAATTATGTTACTTTGAAAAAGTACTATGATTATTACAAAGTACGAAGTCTTCGCATAGAGTCCGAGGATAGAAGCTAGTATTTATCAATACCAATAAACAGAAAGTACTCTGAGCTCAGACCTTTGAATAGCTCTCGCGATATGACCCCGAATATATTTGAAAACACACTTATATCCTACACCGTGTCCCTGGAATTCACTTTTTGAGGATTTCAGCACCTGGAACTGGAGTGGACCGCTCAAGCTATCAAGATCGGTAGCGATCTCGGGAGATATAGATGTACGTAGCTCTCTCTACTAGACCATTCAGGGGTCTTTTCTAGACTTTGACAATTCAAATTTTACTTATCAACTCGTAGTCCCTAAGTAAAATTAAAGTCCTGAATTTCAGGGTGTGTATCAGGTAGATTTCGTGCGGTCTAGGTAACATTTCCTCTGTATATTACTAGGTTGACGAGCGATGCACTTACATACTAGAGGTTCACACTCATGACTATCAATGGTTGTATTGTTTTGGCAGGCTTTGAGTATCTAGGTAGAGAGCGAATTCGAAGTACAGGCCGCAGGCCTGGTATTCAAGTACTTTCTTCGCGTAAATATTTCTTCTTTTCCTGTTTCGAGATGGCTTGCCCTATTTCAGCTCGCCAGCTTATGTTAACAGCTGAGCAAGCTAGCAATCACTACGCTCCTACTTTTTTGATGCCAATGAATGGACTTAGCGGAGTGAATAGTATCATTCAATTTTAGTAGAAAACAAATCATTCTTCTAGGATATATACTAACCTTAGAAGGCTGCGCGATTTAAACATGAGTTATTAAAGTGGGATGATAATGTGTATAAAAGTGGGGCAGCTCCCAAGGCACCATAATGACTGCTGTTGGCCGGATTGTACTGACAGTCCCAAAGTAGAAGTGAAGTGGAACCGATAACCTAAATAACCAGACATGCAGCGTGACAGTAGAGTCAGTCCATCTGTAACGCCAAGAAAATATCAAGATAATGGTAAGACATGAAAAAATATATATTAGCACATCGATCACATTCTGCATTGACACCCTACGGATGAAATTAGCTTTGATCATATTAGCCATATCAAGCTTCATTGTCAACACCTTGCACAGCATTAGGATGGCAATGGTAACACGTATATCTCGATACCATGTGCGAGCTTTTCGAGAGAGTTTAGTCTCAGCGTGCGCATGTCTTAAGAGCCCGAGTACTTGTTTATTGGGGTATGTATAAGATAAATGAAGTATTCGCTGTTCTCGAGCAAGGGCCAGCTCTGGAATATTTCAAGATATTGGTCGGCTTCAATTGACTCGTAATAATCAGTAAAGCTCTTTTCTGCCTATACAGCCAGGCAGGCTCTCACGCTTGAAGCAACCGACAATCCGTCTCATATGGAAAGCGTTGCGACAGCCGTATGAAAACAAGGCTGTCAACATACGGAAAGTATTTCGGCCGAAAAGCTTCTGCCAAAAACTCTCGGTTCGGAATAACCACTCGGAGGAACTAGATTAGTATATCACGGCATCCTTGAATGATATGCATCGTCGCAAACGACACCCTTGAGCGATGTGCATTCGCGACAGTGATGTTCCGTCTTCACCGTCTCTTCTGTCTCGGGCGAATGCTTACATTCGTCCAGGACAGAGGAGCACCCCCATATACTATAAGTAGCTAGTTCTCTCCATTAATGAAAATAGAGACTTCACAACAACCACAATATTCAGTACTGTAGAAACCACTACACTTGGTGGTTTGTCTACGGTGTTGAGTAGTGGTTTGTTGGAGCTCACCACGCTTACTATTCTCAGTACGATATTCGAATATCGCTCTTTTGAGCGACAACTGCACTGATAGCCAGCAACCATTTCTCTTAATAGTATCAAATGGGTATTTTCGAGATTCGGCACCTAGGAGAACGAGTGATACAGGAGTTGGCATCGACAATATCAGGCTAGGGTCAATATGAATAGCGTGAACAGCTACCTAAGATTTGGTACAAATGAGAGTTTCCTTATAAATCATCTTAAGTTTGAAGTAATGGTGCAGAGAAATAGGAAGTTAATGGAAGACGAGATTTTTCTCAGAAAAATGTCCTAAATAACAACAGGCTCAGAATAGTGGTAGCCGGAGGGAAGCCACCTGAGCTATAAGTAACAACTATCAGCAGGGGAACTTGTTGGGAAGAAGCTAAGGCTACAGTACTCCTTGGCTGGGCCTGGTAATAGTAGTAGTAGTAGTTATATTAACGTCGGGCGAGAGGGACCGGGCTAGTCCCGGTCCCTCCCCGGAACCTCCCTAATGGTATTCCGACGCGCAGCGTCGGCGGACTGAGCTGCGGTGTCTAGACTAACTATGGCCCCAAGGGCTAGTCTCCCTGCAGTTTGCTTCGCCGTTTGGAGCTTCCCCGCTTTTTACCGTGTTCTGAATGAAGATTGCGGCCGGCCAGTTGGCGTCGCTTTCCTTTGAGAGTATTCCCTGTGGAGTCCAGCTCCATTGTAGTCATCTCGTAGTAGCCATACCAACCACGTCCGAGAGGGCCCTCTGAGGGACTCCCTTACGGTGCCAGGCAGGATCTGCGCCTACGGGGGAGGGTTTTAGAAGGTGAGGTGGGCGGGTTTTAGAGAGGTGGGTATTGGTTGGGGCGCCAGGCCCCGTGCTGTCAGGCCCTGTCGGTTTGGTGGGCTGGGATTACCTCGTGCAGATGTTTTCATAGAAGCCGGTAACTTCCACAAGGCCTTTAAAGTCCCCCGGCTTAAGGGATTAGAGGTATCGTACCGCCTCGTTCCTGGTGTTGGGTGAGGAGATGGGCCGTAAGACCATCGGTTAAAGGTGCCGTGTGTCTTGCGGCAGAGTGCGATATGCTCCGGGGGCTTTTTGCGTCTACAGGAGCATTTAAGCTTGGCCTCATCATGGTGAAACTTGCGGTGATACAAGCCAAAGTCCCTGTGGCCCAACCTGAGTGCGAGCCACCTGTACAGGGTGGGCCTGCTTAGTTCAAGGGCCGCAGGGGGCTTGACGTGGTATTCCGCGTGGTCCGTTATTTGCGGTGGTTGTTGGACATTCTGGCGTATGCCCCGTCCCACCAGGTGAACCTGGCCTCGTTGCGCAGGCCCCAGTATATGGTCCTGGTCCCGCTGATGGTGGGCTGCACCCTCATTTATAAGTGCGTCTGCTGCTTCATTGCCTTCGATGTTCTTATGCCAAGGTAACCACTTGATCTTTACAGGGTGTGCTTCCATGGCCTCCTGGCATGCAAGGAAGGTCCATGAGGACGACGAGGATACGCTCCCTCGTGTGCACCAAATGACCGAGGTGCTATCGATGCACAGCCAGATAGTGGCTAGCGGGTGTCTAGGGATTTGGAGGGCTGCTTTTAGGCCACTCTAGGCCCCTATTGCTTAAGCGTCGAAGACGTGGGACCTGCTGTCAATGGCTCCCGACGATGTCAGTAGTTGCCGCTCATCTTGGTAGACCGCGTATCCGTAGCCCACTCTCCTGCCATCCTCGTTGTGCTCGGACCCGTCGGAGGAGACTGTGATGTCCATGCCAGGAAGGCTGGCAGCCCATGTCTTAAACTGTTCTGCCGCTGTGTCCTTGCCGACGCCTTATGTAGGGTTGGCTGTGCTCCCCGGCAAGTAGTGAGGCGGGGTGAGGATAGGTCGTGGGATCGGAGAAATGAGGGTCCCAAGGCACTGGGTGAGAGTCCAGGGTCTTTGTCGGCTGCCAGAGCCGATCCCGCGGGTGATCATAGGCGGGGTGAATCGTTTGGCCAGGGGGTGTTGTTGGTCCTGGTAGTCGTTGGGAGGAATGCATGCCGCATTCTGCATAGCAGGTCATCTATGATACTCTCCACATATGACGCCTTGAATGGTTGAGAAAGAACACACATGACTTCAACCTTCATGTTTGAGGTATAGAAGTTGAGAAGAAGTCCTGAGTCGACTATGTCAATGCTTCAATGATCAGTCTCACCGCAATATTTGTTCTCTGGGGAAAACTCTTAGGGCGAGCGGGGATTTAAAAGATGATGCAGCTCGAGGCGTGGAAACAACCCTGGAGAGAAGACTCCCTGCACAGGTATGCTTCTGGAATTGAAGGTAGCAGCTGAACTAGCATCGATACCGCCAATTCGTTGATCATCTTGTCAAGAATGTACAAAACTTCACGCCACCCACAATGCATCTCTTCATCGTGGGGCGCCACTCTCGCTGGCACGGCGGCTAACAAGTCCGATATTATACTATCTTTAAAAGCTCCAAGGCTCAAAAGACGCAGATTGGTCTCGGCCAAATTCAAGTAGCGACGCGGTAGTAACAAAGGGTGATATGGTATAGAAGGTTGTACGGCGAATGTTGTACCATGAAGGGTATCAACTCAAGTTAGCCTTCTTGCCCTTGCCATTATTTCATGAGATTTAGCTTGTTTAGTTGTAGTCTCAGTCTTCTCCAGGTGATCTAGCCTATCTTCCGCCAGGAGAGGTTCTGTATCAGGTGAAGAGTGCTTTTCGCGAAGCGTTCTCTGGAGTACCGATAGAATGGACCACATGGCTGAGCATCATTAATATGAGTGACCTTATGGCGAGCGGATATCAGGGTTTGGTAGGAACCTTAAAATGAAATTGATTGTGGAAGGAGAAAGTTGTTGGAAGTGGAAGATCTCGATATTTAAATCCAGATATCCTCCCAGATTGGAAGTTAATGTAGTGGACGTTGAATGCAAATAATGAAGTAAAACATTGGGTCCTGAGAGCAAAGTGAGATAGCGATGAAATCAAACCGAAAGTGATGCAAAGGTGAGAGGAAGTTAAACTGAGACGGAATACAAAGACGAGAACAAAAAAATTGCCTGTAGGCTGTTTTGGTACATATGTACAGTCTTTTTACATAGCTTCTAATTTGACATACATGACCTCATATTCTCTCAGCCAGTCACCTGTCAGGGTAGACCTACCCAGTTTCATGGTCCAACCACGTACTCATACACCTACCTTGACCGCAACCTGCCAGAGTCAATATCGCCCTTCCATTGGCCTCTCCTGTCTCACAGCATGGTCCACCACCACCTCCACCCTCCATCCCCACCGTATCCCGGCTTGCGACCCTCACTTGCGCCGGGGCTTGCGGGCCTGGCGTGGTTTGGGGGAAGCCAGTGTGGCTGGAGAAACGCGCGGGCGAAGTTGGTACCGCGAGGGGGATCCCGCAGCAGCCTTCTTGACCTTCTTACGCGGAGCGGATGGGGACTGGGATCGGGCCCGCTTAGTTGCGACCTCAGTCTCCTCTAGGCTAATAGGCTCATCTTCTGTAGGGTGAGGGGGGTAGTCGCCCACGTTAACCCAATCAGCCCACGCAATCTCCACCGGGACGACAGGAAGAGCATTGTGCACTACCGGCGGGGTGGTGTCGATTTCGCCGTACCTATAATTAAAGGTAAGTATGGATTGAAGTGAAAGATTGTTGCCGATAACGTACCCACGGAGGGGAAGACGCTGCCAGAACGTGCTATGAGTAGCAATTGTCAGCAAGGGAACCTTTCAAGAGAAACTATATCTACTGTACTCCGTAGCAGGGTCTTCGTAGTCAGGGATAGGAATGAATGCAGGATTGTGCATGACGGGCCATCTAAAATTTATCGATTGTAAGTAGGCATGGGCGAACGACGGGTAAGAGCTAGTTAAGATGAGATCAAAATGCTATACTCCTCTTGGTAAACTCCACTACTTCTGCGACGCGCCGCTGCCACTGCCTGTGCCTCTTCGAATGGAGACAATTCCTCATGGGGGCTGAGGGAGGGCACATTGTCTTCATTGGCGGAAGATTGTGCAGGCAGTGTTGCCCACTTCGCATAAAGATCGTTGTGAGTATGTTCCATCTCCAACGCGGCATCTGCATCCAGCTGCTCGTCGACGAGACGTTGGAACTCTACGTCCGAGAGTGGATTATCTCCGAGCATACATATATTCATGAGATCTAGGTCGATCTCAGTCACGTTGAGGTCGACCAAGGTTGACTCCATGTTTGTTGTTGAAACAACAAACAAGGGGAGGGATATCCAAGTAGTGGATAAATTTGGAGAAAAGTGCAATTTTTGGGATATTTCACACGCTTGTGAGAACTTGATTAAGAAGATGATCTTCGTGTGGGAAAAATTGAGATTTTTCTTTTATACCAACAACTTGTGGGCACACCTCACTTCAGTCACATGTGCAGTGGGCTGGTATCTACGAAGAACTTTTCTTTTTCAGTTAAGAGAACAACAAAATGTTCTCTCTTCCTCCATTAACCGCTTAATTAGGTATTAGTGTAGTCGGTGATGATTGAATATCAATTTGATATTGGTAACTCGTTCATCCTGATATTGAATTGTTCATATAAGCTTTACCATAACTTGATGGCCACAAAGGTTGACACGTATGAGAATAGTTGCTTCTATACATCCCGACAGATAGGTAAACGAATAGCAGATGTACTATGTTTAATTCAAGAAACTAGATTAATTGGTTGAAGAACTGACGATTCCCATGTCTGATATCGATATGGATCTATTTCTGTCCATAGTATCAGATTGAACACTGAATATAGTTAATAATGAGGCAGCAGCAAAGTGATTGGGAAGGTCTAAATACTACTTTACACTAAAAGAAACTAAACTACATCGTCTCAAATCCATCTCATTGTTGGTTTCAAGGCCCTAAAGTGAGGATCTGATATATGGGAACCATGGATTCAGGTGAACACCAAATATGGCTGAGTGAACTTGAGGTCAAAGTAGTATTCAGTTACTTTAGATTGGAACTTATATTAACAACAAATTGATATGAAATGGATTCAGATTCATTCTGAACGGTTCTAAGCCTCTCGATTATTGTGTCTTCTCCTTGGACAGCTGATGTATTGTACAGATGAGTTAGTTCATCTCAAAGGCCAATGAGTTCTTGAAAGTCCCCATGAGCAGTAATGTATATCTTACTGTTCAACTGGAGAGGAGCAGCTCAGTTATTACAAGCTTAGTTTAGGTATAAACTTGGAAGGCACGCTCATATCTTGAGGTCTTATGTTTTGGGTATATAATGTTTCAACCTAGAGAACTGGATATCTATTTTTCCATTGAGAGACAAAAATGGTTGTAAAAGTAGGATATTTTCTAATAAATTTTGGAGGCCTACCTATTAATCTACGTTGTCTCTGATTCTGAGCCCTCTTGCTTCAGAGTATGGTTTCTGACAATGTTCTTTACCGCCTGCGGTACTGTTCCACCGTCAATGCTGTTTCTTCGTCCCCAGTTCTCTGGCTGGCGACGGATGAAAGCCCCAACAGCTCCCAAATAGCCCTCGTGTCGCAAGAAATACGCTTGCTTCTCACCCTTCGACCAGAAGCGAATGGCATATGAAAGCGTGTTCATTGTTTGCTGGTGTCCCCGAATGAAAGAACCTCCGAAGTAAATGTGCTTCACCTGGTGTTTCTCGGACTGCAGATAAGCAATCTGGCCAATATTGTTACTAGAGAAAGTCAGTTTCGTCTTGGTATGGAAGTGTCCTGCTAAAGCATACCTAATCGCAAAAAGAAGGCTTCGACCCATGTCTTCGGGACGGAAATGCATGTCGCCATCACCCTTGTAATTCTGGTCAGAGTCGTCATTGCACAGGCCTTCGCCGTCCTCGGCACCTGCTTCAGCGGCATTTTTTAAACGAAGCACTTTGCCAAATGTGCTGGCAATTGCGGTACTCTTGAGTCCAATCTTGGTATAATCCATCCCATAGATGTCTCCGACCAACATATCGACTCCACTGTTGTCACCGCGGTCCGCCATAGCCAGCATGTCGTCAAAGGTGCGTACACCAGTCAGTAAGGACATGAGACCCCAGAATGTGCCTCCACCCAGGTGTGTTCCACCGACACGCTCAAATTGACGGGGCCCAGATACCTTAATCATGGACACACCAGAGCCGATATTTACAAGGAGGTAGGGGTAGACGTCCGGTCGAGCTTCGGCATATCGCATGGGTTCGGGGTCAGAGTCACTGTAAGTGAAGACTTCACTGGGGATCTCGGTGATGAAGAAGTCTAGGCCTAAACATAGTTAGACGTCATTGGATCCAGTCATTCTGAACACGTGGGGATTTACCGATGATCAGGCATTCCATTTCTTCTTCCCGCAAGATATTCACACCAAGGGCCTCTTTCAATTGATCGTAGAATTTGTATGCGCCTCCTCCAGTAGCCACAACACACAATGCATCTCTTGTAGATGCATTGCGCTGTTTGTGTTCCTCGTTTAATTGTCGGATGAAATTTATGCAAATGTCGATCCGGTGGGTCTCGAAGTTGATGAAATTCAAGCGACCTCCATTATCAGCCGCATCAAGCTCTCGTGTGAAATAGACTAGTTTGGCAAGAGATCCTCCAATCTAGTAAAAGTGGTGGTCAGTTACACTGCGACTTTCTCATCTTCATTCTCGCGTCTTTTTTTTTTTTTTTTTTTTTTTTTCCCTCTTCCTGGAGAGTGGATTGCGGGGACACAATGCGGGGCGCGAACAGCTTTGCAAGCTCCAGGACCTTCAAATATTCAAGGGTAACTCACATCGACGGCGACATGGCTGACGACTCCTGTATGATGAGGAAGTCTGATATCTTTATTTTCGTAATGTACCCCATCGGCTTCAGGACTACGCGACCGGGGTTCGTCGTCCACAATGAATGCCCCCGTGACATTAATTTTCACCGATCCGGGATGGATGAGAGCTCTTGTGAGACGAGACTGGACCCTGTCACGGTCATGATCCTCTGTACCCTCAAGACTTGTCATGATGAAAGGAGTGTAGATGTAGATGGAAAATGTGCGGGAGCTTTGGAACGTAGCTGCCGTGCCCAGGCTTACTGCGTATTTCTCCTTCTACCCGTTGATTTCTCCACTTGCTTAAACCCGCAACTTCCGAGGTTCATTGAAGTGGTTATCCGATTTCTTCTTGTTGTAGATTTATTGGTAATGGAGTGAGTGATAAGACGGTACTCATGTTATATAGATACTCTATCTTTTAACTTCAAAATCCGTGCTTTGATCACTTTAACCGCAGGCCCTAGCTTTAAGTGGGACCATCAACTTTCTGCCAGAAAATTCCAACTTTCTCATAAGGGCTTGTAGCTCAGATAGAAAACGTTGAAGTTCAAATAGTCAAGGTCTCTCAATTAAACTTCCAATCTTCCAGAGAGAGAGAGAGAGAGAGAGAGAGAGAGAGATCTTACCATAGAGCCTGTCATAGTTAGGTTTTCAAGCTTTTTTACCTCCACTAAAGACTTCTGCCGGCTTGCCCATATCTAATATAATATGTATCCCTGATCAGCTAAAGTAAATAGCTTGTAACCCTGGGGAATTGGTTTATTAGGCATCTTGAATGTATGTTGAGAATGTCCAAAGGCAAGGATCATTGATTCATCAATAGCAACTGCATTTGATGGCTCCCAATATTTCAAACATGCTTCTCGAATCCTAGAAGCGAATGGCTCTAGCTTATACCACCACATCTGATTTGGTTTTAGATGTAATCATAAAGCCTTTTGGGTAACAGCCTCAGGATCAGGGTCAGAAACATGGAAAAACCGCTTAATTTGTTGAAAACGACCTAATCGAGATATTTTCGAGGTAATTGGAAAGGTGATGTTGTTGACCAATACATCTCTATTTGTGGAGCTTGATAAATACCCATATATATCCAAATCGTAATAAATAGCTTTATCTCAGAGGGTGTAGTATCAGACCAATGCCTACCATGATAACTAGCACCCTTTAGATTTGCATATCTATTAGTATTTAGAGATACTAGGGTAAATGAAGCGTCGGTAAAGAATAGAGAGAAGAAACCGAAAGGACTCGTAATTCGGTTTCCATGTAAATTGATATCAGGAGAAGAAGGCTCTAGAGGCATTTCAAGAGGCTCAAAAAACACGCTCTCAGGAAGCATATCAGCCAGCAGTTCAGGTTCTTCTTTAGGCGATAGTTTAGGCGATCCAGCTACAGATGAGCTAAGGATTATGTCGTCCATATTCATCATGAAAATACTGGAAAACGCGTCCAAAAACACGTAAATGGAGAGTGGAGAAGGGAGTATGGTAAATAAACTCATTATGCGTGTTCTTCATTATAAAAATATCTTAGTGTCAAAGGACCGATTCCAAGTTTAGTTTAGTGCATTATTTGTCAGCTCTCATACGTTCTTTACTACAGCAAATTTTACTGCTGCGAATACACACACATATTTTTGACTACTCTGTTCCTATTTGCTCGCACGAATCCACTATTCAGTTCTCATTCGATACTTAGTAATATATGATAGCCAATTATAGTTTCAGGCTTCGCCAAGGCGCTAATGGTTACCATTTTGACAGTCAAGGGGATAGTTTATCAGACCCTAGAAAGACATGCTAGGCATAATCGCCCGAATAAATATTTACCGTCCAAAGTAGCAGGTTGATGATCCTTCTCATCTGCAGTACGGTCCTTGGGAATATTTTGACTTCTAATAGATCTTGTCAGTGATCTTAACAATATGAATAGGGGCAACAGTGAACTAGCGGGCTGCGGTTCTCTTAGTCTAGTAGGCAAGTACCCATTTTGGAGGCTAAAAAACCCTGCGAGTGGTCAATTTCATTTCCTGCTTCTTATCAAGTAGTAGAATAGTCTAGTGTAGCTTTATTATAAGTGGCCTGATTGTCTCTAGGCGAGGTTTAAGCTCTCTCTGCCCTATAAGTTGCTTCTTCTTCTCTTCTATCTTCAACTTTTTGTTATTTGTTCCGATCCATCTTCGATCACCATGTACAGCTTGTCGGCCTGCCTACTTGGCTTAGCCATTATAGCATGTACCCATGCATTGAGTCTTGAAAAGAGAGACAATCCGGCAGTTCTCGCGATGCCAATGGTACACGGCAGTTCGCGTCAGCTCTCTAAGCGATCAGAGACTGCCAGTATCAATCTTGCCCACGAGAAGGATGATGTAAGTCCAGCGCCTAGGACTGGAATCATCATCAGGCTAATCACGCTTAGTACACCGCCTATGTCGCAAATATGACTTTTGGCACCCCACCCCAACATTTCTTAGCTTATGTTGGAACTTGGGGTAATGGCTGTTGGCTTGAGAGCGTCAATATCTCTGATTGCGATATATTTGTTGACAAGTCCAGTTGTGGTGGATATGGAGCATACAACGTGACTGCTTCAACCACTGCAAGAGATCTCGACGAGAAATTCGTGTATAATGATACTGAATTAATGGGAAAGGGGGGCTTCGTGACAGATATTCTGACCATTGGTGGGATTACATTGGATACTATGAAAATGGGGATCGTGGACGAATCCACCGACTACGCTGACAGTGCGTCGAAAATATCTCAACCCAAGTATAATCACTGACGTCTACTTGTCCAGATACCTTGAGTCTTGGATACGGAAATTCGTCTTCTATCTCCCTGACCCAGGCATTAGTTGACGCCGGTACCATCAACTCTCCAGCTTTCAGTCTTTGGGACCAAACAGCTCTGTTTGGCGGTGTCAACAAGGCCAAATACAACGGCTCTCTCTACACCTTCCCCATAGTCAACGGATCAGACCTTGAAAAAGCTTTTCGTATCAATTTAGACGGAATCTCTATCAACAAAACAACATCCTTAGACTCGAAAGACTTTCCACTCGACGCTGTATTTGACACTTCCGTTTATATGTCCTACGTGCCCAAATCCGTGGCTCAGGCCATTTATGCCCAAGTTGGCAACACATCCGTTCCAGATGATGTATTCGGGCAGGTCAACTTCTCGTGCAGTGCAATAAATTGGAACACGACAATCGATTTCAAATTCGGGGAATTGCAGCTCCAATTCTACCTCACCGATTTCATGTCCGGTTTCTCTGATTCCACTTTTTTTGATGTGTATGAGCCAGAGGGTGATTGTTATTTCACTATCCTCGAGAACACCCTTCTTCAATATGAGGGGAGCGTGGTCTTGGGTTCCAACTTTATCAGCTTAGTTTATGCAGTCTTTGATCTTGAGAACGATGAAGTCTCATTAGCGAAGCGTTCCTGGGACCATGCCCCAGACGATATCGTGGAAATCACATCGGCTAAGAGTGATACATCGGTCAAGAATGATGCGAAGAAGAACTCAGGTGCGTGCCTCCAAAAAGGCTTATCGGTAAGCACCTTGATATTGAGTGCTACTATGCTTATCCTGGCTTTGTAACTTGACCTTACTCTGAGCTAATCTCTCTGGTTTTCAATCAATGATGCATCAAGATAAATAGGTCATATATAAACCATATAGTAAAGGGCGTGTCGTGTATGGAGCAGTTGGAATTAGGGCTAACATATCACAGCGCAATGCTCATGAGTCGAAATGTCTTACGTTAATGCTCAATAGAAAAATGTGCTGTTGTTTTACCGACTTGTAGTATACTTGGAGATGACGTCATTTGATCAATAATACCCAGAACTTCATTAAAGTCATCACATCTACGATTGCAGCGTAGGTCTTGGCAATTAGATGAATATTAATATTACCATGAGCTTAAACACTTGTCAGACTCATATCTGAATCATTCTTGCCTGTTGGAGCTGAAAACGTCCTGGAGGATTCAATCAAGTGATTGCTGGGTCATGTTAGTTCCCCGCGGTCAAGTGGGACAATGTTTATTTTCTTATTTCAATATTATCGGTTTTCTGACAGTTCACTACGACAAAATGTCTCAAAAGACCGGTAAGTGCTTCTTTAGCAACCATACGACTTGGTACTACCCCAATTCAAGCCAATGCTGATATTCTCTGTTCTGTGACTAGCTATCATCTCCGTCTATGACAAGACTGGACTCTTGGATCTGGCCAAGGGTCTGATCAAGCAGAATGTTCGCCTGGTTGCATCTGGCGGTACCTCCAAGATGATCCGTGAGGCTGGCTTCCCTGTCGAGTGAGTACACAATGTTGTTTCATTGTTCATTGGATTGGAGATACGAATCGATCGAGCATAGGGTCCAAAAAAAGTATGAGTCTGACTCATCTACTTCCAGGGATGTCGTTTTTATCACCTACGCCCCCGAGATGCTCGGTGGCCGTGTCAAGACTCTTCACCCCGCTGTGCACGGTGGTATCCTTGCCCGTGACATTGAATCTGACGAGAAAGATCTCACCGAGCAAAATATCTCCTAGATTGACTTCGTCGTCTGTAACTTGTACCCCTTCAAGGAGACTGTCGCCAAGGTCAACGTCACTATTGATGAGGCCGTTGAGAAGGTTGATATTGGTGTGACTCTGCTCCGCGCTGCGGCCAAGAACCACAAGCGTGTCACTATTCTGTCAGACCCAACCGACTACCACGAGTTCCTTAAGGAGCTTGAGGCCGGCCAAATCACCGAGGCCAGTCGCAAGATGTACGCTCTCGAGGCCTTCGAGCAGACTGTCGAATACGACGCTGCTATCTCTTCCTTCTTCCGCAAGGAGTACGCCGGCAATGGCGTTCAGCAGCTCTCCCTGCGCTACGGCACCAACCCCCACCAGAAGCCCGCTTCCGCCTACATGGCTCATGGCAAGCTGCCCTTCAAGGCCCTGAACGGCTCCCCCGGCTACGTCAACCTGCTCGATGCCCTTAACGCCTGGCCTCTGGTCAAGGAGCTTAAGCAGGCTCTTAGCTTCCCCGCTGCTGCCAACTTCAAGCACGTTTCCCCCGCCGGAGCTGCCATCGGTGTTCCTCTCAATGAGAATGAGCGTAAGGTGTATATAGTGGACGACATCCAGGGTATTGAGTCATCTGGTCTCGCCCAAGCCTACGCTCGTGCCCGTGGTGCCGACCGCATGTCTAGTTTCGGCGATATTTTCGCTCTGAGTGACATTGTTGACGTACCAACTGTCAATATCATCTCTCGTGAGGTCTCTGACGGTGTTACTGCCGCTGGTTACGAGCCCAAGGCTCTTGCAATTCTCTCCAAGAAGAAGGGCGGCAAGTACCTCGTCCTGCAGATGGATGAGAACTACAACCCTGACCCCGAGGAGAGCCGTACTCTGTACGGTGTACAGCTGACCCAGCACCGCAACGATGTTATCATCTCGCCCAGTAAGACATTCACCAACATCATCACCCCCAAGGGTCAAACTACCCTTCCCGAGGCCGCTCTCCGCGATCTTACTGTTGCCACCATTGCCCTCAAGTATACTCAGTCCAACTCTGTCTGCTATGCCCTCAACGGTCAGGTCATCGGCCTGGGTGCTGGCCAGCAGAGCCGTATTCACTGCACTCGTCTTGCCGGTGATAAGGCCGATAACTGGTGGATGCGCTTCCACGACCGAACCATCAACCTCAAGTGGAAGCAAGGTACCAAGCGTGCCGACAAGAGCAACGCCATTGACCTGCTCTGCTCAGGCCAAACTCCCCGCCATGAGGCCGAAAAGGTTGAGTACGAGCGCGTCTTCGAGGAGGTCCCTGCTCCCTTCACCGCTGAGGAGCGCGAGGCCTGGCTGTCCAAGTTGGGCGAGGTTGCCATCTCATCTGATGCTTTCATAAGTTAACCCATTACTATTGGCTTTAGGATAATGCTAACCCCTTCATTAATTCCCCTTCATCGACAATGTTTTCCGTGCCGCTCGCTCTGGAGTCAAGTACATCGCCGCCCCCAGCAGTAGCCAGAACGATGTCCCTATCTTCGAGACTGCTGAGAAGTTGGGTATCACCTTTGTTGAGCAGTCAACTCGTTTGTTCCACTACTAGAGCTTGAAGTGGCTTGAAGTGGCTTTTCTAGTATAGTCCCATATAAAAGAGCCAAAATATCTTAGATATGATGATATTCTTGTTGATAGCTGTTTCGAATTTATATATCCCGAATTTTCACTAAACTAATCTTGATACCTACTCAATAATAGAATATGATTAGTATAGATTAAACCATAATAATCAAAAAATACGTACGGTTGATTACATCTTGGACACACATCAGACATCTCCTCGAAAAGTTCACTCCATAAATGGCCTAGTCCATGCCGGTTTAACTTAAGCTGACCTAGTCGATATGGGAGCATCCGTGCCTGGTGGGCAATCTGGCCATTCTTAGCAAAATTAAGTAGTAAGAGGCGCCCATCCTGATAGGTCTAGTTATCGTGATCGATATAGTCAAATGCACCAAGGCGCGGAAAGATAACAGTGCCAGCTTGTGTCATAGCCATCACGCTAAAATCAGCTGTTTCAAGGAAGAAGCTTATAGGCAGGTTCTCTGGTGCTAGGAGTCGTGTATTAGTATCAGGACTTATATTATCAGGATCAAAGATAAATCCTGGGAGCTGTGGAGTAGGGTCGTCATTATAACTTAGTGGATGACAGTCACCATAAATATGTATATATAGCAGGATCAAAAGCTTGGTGATACGGGAGTAATTTTCCGGCTCAAAAGGTTTATCAGCAAGACAGATAAATCGTTTAGAACAATATACGCCAGAGAAACTAGACAAGTCAGGTAAGGATGTAGACGTATGTAAATAACGCCCATTTTTCAATTAGAGCCCGTCGCTGGGCTCTGTCGTCCTCTGGGCTAGGAAGGTGTCGGAGCGACACTCGCTCGTTGAACACAGTAGGTATGCTTGTACGTACGTGTTGCTGGAGTTGTAAAGTGTGTCTTATTCCAGTCTATCTATTCCTGAACTAAAAGAGACTCCTCTGCCCCACTTGGGGCTGGTCGGTCCAATTAGGAGTGAGAGTATCCGTCCAATCAGAACGGATACCTCAACTCCCATTGTACCAACAGAAGGGGATTATAAGATTCCTAGATCTATATTATTATAATAAGTATTATTATAAGATCTAGAATACCTTCAAAAACTGGCACCAGCCTTTGATTTCTTGTGCTATATGCACGCGACTATAATCTCCATCAGATTGGGGGGTGTGCTTCACCGGTTCTGCCAATTCCACATTCCATTCTATTTTACCCAATATTTCCGACCCACCATGCCTAAAACCTCTGAATCGACTGAAGCCCGTCTCTCTAAGGCCTATGATGCCGCCAAACGCGAAAAAAAACCCCAAATACCTCTAATATTGCGCGCGAATTTGGTGTCAATCGACGTACTCTCCATAACCGCGTTAAAACCAATGCGACCGCGAAAACTCAACAAAAACCAGTCAATAAGGTTTTTACCGATATCTGGGAGGAGATTTTAGTACGCTGAATTATCCAGCTAACTAATTGGCGTATGCCACCAACGCCAAAACAGGTCGAGATGTGGGCAAATCGCCTGCTTCAAGATTCTAGTTCTGGAGATACTGAGGATACTAGAACTGTTGGGCCAAATTGGGTATATCGCTTTACTAAGCGTCTTCCTAAAGGTCTAAAACTAGGTCCTCAGAAGCAGAAAATCAAGGATTCTAAGCGAATGATGGCTGAAAATCCAGCTGAGATAGATCATTGGTATGATCTGCTTGAATGTGTGCTTCGTGGTGTGCCTTCGCGGTTAATCTATAATTTTGATGAGTGTGGTTTTCAACCTAGTGAGGTGTCATAGGTTAAGAACACCTGACAAATGATGTTTAGTGTAGGATCAAGAGTGGCACTATATAAGTAGAGCCTACGTATGATTTCGTGAGAGCGAAATCATTATAGTCTTTTGGCTCAGTGGAATGGACGTGAACGCAGGCACGATCCCTTGACAATATGGTTTATAGGTCCTCTTCGTAAACACCATGATGAACGCACACCATCTCCACCACTCTCTTCCTCTAGTATTGAATATTCTCCGCCAAAAACCTTAGCACGACTTCAGATGAACCAAAAGAAGATTATCAAGCATATTGATATAGACCTCAAACCAAGGGTTCAAAGGGGTCTTAAATATCTTACTCGCCATTCCCAATTGATCCAAGAAGAGTGTCGAGATCTTAAGATTACTGTTGAGAATATTAGGGTTGCGCAAGAACCAATTCGGCGCTCTAAAACCAAACGACAGCTTAACCAACCACCCCTCCAGCAGACTGGTGTATTAAACCTACACCATGCAAAACGCTCTATGAAAACCAGGAAAACCAAGGAGTTACAACTAGAAAAAAAATTACAAGAACAGGCCCAGGAGCAGGTTCAGGAGCAGATTCAGGAGCCAATTCAGGGGGCAAATGGCCAAATACTGGCGGCGATGGAAAGGGATATAATATATTTTAAACAGATGCAGCAGAATTGATAAAGAGAGAGTAAAATAATACTTTAAATTGGCAGAACCGGTGAAGCACACCCGACACGGATAATGAGCTGCAAAAAAGTGTCGCACAAGTGATCATTACTAATTCGCGTCTTGGCGGAAAAACTGTTTACAATCGCGTCTCATCTACCTCTCTCTTACTATACACGCCATTGAATTTTACCCTCCGCCATAGATACCACTACCTTTCTTTTTTTTTTTTTTTTTTTTTTGCACGAAATGCCGTAACCCCGTCTTATTGATGATTTTGATATCAATAAGCAAGTTAAGTGGAAAAACCTTTTCAATCGTAATACAAAGAAACGTTCTCTTCAGCGCGATGATTGGGATGAGTTTATCCATTGTTTTGAGACACCAAGCTCAGCTAGCAGCTTGGCGCCAATTCCAATTTGACACCATAACAATGGTTGATGATCAGGGAGAAAGGTTTGCGAAGAAGTGGCTTCAGCATATCAAAGGCCAAAGGGCTCAGACCCAGAAGGTAATTGATGAAGCTAAAACCAACCCTAGTTCGAAAAATACAAAGTAGCGCATACAAGCGTTATGTTAGTGGGATTTGAAGTTTTACAGTGCCATAATCGTGACGCGAACTCCATTCTTGCACATGTGGTAATAATTCTCTGATAATGACTCTTATTAGTTTGGAATATTTCTTGTTTTTACTCTATATTGTTTTTCGTAGTGAAGGTTTGAAGCGTGAAGTTCTCGAAATTGATGGTAACACGCTAACATTCTCGTACGGATATGGCGCTAAAACGCTTTAAGTGCCCTATCTACCCGCATCTAATCAGTAGATATGATCGTTCTAGAACGATTGTATTATTGACAACAGTCCACCCCACACCTTGATATTAACACTTCGTCAATGCTTTCAATCAATGATGGTTGGTGCATTGAACATGCTTAGCTAGAATTTGCTCTACGAATGTTTCATTAAATTTTGACCATCAGAAGGCCAAACATCCGCAGCATCCTAAAGATCTAGTAACCACTTCCCACCGTATCATATTTCTAGTCGTCGCTTCGACGCCGTAAAGCACTCATTCTCAATCCTCGAGGCATCAAGGTCTCTGTATTATTATACTTAATGAAGCGATTGACCCCACCTGTTGTATTTTAAATTTCACGAAAAGGTCCGCCTCGAGGTTTCAATCCTTCTTCTGTTCTGCTCCGCCATTATTCATTTCCCCCTCCCTTCCCATCGTCATTTTTTCTTCAAAATTACAAATCAAAACTTCGAACATTCTTCAAAGAGTACCCTTTGCGATCGCCATTGAGGGAATTGTCTGATCCAATCCGCTAATTGACCTTGCAGTCTGCCAAGAAACAAACAACATCAACACTTCTTCCTTGTGACACCATGTCTTCTGATGTGGCTTATAGCGATGGCCCTCCTGAGAATTACGATATGTTTGTCGATGCTCAGGCTGGTGACATCCAGGCTGCCGACATCCTGGCCGCCGATATCCTGGCTGGACATTTTCAGACAGGCGATGACTTAGCATGCACCACTTATGGTGGCAATGATCCGGGCGGTGACGTCCAAAATGGCGACGAAGATCTCAAGCCCCCTCAGCAGCGCGGCTGGATTGAACCAAGCGCCTACGATTACGAAAGTTTCGCGCAGCATGGCGCCACAGCTAGTGCTATGTGGGCTGGCGGTGCTGCTCGCTATGAGTGGCAGGACGACTTTGGTGATATCGCTCCTCGCGACCTCCAGCTTGAAGAGGAGCTGTTTAATGGTAACAACTCCTCGTCCGCTGGTGACCACATCCACAAGTATGCTTGCTATCCACAAATGCTTATGTTTACGCTAACTTAATTTAGTCTTAACAACGTTCCTCCCGTCTACGCCGAGAGTACTAACAAGGTTGACCCAATTGACAGCGTAAGTCCAAGTTTTACTCGACCTTCATTATTAGTTCAATGCTAATCTATACTTCAGTGGGAGGATGCCGGCCTGCACCCTACAGTTCTCGAGAACATCGCACTTTGCAAGTGGGAGGCCCCCACTATCATCCAACGTTGCACCATTCCCGCGATTACGCAGAACAAGGACTTGATCGCCGTTGCTCATACTGGTTAGTGACAATATACCCACTCATTATCCGTTCAAAAACTAATTTTTTCTAGGTTCTGGCAAAACCGGTGCATACTTGATCCCCATTTGCTCTAAGCTCATGGGCAAAAAGAAGAAGTGGGCTGCCCCACGCCCTCGCCCTGGGTCCGGTGATGAGCGCCTGCAGCGAGTCACCGCTGAGCCTCTTGTGCTCATCTTGGTTCCCACGCGTGAGCTAGCAACTCAAATCTTCGATGAGACTCGCCGTCTCTGCTACCGTTCGATGCTTCGCCCCTGCGTCGCTTACGGTGGTGCTCCCATTAGAATGCAGCGCGAGGATCTGCAGATGGGATGTGATCTCCTGATTGGTACTACTGGTCGGATCCTGGACTTTATGAGCCAGCCCCATGTGCTTTCGTTCAAGCGCATCAAGTTTGTTGTGCTTGATGAAGCTGACGAGATGCTGCACTCAGATTGGCAGGAGGACGTTCGCCGCATCATCTCCGGCGGTGATATGAATGAGGATGCTGACAAGCGTATCTTGCTGTTCTCGGCTACTTTCAGCAAGGCATGTCGCGAGGTTGCCTGCGAATATCTCGACCTGGACTATATTGGCATCTCGATTGGCCGTCCCGGTAGCTCTCACGTCAACGTGAAGCAGCAGATTTTCTACGCAGAGCGCGAGATGAAGGACAAGGCGTTGTACGACCTTATTCTTAGCTGCCACCCTGCCCGTACCCTGTGCTTTGTCGGTAGCAAGGCTGGTGTCGACCATGTCGACGATTTCCTTTTCCATATGGGTATCCCCGTTACCTCGATCCACGGTGACCGTACTCAGCTGGAGCGTGAGGACGCAATACGTTCTTTCCGCGACGCAAAGTCGCCCGTGATGGTTGCCACTGGCCTCTCGGCCCGCGGCCTCGACATTCCGCGCATCATGCACGTTATCAACTATGATCTCCCTCGTACCGAGCACGGCGGTATCACCGAGTACATTCATAGAATTGGACGTACCGCTCGCATTGGCAACTTGGGAGTTGCCTCCTCGTTCTACAACGAGTATGACGAGGAAATTGCCAGTAACCTGGTGAAGGTTCTTCTTGAGAACAAGGAACCCATTCCGGATTTCCTGGAAGTTTTCCGTCCCAAGGGTGATAAGCTTGTTTTCGAAAGCGATGATGAGGAGCCTAACTCCGGCTCTGATACTGAGAATGGTGGAAGCAATGACGGTGATGAACAGGCTGCTTCTTGGGATGACGAGGACTCCACCTGGGACGATAAGCCTCCCGCCACCAAGAGCAAGAACGACGATGACTGGTAGTTTACCATCCTCGTCTTCTCTGCGACGTGTTTTCTGGGTTAAAATACCCTTGGACTATTCTCCTTCGGCCTTTTGGCTTCTAAAAAAAATGTATCTTGTTTTCTTGCGTTGCGATCAGTAATTCTAGGTAGAGATGAGTCTGCCTCTACTAGATATCACGATTGTCTCCCCTTCCCACTTGATTTTCGCCCCAGTCTGAGCTTTTGATTTCGTTTTTGATTGATGTTATGGAAAATTCTCCATTTTTCCTTCGGATTATTTCTATATGTTCTAATTCTCTAGTCCCGTAGAGATGTTCCTGGCTTGGCATTTTCCACTTGCCCTAACTAGTAGTTCAGCTTCGCACTTGCTAATTCATAGTCCTTTCCCTAAGCTTTGCTTTTCATGGCACAATTTCGAAGTCTTCTCTTGTAATCCTCTCAGCCTTCTCTTATCACAGAGTCAGTTTCATCATTTCGTATTCTTCCACATCGTGATACAAGATGGGGTCTTGTTCATTCCTCCTTATTTTCATCCCGATTGTACTCGCATTGCTTATTCAAACAGTCGCATGTCTTCATCAAAAAGTAACCGGGTCGGCCCATTTGTATGAGACCCGGTATACTACCCTTATTCCTGCGGAAATTGCGCCCACGACGTCCCTGATTATTGACACCTTTCAAAACCCAACCCACAACGATCTGGGGTTCTGGCATGGTGCTGGAGAGGGTCTGACTACGGAATATACGCCGGGATTCATTCGACTATACCCTACAGACCCGGATCAGAACTTTCACACACAGTTTGAAACGAACGGATGCTTCAGCTTGCTCCCTTGGCAGAACCAGTTCCTTCATGTTGTCTTTGATGGCTCGGAAGACTTCAGCATCTCTATGAACGAACATAACTCTGATTGCTACACGTACCGCAGTCCGTTTCCTGGCACCCCAGATAGTGTGGAAGCAGCTCGGTATGTGATGAGAACCAGAGGTGACTCGCGTACAGATGGGCCCGACAATGAAGATGGCCAGAAAGTACCGGCCAATCCGACAAACACAGGACCCCCATGGTCAAAGAATGGCCAATCTCGAAAGCCCAAGTGCGACGAGGAAGATCGTGGTCCTACTTCTCCGGAAAAGACTGAGATATTTGTTCCCCTGTCTCATTTCCGAATCAATCATAGTCGCGTCGTGTCTATTTCCTTTTCTGGATTCTACAGCAACGTGTCTATGGCTCTTCATCGTATCGAAATTGTTCCGAAAGTCCCACCACCCTCCCCGGAGAATCAGCACTTCATCATACCTGAAAATCTACCCACTGGCACTTTGGTTCTGCGCTGTTCTCGCCCCAACTCGTTTGCATTTGGAATCGATGACGGGTCACCTCAGTTTGCTCAGGAAGTCATGCGAATTCTTGACGCAGAAAATGTCAAGGTAACGTTCTTCGCCGTTGGAGCTGGACTCAGCGACAAATCCACCAACTTTACAGAATTTTACAAAGAGATGCTCCAGAAAGGACACCAAGTTGCATTGCACTCAAATACACACCCGAAGTAAGTTATTCCTTGATCTTTACTCCGTGGAATCGGAGCTCTAATATCTTGAAGAATGGAAGCTTTGCCAACTGCGGCTAAGATTGACGAAGAGATTGTCGATACCCTTCGAGTCTTCAAGGATCAACTAAACATTGAGTGTAAGTCACCTTTTCCCAACTCACCGAAACTTGAGATCTGAAATCTGACCCTGGAAACAACTAGCACGATACTTCCGACCACCATTCGGAACCATAGGAGCCCGCATGAGACAAGAGCTCGCAAAATACATCCACAACCCTTATATCGTCAATTGGACTGTGGACATTGAAGATTGGAAATGGGCCAACACGTCTGTTCCAGAAAGACAGCTTCAAGCATTCTATCGCGGCGTTGCCATGGGTGGTAATCTTGCCGTGATGCACTTTTTGAACCCAACTACCGTGGACTACCTCCCAGAGTTCATACGACATGTGAAAGAGTCCGGGCTTAAGATCATGCGGATTGATCAGTGCTTGGAGGACCCCGACAGTCCACCGCTGTGAAAGAAAAGACATTTGGATGTTGAACACTCGCTTTATAGACCCATTGTTATTTTACAGCCCTGTTATTGGTTATTGACAAAGCATATATACCCTTGAATTCAATGCTTAGGTATCTGTTTTGGTTTACTATTTCCATGCGTACTTCGAAAGAGAGAGAGAGAGAGAGAGAGAGAGAGAGAGAGAGAGAGAGAGAGAGAGAGAGAGAGAGAGAGAGAGTGTGTGTGTGTGTGTTATTTTGATATAGTGTATCCAAGCTCAACCAGAAGAGCAATGCAATTTTCCAACGCCAATGCCCGAGTATAAGCTCAGGGGCTAAACCCTCCAAAAGAACCAGCGCTATGTACATAGTATAACCCAGATCCAACACTATGAAACCCAAACTATGGCAAAGAAAGAGACCCTAAATTCAAAAAGCCGAAGTCAAAGAAAACCGTAAATCCTAATCCAGATAGGAAAATGATCACAGAGGTGGATCTACAGCCCAAACTCAGACTGCCGACACAGCCCTTTCTCATCCATGATATTTCGAATACGAGATGTCAACCACCCCGACGTAGATTGGCCGTGCTTGGGGGATACGCCGAGACGAGGACGATCATTGGTAAAGCACTTCCCATCGCGGAAGGAGTATTGCACGCAAAGCGGCTTGGTTTCGCAGAGAGCTTCGCACTCTTCGAAGGTAGATGCCACCAGGTCTTCTTGCTCGGAGAAATTGTCCCAGTTGAGTCGGGAAGGGTGTGCTGCGATTTGCGGGAAGATGAATTCGCGGAACATGTCGCTGTGAAGGAGGATGCGCTTGTTTTTCTATTTAAGACGTCCATTAGATATTTGGCTTGAGGGAAGGGAGGAAAAAGGAAACTTACATCATGCCATCGCTTTTTTTCGAATTTCCAAAGGTCTTGAATCTCAGTTGAGCTGAGGTGGTGGAATGCGACGGAGGCATAGCACCACGGGTTTCGGTAGAGTGATTGATCGAACTCGTCCAGCTCGCCAATATTGGAGTTTTGAAGTATGGGCCACGAGTAGAGTAGCTGCACACCCGCATCAGCTAACACCTTTCCAAGAACGCAGTCGCCAGCCCAGTGTCCATTTGTGAATTCGTCTAACTCAGCACGGCGCGCTTCGTACTCGTTTGATGCGGCTGTCAGCCCGGAGTTGGAGAGAATGAAGCCCGAACCGCCGTGGGCGAAGATCACGTCTGCAATCTGCGTCTCTGTACCGATGTAGAGCGGGTCGCTAGGATTGAACCTAGCTAGCCAGGCTAGCAGCGTCGGCCACGAGACGTACGTATCAGCCTCCATGAAGACGAACCACTTCGCGTCCGGCTTAGCCTGCAGCGCCTCTTGCGCCATGGGCAAGAACTTCCACTTATCAAGCTTCCATCCGGGGTTATTTGGTTTCCCAATAGCGGAGTTATCTTCGTCGGCGAAGTCGTTCTGCTCTAGACCCTGGCGCCCGGACCTGGCGATCCGGTTATAGATATCGAAGTCTGGGACCCGCTCCATGACTTCAGGGTCCATCGTGCGGAACGCATCATGGATCGTCACACCCTCGATAACCTCTTCGAAATCCGAATAAATCACGTAGTGCGGGATGCAGCGCAGGGTCGTCTGGAAGTGAATCGGGACTTTGTCGCGAGCTTCGGTAACACCTGTCTTCATCACGACCAATACGTCATCGATACCGGGGAAGGGTGGGCATATAGGGGCCGGTTCGCCGACATATTCGGGGTTGGTGCCGCTGCTGGAGCTCGTCTTCGTCTTTGTATTGCCTGATGGAGCTTGCAAGTCTGATTGTAAAGACCAGACATGCCATAGGAAGAGGAGGACAGCTCCGGCGGCTACGACTGCGAATCGACGGCTGAATCGACGACGGGGGACCATGCTGGGGTTGTTCAATCGCCTGCACCTGCTGGCCAAGATGTCATCTTCCGTAAGAACAGGTCTGCATCAACCTGGGAGGTACTGCGCCACCGATCTGCAGGCCGCGTTTCCACGTTTCCCGTGCTGACTGAGTGTCAGTAGGAATGGAGTGGGGACTCGGAATATCGATAGACCGGATCTAGACTTTTGATATTGTTTTATAAATATGATTCTCATTAATTAAAATCAAGGGGTCTCAATTGAGACATCGAAAAGCTGAGGTATGTGTTCAGATTGTTCCTTTTATCTTAGATTTTTTTCCCTGTAGATTTGCCACAAATACTTGTCGTTTTGATGAACCCCCCTTGATCGGCATAGATCTACTCGCTTTCAATTCCCCTAATTCCCTTGTGGCGTAAATCTAGATTGATTGGCTGGGAACTCGGAATTCAACTTCTCCTGGCTGAGACTCCAAGGGCTAGATATTTCAACCATATTTGGAGGGCAATCTGTATGGAGTCTAACTAGGTAATCGGCATGCGTATGATATGGATAGGTATGCCCTTGAAGCAAGGCTTGAGACCTTATATCCCTCGAATAGAATGCCATTAAAATAACCTAAAAACGTACCATTACTATTGTATTGCGCACAGTGTAACTCCGAAGAGTTATGTTTTTAATATCTCATCTCATGCTCTCATGCTTGTGCTGTATTCTGTTCGATCATCTGTTCGTGAAGCTTGACTAGCTCCGGAATGATCAGACTCTCAATTTCGATGCCGTCTCTGCTCTCTTCAGATTCGAAGCTCTGCTCTGCATCATCAGTTTGCACCTCCTTGAGGACCTCAGCAAGACCAACCTGGTCTTCAACACCAGAAAGACTCTTGCTGCGACGGGATTTTGGAACTCGAATCCATCGCTCATGAGGCGCTTTTGGAGTAATGAAGACAACCTCCCACTTTCTAGTTGAGAGCAGATTCCCAATGACGAGATGGTGTGAGTAGCGTTGCAATGCCGTCTTTGCCTTGTACACGAGGAGGGCCGGGTCCGTTTCAAGCTTGAATGAAACAACCATGCAGCCATCTGGCGCCCAGCCATCGACCAGTCTGTGCAAGAACTTAGGAACAGGATCAAGATTGATGACAAGCATTTTGCTGTTCTTCGGGGGCTCTTCATTCTCGCCAGTGTATATATCCTCTGATCCGACAGTACTAGCCGGGTTCAGGTGTGCAGGCAACTCCGAGGACTGGATTTTATGCTCAGCCATCCGGCTACGGGGGATAAAGAAGTCGCTGACAGCCGCAGCGAGGTAGAAGAGCGCATTGGGGCCCAGTGGCCGCATAAGCTTTGCCAGGGACCGGAGCTCGAACATGTACTCAGCCACTGTAGTGAAAGGAAGCAAGAGGAGTAAGTTGTTCTTTTTAGCAAAGCGGTACTTGCGCAACACGTCGCGCATCTCATCTTGGTACTCGCTGCGCACGACGATGCGGCCGTGGTCATTCTCCGAGTCCCCTTCTGGTTCTGCCTCGCCCATGAAATCCAAGAAACAGTTTGTTGAGTGACTGTAATGCCGAGAGTATGGCAGCAGACTGTACTGACGATGCAGGAATATCACAGCATAGCCCTGTTCGAGGAAGTACTCGGCTGATGTAGCGCCACGGGTACCGGCGGAGAAGTTGTCAATAAATCGTACTGTCTGTGTTTCCAAAGGCACAGTTGTACCACCAGAGGTGACGAGCACTACCCGTCGGCCAGCTTCGACGTGGCGATCAATGAAGGCGCGGGCAAGAGCTTCATGTCTAGGGAGTGCCTTGGGTGGTGGGTATTCATTAAAGTAGACAGACTCAGCCTCTGCTGGCTCCATATCACCAAGTGTGGTCATCTTGTACTTCGATCAGAATGATGTGGAACAAGATGTGATCTAGTTCTAACCTCAGCTCGTAAACCGTCACTAAACGGTTTATATGACTAGTAGAAGGCCTCGCCCCTCAAAGCCCCTAGCATATGCAGACTAATGCAACCAAATCACTTCAAACAGGCGGGGTCTTGGGGTCCGACCGAAGAGATTGACCTGAACAACTTCAATGGCTGATGCAAATTGAATTTCTGGAAATATCTGAACTTCGGAGAACGCGTCCCGGGCGTACTGAAGCGAGTATTTTTTTTTAAAAAACGGAAAGAATACTAACTGTTTGCGGTACCCCGCCATCTGAAGATCGATTTTCTGATTCGGGTTAGCGCAGCCGCTGGACCGATAAAATACAGAGTATAATACAGAACATAGAATATGATAGAAATGACTAAGGAACAGGAGTACTGACTCTACTGAGTAGGATAAGTATTGTGCATATCTGGGACTACTAGTTCGAATGAGCAGCTATAGTATTGAGCTCTATGTCCTAGAATGAGGGTACCCTTAATCATTGCAAGTACCGACTGCGCAAAGCTTGACTAATAGTGCTCATGCGACTTGCCATGCCGCCATATTGCATATTGCTCATAAGAGCCTCTTCCAACGCAGATTGTGTGACGCTAGCGTCTAGACAATAGATATGGAATCAGTAATCAAAAAATTTTAGAAATCGATCGAGCTCAGAGGATCCCACTACAACATACGTACCGTCCAAATCACTGAAGCTGCTTCCCATACTGGGGGTTCCGTCGCTAGTCTCATGACCAGACTTGCGAGGACTCAGCCGGGATACGGAAGAGTGTCTCGGACTCAATGTGCCAGAGATATTACCAGTCTGTTGACCCTCGCTTCTCGGTGCACTCACTTGAGCCCCAGAGCTGATAGAGCTGGTAGAAGACTCAGATGCCGCAGTATTGCGAATACCAGATCGCTCTGCTTTACGTCGCCGAGCAGCAGCTCGCTCGGCATCCAATCTGAGAGTTGCACTGAGTCCTTGAGTTGGCCGATCTCTGGTAGAATGATCAGTTTCTCGCGGCATCGGCAAGAATGCAGGAGTGTCGTCTTCGTCATCCTCATCGTCCCGCAGACCGATGCGGTGGGTAGAGAATGCGCCAAATCGATGGTACTTCGGCCCTTGAGGGCTAGTTTCTTCCTCAGAATCAGATTCCTCTGAGCTTGATGTGAGAACTTCCTCTGCTAGTATGGGAGAAGGTAGATATGACGCGACGGGCAGTTGATCCCGTCGGGTTGTTGAGGGTTGACGGTCCATATTCTCCCAGCGTTGATCTTTAGCCTCACTCGTTGGTGTATCGTTTCGAGTGGGATCCCGCAATCCTCGCAGCTGATTGACGGTAGTTATTGAGTTAGAGCTAGTGCGCTGGGCGTGGCCAGTAGAAGCTACAAATGGTGTTAGATGTATTGCTCATGTCCATGAGATAGCAACGTGACTCTAACCTCTCTGTGCTGCTTCTTTTTGGAGGGGTGTCGGTCTGGTGGGTTGTCGAAACCCAACTGTGCTGCTTTTAGGAGCCGATGTAGCTAGTGCCGTGCTCCCAGAAATAGATCCCGGTCCGGGTGAAGGTGAATTTGAGTGTGACATGGGACCTACTTTGCGCATTTGAGCACGAACCTGTGATAGCTGGCGATCGTAAAGCCATGCGGCCTGCTGCAGCAAGAACTGCAAAGTGACGTCGAATCTATCCGCCCTAAAGTAAACATGTTCGCATCAGCCAGCTCTCACTGATGGGGTGATGAATAGTTACAAGGCTTTCCCTGTCAGGCTGTCAGCGAAATCACCACATTAAAGATTAATTCGTTAAATAAATACGTACAGTCGATGTCATCTCCCCGCGATGGTCGAGAAAGAATATCCCATAGCGCTTGATCTTTCCCCGCATTCCATTCCACCTGGTACAGTCAGTAGATGAAAATTGCGATAAACTAGAAAACTTACCGGTGGTGGATCAACAAAGTCACCCCGAGGAAATGGAAGTCGGATAAAGACTGTGAAATTTGTGTTACTGGGGCCTGCCATTTCAGCCTTCTGAGCTGCAGATAGCGATGAATTGGTGAAGCAGAGCTTCAACAACGGTTGAAGCTTAGAACGGCTTGCCTGTCCACGGTGAATGGTCCAGGATGCACTTCTAAGGGATATTGTGGGGCGTAGGTTAAAGGTATATTTAAGTCTGGATCGTGGTCTAATGGGACAACAAGACCTCCAACCCCGAAGCTGGTGAACAGTGATGAATGCGGAGAGTAACGAGGAGTATTTATTGGCTGCAGAGCTGCGTGGCGATAGCTGACATTACTTGTGTATCTAGCTGATAAGCTTTCTATCCGGCGATAAAAGCGGTTGATGGGCCATATTGCCACGGACCTCGTCATTCTTAACATCTACATTACATATTAAATACTCAGTATGTAATTTGATTGGCTTCTTCACTTTGTTAACTACCCCATGGAATGACTAATCATGTTTTTTATCAGCAATGGATGAAGCACCTTCTGTCATTCCATGTTCCTCTGACTACCTAATAAGTTAACGAAGGTGCAAAGTCATACACTATCTCACTATCAGCTCAAAAAATTGAAGAACAGCTACACTCATATTGATGGTCCAATACCCTTTAGATTTTGACACGGCCACCACCAAGAATATGGAGCTGAACTCGAGCTATAAAATCTCGCCGACTCCTCAGTTTCTACCGAGAACTTTGCTGAAGATGGGAGCCAAATTGACTACAGAAGCATAGTAGACTCGGATGAGGAACTTGACGTCCATGAGTTCTGTGAGCCTATCGAGAGATATGCAGACGGGACTTATTATCCTCTACACATCGGGGAAATCCTGGTTGATACCTATCGTATCGTGCATAAGCTAGGATGGGGAGGGTTTTCCACCGTCTGGATGGCACAAAATATTAAAACGCACTCAATGGTTGCGCTCAAAATTAATGTTCCTGGAGATGTAGGAGATCAGGAGCTCAGCATACAAAAGGAAATCCTTCTTACGGTCGAAGATTTGTCTCACCATTCAACTTTTTTGGACACGTTTACTCTTAAGGGCCTAAGAGTTACACACCTGGTTATCGTATCTCCTGTACGGGGCCCAAATCCTTACTACTACTCTTCTATGCCGATGAAGACAAGGATGAGCGCCGCAAAACAATTACTTATGGCCATCAAGTCCCTCCATGATACTGATATCGTACTTTGTGGTAAGTAGATACTTTTTAAGAATACTCCCAAGAGCTAATATAAGTTTATGTAGACCTGAATAGCGGCAGTGTGCTATGGGATATTGGCGCCATTAACGATTATAGCCAGGAAATGGTCTACCGAGAATTTGGCCGTCCTCGAAGAGCGCTACTAAGCTCAGATAATTGGAAAAGTGGAGAGGTAGTCCAGCCAGTAAAGGTGAATCCAGAATTGCTGAGAGGAGCTAATATCTTTCTCTCTGACTTTGGGTTAGCAATCAAAAAAGGGTCTCCAGTCAAGTGCAAGTGGCAGTTACCTGCCATGTTCTGCGCTCCCGAGCGATTTCATGGTATAGGCCCTAGCTTTGCCAGCGATATGTGGAGCTATATGTGTCTCTTCGCACAATTTTACCTTGGTTATGTTCCCTTCGAAGGCAACGCAAGTATCACAGCACTATCCAGCTTTTCATTCCTCATCGGTCCTCTACCTTTACAGTGGGCTGGCAGGTATGAAGTAGGAGGTACTACCTTTAAAGACAATTGGTATGATCAATCACGAAAACCAAGAACTTTGGAGGGTATGATCGAACGGTCGAAGCCTAAGGCGAGTGCTGCTGAGCGAGAGTTGGTGCTCGTGGTATTTCAAAAAGTATTTACATATTTGCCTGAAGATCGCCTGACGGCCGCGGAGCTTCTGAAGGACAAGGATTTCAATGCTCTCATGAGCATATATGAGGCCTAAGGAAATGAAGCTAGCTAGACATGGCTTTCAGCCAGAGATAATATAACCATACCTTTTTTGCTGAGCTCGCCCACCACCAAGTGACAAAATTCTGGAACTACAAAAAAATGCTCGTACTTGAAACTGAATTTTAATGGGTAACTAGATTCAATATTTGGCTCAAGAAGAGTCTGAAGTTTTGACTTTCCCTGGAATTATGGGAGAAGGAAAGACGGCGACGAATAATTATTTTATTGAAGACAGAACGAAGTACTTTTTTATAACCAATTTGGAAACCCGTCCCCCTTAATTCTGACACTCAGGCAGCTATTATCGGGTCATAAACAGCCTGGGCTCCTAGGAGCATGGCCGACTAGAAAAGGATAAGAAAATGATAAGTAAAAGCTTGCACATCAGAGGACTATTGCCGGCTGATAGACTCTCAGGAGCTGAAAGTTCGGAGCCTCACAAATAGATACGGTCACCTATAGAAGCATGAGCTTACTGTTGCTAGAAGTGGCTTTATCGTCTAATCCTGTAAACTTGGCCACCAGTGGCTATTGCCTCAGAATAGAATGCAAATTGTCTTGGCACTATGAATCTGTACGGCCCCGATTAGGAAATCATGGAGGTACTAGAAAGAGTGCTCCCAGGAGTATATAGTAGCTCTGATTAGCTCGTCAAGTAGCAGGCTCCATTGTGGCGCTTAACTGCAGTAAGATTACTAGGATGGATGGTCATATTGATGATGCCAGTGCTCTTTTGATGGGACAACGGAGGTAATTTAGTGAGGGAAGGTGGCATGTGAGCCGGGCCCGTGTAGTACATTTTATTAAGGACGATTTGTGGACTGCTCACCAGGTTCTGCTCAGTGAGCACAAAGCGGCAAGGTCTGAGCACTAATACGGAAGGGGAACGCCAAGAACTAGCATGAGAAAAGCGGTACGTAGGCACTCTTAGATATGTTTATGCGAGTTTCCGATATGAAAGGACTGATTTTTGTGGTAAACTAATACCATATATATCTCTCTCTACAATAAACACCTAAAATACCTTAGTTTCATCCGGCGTCCCTTCTATTGAAGGTTTTCTTCCAAATTACATAGTTTGCATAATGCCCTCGGTTCATCCCCACATTTTTACTCTTCTACCCCCACCACTCCACTATGCCATCTTGGAGCTATCTATTAGAAACTCTGGGCTAACCTTGTTGTACTAACCTTCATTATCATGACTATTCATAGGAATGAAGCACCTTTAAGGGATTTCATATTAGATACCTGGGTCCTACTCGGACTTTGTTGAGCTATTACCTCACCTCTATTGCCGATCTCCGAGCTCCTGCGCATTGATGATAGCGAATCCTTTATTCCTTTTCGCGGTAACGACGTGAATTTTTTTGTATTATATCCATGCTATGGGGTAAATTCTGATACAGAACACGCCTTTTCACGTACCTTTTACATGATCACATGATAGTCTAACACCCAATGACTTGTTCTCAGCCGTTCTTAGTGACAGCCATATTATCTTCTGAGGTTCGTCCGAGTTATGTCTCACTTGTGGATACCTTAGGATCTAACTATTCCTGGTACGGCCAGCATCTTGCAACATCGTATCTCTAAATTTGTTTCGTTCCTTGAATTGCTCTTGATTTGTGGACCTAATGCCTATCAGCTTTCGAGTCGTTTCCTTCTTCGGAATAGCAAACTACTAGTGAAATACGTACCCCGCCCAACTTCTTACCATTATGAGCTAGATATGCTACCATCAATATTGCTACGGGGTAGCAGCCCTTATAGGTATGGATGACATGATTTCGGTTTTCACCGCTCTTTGCGCGGCTGATCGATATTTCTGCTTGTCGGAGACTCGGAGCTGTGAATGTGATCAAGTACGCACAAGGACTGTAACCGCGCGTGTGACAAGGACACCATGTCAAGAAACTCACGCCACGAAACAAAAGTCGATTATACTGGAAACCTTCATGAACTGATGAATTAATATCGGACAGATTTGTATCCATATATTTTTATATCCAAGTGTGCTGACCAGTGTGGCATCCTTATCTGACGCAATCTCCGCTTTGCCGCTTGTGCCTGACCTGATCCATCTTACCGAGCCTATGGTTCTTTACCACCCCACCAGCCCTAAAAATCTGTGCATCATGAATTACGACACTCTATAATGTATGTCGGCAGTTACACTCCAAAGCTCATCCCTAGTACGGAGTAAAGAATTAAGCAGTTGGAACTGTAAATAACGGGTCAACGGCCCGAAACTGTCCTCAAAAAACGTGCTTGCCACGTGAGTGGGGAGATAAATTACTATTGGGGTCGGCCCGTGGGTCACCCGGTTTTATTAGAATGACTTATTAATAAATTTTGAGAAAAAGGGTGGTCACGTCCAGTCAGCTTGTTGCAAATTGATTTGTTCACTCTTTCCCTCCCCCTTTTCTGTAGTCGTTCAATCCCTCCGCTTCCTGCAGCATTCTATAGCAATAGAAAACAACACTCCCAACGTGGAGGACATTGCGCCTACAGCTACCGTCCTAGTAATGTGGGCGGGTCGACTTATTCCGTCATCTCCGTGAACTCCGCGCGCTGAAATTCCCCCCCCCCGCTCATGCGCTCCAAATGGTCCGGCGTTCTCGCCAACTGAATATAGATCATGGAGTCGCCTCGACTCGACCCCTCCAATCTGGACGAGGATAAATACCGTGAAGAGGTTTTGCAGTTGGAATCGGCGGAAGCCGAGGAAGAGCGCGCGCAAAAACTTGCCGATGAGGCGCGGGAGCTAGGATTGAAGGTGCCACAGATTGAGGCTTCTGCGGCATTAGCTGCATCTATCGCCTCTGGACTGGTCGATATCTCATCGCCGGTACTATCATCTGGATCGTCTACCGATCAAAATTCTATCACCGACGGTTCCGTTACTACGTCACTCGATCCCGCGTCTTCGCCATTCGATCAGATCGCCATCTCAGTATCAGATACTACGATCGCCTCGGAACGTGCCAAGTCTGGGAGTCCACGTTCAAGTCCGCGCTCTCTGGCTAGCCTGTTCAGTCGACCAACCTCCTACTGTGCAAGCGAGAGCAGGAATCTGATGAGTGGATACGCAAATAATGACGAATGGACGAAGAGCAATCGGCTATCAACAGTCAGCGTTGATACAGCGGAAAAGAAGATGAAGCGACATCACAGCTTGAAGAATGCCATTGTTGGACGCATTCATTTCCGAAAAAAGCGGGCCCCCTCGGCCGCCATGCTTCCACCAAATGCACGGATCACTGTTTCCAGAGGTGAGGGAGGAGTGAACCACATTTTTCTAGAAGGAAAGCGCGAATGCTCAACGAGCCACGAAATGTACACCCCCCGCACCAGCAATGCCGAGTCGTTGTCCAAGCTCGAGGTCCCTATATACGATAAAGAGTCCCTCCAAAGAAGTTTAGATGATCCAGAGCTGAGTGAGATGCAAGAACGGCATCGACTCGAGCGCGACAGACATATGGCTTTCCAAAACGCCGCCCTCGACATTCTCCGAAACCGCCATCAGACTGTTGTTTCAGAACGGCAAAAAGAAAACCACCGCCTGGAGGACGAAAAGCGCGAGCATGTACGATTTCCAAGATAATCGTATTCGATTCTGACTACTAATACTTTCTAGAATTCTGCCTGTGCTATCCGTATCGAAGAACGTCAATTAGCCGTGGAAATGGAGCAGCAGACCGAATTTGAACGGTCCAAAGTGAACTCCCGTACTCGTATCAAGCACATGGAAGGCTACTTCCGAAGCGCGAGTCCCACGCCAAAACCTTCAGAGACAACATCAGAGCCAGCCGGGTCCATCTCACCTTCCAAATCTGACAATACCCCAGCACGTCGCTTCACGAGGCAACAACGCGAGCAGCTAGAACAGCAATACCACGATTACGACACCATGGACGCCCTCCACGACGCACGAGTGAAAGTACTACGAGACCGCCAAGAGATGAAATTGAAAGAAGCTGTTGCTCGAATGCAACGTGAGCTTGAAGAGATGTGCACGAAGCACGTTCAGAGTATTAATGCTTTGCAGGGTGAACACCGCCACGAAGAAAGCACTCTTATTCAAGCCTTGTTCACAAAGAAATGCCTGCTCCGACATCGGTGGAATCTGGAAGAAGCTATCTTGCGTCGTCAACTCGAAGTCCGACACGATCAAATCTATGGGCCCTTGCCACCGCTGTCGTTTTCCGTCATCGATACCGAGATATGATAGTTTCTTTGTCTCCTTACATCCCCCTCTGTTAATATCACCGAGATACCAGCTCAACCGCCATAAACTGGTCCTGTCATCTACTGATTTGACAACGAACATATTTTTTGCCATTTTTATTCCTAATATCTGGGTGGATTTATCCAATCCAAGCAGACATATCGGGCTGCTACCACCTATACCCCTCTTGTTGATGCCCCCCTTACCCTTCTTGTAATAACTTCTCCTTACATTTCTTTCGCTATTTATGCTTTATTTTTGTGTTATCTTGTGGGATTTGCATGTATATACACATCGCATGGTGGCAGCTTTGGCACGTTTGCATAGCATTGGTTTTTTTTTGCGTTACGACGACGACACTTGCTATATGAATTCGATTTTAACTGTCCAATGGTTCATGAAGTAGTATTTGCAAATGGGGTATCACTAGTATTATGAGGCAATAGTATCAAGAGATTGCTGCTCACGATGCTTGCGCAGAGCCAAATTCTTTCAATCGTTCGAGAAGAGTCTCAACTCTTCCGCCTTGTCCAGTCATTGCATCCTCGGTTTGTTTATCGCGGCCTTGGTCGCCGATGACAACGGCCCTCTCAACAACGCCGCCACTAGTCAACTTGAACCGTCCCACGCGTCCATCCTCCCATTCAACGCGCACATAGCTCGCCTCAATGGCAGTCGCTTCCAGTGAGATCAGTCCCGCCTTGGTTTCAGGTGATACCCGCTCGCTCTGACTAGAGGTATCATCCTCAAGCCCCAATCTCTCCCGTAGATGAGCAATCGCGTCAGTCCGCAAATGCCAAGCAACCAACTCACGCCGTAATTCACGCACAAATCCACGCAAGTCTTGCTTGCGCACCTGAGAAGCCTTCCACGGTTTGAGCGCAATCCCCTCGCGACATTCTTCGTCTTCATGCCCCCGCTTCGACGAAGGCAGGTAAGCACTCTCCAACTTCGACATGGAGATGAACGCCGGGATTGTATGACGGTGTACCTTAAACTTCTTCTCCTTTTCTGTACCGTTGCGCTCCCTTTTCAGGAGAATATAGTACGGTTTCTGGAATTTGCCATTGCGTGCGCAGACGTCGATGCGCACACCTAGCATGTTCTTGGAACTCGCTGTCGAACTCGGGTCTTTGAATGGGAATGCAGTCGTGCCAAACGCAATGCGGTAGTGGTTAGATTCAGAATGCTTATCAGCTGCGCGGGCGAGTGGAGATATCTCATCGTGGATTGATGTTAAGGCCGGTGTTGGCTTGCGGAGAAGTTTCTTGACAGAATCGGAGGAAAGGAGGCTTGATGCTAGAAAGCGTTTGCGTCGTTGAAGCTTTTGAACTGGGAAGATAGGTTGATTAGGGCTTATTGCAGCTTGGTAGATTGGCTTGATGCTATGCTTACTTTCTGCGCGGATGGAGGTGATCTCAATGTCTAACTCCTCCTCATGGGGATCGGGAGATGTTATTGAATGGCGCATGAACTGGCTCATAGCTGATTACAAAGGTGGGTTCTCTTGTAAGCGGTGGCTTTCGTCTTTTCTAGTAGAAGTAGCGATGGATTCAAGATGAAGTTCGCGCAACTGTTTTGTTTACTTTGGATCACGTGATCAAATATAAGTTGCGACGAAACCATCATAACCAGTTAGCTGCATTGAATCGTATATTGAGTAGAACAATAGCAAGAACATCCCAGATATGCCATTCTCTATGGCGTCATATCAAGTGGAATTATAGTAGACATATGAAGGACTGTCCCACTACTACTGCCCCATTTTATTGGCGGGGAGTAACTATGGCGAGCTGATGGCACTGTCCAACCTAGAGAGAGTTAGTTGTCAGAGCTTAATCCGAGCAGAAGTGAGACATAATATGAGAAAGTGAGGCCTTCAGAGACCAAATTAAATAGGAATGATTGTACACTTGTTGAACCCAATCCTTAAGACAAAGGGATTGATAAGTAAAACGCCCCGATAAAAGGCCAGCTTGCCTCTCCGAGCAACTTCGCCACTGTTTAGATCTTCCACCTTCATGGATTCATCACCCTTTGCGGAACTTCTCTCTTTTCTCTAATCCTCCATGCATTGGGCATTTTTTTACAATTACTCCGCTTAGCACGGCCCAGGCCCATCAAGTGTAAAATCTTTGAACAGAGCCCAATCTTAGTCTGCTTTAATCTCCACTCTCTAGCCATCCCTTCCTCCAGCCTCGACTCGGAATCTACCACGACCAGAAGCCACGCTTTCTGGCTCGATTTTCTCTAAAGAAACTTCAATGCCACGCAGGGGTGCGTCTCTTTCCAAGCGCCGCTCCAAACCGAGCTTGAAAGTAGCTACAGGAAATGCGAATGGAAATATGAACGACAATCTTGAAATGCGCAAGCGCGACACGTCCACAGAGTCTTCTGCTGGACGTGCCGATAGATTCATGTCGCACTCTAGTTTCACTCTCGATGATGAACCTCCGGTCCCTCCTACTCCAGTCATGACCACCACCAGTTTCCACAACCTCCCCGCGAGCGACCGTCGGAATTTCTTGCTACTATGCGTGCTGTACTTCCTGCAGGGTGTGCCCATGGGCCTAGCATCGGGCTCCGTCCCCTTCCTTCTCAAACCATACCTCTCATATGGCCAGATCGGCGTGTTCTCACTAGCTTCATACCCATACTCGTTAAAATTGCTCTGGAGTCCCATTGTAGATGCAGTGTGGAGCCCCAGGTTTGGCCGTCGTAAGAGCTGGATTACCCCAGTTCAGGTCATTGCTGGACTTGCCATGATCTACATGGGTCCCCGCATTGACGGTATGATGGAGGCGGCTGGTGCAAATGGTGGCGCCGGTGTTTGGAACTTTACGTATTGGTGGTTCCTGCTGGTTTTCTTCTGCGCTACGCAAGATATTGCCGTTGACGGATGGGCCATTAGCTTGATGTCACCACCAAACATTTCTTACGCCTCCACAGCTCAGACTGTCGGGTTGACAGCTGGACACTTCTTGTCTTACACCGTGTTTCTGGCATTCAACTCCAAGGACTTTGCGAACAGGTGGTTCCGTTCCGTCCCCAGTGAGGGTGGCCTGCTCTCTCTGGGCTCGTACTTGAGCTTTTGGGGCTGGTCATATATCATTGTTACTCTGTGCCTGGCCTTCTTCAAGAAGGAGGAGCGCACCAAGGAGCGTGACAGTATTATGGATGTATACAAGAGCATGTGGAGTGTGCTGAAATTGAAGAATATCCAGACCATAATCATTATCCACTTGATTGCCAAGATTGGATTCCAAGCCAATGACGGCGTGACCAGCCTAAAGCTCCTTGACAAAGGGTTTGGTCAGGATAACATGGCATTGGTCGTTCTCATCGACTTTCCTTTTGAGATTATGCTGGGTTATTATGCCGGCAAGTGGTCTACCCAGTACGGCGCTATGCGACTTTGGGGCTGGGCGTTTGTCGGTCGACTAGTTGCCGCGGTTCTCGCTCAGTTCACTGTGATGATTTATCCCAGCGGGCCCGATGTCCCGGCCTGGTACCTTCTCGCCATCATATTAGAGCATGTGGTCTCGACTTTCATGAACACAGTCATGTTCGTCGCCATCTCTGCGTTCCACGCTCGAATTGCCGACCCAGCTATCGGTGGAACATACATGACTCTCCTAGCAACGTTAGTACCCTTATTCCCCACCTCAAAACTTCGAACTAACTCTGTCATAGTGTTTGCAACCTTGGCGGAACTTTCCCCCGTTTCTTTATCTTAAAAATGGTCGACTATTTCACCGAGGCAACTTGCCTCCCTCCTACTGTTGCCCCATCTGCGGATGTCCTCAAGGACGTTCTTGTCACCTCTGCTTTCTCCTGTGCCTTGGAACCCGATAAGAATCGATGTATCCATGGCGGCGGCACTTGTGAGGTCACCCGGGATGGTTACTATATGACAAACATCATTTGTGTGCTTATTGGTACCATCACCTTCTACTTTTTCATCAAGCCCGCCGCTGTTAAACTTCAAAGCCTGCCACTGCGAGCTTGGAGGCTGACATCTGATTCTCAGCGCCAGTAATTTGATAATATACGCTGTATTATATTCTATAAAGCACTCAGTCTCTATAGTCTATCCCTCAAAAAGAACTCCTTCTAACTGATCATTTTCCGTAAGGCAGTACATTCCACCTTTCGACAATAAACAGAGGCTATTTCCCTGTGATCTAAAACTCTCGTGCCGTACATCTTATATTGGCTCCTTGTCCGAGCCTATTATGTACGGAATTTCCCATGCCAGTTCTTAGCGTTCCCCTTCCCTTAAGTGCTCACTCTCTCGCTGCCACAGTACATATGAACCTAGACTTAACTAAACCGCTGTTGAAAGAAGATATCATCGATTATCGAGAAACGTAGCCGCCTTGACACCAAATTAGCGGCCGGTGTGCTGTCGTTAGGTCAATAACAAATATTCTGCTTAGCGCGAGCATTGCGAAAGAAAAGCCATGTTCTTCTAGACAAGGTGTCTAATAGTGTTGATCTCGGAACGAACAAGCTGTGCAAAGTTATGCATAACTATCGTCATCTCAGAGGCCTTTCCTCTATCCTCTACAGTCACTTTAAGCAACTTCCATTCACCACACTCAGATCTTCATAATCCATGTTGCGAGTTTGTGGAAGTACATAATTAACTGCCCAGAGAAAGCAAGATGCAAATGAAAAGAAAAATTCCGATTGCGTCCTACTCTTTGACTATCTCCATTGGTTCGAAGTAGAGTATTGGTGTGCCTCGACCCCAGCTCTATTCTGGGGTTATACAGGGTTCCTTTACTGAAAGAGGCAAAGGTCAATTCAACTAATTGCCATAGGACAAAAATTCCAACCTTGCAGATATTGCATGGCATGAAGAAGAGGATGGAGAAGTATGTCCCCGACGCGGAGGCCCTTCGTAGAAGCTAAAACCCTCCCTTCAACTCTTGAGTTAAAGACAAAGACTAAAGACCAAATCTTAAATCTGGCCTAGAGATTCAGATGAGAATAAGCCGCAGATTTTCTGATGATATAGAGAATTTGATGTCGAAGAAAGACTGAAGATTGTGATAAAAACTAGTTTGACGCCTCAAGGGTCTTTGATCCACCAGGGGTCAAAACGTATCCAATCACAGCCTGTGAAGGTCTATAATTAAAACCCCCTAATTGATTGCTCCACAAAGATGATAATTGATGAACCTCGGTTTGGTGGGTTTCAGGTTTTGGATTCAAGAGCTGACTTGAGACTTGGTGCCTTTTTCTGTTCCTGCATTTCCCATCCATACGACTCACCAGCTCCTCAACAAATATCAACTTCGCTCTCATTCAATCTTCGTGTTTCAAGATGAGAGTCACTATTCATGCCCTTCTAAGCGTCTTTGCAACTGTTGCAACAGTAACTGCGCTACCATCACCCGAGAAGCGAGAGATCCTCGCCTATAGAGCCGTATTTATTGCCCATTCCTCTTTATTAGCCCTAGGATCCCCCGACTAATTGAACACAGTGGGACTTCCGTCTGTACAGCGCTGGAACACCCACCTGCGAAGTCAACGACTCCAACATTGATATAACAGTCCTTCATCGCTACGGTGCCAGCAGCCGGGATTGCCAGGCGCTTTTGGATGATATTTCCAACGGGACCACAGTGAAGAGTCTCGCGTGGAAGAGTCCCTCTGAAGACGACGAGTATGATCTATGTCTCTTCCGCACGGCGGATTGCTCTGGTGGATCTTCCTCGCTGATTGCGTCTATTACTGATGGATGGGAAGTGTGCTACCCATACAGCGGATGGCTTGGATGGAAGGTTGTTTCGCACGGAGGCTCTTGCGTATAGGCCTGTGTCTAGCTGTTAGATGTTCCTACCCTTACTGGAACGAATTGATGTGTAATAGGTCGTATATACCACATGAATAGAGAGTTTCAGAACGAGAAACATGCAAAGGGACTAATTACTTGCCTGCAACTCCCGGGCAGACATATCAAGTAAAAGTCTCGCATACCCACGATGAATCCTTAACGTCCAAGCAGGAATAATCTTCTGCTGATCACCCTCACTTTCAACAATCTCATAGTCATGTGTGGACGCGAATCGGACCTCAACAACCCGTCCTTCCCCCTTCACCTCAAACGGCTCTGAGACACTAAACTCATGTCGACCACCAGACATAAGTCGCCACGGATATCCCCACGCAGCCATCTTCTCAAAGGAAAGTCGCACATTGTCAGGAACCTTCCACGAAAGCAGCAGCCCATTACCATCATTCTCCCTCAAGAACGCGCGCCGAACAACAAATATTCCATTCATTAACTCCCGCGGCGCACCGGTATTATAAGGAGCGAACCCATTCTCCGAATCACCCAGATCACCCGCCTCGTACCTTGCGCGCGTAGCCAGTCCCGCTAGCGATGCCTCGATTTTTAAAATAGGATTTTGAAGCAGAGTTTGAGCCCAGGCATCTTCAAGCGCGGACTTTTCTGTTGTTGCGCCGAGTGCGCGAGTGCGAGCTTGGAGAGCGGAGACGGGGACGCGAGCTGCATAGATATCTGTATATGCGCAAAGTTGCGTACATGGGTTGTCTGGTGTTCTGAGCGCTTTGCTGCTGGCTGCTTTCGGTGGCAGGCTGGGGTATTTTTCTTCTAGGTGGTTTAGGCCCAGGTGGACACCGTATGATGCTGCCGCGGTTGGTACGGCGATGTAGAGAAGTCGGCGGATAATACGCTTAGCCATTTGGAGTGGGTAGTGTTGTGCGGGATTTTTGGGTCTTTAATTATATTAGACAAGAGTGATCGAGCTGAAAGGTTAGGGAATTGAGCTGGTCTTAATACTGAATAGTTGCGGAGTTGCGGAGATTAAGGTGGGTCCGAAATCCATCGATCGCGATATTTTCTTATCCTCACTGGTTCTGCGGTCTTGACTCACCAGCTCTCAACGGCGCAAAGGCACTCGAGAACACAAAATATACAGAAATATAGCTCTGAGAACCCCATATCTTCAACAATGAGTTCTGATGCAGGCTCCGCAGTCGATAATTCTCTGGATGATATCTTCGGCTCTTCCCCTCCAGAGACTGAGCACGAACAACGCGAACCCACCAACTCGAACGAGCTCTCGGACCTCCCATCCCTGCGCCGTCAACATGTGACAGCAGGCTATCGTGACGGGGTCACAGCCTCAAAAAGCCAAAACGTCCAAGCAGGCTTCGACGCTGGGTTCCCCATTGGCGCACAACTAGGCATGCGGGCTGGAACAATTTTGGGTATACTCGAGGGCATCACCCGCGGCCTAGAAGACAAAAGTGCATCAGTGGTGAAAAATCCTGCGCGAGCTTCAGAGTCGAACCCGGCCTCACCTGCCAGGGAGAACCGCCTGCGTACTAGAGAACAGGTTCTTGCGATCTACAATGAAGTGCTAAAAGCATTCGACGTGCAATCCGTTTTCTCAGGGCTGACTGCGGAGCCTTCGACTGGGTCCGGCAAGCTCAGAAAGGAGAAGCCCGAGGCTCAATTATCGCGGAAAGGAGATGCGGTCATTACGACGTGGGAGGGCACAGTTTCTGTTCCGAAGTGGGAGGAGAACATGGATGCCTTGGAGATGAAGGAGGGAGAAAACACGGGAGGAGTCCAGACCGAGCGAATTTGAAGCTCTCTCTCTCACGTACCACGACGCAAGAATATGCGTCCAACAAAAAACTGTCGTATTTCTTATTCGTTTCCCGGGATTCGTGAAGAATTCAACGCTGCAGAGCTTTCTGCAACACGAGACGCCGGCCGACGATACAGTTGTGAGTCAAGGCCCGCCTGGCTGCACTTGTCAAGGCCCGGATGCCGACAGTTTTGAAGCCGCTGCAAGGTTTAGAGTAGACGGCATAGCCGTCGGTCTCTTTATCTTGGAAGGGCTTTGTTTGAGACATGGATCTGGGATTTTGCGCAGGGGATGTATTGCATCCGAGTTGTTTCTTATGCCTATGAACGGAGGCGCCGGAATTGGAGGGTTGAAAGCTCTAGCCAAAACCGAAACATAGGAGCTCCCGAGATCCTGTGCTAAGGGGTTTCTCCACTGAACAAAGAGTACTACTATATGATCTCGACTGAGGCTATGACTGTCAACTGATGACCTGTAAAGGTCACAGATTCTTAAGAAAAGAGAAGCTTCAGTCATGGAATGTCGATGATCACCGCGATCTAGTTTAAGTGTCGAAGATTTTGGCGAAACTTCACCCACCCGAACCCAACTGTGGGCTGTAGAACTAGTCATGACAGTTCAACTGTCAGCTACTTAGTAAGCTGGTTTCCGTACAAGCTTCGACACGCTACTAGACTATTTACCCTCACCGAATCAGTAGACGTTTATCATACTATTCAGTGTTCATGTCAATCATGTGGCCATTGGAGAAAACAAACTATATATACCGACATATTTATCACTCTACTATTAGACTGTCTGCCCTATAATATTGTATAACCCTGCTATGCAATGACGTCATTTGATACACCCTAGAATAGCTTCATATCTCATTTCTGGGAGATGAATTGATAAACTTGCCCACGTGAAAGTAACATTGCTATATGCCCTTTTAATTTGGCTGTCTTTCTCCTATATGATTGAACCATGAAAATACGCAAAATTATCTGTAAAAAGTGGCTAGACGGCGCCAAGCCTGCTTAAGAGCCATTACCGAGTCACTAACCACAATATGAAGTGTAAAGATGGTAGTGAAGACTGAAGAGACCTTTTATCCATACAAGTAGATATCCTCTATTAAGAGCCGAAACAACTGTGGTAATTTTGATATTTAAGCAAGAAACTGTCTTCTAGACTAAACCGCCCTCGACAGGTTCAGGACAAGAACATACAGCGCGTGAATCAATCTGGCCCAAGCTTGAGGCTAAATATCCACCTACGTAGTCGAAGCTTTCTAGCGCATGGTGGCACATCTCTCGAGTCAGCTTCAACAAGAAACAATCAATACATGATATCGCCAAATAACGCCAACATTGTATACTAGAGAGAACTAGTAGAATCGATGCAATTCAAAGGCTAAATTTAGCATATACTGGGTAACTATTTTGCTACATCATCAAGCACATACAAAAGTACCCGACGTTTGTGGCGTTATGTAAGGAGGCCGCTTGATGCTTTTCCTGATTGGCTCTAAACCGCCTACATACTGAACACGCTGTAATGACAAGGTGGCTACCTAATCCTATCCACGGCAGTGAGATCCAGTCCATATCGGCTATCTGTAGACAACGCATAGAACTATGGGGCAGGAATCAATGCCTGCAGTTCGCATTGGTAATCAGAACTACTTGCCTGTTTATCTCCAGCCCAAGTGATCAATCCATTTCCAAATTGCCAACTTGCCACTTCAATGAACGGATCAGACCAGATCATTCCGGGGCAAAAAGTGCTCGGGAAAAGCCTATTTTCGAGGCGTAACTCCATCTGGAGTTCGGGACTCAATTAAGGGAGCTCACACCAGGGGCGAACGCACAGTCTACAACTTTATTCTGAAATCATGGGAGTGTGGAACATCAAAGACTTTCGAATGGATGTATGCAGAGCGGGAAACATCAGGGATCTGAAACCGCCTCGTACTTTTACGCTCAAGCCTCGATGGGCCCGGCCCAGAAGCCAGGCCCACATCCCTGCTAGAGGGTCTGTCCGTACACGGTACTTTTGAGGAGTACTTTTTCCTATATGTACGCTGTCAAATGCACAAGTACGAGACGTGTGTGTTATGAAAGAGAAAGAGAAAAGAATAGAATGTACCTCTTGAGCCTGTGGAGGAATCTGACGAAGAACAAGGAATAAGAGCTGCGTTGTCAAGGGGCTAGAATATTCAAAACTATGTTCATGTCGATGCTCAATTGGGAAGGAGTCAGGACTTGTTGAATGGTTTCCAAATTCATGGGCTCCACATTTCCAACTGAAAGTAAATGAATTTTAGGGATTTTCTCCATCTTGAAGCAGACAATATCAATAAAGCTCCTGTAGTAGTTTTGAATACCGCGGGCCTGAATGGTCTTGAAAGTCCGGTATAAAAATATGCAACATTCCAAAAAACTTGTTCCTAAACGGTATTGCCTAGACGACAGCGGGAAAGAAGATATGAGATGATGGACATGGTTTATTGGTTGCATTTTTATGACAGTTCAATAAGGCAGTAATGATGCCTAGGGATAGCTGTTGAAACCAGTCTTTTGAATTTTTGTAATTGGAACCACATTTTAACGGGTTTTCGTATGTAATTACTCCAAGTTCACATCAAGAAAGATAAGAAAGAAAAACTCTGGCGGTCACAATATAAGCAGAGATGGTAGAATTTCTGGGAAAGACCAATAACACGTTAAGAAATATCGTAAGTGGTGAAGTGCGTCTTTGTATGCAGTATAAGAGACATGAAGTCGTAGGGACTAACGGGGATAAACCACCCCAAGAGAAAAGGAGATCGTGTGAGACAGTAGGACCATGAGCAGTTATTGGTGTCGTGCACTAGAATAGAGGTTGCAGACATGGCGTTGGTGTCTCTAAGGTGGGTATTTCATTAAGATCTGGTTAGAGGGAAGAAACAAGTCCCCTCCGATCCAAGCATAAGACATAAAGTGAGCGTGGAGTGTTCTTTATCGTAGAACAGAACTAATAATAAAAAGACGAGCCAAGAGGATTCGTGGCGAGATCGTTTGCGTGACAGACGAAAAAAAGAAAAAGAATATTGCATGCGACTTTTTTTTCTATCCCAACTCCTTGTAGACCGAACGCATTCAAGAGTCAAGATTAGAGAGTGGTGACGCTGCTGGACTTGTTTGGTGGTCTGGCGCAGTTCAAAAATCTGAGTGATTCCAATAGACGGCGGAAGAAGGGTCGCTCTGAGACAGGTTCAGGAGTGGTGATATTAGAACAAGTCTCCTCGTAACAGAGGGATGTGAGACGTTCCTTGTCGGAATTACAGTACTCGGGAGAGTCGGATAGTTGCCGACGTCTTGATTTGGCCTGGAGGGCGGCTGCAGCGGTCTGGTCTAGATCGGACTCGTTGATGATGCTGTTTTTGCGAGTGAGAGGTTTTTGGAGGGAGGTGTTTGAAGGGGCAACCAGGCGAAGAGTCTGTAGAGGGTGTGTTTGGCCATCACGGCTAGTACTTGGTCGGCTCAAGAAAGACCGATCAAAGCTCGAACCACGGAGTTCGTCCACGGACTCACCCATGCCATCTTCAGGCGTACATGGGAACCTTTCAGAGATTTGGGTATCGTGAGAGTGGCGAAGCTTTGGCTGGGACTTGGCCGCACGGAGCTTGGCTCGACTTCGGACCTTTCGAAGGGTATCGATAGGTTTGCGTGAAATGGATTTGGGGCCAATGGACTCGCTGTCTGAGTCTGATTCCCAAACAGACTGTTCACAGTACACGTCGATTGTGGACATAGATGGCCTTTCCATGGATATGGCTGTCCACTGACGAGAGATTGGGGGAGAACTAGCAACAGGACTAGGAATAGGACTAGCGAAGTCATTGGCAGGTATGAATAGTGCTTGATCGAAGTGGGTGGCGTGCGGCTCCATCGTAACAGGGTTAATCAAACAGGGAGGAGATATCATGGACGGATCCAAGGGTGGGCGGGTACTCTGGCTAGAGTGTTTTCTTCGGGGGCTGTGAGAGCTTGGTGAACGAGCCAGGTCGGGCAAAGTAGGATGCTGCTTCCTCCTTGAGGACATGCTGGAAGAATCGTACTTCATTGCGAGGTTGAATGTAAAGTTATTGAATCGCTCAGCGGTCGTGATAGGGCGAATGGCCGGTGTCAAAGCAGCCACTGGTGGGGGTGGAGGAAGGGAATATTTTGGGGGGTGGAAGCAGGAGTACAAAAAGCACGGCGAGGTTCAATCTGATCCTGGCGTGCGTGATAGTATAGCTTCTCAGTTGCTTGGAGAACAGCGTTGGGACAAGATGGGGAATAATAGGAATGTTTTGATGAGAAAGAGCTACTAGGTGTCAAATCTGGCACTGTACTATCAGATTGAACCGAGCTGAATGAATTTTGGCTGCAGTGCAGAGGCCAATGTTCCTCTTGAGATGGAGTGTAGCGATGGAAGCGTAAACTATTCTCAAGTTCCAGCTCCGCAAGTGTACATGGGCGATTGCGGTCAGCGTATGGCAATGTCTGCTGATGAAACAGTGTGTCCTTCTTGTTCAAAGAAGGGAGATAGTATTGGTTGCTGTCGTCACTGAAACTATCATTGCGAATTTCTGGTGTATAGGAATCCCAAGTTGGCGTCGGCGCCAAAGCTTGCTCGAGGTAGAAAGGATCCTGGTTAGACTTCTCAAGATCCTTGTGGCCCGCCTTAGGGTTATAAGTTGAAACGTGCTTCAATGGTGATTGAGCCGTTGATGGCAAGCAAATGGTAGATCCAGATCTATTCCGGTCGTACAATCCGTCCAACTCAACTGGACAGTGAGAATCTCCTTGAGCCATGGACTTTTCTAACACAATACACGAGAGGAGAGTTCATCCAAGTTAATGGATGGAATAATGAAGAATGGGTCCGGTGGAGTCAGATGGAGAAGTCTGGAGAAGTCTGGAGGAATGAGGGAGCGAAGGTGGAAAGGGGATATGTTTATACATCAATCAAGTAATCTTGGCGGCACTATGAGTGGGCGAGACTCTAGACTGCACAAGGGCCGGGGAGGATAACAAGTGCATGCCAATGCAGGTAAACAAAAGACCGGAGCACAGACGATCATGACCTATCCGACCTTACATGACGTTTCTGCCCGTAGGGATGCAGCAAGGACATAGAGGACCCAGCTCAGCAAGGGTTTAGGGCTTTATAGACATAACATTAGAACATAACATCAGAATATGACATTCGGCCAATAACAACAATCATATGTAATTCAAGATTCACCAAAACAAGTGTATCAGTGTAATAATAATAAATTCTAAGAGTCTCCATCATTAAATTGATCCATCTCAAGTTCCAAACAGTTCCTACCACTGCAAGTTGCCCTCACGGGCCACAGCATCCGATCCTAGGCGTCGGAAGAATGTGAGATATCAGCCTCTCTGCGGCGTCTGCACTAGATTCTGTCGCGGGGATGGCTTTCCGAAGATCAGCCACTAACGTAAGTGACCGTGCAGATCTTTGAGCTCGATTCTCCTTCTTCCCCTTTCATTCTATACCATCCCCATTCCTGGGAACCGCGCAACGGCGTTAACTTCAATCTAATAATAACAATATTCACTGCAACGTTTCATTTGAATGTTGTTGGTCACGACATACTGCGACGTCAGTCTGACTTATATTTTCTCTACACGTAGTCACACGGAGATTGGTTAGTGCTGTACCCATTGCAGGCTCTATCCACACAATTTGATATTTGATATTTGCTTCTACCATTTGCCATCATACGGAGATCTCCGTAGTAAGCACTCATGCATACGCTGGAAGCTGAGTCTGAGTAGTTGTGGATCCGGATCTGTGCTCCAGACTTCCTAGCTTTTGGTCTGCATCAAGGGTCGTTTCCATCCCACTTGGAAGTTCGACAAATCACATCCGGGGAAATTTAATTTGTTAGATTATTGGCCGGATAATTAGGACTTTCGACTGATTAGACCAATCGAGTTTCATGCATTAGCACCTCGGAAGCCGTTGCCAGCTACCAGGGCAGACCTAGGTGGTTTACTCTTCGTTCTGATTTTGATATCATAAGCATACACCGACATCTGAAACCGATCCCAAGATCTAGACTCCCGAGTCCGTGTACATGGTTAAGGTAGGCCCAGTGACTACATGAACCCTTTGTTCTATTTAGCTAGTTTCTACTGAGACTAAGCTCGCTCTGCTTATTCCCCACATTCCAGTTAAAAATGCATTTGCATCCGCTGCACTGCACGGAGCTGTCCAGACCCAGCGTACTCAAGTACATAGTATCTACTACCCCTGATCGACAGAAACTAGAGCCTCTATTTCATCTAATTCATGCACCTAGTACTCAAATCTGTATAACTGACCTATAGCTGGTCAACTTGCCTGCTTCGCTGCACAACCCTCGCATTTTCAGATGTCACATTCTTTGATATGTTAGTTGTGCACAAGATGCATCAATATCATGTAGACGTTCCCCAACAGCTTATCAATAAACACTCAATGAAGATTTATGGATATACCGAGGTAGAGACCTTGGAGTACCCATGAATGGTACTTCTTCCTTACTCCGAGCTCCCCGGGCCCGATCGAGGGTTCGCCCTGGGCTCTTCAGCAGTGCCACCTAGGTCTAAACCTAGGTCCTTAGGCCAGGGAAGTCGTCACCCTGAATCATAATCGATACTGAAGTATTTATCAAGTGTATATACCCTAGATGAAGAAAACGAGGATCTTGTCTTGTTACCGGCACTATGATTGGTCCCTGCCTATAGTTGAGCAAGACCCGACACAATGGGAGACATCTAGTGAAACCGATCTCTCGGCTTTGAACCGCAAGCTCCCGAGATCTTACAATTGCTGCATACTGCAAGGTATTGAAACCTATGAGCCTTCCCTCCCGAGTGCCGTTCACTGCGTCTGTCTCCTTTCCCCTATTCCGGGCCCCTTTTCTCGGATTTGAGTGAACTGCATCCGAGCAAGACCTTATGTCCTCCTTCATGGAAACTTCTTCCGTAGCTTGTATCGTTCCTTGCATGTCCTGGGTCCAGGTCGAGTAGTTTGTTTATTTTCTCCGTTGCTCTGGAGGCATTGTTTTGAACATGGAATGACTTCGGGATTCCTTCAGAAACAGATCTTGGTTGAGTGTTAAAGAGTGGGGAAGCTAAGTACCGTCTACTACTAAAAAGCCCTAAACTCTTAGCTCTGTTCCAAGGTTTCTTTAGCTAAGAATTCAGCCCAATAGTAAAAATAGAATAAGAAATTGTTGATCTATACCTCAACTCCTGCTTACTTCAATTTCCGCTCCCAGTGGTAAGACTACATGAACCATTGGAACCACTGGATCCGAGCCAGAATATCCTAGTATTCTAATGTAGTTATTATTTAGAACTCATAGTCCTATATACAACCTTGAAACTGATATTGGATTATTGTACTATTCTCTGCATGTGGACCTATTAGATCGCGACTAAGTGGGGAGGGTAGAACTATATATATAGATATATATAGCGCCTCATCGATACCCAAGATATTGCCAACGCATACATCAGTAGCTAAGTAAATCTTGAGTTGTACTAATCTTATGATGAAATTAGAAGTACCGTGGCTGTATCTAGTCCCAACCATGGTAGTTCAATGATTTTGCCACACACCTGGTTGTTATTTCCGACTTATTCTGAAGTCTACGAATTTACACACATCATTCAGCTTCAATTTTCTCATCAATATTTGGAAGTCTGCATCCCCAGTCTCAACTTCCTACCTCCACAAGTACCTGCCCATAGGTACCTAGGCTTTATAATAATTCTATTCTGCCCCACGCTGTCATCCAGACTCGTGCAGGCAATTATTGGTCACCAACTTTCTATTCCATATTTACCTAGTTCTTGCTGTAAGAACCCCACCATTTTATGCAGTTCTAAACACCCTCATCTTCACTGGAAATTAATCAATTCTTGTCAGCTGACCGAGAGAGAAAAAACCCATCAAAAAACTGGTCTAAGCGTCAAAGCGACGCAAAAATTGGACCAGACAGATTCTTCTTTAGACGGAATCTCCCGGATTTTCCATTTCACAGCTTCATCTCTTGCACAACTTTGATCTAGATATTGTCATTACGATACGAACTTGAGGGTCTAAAGCTCCAAGGTTGGTCGATGAACACCGGCTCCCATTTGGTCTGCTGCAGCTGCCGCTGCGGCGACCCCAGCCATTTCAATTAACCAGCCACCTCACCCCAAAGAACTGCTCACTCTTTCCCGTTTCAACCTGTAAACCCTCATCCACTCTTGATTGATTTTCATCATTCTCCACGGAGTTGAAACATCTAAAGAACTACTGTTCTTGTACTTTCGCGATCGCGTGACTACTTCGGAGCTCAAGCTCCAGTGACACAGCTTTCAAAGCTCAGTGTCGCTCAATCCCAAATTCAACCACAATCTCTTAGAAGTGTCTCGCCATACCCGCCGAGCGTCTCACGAAGCCTACGACGTTTACGACCCTATTAATCTTACGACCTTTGCCCCTCAGCGCCAGCAGCCCTTGGTCCATCCTTCTTCCTCACACTCTGCGGAGCACCGTCCATCCACGGGTACTGGCTCTCCTCGCCTACTGCGCCGAACTCGCCGCGGACCAGACCTCGGTCACCGTCGAGCATTTTCGCTAGACACTCCTGGTAGACCTCCAGCACAATCCCAACAGGCGCATTCAACGACACCCATCACACGCCCAACCCCGGCAAGTGGAATCGCTGCCCTTCTCCCAGCAGCATCAGAAGCATACACCGACGAGAACGGATCCACCGTCGACGATCCATACGATCTTCTCAGTGCATCCTACTGGCCGTTAAGAACTACCGGAGTCTCGTCCCGAACCGCATCGGCCATTCTCTTCGCGCTCGAAGAAGCCATCCGCCGACCATTCCCCTTCACAATTGATCTGGACGAAGCGAATGCTTCCATGTCAGATATGGTAGGAGTTGCTGGTCCCGCTTCCGCTGGACCCATGGGCAGCGCCCGTGTTCAAAATGGTGGACTACACGTGTCTCAGGGTCCTGCACCAGCTCTGCTGAACCCATCTAGTGGTATGCGTACACCCACCGACATCATGAGACAGCGCCGGGATCGAGAGGCGCGTCGGAAAGCTGAACAGGAGGCTCGCGACAGGGAATACGAGCAAATTGGACCCCAACAGGAACTAGAGCAGCCCACCCGAGCTCGAGCTCCACAGTACGCTGCTAGCGATCCTGCGGCCCAACGTAGTTCGCGCGCCCAACGTAGTTCGCGCGCCCAACGACCACCCAGAGGCCCAGATGTTCCCCTGTCAGCTAGCGCCGGATCTGCATCCACCTTTCTCGCTACTGGGACTCCCCAGGCCGCTGGCCGGCCAGAGCATCAAGTGCCTCCTGGTGGCATCGAAACACCCGATCAATCATCACGACATAAACTACCAAGCCAGCAGAACTTGGCTGCTGGAACGGGACATTTCCGATCACATAGTGCCACTGCTGCAGGCACCAGTGGCCAGACCGGGGCATTTCCCAGGCCCCCTCAAGGTGCTCCTGCAGCCAGCCAACCTGATCTCTCAAATGCACAGCAAACACGACGAGCTGGATTTCCGCACGCCTTTGAGCGATGGGAGACTCTGTCTTCCCACTGGGAAGGTCTTACCAGCTACTGGATTCGCAAACTAGAGGAAAACAGTGACAATTTGAACCAGGATCCACTGAGCCAACAGCTTGCTCGCCAGATCACAGATCTGTCTGCGGCCGGTGCAAACCTGTTCCATGCCGTAGTTGAACTCCAGCGTCTGCGTGCATCATCCGAGCGCAAGTTCCAACGCTGGTTCTTCGACACGCGTTCCGAACAGGAACGCGCGAAGGAGGTTCAAGCCGAGCTGGAACGCCAGCTGAAGACAGAACGACAAGGCCGCGCCGATACATTCGCAGCTGCACAAGGAGCCCAGCAGGACAAGACTCGCGCTGAAGAGCTGCTGCGTGAAATGCGCCGGGAACTCCAAATCTCAAAAGAAGAGGCCCGCCGCGCCTGGGAGGAGCTTGGTCGCCGCGAACAGGAAGAGCGAGACCGAACCAACTCCCTCCGCAATGGAGAGCCCACGCTCGTTGGTGGCGTCCAAGTTGTTCCCATGATCCAAGGCCTACCTTCGCGACACCCCACGCGCCCTCCCACCCGCGAAGGTCCGTACCCCGGTGGACCCACAGCCACCACAATGGGAACAGAATACACGAGCAAGCCCGCCGCGCAGGATCCACCCTCAAGCAATGCATATTATGGCGAAGGCGGGTCAAATTCACCGACCGGCTCCAACCCTTTCCTCGAGCCTCAAAAGTCCACAGCTGCCGACCCAGCTTCTAGCAAACCCTCATACCCTATCTACGAGCCTGGCGTCGTTCCACCAACCTCAGAACCAGATCTCCACTCTTATGTCGGTAGCAGCGAAGCTGACGAGGATTATCAGCGTGACCTGCAGGGTACTGGTTACACGTACCCGCCACCGCTTTCCGAGGGAAGTGACGAGTACGACCAGTTGCCTGCCGACGAACGCACCTACGTCTCCGACGGCGCATACACCTCATCCAGCGGTTCTGCACCCATCCAAGCCCCGTATCCGCCTACATCGGCCGACTACAGTGGATCTGGATGGGGTGTCGGCACAGGATGGGAGTCCGTCACTCCTCGTCATCGACACCCGACACGACTGAGCGATGTCCTTGAAGAAGACGAGCCGAGTCGTACCAGTCCCAGCCGTGCAAGCCGCGCGAGCCAGGTCAGTCGCAGTATTTTCTGAGTAGTCGAGCCAAGCTTTGTGAACCTGCATCCTAATTTATCCGATGCTTAAAGTAACTCGCTTGTTGGCTGGGAGATCTCATATAATCTGTCTGCTTGTTCTTCTCTGTCTACTTTGACCAGTCTGCATAGAAAAGGTCCTTTTCCTCGCATCCACACCCAGCGTTCATTTCATTTCCCTTGACCTCGCCTCTACTTATCTGTCTTCTGTACCCCCTTCCTGGGCCCGTATTCCATATCCCATGCTTGCCTATGGCGTTTCACATTTTCATTTGTGTGCAGTATTTTTATTTAGTCACTACGGTAATCGTTCATAATTGCCATGCTTTTTTCCATTTATCGCCGTGTGAAGCTCAAAGTAATATCCTCCGCTGATTCTATGAACCCTGGAATAATGGACATAAACGAGTACACGCTGGTCATTATACGCCAATGTCTTAGGCACTGTCAAATAGCCGAATATATCACAGTACCACTCACTCTCGCCCAAGAAAAAGACTGAAGAAAAAGGAAGGAAAAAAAAAACGATCAAGTCGGATGCAAGACCTACGACTAGCAATCACCATTTCTACAGAAACGACGAGTCGTTTTGGCCTGTTAACGAAAAAAAAGAAACTGGTAGCATCTCTCTGGTTATGTAGGCATGCTAATACTCTCTGTAGATCTTATCTGTCGATTCAGCTATGGATGGTTGGTCCAGACATGGCTTGATTTTACCCCAAGTATAATACTGCCGACATTTATCGGTTTAGATACAGCTCTCAGGTTTCTAAGATTTTAAGGTGTATATGATTCTTTAATATTTACCTATTGGTTTTCAGGCTTATCTTCCATTCGCCTGTCTATTGATCCCGTTGAATTTAACCTCACTTTTCCTTTTTACATTTAAGGTTTAAAAAGCAAATATTTATACATATGAATACTTGAAAAAGGGTATATCAAGAAGAATGAGGCCCAGCCCCAGAATCAGATCGTCTCCCTCCTCGCAAAACCACCATCATCAGAAAGAAACCCCCCACTAGCGCCTCTCAACTCCTTCTCCAACGCCTCAGTAAGTGCACAAAGCAACCAATCAACCTCACTCTTCTCCCCCAGCAACGGATTATTCTTATCAATCCAGCTCCACTCATGAGATTTAGACTGGCGCCGCTCAAGCTCCTTCTCCTCAGATATCTCCTCTGGAAAGGGAGAAGGCTTGTGTTTTCCAGAGATGAGGGCAAGATAGTACTCCCATTCGTGGTAGCTGAATTCCCTCGCGTGATCACTCTTCGCGTAGTCCATTAGCTTGCGGACTTCGCTGAAGAGGATGTAGTGGTAGTGATGTCTTCTTGCGCCAGCGCTGTCGCCACTTGCTTGGGCTGGTTCTTCTTTTTGGCACTCTTCTGCTTCTTGGCTGTGCTGGAGGGGGGGTATTGGGTGTTTAGGATTGTGTATTTGGTCGTGGAAGAGGTCTTCTTGACTGCTTTGCTCGTCGGATACCCATTTGTTGGCTGAGTGGACGTGGAGAATATCTTTGATTCTGTCAAGGTAGGGTTCGTCGCTTGGGAGAATGGTTATTTCGCCGATGAAGATGGTTATCTCGCGGATGAATCGGATGAGTGTGTCGCCGATATTGGAGATGAGGATTGTAATGGATGGGATGGCAAGGAGAGACCAGAATACGAAGAAGGATTTGCCTAGGTTGCTTTGTGGGTATATGTCTCCATACCCAATTGTCAGCAGCGTCGTGTAGGCGAAGTAGAGCGCTTCGAAATATGTCCAGCTCTGGTGAAGTTCTGAGCGCCAAAAGACTATTGCACCCATAAACCACAAGACTATCCATATTACTAGGGATATACTGAGCGATAGCCATTTATGCTGAACGTTGGCCAGCTGCCGGATGCGACGCATCGTGATAAACTCTCTTTTTTGTCGCTCATGATCACTGGTCTCATTCCCTTCTTTCTCAGCATGTGTCAGATCAGGCACTAACCCACGAAGGTGGTTATGCTCAGAAGAAGCCCGTTTCACAAGAAGCCGGTGAGTGCGAGCGATGAGCACATCTGCCACCTTTTGTCGACCACGTTCAAGCATGAGGGTCCGGATGGACGAGATAATAAGACCAAGAATCACAATGCCACCAATGGCATACGGGAAGAGCAAGCCACGACCCAGATGTGTCGTTGGAGCAAAATTTCCAATCCCAATAGTGAGCAATGTGTAGTCGGCGAAAAAGACCGCATCCAAATATCGCCAACCCTCGACCTTGCCATACACGGCTGAGCCACCAAGCAAATATATGAAGAAGATGATAGTCTGTAGCATCAATGTGCGCTGACTATTCGACAACTTGTATTCGCGGCTATAATGCCCTTTGAAGGCTCCGTATGCTGTCACGACAGACAGAGACGAAATGATGAAGTATATTCCTGCGGCGAATGCGCCGTAGAAATATGCCTGGCTATAGATGAGCCCATCGTTCTCTGGCCTGTGCATGAGCACGCCAAGTGCAATCAGCAGTCCGATCAAGATGAGGGATGATATATACCATCCGATGATGATGATGGGTTGTGCAATTGAGAAGTTGATGCGCCGCGCCATATTTAGTGACAAGGCAAGATTCGCAATGAGTGCAATTGCAAGAGAAACTGCGTTAAACCCAATGACCCTACCAGAATTGAAGGTTAACCTGGAACGCCAATTAATGATTAGTCGCGTACCATTTTGGATCAGGGATGTTTATGCCGCCACTTTTGCTGTCTGGCTTGATTCGCCATGTCTGTGAGAGGCAGCATATATTGAATGCGCTAGCCATGGGACCAAATGTTCCCTAGACAGGTCAATATCTTACATGCTTAGGCTAATATTCTGTAGGTATCATACTGCTGTTAATGGATATACGGTACTCGCAAGCCACCATCGGCCTTCTAATGACTCCTCAAATTCACTATCCTCATCTTTTCCTGCAATATTTTTGCTCTTTATGCCGGAAGAGTTATCTAAGGCGTTCGCCTCATCAGCAATGGCATCATCAAGACCTGGGTCATTCATTTTGACTGAGTGTGTTTCTAAGAGCTAAGTTGGGGGTGGCTCAGAATGATTCAGGAGATTAAACAAGCGAGGCATAGTTGACAGGGAAGAGAGAAGTGAGAAGTGACCCCAAAAAGAAAAAAACCAAGATAGCTTAGAGAATCCAAGCTTTGTGGCAGTTGCAACCGTCATGATCGTCGGTATAAAACCAAGTACGTCATATCACGTGCTGATATCCAGAGAAGCCTATATAGAGACTTGAGAGCTTAGGATTGAACTCCCTACATGTTGAAAACAATCTTGCTGTTCGTAATAATTGAAAGTAAATGATTTCGTTGAAAAAAGCAGAGACGTCTGCTCTATCTTCTCGGCAGTTGATAGAAAGATACGGAATAAATCCGGCTTGAAATTGAAGTGACACCTAGAGAACTCCGCCTCGAAATAAGACACATTGCAACAGAGGAGAAAATTAAAAACTACCTAAGGGATCCAGAAATCAGAACAGGAAATAAAAGTGGGTATCGTAATAGAACAAGGGGAAAGTCGAGGGGCGACAGAAACAATTCGTGAAAAATGTCTCTATCGAACTATAATATTGGTTAGTGGAGCTGCCCGCTTTAGATGTATACATGACTGACCTACAATAACCTCCAACATTATAATGAATCAAAGATGGAACGTATCTTTTTGGTGGCGAAGGCCAGAAGGATAATTCGGTTGTAAGAGTTCTCAATCAAACTAAAGAATCGGTTAGCGCAGCTGGTTCAGATGGATCAATGATTGACCTACATTGACCTCCGGGCATCAAACTTGGAGGGTAGAGCTTGTCGTTCTGTGCTTCAGACAGTCGCACTGAAGAGAATCGAGGTTCCGCATCCTCATAGTAGTTGGCACCGCGCGAAACATTCAAGGCGGGTACCGGTGAGAGAGTGGGCTGAGGAGAACGGCGTGGGGGATATCCAGGAGAAGGAGGGCCAGGAGAGGGACGAGGTGAAATGGCGTGACGCACATCACTGGGGCCCCATCCAGCGCGTGCAGGGACATAAGATCTGAGGAGGTCAAGTCAGTCAATTGAAAAACAAAGAAAGGGGAAGTTGACATACTCAGTTCGGCTGTACAAGCTGGTTGGACTGAGGGGACGATTGATCTGAGGGTCAAGAGCGTGGGGTTGTGAATCGGTGCTGATCATCGAGTCATGCACATCATAATACCGCGCGGGCATCAGCTCAATGGCCGCGCCTACTGTTTCTGGAGAGATGGCCATGCCGATTGGGCCCGAAGATGGCTGGTTTATCGGAATGGCATGGGCGTCGTAAGGCTGGTCGGAGGTTTGGCTATTTGAATCGAAGCTGCGATTGGGGCGAGGAGGGTGATGATAGCCCATGCCTGCACGGGAGCCACGACCTCCACGGGGACCACGCGGGGGGACTGGTCCCAGATAGCCGCCTGTCCCTCCAGGTGCTCGAGTCAGGGTCCCAACTTGTCCATACGAATTCCCTCCCCGCGGCTGATATCCACCTCGACCACGTGGAGCGTATCCAGCAGCAGTGCCACCGCGTCGCGAGGCCACGCTATTGCCAGAGTACTGTGGACGAAGTCGAGGATCCGAAACGTTGCGCCGGGGTTGTCCGCCAGGACCAGCCGTGGCACTATAGACATCAGGATATTGAGCCTGGGAATATTGAGTTTGCATTGGCACATGCTCGCGAGAGCCTATGTTTGAGTTTAACGGAGTGCGGTCATCATCGCTATCGTGTGTGGTCGTGCGGAAAGTAGCAACATTAGGTTCCAAACTGGACGAGGCTGTGATTATGGGTTCCTTAGTCTCGGGAAGAGAATCGGCCGCCATCGTATTGGCGGCCACAGCAGCAGTTGCAGCATTCTGGCGGTTGCGATAGTTCTCACCACTCATCTCCGCATTCTCGGCAATTCGACGCTTCCTGGCTTTGCGACTGACTAGAGTGCGACGCATGGCACATGTCACAACCCCACAACTGACCAGGATTATGGTAGCTCCCAAAACAATCCATCCGCCCCAATTTAAATGGGGCACAAAGAGCAAGATGTCTACCAAGAACGCAAGAAGAGTCACCAGAAGAGTCGGCAGAAGCAGAATGAGGAGGGCAAGTAGGAAGCGAGGCGAATGGGATGGGGCGTGGAAGTGCGAGGCCGCTGCGAGGGCGAGGCAAATGAGGTTCAGAAAGGCTGCGACCGGGTGAACGATCAGAATAGCAGAAAGGGACTTTCGAGTACTCGAAGGGAGATTAAAGTCACTGCCACTGAAAGTAATATCATCTATTGGGATCGTTAGCTACTGGCATCAGACGGAACTGTTGAAGAACAAAGAGCGACTGACGGGTTGAGTATCCAACTTGGATCTTGCTGCACGTGTTACCCTGGCAGTAGCCAAAGACACCGTAATCGACATTATTGTATGTGGCGAGCGGGATTCCTTTGACGACGGGGGTTGACAGGCAAGAGAGCAACAACAGTGCAAAGGAGACCAGCAAGAGAATTGTGAGAGGCGTTGCGGGCTTAAGTAACATGATGATAGAAAAGGGCGAGAACTCGCGCCCTCGGTGACCTTTATCTCAGGCCAAGATAAATAACGAGTGATATAAGCTCAAGTGAGAATGCGACAAGTCGAAGGTGAGGGGAAAGCGAGGTTAGGAATCAAGTCGCGTAGGCGCATGGCAAGACATCCAAAAGGACGAAGTAGGTGGGGTTGGAAAAGCAGAGGCTAGAAGGTGTTTGTTCGGACGAAGATAAAAGCTAAGAGCAAAGAAGGAATAGTAGTTAAAAGTCGAGATGCGATAAGCAATGGAGGCGAGGATGAAACCGTGGGTATTGTGGATGTTGTGGCCTCATTTTCCAGGCCAATACGGGGTGTATCCACATGTGTTTGATCTAGACAAATCTTTCTTTCTTTCTCTCTCTCTCTCTCTCTCTCTATGCTTTTCAATCCCATCTATCAAATTGATATCTTTCAGATTTACAGGACAATCATGAGCCAATTCAACGCTATGACTCTAGTCATAATAATGGCCTTATAATTGGCTGCTGACTCTCGGAGGTGGCGGATTTCCGTTTAAGCCCCGGGGAAGGTATCCACTCACATCACCTCTTTTTCCCAAGTTTGGGATTAAATACCGAAGACGATTGAATATCCACTTGTTTCAACCTCCAAGCTTCGATCTTCTGCAATACTGAAGCAGTCATTTACTTAACTAGCAAAATAATTATTGTCTGTGTTCTATGTACTGACAGTTGGTTCCACTTAGTAGTTCGTTATGAACTTAAAGCTTAATCAGATAAGAATAGATATAAAATACTGTAAGAGTGCGACCTAATCCAACTAGAACAATGTACCTGGGTATCTCATGAAATATTTCAATCAAATGACATGTCTTCTATGTGAAAAGTTCAATGTAAGCATAGAGTGGGGATTATAACTGACTGCCAGTGCTCCAGAGCTGAGATATTCTCGGTCTCGCCGTGCCTTCCAAGGCTAGTGCAATGAAAAGCCCCCTATCCTGGAGCTATCGGAAGCTACAGGATGCCAGGATTGAGCGATGCCCGATGGATTCTCCGCCCCGATGCAACTAGTGGGCAACACTGATTGCGCAATCGACAGACAGAATTCATGTTGATTAGTTCCAGAGACTAACATTACAAGGAAATATCAAGATACTAATACCACTTGGCATCTTCTGGCAAACTCTGGCAAACTCTGGCAATCTAGGCTATCATTAGTTTCAGAACTCGGACCCCTCGCGGCCGTTATGACCCACAATCCCACGTTTATTTGAAACAAGCGGCGCTTGAATCGCAATCCTCTTTATTCATGATGAGCTTAGATTAAGCGAGCTTAGAGCTGTTGGGGGCAGGTAAGATTTCAATAGTCTTGGGATTAAGACGTTCGATCTAGACTCCTGTTTAATCAATTGAGCTTACGGAGTATGCGTGGACTTCAATGGTTAATCAGTTAGTGATAAAACGGTAATATCATTCAATAACCTGTCAACTACCCGGATGCGACAAAAGAACGGGTTACACTGCGGCATTGATTGATTGTTGCAATTATCGACTACTCGCAAACTGACCTTGGGAATACATAGCTCACTCAGCTATACGTCTTCAAAGTTTGTCATTCCCACAGGTTCTCTTGTCCTTTATGACGACAGAGGTAGCATGAAATATTGCCATCATGTTCAAGTCCTCCAAGCTTTCATACTATCCAGGATACCCCGGTAACGATCAAATAGCAGTTTGGAGGCTCCGAGGGTGGGAATCCTAAATCTCTGTACTACAATCGTACCACCAACATCTCAATCACTCCGCAAAGTTGATTGATACTTAAAGATATCGATACACCCCGGCGTGAGGGCTCATATAAAGCCAAGATAGCAGACGATTCAGAGTTAAAGGTTGATCTGGACTAAGCTGATACTACAATAAATCCAGTCAACTCAAAGGGTCAACCTAGTCACTACTTCCAACATGCGCTTCTGGAAAATGTGGCCATGGGCCAAAAACAAAAAATCACAGGACGATGATTTCTCATCCCTCACTGGAAGAGCGACCGTAGTAAAATCCTGGGAAATGGCACTGGAGAACCAATCTCCAGATCGAGGATGCGCGTCAAATCTAGGGCATCGCTACGTAAGGTTCGGGATTGGAGGTGTCGGAAATACGCGCAAGTCTTGTCTTCTTTTACCTGGAAGTTACTTTGAGCTGTGGTTTATTTGTATTTCTGACCAATTCCAATAGGCTCTTATCGCAGAATGGTCGATCCACCCAGAAAATTGTACGGTAATTCTTGGGGGTTGGATTAGGCTGGAGCTGAACGCAATCAGCGCAAGCTTCAACACCCTCTATTTTATCAGCTTTGGCTCAATCAAAACTCTTCAAGTCATTGGTCTATGCTTTTGGGTAACTTCAAACACAAAAAAGCGTAGTCTGGACGTAATGCCTGTGTGATATCAGTACAATAGATCCTGAGCTATTTATACATAAGTGAGAGTTCTAATGAGCACTTTTCTAGTATAGAAAGGAGCTAGTTGCAATGTTACAACTGGAAAGAGACGAGTCAGTATTAAACAATTTTGGAAATAGAAAAATTACATCAGTTAGTCTGCAACAATCTGCAGGAACGATAAAATGATAGAACGTATTTCAAATGAGCCGACCTAGATTTGCCCTTGGAGACTAGCACTGATCGGGGAATCGACTTCCTAAAATCTTCTAAACTTCGATTATTTCTCACTAACTGGTCTTTTATCCAGTCAAATAAAGCATAGAATTTCTATATCTAACTCCTAGTTTGGTGTCAGTCACCAGCCACATGTAGTATCAGCAAGGGGATCATGGTCTAATTCCTAGTACTGTCTCGCCCACTACCAATGAATCACAAGTTTGGTTGCCCAGTCAATCATTGAATTGGGGCTTTCGTAGTCTGGGGTACCAATCTGTTTTGATTCCCAAGGTTGTGGATGTCTTCAAGGTTGATCGTGGCTGCTCATGTCCCTGTAAAGAACACGTAGAAACCACATTAAAATTATTGCTTTGATTCACACGAAGTAAGTCAGCACTGAGAGTAAAGTAAAATAGAACTAAAATCCATAGCTCAATCCTAAAGCGGGCCAAAAGAAAGCTGTCCAGGTGCAACGTTGATCTGTTGTAGATCGAAGCAAGACGGGGTATACTTCGGGCCTTCGGGCCGTCACAGTTCGCATGGAATTCTCGTTTGACGCATTCCAATTTGTCTTGATGATTCTGATTTTATTTTTAATATTTAGTCTGTCTCACTAAACATCATCCAGTGTTTCAATTCTCTCTATTGGCCTGGGTCTGCTAGGATTCACTGTGTGGCTGGGGGAGGCTGGGATCTGTTCACCCAACACTTACAGCAAAACAAAACCCCTCCCCACTATATCTCTTCCCAGTCCCCAATTGACTCAGAGAACTCTGAGTCTAAGGGTAATGTTTTTCGATTAAATATTCTTCGGAATCATCACACATTCCGAGTCCATCATGTCTGACTCTACTGTGCTACGGAACTTCAGTCTGCGAAACGTCAGCTGTATGTGCATATCGCCTGCTTCTTTTTAAAGACATGGGAGGTTGGGAATGACTGCTGAAGAGATATTAACTAACATTTAAAGTAGCAAACAGGCCCCAGGTATATCGAACAGAGTCGGCACAGTCAGCTACCGTACAGTCAGTCGCTACATCAGAAGACTACTTCTCTTTCTCAGATCGAGCTTCAAGTCTAGACAGCCAAGTCACTGCAATGCAGTTCGCAACCCCAGGGTCACATGCCTCTTCTGGGGCATCTTCACCAACTATTCCTCGAATGCTACAGCCAAACGTGATTCGACAGGAACTACCAACAGAAGTATCAACTCCCGCACGCCCGACTACTTCTAGCACAGTTCGCTTTGGACAGGACCAGATTGCGAAGATCAGCCCAAAGTCTGACGAAACAGTTCGACGTGTCCCGAGTGACCATGCCAGTCCAGCGCCAACGCCAGGGTTGGACGACTCTCCATACGTGCGTTTTGCAATTGACCAACTGACTCGGGATGAAAGCGGCCATGGGCCGACAAGACAGGACTCAGTCTCGACCAAGGATGATGACTATCCTATCGACCGTTTAGTGTGGGACGAGGGACTGGGATATTTTACTCGCACTCGCACACCTATTCGGTACTTGGAGACACCGCAGAGGCCTATTCGCAATACTCCATCACCCCAGGCCTTGCCACAAAGACCTGACTCAGTCGACCCGGAAAGCTTTGTGGCGGTCGACCCTCCCGAAAAAAGCCTGATATACCCTGCTTTGGACTATTTGCCAGTGGTCCTTCGGCCTTGGGCTCTGGGTGTTGGTATTTTCTGCTGCCTTCTCATGATCGCCGGTGTCGTGTTCTGCAACGTTTGGTCTCGTCGCCATGATGGAATTTGGTTATATGACGGGACTGATACTTCGAGGTATTTTGTAATGCAGTTTCTTCCTCAAATCCTCTCTGCGCCAATAATTATCTGGACTTTTGTGGTTCAAGCCGCAGTATACCGCATATCACCTTTTGCAATTATGGCGGCCGAGCGCAATCATGGCCACGTTCTACAGGGTCTGCCTATTATCTCGAAAAACTTCATCATACCTGACTTTTCCCATTTTCGATATGGAGAGCCCCTGATTGGGTTTACTCTTTTCACAATCTGGCTGTCCAACTTCTTTGCGATTCCCCTTCTGAGCTGCCTTTTTCAAGCCAAGTTTTACGTCGTTGACGGCCAGGGTCTGTGGAAGTGGTCTTCGGTGCAGGCGATCGGCTGGACTTTGGTGGCGATGTATGGTCTTTTGGCTATCGGTCTGCTGCTACTCCTGGTCCGATTTATTCGTGGATTGACGGGCTTGATGTGGGATCCGGTCTCCATTGCAGACCTGATTTCTATCATCCAGAGATCCAACGTCCTCCATGATTACGAGCACTCTGAGACTGTTCCATCTGTGCGGGAAACGCTTGATCCTCGTGTACTCCGCATCGGCTATTGGAAACTATCCATGAAACGTGATATCTTTTACGGCATAGGCGAGATGGATGCTTCCATTCGCACACCATCACTTCACCAGACAGAGAAAGTCAGGGACCAGCCTCAGGGACTAGCCAAAGTCAAGTTTGATCTTGAAAATAACGGTACATATGCCAACAATCCTCTTGACGAGCACCTCTACTCCAGCTTCACTCGATACCGCTGGACACCCTGGTTCCTACGCAGAGCCACCGTGATAATCTGGGTCCTCATCCTGCTTGCTCTTTTCATCGCATTCGTTGTGGTCAGCTTCGTCAACCACGCAATTGAAGATGGCTTCGCTCCCAGACTGCCAACTCTCCCATCAGTTAGCGCATTCTCCGCATCGAACTTCCTCTACAGCTTCATCCCCGCGCTGATTGGAAACTTCCTATTCCTAGCCTGGCAGCCGATAGACACCTACTTCCGGGCCCTGCAGCCCTTTGTCGAGCTCTCATCCCCTCAAGGAGCCCCAGCAGAGACCAGCATCCTCCTCACCTATCCCTCCTCCCTCCCAGTTCAAATCACAATCCAAGCTATCATCAACGGCCATTTGAAAGTCGCATGGCTCTCCTTTATGAGCCTAATCACCATCGCCATTCCCATTCTCGCCGGCGGTATCTTTATCGCACTTTCATACGGCCAGAATGTAATCCGCATCTCCGCCGTCCTGCCAGCATACTACACCCTGATCGCATTCTGCGCTCTATACGCTCTATCCTTCATGGCTACTTGGCCCGGTCGCCACCGCTACCTTCCGCATGACATCAGCACGCTCGCAGATCTAGTGAGCTTCCTCTATCAATCCCCTCTACTCGCAGACAAGCTACTTCGTGAGCCGCGAAGCAAAACAGACCTCGTCACCCGTCTCATCATCGCCCCTCCCTCTGAGCGCTTGTTCCCATCTTACGGCTTCGGTATCTACGTGGGCCGGGATGGTCGAGAGCACCTCGGCATCGATCGCATCCACCGGCCTGGTCGAACAGACATGCTCATCACCGCTAGATCTTCGAAATAGTCTCATATCTTCGATATTTTGCTCTTCCCCTAAAATTTACGTTGTTATGATTTTCACGTCGTCCTATGAACATACCAATTGAAATGGTTTTTTATTTATGCTTTTTAAATGTTAACGATGCCTTGGGTATCTCATGTATACGCCACCAGGCAGGTCTTTGATGCATAGGCGCTATTGCATAAAGCATATTGTGTTTTTAACGTTTTGATATTCTGATATTTTGATCCATGAGCTGACTGAAACTTTATGATAGATTAGCTAGATATAACATATAATATGAATTCCATACCCTATACTTTTCTGGAGCAGCTTACTGATTAGCACCGACATTGTGAATAGGCGTGATACCTTTCATCATGAATACAATAACGCTCTTAGAAAGCATCTGATTAAGCCCCAGCACGAACGAAACACTCGGAAAGTATCCGATCTAATAACCTTACGAAAGTAATAGCCTTAGTATGATGGCTAGTGAACCTCCGATTCCGTGTAAGGGGTTACTGGATTTAACAGAGAAGACAAATGGGAACAAGAACTCAGTGTATATTTCAAGACTGATTCTTGGAGGAATCATGGGGATGCGGGTACGGATCGGTTAAGTAGTTATGGGTATCAGGAGATCTAGGTATGGAATCAAAAGACACGATGAGCAATGCTGAAATTCGAGTAGAGGTACCTAGAGCGAGCTGCGACTCAAAGGGATGACTTTCAAGACATAGGATTACAGTTTCCACAGAATCCAGAAACATCATATTAATATATTACGGGAAATACTATTATCCCCTTGTTACGTCTCAGTTGCTTGCCTCCTTCCATCATCACTGTCTTCACTCTTGAAAGTAAAGTTTATCAAAGTCCTATGGTCAATTACTTTCATATAGAAACGCGTATCAGGTCAGTGAATAATATGAAGTTTATTGTAGGAAGTTGAAGTCAATTGATATGAGGCAGAATATGCTATTGAAAAGTGGGACATGCATGAATCTACGTTATTAAGGTATTCAAATACAAATCCGTTTCCTATTCTAGCAATCCTTCACAATTGAGGAACAACTGGTAATTCAGCCGCCATTGCTTCCTTTCTGCCTAATGGCTTTGGCGTGTTGACTTTTGAGGATCCCTAGATAAAAGCGGTATTAATAATACTTCTTTCTAGCCGCAGCCTTCTCCACCTCATCGGTGATAGTGAGCTGGTCTCCGCAGCAGCTAAGAAGTACTGCTATCACTTCTTTACCACTACCCTAGTTCCCAGCTGCAGCCTTTACCACCTCGTCGGTGATATTGATCTGGTCTCTGCAGTGCTCAAGAAGCATTGCAATCACTTCTTTACCACTCGTCCAGTTCCCAGCCGCAGCCTTCACCACCTCTTCAGTGATATTGATCTGGTCTCCGCAGTGCTCAAGAAGTAGTGTTATCACTTCTTTACCACTCCCCAAGTTCCCAGCCGCAGCCTTCACCACCTCGTCGGTGATATTGATCTGGTCTCCGCAGTGGTCAAGAAGTAGTGCTATCACTTCTTTACCACTCGTCCAGTTCCCAGCCGCAGCCTCCACCACCTCGTCGGTGATATTGATCTGGTCTCCGCAGTGGTCAAGAAGTAGTGCTATCACTTCTTTACCACTCGTCCAGTTCCCAGCCGCAGCCTCCACCACCTCGTCGGTGATATTGATCTGGTCTCCGCAGTGGTCAAGAAGTAGTGCTATCATTTCTTTACCACTCGTCCAGTTCCCAGCCGCAGCCTCCACCACCTCGTCGGTGATATTGATCTGGTCCCCGCAGCGGTCAAGAAGTAGTGCTATCACTTCTTTACCACTCTCGTCGTTTCCAGCTGCAGCCCTCACCACTTTGTCGGTGATAGAAATCTGAACTCCGCAGTGGTCGAGAAGTAGTGCCATCACTTCTTCACCAATCAACCAATTTCCAGCCGCGATTTCCACTAGCTGTATAGTAACATTCCCTCCTTGACTTAAGAGGGCAGCAACAGCATTTGGATATCTTGACATAATAGCACGTTCAAGGGGAATTTTACCTGAAGCGTCCTTGCAATTAATATGGACACCACGAGTCAGCTTCTGTGTGTCTGATTCCTGAAATCCCAGCTCAGAGGCGTAATCTACTAAAGTGGAAATCCCCCACTTTGCAGCTACGTGAAAGATAGAGAAATCATTCGGAATCGATAGGAAGAAATAATCTATTGACCTTGCGTTCTCTAGCCACTGCCCCCGGCAAGGAGAATCAATCTGGAAGAACTCCGCTTGTGGACACTGGACCTTAAAATATTCCTTGCCCATGCGCGCATGGTTAACCCATTCTAAAATTGCATAGTAGGAAAAGCTGTTATACAGTTGATTCGTGCTGCGGAACTGCTCAATGAGCATATCAACACAGCGATATGCAAGGCGAGCATGTGCTTCGGACAATTTGATAAAGAAGCCTGACCCAGTCCCAACTAGATAGTCCTTCACTGATTGATGTAATAGAAGCACATCTTCGTCCTGGATGATTACCAATAAGCGGCAAGACTCGATGTATTCATGTGTAAACTGAATCCTTGTCTCAGCGTCCTCTTCCTCCTGTTACAGTTGGCATGCTTCAGAGAGCTCCGACACTGTTAGTGGTCGGGAACATACAGCCACACAGCTCAGGAGGAGTCGAGTATCATTGCCACTGGTCTCGTTTTGCTCCAAGGCGGTGTCGAGAAGCCTCTTTTAAACTGCATGAAGACCCTTAGGCATGTCTTGTAAAAATTTGATGGCGAGGTATGAAGGGATATCTTTTAATTCGTCACACGCTAAGCCAATCCAGAGGAAAGTACCCTCGGCTTTGTATCTGAGAATATCGCGAACTTGCTCTCTGACCTTTTCGGTGTACTTTTTTCTTTTAGCCAAACGATTCACTCGATAGTCAATACAAAGATCAATGTCTTTCTGTCTCTCAGTGAAAGAAGCTAAATCTCTATTTGGGAACATTTGCAAGCTCTCGCGTATTTCCGGATATGGCCTACTGGTGATCAGTATTCGAACATTGGACGAGACTTTTTGACTCTGAAAATTTTCGAGTTGTTGTAATAGGGTCTGTTGCGATTCTTTATCGCATTCATCCACCGCGTCAATGATGCAGTATGTTCGACCCATACTCTGATCCGCCACCATGGCCATGAATATGTCCCAGAGAGCGTCGAGCGAGCTGAATAGCTTTTTCCCCCGCGTATTATATTCTGGCAGGAGGTGATCAAGAAGCTGGTGGTGCTGCCTAATAAGCTGGTGGAGAAGCCCCCTGATAATCGAGGTCGCGGTCCTTCGTGTATCGAAGCCAGAGTCACAGAAAAAGTAGGCTAGTGTTGCCCCTTCCATGTCTGCCAAGTAAATCGGCAGCCCCTCTGTAAGACATATAGCCATGATCGATTTACCAGTTCCTGGGTTCCCATAAAGCCATAAGACTTGTGCCGACTCACTCTCGGGACCTGTCAGTCCAGGACTTAGCCAGGTAGTAAGCTCTTCCGTGTTCAATATCCAAGCACAGCTTCCGGGAGCGTGGCCTCCTTTCTTTCGTTTCAATGCTGCCCTATCCTCCTTCGGATCTGTCACGAAGAGGTCGCGCCGACAGTCTAAGCCCTTCTCCTTCCAAGTATCTAGCAGTCCATTAGTACAACTCATTGAAATATAACTAAGGCTTTACCTACGTTCACATCCCGTCCCACTATGATATTTCCATTTCCGCTGTTCTGTAATCCATGGCCATGAAAGGAGGATTGAGCGGTATCTGCTTCTACTGCGGGTCGCTTTCCGGGGATTTCCGCTAGTAATTCTTCAACAGCCCGGTAATTCATGGCTCTGTCAATCAAAAGGGGTTTTTTTCAAGCTCTTTGCCATAATCAAGTGCAAAGACAGTGGGGCATTGAGAAGTCTTATGAGGCTGAACTCGACCAAATCTGCGCACAGACCGGTTTCTCCCCGCATGAGCTAAAACGAGTACATATCGATTTAAAAACACCTATCGACTATGTACGGAAACCTATCTTGCGTGCTTTATTGCTATTGAGGATATCAAGATGAGGCCCCGAAGCCCTCAATTCCCCTAGAACTCTGATCCTACGACAACTCAAACCTACTCAAACCTACTAACTAAGATGAAAGGTAGATGAACCATGTCAGCCCAACCAAGAAACGGCATGGTCTAGCCGGCTTTGCAGAGCTTGGCTATGAAGCGTACACTGTCGGAATTGTGTGTGCTCTGGAATTTGAGATGAGCGCTGTCAGCTACATGCTGGACAAAGAACATGTCCGTTTGCCTAGAAAGCCTGGTGATTCGACGCTATATATTCTTGGAGAGCTTAGCGGCCATAATGTGATCCTTGCTAGTCTTCCTGGTAGCCAGGGAAAGAGTACAGCAGCCGCAGTCGCAAAAGATATGGCGCGTACGTTTCCATCGATCGATCTACGCTTGATGATCGGGATCGGGGGAGGCGTGCCGAGTACAAAGAATGATATCCGCTTAGGCGACGTTGTCGTTAGTATGCCCGACAGTCAACATGGTGGTGTGGTCCAATATGACCTAGGTAAGAGCACAGACGATGGCACTGTCCTGAAAGGATTCCTTTGGCCGCCATCCGAGATTTTGAGAAGTGCTGTGTCTATTATACGGTCTGATCATAGAATCCTGCAGAGCAAAATTCATGAGTTCATGTCGGCTATGTTTCAGAAAAGCAATGACCTTAGACTTTCGTATCAGCGACCTACGGAGCCAGATGAACTCTTCCAGTCGGGATATCGTCATGTTTCTTACCTAGAAACTTGTGAGCTTTGTGATAAGACAAAACTGGTCCATCGTCAGTCCCGAGATCCGATCCCTAAGATCCATTACGGGCTCATTGCTTCTGGAGATCAAGTCATTAGGAGCGCCTCAAATGCAGCTGAAGTGAATAAGAGGGTTGGTGGCAATATCTTGTGTTTCGAGATGGAAGCGGCGGGGATTGCGACAGAATACTCGTGCATCGCCATTCGAGGCGTCTCTGACTATGCAGACTCTCACAAGAACGACGCCTGGCAGTATTATGCCGCGGCCACAGCTGCTGGATGCGCCAAAGAGCTACTTTCGTACGTTGACCTGCAGCAGCCTTCCATCACAACTGAAGCCCTTGATCAGAATAAGTCTGAGTTGTCCACTGGCAGCCATCTACCTGCACAATCTATCTTCCGCGGTCAAGAATTCAAAACTCGGGGTCTGGCAATATATCTGTAGGAAAAGACTTAAAAATCAGAGGCAAATAACTCGTTGCGAAGGAACTCCAAATCAACCAATAAAGGTAATGCGGGTGAAAGTCACGGTCATTGATTGGGATACTAAATGGCATTTATCGTCCTCATTTCAATGCTCTAATAGATCTACATTCAGCATCATCACGACCAGTGTATTAAGCAGATGATTTTCCCCTGCTAGAAAGCCAGGTGGCCAGACTATCCCATTGCTTTTAGCAGAATCAACGTTCAAAAAAGCTTCGAAACCATACAATTTTAATACAGAGGCTATTTTTAGTACGTAATGTACAACTGTACTAGAATATGTACTTCCACCAATAGGGATCAGGGGTAAAGTATTTAAAAAGAGGGTTCGAGAAAGATTCTCGACGCGCAAGTGGTGAAACTGACTGCGATCCATCCTAATATTAGTAGATTGCGGCAAGTGGGAGTAAAATATAACATTAGTTGCTTCGATAGTATTTGCGTTAAGCCTGAGATATTAACAGAGAAGACTTAAAAGAAACTCCATCTGGGACCTGAATACGCCGATATTAAAGCAGAAAGATAAAACCAATCATCTCAGTTTTGTATAAAGCCCGAAATCGATCTTTTCAAAATAATTTTGTTTGATAGAGTAAACATATTCTTCCACTTATGAGAGGTAGGCGGATCCGACAGAGTTAAGAGCGCCGTTGGTCAAGATGTAGTTCTCAGCACACATGAAGTAGGCGTAGCGAGTAAGGCCGTCAGTGCTCCCAAGGAAAGGAATGACGTTGGCAAGGAAAGTCTGGGTGACAGAAACATCGGCGATACCGTTAATGTCAGCGTAGAGAGCCAACTCAGTAAGCTGGACCTCCGTAAGACCGTATTGAGCAGCAGCAGCGACAGCCTCGGTGACGAATAATGTTAACTCATCAGCGCTATCAATATACTAGTGCACAGTAAAACCAGCGATACCGCACGAGCTGCAGCCGGAAATGAACTCGCCGAACCAGCTCAGACCCTCGCCAGCGTTGGTAGAGGATGCGACAGGGGGCGAGATAAGCTTAGCACGGCCACTGAACGGGGTGATGTATTTCAGATAAATGCCGATGGCATCAGAAGGTCTCATATAGAATACCGCGTAGAAGAATGGAGTTAAAGAAGCATTTGCCATGTTCTAAGGATTCCCCGAAGCTGGCGAAAAGAAGCAGAGTCAGTGGGGATATCAGGCAAAGGGGGCTGAAAAATTAGGTATCGACTTTGACTAAGGTTATGGAGAAGATTGAATTTTACTTTGCGTGTTCCCTCTTGGCTCAATGCATCAGTTTGAAAGCCTAACGCCGGAAAGATCTTATTTCGGACAAGGTGAAATCCGTCTCAGCACCTTATTCTCCGTGAGTTTTAACTTTTACACTCTCATTTATCTTTTAAAACTACATCTAGATCCCCAAGAGCTTAGGCAGTGGGTTCCATTGCTGGAGAGTATTCATCTTGAATGGACGAGGGCAATCCCTGACAGATCTCCCACCTATCCAGTTCATCCGGCCTTTTTTTCCAGACTATCTGCTTCATTTTACAGCCCTCACGGAAAATCTGGATGTGGATAAAGAAACAGGGTTTACTTTTATCTCGTTAGAAGTACGTTGCTGGGACATCAGCAAGAATATGACATGAGCTACTCAGTCAGAGTATGAACAAAGCATGCAAAATACTTGTAAACTGCTATGAAGTCTCACGGAGTGATTTATAAGATTGTATAAAGTAACTATTTGTGATGAGGAAGACTCCCTCATGAATCACTTTAATGTTCGAATTGGATATAATATAACCAAATGGACATGGTAATATCAAGCGCTACCCAGTTTCCAGTAATGAGTTGGCAATAAACATTACAGCTTGAAATAGATGGCTCTGACACGTTCCAACTGTTGTCCCACCCAAATTATCTGCTCTGGAGGAAGTTCTAGCTCAGGACTCTGGAGATTCCGTAGGTTCCCAAAAATATGCCATCCACTCATTAACGGAGCAATGGCTTGATGAACGGCAGTAACAGGTCGGGTCTCTGAAAAGGGGTACTCGACCAGCCCAGGTTTCATGCGCACAGACTCCATTTGGCTCCCAAGGCAATAGGGCACCGTCGCACAGATATCATCTGCAATAATTTGGATTCTAGCCTTGGCTCCAGCTATCCTTGTGCCGTCTGGATCCTGCGAGGACAGCATTCTAAGACAGCTGATGATGATGCTTTGTACCACCATTAGACAATCGCGGAACATGTTCCATGTCGCTGCTATCCATATGTCTGTGTAACAGTCGCAGCGATTGCGAAAGACTCCTGCATCATGGACGGATTGGGGAATAATGTCTGCTGAGACGGGCTTCCAGTCTGATGGAACAAAGTGCGCCCATGACATGAAATCGACATCAATCTCTGCTGCTCTTGCAAGGATTGAGATGACTTGCGCTTCGTCGGGTTGGTGGGCTTTTATTTGCTCCCACGTGTCTCGCAAATCGACTAGACGTGCTGAGGCTTGCGAGAGTACCTTTCGTGGAGATAGAGGGCCTTGGGGTTGTGATAGAGGCCAGATTGTTGGTGTTGGGATCACGGGGCTGCTTAAACCACGAGTGGTCTTGATCTACGTTGTGTTAAAATTCATGTAGCCAACCTCAGGGTAGGAAGGATGGTGAACTGTACAATTGCAGTTTGAACGGTATCATGAATTGTAGCCGATATATCATGTCCTTCCGAGCTCTTTGGTCTCCTGCTATTGATCAAAGCAATCGCACCTCTCAAGTGTGCTCTCGATGGAAGCTCCAAATTCTGGATAGCGACAAATTCCTTCAAACCGTTTTAGCCGAGGTCTCCATTTGCCTTTACAAGATGGAAAGCGTAATTACTTACTTCATACGTCGATAGGCATATAATAGCCGCAAGAAGACTGTTCAAGTCGCCATCGGTCGTCAAAGCTTCACGAATTTTGGGTAGAGAACATGTGAAATACCGCTGCGCTTCACGCATCAACGATCTCTGACCAGTCCAAGCCCCCACAGTAAAGAAAGCAATAGCTAATGTACTACTGTGCAAATAAGACCCAACCTTAGCATTTGTGTAGATTCGTGGCAACATTCCCAGAAAACCATTACGAATGTGGTTGACTTGAGTTAGGAATATAAACGAGTTGAAAAATAATGGGACCACTGCATCTTCAACTGGATGGTAAAGCTCTGTCGGTATACATGTATACTGAGGCCGTATGTCAACCGCCTCAGTAGATAAATCCATCGAGGCAGCAGGGTTCATTTTCTGCCAAGATGCAGATTCTACATTATCTGCATTCTTGCTAGAAATTGACCTGGAGCTAGCAACTGGGGTTGATCGGCGGGTTGCCACCACTGCGTTCATGAATGATGAGGTTTGATCCCTCAATATCACATCGAATGGGTGTTGATATCCTGGGCATTGACGACCTGTTCGAGTACATTTTTGACAATGGGGCCTAGTTTCATCACACTTTTCTTAAATCAGTCCTATGCTTCAATCTCAGCTGAATGTAAACATGAAATACCTTGATGTGCCGCCGGCGGCAATTTAGACATCCAGTACTTGGTTTTCCGCAGAAGACCATGATACTTCATTGGCAGTGTTTGACGCAGCTAGATACACTGGCTAGACGATGGTCAATTTGATGATTCAATTTGATGATATGCACAAAGCCGTACGGAGTCGCTGGTTTTTGTATACTCAGGCGTAATCCGCGTGAGCCGAGTCTGGAATACGTACTTGCCCTGGAGATAGCTAGAGCCGTATCATTAAAACATGCTTTTTGGCCACTTGATTAGGGGTCAAAGTCTTTCTTGCGATGTAAGACTGTATGTAGCTAGCCTTCGGAGTAAGCTGCTGATTAGCAGATCTCTCACGTGACTAATATGCAAAAGCTCCACCTCCGCAAATTCAACAGTCACTTTTACAACCTCGGATTTCCAATCTGTGATCATTATAGCTGCCAGTTATACATCTCATCGGCTCCTGGGAGATCACTCCATCTTTGACGAGATCGATTTTCGTGAAGCCCTTCCTTTTGACCACCAATCCCGCTTGTCCCCGCATTCCTTCCCCAGTCAATACTCACCGAAGACATGCTCTCCTACTTCGGCTGGGGCTCTAGCTCCAAATCAGACTCTAAGATCTCTACCGTCTCAGGAAATTCAGAGTCAAAACCAGAGAGTGAATCTTCATCCCCAGCTTCCACAACAGTCCAATCACAAGCAATTCAAAAACCCGTAACACAAGACAACACCAGCCTCAAAATCCTCGTCGGTGGTGTGGCCTTTGTCTCTCTCTCACTATTGATAACACGTCGCGCAAACCGAAGGAAAATCGCCGAATGCATTCCACCATTCTACTCCAGCTCGACCTACTTCCAGCCCCAAGTGAACGGCGCAGGTGAGGCTTTGGAGGCACTCAGCCTCGCTACTATCAATGTTCTCTCCTTCAGCACGATGGCCGTTGGCGCTGGAGCATATGCCTTCAATATCAATTCGCTAGATGATGCGCGAAGAGCTATGAGGACTTACATGGATACTGCTGTCGATTCATCGGGCAAGGCGGATGAGGAGCTTGAGAAAGATGTCACAGAGTGGGTGACCAATATGCTTGGAGATCGATTCCAGAAGCAGCTGGAGATTGAGCGTGCGAAGAAGGCACAGAATCCTCCAAGTGGGGATGAGAAGTAGTCTTACCTTGACTGCTATCTGAAAATACTCCACTCTTTCTCGTGGTTCAACCTTCCTTATGTCAGCAGTTGAACTATTTCTATCACAGTTCTCCAAAGAAAAATTCAGCGTTCGTGGAATTCCCTCCATATTGGACGTGGTGAATACTCAGCTGTTAGGATTCTAAGTTGAATAAATAACCCTGTACATTATATTATACATAATTTCTATAGACCCTGCATGTTTTGGCGTTCTCTACGCATGGATTATTACCATGATGAATTCAATATCTAGATATTTTACTTTTATTAATTCCAACAAATAGATATCAATCAAGGCATCGATACCCTCGAAAGCTTCGGGATATCATTCATCCTCAAGCTCCATGAGATAACCGCAAATCCCATCGTCTCTTTTCACCAGGTCGTGTCAAATCTGGGGTTCTGAACTTGTTAGAGAGATGCGATTTATATTCATGTATTCTAGCCGCGAAAACCTCCAGTTCCAACTTTAAAATTGAAAAATATGGCAAATTCCAATGCTGGCTTGCGGATCTCGGCGACAATATGGAAAAGCATTGTGACCGCATCGCTACAACTGACCATGAGCTGTTTTTTGGATTTGTTGAGTTCGCAGGAAATCTCAAAGGTTTTACGGTTGACTAGACGACTTAGCACCCGTCTCTTTCCATTGCATGATTCCAGGAAGTGGAACGGTAAGATGGCCGGAAGGCTGTCGATCTCAAGAGATCCCAGGAGACCCAAATTTTCAACTTAGGTCATATTTCATCCTGGAAATCCTTCATCTCCCTCTCGTCTATGCTGCATGTACTCTTTCCTCGCCGCAGAAGGGCATATTGGGCATAGGTGGGCATCTATTCTTTGATTAATCAATAGAAGCAGCATCATCAGCGTGCATAAAGCGCCTAAAGCACGTCACATATGATACTGCAGGTCATCGCAGTTTGTAGTACTTTGTCGCGCAACAAGTCCTCCGGCATGCCCGACTTTGTCACCTTTTGCCTCAGTTTTCATTTCAATATCAAACTCCAGTGGCTCATCAAAGTCGCGGTAATGCTGGTTCGGGTAGCACCACCTATGAGGATATCGTTACTGTGTCCGGGTAAATCACCTGTGTATGTGCTCAGAGCCACCACCAACAAATTACACACGTGGTCACCTCCATTATGAAGAGTATAAGATGTTTCAGCCTTGGAATGAAAATAAAATCTTTTCGTATTTATTTAATATCCAGGAAGGTAACAGCAATGGGCGGGATCACTGTCGTATTGGTATAAGAATACTAGAAGGCTTGAGCTTGGAAGGAGCAATAGGTCCAGTCATATGTAATTTACCTACATTTCCACGGTTCTGTAGTGTTAGGTAATTGAATGATGTCAACAGGGATATTTAGCGAAAGTTCACTTCACTTTCACTTCACCATCACTTCAATCAGATTTCCTATTTACCAGCTCTTGATCAATCTCTCTCCACTCCTGTCTCAATAGGTCATGAAACTCAGACCATGCCACCTTTGATCCACTATGCTGAAAGGCAGAACTCGTTTTGGCTCTCGAAGCGGACGGCACAGCTCTGCTACAGTAGGATAGGCAAATCGGTTTCATTAAACACATTCTGAGCAGCTTCATCATCAGATATAAATCGCTTTACCACCACTCTCATCAATGACCACTTCATGAATCTCTCCTAAAGTTCCTAGACTGCCCTTATGGGTAGTCTGTTTTTTACTTAATGCAGGTTTTTTGGTCTGCTTGTTGTTCGCTTCTTCTAAATGACCACATCGATCATATAGAAAAAAATGTGATGATGGACCGTTCGAACAGTCCGATCATAATGCTCCTGAATCTCCTTTTTGGTCGGCGAAGATAGTAGATCAGAGGAAGATCCTCGACCTAAATCGATGCGAGATTTTGATTTTGCAAGCCATTTAGCGTCTAGAGAGAGTTAGGGTCGCTATTACTGCTAGATGATGATTGTCGGACTGGTGGCAGATCAAGAGGAGGTAGAAATTCAAGCTGAATGTTCAGCTTTTCTAATACACGATTTAGATTCAAAGGAACAAATCTAGTAGCTCAAAAGCTTTTCTGTCTTTGAAAGCAGCATATATTGTATTAGGAAAGATTTCCAGGAAATCCAGGTTTTAAATTGAGTTGACGTTGAGTCTCATAGCTCGTCACCTTCTCTCTATATAGACGCTTCAAACCCATAAAACGGCCTACATCAAGTGGCTATAAAAGATGCGATTCATATAGAGGTAAGCAAATAGAGATAATATCATGCTTCTGGCATAACTGGTCGAATTCAGGGGTAAGATGGCTACCATGACCATCTAACACCAGAAGACAATACTTCTCTTTCCTAGCCCTGATGTTTGGAATGAAATGCTTTTCTAACCAATCAAGACCAATATTATCGCTTATCCAGCCATCCCTAGAAACATTGATTATGGATAGGAAAATAATATGGACGACTAAGATAAGGAAGGTCAATGAATCGGAATAAAAAGGTGAAAATAAGCTAATGTGATATTGGGTAATTCAAATGGCTTCAATAATCAGACAACGTAAAAAATTTGTGAGTATTTCTGAACCTATCACTTAGCCCTCCTTGGCCATCTCGTCGTAGCGGTGTCGAGCACTTTCCTTGGTCTTGTCCAAGAACTCATGCTGGAGGCCGCGAGTTTTACGTCCGGCCTCCTCGGTTGCATCACCGATTTTACTACCCTTGGCGCCAAGTCCCACGCCCTCAGCATAGGCCTGCTGGGCAATGGGGTCGACTCGTCCAGTTCCATGGACACCCAGCCCAGTACCCTCTACCCAGCCCATACGCTTCAAGAGGCTCGCGCCCTTAGAGTTGGGCTTGACAGGTGCATTGTCCTCTTCCGGTGTAGCCGACTTTTGCTGTCTTCCACTCACTTCGACTTGACCGAAAGCAAGTCGACGTTCCTTAGCACGATCACGGTATTCAGGATCGGGTTGAGCGTCGGTTGTCAACTTCTGAGCTTCAGGAGCAGGTTGGGTGTTGAGAGCAGAGTCCTGTTCAGATATCGATGTATCCTTTCCATTCTGGGTCTCCTGGACCTCTTTAGCACGCCGAGATAACTCAGCATGTCGCGCAGCAACTTTTTTCAAGCCAAATGCTACCACTTCCTCATCCTTGAGGTTGTTGCGGTGCATATCACCTATTCGTACGTGCCACATGAGCCCAATGATGTCCGGTAATTTCTTCATGCATAGCAGGCAAACAAGTGAATCAGGCTTAGGGTCTATGAAAGTCGGGCCGGGGTCCAGCTTGCCTCGAGCCAGCGCTTCTTCGTCCTGTAGATTGTTGAGGTGCACTTCGTCGTGCCATGAGTGAAAGCCGAGATCCTCGCCATCTTCGAAGTCTTGTATACATAGCCAGCAGCAATTAAGCTCGTAGTCCAAATACGAATCGTTGACCGAATTCTCGTCAGGACCCTTTTCGGTTGCAGTAACATTATCATCGGCACTCTCTTCGACATTGTGGAGTTCAGCATACTGCTTGCGCCAAAATTCCAGTTGAGGTGGTGCGAGGTTGGTGTTTATGCTGGCCGCAGGCTCAGCTTTTCTTTTCTTGCCCTTCTCGGCGCTAATAAACCCTTGCGGCTGGCTAGTCTGCTGTCCGTGGGAATTTTCTATGTTCGCCGCGACAGGTTGGACTGCCTCTTCAGTCACTTCCAAAACATACTCACTGGCATAGCCTTGCGGATCCCAGTACCGAAAATATTTTGGTTTGCGGAGATGAGCAAATGAAAATTTGCAGTCTTGGGTGGACGGGTCCGCCACTGTGACAAATACACCACTATGGATGTAATTCACCGTCACCGGCTTGGAAGAGACGGTAAACTTTTCGAATGTCCGAAGTTTAGCCATCGCATCTTGAGCATCCTAGGGCAAAGGGTCAGCAAATCAACTTGGGCCAAGAGAGGAATCAACATACCCGTTCGTTGGCGAATTCGGCAAACCCAAACCGCCAGCTTGCATTTGAGTCGCGATCACGTACAAGAAAGACGCGCAGAATAGAGCCAGATTTGGCACCCAACTTGGCATCACTAGTACTGGATGTCATTTTTGAACGGGGTACATTGGTGTTGATTGGGGTCGGCGTAGGTCGCAGAAGTTTTTTCGCAGCTGTGGCAAGAACCTCTTCAGTGACAGAGGCTTCTAGTCCTCTGAAAATGAGAACATGCGATACCTCCTTCTCAGACACATCCGTCTCGCCGTTGCCTTTCATTTGGACAGTTTGCAGTGCTATAATATGTTCAGCAAATTGAAATGAAGAAGAGTCAGAGTGATCATATGAGCAACTCACCAGGTTTTGGAGCTTTGCAAGATGAGCAAATATTGTGGTGTGCGAAATTGACGACAGAGCACTAGAATAGTTAGTTATTTGAACGAAGTGAAAAATTTGGAGGGGGGAAAAGTAGTTTTGCTCAGCATTGCTCGACGTACGCGCAACGTGGGGGAAACTCACCATTCTGCAAATCCAGTCATCGGCACTCTGCCCAGGGACTCCGTTATCTCTCTCACGGCTGTAAGCAATGCCTACTTTCGTGCTTTGCTCTCCATTTGGGCCATACAAATAAATTGCGGGAAAATTTTGGTCCATGAAGCGTTTCGAATCTTGGATACATTCAAACTTGAGAAATGCGATTTGACGAGAAATTCCTGCGATGAATCCAGGTAAGTATGGCAAGATCAGTTCAACGATAATGGTGTTTAACTCACTGGTATGCCTATCCCGAATAAGACGGACCTTTTCCAATCCAGGAACATCATATTCGCTCCTCAGTTCAGTCTCGATCTGTTTCAAAATCAGTATCTATGCTAAAAAAAAACAAGGGCAGGATATACATCAGGGGATCCAACCCTTAATCAATTTCATGATCTTACTCACATCGATATCTGTCATGTCAACCGGGACCCGCTCCAGTATGACCTCTCGACTCTCCTGGCCGGGATTTTGACGCGAGTAAAATTGGCTGCGATTGTGGTCGCGAGAGTCGCGAGAATCGCGAGAGTATTCCGAACTGCGATTATGGCCGCGAGAGTCGCGAGAGTCGCGAGAGTATTCCGGGCTACGGTTGCGGTCACGAGAGCTGCGAGCGTATTCCGAACCGCGATTGTAGTCGCGAGAATCGTGTGAATACTCAGTACTGCGGCTGTATTGAGGGGATTGATAACCTTCGTGATCACGATCCCGATATCCTTGGCGACCATGCCCATTATCATCTCTACTGTCTTGGTACCGGCTTCCTCGGCCACGAGCATAAGACGAGTGAGATTGGCCTATATTCCAGACCAAATTGCAGGCATTAGCATGTGCTAATTCAAGGAATTGAGTTTATCATTCTGTGGACTCAACTAGTCCAAGTCAGGTCCATGCGGGGAGAATTCAGATACCACCAGGAGATCGCGATCGAGGGCGATCGTCATACATCCGACCATCTCGCTCGTCAGGGTAGCCCCAACGAGGTCGGCAATTGTCATGACGCATCGTGAATGAAGTGGTGAAAACCGCTGTCGAAAGTGATTAGGAAGAGAGAGTAAGAAGAGCAAAGAGCTCCAGGACGGAAGCTCTCGATAAGTGCACGGGCCAGCTCTGGGATTCTGCTTATCGCCATATTTGACCAGCACTATTCCTTGCTATTTTGAATCGATCCTTGCTTTTCCAGATCTAATTAATAGTCTATTCCACTGTTTTTAATATCTACTTATGTTGGGTGCATAGCCTAGATCTGAAAAAAATTACATGTATGGATGGTACTTTCTATGCATCAACATCACGGATGAGATTCATAGTTCGAGTTTTGAAATGGAATATAGACTTCTACGGGTTCTAGCATCTTGATCAAGCTGTGACTTGGACTTGATGTACTACCTATTTGAAATGTCATATAAATGAATGCGAAGTAGATTATCACTGCCAAGGTGCCCTACAACTACTTACCATCGCCGAGTGGGATGGAGATCCATTGGCAGGAAGTACGGAAGTAGGATTTAACAATAACACGAAGTGCTGCAACTAAGACACATATCAAGGTCCCTTCAAAGTACTCAAGTACATATTGTAGTGGGGAGGCAGACAAGTGGCAGTGTGGCCTGACTAAGCAGGATGTGTATATAACTAAGTGATATGTTTTAGAGATCAGACCATCAGACTTCTTCTCCTCTGAGCTTCTCCTAAGTCTCCTTCTTCGTCTCCCACTTCCCCTCCGATCCCTGCGCCCATATGGGGAGTATCTGGTTTCGCAGACCAATGCAATACGGTGGCCCCGTTCCCCATTCTAATATGTAAATACGTAGTTGAATCCACTAAATAGGGATCGGCACATTCAACCTCTCATACTCGATGGTTCTCCGCATTGCCCCGCGGTGGACTCTATGTGGGTACAGGATGACCCTTGTTATAAAGCTCTGTCTGGATGGTTTCTTCACAATCTTCTGTTCACATCTCAGTAACACCAATCACTCAAATAATTAAACCCACTTATCCCAATGACTACCACAAAGCCTAACCACCGGGCCTGGTGGAAGGAGTGCTCGGTCTATCAAATCTGGCCTGCATCATATAAGGACTCTAACGACGATGGTATCGGAGACATTACTGGGATTATCTCCAAGCTCGACTACATCAAGAATCTAGGTGTTGATATTGTCTGGCTGTGTCCATCTTACAAGTCGCCCCAAGTTGACATGGGATATGACATTTCGGATTACTATACCATCGCGGAGGAGTATGGTACGGTCGCAGATGTGGAAAGTCTCATTCAGGGGTGTCACAAACGCGGAATGAAGCTTCTGATGGACCTGGTTGTGAATCACACCAGCGACCAACATGACTGGTTCAAGAAGTCACGTAGCTCTAAAGACAGCGAATATCGAAATTGGTATGTCTGGAAGGCACCTCGCTACGATGAGCAGGGCAACAGACATCCACCCAACAACTGGGTTTCTCATTTCCAGGGTATGTCAATTTGTTTTCATAGTGATGAAACGTTCAATTCTAATTCTCAGTCAAGGGAGTGCCTGGGAGTATGATGAGCCCACAGATGAATACTACCTTCATCTATATGCAACGGAGCAGCCAGATCTCAATTGGGAGCATCCTCCTGTCCGTGATGCCGTCCATGAAATTATGCGATTCTGGCTGAAGAAAGGATGCGATGGCTTCCGCATGGATGTGATCAACTTCATTAGTAAAGATCAGCGCTTTCCCGATGCACCCATCCAGGACCCCCGAACTCCTTGGCAGTGGGCAGACAAATGGTACGCTAATGGACCGCGACTGCATGAATATCTCCAAGGGCTCGGTAAAATCCTAAAGGAGTACAACGCTTTCAGCGTTGGCGAGATGCCTTTTGTCAAAGACGAGAAAGAGGTACTCCGTGCGGTGCAGTTTGACCGCAACGAAATCAATATGATTTTCAATTTCGAACATGTGGACATCGACCATGGAAAGTATCAGAAGTTTGAGCCTGGCAGCTGGAAGCTCACAGACCTAAAGGACTTCTTCAACCGATGGCAGAAATTCATGTATGCCAACGACGGGTGGAACGCACTCTACTGGGAGAATCATGACCAACCGCGATCTATCGATCGTTTCACCGGTGCTGGAGAGGAGCATCGAGTCATTGCTTCAAAGATGTTGGCCACTGTTCTGGCCCTACAGCCAGGAACACCCTTTGTGTATCAGGGACAGGAGATCGGCATGCGAAATGTGCCTTCGGAGTGGGAAATGGACCAGTACAGGGACCTTGACTGTCTAAATCATTGGAAAAGGTATTATTTTTCCCTCTCACTTCCAAGAGTCCAAGCTAAATATTCCACAGATTGATCCAAGCAAGTCCTACCGACATAGAAGCCCAAACAGTGGCACGTAAAGAATATCAGAAGAAGTCGCGCGACAATGCGCGTACTCCGGTTCAGTGGTCATCTGCAGCGAATGCAGGATTCACAGGTCCAAACGTCAAGCCTTGGATGTCTGTCAACCCAAACTACGAGTTTATCAACGCCGAGGCCGACGTCAGTAACCCCAACTCAACTTACCACTACTGGGCATCAGTACTTGGGTTACGCAAGAAATACCTTGACATCTTCGTTTACGGGGATTGGGCACTTATTGATGAAATAAACGAGGAGGTGTTTGCGTATACCCGCCAGTATGAAGATCAGAAGGCTGTGGTCGTGTGCAACTGGACCGAGAAGACCTTAAATTGGGATGCTGCTGGACAAGGAGTGGCCAATATCAAGGAGGTACTTTTAGACAGTTATGAGGGTACTGCTGAAGCGACTCCACGCTTTTCTGGAGGAAAGTGGTCGCTTCGGCCTTACGAGGCAGTTGTCTTGCTTGTTTGAAAATCCACGGCAGCTCATTTCATTACGTACCTTTATAACGTGTAGCTTCAAGTTTAAGACTAAATTTTATAAGAATAAAATACTGGAAAATAACAGAGGCAAAATTGATGTTTTGAGAAGTGAAATGTTTTCGGTACAAAGTTCATAGTAGTTAGTTACTATTACCACTTCAATATCTCACCCCGCAGCTCTTATCAGTAAATTCCGCACTTTCCAATCTCAACTCCATACAAACAATTAAAATCATACAAAAATGACGACCGAACAATCCCTACCAGCACATCTAGACCCAAGTACCTACCCGCGCACCCACAGCGACACCACCAAAAACATCCACCTAACATTAACCTACGCCACTCTCGACCCAAACACCTACCTAACACAAACCTCCTCAACCGCCGCCGGAGCAAATGTGCTCTTCCTCGGTACAACACGCGACACGTTCGAAGGTCGCCCGGTCTCACAACTGAGCTACACCTCCTACCCACCTCTTGTGTTCAAGACTCTGTCCACAATTGCGGAGGAGGCTGTCGCGACACACCAGCTTCTAGGCGTGAGCATTGCGCACAGACTTGGAGTTGTGCCTATCAAGGAAGCTTCTATTGCTATTGCGGTTAGCTCGGGTCATCGGGCTGCGGCTTGGAGGGCGGGTGAGGAGATCTTGGAGGCTTGTAAGCAGAAAGCTGAGATTTGGAAACGGGAGGAGTTTGTTGATGGTGGTATGGAGTGGAGGGCTAATGCTGATCGGGATGCTGAGGGGAATTCGATTGGCGGTTGATCTGATCTGGACGCATTCTGTGAACATTCAGGTGTGTATGATCTAATTATGAATGCGATATACAATGCCAGGGATTTGGAGTGGAATGAAGTGGGCGATCGTGGAAGGAACAGAATTCCAGAATTGTATCGCCCACTCCGTCTGGACTTCTACGAGGTCGAATAACATAGCCTTGGAAGAGATCGGAAACTACGAACTGCTCCATACAATACTAAAATCCAGCCTTCTAGAAGATGGGACTCATGGTCACTAGCTGCCCTACCTAGTGATACGGGGAACGCTCGTAGGCAGTGCAGTCAAAATGCACAGATCAATTCAGTTAGGAAACAGGGTGTCGGAACTGTACTAACAGCAGGGGAATGGAGCTCCGTAACAGAATGTCCAGAAATGAAGATAGATGTAAGCATGAAGGTCTAACTATGAGACGAAGTTCTATCTATTCCTCACTGGCTATACTGCCGCTACTATTCTGACCGCTTCTCACACCGCCCTCTCAAATAATAATACTAGGGTACTCCCCTACTATACCCCACTCAATAATGTTAATTGTCCCCGATTGACGAGGGTGAATCGAAACCAAATGGAAGTGAAATAAAAGCAAAAACCAATATCCTTATCTCTAAGTGTGACCTCTCTCCTGCTCCTCTAGCACCACTTCCTCGTCTTTAGATAGATCTCCTAGATCCTTATAGTACTTCAGTCTAGACCTGTACACGGGTTGTGTAACGAGTCTCTGAAGAGACTGCGCTCCTGGCTCCTGGCTCCTGTGCGGAGCCGGACGAGCGATAGGAGCATCCGGTCCCCAGGACCCTTTCCCTTCCTTAGTTAATTCTTCTTGTTTAAATATCAATCGGATCTTTGCAGCGTACAAATTCCTGCATTCATCCCGTAACAGTACCCTACTAAAAAGTTTCAAGATATTTTGGTCGGCCATAACTCGACTTCTACTAAACCGATTCGTCGGAAATTGGATTCGTATATATATTATACTTGAACTTAGAACTCCTAACAATATGAGCCTCGTACAAGCGATAAAAGTTTCTAAGATTTACTCGAGACTGACTGCTAGGATATACTCACTTGCCTCACTTCTTCTGCCTTTCTGATTAACCGCTGAAACCCTAGTAGATACCAGCTATGTTCGGCAAAAATTCACCTGCATCTTGCAACTACGAGCTGTGCAACTGATATACACTACTGTCGGTTGACTAGGTTATTACCGAAGCAGACAGCTATTGATATCGTTTCTGTACGTATATAATAGGTGTATGCATATTGGGTAAAAGTGAAGTGTCATTCTAAAATGCTCAGGTGAAAGAAGATATAGTAGCTGCCATGCCAAGATCACATGATCTTGGTATGTCAGCTGATATTCGTTCCAACACTGGGCATACTTTAAGAGGGGTAAAACGCGGTCAACTGGTAAAATCAAAGTATCACAAGCTCGCATGGCAGTCCTGAGTTCCAATCTTCTGCCTTAAAAATCAAAGTCTCCATTTTTAACTTCCAAATTTAATTCGATCGCTCGACCCAGCCAATTGCCTTCAGATTGATTTTGTTCGTGTCAATAAGTTGAGTTAACGCATTGCACGGTTTGGCTTTGGTCATTGCGTCTGCTGGGTTGGAGGTTCCATCAACCCACTTGATTGACGCGATTTGGCGGCGTTCATACGCCTGTCGTAGGCATATTACGTATATCATTAGGCGCTTTTCCTGTGTAGACCCGAGCCGCACAAGGCAATCGTACAATGATTTCGAATCGGTGCACAAAACGATTAGGAAGTTCGCCTTTAGCATTTGATCCAAAGTTGACTTGATCGCGAAAGCGATATCTGAACCGTGAACTATGGCGTAAAGTTCGGATGCCAAAACGCTCCTAGTGATTCGTTTATATTTGATCGAGCTCCAGTGAATGATATTAGCGTTGGTGAAGTTATCAATCTGGCCGGGTTCTGTGGTCTTGGTGTTATCGATTTGAACGTTTCCCTTGTCGGCGAGCATAATGATATAGCCAATTTGTGACGAGAGGTCCTTGTTGTTAGTAAATGATGCGTCTATAAAGACAAGAAGTTGGAGTGATTTTATGTCTAAATCGACGAACTTGAGTCCTCTGGCAGAATTTTCTCTTTACCAATTGAGCCGTTTATTCAGTAACTTATAGTCATCTTTGTCTAGGTGGGTCGCTTAGGCAGCGAATGATAAGTCGAACGCAGCTTTAGGTTGACATACTGAAGCTATATAGGCGCCTCTCGCGCGCTCGGCGATGTATTCATCTTTGGTGTTGGCAAGGGAGATCTTATCGCATTGGCCCTTCTGCGCAAGGGTGATGCTTCTATCTGTTGCCAATTCGATGACTCCACCATTGAATTTCAGTGGATTTTCAATGGTTAGTTGTTCGCGTTCTTTCGCCGCGAAGTTTGCCTTTTATAGCTCCTGTTTTTCTGCTTCTGCAAATTCGTTATCTGCAAGGATAAGAGTATCATCTATTTGAAGTCCAACGATACCAAATCCTTTCGAATCTGTTATATATAGAAGACATGGGTTAAATGTCGACTGGTTCATTTTCAGGTTTATCGAATGGTGGGAGTGGTATGTCCTGAACCAGTGGTTTCCGGCTTCGGGGATGCCATAGAGTGGCTTAATAACCTTTAGAATTATGTTCTTCCTAAGCTAGTTAATTAATTCCTGTGGGGGGCGTGTATAGAAATTGTGGTTTAGTATTGTTGTTGACTAAACGTACGCCTAGGAGATATCGCGGAGGTATAATTGTGATTTAGCAGCAGCGCCTTGGTGACTTACAGCGATGCAGAGGATCAGTCTTTAGCTGACGTGTTAAATTATTGGTGATTGAGTCAAAACTAGGTCTTTTTCTTGGTTGTTATAGGCTTAAATGACTAGTCGTGACTTTTCGAATGCTTATTCTGTGCCTTTATTCTTGATATCGTCAACGAATCTTGAGTTGAATAGTTATATACTGGGTGGAGCTTCTGTGATAAGCTTAAAGACCCCTTTTTCAAGTAACCCATTGATTTCTTTTTATCTTAAGTCTCGGAATTAGGTATTAGTGCTGCTCTTATCTTGTAGAAAGATAGTGATAGGTATAGGGTGCTTACATAGGCGGCCTGGGCCACGCTTCTGTGGTTGTGTAGGAGTAGGGGCAAGTTCACGGCCTAGGTTAGACCTTAGGTTTCGGCTAGAGCGATTAGTTAGCTCTAGGGGTTCTAGGGGGAGCTTGGTATCGATATCTGATCTGGTTTGTTTACTTTGGTCTATTCCTTGTAATTCTGGATCCAGATTTTATGTTTCTGAATAGAAGGGTTTAACCACTATCGATCGGAATGCTGTTAGTCCACTTAGTAGTCTAACTATGCAGGTTTTGTTTTCGATTGATAGTAATATATATGGTCTAGTCCAGCTACCTGTTTTTCCTAAATTTCCTTCTCTCTAGACAAGAACTAGTGAATTCAGCGGCAAATCATAGATTACGGTCGTGTTTAGGCTGTTTCTTATGTTTAATGCATCAGCGATTTAGCGTTCTGCTAGGAGCTTCTATATCTCGGCCATAGCCTTTCTGACTACTATAGCACGCTATGTTACTGATGGAGAGGGTGGATCTAAGTTAATCATTCGGGGGTATTGTCGATCAACTACGTTGAAAGGACAGGGTTCACACGTTGCACTATATACACTGGAAAAGGGTATGGTTCGTCCTAGATTCTTAGTATATACGTTGTGCAAAGTGGTGTGAAATGTGTTCGATTCATGTAGCTACTTGAGTTCCTAATATAGTTGTTCCCCCGTGACTCGGGGGTCTGTTTGTTCCGTTCCGGGTTTATGGTATTGCATGATTGCAATATCCATGTTCCGACACTGGAGCAACTTTAAAATCTCGAGTCGCTATATACATGGATCGATAAAATAAATGAATGTGGATAGGTGCACGATATGCCCCCGAGTGCCCTGCATATTGTATCTGTTGGGTGGCCGATTTTTGTTGAAGAATCAGCCTTTGTGCGGGGTAAAGAAAGTGGTGAGTGGGAAAAAAAATAATAAAAAGTGGACAACACGAAAGTGGGCTTTTCCTAGAGAAGCCAGTCTCCATTTCGTCTTCTATCCGTGGTCCTCTCTGGCGGCATTTTACTGATCCCCTGAGATCAGAATGGCAAATGGTATTCTGTTGCCTTATTCATGATAACGGCGGCGTTCGCAGGTTGAGCCGTTGCTAATTCCCGGAAAAAGGATAATATGGCGGACTGCCACATGGTGTACCCTCCTTCTGAGGATTCCAGTCTGCATAAGGTGTTCGGGAAGCGAATCGGATGCGGTAGGAGTCTGATTTGGGCGTTGTGCTTTTCCCGCTGGACGGCTATGTATTCCCTGATGAGCTTTGGGTCATATTTCTTGTCCGTTTCGATCCCCGATTCCGTCGAGTGGATTGTGATTAGCTGTCGGAATGCCATCATCAGGTTGCCAGCTGCCGCCTGGGCTGTTTCGGGTGCGGTTTCTGCCCAGGTGAACGCTGCGTTGGTTGCTCCCGGTGTGCCAAATGGTGCCGATAGTCCTTGACTCGCATGTGTTGCGGCAGGGTCTGCATTTCTGGCGTAGTCCATAAGTGTGTGGAATGTCCAGCTATCGTATTGGATTCCGAACAGTGGTGGGTGACATGTGGCTTTGCTAGCCCCTCTGCATCGGTTGCATTTCTTGCTGGCTATGGTATCGAAAAGGCAGTTGAACGTGGGAAATGTTTCTCCTTCCCAGTTTGTGTTTTTGTGTCCAATGCATCCAATACACGTCATGAACTTTGGCTGTTCTGGTATCGCCCGTGGGGTTGTCGGCGATAATACTATGGCGGGTTCCGCTGGCACTGCTGGTGCTCCTGGGGCTGGGGCTGGGTCTGCTGCTGGAGCTGGACCTGCCGCTAGACCTGCCACTGGACCTGCAGCTTTCGCTCTTTTAGGTCCTCTTGCTCCCTTTCCTTTTGCTTTCGTCACCCTTCCGGC